TCTAGAAGCTATACGTAAGAAGGGCATTCACAGTATGAGTGGTGGAGCCCTTCAACTTGCCGTGCGATGATCACCAAAGCTGTACCCAAATCATAAATCTTGCTAGTTACGTAGAATGAGCTAAACTACAGTCAAGGAATATCCAAAAGTAAGTTAACTAGGTGTTGGATTGTAGGCAAATGGTCTTGTATTGAAAGTGTCATGATCTCTGGAGAGTCCTGAGAGAAGTGAAGGGCGGCCATAGGGGCCTTATATAGGTAGAAATGACTGATGCCTGCCCCACAGCCAGGACTTGTGTGGTTCAATGGGTAGAGGTCATATTGACCCATACCTTGTACGGTTTGCGGCTTTACTTTTCTCCTTTGACTTAGCAGTCTTGACGGAGTAGCCTTTGAAGGTCCGACACTAGGCTTGGGGGTTTTTGGGTCAAATTCGGTTTAATAATGACTTCGTCACCGCCAACTAAGATGACTCGAAGCCCGAGACATACAACTCGCACCTGCGTCATTTGGTACTGCTGCGATTGCAGAATGAATAACGACAATTCTCAGCACCCCCTCGTCTTTATCGCTTGTTATCACCGCAACTGTGGATACAAAAAGTGCTTTATATGTATTAAAACGGTCATGACGATCGAAGAGGACTTGTAGTCACGATAAAAAAGTTTTGTTGGGTTGTGGGGACAGCATAGGTGAAAGTTGGTTAAATCAAGAGTTGGGGATATATTTACATAGAAGATAGCGTGGGCAAAATCGTCAAGAGATATCATTTGATGCGAGTGCATATGGGGTGTGAATTGTTGTATTGGGAAAGGATGCCAGGTCAGCGATTCTGGCCTGGCAGAGCTCTTTTATAGCTCTTATCTATCCTATCTATAGCTATAGGGTAACCCCCCATGGGGTCACGTATCATCATTAAAGAGACGGAAACCCGTAAAATTAAGGAATGGTATCTATCAAGATTGGATACCAATCTTGCCTATGTTCAAGCTTGAAAACCTTCCTTGAACTTCTATCATAAAGGCAACACGCGTATTAGCCTAAAAGAAAGAGGTTTATAACCTTAAAAGCAGTAGAGAATTCAATAGAGGGGGTAAGTTCGTCCTTAGGTATCGATGGGTTAAATATGCTTTACTTCTTTCAAGACAGATGTTCCGCACAGTGCCTTACCGTCTCGGGCTCTGTAAAGGTGTATAAGGAATATCTTCTGAATCATTTTGAACCCTCACCGAGCCTGCTATCACAGTTGCAACTTAACTTCACAACAACCGACCAGATCTTGATCATATGAATGACGGGTCTGCTTAGCTAAGGTGGCGACGTACGACCGGTGTGCCCTACAACACCTGCTATGTTGCTTAGGTTGGTCTGAAAAATTGAAAGACATGCATTTGAGGACGTGGAGTTTGGTATAGCTGCTTAAAATGGCGGTTTCGTCTAAGCACTTTCGATCAGACAAAGGTCGAGCAAATGATCGAGTAGTATATAATTGCACTTGTTCTGGTTTGGTTTATTTCTACTGTATTGCTGCTCCAACCTTATCAGAAGAGTCCGACAGTAATTTCATATTCTTCGTTTGTCCTGCAACACATGCTCAACCATGCATGGAAGAAAGTGCACCCATGTCGACTTTATTGTTGTTCGGCGCGTCTCAGTTTCTCCTCTTCAGTCAGATTTCCCTTGTCAACCTTTCCGCCGGCACCCGAGTCAGACATGTGCAGCCCAGACATTCTACTACCCATCCAGTCGATCGCCTGACTGGCTTTGCTCTTTTCCTGGATCTCATTTTCCATTTTTTCGGCTTCGGCCTCTGCCTTGGCGTCATCAGCGTCTTTGGAGTCGATTTTTGATTCTGACTCTGCTTCCTCCTCTGCTTCCCTTTTCTCTTCTTTCTGAAGACTAGCCATCTGCCTCTCTACAGCCTTCACATCAACGTCCTCCCATCCTACCCTCTGTACGACTTTGCCGATCAATAATCTGTATTTAGTGTGCCCATCCACCAGATCACTCACGTCGACGTTTTCTACTCCTTCAACGTCTCTGATCGGTTGGAGGCCGGCGACTCCGAACTGGAGGCTGCTGGCTCGATACAGAAAGCCGAGGAGGTAGTCCTTGGAAGAGAAAACGTTCACCACCCTCCCACTTACTACCGTACGTATTCCTCGCCATTCTAGGCTATCAGATGGCGTCGCTGCTCCAATCAAAATGACGCTCTCGATAAGGCCAAACGCACCCCTTTCGGCTAACTCCTTGAGGCAGTGAAAGATTACTCGCGCACCTAGGGAGTATCCCATCAGTGTCACTGGCCTCTCACCTTGGACTTTGTTGATCAATGCATCCGCCAAGACTCGGCCCGCCTTTTCACTTCGGGACCTCGCAACGCTGAACGGGTTGTCGACGACTCGACTGGCCTTGGCCAGGCCGTACGGGAGTGTCAACGCCGCCGACAGCGCCGCGAAGATGGTGTGGCTTATAATTTCTTTCTTGGCGTAGCCCCATGCGTATGACTTGACGTATGTTGTCAAAGCATGTCCTAGGTTCAGGAGACATTTTAGCTCCCACCGAAGTGCAAAGGCCTCGGCATTGGCGTTGCTGATAATCTGCCACGGGGAGACAATCTGTGATTCCTCCGTCAGGTACCCCGATATTCCGATAGCAACGCGGAGGTGACGACGGCTGGTTTTCTCATCCTCTTTGTGCTTGCCAAATGAGAGATGATGCTGTTTCTGGACAGGTATGAATGCGAAATCCTTGACCTCCTTGGCATACTCATCCACCATCTCCCCGGTCATTTTGCCACCGTACGCTCCGAAGAGTACGCCGACCAAAGGCGCACTGCCAGCAAGGGCCCCCAAATACCCGGCTGTGACAGTGGCCCCTAGTCCAAGGCCACCCATCACGCTACCGACACCGGCTGCAAGTAGAGGTGCGGCGAGACCACCTGTCACACCAATGAGGACGGCCCCAGCAGCGGCACCGAGGCCCACTTTCAAGCTGCGAGACATGGCGCTGGCGTTGGCTTTCTCTTTGGTTTCCTTGTCCGCGTTCATTTGCTGCCTCGCTGCTTCCAAGAGGCCTTGCGCAACCCGGGATTCATCTTCGGATAACACCTCTACTGGCAATGAGAGGGAACTTGTGATGTGCAACATGAGAATGCGAGATTCTGCAGGGTAACTTTCGAGACCAAGTAGGAGGAGAAGGATAGAGTGCAATACAAGAACTCGCTGAGGCTTGTCAAGGCTGCTCAGACTGGTCTTCTGCGGTGCGTACAGCCGATGCAGGGCGACATCAGCCTCTGTATCCTCTGTGGCGGGTGGAGGTACATCTTGTGTTGATTGTGTCGGTGCGTCAGACTTGATTTCTTGTTCCATCGGGCTGGAATTCTCTTCTTCTGCCTGCCGGTTGACGGCTTCCCCAACGCGACTTATGACTTTATCTCTCCAGGTGTCGAAATGGTTCAGTGCAGCTTTCTTGAGGTCCTTCATTGCGGGGTTGGCAAGATCCTTGACACGTCGTTCGCGCTGCTTGGCTTCTTTCTCTGCATCTGAGCTAGCCTCTTTATTGTCGTCAGTCGCACCAGAATTGCTTGATATGGCCTGAGCATTTTCATCTGCCTCGCCACTGGCTCTGCTGGCGACCACCTTGCCGCTCGATTGGGTCGACTCGGGATTAGGCGTGGTAGATGGCTCGACGCTCAGCTTTAACAACGACGCTTCGCCGGTCTTGTCGGCATCGAAAGTATCAAAGATTCGCTGTCGCATCGCTTCTGTGGAGTGTGCGACAAGGAGAAGCAGGTCGGTTCGTTGCTCAGTGGTGGGCAACACCGTCACCAGTGATTGCTCCTGTCTACTCGAGGGGGGTTCATTGCCGCCCAAATGGGCGACGTTCTTCAATTTCGAGAACATCTCGATCTACCTCATGGAACGAATCGATAGTTGAAATGGATTGAGATATCGCTGGTCGGAGAAAGTCTGGCGGGCCACTATTCAGACGTTCTTTTGCGACGACTGCTTAGTGACGTCATCCCGTGTTGTAGGGCTGCAAGGAGGGAGCTAGACCCTCAATAAGGTACACTGGATTTCTTGAACCATGCTGACTAGAGAGAAAGCACGGCAATTTGGCTTATGTCTCCCATGCACCATTTCTCATGTTCTTCCGTGCCGACACGTTGTCACTGTTATTATCTTATGCCAAATACTAATCAATGGGCGAATTTCTGATAGTCACAAGGAACACTGGTGGCCTGCGGCTGGCTATAGGTATGTAGATAGGTAGTTGCCGTGGGTAAATAAAGGTGAAGAGAAATTCAGGATAGGAGTAGCCAGCTTTTACCATATTTTTAGCTGCCCTATCCCTTGTAGCACCGTCGGTGGCCTATGCTTTCAGATTTTTCCTCTCGAATACTCGTTTGTCAGGCGCTTCCCGATTCTACATGAATTGTACGCCGCAAGGGGGAGATGTTGTTGCCGACGTAGTACTAGAGGGTCCATTTGGACCAGAAGCCGCAAAGCCTGGTCGTGCTGGGAACAAGATAGACACAGCAAATGATGAGTCTGATGCCAAGAAGCAATAAGGGTAGTGTAATAAGCAGGAGACTTCGGGTCTCTGGTAATCAAGAATCATCGTCACTTCAGCAAAATAGCAATGAGTAGGAGAGATGTGAAAACAAGCATCCAACATGCCTGCCGACCTGTAGCATGTGAACAACAAGGACACACTAATCCCCAGAACAAAGCTATTCAGTGCACAAGTGAAATAGCAAGGGGACCGCTTCGGCAAGTGTTGGCTCTTGCCCGGCGGAGGCGGTCCGAAAATAGTTGTGCGGGGGCGGGTGGGAGAGTGCATAAACAGCCCAAATACGAAACTCGTTGGGGTCTGTCAATACTGGAATAAATAATGGCCTTGGTTGGCTTTCACTGACCTGGTCACACATGATGTACGTTTTTGGATTATAAATTAACACACAGCCATTGCAGAGTTCCCATGCCCCATGCTGAGTTGCGCATTCGGCTCGGGCGAGGGCTCAAAGGGGGCGGATAGTGGGGAAGGATGCCCCGAGATGTATAGGGATTAGTCAAGGCATTAGTAGATAGAGTGAGGTTTCCCCATAGAAAGCCTTCCACGCTTAAGTGCCGTTCAGCCTTAAATCCAGCCTGACTCGCGGGGTGGTAATGGTGGCGGACCGCAGCGGACCGAGTCCATCGTCCAACTTGGCAGCTAGATTATAAGCAAGTCGACCGCCCAGGAAATTATCAAGACAGGATTTGTTCAATCTGCATGGTGGAATTTGCCATTCGATTATTCCTGCGAAGATGGCTCGCTTTACTATCGTTCTGATCTTGGCAGCACATCTTTCATGCACGCCCCTGACGGCCGCAGACACTTCAATAACCATTAACCCGGCGTCAAAATACGGCACCTGGGAGGGTTGGGGCACCTCGCTCGCGTGGTGGGCTAAGAAGTTCGGAACCAGGGATGATCTAGCTGACATCTTCTTCACGACCAAGTCAACACAGCTCAGCGGCAAATCCCTACCAGGTCTCGGCCTCACCATCATTCGTTACAATGCGGGTGCCGTGAGCACAAATACCGTGGACGGCACCTCCATCGCTATCTCATCGACGATGAAGGCGTCGCGTGAGATGGAAGGATTCTGGATCGACTGGATGAGCGGCGACCCGGCCTCGTCGAGTTGGAATTGGTCCGTCGACGCCAATCAACGCGCTATGATGACCAAGGCCAAATCTCGCGACGCGACGAAATTCGAGCTCTTCTCCAACTCGCCCATGTGGTGGATGCTCAAGAACAAGAACCCGGCCGGGGCCAACGACGGAGGCAACAACCTGCAGTCGTGGAACGTGGACAACCACACGGCCTATCTGGCCACCATCGCCGAGTATTCCCAAAAGAACTGGGGTATCACCTTCGAATCCATCGAGCCGTTCAATGAACCTGCGGCCAACTGGTGGAAAGCCAGCACCGGCACCCAGGAGGGTTGCCACTTCGAAGTAAGCTCTCAGCCTGAGATCATCACTTCCCTTCGCAACGAGCTCGACAGCCGCGGGTTATCATTCACCATCATCGCCGCCTCCGACGAGAACACGTACGACCAGGCTGTGACCACATACAAGGGTCTCAGCAGCGTCAACAGCAAGATCGGGCGGATCAACGTGCACGGATACCAATACGGCAACGGCGCTCGCGACACGCTGTACGGCCTTGCGTCCAAGGCTGGCCAGAAGCTATGGAACAGCGAGTACGGTGAGAGCGACAGCACGGGAGAGCAACTTGTTAGCAACTTGATTCTTGATTTCCGCTGGTTGCATCCCACGGCTTGGATTTATTGGCAGGTTCTCGACGGTGGAGGCTGGGGTGTTATCGATGCTGACAATGATGCCGGGACCGTTGGCGCCGCGAACCAGAAGTACTTCGTCCTGGCTCAATTCACACGCCACATCCGGCCGGGCATGACCATTCTTGATGGCGGGTCTGACAATGTGGTGGCTGCTTATGATGCTACCAACAAGAGGCTGGTGGTCGTCGCAGTCAACTGGGGGAATGCCCAATACCTGGGTTTCGATCTGTCCAAGTTCTCCGGGAAGCCTGAGAATGGAAATACTGTGCGCCGATGGCAGACCATGATTGGAAGTGGGGAACAGTATGTGGCGAAGGCCGCTGATACCAAGATCAATGGCACCAGCTTCTGGTCGTACTTTGACAATAACTTGATCCAGACGTTTGAGGTTGACGGTGTGACTCTGTAGTTTGTGATCAGCGATACCTAATCAAGTAAAAATGAATAAGTCGCTTCTGAGCAACACATAACAGAGGATTTCCAGGTTTGGTTTGGCTTGCAGGGTTAACGTATCATGACGTCCCTTTAATGCGCATGTGTCAGATTTGCGGATCTGGCCAAACTAACTTCACATGGGATAGGGTATCAACCCTGTCAACGACTGCTGGCACTCTTCACAACCTATACCCAACCTACCAGACGAATCTTTATGCTGTCCAGGCTCTTGAGCTATATTATATTATCTATGACGTGGTCGTGGACTATTGTAAGGGTGGGGACTGGATAGATGGGTTGCCTGATCACGACATACCAAAGGAAAACGGGAAAAGTTCATATCAAGGACTGAGGGGGAAGTGAATTAGTTCAATCAGATGGTCTATTTCATGAAAACCCGATGCATTGAATGTGCCTGGCTATTTGGGTTTCAGGTGTTAACCACGATAATTTCACCAAAACTAGTATTCCATGAGCTGAAAATGTGGTGGATCTTATACTAGGTTTGTTTGGACTCTCTTTAATTGCCTATACCTCAGAGTTAGTCGTTACCGCGTTGATGAGAATATTTGTGTGTTTGTATTTGTTTCCAAGTTATTGAAGTAACTACTTTGGGATCGCACGGATACTGGCATTCCGGCTATATACGAAGGTGAAGAAGGGAAGTCCAGACAGGGCAGGTGTTCAAGCCATGCTTCCCCGATTTCCAACTAGTGTGCATATGTGCCGTGATATCTGCACAAGCCTGAGTAAATGATTCGTTGGACTCGTCAGCAGCATGGCTAAGTATTGTAGTGTCACCTGCATGTATGCATACTACATATGTATGCATACGACGAATGCCGCAGCCAATGCGGGTCGGGAAAGCCTGCTTTTAGCGCCAGAAAACCAGCTAGCTATCAATATATATTATAGTGGCTTCTGATGTAGTGTCTGGGCAATCCCTCTCATTTTACGTGGGAGATCCTCCTTCATAGTCGAGTACTGCTTTTCTCCTGTCGCGGCTGGCTCGTAAAATTCGTCCCTACCTTCACCTTATCGCCCCTACCTTCACCTTATCGCAATACAACCCCAAATATTGGACTACGCCATATGCACTGCTAATTGTAAACGTGTAGCACGCAACCGTCCAAAGTGCCTTCACTGCAACCGACCGCATGGATTTCATGAATCTCAACCTCGCAAGCCTAGTCGCTAACATCAGTCTCACTCGACTCTTCTATCTTTGGGTGTTGTACCGCATTGGTTGTGCTTTGTACAATGTCTCAGCCTTTCACCCTCTCAGTCGCTTCCCTGGACCGAAATTGGCGGCCTTATCTCTGGCTTACGAGTTCTGGTTCGACATGATCCTAGTCGGAAGGTACACACATGAGATCAAGAAAATGCACCAAATCTATGGTAGGTTAGTTTGATTCTTCGATGTTTAAGCACCTACTTTCAGTAAGAATAGATGGGAAAGAATGCTTTCATCAAATATTCATCATCCTTTTCGTGCATGGTGACGATAACAATCTGCCAGGCCCAGTCGTGCGCATCGGTCCCAATGAGCTGCATTGCTCAGACCCGGCGTTCATAGATGAGATATATGCTTCGGGGAACCGAAGGCGAGACAAGCAGACTCACTATCTAAACACACTTGTCGGTCCGATCAACGTTGGCTTATTTGCCTCTCGCGAGCATGAGCTCCATCGGACTCGACGCAGGGCTTTGAACAAGTTCTTCTCTCGCGGCCAGATTGTTAACCTCGAACCCGAGATACACAATCTTACGCAACTACTTTGCAATAAAATACTTCAGGACTCTTCTAAAAAGCCTTTGGACGTCACTACAGCTTATAGCTGCTTCACGTCAGATCTCATTTTCTCATATTGCTTTGGAGAGAGCCTAGGATTCTTGGACCAGGTAGGTGCTGGTCAACAGCTTCGCACGCGTTCGGGTGGGCTTATTCAGACCAAAACAGGACGGATGGGAGCCTAATTTCAGAGTCGCCGCTGAGGCCATAATGTCTACGTCGTATCTGTTCCGCTTCTTCCCGGCTCTTCGGGTGCTTCCCGATGCTGCTCCTTATCTCGCAAAATACATTAGTGACTCCGTCGCACTCCTCATGCACGAGATGTATACGGTTATGCCCAAGCGTATCCTCCGGGCACGAGAGGAACTCAGCGCCGGCATAGTTCGAAAGCGACCTGTCGTTTGGTCAGATATTATACTAGACGAGAAACTACATGAGTCACAGAAGACCACAGTCCGATTATCTGGTGAGGGGTTTTCAATTACGGTCGCCGGAACAGAAACTACGGCAGTAAGTTGACATGGGGTCCACGAAGAAATAAACTGTGGTGTACGAAAGCAGGACTGACTTGAGCCACTAGTGGGTACTTACAGTCATCACCTTCTACGTACTATCTCAACCCGAAATCCAAGCCAGACTCACGGAGGAACTGAAGGGCGTCAACCCGAGCGACCTCAAATGGACCAGCCTTGAGAAGATCCCCTATTTGACTGCTGTGGTGCTAGAGGGCCTGCGACTGGCATATGGTATAGGAGCGAGGACCCCTAGGATCGCTCCAGACGAGGATCTCATCTACCGTGGTGAGATGAATGACCACACGTACGAGTATGTTATACCAAAGGGCACCGCAATTGGCATGTCGGCAGTGATCCTAAATCATAACGAGGACCTTTTCCCCAACTCAGAAGCTTTCATACCCGAGCGATGGCTGAATCAAGAACGACGACGGGAGATGGAGAGATCCTTGTTTTCGTTCAACCGGGGAAGCCGTCAGTGCGTGGGCATCAAGTGCGTAAACTTCATTCGTCTCGTTTGCATAACACCAACCCATTTGAATATGACGGTGACTAACAATTCGCTGTCTTCTAGTCTTGCATACTGCGAGCTCTATCTCGCGACAGCCGCTCTTTGTCTACGTGTATTCCCCCACATGCAGCTGTACCAAACATCTGAGGAGGACGTCAGATATGACCATGACAAAATCCTAGCTCAGCCGAGGAAAGGTAGCCAAGTGAGAGTTGTGATGAAATAAGCAATCACAACTACTTAGGATGCGAGACGTCTCTCATGACCCAAATAAACTGCCACATGGATGAAATCGTCTCATTTTCATATTGGGTGGTAGTATTGGAGAACTACCTATAATCGATAGAGTAGCATTAGAAAGCCAGATTTATTGCTGAATCCGTTGCGTTATTTCATCATACTTGCAGTCAACAACATTAACTTGCTGGATCATCGAACTGCGAGTCTGCTCAATATGTTTAGGTGGCTACACACCGCATCAATTGCGTTCAACCGTGTTTGGGTTCGTTGAGTCTTCGCTACGAACTCCGGGTAGTGTGACCCAAATTATCAGCCAACAAATGCGGTATTGTGACACCTCTAACAAACGGACCAGGAAAGGTGTCTTAGGACTAGCCAACGTGACAGTCATACCCATCAGTTCTATGACGATCAAAATCTATCGTCTTTACCAACTAGCTGCAGACCGAGGTCGACTTAGGGTACCCTTAGGTGAGAAGGTACGGCCAAGTACAGGGCTACAAAACCCCGCCCCCAAACCAGAAGTAACCATCATAAAAGAAAAAAAAACATCTTTTTTTTGGCCTTTATATAAATCTGGTCCCTTATTGTCGGATACTAGCGCAAAAGGGAACCATGGTTTATGGCCTGTGATTCAGCTGCAATATCAAGCATGATAAGCGCTATTCCCCATGTGTAGACCAACCCTTATTCAACGTGACCTCAGATTTCCGTTTGGCAGTACGGCTGAATTGAGCAAGGCTTCTACAGTGGTATCGGTACTACAGTAGGGCGGCTATGAGAGGTTCACATAACTCGAGAACTATATATAGTATTGTGGTTGATGCGGAGCTTACTCAGCAGTAAGCTACGCCACGGAGACTACTGCGTTATTTTTGTCATTCAGAGTTGGCAGTCAGGCTTTTATCTTGTCAGAACATTCTCGTATACTTTCGGCCATATTTCAGTCAAGACGACCAATTACTATGTAGGTGCAGAACCTCTTCTGGTCAGCTCCGAAGGCTGAATTACATTACATTCTATCTAGACTCAAGGCTACATGATCATCCTGGTCGCCGTTTGATGCACAGCAGTCACAATGTATTTAAACGCTCGTGCTTATAGTTTTTCTTCTATTTAACACACTCTATCAAGCTCCTAGATTCACAGCCTGCGACTGGAAAACTTTAGCCCACCATGCCGTTCAATGGGTTTGCTTCAGCATTTATAGAGCTCATCTGGGTCTTCTCAACCTACTTCTACATCATCACTAATCATACCCTCCGACGGCCCTTGCCCATTTTCAAGAAGACGTTCAAACCTTCACGCAACGGCTCTTTGCTCTTCCACCTCGCCATTCCCCTCTTCGAGGTCGTCCGATACCATGTACAGGCAGTCCATGGGACAGTTCGCTCAGACTTTTTTGATCTATTACTCTGTCTGGCGCACTCTTTCACGTGCTACCGGCTTACAAAAACCCGCAAATTTCCCCACCAACTCATCATGCGCCCAACTTTCCAAACTATCATCACGATTCGGGTTCTCACCGCGGTGATAGCCTTCACCAGTGCGAGTCCGTTCTGGCATCGGGCGACGATCCGGATCCTGAACGCCTTTGTCTATCCGAGACTTCTTGTCAAATCTCTTGGCGTGCTCGGCATATTGCCTAACTACTCATCGACATATACGGCATCGACCTTCGTGGCTTGTATTTTGGCTGTTCACGACACTGAGATACTGTTTGGGCCTCAAATCTTCATGGTAATGTTCGTGTGCAATGCCACGCTGAATCGTTGGGTCGCTGTGCAAATTTCGCAATCGTGAGTTTACCCATATTGCAACTCTGCGGCCCCGCCAATTGATAATTCATGGTGCCAGAGCTTCCAAAAGCCTGCGCTACGACGTGGCACAAGTACTTTCATCTGCTGGTTTTGCCAACTTGAAAATGGCGCAGCACGCATAGCCGTGATCTCTATGTCCAGGTGATAATGCCGGTAGTGGAGCTTCCGCGCAAGGGATGAATTCCCCCAGTCTCGAATGGCATAGCCCTTGCCGCCACGTACAACCTGCCTTGCATACTGTGGTTTGACGTGAATCTATAAAATATTAAATACGCCGTAGGTGTTAACCCTCGGTACCTCTACAAGTACTCCCTTAAGGGGCTATAGATGATATAGCGGGCCCTTAAGCCGCGTCGGGCGGTTATACAGGTAAACTTGTAGCCAAACGACTACTAAACCTCCTGTCCCTCCCTAAGTCTGTGCTACAACCCCTGCCTGAACTACCGATAAGCGTGGTAATGTGGCACTTAAATTCGTCCTCAGGGGTGGGATGCTGCTGATGTGCAGAAGATGCTCGACTATTTTTTTGTCGCGACAAGTCGTAGTATCTGCTAATTGGGGTTCTCGTCGAGCGTATACATCTCAACCATACGCTCAAGTGGATAGACCGTAACGTGGTCTAGACGCTCGCAAGAATCGCGGCGAGGGGGCGTGCTGCGCGCCTTCTATCGTGAGGGGACGGGTTCGCCGACGAGCGTTATCGGATAGGCGAGGTCCGATAAGGGGTCGGATTAACGATTCGAATTCTGGACCGGCTGTCGAGTTATATTCCGCCGACGTAGTGCTTGACGGTCGACTGGCTAGGATGCTCGTAATCCTAAACTGCACCAATCTCCCTATTATCGCTAGGTAGGCGAAGTCAACAAGGTGGGCAGCGCGCCGTAAGGGTTGACTAAACCCCCTTGTGTGTCAGCTGCGGGATTCGAACCCGCGACTCGTCACCAACCCAAGTGGGCGAGGCTCAAATCGGGACTTATCTACCAGCGAAGTGACCAACTACACCAGCCGACGAATCTATAAAGAAGTGCTTGGGCTAATCAGGTATTATCACTACATTTCATCAAGATCTGGAGGGGAAAGAATGATGGGTGATTGACTGCTGTCTTGTCTTTGTGAGAGCATGCATGGCGTCAACGAATATGGACCGTTTCCCGGGACTGGTTGCTTATCACATGCGTGTTCCAGGCTGGTTTTGACCATAGCGGTGAAATTGTGTTAGGATTCAAATGGATAGATTGCCGGAATGTTTCCTTCGAATGCTGCCAACGCTTGTCATAGTGAAATTAGGATCGTATGATAACGAAAGCACTCTGTATCCCTGCACCCGGGCCGACGTAGCTATCAGTCATGTCGAGACCAAACTTGCGGTTTAAAACGCTATAAACGAGGTGGGCTTTCACACACACACACACACACGCACACACGCACGAGCAATAGCTTCTCTTTGGCTTTACCTTATTCATTCGTGAGTAAGCTCATAATGTCTACAATCTTACTCAGCAGGTTATTACACGATGCTCTTGAAGTCCGCAAGCACACGCGTTCTTACACAGCCGATTTTTATTTGGCTTATACATAGTCCCAATCGTTAAGTGTAATATATTGTCAACTGCTGCTAGGACGATATATATCTAACTAGACGTTCTATATCTCTACCCTGTCGCGCTAGGACTTATTTGGATCTATTCGGGATAACGATTTATTTATTCTCAGCTTCGCCCTGCTTCACACCGCCCATGATCATGATACTTCCATTTAGCCGTGTTTACTATGACTGACATATCGCCGTACTCCGACTTTCCCCCATACGGCATAACCACCAAGACCGGGTAACATGTGTGTATTATTCATTAGCAGCCGGCCAGAAGAACCAAGAAACCACCACTAGTAACTTGAGCGCAGCTGCGATCCATAACACGCCTGCTGTTCCGACTGTACTGTGAGCCAACAAGCCGCCCATGACAGCCCCGAATAATAACAGAACAGGAGCTCCAACTCTGCGGTTCCTTTCTGCATTGTGCAAAACAAAGAGCTCCGCGTCAGAGAATAAGTCGCAGTAGATGCTGGTCAGCACCACGCTGGTAAGCGCATTGTACTTGAGCGCCCGGCTTGTGACAGCCTGGCCACAACTCTGGAAAGCGACCAGAGCAATAGGGATGAGGACATTCCAGCCAATGGAGTCCTTATCCGAGCCCGATTTGGGACCCCATGTGAGGATGGCAGCCGCGGTGACGATGAGGGACATCTGGATCAAGAAGGAGGCGCAGAGAACCCATCGTCGGCTGGCAGTGAAGTACCGGTGGAAGCGGCTGAAGCAGAAGGATCCCACGCAGAAGGAGATGAGAGAAATGCCCGATTTGATCGACCGTTTGGACTCATGGGGTGCAGCTAAACCGAGGCCAATGTAGACCGTGTTGCCTGGGTAAGAGTCAGCTCAGTTTTGACAGTAATTGACTTTGGGTAGTATATGCCGAACCTGTTTGCATGGATACGAAAGATCCCCAAGTAGAAATAGACGCGCTGTCGAGGAGGCCCGTGATAATATAACAGAGGACGAGGACCACATCTGCCCAGTCGCGATGGACATTCACCATCATCTTCTTCCGCCATCCTTTCTTCGACGCCGCCGGCTGCCCGAGCAGAGGTTGCTCCTCATTGCCGGCCCTATTGGCACGAGGTACATTGCCGGTTGGTACGGTGTTCATGGCACCATATCCATTTATTGATGCCATGATGCCACTGATAAAAGTGTGTTTGGCTGAGTTCTGCAATTTGCCCTGGGAGTAATCATATGCGGACGTCAGTATAAGGCTAAAGGCAGACTATCATATAAAATTTGCAGCAAACTGCTGTGCCGTCAGCCGTCAGGTAATGGCTAATGTTAAGAGAAGCCGAAAGCTCCGTACTGTGAGAGAAAGTTACCAGGGGTTCGAGATCTCTTTCTGAAGGCGAAGCTTTTGCGAAGTATCCCACCGATGATGGGCCGATGGGGCTTCGTCATCCTCTGTCTCTCTAGCACAAGAGCCGGAACCCCGCATTCGGTGACCCTGAGACTAACTACCCCCACACCAGCTCGCTATAACACCTAGGTTAGGTTCTAGTGTACAGTACCAGATTGGCCATAATTAGCATAGTATTCTCAACTGAAATCCGGCTTCCCGGCTCATATCTGGACTTGTCACTTTCGGCAGGTTGCCATAGGCTCGCACTCGTTGTGCCAAGTTGGATTCGCTGCAATCCTGCAGAATTTCAAGTTCCCCAATGCTATGTACCTGCGGAGCTGAACCTCAAAACACCCTCAATTCGGTTCCTCGTGCGGTGTTGTCACATACCCTGAGAAGCAAACACGTATCACATCACAGCTTCATGCTTTTAAGCCTGTTCAATCCTCTTCGCTTACGGGGAATGCTCGGTCTTCATTCGGCATATGAATACCGGGATGTTTCGGTGGCGAGGAAACAGAGACTGAGCAGGGCGGGGTTATATTCATCGTGAGCCTGTGATGCAAGACAGGGGGAAGGTGACGCCCGCGGATATCCCACCGCTTCCGATCCCAGGATGGAGCTCTGTTAGCTAACCTAGGTCCAGGTAGTGACACAACCCCAAAGACCTCAAGTTTTCATTTTTGAGCAAGCTCCCCAAGTTCATCAGTCTTAAGTCTCGTGTTGACATAAATACTCAACTGTTCCCAATATCGATCTGAAACCCCTATTGTTGGACGCCGTAAGAGCTGCAGCTTGAATTCTTGCTGAATATCTCCCGACTAAAACAATGCGGCTCCGGATCTCACTCCTGGTTGTAGGCGTCGCCCTGAGCGAGCTTGGGCTCGCCGTTCCAGTGCAAGACAGTCCGCGCCAGCGTCTGCTCGACGGTCTCGATCTGCCCGCAAAGTACCATAAGCAAAAAACTGCGCCGCCCTACACTCCAGGCCATAAGGACACCCTTGACAAGGCTATTGACACCGTCGGCGACAAGCTGGACCCGTTGCCCTATCGCAATGGCTTGGGCGCATCGGTCTTGGGGCCCTGGAACTGGGAGCGCTCCCGCCAAAGCCCCGACATGGTGCGGCCGCCCAGTACAGATCACGGTAACATGAAGAACATGCGCTGGAGCTTTGCCGATTCGCATGTTCGCATCGAGGTAAGCATACAATCCTCAATGTAATATCTTTCAACATTGCAGAGTTCCTCTTATACCAGAATAGGAGGGCGGATGGACACGACAGACGACGGTGCGCGAGCTGGGCTCCAGCGTCGAACTGGCCAGCGTCAACATGCGTCTCGACCAAGGTGTGATACGTGAGCTACATTGGCATAAAGAGGCTGAATGGGCTTATGTCCTTGACGGGGAGGTCCGCGTTACTGCCATTGACTATGAGGGCGGCAGTTTCTTCGACGATTTGAAGAAGGGTGACCTTTGGTACTTCCCTAGCGGCGTGCCCCACTCTCTTCAGGGGCTTGGTGAGAACGGGACTGAGTTCCTACTCGTCTTTGATGATGGTGCATTTTCGGAGGAATCCACTTTTATATTGACTGACTGGCTGGGTAAGCTCTTTCTCCTGTTGTATATCGGTTTACTGCGTACTAATGCATCATAGCACACACTCCCAAGTCGGTCATCTCCAAGAACTTCGACCTGGCCCCGGAGATCTTCGCCCACATCCCCGAAGGTGAGAAGTACATCTTTCAAGGCTCCAATCCAGGCTCCATCGACCAGGAGAAGCCCACTGGCAAGGGCGTTAAGAAGTCCAAGTACAACTTCACGCACCGTATGCTGGAACAGGAGCCTAAACACACGAGCGGCGGCCAGGTCCGCATCACCGACTCCAAAAACTTCCCCATCTCCAAGACTGTGGCAGCCGCCCACGCCATCATTGAACCGAACGCAATTCGTGAGATGCATTGGCATCCCCATGCCGACGAGTGGTCGTTCTTCATTCGTGGTCGTGCTCGCGTCACCATTTTTGCGTCTGAGGGCACTGCCCGGACGTTTGACTACATGCCCGGGGATGTGGGCATTGTGCCGAGGAACATGGGTCACTTTGTTGAAAATATCGGCGATGAGCCGGTGGAGATGCTTGAGGTGTTCCGTTCTGATGAATTCAGGGATTTCTCGCTGTTCCAGTGGATGGGAGAGACGCCTAAAAAAATGGTCATCGATCATTTATTTGCTGATGACCCCAAAAATGGCGAGATCTTCTGGGAGAAGGTTAAGAGCGCAGAGAAGGACGAGGTTACTATGCCTAGTGGCAGCGATAATTCAGATGAAGAGCATGGGGATGAGTTGTAGATGATCCTCGATTGTAACTTTGTGGGCTGTCTTGTGAATCGGGATGGATATTCTTGGTGCAGACACGAACTTATGGTCATTGCCCATTTCATATAGCACGGAAGAGTGAACGGAGACTTTGGGATGCTGTCAGATTCGTCTAATCTGATATATTGAAGAGCGATACTCAATATACAAACTGACGTCCATCGTGCAACTGCTCTCCATCGCACCCCGATGCACCAAATAGGCTTGTGAGTTATACACGTACTATATACTATAACGGCTCCTTGGTGGGCATTCTCGGTAAAGCCGGACAGCTCTGCGCACTGATAATGGATCGGATTTCTACGGCGCTATTAGTATCGCCTAGTGGCTTGCCATTCAACATCAAGACACCCACCAACAAAGCTTAGCTTGTCACGCTTAGTTCTGCTTGGTTTCCAACAAGTGGCAGGGTAAGCTTTGTGGGAAACCATGACCGCCAAGCGCGGCTTATAGATCGTCGTCCATTGGTCGATCATGGGGCCGACATATGCGTGCGCAAGTAGACGACGAAGAGATGAAAGTTGTGGGTAGATAATCACAGCAAGATAACAGAAAAGCGCGTCTCTGATAACCAGGTGGTGCATATGTCTCATCTGAATAGGGGGTCTGGACTGTTCCAACAGGAACGTTCCCGTCTTGTATTTGGTGCATAGATACCCGGGTGTGCTTAAGACAGATGCAATGGTTGTCCGACCTGCAGCAGACATTCTGCCGCTGCTTTTAGAGTTTTAGAACCGATGCCATTGTTACCATGGCGGGTAGGGCTGGCTCAATTGGTGCGATAATCGGCCCTCAGACCATGGCATCGTATTCGGAAAGTGGTAGGTGTGCTATTTTGGAAAATTTGACATGTCCATAATGTTCATAAAGGATTAGTTTAGTTTTCCCAAGGAAAAACTGGTTTGATATTTGCTGAGATGGCGAGAAAAGCCCGAGCCCCAAGTCAGGCGTTATGTGGTGAGGAGTATAGCGACTGGTTTGTCGTCACTCTAGTCGAATTAGCCATGGTCTTGAAAACTATGACATTTATGAGAAAGATCATCAATGGGCTTAAATCTTCAAGTCTGTAGATGTGTTCAAAAATTCTCTTATCTCTCCTTGTTATTCATTGAAGGGGAATATATTAATGAAACAGGATTGGCGTCATAAGCGTCGTAGCAGTATTTGCTGGTCCGTTTCCAGAACTCGTGACAGTTGGTTACATCAGTCCACATTTGTAGCACTCAAGATTGCCATCGTGTTGTTTCTCCAAGCTTCGAAGCTATTGTATCTGTTCCTGGTTACCTTACTCAGTCTTCTCTGTAGTAACAGCTTCCAGCACATTCCCGTCCCTGTCCAGGATTGCTCTCTCCATAGAAGGATAGACAGCGTCATCACCCTCTTCCCGCCTACCATCCAGGTCACTCAGATTCCACTGTGCCCTGGAAAACCGCTCACGTACACTCGCCTTCATGCCCACGATGCGGAATTGTACCCCTTTTCCCGAGTAGAGACGGATGTCCTCCTTCAACTCACCCAGTGCAAGGATGCCAGTCATATCTATGAACGGGACCATGGTGAAATCCCAGACTACAGTAGAAAGTGGAACATCCTTGATAGTGATGCTTTGCTGCTTACGCAGTTTTTCAATGCGCTGCTCACTGGCCACGCTCCAGGACCGCTCCCGCTCTTCCACGATCTCGTGGCGGCCGGCTTTCTCGTAGACGAGCTGGATGTCTTGAAGAGCGGTTCGCTTGCCGCGGTAGGCATTGGGGTAGAATATTGAGTCGTTGAAATGGAAGACAACCGTGTCTCCTGGAATATATATCCCGGCGTGTTCGGTGCGAGTGGCAGTAGGGCTGTACTTGTGAGTAGCAGGCTGTGGGAGCGAGACGTCTTCGTCGACGCTGGTGCGGAATTCTGGTGTGACAAAGGCCGATCGGAGCATGGTCCAGGCTACACTCCATGCCGCAGCAACTCCGATTCCGATTTCTGCCGACACAAAGATCGTGATCCAGAATGAAAGCATAGAGGCGATGAAGTCGGCCAGAGACACGCGCCAGTACCGATAGAAAGCCGAAACTGGACCGAAGAGGTGTAAAACTGCCATGATGATAATTGCAGAAAGAGTTGTCTTGGGAATCCAGTAGAGAGCCGGTGAAAATACGAACAGTGTCAGTAGAATCCATGCAGCGGTGACGAGACCGTTCAGGGGACTCTTGACTCGGCACTCGGAGTTGATGGCTGTGCGAGACATGGCACCACCGACTGCCATAGCACCAAAGAAGGAGTTCACCAAGTTTGTAATGCCGAGATAGTTGAGCTCCTGGCTTTGATCTATGGTGTAGCCATTGCGGCGACCAAAAGCCTTCCCGACAGCGAGATGCTCCAGGGTGCAAGCCACGAGCGGAGCTACGGCACGTGTTGCAACTTTCGCGATCAAACTAGGATCATGAGCCTTCGGAGGAATGACGCCATGTGCTTCGACCTTGCTGATGGCCCAGAGGAGATCATCTCGGTCTTTGTTGACGAGGTAGCTGATAAGGGTGAAGATGAACAGCACAATGACAGCTCGACTGCTGGAGATGTACTTGATAGAGAAGTGGTGCTTGCCCCATTTCTTTCCCATCTTCTCCAGGGCAATCAGAATGAGAATGGTGCCGATGCCAATACCGCACGTTGGTCCATCCCAGTCTGGTAGCCGTTTCAGGACGTCGCCGATAATGTCAAAGACTCCGTCAGGGGTATCGCTCAGGCCGACAAGGCTGCCGACTTGGCCAAACCCGATGGTGAGGGCCGTTGCTGAGATGAATCCAGTGAGCACGGGGACAGAGACGTAGTCGAGAATGAAGCCGAGACCGAGCACACCCAAAGCTAGGGAGTAAACCCCGACCATGAAAGCAACGGCGCTGGCAATGGCTGCTGCATCGTATTCATTTGAGTAACTGTCAACGATTTGTGCAGTGAGGAGACCCAGAATGGATGTAGGTCCCGTTGAGAGGTCTATGTCGATAGTAATTCAGTAGGCGTCTCGTGGATGAGGAAGAACATTGGGCAATATGAATTACTCACCCTTAGAAGTCCCCATGAACACATATACAGCAGCAGGAAGCCAACTCGAGTAGAGGCCATGCGCAATCGGAATGGTGGCGATCTTCGCGTAGGCCAAGCCTTGCGGGATGAGCATCACGCCGATGGTGAGCCCAGCAATGCAGTCTTGAAGCAGCCATGACCGGTGGTAGCGAGGAAGCCACTGTATAATGGGCAGTTTGTCGAAGAGGTATTGCCTCGTGGCAGATGACAGTCTCGGCCCACCTTGGATGACAAAATTCCTCACTCGGTTGGTGGTTGTGTCCGTTTGCACCATCTCTTTGATGGCATCAGCCTTCTCGCCCACGGCAAACTTGGCCATGGTGACACTTCAGTAGGGAGTATTCCAGTGGATTGAGTAAACTCAAACACCACAGCTGATCGCGGATAAACAGACTTGATATCGATGAAGCAGGAGTCGAAGTTAGGTCCGCTGCCTGCAGATGTCCCACGATAGTGTGACATACAGCCCGAAACTCAATCTGCCAAGATTCTTATACAAACTTCGCCTCTTGCACACAGCCTACCACCCAGACTAGGACGAGGATGCTACATCTTCCTAGAAGCAAAAACAACCTTAGCTTCACATCACCCAAAAGCGTACTAGCTGCCGCCGTCATTACATTGTCACCCCCCTTCGGTGCATTCTCGCAATCTCTCGGAATCAGCGGCAGACCTCGAATAGAACAAAGTTACATGGCATGTCGTCGATCGTTGGGATACGACGCGTGAGATGCACATGGACGAGTTGGCTCACCAGAAGCTAGCCATTCATGCGCTGCCAATTTATGTGTGACCATGCACGTAACCGATGAAGAATCACGGACTAGCAGACTCGGTTCGTCGTCAAATTGGTCTAGATGGTAGCAATTGTTCCTGTTGACGACTTGGATTACATGCAGGGCGTTTCAGATGACGACTACGGAGAGCGGGGTTTTAAGGCGGAGCACGCATGCAAGTTATGGACGTTAAGTTGAGGTGAAGTGTGTGCGGAGGGTGAACTTACGGCTCACTTGGGTTGACTTCCCCATAATACTGCGTCGTCCCTCTATACGCTAGACAAGGGTGCAAGCAAATTAGGTACCCTATAGTCAACAAGGGTAGTGCTTCCGCTTACGGGTACACCTGATCGTATAGTGATGTCTGCTTTGCGAAAGAAACGGGTTGGGATGACCAGGAGAACTGAAAGTGTGCAAGTGCAAATGTGTGTGTGCTGGGGTCGGACTTGCTAGCGCCTCGGGGGATAACGCAGGTTTTTGGGGTTATCGACCAAGGTGCACCGGAAACTCAGGCATGGCTAGCGAACCTACAGGTGAACTGCATTCCATTGGCTCGATGAGTAAATGTTGTACCCTATGACTTCGGTTCAGCTCTCCGCATGGGGCGATGATGTGCAATGGCAATTATTACAAACTCGCTAGAATGCTATTGGGCGTGGACTCCAAACTCCATGCCTTGCTCAATGCTTTTCCTGGTTTCTGCACAATTAGCGTGATGTCCCAAGGCCAATAACTGTCCCTTAGCTCCTTCTCCAAAGAAACTAAATTCAGAATTTCGTCTGGCGCTCTGCTCTTGTCTAATTAGTTTGATGCATATAAGTGAATATAAGTGCGCCAAGCCGTCACTGGCTTACTCGGGTTCACCTTCTCCGGCTAGGATAGCTCCCACGTGGGGGCCACATAACAACCGCTGTACGCAGCATCTGAATCCATGTCACTTGTTCCTCCGACAAGAACACCAGGGGCACGGCATGCATGATTGCCGTCCGAACATTTTGTAAAAGTGGTCCTGACATGCATACACCACGAATGATGACGTGTGGCCAGTTTTGCGAAGGGGGTTTCCCGGTTCAGTCCCGGCAATACCAGAGGAAGCTCTCACATGTGAGATAAGGGGCTAAAGACGTTTTCCGCGATTGACCGAGAATTACGGTTGCACTATAATCTACTACGCGCTGAGCGAGACATACTAAAACGTGGAGCCGCAACCTCATCACTACAATAGCATGTGGTATTGGTGAACCAGCAACCGGCACTTTGCTGACACATCGGCATATTTATCCTATTACCACTGGGGAGGGGTTCATTTAGATAGGGTAGCATTGATAGGTGCGGAGTGCACGGCTATACGTGGATATATAATCGCAGTACTCAAGTGTAAGTTCCAAGCGTATTACACATGTCATGTATGCGTTTGTTAATTGGAAGCATCTCAATGATCGTTCCCTTAAATGTATACAAACTTAGTATAGTGGTGGACGTTTCGATTAGAGTCATGTGATTCAGGCTGTATGCAATGCTGCTAGAACGATCTACGACATCAGAAAGCCAAGAACGCGGCTCTCGTGTTAACTGTCCACATCTTGGCGTCCTCTGCTCCACACTTGGCATCTCCAACGACTTTAGTGTAACATCGGGCAGAGCCATCATGGCCTATAGAAATGAAGGGATTACAGTTCAGTAGCGGTTTAACTTAAGCTGCTTACAATGTGCAATCGGCGTCGTGCTAAACCTGGGGGGACGTGTTGGTTCTCGAGCAGTATAAATGCATTCATAAGGAGCAATGGCGCCGCGACCACGATGCCAAGAACCATTCAATTCCGTGGATATTGATCATCGTGGTCCATGCGCCTCGAAAGAAGATCAACTGGAGGCTCAGTGATACAAGAATCACGAGCTACTTCGATATTTTGTGGTGCATATTTATGAGCAGTTCAACGGTGCCTCCCTTCAATAAACTCATCATCTGGATAATGGAAGAGACTCAGATGCTTCGTCTGACGTCTATTCAATCGTTCACGAGTTGATTTACCAACGTGCGTGTGGACTGATCCACGGCTTCACAAGTCCATCGGCCCGGATATGCGGGTGGGCTTTAGCAATGGGAATAGGTGACCGCTCTCTTCGACTTAGGATATGACTTAAAACAGCCTTTGTATGAACGGCTAGGCCTCAAGGAAATTGTACAGAGTGAAGGGGGGTAACGGGCGTCCCTACTGGCTATCACCAGGTGGTCACTGGTGATCTCAGATAGGGGTGCAGGGTGGTTCATTGATCTCTAACCTTCCTCCTATCTCCCTCCAAGATACCTTCCTTACATAGATAACCAGAGCCCGTATTCGGAGTAGTAGAGCCCGCATATTGGAACAGCAGAGCCCCAGTTCCTCCGGTTCCCCAGTATACCAAGACTTCTATATTTGATACGTGACCCCATGGGGGTTTACCCTATAGCTATAGATAAGATAGATAAGAGCTATAAAAGAGCTCTGCCAGGCCAGAATAGCTGACCTGGCCATCCTTTCCCAATACAACAATTCACACCCTATATGCACTTGCATCAATATTACTCCATGATTCATTGGCCCCTATGCTGGTGCCCTACCGGAAAGCCACCAGTTTCTTGCACTCGGCACTTTGACAGCCTTCCTGTGTCTGTTTATGCATGCCCCTTGGACTAATCGTAGCTAGATGGGTAGCAGATGGATCTTGTTGGACCTTCAAGGCTACTCCGTCAAGACTGCCAAGTCAAAAGGAGAAAAGTAAAGCCGCAAACCGTACGAAGTATGGGTCAATATGACCTCTACCCATTGAACCACACAAGTCCTGGCTGTGGGGCAGGCATCAGTTATTTCTACCTATATAAGGCCCCTATGGCCGCCCTTCACTTCTCTCAGGACTCTCCAGAGATCATGACACTTTCAATACAAGACTATTTGCCCACAATCCAATAGATCTGTCATGGACTTATAGTAGTATCGTCATGAAGGCTCATGTGTACTAGGTAGCCTTATGGAATATGAATGTATTCCCGCAGTCAAAGGTTTTTGGATTGTCTTTTGGGCGCATGGATCATGAGAATTACATGACATTCGTCACACTCACTCCTAGGATGTCAGAGAACTGGATGCTACAGGCACCGGTGGGACACCGGTGGGGCTCCGGTGTAGGGACGTGCGAGTCATGACCTAATATGGAAGTCTTGGTACACGGAACAATCGGAGGAACTAGTGCTCTACGGCTTCGATATGGGGGATCTGTGGCTCTGACTCCGGTTTCTAGCTATCTATGTAAGGGGAAGGTGTCCGGGAAGAAGGTAGAGAGGGTAGAGATCAATGAACCATCGTGGGCACCCCTACCTGAGACTACCGTGACCGCCAGTGACCACCCGGTGCTACGTAGGAGGGACGCCCATCACTCCCCTTCACTCTGTAATATTGCCTTGCGGCCTAGCCGTACCCTGACATAGGAGTTTTAGTGCTCACAGACTTTGCTACTAGTTGATTACCGTTAAACAAGGGACTTTTTCATATTCTGAGCCTCCCGTATATGTAGACCAAGACTACGAGTGAACACCACGACACTGTTTTAGAAATTGCTTCATCTTCGGATCCAGGTAAGGAGTGACGCGTTGTCACCATGACCATTGCGTGGGTAATTGACTTGAACCGGCACACAGTCGACCGTTTATGTCTGACTGTATGTGCTTGAGAAAGAAGGGGACAGATACCATCATTTCTTTATATGTTATATGCCTTCGTCTACTTACCAAGAAAACTTAACAGAACACGATGAGCAAATTTGTCGACAGCATCACTCGATGCCTGTTACAATTTGCCAATCACATTCCATTACGGAGTATTATGCGATTTTTTAACCAGTGTGTCTTTTTTGCCACAATCTAGATCCTAAGAATTGTGCTTGATAATTCCTTGCGAATGAACACTTTTGACATAATTGTAGATATATATAGTCAAGGGCAAGTTTGTATTTACAAGCGCCGATAAGATTAAATGCCATTTTATAAAGCGGAAGAACGACGCAGAAAATAATTTCAGAAACTTGACTCTGATCGCAACTGTATATGTGGTATTGCATGTGGTGGTGCAACAATTAGTACTTGGTAGGGCCTAGTGTCTAAACGTGGTGTTTCGAGGAGTGCAGCCGCGCGTTTGCTGTATACGGTAAGGAACTCGTCACGTAAAACCTAAATTCTCTCAAATTCATGTCTAGAAAAGCTTGGTTTTATTTCAATCCAACATCAACTTTACTTCGTCACTAGTTTCGATCTATAAAACTTGGTTCGACCCTGTGTGGGGTTGAATGCAGCAATAATAACAACACCAAACTCCGTACCATTCCTCGCCCATAACGATAACAACAGAAATCTGACATTGGCTCACCAACTCACTTTAAACCCTAAGCTTCTCCCGAACCTCAGCATACCCTGACAGAATTTGCGCCGCGCGCTTCTCACTTCTTGGAGCAAAGTCCATCGGGAAAGGCAGCGGCTCCAAGATGACATGAGCATTAGTCGCCTCGCTGTCGAAGTCGACGTCCTTCCCAGTGACCGGGCACTTCTTCTTGGTCATATTGAAGGCCCACAAAACGCTGGCACCGGTGACGAACATCTCATCGTCGACGATGTGCTGGCCCAGACAAGTGCGGCGGCCCCAGCCGAAGGTGTGCATGCCCTTGCCCTCGCGGAAGTTGGGGTAGCGAGTCAGAGGCTCTTGGTATGATGGCCAGGTGGGCTCGAGGTAGCGTTCGGGATGGTAGTTCTCTGGGTCTGGGTACTTCTCGGGCACGCGGTTGATACTCCTGTTAAGGGGTGGTTAGTGGGGATAATGGGGTTGAATTTGGCGATACGCGACTGACCATTCACAAGCGAGGATGATGGTTCCTTTGGTAATCTTCTCTCCCATGAATTCATCGTCCCTCTCGGCTTGGTGAGGGACGCCTGCGACTTGTTAGCGGCCTAGTCACATCGGGGAGGGATGATTGGATGACGTACCTAGGGGGACACCGGACCGCCAGCGGAGAGTCTCCTTCAAGCAGGCCCTGACAGTGGGAAGGTCGGCAAAGTCTGCCACAGTCGGCATACGATCACCACAGACTCTGTCGATCTCCTCTTGGGCCTTCTTCTGCCACTCGGGGTGTAACGTCATGGCCATGAGGAAGAATTGCAGCGGCCCACAGATGGTGATGACGCCGACGAGGTTCTGGAAACCCAGCATACAGCTCGCGAATTCCTCCTCTTTGGCATCCTGTTCCAGATCCATGTTACCTTGCTTTTGCAGCCCGGCGAAATATCTATATGACCACGTATCCGCAGGGAGTTCGCCACGGAGGTATCGCGCCTTGGAAATTTGGAAAGAGCTCAGCCACCAGGCACGTTGGTTGTCCTCGCGTGCTCGTTCGAACTTCTTCCAGGGGTTCAGGGCCCAGGGTATGGACCACAGGGGGGTCATGGTATTGACGATGGGGCCCGACACGGACATCTGTCCCAAGGTGCAGTCGGCGCTATCTCCGTTTGCCTTGCCCTGGCTCGCGTCGTCCCAGGCCAGGCGGCTCATGATGCGGCCGCAGTGCTCGCGCGTGTTGGCGTGGAATTTAGCAGGGTCGAGCATCAAGACAGTCAAATACCGGCGTACTTCGGTTTCAATAATGCCGTAGAAGTGTTGTCGGTGCGATTCGGCCATGGCGGCGTGTACCCATTTGCGCTGTCGAGTCCAGATATCTTTTGGTTCAACTTGTTAGTTTCAAATCACACCACAACGATGTTGGTGGGATAGGCTTTGACGCACCATGCCGATCCATCAGGGCAACGTACCCCGGCCCCGTCTTGTGATCAAACAACGCTCTAATCTGCGGACGACCCGAGTAGATGTGGCCCCTCTTTACAAGCAGCTCCTGCGCGATATCCTCATCCGATATGACGATGAACTGCTGTCCTAACATGCTAGTCCGATATATGGGGCCATGGATATCGGCCCACTGCTTGAACGTCTTCCACATGCAAAACCGGTTGAGGTCGTGGACGCGGCCGACGACGGGAAACTGCCTCGGTCCTGGAATGTTGCGCTTCGACGACATGCTACTCTTCCTCCACGATAGGATCTGGCCTATGGCGGAGAAGAGCAGGCTTGGCACTGCCAAGTACAGTATGAGGATCATAACGTTCTCCATCGTGTGGTAGTGACGAGCGAATGTGTGACGGAAATGGTTGAGACGATAGAGGAGAACGAGAGACGTGGAGGATACCCAGGCTTGTGGGTGTATCCCTTTCAAGTACCTACATGATGATCATAATTGTCCGACCCGGATCAGAAGCATCGATGCGTCTGCAGGTCAAACATCGGCCGGGGACCGAGCGACTAATTTGGGACGTGGTCATCACCCTGTTTGGCTTTCCTGCCAATATTGTCGAGTTTGGGTTAGAGATTCTCGTCGGACATCCACCGTGACTGGGCTGAGATGGCCGGTGCTAGGAGGTTGTGGGTAAGAGGAGGCGCCGGAGAAAAAGATAAGAGGCAGCATGCGACCGGCAGGACATCGATATTGTTGTCAGCTGAATTGCGCCAGTCATCATACGAGGACATCAGTGTCAATGAGACGGATCTCATATTATCATCCCCAACGGCCTGCCGATCGACGGCTGGGGTACTAAATAGGGGATGGTGACGACGCAGAGAAATCCAGGCGTTGGTAAGGAATATTTTGGATACGGAGATCTACCCGCGGCATACAATGTTGCATACTGATTCGCGACGACCATGGCTGTGCCGTAATGAGCGATTCTGTATTTTCCCCCCGTTTGATTTACTCTTGGTCTCTGGGGGCGAGTATACAAAATACTTGCTTCCGGGTCTGCTTGTTTTTAAACCCCAAAATGTACTCTGCGATCCATAGCCTTCTGGAGAGTAAGGACAGAGGTCCAACAAATGTGCTCTTGATATTCGGCAAGGCAAAGTCAACAATGCTGACTAGACCGGTCGTTGTTCTGCATCGAGTTGCATGCATTCTCCACTATTATTACCTGTCATACAGGTTATGCTGCATGTCGGGGAACTTTTACCTATTGGACGTCGCACCGCACCTGCGCCGTGGGGATGTCCGGTCTTGGGCCATACACGGGAGTTATGGTGACATTGCAATTTCATATCCATGGTACAATCATGAAGCACCCCGATTAATAGTTCCTTCATTGGAATCAACATTGCCAAAAGAAAACATTATTATATAGTTGTGCAGTTGGAAGGGCAAGAGAAGGTTCTATGCGAGTTTGGCATGTCGCATCCCTGTACCCTGGCAAACCAGAGCTGGGTAAGGGCTTCTAGACACGGGTCGGATAACAGCGCCTTAGATTGAGAGAGAATGTGTATTGGGTCAACTTCGTTCCTGTCGTACAGCGTCGTACTTAGGTCCGGAGCTGAAGAGTAAGACGGACGACCCACCGGCATGGATGGTGGAGATTCAAAGGATTCAATTCTGATGATGCCAGTCATTAGCAACCACATTTTGACAACACATTGCTACCTGGAGATGGACGAATGGGAATACACGGACTCGGCCGATAGGTCATGATTGAGGCTGAATCCACTGAAATGGCGCTTTCATGGCCGGCAGAGATCACCATATCATTACGGTAGAACTAACCAGTCACAACACGGCCTTGTACCTGTCGCTTTCAAGTTGGTGGTCCAATTATGGGCTGCTGATGTTGTATAATGCTTCCCTCCTCCTCAATTCCGGTTTCGTGCAGTGTGTGTAGACCTGTCGCTGGCACATGTCAGCACAGCAGCTCCTCTCGGGACCGGACGTGTTTTCCTCAGCCGAAACTGCACCCTTTTCCAGAGATCTGCAACCCAGACCATGGCAAAATTATCGCGGAGTTGAATGAGACTATCAGGTGGGCAATGAGCGCCATTTCCCATTTAAGGCTGTGCTGCATGTTCCTTCCCAAAGTCGATGCTGAGTAAGTAAATGTAGCTCAGCCACCACTCAACTGGAAGCGGCAATTATAAAATCCATTCTAACTATAAAGTCTTGTTCGCCTCATCAACGAACTCGTTGCTCTCTTCATACAAGCCACAGCCGGCAGGCTGTTGGCTGCCCCGAGACATACATAATCTAGTCTCAGCCACTTAAGGCTAGTGGCTACGTCAACACAACGTCGGAAATGGTGAGCCAGTGGAGTCTCATTCCCAGGCCATTGGTCCTTCGAAACAGACCTCGCCCTAAGATCTTAATAGTGCTCTGATGGCAAGTGGATTAGCTATGAATTAATGAGCGAAGGGTATAAAGGCGGTAATACAAGAGGTAGCCTTACTCTAGTTGGAGAATAAGCGACTTTAAAGGTAAATAAAGAGCTTGGTAAGTGTCGGAGGGCTATAAAGACATGTTAGGCTTGAAGAAGCTCTTATAGTTGCCGAAGGAGAAATTTTAATTAATTAAGAAGATATAGAGATACGAATAGGGTAAGAAACGTAGTAGTAGGGTAGTCGTGTAAATATGACCAAACCGCGTGCACACCACTCTAGTAACTATATAAATACCTATTATAATTGATGCGGAAGCATATGGGGTGTGAATAGTTGTATATAGGATGCCCTAGCACAAACATCTGCTTGATGAAAGCTATCTTCATCTGCAGAGTAAGCTCCATGATCTTCCCCGTTGAAACAGTGCCGGCAGAGACGTTGAAGCCAATATATATTGAATTGTCGAAAATAGATATGTACACGACAGTTTTGTTGCCGCCAGTCAAGTTACGAGCATGGTGTTGGAAGCGGAATTCTACACTGTCGCCGATAGGAGTGCCTCTCAAAAGCCTTTGTGGTCAAGGCTCAGCCATTCAAACAACACACGGCCAGTCTCGATACCAATTTCTATTTCAAAAATTATCAATGGGGTTCTTGTCAGAGTTACCACTGATAGCATACCGTGAACGTCGTAATCAAGGATCCATGTCTAATCGTCGGCGACACCATAAAGCTTAATGTCTGCCTTTCGAGGGTTGGAATTTCTAACCAGTGTTTTCTTCTCATCCATAATGAGAAACTTGTGTAAATTGGACAGAAGGTGTGCGCTAGAGCGTACTTGGCCAACAGCTTGGTAGTGGTGGTCTAGCAGTGTATAGTGACTATGAACATGCCCCTTGTGTGTATTCAAGGACCCGTCGTAGGCAAACAGAATGTGGCCATCCAACCTCGCTGGCTGGAAATTGGCCACTGCCCCGGTGAAGTAGGTAAACCCGGACCAGACTAAATCTCCACTGCTGCCGGATATATATGGCGCTGGCTGGGAGAGCTCCTAGTCCCTTTTGTTGGAGAAGCTGTACGGAGCCACGAAGATGTAACCAGCTTCGACATTCGCAATCAAGGCGTGCTGGTGCATCGTCACAGATTGCGGTGCACTTGTGGTTCCCTGGGTTTTGGCTGTCAGTTGGAGGTGACTGTGATTAGCCTAGTGTAGGCGGCGGCCCAGTATTTTGCCCCGCGACGACGCAATCAACGGAGACGATGACGAGAAAGGACAGAAAAAGCAGTACGAAGCCATGTAATAGTCCATTCTGATTTAGACTCAGCATGCCATACTGTTCGATTTCGAGCACGCCATTTCTCGTCTCCTTTCGTTATCAGATGCCTGTCAAGATCGATAACCCCGCATAGTTCCCACACGTGTCCTTGCTCCACCACTCACCGGTGAAACTTGAACGGTTACATGCAGGAGGCGTTTTTGACGTTCACAATTCTCAACCGCCATCTAGATCTAGAGCGTTTAATCTAGGCTTGAGTTGTCGTTGAACCTTTGTGGCGTGTCTTCTGTTTCGATTGGCATCATGTTAGCATTGGGCCTCGCTGCCGTATTGTCAGTACTGGCCACTCAAGTCGCAGCCAATACTTTCCCGCAAAACCAGGTCCCTCTAACTGGCAACACACAACATGACGAGTCGACAACGGCCGAGCAGCCAAATATTGTCTTCATCCTGACTGATGACCAGGATCTACAGATGCAATCAATGGACTATCTTCCCTTAATCAAGAAACACCTTCGGGATCAAGGCACTTTTTACAAGCGGCATTTCTGCACCACGGCTTTGTGTTGCCCCTCAAGAGTTTCCCTTTGGACGGGCAAGGCAGCTCACAATACGAATGTCACCGATGTCAATCCTCCATATGGTCAGTGGGAACTTTCATAATTTCTTTGCGTGTACCAGATGCATCCGGTATTGACAAGACTATCAGGTGGTTATCCAAAGTTCGTTAGCCAGGGCCTAAATGAGAATTATCTACCAATATGGCTTCAAGATGCAGGCTATAACACATACTGTAAGTATGGACTTCAAATGACAAGTATAAGATTTCTGACTACATTGTGGCAGATACTGGCAAGATGTTCAATGCTCATACGGTTGAGAACTACAACTCACCACATGTCGCCGGCTGGACCGGCTCGGTAAGTCCCTAACAGCGACCAACTGCGTTTTTCGAGAATCCAACTCATTTTCTGCAGGATTTCCTCTTAGACCCCTACACTTACTCTTACCTCAATAGCACCTATCAGCGAAACCATGAGGCGCCAGTCAGTCATGAAGGCGAATACTCTGTTGATGTACTTGCCGAGAAGGCCTATGGCTTCCTCGATGATGCAGTGTCCGCCGGACGACCATTCTTCCTAGCACTTGCCCCAGTCGCACCCCACAGCAACCTCAATGTCTCCCTTGTCAACGGCTTTGCCGAACTTGGTACGGCCATATTCTCTGCTCCTATCTACGCAGAGCGCCACGCACACCTCTTCAAGGATGTCAAAGTCCCACGGCCGGACAACTTTAACCCGGATCGGCCGTCCGGTTCCAATTGGGTAAAGAAACTGCCCAAGTTGAGCGAAGAGATCGTCGACTAAACGATGAGTTCTATCGAGCGCGACTCCGAGCACTGCAGTCCGTTGATGAACTTGTCGATGGGGTCGTCTCTCGCCTCGCGGACTATGGCATCCTAGATAATACTTACATCATTTACACATCTGACAATGGATTCCACATTGGCCAACATCGGCTCCGACCTGGAAAGGAATGCGGGTTTGAGGAAGATATCAACGTCCCGTTGATCATACGTGGACCTGGGGTCCCTCAAGATTTCGTGACAGATATTGTAGTAAGTCACCACGAGAGAACATGTTGTGCAGTGCAACAACTAATTCCATAGCCTAGACCACTCACACCGACTTGGCACCGACCATTCTCGACCTCGTCGGACGAAAAGTACCAGAGACTGCTCATCTTGATGGTGAAGCCATTCCATTGACAATATCGGGAATATCAGACGCCACGAAGACGCGACACGAGCACGTCAACGTTGAGTATTGGGGATTCGCGATTGCAGAGGGGCGAAAATTTCCAGGGCACGAGAACCGATGGTGGAATAATACTTACAAAGCGTTGCGAATCGTCAGTGATTCGTGGAACCTTTACTACTCGGTGTGGTGTACAAACGAGCACGAACTCTACGACCTCAATGTAAGGAATTGTACCCCTAGTCATGGAAACTCCTAATCTCATGCTTTGTCCAATAGACCGATCCTGGGCAGTTAATCAATCTGCTATCCCACGATGAGCAGTCCACAGCCGCGCCAACATATATCCAGGGCTACTCGCTTGAGAAAGTCGCGGCGCGTCTGGACTCTGTGCTCTTCGTTCTCAAGTCATGTAAAGAGGAGACGTGTGTCCACCCTTGGCGAGCCTTACATCCTGCAGGGAACGTGGAGAACTTGATGGATGCGCTATCCTCGCGATATGACCAGTTCTACATGCAACAGCAAGCACGGATTGAGTTCGATCGATGTGAGAATGGATATATCGTGGACGCGGAAGGACCGCAGTTTGAGAAGGATGGTTTGGTTGATAGACATGGGCTGTCATGGTCTGAATGGGCGTAAGAGGTAATTCTTGCTCCAGATCTTGCGTCGTTTCAAGCAATGAGGCTTTTTGCGAAGACCACCAGCCACATGGGCACTTGGCTGCAAACCTTTCTTGGAAGAACAAAAGGAACTACAACAGAATACGACCCATTTTACCCATATGAAGATGCGTCACTGATCAACAGCTATTTATTATTATTATTAAATACGCCGTAGGCTCGAAGCCCCCGGTACCTCTACTAGTACTCCCGTATGTCAAACCGTGCCCTAATGGCTGGACTAAATACATACGCTGCGTCGTCGGTTCGCCCTATTGGCGACTGCGTTGCGTTCACTACCATACTACGTTGGTTCTCAACCTACCAACAAAGTCCCCCCTGAGAAGATCGATGCTATCTGGGCCTTGAAGCTGTCCGACCCGTCCCTAGCAGCCATCTTACAATAGTCCCACTAACTACTGGTTCTCCTGTTGCCGTTGCGAGGTCTCTGCGAGAGTATAGTGGCCGTGGTGCGATGGCGGCCCGTAATCGTTCCCTCGGTCCTTCCAACAGCCCGCAAAAGAGGATTACGTGCTCTGCCGTCTCAGGGGCATCGCCACAGCGGCATAGCGGCGAGTACACGCCAAAAGCCCCTGTCTTGAATAAGAAGGCTGCTAGTCCTATTTTTTCCGTCCTGATCTGGCACAGCGTAGACGCCTCCAGTCGGTTCAGGCCGAAATACTTGCCCCCTTTCGGTATCTGCATCGAAGGGCCCTCCGGTTCCTCAGCGATAGCGCGTCGCTGGCGATCGTGATGCTCTGCTCCGGTGAGCCATCTCTTCCTCCAGTGGTCGAGGAGGGCAGCCGGGACCTCCTTTTCCTCACTCATCCATTCGGAGCCCCGGGCCTCCTTCTCCATAGTGTACCCTGCCGGTCGGAGTAGCTGCGACGCCTGCTTCCTCTTCGCCGGCCTATCCTGCCGGAGTATATGTGACGCTTTAGCGCTCGCGCTGCGAAGCAGATTTCTCTTCCCGCTAAGCCGTAGCCGTTCTTCAAACTTAGCAGCCCGGGCACTAAGATAGAGGTCTAGTGGCGGGATTGCTGCTTCTGCTTCCAGGTGGCGAACCGGCGTCGCTTTGTGGGCACCACAGACTACCCGGAGGCACTCGTTCTGTATCCCCATCAGGCTCTTAGCTGGCCCTGCCGGTTCCTCACTTATAGTATGCCACGCAGTCGCCCCGAAGGCAATCGCGCTACGGATAACCACCGTATATAACAGCCTCGCCCGTATAAGATCGCAGCCCCACGACATATTGACTAGCTTTGTCAGGGCTAGCTTTTGAGTTGCCATTTTTGTTTTAAAACGCTCAACATGGGCGTGCCACGTCAGTTTGCGGTCGAACCAGACTCCTAGGAACCTGGCTGAGACTACCGGCGACACTGTGGCGTCCCCAAGGCGAATACTTTGCGGCAAGGGCTCTCGGGCCCTAGTAAAGTGCATTAGCTCACTCTTGTCAGGAGCGAACTCCATCCCGTGCCTCACTGCCCACCGCTGACACGTAGCCCATGCGCTCTCCAACCGGCGGCAGGTCGTGTCTGGATCGGTGCCGACGCTTAGCAGGTTCGTGTCGTCCGCGAACCCGACTACTAAAAGTAGTGGATGCTGCTCCGCTAGCTCCTCGTACAGCGTTGAAATGTATAATATAAACAGTATCGGGGATAGCGGTGACCCCTGGGGGACGCCAGCTCGTAGGGGGATTGGCTCTGACTCCTTGCCATCGAACCGGAGGCGTACCGTTCTATCCTCCACGAAGCTGCGTACCCACTCCTGAACCCACTCCGGGTAGCCTTTCCGGGCTAATATGGAAATCAGCCGTCTGTAATTGACCGTATCGAATGCCCCCTTGATGTCTAGCTGTAGCAGCGAGGCGATGCCCCCGCGTCTCCACGCCGTATAGACCACGTCCTCAACTATACGTATTGCCAGTTCGGTGGACCTCCCAGCGCGGTTACCCATTTGGCCGTTTGGTAGTAGGCCGGCCGCCTCAGCTACTTTGGTGATACGCTGGCTCATCGCCGTCTCTATTACCTTCCCTACCGTGCTAAGCAGGGCAATGGGGCGCCAGCCGCCAGGGGTCTGCTTCTGAGCTGTCGTTTTATTAGGCTTAGGGATAATAACCACCCTCGCTGAGCGGAAGCGCTCCGGGTAGTACCCCAGCCTAAAGCTAGCTGTTGCCAGATCCGCTAGGATCTCCCATAGGGGTTCACCGCAGGCCTTTAGCAGGCCAGTGGGGATCAGGTCGTCGCCGGGAGCCTTCCGAGCAGCCGTTCCTTTGATGATAGACTCGATATCCATTGTGGTCACCTCCCTAGGGACGTTCAGCTCTGGTCTCGTCTGTAATAGGCCGCGATCGAGGTCCGATAGATCTATATACGGGTCTGGGAAGAACCTCTCAGCTAGTAATTTTGCCTTCTCATCATGTGTACGTGCTGTAAGCGTGTCGCCGGCGTCCCTCCGGAGATCTGGCAAGCCGTGGGCCTCAGGGGGGGCCCAGCTCCGTAGCCTAGCCCACCTCTGCAGTGCCCACAGGCTTTTGTGATCCTTCGCCGTCCCCTCGAGCTTCTCGTGCCAGCTACGCGTCTGCGCTTCGCTGATTTCGAGCCGTTGTTTTTGGCCGGCTCTTGTATATTCGTCCCAGTTGGTCTGCGACCTTGCCTGGAGGTAGTCCCGCCGTCGTCTCTTCGTCTCAGCGCAAGCCTTGCTAACCTGCGGGCACCACCACGGGACCCCAGCGCCTCGGCCAACGGTGCGTCTCGGGACCGCCACGTCGGCGATCTCTTGGAGGTTCCGGATAACCCAGTCAACAGCCTGGTCCAACTCCGTTATCGTCTCAACCGGCAAATAATTCATAAATCTCTGGCTTGATTCGGCTACGATGAGCCACTTATCCGCCATCGCCCAGTTCCACCCTTCGACACTGCGGCGGCCCTCCTTGACTGCTTCCCCGTTGGATATTACCCTAATCACTTGCACTCTGTGGTCTGAGCCCTCTAGGCCCGGGTCCCCATCGTAATCAATCCTAGCCCCTTTCGTCACCCAGGCTAGGTCGATAGTTGAGTCTCGTTGTTTGTGCCTTTGCCGTGTGATTTCCCCGAACGGCGTAACGAGCTCTAATCGCCAGCGTCGCGCAAACTCCACTACGTTGTCGCTGCCCCGTGACGACCGTCCGTGGACGTCCCACAGCGGGTGATGTGTATTGAAGTCCCCTACGAGGACCTGTGTCCCCTCCGGCGCCCCATTAGGGAGGTCTTGGAGCGGGCTGACCCAGCGGCTCCCGGTCTGGTTTGGTGAATAGATAGACCAGATTGTAAGGGCGTCCGGGCCTGCCCCGAACGTAATACTGCTCCAGTCCATCCCGGTACGGGGTCGCAACGTAGCCACGTCGTATCGTTTATGGACGTATAGCGCAGCTCTGCCGCTGCTGTACACTACTTCGTACCTGGACGACTTCGGGCAATAAATCGCCTTCGTCCGCCGGTTGATCCATGGCTCTTGAACCGCTATTATATCATAGTCACCCCCCTTATCCAGCGCTAGCGTTGCGTTCGCCTTTGAATCTGCGATATTCCAGTAGAGAATAGAGACTACCATTAAGCTGTCGATGGTATATCTTCGTTCGTACGTCCCTTAGTGAGGAAGCTACGCATTGCTGACGCAGACCGTTCGGTTCGCTCCTGCTCCACTCGCGATCCGCCCAGGGGGCGGCCCCGGGGTCGTACAACTGTAAACCCGTCGCTGGTCAATGAGCTAGGTGGTGTGAGCCTGCCCTCACTAGATAACCCGTCCGAGTAGCTGCGGACCTCAAATTGTCGGGGGCGGTGAGCGTACGCCTCGCGTACGCGTAGCCGCTGCTGTTCTGCCGTAGGGCAGTCCCTGTCCCACGCCGTGTGCTTCCCTTTGCAGTTCACACAACGTTTTTTGCCGCTAGGTGCCTTCTCGGGGCAGTCTTTTTCACCCCCTGGGTGTGCCGTTGCAGCGCAGACGCCGCAACGCGCCGTCTTCTTGCAGTGTTTCGCGATATGGCCGTATTCGTAGCACTGGTAGCACTGCCGAACCCGAAGATTGCCGTCGTACGGCTCGCAATCGAATATCTGGGCCTCCCAAATAAGCCCTTCGGAGCATAGTTCCATCGCCGCCTCCACGCTATCCACGTGTAGTATCAGGGCCGCATACGGTGCTTGCGGCGCCCGGGGGAGGTTTCTTTTAGCCTTAGAGAGGTGCTTTGTATTGTCCCGCTTCAGGTCTTTAAGTAGCTGGCTCTCGTCGTGGACCTCTCGCAGCCGTTTCGCAGGCAGCCCCTTCGCGATCACTGCAACTTCTCTGCGGTTGAGAAGTGCCTTATCGCCGAAGGCACTACGCACCCACCTGCTGTCCGTGGTCGCCGCTGAGGCCGACTGCTTAAACGTCACTACGGTATCGCCACTGCGCAGCCTGCGGGCCGCCACTGCATCGGTGCTGCCGCGTGCACTGTTCACCGCTTTTACGACCTCAGCCGCCGATCTGTTCTTCATATTAGGGTCCTCTGTCCCCCGGATCACTACCTCTCTCTCCCTTCGCTGGGGCACTACAACCCGCTGCTGCCACACTGGGGCTTCACCGGGTCCCCGTCCCTGGGCCGATCCTGAGGCGATTGAGGCCCAGGATCGAGTTGTAGGCAAGGCCACGTTCTTCACCGTATCCTGCATGGTCTTCTCAACCATCGTCTGGATCGCCGCAGGAATTTCGGCAAGGGCCAGAGTCACTGCCAGTACGTCGGCATGTGTGGCGGGTCTGTCGCCCCCCTCCTCCAGCGTCCTGCCGGCTAGTTTCAACCCCAGCCAACGCTCCATCAAACCCCCCATGACCTCAATCTTCTCACGTGGGACCAAGTCGGCAATCTCTTGTTCTACCTTTTGTAGTTCTCTTCCGATCCCTTCCCTCTCTGCGTTCTTTCTGCTGGTGCGCTCCACGTTCGGTGCGTGGGCACTTTCGTTGGCGTGGGGGTGGTGAAAACTCTGTTCGAGTCCCGCCCGTCCCCCGTCGATCACCATCGGCGCCGCCATCGCTTGCGTCCTCGCTTCGCGTGCGATGCGAGGTCACTGTCCGACGTAAACGGTCGTTAGGAATCGAATGCCGCAATCGGTTTGATGATTTGACGCTGTTCGAAGAAGTTATCGATGAAAGTCAGAAATCTCTTCATTTCTGGAAAATATGATCAACAGCTATGTAAAGGGCATATTGAAGCGTGAATTGTATTAAAATAACGAATAATACGAACTAGAGAACCAAACTTCCCCCATACAACAATTCACACCACATATGCACTCACATCACGTCCTGAGCCCATCTACGTAGACACGGCCAGCGGTGGCGTTTCTACTACAGCCATCGGAACTATAAAGATCCATCGTAGAACTGCACGCCAAAAAATTCTTTGAACGTGCCATTGAGTGTTCCGAGAAAGCCAGCAGGAGTCGCTGTATGTATCGGGTCGGTGTATAGCTCCATCCACGTATACACAGGTGGAATATATTGGACCAAATGACCGTCAAAAGACGAGGGACCCACTCGTTACAGAATATGATCATATTGATATTTATAAGATATGCAGAGTATACAAGTACCAGAAAGGGGCATAACTATAATACTTAATTTCCTTGACCGTATTGAACACGACGGTTCCTAGGCCTTTGAGCTCCTCCTCGTATACCCACTCGGCAATCAGGTCATTCATTACCTTGGCCATCCACAAAAAGAAGAAACTGACGACGGGCCCGATTCGTAGGATTGGCGCCCAGGTAATATCACTGTTGAACTCTTCTGGTACTTCGCCCTGTTGATGTTCACCAAATTTTCCAAGCACGCCCTCGGCATTTATAATCGGGAACCCGATATACCCGTTCAGCATCTTGAGGTCCGGATACACCTTTACACGCACCTCCAATACATTACCAAAGTTGCCATAGTTCGCTCCGCGGAGTCCCCAGAAACGCCCTGGGGGCGAGGAAGCTTACTATCGAATCGGCAAGCATGCCGGCGCCAACACGGACCGTCTTTTTGTCGTCGGCGAGGGTCCACCACGATGCCATCGGCCAGGGTAGAGCGGCCAAACGAGTCGTGGCCATCCCCGCGGATTGTGGTGGAGAAATGGTCACCCGTGAGTGGTCTCGATAATATGGGGTAATATGCCCTGAGTCAAGGCGCACGAGGTGCACCACCTCAGAATCGGAGCGGGCAGACGATGGCTAAAGGGGTAAGCGCCGTAGCGACAGGTGGGGCTGCGCCAGACGTCATGGAAGCAGGCCGTTGAATACGTGCAGATGAGAAGTGAAGGACGTAAATCAAGCAATGAAGCAACCCGGCGGCATCAGCGTCAATCTCGATCCTCGAAGTGTCCAGGAAGGGCTGGTTGCGGGTTTCAGGGGCAGCTTGGAAGGTCAATCTTGTTGGGAGTATGTGACCTATGAGACAGTAGGCAGTAAGGCGTGGTTAACTTTGAAAGTCGTGCTTGCTAGAACGATGCGCAACAAGATGTTTCTGTAATATATTTCTCGGCATCGCACTTTGAATTCCCAGCTAGGTTTGGACCCAATAACGAAGCCTGTCAATGTTGGCCCCAGCTATAAGGACTCCGAGCAGGCGGGCTTGTCCGTTATAAAGGGGACGAGGAGCCCCGAGGCCAACCTCCGAGTGGCAAGTATGCAAGTAGGGTGCAGAACTAGAAGGTTTGTATAGCATCGAAGGGTGTGTGGTTGCACGTGCTCTGATGCTCTCTCCACCTTCACTGTCACCTCCGCTGTGGGTACCAGGAGACAAAGGGAATGGCATGATTCACTGGGATTAGCTAGAACGCGGTGGTATCGTAAACATCACAAGACAATGGGGAATTGAGTCGCTTATACAATTATATAGCTGTCACATTCAATGTTGGAAAAGGACGCCATAACTCATTGATTTCTTCCATGCACAATCAAGTATCCCGTAGTCATGTATAGTACACAGCGAGCTTCCCGAGAGCCGTTTCCATACCAATGGCCTTTACCACCCCAATAGTCAGTACCATGGCCACACTAATGTAAAAGACGCCTACCCTCTACTGGAGCACCCTGGCATGTCTAACGCTTAGTTCTTCGGTATTAAGCCTATCGAAGCGAAAGTACTCGATACTTAACAACACCTGCTTCTCGAAACGGTTTATTAAAGCTTAGAGCTGCCAGATATACCGGTCGAGAATTTATGCGGAAAGAAAAATGGCATTTATGTTGGACTTATTTCGAACTACTACGAGGCATTGATGCTCCGCAGTACCGACTCCATGGCGACATATCACACCGTTAGTACCTAGAGACGAATTATAGCGAACCTAATTTCGCACGGTCTGTCCGCAGGGGTAGGTGCAACTTGTTCTTCGAGTCTCGTTGTGCCTTTGGTAACCTAAGCCTCAAGGGCTGGCGAAGCCAAAACTGCACTCGCTTATGGTTTTCATCTCCTCCTAGGACTTAAGAGCTCTATTAGTTACAGAATACTGAAAATGCTCTCTCCTGACGGCAAATTTATGACGTGTAAGTTCCTTAAGCTGGAATCCCCACCCCACTCAGGCAACGGTTCACGCTTACTACAGTAAATAGGGGATCAAAATACCACGGGTATGCTCGTGGGGAGGGCGTGGCTGCTATTGTGTATCTCGGACAACTGGCAGTACCGACCAGCCGACATCTAGCTGGCTGTAAATCGGTTACTAGGATAAGCTGCGGTCGTCAGCGTGGCAAGCAGTTATGTGCGGTGCAGAAGCTTTCCACATGGCGCTGCTGGAGAGGCTGCAGGAGCTTGACAAACTCTTCCACATCTACGAAACGATCGGGACGACAATCTACGCCAACTGAATCACCTCAATAGGTGAATTACAGAATAAAGCCTTGACAGGCTTGAATTAATTCACTTAAATGAAAGAAATCACTTAATGGCTACGAGTAACAGATAGGCACGAATTATTACAAGTCATTTGAAAACTAAATAACTCTTTATCTAACTGATCGTCTTCGTCCTCTCTTCTTCGCGTATTATCCCCCTCGGCTGTTATCCTCTGCAGCTATTCGTTTTGAGATTGCGTCCTTCAACATTAACAGATCCTTATCGATACATCTAGAAACAAACTAATCCTATGTTTCATCCGAAATACACTTCAAATACGTCCATATGTTAATATGTAAGGGACATTGAGGACATCGGCAGAGATTGAAAAATTAAGGATACTGGCGCTATTTAAGGTTTCCGAGCGACCCTCTTAACAGGGAGATAAAGTCTTAAAAGGGGGGGGGGAACCCGTTAAAAGGCGGATGAATAACACGCTTGCTACGTGAATATGGACGAAAGGCAGGGATACCTTGGGATAGGCTATCTCAGAGCCAAATCACCAAATCACCCGTTCCCAATACAACAGAGCCATGGGATCCTACACTTGTAACTCTTACTCTCTCTTTTCGGTTTATTATTCTGCAATCGACATTATCTGGTATCGTAACTTTGATTCGTACTCGCAGCATCTCTGCTTCGTTATGTATGTTGTAGCTAACGGTACGATATTTCAAAACAACCTTGTCTGTGAACGCGCGGCTTGCATAAGCAGTAATAAAATTAGAGATTTCACAACTTTCATTTATCAATTATACAGCATGCGCTATTTCCACTACCTTCCATGGCGCTGTATCGATGGTGTGCTTACATGGCTTCATGGCGTAGTGGATACGGGGCGAGAACAACGTCGACTCGGATGTAACCATGCCGGCCGGGCCAAGGCCGCCTTTCCTTGTAGCCAACCATTAGGTCACGATTACGACGTGTAACATCCTTCAACATCCTTCACAACAATCTGGTCGAGTCGTGCAAAACATTTTAGGAATCTCTATTGGATACTACCTCTTCAAGAAATTCGGTTCTCAAAACACAGCCCCGACAAGCCATATCGAAGCAATGATAACGCCCACGATGACAGACGAGCCGTCCAAACCACTACCCCATGACTCGAGCGAAATCACCAGTCTACTGTCCAGCAGCTCCTCGTTAATTGACGACCAAGCAACGTGTCCAAACTATGGCACTGCCCGTACCGATGTGGAACATGGCGATAATCATGGTCGGCAGCCGAAAGGCGTCGAAAAACGCTACAGCAATGCCTTCATTGCCAAGACCGTTATAGCATTGCTCGTTGGTGGGTGTTTCAAGTCTAGGTGGCATGCCAGTAGCGAGCTAGATATTGATGATTTGGTCAACTAGGGGTTTTTATTTCCAATGTCGACACCTCCCTCGTGATTGTAAGTTGTACATCAGATGGAAAGCAGAAACGTGTTCTGATATTATTATTTGCAGGCTATCCATCCTGAGGTTGCGTCGGAATTCAACGCATTGGGAGACTCGAGTTGGCTGTTCATTGGCTTCATGCTTGCTGGCGCGGCCACTCAGACGCTGGTAAGGCTAGTATTCAGTTCTTGGCAAATGGGTCTGACGCTACACAGTATGGAAGACTGAGTGACATATTTGGGCGAAAACTTTGGCTTCTGGTATGTTACGGGCTGTTCGCGGTCGGTTGGTGAGTGCCATCTCCATTGGAATCAACCTGATTACTACTACCTTTACTGACATCTGGCAGTGCATTGATGTAAGGCTCATATTGGGCACAATGTTTACGCAAATGGGCTGACAAGGCTCCTTTAGCGGTGTATCACGGACAATGTGGCAGGTAATTCTCGGACGGGTGATCTCGGTGAGTTCTCCTTTGTTACGGAGGCTTCGATTATGGCTGTTGATCAACTATATACTAACATTGCGGTTGCTTTAGGGCTCGGGGGGTGCCGGTATGCAAGTGCTGGCAGCTTTAATCATCACTGGTAAGAAATCAACCCCCCCCCCTTCCCCTCCCCTCCAAATCGTATCTTGCCAATTCTGATTTATGTCAAAGATTTGGCACCTCTCCGAGAAGTCGGCTCTTGGCAGAGTTACCTGAACATCGTAGCCACTACTGGCAGAAGCCTCGGAGGACCAACTGGTGGATGGTGAGTAGCGCCTCTTGGACTGTAATGATCCGCTGGTGCTATTATTCAGTGCTTTTTGGACGTGAAATACAATTTCGAATGCGGAAAATTGATCTGCAACTGCATTTCTGACGAGATTACAGGCTCGCCGACACAATTGGATGGCGCTGGGCCTTTCTTGGACAAACACCAATATTCGCCCTCGCCTTGGTCTTGTGCTGGTTGGTACTGCCTACAGTGTCCACCGCCACCACGGCAAGGCGGACAAGCGACTCATCTATCAGCAGCCAATTAGCGAGGATTGACTTCACTGGCGCTTTCATTCTCGGACTAGCCCTCCTATCACTAATGTTGCCTTTGGAGATCGGTGGCCAGAAGGTTCCCTGGAACCACCCGATCGTTTTTGGTCTATTCGGAACCGGGCCCGTTCTCCTAGCTCTCTTCCTTTTGATCGAATTGCGCTGGGTCAGAGAGCCTATTTTCTCTCCCAGAATACTTCGTAGGCCCAATGTGGTTCTGTGCTACTGTATCATGGGCTGTCAAGTTGCGGCCCAATTAGGGGTAAGTACTCCCTGATCAGTCCCGACAGTTTGGCGGCATGTTGACACGCCGGAAGATGATGTTCACGGTCCCGCTCTATTTCAAAGTCACCGAGAGGTCCTCTAACACTGTTGCCGGGGCGCACCTATTCCCGGCAGTTGTCGGAAATGCCGTGGGCGGTATTGCGTCAGGCTATATAATCAAGCGGTACGTTTTTCTCTTATCTTCCGTTGTCCACCATTTATCGATTTCTAACAGCGGATTTGGAATTTTTAGTACCGGTCGATACAAAGCTTTGATCATATTCGCGGCTCTCTCGTCGTTCACCAGCTATATGCTTCTCATCCTCCGATGGCATGGCCACACCAACTGGGCCGAATCCCTGTACATAGTTCCAGGGTGAGAGACAAATATTCCGCCGACTAACCCCTTTACAGTCGTGGCTCAATGCTAATCAAGTATCGCAGCGGAATTGGATCCGGCGTTGCGTCCAATGCCGCGTTCGTTGCCCTTCAGGCCTCCATACAACCCACCGACAAGGCGGCTGCATCTTCTGGCTTCTTCCTAACCATGCCAGTTGGATCAATCTTCGGAATGGCATTGGCCAGCGCTATTGAGGTAGGCGTTCTTCGAAAGAGTCTGGCGGTACGACTTCTGGACGCTGGCCTAGATTCCGCTCGAGTACATGAGGTAGGCGAATATATGCCCCTGGGTCGTTTGCTGACGAAGTTTACTGATGGTCGATCTAACAGGTTGTGGAACAAGCGGTCGCCAGCGTCGACTATCTGGATCAAGCACCACCATGGATCGCCAAGGCCGCAGTGGCTTCGTATGTAAAGGGCATTGAGTACAGTCATTGTACGTATATTGGGTCCCTACCAGCCTGTATTCCCACCTTTGACTAACGATTCGCAGTGCTTTCGTTGGCGTGTTCTACGGTGGCCTTTCTAGCGGCACTAATGTTGAAAGAGCGCATATTGCATAGGTAGCGTCTAATTGGAAATCGGCAATAATACTCGGAATTAGGGTTAGTATTTGTAACGAACATATTTCTTGGCGAGTGATTTTCACCCTGCCGCCGCTCTGACTTTGCCTACTTAAGTAAGGTATTAGCAAAGCCGCCTCAGTCTTATTTTCCAACCTTGGTTAACCCGGAGCGCATTCCTTACTCTGTCATTCTCAATTACAACAAGGTTGAAGGTGCCTCGTCTCAGCGAGATTACTTACTCGCGCGACGCAACGGTCGCCTCCATCCGCGATTATTATAATTTCCTCACCAAAATGCACCTTCTCGAGTCGACCATCGTCTCAGCGCGAGAGTCGGGCTGGTAGAGCATCATAACAGAAAGCTTTGGTGCTGGCGGCCTAAGAAATACCAACGTTGTCGTCGCACTGCTACGCCACCGCCCTACATCCGCGGCTTCCCATCCAATATATATGAGATGGAAAGGGGCACCATACTGTAGTTTTACCGACGGGCGTGAGTGCAAGGAGATTCAGCCGAAAGAGGTCATGGGCATCATGATATTCACGGAGGGCCTCTCCTACGGGGATATGTCCGCGCATATCATGGGCTCGACCTTTGGCGGCAGGAATAATCTCGTCTTCTTACTTGAAACCCACCTAGACGTCATATACTGGGCCAAGTGGTTTCCTGGCCGCGTCAGTGACCGTCAGATGCTGTGAATACGCCATGAGATGGACGACGATCCCGAGGACTACGCCCCTGCCAACGAGCAGTGGTGGCGGCCCCATGCACCTGCGTGGTTCGTTTGCTCTTGCGTTAATATAGGGACATTTCAAAATGAAGTCGTCGCTAATATGCTTGTGCCAATTACTAATCTTGCGAAGCAAATCACCCTGATAGTAGTGAAGATATATATGCACCGGCGGCCAGCTTTACTCCACTTTCTGCTACGTTTTGTTCTCCATTACTTAAAGTTGAGCAAAGGAAGTGGCCCTTCGTCTCGGAATATTTCTAATGATGTCGATGCGCTGTTCGTTTGATTCCAATATGAATCCACGTCGTCACTTCTCCGGAGACAGCCAACAACGTATTTACAATTCGTTGCGATTGGTTTTTCGTCAGATTTCGCCTAACGACAACAAGGCGTAGTTTCTTTGCCAATCATTGGTAGGTGTAAAAGGCAGTAATCCAGCAGTCGGATGCGGGCCTGTGGCATGCACCAACAAACCCGCGCCGCTGGTTCGCAGAACGTACGCCAAGCATCGCTAATGAATGATCCGTTGAAGTGGCAGTGTTCTTGGTCCTTGCAACATGGTAGTGTGCTAAAAGTTCACAAAGCCATATATTGCCTGATTTCTTCGTCTATCCTCGACCCACAGTTACCTCCCCCACACTCGCCGAGGACTTTGGTAATCTCTTTAATCTACTTCAGCACAAACAACATGTCGTCAACTACTGCGCGCATCCAGGAGGCAACTCCCCGCAACCGGGAACTCCTCTCCATCCTGTCCGAGACGGTCCACGCCGGCCCAGGACTAGAGCAGCAGAAGCGATACGTGGCCGATCTGCAAAACGAGCTCATAGAAGCCAAGAAGACAAACCAGAAACTGGATGAAAAGCGACAGAAGGAGTTCAAGGACCACAAGAAGTACCGCGACTCAACCATGAAACGATTTGCTTACAAAGTATCCGGCAAGAAGGGTAAATTTGAGGCTAAGGCCGCCAAGGAGGAGCGCAGTACTTTGACGTGCTGCAGGAGATACACAAGGCCACGGGAATGTAGCAGAATGTACAGGCCATGCTCTATGAAGCGCTGGAGGCCCAGAGGGCCTTGGAGGCCGAGGTAGAGAGACATGTGCAGGCCCAGCGCGACCTTGACAATTTGTACGACTCCATTTTCCAGGGCTTCACGCCCGGATTTCCTGAGGAGGATACGAAGGAGAACGAATTGAACAGCGCGCTGCAGGCGTATCACGGTGCTAGGGTCCAGTTTGAGTGCGAGAGCTCGGCGGTGCAGATCCTGTCGCAGGCACAGCACCGCATGACGTCAGCTCTGCACGCCATCGAGAACGCGTTGGATCACAGTCGCATGGACATGTTTGGCGGGAGCTTCGTGAGCGACATGATGGAGCGTAATGAGCTGCATAAGTGTGAGATGGATGTTTCGCAGGCGCAGATGCTCGTCATCCAGGCCCAGCGCATGTCGCCGACCGTGGGCAACCTGCCGCCCGTCAAGATCGCCCAAGGAAGTCTTATGAGTGACGTCTTGTTTGACAATATCTTCACGGATGCGGCTTTCCACGACAAGATCAAGGATTCGAGGCTCGAGCTTCAGAGGTGTGCTAGGGTCTTGGATCAGCAGCTTAATGCTGCGAGGGGGAGGCAACAGGAGTTGGGTCTGACTGTGAGGGGGAAGACGCAAGTGCTGGATACTGCGAGAGCGGAACTGCAGGAAGCGAGGCAAAGTATCTTTGAGACTGTAGCTTAGTAGTAGGAAAAGGCGGGGTTTGACATGGCTTCGAACATGGATAGGGCATGATACCCATGGTCTCTGGATTTAGGCAGACCAAGTTGGATTGTATCCAAAGCGTATACCAATAATTATTTGCCGCTTACATACTGTGGAATAGATGCTTAGCCTCGTTATTGGCTTCTTCTATTAATATTTGCGTATCTTCCAATTGTCCTAGCCGACTATAAAAAAGCTGACACCGTATTGTAAAGCCCTTGATATAGTATTATCTCATTTTGGTACTGTTCTAATTCCATCGTCATTATTCCGTAGGTTGTCCTCTACTATAAGCACACCCTCGCTATCGCCGAGGAGCAGGAGGGCCCCTCGATGCGAATGCCGAAACAGGGCAAGTACTCAGACCTAAACCGACCGGAGGCGTCTACCCTATGCCAGATCAGGACCGGAAAAATAGGACTATCAGCTTTCTTATTTAAGATAGGAGCCTTCGGTGTGTACTCGCCGTTATGACGCTGTGGAGAGGCCCCCGAGACGGCAGAGCACGTAATCCTCTTTTGCGGCCTGCTGGAAGAATCGAGAGAGCGCCTACGGGCCACTATCGCACCATGGCCGCTGCATACACGTAGAGACCTGGCAACGGCGACGGGGAAACCAGTAGTCAGCGGGACTATCACAAGGTGGCTACTCAGGACTGGCCGGATAGCGCTTAGGCCCGGATAATATCGATCTTCTCAGGGGGACTTTGTTAGTAGGGTGAGAACTAACATAGTATTGTGGTGGACGTAACGCAGTCGCTAATAGAGCGAACCTACGTAGCAGCGTATGTATTTAGTCCAGCCATTAGGGCACGGTTTGACATACGGGAGCACTTGTAGAGGTACCGGGGGCTTCGAGCCTACGGCGTATTTAATAATAATTATTCCGTAGCTATTCTGCGGAATCACTTTCGTAACAACAGAAATAAGATAAGTAATTTCTCGATCTCTGTACCTAGAAAGTCTTACTAGCGTCTTTTAGTAGTAATTCCTGGAATGCTTTCCTTGTTGCTAGCACTTTCGAATGCCTTCTCCCATAATGTCTCTAATCGACGTCGCTTACAGACGTCTCTTGACGTAAAAATTTCAGCCAATGTGTTGGATTGTGCGCAAATGGTCTTGTATTGAAAGTGGCATGATCTGGAGAGTCCTGAGAGAAGTGAAGGGCGGCCATAGGGGCCTTATATAGGTAGAAATAACTGATGCCTGCCCCACAACTAGGACTTGTGTGGTTCAATAGGTAGAGGTCATGTTGACCTATACCTTGTACGGTTTACGGCTTTACTTTTCTCCTTTGACTTAGCAGTCTTAACGGAGTAGCCTTAAAGGTCCGACATACCCCCTTAGGGCTGCACCCCTAGGTGTTAGTCCTATACGAAAAAGAGTTCTTAAGGCTTCAGAATGCATTCTGTTATTTCTCCTATAACCTATATATGTCCTAACGTAGTCCACAAGCGAACGGGTCACGCCCATAGTAAAAAATAGAACTAGACTTCCTAACTTTACCACGCAACTAATTCTCGATGGATTCTGCTCAAAAAGAATCTCGATTACTCCTTGCAACTCAGGCTATCAGAAATGACTCAACACTTAGTATCCGACGTGCTGCAACAATCTACAAAGTCTCGAATGCTACTCTCCAGGCGCGTCTTCAAAAACGTCAATCACGTCGCAATATCGAAACCAACAGTCGGAATTTAACAAAACTAGAAGAAAATACGATTATTCAAAGGATAATTGAGCTAGATTCGCAAGCATTTCCTCCCCAGCTAAGTGCTGTTGAAGATATGGCAAACCGACTGCTACGCGACCGCGACGCGTTACGCGTCGGCAAGAACTGGGCCTCCAACTTCGTTAAGCGACAACCACAGCTCAAGACAGTATTCAGCCGTAAATACGACTATTCTCGGGCCTTATGCGAAGATCCAGAGCTTATTCAAGGCTGGTTTGACCTTGTGCGCAATACAATTGCGAAATATGGGATCGCCGATGCCGACATCTACAATTTCGACGAGACCGGCTTTATGATAGGTCAGATTACCGCATCGATGGTTGTTACGAGCTCTGAAAGGAAAGGCAAGCCTAAGCTAGCCCAGACTGGCAATCGGTAATGGGCTACGGTGATCCAGGGCGTCAATTCCCAAGGCTGGACGGTCCCGCCATACATCATTGTCAAGGGCCAATACCACCTCTCTTCCTGGTACGAAAACGACGCGTTGCCGAAGGACTGGAGGATCGCCGTGAGCCCAAATGGTTTTACTACGAACGAATTAACCGCAGATTAGCTAAAACACTTTGACATATACACCAAAGGCCGGGAATCGGGGGTATATCGCCTTCTTATCCTGGACGGCCACGAAAGCCACCATTCTGACGCCTTTGAGCAATATTGCAAAGAGAACAAGATTATTACACTTTTTATGCCTGCCCACTCTTCTCATATCCTCCAGCCACTAGATGTGGCATGTTTTGCGCCGTTAAAAAAGGCCTACGGCTCGCAAATTGAGAAGCTCGTCCGAGCCCGGATTTCGCATATCACAAAGGAGGACTTTCTTCCGGCATTTTGCGACGCGTTCAAGAAGAGCCTGACCGAAAGCAATATTCGTGCAGGCTTTCAAGGGGCTGGGCTTGTGCCTTTAAGCCCAGATATTGTTATTGAGAAGCTGGATGTGAAATTACAGACCTATACTCCATACGTCAGACCCCGATATTATTGCTAAAGGACTCCGCAGCAGGACTTACTTACTAGCACAAACCCTTACAGGCTCTTTAGTGGTTTACGCAGCTAGACTATTAGAGGTTTCGTTACAGCCCGCTTATATTAGTAACGAATTCGTCGGCCTTAGGCCTATCTTAGGGTCGGAAGAGGAGTGATACGTGACCCCATGGGGGGTTGCCCTATAGCTAGAGATAAGATAGATAAGAGCTATAAAAGAGCTTTGCCAGGCCAGAATAGCTGACCTGGCCATCCTTTCCCAATACAACAATTCACACCCCATATGCACTCGCATCAAGGAGGTAGATATCGTCGATATAGAAGAATAGGATAAGTTAGTCGTTAGAGTAGATATAGCCGTCTTCTAGCACGGCTTTGAGCCCTAGATCGGTTAGTCCTGCTCCTAGGTATATTTACTATAGTAATAGGGAGCGGCGTAGGCCGTAGAGCGCTCTCTTTAATCGTAGGTAGTATCCTAGCTGCTTAAAGCCGTTAGGGAATCGGACGTATACAATCTCGTCTAATTCTACGTGTGTAAATGTCAGAGAACAGAATGCCATAGGCACCGGTGGGACACCGGTGGGGCTCCGGTGTAGGAATGTGCGAGTCATGACGATATGGAAGTCTTGGTTTGCGGAACAATCGGGGAAACTAGTGCTCCGCGGCTCCGACGTCGGGTTCTAGCTATCTATGTAAGGGGCGGAGGCCCGGGAAGAAGATAGAGGGAGAGTAGAGATCAATGCATCACCGTGGGCACCCCTACCTGAGACCGCCAGTGACCACCCGGTGCTACGTAGGAGGGACGCCCGTTACTCCCCATCACTCTGTACTATTGCCTTCGGCCTAGCCGTACCCTGACAGTAAACGCGTTTATTACGTCTAATTAGCGTATATCCATGTCGAATTTAGCTACGATTACTATAAGCGTACGGAAAGATCTTCCGGCTAGAGTGCTAGCGTATGTGCTAAGAGACGAGCTTAGCTGTAAGTCGCATCTTATAATTAGGCGAGCCTTATATCGTACTACGTATCCGTGCTTATCGAATTTGTACGTAAATACCTATATTAGAGGGATAATGAAGTATCCTGCCGCTTCGGTAATTAGTTTTCTTTCCTAGGATACTTCGTTAACGCTATAGAATTTGGAGTTAACCGCTTCTAGCTAGTACTCCCTTAGAGAATATCTTATTATCTTCTCCTAATTCTTTAGGAGAGGGGGGACGTCCCTACGATGTAGACCCTTATAGTGATAGGCGACGGAAAAGGTAAGATAGTGAAACGGGGTCAGGCGGTCGGTAGGATGTACCTATCACCTAACACACTGAACAGACGGCTCCAGTACCAATAGATCACATCTGTGGGTCTGATCAGACGAAGATCATGGTGCTGGCCGTAAGAGCGAAGCTCTTATAAGTCTTGTGCGCAAGTTGGTCGGATGTGCCTCTGAGACTCGTGTCGGGATAATTCTCAGAATAGGACATCTTGCTCCTAGGAGTCGAATTGAAGCTGTCTCTAGTACTGGATTGCTCTGATCAGAGCAAGACACAATGTCTCATAGTTTTCAAGGCTAAAATGGAAAGGATAGATGGATTCTTAGAAGCTATCCCCTGAACGTGTAAGTGAATCATGAACTGAAGCTTCTGAATTGCATGCATTGAAAAGAGTGCGATGATGGCTAACTATTGCTTGTCGAATCGAAAAGATGAAGAAGTCATTAAAAAGGGTCCGTCCTCGAAAAGAAAGTTGCAGCCACAAGCCTCCTTCATCAAAGCAAAAGATCCTCCCCATTCCGTCACCTATTTTCCCTGGCGTCCGGCCTTACCCCGCTACACTAGCCTGCTGAGTCTCCAGTTGTTCGTACCTGTTGAGGTACTTGTTGTTCTGATCAGGGCAAGAGCTCTTGATCTTATTATTTCTTTCCACCTCCCGGATAGTAAGGTCTTCTTGAGGATCTTGTTATTCGTTGCCCTCATCTTCACACCTTAAACCTGCGGGTGGTTTCACTGCCCGTCGTCAAATGGGGGTCTGGCCAGGGATGAGCACAGCTCCTCGAACGAGAAGGACTCGACGACCTTTCACAAGCTTCCACGAGACAATCCGAAAACAAGATTAAGCCAATCGAGGCTATTTTCTTGTCTCACGAAGTCGGGTTGAAGTCCAGATCCATTATAGGCTCTGAAGCTCATTCCTATAAAACACAAAACATTCAGCAGAGTTCAGATGGAACCGTCCAGACGATACTCTGCCAATATCGGCGTAAAAAGAAAGGCCTCTCATTGGCCTGATCAGAGCGAATTGCTTTCCGAAAATCGAAAGAGAAATCGGCAGATGAGGAGTGCTTATTCGTGTTTCGATGGGTACTCATCGTTCTGTTGGGAGCAGTGATGCAGATAAGAAGAGGAGTGATCTCCTTTAAACATTAAATAGTTATCCCCTTAAAGATTTTTTGAAGTGTTATACGAAGAAGGTGTTATTATATCAAGCGTCAACACTCAGCAACACTCTACCTAGTCGCTCTCTACTTCAGATATTTATTCGACTCCTGGTGAAATGAGTAAGGAGTCCAATCCGATCCGTCAAGATTCAGAGTCTTGATCAAAGCACAATTCCTCATCAACTCCATCAATTTCAACTTCTGATCCTCCTGAGATTACGCATGAGCAACAGCAAATACCAAGCCAGACAGATACCATGATAGGAAGATTTCCTCGTTTGTGGACGTTCGACGTAATAGTCGGAACAAATGTTGTTAAATCTTTCAAGGTATTCAGTAACATGTTCTCCTCTGAACAGTTCAAGGTTTCCATTCCCTTGCCCAGGTCAGGGCATTGACAACCTTGAACTGTTCAGAGGAGAACACGTTACTGAATACCTTGAAAGATTTAACAACATTTGTTCCGACTATTACGTCGAACGTCCACAAACGAGGAAATCTTCCTACTGGTTACGTTGGTGCGATCACGACACTCGACGTATTGTCCAACTCCTTGAAAAGGATCACAATACGTGGGATAGCTTAGCTGCTGCTATGAAGCTACACTGGAAAAGTCAAGACCCTCGTCAAGATACTCGACCCGAGGAAGACCTTCATGAGCTCTATATGAAGAAATCACACCCAACCGCGAAGACACTGCATGATGCTATCTTCAAGCACGAGAGGCTGATCTACAGACTTGAAGAAGGCAGGATTGAGGAAGCCAAGACAACGGCAGCATCGAAATTCTTTGATATGCTAGATGAGAGACTCCAAATCCTTCTTCTTAACAAATTCAAGGAATCCAAATCGGATGTCAGAGGTTGTCCTTATTCAACGCTACGTCAAAACATGACCTGCTTCTGTACGGATGGTTTTATCATTGACAATAAAATCGAAAAGATCGAGAGTCCTGGGAAAAAGAGCGTCACTGACGGACTGACTAAGGAGTTCACAATTTTGAAAAGGCCTATGACTGCGCCTAGAGACGTCCAGCAACCTGTACAGATTCGAGATTGCTCTGATCAGAGCAAACAGAACATCGATGTTCTCTCGAAACAACTAGCTGAGCTGAAATTATACAACACTGGGTTGTTTGACCGGATTTTGAGGGGGGTCGAAGAAGTCAATATCAGTCGGAACGCAACTCAAGGCTCTGTGGATGTTTACTACAATGAGGTAGCTCCGCAACTGGACCAATTTTCCATTCAAAATCAGGGGGATCATGTATCTGGGGAATATGGCAATAGAATGCAAGGAGGAAGTAATTGGTAACAAAATCCAGGACGAAATCAATATAATCCATCCAATGCGTTTTGCTCCGATCAGGACAAGACACGATCCGGATTTGTCATGGACGCCCTGGTTTGCTGGTATTGTGATCAAATTGGTCATACCATGCTAGGATGTCCACATCTGAATTTCGATACGTCTCTCGGACTTTGTCATCGCGGCTCAGGACAGAAATTTTACTGTGGCCCAGCATCAGTCCCAGGAAAGCCTTCAGATATCACAAGAGAAATCGGTAGAGATATCTACGCGAATGCTGTCAACAGTTGAAATGTCTATCACGTGGTTCGAGCAATCCTAGCTAATAACCCTAACAACACTGAGCTATACAATCTGTATTTGAGTTGGAAGGACAAGTACAACCCTACTTACACACCAGACTTTGGTCTGATCGGACGGACGGGACCTTTACCCTTGAATGTCGTCCCCCCATCACCTTTACCGGACCTCAAGAAAACTTGCACGAATCGGTTAGAGGAGGAAAAAGGAAGGTCAATCTTTGACTACGTCGCTGCCAACCAATCAGACTGCTTAGTCAACGATTAGGAATTAACAACTACATCCAGGAAGTTATTCCGATCGATCGCCGTATTACGGATGTGACTGAATTAAATACCTCAGATAACAGGGCAAGAGAAGACGTTTCGCTAAACGCTAATGAACTCAAAAGAAGGCGTACAGGCCGAGAATTCGTTAATGCTAGCCTTGATCAGGGCAAGAACTCGTCTCAGTCCGCGAAAACCATTGAAGATGATCAACCTGAACGTGCGCCGAATACTAATAGCGCCCCAACCAGTCAATATAGGACTCCTACAATCACGGAGGATACTACTGATGCTACTTCTAGCCCTGATTACCGCAACGTGAGCTTAGCTGATGGCATTACGGGCCCTGAAAGCGGCGATACGACTACCTCCTTTAACGATAAAAGGAAGGCTAAGAAAAGTTGGATTCCTACCAGGATCGTCAACGGAGAAGTCCTTGCCGGATGTCAAGAAGGGGAAGATAACCTGCCTCTCGATCACCTTGCGAAAATTGTCGATGAGACACTACGATCTCAGGTCAAGCTGAATTTCGCGGATCTCTGCCGACTTCATCCAGGCTATGCGACAGCTATAACCAGTTGGATTCGAAAGAATGCTCGTTTGGATGCCCTTAACATCGTTGAACATCACGACTCCGCTGTTCCAGATGGAAATAGCCAAGCCCGTGCTCATGAGAATGAAGCCACGGTAAACCTTAACATCACTGACTGCGGCGGTACTTCTGGTGATCTGGATCGACGCGAGACAATCGGGCTCTTTGGAATCACTGAAGATGGGGAACTTGCCCTTGGCTCCGGCGGAATTTGGGAGAGACTTTTCCCTATGGGCAAGAAAGCGTCCTATCAAGCAAGCAACCCGCCTTTGCTACCTGCGATTTTTCATCAACCTATCGACCTGCTTACGCATAAGCAAAAACTGGAAATGATGGTTGCAACCAGAGTCCACCGTCTGCCTATGCTGTACGGGCGACTAGTGTCGTCCCAGATGAAAAAAATCTGCGCATTACTTGATTGTGGTTCTGAGTGTAATCTGATCAGCTGGGATCTTTGTATGTCGTTAGGTCTAGCCGTTCGTGAGACTAATATTGTGTCTCGAGGACTACACGGAAAACGACAACTTGCGGGGGAGGTGGTTGAAAAGTTCTGGCTTGGCGATCTCTGTATTGAAGTGCACTCTTTCGTTCTACCTGAAGGAGAAGCAGCTCAGGCAGTTATTCTGGGAATGCCTTTCTTCCGTAATATGTCTTTGACCTTCGATTATAAGGATAAAGAAGTAGTCACTGCGAATGTTGTCTTTGGGGATACTTGCATCAAAGCCGCTGTTATTGCTTCCCCGAATATCACAACCTCACGTTCTCAGCAAGTTTAACACTAGAGTCAGCTGCTTCAAGGGACTAGTAGCCGACTGCCAAGTCCCCGAGTGGGTTGAATTGCAGGATTCTGAAACCCCTATTGGATTTATTGACGATGAGAGTGGTTCGATGCTTTTTGAATTCGTACTGCAGCAGTCGTGTATTCCTTTGCTTGATCAGATCTGGGAAATTATGCTTACTACGAAACATGTGGATCATACAGGCGGAAAACACCAGTCTAATAAACACTCGGCAAAAGCAAGTCTGTCGCTACACGAAGTCTTCGAGTCTATTTTCACCCCTAGAAAGGAGCACGATGGTTCTCGACCTTCGTCTTGTTCTGATCAGGACGAGGTGGTTACACATACTATATACAAAACTGTCGATCGAAAAGTTCACCCTGTGGACAACACTCCGTCTGACGGATCAATTTCTGAAGGAGACCCCTTGTGGAAAACCAAGCGACTCGCCCTGATCAAAGACAAACTACAGTCTGGTTCTAAATTCGATCCTTTTATCACACCGAAATTCTCAGGGATCGATCGAGGCTCCAGATTAACAGAGGATCGTCTTCAGAAAATTCTGGAGACTTGTCAGTCTACTCTTACTGGAGAGGAGATAGAAGCTTTCACACACCTTCTGTATAATCGAGAAGCATCCCTCGCTTGGGACTTCACGGAATGCGGAAGAATTCATAGTGACGTTATGCCTCCCCAGGCAATACGAACTATCCCTCATAAAGCCTGGCAAAGTCGCTCGGTCCCTATTCCGAAGCCTTTGATCGAAAAAGTTGTACAACTTCTCCGGGATCGAATCAAACGGGGAGTCCTTGAAGAGAGTCATGCGAGCTACCGTAACAACTGGTTTTTGGTCCAAAAGAAGAACGGCGGCTTGCGCTTAATCAACGACGCTCAAAAGATAAATAGAGTCACTATCCGCGATGCACTCATTCCTCCTGGAGCGGAGGAATTCTCAGAGGAATTTGGAGGATGTCTTCTCAAATCACTGCTGGACCTATTTTCTGGATACGATCAAGTCAGCCTGGAAGAAAAGAGCAGAGATTACACGACCTTTTCTACACCTATTGGTCTTTATCGAATGTGCACTTTACCGCAAGGTGCTACGAATTCTGTGGCTCAATTCATGAGAGCTATGGTCCGCCTCCTTTACGACCTTATACCTCATGTCTGCCGACCATTCATTGACGATATATGCGTTAAAGGACCAAGGCACGATTATGACAACGAATTAGTTATGCCTGGAATTCGACGGTTTGTCCTAGAACACCTCAGCAATATCGATAAAGTGCTACTCAACTGCGAACTGGCGGGAGCCACAGTAGCGGCAGAGAAATCTCAGTGGTGTCAAAAAGAAGCTTTTCTGGTTGGATATCTCTGTACTCCGTATGGACGTCGTCCTGATCAGAGCAAAGTCTTGAAGATTTTGGAAGATTTTGGAATGGAAAGAGTGTAAATGCTTGAGGGATGTCCGTTCTTTCATCGGTATAGTTGGATGTTACCGCGTCTGGATTGACCAGTATGCTATTACCGCTTTACGGTTATTCAAATTAATGAAGAAAGGCGTTGATTTTCTTTGGGACGATAAGTGCCAAGTAGCACTACGGAAGCTTCAAGAAGGAGTTACATCAGCCCCCTGTTTAGCACCTCTTGTATTTGATGACGAACGCTATGGGACTATTTTTCTCGTGATCGTCGCGAGCCTTGAGGGGTGGGGGGCGGTTATTGAACAAATCGGACCAGACGTTTGTCGACATCCTTGTCGCTTCGAGACTGGCATTCGGAATGACGCAGAGAAACGATACGACGCGACAAAAAGGGAACTCCGAGGGCTATTGATGGCCTTCAAGCGCCTGAGACGCTAACTTTATGGCACTCACTTTGTTGTCGAAACAGACGCTATGGTCGTTGTGCAGCAACTTGCGGGGGCCCTAAACGATGTGCCAAGAGCCTTACTTCTTCGTTGGATCACATGGATACGATTGTTCGACTTTGAGGTTAAACGCATCAAAGGATCCAAAAACACCGTCGCGGAAGGACTGTCAAGAAAACCTGCAGGACCTTCTGATCTGTTGGAAAAGGAAATTGAGGAAGACATTGACGACTACATCGACACTCAGATCTATCATGTCACCCTCGAAAATGTCCTTCAAGGAGATTGGACAGAACAGTCAAGACGTATCGCCTATTTCTTAACAACACTAGAGGAGCCAATTCATCTCCCGATCAATCAAAGAAACGCATTTAAGACTAAATGCTTCAACTACCTGGTCAAAGAAGGAATACTCTGGATAAGAGCGCAACATTCCAGGCTTCCAAGACGAATGGTGGATTCCTGGAATGCTTTCCTTGTTGCTAGCACTTTCGAATGCCTTCTCCCATAATGTCTCTAATCGACGTCGCTTACAGACGTTTCTTGACGTAAAAATTTCAGCCAATGTGTTGGATTGTGGGCAAATGGTCTTGTATTGAAAGTGTCATGATCTCTGGAGAGTCCTGAGAGAAGTGAAGGGCGGCCATAGGGGCCTTATATAGGTAGAAATAACTGATACCTGCCCCACAGCTACGACTTATATAGTTCAATAGGTAGAGGTCATATTGACCCATACCTTGTACGGTTTACGGCTTTACTTTTCTCCTTTGACTTAGTAGTCTTAACGGAGTAGCCTTGAAGGTCCGACACAATGCTTGTTCCTATGAAGATCGGCAAGTTTGGATATTCTTCAAGTTTTCTTTTCGGAAGTAAATTCTCTATAACATTATCGGTATAGACTTAGGTGACTACTAGTTTCTATTGTATTTTGTTTCGCTTTCCAGGATCCGAATTAAGTACGAGCATTCTGGACGAGAGTCTTTTGCTTTCGAGAGAGAAAAAGCAATAAGGGACATTTGGTCCTCATGGATACTACACTGGTAAATGTATGTCTTTGAGAGTCCCCCATCTTCGACTGTTTTAAGAAATATGCAAAGTAAAGATCTAAAGGATGACTAGTAATTTCTTACTCGGGACCTTATAAGTGACGGGGCAGCTTTGATCTAGCTAGGCAAAATAGGCGTGTTCCACCACAGCATCACTATCGATGCATGTTGGTTGATATCTGACAGCTCTCTGTGTGACGACTGGAATTGGTGTGTCACACCCGTCATTCTTGAATAATGACGGGAAGATTAGCGTGAAAGGCGCGAGTTCTTTAGTGATAACCGGTGAGGAGCGTTTCGACCACAGTGACAGCTCCGAAATATCCAGGTCCCGCCTATCGAAACGACATCAGGGGATGATTGCGATGCTCATTGGCTATTACGCCTTTGAACGGCAGTGATTGCTCCCCGAGAGGAATGGATGATACGATGAAATGTCGGTGGTCTTTCCCTCGCCCAGCTTGTTGGCAGATTTGGAGCTGTCCTTGCAGCCAAGACCCCTGCGTCGATCTCGGGTCTGTCTGTACGACCTCCACGTTGACCGGCTCACCCATTTCCATTTCGCCTGCTCGTTATGGCCAGCCTCACGTGAGCACCGTCCTCTGCGAAATGTTCCAGATTTTCCCAACATGGCATGTCGATCACGTCTTCTGAAGGGGTGTGATGAACGGCAGTTGAGTCAGGAAAAGTCAGCAACAAGCCTGCAAGACAGCAAGTTCGTCTACTAAGAATGCGGCCATTCGCCAACACTAACCACTCTATGCCCAATCTAAAATAGTATGATCCTGTGGCTTATCTCATACCATCGCGTCGGATCTCTGCGCCGTCACCTACCTACCCAAGATACCTAGATACGAGCCACAAACTAACACCTACAGCGCGAATCGGGCTGGACGGATGGGCTCTAACGACACTCTGCCTTGATAGACGACGCTTGATAGACGACGGGCCTAGAATCACTGGGATCGTGTTCTGAGTCAGAGCGAAGGAATGCCACAAAACATCATCATCAATGGCGCCTGACCATTCGGCGGCGTGGGGGTCACAATTGCACGTTCTGCTCTAGATGGCCAGATCTGACAGGGCTATGCTTTTGATCCCTGCACTCCAGATTTAGGCCCCTCTTGCCCCTCATTTTTTCACCGCATATTGGGATATTCGCCCCATTCCGATCACAACTCCCCATTGAATTCCCCAGTCTCCAGTTTCCGGTGTCTGGTCCAGCCCAGATCCGAGTGCCCAACGCTGAGTGGCCTGTTTGTGTTCTGCACCTCCCCCACCGTCTCGCCCATCTTCTGTTCTCTCATTCAGCTTCTACCTTGAGTCTCCCTCCAGAACAGCGCCGGTGCTACGGCGCATCTGTCCTGTCTTGATAACGATTACGCCCAGCCTATCGGCAAATCAAGCGTAAATGATGTTGTGCACGTCTGCTTCTGCAAGATAGCCTAGCAACGTTTCTCTCGTGTAATCAAAATCTCGTACCAACCAGCTAACATCACGTCGCCCGGCGCATAGATGCCGGATGCGCTGTCAACTGCCAGCCTGCTATTCGCTACCATCGGGACCACTTCCCCTGACATCTCTCCATCCTCGTTCCATCATTCCAGCCGCCCTGAGATGGATCCCAGGGATTCCAGATACCATCAGCACATGAACCCCCACGCCCGTCCCAACTATGGCCGCCAGTAGCTTCCTTCCACCTAGCGGCTCTGCTACACCTTGGCACCTCCCTGACTTAGGAGTTTCCTTAAATCGGACGAGATGAACCTGATCTAACGGTTGGTCACGCGGTCCTCTCCGATATCTGGGATTCATAGCAAACCTGTCCGCATTGATAAATTGCCTTTGGTCCACTCCTTGGTACACCTCGTCTCATTCCTTGGTCATCAAGCGCAAGACTGATACCCATCTTATATTTCCACTGTCCTTTCCCTCGAGAGCAGCCATTCACACATATTGATCGGCTGGTTGGCGCCTCTGCCTCACTACCATATCTACTTGTCTGCAGTTCCCAAAGATCACCCGATGACGACATCCCCACCACAGCCCCGTGCCCTGCCTGATGGCGTCTACGTCCCCACACTCGCCTTCTTCAAGGCCGACGACGAGCTCGACCTAGAGGTCACTCAACGTCATGCTATTCACCTTGCGGAATCCGGAGTCGCCGGCATCGTTGTGCACGGATCCAACGGAGAGGCCGTCCACCTCTCCCGAGAGGAGCGAAGCCTCATCATCCAGTCTACCCGCTCTGCCCTCGACGAGTCAGATCACCACCTCATGCCACTCATTGCCGGCTGCGGCGCACAGTCTACCAGAGAGACAATCCAGCTGTGCCGTGACGCTAGCAATGCCGGTGCCAACTTTGTCATCGTGCTTCCTCCTGGGTACTATGGCGGACTCTTGAACACGGCTAAGATTGTCCAACACTTTAACGACGTGGCTGATGCTAGCCTTATTCCAGTACTGGTTTACAACTACCCTGGCGCCGTGTCCGGCTTGGATCTCTCTTCAGACACCATCCTGGAGATTGCCAAGCACCCCAACGTTGCGGGGGTAAAGCTTACTTGTGGCAACACGGGGAAGCTAGCAAGAATCGTCGACAGTGCGCAGCCTGACTTCTTCGTGGCTGGCGGCAGCGCCGACTTCATCTTGCAGGGTCTGGTCGTGGGTGGAAATGGAACCATCGCCGGGACGGCGAACCTGATCCCCCGGGCCTGCGTTCGTATATGCGAGCTTTTCCAGGCCGGGAAGCTGAAGGAGGCCAGGAGACTGCAGGCAGTTGTCGCCAAGGCGGACTGGATTGCCATCCAGACTGGCTTCGTCGGAGTGAAGGCCGCACTGCAGCTATTCCAAGGGTACGGTGGGGCACCAAGGAAGCCGTGCTGCATCTCCGACGACAGCGAGGTTGAGATGATTCGGAAGGGGTTTGCCGAGGTCATGGCGGTTGAGCAGAGCTTGACCTGATCGGACTACTAGCAAGCCGTCGTAATTGTGCACAGACGGCAGATATAATTACGTGGTGTAATGATGGGACCGAGTCTATTTACAATCCAACGCGGGGGCTGCTTTTTATGCTAGGTACTGAATCTCAAAAATGGAAGACTGAGTTGCCAATGGTTTTCTTATTATTCTTTTTACTACTAATTTGACAAGTCTCCATTCTTTCTTATTATGGCGATGAACTGTAGATCAAACCAGATCGTCTAAGCTGGCCAACAAGAACCCGCCAGGGTTGTTAAGTTGATTCATGAGTCCAACAATACCGACTTTTCCCACCATGTCTTTACTGCAGCTCGTACCCGTGTTGAGTTTTAGAAATTGTATGATCCAAAGTGAAGCAATGCGTATCTTATTGGTGGACGCCGCAATTTCCGAGCTAGTTTGGCGTGGTAACTCAGCGAAGTCTCGTAGTTATTGCAGATACTGCTCCTACTCTACTTACCAGACGACCCCGTGTAAGACCAGTGCTGAAGTTCTGAAATTAATTGCCCAGAATGCTAACCCTAAACAGCACGTCTACAGGTTCAACCAGTTTTGCACCACGTTTCATACGAGCACAGTTCCTCATCAATTGCCTCCCTACATTCCTCGAGGCTCGATTGCAGTCCAGTCCAGAGCCAGTACTCCGCGCGTCCGACATCCATATCGGCAACTTATCCGCCACCCGGCTACGTCAGTCCTACTCGCGGGACTCGGGGGAGATCACCCACCTAGTAACCCAAGCAAGTCACCTGCCATGCCAACGAACTACACCTGCACGAGACAAAGAATTGTTTAGCACCCACCTCCTTCCCCCAACTTGGCCCCCAAACCTGCACCCCACGCAGCCATTCAGCATCGGACCTGCAGCCACGCCGCACTAATTATGTAAATCCGAGATGTAGGGTAGAAAATGTCGTGCAGGATGTGGGGCATGGGGTGTTGAACATTGGGAGTGGTGTTGTCGTCTTCTTCTTTTCTTCGCCCCCACCCATACTGCTGCACATGTATTCCTTCCTTCTGTCCCCTTCCATTCCATGTACTATTATGTACAGGCCGGTCAGACCCTGGGGGTTTCCGACCAGATGCATGCCCCGGCCCTAGGGACAACATCGGCGGTTCAACTACCTAGCAGCGATCACGGCGAGAACTGCCGACCCATCCATTGGACCGTACTGCCGTCGGCATTGTTCGGTATCACATGGTGCGAGATAAGGGATATGTCAGTGTGATTTCTTTTTTGCTCGGATGCATGGAGGCAGACAATTGGTGTACAGTACGATGTCATTATCGCTCAATGTTACGACCAGCCTGGTTTTGTGTTTGGCCGGATTCTGGCCGGATATTGCAGCGGCGGAAAATCCACAAAACAAAAGTGTGTGGGATCCAGTGGCTTGGTCCCCGGGATGATACACAGGTTGCCACCGGAAAGGGTCGCACATCCGGCACCTCCTTCAAGATGCTTGTGACACTTAGAATCGGAGTTTCTGCGAAGATGGCATACGTTTGTATCCTCTTAATCGTTAGTCATTGGCGCTAGTAAAAGGATATAATCGGTCCATGCAAATAAGCACAGAAAAAGAACAACCGATTAGGAAAGGAGAATATGCAGCCGATTAGCAAATCATAACTTGTATGGAAACCCATTTACCACGTAAGATCAAGTGGAGGTCCTCTCTAAGTAACATATAGTCACAAAATCGATGGTCAGGGCCTGCCAATAGTTGAATTATTGTGTATAGATGAAGTCCTTGAGACTTATAAAAAGCCTTTTGGTCCCATAACATCTTGTTTTGAAGTGCTGCTTGGTCCATAGGCACGCAGTCCAAATGCGACGAAGTAAAACTTGATTCAGTCTTTTCACTTCAATTCTCTTCTTACTCTTCCATGCATTTCTCGTTTTGCTCTCTTCTTACACGATATTGTTTGCTAAGCTCAGGTGACAGCACAAGGCCTAGTCAATAAGACAGCCCCCAGAACCAACAGGCATGTAGAGGAGCTTGATTGATAGTGCATCTGCAATACCAGTGGGGGTTTGAGGAGTGCGGCGGTGTGCAGGACGAGAACCGGGAATGCACTGACTGGTAGACTCGCATCCTTCTTCTGTCCCTGAACAACCAATTTCGGGTACTTCGGCGTAGAAGTACTTGAATGGGAAGTAGGATCGTCCGATGGGCTCCAAGGTGCCCGTACTACCCCTTATCCAGAGACGACCAGTAACTATAGAGGGAACTCGATTTAAATGTCCCTCAATCTCTCTCTCTCTCGTGGCAGCAGGTTCATCGCTAATTCCCGTGGCTCTCATTCACCCCCGCTGTCGTCCAGAATTGCGCAGCACCTTGCGCGATACTATCGCTGTCGCGAAATGTGCAGCTGATCTCCCCGAGCACAGTTCATAACTATATATCGTACCTCATACTACCTACACATAACCAGCCCTTCAACCCATTACACCTCCGTCTCAATTCCCGCATCCTTATCGTTATGATGAAAAAATCCGCTAACATTCCCCTTCATGCGGCTGAACTTGCTACCGAGGTGGTCGACCTCCCTCGCAGCGCGGAACTGCATGATGCCGCGGTGTTTGCGGTGCAGCTGCTTGTGGTGATCCTTATAATCCCGTAGCGAGTTCCGTATTCCCCTGGATCCGTCATCCGAGTCGTTATGACCCGGTGCCAGCACCGAGGTGGCCGTGTCTACCCCGCCGTCGATGGGGTTGCGAAGCACGTTCTTCGCCTTTTTAAATGCGGAGAGCGATACGACGGAATTTAGTCCTCGCTTCCCGTCGTCATTGGAGTCCTCGGATGATGATGATGAGTCGTTGGTGTGGACTTTGAGCTTCCTATGACATGATTAACGAGATGAGCGAAAATGACGAACTGCCAGGATTGACCTACTTCTTGGCCTTATTATCACCGCTCCGCTCATCGCTTTGCTCGGAATCAGAGTCAGAATCTATCACATCTACCTCATCGCCAAGACTTTCGTCGGAGATCGTATCGAGGCATTCCATCACGTTCCGCAAATCGCCGTTTTTGACCTTGGCAGCATATGCCTTGTGGTATCCCGAAAGTCCGCGCCAGAACTTCAACGGGACCTCGACCTCTCCCAATGGTTGTTCGCCCTCTTTGAGCCCGTTGTATCCATAGCATGACTCTGCTTTACGGAGATTTTCTTTGCCGCCGTTCCACACCTTCAATGAATGTACCTCCTCTCTCTCATCGATAAGCTCGTGCAGCCACAGCACGGCAAAGGCGGGTGTCTTGTCAGGGCCGAAGGAGGACTCGCGGAACTCGATGATCAAGGGCGATGCATATCGCTTGCGAAGAGGGAGGAACACACTATCGTCCTCTTTATCCTTTTTCGTCCACTCCCCGTTGTCGGCATACATCTTAGCGCGGCCGAGGTTGGTGCGTATCTTGATTCGATGCTGCTTCATGTTGTCGAGCAAGCCATCCTTGGCCTTGATTGTGCCCCGGATCTCGATGGTGCCGTAATCCCACCCAAGGAGCTGCGGGGGGAGTTTGGCCTCAACGCTCCGCCATACCATGCTGATTCTCGCCCTTCCATAACCGATACCACCCACCAACGGAAAGTTGTTCATGACCTGACTTTTCTTTGCGAGTACCTTTTCCAGGGGCAGGTAAACGATGCCGATCAAGGGATCCTCTTCTCGCTCCCGAGCATCTCGAACGCTGATGATAACCTCGGTGGTCTTCCAGTCTTTGATGAAGCGTTCCGTGGACGCATTGAAAAATGGCTTCGAGTTCTTTGGTTTCGTGCGCGAGCGATAAATCTTCCTGTGGTTCAATATGATCGTGCAGTATGAATCCGGCATATCGTCAGTCTGTTCTGCCTGTTCTTCGCTGTCTTCATCGGCATCATTCTTGCCTTTGTCCTGTTTCTGCAAATTGTGCACTTCGAGTCCAGTTATGTTGTGAATCTGTACGCTCAGGATACCAGAAGTAAATTCGTTAGACGGTGGTGCAGAGATGATCATGGAGTCCTCGAGCTCTTTGAAGTCTTGGGCCTTTTGCTGATGGAGCTCATCGTCATCGGCAGCCTTGCCTGCCTCGCGGAGTTTATGCTCCGCCGCTTCGGAAACATGCTTCTTAAGCGCATCCTTGGATCGTATCTCTTCGTTGACGGTCTGCTGGTCAAGTTGCTGTTGAGTGATTCTCGTCTTGGAGAAGTAGCCAACGGACCATGTAAGTGTCCCAGGCATATTCTCGTCGGGGTCCTGCCCGTGGAAACGATCCTCTCGCTCCTGTATTTTGTTGTGGCTCTCTGGGTTATTCATCAAATCCTTCAAGTCGAGCTCGACTCTGCCCAAGTCATCATCTGCGGTCCACTTGTCGGAATCCCATAGTTGCAGACGCAATTTCTCCTCAGCGTTAAGCTCCTCGGGTGAGACCAAGATGCTGGCCCACTCGTGCCAGTCGGGTTCTTGGTCATCTTCAATGATGCGAGTCGAGGCAACCGGCTTGCCAAATTTGCCCCAACTGACAGTGACATAGCTATCGCTTGTGCCTTGCGAGGAGACGATATTTCCATCGCCCTGGGTGAAGCCACGCGCTCGCTTGATAAGTATCCAAACGACGCCCTTGCTCATGGTGTCTTTCTTGAAATCCTCTCCCACAAGCATGTCTTTGAGATTTAGCGTCAGGCTCTTGGGGGCCACGAACTCGGCCAAGGAGGCATCGATGGCAGATTGTACAAAGGAAGAAATCAAGGGCACATCCATGAGGTTCAAGCTATGCTTGGACAGCGGCACACATGACAAGTTAGCCTTGGGTTGACCTAAGAAAGTCAAGGTACAGAGACTGAAAAAGGGTGGATCGGGCTGGATGCATGTCAGTATGGCCATTCGTCAGATTATCGGGAAAACATTGTGGTCACCGTCAGTTGCAGCCGCATCCGCATTATGCCAATGATACCACGGAGCTCTACCCAAACAGGCACCGCAATACCACCAGGTAGGTAGAACTTCAGGTAAAGATGAGCGTTCTTAGCCTTCTCTTTCATGGATTTGCCCGACGACCGGCTGCGGTATGAAAAGGCAAGCTCCATATTGACGAAGTCACCTTCTTCGGCCTCCATGCCTTCACGTATGGCGCTTTGGTCTTGGCCATCGTGCTTACTGGCGTCGTCGCCTGCGTTGTCATCTTTCCCGCCATTATTACTCGACTGCTCTTGCCCATTCTCAGGATCCGTACGATCGCTTTCGGTGGCCTTGCCAGGATCCTGGAGTTGTCCGTCGGCACCAACTGTCTGGCCCGCAGCCCCCGTCGGCAGCCAGCGCACGCCAAGAATACGTAGCGACTCATTGCCCTGACCCATGTCATCGACGCTGACCATTTTGACGAACTTGGGAAGTGATGCCTGCATGACATCTTCAATAGTGTCGATGAAAGAGGAGAAGAGATCGGGATTGACGAGGGGCCAGATGGCCGCAAATAGGGAGTTTAGCCACTGCACCGATTCGGGCAACTCAGCATCCGAATCAACAGCGGCGAACTCTTCCCGCCGGGCGGCATCCCACACCTCATCGTCAAATACCTCGTTCGCCTTTTTTCTCATCCACTGTCCCAAGCCTGCGGCGACTCCGAAGCCCGATGCGACAATGCAAGTCAGACCAAAGAACATCGAAAATTGTGGGTACAGCCGTCCACTCCACGATGCCACCACAAAGGGAACAGCAGCCACGACACCGATGACACCTAGGCCAGTGTATAGCGCTTGCTGATAGACATTGGCCAACTCCTTTCGCATGTATTCGAAGTCTGGCGGGGGAAACACCTTCTGCATGCCGTTATGGCTTCTTTGTGAATCCCGCCTCTCCGCTTCGAGTTCCTCTTCCGACTTGGACGCGCCTTGTGGACCAGTCGCGTTTTCGTGCTTCGTGCCGACCTCAGGCTCGTTTTCGGGTGCTGAATTGAGGTCCTTGTCGGTTTTGTCGTAGATGACGATGGGCATGTGTGTTACCGGGTCCGTCACTTCTCGCCCCCCATCATGCCGTTTGTTCTTCTTCATGGCCTTGCGCTTCTGTCGCGGGTCGACGGTGCCAGCAGCTGCCTCCGTAGCCGACTTCGCCTGCTTGCCGTCTCCATCCTTCTTATGCTTCTCGTCGTTACCGCTCTTAGGCACATTGTCCTTTTCGTCATCCGGACGTGGGTCATGCTGTTGGGCAACTCTAGATTCTTGTTGTCGTAAAGGCTCGTCTTTATGCTGATCGGGGTTGGCGTAATTGTGATTCGCCGAAGGGTATGGATTGTATTGCGAGCTAGGGTCGTCGTCGCCTTTCAAGATGGCTTTTACCGAATGGAAGGCTCGATTTGGTTTCGACCCATCTTCTGGGCCTTCTTGAGCTTCCTCCGTCTTTTCTACCTGACCCTGGAGCTCTTTTCGATGCTCTCGGTAGCCTTGGATGGTCGGGACTGTAACGTGAGTCAGTAAACGATACCTTGGACAGCTTTTTCGATCAAATGTGCGTCCGAGGTCATGCCCATGCGAGGCAATTCCCAAGGATATACTCAATAGGCGGATTTCGCCCACATGACAAGAGTTCGAAGTGGCATACTAGGATGTTGCCCCGAGTGTGGCTTGGTGTACTGTCTCCCCCCCGCATCGTCCTCGAAGTCTCTTTCGTCGGCCATGTTGGAGGAACCAATGTGTAAACCGGCTATACGAACTAGGCTAGGTACAGAGCGAGCTGAACGGGAAGGAGCAGGCAAGATGAAGGAGGAGGGAAACGCAACGCAACGCCAGCAAGTACGAATATCAAGAGCTCATGTCTGGAGTACAAGGGCGACTTGGGGACATCGGCCAGATGACGCGAATAAGAACGAAAACTTGTATGCAAAGTACCGTTCATCCACTATTGGCTTGGCTGCGAAGCAAGAGGTGATCGGATGCAAGGCACAGGCTGGCACGGTGTAGCAACGTGTAACGTTGGATGCTATTGTGCTATGAGGTCATAAGCGCTCTGAAACGTGCAAAGCTAGGCCTTGCCAAGTGCCGTGTTGCCGCCCAAGCTAGTAGGGACTGCCAAGCTACGCTACATCTCCGTGCTGCTTGACACTTGGGAAACAATTTCAGAAGCAGACAAAAGAAGTCGAGAATGACTAACTGGATAACCTTAAAATATGGTAGTGAGATAGATGCTATGTCAATCGGAAGACTTCTCAAAATCAGAATAAATTCAGTGTTCTTCGTCGGGAAGCAAAGCTGGAAAGAAACACTCACACCCCACTTTCCCACCGCACCATCCAATGTATTCAACAAACGTCAGGTGGCTTGGTTAGCCTGTACGGCCCAGTCGCTAGGTGGAGCCAGCCATTTTCCCCGCAATTTGAGCTGCGAAGATCAATCGAGCCTAGAACCATGCGAAGCGTCGTCAGATATCTAAGCTTTCGACGACATCTACTCGTCAGGCCTAGCTCTAAAAGCTATGGGCAGAGGCATATACACTTCAATAACGGATGTGTCGGCGCCGGCGATGCGGTTGTGGCTTGGTTGAATTGTGTTCGACTCATCCCCGCTGGTCTCCTTCCACTTTTGTTGTACTTCATCCTAGTGGGTTGAGGTTCTACTTGGATGGCAAATATATAGTCGACTGGTGCTGATATCGGTCTTAATGTCCTCTCAATACCGATGCATTCGTAGTAAATATCGCTGGAGGTTATGTAGTCTGCCCTCAACAGGCGATGAATATGCAGGCAAATGGTGAGGACTTCTCTTGATTGCATCGACCAATGTTGTGAGACAAGCTCGAGAAGACGTCCCAGATACAAATGGTACATTTGGCAAGAGAATCAAAGGCATAAGTACGTCGAAGTCAGATGTCAACTGTACCCAAATAAAGTATGCTTCGCTGGTTAATCGCACCCCGAGGGCATTCCTCAAGCTCCAGCAGCATCCGCCTAGCTCCCCCCCTCATGAGACTTCCGGACGTAATCATCATATCTCAGATAGGCTCCCAAAAGGGTTTGCGCTCCAGCGGCACAGCTAAAATAGAGAAGTCAGCAAGAAACCATCGAGGTACGCTGATGAACTTACTCTTCAGGGCTGGAGTACTCAGCTGGGTTGTGGCTGATTCCATCCCGACAACGAACGAAAATCATGGCCGTGGGTACCTTTCTGGACGCGTAGACACTGTCATGGCCTGCACCGCTCACCAGTTCCATCGCACAACCAAGAGACTTCGCTGACTCTCTTACACAATTGACCATTGTCGGGTCAAAGTGAAGGGCAGGGGAAGTCCAGAATCGGTCGACAGCGACGGTCAATCCTGCCTCTTCTGCGATCTTCTGGAAAGAGTTCCGGCAAAGCTCCTCCACTTTGGCCGTGTCGGCGTCGGCCGGGGCCCTGATGTCCAGGCCCATTTTCACTTTGCCAGCAATAGTGTTGATGGACTGCGGTAGAGAATTGATGACAGCAATCGTTGCTCGTGCCCCTCGCGCCGCCAGCTCTCCTTCCGTAACGAATCGGTTGGTTTCGATAATAATTTTTGCCGCCCCGAGCAGAGCGTCGCTCCTACGGTCCATTGGAGTCGTCCCCGTATGAGCCTCGCGTCCGGCGACATCGATGTGATACCAGCACATCGACTGAACCCCTGTGACGACGGCGATGGCCTCTTTGGCAACATCCAAGATGGGCCCCTGTTCAATATGAACTTCGAAATGCGCTAGCAGGGGATTGGCATCGTATGAACAGGGCACATCGCCTTTGTAACCGATGCGCTCCAGTTCTTGTCCTAATGACTTTCCGCCGGGGTCAGTCCGCGAGTGACCATAATCAACACTGAACTCGCCACCCCAGACTCCAGAGCACAGCATCGCAGGGGGGAATCGAGCTCCTTCTTCATTAGTCCAGTTAACAACAGCCAGAGGTGCGTACGTAGTGACGTTGTTGGCGTGGATCGTCTTCAGAACCTCGAGGGCAGAAATGACGCCCAATATACCATCGTATCTTCCTCCTGTCGGTTGAGTGTCCAGATGAGACCCCAGACCAATAGGGGGTAAGTTGTTGTTCTGGCCCGGTCGGATAGCGAATATGTTGCCCATCTGGTCCACCTGGACGCGTTTCTGTGGTTGGCTTGTGGTTTCATCACTTAAGGGCCTTTGAAACGTACTTTGATCTCGCAACCGCACTTCTTGGCCTCGTCAACAAACCAGTCTCGGACTTTGCGGTCGTCATCATTACATGATAGACGGTCTGTAGCACGTATCAGTAGATGCGTCGCCTTGTCTTTTGCCTCGCGTACTCATTCCGCCGTCCGGTGTGCTTCAGGATCGTCAACATTACGGGCTATAAGTGCCAATAGGAAGTAGTATACCTGCCCCAAGCACATGAAGCCTCTATCATGCTCATAGTCCGTTCCGCATCGATGCTTAGATGTGCATATCTCGAGGGCATTGCAACTTCGGACACCATATTGGCGGGAGGACGGATCGCTGCCGATGGACTAACCGTAAAGTAGCGACGGGTTTCATAGACAGGTGGGAGTGAGAATATTCCAATTTGACAGCCTCGATGTGTAGTCAAAGTAGAATAACTCCTGGGAGAGACTATGAAACCAGTATCAACGACTCGTGCAGATATATGCCTTATCACCTTCCGCGGCGGAGAAGCGTTAGGCCAAGCGGCACCTCCGAGTCGCCAGCACCATCCCACGGCCGCTTGTCCCGGGCGAGATTGGGTCATCATTACGAGTTCGGTTTACGAAGTACACAGGTACAAAGGACGATAGCGACAAGACGGACTTCTGTCTACCCGAGTACCGAGGGTGTTGGCATCCATCGGAGGCTTCAGCTCAGTAATAAGTCGGCCGTTATCTACTTTTATTCGAGAGCAACTGAAAGAGCGACGGCAGGAGGGGGTTGCCATTGCCTGCCACCATGCCTGCATGGGCCCGTGCACGGGACAACAGTCACAGCCCGACTGGGTTCATTGCTGGCTATGAACTCGACCGTCTAATAAAAGAAAGGGGCGAGCTATTATGGTTTCCGTCTTCTGACATGTATCCCGCACCACAAAACTCATGCCAACTTGCCATAGTCGGTTGCATCGGCCGGCATGCCCCGAGATGCATCGGCTCCGGACCCCAGGCTGTTGTTGATAAGGCGCTGGGGATGGCGTCGCACAACTCCGCGCGTCCTTCAAGGTGCCGGCTTAGATTTTAGGCCTGCTTGATTCGACGGCAGCTGGCCATGATCTAATCAACTCGTATAAGTCGTTTAAGCTTTGTGCAATAACAACGGCAAGCAGCGATGAGAGCGTGTGTCCGAAAATCCCATTACCTCAAATTACTCGGCTCCCGTGTGACTTAGCGCCAACGATAGTCGGTCAGTCTCCACCACGAAGCTATAGGCGCATGCGTTGGATAACAGCAGGCTTGCTTAGAATGGCTTTCAAGCGACGGGCCCCATCTTGATTGTGGGCGATATTGCGCTGCACGTAGCTATCGTTGCAGCTCCCGTCCAAGTTGTTTTCAAGTTTGGTTTCAAAATCAAGCAGTGGTAATGTTACTAACAAAGTCTAGAAACGGTCATCGTGTATACTTGTGTTATTCAGTCTCTGGTAACAGCACGTCTCCAGTCGTACTTCGGTTGAATTCCCGTGCACCTCCAAGCTTCGGAGAACTTGCTTACAAAGGCTCCAGTCCCCGTCCAAGGAACGTCGATTCGCCGAACTCCCCCTCGGCCACCTGGAATAGGGGGAGACCCATGACTTGACGACTGTTAGCTTCACCTCAACAAGCTCCCGAATTAAACTCACAGTATCCATTGGGGGCTTTTCCGATAGCATTCCACGTTGCCTGCGCCTCCTCTTCACCAATCACCACAAGCGGCTGCCCTCTTCCATTCGCACTGGCATCAGCCGCGAGTTGCACCTGGCAGCACTTCTCAAGCAATGCGAACCAAGCCACGGTAGCCTCGATGGACTGCCCTGCGGTCAATAGCCCATGGTTGCCCAGCAAAGCCGCTTTCTTATTTCCAAGACACTTGGCGATCTGTTGTCCCTCTTCAGCAGCGAGCACGACGCCGGCAAAGTTGGGATACAACACATGGTCATTGTAGAAGATACAGAAGTCTTGTGTGAGCATATCCAGCTTGCGGCCAGTGGCGCACATAGCCCGGCCGTAAACGCTGTGGGAATGCGCCGCGCATAGCACGTCAGGTCTGGCCTTGTGGATCTCTGCGTGGATGGCATATGCAGCTGTACCATATTGTCAGCCCATCGACCGTAGCAATGTGGTACGATGCTCGATACCGTAGTTCAATCTCCAGTTCTTGCCGCCATCCACGACCTTGCCAGAATGATCCACGCGAATAAGGTCCTCATCTCTGATCAGGGAGAAATGCATGCCAAATGGGTTGACCCAGAAGCTATTTGGGTCAACTGGGTCCCTCACGGTGATGTGCCCGGCGATGCCTTCGGAAAAGCCAAGTTGAGCAAAGATGCGGAAGGCAATAGCGAGCCGGTGCTTCAAGTATTTCCGCTCTTCATGCTTATCGGTAAAGGTGGGCGGGCTTGTGCTATCATCCGGAGTGAATGCAAGATCTGGATCACCACTGCTGGTCTTGTTTTTAACTGGCTCTGACACCGAGGCAGTGACGGGCTCGGAGGCTGAAGGGGCCATTCCCAAAGCTGAATACGACAGCGGACCAGTCTTGAGCCAAGCAATTGTAAGTTACAACAGTGAAGTGCCACAGTTCCTCTAAAAGCAGGCAGTAGTGACTAAAAGTATAATGTAGCTGGGCTGGTAATGCGGAGCCGTCTGCAACTATAGATAACGGATTATGCGGGTTGTAACCTCGTGGCATCGGAAGGCGCGGTGCCCCGATGTTAACCTCCGGCACCGGTGAGAAATGTCACCGTAATAATAATAATATTAAATACGCCGTAGGTGTTAACCCTCGGTACCTCTACAAGTACTCCTTAAGGGACTATAGATGATATAGCGGGCCCTTAAGCCGCGTCGGGCGGTTATACAGGTAAACTTGTAGCCAAACGACTACTAAACCTCCTATCCCTCCCTAAGTCTGTGCTACAACCCTGCCTGAACTACCGATAAGTGTGGTAATGTGGCACTTAAATTCGTCCTCAGGGGTGGGATGCTGCTGATGTGCAGAAGATGCTCGACTATTTTTTGTCGCGACAAGTCGTAGTATCTGCTAATTGGGGTTCTCGTCGAGCGTATACACATCTCAACCATACGCTCAAGTGGATAGACCGTAACATGGTCAGACGCTCGCAAGAATCGCGGCGAGAGGGCGTGCTGCGCGCCTTCTATCGTGAGGGGACGGGTTCGCCGACGAGCGTTATCGGAAAGGCGAGGTCCGATAAGGGGTCGGATTAACGATTCGAATTCTGGACCGGCTGTCGAGTTATATTCCACCTACGTAGTGCTTGACGGTCGACTGGCTAGGATGCTCGTAATCCTAAACGGCACCAATCTCCGTATTATCGCTAGGTAGGCGAAGTCAACAAGGTGGGCAGCGCGCCGTAAGGGTTGATTGACTAAACCCCTTTGTGTATCAGCTGCGGGATTCGAACCCGCGACTCGTCACCGACCCAAGTGGGTGAGGCTCAAGTCGGCACTTATCTACCAGCGAAGGGACCAACTACACCAGCCGACAATGTCACCGTAATAACATAAACTTATCACGTTCAAAATCCAGGCATATGTGAAAAGCTCACAATCTAGGACACTCCAAGTTTTTGAGCTCGATTCGGAATTTTGCTGCAGGCTCCACAGACACTGAAGATGACAAACCCGTCGCCGGTTCACCACGACATCGTGGCCCTCGAAACATTTTTCTGCCCCTTACCGGCAAAACTTGACATGCCCCCAGGCCACACGTACACAATCACACAATATGATCGGACGCGGGTGGACCAGATCGCGGAGCGCATCCGCGATGCCGACATCGTCATAATGACCATCATCAACATGTCAGCTGAGGTCCTGGCCGTGGAAGCGAGTCCCCGTTTAAAGGCGATATTCGACGTGGCCTCCGGGACGGACTCCATCGACATGGCTGTGTGTAGAGCACGGGGTATTCACGTCGCCAACATGCCGCATTGCAATGCGACCACGGTGGCGGAGCACGTCATTGCGTCTTATTTTGCGGCGCGGAGGTCAATCACTCTGTCGCATTCTTTGATACGGAGGGGCGAATGGCCTAAACGGGGAACACTGCTCAGAACGCTGGACGGGCCAGATGGGAAGCTGCCGAGGACGGCTGGGAACGAGATCATGGGCATTATTGGCTGGGGTGCCGTGGGAAAGAAAGCCGCCTCAGTAGCTGAGACTTTGGGCATGAAAGTTCTCGTCTCAGGGCGAAAAGGGGCGCCGGCCTCCGAGGGACGTACGCCTTTTGATACCGTCATTCGCGAGGCCACTGTGATTGTCCTCTGCCTTCCTAGGTCGCCAGAGGTGCTGAACTTGGTCTCTACTCCTGAGTTTGAGGCCATGCAATCGTGTTGTGTCTTAGTCAACGTCTCTCGTGGTGGAATCGTCGATGACGACGCCCTGGTCAAAGCCTTGAGGGAAAGGAAAATTGCGGGTGCGGCCTCCGATGTCTATCTGTATGAACCAGCGGGGCCTGAGAATAGCCCACTGCTGGCACCTGACACACAGGATTTGAATCTCGTCACCACACCACATGTGGCCTGGTGCTCCGAGGACACAATTATCAGCTACAACAATGCCCTGAAGGAGAATATATCGAGCTGGTTAAATGGGACCCCTGTGAACACGGTCATCTAGAGGTCCATTTTGTCTTTTGGTATGCAATTGGAAACACGGTAAAGGGGGGCAGAGAAAAGGCAAACATAATTATAGATTAGTTACGATACCTGGGCATCGGCATAGCCCCAAGGCTGCCAGTGCCAGTGCTAGTGCCTCTTTCTAGCATTATCCACGCAACTTTCTCATGACCAGTGCGAATAGCAGCCATGCGAGATTAGGCTGTATACCGTGCATCAAAATATTTAGTAACCCCATAGACTATCAGCAAAAGTGCGGTTGCGAACATCTTAAATGAACTTCAGAGCTCCCCTTCCCCTTATTTTCCGGATAGGCCCATGAGAGACAGGGGTGACGTAAGTCAGGGATCATGGGTTATGTTGTTGAATCGGTGCATCTAGAGGTAGCCACTGGTGATTTGAGACTCAACATGTCCACACAAAACACCTTTCAAAGTATGAACAGGCAAATTGAGAAAAAAAGAGTCTTACATTATGGGATTTGGGTCCAAATCAACTGTCTGTGGGATTACATATACGTGTTCGAGTGTGATCACACCGAAGTTAAATTCGACCATTTGAGTCGCATAGTAGCTACGAGTCGAGGAAACACGGACAGACGGAATTAATCGATCATGATACAGATCTTCCGAGCATACAAGTAATAAATGGGTATGGGTTGGTACTCCAAGTAGCGTTTGGACCTCGAATGGCTATTGATGTAAATAGCCAAGTGTCGATCAACCTAAAGGATCGAGCGTAGCAAGTAATAAAGGTCAAGACTGGGAGGGGTGCATAGACCACAGCCATAATGTGCCGATATTAAGACAAAGGCTTCTGGGACACGAGACACAAGTAAAATGTGTGTACACAGCCAAATGAAAAGCATTTCTTTTCGGTATCATCCTATTCCTAGTGCGAGTCTCTTGAGCATAACCTACCCTAGGATGCATAGAGACACAAAGCGTACGTAACGCGACAAGAGCCGAGACCTTCCCTTACCCTTGAGGGAACCATGAAGGAAAAATCAGAGTATCTTCTGGTAACATCGTACACGTTCATTTTGACCTCTCCTCCAGTGAAGAGATCCGCTAGAATCAAACCTTTTCGCAGTACAGAGCAAAATAGAAAGCCCTGGTGCAGAAACTTTTCATGTCCATTTTCATTAGTGCATCCCCCTAGTCAAGCGTCAAGTGAAGAGCGATACCCAGCTCCTCCAGACTGTGGTTGGTCTCGTTGTGATTTCGCTTTTTCGTATGAGTCGGCAGAAACGGGGCTTGGAAGATTGATCGCACGGTAGGGTTGAATTTGTTCCAGACACCTTACCAAACTGGACGGCAATTATGGAAGATACTGGCGGTTATTGATGATAGACTCTCGTTGGACATCCAGACGCATGAATCGATCCCGATTTGTGGGTTGATCGGGGGTTCCCTGTTGCATTTCCGATACGAGTGTTTTTGCAGACTCGCTCTAGTAATTGTTGCCCCAACCACCCTGCTGCTGTCGGCCGCCGTAGTTTCCAAAACCTTGGTTGCCGCCGTAGCCACCGTAGTTGCCATACGGGCTGCTGGCGTGACCCTGCCCGCCAGCTCCCCCTAGACCGTAGCCAGTGGCGCCGGTTTGGTTTCCGTGCAGACCGTGGCTTTGCAAATGGCTGGGATATCCGCCATAGCCACCCATTCCCTGTGCGCCCGACTGGGGCGGGGGAAGACCAGATTGGCCAGGGGTGTTATTCGCAGCGGAGCCTGGACGAGCAGCGGCGGCGAGCGAAGGGCTTGGACCACCAGCTGCTTTCGCGTCGCCATAGGGCTTGAGGTCGTCACTCGCAGAGCCAGCCTGGGCGTTGGGACCGTTGAAACCCTGTCCTGCCTGGGATTGATAAGACGATCCAGCTCGCCCGAAGGCATCGTGTGACCCGCCAAATCCGCTGTTGCCAAGACCTTGCGCGCCGGACTGAGCTGAGCCAGCACGGCCATAGTTTTCGATGCTAGAGGCGATGCCACTGTCACGGCCCGCAAGAGAGGGTTGTCCAAAGCCGCTGGTAGCAGGCGAAGAGCTGTGGTCGTACGGCGATTGGTGAGACATTCCGTACTGGTGTTGTCCGTAGACACCCCCCTTGCCACCGTAGGGGCCTTGACCATATCCACCTTGTCCATACCCGGCACCGTAAGCCGAATTCATGTATTGAGCGTAGAAGGGGCTGTTGTAGTAAGGGTGGCCGTAAGGGTACGAGCCAGCGGGAGGTTGCTGGTGCAGACCAGATTGGGGGCCATTGTTCTGAGCAGCTTGCGGCTGTTGCTGATGCGGGGTCTGGTTGGTGGGATTGGGAGTATTGTGACCACTGTTCTGGACATCCGAAGCTGCCGCAGCAGCTCCGTATCGAGACTGTGGGGCAGCGCTCTGAGGATATTGGCTAAGATTATCATTGCTCTGGGAGGCATTGTAGCCACCGAACCCTCGTTGCTGGGCGTTCGGTCCTTCAGTATGGCCCTGTCCAGCATGTTGCTGGCCGTACTGTTGCGCACCGTAGTAGTTGTTATATGGGTTGCGAGACTGTGGGTCAGCTGTGTAGTAGTTAGAGTAATCGCTTGGTGCGGAGCTGAATGCGCCGGCTCCGGGCTGACTTGGCGCCTGGCTGGTGGGTGCCGGGAAGCTGTCAAAACCACCGGCCGAGGTGACGGGGTTCTGCTGACCGAAGCTGTCATATGGTTTTTGGGGGAATGAGGCTTGGTCCTGAGTGTTAGTCTGGCCGAAGCGTCCGAACTGCTGGTTGCTTGCTGGCGCTTGAGGCGCTGGGTACATGTCAGTGGGCACTATGGGTTGAGGATATCGCGACATACCTGGTGCAGCCGTGGCGGCAGAAGGGCCGGTAGGAGTAGCTACGGGGGTTGCTGACGATTGATCAGTGCGACTATTCTTGCTGTGCATTGTGAAAGGGGTTTTATTACCAGCTGCGCCGGTTGGTTGCGGCAGGGAAGTGGCAGGCTTTGGAGCCGCCGCGGCGGCGGCAGGGAACGCCTCAGGTAAAGCGGATGGTTGGGCGACGGGCGGAAGGGAGGCACGGGGTTGAATGGGCGAGTCAGATGGTGGTTGAGCTCGAGTCTCGGCCTCTTCCCGATCTCCATCAATATCGTCATCGTTTCCATTCAGGCTGAAGGCACCGAATTGCACAGCGGCTCGGTCGACTTCACGGTTGCCGGGCATACGAACTGCCTCTTCCTGTTCGAGCAGCCGTCGTTGGTAGCTGGGGATACGAATGGGGCGTTCTGTCGCCTTTAGGGCGGTGGCGACAAAGCCACTAGAAACCGGACGCGTGGCTTGGTGCTGAGCTTGTGATGCTGAGATAGGAGTTGCATTTGCGTTGATTGGCGCAGAGCGGGGATCCCACGAGTCAGTAGCAGTGCTTGCGGCAGTAGCTGTGCCTGGAGGATGAGACTCGTCGGGCAATTGCGCGAGGTTACCCTTGGTGAGATCGTCTTCGGGCGGGGGTAGAGCGACCTCCGGCTCGACAATCTTCGGCGCCTCGGCGGTGACCGGTACTGCGGGGGCAGGCTCTTGCTCGGCTGGCTCTTCAGGTGTATCTTCGACCGTCGGTTCGGCCTCGGCAGGGGCAGGTTCGGCAGCAGGGAGCGACTCGGTGGGTTCGGCAGCTTTGGGGGCAGCAGGCTCCTTGGGCTTAGATACGGCGGCGGGCTTTGGAGCGGTCGACTGTCTCAACATACTGGCCCAGGTCTTCGGCTTCGGACCAGTGTTCTCGGTAGTAGGAGCGGTGGCAGGCGGGGCGGCAGGAGGAGAGTCTGAGGTAGTGTTGGCAGTAGTGGTAGTGTCTGTGGTGCCCCAACCAGTGGTTCCCCATTCATTCGTAGGCGCATCGTCGGGAGATGTGGCGTTGCCCCAGCCAGACGACTCATCGGTAGGCACAGAGAGCTGTTGGTTCTCTTTGGATCGTTGACCGTTGGTAGTCGTCAAGGCAGCACCTCTGCCTCTACCACCACGAGCTCGCTCGCTGGCACGAGCACCACGAGCACCTCGTCCGCCGTCTGAGCGACTACCTCGGGCCAGTCTGCTGTTACCAGATGTCTCCGTCAAGCCAGTCGAAACAGCCGAGTCCTTAGCCTTTGGCTTAGAAGTCTTCTTGGGCTTCGAGACCTCACCCCATTGTGAGATAGAGCCTGTGATTGAGCGGTAGGTTAGCATCAGGTCACGTATACTTCAAGAAGCTAGAGAACACATCAAAGTAGAGGGAAGGTGGACCGGGAAAACGCACCATCGGCGATTCGGGTGGCAGCGACTTCAACGTCGCCATCCGTCTCTTGCAATGCATAGAGAATGTCGGCATCAGACCAGTCGGGGAAGAGTTCCTTGATGGTTTCAAGCTTGCCGCCGTACTGCTTTCTGAGTTGGCCCACGTCGCCATCGTCATCGAGGGTAGGGGAGTCTGTTGCTGATGTGGCCAGCTTATCGCCGTTGGCTCGTCTGTTATTGCTCGGTCGCCCGCCACCAAAACCGCCTCGGGCCCCTCGACCACCGCCTCTACCGCGAGAGGTCGGGGCCTGGGATCGTGCTTGCACCTCAGACATTGCTGAGAGTGATGTGTGTGGTGTAGTGTGTGATGTGGATGAATCCCTTTCTGGAAGGGATGGCGATGGTGCTGATCAAATCGGCAGTCAAAATGTCGATGCAGTGTCGGGCAGGGGAGAGGCGTCTGATGGTGGATGAATTAAGTTAGATGGTTGGTCGGTAGAATGGGGTGTAGAGGTGAGAAAGGTCACGGTCAAGGGAGGAAGCCGAATTGAGGCTGACTTTTCGCAAAGTGGGCGTGTCAAGAACGCGCAGGAGCTGCAGGCGGCCCAGGCTCGTCTCGTGACAATGCTATGTGAAAGATGCAACCAAACAAAAAATAGTTGTTGGTGCTTGCACTGTTTGTATTGAGACAAGAGCTGGGGAAAATCTTGTGAAGACAGAAAGAATATTTGACGAATCTCGAATGCTCCAGTCTCCGCTATCTGAGCCCACAGCAGATATGGCAGGTGAATTCAATGTTCCAATTCGTAGCTTCTCTTTTAGAACGACAGTAGAGCTGAGAGGCGCTGCAGCGATGCCTGATGGCGTTTGTTCCAGTAGTTACCTACCCGGTGTGCTTGCTAGGTTTTTTTTACATTGCTTTTGGAGACCAATCAAAATGCTTGAATCCCCAGCCAGCCTAGCCCACCTTTCCGTCCAGATCGCGATGGAGTATCTATACTTCCAAACTGCTTTCTACGGGTCACTTGGTTAGATATTCGCTTCTCATGTCGACCTTCTCAGCACCGGAGTATGCTGTCAATTACCCAGTACCTGTTTCGACTATGTTACACTACATCAGCTGATACTTGGGTGGACGCTTCTTGGAAATTTAATCGGAACTTAGAAGAATGCCAAATCTTGACGGAACACAACGTCTACGTTGTCAGCATTATAAGATCAAGTTGAAGTCCAGTCACCCTCCAGTTCGGTCTTGCACACCAAAAGCACCAGCCCATTTGCACCTGAGGTCGTGCGATAATCATGTACATATACTGCCTCCTCTTGCTGGGCAGGTTTTGAATTTCTGGGGTCGATCAATGTCAGCTAAGTCGCATGACATGAATCAGGAACGAGCTCCGCAATTAAATCTTCGGGCCGGATTATTGTTGCGGAGTACTTATCTACCGGTAACCTAGCTAAAATAGAGAGCTCCACCACGAATTGGAGATGAGTCGCGATCGAGGCTCTACTCTTGAGCAACGGTACCATAGTGCCGACTACCTCTCATGGTGATGACGTTGGAAAAACTCTTGGCCTGCACATTTAACTGCTCAATTAGGACAGAAGCTTTTCACCTCGCGAGGCCTGCGAATATGTGGTGCTAATCAGAAAGACGCAATCAAGCTCTTCAGCCATAACACCCGACCGGCCGCAGAGTGCCATCGTCATCATGGTCGCCCGAACATCCGTCCTCAATTCGCTCAAGAAGGGCTTGCTGCCACAGATTCACCACCCGCTTCCTCTAAACCGCCGAGAATCTCAGCAATTGCTGAAACAGATTACAACCTCATTCCGGAAGAACCTAGATAAGGAGCACCCATGGCAGCCTTCAGAAACACCGTCTCCATCTCGGCACGACCACCCCACCGGCAACACTAAGGATACAACTCAGAAACATCACCCGACCGACCTACATTTGGAGTCGATTCTGTCGAATCCTCTCTTCTCCCACCCACGCCACGACCCTGTTGCGCTGAACCGCGCTGCGCCGCGACACAATCCCACAGATGTCTTCGATCATGCAGTATCTCGGGGCATGATGACCCCCCGGCGTGCGGCTGGCTTCTTGGCGGCTGTGAAACTTGACATCGAAAAATCCTCTACGCTGGACATCGAGCAAGGCATGGCCGCGTCAGGCGCGGGGCTTCGTGTAGTGAAATGGCTTCGCGCATCCGGGCTGGAGAATCGTGTTGACTTTCTATCCGTGCCTTACTCGGGCCTCATGAGAGTGCTGGTTCCATTTCTGCAGGCTGAAGGGCTTCAAGAGATCGTTTGGACGTGGATTTCAAGGCTTGGAGTCCGACTTGCCACTACCCAAGTAGACGAACAAGCACAACTTTTGATGGCGCAGCTGCTCGCAAGGACGGTGATAGGCAGCAGCATGACAGGGGAAGGCTTGCCCCTTGACACTGCCTACTCTTCCATTATTCGGGCGAATCAGACTCTGCCGATGGAAAATCTAGCCGTCGCAAATCACGTGAAAACGAATTGGCTTCGCCTCTCGTGGAAATCAACCGTAGAGGCTTGGAAACATCCTAAACCATCGGCACCTCTGTTTGACCTGTTTGTTGATATGGGACGACCATTTCGCCAACAACTTGATCTTGCTCATTTAGAGCTACTCCACCCCTCAAATCCGGACCACTCATCAGCGGTCAACTATCTTCACGATAATGGCAGGATCGCAAGAGCAGTTGAAAAGGCGAAAGCAAATTCGTCTAGCAAATATCCTACAAGGATGATAGTCCTGGGCACAGATACTGTCAGTAGATTGAAGGAAGTCGGGCAAAATGATGAAGCGTCGTGGGTGAAGGAGTTTATTTCGAAAACCTTCTTCGCTTGGAACAGCAACACAAAGCTGGATCCATCAGAACTACTGGACCTGAGAACCAAAACTGGGTTGCCTGCATGAGATGAGGTTGAGAATATTGAGATGCAAAATTGAGCCAATCGGCGTACGTGTTCATGAACTTTAGAGATATATCCGGCATGGGAATGGCGTTTTAGGAGTTGCTCAGAGTGCTGCTAGGAGGGTTACAATGTTATGCTCAAATGTATGTCCACTGACCTGATTGACAATGTGGTGGGCTGTCAATGGGCAGTGTACGTCGAATATTATGTATGAAGAGGAACAAGCCATGGTCCAGTGCGATTACCAGGCAAGCAATAATCCGTCCAGGCAAGACGTTGAACCAAACACGTCACGTATGTTTGCATTCCGATAATGTCTGAGTTATCAGGTGGTTATCTCATGGGGATATTTAAGAGTGGAGTTAATTGAATACTCGACATGGCGCCTGCAGCGAGGCAGACAAACGGGACTAGGGCAGGCCATGAAGGCTTCGGAGAGAACAAACTAGGTGTGCTGGGCGTAGGTTTGAGATATGGAACGAGGAACCACAAGCACACACGGGAGGTTGATAGGTGCTGAAGCCTCGAGACAACATGGTTGTAGGTCCACTTCAATCTCATTGGAAGACAATGCTGCAATCAATGCAACATGATCAATAGAGGCACAAGTGAATAGTGAGGCATAGTTTAGCATTATTATTTCCCGAGGAGACTTGTAATGATGTAGGCGTGTAGCTGGTCGTAATCAGAGTTAGGGCGTACAATATGGGATGTGTATTGAAACAGGATGCATCAACTTCGTAGTAAAAGCAATAAGGTGCAGAAAGACACAATAAAACTCTGCCCAAGCCATGTCCGAATAATAACAGGGACAGGCTCACATTCTAATAATGACAAACTCCCACGTACTCCAGGATGACAAGTTTTGCGTAATGATCCTGAGAAACGCTTCAAAGGGCTACTCGGTGCTTATGCTTCAGGGCAAATGCCCTTCTCGTGGTACTAATTTATCTTCTACAATTGAGCTATTGACAAAGACTTTCTTGAAAACGTGGTGGCGAAAGGGTGCCTGTCAAGTTTAACATTATCAAGAAGACCACGGTGGCTGTTGTTTCCGGTAGCAACTTCACAAATCATCCAACAGAGCAAGCTTGGTTCTAGATTTTAACCCAAGTATATAAGGATATAAACATACTATAAGGGGGGGAGAACCAATTAATAGTGTAATATCAAGCAAAATACATAGCCCTTTATAGTAGCGTCAACCCCATGAAACGACTGCAGTGGTCAAGTCTTCTCTGACTGCATCTTCTCCTCCGCTCCCTGCCAGCCATTGCCATCAAAATCTGACACCCACCTCTCACGGTGGTCGCCATTGCTGACCTTGTTTCACTGCTCAAAGATACGAAGCCCTGTTGCTCTCATCAAAATCCTCCACGATTCGTGGCTGGTACCCGTTTCGGTTCGGACAAGCCCGCATTTAAGTCTGTAAAAGCAGATTCAACAGTGGCGCACATTGCTCCTGTGCTGTAACCTTTTCGCCAGTGCTAATGGTCGATCCTCACAACGAAGTCCCTGAGGAACACAGGACCAGGTATTGATACTATACCTAGAGGAGTTGGATGTCAAGTCATCATCTACACGAATCATGATGTACCTTAAGTTCGTATCTATTGTGGGGTATAACGACCAAATTGATGAACAGATAGACACGAAATTCGGGGGGTTCTGCCACCTGCATCCTAGAGATAGTACGTTATTTCTACCCGCCACATGTGTTTCCGCCACCGTTTCATGTATATAAAAAAAGAACAACTCCCTATGGTTATTGTTTGCTCGACTGATGTTGTAGGACACGGTCATTCCATTCAGCCCCATTCTGCAACCCCTGCCTCTCATCCCTGCCCATCGTCCATACATTCCGGATTCATCGTCACCTGCAAGTGGGTAGAAGAGCGGTCCGGGCATATTGATAGCGGAGACTGTGGGTATCCTGCAGAAAATGCGGCCACGTCGATTTAGCCCGACACGGGGTTTTATGAACTATCGACATGTTGGGTGGACATTTAATACTCGAGTATTCCGTACTAAAAGTACATTTTGTTCTTAGCTTGTAAGTCTGAGGAACCGCGTTTACTACACATCATCAACTCTTTCGGTATATTATACCGAATACGACCCTCTTACCTGACACTTTTGCCTAGCATTGCGCCTCGGGCCTCAGACCGCGCCATCAAATAATACCCTTGTACTGATTGTTTCCAAGCGAGCTCTTGGACGTCCTCCAGATCCAGAGCTACCATGCCGCTGCGCCTCAAAAAAGAATGAAGACCATCAAAAAGGCTCGGTCTTTTTTCCTCGTTCCCAGATCACCTCATACGGATACAGCAAAAATGCCGTCAGTCAAGCTCGTCATCTTTGACTTCGAAGGCACCCTGTTCGACACGCAGAGGTCCATCTCGCACTGCATCAAGCTCACATTTGATGCGTTGCTCCCCTCTAAGGCGCCCTCTGAGCCCAAGGTGCATCGGCTCATATCTAGCGGGGCTGGTCTGATGCAGACTTTCAAATCGCTTCACCCCGACCCATCATCTTTGGACGAGGAGAAATGGACGGCGACTTATCGTGCGATATACGCTAAGCATGGGCAGCCCCTGATTGCGGCATTCACTGGCACAAAGGAGCTTCTCACGGCGCTAAGGCAGCGAGGAATCCTGGCTGCAATCATAAGCAACAAAGGCGTGGCGGCCGTTTCGACGGCGCTCAAGAACAACGGCATGGAAAACTCCATTCCCGAAGATCTGATTATCGGCGACAAAACACCAGGTGCGACGCGGAAACCGGATTCTGGAAGCTACGTCAATGTGCTGCTGCCAGCCCTTAAAGCAAGGGGTCATGGTGATTTCGATCCTGCATCGGTGCTGGTCGTAGGCGACACAATGACGGATATCAAGTTTGCGGCGAATATCAGAGCTAGGTCTGTCTGGTGAGTGACTCTGCAAGTCTTTGGTTTTCCTTCACCTTGTGTCTTGGGGGTAGTGAGCTCTGCACATCGCAGTCTTCCCTCCTGATACGCGTTGCAAATAACATGGACTAATACAGAGAGATGCACAGGTGTAGGTACGGCTATGGAAATAGAGTCGAATGCGAGAAGTTAATCCCAAATTTTGCTGTAAGCTCCCTGAAAGGGGTGATCACAATACTCGATTTGGAAAACGACGAGCCGCCTAGAAGTGCGTGAAGCTTTGAATCATCCATATAAATCAGTGAAATTATAGTTTGTAAACAGTGAACATTCGGGAGCTGCAAAATAAGGAGTCAGCTGACTATAAAGTGTGCTACTGGGAAGAATATCGTGTAGGTCACAGGAAAAGTTGCATGTGTTTTAATCATATAATCGATTGCTTGCATTGTATATTTAGTTTTTCAGATGATAAGCCCCGGCTCAGAATATGAGCAGATACTATACAATGTCGATAAAACTTTACTCATGAGCTACAGGACGAACCAGCTTGAGCCCAGCGCCCTGGATTTATTTGTGTGAAACTTCACCTATGAATATCTGCTTTGCTCTTACGAACTCCATAGGCTCCAGACAAGCAGTATTACTGAATACGCCACAACGAGCTTGTAGACTTACGATTCCCCATGACCCCATAAAGCCCGCTTGCAGTCTCTATTCCTCGCTCTATTCTTGTCCCTCTCACCAGGCTCGTCAAGTTCAGGCACACTAGGCGGCCAAAAAGCGTATCTGAGCGGTGTTGCGAAAGCCGTCACGATGGTGAGCCAAGTCGCAGGTGGCCAGGCGATCCTCTCCTCTCCAAAACCCCGAACCGTGCTCTGTCGATCCCATTGTGGCTACCTAGATACAGAAGGTGCAGCTAGAGTATTAGCTTAAGAGATGGAATGAACAAAGAAAGAGTAATCTCTATTACTAAACCTACTACGAGTAATGCACAAGATTGCTATAGTTGCTGCTATAGAAAGCAACCTACTAGAAGAGCCTGGAACTTTGTTCAAATTGGAGATACAGACAGATGAATTCAATCTTTCTTTTGGACGATACTACACTTGTAGAGAATCCTTCGTCTAGCTACTGGCAATGCCTGTATTCCTGGCTGGGATAGCGAAAACAGGTTCAGGGACTGAAAGGTTTATGTGTTAACAGTTTCTGAGAATCAGAAAAATTACCAAATTCCAGGTATATATCTGGAATATGCTACTATTTTGCAAGGAGCATACTTAGTGTTGTTTTTACGCCCTGGTTGTTATTTTTGAATGCTGCATATCCCTATTAACCCTCTATTTCCCGTTTCCCGCTTCCATTAAACAGTTCTGATTTAGAGACATACTCTTGAGAAACACATCTCCCTTTCTCTTACGGCTCGTCCTTTGTTCAGAACACCAAGATAGCTCTATCCTTTCAGAAACCCTGACCTGAGCGTCAAGATGGACAATATTCAAGTAGAAAACGACGGACTGGACTGGATGAGTGATACGCCAAATAGGTCTAACGACAACTCGGAATTCGGTTCCAAACCTGCTTTCATTACCCCGGGTCCGCTTCTATTTGCTATAGAGGCGCCTACCTGTACTTCTATGTTCTTGTTATTATTCTCACTCTCTACATCACTGCTAAATCCAAATGACGCAATTGGCTAGGCAGTTCAGGCTCGAGCCCCACCTCACCTAATTAGTCATGCCTGTGGGATTGAGCGCCATATGTGTGCCTGAGGTGGTGCCTGAGGTGATGCCTAAGGCAGTGAAATCGCTTGTGTAGATAAAAAGGTCGGCACCTGCCTACCTACCTTAGATGTAACTTCTTACAGAGCACTCCGAGCAGTCAATACACACATCACACTGCGCATCGATCATCGTAACCAATACAGGATCTGTACAGAGTCATCATCTGAGGGATGAATCCCTCAATGCCCTCAAATTCTCTCCACTCAGCTCGGCTCGGCTCAGTCGATCTAAAAATGGCACAGATCCTTTTGGAGCCACTGTGGCGTATTTGGCCCGTGCATAGCACCTTCCAAAGTCCTTCATTCAGCCACCGACTTTACCCGCTTACTTATGGTTCAATGTCAACTGACTCGACTTCATTTGATTCGCCTCACTGCCGCCTCCGCCATGGTAGACCACAACGCTGGACATATGCATCACAATCATGACGACAATGACAGTCTCCCATCGACGGCAGTCCCCTATGCATCGCCCCCTGAAAACGGGTCAGTCTGATAGTGCTCCTGGGGGCTATTCCACGTGGGCAGAAAGCTCTGCTTGCGTGGATTGGCCCGTTCCTGTTCTGCTCGACGACAGCTGCTCAACGGCAAGTCAACCGCAGCCAAAGCCTGGAAATGCCGGAACCATACTCATCAGGTGCGCCTGCTGAAATGACCGGGGCTTTGGTAGGCCGCGCGACCGAGTAGAGTAGCGATGCGTTGCCATCGCGTAAGGCAGAGAATGTCACGCTACACTCTCTGCCTTGCTCTATCTGTTGTGCCTCCGTTGCGGAAACTTGTTGGAGAGCGCTGCTGTCGTCAAGCCCAGACGGCAGGACCTTTCATTCTTCCTTTCATTTTGTGCTTCAGTATACGCTGAATATTCACGATTATGGTGGTGTCTTCTTGGGATGGATCAATATGCACCTGAGTCTCCACGCGATGCTCATGAAGTTCATTTCTGCTGCGTTGAACCGGAATGCTAACGTGTTCTAGTTCGACAATGGTGGACTCACTCCTCGATGACGACGACTCGACTGCGTCCTACATAAGCTCCAGCTCACAAGAGGAACAGAAGGAACAAGAGGAAGAACAGGCCCGCAGCATACACCTGGCTAGGCTCAACACTCTGGTATCTTGGACCGACACCGACGGCCAGAAGCAAAGCCTCGGTGGGCTGACGTTGGATGTGCACGTAGACTTCTCACCCCAAGATAAGACGAATACAGCCTTCTTCCGACTGCGCGGTTCCGTCTTTTTGAGGCACCGGAGGTGCGCGACCAACAAGCAGTCCGTGTATCTATTCATATACCCGGAGGAACTTGATACCGTCACACTGGAGCGCAACAACAATCATGGTGCAGCACACGTAGCGCAGACAACGCTCAAGGAACCGAATCCTCAGTCGCTGTGCTTCTCGATGAAACGTCCGCCGGCGCTCGTCGTCCCCAAAGGCGTCCCTCTCGCCTCCAAACCGGCAACGCAGGAATTGTTGGATGCAATCCAGGCTCTGGCCCGAGCAACCTGTTTCACCGTCTACTTCAACCGCGGAGCTTTGCCCCACGAAGACCTGGCTTTGCTCACCCGTGTTTTCTCATCATCAAGCACACACAACCGCCCGGCAACGGATACTGAACGTGCCCGCCTTGCTCCCTTGTATACTGGCTATGGAGGCCAGATCATCGACGTCTCCGGTATCTCATCAAGGGAGGAGAATGCCGCGGCTGATTGTAAAAAAGGGGCCGATGGAGTGGAAGGGTGCAGTGCCGAAGTTGGACCTACCCCGCCTCCGGCGTACGGCCAACTTGAGTCTAGTTGTAACCAGCAGGCTTCAACCTCGGGTACGAGAATCCCATCACGCACTTACGACATCCCATTTTCTTCAGCATAAGTAACTAACACGCAAAGCCCCAGGCGTAGGCATAAAACGGCGGCGCATAGAGACAAGCCCCACCGCCAGTGATCGCAAGGCCATGCCACCCTCTCCTTCTTCGCCTATACTACTCAAAAACATTCTCTCCCAGCTTATTCACATGTCTGCTCGTATAGAAGCCCTGCACACGCGCGTCGAGCAGATGGACAAGCGCGTCGACATAATTGCGTACGCTATCGACCGCGATCCAGTGTACCGCCTGGCCTCCGAGGATCGTCAGGAGTTGTTCGAAAGTGTTGATGCACGAGTTGAGGACGCTCTCCTGGCCGAACGCATCACAATGCAGAACCAAATCGATGAGGACGTACAGGAAGTCGGGGAGCGGATTGGCAAACAGGTTACGGAGTCGTTACGGCGGGCACGATTAACGGTGGACATTGGAGAGATAAATTTCGATAGTGTATAAGACGATGTGTATTCGGAAAACATGTCTCCGCATGTTGGGGCCTCCGTTTCCTTTACCACTTGAGCACCCTGTGAATCTCAACCGCGGATAGGTCCACCGTAAATGGGCATCTTACTATCGGTTTTGGTACCCTATTCGCAGCTAGAAACGCAAGGCCTTGTGATGTTTGTTTTCAAACGATAGTCGCTTACAAGCAGATGGCGGAGGATCCGGACACTCGTAAACAGAATAAAGAGGACGACTGTCAAAGCGTACATAGCAGAATCTTCTATAATTTTTTCGGGTGGCTTAAACACCCCTGACATTGTTACGGAAGCTTTGAATAAAACGAACGGGAATTATTCATTCGATTCGTCAATGTTCCCTGACGCTTAGAAGCAGGCGCTTTCTATCTGCTCCGATAACTCCATGACCGTAGCTTACTTGAGATCCGCTGTTGGTGAAGGTTGCAAGAAATCGGCGGTCAGGAGGATATGCCTACCACCCAGCACGCTGTTAGGACGGCACCTGAATAGACGCTTTCCATCTTATCAGACGTCTCTCGTTACATTGATTGCAGCAGCGAAGCTGTTGCTCGTTTTGTGACTCTGGGTTCGCAGGTTGGTCGAATGTGTCTTTTGTAACAACAGGGTTTGGGGGAGGGGTTTACTTTCGGGTAGGGCGTTTGTCAGACCAAGACAGAACTTCTGTGGTCGTCATAGTCAAAGTTAGGGTGAGAGAAATTATTTAGAGAATAAAAGTGCTATCTGAATATGAGGAATGAACTGAACGAAAAGACTGGCTGGTAGGGAAGGTGAAAAGTGACAAACTGCCTTGCTCTCTCTTCTTCTTATATCTTCGGTGCCCGCAGCTATGTGAAAAGAAAGTTGTTGATTCTTCAAATAAAATTGATCTCGAAAAAAACGTGGCGAAAAGAAAGATAGACCATCCCCTGTTATTTCATTTTAACTAATGTCCGGCCTTGCCCTACTACACTATACAGTATATAGTAGAGAATCAAGTGGGCAGTATTTTGGTTATAGTAACCGCAACTACACCTACTATCGGGGATATCACCTAGCTTAAGGTATTAAGACTTCAAATAGCCTATACCTGTCTTAAGCTGTCTATATACCGCGTAAGTAGCCCTAGGGGTAGTGTTATCTAGGGAGTCTTTAGTAGAGAGTTTGGGAGAGTTGTTGGACCAAATTGACCGTCAAAAGACGAGGGACCCACTCGTTGTAGAATGAGGTATTTATAAGGTCTGACAGGTGTCCGGAAGGTATCGCTGGGAAGAATGGTCGGAAACCCTGAGCAGGCTGCCTACATTATTGGTGAGTGTCATCGGCATAGGAAAGCGATTGCATATTTCCTAACTGACCTGTCGTAAAACTAGTCTGGCGTACGCTGGATGACTTGAAGAATTTCCAGTCCTCTCCTGCCTGCTCAGAGTTTCTGCAGAGCCTCCCCGAGAACGACAACTTGCAAGTCTCTATCGAGTCCGGCTCAGCACTGAGATACCTGACCTTGAACAATGCTTCATCGTCGTCACCGCCGGCGCCGTCGCGGTTTCTCACCTTTGAACACGTCAATGGTTATCCGACGGCGGATGTGGAGGGCCTAGTGACCTTCACCGCCTTCTTGGTACCGCGCAAAGACGATTCCGTAAGGAGGACATGGTACGAGAACGTAAAAGACGTGTTTGGCCACTTCCTCCCTCGCGGCTCCGAGTTTATTAGATTGCATCACCATTTTAGTTGGCAATATTTGACCGTGTGGTTCTGAGTGCTTACGGAAGACCACTGGATGGAAAAGAAATTTGGGAAGCCGGAGCAGACCCAGGAAGACATCCAAGGTCGGACAATCATCTGCGAGTTTCGCCTCTGGCCACGTTCATGCGACGTCACTCCGGAGCACGAAGAGGCATCGGCGACGGCCCCGCAGGCGAGGGAACCGTGGGATCAAGCTGTGGCGAAGGTGATGCCTCCGGTTACGGCCTGGGAACAGGAACGTTGGGACATTCGGAAAGTGCCGCGTTTTATCCCCCCGAGGAGATGGATCCGGAGGACCTTGAGTATGAACAAGAGTTGGAAAAATTCCGGGAGGAACTTCTCCAACGCAACGAATCGGCAGGGTGATACGAAATCATCTAAGATCCCGTCAAGATCTGGAGTTCAATATATACTTAACTACCTATGTAGGTAAAATTATCCCACCTTGTGCCGTAGCTCTCGGTAAAGGATCAATACTTTTCGATACGTAGTAACTTGGCAACGAACGATTCATGGCGTACCCAAACAGGCTCTGCCTGTGCGATTTATTGTGACCAGGTAAAAATTTTTATGCTTGCAATGTGTGCCAATAATTCTGCGAGAACCCTACCAAAATTTGTACTTCAAGGAAAAGGGTCGATGACTGCTTCAGGCCCGTGGAAGTATGCACGCAACTACTATACCTACCCTTGTCAAGACATCGTACTATATCTGCTTCAGTATCAGTGAGTGTATACATCCTTCTCGCTTCCTCTACGTCTGCTCAAGCTGGATTATCAAATGCCCCAAAAATCCGACTCTGACCCTGACCCTCAAAATGAAAGTCCCATTGTCTTGGTATAGACCAGAGTTCGTTGCCATGGTCTTCCGCACGCATGTAAAACATATGAGTGATAAAGAAGACGTAATTTTCGGAGTTTAGCTGTGCGGTTTCAGGCTATGTCAAGCCAAGGTTAAGGCAGGTGGCAATATCATCTGCCGGTCCCGAGTCAGTATATTGTTCAAATCTACGGAACATAGGACATGGGTGCAGGCTACTCACATTCCTCCTCAACGCCTCCCAGAAATTCAACTCATGGATAGCGTGAAAAGCCTCGTGAAGGAGAGTCGCGCTCTTGGGGATGGCATCCGCAAGGTTTGTGCCACCGATGAGCAGATTGTTCGCATCTCTGTAACTGTCTGGTCTCGGGCTTCCCTGGAAGCTGTATGGGCAAACAATGACGCTCGCGATCTCATCGGCAGGTTCAGCCTGGGCGTTGGCGCCTTGTCTGAACGGTTGAATTCTCGCAGTGACGCCGAGGTCGTCTGTATAGCAGTAATTGCCGCCGAATTCTGAACTAGTAGCCGTTCAAGTACGTGACCTCGCCAGTCTACCATGGTTTATTATCTGGGTCTTCGGTAAGTTGCGCGGCATATTAGGGTATGTCCATGACGCGGATCGGGTTGCCATTCTGGTCCAAGATATCGTCGCCCTGATAATCAGAGACTGAGAAGGCAGGTTTATGCAAAGACAAAAAAGTAATGTCACAAAATAACCAGAATTCGACCTTATCATAGTAAGGCACGTTACCCGCGCCTAACTGAAGGTTGTAAAAGTCTTTAGTATGGTTGATATACACTGATCATGACGTTAGTCTAGTCTGCGCTTTAGGACTGGGAGCAACGATGAGCCGGAGATAATCTTGCAACAACATCTGGAAGAAAGAAATGTTGCGTAGCGGTCAATACTTCTGACCCTTCGGACAGCGTCAGCGGTGACTCTGCTCTCCCTCAATCGCCCGCTATTTGTGATACCAAAGATTGTCGCCAGTGACCTTCGAACCCGGATATCGTTATTATAGTTGTCAATGGCGTTCAGGGCCACATCAAGACTTTCAATGCCCTCGCTGAGCGACTGATCTAATTGGGCTACCCGATCACCGCAGCCACCGTCACTGGCCCCGGGCTGAACCGTAAAGATATCAGTGATCTCTATTGCGACGGTGCGTGACAGGAGGGTGAGGAGGCACGTAGTGGATTCGACGGTCTGCCGGAATACGGGCTTGTGCCAGAACTCCTTCTTCCACGGTATTGAACAGCAGGCATGCTAATCTTGGCATTAAAGAAAGGCTCGGCTCGGGCGTCGTAATCGGGTCGATCGATAACTTCTTCCGCTAAAGCTTTGGCGAGGAGGTGAGAGGGTGGGCATAGTATAGGCAGCTTCTCCTCGACGAAGGGAAACCAAGTAGGCACTATCTCCTTATTATAACCTTTGTAGAAAGGAAGGACTCATATTATGAGACGATCTCTACAGCCGTGTCCAATCGGATCGTGTAAGATCTAGAGATCGAAATCCTCCTAGTTTAGGACTTTATACGCGCCGCTTATCCTCTCGTCTAGTCCGCCGTAGACCTGGTATTCCTTCGGACGCGGCTAGATATATTCGTCCGAGCTGTTATCGATATCGGTATATACGTCGGATTCTTCGTCATAACTATTGCCCACCACCTTCACTGGCTTCTCGGCGAAACACCTGATCAAAATATTGCGTGGGCAGCCATGCTTAGACACCGCTAAAATCTTAATCTCGTCATTACAGAGACTTTTCGATAGATAAGCTGGACCAGGGAATCCTACTCGGGAGCTTTTATTTCGATACCGTCGGCGAAACTGTACTCGCTTCGTACAGCCATCCGGTTAAGCAGTATAGCAGCTATTCAGGAAGCCTCAAGATGATGTTTCTTACTGAAGAAATTGCCTCGCCTGGAAGCGAAGCAGTCGACTCTGGCCAGAAAGATGACACAGGAACGAGGCGGTCCACGGTTACAGCTGTAGGGTGATAGTAGCAGCGAAGTATGCTATATTGACTCTGAATATACTATACAAATAATACAGGGGAGTTCCCCCATAGGAATATCCGCAAATGAACGTGTTTTATTCTGTTGTTGAAGATCGCGAGACTCGCTAGACCCGTCCTTGATACTTTCATAAGGCCCTTGCTGTTCTGAATGGCATTCGCTTACAGTAGAATTATCACCTAACTATGAACATATTTCTTTTAGTGCATCGAGATTATTCCGAACCCTTGAAATACGGTCCTATCGTGCCACTCCTATGTACGGCCAACTACACTGGCAGGCCAACAGTTGGCCACCGTCAGCATTACACACAGGCCTAACTAGGTGCATGCCTCCTTGTCTATTGTGACGTTAACGTTTCAAACAGTCTCCGGGCTCGAATCGTTTTCTCCTTGGAGACCTGGCCGATACTAGATGGCTGATGGTGGGAATGATTATGATAGAGGAAGACCGGAGTAAGATCCCTCGAGAGATTTTGCCTAAAGTGATTGAACGTGAGCTAACCTCAATTATGAGCATAATTGCTCAGTGGCCCGAGGACCATAGGTGCATCGCCGAGGATACAGGCGCAACTATAACGGTGTGTAGGGCCGATCTAAAGGAACTGGAATTCTTGTAGCCATGATTTCCAGATAAAAGGAGATATGGTAGCTCCTGCTAGATGATTAATAGCCTCCACCCTACATTCTCTCTCCCGAGTTTGGCAGTTCTCTCTCGTGCTAGGAATTTCTACACAAGCCCAGAGACATCTGGGAACAGTTCGCAACTAGCAAGTCGACAAATAAACTACGTATTAGCGTTACGATGACCTCCAACGCTGACCTGGAGTTTCAAACTCTTGGGCTTTGCGATGAAGTCGAGGACTCTAAAGCAGTAACTTTCTGATGCTCTGGCCGCCTCAGGGAAGGAAATGACTCCTGAGAGTCGTCTGAGGCACACGAAGCGCGAGATGCCATTCTTCAAGCGATCCAACGGCATATTATCCGACAGAAATGCGAACCGGAAGTAAAGTGCGCCTAAGGCATTCTCGGCGATGGAGACAAAAAAATCGAAATATCGCGATAAATTAATACCAGGAAAACGGTTAAGCGTCGAAGTAGACAAGCAAGGTTTCATCTCGAGGTAAACTTCGATTTTCATGCCCAAATTTGGAATAATCAGATTATTAGCCCGACGTCGTCGCCATGACGCAGCACGTCATCGTCTCAGGCTACGCCGACAAGTCCCAACTGCTCGTCGGCGGCTGGTCCCAGGGCGGTTATCTGTCCTACCTGTCGTCTGTGCGGAACGGGGCCCACGGCTTAGTTCAAGGGCGCCATCGCGGGCGCCGGCGTTACTGACTGGGATAGCATGTTCCTGACGTCAGACATTGGGTTCTTTCAGGCTCAGCTCGTGGGAACCGCGCCATGGAGGACCAAGAAAGATGATGTAAGCACGCGGACTGGATCCGCGCTCTGCGAGTTCAAGGGGGCTGCCGAGGCGGGTACAATTCCTCCCATGTTGATTTTGCACGGCGAGAAGGACGGGCGAGTGCCCATTACTCAGGCGTGGGGCTTTAGGAGGGCCCTCGATGAGGCCGGGCTACCTTTTGAGTTCGTCACTTACCCGCGGGAAGGACACCATTTCACGGAGCGGAAGCACATTGAAGACCTGCTGGAGAGGGTGATGCGCTTCGTTCGAGCACATCTCGATCCGGTTTCTGGAACTTGACATCACGGATTTGCATATACTATCATGGCGAGAGTTCCGAGTGAAGCGAAAGCTTTTCAATTTATCTGCGAGCCATCGTGGTCATCATAAGACTAACCACCTCTGTGACCTAAGGTAAATAAATAACTTTACTCCTCATCGGCTCCAGTCGCCTTGCCAGAAAAGCAGACCATGCTGCTTTGAATCGTAGATATGGGTATCCTGAGCGAACGCAGGCCAGCCAGGTTTATGATGCTGCAGTGCGGTGTAGTATACAAGCTAGTTCGCTAAAGATGAGGTATCATTCATGTCCGCGTCTGTGCCAACAGCCGGTGCAGCCATCATAATCTCTCGTCTGAGTTCATCCTTTCGTCCTCCCACATGTCGATGCCCTGTTCCAGCGCCGTTTGTCGGGCCTGCCACGCATCTCTCCAGCTCTTAAACTTTTCTCTGAATTCAATGGGCTCTTCCCACTTCTGCATGAGACCCTTCCTCTTCAGCCTACGCCGATGCCTCTTTCGCTCCCAGATATTCATATACATCTCCTCTTCTTTTGTGAAGTCGTGGCCTGTAATCCAATCGCTCGCCTCGGCCATCACATCCCCCAACTCTTCACCGACCCACCATGCCAAAGCACGGCCTTTCCCACCCGTAGCCCACTCATCGAGCATAAATGGCATGGCGTACGGGAAGTAGGGCTCATTCGGGGACCAATCGCAAGGGTCGTCATGGGTACACCCGTAGACGGGACTGACGTAGAGGAAGCAGAACCCGGATTCGAGTGTGTACCATATTGCGAGGACGAAGGTCAGGATACCGAAAAGAGTCAGTTTGAAGTTAGGTTTGCGGCGATACAGACGTGGTAGAGATATCAAGAAGGCCGGGTCACGAGCGTGGGTGGACATCGAGCTAGAGGTTAAACCCAGGTCAGCAAGAACCTGGGATGACGCCTTGTGCTCAGAATGTGCCACCTTGCCTTCAAGGCGCTCAATGCCTTGCTTCGCACTGCGGATGCCAAGAAGCCCAGTCTTGAGTGTCTTGCTCATACGGTCGTACGTCCGTAGCTCGCGTTCGCGATCCGTGAGTCCAGGCATGTCCAAATCTTCCTCGATCTTGAGCACGGTGTCATTCACCACCTTCTCAAGCTCTTCGTGGTCCAGGTCATTGTTGTCCAGGAGTTCATCAAAGTCGTCCAATGTGGAGTCGTCGATTTGATGCTGGCGGAGGATGGATCGCAGATCGTCTTTGACGCTGGGCGGGTTGGCCGTGTTGATAACTGGACGGCGCCGCCGGGACGCGGCTCGCGCGCTGCGCGAGGCTGGAGCTGACAAGGACCTCGCAGAACTTTTTCCGAGGTCAGGTACCTCGCTTCTCTCACGCTTTATGCTCGGTTCGGTGCTGGTAACGCCAAGTGTAGTTTCCGGTACCCTGAGGGGCTTAGCCTTGGGCACCTCGTCATCCGTATCGTCCCTCCTCTCAATCTTCACAGTTGCCGGCGTCTCTACATATGCACCCGTGACACGAGGCGTTGGCTGAGTCAACGGGTCGACGACCTTGTTTGGCCTTGGTGTCTCGTCCTTAAGTAGCTCAGCAGGCTCCGAAGACTCGGATGGATCTGGCGACGGAGCGCGTATTGACCCCCTTTCAGAGTAATTGTCTTGGGGAGCAAAGAGTTTCATCTCTGCCTCGATGCGATCTGTTGGGTCGGATTCAGAGTTGACCAGGCTTCGTCGTTTTTCCTGAACGGAGTCACTTGATGATTGGCGGCGCAGACCCACAAAGCCAACCGTCAGCCGTTCTCTAGAGCCCTTAACTTCTGGATTCTTAGGCCGTCGGTCATCTTGGGCTAGTCGAGGCCGGCTGCCGTCCCGTTCATAGATTTGTTTCTTAGGCAAAGCTTGGTCTGAAGCGGAACGCTCGGTTTGGGGTGGCAAGTCTTGATGAGGGGGGCTAGGACTAGAGCTCGTTGCTCGCGCAAGTCGACGGAGCAAATCATGAGAATTATCTCGAGAATGCGAGGTCGTTGGTCGATCTCCGAACTTATCGTTTGTGCCCGTGTTTCCCTTCACATCCCCGCCTGCTGCAGGCTTGTCCTCTTTCTCATTTTTGGAATTCCGGAAAATTGTAATAGGGGTATCGGTTATCCGTTCAGCATTCCCGGTGGGTTTCGCAGTCTTTGCGTCTCCGTTCTTTGTGCGCTCAGGGCTCAAGCTCAGGGAGTCTACTCGGAAAGTTTCTTTGTCGGGAAATCTCTCCACCTCTGGCGACACGGAACGAGCTTCGGAGTTCTTAGCTCGGATTTCGTCCAGTCTGCTGGTGGCGACGGCTCTCCTCGACAGTGCTTCCATCTCCTGTACCCTTATCTCGTCCAGCCGTGTGTTTCTCTTTGCAATTGCGTCCTGGTCTAACAAGTTGGCCTTCGCAGCTGCATCCTCACTCTGTCTGATCCGATCCAGTTTGTCGTTACTGCGACGGTAGTCGGGACTACTAGATGCTTGAGACGAGGATTCTGCTCCACCGCCATTTGTCCTTCCCAACTTTATTCGAGGGCTGTCAGAAAACTGCAAGTCGCCAGCTGTGAAATCGGCATCGAGTTGCCAGTTGTAGCTCTTCTCAGGTGAAGGGTGCGTAGGCCTTCCCATCGGAGAGCCTCGATGCGGCGCGAGTGGATCAAAATCCAGTGACGGCAACGGTGAGGTTCGTCCAATATGGTCCCAATCGGGCGCATCTTCTGATGAGTGCTTTTCCAAGTTCGGTTCCCACTGGCTCATCCTGCGATGCTCTGGGCTGCCACCCAAGCTGCCATCGCTTGCTTTCCTGGCCAGTGTAGTCCCCGTCTCCGCGATTTTTGGTCCCACTCGGTTTTTCGAAAATAGTCCGTTGAGAGGACCGCCGCCTCCTGTCAGTTGGTGGTTCCGGTCAAACTGCTTGAGTTGTTGTCCTAGGTCGCTATCTTTTCTCTGCGCGAATGGCCGAGTTGGCCGCCCCCCGTCCTCCGATTCCTTCCTCGATCGGTAGGGTCGCGGGGCCGGACTGGGCGATCCGTCGATAGCTCGATTCGCCTCGGCATTTGCCATGGTGAAAGCTTGCTGGATATCGATGGTGTCATCTTGCTGGTCGTCGGCTTCTTGTTCCTCGGCGAGCCTGAACGCATCCTTCAAGCCCATCGGCTGGCGTCTGTGGAGGGGGTTGTTGTTTGGCGAGGGTGTGTATTTAAAAGACGATCTTCGGCCGCTGGCAGTGGTAGATAGCGCCGTGGACTTTGGTCGGGGAATGTGTACGTTTCGCGGTGACCCGAGGTCTTGAGAGGCGCCGAGTGAGTTGTACCGAGAATGGGGGCGCGAGAATGGGCTCTCAGGCCGCGGCAGGGACCTCCTACTACTTGTCCCGGATGATTCGAGGGATGTGATGCCCTTTCCTTCCAATGCGACATTCTCCTTGGACGATTCGGTCTGCGTCTTCCGGGACAGGCCCCGACTGGCGACGGTTGGTTGCATGAAGCTGCCTTGACCGTTTGGTCTCGTGGACAGCACGTCTGATGTTTTGCGCTGGTGGCGATCCATCATCCCAGGGTGCTGTACCGCGAGTCAGACACATTAAAGGTACGTGATGTTGGTAGGATGGCAGTCAGGCGGGCAGGCGCATGGTTGTCACAAAATGCATGTTTCGTTGCCCGTGATGCGCTTCATCCCACGCAAATCCAAGGTGGTGAGACAATAGGTAAAGTATTGAATGAGGGGTCATGGGGTCCAAGCTACATTGATGTGAATAGTTGGTGACGTTGACGACAATTGGATTGCAAAGTCCCAAGCGCGACTGACTGCGGTGACAAGCATCTGTAAGTTCTCTATTGTTGTTTCCACTGACTTCGAGGTGGATTCATGGAGACCGCGTCAAGCATTTGTGGAAACCGGGATGAAAGCACAGGCCACCAGATGCGGGCCCATAATCGAAACAAGATTTAGTTAGCGCTAGTTCATCCTATGTTGTATTTGTTAATACGTTACAAACTTCAGGGTTGAAATACAGCTCCAATAACATGTTGGCGTTGGTAATGTGACAAAACTGAGCTTAGTTAGTTTAGTTGGGTCATAATTGTCTGTCGGCGAACTGACTGCGAGTAAAATCCTTGATACGAAGGCAGTAAGTGTTCCCCCCTCAAGCCACACCTCGAATCCATTCAAAATCACACCAACTGGTGATTGACCAATGACTATACTGGCCGGATCTCAGCATCACATCTTACCAGCATGTGTCGAGAATTTATCACACAAACAGAGTCTATATCGATCCCTGGTGTTGTCTTCACCACCTTGACATGTTGGTCTAATTGGCCAATTGTGTCAGACAAAATACATAGAAAACCAGGCGTCAGTCACTACAGTTCAAGTCTAACCAAAATGGGTGCGCCAGTATTCTCGGCAGAAAAGCATTGTTCAGCACTCACTGCCTTTACCACAGGTTCTTCCTTGTGGCCACCTCCCTCTAGCAGGACCTGGAGCACACAATCTTCACATTTGCTTACTTCCGTTTTCCGAAAAGAATTCTTGTCAGTAGTGCCAGAAGTTGCAAAGTCAGCATTGAGCCTGTTCACAGAAAATTGAGGCTTGAAGACAGCTCAATTTCTTGATTAGTCACATTTGCTGTGAAACCTCCATGGTAATGGCCATGTTAGCCAGGATGAAGTTGACATTTCAGTGTTGGCAACACCAACTCGTCCATCGGTGAACATGCTTATCAACGATTCGCGACTTGGGTATTCATAAAGTCCTTGGTATTGTCTGTAACTCTTGTTCTGGTTGAAGTCTGTGGTCAAGATCTTAGACGTGACCTCCCATAATGCCGAGAGCGATAGATCTTACCACGAGTGAAATCGAACATCGTCATCTTCTCAAATTAGTATGTGTTTGTTTTGGTGGTTCACTTGATGCCTTTACAAGTGTAATGTGCCAAGAGTAGGCTACGTGGTTACGTATCCTCTGCTTCAAGTTATCTAGACCAGTATTGATAGGCATAGTTTGGTTAGGAGCATTTTGTCTCGACGAATCATGGGAGCTCTAAGGTAGTAAACTATCAAATAGATATGCTTGTGAATGGGGAAATTCAGGCAATTGTAACCCCGGAACAATCACTAGGTCTCTGAGGTAGTGAATTTCTACACAAGTGTACTGTCAAATGGATCGATTGTGAATATAGTGTTTCCAGCAATGGCATTCCCCGGGGCATTGTTATCATCCTCCCGGGTGAAAACTCAAGGTTTGGAAATTGATAAAATGGCATAAGAGGTACACAGTATGATATGTGATATCAGCTCGATAGCTATCCCTTTGCCTGGTAACCTTGATGTATCCCTTCCTGGGGATATAGCCAGATCACATTTTTACGAAGAGACAGCGTTACTAGTAATGCTAGCATGGGTGCTGGATTCGGACGAGCATTGCAGTTAAAGCGATAAATTTAGTTTCTAAGAGCCGGGCTGATTTTGTCTATAGTGCATTGGGTTTCCAATTTCACACAGTTCCACTATCTCGCGAATCATTACCAGCGTGTGCAACCCACCTCCGGCGCTGCCGCTGCAGCTATCACTATACAGAATCAGGGACGGGGTAGAGACGCGCAAGTCTAAGATCGCACGCGCTTCATCTTTCTATGATCTGACCAAGGAAGAGTGCAACTCGCGCTACTCTCTGGCACGAAATCATCAGGGCAAATGAGTCCCCAGAACATCAGCGTATCAAGTCAACGGAAGCATAATAGTCGAACGATCTTACTTCTTAGTATTTGAGTGTCTGAGAAATTTTCTGATACATTTAGGCGATGGGCTGCGTCATTTGGGTGTGAGGGAACGGAGGAGGTTCGCTTACGGATAATTCAAAACAGAACAGTCAGTCTATTTGATGTTACACAGTGATTAGGAGAAAATTTATGGCATTAATAACTTCTTTCCACTTTGTTTTGCGAAAGAATAATCCGTATAACGTGATTTATAAGCAAGTCGCGTGGTCCTAAGCTTGGCTGGTGCATAAGCGCTGTAACACAGACTGATGTCTGGGTGCCACAAGAGAGGACCAAGCCCCTAGGCCAATAGACCAAAAGATCTAGAAATGCCAGTGGATCACTGACATTTTGTCCCACTAACTGCTATATACAGCACTCTGTGGCTCTGTAATCGCCAGACCTATACGACGTGATAGCCGCGCTAATTCGATGAAAATAAACGAATTAGAATAGGTTATTCTGAACTTTGTATAACAGTAAATAGAGCTCTAAACGCGCTTAAATCGCCTATACGACTACTAGGGGGGCTTATATAAAGATTATAAGAAGCATAGGAATAGTTCGACCTTACATAGAATATAAGAGCTAAGTATGGTATCTAAGATATGGCGATGATGAGGCCACAGAGTACTGTATATAGCAGTCGGCCGGAGAAAATGTCAGTAATCCACTGATATTCACGATCTTTTAGTCTATTAGACTAGGGGCTTGTGTAACAAGAGATACAGACAAATGGAGAAGCCAGGCACAATCATCAATTCCTAACGCCCGTATTGAGAATGTACAGAGAAGGAAACTTGCGCCTCTAAGTGTCTTGGTGCCTTGAGCACCATTTTAATGGCATGAAAGGTTTCTTTGACACGCCAACGGACCGTCATGACTTCGCCCACCAGTCAGGGGTAACCCGACTTTGAATTACTCATGTCTTCATACCACTAACTTTTGTCACAGCTTGGTGTTCTCTGTCACGACCTGGGTTACATCGCATTGGTAGAGACCTCGATTAGGTGCTATCGACGAAGATTCTACTCTAAGGAGCGAAGGAAAGAAGATGACAACTTAGGTTTGAGGGAGCGCGACTAAGTCATCCACGCTTGGCGGGGCTCCTACAAGGGTTATGATTGGCTTCCAATCTGACACTGCCATGGCAGGTGTTCCAGCTGTAAGTCACCTGGTTGTAGTGAGTCTGCGAGGGTTGACCTTCACATTCTCTTGTGACAGGAGAGGACTTACGGATATAAATATATAGCTAGGGTAAGAAACATAGTATTAAGGTAGTGAGGACTGAACCGTGTGCACACCGCTAACTATAGAAACTACGGAAATACCGGATATAATACGCGAACCTATAATAAAGATATAGAATCGACTAACTAGTTAGATATCGATTAATCTAAATAAACTTACGGCGTTATAGTTACGTAATTAGACTTTAAAGATGTATTATACTGAAAAGTGCGCTACTCGATTATAAATAACGTTGGTCAATTAAGTGAAATGGGAGGAAATGGAAATAAGCCATGCTGGTAGTGGTAGACTAACCATGATAATCATTCCGCATGTGAGATCCACGAATAGAATGCAGCTGCATGGCAGGCGGCGCCACTTAACCAAGTCTGTATTAATATCTCGGTATCACGGATGTATGGCGAAGGCGAGAAACTCCCCTCAAGGATGTTGTCATTGCTAGCAGAGTTAGCTCTCGCGTAACAATGATGCTACACACGGCGGTATAAGTCTTCGAGTCCTGTCGGGAATAATCTATACCGTAAGCGCGATGTTTTACTAAGAACATACCGTGACGTAAGATGCACAGTGCATGGGTCTGGTTGGGCCGGCCTTGCCTAGTTGGGACGCCTTTCTGCTAAGTGTCACCGAGTGGTCGGAACTTCGGACAGCCGAGCTAGCGATCAGACTGGTAAAAGTCGAGAGCTGTAGATTGGTCACAGAGCCATCTGTGTATAAAATAGAAACGCGTTCGTTTTTTCTTCAAGCTCCCTTGGCAAAGTTATATCAGTACGAGCATAAGTTGATATGATAAAGCCATAATCACGATATACGACTACCCAACCAGCGCTTGGCTTACACTTGCACACATCGTCTCTTTTAGATCAACTAAAATCATCCACAATACAATCATTCTACCATGGCTCCTCGGGTGATGTGGATTGGATTGGGCAACATCGGGCGTGTGAGTCGCTTCTTATTTTCACATCCTCCTATTCCTTCAAAACATTGATGATTAAATTGTTGATCACCAGGGTGCTTGCAAACGTCTCGTTGAAAATGGGCCCCTAGACAAGCCTCTCATCGTCTACAACAGAACTACCTCGCGAGCCGAAGAACTTGCAACCAAACTTCCCGCAGGCAGGGTTCAAGTGACAGAGTCGCTACTCGAAGGAGTAGCCCAAGCAGACATCATCTTCTCATGCGTGAACAACGACGCCACCGTCGAGCAAACCTACCACACCATCGCCGAAGCGGGCAATATCAAGGGCAAGTTATTCGTTGGCTTCGAAACAATCCATCCAGACACGGCAAACAAAGTATCCGACTTCATCACCGCCGCAGGCGCTTCCTTCGCCTCCAGCCCCGTGTTCGGGCCCCCGGCCGCGGCAGAAGCAGGACAGCTCCTCGCCATCCCAGCCGGCCCCAAAGCCGCCATCGATAGCCTCCGACCGTACCTAACGGGTGTCATCTCTCGCGGTGAGATCGCCTTCGAGGATCGGCCCTGCGGCACAGCGCTCAAGATGAAGATCGTCGGCAACACATGCGTGCTCAACTTAGCATGCCAGCTTGCCGAACTGTTTACTCTTGCTGAAAAGACCGAGGTTGGTACTGAGGCCGCGAAAAAATTTGTCGATCTCCTTTTTGGGGGCGTCTATAGCGGGTATGCCGAGCGCATGCTCAGCGGGACGTACTGGAAGGAGCCGCCGTTGGGGGCGGCTAATCTGGGGCTCAAGGATGCGACGCATGCGTTGCATCTGGCCGAGGCGAGTGGCGTGCAGATTCAGAATGTGAAGACGTTTCAGGGGTATCTTCAGAAGGTTGTGAAGCATATGGGTGATAAGGGGGATATAGCGGGTATGTATGGGGTTGTACGGGAGAATTCGGGGTTGAAGTTTGAGAACGAAGTATGAAAATCTCGGTCTTTATCGAAGGGATTTTAATTGTTCCTCATCTCATGTCTCTGTGTTAAAAAAGACTTTATAGAAGTCGGGGTTTGTCAAGGTGTCTCTGTTCGCGAATTGCCAGTATTACAGGAGTCTCCATCGATTTTATTGCATAATAGTTACTGAATGATGCCCGCTTAATAGTACTGCTTCGTCTAGTAGTTGTAGTAGTCACTTCATTCCTCAATCATTCGTAGTGTTTCTTCCTGGGTACTTGATAAGCAATACTATCAAGACATAAAAAATTGTCTTCACTCGGAGTTGGGCATCGGAGATCTCTTTAGCATATCTTTTCCGCAATGTAGTTGAAGGCTTCTTCCAAAGATTCAGATAATGAAGGCATAACATGGCTTCCCAGACAACCCCATTCCTTCCAAACGCGACGAATTGCGATTCAACGTAATCACCAAAGACATAAGCGATATTCACTCTCTTCAAGTTTCTCCATGGGCTTGCAGGAGTCCTAGGGAATCAAATCCCCCCTCTATAGCCTAGTGCAACTCACTTCCGCGGCAACTAGTAAACTGCCCAGCCGCTAGTTTCTATCACTTGCCTGGATAGCCACCATGGCAATTTGCCGCCTAATTAACAGCGGCTATTAGTAAGTATATTATCTTTAGGCCCGTCAGGCAGGATCACAATCCACTATTGCGCGCCGCCCTCACACTTCACTTGCATCGATGACCAGGTAACATACTGCAAATCTTGACACAAGCCTCAATGCATGCCCCATCATCCTGGTTGCAACCAGACGTCCCGGGCTGCTTGTATGTATGATGGGAAGTGCACCTCTTGTAATGGGTTTTCTTGACATCGGCCGCATTTAATGTCTCATTTTGGGCTGTTTTGCCGCTTGGCTGCGTGCTCGGGAGGTATAGCTAGGTAGGTAGTAGCTGCACATTGAACATAGTGCGGATGGTGAGAGTCCAGTGCCTTTTATTACAGAGCTTGGCTATGTTTCGCGTTAAAGAAGTTTTGACTTTGTAATCGCGAGATATCTGCGAAGTTGGTATGATGGTTGGTTGTCAAGTGTTTGTTTGCATACAAGTATGAAGCTTCAGGGCATATATCGGATCCTAGACCTGCTGGATTATGGAGAACACGGAACCAAGTGACTGTTGAGACCCTCAGTGCACTAAGCTATGATGAATCGAAGCGAGGTGATATTGGATCCTGGAGAATGATAACTCCAGCTCCCTCGCAATGCAACACTATGTTGGCCTTTTCCATTATCTGGATCAGTCAGTTGTGGTTGCGCCAGCCATGTGCCAGCCAAGTGCCCCTATTTGCGGTAGTCCCGCCACACCATTTCAGGGGCCAATAGGGAACAAGTACACTTCATACGTGATGGATTGGGACAGAATTCAGTGTGCATGAAGATTTGGATCTATGAGGTCAACATTGCCCCAGCGCAGTTTGAGAATCGTCGCGCGGTCCCGTGAACCCCATCAGATCATGTAGGGGATAATGCTGAGGTGTCAAAGAGACCGACAATCTCAAGGCAAGTGATGTCACCCGTAGATATGGGAATATTAGTAACATGGGGACGATGCAGGAAGAATATCAAGATATGCGATAAGGGTATCAATACCTAGCCCGCTGCTTTCCTGGGTCTACCTTGCCTTCTTGACCTTTCGAATGACTACCTTCCCACCCTCCAATTCCCAACCTACGCCATCTTTACTGATCAAGTTCATCCAGTTCACCCCAGCGCACTTCTCCAAGAACTCGAGGTCCACACTAAGATAGCTCCTACCAAAGCACTTGAGCAAATGCTTACGGACGCCATCCTCAGCGTACTCAAGCAACTTGGCCTTGTATCCATCGACACTCCTCCTCACCCGTAGAAATAGCACATAATTGTCATGCGACAATGATTTAAGAACCCCATCAACCTTTTGGTCTTTCAATTGGTACCGATAGCGCAGTGCGTAGGCTTCGGCCAGGTCCATCCGCCGGCACGCCGTGTCCAGTACAAGGTAGCTCACCACTTCGTTCGTTTCGACGCTCGTCATGGGGTGTTTTGGCTGTATGCGCCTCAAAAGGTGTAGTATGGCTGGGTGGTATGATTCCGGATGTTTGACAAGCACGGAAAGCCGGATGCAGAAGAGATACGCCTGGATTGCGAAGTCGTCAGCCCGCTTTGAGGCCACAATGCCTTCGCGGAGCTTTCTGAGAGCTGCTAAAACATCCGTGAGACCCTTTGTATTCACCGTGAGGTTTGAAGATGGATGTGGTAATGGCGGAATAATCGAATCGCTCACGGCATGCTTCGGATGCGGTCTGGGAGGATTCAATTGCGCGGGGATGGGGTGTTTCGCGCTGGACGTGGATAGCTCGAGAGAAGCAAAACGACGGAGCAATTCATCGCGTTCACCAGCGTCGGAGCAGAAGGTCATGTAACGTTCGACGATCTTGGTGTAGTAACGTTCCTGCGTCTTGAAGTCGAGCAGTCGGTTGTCGCCTTTGGAGGGAAGCCCAATGGCCTCCAAGGGATCGAGCTCGACGGGCTTCAGTCGGCTCCACGGAGCAGAGGGCGCTCTACCTCCTCGGGCACCTCGGGCGCCTCCGCGTCCTCGCATTGCTAGGTCATTACAAGCGATAGCTGTTGTTGGGTATCGGAATGAGCGCGTGGATGGGATATTGTCACGGGCGTATTGTTGTCGACCCTCAGCTTCAAGGCTCTCTGCCCACTCGAGGGGTCAAGACAAGGATGTCATAGTGGGGTTGAGCTTGTTTTAGTGGCCACCCCTGTCCTCTTCCTGCTAGGCAGTGCTGCACTCCACTTTCTCTTTCAGGGCACGCTGGGTTGCTCAGATGTGCCGAATAAAGATGCAAAGGTCAACATGTTTTCAGAACTCAAGGGTAACCTGAGTTCAAGTCAAACTTCAAAGCAATCGTCGCGACTCATCTTCTGAAAGGGTTAGCTGACCTCTTTGTGGGTATAATTCTGCTCGTCAAGCCAGAGATCATTCATCAGAGCTCCGCCGCTCATGCCGTCAAAGACTGTAGCGGAGTACGACTTACAACCTCCAACCCGTGGATCCAGGACCCATTCTCGTCCACGCATGTCATTCATGGCCTGATGCAATGTGGTTTTGGACATCCGAATATTTTCGTTGAAGCTCATGGGTCTGGATTAGTGATGTTCTTGGCAGAAATCGTACAGGGCAGCTCAAGCACCAACGGTGGTCTTTTCCCAGCCATTCAACATTGTCCACAGAATTCGCAGCGTAGAAGCATTACAACCCCTAGAATTTTTATAGAGAGTATAGATTGGTCTGTTTTCCATAAATTATAATTATCACCTAGGTTGCTTGAGATAACTACTTGGAGTTTCTATGGTATGTTTATCGTTGATTCCCTTGGCACTTATACGGACGGATCAGTCATTGCAGGGATGCAGCAGGTGAGCACACACTGTGGACGACTCATGAAGCCAGGTAATTATCTATCACATCATGCTTCCATTTACTGAAATATCAATAACCAAGTAATGTGTGCAAGCAACATTTTGGAGTTCAAGGGAACCTATCACTCGTAGCAAGTCTGTAGCTACCGGGTAGCGTTACCCGGGCTTGAGCTGGGGCCATCTTTCCAACCGCCGAGCTACGGGTTAGAGGTGGCCGTCAGTCTTACCGTGTTCATTTGGAACTTCTAGTCATGCGACGAGGACCCCTATCGCCAACTTCAGTCCACTCATTAAACGATCTGCAGGTCAATCCCGTGCGCAGTACGATTCTTCTTCTTCCTATTGCGATACCCTCCTTTCGACAACTCTACCTTCTTGTAATTCCCCGCAATGGCTCCTACCAAAGGCAACAAGTACTCGGTCCTCTTGCCGACGTTCAACGAGCGCAAGAACCTGCCCATTGTCGCATGGTTGCTCAACCGCACCTTCACCGAGGAGTAGGTAACCGCTTCCTGGCACGCTCATAGCACCAAACGCCACCGATTGCCGAGTCCGACTCCCAGCTAATGTTAACTTTCCAGAAATCTCGACTGGGAGCTCATTATCATCGACGATGGCTCGCCCGACGGCACCCAAGTTGTCGCCGAGCAGCTCGTAAAAGCCTACAGCCCCCACATCGTCCTGAAGACGCGAACCGGCAAGCTGGGCCTGGGCACAGCGTACGTGCACGGCCTGCAGTTCGCGACGGGCAATTTCGTCATCATCATGGACGCCGACTTCTCCCACCACCCCAAGTTCATCCCCCAGATGATCGCCAAGCAGAAAACGGCCAACTACGATATTGTCACGGGCACACGGTACGCAGGTAATGGCGGAGTCTACGGATGGGACCTGAAGCGCAAGTTTGTAAGCCGCGGCGCCAACCTGTTCGCCGACACGGTGCTGCGACCGGGCGTCAGCGATCTGACAGGCAGCTTCCGGTTGTACAAAAAGGCGGTTCTGCAGAAGGTTATTGAGAGCACCGAGAGCAAGGGATACACATTCCAGATGGAGATGATGGTGCGAGCTAAAGCCATGGGTTGCACTGTGGCCGAGGTCCCGATTAGCTTTGTGGATCGCGTGTATGGAGAGAGTAAGCTAGGCGGTGATGAGATTGTTGAGTACGCCAAGGGCGTGCTGACCTTGTGGCTCAAGGTTTAATTCGCATCGAATCGACAGGCGACCTGGTACGATAAGAGAGGCTGGAAGAGCTGAAATGCATTACAGGGGCTAAAGGACTGTTCGGCGTTGGATGGGTGTGATTTTCACCATCAAGGACTAATACCAATACCAAAATTTGCGATCTTTCGTGGTCCATACCTATTTACAACATCCGCCACTCCCAGTTTCCATCCAAAAGTGTTATTTAAATATCAAATGCACAATATCATTGACATTACATGTTGCGCCCACCCGTCACCATGACCGTCTGCCCCGAAACATACGAGAACAGTGGACTGCAAATGGCTAGCATCGCACTCGCACCCTCCGTCGCCGTCCCAGGCCTCCTCAACGGGATATCAGCATACGCCTGATCGCCCGTCCGCTTCTTCGTCGCCTCCGGAATCCCAATCGCAATCTTCTCCCCCTTCGGACCCGTGACAAACGCCCCTTTCTCCTTAGCCTGCGTCAACCTCGTCTCAATATGTCCAAAGGCAATAGTATTAACCCTTACTCCAAACGCTGGCCCCCACTCCTTCGCAATAGTCTTGGACAGCCCAGTGACGCCCGCCTTCGCCAGCGCATAGTTAGCCTGTCCGGCATTGCCGTGCACCCCCGACGTAGACGAGACGTTTAGGATGCACCGTGGCTCGCCGTCTTTCACCCGGAAGTAAGGCGCTGCCTCACGGATCAGCTTGAAGGGCGCGGTGCTGTGCAGAGCGATGATGGCGTCCCATTGCGCGTCGGTCATCTTGTGGATTACGGCGTCCCAGGTGTAGCCCGCGTTGTTGACGATGATGTGGATCTTGTTGTCGCCGCCGAAGGACGCGGCGGCCTGGACGAGGGTCTTGATGTACGAGGCGTCTAACATGTCGCCTACAACGGCGAGGGCTTTGCCGCCTTCGTTGGTGATGCTGTCGGCTACTGTTTGTGCTTTCTCTGGAATAGTGTTAGTCTTGCAATTGCAAAGGTTCGTATGATTAACCGGGACAAGAAACTTGCCGCCATCGATGTCTGATACGATGACCTTTGCGCCCTCGTTGGCGAAAAGTCTGGCTGCTTCGGCGCCAATTCCTTGTCCACTCCCTGTGATGATGGCAGTCTGACCAGCGAGCATGCCCTTGGGGTAGTTGAGCTGCCCTGCTATCTGTGATAATCTGTCTGCCATTGAAATAAATTGAAGCACAACGAGATTAGAATGCTTGGCTCATAAGTTGAAATCATGCAGAATACTCGATCTATAAATTCGGTTGACTAGCACGATGCAGATCATTATGAGTGATCCTCGTGGAACACCCCCACGGGGAACCTGGAGAACTATCCCAGACTTATAGCAAAATTACCGAGGTTCCCCGCGGCATCAACTTTCAGGGGTGTTACACCGGGGTTTGGTGGGGACATTTGAAGCAGAGGAGCCGCATGGGAACTTCTGACTTGCTAAATTCAAACGACTGTTCATGATTTCGACGCTAGTGACATAATTTAGTTTATAGTTGTAGGCCATTTCAGGTATAGTAGAATTCCAATGTTGAGACTGCGGAAACCACCCTACCTTCATCAAACACTTAAACTGCCAGGGCTGCTACAGTTTGCATCCACCCTTACCTACGAATCATCAGAGTCTTGTACAAGAGTGACTAAAGGCTAGGTTACGCGTAAGCCCAATCTTTGTTATCATATGCCCCAGGACAACAATTATACCCTATCCCTATCTACAGGCTGATACTCCTATTTGGCATCTGGCGTGAGGAAGAATGGGGCTCTCGACCAAATTTGAGAACAGAGATCAGACGAGAAATTCATCAAACATGTATTTTTCCAGTGGCGTCAACTATATGTAAAGTATATAACTTTCACTTGAGTCTTAATTAACATGGAGTAAGGCTAGATAGGGAGGATTCCAAATGTGACAGTGAGCAAGTTGGTTTTTTCTAATTTACTTTCTCCCAAGATTTCAAGCCAACTAGCTGATAACCTTCTGAACCAGCTCTCGGAAGACCGATGGCTTGAGGGGGCCCAATGCCAAACCAGGGGAAATTCGTACAACCCGCTGTGCCGAAGCCAGGCACCTTGGCGAAGCAGCGTATCTCGGCCAGCCAAAGCAGCATACCACATGATTACTCACGCATCCATCAAATTCAAATAGAGCTGAACCCCGTATAATACCCCTCGACCTCTTGCATTCTACGCGAAACTAACACATTGGGCTATAGTGCTGACATACCAAGCCCACATTTCATTTGAGAGGTGAAGAAATAAGGTGCACACAGACTCAAGTCGGCTGAATTTCAACTTCATTCCAGGACATCATCCTACTTCGCCCACCATCCTACAAGCTCGTTGCCCTGTATCTCACACCAATGACCACAACTACAACAACGAGATAGACCCTCTCATAACCCCAAGTACCTCTCCCAACGACCTCCAGGCTCTTAACCTTCCGTCACGACCTAATACCCCTCCATACCCCTTAGCAAAGTGTCGCAGCAACACCACCAAGAACACAAACCCGAACCACAAGCGTCCCAACCATCTTACTCGCCTCCCTCTCATAACCCTAACTTACGCGCTCTCCTCCACTATAACGGCTTGCAAATACTGCTCCCCGCGCGGGGCACGTTGGCGACTCATACTGCGACCTCCCCTGGCTGACCATAGAGGTGCTGGGCTTCAGCGGCCCGCCCACGTTCCTGGCGTTCTTGTGAATCTTGTCAGGTAGTTACTTGTTCTCGCGGAGGAGGGGACGTCCTGTGCTGGCGGCGACATACACGGCGCTGGTTTTCCCGTTGTTGGGGGTGGATTCGAGAAGGCGGCTGCAGTTCCTTCAGTGCTGAGTGGGATGATATTTTGTTTCTGGGCGGGGTTTGGGGGGCAAAGTGGGTGGATTCAACGGGTATTGAGAGATTGGGGGAGAGACTTTGATGGCGATGAACGGGGGAGGAAGAGGGTTGTTGTCTTGGTTTATGCGAATTCAATTGGTTTGCAGTGGTTATGTATGTACCATATGACTACGTGGTGCATGTCAATAGCCCCAGTCATCAACGGTTGGACTCTCAGTATGATGACTGGAGTGAGATTACTAGAGTGAGCTCAAGTGCAGCTTCCCTATGATCACTCTCGTTAGCTCAGGGTGTGATATTAGATTATATAACTGTTATACACCAATTGATGTAGAATTTTTGCACCCTCGTCATTTCGCCAATTACCTGTCACCCTCTATATACATGATACTTAGAAATCATCAAACATCATTTGGCAATAGCCAGTCGCTTAATTTACGTTGCAGCAACACATCTACCTCATAAACCCCTCGAATCTCTACTCTTTACCTCTAGACATAGTCCTGGACTCGCCGGTCCCCTTCCGCCCCAAACTCTTCCAACTCTTCAAACTGTTGAAGCTCATCGTGTACTTGAACCTGTGGCCTTCCTCCTCGTCACCCTGACTAAATGCACCCTTGACGACGGCGCCGTCCTCAAGCAGGCCGAAAGCGCGCTTGGCCATCTTCCAGAGCTCGACACCGGCGATGTAGATAATAGTGGCACCAAAGACGAGGCTCCACTCCCACGATATAGCCATGTGCTTGAAGACACTCGTGTTGAGCACGGGGATGTAGACGGTGGGAAAGACGGACACGCCGCCGAGCACAACGGCCCAGAACAAGAATTTATTTTCGTACAAGTCCTGGAATAGCGGGAACTTGGAGGTGGAATCCGGGTTGAGCCGGAACATGGAGCGGCGCAGATCCTTGAACTCCCAGGCGCTGACAAGGATGAGCCAGGTCAACTCAGCGAAGACAGCGGCACGGGCGCGGAACACGGGCTCGCATGACGGGGAGAAAGCGCGGTTGCAGTCGATACCTAGCTCGCCATTGTTGGCACCATGGATGACAATGACGAAGGTCATGAGCGTTAGGATACCCATAAGCAGACCATAGACCAACATGTCGACCAGGATCTGGTTGGTGAAGACACCGCGCTTCTTGTCGTGGGGCGGCTTGCGCATCACCTCACGCGAGGCTTGTTCTCTACCGAGGCCGAAGGCGGGAAAAGAGGAAGTCAACATGTTGATCCACAGGATTTCCAGGGGCGATATGGGGAAGACGGAGTAGCCGGTTTGGTCGCGAAAGCCTAGGCCGGCAATCAACAGAATGACCTCACCAACGTTGCTACTCAGCAAATGCAGGATGAACTTCTGGATGTTGTTGAACATGCGACGGCCTTCGCGGATGGCGGCCACGATGGAATTAAATTTGTCGTCCGTCAAAACAATCTTGGACGCCGACTTGGCCACATCGGAACCAGATCCCATGGCGATACCAACATCCGCGCGGGACAACGAAGGGGCATCGTTGACACCGTCTCCCGTCATGGCCATAAAGGCGTTGCGGCGGCGAAGGGCTTCGATCATGCGCGACTTAGTATCGGGGGCGCAACGTGCGAGGACAAGGGGCAATTCAGGTAGTGCGTCGATTTCATCATCAGTAAGCTTGTCGAAGTCGGTGGCCTTTTGGATGACAGCGTTGGCAACATCTCCTGGCAGAGTGCTGAGGTTGTGAGGGATGATGCCGACCTCCTTGGCGATAGCAGTCGCAGTCGCAGGGTGGTCTCCCGTTAACATGTGGACTCTGATGCCGGCGGTAGAGCACTCGGCAATGGCAGGCTTGGTCTCGCGACGGGGCGGATCGTAAATGCCAGCCAGGCCTAAGAGTGTAAGTCCCGTCTCAACTCGCTGGCGGAGGGCTTCGTCGCTCTCTATGTCCCCAGACGATGACTTCTCAGTATATCGACCCTCCCATGGTCGCGATGCGAGGGCGAGGACACGCTGGCCCTGTGACGCAAATTCGTCCATCTGCTTGAGGATCTGCTCCTTGTACACTTCAGTCATATCTTCGGCATCTTCGCCAATGCCGACGGTGGTGCAAAGATCAATGACTCGCTCGACAGCACCCTTGGTAAATACCATACTGTGGTCTCGGCCCGGACCGTCGTAGACGACCGACATGCGCTTGATGGAACTGTCGAAGGGGAATTCTGAAATTTGCTTCCATCCCTCGCCTTCGATTGCCTTCTTACCCTTGTTGAAGCGGTGGGCAAAGACATGGAGGGCAATCTCGGTCGGCTCGCCCGTAGTCTGCCACTTGCGACCATCGGCGTTGGCCTCGGTCTCGTGACGGACAGTAGAGAGGTTGCAAAGAGCAGCAGTTAGGAGAAAGGCCTCCAGTTCGGGGTTCATGGTTGCCTCGTCCTCGTCTCGCTTCTTGGGCTTGGGGTGGAACTTCTCGTCAGGGACATCAAACTTGAGTGCAGAGGCACTACGTTCTTGATCAAAATCTCGCTTCTCAGGTTCCGCTGGAGTCCCATTCGGGTCCACGGCATGGTACGTAACCCTGCCGACAGTGGGATCATTGGGGTCCTTGGAGTCGTGGACAGTGTAGGTGGTCCTCTTGGGGACCCAAGCCTTCTTCACAATCATCGCACCTTGGGTCAGAGTTCCAGTCTTGTCAGAGCAGATGTTAGTCACGCCACCCAGAGCTTCCAGGGCGGACAGGTCTCGGACGACGACATTAGCCTTTCTCATGACGGTGGTCGCAACAACCATGGTGATTGTGAGCACGCTGTGTCTAATTGTCAGTACCATAGGTAATGAGGACGGTGTCTGTGAGACTTACGCAACAAGCGACTCGGGGATGATGGCAATTCCAGTGCTGATTGCGTAGATAATGACTTCATTGGGTACTGAGAACCGATTGACAGCAAACACAACAACGGCCAATAGAAGAGCACAACCAAACAGCATATACGCCAACTTGGACAATTTTCGCTGAAGCGGCGTTCCTTCAGTCAAGCCTAAGAACTTGCCAAAGAAGTCGTAGATGCGCCTGAGCAACCCGACAACGGTTTGTCGCTTGCCATATTTCTTGTAGTTCATGGACCGGCCGGCTTTGCGGTTCTTTTTTGACGTTGAAGCGGCGATCTTGCCGACTTCTGTCTTCATGCCGGTCGCGATGACGATACCGCGGCCACGTCCCTTTCGCACAACCGTGGTTCCATACGCGATATTGAGGCGGTCGCCAATGCCGAGTTCCTCGTCCTCGAGAGGTTCCTGAATCTTGTCGACGGGGACGGATTCGCCAGTGAGGGATTGTTCATCGGCGCTAAAGTTCATCACTTCGAAGAGACGGACATCGGCCGGGATGGTGTCACCCATCTTGAGGGATACGATCTCTCCGGGGACGACTTCAGCACTATAACAAGGTTCAAGTTTGAGCATGTATAACAGCCACATATTGACGGAGTATAGGACTTACTTGGGGATGACTTGAGACTTGCCATCACGAAGGACAGTAGCACTGGGCGAAGATAATGCCCTGAGGGCATCCATCTTCTTCTCTGCTCCATACTCTTGGTAGAACCCAATCGAGACGTTGAGGATAATGACAGCCGCCAGTACCCCACCCTCCACATAGTCATTCACGATGAAACTCAGTGCCATAGCGAAGAAGAGGACCTATTGCGTACCAATCAGTTTCCAAAAGATCAATGGCAGGTGGGAGTTGGTTTGTCTTACCAAGATCATGGCATTAAAGAGTTGTCGAAAGAATATCTTATACCACGGTATAGCCCCTCCGACATCAAGCTCGTTTGGGGGATACTTCTCCTGTAGCTGGACAACCTGAGCCGAGCTCAGACCCCTTTCCATATCTGTTCCAAAGTTGTTCACGACATCCTGGATAGAGAGGAGAAAGGGGTGGCGTTCAGCCTCGCCGGCCATTATGAGTGAGTGTCAATATACACGATAGGGCCAACACTGAAACCGTCGGTTCCGTTCATGGACAAGTAGACAAGAGCAACAATATGCAACATGGACTTTATACGGGCTTTCGGGATCTTCTTCTCCTTCTTCTACAGAGCTAGTTTTCGTGACAGATATCTAGACTTCCAGAAGGGCATACGTCTAGAACAGGACCGGCCTAAACAACACGGGAACGTACCTCTCTTTATAATCGCAGCGGGAACGGGTCGAATGCGTCGCATATCCGTTCCAATACGCATCTTCCGATTCTACGACATCGGCGCCAAGGAAACCAAGAACTTTGTGCCATCATTCTGCGTGATGGGAACATGATGAACCGCACGGTGGGAGAGGTTAGCCACGGCTCGGTGGAAGATGCAAACGCTGATTGGCGGCCGCATCCCTTACAATATTGGCATCGAGCAATCCCAAGGACACTAGCGACACCAACAGCAAGCCTTGCGGCGAAGTTGAGCAAAAGATGGTAAATATCTCACAATTTTGGTGGCGTCAGTCGTGCCGAACTTCCATCGTCAAGCTTGGCTCTAGGAAGTCCAAGAAACTCCAAGCCTTGGCGATGGGCTGGTGTGGGGTGACGTTCTGGAAATTCTTCGGGTGCCTTTCCCGCTGGATGGTGTGTGGCGGCACGTGGTCGGTTTGGCAGCATGGCACGTGATGGCCTTCAGTTGCTTCTGCAGCTGCCCCCAGCTGGTCTTATACAATATCGTACTTCGTGGGCCAGTTCACTGATGGCATTGGCCATGTCCCACTCAAAAATCGGCATTGGCAGTCGATCAATTTTGCCTTGCTTGCCACACACACGCAGGTTCCAAGCCGTTCCCTCAAGAGCTTGACGAATTCCCAACGCCATCCAATGGCGACAGAAAAAATCTATCGGCGACATTGACATTCCAGCGTTTGAAGAACTTGGGTCAGCCCAGAGAAGCCAATTGGTCTGTGTGACAGCTGCTAGGGGTGCGAAAGCCTTGAAGGACCTACCTGCCATGGATTTCAGCACACAGTACTATAGTGGCCGGTAATTCGGTGGATGATTATAGAATCACAACACCACTTGCTCGAGCCTCCATCCGAACCAAGGGACGATCGGTCGCGTTCCAAGAAGTGTCCAGGTGTCCATTGACTCGTTCCCTGCTCCCCACGCCCCTAGGCACACATCCCCTGAAGCAATGACAAGACTACACAACGGACAGGCCCGGGACAAGGGAAGCCAATGCAGGTAATACAACACGATCCCCATAACCTCCACAGTTACAGGTGACGCAATTCGACGGGGAAACACCTCTGCACCTCGATCGCAACCAACTACCAACCATAGTACCAGCCTTAGCCCGTTTTGATGGAAACTGGAAGCTGGAAGTCCAGATCCCGTTACGTCTTTACCCCATTTGCATTTGAGGTATGCAAGCTCTTGGGGAAGCAACTCCGAAGGGTGTGTTAAGTTATGTCTGGCCTGACTTCCTAGGATGAACCTGCCATCTCCTGCAGCTTCCCCTCCTCGCAACGAAGCAGGCTGGCCACAGGTTCCCAGTCCTCTGTACTTGCTTGGATGCTTGCAAGTTGAGTTGGCGGGACTCTGTCTTCATTGTTTTCCCGACCCGTTCGGTGGATCTGGTCGTTGCGTCAGTTTGTGCTACCCACTATCTACGGGATAGAGTAGTAGAAGCTTGACCACTTCGTTTTCTCCAGTCTCAAATATTCTTCCCTTCCTCATTGTTTTGATGTCGTCCTCCAACGGTTTTCCTTCGTCAGACTTTCTCATAACATCCACATTCTTGCATTGACTAGTCGTATCGCCGGTCGGTTGACATCGCCATATCGCTTCCGCAACTGCAACCCTCAGCTCTCGCGCGCACACTGTACAGAGCTCACCTGTTACGTCATCGAGATGGCCAACATCACAGCCGAGAGCATCAGTAATGGTAGGATACGCCGGCCTGTGCGATCGCAAGCATTGCGGAAGTTATGGGAAAGTTTTCATTACTTCAATTGATGCGCAATCGATGATTCGCGAGGCTTTGCGGCTCCAGCACATGAGCTCCTGAATCGCAACTTAGTAGCTGCACAGTGTGCTAACTACACCCTCATACAGCTCCTCAGCCAGAGGCGCCCGGCCAGACTGCGCCACCAGTCGCCCCGTCGAGCGTCGAGACGAAAGCGCCCGAGCAAACTTCAAGCCTCCCGCCCGTCGTCTCCGACCCCGTCAGGACGGCAGATGCATCGTTAGTGCCGGTCGCTCCGATAGAGACAGAGGCCGAAGCTGAGAAGATAATTGTGCAACCCGAGAAGTCCGGAAAGACGGCAAGCTCAATAATTCCGGATGTGCAGCCAGCCCACCCTAAGCCCTCGGAGCCGTTGGTTACTAACGGCAATCCTAAGGGGCAGCCGAAGCCTGTCACCGTCGAAGAGGTCCAAGATCCCGAGCTGCCTACCGCTAAGCTTACAGATACCAATGATGTCGCCAAGCCCGAGATCAGCGAGGAGCCAGCCGTGAATGAACCGACCGCTGCTGCTACCGAGGAGCCCAAGGATGTCGAGATGACCGGAATTTCGCAGTCCGAGAGCGAGGCTCCAAAGTTTAGCGCCAAGTCAGCTTCTACTGAGCCCGCCAACGCTGAGCCCGAGATTGGTGACAAGCGCAAGGCGGACGAGACATCCGCCTCCACTAGTGACAAGGCCTCCGAGGTAGAGAAGGAGGTGGATGAAGCCCCTGCTGAGAAGAAACAGAAGACCAATGGTGCTGCTACCAACGGCGCCGCGAAGAAATCTAGAAGGTCCAAGAAGGAGAAGAAGCCTACCCCGGTCCCAGGCAGGACGGCGCGCAAAACTCGCAGCCAGGGTGCTGCAGAGTGATGTGATAGAACCCACTTCGGAAGGTGTGGATTATGTGTTGAAGGTATATAAGGTATACTACGATAGCGACAATGTGTTGTTGGATTTCCCTTGTTTGTCCCCGTTTGGCCCAAGGAGTCATAATACGGGCTGGGCTTCACTACAGGAAAAGCTGCGTGTCTGGGATACCGGTCGTCTTTTTTCCGGATCTTCTGTACATACATTGCTAAATAGCTGATGCGCAAAAGCTTTGTTTACGCATTATAACGGGAAATAAACTCATTCAAATCAGCGACTGGCTTCAAGGCCTCCTTGATCTCTCGTCTTCCTAGCCAGACATCTAGACGCGCATCAATCGGTGCGCTTTCCGCTTCTTTCTCTCATGAATGGTATTCCTCCTAGCAAATGAAAAAGCCCATCCTCGACACAAGTATCATGATTCGTACTCCCGCCTCAACTCAGCAGGCGGTCCTACGGAACATTCGGACACACCTTGGTATCCTCTACAAATTTCGCCAACCCGGCATCGCAGCCGTAGCATGAACAAAGCTGATTTTTCCCCTTTCTGTTAGTAAACAGGTCATTGAGAAGGCATATCGTGGGTGGAATGGTAGCTCTCACCACGGCGGCGCCACCTTCCACGCATTGAAAAATCAGACGGTCGTTTCGCGATACAGCCGTTGCCGTTCATCGCGGCGTCGCAGCCCGAGTACGTGAGGTTCGCGTTGCAGTGGCCGGACGCTCTGGTCAGGGGGTTAAGCAGGAGCGCGAGGAAGGTAACTGCGAGACGCATGTTGAGATGGTTTGCAAAGGTACCTTGATGGGGGTAGTTTCGACGGCCTTGTAGTGGAACTGATGAATCTCAGGGGTGAAGCTCTCGTGGTACCATTCGCAGCTACAAAAGCCACATTGCTTCTCTTCCTCTTTCTGTCAGATATGCGAGATATCCATGGGTAGGCGACCATTGTGAGGGTAACATCTCAACTGAGAAATGGGTGGTAGGGAATTAGGCAATGGTGCTCCGCCTGATGATTTTCCATGTAGCTGCAATCAATTCGATCGGCATGAGCTCGAGATCGGCCGCCAACCACAAAACTTACCTACCAACCAATAAGGAATTCGGATGATCTGCTTCGACTTGGTATACTGCTATTGGGTGTTCTTCTATAGGACATAGGGACTTGAATCTTAAGTACTTATGGGCAACAAGCTCTTCATGTCCTACAAAGAAACCTGAATATCAAGGCTATAGACTTTCATTGTGCATTAAGTAATGGCGAAGTTATGTACTTATGATCACCGGTTCTCTATCATTAATTTCCATTTCGCCTATTGGCATCTCGTTTCGCTATTGTTGATACCATACTTGATATACGCCCGGCATCAGCCGCCCTGTATTACAAAACGCTTCACAATCATTCCGTAAAGTCAGTCGTGTCTCATAGCCGCATTATGCTCATCTCCATGTAGCCCCTCATCATCCTCTTCCTCGTCAGAAGTATTATCGTCATTCTCCGCCTCCTGACTATGCTCCTCAATATACCCCATCAATCTCGACCTCAACCGCCGATCCTCCTCATCCTCCCTCTGTATCCTCTCATCCTCATTCTGCGCCTCGTTTTTCGACGGCGGTTCAGTCGACACAGGCACGGGCGTATCCGGCATCCGCGGCGGCATCGCGATGGCGGCCTGTTCGAAGCTTTCATCCTTTGCCAGCACCGATGGCAGCGGGGTTTCTATCCCGCCATCATCTTGGCTGGCCTGCAGCGTGCTCGCATCCCGCAAAGTACTGGATACACCACTCAAAACATCGTAATGGGGTATGCGGCCTGGTCGACGGAGCGCAAGAGGTTGCGGAGGGCCCACTACCGTGGTTGTGTCGCAGGTTGAGAAGGTTTGTCCTGGCGGACGGGCGCCACGGTGGCGGGACTTTCCGCAGTCTTTGGAAGTTACCCATTGGATCACCACGGCAGAGAAAAGTACTGTGGGTAGAGTCAGTCATGGATGAATATCACCACTTCGATTTGGAGCCCCGGATATCGCTCTGGTCCTGAAAGCGTGCCAACTTACTATCCGCATTACAACACATGAGACATATCCAAGCGGGTTGGCCCTCCATGATCATAAGTATTGTCAGGTTGCTTTGTCTTTGTCAGCGCCTGCCCCTATGCTGTCAGGGGGTAGAGAGTAAGTTATACACTATACTGCTTGCCGTGGTGCAGCATCCTCCTATGAATGCTCTCAACGCAGCTGCTCGAAGTCGAACAGAAGCTGGGTTTTGGGGTAGATGTTTGCGGGCGTAGAGTCCTGTGAGAACACCCGAGTCAAATCATCCATTCGTTGTTAGCGGTATGCAAAGAAGAGTGTAGCTTACGCCGCAAAGGGATGAGGAATAGCGTCGTAAGGTACATCTAGAATGTCGTTAGCGAATCGCCACATGCGATTGACTCAATATTTCTCCTAAATTATACTCACATTTACAAAAAAGTCAAACGAAATCATGGGTATCATGGAAACCTTCCGCATGCCAATCCGGCAGCTTCCTTTTTCCCACTCTGTGATCCGGCTGTGCGACCATTAGCTTACAGTTGATAAGACCTGTGTGAGAGCATACTGACAATACAATGTCTAGAATTCCAACGGTGATATAAATAGCTGCGAACGTGTGAGGTCAACCTGTCCATGCGCCTCAACAAGCAAGAATGGGCACTTACTAATCATGCCAAACGAGTTGACCAGGTACAACTTGGATTTGAGCCTTGACTTGTAGCCATTCCTGATGACAAACTATCGTCACTCATGAGACATTATGTACTGTCGTCACATTAAATGGAGGTAGACTTACGGCTCTCTCAACGAGGAATAGGTATATAAACTACTGCCCATGTCAGTCCTTTGTTTTATATGCGAACCACTCGCGCTTCGATTCCAACCACCCACAATCTACAGCGCATGTCAGCCAGGTTCCAATGTGAGATATGCGGTGAGGGGTAGTGCGTTCGAACCTTCGTCGTCACGTAGAAAAGAAGACAGAGGAAAGTGGCCGCCGAGCACGTCTCATACGTCGAGGCTACTCCTAGCCCATGTTGCAGGACCGCAGTCGTGAAGATGAAAGTCCACGAGTCGGCGTAGATGGTGAAGACCACTGCTCGTTCCGTGTCGTTAGTTGACATCTACTCAGTAAACACTGGGTGTCGGTTCGGACGTGGATCATCGTACGCCATGGTATAAACGCCAGCCTACGCCATCTCCTCACCGCCAAGTATCGCTGTGCTGTGCTCCGTGGTCAGCGCTCCGGTTCCCCCAAGATACTGCTGGGCGCCAGGCGCTCGTGATAGAGGATGCGAGTGGGAGAACTGACTGAAACATGCCGTGACCGTTGCGAGGGCGAGTAAGTTGATAACCACACCGAGAGCGGTGCCCACCAGCGGCTCGTTCTCCTTGTAAAACTCGGCCTGGCTCTCTCGGGCACCGATAGAAGAGGCCATCATGGATTGCGATGGAATTCTTGTTGAACAACGAGTGCGGTTCTCGGGCAGCGCTGGATGGGCATTAAACCTCTGTCCACCACCCACATAAACCAACAGTTCCCGTTTCAGTGGTAGACTGCGGCTTGACGCTAAACTTAATCTCCGACTTCCACACCTCCCTAGTTGTTGCACTAATGTTCCCGCTGTTTACTTACGCAATAATGGGATGATGGCAGCGGATATTTCGGACTGTGCTCCGGGATAATGGCATGCCACTCTAGACATGTCAACGGAATGGTTCCGATGGATTTCGGCAGTGAGACGGTGAGAAAAGTAAATGGTCTGTTTGGCCTCAGATGATTTTACGTTTAGGTGCGCTCATCGAGAGTATATAAGTCTACGAATGACTAATTTCTAGGCCGATCAAGTTTTGTGTGGTTCACGACATTCGATGGAGTCTGCAGTAGACGAACGTGGTCGTAACCAAACGTCCTCTTGTGCCTTACAACCAGATTTCCCGGATGATTTGTTCCATGGAGTATCCAATGAAAAATATTCGTCTCCGTTAGCACAGAGCTACAGATGCAGCATCCGGGCCACGGCAATGGTTTCCACTGTCCACCCGCGAGCAGCGAACGAGATGCCGGGCACGCGTACAAACTGTAAAATCAATTGGCTTTCTTATGCTGGCCTTGGTTCTGAACAGCGGTAAAGGCAATGGTATAGGCTCTCGTGAGGGGTATACAACAAGGCAGACTTAGCCTTGCCATGGCCAAAACCCGACGTACACCGACTCATGAACCCTGTAGTCTATCAGTTCGCATGTGCCGTATTAGATCTCTACCATGCCCAGATTTTAGACAAGAACCCCTCTTGGAATATGAAACTTGGCATTGGAAATAAGGTTGTTTGAAGAGGGAATATCCTTGCACCAGGGGTTATATAGCTCGTTACTATGCCGTTCCGCTTGTGTCTAGACGTACAGTTGCAAAACACGGCTCGTTACCATTCACGAGGGATACATGCTGTCGGGGAGAAGAGCGCATCGGATGTCCAGCCTACGGTGTGATTTTGTGATTCCGCAATGCTGACTACCATAGTAGAGGTAATCAGTGCCCTTTGCTGGAGAGATAGGAAGGATGAGTATGATAATGAAGCTTATTCTAGACGATCACAACCTGGTTGACTCATGCAAAAAGCGGAACCTGGCCAACCGGAGCAACCCCTGTGCTCATCCTTTTCCGTCTCGATACATTCTTGATAACAGAGGAAGCGCCGAGACAACTCTGATACGTACCAGCCCACTCCAAGGTCGAATTATAGACAGACATTAGTTAGACATGTGCCGAATAGCGGAAACTGAATGCAGTAGGGGCAGTTTGGTAGCCGAGCTCAGATGCCAGCAATCTGCGAGATGTCCGAGGATGGACGATATTGAAGGATTTCTATTTTTTTGAAGGGCTAGATCCTCTCTGAATATTCTGGTTCATTGATAGTATGCATGCCTACTGGCGTTATCATACTTGCGAGGCCCCGATTGGGTCAAAATCTATTTCACGATATGCACGCTATGGCAGGCGGGCAAGCTTCCATATCTTATCTAATCTTCTCTACTGGGCTGGCGTGTTTTCCGACACTGTAGTAAATATACACCGGGGGAAAAGAAGACAAAGAACCGGAGATACAACCGCAACCCTACAGTAATCTCGGTCTAGACCCAGTCGTCCAAATGCTGAAGTTACTTCGGACTAAAAAGTCACAATATTCCTAGTCCGAACATCGTAGTGCCGTCAGCAATTAGTGAAAGAGTAACACTACAGTTGGTTGCGAAGACCTACCAGAGCCTTTGGGCGGTGAACCGCTTGAAAATACCCACAACTACGTTGATTGAATATAACAGAGTAAGAAACAAGTACGTACTACGACACGCTAAGCTAGATGAAATAGCTCAGGTTGGTTTACATGACTAATTTCAAGTACCCTTAACCTAATGAGATTTCGAGATGCTAAAAGGGCATGTCCCTGTATCCGCACGTGACATGTCACCTTGGACAGCTCCAAAATTGGCTCGTTCCTAGATTGTGTCTCCTTCTCGGGGAAAACTGTTCTTGGAACGGGTCTGTAGATAGGAGGGGACAGCTCCTACCCATCAGGTTTCGACAACCCAGAGAAGATGCTGTTAGATGGCACCTATACTCCTTATCTTCTACTTTCTGGCAGAATCGCCAGGTCTCTCTAGCTGTACGCTCAGGTTGATATATGCGGCGCAATTAATTAAGTAGAGATGACAGGACACAATATAGGTCCATACCGGTAGGTGCCATATCTTTGGAGATATTTAGCAAAGATCAACCTACGCATATAATGAAATATAACAGCCGTGCATACATGTGTGAGGAAAGCAATTGATACCAGGCAGGGTGAAACGGAAAGTATAACAAGACGATCAAGGTCCATTAATTTGAGGGCGGGAAACATTACGTTGGTAACTTTGAGAGAATACAGAAGACAAATAAGAGTATCTCAGTTGCTGACTTGGTAGACAGTAGGCAAACCTACTCTTCTGCTTCTATTCTTCTCATTACTTGAGTAGCTAACATACCTCAGCTCACACCGCGGCCGTCTCATAATCATTTCGGGTTATTTACATGCGGTTTGGTAATCCTGAGTATCAGCACATATGGATGATGAACATATTTCCAAATAAAAGCCTACCAGAGTATTTCAGGCGCGTGGTCATGGGTCGGGGCCATCCAGGAAAATTCAGACAAGGACACTGTCCTGTAACCAACGTAATATATTGTAATTAGGTAGTTAAGGCCTACTGTCGTTTTCATGCCATTGAAGTCTTCTAGAAGATCGTCCAGTGGCACCCACTATGATTGCCAAGTGGCTTGGGAGCTTCCTCTGAAATTTGTCTAAAATAGCTCCATATCACGTAGGGCCAGAAGAGAGCTTATATGTAATGAATTCAAACATCCTGCGCCTGAAAGTACTAGTCAGGTGCCAGTAAGCGCGCACACTGCCCAGTTTCCACATCAAGATAGCTTGATAACAAACCACCCGCACGGTAGCATAGAATCACTAACCGACAAGGTCGACCGTATAGCTTCATTGCAGCTCCGCGCTAGATGACCTCATTGTTCGTGTTTTATTGACTTGTTGACCAAAGGTAGGCAATAGGGTTCGTGCTAGTTCCGTGGACGTTGAGCCACTGAAGTCACGGAGCAAGTCTGAGGGCCAGCGCGAGCGAAATTCGGGTGTTTACATGCCATGCGCGTATTCCTGGCTGACGTGGATAATCAACAAACCTGTTCATCAACGAGCGACTCAGTATCCCCAAGCTGTCTTTCTTGTTGGCTGCGACCTCGTAGGGCAATCGCTTTGCCAAGTCCACATTTGACCCGAAATTGGCAAGATTCCAGATCTCTAAGTTCTGCATGATCGAATTCCGACACCCCGGCTCTGGGGAAGCGCGACCCTATTGGGTTCTGCCCGCGCGGCACTGCAAAAAAAGCTTTAGGTCCTGCCGATCACTAGTTGCACCCTTGTCATGAGACTTTCGGATGTCAGACAAAGTGGTCTGAGGAGAGCAGCCAGCGCCGAGCACGGCAGTTAGCTTATGAATGTTTTCAGTGCATGAAATCGGTCCTGATTTGTCTCGGATGCCAGGAAGCCAGGACTTCGCTACTTCGTATCCCAAGTGCCGCGCCTCAACGGGGCCCGCTAGCCAATTGCAGTCTGACGAAGCATTCTGCTACCGGTCATGAACGTCAAAAATGGCTCCTGTGCAGCGGCTGTGCCGTCATGGTGCAGGTCCAAGGGGCACCAGACCCGTTCTTGTCAATGAGATGGATGGTTGTCGTTCGGGAGCTCGAAGTCGGCGAAGTACGGAGCACGGGAAGAGACGGCCTCCGGCGACTGGTGGCGTGCAGTTCTTCTCTCCACTTTGCCAGCGATATACTACGTAGTAGCTGCTACGTAGTATATTTCGTTTTCGCGAGAAGGAGAAGGCACTGACACAGTCGTCTACTTATTTGTAGAGGTCAGACGGCGGCGTTGGCGCGTTGCCAATCGTTGGGGCGCGCTGTTTGGGTCAGATCAGGAACTAAGTTTGCTGTTGATTTGATTTTAGTACAGGCTACTACCAGAACTGTGGGCGCGCGTGGGTGCTGATCTCTACAGAAAGCTGCGTCGTCTACCTAGATACGACGCCTTGAGGAAGTCGAGACAACCTTTTGTATAGATCAGGCCTTGAAATACCGAAAGAGGAAAAAGTCGCCCACATTTTCAACGTTTCGTTGTCGCGTGGGTCTAAGAATTTTGAATGCCCCTGTTCACGCCTTCGTCATCTCGTCTCCATCTCCATCTCCATCCCTCGTGGTCCCTCCTCACATGGTATCCCTCATCTCGATCGTTACAATCCCGCCCAATCCCAACACGCCTGTATGCTCACTTCAATAGACAGCCCGACATTCTCTACCTCTATCTCTTTCCCTCCCTCCCCCATAACCCGACCCTAGAATATCGGGTACTCGCAGCGCACCGTCCCTCTATCCTACCCTCGTTTTCGTCTTGCCCTCACCTTCACCGTCACCCTTACACTCGTTTTCTCTGTGTCCCGTCCTCCCCCAACTTCGGTTCGTCGCGCGCAAGACGGTTCGAGCGAGCGAGGCTTCGAAGGAAGTACAGTTTGGGCATACGTGAATTGCGTCACTCGTTTGTTCTTTGTCCACCTCTGAGAACCCAACCGCCGACCGCATTTTTGTCACGGACGGCAGCGCGCCCCATCTTCGAATGAGGGGATCAATGACCGCCCATATGCAGTAAAACTTCTTATTGGAACAGCCGACAGCTACGACTACCTCCCAAACTTGACGCCTCGATAGGCCACACTGCCAACATGGGAACACGGTGGAACACGCTACAGTCGTTGGTGTCTCGCGACGATAGCACAGCCCAGGAGCTGTTGGATCTCCTGGGTGACCCTTTCAAACAAGAGGTATACGTCTCATCGCAAGACCTTCCAACCACAAGAACGGCTACTGACGGTTGCTTCTGCACTCCAGCTCAGCGATGGTGCCATTTGGTCCGCCATTGGCTCGTCGATAGGTTTCACGTTGTTCATCGCAATTGCTTTCTCCTTTCTTCGACCGTATAACACCGTCGTATACGCGCCCAAACTCAAACATGCCGACGAGAAGCACGCACCGCCCCCTATAGGAAAGGGATACTTTGCGTGGGTCAAGCCGCTATGGAACACGAATGAGAAGGAGCTGGTCAATCACGCTGGCATGGATGCCGCCATCTTCCTGCGCTTCACCCGCATGTGCCGCAACATCTTCCTTGTGCTGGCGCTCCTGGGATGCGGAATCCTTCTGCCCATCAACTACACCAAAAACAGCGGCGACGACACCCAGAAGTGGTTGATGCGCCTGACACCACTGCAAGTTTGGGGGGACAACAACTGGGCACTCGTCACTGTGGCCTACCTGTGGGTCGCTGTCATCTGCGGCTTTCTATGGTGGAACTACAGGAAGGTTCTCGAGTTGCGCCGTTTCTATTTTGAAAGCGAAGAGTACCAGAACAGTTTGCATGCCCGGACCCTCATGCTGAACGATATTCCCAAGAACATGAGCTCGGACGAAGGCATCGCTAGAATCATCGATCAGTTTATACCGGAGTCGTCTTTCTCCCGCACGGCCATTGCTCGCAACGTCAAGGATCTTCCCAACCTCATCGAGCAGCATGATCATACAGTGCGGAAGCTCGAGAAGGTACTCGCCATCTACCTCAAGGACCCCAAGAATCTGCCTGCCGCACGACCAATGTGCCATCCTTCCAAGAAGGACCCGTCGCGGGATACGTACCCCAAGGGCCAGAAGGTAGACGCCATCGAGTACCTTACGCAGCGAATAAAAGAATTGGAGCTCGAAGTCATTGAGGTTCGCAAGAGCGTCGACAAACGCCACACTCTGCCGTACGGCTTCGCCAGCTACGACGATATCTCCGAGGCCCACTGCATCGCTTATGCTCTGCGCAGGAAGAAGCCCAAGGGCGCTTCCATCCAGCTGGCTCCCAGACCAAATGATGTTATTTGGGACAACATGCCTCTTGGTCCGTCTACGCGGAGCTGGCGCAGAATCGGGGTCAACATGTGGATCACCATTTTGACATTGCTGTGGATCGCACCGAACGCGATGATTGCCATCTTCCTGGTCAATTTGAGTAATTTGGGCCTGGTGTGGAAGGCATTCCAGAACGAGCTATCGGCGAACACAGGCTTCTGGTCCATCGTACAAGGTATCGCGTCGCCTGCCATTACCTCGTTGGTGTACCTAGTGCTACCTATCATCTTTCGTCGCCTGTCCATCAGAGCCGGGGACCGCACGAAGACGGGGCGCGAGAGGCACGTCGTGGGCAAGCTCTACTCGTTCTTCGTCATCAACAACCTAATCGTCTTCTCGCTCTTTGGTGCCCTGTGGAGCTTCACCGCCGCCGTCGTAGCCGACACACAGAAGACGGGGGATGCGTGGCAGTCGATTCTCCGGAAATCACTGGGCTCTGCGCTCTTCACCGCGCTCTGCGACATCTCTCCATTCTGGATCAATTGGCTTTTGCAGCGAAACCTGGGGGCGGCCATCGATCTGGCACAGCTGTGGACGCTGATCTACAGCTTCTTCATGCGCAAGGTTTCCAATCCGACGCCGCGAGAGTTGATTGAGCTCACGGCCCCGCCTTCATTTGAGTATGCCATGTACTACAATTACTTCCTCTACTACGCGACTGTCGCCCTTTTCTACGCTCCGCTTCAGCCACTAGTTCTGTTAGCTGCCGCTCTCTACTTTGCCGTCGATGTCTGGCTGAAGAAATATCTGCTGCTCTACATCTTCATCACCAAGAACGAGTCTGGTGGCATGTTTTGGCGTGTCCTTTTCAACCGCATGGTATTTGCCACCATACTATCAACCCTAGTCATCTTCCTGACCGTCTGGGAGCGTGGTGACTGGGGAACACACAGCCAGGCTTTTGCGGTGGTGCCACTGCCTTGTATCATGCTTGGCTTCAAGTTCTACTGCTCTCGAGTTTTTGATGATAAGATCCACTATTACGCCATTCGAAACGTGCGCACGCACCCTGAAGGTGTGGCGAGTAAAGACCCCTTGCGCTCCGATAGACTGGCATCCCGTTTCGGTCACCCGGCTTTGTACAAGCCCCTCATCACACCGATGGTGGCCTCCAAGGCGCAGAACATCCTTGCGGCAATTTACAAGGGTCGTTTGTCCGATGGCCGAGATGCCTACTCGGGCGATGCCATGTCCACGTCGGGATACTCGGATGCCTACGTTCTTGACACAATGAACAAGTCTGGCAGGACGAAGGGTACATTGAATATGCCCGGTTTCGAAATTGTGCCCGAATCGCGTATGGACTTCGAGTACTACAAGAACCGGCCCGAGTTTGCTGATGAACATGGCGATGGCGGGATATTTGGTCGACATGGTGATGTAATTCGCCCTGGAACTCCTGGCAGCGTGTGGAACGGTAGTGAATCTGGGTCTAGACCAGGCAGCCCCGGCATACCTTCTGTGCCCAGAGCAGGTAGTCCGGGTCCGACCAGGACGTTTTCGCCCATGTCTCCTAGTATGGGCGGTTCCAACCCGTATATGCCTCCTTCGTCGCGCAGCCCACTCTATTCACATGGTAACGACAGCGGATCGAATCTGATGAGCAGCGCAGCACCGATGCCTTTAGCAAACCCAGTTACGTCTAGAGAACGTAGCTTTGACGGCGGGCACGGGCCCAGAGGTCCCGGAGGTGTTGGAATGCTCGGTGGCGGCCCGCGAGGCTACGGCAACCTCCCTCAACACGAGGAAGACATGGTCGCCCCGGAGACTGACCCAATGTCTTATGACTATTTCCGGAGCTCGAGGACGAGACGGGGTTAGGTCTCGCAGGGATTTGACGGAGCCTGAAGCAAGTTTAGGTGTGGAGACTCGCTGCGAAGGCCTCTTCCGTGTTGTGTATTTTCTCGGGGCGTTTCTGGCTACGAATTCAAGGATAAAGGAGAAAGGTACACCCGGACAGGTTGCCGCCTTAACGACTATAAACTAAAATGGAACGGAACGGAATAGAGTTGGAAGTATCATCAATGACCATATTAGTTATGGACGTCCCTGATGACAGACGGACGCACGCACGAACGATGGGTCTGGAATACGTCGAGATGGGCAGACGGCTGTGGGCGAATTGTCAATGACCAATTATTCTAATAGCAAAGCTTGGAGCGTGCTCTAGGTGATAGGTATATAGTAACGATATTCGTATGATCTTAAAATTGACGCTTGCTTGAGTGCAAACTGTCTACTCGTCGGCTTTGTGAAATCGAATGCAATCCTGCAAAGGATTAATTTATAGTTTTGTACTACAGGGCGACGAGGCTAGATGTAGGAAATAGATGAGCAGTGTGGACTCTTAAGAGAAATCATGAGCAAGTAAATTCTACGGAGAGGCAGTAATTCCTCGTGTTGATTGTTAGAATCAGAGCTGCGGTTGGGGGGTTGGGTTCGAGTTTTTTGTTGGGAGCTGTCTGGAACTTTCTGTCTTCTATAAGCTCCCTTTGCCTGAGACAAATGGCCAGATCGCATGCATATAGCAGTTACGGGTTCTCCCAGATAGCTCGGTTTTGTACAATATTCTGTGCCGACATCTCTGGTCTTCCTCTCGCGGATGTGAGTTTCAGAGTTGTCATAAGACCCAATTCACTTGATGCGATGCTCCCGGCATAAGCTCAGGGCGTAGACTCTCTGTTTGAGGTTTTTTATTTCTATCTCTCTCCCGATCAGGAGCTCGAGAACGACACACCAGATACTACATGTCTAGATGGAAGCCAGCACAACACAGGCCGATTGTTTTCTTTGTCTAAATCATCTCTCTCCATTCACCTTCGTTTTCCACCATATGAGAGTCACATTAAGAGACTTCATCATCTGAGAAGGCAGAGCCTCCCCGTTGGCTGCTCTATCGGACAAATAATTAGAATTCACTTATCTACATTCCATTGTATGTTGAATAGTCGACGCTACGATGGAGGGCTTTTTGGTAATATATTGAACAAAAAGAACAATAGAGCTGCCCCGGGAACTGATGACTCGAGTAAAAACGGCATTTTTCTGTCAAGTCAATCAAGTACAAGGCATCAATCTCCTAGTCACGATTATAAGTAGAAGGGCCCTATCCAAATTTGATGACACTTCCGCTGAAATTCAGAAACGACAACCAGAGATCATAAGCTCCTTCGGCAACTGTCGATCAACGAGACGACTGGAGCTGGTATTTACGACACGTGGATCGTAGCTCGAGTTCCGGAGGAGAAAATCCACAACTGGTCATATCCCTTTTTCTTGTATTTTCCCCCTCCAACAAATCCTCCCACGCCCATTGACAAAATGGCTGTGCGCCAAGTCATGGACAACTTCCTTCCTAACGTCCTCGAATTTTTCAACGCAGATGGCGATCTCCGAGGGAACACCCAGCTGAAAATCGAGTGCCAAATATGCAACTCGGGGTTGGCCATCATGGAACCGCCCACGACAGCGGAGGAGAACGAGTTGTTGGACCAGGAGAATCAGAAAGAGATATGGACAAGTCTTCCATGCGGACACATGTTTGGCCACAAATGTCTGGACACTTGGCTCAACCGCAGCGGCCGCAGCGATCCGACCTGTCCCGTCTGCCGCAAGTCATTAACCCACAGACGGTGCGGTCATAGGGTGGAACTAAAAGAAATGCAGCTAGAGGACGGCTTCAACATTAGAGTTGACGCAGGGAGAGTTCTGGGTCCTGATGAAGACCTTCCACCAAAGTGTAAGGCATGCCAAACTCGTACTTCACAGTCTTCTGGTTGGGATTCATTTTCGGAACAACGACATTCATCCCCGCAGAGCCGACCACAACACCAACCCGACCCTGTGTTCGAGGGCGAGCTTTCCCCAATACACTCTGATGATGATGAAGATCAAGAATCTGACGACGATGACGGAGAAACAGAGAGACGAGTGCTATATCTGACCCCCTCACAGACGCTGGAACGCTTCGACTCGGATGCCAACTTCCGGAATCAAGTCTGTCAAAGGTATGGATTAACGCCTGAACAGTTCAGGACCACATGGACGGATTCACATGACGAAAGGAACGGCTTCGTGCAGGGGAGTGCTAGCGGAAGCCCGGATATGGACGTTGCGGACCCATCAGCCATGTCCCATGGGTCGATGACGCCATCGCCGTCGTCGAGTAATTCGTGGCGTGCGTCCTATACTCTAGCGACAATGTACGGCAATGGCTCACATAGCTCGTATGGTCCGACACAAGGCAATTCTCCATGTGGCCCGGTTTGTCAGATACACGGCAGTCAGACATATGACAACCCGAACTCCTACCCTTCGTCGCTCACCGGCAGTTATATGCCTTTCATGATTGGATCGCAACCGCCGATGGCGGCGAACTATGGAGGTCCATACATAACTGTGCCTGAACAGACACAACGGTGGCCGGCTGGCTATCCTTTGAGCACCCAGAGTCAGAGCCAGGGTGGTCACTCTTCGGGTCACCACTACCTGCACCATTACCACCATTGAGGTGACAATATGGTCGCCTGCAATCTAGTTCGAGCTAGCAAGGTGGTCAGGGGGGAACGTGGTGGAGCTTGCTTGCTCAACGGAACCAAGGGGTCAAGACTCTACCCGAATGTAGGATATTAATTGAGATACACATTCTAGATCTAATTAAAGCGTGTATCAAGTACAGGTGAACTTTAGTACCTGAACATGATAATGTCAAGCTGCAGTGACACTATTTCTGCCCAACTGAAGATAAGATTAAATTATAGCGTCTCCATAGAGATACCATGCGGCAAATCTGGAATCAACGAAAACCCAAGTAAACTGAGCTAATCTCTAGGTCGGGTTGCTTGCCATTACAATTGTGTGGGAAAATATATGGTATATGGCTGTGAAGGACTTTGATGGAAATAGGGGCAGGAACTATGTTCCCTTTCTTGTCTACTGGTAACACAGGAGGGTTTGTTAGGCAGGTTCTAATTGAGGAGGCAGAAGGTATAGATCGTTGATAAAAGACGGGAGAAATTTTTATCTAGAATAATAATATTCGCATAATAAATGAAGTTTTATACTCTTCAACGCTGTTAATTCGTTCTATTACATTGAAGGGGTGTTGTCATGGAGATAACCTAATACTTAGCATGCATCCGCCCTTAGAGGAGGAATCCACGCGTGGATCTCAAGGAGTCAGTACCTTGCATCAAACACGCATGGACGTTTTAGCCAAGAGCCAAGGTTATTTGAAGACAAAAAGTAAGCATACTGTGAATATATAGAGTGCGTGTTGCCAGGAAGGGAATAGTATTATATATACGGTTTGATAACAATAATTTTGTTATAAGTCCATGTAGAAGAGGTGGTTAGAAACGACGGGCGGCACTCTTCTTTCTACGTGTGAAACCAAGAGGCTTACCAAGCTTACTTGGACAATATTATATACCTGTCATTCTTGTTGAATGTGTCCTAGCCATACACGCGTGGAACTATTGGCACCAGGTACGCCGTATATAAGAATAGCGTCTGATACCAATTTTGGGAAAGCGAATAATTACCTTTCTGCATATCGTAACCGCAAGTATCCTATATTTTGTTCCTGATTTACAAGTACTTCTCAAGATACCACAACACCTGCATTGGTGTAAGGGGCGCCGAACTTCTTACCACATATGATCTAACCTGACTGTAATATTAGTGCCCTGAAGATACATCAAATAGTTATGACATAGCTTCACTCTGAGTATATCCCAGCTTGTGGCACATCATGGACATGGCTCAGATGACATCTCGAGGCATGTCACTCCCTCTCCACGGCTGGACCGAACCAAAGTTCCCACATCTAACATTTCCCATGTTCAATAGATATAAGTGACTGAGATAGGTGCAACTTCCTTACATACGTGAATTCAAGAGAAGAATCACGCTACTTAGTCCACTCCGAGGCGTGTTTCCGGATCTCTGGGCCTGGTTATAAGTTACTTGGCATTTTCATAATTGAGCATGATCTTCACCCGAGAACATTCTTCCACCACACTCCATTTAGTTCATCAACCATGGCATACTATACGATGTCGAGGGATACGAGTTGCCTCCGATGTGGCCTCGACTGTGTAAGTGCGCCCTTAATCTTCGGATTGGTCACGGCCTCCGTCACGTGCATCGATGCGCTTGATTCGGGGTCAAGAGTCATCATTCGAGTATCAGGTAATTTGTTGATTCTTTGGGTATCCCAGTTCCCTAGTAAACTCACAGCTATATAAAATCTTGAAACTCCTTGGTATCTCATGCCGTCTAGATGGAGAAATGAAGACAAAATCCGCCTCGGCGTCGTCGTACGAACCCCAACCGTGCACCACCGAATCCAAACAAGCATCTACAATGTCCCCGCACTGTTCAAGCGTAAACCCACCGGCCGTTATATCATGAGCCTTCCACAAAAAAGCCAAGTGAAGAATGTAATCCACACCAGTTTAGCGACCGCCATAGTCACTGGTGTATCCGATCTCTCCGAAATTTTGTTGCATCCCTCCTTCGCCAAAACCGGTACCAGGACCACTGACGTAGCCCGTTTCCTCGCCTTCTTCATAATCAGAGGCATCATAACTCGACCGACCGCTGAGCTCATCTTCAACATTGCCCATATCCTGAGCCTGCCAGTTCATTTGAGCTAGCGCAGGGTATTGAGCTAGCAAAGAAGCTGGCAGAGCGAAGCCGCTGGCATCCATAGGCGGGTATACATTGGGATCCATGCCCATAACTTGTTGCTGAGCCGCCATGTTTTGCGCCATCCGCTGTTCGTTCCAAAGACGTTGCCTCTCAAGCATCTCCTCGTCCAATAATGGCTTGATGCAAATCCGGCCCGCTTCAGATCGGAAGTGTCGTCCAAGCGCATCGGCTCGAGCAAAGCGTCTGCCACAGCCCCATTGGCCAACAGCCTTCAAATCACCTTTGCAGACAAACTTCTTCTCCCCAGAGTGCAGTCCTTCGTGGCGTTTCCTATCGTGCTGTCTAGCAAACGCCTTTCCACATACCGTGCAAACAAAAGGGCGCTCATCCGTGTGAGTGCGCAGATGGGAGCGCAGATTGTACGCTCGAGTGAACCTCTTGGGACAAAGCGTGCATTGGAAGGTGGCAGGATGCTTTTGAACCCTCTTGGTATTGCCGTTATCTTGCGCCGCCTGGTACTCGGGATCCGCCAGCCTCAACGCGATGACGTTATTTGGCACGGCCGACATGGATTGCCGTCGCCTCGAGGCTGCGTTGGCGCTGCCTGACCGGTCTCCGGGGGACAGTGATCGAGAAGATTCAGATCCAGGTCGGTTAGCCAAATCGGCCCCGAGATGTGGCGACAAGCTCCCCGGTGTGTTAGGTCTGGATATACCGGCCCCGCCGCTGTTGTACGGATCGGTGGACGCACGCGGTCGACTTCGTTGACGGCCTGTAAGCAATATTAGCAACTGTGTTCAAATTTAGGCATAGGTCGGACATACCTCTGTCAGGCGGCGTCAGGGACGACTGATCCAATGAAACCTTTTGCGACTCAAACGTGTTCTGGCGCGAGTTAGGCGCGAAGTCGATATTGATAGAGGGAGGCGCCATCATGCCGCCGTCAGGCGGCAGATTCGGGAACGCTTCTGCGCTCGTCACAGGGTAACTAATGCTTGGCGCGCTGACATATCCTTGGATCTGCCCACCGAGCGAGTAGTTTTGTGTGGGTTGGCCCATCTCGGGCATCTGCTGGGGCACGATGCGGGGTGATATGGCCGGGCTATGCGACGGGCTTCGGCTGCTACGCGCCATCTGTGGGTCTGAGATGCTGAAGTTGTTGAAGCCGGCGTTCACATTGTCATAGAAGCCATCCTGGGGTCGCTGCATCGGCGAGTTCCCATGGTCGGAATGCGCCCCGTCAAATTCCTGGCCAACCAAGTGTGGCGAGGGCGCAGCCGACGACATGTCGGAATATTCTGACGGTGTTCTGCGATGCCCCTGAAAATGCGCCTGTGTCCAGTCCCCGTGCCCAGCCATGAGCGCCGCCTCAGGACCCAACGAGGCGTTCCTCGAGTGTCGCCCTGGCGGCGAGGAGAACTGATGCTGGTTGAAGGACGGCGACTGGTGTGCGGAGCCAGGTTGCGGGTCTGGCTTCAAGTGATGCGGTGGAGTAGGGGAATGGTGTATCTGTGGAGAAGTCATGCTGGCGGGCGCGGTCGCCTGCGAGAGGTCACCGAAGAGGGGAGTGGTATTGAACTGGTCGCCTTGGGTTGTGGGCGGGAACAGGGAGAAGTCGCCACTGCCGTTGTATGCGGGAGCCAGCAGGTTCTGGGAGAAGTCGGCTTGGCTCTGAGGGTTGTAGGGCTGGGTGAAATCCGGGTTCGAGTCGAAAGAAGTGGCTTCGGCTATGCCCTGGTTGGGATAGACCTGTGGCTGGGACGTGTTAAGGAACTGATTGTTGTTGTTATTATTGAAGTTGCTGAAATCACTGGGGGTGAAGTGCGGGATGTTTGTTGCTGTGCTGTCGAGGTTAAGACCTAAGCCAACGTTGCTTGATTCCGGGGACTGGTAGGATGGGGAGGGCGAATGACTATTTCTTATATGGTGAGGCTGATGGCCGGTAGATGGCGACCGGCCACGAGCCGCATGGGCTGCTTGTGCAGCTTGTTGATCCATGGTCTGAAGATGTTTCTAAAGACAGAACAACTTTTTGTCTCGCGAGGCAGATTTGCAAGTCAGCCCAGGCACGGCGTTTCGGTGGCAGTGCTGCTGGGGCTGTGTCGAATCCCTTGAAGACGTTGCGGGATTGGTCGTCAACCCTCGTAGTGATGCGGTATAACGTGCGTCAGATGAGGAGTGCACGTCACTTGTAGGGATATTGCCCGTCTGAAGTTGATGAGACTTTGGTGGAGGAAAAAGAGTTGAAGCAGGAATGAGTGACGCCCTCGAAGGGGAGATTAGAATTGCGATTGCGACAGCGATTGATGGGGGCAGGGACTTGGAGGAAGGACAGGCGACGATCGGCTAGGACTCGGCGTACCACTGTTAGAGATGGTCCGGGCGTTTTGTTGCTCACTGACCCCAGAATCTCAAATCGAACTGTCCCCAGTGTGCCGCCGGTTGGCGGCTGGCGGTTGAGGGTCAACACGTCAGGCCTGAGGAGATTCGTCCAATTCGACTCGCACAGCCACACTCTGCCGGTGCAAAGATGTGATCCACCGCTGTTTCCTGCTGTTGCTTGCTTTGGCGTGCGCTAAGTCGTTATTGTCTTTATAGCGTTGACACCCTGTCTCCTAGCATGTACTTTGTAGACTGTGGGTCTCTTGTGTCTAAAATAAAATGCGCTTCTCAACCTTGAACCTGACCACCGATGAGCTGGAGCGCGATGCGGCCCGGAGGAACGAACCGTCAAGAAATCGCTCCACTGTAAGTAGCAACCGTGACAATGGTGAAAGTAATGGTGGCAGTGACGACTTCGGGACACTTCTAATGACCTTTTGTGTCCGATCTAGAAGGGCGACTGATGTGACGATTGCGAGAGCAGAAATCGTCGCGCGACCAGGTAGAATGATTCAATAGCCGGCCACAGTGAGCATAGGTGGCTGCGCACCAGTTGAGCAAAGACGGGACGGTGCGTTAGTCGGTGCCAAAGGTGGTTGTCGTCAAATGTGAGGGACAATATCAACGATCTGGTGTAACAAGCATTTCGAGACCTGAGTGTGTGTATTTCTGGGTGAATGTAATTGTCATTTGACAAATCCCAAGTAGTTTTCCATGCTCGTCTCTAAAACACCACAGAGGAGAAGCGGGCGCTTGATGAGACACCGAAATGAGATATGCGCTAAACTTGGATGCCATGCTGGAGTCGACCTTTTTGGCCTTAATCACCTCACTGCATTGCAGGGCGATAATTCGTGGACTACGTATCGGATAAGATGAATCTCAGGGTCGCCGAGACACAAAGATTCCAGCTTGCCAAACACCATTTGTCGGGATGGAGCAAATAGGGTCGTACGAGGTGATATGGCCGTATACGAGCTCCATGAGCATCAACTCGCTAAACGACCGCCTCACAGGCCCAAATCGGGAGCAAACGAGCCTGGTAATCTGGTCGTCCTGGGGCTCCAACTTTCGCTTTCAATGATGCTGAATTGGGAGTTCGAGTCGGCGACCAAAACCAGAGCCCCCGGGATCCAGTCGCAGGCGTAACCAATCTCCTCGTCCCAGAGCAGAGCTCCGAGTGTGAAGTCTGGCAAGCCTGGCATGCGTATTCGCAGAGTGCCACCAACTCAATCATTTCTATTTTTAATGTCAGCATTTAGGTACACTGTTGCCCGCTGGATATATCTGCCGACACCTGTCTGGATGCTGGTTTGGATGCTGGGGAGTTTTGAAACACCAATCAAAACCATTCCGCCTACTTGAGTAGCTTGATGAGAAGCCACGTTGCGTTCCAATGATTCCTTTTTGTCTACGTCTGGGCGGAATTATATCGGATTAGTGGAAAGCCCCAACTACAGAAATATATTCCTGTTATCGTCTTCTCTAGCGAGCCGCCTCTAAGAATCGAGAGCGATCCCAAATTTGGACATGGTGGAGAACCAGCCGATATACTTAGACCTGATACAAGTCAATCTGACATGTCAATGTGGCTATGGTAGAAATAGCCTCTACACTAGCTCTCAAATCCTACCATGTATGGTTTCCGTCCGCTCAGAAGTCAAAACATGTTGTGCGGGCAATGTTGTCGACAAGTCTGGAACCCTTAGAAGTCAATTCCAGCAACCACGGTACACTCAGGGCTGCCAGTAGGGCTGTAACAACAGCTTTAGAAGCTTAAAAGAGATCGGCAGTATCAGCGGTCCGCCCGATTTGCTACCAGGTGTCGACACCCCAGGGCAGAACTTCAATTCAAGCTCTAGACCGCTGTGCGGAGCCCGAGAGCGGCCGAAAGCGGGTTGCCGAAATTCATCAGTCCGCATTGAATCCGTAACCAACTATGAGGTTGTGGATGCTGGCCGCGCTTGAACAGACTTTGGGCAAATCGTAAGGCTTTCGAAGAGGCCGTTCTGGTCGATGTAACCGCATACTGCGATGCGGTGAACTCCAAGAGTGTTGGTCATAATAACTCACAGCAGTCAAATGTACCCGACCCCACCACAACCAACACTTCGCGTTCTTGAGGCCCTTTTCAGTCATCGTGGCAAACTTTACCGAACGTCGAGCGGTGAATTGAGCACCGGTAATCGCTCGGCGCCCGGGCGAGGATTACGGGCCACGTGGAGAGAATGATTACTGCCGAATTGCCGTTGGGCTCGAAATTGCAGTACCCCACTGGACTGTCATTGTCGATGCCTCGTAATTCGATGGCTGTCCTCCATTCCACCTTCGGTAAAGCCGCAGCTGCGATAAACACTTCTGGTCCAATCCAATCCATCCCTGTGGCTATCGTCATGTGATACTTTTGTCATGCCGTTCGCCTTGGGGTACCTCGCCGACTATGGCGTATGTTGAGAAGGAACATTAAGTTGGTACTGGTCGTCCAAGTGGAACCGACCACGACATTCTTTAGTACTAGTCGAGGAACAATTGAAAATCAAGTACCCATCCGCCAAGAGCCCTCCCCCAAGAGTAGAGATTTTCTTGTTTGTCCTATCCCCAAAACTCTGTAGGTTACCAGACAACTCTGAGTCATCCGCTAGGTGCAACCCGTCAAAACAAACCTAATATCAATAGTCCAACGCCAGTGGTATCTCGTCTATCGATCTTGATGAATGATTCCTTGCTTCCCACACTTCTCAAATCACTTCTTCTCGTTCGAATCCTTGGGGTTTCGAAGCTGGCCTGGGCGGATTTCGTTCGCCCTTATATTCGCTGACGAAGGGGTTGGGATCGTCGGTTTGGTTTAGATTGCTGAGTGTGTGGTTGACACCTCTATGGCAGGCTTCGTCGGCACGGATGTAGAGGAGGAGGTCCTTCATTGTTCGCTTTTCCTCGGGCATCTGCCAGTACTTGACGGCAATGTCGGGGATGACGAAATTAGGATCTGACCACTTGGGCAAGTGGCCCTCATCGATTTGCTTGATCGCCATCGTATAAGTGTGGACTGCCTCCTCTTCCAGGTACCCGATAAAGCGATGAGTAATCTTCGGCGAGATCAGGTAGGAGAGGAACAAAGAGTTGAAATATACTCCTTGAGCGCCAATTATCATGAGTTTCATAAACCGTCTGCTTCACGATCAGCACACCATCGAGATGAAGATCACCTGGGAAAACATACCCTGGCTCACTCATTTTCAGAAATGTCAGCAAGTGCATTCTCTCATTGTAACTTTCCTCGAGAAGAGTCTCGATCCAACCGTTGTCTCTCTTCAAGCGTCGGATGCTGTGGAGATGTCTTAGCATTCCCGCCACCATTCCAGGTACGCCGGCGATCGATTCGAGAAAAAGGAAACGGATCATCCATTGAGCCTCGGTCAGGGGTTTGATGGTGGTTACGGCGGTTGTCGGGTTCTTCTTGTCGACCTGCTGCTCATCTCGAAGACCTGTAGCCAAGTCCATGCCCCATCTACAGATCCTCATAATTTTCCATGCAAACCAGTCACCCACCGTCTTCGCGGGGCGATGATCTGGGACAACACTGAGCATCTCCTGTTCCGTATAACCATGGTGAGGCCAGGCGGGCAAGGTCTGCCTGATGGATTCCGTTTCCTGTAATTACTGTTTCTTAGCAAATAGACATCATTAAGGGGCCCGGCGATGCGATTACCTTGATCGGAAAGAAATCGCGAAGCTTCTTGTCTTGGGTGGTCGTAAAGGATCTCGAGCTGTGCTGTTGGATGGTTATACATGCAACTCGAGAATATCCATGAGTCGAAGGGCTGTAGAGAAGGGAGAACACAGCTCGTGAGAGCGGAGAGGCCTGCTTCGTTGGCGCGCAAAGCTTTGCCTGGAGGCTAGTCGACAGCATCAGGAATATATCTATGTAATGGGAGATAAATATAAGGTATTGATGTGAAATGTGGTATAAGTGTGTATGTTAAGTTGAGTAGATGGAAGGTAATTGCCTACTTTTCGGTAAGAGTAGGTAGATGGCTTTCTATTGCAGATAAAGAAATGACCTTAGGACTCAGGCGGAACACACATTATATGACTTATACTGATGACGCTGCGGAAAGGAAAGCCCGGACTACGAAGACCAACCGGTACGGTTCGTGTTGATAGTCTTAGCATCCGACCCATTCTGAGTGCTTAGTATCTATCTACTGTGCGCCCTTGAAATGGGCAACTCAAGGAGAGGCATCAGCGTCAAGCCCCTTGTCCTTGGTCATGAGGCAAGTACCAAATCCCGAAACAGACCAGCGATCCTATGAGCTGCAAATATTCGCATGTGAATGGATACGCCGCACAGATACTGTAGTAACAATGAAGTTGGTCTTGTCAGCTGGTCGGGAAATCGGGAAATCTAGGAGACGCCATCTCCGGTATGTTTTCGCAGAACGACGACTGAGTCAGAAAATGGCTGAGCTGCTGACCGCCGAAGGTGAAGACTCAAATCGCTGAATGTAACACCGAATTGTCAGGGTCATGGATTTGGTGACACGGGGACTCGGTGATTAAAAGTTCGGTGGCACATCTAACCTAGATGTCTGCAAAGGAATATCAATAAGCAGCTGGAGATTCGTGCGTGGATACCGTGGAGTCCACAGGGTCGCGCTTTCCCTTGCAACTTGGGATTGTTCGGTTCAAGATGACACCCTGCCATACGCAGTGGATTGATTGGTAATAGAACTACTGAGCTTCTATTCAAGCTGTAAACAATATCCATCTTGCCCGAACAACATATAATCCAAGCCCCGAACGCTAAGATCCTCGGGATATTGAAAGCTCCATACTGTGTGCCTCGTATGCTCCGCTGGCGCCAGCCGGACTACCGTCAGGACCTTAACTCCAAAGGTAAATAGTGCAGAGATATTTGTCTCTGATTGATCGCACTTGAGGGTTGTGCAAGCTGGCATGAAATGGGCAACTGATCTGGAAGATTTACATGTATACGACACCAATGTCGAAAGAGCTTAGTGTTCTTCTCGACCTGAATAATCCTCCATACTTTGTATAAAGTTGAGTCTCGAACAACTTGTTCGGCAGGCGACGTCATATGTACTTAGCGATCCCAGTTGCGCCGGAGGGGCCCATCACTGCCCCTCCTTAACCCTGACCCTGAGTGCCTGACGCTACCTACGAAGTGGCCTACTCATGCCCAATCCCCCTCAATTTCCCATTTCTAAACGACTTTGGGCCACAAACATTTGGCGGCCTACAAATTCCGCACACTTTACTCTCTTTTTCACCTCCAACCCCGTCGCAAAGACGACGAAACTTGTTCCCAATACCTGAATTGCGCAACTTGATTCCCAACATCTGCTAACCCCCACGAAACGAACAAGATGCCTCCCAAAAAGCAGTGGGGTAAGTCAACTCGTCTCCCGGCCGCGACGCCGTGGTAGAATGCCCCCTCACCACATCCCGTCATCATATTACGGGATTTACACAGCGCATCGCACGGAGGACCTCAGAAGCACAGGAAACAGCAGAAACAATAGGGCTCAGCGGGGCCTGGCTTTCCGTCTCTGTCTGTTTACTGGAAGGCCTCCTACGCGATGCGACCTGCCAGTACGGACCTGGAGGTGCATCCGCCCGGCTTTGTCTGAATTCGGCTGACCGCTCTTTTTTTCCAGACGAGGAAGAAGATTCGTCAACCCCTCCATCTTCCCCGCCTGTCGGTACTACGCGCCGCAAGTTCGATGATGAAGAAGAAAGCGACAATGACGTATGTTTGACCCGTTGAAATATCCGGCACCCCAGCATCTCTGTACGACCTCATGTGATGCTGACCTTGTCTTAGGTCCTAGACTCCTGGGACGCCGCTGAGGACTCGGAAGTTGAGCGCGAGAAGCAAAAGAAGGCTGCCGAAGCCAAGGCCAAGGCAGAAGCCGAGGCCGCTGCCTTGAAGAAGTCCAAGAAGCAACGTATCGAGGAGAAGCGCGCCGAGCGTGCTGCACAACTGGCTGCAGATGGTGAGATCAACGATGATGAGACTGAAGCGCAGCGCCGCGAGCGCCTCAAGCGATCCGAGATGGAGTCCGACCTGAAACACGCTTCCGATCTCTTTGGCAATATTGGCATTAGCTCCTCCCGCAAGGCCACCACCGTCGGCTCCGCTGTCTCTATCGACCCCAACGACCCCACCAAGACTGTCGACCTGGCCACCCTACCTCTGCTCAACCCTCATACTAAGCTGCAGTTCGAAAACATGCGCGATGTTCTTGTGCCCATTATTGGAGGGAACGCCAAAAAGGCGCACTACACCCTTTTTCTGCAGGAGTTCACGAAGCGGCTGGCGAAGGATCTTCCCAGTGATCAGATTAAGAAGATTGCCAGCACTCTCACAGCCTTGAGCAATGAGAAGATGAAGGAAGAGAAGGCTGCTGAGAAGGGTGGCAAGAAGAGCAAGGCGGCCAAGACGAAAGCTACGTTGGTTACTAACAGGACCAACGCAGCTGACGTTGGCACCTATGATGATGACTACGGGGAGTAAGTAACACCGGAGACAGCTCATCATGAGTACAAGTATTGACATACGGCCAGTGACGACTTTATGTGAACAAGCTTCAGCGGCGTCACCTCATATGGCGGCGCCATGCTACAACAACCTCTACTAGGACCGCCTCAGCTTCCAGAGCTGACACAACAAGTCCGTGGAGTTTACACTCAACACCCGGCTTAATATCCGTCATCCTAGAAGAGGAACACCTTACCCCCGCCCCGTGCCAGGCCAGGACTTGCGGAGCCAAGACCAGCTAAGCCCTTCGAGGCAGCGTTGAACCTGCTTGACGTCCATCGTCAGGCGCTCTGGCTCGAGTAGATGGTAATGCATTAGTGGATATTGGGCACATCGCTATAGTTCGGGAAGACATAGGGCATTGGAATTGGGTTGGGCATAGAAAACAGATGTGTAGTTGACTTGCACTGATAGGTAGTGATGCGCGTAGAACCGTACTGCATTGGCTGTTGGTAATGTAACGCATAAAGATCAACCCGTTGCCCACAGCGTCCTTCAGTCTCATTATTGTGGGCGATTTCTCATCATGTGGTGATGGCATTCCTGGCATTGTAGACACTGTTGCGAACCAGTGGTGCGTAGTGTGGGAAGATGGGTGCTAATACATTAGTATGATATCCCTTGGGGCTAAGTTTTCAACACAAAATCGCGACGTTCTTCAAAAATTTCCCTATCCCTATGTGCCACGTGTAAGATAGGGGTATTTCCATATGACGATCCGCAGATGCCTGTCCAGTTTCATCGACCTTAACGCCTCCCAAGACGCCGATTCTTGGGTTTAGATCCCATCCATAGTTACGGTCCAATCCGGCCATTTTGTACACGTGGACATCATAACAACACAATGACGCGACACACTGGTGTTGGTGTGCCCTGTTCTGTATTCCTTCTGCATCAACATTAATGCTACCTTGCGCAAGTCGGCCGTGATTCATGAGTTGTTGTCTGACATCGTACCGTGCATTCCTTTCAATCAAGGTCTCGTGGATACGTTTCTCGGGTTTTTCATATCACATTGCCGGCCATGCCCATGAACAGGGCATGAACAGCGAGACTCAGCGTCCAGAAGCCAACTTTCTTTAGCCTCCTGGTTCGGCTTTGCTGATCCTCGACGTCATTGGCAAACGCAGAGTAGACCTCGGCAGACAAATCAGTCATCATACCGGAGTCATACGTCGACCATGCTCCGTCGAAGTCCGACGCGCGTTTGACAATGCGGCAGCTGATCGGGATGTAAGTCCTTTTCGCGTTGATATACGCGACGATGGGACGGACAAGCGCCTGGTTCACGTATGAAAGGTTTGATGAGAAGACCGGGACACTAGCTTTCACATCATTGAGATGAATGCGTAGATCCATGACAAGGTACCGCGGTGGCTCTCCGTCCGAAGTAGAAGTAGTTGTTGACAGTACGGCGGCCTCATCAACGTACTTCTTGTCCGATAGCGTGGCCTCAGGGATATGCTCAGAGGCACGGACCGCTTCTACGCTGGTGGATGGATTTGCGGTGGTTTCATCACCACGGTATCGCCTGGTGTTGCTTTCGAGAAGGTGAATGTAGCGGTTTGATGTCACCGCCTCCTCGAGACGGTCGTAGAAGTCAGAAACCACCTTGGTAATGCTATCGTCGTCATCATTAGGGAACATCACATCGGCTACAATGTCAACGTTGCCCTCATATATCCACCCGAAGGGACCCTCGTCGCCCCTGTTCAAATGGTCAATCTTCAGCCCGTCAATCCGAAGCCGGCTAAACTTCTTCCAAGCGCCTGGTTCGCCTAGATCATTTGAAATATGCTCGTGCCCAGCTGGGACCCCGTGGACTTGGCGTGGGTGTATGGTGAAGAGCGAGCCATCATAAGAACCGGACATGTGAGTGGCGGACAGAAAGTCATAGAACATGTATTGTTTCCGTAGTTGGGGAAGTTCGCATGAGAAGATGCTGACCGAGAATGGCCGGAATCCACTCGGTTGGTGCACTGTGACCAGCAGGTCTTCCAACTTGAAGGAGTCAATCTCAAAATCTCCTGGGTGGTGTTCATGTCGGTAGGATAATGGATCCACGTTGTCTGAGGACCATTGTACTGAGGTCCTGTCAATCACTCCTCTGACACCCTTTACTTCGACATCTTTTAATAGCCCTTTGCCATTCCACCACTTGACGAAAGACAGTGTGACATTGACGGTATTCAACGTTACATCGAACTGTGTGTAGTTGCCGTCATCTACCTCGGCTGCAACGTCTGTGGCAGCTCCGCGTTCTGCCGCTGCTACAGCCGCAGCGCTCGAAGAGGAACCTTTGCTGACACTGGACTTGCTCTGCCCAGGCCGCCTGGAAACGAATACATTCCTGAAAGAAATGACCCCATCTTTCCACTTAGGAACAATGGCAGATTCGAACACAATGGTCAGCCCAGCTGATTGTGTCATATAGTCTCCAACCCACTGTCCCAGAGTTTCTGGGAATAATTAGCGTGTGTCGAGATGTGATGCCATGTATACATACCTTGCGCGAAAACCGTATTGATGGAGAAAATGACGAGGGACATGAAAGTAGTTGTGCCGAGCAAGATCCACGCCAAATGTCCAAAGAGGAAGAAAGATAGAAATGCGCCCCATTCATCATTATTCCACGGTCTCATACTCCTGATCGAGAACCACTTAAAACGGACCTTGAGTCGTTCCATGAACCCGTTTGCGGCAGCCAAGAACTCTTCTTTCGTTGGACGGTGAGGTAAGTGTGGTAGATGCGGAAGGTGGAAATAGTTCGATACCGAGTGTGGCGTTTGATTGGGTTCTGGGGGCTTCGTCTCAGTGCTTGAAGGATTCGCAGGCTTTGGCGACTCAGTGTTCTGTTGCGATGAGGATGGTTTGCTGGCATCTGCACCCGCTTTGGTGGACTTTGCCCTCTGTGATAGACCAACATTTCGCATTCGACCTGTATGAATTCCCCGTTGCCATGCTTGCCAGCCTAGCTTGCTCACGCTCGCCTTCTGGCTGACATTTGCGACAGCTGCAGAATCCGCTACAGCTGCGCAAGTAGCTATAACATTGCTAGTTGTGGATGGATTTGGAGTGATCCCAACAAGGAGAAGACCACCCGATGTGAAGCTTCGGCGCGCATAGTAAGCGCAGGATCTCGATGGTCGCGGAGACGTCCAGGGAGAAGATTTTGGGGTTCTGAGAGTGAGTATCGAGGAGGTCGAATAGGGGCTTGACTGATTCAGCCCAAGGCGATTCGAGGTGGTTTGTCTTGGCGGAAGCCTCGAGGCAAGGAAGTCCACAGTCTCGTAGAACGATCGCCATCCGTGCTGCCCCAAGAGCGATGACCTAGCTGAAGATGACATCGTCGGCTTTCATGGTGCCAGGATGAATAGCGAAACAAGAAGTCAAAATTTCTCTGAACAAGTTCACCGATCTATGTATCACCAGTTTTATAAAAACAGAGCAGCTCAGTCGTGAAGAACATGGCTCTGCTTGTGAGAAGCATTGAAGCAAGGTTGAGCAATTCAAAGCAATAAAATCTCGCTATTGGTTATCATGGGCATAATGACGAGGCGCTAACAAAGTCTCCAACGGGGACCCCTGCAAGTGGCGTGTGCCTTATCGATAACACAAAAGAAGGTGGGGGTCTCTCACAAAGCGGCTCAGTGTGGGTGGATTTTGCGACTATCAGAAAAATTAAAGGTCCTGATGAACGGCCCAACTCACCAGACCGCCCAGCAACTCCCAGAATTTATCGTTCTCTTCTTGCCACAGATCCCCCACATTCCCAAGACCACACAGTCTCGACTTGCGCCAAACAAACAAGCTATCATGCCGGCTCCGACTGCTCTTAAGAAGCCCCTCGAGGATGCGGCGCCATTCAACATCCCTCTCCCCCAAGGCGACAACGATGAAGACGTGCTACTAAACACCGCAGACCTGAACGCCATGAACGTCACAGAGAGTGATATACTGCAACCTGTTGCAGCGCCAGAGTCACAGATGGATGTAGACGAGGAAGACCGACCGAGCTTTGCGCCCGCCAAAGACGTCGAGAAAATCGCCAGAATCGAGCGGAGGAAAATCCCGATACCTCCCAACCGCATGTCGCCCCTGAAGGCGCATTGGCCCAAGATTTATGAGCCTCTCGTGAACCACCTCAAGTTGGCCGTGCGAATGAACGTAAAGACAAAGGCGGTCGAGCTGCGAACGAGCCAGCACACAACGGACACGGGAGCAGTCCAGAAGGGCGAGGACTTCGTGCGGGCTTTCGTGCTTGGATTCGATGTTGAGGACAGCATTGCGTTACTGCGTCTGGATGATCTCTACATTTCAACATTTGAGATCAAGGATGTGAAGACGCTGGGCCCCGATCACCAGGCCAGAGCCATTGGGCGAATTGCGGGAAAGGTACGTAGTGACCGTTCGGTCTTTGGTCATTGGTACCAGCGCAAACTAGGGGACTGCCACAGCATTTACTGGGCTTCTTGCTAACCTCTCTGGTTGTGTAGGATGGAAAGACGAAATTCGCGATTGAGAATGCCTCGAGAACCAGAATTGTGGTTGCAGGATCAACCATCCAGTATGTACACCCTCAGCACTCCATTCCCGATCCCATAAAGGCAGGGTCTGCCTATGTCAGCTCCATAATTAAGACAGGGCTTTACCCAACGTACAAAATAGAAGCCTTTACTTACTCATATTTGTGTAGTATTCTTGGTGGTTTCAAGAACATCCACATTGCGCGATCGGCAGTGGTGAGCTTGATCCTAGGTAAGCAACCAGGCAAGGTCTACAATGGACTGAGAACCGTTGCCGCAAGGATGAAGGAGAGATTCTAGAGGGCGCATGGATGGAAGGGGGAAAATGGGTTCATTTGGGATCATGGCCAGGCGTTCAGTGATATGGAGTTAAGTGGAATGGGTCGTATATAAAGACGATGAGAGATACGGCATCTCGGAGCCAAAACCTAGTATTCAGCACCTAGGGGGTATCAAGACTACATAGTGAAACCTTTCGCTACTCCATCATCATTCATCAAGCTCGTGTTTCGGAGACCAGTTCTCCGACAATTCCTTTCAACTGCTACCCCTTGTCGCCTCACAGGACATAGACTTCCAATTGACACATGTCCTCTATGCCAGCTTCTTCAGCTGTCACGTTGGGTTCCAAGAGCTCACCTTCAAAGTGTAGTTGGATTTCCTTGCCTTCTGGAACCTTTTGCATCCGTTGGAAGGCTCTCATAATAGTATGAATCGTGACATCTGGAGGAACGCTCAGTTTTTGTTCACCCATGTCCTTGGATTTCAACACCAGCTTGATGGTGGACACTTTCTTGACTGGTTCTGGCTCTGCATCGTCCCCGACCTCTACATCGTCGTCCATTTCTCCTAGGGCACGCTTCCTCTTATTCTCTGTTTCAAGCTCCCAGGCGTCGAACAACTCGGGCGTCCATATCTCTATCATGAGTTGTTTTGGGTCTTTGAAGCCTTCCTTGCCGCTTTCCCAGGAAGGGAAAAAGTTCCCTTCACGGTCTGGTTTGAGACCCAAACTTGCGATGGTGGTGTGGTCGTACAGCTTTCTTCTTTTCCAAGTGAGAAACACGGACTGCAAGACGGAGATGGGTAAGTCCACCTCCCCTTTTTTTAACTGCTTCGCAATCCATGACTCCTTTACTATACTCAGCTTCTGGCTTGTCTTGATTTGGATTTTGATGGGTTGTATGCCCGGCAGACGAGGAATGAGTAAGGCCTGAACGACAACGTCGGTTGGGCGCGCGTCGGGGTTGGCTTGTAAAGCCAACTGCTCCGCATGGGCAGCAGCAACGCGCTCTTGTGCCTCGCGGACGTATCTTTCTATTTCTTCCCTTTCTTCGGAAGGCTCTTCTTCAAGCTCGAAAGGGTCTCTAACGTCGTCATCGACAGGCGCTTCCCGATCCTTTTGCGCCATCTCGACCCGCATCTTCTCCTTGCCTTTGACGGCACTCGTACTTGCCTGCGACTTGGAGCCGTCGTCATCATCACTGCTGTCGAGAGAAATTATGTGAGCATTGCGTGGGACCTTCGCCATCGTCGTCATTGAGCGAGTAGCGTAGGAGGTACGTTGCGTGGGTTTTCGGGGAGTGGAAGTCGATGATTTGCGTGTCAATTTTGGTGATGTGGATTGAATGTAGGGCTCTTCATCAGAGGATGAGAAGAGGCGTTGGCGCTTCGAGTCACCATGGCTATTTTCCTGTTTCTTCTTGCCAGAAAACGGCTTGAAGTCTCCTGATTCCCTTCTTGGTTGCGTCTCAACATCTGGTTCGTCCCCTTGCTCCTCCTCTGCTACTCTCGTTAAGCGTGCTCTCTCTGCTTGCGCAGCCTTCTCGGCGGCTTGTTTTTTCTGCTGCTCGAAGAAGCTGCCGGAGCGCTTGAAGAGCGTGAGGCCATCGTCTTCGTCCTTGGGCTTGTCGGCAATAGTGTCGAATGGCGACGCCTCTCCTGACCTGCGCTTAGCAGTGCGCTTAAAAGGAAGTTTCCTCTCCTTTGGCGCTGAAGTTGAAGAAGACGTCGGGGTGGACATTATGGATGCGATTGAAGGAAGCGCAATGAGGTTACAGTGAAGAGTTCGATATAAAAATATAACAGCGGCAGCGTTGTCGCAACTTTGTCAAGACAACTTCAGGTAGCGAATTAGCATGCTTTTGTTCAAAGGGCATCAAAGTGACTCGAAGGTGAAGCGGTACGTGAAAGCATTCCCAGACTTTGGCTCGAATGAATCTCGACGTTGCCGGACCCCGAGGCTCTTAATGCACCAAAAGACGCGAAAATACCGATTGCTATCAGTTTCTGGCGATGCGGAAGTCGCGACCCCACGTGCATCTGATTAATTATCTCTTGGGGGCAGCTGCTCCACTATTGTGTGTACCTCGTACCTTCACTCGTACATCAGAAAAACGGACCCGGCTAGGGAATCACCCACGCACCTTGCTTCCACAGTCCTACTTTCTTTGTTCACCAGCTTAAGCGTCCTACAACATCGTTTTCAGATAACTTCAAATATGGAGAACGGAACTGCTTCTCAAGGTGAAGGAAGAGATCCCTCGGGATTCCTGGCTGAGATCATCGGAAATCCAGTCACAGTCAAGCTCAATTCGGGCGTTGTTTATAAGGGTCAGCGAAATTGCATATCTTGCTTTCTGGCAGGCTGAAACTGGAACAAACAACTGACCTACCAACTCAGGAGAACTGCAATCTGTTGATGGCTACATGAATATTGCCTTGGAAAAGACGGAGGAATATGTCGATGGGGTAAAGCGCAGGACGTATGGAGATGCGTTTGTGCGAGGAAACAACGGTGAGTGGAGGACGAAATTGTCTATGTCTAAGCCATTCTCACAGTTGTTTCAGTCATGTACATCTCAGCCGACTCATGATTGTGAGACACCCCGAAATGATGAAGTTGTGTTTGGGGTTGGGGGCCCTTCAGTCACAAGCTACGTCTTTGGGCTACGTCGGTTTGATCAAGAGTTCAGGAAGCCAGGTGGTTACAACCATCAGATATCGTGCAGGGTACGAGCAACCAGACAGAAAAGGGAAGGCGGAAGTCATTTGAGGCAGTAAGCTACTTTCCATCTGAATGCGATGGCTGTGGGAGTCCTTCGGCGTGGGGTTTCATGTACTGCATTCTGTGTGGTGGTCTATAGCCTATCGGTCCACACTATAGCCTATCGGTCCACACAAAATACGTCAAACCATGCAAGGCGATCTCGCCCTTTCTGTTCCTCTCCACATCATCCATTGCCAGTGCCTCCTTGAATAACCTTACTACATTATCCCTATCTTTGCCCTTCAGAACCGCAACTTGGCTCAGTGTATTGAAACGGGACCACAACGCTTCCTCCGAGAGCCAGTTTGTCCACTTCACTGACCCTTCCCCGATGGGCAGTGAGAAAGTAGGCAAGTGATCGGCAATAGTCTTCTTTATGACCTGGAAGGGATTGCTTGGCAAATCTTGATCAAACACTCCTCTCCATTTCTACTCGACCGTTAGATTGCAAGAAAGCCAGGTCGGAGGGGGGTTGCCAACCATGTGTCTGAATCGAGGCTGTCCGTCTTCAAGCGACCAGACAAGGTCGTTAAGTTTCTGCTCCCATTTCGTAGAAGCTTCCCATTCGCGAGGCTTGTTGTCTGCGAGGCTTATTAGCACAAAAACCAAAACTACGGCTTAGACACTCACAGTCTTCCACGTTCCATATAGCACCAAACACGGCGCCTGGGCGTAAAGCTCGATGGATTTCTCTCAGTGACTCCGGTGTGGAGAACCTGACATAAAATCAACATAAGAAGATGTCACTAGCTGCCGCTATCGTATCAAGAATGAAATTAAAGTCGTACCAGTGAAAAGCCTGTTAAATTCATTGTGTAAGTATCCTCACATTGGTACCAGTCGGCTCAGTGCCACTAATGACGTACCTGTGCCGCAATGCAAGCATCCCCCCATTCTTCACTGACGGGCATATTGTCTGCGGTGCCATCAATCACTTCAACAGCTTGAAGGTCCTTCTCGACGAGAGTCTGTCTCATCCCCTCATGGGGCTCAATGGCTTTGATGTTGAAGCGCTCAGTCCGCTGAGCGAGTAGTTTAGTGAACTTGCCCGTTCCCGCAGCGATCTCGACCACGTTTGATTCGGTATATCCCACGAGCTTCAAGTGCGACAAGAATTGATCAACCGCTTCCGTTGGATAAGACGGGCGGTATGTGTCGTAAGCTGATGCATCCTTGAATCCCTCTACTGCCACTGCGGGCAAATTGTAGGACGTCATCGTCCAGCAGGTCGTCCTTACAGCTCTTGTGTGATATCTCGTGAAGAAGAAAAGCTCCAAAAGACACTAAGTTGATCTCCTGATTTTACTAGCTGGGAAATCCCCCAACTTCCAGTTACAGCATACCACCCAATTCCCGATAATCGGCTTAAGATCATGGTTTTCGAAGCTATCAGGTAGATGGCAAGCAGCAAGGCGGTTGGCACCCGATTATGCAAATAACAGATCACGCATCCAACCGGGGCTGTCAATTGGCAGCGACAGGGGTTCATGTTGCCCGCCCTGTCAGCGGGCACTGCAACTCCACAAGGTACATGCAAGGATCCACATTTAGCGGATCGTAACTTAACAGGAGCACGCCAAGCTGGCGGGTTCCAACGCAGGTACAAACTTCAGATGGCCAGCTTATCACTTCAGTTTCCTTGCTCAATTTTTTAACATTCTGATGGCCAATCCATTTGCTTCTTTTCCTCAGAATTCTGTTTCAATTCCATGAAAGCTTGCTTCTCCTCCCTCTGCGACACGTTGGCTTGGGGTGGTAACTGGGAGGAAGCCCATTAGCCTCCATAATGCTTGGGCATTGTTTGCTACATCTTTTTGTATAATCTCCTTGCCCCTATACGTTCTCATGCTTCTCCAGTCTCGACGCCTTCGGCGTATGTATACGCGCCGCCTCGTGGTGGTTCTCTTCGCTCTTTTCTTCATCGATGCGATACATCTGATATCCCAGCGACCCGACACCTACCGAACACCGCTGGACCAGAAGGCGGCACCTGCTTCGAAAAGGCCAACCGTCTTCATAGCTTCTGTACACCGAAACACCGAAGAGATACAACGAACAGCGTGGAATGACGCGGTTCTGTCGCTGGTGGACTACCTCGGCCCGGAAAATGTGCACATCTCGGCAGTGGAATCGGGATCGCAGGAGGGGACAAAAGATGCGCTAATGGAACTGAAAGCTGGGCTCTATGCTAGGGGGGTTACGAACGATATAAGTCTCGGTATGACTGTATGGGAACAACTCGACGAAATCGATGCGCGACCGCCGCCCGGCAGTCGAGAGCCGGGGTGGATCTGGAACGCGCCGGAGAACCAATTCGAGTTGCGCCGCATACCATACCTTGCCAAGGTTCGAAATGAGGCCATGGAGCCCTTGGACCGACTGGCAAGAGAGGGCAGGCACTTTGACAAGGTTCTATGGCTGAACGATGTTGTATTTGATGTGAGAACATATGTCCGCTCGGCAATGCAGGACTCAGTAACTGACCCTTTACTTCCAGACCGTGGACATTGTTACTCTTTTGGAAACCCGCAATGGCGAATACGCCGCCGTTTGCTCCATGGACTTCAAGTCCTCGCCGTTGTACTACGATACATTTGCGCTCAGGGATGATTTGGGACTAAAGACAGCTTCTTTGTACTGGCCATGGTTCCAGTCGCCAACCTCGAGAGCATCGGCTCTGCGGAACGATCCAATTCGCGTCACTTCATGCTGGAATGGTATAGTGGCCTTCGACGCCACGCCGTTCTACGCGAGTCCGGCTCTGAAATTCCGAGGCATCGACGATAGTCTAGCAGACATGCATCTGGAAGGCTCAGAATGCTGTCTGATCCACGCTGACAATTCTCTAACAGCAGAAAAGGGGGTTTGGCTGAACCCTAACGTCCGCGTAGGTTATAACGTTAAGGCATACCGCCACATTAGAAGGAACCAGTTCCCCGGTCCACTCTGGGCTGTGGTAGGGGGGTGGGCTAACCGACTTGCGAGCTGGCGAATGGGACTTCAAACGTCGTTGGAAATGCGCACTGTCCGCCAGAGGTTAGAACAATGGGTCGCAGAGACACCAGATGGAGAGCTGCCTCGAAGTGAGCCCGGGGAGGCCTGTCTTATTAACGAGATGCAGATCATGTGGTCAAATGGTTGGAAGCACCTGTAAAGTCCGAACGCAAGTAAAACCAGGTACACACCTACGCGCCCAAAATCAATGCAAAATCAAGTTCTATTTTATCTTGTCTGTTATTCATAAGTACCAATCATATTTGAAATCTGACTACACAGTATACACTGGCAAGTAAACCCACCGAATCCCTCTAAACGCCTACATTATGACAGTAGATCCTCGCATTCCTAAAACCAATGCCCACCCTATTTATTGTGCCAAGCGAAATTCCTCAGGCCATCCCAATCGTTCGATTCTCTGTAGATATAATTCATGCTGCTCCTCAAGCTCGGCTGCAGATCCTCAGGATGGTACCGGAAGAGGTGCATGACCATTGCCCACGAGGTGGCTGCAAACACGGGCCAGGCATAGTGGCTTATCTTAGCCGAAGGACCTTGCTGCGATACCAAGGGGAGTCCGTGACCCGGCTTCACAGTCAACCGGGCCAGTGCTAGGACCACACGGGCAAAAACGTAGATGACGATCTGCTGGTTGACCGAAGATATCTTGCCTGTGCGAGGTGACCGCCCTCCAAAGACGAAGTAGCCGCCAATGAGGCCGGCAATGAAAGTATCGTAGTTTCCTGCAGGTACATATCTCATCAGCCCCCATAGGATCGGTATACATGTACCACCCGCTGCATTTCGGGACAAGACTTACCCTCCTTCCCCGGCGTCGCGCCAAAGTTTTTAAGCAAATAGCACGTGAGCTTGTAGATCGTCGCAAACTTAGCCAGGTTCCGCGCATGCGTCCGCGTCGCCTTGAAAACGAGGTTGACCTTTTGTCGGAGGGTGCCGGATCGGAACAGAAACACCATGACGAGCGCGTGCGGGAAGCGCACTTTGGCTCCGTAGACGGCGCCATTGCGGGCGCCTTTCACGATCGCGAGGAGGTCGTGGTTCGCGGGGTTCAGGATGATGCGCTCGATGGAGGCCTGTAGGAAGGTGTAAACCATTGTTAGTGTTTCTCTGCTTTATTCTTTCATGACATTTTCTTGAGAGTATTGAGGGGATATTGAGCGCCGGCAGACGCACCTTGAGGCTCTCTACGACAGACGACATCTTGCCTCGGTTATTTCACTGAGCGGAGGAAGGTGACAGCAGGTTCGCGCGCGGAAGAAGATGCGCTGTTCGATAGTTGGGTCGCTATAGCCTCATTAGTGTATCAATCGAAATTCTATGTTCGATTTGTTGGTTAGGCGGTACAAATTACAATGATTGCATCAACTTCATCGGGGGTTGAAAGGGGTGAGGAAATGGTCCCATGATGACCTTCGCTGTTGTCGGCACCCCGTCCGGCATTCCCACATGCTCGGCTCAAAAGCTGGGGAATGCGCTAGCCAGGGGCCCCGCGAACGAGATCTGGTGCCATGACGCAGTAGCAGGAGGGCCCTGCACTTCGACTCAGGCTGTTCATTGTCAGGTTTGCATGTGACAGCGTACCTATCATTCCTGAACATTATTTCGAATTGCCAGAATTGCTGTCTCCTCCTCCGGTGAGGCTGTAGCCGCTAATCGAGTGATCCACAGCTTCTATACAGAAATAAACCCTTCTATCTTCTATCGCCTTCGCAGGCAGGTGCGATGGTACAAGTACTCCAGCAACCATCGTTTTTGATTCAAGAATATTAGCAGCAAACGCTTGATTATCTTTTGCTACATATTGAGGGATTCAACCCTCAGATGATGACTCTGTACAGATCCTGTATTGGTTACGATGCTCGATGCGCAGTGTGATGTGTGTATTGACTGCTCGGAGTGCTATATGAGAAGTTACATTTAAGGTAGGTAGGCAGGTGCCGACCTTTTTATCTACACAAGCGATTTCACTGCCTTAGGCACCACCTCAGGCACCACCTCAGGCACACATATGGTGCTCAATCCCACACATATCTGTGTAGCCGGACAAACCCATGCAAGCATGCTAAAGTAGCTATAATTGGCACCTTCTTCCACTATCTAACCGCACCTAACGAACCAAGTAATTACGCATTACAGTTTATCTTATTACCGAAATAACCTCTACAATCGTCAACAAGTTTCACTTCACATCATTTGCAGGCGGCCATTCTGTAGGAGAAAAATCACGTATCGTTGAGTATTAATCAGCAATGGCTCGGCTGGGCAGCACATTCGCATTATCCAAAATCCCTCCTTAATATCTGCTTGTCAAACTTGGCTCCTCCCAAGCCCCAGCTACTTGCTTTCTTCCGACCATATTTAACCATCCAAACTACGTTCCTCGTTCATTTTACAACATCAATCCAACCTGAAAGACTTAGGCCTTCCGATCTCGCAAATTTCCTAATTTCAGATGAAAACAGAGATCTTCTTCATCTAATCTATCTGTCTTAACACCACAAACCATTAATCACTGAACCTGCAAGCAACACCACCCAACTCATTCGGACTCCGGCGACGTTCTTAACGGAGTCGCTCTCTTACCCAAGGACGAACTGAAAAACGCTTCAAGCGTCTCGACGAGACTGTTCTTTCCCTGAATTTCTCCTGAGGCATCATTCCTTGTCAAACCCCCATATTTTAAAGCCGAGACATCTCCAAGCTCAACACAAATAAGCAATCTAGAAGCTGCGACTCGAACTACTACAGGCATGTCTTCCCGCAGCTTTCCAAAAGGCAACACGTGTCTGTAGTTTCCTATCTTAAGCATATTTTCAAAGAATAGAGACTGAAATGTTGAGAGGCGGAGAGATTAAGAGCTATACTCTAATGCTTTAAGAGCGGTAGCGGCGGTAAATTTTCTATAATACCGAAGCTAAGGCAGTGCTAGAACACCATTTTAAGGGCTCAAAGGCTTTCCTAGAACGTCGACGGGCCGTTATAATTTCGCCCGCTTACCCGGGGTAACCTTCCTTCGAGTCCTACTTATCGTTAATTACTACCTTTTATAACAATTATACCCCCCTTCTAATATAGTCGACCCCGACCACTAGGTCGTTACCTCGAACCTAATATACTTATCGGTAACGATATATTATATCCACACGGAGCTAATATATATTATGAAGATTATACCATCTTATTTACTAACTTATCTAATATCACCGTCGATTTTAAAGTTAAAGTAAACAGTATCGTATAACGTGAATGTACACCGAGCTGGCCATGACACCGAGCTGGCCACTTTCATGCGCCAACACGACCGGCCAACTTAATCTTTGATTTTCTCAACAACCAATTATGGCAAAGTCATACAACGAAGCAGACTTAATGCTAGCCCTTCAAGCTCTCAAAAATGACCAAAAACTTAGTCTCCGACAAGTGGCAAAAACGTACCAAGTCCCCCGAAGTACCCTCCAAACGCGTAAAAACGGCGTACCTTTCCGACGCGGTATTTTGCCCAATTCACGAACTATGACAGAATTAGAAGAGGAGGTCATTCTCAAGCATATACTGGACTTAGATGCACGAGCGTTTCCGCCCCGGATTGCTGATGTGGAAGCAATGGCAAATTCTATCCGCGCGACACGTAACGCAGGGCCCATTGGAACGCGCTGGGCCTCGAGGTTCGTCGCACGTCGCAAAGAGTTGAAAACTCGTTGGAACCGTCCTTACGATTAGCAAAGGGCCCAATGCGAAGATCCAAAGCTTATTGCAGATTGGTTTCGGCTTGTTGCGAATGTTATCGCGAAATACGGTATCCAAGAGTCGGACATCTACAACTTCGACGAGACTGGATTTATGATGGGCAAGATCTCAACCAATATAGTAGTTACGAGCTCCGAACGACGTGCCAGGCCGAAATCAATACAGCAAGGTAACCGGGAATGGGTTACCGTAATCCAAGCGGTCCAGTCTACCGGTTGGGCGCTGCCGCCGTTCATCGTTGTTGCGGGCCGATACCACCTCTCTTCTTGGTACGAAGACGACAACATTCCGAAAGATTGGAGAATTAGACCTAGTCCAAAAGGATGGATGACTAACGAGATCGGTATAGAATTTATTAAACACTTCGATAATTGTACGAAAGATCGAAAGTCCGGGATATATCGATTGTTAGTGTTGGACGGTCACGAGAGCCACGTTTCCGGCGATTTCGAGCTATATTGCAAAGAACACAAAATTGTAACTTTGTGTATGCCTCCGCACTCATCCCATATCCTCCATCCACTTGACGTGGCCTGTTTCGGTCCATTAAAGCGGGTGTACGGCCAGATGGTAGAGAAATTGATACGCCGGTCACTAACACATATCGCGAAGGAGGACTTCTTTCCTATCTTCAAAGACGCCTTCTTTGCAGTTTTCGGCGAAAAAAACGTTCAAGCTGGCTTTCGAAGGGCAGGACTTGTTCCACTCAATCCAGAAAGTGTGATTTCAAAGCTGGACGTACGATTACGGACCCCGACGCCTGTTGGCTCCCCAGAAATCGCAACCCGACCGTGGGTATCAAAGACGCCACAGAACCCGATAGAGGCTCATGCACAGTATACTTTTTTGAAAAAGCGCATCTCCGAGCATCAGAATAGCTCTCTGACGAATATTTTCTCAGCTGTCGACCAGTTTGCGAAGGGAGCAAAAATGATAATGCACGAGCTCGCCCTCGTACGGGCCGAGTGCGCTGAGCTTCGAGAGGCAAATAAGATGCTGAGCCGGCGCCGGAGGACTAAAAAATGCAATTACGGGAAGGAGAATCAATTATTTTCCAAGAATGACAGGACCTACGGGACTCTAGGGAGTTGGCGACGCAGATACAGCAAGAAAAGCGCCGAAATGGTAGTCGCGCAAAGCGTGTTGAAACGCGCCCAAGGCGCTGTGGTATTTGCAACGAGACTGGGCATAATGCGCGAACTTGTAAGATCGCATTGCCATCTTCTGGAGAGGAAGATTCAGAGTAGTTTCAATTGATTTACGGCGTTGTGGTTTTACTATCGTAAAATTTCTATGCGAGGTTATGTAAGGGTGGCCAGCTCGGTGTACATTCACGTTAAACTAAAAAATAATAATTCAAACTAATCGGAATCATCTTCCTCGTACGTATCTTTATCATTCTCACAAGTACGAGCATTATGTCCGGGCTCTCCGCAGATCCTACAGCGCTGTCGGCGTGGTTCGGCCGGTCTCGTACGACGACGACTTACACGTATATCATCCTGTAGCTGCTGTTCAATATCCCGTTGAGACTGTAAGTCCTGAGCGTCTCGTAAACTAAGATATCCTCCATCTTGTAGCTGTCGATTTTTAGTCCTTCGACGACGGCTTAGCTCTTGATTGGCCTTCCGAAGTGTAGTAACCTCATCCTCAAGTAAAACTAACCGATGCATAACAGCCGTCGCACCACGTGAAAATTGGTCAATAGCCGTAAGTATTGTCGTCGGGGAGCTATTCTGATGCTGTACGATTCTGTTTTTAACGTATTCAGACTGGGATTGCGCCTCGGGAGGGTTATTTGGAGTCTTTGATTCCCAGATTAAGGGGGCGCCAGACGAGCTCCCAGGAGGTGTAGGCGTATGTAGCCTAATATCCAGCTGTGAAATCACATATTCCGGGTCGTACGGAATAAGTCCTGTCCCCCTGAAACCTGCCTGGATATTCGACTTAGTTATAGTCGTACGATACGCCCTATAGAATGCCGAAAAGAAATCCTCCTTCGAGATATGGGTTATATGCGCCCGTATTAGGTCTTCAATTTCTTGACTAGATTGTCGAGTATCGCGTCGAGATAGTAGTCCGCGTTTTCGGTTAGCTAGAGTTGTACGAGGGACATTGTAGAATTGGGCAGCGCGTCGGATGCTTAATTCGGGTTTCGATTGAAGCGCCTGACACGCTAGAATCATGTCGCTTTCTTTCCAATTCGATCCCATCTTGGTATGTAAAGATGAAAGTAACGACAATGACGTCATCGCGAGCATTCTACACTCATCAGAAATCATACAATTTGAAACTACACAACATATCTACAAGACAACCTGAAGGCACGAAGGAAAAGAAAAATAAAATGAAGGACGGATAAAGAGCTTTTGCTTTGCAATGGAGATGACATTGACATTCTCTTTGAAGGGGGCATTGTTAGGCAACCTTGGTGGGCTTTGCTAAGACCACCAAGGTTACTACGTGACTTAGCCCTTTGGGACTAAATCCAACCTTCGTGCTCCATAGGACTAGATAGAATGTCATGCTTTTACAACCTCACAAATCTTTGACCACCTTTGCGTGTAACAGTCGTTCTTCCGATACGGGGTCCTGTGATCCTAGCGAGTGTGTCTACTCCGGCCTACTAACGCGCCTTCTTTATTAGTCCAGGTTCAATAGTTCGTAACACTTATATTTATACGTACGGCACTGTAATGAGGCAGAGGCACATAGGTACGAATCAAGGTTGCATATCAGTGCATCTCTATTGTTGAATACTAAACTAGGGAAGAAAGAGAAGGAAAGGGTTACAAGTATGTCTGGCCGTTCTCCTATTATAAGGGGAACGCGCTCGTCCAGATCAGGGCAGGCCATGTCAGGATGTCCCTGCTTATCATCCATGTGTCAGTCGTCACAGGCACAGGAGAAGAGAGAGAAGCGAATACGGCTAATACGGCCAGATACGTAATTATAAATCGAATTATTTCTTGAAAATTAATCTAAGCCTAATAAGAGAGCTAAGACAAGATTTGAATGAAAAAGATATTTATTATTAATGAAAAATGTATCTACAGCTTAAAATATCGAATTTTAGTGTGTTTTGTGTCACGGTGAGCACAATTGAAGAGTCAAAACACTCTAATGCACTGTATTGACTTAACGATTCTCGACAAGGAAAGAAAGAGAAACTAAAACAGGCTGGCTCACATCTGAGGATCTTAAATCCCGCCTTCAGATGGCCAGTGCTCCTACGAGTCCACAGCTAGTGGGTTTCGTGGCATCGTGACACCGGCCGTCACATTTTGCTATGTAAATTGATACTTGAACATATAGTGTTTTGAGAGCTAACTCTATGCATATAGGGGTCTAATGTAAAAGGTAGTCAATGCGGTTAGGTAACTTAGGTAGAAGAATTAGAATTATAATGAGGATATTATACGTCTTATAGGAATAGTTAGATAGTATAAAGAGCGGCTAGGATACGCTAAGATCATAGGTACGTATATTATAAGACTAATTCTTAAGGAAGCTAAGTTAGGTAGAAGCGCCTCGATATATTATCTGTAACTAGGTGGTTCCGGGGTTCTACCGGATCGGGGGCGAAACCCCCCGGCTCAACTTGTTAGCTGAGACCTGTCACGCCGTGCTAGGGGTTGCAATCCTTGCCACTACGCCACCGTACCAGATGTCTTCACCAAAAGAGACCAATACCAAAGTCCCTGACTTTGATATCTGCAACCACTTATCAATCTATTCAAACCAGTGTAGGTCAATCACGTGGCAACCGTCACAAGACCGGCCCGCTATGATGGCTCTTTCCTTACACCTCCTCTCGCGCTGCTGACCGTCAAGCTGCTGCGATAGAGCAGTGAAACGTCTTGTTGTAAGAACTAGTCGCCCGAACGTTGGCTTAGAGCGAGATATACAAGAAAGTAGTAGGTAACCTGCTCCCTACTAGTGTAACCTTAGTGACTAACATCCTAGAGTATCACAATGAGCTCGCCGAGCCCTCTGACAACGAGGAGGAAGAGGGAGAGCGAGATGAGGTGGAGGAGGGGGAGATCGTGGATAGCAGTGCCTAATAGCGGGTAGTCTGTCGTCGTTTGTGGCCCCTTGGTAGGCAGGTGGTGTTATTAAGTGCTCGTTAGCCCTATAGAGGGCAGTAATCGTTCTCCTTTTTAGTGAATGAAGTAATCAGGCCGGCGTGCCCTTGATTTAATAACTACTGTAGCGGGGTAAGGCCGGACGCCAGGGAAAATAGGTGACGGAATGGGGAGGATATTTTGCTTTGATGAAGGAGGCTTGTGGCTGCAACTTTCTTTTCGAGGACGGACCCTTTTTAATGACTTCTTCATCTTTTCGATTCGACAAGCAATAATTAGCCATCATCTCACTCTTTTCAATGCATGCAATTCAGAAGCTTCAGCTCATGATTCACTTACACGTTCAGGGGATAGCTTCTAAGAATCCATCTATCCTTTCCATTTTAGCCTTGACAATTACGAGACATTGTGTCTTGCTCTGATCAGAGCAATCCAGTACTAGAGACAGCTTCAATTCGACTCCTAGGAGCCAGACGTCCTATTCTGAGAATTATCCCGACACGAGAGTCTCAGAGGCACATCCGACCAACTTGCGCACAAGACTTATAAGAGCTTCGCTCTTACGGCCAGCACCATGATCTCCGTCTGATCACTGGAGCCGTCTGTTCAGTGTGTTAGGTGGTAGGTATATCCTACTGACCGCCTGACCCCGTTTCACTACTGCGCACCAGTGGTCACCTGGTTATACGCCGTCCTCAAGCGTGTTACTAGTACACAGGTTGTCTAGTTTTCCTCCCAAGCGCCTTAGCTTGCGTAGCGATGTTATCTAGTTCAGCTCAGGTTGTTAGGAATCTTCGGGACATAACATGTTACATAGCTCTAGTTGTAAGCGGTTAATTATATTAATAACCCGTAGGCATTCCGGTTATTTATCGGGATCCTTAATCTCTATAGCCTCGTACGCGTCGATAAACTACTAGTAGCTCTAGTCTTAACGTTAGGTCATACTATCGAATCTTCTTATCACGCTAATTACTCGGGTATCGTCGTTAGCTACGCTATCCTTCAACTATTTCTCTATATCATCCCACCGGATCCTCCCTAGGTCGTTTTCATAAGTCGTAGTCACGTAGCTAGTCTATCATCGTTATACAGCCCCTTCGAGGCACCCGGTAGCGTATAATACACGTGCCGTATCCGAGTCGAAGTCCTCTACGTACATCATAAACCTCCCGTTTAGGTTTGATATAATAAATAAGGCGAGTTCCGAGGTCGCTCCGTGCTTAGCTCTATAGGCTCGGCCGGGTTCCTACCGGCGTTACGATTTGGCGGCACCTCTCCTCTTAAAGCTTCCAAGTATTCGATCATTTGTCGTTTCTTCGACCTTACTTCTTCTTCCGCTATAAGACGGTCAAGTTCTTCTACATCCAGATCCTCTAGTGGATGCCGGCTTGGCTGCCTTGTCGTCATCGTCGTCGTCGTCGTCGTATCGTCTGCAGGGCCCCTACTAGCTTGTGTCGCTATTGTTGTCGTTGCTGCGCTATTCGGTGAGTTTCCGCTAGTCTCCCTATGGTGACCTGCGGCTAGCGTTTGACTTCCCACCTGGCTTCTCAAATGGTAATATTTTTCATGTGAATGCGGTTAGCTCTACAACTCGGAGTCCGGTCGTCAGTGGATAACTGAATGAACGGCGGCGCATCGAGAGTGGAATGATCAGGCCATCCCGTCTATTATACTGGACCACCGAGCTATCCCATATTATCCTACATGATTCCACCTGCTACGTTGGCATGTTTGAGGACTTGAACACCTGGTGCGAGGGGTAAGGGGGCCCACTGCTTAGGTGGATACGACTTTGTCATAGTCTATAAGGCGTGAACGTGTACACCGCTACTGATCTTGGGCCATGGCCATCCCCACGGCACTGCATAATCATCGTCAACAAATGATCAGATGTGAAATTCATTGTATTGGCAACTTAGAAGCAACATAGCCTTTTTACGTTATCATAATGTCCACTGTGTCCTGCCACAAGGTTCTATCATGCAGCTCATCGTGCCATACCATCATGTCCCAGCAAAAGCTCTGTCCATATCACAAAAGAAGTCCCGTCGTTTAGACTAGTACGACAGCAGGTCAGCTACGTCACCTATTGAATTTTCTCAAATTGAGGAGAACTGCTTACCCCAGTGGAAGGAGCCGTCATTGTTGCCAAGACGCTCGGAGAGGTTCAAGTCGGCGCCGACCATCTCACCATCGATGTTGCGAAGGTCGGCACGCAGGACAGCGACAGGGCCGTCTCCCTCGATGGAGAGGCGGATGTTCTCGGCGGAGTCGGCGAAATCTGTGGGATTGGTAGGTGAGTGACTTGTTGTCGAGGAGGATATCAAGAGATGGGTATTCCAGAGGTCGCTACATACCAGCACCGTCCCAGTGGAAGCGGCCTGTTCGTGGAAGAATGGTCAGTCATGAGGCCTTGAGAAGGGAAGGGTATGCGCTGCTAGCTAGGTGATTCAGTCACTCACCATTGTCGTTGCCGATCCACGCGTTCAAGTCGATATGAGCATCAACCCATTCGCCGTCAACCTTGCGGAGTTTGGCATGGAGGATGTGGTTGTCCTCGAGGCGGAGTTCCTGAGCAGAGCTGAAGAAAGCCATGTTGTCGTTTTGGTGAGTGAGATATTGCGTTGGAAATAAGTCGAGAGAAGGATCAGTGATGATGTTGATCGAGAGTGGCGGTCGGTCGTTCTTAACGGGGGAAACTTGACTATAACTAATGGGTCCACGAAGCTGTAGAATTGGGACCGCTGCTAAGCCCCTATCAGCAACCAGTGGACCATGCCCTAATACCCGCACGTTTGCAGTACTTTGCGGGGCCGGAGAAGTATCTCTACATTGTATCATAGAGTGTGCCGCAATGCTGGACTCAAGGGTTCTGTTCCCTTCCTGGCGTCTCACCACCGAGAACCAGCACTTGATACTCGTGGGCTAGATACTGTTGACTTAGCTGTCACAGGACCCACTCATGTGTTGGTACTTCGCATTCACGACCAACCATTCTGCACCAGCATAGCAGCTTAGCTTAGAGTCAAAGTGGGGAGTGCCAGGGACGGCGTCTTAGGACGGGCAAGCAGTGCAATTACAGTTTCTTCACTTCATCATCGGCATGTGCTCAGAGGGAACCGAAGTGAGGAGCACAGTGTACATGGGAACAGTTCGAGTTCGTTTGGGACACATTGGTGAATCAATGTATCAAAGGAGGGCACAATGTGCAATTGAACAAGTTACATCTCCAATCTCATAGATGATTCGGGTCAATAATATGTATTGACGATGTAACTATCTACGCCTGTGTTACATACATTGCCTTCGTCCAAACCAATCCTTCCTAGTACTTTCCGTTTTTCCAATCAGATACATCATATGAAATAAGGTCTATAGAGATACATTAGACCGGTCGGGTAGCAGGAAAAACCCGAGACAGGCGGGAAACAAAAAACAGAAACGGCACCATTCACTTCAATTTTGAATATGTAGGGGGCCATCAACGCAGTCCCAATCGTCGGCTCACGCAAATCTGTCTGTATAGGTAAATGAATAGAATTCATATTGGTATCGATTTCCCCTGCAAGCCGGCCAGATCCTAAACGACACAAGACATAGTCCTACAACATAAAAAACATGACCTAAAGCATATTCTCCCTGGTGAGCGAGGAAAACCAGGGCCGCCCACACTCCATGAACAAAGACGAGATTGGAACAGGTGGAGGCGGGACCTGAAAGTTTGGTATGCTATGACTCGGCGTAGTGAAGCGAAGCCAAAGTTCTTCAGATCATTCTGAACGCCGTTCCGCCTCTTGCCCTTTCAGGCACTTAGTATATTGGTCTCGACTCCTCCCACTTCTGATGAAGGTAAGATTTCTCCCCCATCTCCGAGTCCTCCTCATCCTTCACATCCGGGTTTGAAGACACTCGGCCGCCCTTGCGCCTACGCGCGCTGTCACCAGTCGAAGGGCCAATCCACTCCCATGCTCTCCCAACCTCCCCACTGCGGCCTTCACGCTGGCCAGTCCTGACATTGCTATTCTGCTCGACCACGGCACGGACGCGCTTCCAAATCTTCTCCCGTTGGTTGAGTGAGTGTATGCTCCTCAGTACATCATCCCTAAGATGGGGCAGAAACAGCCACGGATCATCCTCATCATCTGCGACTTGCTTCTGGTTTGCCAGTCTCTCCAGGACGAGGTCCACGAGCCCCGGAACCTGGGCAGCAGCGGCGCGGTTTGCGAGGAAGCGTGAGCGACCATAGAGTGCCGTAAGAAATATTGAGATCAGAGCGCTAATCTGGAGACGATATCGTGCCAGTCCGAGTCGGATTGATCTTCGGACCGCACACGTGAGTGAAATGCGAGCGAGAGAGGTGGACGTGAAGAGGGTGTTTGGAACGCTTCCGGAATCTCGTACTCTATGGAGACGACCGGGGTTCTGGTTAGTGGACAGGTCAGATGTATGTTTTGGTAACAGATGTGCGTAGGACGGAAAGACTTTTAGGAACTGGCGCGAACGTAGGATAAAGAGAGACTGAGAACTTACTCCTGGACCTCGACCTGTACCTCCTCTCGGCCTTTAATCTCCCCAATGGCGGCCCCCCACAGATCCTCAAATTCCTGATTATTCATTTTCTTGCTTCTCTTCTGGTTGATAATCTCTTTGAGTTCCTGCTCCTCTATAGCAGGTGTTGCAGCCTTTCCGCCGCTTACGTCGACCAGTTGGCCGCACTCGAACTTAGCAGTGCGTTCACGCAGCTCTTCGACAGCTCTGTTTGCGACGGCCTGCACCCGGCGGACCTTCTCTCCATCAGGCTCGCATGTGGGAGGCAGAGGAACCAGGCCTCCTAGAGCCAAAGGATGCGCTTTCAAGATATAATCCTGCTCACAGCGAACCGTGAAATCATCGTAACAGTACGCATGAGGAGGACAAGGCTCACATTTGGGCTCCAGGGCGTCCGAGACGGAAGGCGGGACGCTAATCTCTGACGGAAGGACGGACTGTGCCCATTCCGGAACAGAAATCTCACTTGGGATTGAGCTTACGTGTTTGCCTACGCCACAGTAACCGACTGCAATCTTTTCCTGGCGATACCAACCGGCAAATACACTAAGTAGCGTGAGAAACATGACCGAGAGTGAAGTGCTCCAGCTTGCTCCGTTGGGTTGACGGGGCTGCCTGCGCGTAATCACGGTCGTTTCGCCCCGTATAGCCTCCTCAGCAGCAAGTTCGAGCTGTTCCTCGGGTGTAAATTCTTCTCCAGGTTCATCCATGGGTTCCGGAGTCTCAGCGCGTGGCTCGGGCGTCCTATTGTGCATCAGTCTGCTGACAGGAACTTGGAAAGCCTTGGACATGTTCTCCTCGTCGTCGCCCGAGAAGGTGGGGAAATCAGTGCGCCGTCGCGACGAACTACTGGTTGGCCTGCTCGTCGGCCGATTGTTCTCGTGGCCTGCTGTCCTCCTCCGGTTGGTGGGCGTCTTCTCCGGCAGGGGCGATGAGCTACCGCTCTGAAATGGGTTGTCCGAGGTGAAAGCGCCTGTGGTCCGTCTGAAGAAGCCTTCATCGGAGCTTTCGACTTTTAACTGCGAGATGACTTCATTCGCCCTTCGCACCTTCCTTGCAGACACTGTATGGTCAGGCTCAGTATTGGTATCTGTGTCTGACGCTTGCGCCTGTCGAATGGGAGCCCGCGGCTTTCGCTTCAATGGGCTGGCGGTTGGCGGCATCATTTGACGCTCTGGCTCCTCCGACCTGAACTTCTGTGTCGCCTTTCTGGGCGATTGAGATCGTCGAGTACGAGTGGATGGCGGCGGGAGGTTGTCGTGGTCGGTAAAAGCACTGCTGCTCTGCGAGCTTTCAGCATCGGTAATACCTTTGCTGCTCCTCTTCGCCCGTGCGCGTTGTGCCAGAATCTTCCTAGACTGTGGCACAACGTTGTCATTGAAGATTTCAACCAGTTGCGCCTTCTTGGCAGTCGACGGGTAGTGAATGTTGTGTGCGACAAGAATCGACCGCAGCCGAGGCATCGTCAGCGAGGTTGGCTCGAAGCCAGGCTGGAGATAATCCAAGCTCTCGGTGTCCGACATGTTCGTTCGCGAATTTAACCGACAGCTGGAAACGAGGTGTTGAGAGCGACACAGATAGAAACGCAGAGGGTTTTTGATCACGTCTTAGCCCAGGACATGCGGCGCTGCCTGCGTGGATGCAACCTGAGCACACAGCTGTTGTGTGAGCTGATGATGTCGGAAGGAGAGTACACTAGGCGCGCCGACGATATGCACTGTACAGCTTCGATTTGAGCCGAAATGAAGCAGATTGCCTGTAAAGCCACTGGCAGCTGGATTTGATGATGTTGAAGTTTTGTCAAAAGACAGATTTCCAATTTTACTTAAGGCGGGGATTGTCTTCGATGGATTGAAAGTAGTTGAGCAGACTTGCTTGTTGCTGGTGGCAACCAGAGTGGCAACTAGAACGGCCTCTGTAAAGCTACTTTTGGCCCCTGTAGTTATAGGGGGCTTGGCAAGATTGGTACGTGGCTAAAAGTGTCGAAAGAGTCGGGAGGCATGTGGCTGTGTTGTGTAACAACTGCAACCAAGACAAATGATATCTGCAGGGTCAAGTCAAGATTGAGGGTAACCCCCAAACGTCAGATGCAGACTTGACTGAAGAATCCAATAGTTGTCGACTCAGTAATGCCTTTCTGCTTTAGCCAGGTGGCAACGATTGTTCTATCGGAGGCATGTGACTGTCTGGCAGGCATTATCGTTCGACAACGACCGACTAGCGTGGCCACAAGGCTAGGTGGCGGCTCATTGCACAGCTTGATACCTTCCTTCGCCTTAACACAACAGTATGATGTGCCTATGTATCAACTGTTGTTTTATGAGAAGTATAACATATGCAATGCTATACATCACCAGGGCTGCGCTGTAGGTGAATGTTTCAGTGCACTTAGCTTACAATTATGTTTATGTACTTCCTTTCATCACGGTATCAGATCTGCTTGTATTGTCCATGCGAACAATACCTTACACCCAATACCCAAACTGCAACCACATCCTGCCAAAACCCCCCTCACCGGAAATAAGACCAAGTGTATGACCCTAACCACCAAATTGCCACGCTAACCACGACGGCACCCAACGTCAACCCCACCAACACGGTATTCCTCATAGCAAAAGCATCCGCTGCCTCCATCTTGAAGAGCTTTCTCTTCCGCGTGTGATAGTACCACCGCTCGTCGTTCCTATTCGGAGGCGCCGGCCCCTTGTCCGCCCACCGATACGGCTGCGGTTTGTAGATGAAAGGGTGCAGCCAGGCCGGAAGCCAACTTCTAAAGGCGGCATTGCTCCAGTACTTCTGATTCCGTGTGTCTACTAGGTAGAGAGACAACAAAAAGGTTATGAAGTTAATTGGGGCCATGATAGACTGGGTTGTGGTAAGTATGCGACTATTAGGATTATGCTCAGCTTTCAAAGTGGCATGAAATAACTCACCTGATAAGTCTGATAGAAAGCCGACTGCTTTGCTTCCTCATTCGCTCCCCTTGCCGGCCCAGTTGAGCTGGTGACCGGTTTCAAGTCCATTGTGAGATTGATGCTGAATGAGTTCGACTTTTGTGCACCGAGTGAGGTCAACAAGCACCATCTGGGGGGGGGTGGGGGTTCGACAAATGAATGAATATGTAAAGGATCAGGTCTCTCGAAAAGGGCTGATAGACAACTAAGGGTAGTCTTCAAGTCCATACGTCACAGCTGACGTTGTCGCACTGATTGATTTCGCACTGATTGATTTCGCAAGGCGCAGTAACACCGCCCCCTTGGCTTTTATAGCGGCGAAGCAACAGAGTTTCCGTAAAACCCGGGGCGGTTTGACCTTTGCTAGAGAGCTTATAAGCACTGACCAGGGAATCGTAGGCTATGAGAAGTTGCTCGTTGCGATGTCAAATGCCACTCCAACGGTCTGTGCAAAACATTTATACACAGCGACGTTCATTTTGTCGTCTCTCCGAATGCCTTGCCTTCAAAACCCGTTACTGGTACAACCGATAACTGTTAAAATACATCTTGTTCGAATATAAGGGACGGGGACGGGTATTGATTTTCTAATACTGTGACCCCAGAAGTATTGTTCTTTTGCAATCCTCTAATCCTAATTTTTATGAAGCCCTTCTCCGCTACCAGTATCCATGCCAACTCCGGATTCACAACACCCCATTGATGCATGATACTTCCTTCTCATATACCGTCCTCATTAGCCTAAACCAATCACCGGGGAGAGGACCATAGATCGAGTAGAAATGTTTGACCTTGACCGACCTAGGAGGAAAGAAACGCCTTTGCTACGTCCATTGCCTCCCTACAGCGTGAAGTCAAGTTTGGCCACACCACTGCTAATCTGCTAGAGTCCTGAGAGAATCCTAACTGCTTCGCGTATTCGCAATGGACAGGACCAAAATATCAGTAGCTCCCACCTTGGCCAAGTCATCCATCACAGGTGCGATCTTCTTCTTCTCAACCATGACGCTTACGGCCACCCATCCTTCTTCGTCGAGCGTCGTAACAGTTGGGGCACGCTTTCCTGGTGCGATTTTTGATGCCTGGCTGAGTAAAGACCTTGGTACGTTGTATTGGCATAGGACGTATCTCTGTGCCGTAATCACGCCACGGATTCGAGACGCAATGAGATCGACCATGGCTGGATTACTAGGCGATCGCGACTTTATCAGGATAGCGGTCGACTCAACAACAGTGTCAATAGCCTTCAACCCGGCAGCCTTCATCGTTTCGCCAGATTCTACAAAGTTGTCAGATCCAAGCATAGAATAACGCCACCAAACTGGCCTATGGCAGCTTAGGCGAAATGGGGAAGTAGGGCTTACCAACAAGGTCCACGATACCATCAGCAACTCCCAGTGCACAAGCAGCCTCGACACTGCCACTCAGCTCGATGATGGTCGTTCGTATCTTGCCATTGAAGTTACCGTTGGCTTCACCTTCTTCCTCAATCTCTAGATCTGCAAAGTATTTCTCTGCCAAGTGGACAAAGCTTGTTCCAATGTTTTTGCCAATGAGATCTTTCGGCGTGGCATAGCTTCCCTTGTCGGGAACCTGGACTTGCAGCTTGCAGGCACCAAAACCCAGATCCATGACCGTCTCACAACCAGAACTAGAGCTTCCGCGCGCACTCTCTTCTTCGGGAGTTATTTCACCCGAGAACCTTCGCTTGCGGTTTATGGCGCGGACGCCGGCATCGTGCTCTTGAACTTGATCGAATCCAGTGATTCCGAGATCCACTCGACCTTCACCTACAAATGTCGGGATATCGGCAGCGGGTAAGAAAATCAAGGCGATGGGGAGGTTCTTAACAAGAGCTATGTCTAGTCGGTTCTCTCTTCGGAACTGGATGTCGGCTCCCTCGAGGAGGTTCAGGGCAGCGCCATTCAACCGGCCCTTCTTAGGCACAGCGAACAGAAGCCGACCTTCTAAGCTATTGGCCACAGGATTAGCCATGACTTCATGTATACAAGCAAGTGCCGTTGGCTGGTGACGAACTGGTTGACCAAATCCATCTTGTCTGTTGTTGCTTATATCTTGGGAAGTAGTCAGAAGGTGAATTTCGCGTCGTGACACAACTAGATAGTGGTGTACTATGGGGCGGGTTGCTCGACAGAACAATTTGCAACTCAACAAACTGCAAGAACCTATGATATTTGGTCGAGTAAACTGCAGTGTAATGTCTCAAGCAGTATTGGTTGTTCCTTGGCTATATTCCAATGCAGTCGCACCCGATTGTTAAAAGTTGGGCGCAACCAGCTGAGACCGATGAGCACTTTGTAGTACAAAATTCTCCATACCCCACGTTCCTGTATCGGAAGCTACAGTTGACTCAATGGATGGAGGTGCAGGTACCATTGCAGGAATCGCAGGGATCCAGCACAGACGCCGCCAGTTCGGAAGTGGATGGCAGATCTGCGGTGGATGGGTACTTTGATCAAAAGTATCTATCAAAATAGACAACATCAAGCGGTTATTGAGCATTTGTCGCGGAGCTTCCTGTGTGACTTCTACATAATGACAGCGCATCTCCTCTTAGTCTGTACTTATCATGCTGATCGTCGGTTCCTCATGAAAGTTCGCATGGGAATTAGATGGCGCAATATCAAATGGTGGATACAACCTACCATTTCACAGTGCTTCAGTACTAACCTTAGTCGTATATTCAATGTTTCAGGGGCTAATTAAACATTAATAGGGTCAGCTACCCGTGCCACATCCCACTTATTTCGGATTCGCTTGAGCTCACCACCAACTTGGCCAGTTTTTCGACACTTTCAACTTCAACCTATCCTATCTTCGTCAATTCATTAGCTTTTTCCAATCGCAATGGACTCACAGCTACAGGAAGCCGTCCTCTACATGCAAGAGCATCCTCAAGCCAAAATTGCCAAGATTGCGCGAGAAAGCGGCGTAAAACGCGAGACCCTCCGATACCGCGTCAAGCAAGCTGGGAAGACTAAGAACCACGGAGGACTCAACAAACTACTATCTGAAGCCGAAGAAAAGGCCCTCTGTAATTACATCGACCGCCTTGATAGGATCAATCTTGCGGTTCGCGTAGAATTCGTTACCGACGCTGCAAATACGATATTGCGTGAGAGAGTCAAGGTTCTACCAAATCAGCCACCACCAACAGTCGGATCAAACTGGACTACACGTTTCCTCAAGCGCCATAGCTACTTCCACGCTTCCCAGCGGAAGCTCCATTCAAACCGCCAGACTGCTGAAAACCTCGACACTATACGAGAGTATTTTATACGGCTTGAGAGAGTCCTCCGGGAAGAAGGAATCGATTCCTCTGATCTCTGGAATATGGACGAGACTGGCTTCCGGATTGGTGTTGGTAACGATCAACTTATCATCACTAAGCGCAAGAGGGCCCATTACTTCGGCCTACCAGAAAATAGAGAGACAGCGACAGCTATTGAAGCTATCTCTGCTGCTGGCGACGTAATACCAGCTTTCCTCATACTCACGGGGACTATCCACTCGGCTCAGTGGTACGCGCAAGACCTTCATCCAGATACGAAGCTACGGCCGGTCGATACAGGCTATTCGAATGACGAGATCTCTCTCGAGTGGCTTATGCACTTCGAACAACACTCTAAGAAAACGCAGAAAGGTCGAAAGCGATTATTGATCTTAGACGGCCACGGCAGCCACCATACGAAGCAGTTTATCCAGTACTGCAACGACCACGATATTATACCCTTCGGCTTGCCTCCCCATATTACTCATATCTTACAGCCACTAGATGTGGTTGTTTTTCAGCCATATAAGCATTGGCATGCGAAGTCCCTCGATCAGCTAGTACGGGATGGATGTACCAATATAACCAAGCTAGAGTTCCTCTCAATTATCGAAGATGTACGCAAAAAGACCTTCAAAGCAAGTACTATCCAGTCAGCCTTCAAGAAAACCGGTATATATCCATTTTACCCTCATCCAATACTACAAGAGATTGAAGAACGTAGACCAAAGACGCCATCACCACCACCAGCCCCTTCATCTTCGTCATATGAAGGCACACCTACTACTTTTCGACAAATTAATAAAGTAGCTAGCAAGATTACGAACTGTCTTACTGATCTAGAGCTTGGTATTAGTCCAGATCTAGCCTATCGACTTAGTCGCTTTGTTAAAGGGTCCCTCGTTAATGCGACCGAGCTTATACAGACTAAGCGCGATCTTAGCCGTACAAAGTACGCCGAACGTATATCAAAACAACGGCGCGCTACGAAGAACTATCATCTTCAATCTGGTGGAGTTTTATCCGTTGCAGAAGGTAGAGAGATGGCGAAGAGGAAGGTTGAAGATGAGGTAGCTAAAGCACAGAGAGTTCTCGCCAAGTATCATGAAGGACTACGTAGAGTAGCCAAAAAGAGCTTTTCTGATGCCGCAAAAGAAGCTAGAAGACGTCGATTGACAGGCCAATTACAGCCTACAGATGTCTTCGAGACAGGCCTTGGTTGGCGGTTATTACGTAGATTCTAATTGAAGGTTGAAATCCGTCGAAAAACTGGCCAAGTTGGTGAGCTCAAGCGAATCCGAAATAAGTGGGGTGTGGCACGGGTACACCCGACGTCACTTCCACCAACGCTTTAAGCCACGTCGCTGAGACCTTCAACTCGTTAGCCACCTTACACACCATATCGTGAACGCTAACGTCTTGCCAATCTGCCAGATGCCAAATCCCTATTGTTCATATCTTGAAGTCACTTTTTATTAACTGTGTAACCTCAAGTTTCGGCTCGAGACCTGTGCTGTGTAAAGCCCAATTCCGGGGAAAAAGAAAAACTACAATTCACTGTGAACCGAAGGATTACGCAGTGCGCATCCCTGTCTGACATGTTGGCAAGTCTATATCTTCAGTGCCGCTCCCTTTCGCTGGGCCAACATGGCCTCGACAGCTCCCGATGATGCGAAGGTTGAAGTGCACAAGGTCGATGGATCTCCACGCAGCAACGCGTCAGAAAACCCCGAGCCATCCGGAGCGAGTGACGAATCCGAACCCTGGGAGCCACTCGACGACGACTTTGCCGACCCCATCGAGGACGAAATTCTCAATCCTGACAACCAGCAGGACAACGACGAGGACATAGACGACGCCGACGAGGGCTGGGTCAAAGACCCGAATAACCCTGAAGAGATGTCGCGATGGTCGGGTCAGCCCTCGATCAAGGGTAGCTCGGATGCGCTGCGCATGATACTACTAAACTTCAGCACCCTGGGTATCACGTAGGTCCAAGCAGATGGTACTTTGAGCGCAAGACATGCTGACGCAGGTGTCGCGTGAAGCTTCACATGGAGTGTATAAATGACATGTGAGTATTCAAACTCGGCTGCGTCTCATTCGCAGGTGACAAATGGAAGCTAATGCGACGGCATCACCAGATTGCACCCCGTATCTGCTGTCGCTTGGCTTGACCAAGAGCAAGACGTCTCTCGTGTGGATCGCGGGACCTCTATCAGGGCTTCTTGTTCAACCCATTGTCGGCGCTACAGCAGATGGATCAACATCGAGATGGGGACGACGACCTTTTATAGTGGTTGGAGCCGTAATGGTAGCCATATGTCTCTTGATCCTTGGGTTCACTAGGGAGATCGTGGGACTTTTTATTCCGGACGAGACGGCCGCCAAGACACCGACAATAGTCGTTGCTATCATATCGATCTACGCCGTAGATTTTTCCATCAATGCCGGTGAGTTTGCACCCCGCCTCCATGGCCAACTTCTAATCGAGTTTGTCATAGTCATGTCCGCCGCGCGAAGTCTGGTAGTCGACACTCTGCCAATTTCTCGACAGCAAGATGGGGCGGCTTGGGGTATGGAATCCCAATATGACCAACCCAGAACTCACTAACACTCGTAGCAGGCGGTCGGATGTCGGCTATCGGTCACATGATTGGCTACATGGCGGGGCTGTCGATCTATCAGGCATATTCGGGAATTTCCTAGGCCACTCGCAGTTCAAGAGACTCACCTTCATAGCCGCCTTGGGCATATTGTGCTCTTGTTTTGTCACGTCATGGGCCGTGACAGAGAGAGTCCTGGTGGCTGTAAAACATGACCCACGGAATAAAGGGGGCAGATTCAAGGTTGTTGTCCAGATCTGGTCCACTTTACTCCACCTTCCGCCGAGGATCAGAGCCATATGCCATGTGCAGTTTTGGTCCTGGGTAGGATGGTTTCCTTTCCTCTTCTATAACACTACCTGGGTTGGCGAGACCTACTTTCGCTATGATGTGCCTGAAGACGCGAGGGGCTCTGAGGATGTTTTGGGTCAAATGGGTCGTATAGGGAGCACCGCGCTTGTCATCTACTCTATCATCACCCTCATTGGCGCATGGACACTGCCCCTGTTGGTCAAGTCACCTGAAGCCGACAATTTCACCCCCCGACCACCACAGAGTATCGCTCCGATTATCGAGAAGATCAACAAGTACAAGCCCGATCTGCTGACAACCTGGATGGTTGCACATGGCATGTTCGCTTGTGCTATGTTCGTGGCACCTTTCGCGCACAGCTTCAAATTTGCGACTGCGTTGATCTGCATATGCGGATTGTGAGCATATATCCGTGGTCTAAAGTATTTGCTGAACTCGGCTGACCGGATCCTATAGGCCATGGACGATCGCAATGTGGGCTCCTCCAACGTTTCTCGGCATCGAAGTGAACAAGCTTAGCGGCGCGACCCAGTCCAATCCCTCATATCGACGGTTGTCTAATGAGTCGGTAGAGATGTCCAATCTCAGCGGAACATCCAGTCCATCCGTCTTGCATCTGGAGCATGGGCCCAATGATCCCAATATTCCAGTGAAGACGAGTTCGACGGGGGGCTTTCGGGTATCTACTTCGGCATCCTCAACATCTACACTACCCTACCTCAGTTTGTAGGCACTTTCATAAGCACTGTCGTATTTGCCATTCTTGAACCGGGTATGAGTGCCGAGTTGGCGCACGAGGCTCGTCCGGATGAGCATCATAGCGCCGACGGTCCAAACGCCATTGCGGTCTGTTTGTTCATCGGTGCCATGAGTGCTACCGTTGGGATATTCGCTACGTGGAAGCTGAGGTATTTGTAAAACGGTCTGAACTATTATGTGTTCGAGTAGCTTTTAGACCACAGAGGTTCAGCAGTATACCTTAGATATCAGGAGCCAGAAGTATTCCTCACAGGTCATTAGATGCGGCGGCGTTTTGGGGGGTCTGAATTGGATAAGATAGCACCGTATTGATGAGATATTACCCACTACCCTTGCCCATGGCGACCTGTGACATTTTCTTGTGTAGAAAACAAGTCATTGTACGATTGTGACGAGGCTGATACTATCGGTGCAATATGCTTGACTCTCTACCATGGAATATGCTGGATCCTTGTGATTCTGAGGAAGCAGCCCTGTTTAGAAGCATTTAGACTGGTTCTATGATCTGTGAGAAGTGTACTAAGCCCCAGATGCTGATCACGGATATCGCTTCTTAAACCTCTTTTCTCTTTCCCTTCTCTTGCGCTCTAGCGCTACCTCGATATCCTTGTTCTTTTTTTTCTCTTGCTCTTTGTAAATTACGAGCGAGTATGTTCCATTGCATGATTATACAAGTAATTGTAGGGCCTAGTTCCAGTAGGTTACCAGTATGATCGTAATAAATGATACCATGCAACTCTTTTTTTTTTCCAGAACGGTCGAGTAACCTGGGGGTTTTTCTGCGACTCTGATAATCTTAAGGTCTCTGTGGACAATTAATCTCGTGTTTTAATCTACCTCTTGGTGTGATCTTTTGGGAGTGACGGTCAGGATCCCTTTACCGGTCTATTGGGAGCGGAGATCCACGCGGCGCGCTCCGGAGGCCAGCTGATTAACAGAATAAACGGCGGTCCAGTTGGACCAATTAGGTTCTACTTGGTCTAATGCACTAGAATACTGAACTACGCTAGATTATTCCCTAATATTTCGGAATACTGCGCCGTTTATCTTGTTACTCACTTAGCAGGCCAGAACCGCTTGGCGGGGGTAACCTAGCTGGTCGAGCATGCTTGTTGCTAGAAGATAAGTTCCACAGGCATTGTTTTTGCTCATTTTTCTTCCTTCGTAGTTTGCGACGAATGAAATATCGACAGCTCTAGAGCTTGAGTATCTGCCATCACTTACGGTTGTTGTAGAAACGCCTGGTATATCAGTATCATACTGGGAGTGGCTTATAGTCTGCGAGGGCATGACGTGTAGAGACTTTGCTAGGCTCATTTCTGGTGATAATGGGCTGTCTGGGTAGTTTACGGGCCATTTGGGTATAGCCCCGGAAGAGCTGGTGTAGCATACATAACTCGTCCAGGTCAAGATGAAGTAGAGATGCACCTAGCTTAGTGATGCAACTTTACGGTATCGGGCTCACATGGGATGATGGGATTCCAAAGACGATGTAACGCCAGGTCGAAACTGGAAGAAACACGTCATTTTTAGGAATCCTATCGACTAATGTTAATCCGATATGGATGCGGCTTTACTATGGCTAGTGGACAGGACACTCCGACTTGCGTAGTACGCTCTCCACATAGACATGCGGTCAAGGCCATTTATGGATAGTGGCAAAAGGTCTGCAACAAGTCGGAGCAGAATAATGCAAATTTTGTCCGTTTGTGTAGCGCTGCTATTGTTATTTTAGAAATGCAAATATTCAGCTACCTTAACCGTTGGGTTGCACCACGTCTGACCACCCAACGGACATGCGATAAACCAACAGGCAGGGTCCCGCCGATTTTGATGAAGAGTATCAACGCCGCAGTGTCAACAAGTCATGCATTCATTGTCCCACAATCCAACTGTCTACCGAATGTCCTTGACGAGAAAAGAACATTAGCAGCGACCAGGGATAAAATTTCGCTCGTTTGGTTTACACATTAACGTACAACCCCACCTTTCCAGCCACCTACCTTTCCGGCCACCTACCTTTCTGGCCACCTAATCTGCCAACTACAACAACCTTCGGCACAACAGATTATCGTCGGTATTGGCTATTATTATACAATGCCTCGATATTCAGAAAATTCTATTCAAGGCGCTCTCAACGATATCAATCAAGGGATATCCCAGCGCCAGGCTTCCCTCCGATGGGGCGTTCCACGCTCTACCCTCCAATTACGACTCGGCGATGGCCTCAGCCATTCTGACGCGTCAATCGCGTCGATGAAGCTATCTAGGGATCAGGAAGACGCGCTGATTGGATGGATCCTCGAAATGGATCGCGAGGGTCGTAGCCCGTCGGCGCTATTCATCGCTAAGATGGCGTTGATTCTGTTACCTCAGGATCGTCGATCAGAGGGCCTCGGTCGCCATTGGGTTCATCGCTTTATTCAACGCCATCCAGAGGTCGGAAGTATCCAATCTCGACGCCTCGACCGTCAGCGATTTGATGGCCTATCGACGCAGAATATCGACGATTTCTTCGAGACGTACAAAGCCTTGATGTCAGCTCACGGCTACTTTCCACATAACGTCTGGAATATGGACGAAACAGGCATCGCGATTGGCGAAGGGATCGAGGGTATAGTGTACGGATCGTCAGAGAAACATACAACATTCGTTCGGAGTGACGAAAGCCGCGAATGGGTCACTATATTACATGCTATATCGGCGATGGGTAACTCGTTGACCCCAGCAGTAATATATACTGGCAAGAGCCTCCAAGCCCAATGGTTTAACGATTGCGACGATATACCTGATTGGCAATATACTTATTCGTCTAACGGTTGGATCAGTACAGATATCGCCGTTCGATGGCTTCGTGATATCTTTATACCTCGTACACAACCAGTTGATCCCGACGAGCAGCGGCTCTTGATATTAGATGGTCATATCGCTCATGACAACGTCGAGTTTATGTGGTTAGCCTATTGTAACAAGATCTCGTTACTATTTTTGCCAGCACACTGTTCTCACGGGCTCCAACCTCTCGACGTCGCCGTATTTGCTCCATTAAAGCGGTACTATCGCTCGTTAGCGACCTCTCTCTCGATCGAGTACTGTTCTATTCCATTTAAAAAGTCGACGTTCCTCTCGCTATACATCGAGGCATATACGAAGTCGTTCACGATCAGTAATATACAATCAGGCTTCTCTGCAACTGGAATATACCCATTAAATCCATCGCGACCTCAGCCGACGATAGCCCCCCTATCAGAACGACCAACTACACCACCAACAGCTGGTAATTGGCTTGATCCGACAAGAATAGCGACGCCAGTGACTAGTTTAGTAGCTAGGGAGAGTCTGGCAGCGATTACGCCATTGCGATCGTCGCAACGGCTATTGTTTCGGAAGCTGACTCGTCGGCTAGATGTACAGAACGTCGAGGTCGCTACTTTGGCCCAACGTGTACACGCATTAGAAGCCGAGATAACTTCGTTACGCCCCAAACCACGTAAGAAGGTACGATCAGGGCCTAATGAACGATTTGGTAACATTGTACAGATTAAGGAAGCGATGGATCGAGCCCTTGAAGTAGAACGGCAACGAGACCAGGTACAACGTCGGAATCAGGTAATACTGGACCCAGCTAAGGCGTCAGAATCTATCAGATCTATACCTCAGGAAGCCCTGGAGCACAGCTTTCTATTAGAGCTGGTTGTATCTGAATAGCTATAATAGTACGTTGAATACACTGTTTCGAATACCTTCAATTGGATTGCAAAATGTGGCCGGAAAGGTGGGTGGCCGGAAAGGTGGGGTTGTACGTTACGTCCATTTCGCCGGTGTTAATGTTGTTTGCTGATGCGTGCGTATTATGGCGGTGAAGGCCGGATACTTATGGAAATGCCGTTTAGCAGATCTGCCCTAGCACCAGTAAGCGGCTAGGAGTGTGGTTAGAGATACGTTAGCAGCCGATGCACGGTGAGAACGCCCCATTGCCGCCTGTCACAGGGTTCATTGCAGCAGTCTGACCTTTTTGGAGATGAGTCGGCTGCATCTGGCATACGTGGAGGGACATACCCCGCCGGCGAGGCGCAGATACAAGCTGGCAAGCACACATCGGCGCCCAGTATGTAATTGCCCAAGCACGTGCAAGGTAGCTCGTCATGGCTAAAAAAACGGCGATTGGCAAGTAGTGGTATTGAGCCGCATGTTTTGCAATCAGCTTTTCAGAGATAGGTTTGACTGATGACTGTCATGTGGCAGATGTGGCAGATGAGATTATGAGTACGACGTAGTGTTAGAGCACGACGTGGTGTTAACACCCAGAACCATCCATCATCGTCCGAACACAAAAAGCACGACTTCTCATTTCCCCATCCCGCTTGCCCGCCTTCCACGTCTCCCTTATCCGGCAGGGCACAGGGGGTTCAACTAGGGTAAAACCAAAACCGGCACACTTCTGTCAAAATACAGTGATGGGAAAAGGTCTCGACAAGTGCCAAAAGGAGGGGGGAAGCGGGAGCGTCTCAGAAATTGAGGAGGGAAATTGGTGTCGCCCCTCGTTGGACCCTGCTTGGCTGCGCAGTGGAACATTTGACTAGCAGAGGGCACAAAGGCAATTCGCTCGGTGTTGCACTAGACTCGCATTTTTTGTTATTATTATGGAAGTCGGAGTCGCGCCTTGAACACTTTCGAGCGAATCATACTGATGACCCACCTGAGCTCGTGGGGATGAAATATCGGGTTTCCAAGGGAATGATGAAGTTATCAATGTGATAAAAGTGGATGAATTGTTGGTTGGTGGTCAAATGGCGGGCGGGCAGGCGGGCTCCCTGTTTACCGTGCCTCTGTCACTTTTTGCAGGGGTGTGCGACCATGAGAAGGAGGGGGCCGTGGGGAGGCGGGAGGCTTGAGAGTACCAATAGGAAATCTTTCTCACCATCCCTCAGAACGCAGCCCGTGTGGTGCGTCGCATCCATTAGGCGGCGCGGATTGTACATATGACCATGCACAGCATCCATCCATAAAACCAATAGACCGCACCCTTTCCACTTATACCTTTGCTCTGTTGCAAAACAGAGGAGTGGTAAGTGACACCCATAACTGCGTCCACTCACCATCATTCTTGCGTACCGCCTGAGATCCGCGCTGGGGATTGGTGTTACTTATCTGCATCTTATGTTTCCCTCATCTTGGTCATTGGTTGCTCACCATATGTAGGAGAAAATTTTAAGAAGGAGATTGAAGTTGCGACTCATTGGCGACTGAACAAAATAAACACAATCCTTGTTTCCCAATCCTTTCACCCCACTCTGGAAACCGTTGCGACCATAATCCACGAGAAGTTGAGGGCAGCAGGCAGATAGCGACTTCGGCCCCCTCTTTTGACTGATTCGAAGAGTCTCTTGATCGACCTGCTTCACCAACCCGTCTTCGTCGTTTTTGTCGAAGACTCATAGCGTCCATGACTCTGCTAGCTGCTTGCGAAAAGTCGAGCTGCAACTCCCAGAATGGCTGCGGCGGCGGTTTTGGCGTCCTGCGAAAGTTGGACAAGAAGCGAATATGGGTCGCTAACGACCCAGCATTCAACGACGACGACTCTGTGGGATGAGCTGTATATTGGTACCCGGCTGCAGCTCATTGCAAGTGCGTGGCAACTGTCGAAAGGGTCATTGGTATGTAATTCGCCAAGTTCCTCCCATCTGCTTCCATTTCTTCAATCTCGGCTGGTGAAGCCACAATGTGTTGAACAACCCGACTGCCCAACCAACGCTTTGTTCGAGACAACAACTGCCTGTCGCAATGACTCAGTACCAGTTCAACGGCGTCGACCGTTACCTAGTTGCGTTGCAATCTCCTAAGCTTTACGCCGCAAAGTCAAAAATCCACGGAGACTAACGCACGCCTCGATAGCAAACCGACGACTCAAACAACCCCTCACCGAAACGTCACCGATATGTGATCCTAAAGTCTTTGATCGTTCCCGATGCCACGCCTAGACGATCGCGACGTCTAGCAGCACAATGCGACACTCCCCAACCAGACGACGGGCTCCTTGATCCGGCTGCTGCCGGCGAAGCAGCTTGTCAGCGTTCGCCGTCCTTGGATGAAGCTGCGCCGGTTCCTACGGCTCCCCCGGCCCGGTGTGAACGAGGGAGGAACTTCTTCTTCAGTGATCTAACAATGGACGTGTTCATCGATTTCTCATCGGACGAAGGGTTCTACCAATACGCCAAGAAGAAGAAGAAGGCAGCGGCACCGCAGCCCATCAATTGGGCCGCGGAGTTGAAAGGCGACGGTGCTGCCGACGGCGGCGACAAGAAGGATGACAGCAATGGCAATGCAGGCAACGCCGGTGGTGATGCAGGAGGTGCTGGTGATGGCGGTGACGACAAGAAAAAGGACGATGACAAAAAGGGCGATAAGAAAGCCGACGATAAGAAAGACGACAAGAAAGATGATGACGAAAAGGACGACAAGAAAGATGATGACGAAAAGGACGACAAGAAGGATCGCGATGGCGACGCCAAACTCGATGATGCCTGGGGCGCGTTCGAGTCCGCCGGTAAGAAAACAAAGAAGGGCAAGAAAGGCGCCGCTTCAGAGCCTGAGAAGACGACCGATGCAGCTGCGGGGGAAACGGCACTCAAGCTTGACGCATCATTTGATGAAATCAAGCTGGACGGTCCGTCACCCGACGTGAAACTTGGTGCGTCCACAGACAGCAAGACCAATTCGTTCAGCACCTGGGGCACCAGTTGGAACACTGGAAGCATATGGGATTGGTCCGGTACCAAAAAAACTGACACATCAACAGAAAAGAGGGAGAAGAAGGAAGAGAAAAAGGAAGAGAAAAAGGAGGAGGATCCTTGGGATGTCATGAACCAACCCAAGTCGAAAAAGAAGACCAAAACTACCACTGGCTTCGGCTCCTTCGACGAGCCAGCAGAGAAGACCGCAGAAGCCCCTCTCGTAGAGCAGAAAAAAGACGAGGATTTCGGCCTCGCCTGGGGCACAGGCACAACCACTGTCAAAAAGGACAAGAAGAAGAAGATCAGCATCTGGGAACCTGAACCCGAAGAGCACAAAAAGGATCCACTTGCTAGGAGTCAAGAGTTGAGCGCTGCCGCTCCCGCTGCTCCAGTGGAAGATGCCTGGCTAGGTACTTCCAAGAAGGACAAGAAGAAGAGCACCCTCTTTTGGGGGGATGAGCCCGAGCCCGAGCCCGAGCCGAAGCCGGAACCGCCCAAGGACCCTGAGCCTCCAGCGCCAGAGCTAACAGCCTCCGAAGACATCTGGGGCACTGTCGCTACCAAAAAAAAGGGCAAGAAGAGCAAGAATGTCGTTGAGGAGGTCAAAGAACCTGATCCGCCCGCTGCTGATCCCGAACCAGAACCCTCAAAAGAGGAAATCAATCTTAATTGGGGCGACATTTGGGGCGCAGCTGCCGGTAAGAAGACCAAGAAGAAAAAGGGCGCCGTTGAAGAGGTACGTATTTGCAACCAGTCAACCCTATTTGAGCTCTCCACGAGTCACTAGTCATCCTTTCGAAGATTTACTGTGTTGCCCTGCTTGATGACTACCGCGCTATATGGCAGGCAGTTCCTGTTGTTCACCGCAAGATATTTTATATGATCTAGATTTCGGAGAAAGAAGGGGCGGAGACTAGCTTAGCCAGGCGACGTGCACGAGTTTCAAGTTCATGCACCTAGTATATACTGACAATTGCTACAGGTGAAAGAACCGGACCCTCCACCGGCTGAGCCTGAACGTAAGCCTGAACCCGAACCCGAACCCCCTGCAGCCGACGATGGTTGGGGCTGGGGCTTCGGTAAGAAGGACAGGAAGAAAGGTAAGATCACAGAGGAGCCGAAAATCGAAGAAACAGCCTCGGTGGAGCCGGTGGTCGAGAGTAAGAAGGAAGAGGACGACTTCTGGGGATCAATGACTTCCAAGAAGGAGAACAAAAAGAAGGGAAAGAATGTCATTCTCGATCCGGTACCCGACCCGCCAGTTGAGGAAGCCAAGGAAGAACCTCCGGCTGATCCTGTTGTCGATGATGACTGGGGTCTCTTTGGTGGTTTGAAGAAGAAAAAGAAGGGAAAGAATGCCATTCTCGATCCGGTACCCGACCCGCCAGTTGAGGAAGTCAAGGAAGAACCTCCGGCCGATCCTGTTGTCAATGATGATTGGGGTCTCTTTGGTGGGTTGAAGAAGAAAAAGAAGGGCGTCGTGGAGGAGATTCCAGCGGAGAAGCCCCGGGAAGCATCCGAGCCGCCGCCTCCTGCAATTGACACGTTGGACGATCTTGGCTGGGGTAACACCAGTGCAAAGAAGAAGAAAAAGGGCAAAAATGCAGTCATCGAGGAACCTCCACAGTCGCCTCCGGAACCAGAACGTCCAAAAAAGGAAGAAAAGCTTGCCGAAGATGATTGGTTGCACTTTACCTCTGCCACGGACAAGAAAAAGAGCAAGAAGGGCAAAGTTGTGGAGGAAGTTAAAGAACCAGGTAAGTTCTGTTTGCTAGCCCGCAGGACGCAATCCCTCCTAGACTCAGTTCGAGATCATTGCACTATTATGTTTCTCGCGACGTGAGAATATTGAATCTGATGCAAGACACAGAACCTCCAGCCCCTGAACCGGCGGTGGAGGAGAAGAAAGAAGAGAATGATTGGGGCAACAATTGGGGTGCAGTTTTAACTTCCAAAAAGGACAAGAAGAAAAAGGGCAAAAACGCCGTCATTGAAGAACTCCCGAAAGAACCTGATCCTGTACCTGAGGTAGTTGAGCCTGAACCTCCCAAAGAGGTAGACAAATCGCCAGCGGAAGACTTTCTGAGCGCTGTCACCACTTCGAAAAAGGACAAGAAAAAGAAAAAGAAAGGTGTCGTCGAAGAAGAGCCCCCGCTCCCCCTAAAGGGACCTGATCCAGTACCTGAGGTAGTCGAGCCAGAACCTTCGCCGCCAGCCGAAGAGAAGCCTGCAGAGGATGACTTTTGGAGCTCCCTTCTGGGTTCCAAAAAAGACAAGAAGAAGAAGAAGGGCGTTATTGACGAAGAACCCACGAAAGCACCCGAACCCGAACCCGAACCCGAACCGGTATGTATTTCCACGCCGTTCGGTCTCTGAGCCGGTTGGTGGAGCAGACACTTCCCGCTTGAGTGAATCTCAGACCAAGGGCTGGAATGGAGGAAGACAGATATGGTCATCTCATAAACAGTGGATGTGGCTAATCTAGACCGTAGGAACCACCGGCACCGGAACCTGTAATTGAAGATAAGATTGATGACGATGCTTGGGATTTTGGCCTGAGCAAGAAGGACAAGAAAAAAAAGAAGAAGGGCATCGTCGAGGAGGAAACGCCGCCACCGCCGCCAGCAGCACCGGAACCGCCGGCTCCAGAGCCGACGGAGGAACCGAAGGCGGCTGATGATTCGTGGGGTTCATTTACCACCTCAAAGAAAGACAAGAAAAAGAAGGGCAAGACCGTTGAGCCAGAGCCTCTGCCTCCACCCCCGCCGCCACTGCCTGAGCCGCCAGTTGAAGCTGTTGAGGAAGACCCTTGGGGATTCAGCACCAAGAAGGATAAGAAAAAGAAAAAGACTGTTGCAGTCGAGGAGCCTCCCAAAGGTTTGCATTTCCATAACCCAATATCGTCCCACATCCGGGTTGGATCTTGCCCTGTTCCTCATCTCCTGAGGCAAGGGTGACTTTCATTCCTCCATCTATACCTAAGCTTTGTCTCATGAACCACGACTGATGACTTTCACCGAACAGATCCTAAACCGGAACCAGCAGTTGAAAAACCGGCGCCAGAGCCAGAACCGGTGATCGTGCCAAAGGCGCGAGCTGTGGAAGAGACCAGCGCCTGGAGCTTCTGGGGCGCAGCCAAGAAAGTCACAAAAACTTTGACAGCAGCTTCGAGCGCTCTGATTGAAGTGGAAAAGGAACCGGAAAAGATCCCTGAAGAAGACCCTCCACCTCCACCGGCGGTCCCGGAAGCTGGTGATGCAGCTGGCGAGGACGATTTCTGGTCCACTTTTGGAACAAGCAATAAGGACAAGAAGAAGAAGAAGAACGCTGATGGCAGCCTCATCCCGGACTCAATCGAGGAACCTAAGACTGAAGATATTTGGGGTCTTACCACGTCCAAGAAGAAAAAGTCCAGTAAGAACGCGCCAGTCGAAGTTGACAGTGGATCTCACCTTGATGGCGTTCAGCCGGACTCTGTTGAGGAGACCAAGGATAATAACAAGGTCGACGACGACGAGTTCGGTTTCATTTGGGGTTCAACATCAAAGAAAAAGAAGTCCAAGAAGGATGAACTGATGGAACCTCCGCCACCAGCCCCAACGCCTCCGTCCATGGACATGGACGAGCAGCAGGACGAGTTGGAGGCCAATGTCTGGGACGAAGGCCCGTCGGCCAGCTCCAAAAAATCAAAATCCAAGGACAAGGATGACAAGAAGCCCAAGGAAAAGGAGCCCAAGCTGAGTAAAAAGGAACTCGAAAAACTTGAGAAGGAGAAGGAAAAGGCCGAGAAGAAACGACTCAAGCAGGAAGCCAGAGAAGCAGAAGAGCGTGCAGCGCAGGAAGTCAAGGAAGCCGAAGAGCGCGCAGCGCAGGAAGCCAAGGACGCTGAAGAAGCCGCGCAACGCGAGGCGGAAGAACAGGCTGCTCGAGAAGCAGAAGAACTAGCGCAGCGGGAGGCGGAAGAGGCGATGAAAGCCGACGCGGCAGCCAACGAAATCGCCCACGAAGAGGAGGAGCTTGCCGCGCTTAAGGCGAAAAAACTAAAACGTGGCGGGAAGCTTCTCAAAAGAGACCAAGCAAGATTTGAAATTTTAACGGAGAGCGCTGATCGTCGCGAAGAGGAAAGAGCAGCTAAAGAAGCAGAAGAGCAAGCTGCGCGTGACGCCGAGGAGCAGGCCGCCCGGGAAGCTGAAGAACAAGCTGCTCGTGAAGCTGAAGAACAGGCTGCTCGTGAAGCTGAGGAACAGGCTGCTCGTGAAGCCGAGGAACAAGCGGAGCGCGAGCGTCTGGAAGCCGAAAGTTCCAAGAAGAAGTCGTCCAAGAAAAGCTCCAAGTCGGACGACAAGAAGTCGAAAAAAGAAAAGGATAAGCTCTCATCCAAAACCAAAGGGAAACCCGTAGAGGAAAAGCCCGTTGAGGAGGTGGTCGAAGTTGACATGGACCCAGATAAGGATCTATTAGACGGTGTGGAACTGGACGATGCTCAGATTGACGAGCTTTTGGGACTGGACGATGCTCAGATTGACGAGATCTTAACTCCGAAGGAGAAGGCGAGTCCATTCTCGTTCTGGGGCGCTCCATCCAAACAGGGTTCGTTACCTCAGGCCGGCGCCACTAGCTCCCAGTTTCCCCGGACCGTTGCCAAGGCCAAGACTAATCTCGAAGCAGAACCCGAGGTTACACCAGCCGAGTCATTCCAGGTTCCGGAAGCTACCATCAATGATGAGGTAACTACCAAAGGCGCCACGGTTTCCATGAAGGCGAAGAAGCGCGGTAAGCTTGCTGACAAGCTCAAGATCTTCGAGCCACCGGACGAAGATCTAGGTGAGGACGACCCGTTTGACTCATACCCTATCCATACACCTTCGCCGCCGCCACCACCACCACCTGCGCCTGTTAAGGAGGATAAAAAGAAGTCCAAATCCAAGAAAAACAAGGTAATAGTGGAAGATGAGCCAGAACCGGGCCATGAGAGCGATAGATCGAACGACCTTCCCGGCAGCTTCCCCATGGAGGACGATGATGAGATAGTCGAGATAATCGACGTTGCTCCCGTGAAGAAGAAGTCAAAGAAGAGCAAGAAATCGAATAAGGTTGAGGACGCGCCTCTGCCTCCGCCTCCACCCCCTGCGGTTCCCGACGTGCCCATGTCCCCACCTCCGGAGGCCAGATCCAGTAAGAAAGAGCGACCAAAGATTAATCGCGAAGGTGGCTCATCTTGGGGTATGTGGTCGGCCGGAGCCAAGAAGGAAGAAAAGAAACCGACTTCACGGCCTAAGGAGGAAAGGAGGTCAAAATCTGATAGGAAAGAGCGGGAGGAGAGGACTTCTTCGAAGGCCTCCAATTCTGACAAGGCAGAGCGAGTCGATAAATCTGCGGCGCCACCGAGGCCGCGCATGGGCAGTCTGTTAGAAAGCACACCACCAATATCGCGCACAATGTCGAGCCGGGAGAGGCATCACCACAGTGCCAGTGGCAGGTCGAGTTCGCGCCGCCACTCTCATTCTGTCGAAATGTCGGGCGGCCTCGTGTCGCCTCCGCCTGAAGAAATGTCAGAGAAGGCAGCCAAGATCCTCGGCGTCGACAAGGGTCGCAAGAAGCACCGGTCGCGCCATGGCGAAGAGGATGACTTTGTGGTTGACGCTGCCCATGTCACTCCGAGCCCGGACAAGTCTTCGAGGAGAAGATCCAGGGCAAAACCAGCAGACGAAGACATTGTCATGGTTGATGCAGGTGGGCCTGTCGATGTCCCGTCATTTAAGCGTGCCAACTCAAGCGCAAAGAAGGGCATTAGTGGTCTATTTGGCGGTCTGATGTCGTCGTCCACCCCCCGCAGTTCAGACGTGCGACCCGAAAACCGACGTCGTAGCACCTACCCGGTCACCGAGGACGAAGTTAGACCGGAAAGGAGAGCCAAACGTTCGCGAGATGACGACAACTTGGACGGAGATGCCGACGCCGAAGCTCGTCGCGCAGCACGTCGCGCTAAGAGAGCCGGGGACAAGGCTGCCGCTGGAGAAGGATGCCACGTCAAGGATGAGGCCAGACGGGAGAGACGGAAACGGCATGAAGAGGATCCTGAAGCCCGCAGACAAGCAGAGAAGGAGGCTAAAAGGGCTGAACGACGCGCTGCTCGCGAAGAGGAGCGCCGCCAAGCTGAGGCCAGTGAGGCAAGGGAAGCCGAGCGAGCCGAACGCCGCCGTCTGCGAAAGCTTGAGAAGGAGGCTGCTACTGCAGAAACAGATGCTGAGCCTTCGCGCCGGCGATCGCGGGCTGTTGATGGAGATGATGAGGAACGCAGAAGACGTCGTGAGGCCCGCCGTGCCGTTCGTGCTGAGACTATTGCCCCCGACGATAAGGCTACCCGCCACCGATCTACGCCTCCTGAGGAGTATATCTACGGATCTAGGCGCAGACACGCCGATGACGACGGCCGGAAGCAGAAGCGGCCGGCGTGGCCTCATTCTGGTACTTCCTCTTGGGTGAAAGAAACCTCGGACGCTGGTCCTCCGCCTGACGATGGGCCTGCCACTGATGCCCCGGCTGTAACGGATGAAGACGAGGCTCGCCGCGCTGCTCGTAGAGCTCGTCGACGATCCAAGTATGCGGAGGCCGACGTGGAGGACGATGATCAGAGACGCCGCCGTGCGCGCCGCGAGGAGCGCGAGCGACGCCGGATCGGGTCGGATGGCAGTGGTGAGAAGCATCGCGAATCCGTCTTCGGCATGGATACCACACCCCGGAGCAGTTGGTGGCAGAAACTAGCTGGGCGCGGCTGATGCATGTGAAACAGGACGAACACATGAGTAACTTCGTAATGAGCATTGATGGATAATGAATAACGGAGGAAGCTGATGAAGCCGGTAGTAAGGTGTTGGGGTAATTTCTCGGTTCAGCATTTTTCGTTTTAAGGGCCTGGTCGGGTGCATCTTTATATACCCTTTGGGATTCTTCCAGTACTGGGCGGTTGGTATGTAGGTATGTATAACTGATGTGGCTTATGATGTTGGTTTACACGTATGAGCCTGCTTTGTTGTGGTAAGTGTTTGGTAGCAAGTAGTGTCAGATGAGCTGAAATTTTCAAGCACAGTCTTATTTTTTAACCTAGCTGTTACACGCAAAGGTGGTCAAAGATTTGTGAGGTTGTAAAAGCATGACATTCTATCTAGTCCTATGGAGCACGAAGGTTGGACTTAGTCCCGAAGGGCTAAGTCACGTGGTAACCTTGGTGGTCTTGGCAAAGCCCACCAAGGTTGCCTAACACTAGCGAAGTAGTGTTCAGTTTTAGCACTGTTGTAATGCATGCCCCCTCCCTCTTCGCTCTCCCCTTTCAACAAAGCAAATGTTTCAATGTGATTAGATGCCTCCTGTCGTCATAATATTTAGTGAGTGAGTGAGTGGATAGGATACCTAAGGTATATTGTGTGCCCCTGTTGGAACAAAGTAGAAATCATTTTCTCTATGGATTATCATATTGCTCTTAATAGTATAGAGCCTTTGTGACTTCTTTACACCCCTGTCGTATCCTATATCCGGTTAGTGAAGTGAGTACCCTAGACACCTCAGCTTCATAACTACCGTATCCTGTTTCTAGTTCACAAGCTTCAAAAACAACTAAGTGCAAACAGAGAGGAGGCGTCAGAGAGGTAAGCTACAGACAACCATCTATTTTGTAACGAGGATACCACACGTCTCACAATATAATAGTCAGGTAGTGCAAAGGGTAGCTAGAAGTAGGCCAGTGTATGGGTGCGTATATTGCAAGACTGATTCTTGAAGAATCTAAACAAGCTGGGCGGTTCCGGGGTTTTACCGGATCGGGGCGAATCCCTCCCGACTCAGCTTGTCAGCTGAGACCAGCCCGCCACAACGGCTCTTTCCTTACAATATTAAATACGCCGTAGCCTCGTAGCCCTCGCCTGTTGAAACGGGGTCAGGCGGTGTAACGAAACCTCTAATAGTCTAGCTGCGTAAACCACTAAAGAGTCTGTAAGGGTTTGTGCTAGTAAGTAAGTCCTGCTGCGGAGTCCTCAGGCAACAATATCGGGGTTTGACGTATGGAGTATAGGTGATACGTGACCCCATGGGGGGTTACCCTATAGCTACAGATAAGACAGATAAGATAAGATAAGAGCTATAAAAGAGCTCTGCCAGGCCAGAATAGCTGACCTGGCCATCCTTTTCCAATACAACAATTCACACCCCATATGCACTCGCATCAATAGGGCTCTGGGTAACTGAAGTATTCAAGTAGGGTAACTGGGAATAGAGTCGTCAAGGCAGTTTGCCTCACCAATGGGTTAGATTGATGCTTAGATTGATCACTGAAGTAGAGACTGTCTATCTATGAAATGCCTGGGAGTCCTGTCCCGTATATATCCGTCTCTCCACTGATCCCCACTTGGATATGTTGGTTGTCCAACATATTCAACATATCCACCTGGCCTGCCGACGGGCCTGTAATGTTGGTTCAGGGCCAACGGTTCGTAACAGGCGGTCAGTAGGATATACCCATCACCGAACACACTGACAAGACAGCTCCAGCATCAATTAACTCCATCTGAGGTCTGATCAGAGGAATATCATAGTGCTGGTTGCAGGAGCGAAGCTTCTACAGGTATTATGCGCAAGTTGGTCGGATGTCACCTCTATATTAGCGACGGGATACGCTTGACTCTGGGAGTTGAAATAAAGCTGTCATGACTAGAAACGAAGGTGAAGAAGATGTCGAAAAGAAGATGATAAAAGATATGATGAGAAAAGAAGATATGTCTGCGCCTGTTGAAGAAAAGAAAAGGAAAGACGTGTGACGGTTGTCACGTGATTGACCTACACTGGTCTGAACAAATTGATAAGTGGTTGCAGATATCAAAGTCAGGGACTTTGGTATTGGTCTCTTTTGGTGAAGACATCTGGTACGGTGGGGTAGTGGCAAGGATTGCAACCCCTAGCACGACGTGACAAGACGGAGCCGAAGTGTCCTCAACTAACGGTAGGTCGTGTCTATATTGGTACTAACATTTAGTAGGTTCGTATTATCCGCGAACCCGACTACTAAAAGTAGTAGGTACTACTCCGCTAGCTCCTCGTATAGCGTTAATATGTATAAGATAAATAGTATTGGGGATAGCAGCGACCCCTAGGGAACGCCAGCCCGTAGAGGAATTAGCTCTAACTCCTTGCTGTCGAACCGGAGGCGGACCATCCCATCCTCCACGAAGCTGCGTACCTGCTCCTAAACTCACTCCAAGTAGCCTTTCCGGGCTAATATGGAAATTAGTCGTCTATATTTAACCGTATCGAATGCTTTGCAATTATTGATTTTAACACTTGAGTCTGTGAGAGCCATTAACTAACTTAGTGTATTTCTCCACTACATGATTGCTCACGCAACGCAAGGTGCTTTGCTATCCACACTCACGGTTGACGTAAAGCCCCTGATTACTCGGGAGAAAGACCTGCGCCTATTGTACAACAGGACAGGTCCCTTTCAGTTGAGAAAATAGACTCACGTCGCTTGAAAATCGAATCGGCCATCTCCTCCTAAACAACCCATTTTTGGTTCTCAACTGGGATGACCCTACCCACCATCGGCTAGTTTGTAGATAGCTTCGACCAACAGAGTCCGCTGCTTTTACATCTCGAGTCCTGCAACAAAATGAGCACAAGTTGGAAATGCTGGCCCTGAAGAAAAAGATCCCCACACGATAACCCGCTAAACTAGCTTCTTTGAGCTTCGACATACAGCACCCGAAAAGTCTTGGCAGGCTTGAAATCTTTTACAACGTATAAAGTCTGCACAGGGAACCCTGTCAACGTATCGCCGACTTAATCTGAGTACCTCAAGCAACCCATGGGCACTATTTCGGTCATATTGCGCCCCGGGGCTTCTGGACCGGCTCAGATCTTGAAGAGCTGTGTAGCGACCAATAAGTCAGGTCTTGTCAACGACCATCCCCGAGAACATCTGCAAAATTATATGGAAGGATGTCGATTGATCAGCAAGTGTGTCAAATAACTGCGCCTCGAACTGAATCTTTTATGTTCGTGGCGTTGAAGCCCGGATAGGTAACTTGATTTTTGTTGTACCAATGCTGCAGGGAGCCCTAGAGGTACACCTCTCCAGGCGAGCAGATTGTTAGCGGATGAGAAACCCCAATTGTGGCGACCGATCAACGTATACAACTTGTGTGAGAGGTCAAGTACCGGTTTACTTGGACAAGGGTAGAGAGTCCCGCATGATTAGGTGCACCCCCAGGCTGGCGCTGTGCCCCTCATCTGCCCACTGCAAAAACCCAACCCTGGTATTCCAACGTGCCATGGACGAGTCCATCGCTCTAGCCTCTCGTCCCCATTTAGACGTAGTTCCACCGCCTCTCGACACTCGACTCGCGCTCCGCTCGCTACCACTGCAGCTGAGGCAGGAGCAGCTGCGCAATAATCTAATCAATTGGTCAAGTTCTTTCTCGTCTTCCACTGGACTCCTTCTACTACTTTGCACTTTCGCTGTTCTCTCCATACTGGACAACTTTCGTAGGTCGCTCGTTGGACTCGATCTGCGTCGCCCTCATTTCGTCTCATGTCGGTTTGCGACAGGCAACCCTCGTCTGTCCAATTTCTCATTGTCGATCGGGCGAGTTCGGCAGCGAGCCATAACCGGCCCCGCGGACATAAGGCTCAGACAACTAAGAATAGTTGCGCATACGCCATATGCGAATAACGTCCGGTATCCTTAGCGTGTAATACGACGACCCAGAATTGAAAATTGGAGGGGAGCAAGAACCTCTGGTCAAAGAATAGCGGGGCCATGGCCATGATGGACCCGAATACTTGGAATGGGCAGGACGACACTCTGCCCTCAGCGGCCGAGGATGACTTCCAGCAGTTCCTGGATATGGGAGGCATGTCGAATCTCGGGGACGGGCTGCAGTTCGACTTTCCGGATTTTAACGCCGCAAATGGTGGCCCAACACTACACCCTTCCGCGGGCCACCGAGATGACTTGGACACTCCCATGAGTGGTACGAATGCGCCGACTATTGTCTCGGGAAACCACCTGGGTATCCAGAATCAAATGACACCGATATCATCAGGTACAGTGGTGCCTGCGCTTCACACGCATGCTGATGCCATCTTGGAGATCGATGCGCAAATCCAATTCCTTCAACACCAGAGGCTCCAACAACAGCATCGGCAACTTGAAGAGCAGCAGCGCCGGTTTGAAGAACAGCAGGCGGCATTCTTCGCCCAGCAACAGCGGAACATGGTCCCACCAACGCCTCAAAGCCTCAAGTTGCAGGCTGCGAGTCACTACTACACACCAGGCGACCAAACACCCCAACACTCGCATTCGACCGGCATGTTCGATCGCTTTCACCGCCTGAAAGAGCAGCAAGATGTACGGTTTCCACCGGAGAAGCACCAGGGTCGTTACTAACAATGTGGAAATAGATGTCCTTCACCCCTTTGGTTTCTCCTGCCGTAACCCCTCTCGACAAACAATTTTCGGTTGAAACACAATACACCATTCCAGGGGCGTATTTCAGCCCCCTTAGCTCTCCAGCTTTACATGCTCAGAATGAGCCAATGTCGAGTTTTGAACGACAACTGGGCTCCAACGCCAATTCGCCGGGAGAGATGGACCTCGAAACAAGCGCCATACCGGCGACTTCGGTAGATTTATCCAAAAAGGTGCGGAAGAACAACGTTACCAAAGCTAGAAAGTCAAGCGTACGGCAGTCACCGATTGCGAAGCCTCAAAGGAAAACCAAGGGCTCGACACCCATCATGAACGCACAGGCGTTGAGCGAGTTGGCAGAAACGGCAGCGGGTAGTAGGAAATCAGAACGACCTGCGCAATCAACCACAGCATCAGCCGCATCTACAGATGACTCTGAAAACACGTCTGTATCGCCGGAAGCCCTATCAGAGATGCCCCCTCCACCAATACCTCAACCACCGTCAGCAAGACAATCGCCGTACATATCACCTCAGAACCACAGCAGTGGTGTGGTCTCGCATACGCTCCTGGAGTCGTTGAATGGGATGCCATCCCCAGCCACGCCTGCGTCTCTCTTCAGGATATCTCCAAAGGGCAAGTCTGCCGACGGTAGCTATCCAGGTCAAATTGCATCCGAACAAATCGAAAACTTTGAGCTGCCCGAGTCGGCCAGTTTCCCAAGGCTCGCACTGCCACAGCTAAACACACGGGTCGAAGAACAGTTACCGCTCGAGGTAGAGACATCCCAGGCTTCGGCTTTACCGTCACTACTGTCGCCCTCATTTCCGAAGCCTATGCGGCCAACGTCTTCAAGTAAAAGCCCCCAAATTGGCCCCAAACCGGCAACTCCGATTTTGAGAAAAACGCCCGTTATTGCCCCACGTGGTAGCAAGAAAAGGGGAAGCGTGAGCTCTGTACAAATTTCTCCAGCTTTATTGCCAAGGATATCTCCAAACATCAAACCTCTACTCCCGGGGACGCCAGGCATGCAAGACATATCAGCCGGGGATTCTGCGTCTCGTCTTCTAGCCTCAAAATCCAATTACCAGAACATACTTGAAGGTAACAAGGTCCCCGGCGTGTCATATCCAAGCGAGCTGTCAACAAACTTGACATCGAAACGAACATCGCATAAGATTGCTGAGCAGGGCAGACGGAACCGTATCAACATGGCCCTTCAGGAAATCGCCACATTGCTTCCCATAAGTGTAACCAAGGACATGAAAGAGGATGAAGCCGAGAGCCCAGGAGGCGACAAGAAGGACGGGAAGTCATCGAGTGGCCCCAACAGCAAGGCCAGTACCGTTGAGATGGCCATTGTCTACATCAAGCAACTGCAACAGGAGGTGATGGAAGCAAACAAGAGAGCGGAGGAGGCTGAGAAAAAGCTGAGTGCAGCAGCTACGTAGGACCTAAGGGGGCAGAGGGCCCATGGCGTTCTGGAACACATATAATACGACCATTCGGGCCTCGCTTGGATGGCACGTTCAGTAATGCGTTATTGTCTTGAAAGCCAGCTACTGGGACAATCTGCCTAGGTAGCTATCCCTGGATTGAGTACATAACATAAAAGCTAGTAATCTAATGTGTGGCCATTTGCATTCCGGTCGCTGCTACTGGGTGCCTGACGTAGTAGCTTTATGAGCAGCGTTTGACTGCATACGTACATCTATCGCCTGAGCGGCGGAACAGGGAAGCAGGGCTGTTGGCTATAATATGAAACCCTCCCTTCGTTTGCTTGTTGTAGCAATAAGAGTTGACTGAAGTCAGATCCACGGCCGGTACAGCTTTACAGATCGGTTCGGGGGTAGTGCCGGCCATTATGCTGACCCCCCTCAAAGCCGTGGACAGTCTGATGTTGGGTTTCGAGAGACCAAATCATTATTTGTTCCGCGTATGATAATTGTCAAATGACTCGAATCGGATATGACTCGTTCATGCAGCGGGGAGGCCGTATGTCCAGATGGTGAGCATGCAACATGCCGAACGAAGCCGTCAAACCCCGGTTGCTTCTCAACCATCCGGACCCGCAAAGTAATCCGGACTTCAGCTCTGTCACCTGCAGTTTTGACCTCGACGTCGTCATGATGTCGAACATTGGTTAAAGTGGGTCTACATCCAGCATTATGGCACATGCGGAAACATCAGACGATGAATATACCCTGACGCTGCTAAATTGTCCGTCATTCATCATCCCTCGGCTGTGTCTGGCCACTGTGGAACATGCCATGAATGTCGTGTTCGTCGACTTGGGTAGCGGCAAAACGATCACGCCACCTGCTCCTAGGTTAGTGAGAGGCAGAGGCTTGGAGAAAAATCCCTAGACATCAGTTCTTCAACAGGACACGACTCGATACCTCACCCGGCCCCCAATGTGAGATTCTTGACTTTTAGATCCTTGTACTGTATTGCATCTTTTCGTTTGGTCGGTGGCACTTGTTCTCCGCTTCCTCGCATCTTTGAGCACGGCCTCGCACTTCTGATTGTCCTCACCAACTTCTGCTCCTAGTTGGATTTCGCTCGCAAAGCCTCATAGCGCAACTTGTTCCACGCCCGGCGCTTCCCAGGTGACAGCAAACAAAGAAATGACCATGACAGGACCTGTGGGCTTGGCCACGACGTATCGCCACATATATCGCACACAAGCCAAGGAAGACATCCTCTCGGGAAACAAGAGGCCATTTCTGGTGCCCCTATGTTTTCTCGCCTATCAAGTCATACCCACGCTGTACCTGGCCATCCCGCACAAGAAGCGCCCCTGGCTGTATCGCGCACGGTGGCTGATTCTCGCTTTCACCACGGCGTTCAATATCAAGATGATATTGGAGGTCAGCAGCCTCAACTTTGCGTGTTCCTACGGAGCTGGGCTGATCGGGGCTTGGGGACTTATTTGGAATTTTACCGTCTTGGTGTGGACGCGGCCACAGTGGGATGCGAAGAGGGTAGAGCTTGTGAGGAACAAGTTCTACAGCGGAATTGCGGGGGGGGTTTCTGATCGGTCCCGCACTGTTCATGCCAATAGACATGTTACGGACAAGATGCTGGGGGCGAATGCGGATGGCGAATCTTCGGCTACTTCGACTTCTTTGACGCCGAAAGCAAACGGGCAAGCACCCAACGGCCATGCGTCTAATGGACATGCAAATGGAGGCTTGAGGGAAAGGCAACAGAGGCAGAAACCCGTCACTTCTTTGCATGAGGCAAATGGCCACACGCTGCATGCTAATGGGTCCATCAATGCCAAAGCTGGTGATGAGTTTGGGGAAACGGAGAACGCCATGCGAGCGAACATGGAGAGAGTCCTGGAACGGTCCGACTGTAGATGCGACTACCTTTGCCAGGAACGCACCGAGCTAGAGTTGGGCGCCAGTCAGGAGTTCGTCTATGATTGGCAGGAATATCCAGAGGATGCACCGTTCCTCACGCGCCTCGACTGGGCTTTCGATATCGTTAGCACACTTCGCATGACTGGTAGGTTCTTCAAACCTATTATTTCCAGGTTTTATACTGATTCAACGACTACGCAGGCTGGAATTGGGCCATCCCCGTACTACCACCATACAAGCCTATGCCCCTTTCCCGGATGAGCAACCACAGCCGATTTGGCTACACCCGCCACACAAACCGGCGGGATCTCGTCACAGAGCGCCTCATCTTCAACATAATCCCCTCCTACCTCATCATCGACTTCTGCGCCACCCTAATAACGCAAGATCCCTACTTCATCCTCGGCCCCAACCACAACTATCCCCTCCCCCCTTACCTAGCCTCCCTCCCCCCAGCCCTCCTCTCCATCGAGCGCACCACCCTTGGCTTCATCAGCATTCTCAGCGCGCTGCAATTATCCTGGAACTTCGGCGTCCTCTGCCTGGCCCTCCTCTTCCCGCCCATCCTCGGCTTCCGCGCCCACCCCTGGCATCTGCCAAGCTTTCAGGGCTCTTTCACCGCCGTCCTCGATTACGGACTCAAGGGATTCTGGGGAACGTGGTGGCACCAGTCGTTCCGGGTCGGCTTCTCAGCTCCGACGCAGTGGTTGGTCAACCGCGGGTACGTCAAGAAGGGGTCGTCGGGCCACGCTGCCGTGGGGGCTCTAGTCGCTTTCGCTCTGTCCGGGTTCGTCCACGCTTCGGGGAGCTATAGCACAGTGCCTAAGACTAGACCCTGGGAGCCGTGCATTTTCTTCCTGCTCTCGGGTGTGGGCGCGCAGGTCCAGGCCATGTGCAGCAGGATGTTGAAGCGTCAGATCGAAGGCTTGCCACGGTGGGCTAGGAGAGCGGGAAATTTTGCGTTCACGGCGGTGTGGTTGCATTTCAGCTGTGGGTTCTTGTTTGACGACTTTGGGAGGAGTGCGTTATTTTTGTATGAGCCGGTGCCGTTTTCGGTCATGCGGTGGATGGGGTTGGGGACGCCAGGGGATAGGTGGTGGAGGTACGATAGGGATACGTTTCCGCACTGGTACACGGGGAAGCATTGGTGGCAGTGTGGGGTTGGCATCTGATAAATGAACAGATAGATAGATCTATGTAGCATGTGGGTGGTGTATGGATAGAGAGCGTGACATTTGGCATGTAAGAATAGAGCGCGCAATACCGTTGATAGACCATACACCGGAGTCTAATGAAGCTTTGTTTTAAGAACACTTGCTGGGTTTCGTGACCTGCGGCATTTTTCAGACGCTATTATCCAGCTTACTACTCTGCCTCCGTTGCTATCGTGAGACGAAAAAGGTCTACAAATGTAAGCTACTCACTCGCCCCTTGCGAATCTCTTTGGTTAGAGCCAACTTCCCAATCTCCATCTCAAGCCAAGCCAATACATCGCCATACCCCGACTGCTTCGCCCTTAACACCTTCTGAAAAGCCGTGAATGCCAGCCACGCTACCTCGGGCTTCTTGACATCGCACTGGTATCCAGGGTAATTCAACTTCCTAGCCTTACTGACCAAGAGTAGATAAGCTAGATCGACGAGCTTGGCGATGGTCTTGTTGATCATTCCTGCCGCGGGCTGCTTCCCCCGCGGCAGGCACCGCGCATATGCCCACATCTTGGATGCGGTTTCCGCGAAGGCGCTAAAGATGTTGCCCAGCATCGTGTGCGCCGAGTTAAGCGTCGTATCGAAGAACATGATGTGGCTCTGGATTTTGAAAGCATTCAGGACCTTGCGCTGGAACGTCTGGCCCGGGAACCGAGTGAATTCGACTGTTAGTGAGTTGTAGATGGCCGTGTCCCTGCCACCGCGGTCGCGGTCCTTCGTGATATCCAGCGTCTTGCAGTCGATCAGAGTCCCGCAGTACGGAAAGCCGCGGCCGTCAAGTACTTTGGGGACAGCTTCTTCGTCGAGCGTTAGGTCGAAGTTTACGAGGCTCTTGCCGAGACTGACCGTGACGCCGTACTCAGGTACGCCTTTGTGCATGGTCGTCACGAATGAAGCGGCTTTCTCCCTGTCTGTCGTAATGAGAAGAAAGTCGTCGATGAGGCGGAGCAGTAAGCAGTCGTCCGAGTCGAGGAACTTCAAAACGCGCCGTTCGAGGTCGGCGTAGAAATAGTTGGATAAAATCGAAGACAGGACAGATCCTTGTGGAATGCCCTCCTTCTGTCGGTGAAACTTCTTACCAATCTTGACGAGATTTTGCTGTATATGAGAGGCGAGCAGCCTAAGTAAACCGCTCGTTTCGTACTGTCTCTTTACCACACTTTCGATGAAGACTGTGTTTTTCTTCTTTGCCGCTTTGTTGAAGTCTGGAGATTGAAGCAGAGCAGATGCGTTACGGCTCTTCGTCGCCATAGAGTGCCATTTACGAACAGGTTTTGACTTGACCGCATTGCTGTTTACTGCTAAATCCATTGTGTTGTTCGTGATCTCAACATATTTCGAGATGCTGTATTCTCGCTGCTGCGGAATCGAGTCTAGTAGCGCAAGAATGGATGACTGTGGGATGGTGTCAAAAGCGGACTGTACATCCACTTTAGCAAAGTACAAGGGTTGGGACGAGGAGCTTCTATTAGACTTGAAAGTCTTGAGACGTTTGTATACGTCTCCAACAGAGAACATGGCCGCGCCCAACTTGGCCGGATTTGCCGACTGCAACCGTCAGCATGGGGACAAATTATAGACCATGGAAGTACGTGCCTTTTCCAGCTGAAGCATCGTATGGATAGGACCAAGAGTGGAGTTTATACTCGGGCCAAGCAGCTTCTTGTTATTTCTCATCATCGTCCTCCTGCGCAAGTTCATGATTGGTCGCACGCCAGTCTCCTTCGGTAGCAGCCTCAATTGACTAAATCCAAACCGTCGAGAGTCAAGGATTCGACGGGCAACATCCAGGTTGACTTCCTCAAACATTTTAGTTTTCAGAGCAGCCATCGCAGGTTCGGTCACGTAGCGCCAAACGTCATGTCGGAAGAAACAGAGTCGATACTTGTGTGCGCTCGACTCGGTAACATAGAAGTTACTACGAAGCAGGGGTATCACGATAGAATCAAACACATAGTACATAAATTCATGGAACAGCTCAGCTCGCTTTCGGATGTCTGTACGAGATGTCTTGTGGGCCGTGAGACGGTCCGGGGCGAGCCATTCTATGTCGGTGATCTGACAAAAACTGTGAGCAGAATTCGTGTCGAGAGTCTGCGCTAATACTCACCTTCATTCCTTGCATCACTTCGTGGAGCGACATACTCTCGAAACGTCTCAGACGGATGAACCGGTCGATATTTTTGAGAAGTATGTCTTTGTTGTGATTTTGAATCGAGTTGGTGCCCCAAAAGTCATTCGGAATCATTTTTGATACTACCGCTTGGCAGAATGCCGATACGTGCGCGGCTGGGGTCGCTAGGCCCATGAGAGATGAGGGATGAGATGTTTCTGGGGCTTTGGCAGTAGGTTGGGATTGGTGGGTGGCTGCTTTTCCCCTGCCACCTGACATATTTGTCGTCTTCTGGCGTTGAATCCGACTTGACTGTGAGGACTTGACTCCTTCGGTCGTTGTCTTGATCTAGATACGTCAGCGGAACATGGAATCACCACGTCAAGGCAGCCCGTACCGGACAGAAGTGCTCTAATAGCTTGGAATAGGAACACCGATGGTGCAACACTTGCAGTTTCTGCACCAAATCCCTCACCCGACCCCTGAGTCTCTTGGGTATCGAGATTTTGTATTTGGGCTGGCCAGGGTGGCCGAACTTTTCCGAAATCTCCTCTTCGCGGAGGGTATAGTCTTTGAGTTTCTGAGAAGTCTCTGCAAAGTTGACCGTAGAAGTGAAGGCATTGTGAAGCCCGAATTGTCGAGGGAACATGTACATCATGACTTTCGTGGTGTTGATTCTGTTCTGAGCTGCCACACGGTCCTGGCCGTCGCTCTCATGGTCGCAGAGCTGCTGGTGCGGCGCTCTATTGAGCACATCTGTGGACGTTAAGCGGAATTCGTCATCGAGCACGGCTAGGGTTGCTTACGAATGTGCCTAAAGCCGAAATGGACCAGGCCTTTGGCATTTAGAGCCGCTCGTGCGTAGAGCATCCGGTTTCGCATGAAACTAATATCGGATGGCGATCGTTCAAAACCACTGTTCGATATGACCTGATCATTACCTTGGTGAAGAGGTCGGGCGTCACTCAAAGGTAGACCTGTGTCCAAACCGGTTAATATCACGACTTGATCTTTCCACCCGTGCTTGGTTCTCACCGCTTATTTGTTGATAGTTATCCTGACCGGAGCTGAGACGCAGAAAGACAGAGCAGTCAAGTAGCAGGTCCATCATGATACGATCGCCACAGCTGCCCAAGAGCTTCAGAAATTGAGGCCATGGCGCTTCTTTCAGTCTTTCGACATGAGGATTTGGGTATAACGAGTATACGCCTGGGACATTGTGTGCCAAACCGCCAGTTTGCCCTTGTGGTCTGGAGGGCGCGCCTCGACGGAATCCATCACTAAGCAGGTGTCTAGGAAACGACCCTGGCGTTTTGGTTCTTGAGAAGAGCAGCCAGATAACAAAGTCAACTATCTACTCGGTGTCAGCCACCGTGTTGTGGTATAAACCATTCCTCCAACCCACCTCAGACTGCGAGAAGGTAGCGCCGACAAGGCCATCAGACAGCGTCACGTAGGATTCGTCGCCCCTTCGTGGGAAACTGGTCCACTCCTCCCAGCGACTGTCCAAAACGCTCTTGATCTCTTCGACGAGTCCGACAAGGGTGGTGTCCAATAGCTGACCCACGCAGCGCTCCACGTCTGATATTTCAGCGCCAGCAGAGGATGAAGACTGTGTTCCCAGGGCGCAGATCTTCCTTCTCCTGATTCTTGAGGACTCGGGCAGCTTGAGCAGTACATACTGGCGCAACGTCAATATCTCAGGGTAGTAAAGGCTGAGGATGGCGTGCTTGACTCTACTTGTCTTGGTGTGTTCTGGTGATAGGTGTGCTTTCTTTCTTGGTGGCTCGCCATATGCAGTTGGACCGGCTGAACCGCTCCTGCGCTTCTTGGATGAGCCCATATCCACGCTACACTATGCAGGATGGGCCGAAGTTCGCGCGGGTGAGTTAGATGGATTGACTCCGTGGTAATGTCGGCCTAATTCAACGCAACGCAGCCTTGTCAGGTTACAAAAAGTCCCGTCTGACTACATTACTCCTCTCCGGATGAACTGATTGGCCAATCAATGATGGCGGTACGTTGAAAGGATGTTGGGTTGTTTCATGACAGAATCATTGCCGACGCCGTTGCTACGGCGAAGGTTTGAAAGAACCAAGACGCGTTGAACGTGCGCGTCTAATTAGTTGAAAGGTCGATCCACGTGCGTCACTGGCGTAAAGTTCCAATGTTGCTAAAGCGCCGTAGGAGTGGTTTCATCCAGTGTTTTCGTCACTCCGTACTTCACCAAGTATTTGATTGGGAGTTGTTCCGGTTATAGCGGAACTGGGTATGGCTCATGGGTAGTGGAATATATGTGAAGTGTCTGTGACGTTTACTCATGTATGACCGAGGCATTTCAGAATTCAATGTGCTATGTGGCGCGTTGGGGGCGCTGTCTCTGACCAGCTGAGTTTGACTATGCGGGTACTCACATGCTTTAGACCAATCTATCTCATGCGTTCAACTCCTGGGGACTCCCAGCCGACCACGGCTTCTGTATTTTAAGCCACGAGTCAATACACTCAACGACCATGAACCGGAGTATTATTGCTCGATTTAAAGTTGCCTCTGGTGTCAACCTCTCCTTCGCTGCCGGCAGGTTACGAAGCTCCTGCCGACGACCGGGCATCTTGCCTGGATGCCATTAGGGCTCTGATTGGTCATCAAAGTGGCTAGAGATGCACTGCGACAAGTTCCAAGATGCAACCGAGGCGAAGCGGCGCGCAGGAGGACGGAGGCTAGCGGCGAGCCTCAAATCGACAATGCCCAGTCACTTCATCCTAAAAATTATGGACGGAAAACGGGCAGGAATTTGGATGCATCAGATGCGCCGTGGCATCGTCAATTGACTATGACAGGATGTCTTGATAGTAGGGTATGGGATGGTCTAAAGGGTAAAGCTGACAAAGGTCTCGTCGTGCCGTCTTGCGAATCAAGGCATTTCTCAGCTTCATGACAAACAGCGTCACGTCGAGCGGACTCTGATGAGTAACTATACAACAAGCTAGGATTACCCGGTAGCGAGCAGCATTGGGTCCACCTGAATCTTGGCCGGGATGGGCTTTGAGTTGCCCACTTGACAGGTTCTCAAACTTGAGCCTTGGGCAACGAACGCAGGTACCAATGGGTCATGAAAAAGGCAAAAGTCGAACTGCCTACGAGGAGTGAGGAACGCAAAGATCTTCTTGCAGCTTGGGGTTACTTCAGCCACGGCACGGCAGTTCTGCTCATGCGACACTGTTTGCTCCAGGGGCCTCGAGGTCCTAGAACAGACTTGCACAGGATCAATAAACATCATCCTGCTGTGAGCTTTGTTTAATTGACCTATGGCACTTACTCAGGAATGCTTTTTGCAACCGATCGAAGCCTTGATTGAACCCTTGATGGGATCCCATGTTCTGGAACGTAGCGAATGGGTAGCCACGATATTAGCCAAGCTAGCCGGGGGGGCTTAGATCAGGAACGAGACCGGCTCGAAATCGGTTACCACAAGCCAGCCTGCCCCTTCAGCCCGCCTTAGCACCGCAAAAATGCAAGAAGGCTTCCAATTTAGCTGCTGTCGTAGTACGAGGTAGGTACACTGGCAGCACAGGACGTCGGCTTCAGAGCGGAGACGTACCCGTAACAAGCACCTCGCTCTTTTCCCTGATTCCCTGAAAACCAACTCCTATGCAACCCTATCCCATGCAGTCGGGAACATGGTAGTAAAGGTTCTTATTCAAGCTCACTTGAGGACTGACATATTTTTGTTGTGCAAAGGTCCATTCAGCATTCAGCTGTGCGACCCATCCTGCATACCCATTGCCAATTTTGATACTCCAAGTCATCGCTGCATGCCAGCGTATCATTGCTTCTGAGGCCCGACGTCTTTTGCATCTTACATGGCTCGTCATCCAAACAAATTGCAAGGGCCTGGAAAATCCTTCCATGTTCCCGCCGTCCTGGCCGTCCACGTCTACAGTTCCCCCACTCTCCAACGCAGCCCGCCAACCGCACCCTCCAGCGCCAGCCAGCACCTTGCACCTGCCCGAGAGCTGCAGCTTGCCAGAGCACTGGATGTGTTTGGGTGTTTGAGTGGGCAAAGTGTCTGAGCTCTCACTCGTTCCAGCAGGCCGACACATCAAGCGCAAAGGGACCCAAAAGATCAGGGCAACCACAGGCAATCCCAATCGAACTCTGCCTTGAAACTTTTGAGGCGTGTGTCGTCGGCAGCCAAGGTACTTGTTTCGCCGTCTGTTTTTTTTTTTAAGCCTGAATGTTCAGGGTGATGCGCAGGCCACCAGAATGGAGGCCGGCAATCGCGACGATGAGGATCGACCATTGGCAGCCCATCATTTCGACTTCGTCCAACAACCCCAGTCGCCGCCACGGCCGCTTCGCTATCACTACGACCAAATCGAACACCATCACAACGACCCGCAAGACTCTTATCCGAGCCATCTGGTAGTGGGCGACTCTCTTCATAATTATCCCTCCTCTGCTGCACTCAATCACCTACCGTTCCAGTTGGCGGACAGTCCCGAGCAGGTGCACTTTGATTCAGCCCTTGCTGCGTATGCTGCAAACAATTCCCAGGCCGCCGATGCGAACTCTACTTCGAGCATCGAGGTCGTAGACCCCGACGACTTCTACAGAACCTACCGCCCGCACGCAAGCAGTGGCAGTGCCGAACACGGCGACTTGATGGCGTCCACCACGCTCCCCACGCAAAGGCAAAACAACCAAGGCCTGCGACCCAACGGCAACGGCACGACCCCAAAGCATCCTGTGATTCCCCCGGCACAACCCACCCGCACTGGTCTGAGACCAGCCTCACGGTCAGCATCGGCGCCCCTCGGCGATGCAGGCAAGCCGAGACCTGCAGCCGGAGCTGCTTACGGTAGCAGTAGCAGCAAAGGCGATGGTGGCGGTGGTGGTGGTGGTGGTGCAGGTCAGCCCAGCGTCAAGGATTTAAAGAGGCGGTTCGATCAGAATGCCGCGGCGCAGTCGACTAACAGCGGAACCACCGTTACCACACGTAAGACGGTGCCACGCATCCCCACGCGAGAGACATCATCAGCATCATCATCTTCGACAAATTATCGCGGAGTCGGGGGGCCGTCCAATGCAAATGGGCAATCACCATACTCGAACTTGCCGTCATCTGTGACGCGTGATATTCCTCCGGGCAGCGGGCCGTCGTCGCCCGCGTCTGCCTCGCGATCGACCCAGAGGAACAAGTTTGTGCCCGAGGACCAGCTGTCTAACAACGCACAGTCGTTCGCAAGCCGCATCTCGAAACCTCGAGCCTCGAGCAGTGCCCAAGGATTAACCTCCAAGTCCATGAACAATCTTTCCCCGACCAGTCCGACATTTTCAACCCCGCCGGTTCCTCGATTGAACAAAAGCAGCAGCAGCAGCACTAGCGGTGGTAGGAGCCTGCTCTTTGGTGAGATATTGCCAGGTGAAGGTAATCCAGACACAGTTGGTTATGGGATCGACGGTGTGCGGCCAAGGCGCACTTCAGAGTCCAATCTCCATAGCCCTACCAGTTTACACCAACGAAGTTTGTCTCATGCTGACGCCGAGCTTGCCTCACCGACCGATTGGTATCGTGTCGTCAACGGAACCGCCACCGCGCATGACAGAAGCAACCAGGGGAAGCCACCAGGGAAACTACACAAAGGTCACGGTAGGGCCCAGAGTGATGTTGCTAGGTCCAAGCCGAGCCCCCTCAATACCAAGACGCCGTTGCATTCACGAAGACATCCCACCCCCGGCGTGGCGCCGCCATCAGCGTCCTCCAAGCTGCCCCTGTCTATTCGAAAACAGAGCAGTCCCGCTTCCTCCGACAACTCACGGTCGAATTCCCCCTCTACCCTCAAACATCCACCAACACGAACGCCGGGTAAGTTGAAGACGACGAACCCGGCCGGTACGTCAGCTTCCAGGAGCACCTCAGCGGTCAGAGGAACGTCAGCTGTGAGGGCGAAAACACCCACCCTCAACACCCCGAGCAAGCGAGCGAACCCGCCAAGGCTAGGCGCAACTACTCCAAGTGGCAACAAACGGTTAAATGCCTACATTTCTGCGCCGCTGCCAAAACTATCCCCGCCCTTGCGAAGCTCGAGGCCCCGCCAACCCGTATCCAGTGCCACGACGGCGAGCTCGAGGATGAGGGCTGTGGAGCGGGGAAGATCTCCCAATAAGCTGGACAAAACGGGTCTCAAGCCGCCAAGCGAGCTCTCGACACGGCGGAGGAAGATTTCCATGGGACCGATCGACTTTGAATCGCGCCGAGAGCAGATCAAACTTTCGTATACCAAGAGCATACGGGAGACAGAAGCCAAGGCGGCGGCAAGGAAGCTGGCGGCGGCAGAGAAAGAGAAAGAGAAAGAGAGGCGGAAAAGGGAGGCACTGGAAAAGGCGGAGGCGGAAAGGGCGGAGGCGGAAAGGGCCGCCCAGTTCGAGCTGGCTGCTATTCAGCACGCAGAGGAAGAGCAGAGGCAACACGACCTCGCCATCGCAGCCCTCGGGTTTGGATCAGAGATACCGTTCAGGGATCAACCGGAAACCCAATCCGAGATCTGGGCACAAAATCCAGAAAGTGATGTGCCTGAACAGCTACCCCTGACAATCACCACAGACTTTACAGAGTCGCCTGAAAATTCCAATACAGCCGAAGCTGCGCGCCAACCTTTCGACTCACCCACCCTCGGTATCCCTGGAAGCTTTCCCAGCCTGGCATCTCCCCAGATCCATGAAGAGACACCGCTCTCCGCTGTTTCAAATACAACTGAATTCGACGTCGAACCTCAGACAGAGCCGCCTCAGCAGCAGCAGCAGCAGCAGCAGGGGGGAGTGGAGGAGTCTTCACCGCTAGCTGACCACAGCACACATGATGAAATTCCCTACGAAATCGCAGAACCCGAAGCGCAGGTCGAGGAAAGGGCAGAATCCGATGTGTCCCGAGCGATATCCGAGTACAAGTCACCGTTTGAGGAAGAATCAGTAAACGACAGCGTATCTATCAAGATTTCCTTAGATCCCTCATCACAGGATGCTGTGCAACCTACCCCAACCCGCAGTGACTTCAGCATAGATCCCAATCTTCCTGGATCTTATCAAGATGACGATGAATATGTGCCTCAGCCGTTTGTTGCGCCGTCTTACGAAACAACGGTGACGATTATCCATCGAGAATCTGGCTTCTCGCCAACAAGTCTGGGTCCAGACGGCGCATCGGACACCTTGGCGGTTCCATCTGCACACGATGAACTTGCAGAAGCAGACGATCGAAATGACCACAGTCGGTCAAGCCGGAGATCCTCCCTTGGCGAGGTGGTCCACTCAAGCAATGAGCATAGCGACCAGGATTCTGGCCTCGAGAAGCTCGAGGAGTTTTATGTTGGTCCTAACGTGGCTGACTCAGCAGCACGACTTCGCGATTCGTCGAGTAGCATTCCTCCAGGACACACCGAGGTTGGTCATAGTAGGACATGGCCACCGGAACTTGCACCAGAAGCGACTCGATTTTCGACAGAAACTCCAAGGACTGCAGAAACGCAACCGGGTCTCAATGTTCCCCGAACTCTTACCCCCCCAAATCGAACTAGCCAGAACACTGTCTGGACGGACTTTTCCATCGACAGCAAGGATGGCTATTCCGACATGCCACCAAAGTTGCCACATGACGATGTGGTGTATCGCCAAAGAGGCTCTGTTTCAGAAACAGCCTCGAGATCTCAGTCAATACAGTATGATCGAGATTCCAAGATGTTTACGTCCAGCCCTGGAAGCTCCCCACATGGCAGCTACCGAAGTACAATGTTGTCGGACACCAATAAACAACATCAACTACCCGAACTTGACACAGGGGGTGGCTTTGTCGTAGATTACATGCCTCGTAAGAATAGCACGGTGCTTTCGACAGTGCCTGTCCTGCCAGATCACTCTCCCCCAGCGCCGCCTGAAGAGGCTACATTCCCGGATGTTCTGAGTTCTGCACCACCAAGCGAGTACTACAACGATACCAGACCGAGTAGCTACTTTCTTGGTGACCAGAGTTCGATCTCCGTGTCGAGACCACAAAGTGAGACCTTTGATCATACCGACTCAGCTCTGCATTCGATCGACCAAGGCTCTTTCGAAACCTCGGAGGGTGTCCAATCCAGCCGGCCGCGATTGGACAGTCAGCAAACCCTTGCTGATAGCATTGATCAGAATGAAAACTCGTCAGGCCTGCCACCGAAGGAGCGGAAGAGGCTATTCACCCGCCTTGAAACAATCAAAGAATTGATCGACACAGAGGCGTTCTTCATTCGAGATATGAATATTGTGGAAGAGATTTACAAAGGCACGGCTGAGGCTTGCCCACAGCTTGACGATAAGACTATCAAGCTCATCTTTCGCAACACTGATCAGATCATTGCTTTCCATTCCTCTTTTCTGTCCGAACTGAAGGAAGGGGTGTCCAGCGTGTACATCCCGAAGGGCGCGCGCTCTGTAGCGAAGGATGGATCTTCCGTGGCAGACGGCAGTGCGTCCATCTCAAATGGATCACCGACTGCTACAGGCGAATTGAGTGACGCGAGAGATCGGGAAACATCTCTCGGCCCAATATTCTCACGAAACATGGAACAAATGAAAATCGCTCACGAGACATTCCTCAAAAATAGTGATCATGCGGCCAAGCGCCTTATTCAGATTCAAGAGGACCCAACGGTCAAGGTTTGGTTGAACGAATGCAACGAAGTTGCCAGGGACCTCACGAAAGCCTGGAACTTGGATTCGCTGCTCATCAAGCCCATGCAACGGATCACTAAATACCCTAATCTCTTGATCCAAGTGCTTCATGAGACGCCCGCAGACCACCCGGATCGGCATGCCCTCGAGTCCGCTAAAGCCTGTCTTGAAGAAGCAATCGAGGAGATCAATAAGACCAAGAAGAATTTCGAGTTAGTCGGTCAGATCGTCGGAAGGAAACGGAAAGAGTCCGACGTTCGAGCCGGATTCGCTAGAGCTTTCGGCAAGCGCGTCGACAAACTTCAGCCAGCGAACAATCGACCACCTGAGGACAGCGATTATCAGAAGCTGCACGAAAAGTTCGGCGACGATTACCTGCGACTCCAAGTAGTCCTAAGAGACGTTGAATTCTATACGAGGACAATCGCCACTTATGTTCATGAGTTCCTCCAGTACCTGTCATCGATGGAGTTGGTTATGCGACTTCAGCCTTCGCCGCATCCCGAAATCGAAAGCAAGTGGGTGCGCTTCAATGTGTCTATGAGAGATGTTGAGAAAGTAGCCCTAGAGCAACATGTCAGTAGAATCTCCTTGAGGCGTTTTCTCCTTCGAACATACTAACAATCCAACAGCTTTCTCAAGTTCGAAAGCACGTTATCGAGCCTTTCGAGTTGGTAATCAAATCATATGGTAATCCCTCCCTCGCTATGAAGAAACGGGCCAAACGCCGCCTCGACTACGAGAAGTCTATTCAACTCAAGAAAGCCGGAAAGAAGCTCGACAAGCAGCTGTCCGAGTGCGTAGAACAATACGACGCCCTCAACGAGGCGCTCAAAAAGGAACTGCCGAAGCTCTCGGCGTTGACAGAGAGGGTTGGTAACATTTGTCTCGGCAATTTCGTTAACATCCAGGCTCAATGGTATTCGATCTGGAAGGAAAAAGTGAAAATTGTCCTAGACAATCCCCAAGTTCCAGAGATCGCAGACATCGTCTCAACCTTCCAACGGGATTACAAATTCCAGGATGAACAGGTCAATGCAATCTCGATTGTGAACCCTGCATACAAGGGACGTGCTTCTCATTCAACTGGCGCCGACGACGTTAATCCAGGCGTCTCAAGAGTACGGCCTCGACCTTCGGAGCTCTCCTCTGCCTCGTCAACGCGCGGACGAGGCCTGTCAATCAACAGTGACGTGGCACCGAGCTTGCCAACACCCGACTTCGGCAAGCGACACAGCGGGCAGTTCACCGTGTCTCCCACGGTCGCTTCGGCTTCGATGCCAAGTCCAGCCCACCAGTTCTATTATTCTACCTACAGAGACTATTACTCTGGTATCAATGGCCAGTCCCGTGGCTCGGCCTCTCCTATGACCCCCGATCTGTCCGCAAGCTCCCGGTCCCTAGCTGCGGGCTCTATGCGGCCCGGTACAGGCCAGAGTTATGACTCAAATGGAGCTCCAAGACAGAGCTCCGACTCTGGTGCACAAGCAAGGCGGTACTCAAATTCCATTTACCCCTCCTCAGGCTACCAGATGCCCGACAACCAGCGGTACTCGGGCTTGTTCCAGTCTGCACTTCCTTTGCCGGATGGACCAGAGAAGAGCACGCGCCAATCTCGGACTTCGTCCCGTGCTTCGTCTCGGGAGCGACAACCGATCAACGGCTACAATGTCCTCTGGCTTGCTGCGTCTCTTTTCGAATTTAACATCGAGACGACCAAGCATGAGGCCGGGTATCCTTATCTCACATACCAAGCTGGAGAGGTAGGGTTTTATTCTCAGTTCAGTGCCACTCAATCAATGTCCATGTCTAATTGTGTCTAGATATTCGATGTCATCGGCGAAAAGGGCGAACTGTGGCTTGCCAAGAACCAGGATGATCCCAGTAATCTCGTTGGTTGGCTTTGGTCCAAACATTTTGCCAAATTGGCCGACGACTAGACGCCTGCCTCACTCGGTGTGCACCTCTGCACAATTTTTCCTTTGACTCTGTGATACTACCTTCTCCCATTAGTTTTCGTGGTCAAACCACAACCTTCATATTCTGGCATTTGGTCACTGGCATGTGTTGGCGGGAGATGCTTTTCAAGATATCCCCATGCGCGTGAAAAGACCAGGGGCCATTCGGCCAATGGCAACTTCTATTTGTTTGCGTGGCGAGGCGTGGGCGCAGCGAGGCGTTTTAAACTACATTTGGGCGGGCACATAATGTACGACGAACGCTCTGACGGGATCATGATATTACCAACAATACAGGCAGGGCAGGACAGGGCGGGAATATGCAGCAAAGAAAGGGATCTCGGCAATGATTAAAAAGTCGTCACAACTTGTTGTGGAAGAATGTGGTGGAAAGGGGTTTTAACGTTCGTCACATCTGCTGTTTTTGTCCTGAGACACCTCCCCTTCGACAATAAGGCGGTATAAGGGGTATTTGGAACTTTTACTAGGGCCCGACATCATGTCGATGCTGTAATGGACAGCTGTGTGTATTTTGCTTTTTCTGGTCTTCTTCTATTCGACGTTGTTGAGACGGCTGAGGGGACGCAGGGAGGCTTGGGATCCAGGTGCGAGCTGCGGAACACTTCCTATCGTGAGGAGAGTGATGCTGGTGTTATAATACATATTATAACGTATGATTGGTTTTTCTCGGTTTGTGATTTTTCATGGTTGTTCAAACATGACTAGCACACGTATTTATTCGTTGCTCAACTTGGAAGGGGCCTGCTTTTCATCATGGTTCGATGTGGACCTAGGGGGACGATGCGTTCGACCGCCGGTAGGCAAGTAGGCAACCCTGAACTGCTTAGTCGACCAGGGATCGAATCATGTTGACCCTGAGGAGCTTCTGCGTTATAGCTGGTCCAGGCGGCAAATCCAGCCTCGAGACTTGGTAGGCTACAATACGATAACTGTCTACGGGTGTGTGGCAGTGGGTCAAAGTAAGCAATATACACCATGTTGAAGTGCTGTATGACAAAGGCATTCGACTATCTCCGTCTTGGAGCTCCTTGGTTGGCTCCCTATCTTGTATTCCTGAGTGTCGTACAGGCTATTTCAATGCTAGCATTTGATCCCTGCATGGATGTTTCTAGTTGGCGCTTCTATAAGGTTTTGGCGACTATGTTGCCAAGAGAACCTAGTTTAGTTCGGTGATGGACGAGATTTCGAGTCCTCAAATGTAGAAGTATACTATGGCATGTCTGGCAAGGGGGAGACGAAGATAGCACTCTCCCGTCCGGTTTGGACAGGCCTCGTTCCTGCAGTGGGATGGATTTTCCCCTTGCAGACACCGTCCACGCGTGTCGGAGGCCGAAGTGAGTAATGGTGCCGAGTGTTTGCCTAACTCTTCCGGGATAATGAGTAGACCGTCGTCTCCCGGCGGCGACTTTCCTAGTGTGCCATTGCACAACATAAGGGAATAATGTCTTTATGGCAGCTGTTTTTCGTCAGTGGCGTCTTTTAGATTCAGTTCTGGAAAAGCCCAGAATCCGCCCTAGATTGATTAATAGTTGGGTGCAATGTGACATGCTTAGATTAGCTCTGTTGCACCGCTAACGGCCCTGCATCTCCGGAGATAGGATTCATCGGATGAATGATCTGATGTTTGAAATGAGACGTCAAATTCGGGCATCGTGGCAATTTCGATGTAGTACAAGGCAGAGGACAATATTTCGCATGAATTCCCCTTCTTCGTCGGAGGAATAGTTGCATATGCTATGCACCTGTCTTGGGCTGGGGTGAATAGATGGATGCATCATCCGCCAGTCGGGCAGCCTGTGAAAAGCTCCCACTCAACAGTCGACGTCGGTTGGTTCAACCAAGTGGCCAGGGCCTATTGATGGTTCCAGCGGGATGTGCCGCCTATTTATGAAGCAATTACGGCCAAATCCCTACCTGCAGCGGTTTGCAACGACCATGTGACCTGGCACGAGAAGTCAGAAAGAACGACCAACGGGTCCGACCTGGTACGGGCGTGTTTCCCGGTGCAGAGGTTGGCATAGCGGTAGAAAAACCGGTCAGCATTGTGGGATGAAGGGGAGACGGGTGGCATTTAATATCGATATAAATAAATCGACACATTACACGGGGTGTGTAAAGTGCCCGATTGGCAGTATAGATTTTGTTTGTTAGCTCCACTCCGCCCCGCAAGTATTGCCATCTATACAAGCTCGGCCGATACGTCCAATCGCTCAAGTTGCCACCACATGAATTAGAGTAAGCTGTTGCTATATCCAAACATCTGCTACAGGCTTGAGATGTTCGGGGGCTTATCATCACTCCGTGGCAAGTTTGTTGCTGTCGGCATAGACATAGGCATTTTCTGTCGTGGCTGCAGTCTCGTCCCTGGTAATATGAGTACGGAACAATACAACCCCTACGCTCTAACTACGAACCTGCAGAGCCCTGCGATGGGTTACCCAAGTACTTATCTGAAGCGACTGCCGAGGATAACTTCACAGACTTGGTTTGCCTCATGAATCAAGTAGAACTCAGGTCGTTGATATTGATCTTAGCGCTAAGGACAAGCGCCTCAACCCTGGGCCCTGGAAAAAGTGGAGGAAGGGGGCCGGTCCCCACTGTTATGGTACGCTACGACGGCCCTAGTCTAGGGTTGCCGGGAAACCCACTCCCGCCGTCGAACAATGCTTCAGTTGTCTGGCTCTAGAAGCTGCACATGTACTAGCATAGCCGGACAGAATGGTATGGTAGTGAAGGTGTCAGGTACATCCTGTGATCGGTTGTACTTACCTCGTAATCGGCGAACGAGCAAGCTTGATACGGCCGTGGCTGCCTCTATTCCTTGGACCCTTGCGCCTGTCTAGTTGTAGAATTATGCGAAAAAGGAAGATCGATCGCGGTGCAGGTGGCACCGACAAGGTCCAAGCATCCATGGGTTCGTCCAGGGATTAGCTGGGAACAGCTTCTCGTTCAGCCGTCCAGCCGTGCAGCGGTGCCGAACCCGATCTACAACTTGGGGGCGCCTGACGACAGTGATGGCAGTTAGACGACTACGGGACAGCTTGAGACGAATGAGGACATCGAGGTAACAGAACCCCAAAGCCGAGTGAGTTCATTGCCTCCACGCGGTATGCTTTGTTGTTGGCCGCCGACCTTTGCGCCGGGTGGTAAAATCCATCCCCTGCACCGTGCATAATGCCTACCGTACTTCGTTCCGGCCGGTCAGATCCAGACCCATGGTTACATGGAGATAAAAATGCCTTCGGGCATTGACAACACTGGCAGCGACAAGATGCTCGACCACATCACCATGACATGCTCACTAACTCAGCAGGTGTAACAATTAAGAGTTTTCTGTACATGGTGTTCATCTTGCATACGAGCAAACCAATCTTGGCATGATTCCAGTGTCCAAGCAAGGTTTGAAGTAAAGTCGTTGGTTGTTGTTGAGTAAGTAAGGCCGGTTATGTATCATCGATGAGCCCATGGTCACCTCAGATGTTGCATTTCATGTACCGATTTTACTAGGCCGTTTTACGCGACCATTAGTAATTCAGTCATGCTTGTTTTCACTCTACCCAGGAAGAAGCCATGCTTTCCGTGCATCTTGACCATTGCTTGTAGAATAGAAATGCGCACATCAGGGCCAATTTCGTCACTGGTTTGTCTAACGTGAAGAGTTTCCGCCAACGGGCCAACGGTCCATCATCGACCGTTTTCATGCAGCTTGGCTTAGGCATTTCCCGTCTACACCGACCCAACTCTGTAAGCAACACAGAGAAGGCCAGAGAAGGCTTTGCAGGTGGCAGAGGGGCAAGGATGTAATCGAGTTATGCCCGACCGCCGTGTGTTGTACGTACAGTGTAGCTCGAGCAGAGGATACTTAGATAGTGATGGAAGATCAATTCGACGTTAACACAAGATGAAGCTAGTCCAGCGCGTTACATGTCAACTTGTTTAGCGCATTGTCCCTGGGCCAGAGAGTTCAGTGGCTGACGAATATCATTATGCACGAGTTGATCTCCAGCGCTGATGTACAAATGTGCTCGTAGCTTCATGATTTGCCAACACCACACACAAGCCAGAGACCCAAGAAGATCCAGAGGCTGTGCCGTACTTTTGGGATTCCCATCTCGGCCGTCTCCAACCCCGTCTCAAGCTCGAATTCGACCTAGAGCGGCAAGGGTACCCCCCAGTTCCAGGAGAAGGCGGCCCCACATGTACCCTTTCACGGTCACGCCAGTCGTGGTCTCCACCCCACCACACTGATAACCCCAGCACCCTGTACCAGAAGCTACCCAGAGTTCGACGGATGGTCGGTGCCTTCTAAATAAAGTTGCGCCACTCCCAACTTCGACCTCAACTGCCTCCAAGCCCTCACGTAAGGTGACCCTCTAGGCCCTCGACCCAGGAAAGCAGGAAGCACAACCAGCCCCATCGCATCGCGTGGACCGTCACCACGCCATCTGTCCCTGAATCTGAACAAATTTAATGGTCCAGCTGCCTCCGCTACCACTGGATTTCTACGTGAAGACGCCATCGCGAATCTCTCACGGCTGTCAAAACCCCCCCTCGCCAATAGGCAGTGGCCGCCAAGTCATTGTCTTGCATCCAGCACGTGGCTGCGAGGTCTGACTTTTGCGGAACTCGCCCAAAAACTGGAGACTACCATTCTAAGACATCTTAGACAAACAAAGCCCTCCCTTTCTTTCGCAGGGTTAGACGCCATTGCTCCCTCGGCATCCGTACTATCAATCGCTTTTCAAGGTACACACATTTCCAGCGCCACGGAAAGAAAAACGTCTGAAACCGTAAGCCATCGCGACTTGTAGACGAGAGCCGTGGTAACAGGCGCCTACTTACACCAAGAGCCGTTGCTTTGCCATCACCAACAGGAAGAGCGGAGATTACCTGGTCAAGGCTACATCAGTTTCGAGACAAGCATGAATCAACCACTCCCATATCCTGGGCCACCTGGTCATCTTCCTCCTACCCATCCCAACCATCATCCTATGGCATCGGAAATGGTCGGGCCTCCGCCGCATATGGGAGGTCAATATCCTCATCCACATGCTCACCCTGGTCCTCCGCACTCACAGTCGGTGTCTTACTACTCAGACGCCCGCGCCGCAGTACCGTCCATGGCTTCTAGCCAAAATCCGCTTCCACCGATTGGCACTCTCAGAACAGACATACCGCCAGAGAATGGTGTGACCACGCCATCCGCGAGTTCCCTACCCCCAAGTGGCAAGGAGATCAAGGATATTACCGAACTGCCGCCCCATGACCCTCCCAAGGAAGTCACAGGCTCCGACGGCAACAGGGTGTACAAGCTAGAAGTCACCCAGCAGCCTGTGCGCGCGAGGATGTGTGGGTTTGGTGACAAGGACCGACGTCCCATCACACCGCCGCCTTGTGTTCGGCTCGCCGTGGTCGACAAGGAGACTGGAAACGAAATCGACTTCAAGTATGTCACCGCCTTCCCCGTAGCCTCGCCTTCCCAAAAAAAGAAAAAAAAGAAAAAAAAAGGGAATTTGTGCTGACTAGATCTTAGCTCTGTCGACCATCAACTCTATGTTCTGACGGTGGATCTGTGGTCGTACGATGGGACCAAAGAGGTGAACCTCGTCAAGCACTCATCAAACTCGCCCTCGATATCCGCCTCACAACACCAGTCGTTCCGGGAGCTGGAGCAAGCACCGTACAACCCCCAGAGCCAAATGGGCCGTGCCCCACCGCCAGGTACACCCTACCAGCAACAAATGCCTGGTTATTCTCATGATTTCCACGGCCAGAGTAAGTCAAGAAGCCACGTAGTAGCCGAAGATCCATTGCCTAATCCCACACACTCATTAGACGGATACAACGGAAGCTATCATTCCATGGGATCGTACCAGCCAGCATATCAGCCAATGGGCCAGTCCATGGGTCAGTTTGGAGGCCGCTACCCGCAGGAAGTTGGACCTTCGCGTTTGGGAAACCTCCAGGCGCAACAGGCGAACGGCATGTACACGCGCAATCTCATCGGAAACCTGGCCACCAGTGCCTCGAGACTTACAGACGACAACGAGAAGATTGGTATTTGGTTTATTTTGCAGGATCTAAGTGTGAGAACCGAAGGCTTCTTCAGGTAAGCTGCCGTGTCATCCCGCGTTCGTGGAAGTGGGTGTATGTGTGTGCGTGTGTTGTTGGTCTAACTCGACATGGCAGACTGCGATTCTCTTATACGGCTCTCGGAATTCCGGGGACCTCGACCAACGGACAGACCAGCGACAACCTCAAGATGAATAAGACCAAGGCCAAGATCCTTGCGCAGTGTTTCAGCGATGTCTTCCAGGTCTACTCGGCGAAGAAATTCCCCGGAGTGTGTGAGAGCACGGCATTAAGCAAGACGTTCGCAAACCAAGGAATCAAGATACCGATTAGGAAAGAAGGCGATCCTGCTAGAGGGAGAAGAGGCCAGGATGACGACGATGGAGAGGACGAGGAAGAATAATATATGGCCCGCATTGGACGCACGAGTTGTTTTCGCATTCCTACAGCCTTGTTGTGCGGAGGTTGCCGGAGGCCTGTGGACTTGAACGCATTGGCTGGCGACTGTGCGTCACTGGTAGACGACGGCTTTCATTACTTTAAAGTATGGCTCAGGCAACATTGATTGCACTATATGGCAAGAACATAAATCAGGGCGGGCCATCTGGCAACAGTCTTAGGACTTTTTTTTTTCTTAGACCAGCTGCTGAGACTCAAATCCAGGATCCAATAGCGGGAATAAGTATTTGTATCAACTATGAACAGTGATCCAACATATGGAACATCATAATCAATCGAAACTAATAGGGCTCTTGGACCAAGATGTTCGATTTCCATCAAATATGGGGACATTATAAATTCGCGATGGTGCAGACCTGCACTATTGTGCATCTGCTTGATCGTTATAGGTCAAAAGTAGGGGAGGCGTGCGGCTCTGCGACAGCTCGGGTCCCTCCGGTTCTCGTATGAAACTAGTGGGATATCACAGACCTCAGACAGGGATTCAGATGCACGTCACCTGGACCGAGACACCGAGACGCAGCACGCATCATTGCTTGTCTTGCTTTGAACAAACTATGCCAGCTCAGTGTCAACGCAAAGAACGTGCCCGTCGTCTCCAAGCGGTGAGGCGTGCCAAGTCGTACCGTACGGTTGCTAACCCCACCAACCAAATCGATCTGCCCAGGAAGACATCCAGAAGCGCTTTACTAATATATGTGGATAAGCATGGCCAAGCTTCTGGTGACGACGAGCTCTGTGGCGTCTGACTCGCCGCACCATGAACTGCTGTCAACAAAATAGAGTTTTAATTCTCATGAACTCTGATCCGTGGCGTAGCGTTGAAGGCCGGCGTCGGCGCCGAGGAAACTGAGTTCCAGCAATATATGCGAAGATTTATTTGGCAGGATAGCTGCCTGGTAATGTGATCATGGGAATGTCGGGGCCGATGAGCAAAGCATGACAAATTCGGGGCTTGGCTTCCGGCCTTGGAGCTCTGGCTGTTGTTGCGAGGCTCGGGTGAGTCTCCCCAAGAGTGAGGATGGATGGAGAGACGTGGAGAGGTTTGATCGCAACGTGACGGTTTGGCCAGTACGTCCCAGGGCTCCGGATTCGGGTCGGTTGTGACACTAGACGTCGACTACAGACAGGGCAATTATTGTCGCTGGATATGGACAGCTCGAGTGCGTGGTACCAAATATGAAACCACCTGCTGAAGTAGGTATAGTTTGAAGGTGGTGGTATTTGACATGGCTGCCCTCCAGTTTCGAGTATAGTCTTTAACATGCTCGTTTTGCGAATGCTTCTTGTAATGCTGAACGACATGAGGTGACCTCATCGGACGGTCACCAGCTTCTCGTGTAGGCTGTTGTCAATGTCGCTCAGCCAGAATCAAATGTCCGAGTTGGCTTGTTACGTGGTTATCCAAGTTTTACTGCCAGTCGCAGCAGATTCGTAGACACGTTGTAGTCAGTACCGGTTCGTCGAGAGCCCAACAAGACGGTAAGCTTGAACACTGTCTCGAACAAAACAATAACGGCCCTCTCATAGGGTCGGTCAGGCCAGGCGCCAAGAATGATACCATCAATCAATCAGATCGCGATGCTAGCTAAAGCCCTAGCGCTGCGATGCAGTGCTACCAGTGTTTTCATTACGTCTTCGTTACTAAATTTGTTCCAGAATGCGATATGGGGTTGGTGCGTTCTGGGGTTTTCGACATTTGTGGAGCGCATGTCGCGAGGGTCGGAAAGACAGTGAAATGCACAAATCCATGTGTTCAAGATTTTCTTCCCAAGGCTGTTGGTCTGGGCAGGAAATTTCTATTCACCGTGTGATCGATCTAAGTTGTTGTATTGGTGTTGTGACACTGCTTGGCGTTGTCGCCCGGTTTTTCTTTCCTCGTGCGCAATCAAATCCGAGTAGTCGCCCGGGAGGTTTGACTCTATAGAAATTGTACGGGGAGAAACACTATTTAATCTGTTTTCGGGTTGTTTGGTATTGTTCCAAGTTTCTCTTGCTATTTTCTGGGTTACCAGTTTGCCAATTGTCCAATATTTCAAGTTTCACGCGGGACTCGTACCTGCTACTTGTATCCTGCCAAATCGTCATAGGCTGGAAGTCGAGCACAATCCATCTCGAGCTGCGAAGCCCCACGATCGTCGCATCTACTTGCGAAAGGTCCACGCAGTATCCAAAAACTTGCGACTGAACTCCGTCCAATTTATCCATCCTTATTAGCCGCCCATCATTATGACAGGAAACTTGACCTCGACCGGCCGCGGAGGCGCTGGCAACATCAGTGATATCTCCAACTCACCACGCATCCAGCCCCAGGACCTTGTCACACCCACTCTCAAGACCTCAGTCGTCACCACTGGCCGCGGCGGCTCAGGCAACATGGCCAAGAACACCGACCCGGTCGAGACGAGAGCGCGCCAGGACGTAACTCCGTGCGTCGTCGCCATTTCCTTCTTCCCCTTCATCACTTCCAATACAATATCCCCCCCTACAACTAGCACGGCTGACCTCATAATGCCAGTGTCACTCGCAGAACAAGTGAAAATGTGACCCACGTTGGCCGGGGAGGAGCCGGCAACGTCCTCAGTCCCGAGGACTCGGAGAAGGCCAGAAATACGGGCGAACACTCGGTCGACGAAGAGCCCAAGAAGAGCGCGGACCATAGTCTGGCCGCCAAGGGGAAGGGGTGGCTCTTTGGCAAGAAGGCATAGGATGCCCTTGTCGCCAAGCCGCACTCTTTTTGGCAAAAAAGAAAATGGTTAGCTAACATGGCGGCTCGAGAGCGGTCTGTCTAAAGGGGGTTGGAGGTATTCAAAGGTTTTCTATGTTTATATACCATTCCACTTGCTCATGAGAGCTTGGAGTTCAGGTCGGGGGGCCAGGGTCAGGATTCTCGCCGGATTAGGACGAGCTTTCTCACGATAGCAGCTCAGGAACGAATGGCATGTCAATTCCAGAAGCAAAAGTACGACAGGCGACATTGTGATTGGCTCTGGCGCAAAGTGATAATTCAATGGGCCGACATCTTTGCTTTCCGGTGTTGACCAAAATCGCTATTTCCGTGGGGAGCTAGGATATCATTGGCTGGGAGCCAAATATGACAGGGCAACCGAGTCCTGTAGTATTGCGTTCGTCCGAGCCTTGAAATAACTCCGAGTGACGGGATTGCTAATGTCACTTCGTTTCTAGACAGGTCGATATTCACAGTCTCTACAAGAGCCTAGCAGGGCAAGATCACGTTGGCGAGGTGCTGTGAATCTCCTATTGGCAGGGCTACAGGTAGGGGAATCTATGCGTTATAGACCTAGATATTCGACGGGCTACCTCTTTGAAACTTCACGCTTCAGACAATCGCTTCACCTCTGACAAGTAAAACTTGAGATCGTCGGGCTTCATAAATGGCGTAACTCCTAAAAGGGGCATTTCAGTAACAATGATACATCCAAAGGGAACAAAACACATACCGTGGCCGAGATTTCCGATCCAACCCTTCTTCCCGTCTCCATGGAAGCCCTTCACCATATGCTCGACTGTCTCCGTTATGGAAGCATGCGAGCCGTACAGGATACCCGGATCTGCGTTACCCTGGAACACAATAGGCCGGTCTCCTCGGATTTTGACGGCTTCTGCGGGGTCCACCAGCCAGTCCAGACCAACAACTTCATAGCCTAGGTTGCAGATGGAGTCCAGGGACTGGTTAGCACCCTTGGCGAAGACGATCATGGGTACGGGATCCAGTCCCATTTCCTTGAGCTTCGGGGGAAGGTGCTTGGAGATGTAAGCAAGATAGGGCTCGCTGAAATACTTGTATGTCGACGGGGACAACTCTCCCGCCCAGGAATCAAATACTTGTATCATCTTGGGAAAAGTGGTCAGCATATGCAGCGACTTGTACATCTGCTTTGCTTACCTGAGCACCAGCTTTAACCTGCAAAGCCAAATGCTCGACACAGACCTCGGATATCTTTTGCAGCAGGGCCTTTGCGGCATCTGGGTAGAGGTATATCCACTTCTTGCTCTCCTTGAAAATCTTGGTGCCGCCGCCCTCAACCATGTAGCACAACAATGTCCATGGTGCGCCGCAAAAGCCAATCAGGGGGACACGACCCTTCAGCTTCTTCCTCGTCATGGTAATGGCCTTGTATACGTAGTCGAGCTCCGCAGCGACGTCGACTCTCTTCTGCATGACCTGTTCGTATTGGCCGTCATCGGGGGATTTCAATGGGTTCGGGAAGTGCGGACCCAGCTTGTCCACCATCTCTACGATCATTCCCATTGCCTGCGGTATAACGAGGATATCGGAAAAGATGATGGCGGCGTCGAGGAGCCCTTCGAAACGCTCAATAGGTTGGAGAGTGAGAGTCGAGGAGACCTCGGGGTCACGGCAACATTCGAAGAAGTCTCGCTTGCCTTTGGCTTCGTGGTACTCAGGAAGGTAACGACCAGCTTTTTGACTTCAGCTTTGTTTATAATGGACATGGCGCAAATATATCGCACTCACCCTGTCGCATGATCCATATTGGAGTTCGTTCCACATCTTGGCCTGACCCAGTAAGTCAGCATCATTTCCGGGCATTGGAGAGCCCGAGACTTATTCACCCCAAGCTGTTCTCAGGATGAGATCATTTTTCAATGGCTCGAATTCCTCAAGCTGGGTCATGATGACGTTCAGGCGAGTCGCAGACCAAATACGCGCAAAAGGAAAATAATTGCGCAAGGTCAGATTGTTGAGTCTTGACAGCAAACACTTAAAGTTGCCATTGACCCCTCCAAGCTCGATTTGATTGACGACAGCACTTTGAGCAGAAGGTCCCACCAAGGTGGGATGGATACAGATACTTCCGGTAACTAACTATTGCTGTCTTAGGTAAATGGCAGCGTTCTGTGTTGCTGAAGCTCGCGTGCAAGGACCACGGAGAGCACCGGCCGCAGTGGCAGCTCGCCACCAGTTACCGAATCAACAGCTTCCAATTTGTGCAAGGTCTAGTCTGATGAAAGTCAATTCTTTTCGGTCAGATAACTAACCACCACCTTGCCCAACTGCTTGCGAGGCCTTTCGATCTGTACCAGCCTTTCATTCGTCCAATTGTGATGATATAGCTCAGCAAGTCGTTTCGCACTTGATTGAGGAGGACGGCCTGTCCTATCCCCCAAAGCCGCCGCTCGCTCGCGCCTCACGCCCATGTCTATTCCGCAGTCCTCACAATGCGCTAGAGTCCTCAATCGTCGACTACGTCCACAGTGTGACGCTGTTTGGATACCTGAAAGCGCCCTATCTGCCGTTCTTGAGCACTACTGCTCCATCTCACGAGTGGCCTGCCGCAATGGCTCGTCCCTCCCGGGGCCCATGGAGAATCGGAGACGGCTAGGGAAACGGCATATGGGGGAGCTCAATTTTGGCCAGACACATTCTTCAGCGCCGATATGGGAGCTTTGCAATGCTGTAGACCTGTCCAAATGGCAATGGCAGCCTCCAACAAAACCTAGCACGCGCCTAGCAAGCCGAACCGCCGCCGGGAAACAAGGTCTTTGGGAAACTGTTCTGGATTGGCTGGCCTCTGGGACGAACAGTCAAGATAAAGAATCACAGCCGAACAACGGGGTTGCACATACACCTTCGCTGGATTTAGGAAACCCCTCAATGGTCAGCGTTGCAAAAGAAGCAAGCCTCGCCTCAGCCCGTTCAATGCCTGAGAGGAAACTGGATATCGAGAATGGCGTGGCCCGTGTTATTGAGGATGGTCTGGATGCATTGCTCCGCGATGCTTCACTCGATGTGACATTAGCAGAACCAACCCACTTCCTCAGTTTTTGCAACAGCTTGGAAGGATTATTTGCCCGGGGGCAGTTCGTTGACCGTGCAGTCTGTGTCATTATTGAAGGCCTTGCTGACGGCTTGACGCGCTTTGTGCCAGAGTTGCATCGCGCATCGAATCAGGAGGTAGACCTCGCCGCTGAACTTGCAGTCAAGTTGAAGCTCGAGATGTACGTCGCCGCCCTGAATGGTGTCTCCACATTTGAAGCCAGCGACGCCTCAGCCTTCAATCATCTACTGCGGTCGACACTGCTTCGCAGTACGGCAGCGCTTGGTCTCAATAATCTGCGCATATTCCGTAGGATCGTGGTATCTATTCCCAATGAACACATCAATTCTCTGGCCCCGGAGATCCTGGTCAACCTGGACGCCTTTTTTCTGGCATTGGGCCAGCATCGCAAGCGACATGGCAGTTTGATTCGACAGGTTAATAAAATGGCTGGTATATTGCAAAAATTCAGTCCGAATAAGCACGCAGCCATCTTTGAAGGTGCTGCTCGGCGGTTGATAAAACTTGACGCGCCCCCCAACCCGCACGCCAGGCTTATGCGGTTCTCTTGGCTGCAGGTACTTGCGAGATTGCCCGAAGTCAATTACGATTTCTTGAAGGACACCATTCTTCAAGTGGAAAAGGACTGGGAATCTGGTTCTTTCACTACAGGTGAAATTTGCCAGATATTTGTGGCAAGACTGAATAACCGTGGCTTGCTGCAGGACGTGGGCAGAGTATATCAAAATCTGCGCTGGGCGCTCGAAAGTCAAGTCTATACGCGGCTCACCTCGGTGCTTTGGAAGACTGGCCAAGCCAACCAAATCAAGCATCTTTGCCAATTCTTGCACAGCCTGCGTCGCGATCAGGACATAGTACAAGTGCTTCGAGTCCTACGAAGGATCGTGAAGCATGAAGCTTCTCCGTTGGCCAACCTTGCCGTTGGTCTTGGGCATCCGGAATTGGCTCTGAACATTCAACTCTGGTATAGACGCGACAATACTATTACAAAAAGCTTCTGGGACTCGGCAACAGCCAAGCATTCCTTGAAGGCATTGACAAGCACGAAAACGCTCGCGTCTCAGAAGCTACTCCACGCGCTGAGGGTCTTTCACAAAAAGCCAAGATCACATGCCATCCGATCGAAAAGGCTGCATGAAGAACTGATCAAGACGAAGAAAGCTGCGATAGCATTTGCACAGGCGCCATACATCTCCAACAGGACGGCGCTCGCACGACTGGAGCATTGTGTAAAATTCTACCAAAGCCATCAGGTGGCAGTTCCACCGCAGGTTCTTCGTTCACTTTTATGGATCATTACAAGGGACCTCGAAGCAGGGAGGCCAGGACGAACCAGTCGGTTGCGATGGTTCATGAGCCTACTACTCAAAGAAGCGGGCCCTGCGACGACTTTGAAAGTTGGTCTGGCCTTGAAGAAGTGGAGGGCTGCTGTATTTACAAGACTAAAGAACCAAAGGTAACCGCTACCCAACCGTGCGTTCGGATGCAAGTGGGATGATCCACGGCTGTCGAGATGAGAATTTCAGGGCCCAAGTGTAGACGCGTAGCAGGATAGCGAAGCTGTTCCTGTACATAAGCACTTAAAAATACTTACCAAAGAATGCAAGCATTCGTGCACGGCAGACTAGGAGCATGCTAGGTTGTGCCGTGGTTGGCTAGCGCACAAGCGGCTTCGCTAGGGAGAAGGCTGGCCGGCGTGTGATTGGTAAGGCAGCTTACATGCATGGGCAAGAAGGGGACCACATTGCGTCGTGCTACGGGGGACAGCAGTCGGATCTCTCGACACTCGAACCCCCTCCCCCTACGTCGACCATCCACCTCTCAAAAGCCTCGATCTGTGCCTTGCCTTATCTCGATACGGCATGTTGAGGATGCTCGGTTCTTCCAGCCAACCCCGACAAAGTTCCGCGCCACCTAGGTCTCTGTTCTGCCGCATGCTGCATCTAAAAGAACAATTGCACCCGTAAAATACGCCGGCTCGCAAGCCGTGGCGACGGCATAACCGACGTCGCTCGTGTTTTCCGCAAATAAGGCCGAGGAAGCATGAAGCAGTAGGACGCCGTTGAGGTTCATTTTTTGGAGACGACATGGAAAAGCAGAGCGGGCTGCCGTTGCAGTTGGTGAGAGACAGAGAGAACGAGAGGCCCTTGGGGTCTCTCGATAAGGGGCGACACTGGCTGTGTGCCCGACATGCGAGATGTCACTTGCTGCATTAATACTCAGGGTACGCAAAATGGAAGCTGGGCCCCCAGTTGCCCCAGTACCCCGCGCAGATGCTGCACCGCAGTGTAGTGCACCGCGCTGTGGTCACCTCTCACCTCGGCCCCTCTCCTCTCCCCCATCCCACAGGCCAGAGGATAATTTTAGAGCGTATTGCTCTGATCCGACAGACGTATGATGGATATATAAATGGATCGATCCAACATGCAACGGGTCGATGTCTGACGTCGACAGGTTCCAGAGGTGCATGGCTTTTTGGTGTCGGTTGCCAAAGACAGGCAGGTATATAAGACTGAGAAGCCGGACACAAACATGCCCGCCGAATCTTGCAGCCCGTCCGCCACACCTTCCACAATTTTACGTGCGTATCTCTTGTTTTAGCAGCCAGCAGCCAGCGGCCTGGGACGTGCAAATAAATTGGGGCCCACGTCGCCTATCTCCAGCAACCTGGTAACTGGGCGTGGGATCTGGCATGAAATGTGAGCAAATGGGCCTATGAAAATCCATGGACCTCGGCCAGGCGTCGTCGGTGCAGATTCTAGCAGGCTTCCAGGCGGCTACCATTTCCACTGCGACTGCGACTGCGACTGCGACCGCGATCCCCGACGATTTCTACCAGGCACGGCAACGGTATTCCGCCGCCGCCGGCGTCGACGCCGCCGCCACCTCCACCATCACCACCATGAGCCAACCGGATCCAGGGGCCGGTGCGGCAGCCGGATTGAAGCCCATTCGGCGTCGCAATCGCATGATCAACTCATGCCTCGAGTGCCGGAAGCGCAAGCTTAAATGCAGCAAAACGTCGCCCTCGTGTGTGAATTGCCTCAAGGCCGCCCGAGACTGCCTCTACATCGGGCCCCGGCTCGACGAGGCTAGCCAACTGCGACTTGCCGAGATCAAGGAGAAACAGGGGTCATTAGAGCGCCAGCTCGAGCGCGATGTCGCCAAGTCCACCACGATCAAGGGCTCCATGCAGCAGCGCATCTTGGCCGACGAGGTCGAGTATGATGAAGACGATGAGCGGGATCTGGAAACGACGCCCCTTGTGGCCTTGGATTTGACCTATGAGGATGATGCTGACGGCGCGGATGAAATGATTGATTTGGGCATCCAGATTGGGAAGATGCGCATCACCGAAAGGATAGGCGGGCTCAGCCGACCGCGCATCTCGGAAGAGGTATGTTTGATCGCTCTGCAATAGACACAGGTTCACATGGCGCCTAACTCTAACACGTCTAAATCAAAGTTATCAGCTGGTCTTTCAGGGCCAGGCCGTCCGCCAGGCCCCGCAAATCCGGGGTATGGGGGCCCGCCCCCGCGTGGGCCATCTCCGGGCATGGGACTTCCGCCCGGACTCGACAACATGTCAGATGGAGGGGCGTCGGATATGTCCATCCCCGACTTTCTAAAACCGAGCGTGCAGTATATCGCTCCCACGAGCGGCTTCTTCTTTGGTCAAGTCGTAGATCAGCCTTCCATTCTTGGCTTCCTGCCGCATAGAGCGGCCGCCGATCGATTCATGAGACAATACTTCGTGTCGGTCCATCCGATAGCCCCATGCACTCATCGCTCGTCTCTGGAGTCGACGTACGCTTCATTTTGGGAAGACATCAACGCAAATTACGAACCGCGACCATCGTCTCAGGCCATTATCTTCGCTGCCATGTTCAGCGGGGCCTTAGCCATGGATGACGGCGACATCTTCCGCGAAACGGGAGGTTATGCGAAGGCCAACTGGTTGGCCTGTCTCAAATTGGGTACCGAAACGGCCTTGGGCAAAGCAAATTTCCTGAGGACTACCAAAGTAGAGACGATGCAAGCATTTATTATGTACATGGTAAGTGTTTTGCTTTGTTTCTTTGCATTTAGCACGGCTAACAACCGAAAGCTCCCTTTATGCAGAGCTGAAGTTTCCAGAGCCCATTCAGTCCTCGTTGGGGCGGCGGTGAGGATGGCCGAATGCATGGGTTTGCATCGCGATGGCGAGGCCTACGGCTTGACTCCGCTAGAAACCCACGTGCGCCGGCTGATATGGCACCAGCTGTGCTTCTTGGACATTCGCACTTGCGAAGCCCAGGGTCCCAAGCCCGTGATCCGGAGAGACGACTACGACACCAAGCTCCCGCTCAACTGCAACGAGGAAGACCTCACACATGCCATCGTACCTCCCGAAGCGGCCGAGTATTGGACCACGAGCACGCTACCTCTGATCCGGTTCGAGATCAACGAGATGATGCGGACCATCTGGCTGGACCGGCGGCGGCTCGAAAGCCACAAGACGTCGCTGACGGCGGTGCTGACCAAGATCGAGCACTTCCGCCGCCGCATGTCGGAGAAATATGACCACCTCCTCGACGTGTCGCAGCCGCTCCAGCGCTACGCAAAGTGCGTCATGTACCTACTCACCTATCGCCTGCACGTCATGGTACTGCACCCTTACCACTCGAACGCCGCGACCCCGATGCCGCCCCGTCTCAGCTCCCTTCTCATCACCTCGGGCATCATGATTGTCGAGCTCGCCATCCAACTCGAGACGAACCCCGTTTTTCAGAACTGGGCTTGGTATTTGGGGGCTTACTTCCAGTACCAGATTGCGCTTCTCCTGGCCACCGAGGTCTACTTCCGTCCTCAGTCCCGCGACGCGGACCGCATATGGGCTTGTCTGGATTATGTCTTTGGCCTCGACCGCAGGCTCCCTCCTGAAGCCAAGGCGATGCATCTCCTCTCCGAGATCCAGGGCAAGACGGCTGTGTACATGCGCATGCGCAAGATGCGCGGGCCGACTAACATCTCGAGAGCCCAGCCGGCGCAAAACGCAGTGGCGGGTACGGGCGGTGGTAGCAGTAGTAGGGGGGCGTCACAACCCCCACACCCTCCCCTGCCACCGCCGCCGGGAGGCATGCACGCTGCTAATGAACACACTTCCCCCGTTCAGCCCGGCATCCCCGTGATTCCACCCCCTGCCATGGTGTTTGCGGGTGTATCGGATGGCCAGGCATTATGGAGTTTCCCGCCCAACCAGCACGAAAGCCCCGGGAGCAGCGACACGTCGAGTATAGAGCATAGTCAGTCGTTGACCGGTGGTACCATGGGCGGCGCGATGGCGGCTCAGGTTGGAAATATTATGGATACGATTGACTGGGTGAGTAAATGTCTCTGCTTCTTGTAAATGCTGGTTGTTAATATTGTCTACTAAGGATACCATCAACGCCCTATTCCCCAATGACCCCCAGACGGGCGGGCTTAGCATACAGGGATATCACGATCCAACGAATTTCGGAGTTCTGGATTGGGGTGCATGAAAGGGAATTGCTTTGAGCTTCGTCACTTGATATGTCTTCCCAGCGCCGTTGTTTCTCTTGTTTATTATTGTCATATAAAGAAGGGTTGCCGAAGCAATTCGGGGTCTATGTATCTAGTATGTTTATAAGGACCCAAGAATTGGATCCGAGACGGCTTTTCATATATTGAAGATCTGTAACATACCTGCTGTAGTGAACCAGTGCATTTGCCGTGGGGTCGAGATCAGACGGCCAATCGAGCGTGTTAGTATATCCAAATCCCTACCATATGATGCCGTTGCTGAACAGTTTTACAGCGTTAAATTAAGACGAAAAGGTCTATTCGGTGCATCGGTACAGTGCAGACGCCGATGGACTCGTCGATGAATTGCACTGTTGAGAATGGAGAAAAGTAATACTTTCCAACCCGACGCAAGCGAGCTGGTGGCCGTACAATCGCGTCATGGTACATGGATAACATCACTTTTCAAAAGCATTGACTTCAAGTTGATTTGAGGTCACAGAGGATGGTTCTGAGAAGGTGAGACACTGATTTGGCATGGCCTTGATTCCTATGGGAGACCTTGCGACTCCATCTCGGCGTCTCCAGAGCTTACGGAAGCTAGCGGGAAGGCAGATACACCGCTTGTTCAGGCGGATGTAGTCAGTGGACAGCACGTCGAACAGTTGCGGCGGTGGCGACTACTAGATTAATTTTGCCACGCTGCCATGCCGCAGACGGCTATCTACGTGATTCACCGATGTAAACAAGAGATGTGCTCAAGCCTTTTTCCGAAGGAACCGACTGGTAACGCCGATTTCGCCGTGGCCACCATGCTGATGTTGCTTGAGACCACGACCAACCGCGCGGGTCGTGTCTGTCGGCAATCCCAAGTTGAGCAGCAGGTAGAGTTACTCCAAGGAAACAACACGTTCAAAGACCTGGTTCTATTCCTCCCATATCCCTTTGAGCTTCAGCCAGACGAATTGGAGGTCTTCGTAGAAGCAGAAAAGGGCAAAGACGCCATCAAAGCCCTCTGATACTACAAGCGCAAACACGTCTGCCGAGTTGCGCTGGCGGCCACTTGGCTTTGCCGCTTATGTCACAATGAAATACTCACTCCAACTCGATGTCCTTGAGTTTGGAAGTCTCGGTCGCTGTCTCCGTCTCGACAGCGTCTGGACCGAGTCTCGTGAGGACATCTTGGAGGATTTTGGTAAACTGGCGGTGTCCCCATGGATAAAAGTCGGTGGCATCTGGCTTGGTATTTTCAAACCAGTCTGGACGTCTTGATACAGTCGGTCAACGGCAAGTTAATGGGTTTAGCTTGAGACTGCTCTGCCTGCTCGGCCAGCTTCCGTGCCTTTCGCTTGGGTCGCTGAGACGCTGGTGGGACTGGCATCTTGGTAATTGGATCAACCGGTGCAGTTTTTCTGGTCTTCCTGGCCTGTGATTGGTAGTCGCATGCCTTCGCAGCAAGGCATTTGCATCTTCTTCACACTGCCGGTAGCTGCTCAAGAGAAAACGGTTGCACCGCTTGTGTGCCAGTTACTCGAGGGATTTGATATCTCAGTAATTAAGCAAAGTCACCAAGTGTGGTCAGAACATGACAAAGATAAATCAAATAGAGGTGGTGGGGGAGTTCAAAGATATTCATGTATGAAGCCACAGGCTAGCAGGTCGTGCCCATTTGACTCGAGCACTTTACGAAACGCGTGAACCTTTGACATGAAAGTAGACTTTACCTGCAATGTTTATCTAGAGCTTCTAATGGCGCCGCTATCAGCTTCTCGTTGGCTGAGAAATCGAAGGGAGTTCTCGTTGTAGTCCTTGTCCACCGCACACCTTAAACGTCTAAGTGGCCTCCTGGAGTGGTCAAAAGACCAACAAATGGCGGCCGGAAATTCCACAGACGGTATTAAAACCCATCAGTACTGACGATCCGATGATATTATTCTATATTGCACACCATTAGACTCAGGGTCGAGAAATCAACATAAGACAAGAGGCAACTTACGCCTTCCCACAGCCGATCCCAATCAACACCGACTAGCCAAAGCACCACAGTCTACTTCTATAACATTTATCCCATGATACCCTTGATTCATGGTCTACACTTGCTTTTCTGCACTTCCGGCAGAGTGCTGTCGGTGTAGTGTTAGTGATTTGGTTCGCGCTCCCGCAAGAACCAAAGCGTCTCTTGTCCCTCAGCACCTGTAAGCATTTGTTGTATTTGGGATGTCCGCGCCAGAGGACCTCATCACACTCTTTGCAGATGCTGGCTATTCTCTCCGAGTAGCACATGCCCATGGTTTCCTTTCTTAGAGAGGAGTAAAATAGTGGCCATGCATAACTAGGTTGATTACTCCCTCTTATAGGAGGCTCTGTGGCTGCTCTGGTTAAGTGCCTCGTTGTGACAAAGGCGATTTCGATAACAATGGGCTTTTGGCAAATGGTATTTGTCAGTATACTCGCCCAGGGCGAGGCACACATAGTTCTTTGTTTGAAGGCGCATGCACCAGGTGTCTCGAGCATGTGCATGTTAGTAAGTATTGAAGTAGCTCATGTCGATAAGGTTGTGAGAACCGAGCCTTTATTTACCAAACATGGAATCCCCCATTTGTAGTCACGGCCTCCCATTCTTTCCAGTAAAAATCAAGAGCTGTACTTCCACGCAGCGTCCATGTTCTCAACACCCCTCCACCCTTTCAGCATAATAAAACCTAGTAACCGCTATTATACTCAGCCTGTTCCTCCACAGACTCCTCACCACTCCCCCAGGCATTGGTGGCAGCGTCGTTATCGCCTCCCTCGCCACCTCCGCCCCGCTCTCCCCGTAGTCCTTGACAACCCCGAACACCTTACCCCTTTCCCTCTTAATTTCCAGGCCAACCGGCACCGAAAATCCACACTCGCTCGGTTCAGACCGCGCAGAAACTCCGTCTCGTTGCCCGGGTTAAAGGAGTAGTCCCTGTGATCACGTGAAAAGAACACCATGGCGCGCTCGTTTGCCGCCGCTGCCATGGCGTAACGCTAGTAATAGCCCCAATGAACACCTTTTCCACCAGAATACTACATGTTCATTTACACATAGCTGAACTGCTACTAGGGGTAGCCTTAGGGGTCTATGTTACATGTGTAATGGTTAGTTGCTGAGTAGATAGTTTTATGGAAAGAGAAGGAAGAGAACAGAGGTCGATGAGGAGAAGGATTCATTCTTACATTTGCAGTCTCGGTCTTGAGCTTCTTTCTATCACTGCTCACGCCAGAGCCGGCCGGCCATTTTTCTTTCACAGCTTTCGGCATTGCCAAGATATTTGTTGCAGGTATAGAGGTGTCTGAGCAAGTAATGTTCAGTTCTTTGCGGTCCAAATAAAGTATTGAGGCCGAACGGACTAACGAAGGCCAACGCAAGCGATGTCAAACTGAGTGGATCCTCATGTATTTCCCGCGCTGGAACCGTCTCCATAAGTCCTATGATAATGTCAGAAGTATGTTAAGTCGCACTACAGAGCCGAATCCATAATTGACTGAAGAGCCGGAAGATTGTCCGGTAAGGTGGACGGGGTATTGAGGACAGGAGATTGGGACGCAAATTGGCAGTAGGCCAGAGAAAATGCCTAGATGTATGACTTTGTTCTAGGACTTCATTCACTTTATGCCTGCTTGCGGTCTTTATTGTACCCATCAGCTCTTTACGCAAGGCCGTGCTATGTGCAAGCCTCGCCCGGTATACGTAGTCAGGTAGCTGTTGATCGGGTTAGACGTGACCTTGTATCAAACGAGTGAAACCACGATTTGTAGTAATTTCTCTTTATTATTCAATGCCAACACTATGAACAGCACAGGGAGCTAGCCCCCTGGGTAGATAGACATGACTTTCAGCTCTTCATCTTCACTGACTTTCTTCCTCCCTTCTTCTCAACGTCAGGATATCATCTCCTCCCCCCTTCACATCAATTACAACATCCACAGTAATCTCGGACTTCAAATCTCGTCCCTCTTTCAGCGAAGCACTTCATCCATACTTCCACAACAACAAAACGTCTGGTATCATACAAAAGACCGTGCTAGAATAGAGAACAGAATTCGGGGGCCAGATGAATATCGTGTCTCTAGAATTTGAACCGAGACTGAGAGGCGGTAAGAGGCTGTATGTGAACAAGGAAAGGCACAAGAATAAAAATAAGATATAAAAAGGAGAAGATATGCAGCCCGTGCTCGAGGCGCGCCCGTCCAGTGGTGTCTAGACATACAATGTACAAGAAAGCGAATGATGATGCCCTTCAAGGTATTATGTTCAATCAGAAAAAAAAGTTGAAAATCAAAAGGGTTTGGGCCGGCTGAATGCGAGAGAGTGAGTGAATGTGAATGTGGGCGTAAGTGAATTACACGCGGTCATGTTGACGGGCGGCAGATGTCTCTCGAGCCATAACTGCAAACCCCAGGCAGGCCGTGCTTCCTCAAGAACGGTAGATAGTAGTAGTGGCAGTAGTAGTAGTAGTAGTAGTAGTAGCAGCAGTAGTAGTAGTAGTAGTAGCAGTAGTAGGAGTAGTAGTAGTAGTAGGTGTGTGTACAACGAGGCAAAGGGAAGTATTTCAAGCGACTGCAACTTTTGGGATCCGCCCATTTCCTCCCGCCGGCCAAGGTAAATGCGTCTAGATGTAACCGTAAACATGGGTGGGTATAAGCGATGGACATGAAAAGATGCAGGTGGTCTCGTCAAGAATTCATAAGCGTATGCGATACAGCAGACGTTAAGGGAAAGTCTGCTCAGCCGAACTGGCGATTCTGTTCGCCAAGGTTCAACCAGCTCATGTCGGACGAAACCGAGGCCTTCGCCAGTGGTGGCTGGCGAGAGATGCCATTCGGGGGCCTACTCGTTCCTGGAGCGCCTAGAGCAGTAGGGTATGCGCTATATATGCTACTCGGTGCCCGATTTGAGCCCCACGGCTCTTTGGCGATGGTGGGGTCCCAAGTTTCGTGGACACTGGGGGGAATGCCACTTGAGTAGCCCGACGATGATACAGATGATATTGGTCGCTCGATCTGGCCCGACATGCCCTCTTTAAGGTTGTCCGTGTAGTGAGACACGGTGGGGCTGCCCGAATTGACGCGGTTGAATTCAGGTCTCCCCTCCAATGGAGGTACGGGGAATGCCAGGTCGAGTTGCAAAGGAGGTACGGTTGCCGAATCTTGAGTCATACGGTGAGGGTCGCTGTAGTGCGACGACTGTTCCGACACGCCTGTTTCCCTCCTGCTACCACTACCAGCACCAGCACTGCCGAATCCGAGCATGTTCAAAGTGCTTCCGCCAGACCAATAGCGATTCCAGCCCGAGCTCCTCCTTTCCCCGTCGCGGTTTAGGACTGGCCCATTCCTCGGTTTGACCGGGTTCGCGTCGGCCGCAAAGGCGACAGCCTTTTCATCTTCTGGGGTGTAGTCCGGCTCGGTGGCGGGAAGCTGTTGCGGTCGTCCAATACTGCTCTTGAATGCCTTGTTCGACATGCTGCTTCCCGAACTACGCTTCGTCTCCTTGCTGGTCTTGCGCTGTAATGCAGGCTGTACTACAGGCTTGTTGTGCACCTTGCCCATTAAGATGGCCACGGATGAGAAGGACCCTGCCGAGTCCTGTGGGGCGTGACCCCGGAATTGAGGTCCAGTGGCTTGTGCCATATCCCTTACAAAGCCTTTCTCATTCGGAATGCCGCTGTCTCTTCTGCTGTGACCTGCCTCGACAAAAGACTGTCGTTGGCGCTTTCGCTTGATGAGGAACAGCAGTCCGATGAGAAGGATGGCGACTCCAAAGATAATACCGAGGGCGATGCCCAGAATAGTGGTCGGCGGCAACCCACTCGAGGTGCTTGTAGCTGCTGCGGCGACCGTTGTGGGGCTTTCCGTAGCACTTTCCGTAGCACTTGCAGTTGATGTTAACGACGCAGTGGCGGTGGATGTTGGCGATGATGTCGGCAACGACTGGATGCTCACTTGCTTGCTTCCTAACAGGGCCGTGGCGTTGTTCCAACGGTTCTGTTTCCCGTCGAAGAGGCACAAGACGTCGTCGTCATTGCCCCCTGACATGACCACGAGACCAGCCGAGTCGACCGCCAACGAATACTGGCTTCTCGTATCTTTTGGCGCCAAGGTCGAGTTGTATTGTGGCCAGTTGTTCGCGTCCAGGTCTCTCTTACTGACCGGGGCGGCGCCCACGATGGCGGCTCCGCTACCGTCCTTGAGAACCGTCCGGTTGACCGTATTTGGCGATACACTAAGGTCAAATGTGTATAGATGTTTGCTGCCATCGTCTCCAGTCATCATGACTGCCTTCACTTCTGTCGTGTTCTTGGTTATCGGATCCGCCAGAGTGCAGCCAGAATCAGTCCATCCCGTCCCAGACTCGAACAGCATGACCTTGCTGTTGGTCGCATCACCTCCGAGCATAACGGCCTGTGTATCGGACCAAGGCAGGAGAATAGGCGCAATGGCAGGCGGTGCTGACGATTGATAAGCCAAGACGGTATACGGCTCCTTTGCCCCGACGGTGAAGGTTTGCGAAGAAATATGCTGTTCACCGTCTTGGGACCCGGCGTATATCAGAATCGTATCCGAGTTGTTGAGGTATGTCGCGCTATGCCAGACGCGGCTCTGAGTCACTGCAACCTGCGGTTCGATAGACTGCCACTTTCCCGTCGCGTACGTGAACTTTTGGAGGCCTTTGTACTCGGAGTCGGACGAGGTTCCACCAACCACATACAGTCCTGCTTCCGAGGTATTCGTCGGCGTCGACCCTACGCATACCCCCCCTTCAACGCTGTGTCCGTTGGCGAGCGTTTCCCATTCTGCACCTTCCTCCAGTGCCAACGATTGAAAAGCCGATTGCGAGTACTCGTAGAGCGTGTTGTTGTAAATTACTGAGCAGGCCCCAGTGAGGGAGACTTCCGGTTGAGGGAGCGTCATGATGAGCCTCGGAACCAAACGAAGGCTACAGTAGTTCGATAATAACAGCGCCCGAGGAAAGAGCCTCAACGATGTCGCTTGTCGATCACAGCGACATTGTTAACCACATAGAAAATTGAGCTACTTGTCGATTTGGTCGAGCAACCGTTGCGGTCAACGTGTCCAAGCCGAAGCGCAGCAAGCTTGCCTATTATGTCCCTATTGGGTTGAGACGAGCGAGAGCAGACGGTGACTTGACAAGCTGCCTCTTCCTTGCCAACGTGAAATAAAGTTGCAGGACACCCAGCCTATCGGTTTTTTCTGCGTCGAGTCGGACTGAAACGAGATATCGTCGAGAGTTGATTCCTCGGTGCGTCAAGCAGAGATGACTTATCAGACGAATGTCGATAGGTTAGAGATTCCTGCAATGCGATGTGACGAGCACCGTTCTGGCGATGGTTTTTGCCGTGATTGCTGCCGGGGACCAGAGGCGCAAAATCTTCAGAAGTTTTGGGCCCAGCCCCGATTGGACTGGATGGAAGATCTACAGAACAAAGTTTCTGAGGCGTGGTGTTTCCGTGTTGAGCTCAATGCCAGGCCCGAGAACGTCGACGTTGATAACAGTCGAGCCCTTTTCCTTCTCCTGAAGGGCTTCGTGTCGCAGGTTTGGGGGAAAAGCGGAGGTGGGAGTTCGGATGCAGGTCTGGTTGCTTTGCCTAAAGAGTCGGCCGCCTCCGCGCTGCGTATGCCCCTGATGGGTGTCTTAATGCGCCCGCAATAAGTAGTAGGTGTGACACAGTGATCACGATCAAGTCAATACATTGAAGACAGACACAGCCTGCAAAAGAGAGAATCCTCGTCGTCGAAACGGCCCGCGATGACAATACAAGAGCACCCTCGTTGGTGACTACAATAGGCAGGAAAGGCACAAGCAGCAAGGACGCTGAGAGAAAGGCGAGCAATGTCTCGGTCAAGAGAAACAGATTGAATGAATGGACCGTCGGCGGGCGAGGACAAGCACCCGTGCTCCCAATATCCACAACTGTGGAAAGAGACGAGGATATGCTGGGATCACGACTAGGGTCCCTAGATCCGTACCTGGGAAGCACTGGGGCTTGGACGAATGAAAACAACGGAGCACGTCCAGGGACGGCGCAGACGAAATACATAGTAGGATAATGTATCATCGGACCCATCAGTACGCGCAGCAGGGTGAGACACACTAGCCCTATTGAAGTAGCGGAGTACATGCAGCTACCCTGTGGCTTGGGTAACTGAGCGGCGTGCCTCGAGGTCGCATCAAAAGGCAGAAAGGGTTAGCAGAAGGGGGCCAGCGAGATGGTGGATGAGCTTGTGTGAGCTTCTTGCTTGCTTGCTTACTTGCTGCAGAGATACGTCAACCGTGACAATGAAGGCTCGCTCCCACTCCAACAAATGACATTTCCATGAACGCGCAGTGTGGGTGGTGTAATAATTCGCTTAATCCACGCGGTCGGGCTGTGCTGCGGTGAAGGTTCGGGAACCTAAGATGGCATCTTTGGCGTAGGACAGTATTATACGGGCAACACGCCACTGATTTTGGAGCGAACGGGCGCATCAGTTTGGCCAGAGAGCGACTCGGACGATATCACAGTGCTGGGTCGACCAATCTCTGGTGTGGTCTGTGGGCCCCGCTTCTTCGCAGCCGTTTCTGGGGGCCCACTGGCGTGCTCACGCGGCCACTAGGCAGTATCGGGCAGGGACGCCTCTGAGCATTCCACAAGTCTTCAAGCCCGTAAATTCGAAACCGCAAAAGCCCCTGAGTAGCACCTGGAATACGACATGGAGCTGGGGTCACCACTGTCAATGCCTCGGGCGATCATTTATCATATTGCCCAAACGGGGACAATGCCGTGGATCGAGCACAGAAACCGGCAGCTTCGTTATTGGCAGACGGGCAGTGCTGGCCGGCAAGCAGGTGAACGCCGATGGATGGAGTCATGGCGTGTATGAAGAAATGGTAGGATTGATGAACATCCCATACGGATAGTGCTTGGCTTGGATCTCGCTGACTATTGAACCGCATACGGCCCCAGAGTTGCACTCGTTGCAATTGTGGTCCTGCAATGGTAAAGATAGCATCGAGGCTTGCCGGATGAACCCACCATCATATCTTGGCGGCAAGGAGCGCTTTCGCCAGAAGCTGGCGTCTAAGTGTCAAAAAAAAAAAAGGATCTTAAGAATTTCTCCAACCAAAGCGACAGAGCGTAGCCAAGCGAAGGCCACGATGTTCCGGTCTGCCCTTGCCGAGAAGCATGGACCTCCCTCGGCCACGCAATCAAAGCAGAAGAAGCATCCAGTCAGGCCAGTGTCGTGGCGGGCGTCCAGGTGGAAGCGTCTTGTCTGGCGGCGCGCAAACATCGTGCTAGGAAGCACCGCCCCCCTTGGATCAACACGTTGGATGGTGCTTCGTCATTCCACGAGGTTTTGATGTGGTGGAATGTCGCAGTTCTATTTTTACCGTCGATATTATCGGCATCAAAAACCCCTTGGCAAGCATTTCCCGCGCTTCTCGAAGACCAGAGATACAGACCGACTCAATTTATCCTGGGGTAAAATAAGGTGTGTGTCAGTTGTGTCGTCATGTCTCTCGAGCGGCGCTACCGAATCTGCATTTCTGCATCGCTGCCGAGGCCGAAGACGATGGAAGAAAATGCAAGATGAAGGAAGAAGGGTAAAGCCGCCAGCAGTTCTGCGGCCAACTTGCCAGCCGCAAGAAATCTGGCAGTCAATTGGTCCATTCGTAGATTTGAGTGCCGTTGCTGACCCTTGATGATCGCGCCTGGCGTTCGTCCCAACAGTGAGCGACTGGTGCGAATCGATTGTCGCCGGCTCGCTCGCAGTCTCACCTACGCTTTTGGGTGCTAGTTTGTGTGATGTAGAAAGACCACGCGCATCCAACCGTTGCCCAGGAGAGCTTGGCAGCTTCCCCATTGGCTACTATTCGGTATTATACATGTTTAGAGGAGGCGGTTGCATGGCCCGTTGCGGATTAAGCTTGTATATTGGGTTGGGTTTGCTGCATTTGGCATCGTTTACTGTTTAGGGCTTTGACCTCCACTTGCAGCGACAACTCCATGAGAAGAAACAGCCAGAACGCTGCTCATCTCAATTTCACGCCCGAGCTACTTTTCCGTGAGCAAATGCACAGAGCGTTGCAGTTGTTGGCGTCCGTGCCTATGAAAGTCAAGTCATTTCCCGATCTCCATATTTGTTGGCGGCAATTTTTGGGAGCCATTTGTTATCTACTGGGCTCGACCTTGTCTGTGACCAACCACCTCTCAACATCAACAGTAGGTGCCCAAATGTAAGGCACTGGTAACCATCGGAGGGCTGTTACATTCCAAATCGAGGCAGTTCGAATACGCTGGGTATGCAAGAAAAATGCATGGTACTTTATGTGATTGTTCGCTGTGAGCCTATCCCTGTAGAGGCAACGGCGGTCGGACCGGGCCCCAACCACTGGCTTGCAAAGCATCTCTCTTGAGTGAGACGCCATCCTCGTTCCCTTTTCTTGATTCCGCCCTTGAGATATGCTTAGGTTCTTAAGTAGTATATAATGCAAACTACCCTGAGCCAAATTCGGAAATTTCGGTGTGGATTTCTCTGATTCGGTGTTGTAGGTTATCGCCACTACAGTTTTCACGAACTCCCCCGCAATGCAAATGTATGCTCCGTATCCATTACTCGAGACAATCAAGTACGGATCTAGGTGCTTCTCTCCCTTCCTAAGGTCCGACCAAAGCGAACGCATCTGGTGGCAGTTCTCCCTAAGGATCTATCAGTAATCCGTAATTGGGGGAATTGGAGAGGTTGTTTCTTACCCTTTTCGCGTTGAACGTGACCATGGCTTGATCAAAATTCCAGTTGGCTGCCTCGAGGCAGAACTTGGAATACTCGGGCGTCATGCCACTCTGCTGGCACAGTTCAAGCACCATCTGCTGCTTCTGGGCATCTTCCGACGAAGCCGACGCTGCAACCGGCGTGACAGGGGGGAGCGGGTTATAGGCCTTCAAGGACAGCATATCGCTGACGACGCGAATGGGATGTCTACCAGGAGCCCCAGGGCCGAGTAGAAATGTGCGGGAGAAAGTTCGCTTCGCCGTTTTCTTAGTGTCCGGGTCTTGGTCCTCAAATTCCCCGTGGAGTGTCATGATCATGCCGTCAACCCCAGCGGCATTCTGGCCAGATGGATCGATAAATCCGCCAACTGGGTGGCAATCTATGGTATACTTGTCGAATTGGGTAGTGAGATCTGGATGCCTAGTAGGTGGTAAGTTCTGCCAAGCGCTCTGGATGAGACTCGTACCGACAAAGAGGCGTTGCTGTCTCCCATGCTGGGTAGTGATCTTGGTGTGGTTACGGGAGAGCTTGATGTAAGACGTCCAAGGAGAGAGCGGCACATCGGGTGCGTATGGGGCACGAGTATTGACGGTGAGAGAGAAAGTGCTTTTGTCGTCATAATACTTGGCTACCAAATTTTGCCGATCGACATCATACATTTGCATGAACTCTGTGATGAAAGTTTCACCCACGCGGTTGATGTCGCGGAAGTCGGGTCCAATGTTTGGGATCGGAGTGGGCTTAGACACACTGTCTGCCGCAGCAACCTCTTCGGCGGTGCGTACCTGACTGCCGCTAAGATTCTGGAGCTTGGGAAACCACGCTTTCAACTCGTTCTGGTAAAGTGGTTCGTGCTGTTCGATGGGATTGCCATTGAGAAGGAGTGTTTCCATGTTGCGGAGGCGGCGGCTCCATTTCCGCAAGGACTTCAGCTCCTTGAACTGATTGTAGCTGAGGTCCAGGTTGGTGAGATCCGGAAACGTGTCGGTCAAGGACGATATTTGAGTCACATCGTCGATGTTGTTGCCTGCCAGACTGACACTGACAATGGCCTCGCGCTTTGCCTGGGCAGTCTTGAACTTTTCGTCGCAGATGGCCATCAAGGCTCGGAACACCTTTAATGGGTTGCTCTCATTGAAGACTCCCATCTCGTTCAGTCGTGCATCTTGGCCCAGATTGGCGAGATTCAACAGCTTCGTGCCTTGATCGTATCGCAGGCTGAGAACGTTGGTCAACAGCTCCTTAACCTCTTGTGTGCCTGCCGAAGTCGCGGGAGCTTCTTCAGTGGCGTCAGAAATGGCCAGCTTGGTTGCAGCAAACTCGAAGCCATTGATCTTCAAAATTTCCTCTCCGTCGTCTTTACTTGTTGTGATGTAGACAGAGTCACCCTTCAATTGTGACTGCTAGATGTTAGCAAGGCGTTGAAACCTTGACAATCTAGGATTCCGGGATAGGTATACGTGGCTCGGTCGTCCTTGTTTTTCTCCTCGTTTTGCGAGTTAAACGGCATTGTAACGAATGTGGAGATTTGGCGTTGCTTCGTAACCTCCCAGACACCCCAGACCCTCAGATCGGATACAAACACATACCTTCTTGATCCTAACGGTGCGGCTGAGCTTTCCAACGGTTGCTGCCTTGCGCTCAAGGAACGTCAAGAGAGCCTTGAGACCGCCGTCAGAATTAGTAACGGCCCTGCTGGTCTTGAGTCCGTCGACCTTAAGTGTCATCGTATCGGCAGCATTTATCGGGCGAGAAGCGCGACCAGCTCTTGATGATGTATCAATTCCGCTGGAAATACGAGAAGCCAGACTACCAGTGCCACTGCTGATAACTCTTGCGACCGCTTGTTGTGCTCTTGTCGTCGGCTTGGGCGGGCGGCATGACGTCGTGGTGGACCGTGTAGATCTCCGGCCAGGCTCAGTTGGCGCGGGACTGTCTTTCGTGCCACGGGCAGCACCATTCACAACGGGTGCGTCCATGTCGAGGTCGCCATCTCTATCGATCCTGGTGGCACCGCCACCGCGACGTTTGCTGATGCCTCCGCGACTGATCGGCTTTCCACCGGTGTTGGAACCGCGCTTGGGCGGGTTTCCGCTTCGTGGGCCACGGGGAGCCATCGGGAATGCAAATTAAGGTTGTTGGGGTAAGAGTGTCGAGTTGGCAGTAGAATGCGAGGTGGGGGATGTCGCAAGCCTTGCAGTCACGCGATGCGATCGCCCACGTATTTCCAAGGAGTCAAATCGCTCCTTGTCGGAGACAACCGCACTTTGACGCGTGTTGCGACGTACTGAGCTGATTGATCTTAAGTACAACCGTAAAGCGCGTCGGGCGTGATTTCGGAGACGGTTGGGAGCGTTCAGATAAATTTAGCTGGATGCGTCGCAGAGAGGTTCCTGCATGTAAAGACGGATGGGGATGTAATAATGCGGAGAGTGTGTATTAGGAGGAGGAACACCGGCTACAGTTTTTCCGCGGGCGAGGCATGAAAAGAGAAGGGCAGTGAGTCGGTCAGTGGGAGACGGTGATGGTTGCAGAATGAGTGGACGGTGGTGAAACTGCAAAGTGACGTCGGAACAAAGGCTGGAGATCAACGACCGGTTGCGAAAACCCTGCCCAGACTGAGACCAAGCAGATATGGGGCTGCCCCACCATTTAGTGGCACCAGCCATAAGCTGGTCCAAACACATGTAGATGGCAGGCATCAATTTTCCCGAAGTAGTTTAGTGTCAAAGTAGGTAGCATCACCTGATCTGGCGATGAGAGCTGGGAAAGCAGAGACCCTGGTAGTCGCGTTGAGGGCAGCACTAGTCGCGTCTCACCATTCGTCAACATCTCCCTAGGTTGCCAGTTTTGATGCCAAGTCCAACGCAGCCCAACAATGAAACTCAACCATGGATTCGGATGAATTTGATGAATTCGACGATGATATCGCCTACGAGGACCTGATCCTTGCCGTTAGTCAGGCGCCTGGTCGAAGTGAGCTTTCAAAGCCCCATACAGGACCCTTCCAACCACCTGTATCATGGCCCTCTGTGGCAGCAGCTCAAGATGGCTTCACTTCACGCCAGATGGTATGTAAATAAACGAAGACTTGTCGCGATTTCCAAAACTCTCATCAACGAGTCTTAATCATTTCATCAATACCCGTCAATGACTACTATTGCCTCTTGGCTGGCATATGCATCATATATACTAACGTGTCATCAGTCAAATGAGAGCTCAGCGAATACTCAAGCAGCTCAATTCATCGACCTAGACGACTTTCCCTCAGATGCATTCTCAAGCTCTCCCATCGGCAATGTGACTCCTCGAGATGCTCGTCCGGGACCACAAGTGGCGGGCCCTGTGCAAAACTACAGGCAGACTACTCTCTTCGGCACACCCATACAGGGTAATGGGGACTCTGGATCGAGCCAACGGCTCAATAGCAACAGAGTTTTCCGTGCTGACATGCCACCCGAAGCTCCCACACACCATGAAATCGATCTTCAGGCCATGAAAACCTGGGTTTATCCCACAAATCTTGGCCCTATCCGAGACTATCAGTACAGCATTGTCAAGAACGGTCTTTTCCACAATACCCTTGTTGCTCTTCCGACTGGGCTGGGGAAGACTTTTATCGCGGCCACCGTTATGCTGAACTTCTTCCGCTGGACCAAGACAGCCAAAATCATCTTCGTGGCACCGACCAAGCCTCTTGTTTCTCAGCAAGTTGATGCCTGCTTCAAAATCGTGGGAATCCCCAGGTCGCAAACTACTCTGCTGACGGGCGAGGTTCCGCCTGCTCTACGGGCTGAAGAATGGGCCACCAAACGAGTCTTCTTCATGACCCCTCAAACACTGGAGAACGATCTTTCACGCGGCATCGCAGACCCGAAATCAATATGTCTGCTTGTGGTTGACGAAGCTCACAGAGCTACTGGGAATTATGCATACGTCAAAGTGGTGAATTTCATCCGGCGGTTCTCAAAAAGTTTTCGCATCCTCGCACTGACTGCTACCCCGGGTTCCAAAGTGGAAGCTGTTCAAGAAGTAATCGACAGTCTGGGAATTTCCCATGTGGAGATCCGTACGGAGGAATCACTTGACCTCAGGCCATATGTTCACCGAAGAGATGAAAATATCATTGCTCTCGATCCCTCGGAGGAGATGAATCGGGTTAAGGACCTGTTTTCAAAAGCCTTGAAACCCCTTGTGGATAAACTGAGTCAGCAAAACATCTACTACGGTCGCGACCCTATGTCTCTTACAACCTACGGCTTAATGCAGGCCAGGAAGGACTGGTTAAGCCACGGGGGACAACATGTCAATCAAGGCGTCAAATTTATGATGGTGGCCATTTTCACCATCCTACAAAGTCTGGCTCATTCCATAAAGTTGCTGAACTTCCATGGCATCAAGCCATTCTATGACAATATGATTCAGTTCAGGGACGAAACCGAGGGGAAGGGCGAGAAGGGGTCCAAGAATAAGCGCCAGGTTATTGAGTCACCTGAATTCCAGAAGATGATGAGCACCTTAAGAAATTGGGTGAGCAAGGATAGTTTCGTTGGCCACCCAAAGCTGATAAGTTTGTGTGATACTGTTCTGAACCACTTCATGGATGCGGATGAAGGTCGAGAAGGCATTCGGTCTTCTAATACGAGAATCATCGTCTTCAGTGAGTACCGAGACAGTGCAGAAGAAATCGTGCGAGTACTCAACCGCCACAAACCCATGATTCAGGCTGCGGTGTTTGTTGGACAAGCAGATACGAAGAACTCCGAGGGCATGAAGCAATCGGAACAAATCGACCGAATCAAGAAGTTCAAGGACGGAACGTTCAATGTGTTGGTCGCCACTTCGATTGGTGAAGAAGGTCTAGACATAGGTCAGGTTGATCTCATCATATGTTACGATGCTTCTGCCTCGCCCATCAGGATGCTGCAACGAATGGGACGAACGGGAAGGAAAAGAGCTGGCCGGGTCGTTCTCCTGCTCATGCGTGGCAAAGAGGAGGATAACTACGCAAAATCTAAGGATGGCTACGAGAAGATGCAGCTCATGATTTGTGAGGGGAGTCGCTTCGCCTTCCGCCATGACCTGTCTACACGATTCGTCCCACGGGACATTAAACCCGAAGTCGACAAACAACTTATAGAGATTCCCATTGAGAATACACAGAACGACTCGCTCCCAGAGCCGAGAAAGGGCAGAGCTAGAAAGAAGATGCCCCGGAAAAAATTCAATATGCCCGACGGTGTCGATACTGGCTTTATCAGTGTGGCATCAATGCTCGGGAAACGGCCCAGCAAGCCAGCCAAACCCAAACAGTCTGTCGAGGAGATGGATGTAACTGACATCCCTGAACTCACAAAAGTGCTACTAAACGACGAACAAACCAACGAATTGCGTCGCATCTATCAAAATTTGCCCTTCTACCAGGACAAGCCGGAAGTAATCGAGACAGTAGATATGACGGCCAACCCTCTTGCGCAAAGAGTGCTCCGTAAATCTGCGCACTTAGAACACGGTGAGCATACCAAGCGTTGGGTAAAGCTCTTCCGAACTTTGGGCAAATCCCAATCGAACCTCGATCAATACAGCAAGCCATATGGAGAAACGGACCAGAGCCAATACGACAAGCTCCCGCTTCCAAATGATGTATCTGATTCGGAACTGGAATCACCACCACCGCCGCCGCCCCGGAAGAAAATCAGGGCATCTTTGTTTCCCGACAATGACGAGTTAGAAGGTATCATCATTGACACGAGCCAAGCCAAAAGCTGCAAACAAAGGCCGCAACCAGCCCCTAAACCTAGGAAGGGACCTCAACAAAGAAAGCAGGTTCAACCCCCCTTCTCAGATACCCTCTTAGAGGCGGAAGACGAAAATGCAACCGAATATGATTCGCCGAGACCCCGGCAACGTCAAAAGGCGCCGCCAAAGAAATTATCAGCGAAAACAACAAAAGGCAAAGGCAGCCGAGCATTAAGCAAACGACAGGCGCACGCATACGACGAGAGTGCGGACGAAGGAGACGACTGCAGGCGCACAAGCGACCTTGAACTGTCGGTTGATTCAGATGATGGTTCAGATCTCGTTGACTTCGTGGTAGATGATGACATGGCTACCTCTAGCATGCAGCCCACGTCGAGCTTGCGGCAGCGCTCCACATCCCCTACATCACTTTCAGCGTCATCTGTGCTCCCTGCACGGCGCAAACCCTTTTACGAGCCCATAGTGCTGTCGGCCACTCAGGAGAGTGATGATATGCCGTCGATGAGTCAGCTCGCTGGCAAGAAAAGGCCGCAGGCAAGGGATAAGACGACAGCCGGAGAATCAGAAGATTCTGATGATGAAGTTGTGCAGAGGGCGGGACGTCAGACGAAGAGACGGCTTGTTCTCAACGAAGATGACGAAAGTGATGAATGAAGCCACGCATAGCCCTGATATTTATAACTCTGCTGTAGTATAAACAGGATTTGTATAGACAGGATTAAAATACATGTAAACCATTGTCACCCAATCACTAGAAACTGACTCGCTCTCTCGCACAATTCTTTGCGTACCTGAGTGAAATTAATCAGGATTGTGGATGATCGTCTCGGGCCAGTGTCTACAAGTCCAGCCCGGATAACTATTACAGCAGCCATAATGCAATATAGTAAACTTGCGGTCAGAGTGAGCACAGGCAGCGAGCTGGTTCATGATGCTCGAAGCGCCTAGGGACGCCGCCGATAAGGCGCAGACACCCGCCAGAGTGCATCGGTATGACATGGTCCAGCATGGGAGCTTGTGAGATCCTGGCGTGTGCGATAGGTCCTGATTCGGCTTATAAGGCTTGAGCCCTGCGGCTGGAGCGACGCTACAAGGACCCATTGACATCCGGCTATGGTTTTTTCTCCGATTCTCCTGTCTCCAGCTACGTCACCTTCATGCTGCTCTATTCAGTACCCGCGAATCCAGGTCGTGCTGATCAACAGACGAACTCGTGGTGTGGCGTCCAAGAGTGTGCCCGATTATCAGCAGCGCGAGGTATTCAATAACCTGATGTCCGACTGTGTGAGGGCTTCGCACTATCAGACCATCTTTATTCTCGCGAACCCTGGTACGTCTCGGGGTATGCCTGGATAATTATACTATCTCGTTCTGGCTCTAGAATACTATCAGTGGACGCCCCTTTCTTATTCAACCCTACATGCTCTGCTCAACAAGGCCCTCTTTACATTGTTTTTGGGGGCTTAACACATTATCACTTCCTAGTTCTTTTTTTATTTAAAGTTGTCTTTTCAGATATATGAGGTAGAAGTAATGGGGCGGCGTCATACGTGGTACGGCGTCATACGTGGTATCTTAAAAAGGCTACGAGGAGATCGTCCAGCTACTTCTAGAAAGTTGTAGACGTTCACGTATAAGGCAGAGAATATGATGACATAACAGGGGAGATAGTCTAAAGGTCACGAGAAGGGCTTCTAGTGGCTCCTCGAGAAGATATGTGGATAGAAAGACGTTGCTTTGATTAACTTCTCAATATCGTACTTAAGTAGTTAAACTAATTGTCAAGGAGGGAGCTAGCTCGATAAGAAATATCATTCACGAAGCTTGGAAAATTTCGAATATGTTAGCCGATACATATTATCATAGTTGTATTTTCCCAGTTCTTTTGCAACTAAAGTCTGTTCAGTATCTTTATGGTAATTGACGGTTTGACGCGTTAGGTTTTCTAAGGATTCCCGGGAACAAGTAGAGATATTAGTAGGATATAAGAGGTAATATGTAGTAGAGCGGAAACCTAAGTCTGGACTCAAGAGCTCTACTATCTTCTACTTAACATATCTTAGGCGTAGCTATCTACGTCTCGACCGGCTCGCCTAAATGCCTTATGCTTTTCCTCGTTCAGGTGGATCACTCTATTATGCACATTGAAAGTACACTATGAGTTGACTACTAGCACGGTACTGCACTTACAGACCGGAATGTCGACGCATAGGCTGCAAATTCGAATGTAGTTACTCGTCTTCTTCAAATGTGTAACCCCTTTCGATGTCAGTTGATGACGTGCTGCTTTCGTGTTGCGTGCCCGACTCGGATGTTAGGTGTGGTAGACGGAAGAGAAATAGGGGGGCTATATTACTTCCTGGCCGATCCTAAAAATGCGACAAAATGCCTGCGCCTCCACCGACTTCGTCCATGGCTGCTTAATCATGATGGAAAGGTTCGCCTGTATCATGTTAAGGCCTCTTCACTAATACGAGCTGTCGAGATCACTTTCCGCGGGTCTATATCGTCCTCACCCTTGTAAATCATCTCGTCTATGCGTCGACAGAACGGCTTACACAGCGTGCCACGCTTTCCGAGAAATTTCACCGCCTGGCTCACTCATGGGAATTTCTAGCGGGACGATAGGCCGAGCAGTTGGGCGGTATAACGCATCATAGTGAATATAAGCATCTTCTTTAGAAAGGAAGCTGCTTCCTCTGGCAACTTCGCGTGCCGCTCAGTATCCTGCAACATTTTCACAATCTTCGCACTGTTCTTTCGAGTATTATCGAGATACGGCCAGACGTCACATGTCATCTGTCTTGCAATTCAGGTTGTACTTGCAATCTGAACCGCGAAACCGTTGAGGCATGGCCCTTTTTACCAATGGCGCAAGGCCGGTAACGTGCGCATAAGCCCAGATTGTAAAAGCCCTCGTTGCTGCCGATGTCCCCAGAAACGCCACTGATAGCATCTCCCATATTCGGCCGTTCCCCACGCCTGTCGGCTTGCTGGTTTTCCCAGCGTCCAACAAGCCCTTTAAGACATACACTCAAATCCGCCTTGGACTTACGCATGAGTTCCCCAATCGCTTTAACATGGACCTTAGGGAATTGGAGAAAGTCCTCATACTGTATGTTAACGTCTGGCAATTTGACGATGTTGTGTTTGAAGAAATGGTCGCTGCCTTGTCGTTGGATGATGTAATCTTTCAGAATCTTGTTCCCGTAGTCCTTACATTCCCTGAAGGTCTTCTTGTAGTTCTCGCGTGCGTCCTTATCGTCAGAAGTCCAGTCGATTTGGTGCTTCATAAGCCACTAGAACTTATGGTGGCCTCTCCAGTCTGGCCGTGGCATTCGTGTACGAAGAAGCCAGGACTAATGGGAATTGGTACATGTTTGGCGTGGTCCTCGCCTCGCATAAGTAGTTCCAACGTTGAGTCCTCCCTGATGCTTTTCAACGCCAAAGATGTCGACAATACCACGATGATATTGTTATCGTTGCGCCGACGTCGTCTGTTGCCCTCAAGTCTCACAGTCGGCGGGTCCACAACACAATTCCAAGTCCCTTGCTCAGCTGCGATGCTCGAATCCTCGTCGATCAAACCGGTCGGCCGTCTGAATTCAACGCGTGGGTGTCTGGCTTATGCTGTCTTCTTAATTTGTTCTGATTTAGAATGGAGCGATAAGATCCGCAGCTTGCGATGACTTCCAGGCAGACACACGTCTTCGATCTAGTTGGCGAGCTTCTCCAGCCACTGTTCGCGAAGACCAGAGGGAACGATCACGATACCTGGACGGTCCGGCAACGATTCGAAATCCAAGAGCTTGAGCGTAGGCAGTCTCTAGACATACGGACACGCGATGCCTAGCCTGCATATGCCCGAGGGGAATTCTGCGTCTGGCGCTTGAGGGTTCTCTGGTGTAGAACCTGATAGATGAAGACCGTTTCCTTCCCGCCTGTCTGTCGTAACGTGCCCTGCTACAACATGTATGACGACCCGGAGAGTCATAGGCGCAGAGTTTGATGCGTCTTTCCTAACCCCATATCGTCCGATAATAAGGCAAAGGCCGTCTCCTTTAAGAGCTTCGCCAACGTGATCCAGTATATGCAACTAAGCTGATGAGGCTTGGCCCGGACCTTTACACCTGGCAGCTTATGACAATGAGCCGGGTTCGACCTGTCCGTGTTTTCCAACCTGATGCCGAAGAACCTGCAAGTACCCTGCTCCCAAATAATAACGTCAATAGAATCATCCTTGTTAAACGGTGTGTCTCAATCTTCATGCATGGTGCGCACGGGTGAGCTTCGGGGACTGGCTCCTGAGGGGAACCAAAGTGAGCAAGAATCGCCGTCAAAGTATCAGAAGGTGAATAACATCTTACCTCACAGCGAACACTGGTCCAGCCATCTTGTCCATGTTCACAGCAAGCCTGATCAACATCTTCGTTTTCACTCCACATACGAAGTAGTCTGGAAAGTGAGAAGCCAATCTTTGACGTGGATGAATGACGCCAGTGGACTGACAGGTCTCAATTCTCGAAACTGGCCTTCAGTAGACATGCGGGTGACATAATTGCATAATCAAGATGAGGAAGGCAAATCACCAACTGCTAACCCTTGACTTAGAAATGCCCTCAGACGTCATATAACAGCATGCCCCTTTGTCACGACCCCGTCACTGAGAGAGATTGCAGAAAAGCAGAACCAGGCGGTTATTCCGCGACGACAATCATGGCTGACCAGGAGCAAAATGCGACATTAAGGGTAACCTAGGACCTCTTCACCTATGATCTACTTGCCAAAGTCTTGAAACGGAAGGTTTCTGTGTCCGTGTACAGTCTGAGGACCTTGTAGAGCAGCATCCCTAAAGCCAAATTTGGACCACTAAGCTAAAATGGTATTTCCTTACCATCACTTCGAGTCTTCTCATCTTTAGGGCGCTTAACTGACTCATTATTTAATAGCTACAGCTACACGCTAGCCAACGCCAGCCAGCTAACCTAAAGTATCCGTGGAACTAATCTTCAACAGAATCATCGTATTCATCCAGTTCACTAAGGTCTTCGAAATCCTCCAATCCTCAATCCTCGCACGCCCATCCTCGCTCTGTAAAAATTAAAAAAAGCAGCCAAACGGCTGTTGCAAACCCTGTAACTCCCAAACATGATATGGGCGAATGCACATGCTGTTGTTCGTGACCCGCGACCATCTCTTGGCGTCTTATGCGATGATGATCCTCTTTCCTGCGATGCCTTTCGAGGTATTAAACTCGAAATCTAGCAAGCGTAAACATCTCGAACACCAAGTTGCTCAACCTATCACCACACTACGCAGCGATACTCTTCCCCATGCCGCTGCCCCAGCGGAATCTTCTTAGAGTACCCCCACCACTCCTGATAGCCTCCCTGCCACAGCTGCCACCCTCAGTAGCAAGTGAGCTTGCATTCCCGGATCCCAGGCTAGCCAGAGCATCCTGTCGCCCAACCTCGCGCCCAATGACATAGCCGGCTCCGAATCCGACGACACTCACGAGCACCACAACCCCGGCGCTCACAACCCAGGTGAGTAACGTGGGACTTATCAAAGCGTCATCTGAGCCTGCCGTCTTCTTTTTCTTGGTTGCGCGTGGTGACTTTCCAGTTGGAGTGGGAGTAGCCGCGCGCTTTGTCTTGTGGCCGCCAGCAACAGCCTCGCGCGAGGTTGCAGTCGTCGATGGGGCGTCGGCTCTCAAAACTCTACCTTGCGCTGTCGGGCGTGAGGTCGGATCCATCAACTCACTCTCTGGGACGAGTCGCAAGTTCATCGGCTGACCGCCACTGGGACCTGTACGCTCTCCCAGCTCCTTCTCGCCATCCTTGCGTGCCCGTGCCGCTGCAGCACAGCTCAGAAGGGTTGTGAGGCTGGCACGCAGGGCTTCATCGTTGTCGGCCTGGTAGTTTGGGGAGACCAAATTAGGAGCACGCCGATCGATACGTGTGCTACTGCGCTGGCGAAAAGAAGGCCTTGGATGATGTTGAGGGATGCTGGAACTAGTGGAGTGACGATGCTGGAGATGCGAGGGCGGGTGCGAGAAAGCATTTGGCTGGGGACGGAACGAGTCGGATGGGCCGCGTGCACCGAGGGCAGTCGCGTTCTCGTCATCGTCTTCTTCCTCGTCACTTGTATCATTATCGGCTGGGTAGACGTTGCGCAGAGGGGTGGGAATTGGGCTCGGCACTGAAGTAATGTTTTCGGTGGACGAGGTCAGAAGGTGATCGGAATCAGTCTCGCTTTCTTCGTATTCCTCCTGGCTTCCGGTTAGAGTTCGCCCGGTTTGATTTGACGTGTTGGCGTTCTGCTGTAGGTGGTTGTTGGCGTTCTGCTGTAGGTGGTTGTTGGCGTTCTGCTGTAGGTGGTTGTACGACTGTGGGTGTAAGCGTCGTCTGCGGGCAGCGTAAGCAGACGAGCCGACTCGCAGACCAGTCGTGACGATTTCGTCACCAACGGACGATACGGACGACGATGATGGATGGGACGAAACCTCGACCCAAGATTCTACTGCTGCTGTGAGCTGACCGTCATTATCCCCTACAGTGTAGGCCGACTGACCATCATTGCGGTGCCGTTGCTGGGGCATGGCGCCCGATGTCGCAGACGAGGTTGCGCGAGTAGCGCGCTGCGAAAGATGGTTGTACATTTCGGTCGAAGGCGCTATATTCGAGGAGCGCGATACAAAAGAAAGTGAAATAGAGGAATAGAAAAAGGGGAAGGCTTCGTGGATAAAGATAAAGATATTGCGATTGTTGGCGCAGAATGGGAAGCCGGCGGTGGTAAGCTAGGCTCACCGACAGCGGCTGCGACACCCCACGGCGATCTGACCAGGATCCGCTGATCCACAGAGCGAGAGGCGGGGGGGGGGGGGGGAAGGGGGGGGTTCCGCTAGGTACCTGTCCGTCGTGATGAATGCAGTAGCCGTACGAATTAGAGTCGATGTTTCGTTGGTGTTCAAACTCAAACTAATTACCTGTCGAACTCGAGAAAGTGAACGTTCGATCGTTGTAATAATCCAGAGGACTTTGCAAGGACGCAGGGACTGGGCACAATAGACGGCCAGTTTCCCAACAGAGTAATTGCAAGATCGGGTCACTGGCTAGAGCTGATTGCGCGTGGGTGGAGGGGTCCGGCGCCTGGCTTTGTTTGTCTTTGTTCTTGTTCTATCGTTGCATTACTGGTCGTGATTGAAGGGCAGAGCTGATGCTAAGGGCGAAGATCGAACACCCCCACCTTCCTTGATTCGGCCCGGGAATGGTAGAACTACGTCGTTTTGCGTGCGCAAGCAAGCGACTTTGGCGACGCAGAGTGGTTCGACGGTTCAACGTTCGACTCCTATGACGATATGCAACCGGCGTTTATGGCTGCCAGGGATTATGTTTTAGGATGTAGCTTGCGTCGCGCTGATAACGGCTTCGTGGGGTTGTAAGTGACTTGAAACTATCTCTCAAGGGCCTATATGTGCCATCGTGTCGAAGTCAAAAGGTTGAAAAGGTTTGGCTTATTGCAGCGCTGGAATTATCATTTGCTTCCACCACAGATGTCAAGCAACTTCAGCTTCACCTTTTTACTACCTATTACATTACCCGCGTGAACTCTTCTGGCACACACGTATCTGAATGGGTGTGGGACCGTATGAGATGACCTGTTCTGTCCCGATTGTCTCACCTACCAAGTGATACCGATGTGCTCGTGCGCCCCAGCCACTTGAGACGGGTGATGGATACCCCAGCTCGAACAACTTCACCCTAGTCTGCTTCCGATATACGCGGATATTGCTTGCTAGTGGAGCTGAACAGCCGATGATCTGATGCCATGCTGACGGGCATATTGATCTGATCAGTCCACGGAACTTCCTTCCATGGTATTTCGATCTTGATTATAACCCGTTGGCTATAACAACGAGACTTGAAAATACCTCTGTACTTCGTGCTTAGCTTGTTACACTCTGGGTACACGTTTAGCTTGGCTCCAGCGCACGGCCTATCGGCCTCAGCTCTCGCCGCTCCTACTTAGGTTCCTTCCCGGCTCGTACTATTGGCTATGTGACTACTAAAATTGCAATTGACATGCATGATAAACGGGCCCCAAAGTGGTCTCCCACATGGCCCAAGGTAATTAGTAATAAATTCAATTTTATCATCGACATCGGTCTTGGTGGCTCAGTTGGTTAGAGCGTTGGTCTCATATGTCTATGACTCGGTCCTCCAGGTTCGAGATATCCAAAGGTCGTGAGTTCGAGTCTCTCCCAGGACAATCCGGTTTTTTTGTTGAATTTCTGCTCATTTCCCTCATTTCCGGCATCCAACTTTTTCCTGGTTGCGAACTTCTACTGCCTCGTGGAAATGCACAATGACCATAACGAAAGAGCTTTTTGTTGAATCAGACGGCTTGAGTGTTCCCTCGTAAGTCGCATTCTCTTGCACCTATTATTTTATGGGGTATTCTGCCCATCATATCCATACACCGCAACTCTTAGTCTCAAATATCATAACACTCTCAACCAGCACCATACTTCAGTATCTGTACACATGTAAATGAAATAGCGCCAGTTAGCGCCGGGGTCATCAGGTCTACCCAATTTATTCTTAAGGGGCACATCGTTGCTTCAACCATGCGGCAGGAACTCTGGAAGTATTGAGTCGCACATATCACCTCCAGTGTTGAACTCGCGCAATATCGTAGCATTGACATAGTGGCGTAGTCTGACAAACATGAGAACCTTTCAGAAGGTGGATGATGGATGATAGACGAATTTGCAATTATGATGACTAGTGATGCAACTACTGCGATCACCTTGATCCAAATCAAGGCGAAAAATGCATCACGAAGCTTGGTATATCTATGGGACTGCAGAATAACACAGGGTGTGGTATGACACTCACCGAGATCAGTATTATAGTTACCTCCGACCCTCAACTTGTGTGCGTGTTCGCGTAAAGGAAGCCCAACCGCTTCTCGTCATGGTGAAAACATCGAAATCAGCAAGTTTTAGGGAGCCCTCAGACGCCGTCATAAGCCCTCGTAGTATTGAAGCTTGGTCCACTCCAAAGCGCTCTCCGAGAGCGTCAGGAACTTCGTTCCAACATCATCAACAATTAGGAAGCCAACAAAGCCCTTAGAAAATGCCGACAATGTATCTCAAGAAAGAAAGCATGAGGACCATCAAGTCCGACCTAGAATGCCTTCGCTTTCAGTCATCAGCCCTCAGATCCCAGAAGGTTGCCCTCCGATCAAGCCCACAGGTATCGAAGCTTCCGTAAAGAAGCATATCCCTCAAAGCCCACGACTCCCGAAGGAGTGAAAGTCTTAGAAGCCGACAACCCACTTAGCCAACCATGTGTGTGTCAATGAGCCCTCAGAACCCTCCAGTGCGGCTTTAAAAGGTGGTCTTCTTGCCTTGGAATCCTCCGCCACCTCGCGAGAATCCACCGCGACCACCGCCACGACCACCACGGCCACCAAAGTCACCACGGCCTCCACCACGTCCACCGAAACCGCCACGGCCTCCACCACGGCCACCACCGCGACCCCCACCGAAGCCACCACCACCACGGCCACCGCGACCACCCTCACCGGGTTGTCTTTGAGCGGCATAGTCAAGGCGGATGGCACGCGCACCACGGCCCTCGCCAATGTAACTACCGTTCAGGTTGGTGAATGCAGTCTTGGCATCCTCAACGCTGTTGAAGGTCACGTAGCCAAAACCCTTGCGGTTACCCGACTCCCTAATCTGATGTTAATGCGTGGCCATAATGAAAGCAGGGGCAGGAGACATACTGGTCAGTGGGCAATCGAAGACTCTTGACTTCGGCTGCCTCATTGAAGAATGCGGAGATGACATCCTCATCAGCTTCGAATGGAAGGTTGCCAACGAAGAGAGTATCACTCTCAGGGCTGACGCTGTCACCATGTTGCTTGGCACGGTCGTTGGCGCGGGCATTAGGGGTGGCATCATCGGCAGGACGCGCAGTGGAAGGATCAAGTCTCAATCCACGGCCTTCGAGCTCGTAACCTTGCATTTTGTCCAATGCGGCCTGGCAAGCCTCAGCGGAAGAGAAGTCAACATATCCGAAACCGCGGGACCGTTGCATGGCCTTGTCAGTGACGACCCGGGCGCTGACAAGGTCAGCGCACTCAGAGAAAGCCTCGTGAAGAGACTCATCGGTGACACCCCAGCCAAGGTTTCCAACAAACAGGGTTGTAGGAGCATCTGAGTTAGCCTCGGCCTTGGCCTTCTTCACTGGTGCGGCGACCTCCTCCTCAGCCTTGCGCTTCTTGGAAGGTTCAGACTTCTTCTCCTCTGCCTCAGACTTGTCCGAGTCATCGCTGTCGTCGCTGTCCGCGTCGGAGTCATCGGAATCCTCAGAGTCTTCCGAATCGTCAGTAGACTAGTGAAGCCAGGGTCAGTACATGTCTTGTCTAGGGTGAGATGAATGAGACAGAATGTCAGGATAACGTACCTCCTTGGCGGCAACCTTCTTACCGGCGGCGGCAGCAGGCTTGGCCTTCTTGGTGGCGTCTTCATCCTCGTCGCTGTCGCTACTGTCATCGCTGCCCTCCTCCTCGGCATCCGAGGAGTCGGAAGAGTCTGAAGACTCGGTAGCAACGGCAGCCTTGGCCTTAGCCTTGCCATTGGTGGCGGCAGCGATCTTGCCGTTGGCCTTAGGTGCGGGCTTCTCGGACTCAGAGTCGGAGTCGGCGTCAGAGTCTGAAGACTCAGCATCGTCGGAGTCATCCTCGCTGTCGTCGCTGTCAGACTCGGAAGACGACTCGACCTTCTTCTTGTTCTTCTTGTCCTTGCTGGATGCCTTGGATGCAACATCCTTAGCAAGCTTCTTAGACTTGACGACAGGGGTGCTGGATGCCTTGGAAACACCGGCGCTCTTGACGGATGTGAGAGGGTCAGCGACCTTTGCGGCCTTAGTGCCGGATGACTTGGATTTACCCATGTTGACTTCGTTTAAGATGTGATTTTGGGAATTGGGATGAAAGCTGGGAAGTTGCAGAATGAAAGTCAGTTCCTAGGAGAAAATTGTGCAGGGAGCTGCTATTTAACGTGGCGGGCAGAAAAAAAATGGTTGGCGCTTGCAGAAAATTTCAATGGAGCAGGACCCTGAATCTGCTAGCAAGGCAAGTGGGCAAGTGGGCTATCCAGTGTGGGCGGTGAATGCTCGGTTTTTTTTCAGTAGCGCCCCTCTGGAAGCACGGATTAGCGATAAGGTTATCGTAACTGAGAACAAACCTGATAGACTCGCTTTTAGGATATGAGTATAACGGGTCGAAATAATGCATTGATGTCAAATCCACGTGACGTAGACTTCAGGGCGTTCCGAGCTCAAGCCAGGTGAAATTGAGCTCTTGAGAGCTAACGGAAGTGAAGACGAAGAGCTCCAGACGAAGGCCAACTCACATTTACGAAGTACGTACTCAGCTTCGTTTCAATTTCAACATCGGAGCCTCCGCCAACATGCCCACCCCCGAGTCCGCGGCCTTCCTGGCCAAGAAACCCAAGGTCCCTCCTACCTTTGACGGCGTCGACTACGATGACAACAAAGCATTGAAGGCTGCACAGGACGCTATTGTCCGCGAACAATGGGTGCAGGTCATGATGGGACGACTGGTGCGGGAGGAGCTCAGCAAATGCTACTACCGGGAGGGAGTCAACCATCTCGAGAAGTGCGGTCATCTCAGAGGTCAGTGGCTATTGAGGGCATCCGCCCCGTTTCGGTGGCGGCAGGCAGCTGCAAATGCAACTTAGCTACCAAGAAAATCAGAATCTGACAATTTTACAGAAAAGTATCTCTCGATGCTCGGGACTCACCGAGTGCGTGGATACCTCTTTGAGCAACAGAACTACCTTGACGCGCGACAGCTGCACCAGCCGGTCGAGCCGAAGAAGCAATGATGGGTTCAACCATTTTTTCGAAGCGCTGATTGAGGGTTGATGGGCAAATGAGCAATCAGTACATGCATGCAGGAACCTGCGATGATGCGGGCTCATCGCAGTGGCCGGTCTTATAACCAAGGATTTGGGTCAAATTGCTGGCCGGCTACATGACATGAAGCTCATATGTAGCAACGGTATATACACATCAATGCAACTCCATCAATTGGAACGTGAGAGTTCTCAATCTCTATATTCCATGAATGTTGAACTCTCAAATGTTGCGCTGTGACCGTTGAAGGCGTTCGATATATCGGCCGGCTTAAGGCATCTCGGCTTGTTCCGGCCCGCCTAACCAAAATTTCCGTAGAGCTTTACACAGCTTAGTACCTCAACCATCAGCCTAGTGGACAGGAGCCTGCCTTCACACAGCTCCCCAAGTCACAACCCACAATGATCTGCCGACGGTGTATATTACGCGCCCCGTCGCAAGCTGCACAAGCCGGTCGCCAGCTCACAAGGCAATCGCCATCTCTCTTCCGAACCCTTTCCACAACCCTCGCAAAGCGCAACGCCGCCACTTCTGCAGCAGCCGCAACACCAGCACCCGACAGCGCATCCCCCGAATTAGCGACGCCAATATTCAGCACACCACTAGCTGATGATCCTTCGGAATCAAAGCCGGCTCTCTCTGCCTGCCCAGAAGGCACCGTCCTGCAGGGTCTAAACTATTTCAAGAACAAGGCTGACCCCGTCGCGCTTGCCGACGATGCATACCCGGAATGGCTATGGCGCTGTCTGAAGGTGACGGAGAAGCATGTGGAAGATGGCAATACCGATGCCGAGGCGGAGTTCTGTACGTCGAATCCATGTTCCTCCCATCTTCCCTTCCTATATATAACTTTTTGGCCTACACTGCATGAAGAAACTAACACCGCACTCGTACAGCCAAATCCAAGAAACAACGTCGTCTTGCCGCAAAACGTCAACGTGCCCTCGAGGTCAAGCTCCTGGCCGAGGGCAACCTGGAGGTGCTTGCGCCTAAGATCCCGCTTCAGCAGCAGAGCATCAACATGCCGGCCAACGAGGAGGGCACAACGGAGGGAGCCATTGCGGCAGCGGAGGCACGGGAGGAACTGCGCAAGGCAATGCGCAAGGAGCGGAAGGCCAAGATCAAGGAGAGCAACTACTTGAAGAGCATGTGATAATTGTATAGAGTATTATCCGGACCTCGCATATGTCATGTAGCTACACGAAAGCAGGTCCGTGTCATAGTAGAAGATGTAAAAGCTGTATGAAAGGATGGGCTCAGAGGGTTTCATAACAAGTAAGCAACACATGCTACAGACCTCTCTAATGTGCTAAATCTTAGGGTATCATAATTGCCTTTCCGCTCATAAATATACGGCCCCAAGTACCGTCATCGAGTTCTTCACAACATTTCCCATCACGTGGAGTGATAATATACGCTAGATCAGTCATCTTAGCAGCAACCTGAATGGCTTCATCTGCCACTGATCGCAACACCTATGGTTGCGTTATTGACCAAAATGTCTCTTTTGCGGCTCCAGTTTCACAACTTCTGATTCAATCGTTGCGATTTCCTCGCAGTCAGACCTGCTAGTCGTCGTCCGTGATGCCGAGCGCAGCCCTCTTCAGGGAAATTTCCTGTTTGACGCTCTTCATGTTGTTCAGGATTCGCTGCTTTAGTATCGGATTAGTCATGGTTTGAAGCTCTTTCTCCTGATCCGCCAGCTTGCTCTGCAGCGCCACGAGTTCTTCGTGCATTTCTCTGCGTTCGGCCTCCTTTGCCAACTCCTCTTCGTCGAGCTCGTCCTCGTCGTCATCTTCGTCGTCATCGGACACGTCTTCTTCTTCCTCTTCTCCTTCATCGTCGCTTGGCTCATTGAGCGGCGCCGCAGGAGTAATGGCTTCTACCGTCATCGGTGTTGGTGTCTCTAGTTGAGTAGCCGGCGTCTCACTCTCTGCCATATCTTCGTCTGCTGCCTCGAATTCAGCCTCGAGATCGAGTTCGTCTATGGCCATTTCTTCGTTGTCCACGCTGTTTTGGCGGCCGAAATAGTCGTCCAGTTCATCTTCACCCTCGGCGTCTTCGTCGCCCATATCGGAACCGCCGTCGTCCTCATCTTCGGTGTATAGATACTCGGCCTTTGTTTCCAAGGCAGCAGTGTCGTCCGCAAGGAGTTTCTTAACCGTGGCCGACGTACTTTGGAGCTGTTTCTCCGACAAAACCTTCCTGAATCTACGATGAATAGCATCATGCATAGGAGGTGTCAAACCGTGCGGCCACTTAAGTTCCGTCTTCTGGGCCATGGCAGGAAGCGCAATGGCCTTGGCCTCCATCTCGTTCTTGACCTCGGCAAAACAGAGAAGCATCTGGGTAACATCGGAGTTCTTCATCATCGACTTGCGATCCCACGATTTCATAGCTTCTGTGATGGTAGGTAGGTCCACAAGGACCGCGGCGTAGTAGATGCCATTAACAGTTACCATCGCCCGACGTTCTTTACCATCAATAAATTGAATTCCTACATCCGCACCGCCGCTAGCTTTGGGGACACCAATAAGGCCTTCTTCCAACACTTTGTGCAGATATTCGGTCGATGGACCAGGTACGGCTCGGAGGATCATCACAGATTCTCGTACGGGGTCCTCCTCCCGGTCGCTGGCTTCTGAATCGTACGCCTCGCCGGCTTTGTGTTTAACGGGTTCGCCTTTTGGTCTGAACTTGATACTGCTGATGGGAGCTGTCGGAGTATATGCTGAGGTGGGTGTCTTGCCCGATCCTGTTTTCATCTTGATCTTCTGGATCTTTGCTGGGCGCGAGCTAGAGCCCTGGCCGCGTGACGCAGCCATAGGCATATCTTCATCGCTCTCATAGCCGCGCTTCTTAGACTCGACGAGTTTGGCGGTGGGCTTGGTAGTTCTGCCGACCTTGGTTTTGGTGACCACTGGAGTCGCGCCTGGTGTGCTGGGTTGGCTGTTGCTAACTTTGATCTTGATCGTCTTTCTCTCGGCAGAACCTGTCGCCGTTTCGCTACCAAAGGACTCTTGTCTCGCAGCTGTATTCAGCTTCAGAGTTGGCTTTGTTTTCTCGGTAAAGGCCGTAGAAGCAGCGGCATGGACTGTATCAGCAGTTGGAGGAGGAGGCATACCAGAGCCAGTATTCAGCTTCAGCGTTGGTTTGGTGCCATCGGTCGGCATTTTGACCGTGGAGCACTGCAGTTACCGAGTGTCGTATAATTTGTAGCAAATTAGACACCCGGCTAACAAGCAGAAGCTTTATGGATGCACAATGATAAATGTTTGACCTCGGGCTGCGCTTATAATTGTTGTGTCGCGCGTTTTCGGAGTTGCCTGGCGAAGTTCGTAGGCGACTTTCCAGTGAGGTCAGGTCGCGAATGTAGGGGTATCTGATGTGGGGCCAACTCTAAGTTTTGGCCCCGTCGGTACGTAGTACTTACTGAAGTGCGAGAGTACCAAAACTGCCCACTGCACATACTGCCGACAATATTTCTCACCGCCTTGCCCACCGCCACTCTTTCCAATTCTGGTAGCTTCAATCTGGAATCCCCGAATCCCCATCTTCAAGTCTCATCTTTTTCATTAACATTGTTACATCTTCGTTAGTCGCGCTCATCTTCTTGATCGAACCTGGGCGCTATCCCTGCCGAAAACAAGCCCCCGGCACTCTTCCCCTTGGCAGTCTCAACAGTTTGCAAGAATAAGGATAGGGTGTAGAGACTGGTCGTAATTGAGACGCTATAGCCTCACTCTGGACCACCTTTCGATACCCTAGTGGAAAGAGAGTCGTAGCGTGGCCTGCAGATGGCCGGAGGCTTGGTAGTCTGATTCTGAGTTCCACATCGCATCGAGAGAAAGCAAGCATAAGGCAATTGAGAAAACCTCAAAACTTCTTGCTTTGTTCGTCGATTCAACCATCGTAACAGTTATCCCACGTAAAACTCCTGCGCCTCGTAAAAAGAGAACGAATGACGCGCCTTCGCCCCTGCTTGAATGCGGCGGAGCACATCTGAGCGCCAGGACGACCCTCTGCCAATTCTCGGGCCTCGAGCGCTTGTCCATCACGACCCACGAGCTATAGCTGCTACGCACCTGCGCCGACTCCTTCATCCCCTCTTTTCTCGACATTTGCAACTATCAGCATCATGGCGTCAAAGGAGCAAACCCGGGCCACGTCTCCCTCCACTTTCTACCACGCACTTTTGCGCCCGACGGTCCTTCAGATCCTGCGCGCTCAAGGCTATTACAGCTGCTCTCCCACCGTCCTCGACACCATCACCGAGCTCGCCGGCCGCTATTTGACGAAACTGTCGCAATCGACCGTCTTCTTTGCAGAGCAGAATAACGAGAACCCCAACGAACCGACCCTCGTAGACGTACGCATGGCGCTGGAGAGTTGTGGTGTGTTTGGGCCAGCCGCCGATAGCGTGGCCGAGGAGTGGCGAAGAGAGGAAGACACCAAGGCCATCGAGAGCTTTATCCGCTGGGCTAAGGGCAAGAAGAATGCCAAGATCCGCAAGACCGCGAATGCGCTGCAGCAAACTGGATCGCTTGAAGCCGTGGATGAGCCAATGACTGACTACCTCGCTGGTATGTAGCTTCCCCTTCGTCCCCCTCCCAAATAGCCAGCAGGCTAACGTAATATGGTCATAGCACTCAAGAAGAAGCACAACAAGACTGATCAGGACTCCAAGTACGCCGGCACAGTTCTTGGCAAGGGGCTAGACTACGGCGAGATCATGGTCGAAGGCGGCGAGGCGGCGAGTATCCAGGAATGGGCCAAGATGATGCGGGAGCGACAACAGCGGCCTCCTGAGCCTGACTCCGACTCAAGACCTCCGAGTTCCGGCTTGAGCTCGCTGACGGATGGCGAGATTGACATGATGGACATGTCATAAACACCGCTGCGTTCGTATGCGTACAAGGTGGAAAGGGCATCGCATGGTTTGATGGTTGGCGAAGGCGTTTGGCGTTCTGAGATATCCGGCTTGGATGCTTGTTGTCATGGATCGGTACACATCTTACCGCTGTGCTTTTGGAATTATGGTATGAAACGTGGCAAGTGTGGTGGCAGGCTGCTAAAAGGCCTAGATTCCTGGGTAGGGTTTTCGGCATGGCTACCTCAAGCGTGTTTTTGATGCCGCAGAGGCTGACAGACGCGTCGAGAAGGGTGCCTCAGCTTGCCGCGGAGACTGTCTGTTGACACGTTCCTCGGGCCGTGGCATTGCAAAGCACAAAAGTCACCTGGCTTTGGTATGGATATCTCAAGATAGTCAAGATGACATGGGGACTAAAGCAACGTCTCCCTCATGCGTACTTCCAGCATGTTTTCAGATACCATTGTCTGAGTATACTGCACACAACTATGAATATACTGGCCAAATGCCAACATACCCTACTACATGATCACCCTTGTCATAGTACATGCGGTGAGAAGTCCACCTTGTTAAAATGGGCAGGGGCGGTTAATTATCCAAAGCTTGCCGGAACCGCGATTTCTTGCGTGAGGATGCAATACAGAGAGGAGCAACCATTCAGACGTATTACCAAGTAGGAGTCTTTAGCTGTAATTCAGGATATTTGATTATAGTTTTAATGCGAAGTGATGCGTTACAGCTTGGGTAACTAACCCCGAGGAATGACAAGCACTGATAACTGCGAATGCCACACACCGCCTTCTAACTTCCTCGAGGTTTGTGTACGTCTGAGATGATAAAGATAAGGTGAAAAGTGAAGTTTGGGAGTTTGGTGTCGCAAATACATCTCTCCCTGTGCCTCAAGACCGTCCATACTGCCTGCTATCGAAGATATTCTAGCGAGTGTATGCATATGCTGATGCTAATAGTTGAGACAAACGAGACCAACATACTTTCCAAGCTACGTCTATCTGTACGCAGCATCATCTTTTTGCTTCGAAAACAATCTGTCCATATGCCAGTGATTGTCCGTTTTGCCATCGAAATAGAAATAAATGCTGAGAAAACGCCTGCCTAATCCCAAGATATGTAATGAGATATATTGGCCTCACATGACTACACACCTCCGCTCCTTGACCTGACCGCCCCTCGGTGCATTCGAAGCCCACGTAACGTCAGTCCATGCCGCGCTGCTGGCAGTATCTGTGTCTTTCCTTTTCTTGTTCTTACGCCGGCCAGTCCACCCTCGTCCTTTGGCATCCTGCACGTTCTTCGCAGCGCTCCTTCTTGCCCGGCTTTGCGTCCGGGTCAAGCTCGTGTGATGGCGCAAGGACGATGAGGTCAATTGGGATGAGGGCACCGCTGGCACGGGAATTTGGTTGCTATGGTAATGGCGAACATCAACTCCATGAGTATGGTCACCAAAGCTCGCGACGCTGTACATGGTCTCGAGGCACTCAGCTGTAGGCCGTAGTGAGGTGGTAGAGCCCAGCGTTGCCCGGGGATGTAGGGGCACTGGTGCATGCAAAATGGGCTCGGGCCGGCTTCTCTGAGATGTTCGACGACCTGGAGGATCGAAGGCCCCAGAGACACCAGTAGGCGTGCTGATGATGAGCGGCTGTTCTGGTTCAGGAGCAGGAGGTTGGATGTTCAGAACTTGACTATGCCGCGTGGATGTCGGGGGGAAGGGATCTTGGGCGTCGCGTCCAACCGGCACGCGAGGAAACTGGAAACTACCCGAAGCCCTACGCGGAGCCGACGAATCCCGTCGATTGTGCAAGCTTGACAGCTGATCTGGCCTTGGCAGCGGAGGTAGAGCCGCAGCTATGATATCGGTGTTGTTTGCGCCTGTTGGAGGAGCCGAATGGGGATAATTTGCTGTCACGGCTGCCTGTGCAGCTTCAGGCTGCTCTGAGGCCAGTGGCCAAGTCTGCGTATTGGAAAGTCTTCCAACCGCGTGGTTCGAGACAGCCTCATCTTCGACCCATGCATTACCAATAGTGGCCGAGGGTATGAAAACATCGAGAGCGTACGGGACAGCTGAAGGGCGAGAGGTCCCAGCCATGACCAGATGCGATGCCGATGCCACTGACGTGCCATCTGACGCCGACGGAATGGTACCCCAAGACGGGGCGTTAGAATGCACACGTCTTTCTTGGGTGCCATTCTGCGAGGCTCCCTGGACCGGGTATTGAGCCGCACCTCGAAGTGATTCTACTGGTGACACGTCGGAAATGTCCCCTTCGTTGCTTCCTTGACTCTGGGTATTGTCAAGTGGTGTCACGGAACGAGAAACTCCCCTGCGCAAATCTAGCCCCTGAGATGCAATGTTGTCTGCAGAATCGCTTGGAACCCTCTGGTGACCAGGGGCTCGCTGCACCCAAGGTGTCCCAGAGTTCCGCTGTCGTGCGGGAGACGTCTGAATGCGGGGCAACTCCGGTCGTGCAGATGGGGCCCTTGATGGCTCCTGGGGCGGGAGCTGCGTCGCAGGTGGAGGTGGCACCTGCGTGTCTCTAGCGTCGAGGCGGACACCGGGAATCGCAGCATGGCGAAGGAAGGCGGGCAAGTCCCCTGGGTCTTCCTTAGCATACGGCGGGGGTGGAGGAACCCAATTGTCAGCATCACTCTCGTGAGGGTGCTCTGCTCGCCCGTCTGCCCGTCTATACTCTACGCGCCCTGCCGTCGCTGCTGAAGGATGCAGACGACGGTTGACTGCCGCGGCAGTTGCGGCACGGCGCAATGTCGTGCCTGAGCGAGGACTTGCATGTGCGTAGGGCGCATCAAGAGCTTCCTGGGCCTCCTCGAGCGTGGCCTCTTCGGGCCCTTCGGCTGCTTCGTTAGAAGGTGCACGAGCTTCCATTCTAGGTCCGATCATGCGGCGGGGAATCAAAGGGTCGTCCTCATCATCTCTGTCAGGAAGTGGGGACACATGTGGCCGTAACAGAGACTCCGACTGGGAAACTGCAGTCGGTGCGGAGCGCATAATGCTCGATCGATTCCCACCTCGCTGTGCCACTGTTCTTCTTCGAACTATGGCCACTTCAGTCGCCATATCCCGATGCTCTTCTTCCAGAACCTCGGGTTCTTTAGTGCCCACCTCGATCGTGAGATCTATCACCTCCCCATTCTCTATCCCAAAGTCAAAATCGAAAATCGTGACCCTCCCGCCGTCCACAAAATCAATCTCGTCTTCTTCGGTGATAGGCTTGGGCGGTTGTATTCCACAAGCGGCAATGATCAGGCGTTCTTGGAGTAGACTGTTGCCGTACTCGGCCACCCATTTCACGGTACTCACGCCTCTCAACTCAGCCAGCTTGCGACCGCTGACGAAAGTATTTCGATACTTGTCACAGAGAACCTGCCACTGGGGAACTCTGCCACCGTTTGTTTCTTGCGCCCGCGAAGAAGTGCGGACAGAAGGCGGACGATTAGCTGGCAAATTACCCCGACTGCTCGTGCCTGACGGCCCAGAATCTGAGGGAGCTGAAGTTGAGTCGGAAACGGCCTCCAAGTCTTCAGGTATACCATAAAGCCAAACATCCTGGCCCTCAAAGCCAGCCGACACTAGCTCCCCACAGTACGAAGCCGCAGGTAAAGTACACGGGAGTAGCGGCGGTTGGGTGTTGGGAATTGGCCCTGTGAAATATGTAGTTCCATTGCGGAGGTCGTCTATTCGCACCGCACGGAACGTCTCGAAGCTCCTGTCGTACGTGAAAGTCCAACTGGCTTCTTGCGAGCTCGACTCCTGGAGAAGAACAGCATGGCTGCAGTCCCGGCTCGTATTCGGGAACAGAATCGAGGCAGTCCACAGCGCACTGATGTTATCGTCGCCCATGTGACTTCCAGGGTCGTAGTACGGCGCAGTCAGAATGACCGTGTTTGGCGGCTGTGTGTGGGTGGTTGTTCCAAGTAATTGAGTGCCGTCGAAGGAGAAGGCCAGTGAGTCGACACCGTCGCATTTGACCGCTCTTCGTTCTGTCGGCAAGGCTCCGGGACTAAGTGAAGACACTTCTATCCCGCCTTCGTAGGCAGCTGCCAGCACACTGCCGCACGGCGACATAGCAATGGTGCGAGGGGTATGGTCGAGAATCAAGGATTGAGTCCGCTTGGGGGGCTTTTGGCGCAGGTCATACAAGTCGACTTGCGTATCGGTTGACAAGACGGCAAGCACGCTGCCGTCATCGAGAATGCATGTAGATACTGGCCGGCGGAGAATCTTCAACTCCCTTTTCACGTCCAGCTCTGCGCCCCTCAGGTCGATAACATAAATGCGTGACGAGTTGTAGGCAAGCAAATGGTGGCCGCGCGGCGAGGGGCTGAACTGCATGCCTTCGCCGCCGGGCACCGAGGAGGAGCTGATCGAGTTGGAGATGAGCTTGACGGTCATCGTTTTGGGCCGGAGGTAGGCCTCGAACAGATTCCTCTTGACCTCGCGGGCAAAGAATCGACGCAGTTTCGGCAAGCTGTCGTTGTTCACCGAAGCCATGGGCACGGCATTGTGAGTGGCTGAATATGAGGGACATCGCGAGAGGTGGAGCGCGTAGAGATGCGCCTGTTGAGAGACGCACCTCCATTTCGAATTGAGGAGAACCAGAGATGCAAAGGAATTCGGGTCAACAAGTTGAAGTATTCTGAATGACGGGCGCAAGTTAGAAACACTCTAGCTCCAATGTTGCAACTGATTACACTATGCTTGGGAATACGCACTGCTGAATGATCTCGTCCGGCAGTCTGACGAAGGCGGACAGCGCCCTTGCCGTCGCCGTCTTGGTGGGTTTTTCATCCATGGCCGACAGAGGGCGGCGGCCTGTTGTCGGCAAAGTATCGCAAATCCGTCGCGAGCAGTTTGAAGTCGATATCAAACTGTCGAGAATTGTGATGGCAGGTGTGAGCAAGGATGTGGACTTAGTCAAGAGGACTCCATGTGCGCCATGGTGCCGACTATTGCCCCGATTGATGAAGTGCGCTCCGCTGCGTCGGTATTGTTACGTTGCTTGGTTGTTCGGGTACTTTCCCTCGTTAGGATGGCCCCTTTCTGTTTGCCTTCTGTATGGCACTTTATTTCTGCTGGTCTCGACCCACTGAGACGTGACAGAGTATGGTGACAAGCGACAAATGGACTGACGCGGCAGCACACCCAGGGCAATTACAAGACCAACCAGCGTCAGGGAGAATTGGGAGGCGGAGTGCTTCGTAGTTGGCCAATGTTTTGGTCAGCTCTTGCCCTCAAGCCATTGGAGTGCGCTAGTGTATGGATATGCTAGGCACCAGGCGGATTGACGTACAAAGCCATCAAACAGCTTTGAAGAATGCCGGGCGGCGTCCTTTTTGGACTCTTCTTTCCAGGTTTACGTCTTTAGTCACTCTAGCGGGTCGAAGTGGATCTCGGCGTACTTCTGTACCCGAGGCGGCTGCTGGGATGCACCTGCAATGCAGTTGGCATTAGTGGAATGATACAGAAACTTAGAACATCGGTGCTGGACAACGAGGCGCTTGTACTGAAGACCTTCTTTTCGCAATTAGACAACTTTTGCAGCATCAATCATCGAGTTTCGAAGCGAATGGACCGTTTTTTTCTCTGCACTTTGATCGGCTGCAGGGGTCCGCTATAAACCGGATGGCGCCTCGCGGTGTGGAGGGCAATCCCCGCTACTCTCTATATTTGGATCTGTCATACTTGGGCAACCCTTGCTATTTCATCAACAATTTTTGACATGTGGAGCCAGAATTGATTTATCTGTTGTGAATTTTCTTATTGAGCCAGGTAGCTACAACTATCCAACTTCGTTTGATGTTTTCTGCCCTAGCTGTTGGAGATCCCGATGAATACGGCAACCGTGCTCCGTACATAGTGGGCATCTCGGGTAATCGATCCTGCTTGGTGGGCACAAGAGTCCACATGAGCAACAATGTGATTCCCTCTCCCCCAGTGAGGAGTTTGACGAGCTACAATCCCCCCTGTTGCCAAGATGACATGTGGGTCTGTATTCCCCACATATATGTCTTTCCGATGTGACCCACATGTCAGTCATCTTGGAATCTCACCACTTGACCCTTTCGTAATTTGAATTTGAACTCTTACAACTTTACAACTTCCAATTGAAAGATCTAGCAATAGTCGATCACTGATCGATCAGAGATGCATCTTCGCTTTGTTTTTCTTTGGACTATCCAAATCCGTTATTCAATCTGCCGCCAAGTGATCGATTAGTAATGCCTACCCTTCAACTAGATCCTGAATGGCAAACACTATTATACCCAGACAATCGCTCTAGCCAAGCTATTGTCGACGAAGCTATCGACGAATTCCAATTGGTCTACCCTGAAGTGCTTAATATCGAAAGTGCACGAATTGCAGAGGAACAGGTAATACCATCAGAGATCGATAGTCGATCGGTTACTAATCGATTAGCCCCAATATATTACCGATCAAACCGAGAACCTTACCCTTATTTCGGCATCAAAAAACAATGATTTAGCAACGTCGATTTTCGCTGATACGATTATTTATACACCCAAATTGCCAGAGTGGCCTCAATCTTCCCTTAACGGAACTGCATACGTGATCCTGGTCGATAGTAAAAATGAGGAGAAAGCGAGGAAGTTCTGGAAGAATGTAAGTTAATCGGTCCACGACCGATTAGTAGTAATTAGTTGCTAATCGATTATATTTTAGATCCAGTTCTGCCAGGCTGGTCGTACTACTAAGTCCACCTGTGCATTCTTGGATAACGTTGAAGTTGAACGTCGTTTTTACTACTGTACTGGGTATAAAGGGTGTGAATACTTAGACGGATCGATTATTAATCGATCATTCTTCGCTGTTTCGACAAAAGAGTTTAACCTCCAGGAACAGGTTCAGGCACAGGTTGAGCAAGCACGAGCAGACCAGCCATGGATGGATGCATTAGAGTAAGTTAAACTGATAATTCTAGATCGATTACTAATCGATTTAGCTGGCTATACGGTAGATTAGGACTACTTGAAGGCCATTTAAAGCCTGGGAAGACTGCTACTCACTATAAACCATAAGAGCGTCTTAGAGACCTGCAAAATATACTTTACGCAGTATAACGGAGTAAGTTACTTATCCTTATCTTGAATCGGTTTGTGATAGGTTGCTAATCGTTTAGACGGTTTCTAGTGTGCCTCAGTGGCACTTACAGTGCGTTAACAAGAACCCCACAGTTAAGGACGATCAGCATATTAGCCATATGTACGAACAAGTCCCGCGGCGCTGGAACTGTCACGACCTGGGTTGCATCGCATTGGTAGAGACCTCGATTAGGTGCTATCGACGAAGATTCTACTCTAAGGAGCGAAGGAAAGAAGATGACAACTTAGGTTTGAGGGAGCGCGACTAAGTCGTCCACGCTTGGCGGGGCTCCTACAGGGGTTATGATTGGCTTCCCATCTGGCACTGCCACGGCAGGTGTTCCAGCTGTAAGTCACCTGGTTGTAGTGAGTCTGCGAGGGTTGACCTTCTGTCAGAGAACAGAATGCCATAGGCACCAGTGGGTGTCAGGACACTGAATGCAGGACACCGGTGGGCTGCCGGAGGGGTGTTTCGGACAAAAGACTCCCGAGTCATGATTACAATCTATGTGAAGCTTTGGGATGACGAGAGTCAAGATCCTTGGCATCGCCGACCCTGCTGTTATGCCGGGTCCAAGCGGCGGCCTAGCTATCTATATAAGGACCATCTCGAAGTAGGATAGGGAAGGAGTTGTCAGAGCCACAAGTGTCATCCGAGGCGGGCCGGCTTCCACCAGGTAGGAAGCCGTTTGTGGCGGCTAGAGAGCCGCTTGTGGCGAATGAGAGCCGTTGAAGCCGTTTGCAGCGGATAGGGAATCGCTTGGTTGCAGATAAGGAGCCGCTGTCCAAGATATTGGCCGAAGTCGGAGGAACACAGACATACGGAAGCAAACATCCAGAATCCAAGAGAGAACCTCGGCTGGCTATAAGTAAGGAGTCGAGACGGAGGAAGATAGAGAGGGCAGAGATCAATGCATCATCGTGGGCACCCCTACCTGAGACCGCCAGTGACCACCCGGTGCTACGTAGGAGGGACGCCCGTTACTCCCCATCACTCTGTACTATTGCCTTCGGCCTAGCCGTACCCTGACACCTTCACACTGCCAGACTAGGCAGCCCTTAGCGTTGTCCTTCTTCTCAGGGGGGCATTCTAGAGCCAATCGATTAGCAATCGGTCTTATATCGATATATAAATAATTAATTACTTACGATTAGCCTTTTTACCAGCAGCCTTGCAGGTAGGGCAAGCGGTCCCGAAAAAGCCAGCAATCTTTCGCATTGAGATAGTATCAAGCTTGCCAGTCTATAGTAGGTTAATTAGTAATCGATCTACTATCGATCAAAGATCAGTCCACATACCTTAAGGCGGATCGGTATCTTGTTAGGGCTAGCATCGTCCTTTGAATTGACCTCGCTAGGTCGCTTCGAGCGCGGCTTCATGGGCGTGGTAGAAGGAGCTGGAGGCGGGGAAGGACGGCCTGTAGGAGAGCTGAATCGATTAGTAACTAATCAAGCATCGATTAACTATCGATACTTACCCATCCCTACCCTCAAGGGCGTCGGTCTCCTCCGTCAGGTTGTTCTCCTCGCGGTACTGAGTAATACGATCAACCATGTCGGTGTAGTAAGCTACATTAGATCGATTAGCAATCGATCTACTATTAAGCACTCCGATATAGCCTACTTTCAACCGTAACCGACATATGCATCCCAATAGGACCTGGAGTGGACTCTTAAGCTCCATCTTGTGAACCTTGCGGACGTGGTGACGAAGGTTAGTCGGAGTAAACGGCGTCTAAGAGACAAATCAGTAATCGATTACCGATGAGTCTTTAACCGATTAGCAATCAATCAACTGTACGTTTTTCGGGCAGAGCTTGCTGCCAAGTTTGCAGCCGCAGAAAAGAGAACCAGGTGGTATCTCCACAGTTAACGCGCCAGGAATTTCCTATCAATCGATTAACAACTGATCAGTCATTGATTAGCAACCGTACCTTGCCCTGGTCATCTTTGGCAGTCACTTCAGGGAAGGCCGGGAACCCAGCAGGACGAATGGCCCAGCTCTTGTACGTCTGGTACGCGGCCTATATGATTAGTTAGCAAAACACCCTTGATTAATCGCGTCGAGTAGTTTACGGATTGCTTGTACACGTCCATGGCTATAACCGATGGTAGATAAATAGCTGATGGATGGGCGCTAGTTGGTAATCCAGTTGGTGATAGGGTGTGAGATACGTATGAAATAGAGGAAAGATTGTGGGCTGACGAAAGTTTTGATAGGTTGCTAGAGATGTGGGGCTAATTCTGCCAGAGGCCACTAGTCTGGATTTGGAAAAGTGGGTACACCCAAACTGTCAATTGATCACTGATCGATCTTCAACTTATTACGCACACGCTACTCTATGCTCCACTAAACGACCCATATGTCATCTTGGCAACAGGGGGGAGTGTAGCTCGTGTGTGCACTCTCAGCCAGTCGCAGTTTACGGCCGCCCCCAGCATCACCTTAAAACTATTTTTGGAAAAGGCGAATCGCCTCTCAAGGCGGGGTGGGTCGTGGGAACTTGTCATTGCGCATTGCAGGAAGAAACAGCTCTCGATTCAATACGTTGAGTCTCGGTGCCACACACAAGGCGAGAGCAAATTCTTTTTGCAGCGCAGATTGGCCAGGTCATCCGGCTACTTAAGTAGTGCCAATTTCCGATCATAACGTTTGGCGCAACTGGCGACTTTGAAGTAAGATCCAGTTTTTAGGAGTGGCCATTGAAGATTGGCAATCCCCAGGTATAGCTGGGGAGCTGGCAAATAATAGAAGCCCAATGGCTTCGGTGCACTACCCATGCCACGCCCCACTTATTTCGGATTTGCTTGAGCTCACCAACTTAGCCAGTTTTTCGCTGGATTTCAACTTTCAATTAGAACCTACGTAATAACCGCTAACCAAGGCCTATCTCGAAGACATCTGTAGGCTTTAATTAGCTTATTAATCGACGTCTTCTAGCTTCTTTTGCGGTATTACTACTAGATTAAAGGTAATAGTTCTTCGTAGCGCGCTATTATTTTAATATACGTTCGGCGTACTTAGTACGACTAGGATCGCGCTTAGTCTATATAAGTTCGGTCGTATTAACGAGGGATCCTTTAATAAAGCGACTAAGTCGATAGGCTAGATCTAGACTAATACTAAGCTCTAGATTAGTAAAGTAGTTCGTAATCTTAATACCTATTTTATTAATTTATTATTATTATTATTATTATTAAATACTTACTAGCACAAACCCTTACAGACTCTTTAGTGGTTTACGCAGCTAGACTATTATGTAACGAAACCTCTAATAGTCTAGCTGCGTAAACCACTAAAGAGTCTGTAAGGGTTTGTGTTAGTAAGTCCTGCTGCGGAGTCCTTTAGCAATAATATCGGGGTCTGACGTATGGAGTATAGTGCTTTGGGTAACTGAAGTATTCAAGTAGGGTAATCGGGAATAGAGTCGTTAAGGCAGTTTGCCTCACCAATGGGTTAGATTGATGCTTAGATTGATCACTGAAGCAGAGACTGTCTATCTATGAAATGCCTGGGAGTCCTGTCCCTTATATATCTATCTCTCCTTCACTGATCTCGTTGGATCACTTGGATCACGTCGCTCCTGGTGATCCCTATCACGTGACCTCTTCCTTTAGTCGGGGGCCTAGTTGTTCCTTTCCGTCCTTATGGGGCTTTGTTCCTGCGGGGTTCCGTCATGGCCTATTGTAGGGCCTGTCGGGTTGGTTTTGGCCAGGTTAGAACCAACGGTTCGTAACACTCCCTATCTCCTTCCCGGACACCTGCCCCTTACATAGATAGCTAGAGCCCGGAGTCGGAGCCGTAGAGCACTAGTTCCTCTGATTGTTCAGTATACCAAGACTTCTATATTAGGTCATGACTCGCACGTCCCTACACCGGGGCCCCACCGGTGTCCCACCGGTGCCTGTAGCATTCAGTTCTCTAACAGCCGAGTAGATAGTCCCCGTGAGTATAAGGAAAGCTGGTATTACGTCGCTAGCAGCAGAGATAGCTTTAATAGCTGTCGCCGTCTCTCTATTTTCTAGTAGGCCGAAGTAATAGGCCCTCTTATGCTTAATAATGATAAGTTAATCCTTACTATTACTAATCCGGAAGCTAGTCTCGTCTATATTCTAGAGATCAGAGGGATCCATTCCTTCTTCCCGGAGGACTCTCTCAAGCCGTATAAAATACTCTCGTATAGTGTCGAGGTTTTCAGTAGTCTAGTAGTATAAATAGAGCTTCCGCTAGGAAGCGTAGAAGTAGCTATAACGTTTAAGGAAACGTATAGTCTAGCTTAATCCGACTATTAGTAGTAGCTGATCTAGTAAAACCTTAACTCTCTCACGTAATATCGTATTTATAGCGTCGGTAATAAATTCTACGCGAACCTTAAGATTAATCCTATCAAGGCGGTCGATATAATTATAGAGGGCCCTTTCTTCGGCTTCAGATAGTAGTTTATTAAGTCCTCCGTGGTTTTTAGTCTTCCTAGCTTGTGTTACGAACCGTTGGCCCTGAACCAACATTACAGGCCCGTCGGCAGGCTAGGTGGTGTGAAGGTCAACCCTCGCAGACTCACTACAACCAGGTGACGTACAGCTGGAACACCTGCCATGGCAGTGCCAGGTGGGAAGCCAATCATAACCCCTGCAGGAGCCCCGCCAAGCGTGGACGACTTAGTCGCGCCCCCTCAAACCTAAGTTGTCATCTTCTTTCCTTCGCTCCTTAGAGTAGAATCTTCGTCGATAGCACCTAATCGAGGTCTCTACCAATGCGATGCAACCCAGGTCGTGACAGGTGGATACAGACGCTAGGATCACGGGACCCCACATCGGAGGAAGGAAAGGACCGATAGGTCACGTGATCTACAGGGGTGGATATGTTGGATATGTTGGACAACCAACATATCCAAGTGGGGATCAGTGAAGGAGAGATGGGCATATAAGGGACAGGACTCCCAGGCATTTCATAGATAGACAGTCTCTACTTCAGTGATCAATCTAAGCATCAATCTAACCCATTGGTGAGGCAAACTGCCTTGACGACTCTATTCCCAGTTACCCTACTCGAATACTTCAGTTACCCAGAGCCCGATACTCCATACGTCAGACCCCGATATTATTGCTAAAGGACTCCGCAGCAGGACTTACTTACTAGCACAAACCCTTACAGACCCTTTAGTGGTTTACGCAGCTAGACTATTAGAGGTTTCGTTACAGCTTGCTTAACGCGGTATCGGAGGGTCTCGCGTTTTACGCCGCTTTCTCGCGCAATCTTAGCAATTTTAGCTTAAGGATACTCTTACATGTAGAGGACGGCTTCCTATAGCTATGAGTCCATTACGATTAGAAGAAAAAGCTGATAAATTGATAACGATAGGATAGGTTGAAGTTAAAAGTATCGAAAAACTGGCCAAGTTGGTGAGCTCAAGCGAATCCGAAATAAGTGGGGCGTGGCACGGGTACAGGGTTTATCCACGTAGCGTAGCAACCAACAATCAAACCTTCGATTTCGAATCACCAGTGTCGTTGTAAGAACTTGAATAAGGATGCCCTCCTAAGCTCTTGAGGCATGTTTGGCGGTCAGTTGACAGCAACGGCCGCGGCCGCAAGAGATTGGATTTCGACGCCGATACCCGTAAAATATACACCTACAATCACACCCCGGTCATTCTCAATTATCATGACTCTTAGCATCACATAGTTTGCGCAACTTTTCGTTACACCACGACGTCAGTGACAGCAATGCGAGATGCCACAAGATATCTGCCAGTTCAGATATATGGAATGATCGGGAACATGAGAATCTGTGCTCTTGTATTGATGCATGGTTTGTAATACCGCACTCTGATCCTTGAAGTTTGACTTGATTTCTTCACATTTCATGTGCTGGTACATTTACATATCACTGGACCTCTCAAGACCCTCAACAGACACAGACAAGTGTGTCTGATACCTCGAACACGCCAATTGAGTAAGGATCGGCTCTCCGCCGGGAAACTCTAGGGCTCCCTGTCAGTCTTTTGTCGTCTCTGCGACAAAGGACAAGGGCGGCCACTTCAGCATCTCGCCCCCAGCCCCAGCTGGGTTATGGACTACGAAGTGGCAATACCTTCTGTCATCAGCAACCTTGCAAACTCATTATACACGAGGATGGGGTCGGGGATCTGGCGGACTTCTTTCCACGTCCAAAGGCCTCTAATATTCTTGCGCCTGGCTACAAACATAATGCATACCCTGAAATCAAGAGTGTTCCAGAGGGGCTCAAGAAATAGCTAGTTCGCGGGGTCGAACGCATCCGTGGTCAGGTTGAGCTCGGTTGGTCAACTTGCTACCTATTCTTAGCTTGATCCAGCGCTGCTACCCATGTCCTACAGACGTGGAGATATTTTCAGCGTTCGGCTATGCTAAGAAGCTACCCGCGATAATTACCCTACAGCTAGTACATGATTCAGATACGGCACTGAGTAAGGCTATCACATTTCACCGCAAGGGCACTAAGCTCCAACTGGACGTTACCATTGATCATGACCAGGGAGAACCCCATGTTTGCCCCTGCGTAGCCTTCCAGAAGGAGACGCGGGAAGGTATGCTGGAGCAGGGGATCAAAGTCAGAATCAACTTCCCAGGCCGTGTCATTTTTCCTTTTTGACGATGTGGAATCCCACATTGCGCGGAACATCACCACTTCGATCTTGGCCTCTCGGCAGAATGATACGCAGTCCTTTTAGTTCAACTAGCTATCCAAGTCCAAAAACAAGGGCGCATGGTATGAAGTGGTCACCAGAAGTCCGATGGTTCTGAACATGCTGATCTATGAGCCAACGGGGGCTATCGCTGCTACTCCAACCTTCTTCGTCCCTGAGGTCGTGGGTGGTGTACGGTATGTCTAAGTTTTAATTCACCCTCATTTAAGACTGGGAAAGCAAGTGCTGACTCTTCACAGGAACTGTGACTATCGTTTCTCTTGGGCGTGAGACAGCAGCTTCACTACCTACATCATTCTGCATCTGGGCTTCACCAAGGAGGCAGGTGCCTATATGGAGTTCATCAACGAGTATCGAAAAGTCTGCTACCAAGGAGAACGGGCTTCCCATCATATTTACAATCCGAGGCGAGACGAACATTCCAAAACAGGAGCTCGAACACCTGGATGGCTACGCAGGTAGCAAACTCATGCAACCTTCCGCCAACAGTTTGGCATTTACGGCGAGTTGATAGGTGCTATCTATCTCCAATAAGTGATGAGTTTAACGTCCATGACACGAAGTCTGTGATGTGTTATTGATGGTGAAATGTTAGAGACTCATCAGGTACTAAGTCTTATCGTGTACTAGCAACAAATTCGGCAAACACAGGCAAACCTATTTCATGGGATACGTGGGTTTCGGTGCAGAAGATGATCGGTCAATCCGTTTCCATGTTCGCCAACTGTAACTTTGACAGACTTTCTCAGACAACCGTCTCACTATAGTTGACTTTGAGCACTATACTGAGTCTCCCTTCCCATCCTCTCACAAATAACGTCAGCTCAGTGCCATACACGTCAATATGAGAATTCCAGAAAAAACAAGCAGCACTTCGTGTACTCAAAGATCATGATTTGGGTAGCATTCGATCACAGCTTGCGTCCCGCCGACAAGTGTTGCCTTCCTTGTCCGAACCGCACCAAGTGGCTAGCAGCTCGAGACGCCAGACATGAGGATATTTTGGAGAAAGGTATGTATGGCATGCTTACAGAATGCGGAACTGGGTTGGCATCTAATCGCAGCAGGATACAATAAGGAGCTGGGATGCAATGCCCAAAGCTATGAAAAAAAAACAAGATGCTCGACTCGTCTCTTCTTATCGCCCTGCCCGTGGGTACGTTACTTGGTCTGTTTTGGACTACCATCTTAATAAGCCGTCGGCTTATATAGGACAGCATAATAAACAATAAAAAATGGCCCCAGAAGTAACCTAAGCCCCTGATGATGTGCTTGCCAGCAGACAATGGTTAGTATGGCACTCGTAAGCGACGTTGCTTTTCATCATGAGCTGTGGTATGTGGGCCCTCCATGTTGAATTGGAGGGATCGTCACCTTACGGACAACTAGACTAAATTGCAGTAGATTTGTGCGTACGTATTTACCTAACTTCGAGTTTGAAACTTCAACTTCCGAGTTCGTGCGTCAAGATGGCATCAACGCCTGACATTTGTTCATGACAGCGGATAATGCCGTCAGTGATGACCACTTTAAATAGTGTATGTATATACAGCCCGAAAAGCAATGCTTTTTGGAACCAACAACTCCAACCATAATTGTCATATAGTCAAATACGCGCGCGCAGCGGCATAGTTCACAGATCGTCTACATCATCTTTCTCATCACTGCCGCCGCCATGATGCCCGGCAATCAGCTCTGTCATGTCCTTCATCCTGTAGTCTAGTATGGGTGTGATCCAATCATCCTCGACCAAAGAGTACGTCTCCTTCTTGTTGTCCTTGGGTTTGCGCGGGTTGACAGCCCAGTACCCAAAGTCGGCGTCGAGCATCTTGAGGAACCGCAGAAGGTTTTGCCAGTAGTTTATGTCTCCCGCCCCGGGCTGCTGCGGGGCCCCGAACTCGCCAACCCATACAGGCGCAATATCCTGCTCGACCAGGTAGGCCCAGTTGCGCCGCATGGCGCGAATGAAGGAGGCGTAGTTGCGCTTGGAGTAGCGGCCCTCGGAGCTGCCCCAGCCGGACCAGGCGTACACGTGTGCCGAGTACACGACGCGGTTATCGACGTCGAGCTTGACGGGCCGGGCCGCCGCGCCGAACAGGTCATTACCCGATTCCGTGCCGCCCACGATGATGAGCCAGTCGCTGTTCATTTTGAGCAGACGGTTGCCGCATTTCTCGGCGGCGGTGGCCCAGCGGTTCCAGGGCATGGTCCCCCAGACGCCACGGACCTCGTTGCGCAGGTCGGCGCCGATGACACGCGGGTTGTCGACAAAGCGCTCCATAATCGTCTCCCAGTGCTGGATCCACTCCTCCTCACTCTGTTTCACGCGGCATATGGGACCCAGGTGATCGTTGGCCCAGCCGGCGTCACAGGGGTCGGCGCCGCAACACCAGGTGGCCGTGGTGATGTGGTTGTTGATGATGACGGCGATGCCAGCATCGGTCAAGGCGGTGACGCAGGCCTCGTAGACATCAAGGGCGCGCATTCCCACTAGGTCTGGGTTTGCCGTCAACAGGTGCGGCAGGATTTGCGGGTTCGCCATGACCATCTCGTCGGCGTACGGGAGACGCACGCTGTTGAAGCCGAGCATGCGGATCGTCTCGGCGATGACGGATCGGTGCTGCACATCGAGGCCGCCGGGTACGAAGAGCTCATCGCTGGCGCCGTACCAGTTCACGCTTGACAACTTGTACCGCCTCCCCTTCGTGTCGACGACATCGCGGCCTTTGGTCGACAGCGGCAGTGCGTAGGTGGCGATGCTAGTGTCGGGGATCGGGGGCGGTAACGGTCGCTGGCTGAAGAGTCGGGCGCCGGCATCGGGCTGCCAGTGCACGCCGAGCGCTGCCTCGGCCTTCCGAAAGTAGTGCACATAACCTCCCAGGAAGAAGGCGAGAAGAGACACGAGGATGAGCATTGTACCTGTGCCTGTGCCTGTGCCTGTGCCTGTGCCTGTGCTTATTCCTCTTCTAAGCGAATGCGAATTTGCTACTGCTGCTACTGCTTGCGCTCGCTTGGGGTTCAAAAAGTGCTTTGTCGAGAAGGTGCATAGGCATCGAGCCCATTGTCGCCTCTACACGGTGTGTCTCGATTTATGTCGTGTGGTATGGTAGGTTGAGTTGAGAGTGGGATGGATGTCTTGGCAGGGCGAGACGTGGGAAGTCGGAGCAGGTGGATGGATATACCGGCAGCAGTGACGTTGAGACCTTGAGGTCGGGCCATCACCGAATGCCGGCGGATCCCCAAACCGAGGCAGCGTACGGTCATTACCAACATGGAAATGCTCCAAGTTGGCCCCCAAGAAGCGGGCAAGACTCATTATCTTGAGCGTACATGGCAGCCACTTCAACATTATTTACCGTCCTTCGATCAATTGTTCTCAATTGATTGAGATAAGCGAGAAACCAATTTTAACCATCGCCTCTAACATATACCTGTTGCTTAGGTGCTCGATAAGTACAGTAGCCTGAGTACCTTTGGAAGGTGATGGGCACCTTTCGCTATATCACACATTCGCCCTGTGGGCGACAATTTGTCAAGACACTTATCCCTGTTTGCTCAAGTGCCTATCTGTTCATCTAGGCGTCACCAAACCAGCAAGTCACCATCGTTGGGCAATGAAATTGTCAAGTACTTTCGATACAGGTCCGATATTTGCAGGCGCTGCACAATAAGACAATGCCGTCGACCATGACTCCGTCCATCCTGTACATTTCCGCGGCCACGGTACATACAAAGCCTTTTTGTCGAGTCTAAATCATCCCTCGCACATCAACACATCCGCGACCCAGTGGGCTCATCCTGGCCCATTCTCCTGCCCCCTTTCGTCCTGTGACCTAAGGCATTATGTTTAGGATCCTATTCCGATGTCCTGTCCAACCTGAAAGCGACTGGATTCCAATCCAATACTCGCTCGCCCCTCGGTTCATCCTCGAGTATCAACATAAAAGGATTCCCTATACGCCGTACTGACCTTACATTCGCCTTCTTCCATAGTACTATCCGTGCCAATGCGACCGGATATAGGGGGTATACATGGCTCGCTTTCATCAGAGCAGCCAGAGACAGAAGTTATATGACATAGAAATGGAGTCGAGGGGGCACGTGGGTGCCATCTAAGGTCTTGGTGCCCTTTGCAAAGTTTTTGTAGCTTTTGCCCCAATCATGATCCTAACCGATTCATGCCGAGCGGGTTCATTTCTTCGTAGTCTATCGAGTTCGGGCTTGGGTCATCGTTGTGTGAAGGAGAGTTTTGAGCCATGGGACTTGGGCTCCGATGGTGGTTGTACGCTAAGGACGAAGAGGTACGATCACCCATCGCCGACGGATTCGGACTTTTGTACGAAGGAGATTGAGACAGTTGCGGATCCCAGGCCACGGATTGCTGCGGCGGACGGGGCGCCGAGAAGGAGCGAGTATGCGGCTGGTATCGAGGGGTTTGCCCAAAGTAGTCAGGCGTCATGCGCCCACTTTGCGCGCTCGCGGGAGATTTTGCAGGGCTAATCGGCGTTAGTGTTGAGTTATGTTCCGTTTTTCCGGAATCGCGAGACAACATTTCATAAGATCGCTGATCTTTCTTCAAGTCGATTCTGGCATCGACCGACACGAATTCCTTCTTGGCATGGATGCCGCCGCACGTGGCGAAGTACTCGCCCCAGCCCGTCACCATGGTCCAGCGGCCGAGAAGCAGAACTAGCCACATGCCGTTGCACTATACACATGTCAGCTGAGGAGATCGTATCAATCACGGGGAGAGCTGCGCACAGCCAAGAGAATGAGCACTGCCACAATAGTGGGCAGGTTCACGGTGAGATCGCTAGCTTCGTCTAAGCACTGATTTTTGTCGCCGTTGGCCGCGATGAGACAGATAGTCCAGGGAAGTGCCTTGGTTGGCGATTTCTTGACCACCTCGAGTGTGTTGTCCTGGAAGACAAACACGACCGCAAAAAATACGACATCACACATGATGATCATGACGATGACGATTCCACGCCATTGTAGCTGAATGACTCGTCGAACTCGGCGATATGCTTGCCGCGGCGTCATGGTTCGGATGCTGTTGGAGTAGGCGGGAAGATCCGAGCCTTCGGTGGAAGCGCTGCTGTCCGCCAGAGATGCAAGGTACACCTTGATACAGTAACCAAAAGTTGCGAATTGGATAATGACCGTCAGCCCCGTGAACACCAGCAGCGGTATCCAGAAGTCGCCCAAGCTGTTCGTGTGGTTAATGTGGCAGGTTTGGCCGAACCGGAACGAGACTCCGCTGAACACAAGGAGGACGATAAGCCCAATGACGGGAATGCCCCAGCCAAGGATTTGGGAAATCCACATAAAAGTTCGACCAACAACCACTTGCCAGCAGATCTGGAGGTGCAATGACATGGATCTCAAGAAAATCCACATGACGCCGGCCCAGCCACCACCGAGCAAGAAAGCACCCGAGGCGGCGCAGACGCCGCTGGTGCCCATGCTGTTGGGTGTGATCTCGTTGTAGCATTCGTCCGGCTTTGCTGCCAGTGGGATAATGAAGCCAAGCTGGGAAAGGTTGATCAGTCACACTTGGTCCACCTGTGATTTGTTTGCTGCAAGGGTTGGCTTACATTCATCAAGAAGATGGCACATGTGAGACTGATGCTCAAATAATGGCGGTGCGTCTTTTCCACCGGGAGGAAGGCCCATGATACCAGTAGGAAAATGCAACATATCATGCCCACAACGGTGAACCAGCTTGCTATGGAAGTCACCTCGGCAAAGCTGTCGGGGTATGCCCAATCGGTCAAGGGACATGGTAAGCAGCATACCAGTGTAGGCGATAGGGTCTGACACATTCGCCCGTCGACAACTTTGGAGGCGTTAGTCATATTCACTTCAGCATCGCAGATGGACACTCACAACCACCGTCCCCAAACTTGGACTCTTGAAAGAAGGGCGCAGGGCAGAGGCCCCGAAGGGTTGTCGTTGTATTAGCCATTTTGGCGTGTATGTATTTAGTCTCCGACCCAAAATAGAGTGCCTAGAGGTCCAGTGCGCTTTCGACACTGCTCCGTATATATATATATATATATAAATTGTATGCAACCTGCGCGTTCCCACCCAGAAGTTGTACCGAAACGAGTCGATGTGCTGTGAGTCGTCCAGTTGTAGCTCGGGCTCAGACGCCGCGTAAGGTCTGTCGAAAGGGCGATGTCGAGATGGGCCGAGTAGTTAGAGGTGTAATTCGCCCTCAATGGGTTTTATAACTCCGTCAATCTCAACAATTCAATATTCAAGATCGGACAATGTGCAGGAACAGTCAAGACGTGAAAACCCAAGAACCGTAGTAGATAAAGTGCCGGCGTGTAAGTGAGGTACCGTTCATGGCTCTGCTGTTTATGCTGATGGAGCACTTCCCATGCACAACCAAGGCCAAAACATGAAGTATACAAAAAGACTACACCAAGAAACCGAAAACGTCCAAGTAGTACATGGAGATTGAAGTTGGAGGGTAGGCGGTCATATAAAGACCATGTATTTGGGGATGGCCAGGTCCCGATTCTGGTGTGGAGTTTGACGTTTTTTCCTATTGCCCTCTTTGACCTAGTAATGGTACGTTAACACCCGGAGGGCCGTGGAAGACGCAGTGGCGCCCTTGTCCCACCCTGCACATTTTCTACTGGGGTGTGGAGGAGGGTCCACAACTCCAACCAGGCTGGAGAACTGCAAAAGATAGCAGTGGTCTCATGGGAGTGCTGGGCGCTGAATGGCAGATAACGCTAGTGTGAATGAGGACAGCAGCCAGTCTCGCGTATGTTCTGGCATGTGGGTAAGAGTGCCTTGTGGGAACCATGGACACGCCTTACGCGTTAAAATTGCGGGTTATATTACTCCTCCCTGCGAGGCCTGTCAACCTGTATTCCAGAGTTTATTGTATTACCAGGTAGGCTTGGCCTGCTTTGGGACGTGATGGAGGTGGCCATTGGCTAATGCGGGCGATGCCGATAACAATGCAGGCTGCGCTGAAGATGGGCCAGGTATGTACCTACTTTCAATGTAAATATGGGGAGCCCGACGAGGCCAAAAGAGAGGGTGCAGCATATTGACTTTTCGAGTCTGGACGAGCAGCCAGTGAGAATTGCTTGTCGAAAGGCTTCCCTTGCAAAGCCATCGGGCTACTACACTAGGCAAGTACTGGGCGTACGGGCAGGGATTCATTCGATTGGCAGGTGCTTCCTAGACTTGGTGGGATCGCCCTGGTCAGGGCCAGCAGAAATGTAGGACAGTTGCGCAAAGGCTCTAGCGGTACGAAGTCCCGATAATCCTGTCAGGCCCACTAGTTGACAAGGTAGCCAGCCCAGCAAGCGAATTTCGGGACCCTGGGCTAGTGACGCGAGAGTATGCCCATCTTCACCTCAAATTGGTGCAACCGACTCCAATGCTGGGCGACGTGCGGCGAATGCGGGTAATTACGTCTTCGAGCAACGGTTTCTCGATTGTCCCGAAAGGCAGTTCTTTCAGCCGTTAAAAACGCCGAACAGGTGGCTCGCAATGGTCGCAACCTGGGGAGAGCTGCGCCAATCGCAGATGTACATTCACTGCAGAGTTCGGCATACTTTGGCCGCGTCTGACGCTTTGCATACTTGCAAGCGTTATCGTTGGCCAGCTCGAAGCTTACCTACTATAGGGACGGTTTGGCGATGCAGATTAAACCAGCTGCATGCAAGCGACGCACCGTCGCGTTCGATCCAGTAGGATCCCGAGACTCCTATTCGAGAAGACTATAGAACCAGGCGTGCCTTGGCGAAAATCCGCCCTAGCCTCGTCCGGCAGTTCCGCGGGCGGTCGTCACCGTTGCTACTTCCACGCCTCAAACTCAAAAGTGCCAAGAAGACTGGTCGTCCCAGGGTCGTTCCATAGAATCAAATGGTATTCATCATGGTCTTGCGTGGATGTAGGCGTCTTCTCCGGTACCACTTAGTAGTTTCGTCTGACGCCGAGGCTGGAGAATAGGCGGCTACCACGCATACCATGGTAGCGTAGAACGCGTGAAGCAGCCTAAAGATGCAGTGCTACTCTCGTATGGTCGGGTAACGCCGAATCCAGGCGTACAAGACCATGATCTTCGAAACACGAACAACCGCGCTTTGCGTAACAGCAGCAAGTAGTTACATCGAAACTACTGTGACTTCAGGCAGTCCAATCTCGTTGAAGTGTTTCCGGCAGCCACATCGCCGCCTCCGATAAGTCTGGAGATGTCAGGATCCCGGGTATCCCATTTTTGTGGAAAATAAACTGTGAGGCACAGTCACAATTCCTAGGTGTGCTTGCGGGAGAAGCGGCTGAACGAAACACAGGTGCTCATAGTCGGTCTATAGTCAACAGTTGACCCCCCCCCCCTCCCCCACCCCCCAACGCCACCGCGCCGTTGCAGCATCAAGACCAGTCTTTGCACCTTGAAGGCGTATGTGCCGTACGGAAGTGCCGATACATGTCTCAGACTCTGTGGAAGGACAGTCTGCCAAGTAGGATACGAGCCTGGAAAGCTGCATTTTACAGAATCGATAGCAATGTCAGCCCTGTCGAACCATGGCAACATGGCTCATATCCATATTGGTATAGCTTGGGGCGACGTTGACTGCCCGGAACAACCAGCGCAGAAAACCTGACGGAGTATAGTAACGTCCAAAAGTTGGCAACCGATTGATGAATCGCATTGTGTTTCTGGCTCCTACTTGCCGCTTCACGCGTCAGTCATTGATCCCTTGCAGAAAAATAGGAACCAGTGGCAACAAAAAGAAGAAGGGTCTGTTGGTCAAAGTCTGAATCCGCGTGCAAGATCCCTCGACTGATAAAAGGAAATGAAATCTATGGGGAAAAGCCTCGAATTTTCAGCCAGTCACGAGCTCAATAGCAGCGAAACCTAGGATGGGGGCGCCCACATGGGAGCCTCTCAGCGTGCAAACCTCAGTGCTTGCGATATCATTGGTCGGTTACTCCGACTTAAGTCACCAACTTCACCCTGTAAGTCTGAGATCTGTCTAATAGCCACAACTCTAGCTCGTCACTTCGACTCTTCTCGTCCTATCACGGATGTTAACTCAGTCATCACATCCCCTCGCGATCAGATTTGCGCCGCTGGTGTCATAAGCACGAGCTTGAAGAGCACTTCTCTATCTGTTGGTTCTAGATTCCAGCCAGCGCCGCGACAAATCTTGACTCTGACTGGATTTGCACGCGTCTAGTACTGGAAACGAAAATAATAAAAACCAAGAAGATATGAATGACAGCTTGCATGATGCAGGCGCCGTACAGGATAAGTTTACTCGGGGAGCGCAGAAAATTATATAATGGCACAGTGTTTCCAAGCTGGAGGTTTGGTATCGGACAAAGCGGCAGCCATCCGCGGACCTGCACCTACCTTTTAGCTTACCCCTCATCGTCAACTGCCCCTCCATTTCATGGGTTCCTGCATGTTTCCCACTTCCTGCCCCTCCAGGAGCAGCGAAAAAGGCACAGACCAAACACAATCAACAACTTGACGTCCCAACCACGACCCAGATAATAAACAGCACTAATGCACTGCACTTCCTTATACTAATTTCAGATTTTGGCGTCGTGGGCCTTTCCCCCCAGATACTCCTATACCTGAGAGTTTTTTGTTCATTACAAGTCGCAAGACATGTAGGGATACGGCGCCCATCACGTCGCGCTGCGAACTGCTTACGACATCAGCGCTGAAGGTGGCTCAATGTGACGAGCTCTCACATTGGGCAGTGACATCGACACCTCATTTCTCTTCAAGCGCCTAGGCAGGCCCTTTAACTTACTTTTTTGCTTGAATCTCTTTTGCATTCGCTCATCTCGGGTCCACTTGGCAACACGCCAGAACCACTCATCTATCGTCAGGTTTGATGTTCTTGTCAACTGGTTGAAGGTGGGCGTGGCGTCGGGCGGGGCCTTCTTTTGGTTGCTTATGCCGCTGCACGCAACATCGTCCCCGGTGCCGCACATCGGTACCAGACGAATAGCACCACCGTCTTGTCTTCGAGGCAGTTTCGAGCACAATAACACCGGACGAATATGATGGCTCGCCGGTGCAACTCAATTCGGGCCGGCGACGGCACCAGAGATCTTCATTCTTCATCAGAATTTCCCTTGATTTTCTTCCCCTGCTGATGGTTTCCTTCCCACGGCTGTAAAAGCTAAGGCCCTCGATCCGGTTACATCCAAGGCCTGAAAGCGTACCGACGTGCCAGCTCACATGAAACAGTCGAGTTTCAGCAGTCCTTGGGAATTATTATAGTTGAACTTGTTAACTTCATCACAATACCACTATAGATATGTCCTTACACTCGACTCATCTCGGACTGAATATGTACCGTAGCCGGCAATCCAGGTCCGCTTCGGCTTGCAGTGGTGCCGTCCACTTCGTTTCGAACCCCGGAATCAGCTTAACTGGCAGCACTAATGTTGCCGATTCATCTTCAAGACAGGCAGGACACTTAACAACTACAGGCTAGGCTGTGTGGTGAATGGAGCTGGGTGGCGTTGTGCGTGCGAAGAACGTGCGTCGAAACATTGTAGAAAATCCAATCGGTTGGCGACCTGTTCTATCAGTCTTTCCTGATCGGGATGACGATGCTACACGACGAAGGACCTCGACAGTTTCATGTGGTAGGCCTCTTGAACTCGAGGGGACACTACCTCGGTCTTGAATTGCGAAACCTCGCATTTGACAACATTGTTGAACACTCATATCTGCACTGAGGTGGAACACATAACACCTCCCACCTCAAGAATCGACGTCGAAACTACTGTGTTCCTAGTGGTTCACTCACTACCCCGCAGTCCCGCAGTAAGCATCACAAGTTGTCGTCACCACCATCGACTCCGTGGATAGTAGCCCCAACTCTTGCTCGAAGCACCAATGAGCGAGAACGGTGTCAATGAAAATATTCGTACCAGGCGACTTGACCTCTTGTAGGGATATACATCTGCATCATGTCCCTTAATATACTCACTTGGCGAGGTGACAGTACATGGGAGAGACAAGCTCACTGTCAGGCCTGTTCACAACTGGGAGCATTGTGTATGGATTACACAATGTCAAATACTCCCATGAGCCTTGGACGATTACTCCCCCAGGAATCATTGTCCCGTAGACGCACTCGTGGACCAAGGCAGCAGTCCCTCACAGCTCTTAGCCCTCAGGAAGGATTTGAGGACCGAACAAACCGACGCCCAAACTCGGTAGACATTGGACTAGCCATTGATGGCAAAATCGTGGTTGATCTCGATGGATGGCTAGACTGTGATGAACGTCTCCTCACAGACCCGCGGCAGTTATCACACTGTACCCCAGATGCCTTCTTGCTGTTAGGAGGGACGCCTTCGTCGCCAATTGGAAGATATTCCGACTCATTTCACCTCTTGCGCCGCCATCATGCAAAAACAGGGCTCTCTACCTTTACATATCGCATAGTAACCGATATTTCCACACCCCGTCATCTTTCTGGTTATTGGGCTGGTCGGGGTACCACGACCAGGGATCCAAACAGTGATTTTATCAAGCAGAGACGCCGAATACAGCGAATTGCGCTTGGCGAGAACAGTCTAGTTTTCAGCTCTGAAAATTTCTTCTCTGTCGATCTTCCTCTCAACAGTAGCAACTCTGTTGAAGATTGCTCCGCAAATTGGTAAGTCCATCCCGTTGGAAGCTATTTTAAAGTTTAAAATGGAAATCAGCGCTCTGGGCTAGGTATACCTAGTTCATCCACGGCTCGATCGCGGCCCAAAAAAAGAAAGACGCTGGCTAGGCTCCGAGAAAGGTTAGGCCGTCGCTGACCACATGAGCGGGGCGGAAGTGCTAACGGCTTTAGGGAACATATGCCAAATTACTGGCCTTGCAACTAGCCCAGTTCACTGCCTCAGATGCTGGCAGCCAAACGGCCAAAATCCGAGTTTTTCACAGTACGAAGCTTCCTGCACACAGTATCTTGGATCCGGCCTGAGGATAGCGTGCCGGCGCGACCTGACTTTTAGTAGCCAAGAGATAACTAGCAGCGCAAAGTTTTGAGGCCAAGGAGATGTCGATATTGTCCTAATATCGTTCAATATAGGGGAAGTCGTTTCGGCCCCAGCAACACGAGATGCTGGGAATAATGTTGCATTTACATGGTATTTGCTCATGTTAGTCACGGCGAATAAGGCAGTTGTGTACTTCATACTGTTGCCAGCCCTGCGCAAAGCCATCGATTAGCCATTCAACTGGCATCAAAGGCATTGACAAGGAATTAGAAGGTGATCCGAGTAGCATTGCAGAGGTGTGTCCGGGATGCCCACCCGAAAGAGTCTGGTCAAGCATTCGTACTCCGATTTTGGCACAAGTGTTCCAAAAGTCACCAGAATTGCTCTCGTTGCAACCTTCCACTGCACCTGCCAACCGTTGTGGGTCACGTACAAATAATATGACACTTTCAAGGCACTCGGTGACTCCCGGAGTACGAGCCATAGAAGTCTTGGGCCTCCGACATGGTACACGAATAATGAACAATGAATTGGCACCCGGCAGCTCGGAATGGTGCGCCGGGTACGTCAAGCCACGACCAGGGTTTTGTCGAGAACCCCCTGCGCAAATGCATGAAGCGAGCTACGGCACGCCGTCCTGCCTGGAACATGAATAAAAAGAAGTACGATGCTGATGATGATGATGTGAACGAGGATATTTCTCAACAAGCCACACAGCAAACAAACGTGGGAGACTCCCGGCATCGGACGACGATCATCACATCTCTAGTGCCAACGAAGTCAGTAGCGTGCGATCGCGATGACATCCTTCCTGGAACGAGGTGGTGGAATTCAGGGGAGGGGGGGCGCGCATGGGCCGGAGCAAATCCAGTCTCCATGAGCTTAATATGTTGGGCTTTTCATACCATTAACGAACCCGACTCTCTTCCGCACACGGAAGCCTTCGTGGGGAAATCATTCATCCATGATACACACACACGGTGCCTCGAGTCATACTGAAGAATGTTGTCTAGATCCGCTCGAATTTCGCCCCTGCAAACGTTTCATGTCGTTCTCCTCCCCCGTCCTAACGATCAATGGAGACGCAAACCTAGCTCCACGCGTTGCAATTGTCAGGAATCGTCTGGGCAGGGGCAAGTCAACTCTATCCAGGGTTCGAGATTGGATTGATTCTACCTGCCAAGGACAGTCTGGGCCAGGGGTAATTCAACTCTATTCACTGTTCTAGATTGGATTCCAGCGTGCCGGGTAGAGTAATAATAGATGCTTACCCTGAGAGTTGTGCTTCACAAATTCGTGCTGGCCAGGAATTGTCCGACGACAGATCACAACTGCTGTGGGGCCTACGATAGAAGTAGTTCGTTCTCCTGTCACAGCCTATCACCGGTGATGCGCATGCCCAGCAGCTGTGCTTTGGAAGTCGAACTGCCCAGTATCAGACGACGAATTGAAAACTTTCAATGTTCCGGCTGCCCATTACGTGCGTACAGTGATTCGGTTGATCAACCAGACGGCGCTTTCATGAGTGCAATAGGCTCTTCGTCGCACGAGCCTGTGACCACGAATTCGTCGGTTCCCGACCGTCCGATTGGTTCCCAGGATACTGGCTGGGAAACAAGGGAGCCCGCCAGCTTAGTTCCGAGAAGGAGCGGGCAACACTGCAGACCCTTCTCCCCAAATGTTGCGCAATGTCAAGTTGCCCGGGGGTGGAGGATGTGTGGGTGTGAGTGTGTGTGCGTTGGCGAGAATGACGGCCCTGTAAAGGCAGGAAAACCGGATCGAATAGGAAGCTGGAAGGTCGGTGGCAACGGAGCTACCGGAACCCCCTGCATGGATTATGTGTTACCGAATTCGACCGTGGAGTTTCGTGGAAGCCGGGTTGTATTTGCATAAAATTACATCAAAACCAGCCATGCAAGTTGTTGGGGGCAGGCAATTGCAGAAGGACATAGGATTGCGTTGCGTCGACCTCATGTGATCCAACAACACGATACACATACCATGAGACGGTACTGCACGATACCTCGTCTCAAACATCCCACGCATAGTCAGGAGTGTTAGATTGTTGGGAATCGCGAATTTGTACACCATCACAGTTGATACAGGAGAGCCCATCAAACATAGTTGAGGAACGTTCATTCAGGCAAGCAAGCTCCCGGCCTTATGCGTATTCGATGGCCGAAGACACGATACTTGCTGCTTAGCTCGGGCTGCGAACACTTTTGGTCATACGACAATATTAGTTTCTTGTCGCAAATCATTGACGACTGGCTGGTGATCAACAACGTTCGGCTTGCTATGTAGCCAGCCACAGTGACAATTACCTTCCCCGGAAGTACAAGCTGGATCGGAGTGATATCGAGACGCTAGTTCACATGTCTGCGGAGGACCTCTGAACCAGTCGATGTATGGCCAGTCGACAACGTAGCCCGGCGTGGCTGATCAGGTAACATACAAGCCATCACCCGCGAACATGGAGTTACAACTATGGGAAGCGATTCGCACGAGAGACTGAACGAGCCTATAGGACTGAATCCCCTCGAGATCGGAAGATGAGCTACACAGAACTGCAGCCTGTCATCATTGAGGCTCTCTTAGCATTGCAACTTGTCGTGAGTCTAAGACACAGGGTAGCACAGCACTCCAGTTTTACGGACAACTATTACAGCTTCTTCATGCCTAAATAATGTCTAGCGATACTAATCCCTCACGTTGGCTGGACGACATAAAACAGTAAAGATCGCTCCACCACAAAACCATGACATAACTTCTTCAATGTTGCCGTCTATAGACCTTGCCCCGATGGACATGGTCAAATGTTCTACGAAATGTTTCCAACTACAGCAATATAACCCGACTGACAATGGATAAGCATGGATTTTTGTCAGTGTCAAGTGAGTGTAGAATGCCATTCTGGACGGAGTCGATAGAAAGGGCGATCGATCTACATACAGTTCTTGGAGTTCGATAATAAGCTATTATTGAGTTTTTGGAACAGACAACCGGGCTCATGCCACGTGAGCTTCAAAGTTATTTTTCATTGTCGTCTAAGGAGGCAGTCCCCTGCTCTTTACGTGGATAGCCCCTAGATGCACAATAATTAACCCTGAACATACACTATATAATCATCTTCTCATAGCATGCGTAGCGGACGAAATGTATAGGTATAGATTGTATCAAGAGTATGGGTGAGGTATTCTGTGCGTAAATGTTCCTTGGGAACCTAGCGCGAGTAAAAACACTCAAATCCATCTGAACATGGGAGTAAGGAAGGGGCAACATAGCCTAGCCGGAGCATCACACAATATCGAGCGCGGACCTGGACTATCATACTACGTACCTTTTGATTTCATAAAGAAGCCGACGATTGACGTGGGACTTGTAAAGCCAAATCCTCGTGTTGCTGTCAGCAAGCCTGTCAATACGGTTCAGGCCTGCAATGCAGAACAGTTGACACACTCAGCTCACTATAATGTAGCGAAATTCCATCATTTCATTTCCAAACTTTTCATTTTCCAGAATCTAGTCAGCATTTTTCAGCAAGCCCCTCTCGCTGTAGAGGCACCAGTACTTTTCCCCCTCCAACCTCTATCTACCCCCTTTTAGTTAAACACCACGGTCTTGGTCCCGTTCAAGAAAACCCTCTTCTCGCTCCACCACTTCACCGCGGCCGCCAAAACCTGACTCTCAACATTGCTGCCCTCCTCGACCAGCTCCTTGGGGCTCATGGCATGATCGACCCTCGCAACGCGCTGCTCAATAATAGGGCCCTCATCCAGATCAGCCGTAACGAAATGCGCCGTAGCCCCAATAATCTTAACGCCGCGCTCGTGGGCCTGGTGGTAAGGTTTCGCGCCCTTGAAGCTGGGTAAGAAGCTGTGGTGAATATTGATAATCTTGCCACTCATGGCCTCGCACAGCCCGGGGGTCAGGACTTGCATGTAGCGAGCCAGCACGACCAAGTCAATGTCGTGTTGCTTGATGAGGTCGAGGATGGCGCGTTCCTGCTCGAGCTTGGTGTCCTTGTTTACCGGCAGGTGGTGGAAGGGGATATTGTAGCTCTCGGCCAGGGGCTTGAAGTCCGGGTGGTTGGATACGATCAGGGGCACGTCGATGCCGAGTTTGTTGTTCTTGGTCCGGAAGAGCAGATCGTTGAGGCAGTGCCCGATCTTGGACACCATGATGAGCACCTTGGGCTTCTCGCTTGCCGGCCGCAGCTCGTAGTAGTCCATCTTGAGCTCCGACTTGAGCTCGGCCATAGGCCCCTGGATGTGCGCCGTCGATTCCGCATGGCCAAAGTGTACTCTCATGAAGAACTTCTCCGATGTCCGGTCTGAGAATTGTTGAAGGTCCAAAATGTTCAAGCTGTGTTTGGCCAACAGTCCCGTCACGGCATGGACAATGCCCGGTTTGTCCGGGCACGAAAGAGTGAGATAGTGGTCATTGTTGTTGGCCATGTTCAAGTCCCAATTTTTGGTATTGTATAGTCTTGGGGCCGAGCGCGGGGCAGGCTTATTGAAAAATCTGGTGGTAGTTTTTGATGAGAAGCTGGATGATCGCACGAACCTACCCCTGGCAGTTTGGCAGCTGAATCTGGCCAGTAAAGGGATCATTTGCTCGTACCTTGCAATATTTCCCTTGGTTGTGTGTCCAGCGCGCCAGAATCGGTCACTCGAACCCAAACTTGTCTTAAAGAAAAGTTTCCATACCCCACAGCGGACACAGCACACCCGTTTTCGGCAATCGGTATACTAGCCGCCGCCTCAACTTAGCACCACTTGCTTTAGACTGACCACATTTCTGACCGTGATAGTAACCAATTATTATTGCTTTCCTGGTCTGGTCGACTGTTACTTCACACGGCGTTCGATATGAGGTACCCCAATTCCAATCTGTAATTTTTATATTCGTGGCGTCCACTTAATGATTTGTCTTGACGGCCACCAGTATATGTGCCCACAGTTCTGTGGTTGAGTAGGAAACTATCCGTTTTCCGATAAATCACCTGTGACAGGTAACAACCCGTTATAACTATAGATACACACCATTTCTGATAAAGGAACGAAGCTGAAATTCGGGAGTGGGTGCGCTGGGCCAAAACACCCATAGATCCCCAGGAGAGGCAGATCCATCGCAACGACGCAAGACCCGGTCATGTAAATGTGGCAGCGGCCCCCCCTCCTAGCAGAACCACCTTACCCGCATTCCGTGGCAAATCCTGAACTCCCTCAACTCTGAATCATGACATAGGAAAATAGATGCAGTTTCGGCAGGCCCTTTCCTGTCAACGCCACGCTGAAAAACATAGAAAAAAATTGCAATTTCGATCGCAACGAACACGTCTTTATTTGCGACAACCTTCTGTGACATCTTTAGCATGCCGACTCTACAACACTTGCAATACCGAGTCCGATTGTTTCACAGTCGGCCGAGGTGTGGGTTCGTCAGTGTCAGCCTCAAGTTTTGAGTCTGCCGGTGGACGAGGTGTTTCGTCGGGGTCATCGTCCTCGACTATACCACTCCTTTGACTTGGCGGTGCCTCCGATGGCGTCTGCAGCGACCTCAACGGTGAACAGGCGCGCATGGGCTTCGATGGCGTGACAACCTGGGTGATGGGCTCGACGGTAGAGTCGGATGCGACAGCAACGCTATCGTGACTGTTCGCTCTCATCATTTCGATTCCCAATCTGGAGCTCGGCAATGCCATCGATTTGCCACGCATGCTGCGGTCGCGATCCTTTGACGCGCCTAACTCCTCATCTTCGTCGTCGGCAGAATCGGTACTTTCGTTCCTGCGTTTCTCCAGGTGCTCACGCCTTGATCTTAGCTTTTCCAGCGAACGCCGAGGAACTGGCATTCTCGTCTGTTGCTCCGTTTGCGCTGGGGCTGATTGCTGAGTTACTACTTCAGCAGGCAGTTTGGGCGAGCCGCCGGCGTTGAGCAGAATTTCATCGTGGTTGATACTAAATTCGTCCCAATCGCCCGTAGCTTTCCGACTTATGACTACCGGAATCTCATCGGTCGTGACGGATTCCGAGTCACCAAAAAGGCTTGAACTGATAGAATCTTCTCGACTTGATGCCCTGAAACTGCTGCTTTCCGGGTGGTGAGCGTAGCCGGAGGACCCAGATGTCGGACTATCGTCTGTCCGAGTGCTCTGCCTCAAGGACGAGGGAATAGAGGCCACGGGATTAGTCAGCGAAATGGACGTGCTTTGGCTTGATGAGGGAGGTTTCCATTGGCATAGGTTGGACAAGACCTCAATCAGTTTTGATGAACTGATGGGCTTCTCGACAAGCGAATCAAAGTAGTGAGGTGCTTGTAGTTCTTTCAGATACGCTGTAATGGCGACAATGGGCGTGTGCGCATTAACGTTCTTTAACTCGCGGACCATGCGGGCGATATCGGTTCCGCTCACCTCGGGAAGCTTGAACTCGGTGAAGATGATGTCAAATTTGATCTCACTCAGCGCGTACCGCACAGCTTCCGAGCCAGTCGACGCAGAAATGGTTCGACAACGTAGTTTTTCAAGAAGTTTCTCCATAACCATGCGCGATACTGGATGATCCTCACAAATCAACACGTCGAGTGAACGGAAGGATGGACTATCAAGATTGATGGCAGACATACGCCGCGAACTCTGGCGTCGCCTCTGGACGCGTAGCAAGGCATTGGCCTTCTCACCCTCATTGTCCGACGAGGATGGAGACATGTCGAAGACTTGGCTACGGCGATTGCGATGGTGTGCCAAAAGATCCGATGCTACTGGACTACCATCTTGAGAGCCCACAGTCAACGATCTTGACCGGGCAGAGGAATTGCTCGATTGTCGCGGGGTTCCGATATGCTTCTGCGGTGATAAAGACAAAGGGGGCGGTACACCTCGCCCCTTGACTGGAGATGGTGCAACAGTAGCAGACTTCTGAAAATTTGGTATGACCCTAGGCACCTCAAAGAAGTTACCAGGCTGTAAGGAGCTGGCTGACTCCTTGGACAGACTCGACGAATTGCTCGATGGCTTCCGACGGCCTTCGGATCCTTGGCCAGCAACAAAGGACACGAGAAGTGGAGACGATGGCTGAGAAGCCCGGCTAGGAGAGGAGTTCGCATGGCTCACAGCAGATGGCGACGCGGGTCGCTGGGAAGCTTTGGCATTGGAAAGTGTTCGTTGCACAGGCATAGATAGCACAGGAGGACTACCCTCGAGCACAGGTGCCGGAGAGGTAGCGCTGTTGGGGCCACCTGGACTCATACCTGACCTGTTCTGCGAGGCCGCCATCGCCTGAGCTTTGAGCTGTTGTATGACATCCTTATTTGCTTTTTCGAGCACCGTAAGATTCTTGAAGGCAAAGGTCCCAAAATCGTCAGATGCGACAGGTTCGCTGAGTCTTCGACTCTTGAGGTCTCTGATATGCGGGGGTATGTGTAGTGGCATCAACCCGCGCTTGATTTGGTTGACTTGAACTTGGGATCGAACACGGGAAAGCGCGTCATGAGGGCGATCCGGATAGTCTGGGGTTGGAGCAGACGGAGGCGAAAGCTGATCTTCCATCTCCTCTGTGAACGCCTGCAAAGTAGCACCGCGCGCATCAAAGTACTCCGTGTCTTCCGGATTATCCGGTTGAGGGACGAACTGTGCTTCGTCTTGGAGCAGAGAGTCCCAGTTCATACCCTCGAACCACGGGTGATTTCTGATCTCCTCCCCGCCTGAAGCGTATTTCTCGTCACGGTTGGAGCCCAGTCTTTGCTGCGGGTCCACACAAAGTAGCTTGTTGATAAGGTCCTTGGCCTCAGCCGAGATACCATCGTCAGCATCCTCGGTCCATTGGAATCTCCGAGCCAGAATATTTTCGAACACGAGTTGCGCGTCTGCAGCATTGAATGGAGGGACGCCGTAGAGGAACTCAAACAAAATGCAACCAACCGACCACCAATCGCTCGTCTCGTCCTGCCTTTCCCCCTTGATTGTTTCCGGAGCAAGGTAATCAGGAGTACCGACGAACCGACGGTCTGTATCCTCAGGATCAAACAGAGCCATTGGGGGTGGCATCATCGACGGCTGAGAGGGCGTAATCCTATGCATATCGCTTCCCTGGGTACTTGAGTGATGCAGCGATGGGAAATCAGGGGATAAAATGCTGTTGGTTTCGCTGCCATCATCTTGCGGCGACTTGATGCACGTATGGGACTGTCTCGAATGAGTGTCATTGAGAGAGAAGTTGCCCATCATGTGTGTCAACGTCTCGCTCCCTCCACTATCGCTCCGTTGTCCCGAGATGCGGCGAGGCTCTTGTTGGACGTTGGACAAATTGAAGTATGATGGCTGGCCAAGGCTATGCCCCGTGTCGCTGGGTGTCATTTGGGGTGTTGCTCCAGGCGAGTGATGCCCTCCATGTAAATCAATGGATGTCGATCGAGATGATGCAATGGAGGTGGAACGAGCGAAAGGCCCGGTTTTCAGGAGGTCGGGTGTCTGATCCGAGTTGCCACTGTTCAAAGCTCGCTTTTGACGTCCTATCAAACCCATCCGTGACAGACCGAAATCTGTCAATTTCAGATGGCCCTTTTGGTCGATGAGCAGATTGTCCGGCTTCAGATCCCGGTGGATAATGCCTCGATCATGTAAATGCTCGACACCAAGGATGACCTCACCGAGATACTTCCTTACCCAGTCCTCGGGAAGACCACCAAGCACTTTGATAAGCGAAGCACAGTCCCCACCATTGAGGTACTCCATGACAAGATAGAGATAGTCCTTGCTAGAAAATGTCCAATATAGCTTGGCCACGAACTCGCTCTCTCCTTGCCACATCATGATAGCCCTTTCCGCCTTGACGTTGGTGACTTGGTTCTTCGCAACCATGTCAGCCTTTTTCAAAACCTTGATGGCAAAATATTCGCCCGTGGACTTCTTCTTGGACAAGTATACGCTGCCAAAAGCGCCTTTGCTGATGGGCTTGATGATCTCAAAGTCTTTGATAGATGGCGGCACAGCACGGGCCATGGGTGCGGCATTAACGGGATTCATCCGTGGAGATGGGGGATGCCGAATGGGCAAATCTGACGTGGCCGTTGATGACTGTCGGCGATGGTGGGAAACAGGGGCAGGTGAGCTGAATTCACTATGTGGTAGCATAGGCGAAGCTTCCGGGGACACAACGCCGTCCTGTGAGAAATGGAGGTTCCTCGGCTTAAGTATACATAGGGGAGAAGACGGTGGGTTTCCTCGGTTGGGTGACTCTTGCCGATGGGGGGATGAGTTGCCTGGGAGAATGAGGCTGCGTCTTTGATGCTGCCGAGAGCTGGTGGCACGCCGCAGACCACCAAACTCAGATATCGGGGATTCGGTTCGGGGTGGCTGGCGTGATGTTACAGAGGAAGATCTCTGGCTACCATCGCTATCTCCAGCATCACTCTCAAACATCAGAGATTCCCTGCGAGACTCCCGAGTCTGTCCTGTGACGCTGAGAGCCCCACGGTGAGACCGTGGGGTTAAACATTCTCTGGGACTACTTGATCTGGTTGATCCAATCACCGATGATGGCCGCCGTTTATTTGGGGTTTCTCCCAATTTCACATTCTTGAGTGCCATGGCCAGAGAGGAAGGCACGTCAAAGGACCCAGCAAACATGGGTTCCTCCTGAGCTGCAGGGGTGATTTCCTCCTCCTCCTCCTCCTCCTCCTCCTCTTCTTCTTCTTCCTCATTTTGATCATGCTCATCAGCTTGAAGCTCCTCTTCGTCTTCAGTCGAGTCACTCAAGCGACCGGCCGCAATTCGGGCAGCTTTGTGCATAGCCTGGTCAATACAGTCCTGAACGATCACGGTGAATTCGCATCGAATCCTCTCCGAGTACTCGAGAATCCGACGGTACCGAAAGACGGCCTCAACCTTGTCCTTTGCTACTTTCTCCGTGTCAGAGCACAGTAGCGCTAGACCTTGTTCTTGCTCCAATGTGTTCGCGCCAGGAGATTGCCACTGAAGCACTTGGGAAATACGAGATTCTGACTGTGGAGATTGTGTTCTGAACTCCCCGGAACCCTGAGAGCCGGTCTCTTTAATGGCAGGCGTGCTGATTTCCATTGACGTATCGCATAGATCCAGGAGAAGTTCCACGATACGATACTGAGGTCGACGGACAGCAAATGATCGAGAGCGACAGTGGCCAAAGCCAGTCGATCGATCCCTCGATGACCCAGCTGGCGAAGATGTCCCAGGAGAGGACGAACTCGAAGTCGGGCCTATGGTGAATCCCTTGTATTCGGCCATTGGCAGGATGACCTGTTCTCCCGCAAGAGGACGAGTCTTCCGGGCCTCCAGAGCGTCTAGCACTTTGACGAGCGAGTGTCGATGCTCCGCCAAGGTCTCTTGAGTCATTTGAACGTCCATCTCTGCGCGATGTTCCTGCAGACACAGGTCGGTGTGCTTCTCAAACCACCATGGCGGGATTTGACGTTCACAAATACGGCACAACGCTGGTAAGGGTGGGGGTTGACTTGCAGGGTCTTCGCTTCCAGACTCGGCCAGTTGAGTTAGATAGCTTGCCAGAACCTCGGCGCCAGACCCAAGAGAATCTACTATGAGGGACGGTAGATCAATCTTAATTTCGCGAGGTGCTATCCACGGCCGGATCATCCACATGGTCTAGGATAATGATTAGCAAGTGTCACCGGAAGTTGATCATTTGTCAGAACTAACGTGGCTCTCTCCCCCGGTGGTACGATCGTATACCATGATACCCTGGGCTTCGAGCTCCACAGTGACGGGATCGGCTTCGGTAGGCTCGGGCTCCTTGACCGTCTCGGGGGGCAACAACTTGGATAGTGGCCCGAGATAGACGGTGAATCTGATAAACTGGCTTCGCGAGTCATCTTTCTTCATCGAGCCAACGGCCTCAGAAAATATAGCTTTGTCATCACTGATGATCAAGTCAGCAATGGGCGTGGCTGCCACGGCACCTGGCTGGGTGCCTATAACATCAACCCAGGATGGGCTGACCCATCGTATGGTGCCATCGAGGTTCAGGTCGACAATGACGTTCAGAGTCTGCTCCGCGGCTTCCCTGAGCTCCTCCCGCTCTTCTCTGATGTCCTGGGTCAATGTTCGCTCCATCGCACTGCCAGCAGCCTGTGCCCGGAGCGAACTGACTGCTGGCGGTACCAGTCTAGTGGGATATTGGTCCATGGTTGCAGAAAGGCAGACACAGCACCCAATTGTTGTATCGATGGCATCGGAGATGGGTTGTATCGATTTCGAGAATCAGGGTGTTTGTGTGCAGGCGTGGCAAACGCGTTGGATTTTGTGAGCGAAGTTGGCGTAAAGTGAAATTCGGTTTCCCAACTCGGTGGTTTAACTGTGTGTTAAAAGCCCAAGCCAGTTGTGTTCTGGCTCGGAGCCAGAGCTAGAAGCTTGCGAGGCCCCCATACATGACGGTAGTTGACAGTAAAAGTCAAGTCAGGGTCCAACCGGTCACCAAGTCGAGTATGGTGCTTGTTGAATCGTCGACGCTATCTGGCTGAGTGACTGGCCGGTCGTTTGGCGATCGAGCTGAGCGAGCGATTGAACAGACGGACAGATGAGGCGGCGGCCCCTACACGCGCATCGGAGCTGCAGCTCAGGGACGGCGGGATGCCACCTCACGAGCAGAAAGAGCGACACTATCAAACGGTGAACCGGGCTGTGGTGACGAACAAAGCACTCTTGTTTGTGGCGGAAGAAAACCCGGCAGTATGAGTAACGGTGGAGATGAGGATGTCGTTTTAGCAGGGTGACTAGCTTGACTTTGTCCGAGGGGGGTATCGTGATTGACCTCGCAGGGTCTGATCGTTGAGTCGACGCAAAAGTTTAAAAAAAATAAAACAAAAAAGTAGTAGGAAACTTTGGGTTGTTCCGCGCGCGTTGGCGTGGCCTCCAATCTTGCTGTTTCCTGGCAGTGGTAGGCTCGCCCTTGGTTGGCGTCTGTTGATGATTACTGTACTGGGAAACTACCTAGATTTAGGTCAAAGAAGAGCCAAGGCGGGACCCACTACCGACAAGTTCACCTCTGTAAACCAAATGCAGTGCAATGGGATGCAGCGGTTTCCGTATAATTTGTGCTTATTTTGGCAGACTTTTTATTTTTATTCATTTTTTTGGTAATCAGATCCGAGCCGGTCATTAGTTTGGCTAGCTTGGCAGCACAATCACACTTGCTTTGTACTCACGCAAGATGCCACAACATTCGATACCGCTCACTGCTGGTCCGCCTGCGCGTCGTGCAGCCCTCGACGAAATGTATGGATCCTCCACGCAACAATGGGCAAGTTGGTTTGCAGCCACAGCAGTTTTACACGTGACTTGGCGCCTAGTGGGCCCGCCGGGAGTACATCGCCAAACGTTCAATGAGGGGAAGCTGCAAGTTTCAGCCAATGAGAAGGCAAGCTGAGATGCTGTGATGCTGCGCTATCGTCCAGTTGGGCTTAGGTCGGAAGTACCTTGCTGCGAGTTGTCATGCGGATGATATTTCACCTCAGCGATCTCCCTGCCGCAAACCCAAGGCCAGGCATTTGGGATGGAACCCTATGCCCTTGGGACAACAACAAGCAGAGAGGCAAGTCTCATGCTGTCCTTGCATTATGTTCTTCATATCCTTCTTCTTCTATCCTTCCATCACTGTTCCTTTCTGCTTCGAAGAGCACCCAAGCGGCAATATCTGCTCCATGATTATGACAGCGGGCAGCAAGCCGCAGTAGGTGGGGTTGGTTATGAGATCTTCACAACCGAAGAATTGAGCAGATCCCTCATCCCTCACAATGCCATGTAAGGACATTACTGTGTCGACCATTAATGGTCGACCAGGGCAACCCTGTGATCTAGCTCATCTGTTTTCCACGTCACCCTGCTACTGTGAAGCCGCAGTAGTACTGTTGTTGATGCAAGCTTGGTTTGGCCTGGCTGTTGCTGTGGTCAGCACTTGCAGATGTTTCCCCAAACAGCTTGGAGCATTGCGCAAATATACTTCACACCCTCTCCATTGAGTCTGCCCTCCATCTCAAGTTTGTCGGGCGTAGTATCTTCTTTTTTGTTCTTCCTTTCTACATAACCCATCTTCACATCTATGATGCCAATCGACGTCTTGATCATCACTAGTTCTGATGGGTCAGCACAGCAACGTATGTACACCAGACTTACGGGAAATCATACAAAGTCTACTGCATAGTCTCGTTGGCAAAGCAGCAATTCTGACAGCATTTGATCGGATTGACATCCAGCGGCATCGTTTTGAGTGGTTACTAAACTAGGCTACGTTGCCATACATAGAGTTTTCGTTGTTTCGTCTTCATCAGACGAGCATCTCCAATTCCTTCTTGGAAATCCTGCACTCGGCCCATACAACACTGTCGTCAATCATCCAATAGCAAGTGCAGTTTATAGTGGGTTTTAGCAGTCGGTCAGGTCGGAAACTCTATCGTCCTGCGCCACCTCCAACAAGACTCTCCCACCATCACAGACACACACCGCAACGAGAGTCTTGGGGGGCGAGGCGACCTACAATTGCAACGATGTTCAGCATTACGAGTACGATCCACAAGCAGTGATACACGGGTCCTTGTAACTACCTTCACCCAATCTGGATTCAACCTCTTGCATCCCCAGATATCGCGGTGAACTTGACGGCATGACATCGACCATGCCACAACCGTTGCCAAAACGACGGACCCCACCAACGTCTGTTGTACTGCTATCTCCTCTGGTCACTTACCTTGAGTAGCTTAACTCGCCAATGCAACGGCTGAAGCCTACCTGCAGGATATAGAATGCCTGCATGTGCCTTTCCCAAGTCACATCCCTAGCTGCCACGTCCAGTCTATTGTTTCCATGTTCCGACCGACCGACCTCTAGCACGACAATCTTTAATTCTTTGTCCCGATCCTCACCTTGCGTACCGATGGATCGATGGAATCATCCCACTCTGGCGGTATAATTATATTGTCTTTACGTCACTTGTCCTGCGGCGGCCGTTTCGAAATGGCTCTGCGTCACGGCTCAGGCTGAAAGTATGTTGGACGAGTTGGAGATTCGCAATGCCGTACTTCAAGGTGAAGTGATGCCGAATATACGCCATCCGAATTTCGAGAGATGTCAAGGATACTCAATATCCCCGAGATGGTGTTTATGTTATTTTTTCGTTTCTTTACATCTTTGAGGCGTCTAGGTTTGATCCACTTGATTAAACAACGCCAACCAGCTTCTGAAGAGGCTCGGAGAGTAACATGCAAAAGGCCATACATATTATCAGCATAGCAACTCCCGCCGTTGGACTGAAACACTGCGCTCTTATGACCTCTGGTGATCTATCCCGGCTTGCTACTTCTTGTCCTCCTCGGCGTTCGCCTTCAGGGCACATCGTGTGGAGAGGAGGACCTATTGGTTACTGTTGTCCTGGTGAATGTGGGCACAGACGCCGTGTCACTCACCAGGAACTAGCCCTACTCTAAACTCCCCTAGACTGGTTGCTCCTACGACCTGACATCTATTATGACTTCAATGAACTAACCATGATGGTGTATTACACAAACACCCGGTTTAGGCAAACGGGTCTAGACTCTCGAGGAATTGACGCCACACACCGGTGGGGACGATTTGATTGTTTCTTCGTTCAGAGTGCCGCATCGTTATCACTTAGTGTGGCTCTCGGTGCTTACATAACCACGACACCGCGAGCGGTCCCCAGAGCTTCTATGTTCTCAGTCGGTAGTAGAAGACGGATCAACTGGTGGACCATTCAGCCTTTTTGCCGTCTAACCACTCCCCTTTCTCCACCCATCTCTGCTCGAGCCACTTGGCGAGCTCTTCGTCGGTCTGCGGTAGCTCATCTAGAGGAAACCGCCGCGCATGAATGTGAAACTTGTAGCCACACGCAGCACTTATGCTCGGCAGCTTCAACGTCTGCCACATGTCTGGGGCGACATGGAACTTACCCTGATGCTGATACGCAATGGTGAGATCGTAGACGGCCTTGACGTGGGGAGCCTTCCGCAGATGTTGTACGGTCGTAATGAAACCCTTGGTCCGAGGATATAGGAGGTGCTTAGGGAGCGGGCGATCATTCTGCATGCACCAGACCTTCGCCTCCTCATGTTTCTTGGGTGTAAATCTTGTGGCTTCACTGAAGCTTATAAGCCCTACACAGCTTTGGTTAGCCTCAGAGGATGATCGACGTCTGCCGGCACTCACAAGTCGGCCACTTTCTCCTAACGATGCCTTTGAACACCCGATCCAACTCACGTTGATCTTTCATCCAGTTCCTACTGACCATGGGCATCCCCATGGCCCACAACCCCCAGCCCAGAAATGGCACCATGCGCAACTGAATCTTGGCGAACCAACGGCACCGGCCAAGCATATCAGATCGCAGGGCCAGGGCCTGGATCATGTAGAAGTCGGCCCAGCTGACATGGTTGGCGATCACGATGGCCGACCCACCCTTGGGCAAAACATCCCCGGAGATGGTGATCTCGGCACCATTGAACTTTTCGAATATAACCTGGATCCACTTCCACACGGAAAACGCGATGTAGGAAGAGAGCTTGTACACGAGATCCGGCGCGAACAGCTTCACGAGTAGGAGGAGAGAAAGTGCTAAGTCGGCCACTCCTAGGTACGCCAGCCAGGGCGCGACAATGGCAGCGCCTCGTACGTTGTGGATGATACTCAACGACTTTGGCATGGTTGATGACTAAGAGTATACTGCGGGCTTTCTAGAATCGGGCGAAGTGCCGAGCAAAGCTCCTGGGCAGACCCTGACTTTCTGAAGAACGCTCGTGATGCTACGGGATTTGAGTTATGCAGGCCAGCCCGTCCGAGCAGTTGTGCCAATGGCGGGCTGTGCGTGAGGACCCCACGCGTTTCAAAGGGTTGAATGCAGTCAACCAGCCCAGTCTTATGCCTGCAGCTTGTTAACATGGTGATCCCAACAGGAGGTCTCCATGAACTCACGGAAATATTACGCACTGAGCAGTTGACAATTTGTAATCTTCGGGGATCCTGAGGTCTCAGTGGGTTTCTGATTTTGTCGTTGTGGATGAAGCTTCACTGGTTGCAGGGTCGAAGTTCTGCAAACAACAATTTGAGCTTTGCAGTGCTTGCTGTCATGGAAAACCACTTCCCGATACTGAAGAAATCTAGTCAAACTTTCCAGGTCAGAATGGGTCCTGGAAGTGACACGAAGTCATGGAGCTCTACTGCTGGAAATGTGATTTTGATTCTACGGGTCACGCACAGTTGTAAAACTTAGGGAATGGGAGCGGACGAAGTCAAAGTGGGACTATTGAAGGTGTGGGTGTCTTTACAGTGTCAGAGTTCAGACTAATAAGACGTCCCGAAAGTTTCATTTTGACCAGCTGAAGGGCTTATGCTGGATCAGCATGAATACCTAAGTAATCAATACAACTTCCCATCATTATGCCAAGCTCTGCAGCTTTCGAATCTCATACAGTCTTTAACACTCTTATGAAGCAGGTCGGTCCAGGCACTTGTAGAGGTAGGTGGAACGGCTTCCAAACACCTCATCCAATGTTTCTTCTATAACTGGGAACGTCTGACGATTCGCCGTTTTGCTGTGTGATTAACGATTTGCCATTTTGGCTCTGTGCACCAATGTGAGCGCTCAATAAGTACTTATCTAGAGTACTAGCGTAATTTGGATCCGCGCCTCACCATCTCCCTTGAGAATTGGTGTTTCATTCCAGTCGCTCGTTCCCTAACGACTACAGCGGCTCGAATGAAATGGACGTCTTATGTGGATGATCGGCGGACTGCGTGCGACTCACTCGAACAACGCCGGCCCTCTCGGAAACCCCCTTGCATCAGCATTTTTGCGCTGTGCTGACAATTTGGTTTACGAGTATACCGAATCTAGTTTGACACTATCAGACGGAAATATCCCGATGCCAAGAGGAAGTTATAGATCACGAACGATTTGATAGAAGACTAAGATCTCACCGTGGATTCTTCCTATTTCTTACATGAAAATCCACATTGAAATATCGTTGGACCCCCCGCGAACGTCTACCGAGCAACCTTTTTTTTTCCCTCGGATCTGTATCGTATTTTTTCACCGGAGTCGTACCAACGCGGCAGGTCCAAATTCCCTGCATGCTTGTCAAGCACCTATGAAACTCACACCAGTGCACACTGCCTTATCTTGGCCATCGCCCCTCGTTTGCTTCGTCACGGGCCTCGGATACCGACGAAGGACATCGTTTCATATCACTTTATCAAATACCGTGATCGACCCGCTCAAAGTCGCAATCATTGCATGAAATATAGGGTAGGGCTGATGCTTTATCCGCTTCTGCCGATCTCCCACGCCGTAACCTAAGCTATATCTCGTGTCCTGGGCTGGAAAGAGCTTCGTCGCACGTCAATACAGGGAACCCGATTTGGAAAGAGCCAGGGGAGCGCAGGGGACCTTCCAAGCGTATCGCGTGTGATTTACGGTGCAGGTGGTGCGTAACCTACCATCCTATTTCTTCCATGTTTGTGCTGCCCGAGCCCCGCCTATTTGAAGTCGTCGTATCTCCCACGAAGGGCCCCGTTAGATCGTTGCAGATTTTGAGGGCGCTGCGATCAGGGTTATTCTCGTCGGCCGTGCCCTAGCATAACATGGCCATGATGACTAACAATGGAGTCGCAGCGAGCTACCCGTCGCCGCCCAACTTTTATTCGCCGACGACTGGCCGTAAACCCTCATTAGGGTCCCTGTATGAGCAAACGCAATCGATGTCGTCGTCTTCCTCGCCACCCAACATTCAAGGGGGTTACGCAATAGGGAATGGGCAGGACCCGTCCATGAACCTGGGCATTCTCAAGACCCTGACTGAGAAGAAGACGACAAGAGATGGCCAACCTGCCAAGCGGCGAGGGCCAAAGCCGGATAGCAAACCAGCTCTGACCCGCCGCCAGGAGTTGAATAGGCAGGCGCAAAGGTCTGGATACCCTCGTCACCATTACCCTGTGACGAGATCATATATTGACAGACACCTGCAGAACGCATCGCGAGCGTAAAGAGCTGTACATCAAGGCTCTTGAAGATGAAGTGCTACGCTTAAAAGAGGTGTACAGCAATGTCTCGGGGGACAAAGACAAGCTGGCCGAAGAGAACAAGCATCTCAAAAGCCTGCTGCACCAGAATGGGATATCTCCCGCGTCTGCGGGTCCCATGGAAGATGTATTGAGCAACCCGAGTCTCGGGTATACCTCAAGCAGTAGCGTCGCAGGCAGCTTTGCCCCTGGCTCACAAGTCGCATACACACCTCCCCTGATCTCACAATCGACCGCGCCGACCATGTCGGCGTCGTCTCAAACGATGGGTGGGCAACAACATCAACATATGCGGAACGCAAGCCAACAGCAATCTAGTCGCGTGGACTACGATCAAGCAGGAATAGATTTCGTTCTAACGTACGAGAACCCCGATGACCCTTCGAAGGCCTATATGTCACCTCCCCCACAATGAAAGAAGACCGCTGCCAGTGCACAGTAAAACGGGGAGATGTTGATAATGGAAAGAAAAATCGTGTCGAGTTAGTTTAGCTAATCGCAACATTCCGGCGATATATAGTCTCGAGAAACCCTGCATGGACCATATGCCTTGGCTACTCAAAAGATCGGCCAACGAGCAGGGCGGCGAGCCTTGTGGACATGCACTAATGGCCTCGTGCCCGCCCGAGCCCTTTTCCGAGTTGGGCGACGATGTTCCCTTTGGTTTCCAGTCTCACTCACATTCGCATGCGCAATCCTCAAATCAAGAGGCAGCCAAGCCCCCTGGCCACGGGCTGAAGACGTGGGAGCTGTCGAAAGGCGATTTGAACACGCTTCTCGATCTCAGCAAGAGGCTGGACTTGGATGGAGAGATTACGCCAGTCATGGCCTGGGGCATGGTCCTGAGCCACCCAAGGCTGCTAGAACTGGCTGGACATGACTTGCAGAAGTTGATGGATGAGCTTCAAGGCAAGGTTCGGTGTTACGGGTAAGTGAAGTGTCGGGTATCTCGTGGCCTGCCGTGTGCTGACTGCATTATAGATTCGGCGCTGTAATGGAGGAATTCGAGGTTCGAGACGCATTGAATGCCATATTCTGTATAAAACCAGAGGCCACGATGGTGTACTGATGGTTTGACTGTTGATTGTACTTGGAAGTCGACGGGAGCCCTGTATGGTTGGGGTGTATGTGAGTTGTTTCAGCATGGTATCTAGACTATTGTTCATATTCCTATCTCATACATTCCACAATATGGATGAAATCACATCATAGAACATCGAAGAATGATATTGACTTCCTTAACCTCTGATAATGAAATACGTTACGCCCAAGATCTGGAAGTCACGAAGCAGCAATCGATTCGACGGCATGAATCAGTTATCCGATGCTGACAACGGACATCTGGTCTAATATTTTGAGACCAGAACAAATGTGAGACTATTATAGCAACGTATTTCATTGACCAAATGCTTTATACCGTAGAAACACTGTGTGATACACCTGCGGAGCAGATCTAGAATGCGGTAGACACAGTGCGTATACAGTGCTTCTCGTTTCCCTAACTCAAAACTAGAACCCCACGAAACACCGACCCCACCAAAGTCGAAATTGTAAAAGAATTTCGACGCGGCACCCAACCTCAAAGCGCAACCACGCCATCACTTCTTGCACGAGTGGATATCATTCCCGAACTTTCAGGAATACACACCCTCCTGCATCGATATCGATTCTTTAATCATGGCGCCGGCTTCTTTGGCCGATCTCATCTCGGCCTTGCCGGCTGAGGATGGATGGGGACCAGCGAACGTTTCCGAAACCACACTGAATGGCGTGCCCTACGCCCCGTTCTCCAAAGGCGATAAGCTCGGTCGCATGGCAGACTGGACGTCGGACAGCAAGGACGGTAGGGATGGACGAGGTGGAAGACAGCAGTACAACCGCAACTACCGAGGTAAGGAGCCTTTTCTCATGTCGAAGATCATGCGCCGCAGGAAGCTTCGGGACCAACACCCCATCTGCTCTCCAAAGACAAGCTGCAAACCGCTAGATTTGTAGTTGGATGGACGAGATGAGGCAACCCCTGTTGGTCAAAGAAGGCAAAATCACCAATACACGAGCGTGGCCAATACCTTGGCCGATGACAAGCAGTGTCTGAGGGAAGGAGCCCAAATACAACGGAAAGCTAACAGGAATACCGCAACAGATCAGCAAATATACGGCGCTGGAACCGCTGCCATTTTCGCTGCCCCTGTAGCCGAGGCCGACGAAGCATCCTTTTCCGTCGTCAGCAGAGAACAGGTCAAGACTAGATACGGCCGTGGCGCAGTCTTCACCCGAGGTGGTCGTGGGCAACGCGGCGGTCGAGGCCAGGATACAAGAGGCGGTAGAGGCACGCTTCAGCGAGGTGGTGGACGAGGTGGTCAACAAAACTACGGCTACGACAGCCGCGGCGGTAGAAACAACGCCCGAGGCGGTCGTCGCTTTGGCTGGAAGGACTACGACAAGCCTTCTCGAAACCGCGATGCTAGTATCAACATCAAGGCCGACTGGAAACTGCTGGAGGAGATTGACTTTAACAGGCTGCTTAAGCTCAACCTGGACGCTGATGAAGGAGAGGACATTGAGAGCTACGGTTTCCTCTACTACTACGACCGCTCGTTCGACAAGCAGCCCGTCAAGGCCGCCGAGCGAAGACTTACTGCCCTGGACCGCGCCACGTACAATGTCACAACTTCCTCGGACCCCGTCATCCAAGAGATGGCAGACAGGGGCGAGGCAACCATCTTTGCCACCGACAGCATCCTCTCTATGCTCATGTGTGCACCCCGATCTGTCTACCCCTGGGATATTGTCATTGTTCGCCAGGGCAACAAGATCTTCCTGGACAAGCGTGAGAACGCCGCGCTTGATATGGTGACTGTTAACGAAAACGCTGCCGACGCCCCTCTCGAGACATCGGAAGGCAACAAGGACATGCTCAACCACCCCGGTGCCCTCGCCGAAGAGGCGACCTACATTAACCACAACTTTGCCAACCAAGTCGTGGTGGAAAACCAAAAGGTCGATATGGCCAACGAAAACCCCTTTTACAACGCCGCCGAGGAATCGGAGCCCCCTGCGAGCAAGGCATACAAGTACCGGAAGTTTGACCTCTCTACTAGTGACGAGGAGCCGATATATCTGGTGGTCCGAACTGAGCTCGACGCTGTGCAGAAGAATGTAATTAGCGGTGAAGACCAGTATATGACTGTCAAGGCGCTCAATGAGTTCGACAACAAGGCCCAAGGAAGTGGTGGCGCCTTGGACTGGAGGACCAAGCTCGTCAGTCAACGTGGTGCCGTCGTGGCCACCGAGATGAAGAACAACAGCGTCAAGCTTGCCCGATGGACCGTGCAGAGCATCCTGTCCAAGGCCGACGTCATGAAGGTTGGGTATGTGGCATTGCTCCTCTCCACCCTCATACGAAGTACACTAACAAAAAGATTAACAGTTTCGTTTCTCGAGCTACCCCCAAGACCAATGACAAGCACGTCATCCTGGGTGTTGTCGGCTGGAAGCCGCGCGACTTCGCAAACCAAATGAACCTGTCTCTCTCCAACGGTTGGGGTATCGTCCGCACGATTGCCGACATGTGTCTTAAGCGTGAGGAGGGCAAGTTCATCCTCGTCAAGGACCCGAACAAGTCCATCCTGCGGCTGTATGAGGTCCCCGCCGGCAGCTTCGATGACGATGGAGAGGAAGAAACTATGGCCGAGCCAGAGCTGGCCGAGGATTAAGGTCAGGGGAGGTTCGTGATTCAATCGGCCCCTGAACTTACTTGGGGTTACGAAAAGTGTATACTTGTCGGGAATAAAGATGAAAGCTATGCATTCGGACAATAGACATGACGAGGTTCGGACGACCAGGTTATCTTACGCGTTTGACTGTTGAACTGCCTGCTTGGATGGGTGATCTTCTTTCAGAAAGGGGGCGGCAAATGCTACCCATCACCTCACCTTTGACCTTCACTTGAAGCCGTGTCCGTTTGACCTCAAGGTTTGTACCACCCAAAGTACTTTTGTAGCCAAAGATGCCGTTGAGCAACAGGCCAATATGCCTGATAAGTCCTGAGTTGTTTTTCGTCGGAAATAATCACTACCAAGTGGAGGCCTCAAGAGGAATAAATCATCAACTGATCGACATATAAAATTTGACAATTTGAGAGTGACTAGTATGAGTTGAGTTGTACCCCTGTCGTATCAAATGTGCAACGGTTGCCCCACCCCCACTATAGCATGACGATTGCTCAACGTTCTGAGCGCCCCCGCGGCAGCGCTTTTTTTTTGTAGCAAAGTGCAAGCTGTTGATCAAGAGCTATCTACCTACGCATCCTACCAGTCTGATTCCTGGACACCCTACACTCTTGAAACCGGCGACCATGGCACCTAAGGCAATCATCGCACCGTCCATCCTCTCGGCTGACTTCGCGCAGCTGGGGGCGGACTGCAGAAGGACGATGGAGCAGGGCGCCGACTGGCTCCATGTCGATATTATGTACGATCGATTTTCTAATTTTGAAGCCCGCTTGGAGAGGGATCATGAAACAAACGCGGATCGGCAGTAAGAACTGTAGCTGACTCGATTTTCGAGCCAGGGACGGCCACTTCGTACCCAACATCACCTTTGGCGCGCCCGTCGTCGCCAAGATCCGGAAACACGTCGACCGACCGACCGAGAGCCACGGCCGGGGCACGTTTGACTGTCATATGATGATTGCAGAGGTATGGTGAATTATCACAATCGCTTATTATCGGAAATTAGGCTAATATCCAGGACAGCCCAAGAAATGGGTCAAGGAGTTCAAGAATGCCGGCTGCGATCTCTACTGCTTCCACTACGAGGCCGCCTTCTCGAGTAACGCCGAGAGCCCCGAGGGCAAGTCGGACGAAAAGACCAACCCCAAGGACCTGATCCGATATATCCACAGCTTAGGTTTGCTGGCCGGCATCGCGTTGAAGCCCATGACGGGGGTGGAGGTGTTGACGGAGTTGCTCGAGAGCGAGGACGAAATGGAGCGGCCTGATGTACGTTGAGACATTGGCTCATATGGGCAAAATAAATAGGGAAACGGAGATGCTGACACTAAGCAGATGGTCCTCATCATGACGGTCGAGCCCGGCTTCGGCGGACAAAAGTTCATGGCCTCGGAGCTACCCAAGGTCCAGGAGCTACGGAAGAAGTATCCGGAGCTGAACATCGAGGTGGATGGCGGGTTGGGCCCTGGTACGATTGACCAGGCGGCGGATGCGGGTGCCAATGTCATTGTGGCTGGGAGTGCGGTGTTTGGCGCTAAGGACCCGGCAGCGGTCATCTCGGTGTTGAGGAGTTCGGTCAACTCAATATCGGGGAACCTGTAGCTATGTTACGAGGAGAAGCGGTCTTGCTAATTATTTGGGACGATTATGAAAGAGAATGCGGGCTCTAAGTGAATTAGTGAAAACTTCTGGCTTATGATGACCCCTGATATTGAGATGCGGCTTGGTAGCTGTGTTTGGCCACGACTCAAAAGTAATGACTTCGACGGATTGCAGCTGGTAGCCAGTTATAACCCCAGATAGAGGCATTTGTCTCAAACGAGATATTCGTCTCCTCGGAGCATCTCATCGGTTGCCTCAACTCGTCGCTAGATGAAGACTAAAGCAGGGTATCTCTAGGTTTGTTATCCTCAGGTAAGACTTACAAAGAAAGATACCAAGAGCATACCTTGTATCCGGGAGGTTAGTCCCTAATGTGGCTGGCTACGATGCATCATCATCATTGAGAGCTTACACCACTTACACGGTAACCTCTGAGTTCTCTATACTCGGACTATTAAGATGAGAACTATTTTGTATGGCCAAAAATGACGCTTGATGGATTATATGCAACCCTGACATCGACCCTATAGCGACATCATCAAGTCGAACTCTTCTGGGAAAGCACCTTGTCAATAGCCGCAATGATGCCCTTCACTTCGTCAACTAGTCCAATGTCAGTATACTCGAGAGGCCGCCGAGGGGCATCATGTTGACTCACCAGTGTTGTAATGCACCATACTAATCCTCACAACCCCATCCTCGTCCAGGCCCAGAAGCTCATGAACCAACCTATTCGAGTAGAAAGCCCCCCAGCGGAACCCGAAATTGGTATCCTTCTCAACCATCTCAACTAGCTCCTTCGAGTTCCATCCCTTGACACGGAAAGCCACCGTGGGGACCCTGACCACACCGTCCGCACTCGTCTCCCCGTACACAGTGATGTCGGGCCTCGAGTTAAGATACTGGAGCAAAGTCTCCTGAAGCGAACGCTCCTGTACCTTGACAGCATCCCAAACACCTTCATCCACAGGGGACAAGTAATCTACCACAGCCGTAATAGCCTGCATAAGCTCGTAGCTCGCCCCCGCCAACCCAATCTTATCCTCGAGCGAGTCTCCGGACTTGAAGAAGTGATTCAGCGACCTCATGTGTCTCTGCGCCGCCCGACTGGCATACAGCATCGAGATGTGCGGCCCGTACACCTTGTACCACGAGAAGGCATAAAAGTCCACTCCTAGATCCTTGACGTCGATGCGTCGATGCGGTGCATAGGCCACGGCATCGACACACAGCAGTGCTCCTGGGATCTTGTGAACGGACGTAGCGATGGCTTTTACGTTGGTGATGCTGCCCAGGATATTGCTGCAGTGAGTGCAAGTGACCAACCTCGTCTGGGGAGTCATGAGAGCCTCAAGATCCGCCGGTTCCAGCTTGGGGTTGGTGGATGTCTTTGATGGGGCCCACCACTTGAGGACGAGCTTCTGGCGTTCGGCCAAATCGACCCAGGGTGCAATGTTGGCTTCGTGGTCGACAAGGGAGACGATGATCTCGTCGCCTTGGTTGAACTGCAGCGAGTGGGCTAGGTTGCGGAACAGTTGCGTGGTGGAGGAGCCGTAGACAATCTCCGATTCTTGCGCGTTGATGTACTTGGCCCCAGCGACTACGCCGGCAGCATACCGGGCCGTCGAAGCTTTGCCTACCTTGTATGAGGCTCCTAGTTGTACGTTGGTGCTGGATAAATAGTTGGCTATCCTGGATTCCCGGTTAGAGTTGGATGTTGATATGATAACAGGGTCCTGCTTTACTTACGACTCGATGACAGTCCCCAAGATTTGGCTACCGCCGGCATTGTCAAAGAAGACCTGATCTTGTTGCAGTGCAGGGAACTTGGACCTCGTGTTGGAGATATCCATTGGGCTTGAAGTCATGATGGTCACTCAACAACTGTTGATAGGTACTTGAGTATTTGAGTAAGCACTTATTTAACCCAGTACGCCAACACAACTCAACGACGGGAGAACCGTTAGATATTTCCGGCAAGGCGACTGTGCAGAGACTCTGTTCATGTGCCACCCTACAAGGGAAACCAATCTGCAGCTTGAAAAACTAGAGCTAGATATCAACTTGCCTCTTCCGATATGAATTACGTAGTTCGACACCCGTTTTATTCACGTTCCCCGCCTGATGTCAACACTGGAAATGTGCTCCGCTATTCGGCACGTTGTTGCTCTCCTTGTCACGGGCTAGACACGGCTTTGAAGAAGCATGTTACCTCACGCCAAGACACTAGAAATAGACACCGAGAAACTGTGCCTAACTACTAGCTGCTGAGGTGCGCAAAAGGATAGATTCGAGAGCTCCGAATGGTCATTTCGCCGGCGGGGGGAAGAGCACCTGTTGTTGGTCTCCCGCAGTGTCTGTCACCAAACAATATGCCCCTCGAGCCGAGAATAGTATCGGAAGACGGCCGTTTATTGGTACACCGGTGCACGATGAAATGACGACGAGGCTTTGGATAGAATGCACGATGCACAACCGCCCGTCAAAATGTGTTGGTTCCATTCGAATATGCCAACCTCGAGAGCCGACGTCAAAAAGCAGTTACGGGCGTCAAGAGTGCATAGCGCATGATGTTATATGGCTTGACGCAGCCGCTTGTGTCCAGTCAGCAGTGACGGCAACCATTATTGGAATCTTGGGCGCTTCCTCAGTCATGCAACTCCTGGTTCGAAGCCGCTGTGAATGCTCCAAAGTTGGGATGATAGGGGGCTAGAGGGGTAGTTTCGGGCGGTGTGGTGGCCCAAGAGCCGAAGCTCCAAAGCGGCGGCCAACGGGCGATTCTGCCATCGTTCGATGGGGAAAATATTTGAAAAGTGATGGACCGCCCCATCAGCAGATCCTGTTGGCGATGGCTTTGTGACCAACTTTAGGAGCCAACTGACTTTTCCACTGTCGTAATTGTACTTTAATTCCTCGAGATATTCCGTTGACTGCCCAAAATGAAGCGCAAGGCGGCGGATTCGCAAGCTGCGAACCGGAAGCCCAGTAAGAAGAAGTTCAAGACTTGTAAGTCAGCCGCAGCATCCAAAATGACAACAGCTAGCTAACTTGTACGGACAACAGCCTTGAGCGAAGAAGAAGCGAAGAAGAGATTCAGAAAAGGTCTCTTCGACAAGAACGTCCTTGATGCCTACACAAAAGATTACGCCGAGTCGACACCATACAAACACAGCGTTATCCACGGACTGATCGACGACAAGCTGCTGCGCGCCGTGCGCGACGAAGTCAAGGAGAATGTCTCCTTCACACAGAAAGAGACGGACATCTACAAGATCCACCAGTCGGGAGATCTGGCCAACCTCGATGGGCTCGAAGATGAAGCTCTCGCAAAGCTGCCCTCTCTACTCGCCCTCCGGGATGCCATGTACTCGCAGGCATTTCGAGACTACGTTGCCCACATTACCGGATGCGGCCCGCTGAGTGGGAGGAAAACAGACCTGGCTATCAACATATACACACCCGGATCCTTTTTGCTCTGCCACGACGACGTCATCGGGAGCAGGAAGGTCAGCTTCATCTTGTATCTGACGGATCCCGAAATCCCGTGGAAGCCAGAATGGGGCGGCGCATTGCGCCTGTTTCCCGTACATACTAGGGAAGGGAAGAAAGGAGAAGAGGTTGCCAAAACCCCAGCGCCAGATGTAACAAAAATCATCCCACCAGCCTGGAACCAACTCAGCTTCTTTGCCGTTCAGCCCGGGGAGAGCTTCCACGACGTCGAGGAGGTATACCATGCTGACAGCCCCAAGCAACTCAAGAAGCAAGGAGGCAGGGTTCGCATGGCCATCAGCGGCTGGTTCCATATCCCGCAAATTGGCGAGGATGGCTACGTCGAGGGTGCTGAAGAAAAGGCGGCCAAGAACAGCAGTTTGATGCAACTGCAAGGAAACCCAGATCAGTACGATATGCCCCAGGCAAAGCCTGTGGCCGTCCGAAGCCGGCAGTCTGGATCGCAAGAGGACTTCAGCGAAGCCGATTTAGAATTCCTGCTCAAGTACATGGCCCCGACCTATTTGACGCCCGACACCCTGGAGCAGATCCAAGAGCAATTTGATGAGGAGTCAAGTATCACCCTGCCCGACCTTCTCGGCAAGAAGTTTGGCAGCAAGCTGCGGGATTATGTCGCAGAACTTGACGGCAAAGCGCTACCAGAAGATAGCGACGAGATCGAGAAGGGCTCCTGGAAGGTTGCCAGGCCACCACACAAGCACCGCTTCGTTTACATGCAGTCAACCCAAGCGTCCGCCGACGGCAAAGGCGCATTGAAAGAAACGGATGACTCGCCCATCAAGGAACTCCTCAATGTGTTCCTCCCGAGCCCCCAATTCCGCCGCTGGTTGCAGATGGCAACGAGCAGCACCGTTGAGAGCCATGACCTCATCGCGCGACGTTTCCGCCGCGGCAAGGACTACACTCTCGCCACGGGCCACGAGGGCAAGCCGCGCCTCGAGCTGAACCTGGGCATCACGCCTACATCCGGCTGGGGCGATGACGCCGACGAGGCAGCGGAAGAAGAGGAGGAGGAGGAAGAACCAAAGGCCAAGACCAACGGCAAGACGAAAAAGGGAAAGGGCCGAGGCAAAGGCAAAGCCGCCGAGCCCGCGGAGTTTGAAGAAGTCGGCGGTCACGAAGTCTATATGGCAGGCGACGACGACGCCACCGAGGACGCCGCCATCTACAAGTCGAGCAGTGACGACGATAACATCCTGTTCTTTCAGGCGGCGTCCTGGAACAAGCTCACCATTGTCCTGAGGGATAGTGGTGCGCTCAAGTTTGTTAAGTACGTGAGCCGGAAAGCGCCTGGCGATCGGTGGGATATCTGCGGTACCTTTGAGATTGAGGAGCAGGATGATGAGGGGGAAGAGGAGGAAGACGCTGCAGCGGCCAGTGCGCGGCTGTTGGCGGAGGACACGGAGGAGGAGTGGAATGGCTTTTCGTCAGCACCGGAGAGCGACTCGGATTGAGTGAATATGACACTAGTTTCATAGCTAGTTATAAATACATGACATATCATGAACGTCTAGATATCTCGCATATGCTAGAAATGCTCCTTCGATTTCGACAGTCTCGCAAAACGCCCTATGAATGCTAATAATAATGACAACGCATGGCAATGATGACGATGCTATTCTATCTTACTCAATACAACCGCAAAGAACCTAATCCCTCCGTCCCTCCAGCGGCAAGAGTGCCGGTCTGCCCACCGAAGCAACAACGCCGAGGTATCTTTCATTTCCCTGCCCTCTTGCTTCCCTATATGCAAATGCCCAATTCCAAAACGCCGACGTGTGCAGTTGATTCCCCAAGACGGGGTTGGATCTCAAAACCAGGCCAAGAAGTAAAGCAACGAATCTCTAAAGCTCTTTGGCACCTAGTCTAGCTTCTTTAGATTTTTCTTCTTCTGTGTGCTGACAAAGGCGTGCTCCAGGAAATGAAGCCAGACTTTATTGTGCTTCTTCTTCTTCTTCTTACTCTTCTTTTTCTTATTTTTCTTCTTTTCGGCTCCAAGTTCGTTATCATTTTCCTCTTCGTCTGTATCAGACTCGTTGATGTGCTCCTCGACCTCGTCCTCAACATCTTCGAAATCTTCTGCAAGCGCTTTCGACTTGGCGGAAACTTGTCCAATGCGGTACGCTAAGTTGATCCAGCTGCGAACCGTAAGGTCCTTCATCTTGTAAATCTTATCCTCAAAAGTGCTGTACTCGACGTCGAAGGTAAAGTTGAGGGGCTTTGGCTTGTGACCTGGCTTCTTGCCCTTGTGCATGCCCGGTTGCCAACGTTCCGTTGATAGCCCGTCATCCTCAGCTTGCAGGTCGTGCGTTTTAATGTCGCGCTTGCCCACGTCATTATTGAGGTGCGTCAAATTAGCAAAGTACTGAGTGTAACCAATCAGGGTCAGTGGCTGAAGCGAGTACGCAGGGCCAGGAGGTTCGGTCGCTGAGGGCGGATCGGGAATGACCAAGTAAGGATCATTGGGCTTCTTAGGCTTCTTGCCCTTCTTTTTCTTGTCGATCAAGAACTCTGATCCATCTTTCCCCAGAAGCTCTTGCTCATCCTCCTCGTCCACATCGAGAGGGTCCACCCCAATCTCCTCAATCACTGATGTGGGAAGCGTATACTTGTGCTTGCCACCATTCCGTTGTACATCTACCCAAGTAGGCGTATCTTCAATGCCAGTGATATTATACTCGAAGACTCTGAGAGTTGGGAAGAAATTGGGTACGATGCTCGGTGAAACAAGAGACAGCTGGTAACGCTCAGCAAATTTGCCACCGATCTTATCGTGGCCCTTTTTCCCCTTCTTTTTGGGGTCTACCTCATCTAGAGTTTGTACAGCAGCCTTTGGCAGCTTTGCCCAGTGCTCGCGTAGCTCCGTGAGGTAATCCGCGGCTGAATCGATGTGGAAAAGTTGGTCATCCTGTTTTTTCCTCCCTTTTGATTGCTTCTTTTTATGTTTTTTGGGCTTCTTGGGTCTCCTCTCAAGCATAGTGACGTCGATATCCTCCGTGTCCTGGATGAAGAAGTGGTCAATGTTCATATGGCCGTACAGCGAGCCTACAACCACATCTCTGTATTGCTGTAGCCACAATGTGTATTTTTGCCAGCACGTCTCATCCCAGTTGTGCTTGCTGGATGTTCTAGCAGGCGGAACGTGTCCCATCAATATGGCCTTCATGCGTCGGGAGCGGAGGAACTGGAGCTGGACACGCAGCCATTCCATTTGCTTGAACCCAGGTTCAGAGGGCCGGACGCAATCGTCAATGGCGCCATTGCGTTCGAAGAAGTAAAGTGTGTTTAGGCTGAAAACAGCCAGCTTGTTTGGGACGACTTCGGTGTAGAACCATCCACCAAACTCAAACGAATGCAATTGCTGCTGGGGGATGAAAGCCTTCCAGATATCGGAGTACATCTTAAGCCATCTGTTAGGCCCCGCCTCCATGACATTATGCGGGAGAATGTCATTGTTACCGAATGTCGGTACGACAGGAATTGTCATGCCCTCGTCATCTGACAGAGTGCTAACAAACTTTTCTGCTAACAGACGGTTGGTGCGCACCACCTGCTCTTCGGTCCGGGGAATCGTCTCGTCACTGTCGTGCCGCGCCGAGTCGCCCGTCCAGATGACAAAATCAATCGAGTCTTTCAAATTCGCACCGATCCAGTCAAAGGTTGAATTCAGCAGGGATATCGGAGAGTCGCAATCCGACGTTTCTGCGCCATAGGCTCCTGCCAAGCCATGGCCTCTGTGACATGCCAAATTCTCTTCGGTCGAAGTATGCACTTTGTAGAATTCATCAGGGTGGAAATCTATGTGAGCCGTGATATATCAGTTTCTTGCTTTCCAGCTCGGTAGAATGGCAGATAAGAATTGGGATCATGGTGTAGTGGGCGTACCTGTGATATGCAGGAACCTTCCGTGAAGCTTCTGCTGTGACGTCTGTGCAATGCGCTGCTGGCTTCCATCGTCCTGCAGCGCTAGCACGACTTGCGCTTCAGCTGGGGCAGCAGTGACGACAGCTGACAGAAGGAGGCTAGCCAGTAACAAGAATCTGCTCATGTCGCACGTCATAACACGCGTAACGTATTGAATCTACACAGGATGCATAGGATGGAAATATTGACAATTTGAGGCCAGGGCGTAGTCGGGGGTTTCAGGGGTTCGAAAGAGGATTAGGGAGGAAGTTCAACGTCGTTGGATTCGGTGAGTTGAGAAATGACGATTCTTGCAGGACTTGTTATCCAGGCGGATTTTCGGCGAGTTTGACGATTTGATCGACCAAGAAAATAGGGGAATGGACATGTGGCACCACAGCAGGCAAGACCCTTCACCGTTCCGTTGGGTCCTTTCCTAGTTGATTTTGCAGCAACCGAGCGTCTAGATGGCTATGGGACAAGACGAGACCTTTTGACTTGGCCTGGTCAAAGGACATAAATATCATTGTCGTTCAAAGGTACCGACCTAGAGCATTTGCATGGTTGATGGGCACGTTCTCCGACCAGTGGCATGTCTGGATCCATCGGGATCACTGCATGCCCATGGCCCAGCGCATGGTCAAAATCGTGGGGTTGCACAACCCCAGAGTGCTAAAATCGAGCTGTTGTTCAACGAATAAGGGCGAAGAGATTCTACACGTGTAGAAGGCATTGAGAAACGTTCGTGATGCTGCTGAGACATAAGTCCACACTTGGAAAATCTTTTCCACGACTCACCCGTGGTGATGCCGATGACTAGCTGGAAACCAGTGCAGCACACAGCCTCTTCACCTGCCTAATTCTTTGAGTGACTAGATACTAGTGTGATCCATTAGGCGCCAGCATACTTGCAAGTCATCGGGCTTGGATTCTTCGTTACACCGCCTTGGTTGCCAAGGTCAGCAGGTATACAACGATGAGACGATCCAAGTCTACTATGGTATCATGGGTAAGTTTTCTATTGCGTGTTTGTACCGTGCCCCACCTAGCACGCGCCAACTCTTCGCTACCTGGCTTGAAGGGACCTTCATAGCTGTCTGAATATGATTAAGAGAAAACGTTGTAGTAGTGTGAATTTCGGCTTTCGATTTACCACCGTCGAAATATAGGGTTCGAATTCGTTGGCGATCCGCTTCTGTAAGGTGTTTAGTCCCCATTGTAGTTGCTGAATACGCGATAATTAGGACGCGTTAACAGCAAGTTGGAATCAGAGGTGGAAGTACCTTTTCGTTACCATGAGTAGGCTAGGCAAGAATCAGTATAGCGTTACCTTGACAGTGGTCCACTGGTAGGTGAAAACTTTGGCCTGATACCGTAGTACACCAGCAGAGTCGAGGCAATGCGGTTGCTCCCGAATGACCGAACCTTGTTATAGATGTCGCGATGAACCCTGCAGGCCATCAAGGTGCTTAAGATGGTCGCATGAGCAAATGATTTGTTTTCCCACAGGGTTGCTAGAGCCGTTGTCGCCGGCATGCTGCTATTTGCCTATCACGGGACTCACGCAGTTTTACAATGCTGTAACTCTTCGGACACCAAACACCAACTGCTTCTATTGATATTAGGGGTATCCGTAGAAATTTTGCGGCGTGATTGTGTTTAATGTTGGTGACGTAGTTTCTACTCAGCAGCCGCCAGGCAAAGAGGGTTGAGTGAGCAACTGCGCTGATGGATTCCTCCAGCCACCTGTGGCTGACCCAACCGCAGCATAAAATTTCGTTTCGATTTTGCAGAGTATGACTTTTTTCTTCACATTCGAAGCACATCAGATCATTACCGCAAGGTATTGGCTCCCAGACACTATCCTCATGTCTACACAGCTAGATCTATGTGCGAGATTATCGTTTGCCGTTCGTTTGAGGGAATCCAATTTCCCAGATATTGGAATTCCCATGGTTTATCTCGGCCACATGCTATCATCTTTGGTCACTCGTCATTGCCACGCCGCGCAACGTATCTTCTGAAAAATCTGACGGGTCTTAACATGGCACGTCGACCAAGCACGCAACAGAGCCAGCCATGCACTCCGGATCCAATGGTGTAATCTGGTGCCTGCTACTATTATGTCTCTATCGTCTCTACCGTCTAAGCCTGTCTGATCCATACTCGCACTACGTCCAGAGGTGATACCGCGGTAGAAGCTAATTACAATGCTGGCGTTGCAACTTCCTGTTCAGTCGGCTGCTTCGCATCGACTTGGACCAGCTCGTAATCTTGACTTGCGCTTTTTTTGTCCTTGAATTCGTACGTTCTGAACTCAGTGTTCGCGTACTTGGTGCCTTTGACGGTCCTCTTCAGGAAACCTGAATGCGTCACAACAATAACCAACTTCTCCTTTCTTTCGAAGAGCCACGACCTTGCCAAATGAGCTCTCTGAAGCAATACCTCCTCGGAGTACTGATAGATTCCTGTCTTGGCTGGATACACAGGATCGAGCTCAGAGAAGTCTAGATCCGGCCACTGCGGCGCGATCTCGGCAAACTCGAGGCCTACGTCGCATGGATGTGCTGTGACTTCCTAAACTCTCATCAGCACGTGATTAATCACCAAAGGTCGTCAATACCGTACCTGCCATTCCGCGCGGACCTTCACAGGAACCCCTTGTTCTTGAAGCCATCCCAACCCATGTCTGAACGTCTGTAATGTCCGCTGGAACGGGCTGACCACAATGAGAGTATCCTCCGTCGTAAAAGAGTATTTGCTCTTCAATTCCTGCGCGAGACGTTTGCACTGCGCGACACCTTCATCTGTCAATACAGGATCGCGGAGTTGCCAGTCATGTGTGTCACCATCAGCAATTATCCAAGAAATGATAAGAAAGAGAACTTATCATCAATGTCTAGGCAAGGTCAGCAAAGTGCACTCCGATATGCAACTAGGAGGTCCAACTTAACTGTGTAGCGCCTCTCCATGGCGGATTAATATGACTGTGGGTGGCATTTTGAGAGGTGAGGTGGCGGTTGTTGTCAAAGATGATATTTCTGAGCAAATCCGGAGCGAATAGCCATACTAGTAAGTCTTTGTTGTGGATAAGAACTTGGGCCTAATACGTCTTTTTCAAGCCAACAAATGATCGCACGAGGATTGAGACGCATGATGCAGCGTGACTTTTGAGCGATTCAAAGCCTATGAGCTATGATCCAAAAGTCTGGGGACCACCCCGCTAGAATATTAATCGCTACAGACACTATAACTGCCACTTGGCTATTTCTCGAAGAATATAAGCGATTTTGCACACAAAATAAAGTCCAAATATAGCTTGTTGTGTAGAGACTATTATGTTATATACGAAATGTTGGAAGTTGTGGTCTCGGGTATAGAGGGATACGAAGAAGACAGACATGGCTTCTAGTATTTAGAGACCCCTTGGGGGCCAATTTGGTATTAGTGCCCTACGCACCTGTGCCAATATAACCCTAATACTCGAAATCCGATACTAATCGCGGACCGTTTCAACCACGCAAAGCCGACGTTCTAGTGTAGTAATTAGCCGCTTAATTGAATTACCTGATACTATTATCTGAGGGACTCAGCCCTCTGTTAATGACTCTGTGAATGTTGTATTGATTGTTATCTTTTCTACGCATTGTGCTACCTAGCCACACTTGCCGCTACACAGCCTTCGGCCTAGGGCGTAACGGTGGCGCTTGATCCCACGTTATCCGCGCCTATTGCAATATAGCTTATTTATCGTTAGCCGAGTGGAGCTAATGGTCTAACCGCATTGACCACCTTTTTGCATGCACCCCCATTTTGCAGGGAATTTCTACGCCTCAACAACACGACGTCTCTCAATTTACCTCGCAATTGCTCCCTATCTACGTACAAAATGGCTAATCCAGTGGAGAATAGTCTGGACGATTTTGAGCAGCGAATCGAACGCGCTAAAGAGCTTTTCTGTCAGGGCTCTTCCCAGGCCGTAGCAGCTCATCGGTACAGTATCAAGGGGACTACACTGTCCTACCGTATTCGTCACGGTAATTCGCATCGCGACACGGCCTCCAGGCAACAAAAGTTGACTCCAGAGCAAGAGGAGGTTATCGTAAACTGGATCCTACACGAAGAAATGTGTGGAAGGGCTCCTAGCAAGCGTTATGTGGCCGACTTCGCTGCCGAAATCCTCCTTGCTCAAGGGGATAACAATACACTCGGCCAACACTGGGTGGATCACTTCATTAGCCGCCATCCACAGATACGTACCAAAATTGGGCGCGTCGTAGATGCTAGCCGAGTTAGAGCGTCCGATTCGAACAAGATCCGAGACTTCTACACCCTCCTCGAACGCTTACGTACGAAGTATCGTATCAAACCCGACAACGAGTATAATATGGATGAGACAGGTGTCCAAGAGGGGGAATCTGGGCATGGTACGGTTATTGGGGCGTCTAATTCACGTCAGGTACGCGTATCAAAGTCGGACGTTTCGTCGTGGTGCTCCTGGTTAGAGTACATTTCGCATACCCAACGGGGTACACCTGTCTGCGTATTTTCCGGCAAGAGAGTCCAAGCACAGTGGTTCCCAGACCAAAATATCCCTGAGTGGGAATACACTGCGACGAGTAAGGGCTGAAGTAATAAAGTTATCGCAAATAGGTGGTTAGATCAGGTTTTTCTCCCCGAGACGAAGCTTAGGGGTACCGAATGGCGACTCCTTATCCTCGACGGCCACCAGACACATATTCATGCCGAATTTATGTGGAAAGCCTACTCGAATAGAGTCGCCGTGCTGTATTTACCCTCACACTGCAGTGACGATCTCCAGCCGTGCGATGTCGGGCCGTTCTCACCTTTGAAGATCTACTACCGCCAAGAGCTCAGGGCTTACGCTTCCTACAAGGCTACAGCCCCAATTTACAAGCAACGTATGCTAGAAGCATATCTACGTGCCTCGGAGAGAGCCTTTACTACGGAAAATATTAAATCTGGCTGGCGGAAGACTGGTATATGTCCCCTAGGCTCCGAAGGACTAGTCGACGTATCTTGTGATCCTCCGGAGCCTCATACACCAGATCCTCCGCCTCATATATCACCACCTTTAGTTGCTTTTACTCCTCAGAAAGCGCAGCAACTATCTAGCCAACTACAGTCGATAGAGAAAGCCGAGGGCGGGGTATCTCGTAAGATTCGTACCCTAGTAGGCAAGGCGAGCAAGGCCCTTACACTCCAGGCCGCCGAGAATGCCAAATTACGTATCGAAAACGAGCAACTATATAAAGAACTCAATAAATACGCTCCAGATATACGCCAGCCCGTCGAGCCAGACCCAAATAAAGTATTCGTTAACTTATCAGCGATCCGAACAGCTCCGGACAAGCGAAATAAGCGAATACGGCCTATTTTACCGGATAAGCAGTTAGAAATTGATACTTTTCTCGAAGGAAGGGTCCCTCCTAAAAAGAGGGCTCGAAAGAATATATCTAAGTCTTCGGACACTTAAATTAAGTATGTTCTGTATATAAATAATATAGTATTTAGGTTGATTCAGTTAGACCCTGCAAAATGGGGGTGCATGCAAAAAGGTGGTCAATGCGGTTAGTTACTACGACTAGCAGTACTACGGTATCAGGCCAAAGTTTTCACCCCCTTGACAAGTCCCAGTGGACCACTGCCAAGGTAACGCTATACTGATTCTTACCGATTCTTACCTAGCCTATTCATACTAACGAAAAGGTACTTCCACCTCCCATTCCAACTTGCTGTTAACGCGTCCTAATTATCGCGTATGTAGCAACTACAATAGGGACTAAACACCTTACAGAAGCAGATCGCTAACGAATTCGAACCCTCCATTTCGACGGTGGTAAATCGAAAGCCGAAATTCACACTACTACAACGTTTTCTTTTAATCTGATTAAGACAGCTGTTAAGGTCGCTTCAAGCCAGGTAGCTAAGAGTTGGCTCGTGCCTAGGTGGAGCACGGTACAAACACACAATTGAAAACTTACCCATGATACCATAGTACATCGTGTAGCTAGTGGGTCCGACCTTACCTTTTTCTAGATAGACAGTAATAGCGCTTCTAGCCAAAAACACAGCACAACGCGGGCGTGGAGCAGACGCAGCACTCGATACGAGATCCACAGAGTCATCAACAGAGGAGTGAATCCCTCAACTAGCTCATCAAGGCGGCATTAATAATACGAATCTGGTATGTTTCCTCAAGAGGGTTTACCCTGTAGCTATAGATAAGACGAGTACTATGTAGCACTCCGGCTGAACCTGTCAGATAGGGCACCTGGTTCCTAGGTTCAGAAATAATATGGCACTAGAGAAGACTATTGTCACTTGAAGTTCAGAAGGCGAAAGGAACCCCTCTTCTCAAAAGTAACACCAAAGTTACCGACATGTTCTAAAGCATCTATAAAAGGCAGAGCAACGGGAGTTCGCGAGAACAGAAGTGTCAGAGCCACAAGTGTCATCCGAGGCGGGCCGGCTTCCACCAGGAAGGAAGTCGTTTGTGGCGGCTAGAGAGCCGCTTGTGGCGAATGAGAGCTGTTGAAGCCGTTTGCAGCGGATAGGGAATCGCTTGGTTGCAGATAAAGAGCCGCTATCCAAGATGTTGGCCGAAGTCGAAGGAACACAGACATGCGGAAGCAAACATCCAGAATCCAACAGAGAACCTCGGCTGGCTATAAGTAAGGAGTCGAGACGGAGGAAGATAGAGATGGGAGAGATCAATGAACTACTGTGGATACCCCTACCTGCCATCACCAAGTGACCACCAGTGAACACCAGGTGACCACCAGGGGGACACGCCTATTTCTCCCCTTCACTCTGTACTATCGCCTTCGGTCCAGGCCGTACCCTGACAAGAAGACAGACAGACAAGAACACACCTCATTTATATACAATCTTACGCACTGCTGACTACTCGATTGGACACACGTGATATTCGACAGAACCTCGTGAAGGCTTTGCTAGCCCAAAAAGGCCCGAGGCCAGCCAGCTACCATAGTAGCTGTCACGACCTGGGTTGCATCGCATTGGTATAGACCTCGATTAGGTGCTATCGACGAAGATTCTACTCTAAGGAGCGAAGGAAAGAAGATGACAACTTAGGTTTGAGGGATCGCGACTAAGTCATCCACGCTTGGCGGGGCTCCTACAAGGGTTATGATTGGCTTCCCATCTGACACTGCCACGGCAGGTGTTCCAGCTGTAAGTCACCTGGTTGTAGTGAGTCTGCGAGGGTTGACCGTCACAGTAGCTAGCTAGCCTAGCTTTCCCATATCACACACTTTACCCTCCATATACACTCGCATGAGAATAGAACTTGATAAAAAGAGTAACCAGAGCGCCACGCGTTACGCGTTACACAGCATTGAGCTTAGTGCCTCTTTAAAAGCCTGATATCAGCTCTGCGAAAATTTTGGCCCAATTCGCGTTGATTCTATTACCTCTGGGGGAGGATATACTTACATGGTGATCGCAGAGGATTGCGCAGATTTTTATGTTAGCATAAAGTCGTCCCCACACTTATGGAGTTGCCGAGATTCTGTCTTCACCATGCTACCCCAGAATTTCGGTCTCGGCTTCCGAGTGCCGCTAGATGATGCGCATGCGGCGTTGCTGCGGCTTTGCTGTCTGGCATAAAACCGATTTTGAGCAGCGGCGATTCCGTCCGACTTCATCATGCCAATGAAAACCTTTAGTCCCATACAAAATCAAATCATTACGGGCATAGAAAAATGACCATGTACGGGCATATTTGAATAGACGCGAGTATATCGAGGTCCGTATTCTCTTCCTGTGCCAATCAAAAAGACTAGTGATTGCCCCACTTAGCTATGACGCTCCGTCTGGCCGGTGGGTGAAATATTTATTACACCTTCCGCTCTAGGCCAGCTTCAATAACACCTTCCGGTAGATAAAGTGCAACATGTGGCAAGTATAATACCTGTACTCATGTCTCGTTGAATCGAACTCGCCTGCATACGCCTCGTTGGCGTTGTGCTCATGACTTGAGAAACCATGGAAGAAAAACGCATACTACCGAGAAGGACTGTCTGCTTCCTCCTATTTGGAAATAGTACACTGCATTTTTATGCATTCGTTGAGAAAGGACAAGGGACGAAATTAGACAGTACGGAATTGCAACTGGCGTATGGCATACTGAGTCAAATTGTCTGTCCATGTGCCTGGGCCTCTTCCAATGGTGTCAATATTGCCAATATACAATCGAATTCGATAAATCTATCAATCTCATACAGGGGCTTTTGCTAAAATGTCTCATTTCCTAAATGACAGACCGCTATCTGGAACAAATTGTCGTCCCTAGCTTCTTCGGTGTCGGAATAACTTGACATAATGGAGACTTTCAGCTCGTTTACTTGCCTGAGTGCGCAGAAGCTGAGAATAGAGGCAAGTCCCTTTGCGAGGATGGGAATGAACAAGGCATTAGCATGAGATGGAACAGGGAACCTCTATGCGGCGTTAGCTGGGTTGAGCATTCACTCCTGGGGAGTATATCACAGAGGTTTGTAGGCTAAGACTCCTAAAATATAGAATCGTGGATTATTGGAACAACATACCCATTCACTGGGCTAGAGCCGGTTACCAAGCATCCCTTGTGGTATGCGAAATCCAATACTTCATGATTCTGACATATCAGTGGTCGTTCACAACGCCCTCGCATGATGGTCAACAGACTCTAATATAGTTAGTCGTATTTGGTATTCTCACTCATCTTCTGATGATGGAAAGCGTTCTGATAATTGTTATGGGGGACTGGCAATTGGCGAAGCTGCTTCGAAGCTTGCCAAGCTTACATATTTACCCAATCTAACAGCAGTTGCTATTTCAATTCACGGCGGATATAGCTGGTCGAGGCCACGATTCGGCTCCAAGGGATGCCGGAGCCGTTTGACACTTAGTGACAATCTTGTACTTTGCTGGCGAGCATACCGACTTGGAAAACAAATAATAAATAAAATAATATTTTTTTATTAAATACGCCGTAGGTGTTAACCCTCGGTACCTCTACAAGTACTCCCTTAAGGGGCTATAGATGATATAGCGGGCCCTTAAGCCGCGTCGGGCGGTTATACAGGTAAACTTGTAGCCAAACGACTACTAAACCTCCTATCCCTCCCTAAGTCTGTGCTAAAACCCCTGCCTGAACTACCGATAAGTGTGGTAATGTGGCACTTAAATTCGTCCTCAGGGGTGGGATGCTGCTGATGTGCAGAAGATGCTCGACTATTTTTTGTCGCGACAAGTCGTAGTATCTGCTAATTGGGGTTCTCGTCGAGCGTATACATCTCAACCATACGCTCAAGTGGATAGACCGTAACGTGGTCTAGACGCTCGCAAGAATCGCGGCGAGAGGGCGTGCTGCGCGCCTTCTATCGTGAGGGGACGGGTTCGCCGACGAGCGTTATCGGAAAGGCGAGGTCCGATAAGGGGTCGGATTAACGATTCGAATTCTGGACCGGCTGTCGAGTTATATTCCGCCGACGTAGTGCTTGACGGTCGACTGGCTAGGATGCTCGTAATCCTAAACTGCACCAATCTCCCTATTATCGCTAGGTAGGCGAAGTCAACAAGGTGGGCAGCGCGCCGTAAGGGTTGACTAAACCCTATAATAAATAATACAATGGACAAAGCATCGAGCTTCGTTTACAAATTAGCCACCCATCGTTGCTATCCAAAGCCCATACTTTAGACGTTCTGCGTTGATTAGCCCCAAGCACGGCGTCCATTCGTACGGGGCTGTCTGGAATGCCGGTTGCCCGATGCGGACGGGCCCCCATAATTCCGCCCTGTAAGCTGCACTTGCCCGGCGCAATGCGACCTTGAATCACACCCAAGCAGCCTTGCGCCTTCCCTTTGACAAGACTGCCTGTACACCTTTGCCGTCACTTCTAGCCTTCAGGATTTTGTAGTTGGGGTTGTGGTCATACTCTCATGTCTTTTGTAACTGAAAATGAGCTTGAGATCAATTCTGGGCCGCTCTGGCCGGGTCAAGAAGAAGAGTTCCGGCGCAAAGCGACCCTCTGCCTCGTCGACTTCATCGTCCTCATCATGGACCTCGTCCTTACCACGAAGCAAGCCCATAGGCACACCGAAGGGCAAGGTAGCAGCCGCGCGTGTGGATGATGAAGATGAATATGAAGACTTATTTGAAGACAAATTGGACGACTACGGGCTGGTTCGAGCGCTTGCGACCGATTTGCAACTGCGCGACACAGCGCAAGCCATTCTTTACATACGATCGCACATGTTCTCGCCGATTCCAGATCAGGCTGCCGGTATGACTTCTACGCGCATATCGGAGGTGTTGAACTACCGGAAGCAGTTACCGCCGATCGTGACGATGTCGCATATACAAGCCCTGCTGTCGTCCCCGAGCGCGGTGGAGCGAGAGATCGCAGAGATGGCGCAATCGGGAATTGTCCGGAAAATAGTCGTCGCAAGGCGTGGTGAGATTGGGGAGACACTATTACTGACTACAGACCTCGATAAGATGATCGACGAGTGTCCACAACTGTCAGAAGCAACAAAAGAGCATTTCAAGACCTTCTTGAAGGAAAATCCGGCCACACAGATGGTGCCAAAGACAGCGCTGTCTTGGTCTGAACTCGATCAACTCTTTAAAACAGGGTTCTTGACAGCTCACCACTCAGGGTCCGTTACCCACTCGTCTGTATCCAACACCGTGAATCTTTATTCGCGCCCAGAAGACAAAACGACGCTTGTATCTCTAGAGACAGTCTCGAAACAGCCAACGGGCTCGCTAGGCACTGTCGGCGGAGTGGGAGCCGTGCACAACGCCGGCGGCAGTGGGCAGCGCACGCAGTGGTCACTGCCGGACGGCGTGACTGAACTTCGGCTAGCAATACCGGGCAACAGCGCATTTCTTAAGCTACTATCGTCCGCACTAGAGCATTTCGTCTCTCTGCTAAGCAAGTCGCGATTTCGGGAAGCGACCGAAGGCGTACTTCGGGACCGATGGAATGGGGTTGTTCCGAAAGATGACGCGAGGGACGCAGCCAAGCGATCGCGTGGCGAGTTCACGGGAAAACTTGCTGGCCAGACGAGAAAGTGGAAACAGTTTCGTGGGCTTGCATTTCACTTCGTCTTGCAACAAGCCCTCGGGTCAGGCTTAGTTGAGGTTTTTGAAACTAGAAGCGTCGGTCGTGGAGTCCGAGCGACATGATGTGTTGCTCAGTTGACAGCGAGATCCAATACCGAGTTGCATATCCTAAACCACATGCTAGCGAGTGTTTCCGTCCAAACTCTTGATCGTGACAAATATCTGACCTCCCAAGAGCTATGTTCCTTGACAGTTTGTCGTTGGTGCTATCTGATAGGCTTGGGCGCGGAAGCTCCAAGTGTCTGTGAAGCGCAGAGTCCTCGGTGATATGTTCAAGTTGACTGCTTATTGGTAGGACTATTGACAGGCGTCGTCCCGTCAATTTAGCCCTGGCATGACCGAACTTCAGTCAATGGTCGTGATCCTGACTGACTCTTGGGATGAAGAAGAGCCGTGCAGAACATGCACGCTCAAACAGTTTTCGCCGGGGAAAGCAACTTCACAGCTTCAGATGTCGTCTGTGCAAAGACGATGATGTGTGATGAGAGTGCCAACCTCGAGATGTGCAACGTCATGACCGTCTGATAAGTAAGGAAAATCATGTTTGATCGCCACGGATGCGATCAGGGAAGCACCTGGTGCCTCGTGTCTGGCGGCCCTGTGTTTGCTCAACCCGAGTGCCAGGGAGAGGATTACTGTTCGCGAACATGCATTTTCGTGTGTTAAGCCAGGTAAGGGACGCATGAGATACCAAAAATAAACTTATCTGAGTCATTATCTTTACTGTTCTACCTCTGTCGTGGGGTCAGGGAATGGGTTCGTCATCGGGTCATCAAAAAAGTTGTAGGATCATTAACAATGTGAATTATACCTATTGCGTATGTCAAGCAAACTAGCAATAATCGACTCTGACCAGCGAAATAAGAGCTCAAGGAGTATGTTTGTTCATACAATCCCCACCTAGACCAAGTTTTCGGACCACCCTGAAGATAACCCCGTCTTCTCACCTAGTACTCAAGTCTTCCGAGCACAGGGACCGAAGTTTGCTACTAGTGGCTTAAAGTTGTGTTAGTCATCGAAACACGGAGCCAGGGCGGTCGAGTGTTCATCCGTATAGTTGTCTGTTCGGCCTGAAAACCGTGGTTGGATACGCGAGTCATAGTTAAGGGTATGAGGAACTCAGCTTCGAATGCTTACTAGAGATGATTTAAGCGATCCATGGTCCTGGTTCTTACCAATCGATTTGTACGCTGAAAGTTGCCTTGCTTTAAAAAATTGTGCAAGAATGCAACCTTGCAATATACCGATGTAGGTCAGGGCCGTTATTGGATTGCGAAGAACGCTACTCACACGTAGGCGCGTGCGCCTTAAACTTTAGAAAGTGTGGTAAGCCTGACAGGGCCCATCGGGACAACCGACTGCGCGTCGCGTCCGCAAAAATCACATGGGTCTCTCGAGCCCACAGCGAGGGGATTCCTGGTAGTCCTTGATAGACCAATCCTATGCGTCGGCCATGGGTAGTAGAGCAGCTCAACCCAACTGCTGCAGCATCTTGGTGTGTAGCACCGTGAGCACGACAGACTGCAGGGCAGAGCAGGGGTCTAATGTTGATGTCTAAACCGCTTGCGCGATAGCGTGATGTGATCAAGTGCAGGAACGCACGGCTATCGACTGGATGCGGCAGTGATGCGGTTGATATCTGTGCCGGGGAAATTGTAGCGAATGGGTCATGGCGACGACGAGACGTCAATGGCTTATTCGCTGGGAAACCTCATTGTACGCAACTGAGGTCCTCGTCAAAGCTCGTCTCAGGAAATCTGCAGGTCCAATGGGTTGTAGACTTGATAGCCACATGACTGGGCTCAAGTTTATATGTTGAGAGCCGCTGAAGCTGGGAAAGCAGTTCGACTGAATGATGATGAACTGGATTTTTGTAGAAGGATTTCCGAGGCCTAAGGTGTTATCCCCTGTAGAGCAGCTCGAAGCGGCGTGTTAGGGATGGGATATCTGCGTCTATGTCGAGGAGCTCGGTATTGGTGATATCTTGACATTCGGCCGGCTCGTCAAGACCCGTTACAATGTCACTTGGATGGTTGCAATTGCGACCGCAAGCTCGATTCCGTAATCTACGCTGCACACAGCAAGTGATAATTGCAAGGAAGGTTCGTTCATACAACCAGACAAACAAGCGGGCTGGTTCGATAAAGAAGAGAGAGTAACACAATTCAAGTTGTTCTCTTCAGATAAAGTACCGTTTGATCGTGAGTACCTTGATAATTATAATTAAAAGTACAACGAAGCCGACGCTTTGCAGGACAAGTACCTTTCCCCCACTGAAGATCTGGACTTGTCGTTGTCAGCTTAGTTGTGAACCCTGTCGCCACACCCCATGTTGGACCTTGCAGGGTGCAGCAAAAGGCTCCAGGGGTCGACCATTATTGTACAGGATAGCCTTGGATAGCTTGGCCGCCTCGAAATTGAGTGCACAGAAGGGGAATAGAGTCGCCGGCGGGGGCTTTGATAGGAAATGGGCAGTGACCATCAGGAGAAGCGTTGGACGCGAACTGATCAGAGAGCCAACGATGAGGAAACCGCAGAGCTGCACAGAGGAGCAGGAAGTCTTGACTTGGACTCCATCTCGGTTCAACTCTCCTCTTTCCATGCCAATGTCCATTATGTTGTGACGAACGTCTACTCTGTTTCCATGCCTGACATTGTCTCTCTTTTTTTCTTCTGTTTTTGTTCTACTTTTTTACTTTCGCTCTCCTGCTTCATTGCGCAGAGGCCGTTTCGTGCCAAACTCCTGGCCGAACGGGATTTTTTTTCTCTTCTATCGCTCTGCGAATTAGCGCATGAGATTGGACAACTGCTCGGAGCCCTGTCCATCACCGGCGAACCACCAATTCTACAGGTGCCCCCCGCAAGACACTTCCCTGTAATCTCACACCAGCCAACGCGGAGGACTGTGTACATCTTGCTCTGCGTCTGCTCATCACCCGAATTTCGCATTTCGACTCAAAACGCAAGGGAAGAAACATCCACCGCTGGCCCAACGAACTTGATACAGTTGATATCGCATTACTTTTCTTGAGCCACCCAATCGTCTTCCGTCGCTCTCTCGCAACAATTGATTTTTTGGGACCGTTCCTCATTTGATGCATGTCATATCTTGGGACGCTCAAACCACGTTGTCTATCGGTCTGTTCGCTAGGAGGAAAAACACAAAAAGCAACGACTTAACCGCCGACCCAAACCGACCCCAGATCCTCCGCCGATACAAGACATCACTTCTTGAGACCTCGAATGTCTTGCTATTGACTTATCAGCTGACCTCGCTGTCGCTTCACACGCCCAAGCTCGACGTTAGCCGTCGGGCACCAAAGCCGCAAGACTAATCTCTCTTCCGACTTGTGTTTGGATCTGCCGCTACGCAAATCTACAAGTCCAATAACCCAGAAACACGAACTGTGGGGGGTTCTATAGTAGGTTAGTGCTATAACTTGTCATCAAGTCTTTTGAGCATGTCCATACTCCGGCTGGCGTGGAAGGGGCGCAGCACTCTGTTTGTCGCGTTCACTTTGGTGGATCCTTGCATTGACAAATGTTCGCAGTCACCCGAATTATCAAGTTTTGCTGAAGTTGACCGGGACTGCGGTTCATGCACCCGGAGTTTCATGCGCCCATCCCCGACCGCGAACCTTCAGAGAGCCAGAACTCTGCCCTGAACTGTAAATCTCCAAACGCAACTTGGGACGAAACCCGCCGCATTGTTTCTAGCCACACGAGTTTAGCCCACCTACATTCGAATGACCTAGCGACCACCATCATCTGTGTCCCGTTGATACCTGACCTTGTGCGGTCCTTCTCCCGAACTGCTCGATTAGGCCAACGGGTATTGGGCTCACGAACATAACTTTATGGAGTCTTAATTGCGACACAGAGTCCAAATCTTCAAGATCACCATCTGACTTGACTGTCTGATCATAAGACAACCTCAACCTTCGGCACGATGGCTACCACCTTGCCTCGGCACGGGCGTCCTTCGAACGGACCCCCGAACTCCGCCCTCCCTGCTTTGCCAGTCTCCAAGACACGGAAGAGCGCCGGCGGGATTGCAGCTCCCTCGAAGCCCCCGAACACGCCGAGAAGCGGTCTACGAGCGCCATCGGCTACACATCTCCCGCCGCCAACCCCAGCACCCACCACAGCTTTGCCAACCCCCAAAGGCGCAGCCACTCCCAATGGAAGAACCATCCGCAAAACGGTTAGCATCAATTCGTTCCCTCAACCTCCCAAGGGGGACTCGAGAACCACCAGTCTGCCACCAAGTCCGTTGTCTAGCGGTTTATCAACTACCACCCCAGCACGAAAGTCGCGAACACCGAGTGCCACACCTAGGATGGGTCATCTGTCCAACATGACTCCGAGTTTGCTGAACGGCAGTGGCGAGGGTAAAACGCTTAGCGGGGCCAGCGTGAGGAATTCAGATGGGCTGATGAGCATTTCTTCCCCGCCGCAAAGCCGGAGCTCTTCGGCCCAAGACTCCTATTCTACGTCTGCTACGACCTATGATGACCCCGTAGACATGAATGCAAGCTCTATCAGCGATAAGCGCGTTTCGAAAGGAATAGATGGCAAGGGCAACGTTCTTGTCAGCGTAAGAGTGCGGCCTGACTCGGGAAGCAATAACAACCAAGTTGAGGGGGAATGGATGGTGGATGGGAGGAGGTCACTTGTATCATACCGTGGCAAGGAAGGGGGTGATTACTTCTACGGTAAGCTCAGAGCAAAACATTCCCAAAGTTACTTGAATGCCTACTAACCAAGCTGCAGATAATGTGTTTGCCACGCACGACGACAATAGCAGAGTGTATGATCACTGCGCCAAACGACTCGTCCGCCGAGTCATGGAAGGCTACCATGGAACTGTCTTCGCCTACGGCATGACAGGTACTGGTAAGACATTCTCAATGCAGGGTACAGCTTCATCCCCGGGTGTAATACCGCTGGCCATTACCGACATCTTCTCCTATATCCGCGAGACGCCATCCCGCGAGTTTTTATTGCGGGTCAGCTATTTGGAGATTTACAACGAGAAGATCCATGATCTCCTCAACATGTCCACTAGCGGGGTTGGAGGAACGGGTACGCAGGACGAAATCAAGTTGCGAGAAGACAGCAAGCGCGGTGTCTACGCAACGCCACTGAAGGAGGAGATTGTGCAGAGTCCCACCCAACTCCTGCGCGTCATTGCCCGTGGTGACCAGGCTCGTAGGACGGCAAGTACACAGTTCAACGCAAGGAGTTCTCGAAGTCATGCTGTGGTTCAGATCGTCGTGGAGAGTAGAGAACGCATACCGGGAAATACGGGAGGCGATAGCAAGCGGTCAGGTCTACCTCCTGGGGGAGTTCGCGTGTCCACGTTGAGTTTGATCGATCTTGCTGGTTCCGAAAAAGCGGCCGAGACCAAGGATCGTCGGATAGAAGGATCTCATATCAACAAGAGTTTACTGACACTAGGTACTGTGATATCGAAACTCTCCGACGCCAAGGACAAGGACGGGAAAGATAAAGATGGGAAGCATTTGCCTTACCGAGACAGCAAATTGACTAGGTTGCTGCAAGGAGCGCTGTCAGGAAACTCGCTTGTCAGCATCTTGTGCACAATTCAGATCGGCGCAGCTGGGAGTGCCGCCTCTGCAAACAGCCACACAACGGAGACGATCAACACCCTCAAGTTCGCGTCACGAGCGAAGAACAGCATCGTAAGCCACGCCAAGCGAGCTGAAGAAGCTCTTGGTGCTGGTGGCGAAGGTGGTGCTAGGGTCCTTCTAGAACGATACCGGATGGAAATTTTGGAACTACGAGGCCAGCTCGACCAGCAAGCCAAAAATGAAACGACCAATGCCGAAGACGAAGACAGGGCAAAAGACGAGGAGGAAGAGCGCTTGCGTGAGAAGGAAGCAGAGGCACGACACGAAGAACAGATGTTGGAAATGCAACTTGCACGTACAGCACTGAAGGAGCGTATTGACCATTTGAACAAGCTGATCCTCAGCTCGAAATCCATCGGCGTTAACACCAATGGAACATTCAGCTCATTGGGAATGCATGCTCGGTTCTCGCAGGCGTCGCTGCAGGCGTCTGTCCGGTCGTCCATGGCCATGTCGACTGGCAGCCGGCCACTCTTGGAAAGGACAGCCTCAATGGCGTCTTCATCATCCACTATTGGACGGAGATCGAGCGGGCAGAGGCATTCGAGTGGAGGCGAGGCCGAGGAGGATGACAGTCTTGGCGAGTTTGGCGAGTTTGGCGACGGCACCGCCTCTCTTGCAGCACAAAATCAGGCGTTGCAGGCCGACCTTGCTGACAAGAATCGATATATCGCCACCCTCGAAAAGAGACTATTGCAAGCTAGGCGCGCAAGCTCCAGTCGGACGTCTGTTGGTTTCTCCTCACCCAACAAGGGGATCATGGTTGGCGAGGACCACAGTGTCTCTGTGCTGATGAAGGAGAAAGATGCGGAGATCGCAGAGCTTAGGGCAAAATTAGACGACAAAGACCGCATGCTATCGGCACTCCGCAGCGCAGCTCGTTCACGGGACGCAGCTGAGGGCATGGATAGCTCCCGGCGTGAAACTCGTGAGATGCGGTCATCTTTATTGTACGACCATGCGGCGAGCCCCCCTCCCCAGGGCGCGTTACCTGACCCTCCAGTAACACGACGGAAGAGCATCTCGCCGATGCGAGGGCGGAAGAGCGTGGATGAGATGTCGATGATTTTAGATGAGATGATATCTCAACAAGTCGAGTCGGGCCACATGGTTAGAGGCCAGCGTGGCAGCGTCCGTGTAGTCAGTGACTCTCGCAAGGCACAGGCACAGGCGCCCGCGCAGCCGGCCGACCTGGAGGTGCTGAGGGAAAGCCCGCCGGTACTGCATGAGCCGAAACAGGTTGCTCTAGAGGCCTAGATGTTTTCCTCCTATGAGACTGTATTGTCAGCTTGGGGTTTGTGAGGGACTGGGTTTGGGGCATGGCGTTTCGGTTGGTTTTGCTTCTTAGAAGCCTGTTTGTCTTATACCCTTTTACGTTTTATTGTTTGCATCTAGGGGCTGTGGAACGCGAACGCGCGAACGCCTTGATGAAGGTAAGAGCTTGACGGGTCACTTCATTGCTTCCGACATGTCAGACGAATAGGTTGGCATGCCTCTCCCGAGACGTGTCCATGTTTTATTATGGGAGGATCAGAGTGGCACAGCGCTCTGTAATGAGGATGATGCGGGAGAGAGGGTCAACCGTGCATCATCACCAGTAGAGAGAAAGGCCAAGGGGGAGAAGGCTGTGTCTTGTATATTATTTGAAGCGAATCCTGCACTGAGCTGAAGCGCTCGAGGGAAATGGGAAGGCATGGGAAGGCATGGGAACGAATGTCAATATGATATTCATGCACACAAGCTCGAAGTTGCCAATCAACGCCCATTGTTGTTGTTGTGCCTCGCCCCCGTGTGGGTGAAATGCATTTTCGCAGCGGTGCGTCATGCAAAATCCTCGGTTGGCGACTGGCAATATCCGGAGCAGCACGTATTCTACGTTCATGGCTCAGATAGCAGCAGAATGCCGTTTGCAGGCCCGTTCGTAGCTGACGCCTATTTTGGGAATATTCAAGAACGCGTGGGGTCGCATTTAGACGCCTTTATATTCGATACCATAGTGCCTGCGCAATTGGGGGTGACGCTGAACGCAATGCTACGCTGCAGGGGTGGGCTGAATACCATGAATGACCACAATAGAGTAGGCAATTCTTACAAAAGGATCACTCACGGTTGCTGCGCCGCAGCTGCTTACATAGTCCCATTGTGCGATGAAGCGAGAAAAGTACTGACTCGCAAACGAACTCCCGCTCAATCACCGTCGTTAGGGAGGTAGCCGTAATTTTGTCACAGAACCGCCCTGGTGCTCCGTACACCGGTTCATTTGGCCACGCCATTCCCCCAGTGAGGCTTCTCGTGCAACCAACAATATCTGGATGCTCCGAGATTTTTATTGCACGGATCGCGGTTACGCTTGCGTCGTGCGATACGACCGTCATCCACGATATCGGCCCGCCAGAAGGACGTCACACTACAGACAAGCTAACTAAGAAGGGGGGACCTGTGTAGGTTTACAAACTCGCGGTTGTTGTGTGAGCTAGTGCGCAGAATCTGTTCGCGCATTCCATGAGATGCGGTATGAAGAGACAGCTTGCCACTTGGGTGACCACAGCCGTCTGGTCCAGTGGGAACTTACGTTGGCCGGTCTTGGATCGTCAGAAACTCTTTGAGGGACTGGTCGTGCCTGTGTTCTTCTTGTATTCTTGTTGGCCTCCATTACGACCAACCAACCAGGTCAGCTAACATTGCTGCATCACTGTCTCCTACGTACGGTATTACGGTGTACATATCTTCCAATAGAAAGCGTTGGTTGACGTCTCCCTCCCCAAGCCTCCGATGAGATCTTCCATCAAGCATAGGATGACCGTACGTCGTGAAGCTCCTTTTGTCGAGCTTACCGTGCAATCATTGGCCCGATGAGGGCGATCCTGTCAAAAAAGATGAAGGGACGTCAGCGCCCTCGCAGCTTCAGATTGGTGGGCTGCGTCCTTCCTTCCTCTATCCGTTCTTAGGCTGGTTTCAGAATGAGCCGGGGAGGACAGGATGACGATCACCTCTGTCCCCACAGCCTAAAAACAAGACCGACCTTCCCGATGTTTCCGACTCTGCAGAAAGAGACTTGTTTGAGAACGACTCGGGAACTCCGGGGGTGGCCAGTTTCGTTGTCATGGAACGGCAGGTGACTCCCCCCACAAGTAGTTACCCTTGGAATACTTTCCAATCTACTCCAAAAGAGTCCATCTAATCCCACCAGCAACCGTCCTAAAGTACGATCGACGACGCCTTACCCGCCTCAGGCCGTCCATATTCCAACCCTTCGTCTTTTCACCCCCTCTCCGTTTGTCAGAATTCCTCACACGCTTTGCTCCTAGTCTCACCAGATGATAATTGGGTTTCTCTCTTCGAGGTCACAAATAGGACCGCTTTGCCCGTTCCCGAAGGAGGAATTCCCATAGTACAGGTGGATTGCAAAAAGTAACACCCCTACCTATCAATTTGATCACATCCCAAGTTGCCCACACACCCTAGCAAGCGCATGACAGGGGCCGAAGCAGATCCCCAGATCGACAGTTTTCGCTTCCCTTTTCGCTTCCAGATCCGGCGAGCATATCTAACCGTCGTGAGATGATTCTTGTCCATCCTCATTTTCTTTCTGGAATGCTGTTTTGCCTTCTGTGACATCATCGAGCTGGGCCCTTATTGATGCTACCGTCCTATTCATGCCGTCCTCGTCATCTTCTTCCCCACCAGGGAACTTGAAGGTTCATTAACATCTCGAGGGGTCTTTTCGACCAAATGGCTCTCCTTGTGCAATATTGAAGGAAGAAAACAGGAGATATCTGACACTCCAACGCCAGCGCAAACATTAGGCTGGGTTGGTCTCCAAAGCTCCTCTGGAAGTTGGTTTGATATCGACGACACCTTCACTTCGTATCGTTCCCAAGGATTCGTTGGCCTTTCCTCGTCTGGTTCGGTGTCTAGAACATTGAACAACCCGCACTTATACGGAACTTAACCAGAAATTTCCAACTTCGTCTCGTTTGACAGACCACTTCCTGTCCCACGCTGACCTCCAATCTTTCGACCCTGGGCTTCGGTCTGTTTCTGGTTCTTTTCACTTTCACTGCCAGGAGACACCCCGAACTGAGCTCATTCCACCGTCCCCATTCGCCATAACCAAAACCGCGAGATCGTCTTGACTAAGTATTTGCGATCGTCATCTCAGCCAACTCGCTGCACCCCTGGGACTCTCCACAATTATCCAACGTTGACTTCTGGGTTCATGACAGCTCGCTGCCAAAAAAGGGACTGCTGCTTTTAAGGATCTTCCCTCTCCTTGCGGACCCGTCGCTAACCTCAACCGGCCAAGATTTTCTACACTACGCGCGATACAAGTACGGCGTTCCATAATCCGGCGACTACCCTGCGTTCTCTCACTTATGTAGCTCGACCGGTTGCGCATCGGCAGTGAGGCGAACAGCCGCTCTCTCCTCGTGTACCCTGATGGAAACCTGAGAGTGTGTCATCAAGTGTCGAAACTAGCATCTTCATATTCCTCCCATTTCGGGTTTCCTGTTATTCAGATTTGGTTCCCGCACTCGTTAAATCGTGCCCGCGGATCAACCAACAACACATCGTCACTCCCTGAAACAAGCCCGGACAGCACCGCGGTATCATCCTTCTCTTCAATCTGGCCGGACATTTCTACGTTTACTTGATTTTATACATTTATGACTCCACGGAGATGCCTCCTACTTTGGAATTTCCTAATAACAAACGCGCCAAGATGATTGTCTCGCCACCCCGACTCAATCTGCGCAGAGCCGCATCGTATCAAGGCTCTCAATCTCACGACAAAATACCGCTTTCGGCAACATCGTCATGCTTCGATTTCAACCATCTCCTCTTTTCACCTCCTCCCTCTCCGGGCTTGCCCGCTCTGGTACCCCGGCCCAGAAAATCCCCAACCTTGAAACCACGGCCAAGCCGGGTGGTTCGACTCGTTACTTATGCTGCTGGCCTGTTGATTTTCCTTTATCTTGCAAGAAGCATTGTGAGGAAGTCTGTCGACGTGCCTATGATTGAGTGGGCTTTGACCGCGGGGGAAGAGTATGAGATGGTGGGACAATACGACCTACCAGAATTTCCAACGCCGATTGCCATAACGGATCGCCGTGGCAGATCGAAGTGGACGATTTCTATTCCCCCAACGTATGACTTCCCCTTGACGGTGAAGGAGTATTCCGAGATCTGCGCCAAATGCCAAGAGGTAGCAGCACACGTCAGAGAACTCGACAGCCGCAGCTACCCCTCCCAGAAGGCCCAGTTCGATTATTACTACGAAGACCCCTACTTTCTGGATGTGAAAGAGGCCGAGAAGCGTGGCCTGCTTCCAGGTATCGAGAACAAGTCCTGGCAAGTGACGGCCAAGGCCCAGGACGGCCACGTTGTTGGAGAGAATAAGGACGGGCTGGTGCAGCAAGGCAGCTGCAAGACTTCTCTAACCTTTGTACTTGAATCACCCGATGCTGGAATTGGCCCAACCTTGATGATGCTGTGGATGGCATACGGTTTGGCCCAAAAGGAGAAGCGTGCCTTCTTCATCGACGACTCACGTTGGGCGTATGGGGAGTACACCGACATCTTTCAGGCGCCTCCTGCACAGGGGTGCAGTCCTCCTCCTCGGCACGAGATGCTGCCATGTCCCCATCATGCTCGGCACTTGGTTGTATCCGTGGCGACAGCACGCGATACATTCGGCAACAGCTTTACCTCTGAGTACGAGCATCACAGGAAGAGCGACGTTGACAGGGAGCGACCGATGTATGACCTGGCCCGTGTCGGTCATGAGGCTCTGTTCCATCTCAACGACAACGATCACACGTACGTCCAGGGTCGTATTCAAGAATTGAAGGCCAAAGTCAGGGTTCCCGCAGGAAACAACGACGGCACCATAATCGGGGTCCATGTTCGACATGGGGATCTCCACCCCTATGACTATCAGTATAGCAGTGCTTACCTCCCGAATAACCTCTACGCGGACAAGTTGCGGGAGATACTGGAAGATTATCATAACACCAGTAACCCCGACGGAGGTGAAGATGTTGTGGCGAAACAGCGTTCGTTGACAGTTCTCGCCTCTGACGACCCAGACGTGTACGAGTCGGAAGAATTTGCCGGATCACTTCGTGCCCAAGAGTTGATCAAGCTTGCGAGTGTGGCGGCAATAAAGCAAGTGAACCCGGACAAACATGTCATGCATAAGTTCGTCGACGAAACATTTGGCTGGGAGGGTGGTTTTTTCGCCAGCATGTTCTGGAATCTTGGCCGGTCAACTCTCAACACTGCCAACGCCGCAGACATGCCAGCTACAGCACTGGGCCCGCCAGCTGAGACAATCCGCCTTCGCAATCTTATTGGGCGCGCGTACATGATGGACTTGGCAGTGCTCGGCCAGGGAAGCGACGTGGTGATCTGCACTGTCAGCGCAATGGGTTGTCGTCTGATGGCGGTGATCATGGGCTGGGAGAAGGCTATTGAATCCGAAAAATGGGTCAACATTGATGGGAACTATCACTGGACCGGCATATCTCTTTGATTCTTCTTATGGGGGACGACGTCAGTTCGAAGCATGGTTCAAGGCGCAGAAAAACAAGGGAAGACCAAAAAGGCACTGCATTAAGCGTCTGGTCAAGGCGTTCAGGGGAAGGGGATGTTTGATATTTTTTGGACCCAAGATACCATACTCACATCCACGGCGTAACAGGGACTTTGCATTGAGTAGGCTCCCATTTGGGAGGTAAGAATCTACATCACAAGCCGGTTTGGCTCACAATACATTTCATTATTTCATCGTAGTTCATTCCCCACCGCTTCCCGCGTATCCAAAGTAATATGGACCTTGCTGAGTTCGAATATAGCTGCACCTTAATGCGGGAAAGGTGAAGACTGACAACTAGGAGACTTATATGTCTGGTATTGATCATGAAAAGGCGTCACCACTCGAAGTTCGGATGAGATAGAATCCCGCGATCAAACGTGGTAGAGTACTCTCTAGTTACTTAATCTGGATTGGAAAGGATGTCTACAGTACCTCGACGCCCATGGAACGCACTCGATTGGCACACGAGCTTGATCATTACTTTCTTGGGCATCTTTGCGGTCTCGCGTAGATGGCAGGCACCAATCTCTGAGCTCTCTAGATGCACATGGACGAAATCGGTAATGAATAATACCACAGTCGGGTACATCTTGAGTATTTACAAATGACGAATGGACAGTAGGAAATAGGGGATTGTTTCGCCAAACGTCCTACTGAGAAGTTTGTGTGGCAAAGAACGGTGTAGTGAAAATGAGCTGGTAACAATGGTTTTATTACGAAGAGTGCCGATAAAGCGGTCCGTTGCTTATCCTTGTCATTCCAACTTTTAGTCACCCTCAGCACAGTATTGCAAGGGTTGCGCAGAGTATTTGTGTCTACTACTTCGAAGCAAGCAAGTCTTCCCCAAGTCCTGACCATATATCGTGTATGGGTACCACGCGGCCGAAGCCCATGGCAATGGTATATGTACGTTCGAATCATGCAGATGATGCTGCCATCTTATTACTTTGACCTATACAACGAGCGCGTGTCCCTGTGGGCGTTGAGTTGGACTTCAGACCGTAGATTGGGACGTATGCTGGGGCTGCGAACTTCGGCCATGGCTGATTCCAGCTTTGAAACGATCACACTCTCTTCCTGCATCTGCCTGGAGAATTGCCGGTCCGCATTAGTAACCGCCGTCCACAACCGAACATGAATACAGCGGTGCGTCATGGGGCACCCATACGATTCTGCTATACACGAAATGAGAGGGCAAAGAAAGACACTGAATGATATCTTGTTCCCGTCGTGCTTTTTCAACATGCCCATGACGGGGCTAGGGAGTCTGGATGGGATGAAGGTTGTCCGCAATTTCCCGCCAACTCTCTGTGCTATTCAATGATTCCTCGAGTACTAATATCCCAGCCCATTGCTTCACATATCTCGTGCGATTATCGCCAACAAGGCAAGTTTATCGTTGACCAGTTGTTGCCACTACGCTGCTCGGAATATTGTACTTTCCTATCGACGCCAAACCATCCAGCTCGATGACACGTGGGAGCCGGAACACTACCCTAACGTACTTCCACGGTGTCAACGCATAAGCTTTTGTGAAGGATACAGCCGATCCCTTTACTAGCCACAACTGGCTTTACTATCCTATCCGATAAAGGAGGCCCTCCTCGAGATCCATCTGACTTGCGAAACAACTCACCTAAGATCATCGCAGATGGCGTTTATAATCCCGGACATGATAAGGGGGGCGAAGTCATTGACGAGATCACCATTTCCTCTCTAAGAGCAAACCTGCATGGAGCTTGTCTGAGTCCTTCGTCACTCATTACTTGGCCTTTGCTAACTTGCAGTAGTTGTATGGTGGTTTAGTAATCCGAATACGAGAAATGATATATACTCCCCCTTTGGCATGCACTCGGTCAATACAACGTAATACCCAACGACACCAGCAAGGTACAAAAGACCTTTGTAAGCCGTCGTGTGTCTGCCCTTCGCCGCATGACTATTGTGCAATAAAGGACTCCTCCCGAATACTGAAGAAAGCGCTTTACGATAAATAAAGAACTCCAGAAGATAAAAGAAAGTATCGAACTCGGCCTTAAGAAAGGAAAATTGGATTTCTACTGAAGAAATCTAGCTAACGATGAACATACACCTGTAAACAACGGCCTAGTTTCGCTCTAGATAGATTTGGATACCATATCCTTACACATACTTCTATACACACTGCCACAATACACAACCATAACGTTCTCCACTCTATTACTCTTCTGCTTAGCGAATCCACAAATATCCGCTGTATACTCGTAACCTTCTAACAATAACCACAGGGCATCGCTGCGAATACGTGGTTGTTGCTGTTGTTCTTGTTGCCTTATTGTGAATGGCAACTTCTTCGCAACCAGCCAAACCCCCTCGTGGCTTATTATGGGCGAACTTCCTGTAAGTCCAGTCACGATGATAAAGATCGCGCATGCACAACGGCTGGCTTGTCCATGTTCTGGTATATTTGCCTCTGCCCAGGCCAAATAAGAAGTAGGTAGATGGCACCGTACTCACTCAAACTGAGACAATCAGCAGGTGTAGGAAGGAAAAGAAAAGGGGCATCTCTTTTCAAAATGCTCGGCTATCTCGATGATCCATGACCGAAACCGGAAACGCACACGTGTGATGCTTGTCGTTTAGCCGTCCATGGTAGCTGCAATTAGCTACTCAGGTACACATTTACTATGCATTCGGCGTCGTAAAATGATATCATCGCATATGTATCACCATTAGAAGCCAGCTGTGAGTTGGTACAGCAATGAGCAATCTTCCACCGACTGAGGTTGGGCGGTGCTGCTGCAGTATACTTACCAACATTGGTACATGTGGTTTGAAATGCAAGCTCTGTGATTGGTTCGCTGGCGTTTCCTGCCTGTCGTACTCGGGTCGAGCTTGGCCGTACTGTTCGACTTCTGGCGGCGCTACTTGGCCTGTTCTTTAGCTCACCTTGTAATTTTCTGTCCAATGGTTTCTCCGGTGAAGTCATTAGATAAAATGAGTAAAGTCGAACGAGAAGGCAGCATGTCATGCGAATTGGGCGACGAAACGTTCGACGATGGTTCCTTGAAAGTGGGGGCACTGTGAGGTACGTACCAAACCCGAATACGAAGTACCTGCGTACCCTCTAGTAACGGCGCGTCGGCCCTGGCGCTAGCACGAGCATGGGTATCGCATTGGTCAATCAGAACCAGAACTATCCAAAATCGTCCACCCATCAAACCACCAATCCATCGACAAATTTCCAATGCCCGTTGTTGTCATACCGCTCCTCTCACCACCATCCATATTAAAGCTCCCTCGACCCCCCTCCTTCTCTCGAGGGTCCCGACGCTGGACGATCGACAGCGCGTAACGACTTCTCAAAGCCTATTGTCACTATGGGTTTATTCGAGGACGCCATGGGACTTCTGTCCCAGCAGACCACCGTTACGCAGGTGGTCATCGTCGTCGGCTTCCTGCTCCTGTTGTCAGTTTTTGCCCATGTCGCCAAACAGATCTTGTTCAAGAATCCCAACGAGCCGCCCGTGGTCTTCTCCTGGTTCCCCTTCTTCGGAAGCACCGTTATCTACGGCATGGACCCGCCCGCTTTCTTCCACGCCAACAGAGCAAAGTACGGCGATATCTTCACCTTTATCCTCCTTGGCAAGAAGACCACCGTCTATGTCGGACCCAAGGGCAACGATTTCATCTTGAACGGCAAGATCAAGGACGTCAACGCTGAGGAGATCTACTCCGTCTTGACCACGCCCGTCTTCGGCAAGGATGTTGTCTACGATTGCCCCAACTCCAAACTCATGGAACAGAAGAAGGTTAGTCTCGCGTCCCCGTGAATCTCGGGCGGGAATGGAACTGACGCGTAGCCCACTAGTTCATGAAGGTCGCCCTCACCACGCAAGCTTTCCAGTCGTACGTACCCATCATCGCCGACGAAGTTTCCTCGTACTTCAAGAAGAACCCCCTTTTCAAGAGCCAATCCGGCATCGTCAATATTGGGCCCATCATGGCCCAACTCACCATCTTCACCGCGTCACACTCATTGCAGGGAAAGGAGGTCCGGAATAAGTTCGACGAGTCCTTGGCCGATTTGTATCACGACCTCGACATGGGCTTCAGCGCAGTCAACTTCGTGCTGCACTGGGCCCCGCTCCCGTGGAACAACAAGCGTGATCATGCTCAAAGAACCATTGCCAAGATCTATATGGATACAATCAAGGAGCGCCGAGCCGCTGGCCAGACCAACTCGCAGGATATGATGTGGCATTTGATGAACTCGACGTACAAGAATGGCACGCCAGTCCCTGACCACGAGGTCGCGCACATGATGATTGCTCTGCTGATGGCCGGTCAACACTCATCGTCTTCTACAAGCTCATGGATCATGCTCTATCTCGCGGCGCGACCAGACATCATGGAGGAACTGTACCGTGAACAGGTTGAGGCCCTCGGCGCTGATCTCCCACCGCTCACCTATGAGGATCTTGCAAAACTGCCCCTGAACCAGGCCGTCATCAAAGAGACCCTTAGACTCAACGCCCCGATCCATTCCATCATGCGCAAGGTGAAGCAGCCTATGCCCGTGCCGGGTACCAAATACGTCGTGCCGGCGAACCAAACGCTCCTCGCCGCAGCGGGTGTTTCGGCATCGGATCCGCAGTACTTTCCCGAGCCAGATCTCTGGGAACCGCACCGATGGGACAAAGAATCGCCGATCGCACCTAGAATCCCGCGCAGCGACCCTGAGAAGGATGAGACGATTGACTATGGCTACGGTCTGGTCAGCAAGGGATCCATGTCGCCATATCTTCCCTTTGGTGCGGGTAGGCATCGCTGCATCGGCGAGCATTTCGCCAACGCACAGTTGCAGACCATCACGGCCATGATTGTGCGCATGTTCAAGTTCCGAAACCCCGATGGCAGCAACAAAGTCATCGGTACAGATTATGTTTCGCTGTTTTCGCGACCGCTGGAGCCTGCCAACGTCTACTGGGAGAAGCGAGAGAAGATTGCGTAGATGTCGTGGCAAGGGAACCGTCATGTATATAGAGATATTGATCAGGCCACAGCCGTATGCGTCTACCATCGGGGTCGCGACGGGCCTGTGGAGATGAAGGATAGAGAGATGAGTCGAAATCAGAACATAATCATAATAATACACCTAGCACTAAACAATACCCAGTCGAAGCTTAGACATGGATCGTGGATCTGACATGCTTGACACAGGGCGGACCTGAGGCTTAGGCCCCCTCCCCCCTGTTAGAAACGTCTGATTGCAGCCGGCCCTAACGAAGACCTCGGCGTTTTGACATGCATGGGTGACGCAGGTGACTGATTAGCATCTTCACTTCGACCCCGAACGACCATAAGCACTTAGTCCTAGTGAAGAGCCTCCCGTCTGCATGGATGAATCTCAGATCATCTGACGATTTGACGATCCAGTTTCAATCGGCCAACTGGAAGTCTTGGTCGGAGCGCTGAAAGCAAAGTCCACATTACAACATTCAACGCATCCAGATCATCTCAACTTGTCAATTCGAATCCAGCTACTCCTTCAGATGGGAAGTGCAATTATATTTATGTAGAACACGGCGATAGCTTTTGGTTTCATATATTCATCCTCGACGAATCAAACAAGATGGCAACCCCGGCCGGTCCGCTGGTCCGACTCTGGGGAATCCCTACGTCGCAACTCCCGTCCTCCACCGCGACTGCGGACGAGCTGGCCCCCTTCCTCACAGCTATCCTCCAGGAGGCGGTTCCTTTTATTGATAGTGCGGCACCCAAGTCTTCGCCCGCAGAAGCACAGCGATCTAAGGTCTGGAAGCCCAAGGGCGTCAAGTCGAGCTCGGACTCGACGGCCAAGGTCGAGGTCTCGGAGCGTACCGTTCCCGCCGCGGAACTGGAAGCCGTCGCCACGCCGACGACAAAGGGCAAGGGGAAGTTAGCCCCCGAAATGTGGGCGTGCCGGCGGTCGGTGCACCAGGATGCCGCCGAGCGCGGGACGGCTTCGTGGGCCGAGTTCGAGCACAGCTTTCGGTTTGAGCACGCCAAGTCCGAGGACGCGTTTACGCCGAATGTGCTGGCAACGCATGAGGCCTTGGTGTGGGACTGCGGCGGTGTTTCCCCCTTTGATCTCGGGGGTGAGACGTGGGGAGAGTTCTCGTTGAAAGTCGAGGAGATGCGGCATAAGGTCGGCAGGCCGGTGCTCAAGGATCGGACATTCCCGGTGTTGCAGATGGTGGCGACTACTCAAGGGAAGCAAGAGTTCGTCGTGGTTAGCATTCCCGTGCCTGACTTTGGGACGGAGTCGGAGGCCAGCCGGCTAGCGAGGGAGAAAGGGGCTCAGGTCGCTAGGTATGTTAGTGTGGAACTCATACGGAAGATGGCGGACGGGAAGATTGAGTGGCTTATGGCTACGGCGAGTGATGCTGGTGGGGTGTTGCCTATGTGGGTGCAGAACAAAGCAATGCCTGGGGTGGTTTGGAAGGATGTACCGCTGTTCTTGAGGTGGATTGCGAAGGAAAGAGGGGATGGGGGTACTAGAAAGGAGTCTGGGGCTTCGAAGGGTAGTATAGTGCCGGAGGTTTCGACGGGAACGGCTAGGGATGCTGGGAATGGCGCTACGGCTGGTGCTTCTCAGACGGCCACGGCACCCGAGGGTTCAGGTCGCGATGTTGATTATTGGCATGGAGGGCATGCCGAGGCTGTCCTAGGCGATGGGGCGAAGCAGAATGGTGCAACCACAACTGCTGACCAGTAATAATGGACGCAATATGTTGATTGTATGCTGTGAAGGGAAGGTTGAATTCTGGGAGGAACAGGGGCTATAGGAATGCCACTTTCTTTACCTAAGCAGGCGGCAGAGTCGGAGCCTCTTGGTCGAGCTCATGGGCACATTGAGTTGCCACTTGAAGGTTGCCATTGTATAGTTTTCTGGGCAGTGATGCTCAAGGGTTATCATGGCTATTAGTGTCCGTCTCGGCTGGGAAGATACATATATATGACTCCGGAGAAAAGGAGTTGTAGTGCTAATAGAACACGTTAACATTGTGGGATGACAGATGACTACAGCCCCAGACCCTCAACAGAGTCTGACTCATTAAAGCTCGTGATGTTGCAACTAGGAGTTCTGGATGTCTTTTACTCATCTTGTGCTACCACCTTGTGGCGGGCTAGACAAAAAAGAGTCTTTTCATTGTATGCGTCGAGCCACACCTGGGAGAACAAACTCGCTTAATTCACATGCGGAGAGGGACTATTTGTGCAACAGCTTTCGCCAGAGAGACCTCGAGCTCTTACTGGCAGTGTCCCAAATCTACTCATCGGACTGACTCATCTAATCAGAGGAATGTAGATATATGGATAACTAACTATTCATAATCCAGCAACTTCCGGGAATAGGGCCATAACTGAATTAGACAGACATCAATCTTAATTTCTATCTTTGAGCAAAAGAAATCAGTTCTCCAGGTAGACCATTTTTGCTCAACCTTCAAGTACGGGGCTGAGCTGGCCTCCCAGGAGCGTTATTGTCGACTGTGCAAAGCGGCTCGGGCGGCGGCGCCTTTTCCCCTCCGATCCCCGCCTGCCCCTCGTTTTGGTGAGTCAATGAGTGAATCGAAATTTGGTGCGGGCGGCTTACCAGCGCATATGTAACCAAGCCTACGACCAATGACTCGCAACCTCTCCCACAATTCTATCGCAACACCGTCAAATTGTCTAAACAACTTCTCCGTGCACTCTGTGTGCGCAGGTCGCCTTTCAGATTAAGCCTCCACGTCTCACGCGCTACAATGGCTACAAACAGTGCCCGTGGCAACCCCATTGGCGCCCCCGAGGGCCCAAGCAAGGTCGGCGAAGGCACGCCACCCCCGGTTTCCACCGAAGTCAAGGGCGCCGTGAAAGTTGCTGGCCAGGCGGATGGTCCCGGTGTACATAGCGCCGGCCAGGATTCAACCACGGCACCAGCCGAGACCAAGGTCAAGACGGAGAAGGAGCTAGAGAGGGAGAGGAAGAAAGCTGAGAAGAACGCAAAGTTCCTCGAGAAGCAGAAGGCCAAGCAAGACGCAGCGCAAGCAGCCTCGGCAGCCGCTGCTAGCAAGCCCAAGAAGGTCAAGCCGCAGAAGGTTGAGGAGGACCCCCTGCCCGAATACGTCGAAGACACCCCGCACGGCGAGAAGAAGCGACTCAAGCCCCTCGACGATCCCCAGTTCAAGGCATACAACCCCATCGCCGTCGAATCGGCTTGGTACGAGTGGTGGGAGAAGGAGGGTTTCTTCAAGCCTCAGTTCAAAGCGGACGGCTCCGTCAAGGATGAGGGCTCCTTCGTAATCGTTATTCCTCCACCAAACGTGACAGGAGCCCTACACATGGGCCACGCCCTTGGCAACTCCCTGCAAGATGTCATGAGCAGGTGGAATCGCATGCACGGAAAGACCACACTGTGGCTGCCGGGCTGTGATCACGCCGGTATCTCCACACAGAGCGTTGTCGAGAACATGTTATGGAGAAAGCAAGGCAAGACGAGGCATGACCTGGGCCGGAAGAAGTTTATCGACACCGTCTGGGAGTGGAAGGAAGACTATCACAAGCGCATCAACAACGCCCAAAGGAAAATGGGAGGTTCCACCGACTGGAGCCGAGAGGCATTCACCATGGATGCCAATCTATCAGCAGCCGTCACTGAGACGTTTGTCAAGCTCCACGAAGAAGGCGTCATTTACAGAGCGAACCGCCTGGTCAACTGGTGTACCCAGCTGAACACAGCTCTGTCCAACCTCGAGGTCGTGAACAAGGAGCTGACCGGGCGCACTTTGATCGATGTTCCCGGCTATGACAAGAAGGTTGAATTTGGTATCATTGTGCATTTCAAGTACCAAATCGAAGGCTCCGACGAGACCATCGAGGTCGCCACTACCCGTCCTGAAACCATGATTGGAGATACTGGTATTGCGGTTCACCCCGAAGACGAGCGCTACAAACACCTCGTTGGCAAGAATGCCGTCCACCCCTTTATTGAGGGCCGGGTCATGCCTATCGTTGCGGACGATTACGTCGACAAAGAGTTCGGTACTGGAGCTGTCAAGATCACCCCGGCGCACGACCCCAACGATTTTGCGCTCGGTCAAAGACACAACCTCAAGTTCATCAACATCCTGACAGATGATGGTTTCATGAATGAGAATGCTGGTCCGTACAAGGGACAGAAGCGTTTCGATGTCCGCTACACCATTCAAGACGACCTGAAGAAAGCTGGGCTCTATGTGGAGAAGAAGGACAACCCCATGAAGGTGCCCCTGTGCGAAAAGTCAAAGGATGTCATTGAACCGCTCATGAAGCCACAATGGTGGATGAAGATGAAAGATATGGCCAAGGATGCCCTTGAGGTTGTCAAGGAGGGCAAGATCAAGATCAAACCGGAAACGGCCGAGAAGAGCTACTATAGGTGGATGGAGGACGTCCACGATTGGTGTCTATCCAGACAACTCTGGTGGGGACACCAATGTCCCGTTTACTTTGCCAAGATTGAGGGCGAGGTCTGTAATCCAGCCGAAAACACGCTATGGTTTTCTGGTCGAACCGAAGAAGAAGCTCAGGCCAAGGCAGAAAAGGCTCTGCCGGGCAAGAAATTCACCCTCGAGAGAGACGAAGATGTGCTTGACACATGGTTCTCGTCAGGATTGTGGCCTTTTTCTACGCTGGGCTGGCCTAATCAGACCACCGATCTCGAGAGATTATACCCTACCTCGGTCCTAGAAACGGGATGGGACATTCTCTTCTTCTGGATTGCCAGGATGATCATGTTCGGTATCAAATTGGTTGGGGAGATTCCTTTCAAGGAGGTTTACTGCCATTCCTTGGTCCGAGACTCAGAGGGTCGCAAGATGTCCAAATCCCTGGGCAACGTCATTGACCCCCTTGATGTCATTAGTGGCATTTCTTTGGAGAAGCTTCACGAAAAGCTGGCTTTGGGGAACTTGCACCCCGATGAGGTCGAGAAAGCCAAGAAATACCAAAAGACGGCCTTCCCAGATGGTATCCCGCAATGCGGAGCTGATGCCCTACGGTTCTGCATGGTCAACTACACCACAGGCGGTGGTGATGTCAACTTTGATATCAAGGTTATGCACGGTTACAGAAAGTTCTGTAACAAGATCTACCAAGCCACCAAGTTTGTCCTGGGCAAGCTGGAGAAGGACTTTGTCCCCCAGAAGACTAGTAAGCTGACTGGGACAGAGTCGCTTGCAGAACAGTGGATTCTGCACAAGATGAATGCCGCGACCAAGGAGATCAACGAGGCCATTCCTGAGCGGGAGTTCTTCAAGGCTACCACTGCGCTCTACACGTATTGGTATAATCAACTCTGCGATGTATTCATTGAGAACTCAAAAGCACTTATCCAGGATGGTGCAGAGGATGAGAAGCTCTCGGCCGTAAACACTTTATACACTGCGCTTGAACATGCGCTGAAACTGATCCACCCCTTCATGCCGTTCTTAACCGAAGAGCTATGGCAACGACTTCCTCGTCGTCCGGATGACGACACGCCTTCCATCATGCTCGCCAAGTACCCGGTTTACGATCCCGAGTTGGACAATCCGGCCGCTGAGGCAGCTTATGAGATGGTCATGGGATGCTCAAAGGGTGTCCGATCAATGATGGCCGAATATGCGCTCAAGGATGAGGCCAAGGGTAAGCATTGCCACTTCCTCAGGACGCCAATACTAATGTGCCACAGCATACGTGCAAACCTACGACGAGACCGCACACAAGACTGCCATCGAGCAGGTTCAGTCCATCAAGTCGCTCAGCGGCAAAGGCATCACCAGCATTGGGGTGCTATCGGGGTCCGAAGCCCGACCGGCCGGCTGTGTCGCTTTCCCTGTGTCTAGCTCGGCGGCAGTTTTCTTGCTTGTCAAGGGCCGTGTCGATATTGACAGTGAGATCACCAAAGCGAGCAAGAAGCTCGAAAAGACGCAAGCAGCTATTAGCAAGCAACAGAAGCTCCTTGCCGACCCTGCATACCAAGCCAAGGCGAACGCCGTACTCCAGGAGGCCGATCGTAAGAAGCTTGGCGACTTGGAGTCAGAGGCAAAGGGCTTTGAGGGAACGATCGAGCAATTTGAAGCTTTGAAGCTCGAGTAGAGTATTCTTATTAAACACGAATTCGCCATGGCTAATAGAGCTGTTACTGACCATGGGGCACATGACGAGAAATGCATTCTGTCGACTGGACTTTTGATGTTGGAAGAGTCGATTTCATGTAATTTATGCAGAAACGCAGGAGAACCCAAAATTAGATCTCCGAGCCTCGGGTTTTCCACCTTGCCTTCGAAGGCCGATAAACGAATCAAGTCTACGTATGTGAACATGCAGGAGAAGTATCGACAAGCGATTACGTACCAGCGACCTCAACCCATTCATACAGCCCTATAATACAAACATCTGGTCTGACCATTATGCTTGTATCTTACATACACTTCTAGGGATGTCGTTTCAAAATATGGGTTTGATTATTCCGGCAAGTCCAGCTTATTCAGGTATGCCACATAGACACAGGTTATCCAATATTGCACCTTATAGGATTAGCTTCGTAAGGTGGACACACTGTTACACGCAAAGGTGGTCAAAGATTTGTGAGGTTGTAAAAGCATGACATTCTATCTAGTCCTATGGAGTACGAAGGTTGGACTTAGTCCCGAAGGGCTAAGTCACGTGGTAACCTTGGTGGTCTTGGCAAAGCCCACCAAAGTTGCCTAACATTTCAGAAGCATATCAATCTGCTTACTAAATACGAGCTACTTAGCAGCAACAATAAAGCCCGATACATTATAAGCTAATAGCTAACTTGACTTATAGGCGCCACTAGTGTTTAATAGACTATAGAGATCGGCCTACAGGACCGTATTAGACTTAAAGGGAAATATTCGTACTTTATTACATTTGCAAGAGGTTTCACCCCGATACAACTGATACCGAGAAGCAACGCCTACAAGCCGACCGTGAGATTTAGTGCTAGAAGAATGAAGATAAGCGTCAGCTTTAACACTAGAAGCACGGACTTCGTTACTAGAGAAGGAACAGCGCGAGCCTCAGAGCCGCCGTCACATACAAGACAGGCCTTAATAGCCACCCCAGAGCCGCTATCAAAATCAAGCTGAGCCCTAGAAGCCTGAAGATAAACAGCATCACCAACAACAGCGTACTTACCAGAAGTATCATTATATCTTCACATCACGCAACAGCTGTATAAGCTACGGTTAGCTAACTACTATTAACGCCAGAGTCCACAACAATATAGTGAAGAGCCGGGAGACCATCAGCTCCAAGTGGCTAAGCGTGAAATTGAACAACTACGCCAGCAGGTAGCCACTCTACAAGTTAAAGTGAGGTCACTTCGATCAACAAGCCCGACGCCCCCATATATAACACCGCTGACCTTATCAACCACGTCACCGCCGCAGTTAGCTCCAACAAGTCCGCTGCCGTCGTCAACTACACCAGAGAAACAGTTAGGAATAGCTTCATGTTCAGAGTCAAGCCCACAGCCGCCGCCACCGCCGCGCCAGACTTCCTCAACGCCCCAGTTGGCGCCTAGTCACATCAGACAAGCCATTACGAAAAGCCTCAAGCTCACAATCGAGCCAGCGAGCCCCCAAGCCGCGTAACCAAACCACTTCCTGTCGAATATCACGTGTGTCCAATCGAGTAGTCAGAAGTGCGTAAGATTGTATATGAATGAGGTGTATTGTTCTGTCTTCTGTTCTCGCGAACTCCCGTTGCTCTGCATTTTATAGATTCTTTAGAAAATGTCGGAGGTACATTGTTCAGGTGTCTGACCCCTAAGTGGACCGTAACTATGGAGTTACTTTCGGGAAGAGGGGTTCATTTCGCCGTCTGAACTTTAAGTGACACTAGTCTTCTCTAGTACCATATTATTTCTGAACCTAGGAACCAGGTGCCCTATCTGACACTTCCGCCCGCCAAGATACACCGACTCGACCCAAGCCAAGCCACTACCGCTGCTATCAAGAATCCTTCGAGTTAAGAAATCAACTATTTGATCACTTTCGATCAAGTAGCACCCACTGCCGCAGTCGAACTACAACATCAAGTGCCCGCAGCCGCCGGCCGTCAAGATCCCTTCGACCTCGTTCCCTTTCATCGAGCCCACCGCCGTCGCCTTCCGATCATATAATTACCTACACTGAACGCACTAGAGCGAACACATCAAGAGCACTGCCCCGGCCACAGCCAAAGGTATCAGTATCCGTAGTCCCGTCACAGCATTTACTTCGGCCGTTAAGGTCAGACATACAGCAGCTATCAACATTAATGCAACAGTATTTGGCCTATCAATCGACTCCCGAAGGCTTTGAGCCCGGCATTTTGATACGTAAGCCCATGGGGGGTTACCCTGTAGCTATCTGAGCTTGGCTGGTGCATAAACCGCTGTAACACAGACTGATGTCTAGGTCGACAATGAGCACAGTCGGTTAAATCCGGCGGCAGGTTATAGAGACCACGCATGCCCACTACGAAAGTAATAGAGAACGAATCTAGTAGAGTTGGGCGTCCTACTAAGAATCCATAGTCCTACGCCGATATTAAACTTGACCTCTGCATTACGCTCAGGGAGCTGATAATGCGAGGGAAAACAATAGTTACGGACGATACACACTCGTAATACAGGCTTATACTTATATGCAGCGGGTCTTTGAACCTACTGCTTTCATAAGCCATACGCTTCCAAAGAACAATATAATACGAGAGTCGGCTGGTGTAGTTGGTCACTTCGCTGGTAGATAAGTCCCGATTTGAGCCTCGCCCACTTGGGTCGGTGACGAGTCGCGGGTTCGAATCCCGCAGCTGACACACAAGGGGGTTTAGTCAACCCTTACGGCGCGCTGCCCACCTTGTTGACTTCGCCTACCTAGCGATAATAGGGAGATTGGTGCAGTTTAGGATTACGAGCATCCTAGCCAGTCGACCGTCAAGCACTACGTCGGCGGAATATAACTCGACAGCCGGTCCAGAATTCGAATCGTTAATCCGACCCCTTATCGGACCTCGCCTTTCCGATAACGCTCGTCGGCGAACCCGTCCCCTCACGATAGAAGGCGCGCAGCACGCCCTCTCGCCGCGATTCTTGCGAGCGTCTAGACCACGTTACGGTCTATCCACTTGAGCGTATGGTTGAGATGTATACGCTCGACGAGAACCCCAATTAGCAGATACTACGACTTGTCGCGACAAAAAATAGTCGAGCATCTTCTGCACATCAGCAGCATCCCACCCCTGAGGACGAATTTAAGTGCCACATTACCACACTTATCGGTAGTTCAGGCAGGGGTTGTAGCACAGACTTAGGGAGGGACAGGAGGTTTAGTAGTCATTTGGCTACAAGTTTACCTGTATAACCGCCCGACGCGGCTTAAGGGCCCGCTATATCATCTATAGCCCCTTAAGGGAGTACTTGTAGAGGTACCGAGGGTTAACACCTACGGCGTATTTAATATTTTTAATACGAGATTTTTTTTTTCAAAAAAAAATCTCGTATTAGCATTCCTTAGTCTCACATATAGTCACGTATAGCCATTTAAGAGCGGCTGGGCAGAAATAGCCTAGTATTCGATCTATGCACACGACTAGTGTGTGACCGCCTAATAGTTAGAGCTGATGAAAACCTACAATAACATTTGTCTAATTAAGTATAACAACGTTTGGGTATTTTCCCCCCATTAGTCTCCAGATGCTAAGTAACGGCAAACGTCGCACAGAAGTGTAAGCGTCGATGCGCTCAAAATCCTGATACCTGATATGGTTTGACAGTATAGTGTTACATGTGCCTACCAGCCCCCGTTGCCTCGCTCTCTTATGGGGACCTTACAGATGTGCCAACCTTCTCCTCTTCGGATTCGAGGGATTGGCCGTTCGTGCTGGCCATGTTGGCATGTTGTTCAATGCCATGCTGGGGTACAATCTTGTGACCATCACCATAGGGCTCCTGGTTGGCCGGTGTCCATGCGAGGAAGTCACGGCGTACTTCAACATAGTCATAAGCGAACTCGCCCAGCTGGTCATCGTCCATACCGAGGAGCTCAGCTTCCTCACTCGCTCGGAGGTGTAAGCCAGGAATGATATCGATGAGCTTAGCGATAATGGCGGATACGACGAAAGCGTACGCGCTGCAGGCAACGATGTAGGCGATCTGAATGTAGAGTTGCTTGTAGTTGTGGTCCAACCAGCCACCGGGGTAAACGCCGTTGTTCACACCGTCCAGGCCAATGACGTAGTTGGCACCGAAGAGGGCGTTGAAGAGGAGGCCAACAATTCCACCGACGCCGTGTTCAGCGAGAACATCAAGAGAATCGTCAATCTTCACAAGGAACTTGACTACACACGGTGATTAGCAAGTTGCATGCCTTGGTGAGAATGGGGCGAAGAACCTACTCTTGGTAGCAAAGTTACAGCAGACGCCAGTCACAACACCCAAGATGACACTAGCCCATAGAGGGATGAAACCAGACGCAGGTGTCGCGGCAACAAGTCCAGAAATGATACCGGAACACAAGCCGACCATAGACCACTTCTTGGCCAGACGGAAATCAAGCAGGCACCAAGTCATGGCGGCGAACACGGCCGTCAAGCACGAGTTCCAGCACGCTATGACGGCACGCAGGTTGGCGCCGAAAGCAGAACCGCCGTTGAAACCGAGCCATCCAAACCACAGCAGGATAGTCCCGAGGGTAATAAGGGAAACGTTGTGGGGGCGGAAGTTGAGCATCATCTTCTCGTGACGACGCCCGAGAACCCATGAGTAGGCGAAGGCAGACATTCCGGAACCAATCTCGACCGGGCCTCCTCCGGCGTAGTCGAGGACACCGTATTTGAACGCCCATCCGTTAATGTTCCAAACCCAGCAAGCGAGGGGGCAGTAGACGAGCGTGGCCCAGAAAAAGGTGAAGACCATGGCGGGTAGGACACGGCCGCGTTCGGCCGTGGCACCGACCACAAGTGCTCCAGTTACTCCGGCAAATTGCATCTGGCGGGGTTTGGGTCAGTCATGGGGTCTAGTGAATTTCCGACGAAGGGGTTAGCTTTGTGTTCCCATGCGGCTTACCTGGTAGAACGAGTACAACAGCTCTGGAACGAGGGGCGATCCGGGCGAAGGCACGGCGAGAGTGTTCATGAGACCAAAGTGGTGCAGGTCACCGATGAAGCCATTGGTCGCTGTTGTGCTGAAGGCCAAAGAGTATCCCCAAAAATACCACTGAAAGATGACAACACTGAAGGACATCATAACAACCCAAATCAAAGAAAGCGCCGATTTTCTTCGAGACAGGCCGGAGTACAGGAAGGCGATGCCGGGTACCATGAGCAAGACCATACATGACGAGACGAGGATGAAGGCCTGGTCGCCCGACTGGAACCATTGGTTCAAATTCTCGGTACCTGTTGGGGGTCTGCGGTTAGTATCGTGCGCGGATCCGCCTTTCCGTGCCATTGGACGTACTGGAGTCACCGCCCGTCTCCTGGTTGGTGCCATTGAAGGGCGCAGGAGATCCAACCCAGGAATACGACATATTGCCGAAGGTTGCTTGGTCGCGAGGACCCGAGAATCTACGATACGCGTGAAGTTTTCCTGTAGGAGGAAGAAGGGCCTCTGTCGTCGAGGGTTGAGAGGCAAGCACGGGCGGGGTGCGAACTCTTCTATTTCGTCAGAAAGGGTCAAATGAACATAGAGAAAAAAGAAAAACCCCTGAAAGATTTACTCCTCTAGAGCGGGATGGGAGGTAGTATATGAAGGGACGAATCCACTCGCGCTATAAGCTAGCTCTTGGATCGACGGGCGCGACTTAGGACGAGAGTAGGCCAAATTGGACGAGAATCAGCCATCGAACCAATAAGAGGCTGTGAACGCTGCCATGGGGCGGTGGATGAGCTGCAGAAAAGCTGGACTTCTGCTACGACGTGCCAAGGGCTTGTTAGGACCGGTACAAGCTGCTTGACGAGTATCATGTTGGGGGCTTGGGGGCTTGCCGGGGCTGATGGGTCCCCCACGACAAGGGAATGCATGGGACCGGGATAAGAAGCCACCATCTGATAGTTGCGCACTTTCGGTCACATTGCAGCAGCCCAAGCAGCGATACCGCTGGCCAATGCTGCATTTACTTTTTTATCGTCACGGCTTTTGTCATACTAGTGACAATGCCGCTCGACGTTCTATTTCAGGGCTGCCTACCAAAGTAACTTTCGCTTCGTAAGTCGTCCCCTGATGAGGAGAAGTCACTGTTTCGTTCTGCGGACAAGCGCACCACCCTGTCAAAACTCACTTATATATGTAACTGGACGAACACAGTAACACGGCATGCAAACCCAAGCACGGTGCCCAACCTGGAATAAGAAGCAACCGTCGTAAGGCTTAACGGCGGATGTAACCAGAAACTGTCTCCAAACACGGACCCCTGGAGCCAACTACAGAGTCGAAAGTAACAGCAGTGCTAATGTTTCGTGCGCCGCAGAGGAAACTGCTTGGCGGAGCTTCTGTCTAACTCAAAGTGAATTCGCCATTGAGTAGAAGTGGCACGTGGATACTTTGTGGCTGCAAAAGCTGACTTGCCGTGCTGGGTCAGTGGTTTCCGTGCATCTGGATCTTGCGGAACGCCACGAGTTACCTCTACCGAGGTTATTGCTGTCGTTCAAAACTTGCGCCCATACCCCCCGTTCTCGACTCCATGTGGTTCCAGCAAGGTGGATGGGGGGACCCTGGCTGCTGCAGCCGCACAGCATTTCGCATCACGGCTGGTATGGGGACAAAATGTGCCTGTCGTCTCCCGCGTACACCGGACCAGGCCCGTGGCGTATCTCGTGGCCGCATGCCTTCTGGCAACCTCATGATGGCGGGTTGTTTGCTCTGCAATTCTTGGGGATTGGCATAGAAATGGCTGCAGTTCAACTGCACGCAGGCAAGGTTTCCAATGTGCCTGGAGCACGTTCCCTCGAAACGTGGGGAAGAGGTGTATGTATTACGAAATCATTTTCAATCTCACATGCGTCCTCTTACCAACAACTTCGCGCCGCGAATTGGAATCGTCGGATATTGGAATGGGTCCCGGAAACCTCACTACGAAACGGCGGGCATCGGATTGCAAGGTTCATGGTCTTATCTATCAATTTCCGTCATTGTGTAAGAGAGTTTGTGCCTGGACTGCTGTCCAAAGTCGCAGAGTTGGTAACACAACTATGAAAGTTGCACCGTGAAAGACAAACAGACCAGCACAACCCAGGAGTCTGTAATGACAACATCATAATTGGTTCACATTCTATGTTCGGCATTACGGGCAAATGGGCACCCATTACATGTGCCGGGTTCGACGTGAGCTCGACTGCTTGGTTGAAACTCACCCAAGCCCAGCAAGTACCTCCTTAACAATATTCAGCAATCTCGGAGTTCAACCCGGCTACTCAGCTGTTTTCCACGGATGGATCTCCCAGAGACCAGGGCACGCCGTCATGCCATGATGTCAAGTCCGGCGCCGCACCTCGATCCCAAGCAGTCATCACTCCTTATATCTACGTCTATTGAAACCAGAGGCGCAATAGTTCCAAAGATTTACATGTCTAACATGTCCCGAAACAGTCAGTTAACACGCCAAGATGCCCTCCATGAGCCCTCCATGATACCCTCCATGGCTGCCCACATCACCAGGACCATGCTGCAGTAGTAGCACTTTCCCCTCAGACGGGTCTCACGCAACATCGAATTTCCCGTCCCCCACGCCAGGCAGTCCAGTAATGAGCTGCCGAGCGCATACGACTGTAAGATGAGGCTGTCAGCCCCGTCACCGTAGTTGGGCTGAACCAGCAAACCAGATCAGCTTCGCCCCGGTTTGGGCCCTGACTTGCCCCAACAGTGAGAGATTTAAAACTCCTTTTCCGCCGCTGTGCGTTTGAAAACCCATCAACAGAGCCGGCCCCAATGAGGCAGCGCGATGGGAATCGCAGGGACGCCTTATCTCTTGGCATTTTGCTAGCGCGAGATAAGACGACTGGCCAATGAGAGCTCGCCGCATTTGTCGTTCTTCGAGGTCAGAACTCCATTGTAGTTGCCATCAAATCTTCGAAGACGGCGATGCTTGTCCTCGGATGCACCGTCGCAAACTCTGGGTTTTCCATCGCGATAATCCAAACCGACATGTGCCCATCGTCCCTCCTCGTTGTTCAGAGGACGTGAAGATAAGCTCATTCTCTATCACACGCAGGGCTTAGCTCCGAAACGTGTCCGTTTTCCATCACGTAACAGTTTTCCCCGACCCATTGGAAAGGCAGAGGATGCGCCCAGTGCGTGCCTTGCATTGACACCCCGGACGCCGCAATGGCTTCTAGAAGCATTCCACGCAGCTGTCCCCCCACTCGAAGCGACCCCGGATCGGCCCCTCCTATCAGAGGATAGGTCAACACCAAACAATGTGACTGGCGAAACAGCACACTCCGGTCGAACAAGAAAGTAAATCATGCTTGTCTACGAACTAGACTGGAAATGTTGAGCCATCACACTCTTGGTGTGCTCTTTGCTCGGCTATCCTCTTGCGTGACAGCAGGATACCCCACATTCTCACTTGCTCGGCCCAGGCCATACGGTGGCGTTGGTAGCATTTGGTTTCGCCTTCGCTGGTACTTATCAAGACATGGGCTGTGGCCTCGCCGAATCTGTCCGGAGTGTTATTAGGTATCGCTGGAGCTTGGAGTTGGCTTCGCCGGGTCTAGTACTGTAGTTGGAGAACAGAAGAACATTGTGCTTGACAAGTCGTGTACTGTTCAGTTAACTAACCTATCTACGGCCACCCTAGGCTCCGGCTACCCATTTCCCACTAAAAACCCGATATGTTAAAAGTCGATAATCAATCGAATATGAATCGCAAAACTATAATAATTTAAAGCATTTAGTCTTTATGTTGTAACGGGGTAAGGCCGGACATCAGGGAAATAGTGTAACGAAACCTCTAATAGTCTAGCTGCGTAAACCACTAAAGAGTCTGTAAGGGTTTGTGCTAGTAAGTAAGTCCTGCTGCGGAGTCCTTTAGCAATAATATCGGGGTCTGACGTATGGAGTATAGGGCTCTGGGTAACTGAAGTATTCAAGTAGGGTAACTGGGAATAGAGTCGTCAAGGCAGTTTGCCTCACCAATGGGTTAGATTGATGCTTAGATTGATCACTGAAGTAGAGACTGTCTATCTATGAAATGCCTGGGAGTCCTGTCCCTTATATATCCATCTCTCCTTCACTGGTCTCGTTGGATCACTCTTATCCGTTGTGATCCTGCTGGGGTGGCTCACTGGCTCACCGAGTGATCCAGTGATCCGTCACGTGACCTCCTAGTCGGTCCATCCTTTTTCCGTTCCTAGCTCCTATCCTGGTTTCCGGTCCTTTCCTGCAGGTATCCACCTAAGGCCTGCCAACGGGCCTATTCTGTGTTGGTTAGGAACGTGGTTCGTAACATTAAGGCACTTTTGTTGCCCCTTATAGATCTGCTTGTGCCTATCAAAGCTATTATTCCTATCGTTCCTCTGTTGAAGCCCTTATCTTCTCCAGCCTGCTGAGGCTCTAGTTATTAGTACCTGTTAAGGTACCTGTTGTTCTGATCGGAGTAAGAAAGCCTCGATCTTGTTATTCTTTCCATCTCCTGGGCAGTAAGGCCTTGTTGAGGGTCTTGTCCGTTGCTATCATCATCACACCTTGAACCTTCGGGCTTTTACCGCCCGTCGTTAATATTAGCCAAATTTAAGTAATACAATAAGGATATGTCAGGTTACGGCCTGGACCGAAGGCGATAGTACAGAGTGAAGGGGAGAAATAGACGTGTTCCCCTGGTGGTCACCTGGTGATCACTGGTGGTCACTTGATGATGGCAGGTAGGGGTGTCCACAGTAGTTCATTGATCTCTGCCCTCTCTATCTTCCTCCGTCTCGACTCCTTACTTATAGCCAGCCGAGGTTCTCTGTTGGATTCTGGATGTTTGCTTCCGCATGTCTGTGTTCCTCCGACTTCGGCCAATATCTTGGATAGCGGCTCCTTATCTGCAACCAAGCGATTCCCTATCCGCTGCAAACGGCTTCAACAGCTCTCATTCGCCACAAGCGGCTCTCTAGCCGCCACAAACGACTTCCTTCCTGGTGGAAGCCGGCCCGCCTCGGATGACACTTGTGGCTCTGACAGGATAACTCTACTATTACCGTGCTCTAGCTATTATATATTAGGCTATATTCTATTATTTTAAAGCTATATCTTTATTTACAGACGCCTTTACCTCCGTCGCTATTACCCGGGGTACCCGAACCTTAGGTCTTTCAGACAGCACTGATGCGAGTGCATATGGGGTGTGAATTGTTGTATTGGGAAAGGATGGCCAGGTCAGCTATTCTGGCCTGGCAAAGCTCTTTTATAGCTCTTATCTATCTTATCTCTAGCTATAGGGCAACCCCCCATGGGGTCACGTATCAAGCACGTAACCTAATAGAAGCTATTTCTTAGTTAACTTTTATTAAAAGTCGAATCTCCGGTTACTAAGGAAGCTCTTAGACTCTAATTCTTCAAACTATAGACTAGCTTATAAAGGATATAGAATCGACTAGGGTAGCCGCAGATAGTTAGTTAATTTACTGCTATCTGTCTGCTTGCTGGTTCTCTTGGCTTACAATGGAATAGTGTTCAGGTCCTGCTTCTTCTTTCTCTCGAGATAAGGACAAGCAGATAAAATAGGGCTGATGTATTGGGCATATCCATCATCTTTCCCTCAACACAACCTCTCACCCGCACTCATGCCTACACTCACTTACACGCTCTCTCAGACCCACACTCTCATTCGCAAGCTCTTTCACATATGCTCGCTCTCTCTACTTGTATTTTCTCTCGCAAAAGATATGTACTCTCATATACTAGGATGCCTCGTACATACATGTCTAGTCTCTGGTATATAGCCCCTTTCCTATAGCGTGGCAGTATTGCTCCAGATTGAGGTATATTCGCATTAGCACCGTACTCTATTGATGATATTCCCACAGGTTTGATATTAGCCTAAGGCGGATCTTTCGAAGCCTTGGTTAGTGTGAAGGTCAACCCTCGCAGACTCACTACAACCAGGTGACTTACAGCTGGAACACCTGCCATGGCAGTGTCAGATGGGAAGCCAATCATAACCCTTGTAGGAGCCCCGCCAAGCGTGGATGACTTAGTCGCGCTCCCTCAAACCTAAGTTGTCATCTTCTTTCCTTCGCTCCTTAGAGTAGAATCTTCGTCGATAGCACCTAATCGAGGTCTCTACCAATGCGATGCAACCCAGGTCGTGACAGTTAGCATTAACAGGACCGTTATCGAGTTCGTTTCTTCTTTTACGGTGAGACTTGCTCTATTCCTGCAGTTAGGAGTGTGTAAATCCGTGTTCCCGTCACCGCTTTCACAATCCCTCGATGCTATACAAGACTCCACGATAGCAACGGCGCAAAGTTTCTGGGCCTCTTGACGGGCTCTTTTTCTCGAGAATCCTATACCAGGACCAGAATCCTTTTTCTGGGTACAGACTGGGGCTTGGCTGCAAGCGAACCCCACGACTGGACATTTTCTAGACGGACTGTTTGTGTAATGGATTCGTCCTGCCCGAATGGCGTCATTTGATCATTACTTTTCAACACGGTAGCCATATCTCGTTCGAGCGTTGGAGAGTGCTAGAGCAGCTTCATACGCTGTTTCATAAAATGACACATGCATGCATCGCCGTTTCGTCTTGGATGTACGAGCAATGCAGCCGAGGCTGCCTGAACACCCGCGACGTGGATTGCCAATGACAACGTCCTCATCCCCCTGTTCATAGCTTTCAACAAGACCTATGCTCGCTCTCTCCCTCTCGCGGCTAGGCTGTGATGGATGTAGTGGTGAAATCTTTGGGTAGAGTGATGACCAGTAAGTAAGTTCGTCACCATGCAAGGGTACAATATTAACAGTATAAAGTATACTTGATACAACAGCCAGCTCATACGCCAAAATCCCTCCGCCAAGGGAGTCTAGCGGAGTCATTCCTTGAAAGACCGGTATCGGGCGATTGTAGATCGTATATTAAAGACTACAGAACTGGTGGCGTTCAAGAGTGCGTCTGGAAGTGGCCTCGAGCTTTGCGAAGTGATATCTCGCCAGGTAGTTTTATAAAGTAGCGATTCAACCTCTTGTTTCGACTCACGTGTACGATTTGATCCCGTCTTCGTCCACTGAGGGAGGTAGGCAACGTCCCAAAAGCATCAAGGAACCCCTTATCAGGAGTCGTGATGAAGATTGTGTTAACGCCGCTGCTGATTGCTTCCACGGCCAGGAGCTTCGTAGATAAAGAACGCGCGTTGGACTCTAGGCTCTTTAGTATTCGCGACAGATATCCAGCCACAGCCACTTCGGGTCATCGTCAAATCCGGTCGATCGATCATGAAGTCCAGGTCCCGGGTCTGTTGATGGAAAACCTCATAAGCCATCCCTGCGCTTTCACTTCTTTCTGTCGTACTCATGTGATGAAACGTCATTGTTCATGCTGATACCTTCCAATGCCTCACCTGGTGTCCAGCTACTCAGTCTCCAGTACTTACGGAGACCAGCCCAACATGTTTCGATTAGTCCGCCTCCAATGCTACCATTTAAGACGCTAATCAAGTGCGGGCGGTCTCTACATGTTTGAGGAGGCCATGCTATGGGTGCATCTACATCAACATACTTACAGGTTAGATCAAAACGACGAGATGAATACCATAAGCCTACCGCGAGCCCTCACTCAATGCCTACATGATGATACTGTACCATTCCCATATGAAGATACATGCTCTCACCCCATGGCATATCTCAAAGGCCTACAGGAAGTTCGAGACGTTTCTACATGATTAGACTAAGCCAATAGGAATACTACATACAGTTGCCGTATGTTCGAAGAGAATGCGAATCACCCAAGAACGAAATCTGTTAGCCAGTGAAAGAACACCGCTATCCCATGCAGGCCCCAGGGTATATGTAATGCCGACTCCTTCCTGAACTCCATACTGCATGCAAATTGCAAATTCTCAGACAATGGTCAACTCATCCGTCAACGCGTCTCGACTAATCTCATAGCTGAGGACCCTGAGGTCCCAATACTGTATCATGAGGCGATAGCGACGTGGGCCAGTCGTGGGAGGCTTTCCAGTCTGCGGCAGGGGCGCCACCGCGACCCCGTAGAGGGGAAATATGGGACGGAGGTGTTTATCCTCTTCTTCCTTGGTTGGCAGTATGGCCTCAATTTTGAAGCCTCGCTTGAACGGGAGGTTGTTGCCTTTTGGTCGCGTCAACGTGATCAATGCCACCCGACCGCAATTCGACCCTCCGACGACAAGAGACAAGTTGGGTACATGGATAATGTTGGCCAGTCGTGGGAATGACCATTGAAGCTCGGCAGGCGCCGTTGTCCTTGTGAAAGGACGGTGCTGTTTCGTCGCATGTTGGAACCAGATACCCACGCCGTCCTGCTCAGCGCTTTGCAGCTCGATGTCTGTCTCGTACAATCGTAGGATACTTCTCCCATCGTTCAAGATAAGATTCTGTTTTGACAAGCGTCTGGCTTCAGCGACGTTTGCCTCGCCAGAACTGCCATCCTTGAGCTCAGACGCCCATGATTTAAATAGTGCCGAACTAGTAGGTTTCAAGTCGAACCAAGGTCTGTTTTCAACGAAGCGCATATGTTGGTCAATCGCACGCCGATCGCTTTCGTGCAACGGAATATTTGAGTTGTCGCGGTCTCTTATCCATGGATGCAAGACCGAATTATTCGGCACGTTCGATATTGCTCTGCTGACGTCAATCCAGCGGCCGGCTTTCACGTCAAGAAACCTCGCATCCTGCTTGTTTAGGCCAAGCAAATCTTCATACCCCTCCGCTGGCAAAAAGCTGCTCTCAGGTAGAACTAAAATTCCCCAGCCCCTGGGTCTGCAGATCAGATCAGCATCATGGTAAGAGGTTCATCGTATGATCAAATGGTCTGTGGGAAGCAATGCAAGCGCAGATATCAGCGAACAATGAAACTGCGCCACCTTTGGATTTCCTCCACGGCAGCATTGCACAATAGATTCACAGAAAAAGAAAAGTGCTCACACTCACCTACTGAACTCGGCGGCGAAGCCGCCAGGTCTCGCGAGCGCCCTTTCGCGAAGAATACTAGGAATCTTGACGAAAGGTGCGTTACTCCATATATCCATGAGCCAGAGGTTGCCGTTGATGTCAATGGCCACGACCTTTTCAGCATTGCCGTGTTCGTCTTCGCTGAAGCATAGATTCGGTATGTTGTCGCCTGCTATGCCCGTCTCCAGGTTTAGTTTCCAATTGCTATCCCTCTTTCGAACCTTATCCTCAATGTTTTCTACGTGTCCACCTTCCTCCCCTTCCCATTCATAATAGTAGGGGTTTCCGCTCTGCCCTTTGCGGATTCTTCTGTAGAACTTTTCGTTTAGGGGAGCATCCGGCCACGTTCCTCGCCCTGAAAGTGCTGGAATGAAGACAGTAGCCTCGTGGCGGTTCGAACCAACAGCGATGAGCCGTGACTTCTTGTGGACGGCCAGACCCCAAGCAGAGATCTCGACGTTTTCGTGGAAAAAGGGTGTGAGGTTGCTGAGGAGATCCAAATCGCCCGTACCATGCTCGCGCCTCAAAACCTCATTTTCAATATGTCTGGTATAATAACCTATCACATCGCCATTATCATACGCCAAAATGATACACTCTTCGGCGCCCAAATCACCAACGATAAGGTGGTTAGGCTGGTATGGAATCTGTGCATCGATAATACCTGTGACTCGCCGCCCGGCCGCAGTAGGGTTCGGGGCTAATATCAGGTCGGGAACTGGCGACACGCTATGGGTAACACAGCTCCGGGGTCTCGAGACATGAATGCCCTCACGGTATGCGACGAAGTATAGATTGTAAAGCTGTGACAATGCGGTAAGGTTCAGTCGCCATTTTGAAATCTTGGGGAACGGGCTGCCTTCATCGTCCGACTCGTCAACCTCAATTTCGAGGGCTTCGAGCAGCCCATCTGCAACGGAATCATCGGAATCAGATTCGAGTGAATCGGATAAGTCCGATTCGGAAACTGGGAAGGAACCCGGCGACGGCGGCACCGGCGGGCCTTGAAGCTGCAAGGTTTGTTCGTCGTTGTCAAGACCGGCATCTCCTGCAGTGCTTTGGTCATCGTCCTCTTCTGCTTCTGCTTCTGCTTCAGCTTCTGCTTCCGCATCTTCTTCTAAATCGGCATGCGGAGGATACTCGTAAGGCACTCGCTTGTGCTTGGGTACGCGGTACTATAACGATAGAAGTCAGTGGGGTGGGTGTCGAGAACACTCCCTCGTGGGAGCTACATTACCCTTTGGCGAGCTGTTTCGCAGAAGCACCTGCTCACATTCAACTCTCGAGAAGAGGCCATGTTATCGCGTCATTTCCACCATCCGCGAAAACTGAAGTATCGATATATGCATTTGCGTGTGATGATTGAACTGTTGCTGGAGTCGGCAGTTCCCCCACGTCTGCGCCGGTAGTGACGCAACTTTATCGATAAAGCTACCGCAGGCAGGGTGGGCACAAGGCGCTTCCACATGCAGGAGCGACTTGACTTGCAAAAATACTCTTGAAGATGGCCCTGATCTGACCTAAGGAACCCTATGCAATTTCGATGACTCACAGTCATGACTACTGCGTCGATGCATTCTCGAGCATTCCAAGCCAATGAATCATTTATCGCAGTTGAAGGATGGAATCTTTCATGATTTCTATAAGTAAATGTATGGTGAAGTATTCTTGGATCCCTTCCCGCAGCCGAGCAAGGATACCGAGGGCGATCCGGCCCGCAGCCGAAGGAAGCCACAGGATTACTGTTCCTACACTGGCTATACTATCCACTGCAACGTCTTGTATGTGTGTGCATTAAATACTCTGTGGATTGTCAAGTCAAACAAGACCATATGGCTGACCATTAAAAACAGGCTGGCTAAAGGTGCGACCACTGTATATTAGGATTGATTTGATACCGAGCAATATTCGAAATTACCATTTCCAAGCACGGCAGACGAGATCAAGTTCTTAATGTAAGAACAGGATGAAGTCAAGAAAAGAGAAGCCCCAGATAAAATCTACTTCACACTAGCGTATAATGATAGCGGTTCGTCCTCGTACCCATGAGTACGTAATAGATCGTCAAATGAGCTCGAAATATGTAACTTTGGTTCTGATGGTTCACATCGAAAAATATATAGATTCATTACAGTATAGTGCGGATTCTTCCTATATCTCCAGATTCTTTTATTACAATCTGTGGATAAATTTCCCCAGCTATTTGGTCCCACTTCACACAACAACCTTCAGACTTCAATAAGCTATCTCTCGGCTAATCCAGACTCAAATAACCTGGGGGTTGCTGTAAGAGTTTCCTTAAAGCATACAATTCAATAATGGGTGCACTAACCACGGCCCCTAAGCACTGCGGCTATCTTAATATTTGTAGACCGTATCAACTTCAATACTAGGTCTGGATCCAACTCTGCCCACACTATGTGGATTGCCTCTCTGGCCCACGCTTCGTGGGGCATGTTATTCTTCCAATTAGTGTGGGGTGACTGGAATAACTAGCCACTTGGACACTTAGTTCCAAACTCTTCCTACAGAGCTTGGAGGAACACAGAGTAACCATACGAGAGGAACAGAGAACACTCGATATTGTATCCATCATATGAAGGTACGTTACGATCAAACATCATGATATGAATCAGGGTCCTTCCACAATTATATGTCTATAAGGTCCTGCAGAAAGCGTTCAGAGGCATCGTGGATTACCCAAACGCCCCGGGTTCTTCTTCACAAATTCGAGTCTAGCATCTCTTCCGTTGTTTGGTCAAACGGCCGCATGGTCGATTTGGTAGGGTTTAGGACTCATGGCCACCAAGTCCGCACCGCATCCGGCGAATGGCTGTCGCGCCCTGACGAACAGACCACTATAGGGGTAGTACCGGGTTCAATTCCCGGCGGAAGCACCAAACCACTTGGGGAGGATTACGGACCTACTCTGGCAATAAGACCTGTGAGCGATAAGCCCATTGAGGACAATGGTTTCAATTGACCAGAACCCGGCACTTGATGCGTGCACCTAGGGGGGAGGATGCTATAATGCAGCAGTGCGCAACGTTATAGTATCTAATTGAATGGGATTCACCTAACCAGTGGGTCCCCTACCTTTTCGTATCAGGTACGTAGGAAATGAATCTTGGCGTAATTAGAGCAGTTTAAGTCACTAGCACACAAATAAGTACTCAAGTATGATTCCGCTATGGTGACGTCTCATAAGCAACCATGAAAGGAAGGTTTGTAGCTCTCATGTGGCTATAGTTGATTAACTCTTGTGTAATTCATGTCATGAGGGTTACCGGGGTGGAAAGTCCTCGTGCTACTAGCACCACCAAAATGGACGACATAGTCCACAAATCATAGTGTTCATCCACGTTATAATAGTTGCTAGGACATAAACAGCTCGATGAAGCACTGTGCGGAATGCTGCCCAATGCAACGATATCATACCCGTTCTGTGCCCTCGACTTGAAACAAGAATAGTCGATGAACCCGAGGGTATAATGAAGCTAGTCATGCACTATCAACCATAGAGACCCAAATTCTATCAGCATCTGCGATCGCCACCATTGCATTCACCCACGATTCCTCGTTCATATACTAATAAGACCACACCGCGTCGAAGACGTCAATACCCGACCTCGACTCAGCTGAAGTGAGTAAGTAGACAAGCTTTTAAATTGCCGTCAGGCATTGACAATGCCGCTGAAAGACCCATACAACCATACTGCTTTCAGGTGTTTCTGTTTTTGTTTTACGTGCACTGCTGCAGCCACAGAGTTACATCGGCAGATAAAGCAAAGAAAATTACGCGTTCAACAGTCAAAAGAGCCACACTCATAGTATGCTCCACGCGTACCGGACGGGAAGACGGAGAAACCCGTCACGTCCCAGGAACCAGAGCGGTGGGCTGCACGCTAACCAAGGATTGGACGAACAACCCACTAGAGATCTTGGGTCGTTGGACGGCAAGAGATGCATGAGCTAGTATCAGATACTAGGCGGTAGGACCGTCGGTACGTGAAGAAGCTAGGGGCCGGGTGGACAGACAGGCGCGTAAGAAACGGCTACGGACATGGAGAAGGGAACCCAATGTACACCTTTAGTTCTTACAGCAGCATGGTACAGACACTTGGTACCAGTTGTATGCAGAAGTCACTTACCGGTGTGCTCGCTTGATGATCTGAATACCTCATCTGAATGCCTCGTCCTGGCCCCGCGTATGCTTCCACGTCAATATTCCACCATCAAAATCAAAAATACCATCACGATGTGCTTTATGCCACTTGCACAAATTTGATGAGATGTTCATGCTATAGTTGAGTTGCTGTAAGATGGATAATGAATAATGAATAAGTGACGAAGAAATGACGTGTTCTTGACCGTTCTTGACAAGGTGTGGTTTTGAAGAATGCTCGGTCAGACGAATATGTCATGGTAGGCACACCGCAAGTCTCTCGCAAGTGCCGATGATTGGTGGGAATCACAACCGTCCTTCCAGTTCTCTAGTCGGCCTATTAGCGGACTGCGGCTGATATTTGACTCGTTGTTTCTTCCCTGGACTCACCGTTATGGTCGAGACGTTGAGACTAGCAATGCCACGTGAGCTAGCCTATTGTAGGGACCACCTTGTCCATATAGACAAGAAGGTTCTTACTAAAGAACGCCAACGACTACCTCAACCCCTTCCCCCCTGGACTTTGCAAATTTGGTGCCGCGGATTCGGGTCAGGAAGCCGACCCTGTCACACGCTGCTAATCCTCTGACCGGGTTGACCAGAACCGGCTTTGATTCCGCTTGCTAAAAAACGGCCGGGGTATCATTGCGCTTATTCCTAACTCTTACCACAAACACCCTATCCCTTATGCCACTCGACTATTATGTCGTATACTACGTAGTGGCTCAAATTAATCCCATGCATGTACGCCTCGGACGCAGAGGTTGTCAACTGGAAGGTTGACGAGAAACTCATGCATCCCCAGCATCGAACCAGTTATACTCGGCAAGTGGACAAAAATGGAGCGCACTCCGCATGCCGAATAGCTTCATCAGTCACAAGCCATAATGTTTCACACTATAGATCGATATTCGTTCCATGTCTGCCCAATTCGAGCGCCACATGGTTTGGGGTAAAGAAAAAATGACATTTGACGAATGGGACACAAAAGAAAAAGTAACAAGACGACAAGTGGCGTGCGCCATGGATGCAGCAGTTGGGAAGCCGTTTTTTTCCCCAATGCACCTCGAGTTAAAATCCCGGTTCACCGGCTGCATAAGGCGTGATATTCGGAGCTGCAGAGCGCCAGCGCAAAAGCAACTGTAGCACCCCGAGAAAACCTTTTGAGGGTAGAATCTGCATGCGGCACGCCTAACGCACACGACCTGCCATCTGCTTTTCTTCATCTCTTTACCGGAACGCTGTCGTGGTCGAGAATTTCTAATGCGGAAAGCCGTCGATGGGGAGAACGGTCGATGAATGAAAGAATCGCAATACTGAGGCAGATGCCCCCCCGAAGCCGCCGGTACAAGTGACACGTAGCTCCGACTTGTGACTTCGGATGCCCCATCTTAGATTGAAGGCGAAATTGCAGACGTCGCAGGGATAATTCTATTGCATTCAAAGACGTTGGGGATCTCAAATGAGGTGTTTGCTGGAGTCATTCTTATTGGAGGCTCGTACCTCGTGACACATCCACACTTGCGATATTAGACACACGCCCCCCTTTCCGCCAATGCTGACTATATGCTCACCAAATATGCCCACCAAAGTTCCTAATCTATGACCGCTTTGAGCCATTGCCCTCCAAAGCAACAGAAAATCACGACACGCCGTCAATCTAACCAACCTGAATTTTAGTTTTTGCCGTAGCCTTCGACCGAAGTATGCACCCCAACGCCGATTTTGCCTGCTCGGGTCAATTCAGGGACCTGCAGTAGATAATATGTATGGTGCACATCCAAACGCTTGGCTATTTCTCGCCTAGTTTGTGTACTTGCGCAGCGGAAATTCGTCGCCCGGCATCGGCGCCAAGTGCCATGTCTTGATGGCCTTTTTATCGAAGGCATCGTGCCACCCACGTTGGAGAGCGTCGGGTATGGCCCATCCCAACTGTGAGTTGCGTAGTCTCATGCGCACCAGGTGTCTCTTCTCTTGGCCGGTGGAGCCATCGACAAACCCCTCCCGTCGGTGGAGTACAGCAAGGTTGTTGATGAAGTGCATGTCACCGGCCTGGGTTTGAATCTCAAGTTGAGTTGCCTGTGCAATAGCCTCGATTGCATCAAGTGCCTCGCGCTGCCGATCCGTCACCTTGGGCAGATGGTCTGGCCGTGGGTGGATGTCACTCCCGATGAGATGAGAGCGGCCGCTGAGATTCATGATCAGTCTTGATTCATGGTTGTAGATGACAGGCCGGCACTGGAAACGCGGCCTTAAGTGATATATTAGCATTGGTTACGACGGGGGGATACGGGATTTGAACGTACATGGCAAATGGCCAGTCGGACTTGGCCAGTGTACGAATGATATCAGGCCGGTGGGCAGCAAGAACGTTGTAAATCGTGTAAGCAGACGCAATAATGCATTTCCCCCCAGCGGCTGCTGTGCTTCTCGTCAACCAACTGACGACGTCGCCTGCCTCTTCATTGTGGAAAGTCTGTGATCCCAGGTCAGTCTTTGGTATTACAGGCATGGATGGAGAGCTAGCGTACGATGGCGGCAGTGGAGTGACGGTGGTGACCCGCTTTCATCTTTGATGAACTGTCGGCAACAATGTGAACTACGCCCACAGGTGAGCATGTATGGTTCCAGCGTAAACAAGTAGCATCAGATAGCACTAACCCAGCATGTTCCCCTTGTGGTCCTGACGACCCGGTTCATCGGCGATGTGGGCTTGGAGCCCAAGCCAGATAGTAGTGAGGTCCTCAACTGAGTAGTCGTTGGGGTTAATTCCTCGAATGACGGAAAATCCCTTGCCGTCATGCAAATCGTGGCTGATGGCGGCGAGCTTGGATTCCAGCGTAGGGAGGGGAAAATTGTCACGAGTGACAAGGTCACCATCCAACTCGAGACCTTGGATTTTGTCAGCAGGAGGCTTAGATCTACCGGAAGACGAGTTGACAACGAACCCTTGAACTTATGGAGGGCAGACGAGACCTCGGACAGCTCCGCACCGGTCAATTGGAGAACGTATTCAGCGTGGTGCTTGAACTGGGCCCCAGACCATGCGAGTTGGCTGTCCAAATGTACGGGGAAGCCAGTAGGCAGACTGCAAGGATCATCAGGGGAGCTAAAGCATCCCTCCCGAAACTGGGACTGGACAACCGTATTCAGAGAAACAGTGGCGACTGGGCCAGCATCGATGTAGTCCATGGCAATGACTATGATCACATGTCAGTTGCGAACCGTTTACACAAGTTGGGAAAATATCACACCTGGATTATGAATGGGTGGGTTAAAGACCTGACAGATGAGGCTCAGGACGTAGCACCAAGAGAGCGAGCTTCCCGAGTTTGTCGGCGCAAACTGGAGGGAGTTGTAAGACGTGGTGCAGAGGGAAGACACGAGTGAATCAAAACGGGTGCCAGGACTGCTTCTTTAATATCAAGTCGAGCGAGGCGGTTGACTAGGACCTGAGACAGTCCAGGGCAGCAGCCACGCTCGTCTCATAAATACGCAAAGTAGACCTGGTGGGAGGGACTACGCTCCGGTCAACAGTTTCCGCCATACACCCCCGACTTATACGATGCGTGAGGGCAGAGGGCCAGGTTTCAAGCGAGTACCTGGCCTTCTCGCCTCCCCGTACCGCAGGGCTACGTAGCACAAGCCTGAGGGCAGCAGCCGAAGTGCAGAGGGAAGGACAGAAGATGAAGAATATTTCAGGTCTGGGTAGTTGCATGGAGTAGTTGCAGTCAAGAGCGTTGGGCAACCAGAGCCAGAGGCGACTGCGGAGCAGCCAGCCAGTCTGGAGCGTGTGCGACTAGGCGAGATAATGAAGGGCGTCGGAATATAGGTAAGGAGAAAGGATTAACTGCCCGCAAGGTCCCGAGAAAGCCATCCACGTCGTAGAGAAAAACCGCTGTTGTGCATCAAGCAATGCTCAAGCATTGATGTGACACGACGACGACATTTTGGCGGCGAGATGGTCATATTTGATCGATTGCTGGTCACATCCGGCGAGACGTTGTTTCCTGTGACTAGCCCGGTCCTAGAATGGCCGGGTGAAGAATATTGTGGAACAAACGTTATTAGCACACACAGATCCCTACGAGCTGCTCCCTACCCGGCACAAGGCCGGGCCTTGCCTACCTTGGCCATCTGAAAGCGTGAGCCGCATCGAGCGGGACAGGGCAGGGAACTGGGTCGTCGGGGGGGGGGGGTGTGGATGTGGGTGTGGGTGTGGGTGTGGGTGTTGGCGATGTCTGATGTCTGATGTTTTGAGATCACAAGCTAGGCAAAGCCCAAGTCCACACAACAAGCGTTTGGATAGGCTAGGTAGTGACGATGCTGCAGTCGGGTCGAGATCAGCAACGAGGTCCGTCGATGGGCTCCAAATAGAGATCTCACCGACTGCACGACGATTGAAACGGAGATGGTGGGGGGGTGCGCACGAGTGGTCGAGTGGTCGAGGGGTCCAGTTTGTTTGGCTTATTACTTGTCAGTGGACTTTGATCAAACTTGACCGACCTGCTACCTGCTTGGGGGCCCCGGGAGATAGTTGAGAGAGATCATGTAGCTAGGCTGCGTGCATGGTGCACCTGGGCAGGCCGATACAAGTACATCAATCATGGTTCACCCATCGTAGCACAGTACTCGTAGACACGAGAGGGCAACGGAGGCACCGGAGACAACTCCGGCCCTCGATACGCAGACTCCCGATATTGGCCCAATTCAAAGACGCATCGACAAGGAGAAATGTGCTCAGCGCCGGGCGGACAGAGTAGTCCCGTCCTCCGAGGGACGAACAAATCGTGTCGATGCCATTTGACCTTTTCAATTTAGAAGGCCCGGCCCGCAATGCGTCGTTACACAACTTACATGGCAACACAAAAAAAGAAAAAATGTGCGTGCTGGAATATGTCAACCAAATTTTAACGACGCGCAACCATCTGAAATGGTTGCCAGGATGGTGGACAGGCGGGTGGAAGAGGGGGGATGGGTGGACAAGCAGCCATGACAGGCACTAGCAAATTCTGGCTTCTTGGGCCCCAATAGCTCCATTCGTTATGTCTCGTTCGGGAGACGTGCATTTGGCTAAGATTGATCGATTCCTCTCTAACCTTGTCGCACCGGGAACAGGGGTTTGGGTGCAGCCTCCGCCGATCCGATGGACTGCCCATCGCACCCACTCTGTCCATAGCACAATTCACCACCAAAAAAACAGGCTCCGAAAAGTTGAAATGTGGTGCCGCATGTGCGTCCTGCTATCCGCCCGTCCTTTGGAGCTTGTCTGGAGCGCAGCATGCATCTGCATCTGCATACATCAACTCTAAAAAACTACATACGACTACACACAAGGTACCATTTCACCTCGTTTCGCTATCCGTCCAATCACCCCGGTCGTTCTGGTTCCGATTATATCAGTGGTTGGGGGAGCCAGTTCTCCTCGTACATCTGACTTATAAAATAGAAATCGTTTTCGTAAGCGTTGCTCTGGCGGACCTTCTCCCACAGCTTCTCTGTTGGTTCATTGCGTATTAGTAGCGGGTCCTCATGACTTGAACGGCAAGGTCGGATGCAGGGAACAAATCTCATACTCTGTTCTTGGACTACCCTCCTTGTGGTGTGCACAACCTGCACCTTCTTCTGGTCCAAGTTGGCAAGGGTTTTCAAATCTTGTTCCTTGCACTCGGCAGAAAATGGATGTATGCCTATTCGTCTAATGTTAGTGCGTGCCGCTTAATACTCAATCCCCTACCAGCGACCATTCTTGGGATCTGCGTCGTCCTCACCTTTGTTGACGTAGTGGAAGTATGCCAGGAAGATGTTGGCACCTGTCCGAGGCGGATTAGTGCTTCAGTCGTCTCACAAGATCGCTCCACTTGAGCACACCCAGGCGGGACAGTGGAAAGTTGTGTCTTACCCATTTGGTATTCGCGCACCATGTCTTCTCTCGCAAAACGTGCCTGTTGGCCCGTCAAAGTCAGATCAGCTCAATCTCTCATCCCGGCAACCAGCTGCATGTGCCCCGCATCGTTTATGGGGCACATGTTCAATAGACCTAAATGGGGTCTACGAATACACAGTGCAGGGAAGAGAAGAAGAAAAAAAGAGTACTTGAACCCACCTTGATCCCATGCTTTCGAGCATAGCCGGCGTCGTGTTGACACAGCAGCGACACATTGTGCAAGAGGATGAATATTACGAGGTACGTCGTCAGCCACGTCGCATGATTGTTAGCTTGTATCATGACCTGCAGGTGCTCCAGCACCTCCCTCCGCAGTTTCGCTTGGATCTGATGGATCAGGACGAGCTCGATCTGAGCACCCATCACCGGCGGCAGCGGGATCTCTCCCTTGAGCGGGCTGGTGTCGTCCATGATGTCCCTCGACATGCCCAGCGTCTCGTCTCCCACGATGACGGTCGACTTTGTTGTCATCCGGATGGCCACCCACAGCTGCAAAACTTTTCGGATGAGGTCTCGTTCCTTGCCCTCGAGCGTCTCATCCGCCACCGCCTTCAACGCCAGTCCATACGTCCATGCGATGAGTTTTTCCTTGCTTTGCAGAATCTTGGTCAAGCATTCCTTTACCCCTTGGTTGATGTGCTGTATGTATGTCGTCTTGGCTTCCTCAATATTGACGATTGCATACGCAGGAATGGTGACGCTTCTTCTCGTGCCATTGTATACCCATGTCCTCTCGAGCGAATCGCCATCCTGTGGGATAAATTGACGGACGCGAAGCAGCACTGGCTGAGTCCACCCCTCCGTTACACTAACGTTTTTCGTCAGAGGCGAAGCCCATTGTGATATGTCATCCGCGATCCCCTCCGTCCACCTCCGCGTCCACTCATGGCCCTTGACTTGGCCGGGCTTGAAAAGCTTCACATCGGTGATCTTGTACCGAAGACAAGGTAAACGCCAAATTTTCCCGTTGGAGACCTTGGAGCACGTCAAACATGTGCCCAGCTTATCATCGGGGTTGGTGGCACACTGCATCGCAGAGTCAGTGAGTTCTCGAATCGGATCCCCCACGTCTCGGCAATTCCACAACCACATCAACATCAACCGCACTTACACGAATTCGCTGCATTCGGCAGCGGATGCACGAGCCAATTTTTCTCGTTTCTGCCGTCTGCTCCCGCTCAACATTACTCTTGAATGGGCCGCGCTTGGATGGAGGCTGGTTTCGCTGGTGCGATTGCACCATGTCTAGGTTACGAGACTGTGCCATCATGCGTGCTCGGTCACCGCCTGGAGATAGGACACCGGAATTTGCCCTGTAGCCTGGCACATGCCGGGGAGGGCCTTCATATTGGGGATGTCCAGCATCGTATGAATTTCTCACGTGATTTGCGACTGAGTAGTCCTGTACATCAGCCTGGCCTACGTATTTATGTCGCGGCGAGGTGTCTGGATAGACCATACCCTCGTTCCTCGTGCTGGGCTGAACTGTCATGGGCTGGCCGGGTTGGAGCACCGGGAAGCCGGACACAAATTGCGAGGCAACAGGAGAGTCATCATAAGAAAACACATCGACTTGTTCTGGAGACACGGTCCAGGGCTGGCTCTGAACTGGCGGAGATTTATCGTTGAAGTATGTTGGTGGCCGCGTAGCGTAATCAAGTGGTGTCGCGGCGGATGATACGCCAGTATATCCTATACGGTGGTTTAGTATGTCTCAGATGAGTGACCGCGTAACTCGACACGAACCTCGAGGTTGGGTATCACAGGATGAACAGGGAGGGCAGAACGAAAAGTTGGCAAAACAACTGGCTAGACGCGAGCTGTCGATCCCAAGAGAGAAGCCGCTGTCTTGGTCGTGACGGAGACGTTCCTGACTGGACGAGCCAGGAGGAGACGACTTTTCCTGCGTCGACATGTGAGGAATATCTGTGCTCAGTCGCGGCCTCTTGGGAGCTGGATCCGATGTAGTAGTAGCAGGCGACGACGAGACCTGATGACGGCTAGGGTTTTGGTCGAGGACCAGAAGCTGGGAGGGCGAGCATCCAAGAATAGAGGCGGCCTTGTCAAGTATTTGTAACTCGTGGTCGGAGAAGCCTACTGAACGACAAAAAGAGGTAGATGCAGAGGAAATAGAATGTCCCTGGGGCACTGGCACCGCAGGGGCGTCTTCGTGGCCATAGGGCCGGCGCCTTTTGAGACCCTCGACATGACTACGTTGTGTATTCTAGATGCAAATCAATCCACGGTACATCAAGCATTGAATATGCAATAAGCCGCCGTCAAGCGCAAAGACTAACAGGAAAATGGCAGAAGATCTTACCATTTTGCTTGCCACATAAAGGGTGTGTTGGACAGCGCGAAGCAGGGCATGTACTTAGGCGTGCCTCGACTTGTACAAAGGTTATGAACAAGCAGCAGCAGCGGCAGCAGCAGGCACGAGCAGCGCGGCAGCAATTGTTGCGCCTCACCCGCCTCGGGGAGGGGGTGGGGTCAGAATGAAGACACTCGGTCTGACTGGAGCCTCGCACTTCAGCGTCTCACGAGTGTCATTGCCGCAATTGAGATCCCTTGCTGGGGGGGTTCGCGCAGAAGTAATATGTGCGAGGAGGGAGTCTGGGTAGAAATCAATGTTGAGAGAAGGGGCTGAATCGCGGCCAGGCCGGGCTAGGAAGAAAGCGGGAAGCCCAACGAGGGGAGATGTCAAAAAGAAACGAACGCTTGTGCTGCCACGGTGTGATTGGAGAAGGGTATGGATGTGGTTCGGTGAGAGAAGTCCGTCGCAAGGCCGCTGAGGAAATCGCTTCACCGGTTCAAGAGGTCAGGATGGGGGAGACGAGTTTTGCCTCCGCTTGTGCGACAAAAAGAAGGGGGAGAAAAAGAACACGGGCCAAATTGGCTGAGACTATTATGCCGGCGATTCCAACGTTGTTCTTAGGCCTATAATTCACCAGTTATCAATTGCCCACGTCACAGCCTTTGCAGCAAGATTGCGAACAGGCCCTGCAGCATCCGCTTAAAAGGCGAGGTACGGGCGTTTTCCATCCTTGCAACCAGGCTGCGTCGGTAAAGTTGGGTCTGCTCCCTGGGCGACCTCTGCCCGCGCCTCGAGCAAATCACAACGCTTGCAGGCGGTCAACTGACCTCCTGCGACTTTGAAACTTGGAGCCGAGGCCTGAGCTGTACCGTGCCGCAGCTCTTACGACTGGGCATCCCGCGGCACTGGAACCATATGTTGCGGACATGGCTCCCGGTTGTCCGTCATGTTGTCCTGGTCCGACATGGAATTTTTGGAGCCCATGCGCACACCTCACAGTGCGCTTTCAAGGCCAATTGATGGCATCAGAATTCCCATCCCCGGTTTGACATTCGCTGGCCTAGATGGCCGATCGGGAGCTATTTGCCCGCTATCTCCTGCCACATGATAGAATGCAGTCCGCCCAAGTACTCGTATTTTTCGTTCTTTGTACCAGATCGGGCCGGCACGGCGACAAGGCGACAAGGCGACGGACGATCTGATCAAGGAGCTTCCCTGTATTCGACCATTACGTCCAGAGTAACCCGCCAAGCTAAGTGCTGGACGCTCTTGCGGCCGGTGGACCGGGCTCGGGCTCGATATCAGGTTGTCAAGTGAATTCTCGCCTGTTTGGCGTTCTTTTCGTTTCGACTGATTCACTTGTTCAATACGGTAGCCTGGTACGTGTTATCTGTCATCATGCTGTTGCGACTGGTCAAAACTCGACTGCATAAGTGATCAACGACAAACCAACGTTGAGTGCTCTGAGGTAAGCGTCGTTGGTCCGTTGGGCACACACTGTGCCCTTGCCCTCCCCTGGTTGGTGGATGGCATGCCAGCCCACCTTATACACCCTCTTTACATTCAACCGTTCCCCCGTTGTACCAGGCTCGAGGTGCAGAATGAAACGCCACAAGCCGCAGAGCACAATCAGCGTAAGCAATTGCCAATTGATGCATGACGGTGGGGGGGCGGTGACGGTGATAACACAATATTGTTGTTTGCGCGCAGGCCCCCAGATTTTCAGCAACCGATGACATCACATGAGAAAACGACGGCATGCTATCAGCATTACATGTGTTCGAGGCATGTTTGGCATACCAATTCTGACGCATGGGTCTACGAATCTGGCGGAAGTGTTTTGTGTCTTTGGGGGGCGCATGGCGACAGGGTTGCTGGCGTGGACAATGCAGGACCAGGAATCGACGGTGGGACTCGGGACTGATCGTGCAGATTTCTTGCTTTGTGATAGCCGTGCCCAAGTCCAAGAGAATTTCACGGCCCGTTGATTGCCAGGCCAGGTCAGCGCTGTTCCCGGTGTTGCTGCGTGCTTGCTTGTTGGACGTTGAAATAGACTCGGAAACAATCGAAAATGACCAGAGGAAGTTACAGGTTTTTACGGAAATCGCGACATGTTACGCAATTCACCCCTGTTTGATGGGCTTAACCTGAAAAGTAGAAAGAGCTGCCTGGAGGCAGGCCATATCTGAAAGCGGGAGCCTCGACGCATACCACTATATAATTGTAGCTAGGAGTACCAGGTACCGTAACTTTTGAAACCTAGTGTTCGAACCACTTATTTTAGCTCCCGCTGAATTAGAGGGCACCAGCTGACTATATATGTATATGGTAGGTGAATATAATAACAGCAAATACAAAACCATTCTTCGGGCAGGAAGAGTTCTGATTCGAATGCAGGCTAGAGATCACCATATATCAGCTTCTAGCAGGTTTATTATACCTCGCCTTTGTGAACTTGGCGACTGACACAAAACGGTACCTTACTACTGCCACCGAGCTACCTAATCTGTGATGCTTTCTGTTTATGGTGACGATCAAATGCTCTTGCTCTAAACGGTACTCCGCGATTGGGCCTCTCCAACCTCATAGTTTCACGGCCGTGCGACCAGCCAACCATGAAAACGCACTGTATTCGCCAGCGTTGACCGGTCGCCCGAGTCAGATATTGAAGCTGTATTCGACCGCTATCCAGGACAGGACATGGTACCTTGCGGGGTCCCTGTCTCACCGAACCCCGTATCACGGCTAGTCTTCCAACCAAAAGTTTGAAAAGTAATGAAACATCAAGCTCCCAGCAACCTTTAATAGCCCTGTTGCAGCCGGTGAGCGACATCAGCCACTGATGGTATGCAAGCTACCTAGGTTAATGAGTAAGAAGTCATACCTTGGCAGCAATTTTCATGATCTGATACCAGTAAGTGTGCTTCAACTAGCGAGCACCCCACGTACTGTGGAACGACATGTATTCGCGACAAGTGATGGGGAAGCGGAGAGAGGGCCCTTCAGGGCGCGCTTTCGTGAACTCTGGCCCATACTCTGGTCCAACCTCTCGTTCGGACCTTGACTCCGTACCAAATTCTCGAATCGGGTGGCTTCCAATCAGCGGCCAAAGGAAAACTTGCATGCGAATACAGCCAACCTACCCGTGTGATAATGGTTTGTCTTTGGGGGGGGGGGTATGTTGGATCTCGTGATGGTGGTACCTTTTCTGTTGGCCTCAATGTGGAGCAACTAAGGCGCATTAAGTTAGTTTGGAATCCGCCGACTTTAGGTACACGCCAGACGCGACTTGCCAGCTTACCTCCTAACGTCGAATTGATGATTGGGCCTTCTTACGCCCAGTCTTCAACACGAGTGGACTTTGCATGCGTGCGTCTCAAAACCATCATTCACTTGAGCGATGTTTACGGATATGCGAATGAATGCTAAAGTGCAACGGACGTCGTCATTTCTAACCTGCAGATGCAGTCGTCATGCCAGGTCGCGAACCTCGACCTCCATTGTTTTCGGGGACAAGGCGCGGTCAAGGCAGAAGGTCTACTGCGCGCCCCCACGTTGCGTCTCCTGGAGGGCGGCGTGAGGACAATACATATGGTTATGATGGATGGATATCCCAAATCGAGGACAACTTGGTCTCACGCCTTGCAGCCGTCTTCGAGAGATGATATGTCATAAATTCCGCGCGGCACGACCCGAACATTACTGAAGAGCGGCCACGTGGGCGTACGTACCTTCTTACTCGGCCGAAAGCTACTAGTACTTCCCGCCGACGACTTATGATGCAAGACAACCTCGACCATCTCTTGTTGAGGCCTTAGGTGCTTCTGCTTCCGCGAGTCTGCCCGATCGTTTGACGTCTCCAAAATTTGGACCTGGACCGACGGATGAATCGCCGTAACATCCTGGTCTGTAATTCATTGCCATTCGGAGCCAGGAGTACATATCAAGAAGCTCGCGGCACTGACGTCGTTCAAGCCCTTGAAATGAGCAAGGTGAGCCTCATATACTTCCACACCCCAATAGCTTCTTGAAGTCCGATTCTAACGAACACTAGCAAATGTGCTTGAGCCCGGCAAACGATCCAAGTAACAGCTCCTGAGCACATCACCTGCGCAATACGCTTTGAAGTACATTGCAACCATGCGATCTCCAGTTGACTATTTGGAGAGCCTCGCGCTACCAATGGCGGCCCATCTTTGGGACAACTGTTTCCGTCCCCAGTCGACCATGGAACAACGGCCGATGCTACCGAACACTGAATCCGAATACCAGCTGTCAGTGATTCAGGGTTTCCTTCCAGGACGACGGGGGGAGAAGCCTCCACTTCCTGACCTGTGCTCGTTGAATTTAGCCATCCCCCCCAGGGTTGCGATGCCTCACCCTGAACGAGTAAGTTCCGTTGGCTGACAGAAATCGTACCGAAGACTTACTTTCGCGCTCATAGTCAAGAATCCCTCGTTGATGGACGATCCATCATCCTACAGTGGATGGGGTTTCCCACCGACCGCTTCGGGATGAACGTCAGAACCAGAATGAAGACGGCATGGGTTGTGCTGATTGTCCGAGTAAGTGAGGACTACGGCGCCGGCCACGTTGATTCATCAAGTTGACCTGCTCATCGTTAACGACGAAATGGTGTCATGGTGTCATGATGCCATGGCGTTCCTGATGTCGGGGTGCGGCCGGTGTCGTCTACTGACACCGTCCCACGGGACTGGTGGCGCTTGACTCGGATGAGTGACCAGTCTCAGTGACAAACTGCCTCTGGAATAGTCTCGGCACAGAATTGGCGGCTTGCAATGACAGCGAATATTGCTTCCACTATCCCTTGCTGTTTTTGGATCCGCCAATCAACGGCTACTAGATCTAGCTCCGGACGGGGTTCCGCTGCAGGTGCCTGCATATCGGTCAGCTAAAATGCTCCACAAAGCCACGTCTCAGTGGTCAATTATCGGCTTTAAACCACCACCGGCTGCAATTCCAACCCGATCGGTCTGAAGCCCGCAGCGCGGCTGCTCGCAAAAGAAGGCAGAAGGCAGTCTTGAAAAATGGGAATCGACAAGTCGGGCTCCAGAAACTTGGCAGGTTAAGGTATTTTGGGTGGAACTTGCGCAGTTGCCTGTGTTCTGAAGTTGTTTCTGACCTTTCTCACCGGGTCCACTTCAAAAATCTGCTGTTGCAAGCGACCTCGGGGAGGGGATTTACGAGTGTCCTACCAGTCGATGCCCGTGGCCGGTGAGCCTTTGGAATACCTCATCTGCAGCCGCCCGTCGGTCGCCTAGTGGAAAGGCAGCTTTACCCACCAGAGGCGTTTGGGGGTGGCGGTCCCGTGAGGATATCGTGATGGTACCAAGATTGGCAGGAACGACCCTCTTCATGGCAGCTTCGTGACAGCGTCGCCAACACTCCCAAGACGTTTTCATAAGGCTTCCATTTCTTTTTGCAAGCCAATCTCAACTTGGAGGACTCATTTCCGCGCAGCGCTGAGATGGACTTGTGCACCGAGGCCATTCAGGAGGTCGTTCATCCCACCGCAGCCTTTACACCGCAGCATGACCCACAGGACCTAGGGGCAGACCATGCCCCGTCATGGGACGATTCATTGTTGAACCCAAAGAACAGGATCGACAGTCTCGATCTTCCCCAGATGCCTCTGTGGCGGATCGATGGTAGCACTGGCTTGGGGACCCAGTACTATGCTCTACCGCTCTTCCTCTCCGCCGTTCCTCCAACGCGGATGGACGTGTTCATCCCAGCAGATCAACCGCGAGTCATCCAACAACAGCTGGATCTCGACGTCGCCTTCCATGTTAAAGATGCTGTAAGGCTATCTAGGCTGGCAATCACTCGTCACATAATCCGAACGCTACATTTATGGGTCGCCACGGAATTCAAGGACCTTGCAGCGTTCAAGGACTTCTACCAAGACGTGCCCTTTGGAACACGCCTGGTCTTCGAGAATCTCTCACTTGACATCCGGAACATACAGGTCAGGGTTGGACTGAATCACAACTTGGAACGTCAATTGACGTCAGTCTCTGGGCTCAAGCATCTTTGGGGGCCAGACTTCGTGTTTCCTGACGTCATCGACTTCTATGAGATTCAGGTCATTGGCATCCTCCACGACAGCGTCTGCTTGGTCCGTATTCGTGGAGAGTTATTTATTTTCAAGGCTCTAACAAGCGGGCCCAAGTACCTCTACCACGAGTTAAAGGTACTCTGCACGTTAACACCGCATTCCCATGTCATCGCCCGTCCCGTCCATGTTGTGATGAAGACATGCAAGTTTGGAGGCAAGAAGGCCATTGTCGGCTTCACCACTTTCTTCCATTCGAAAGGCAGTCTACGTGACCATCTGCCTCAACTTCGGATCCACGGCCAGCTCAAGTCCTCGGACCAGTTCAAGTGGTCGGTTCAGCTCGCTACTGCCCTGGACCACCTTCGAGTCACCAGCCAGACTTATTACCCCGACCTCCGCCTCGACAACATTGTCCTATCCGAAAACTCGGATATCGTGATGGTGGATTTCGAGCAAAGAGGGGTATGGTGCGAGTTCGCAGCACCCGAAGTCAATGCTATCGAGTATATCCGTCTCATAGCTACAGACGAAGATATGTCAGACGAGATACACGAGAAGTACAATGGGATACTCAGACGCCTGAATCCCCATTTCGAGGAATTGCTGACAGAGAAATACACCAATGCCACGAACGGCTACAATGTGACATGGTTGGCTCTCAGTGCTCGCGAACAGGAGGCCGCCGAGGTTTACATGCTGGGCAGGGTGCTCTGGTGCCTGTTCGAAGGAGTCAGCGGTCCGCAAAAGGCAGCAGTGTGGCAGTCGTACCGGTGGGAGTCTGACCTCGAATTTCCGGAATTCCAGAGGACGCCGCCTGCGCTGAGATTATTGATCGATCGCTGTACTCGAGGAAGAAGGGACACACTCAGCGGTATCATTACGAGACAGGGTAGTCGTCTGGTACTACGGGACAGAGATCTCCAGGACCAAGGACCTGAGGATGTGAAGAATGCTGCAAGGAGATTCTGGGTGTCAGAGTTGCAGGTGGCCGAGGACTTTTTGGCGATGCGAGAAGAGCGCAAGGCCAAAGGAGAATGGGACGAGAACTTCTACTCTCGCCCATCTATAAGGGAAGCATTAGCGGCGTTGAAGACGCTGCAATCCCAACATCAATAGGCCAACAACCATGGTGAAAATCAGGCAGGATGCGTTTGGGAACTAATTCATTTGGTTTCGGTAATGCATATATCCTCGATCAAGACAGCTGGCAAGCTCTTTTTCCCTCAAAGTGAAGGACTTATGTGTGACCCAATGCTATGTAGATGTCGAGCAATACCAATCAATATATGTCCAATACCGGAGGAGACACTGAAAAAGCCGGGGTGCTGCCCGAATACCATGCCTATGGGTGCTGTTGAACGGCAGGACATGATTGCTTTCGAAGCCGACCGAGATATTCTACATATGCAAGGAGGATTGAGGCAAAACCAGCATCCATCCGCTTCATCCAGATCTCCTTTCACCTAACACTTGCACTCGTCACATATTGTTCCGTCGCTAACCCTTAAGATAGGGAAGAATAAGAAATGGCCCCTCCGCTAGATCCGCGTTGGCTTGAGAAGTTTTGGAAAGCCATATCCTCCCTCCCTAGTGCCTCGTCCTGACCAAGAAGAGCTAAAGGCAACTCTTTGTTGAGGACGTCATCGAGAAAGATGCTGGCAAGCAGTACACCCGCTTTTTGAGTCTCGGGTCTTTAAGCCTCGACAGGAATAGACCAAGAGGTTCTAGGCAAGTTTGACATTGACCATAAACTATAAAAATGGAGGCTGTGGAGACTTGAGCGAAGCCGAGGCAAGTGGATGGTGAAATCAACGGCATAAAGAAAGAGAGTGTGGAATAGGCGATACCGGTAATCCAATTTCCTATGTCCACTGCGTACGAGGTATGATCACCCTGGCCGAAGGAGGAGTGAGGAGGGGGAAGCAGCAGGAATATTCGAAAATGCTACAGGTCTGCCCTGGCCATCATAGCCAAAGCGGAAGGTTGGAAGGCGGCGAGGCACCATGATGGGTTTGTAGCATGCAGAGAAATGGCAGGTTACGATAACAAATAGTACCCGCTAGTCTGCCCGTCTGCCTTTACTTGCAACATCTCACGATATTGCCACCCCCAGCATCCAGTATAGCCCAACTCATCCTCCAGAAATACTCAGTACGCAACTGCAAGTTCCTCGCAATTCCCATCACGCCACATCGCCCAACAGCGTTGTTTTCTCCCGCACTTCCCAGTCTGAGCCACTTGCCAGTTTCCTTATATCATGCTCCTTATGGCCGACGACGACGAGCTTCCCAACAGACGTGAGTACCACTGCCACAGCAGTGACACGACTTCATTTTCCATTTGCTTGTATTTGTCTTTTTCGGTAAATATCAAAGGAACTGTCAAGGGAGAGCAAGCCCAGGTCGCTCTCCGTGGTCTTTCAACCCAAGGCCGCCGGCCGTCAGACCTGCCGCACAACCACACCAATGGTAGTACACAGCCAGATGAAGTCCTGACCCGAGCTCGACAGGCAAACCTTTCGTCGATACCCACATCTTTCATGTTCACCAATGCCATTCGTCACTAAGGAGTTGCGCGACAACACCTCAAGCAAAAGGGAGATGCAGAGTCATAGTCCCCTCTACAATCCATACGTGGAAGAAGAGGAACTTGTGCCCAATACGTTGCCAGAGCTCTCAAATGTAGAAAATGGTACAGGCATACCGCGAAGAGGCCACCGTACGGCGAGGACTACGACTGCCTTCCTCCAGTCACCCAATCTGGGGCTGTGCTTTAGTTGCTCCCCGTCAAGGTCAGATGACCTTCAACCTAGCCCATGTATGTCCCTGCCCATGCCATAAAAGACTCACCGTTTCGTCTGCCCTGCTCCCGTGCATATGCTTTACGCAAGTGTGCTTCTGGAAGGACCGTCACGTTAAGAATGGATCAGGATCTGCTGGCATTGTTGCTTCATTGTCACACTGGACTTGACGCACGGCGACATTATCTGATGATCCGACAAGCTCGGCTGCCTAGAATGCAACCAGAAGGTATGGTTGGACTCTATGAAAGATGACAGAAAAGTCGACCCTTGAGGAGGTCGGTGGTCCAGGGGCTTCCTCGGTCAAGGAGCCATAGAGATCGAACAGAAGAGACTGCGAGCAGGCCCCACCATGCTCTGCAGATGTGCCAGGCAGCACCTATGATAGGAGGCTATACTTGACTCCAGCCGCAGGGTTCGATAACCTTCTAGAATATCCACTAGGTGGGGACAGGTTCCGCGATGAAGTAGTAGGTAAAGCAGTCCCGCAACGGCACAGCCGACAGCGTGACACAACCCCTATGCCGCCGATCACCCAAGAGTAGGGAAATGACGACACCGGGCCGAACTTCGCCTAGGTCGATGCTGCAGGCTATTCCGGGTGAGGCAACGACCATTTCACATGGAGAAAACCGTGCGGTTTCATAGCTGTTGCCTGACGACCCCGGGTGCCATCGAACAATGACACTACTACCTTGCGGCAGTGCTCAAGCCGAAGTGAGTCTTTTCTTTTCTGTCCTTGCACGAGCTAATCTGTTGGACGTGAGTGGTATCCAGTCTGCGGTCGATTGATACTGTTTGCCCACTTACCTGCCTGTAGACTAAACTGGAGATTTGTAGCTGGATTGCGCTTGCGCCCGCGGGCTAATGGAAGAGAAACCCGCCTGCAAAATGTCCCTTTGGGCCAACAGCTGGCCAAGTCACTTGACACTGACTCAATGCAAAAGCCCGGGTCAGCTATGGAGCGACCTCGAATGCCTTAGCCATGGAGGTCTTGGTGGATATTGTCCGATATGGGAGCCCTCTCGAAATGGCCGACGACCCGATGTAGATATGAAAGCCTTGCGGGCCGCGATAACAGGCCGCTCTGACCGGGGCAGGCGGTCGCGTTAAGTGGCCGGTTGGGGCTTTGGTAGGCTTGGGGGCCATATCTGGCGGCCATACAAGGGAAATGGGTTTAAATGACCAACGGTCGCATCGGGGGCCGGTCCACCGACTTTTATATGCTCGCCTGTTAAGGCAGAAACGGAACAAAATATGGGTGTTGGTCCGTTCCCAAAGTCGGTTTGCCGCGATGGAATGGCCGTCACCGCTTATTGACGAATCATAGAACCCCTGCCAACGTGGCTGAGGGTCGCTGCCAACCTGACTTGTCTGCAACGCTAGCCTTTTCCTGTGCAATTTGACCTCGTCCGTCGTCACTTTCCATTATCCAGAGCTCCACCAAGGCTGCCGGCTTCATCGTGCTTCATGGTCGTCGTCTACGTCCGAAATCCCTATCCATCTGTCGGCACTACAAGCTGGCTAACAATCGTTTAACAGTGCTGGAAATTGGGTACCTCGTTGCGGGCAGGCAACGGGTACCCGTTGGATGATGAGTGTTGGTGCTCCTCTCCCTCATCACCCCCCCCGATTCTGGGCCTGGGATTCGTCAGGCTGTCTTGGGAGTTCTCAGGCATTTCCGAAACAGCGTGTTTCTGTTTGCTCCCTACGTGTTAAGGAGTTGGTAAGATGCAGTCCAAAAGACTGCAACCCTTTCCTCGCCGTCGACTTGTGCCGTCATGCGACGTGACCTGTATGTTCCCCCAACAGAACCAATGTAGGTAGCTCTCTGCGCCAACAGCATACCAAGCGGTCATCCTGGTGGGCCCCTTTCCTCGCCTCGAGAATACCGTGTTGTCTTTTTTATATGCCTGCCTGCATCTTCACATTGGTCTATATAACCCCTCGGGTTGAATCCTCCAAGATGCTGAAGAATCCTTCTTCATCTGTGCCGTTTCGTTACATTCACTTATTCCCTAATGCCTCCTCCACCACCCCCTACCGAACATTTCAGCAGACTTTCTCTCGGAAGCATGCCTCCAACCACTCGGCTCCAAAGCCGCGTCGAGCAGGACTCGAGCGCTGAGTCGGACAGTGACTCCAGCGAATCCGTCTATGACGAGCGCACAGGACGCTTGGTATTCCCTTCGAAGCTTACTTATTCTCTTGAGCGGCTTGACGCACATGCTAGACAGGAAGTCAAGGACGCCCTGGACTCGCCAACGCAACTGGTGCTACAGGACTGCGTGTCAAGAGGCGGAGACCAGGCCATGATGATCTTCGAAGTTACTGAATTAGTCGACTACACCATCAGGACGGGCACGGAGAAGAGCCAGTTTCCCACTCCGGATTGCTCCTGTGATGAAAAACCCACGTGCAGGCACATCCTGTGGCTATTCGACCAGGTGTCGAAGCAAGTCTTGGATGATGATGGCGAGCCCCTGACACTGACCACCGGCGGGTATGCGGCGGAACTCGGCAGACCTTACGATGCGATTTCTGACTTCCACCTCGACGTCCTGGCCGAATCTCTTCACTCCCAGGTATCCTCAATGACGGGCCGTACACGTCCCAATCCTCGACGAGTACAGGAAGTCCGCGAGATCCTGGCTTCCCTCAACTCAACTCCCATTGACGAATACCGCCCTGATCTCTTCCACAATCCCCGGATGAACCAGAAGGTCATCAAGAGGCGGGACCTCGAAGGCACCATTTTTCGAATGCTGCTGCGCAACAACGAATTCTTCCACTATTTCCTCTCCTCCATGAGAACCGACGAGCTTGTGAACAATCCCTTCAGGAGACTCCAGCAACGAGCAGACGCTGCCTTTAAGTGCTTCGACGCGTACGCCCAAGACGAATCACAGTGGGCGTCAGCCAAGCCCAAGAATGCCGTGTGGTGTTCGAACCACCTGGTGCTCATCATGAACCAGGTGCACACCATTGTCGCACATGCGATCCGGGCATTGGCTGACTGGAAGTATCGAGGAGCTGCTCGCGTTCTAGTCCATATTCTCGAGGGAGTTGCTGTGCGCAACAGAGATGTCGGTCCGCAAAGTCAAGCCAAGGCACAGCGAAACCTGTTCTTCAGATTGATCGGCGACAAGGATAGGGACTTCGTGCTCAACGTTTTCAAAGATATGCCACCCAACGCATTCAGTCAGCTTATTGGAAACCTAGAACAGGTTCTAGGCGAAATCAGCAAGCATGGCCCTCCCGTCACCTATGTCGACAAGCTAGCCAATCACATCAAACGGTCGCGGAGTTCGGGTGCCAATACCTCTGGTTCGAAGCGCCAAGGCGGAGGCCAAGATAGGAGCGCGAAACGGATGAAGTAAGGAGCTTGGACATGATGGTCTTAATCGGGAAATGCCCTATCCACAGAAGCTGGTATTCGCCGTGTAGGGTGGAGGGTTAGGACATGGTTTACTTCTGTTGTCGATATTCTCTCCTTATGACAATTTCCCGAGAATTTTCTCTTCTTGTTGTCACTCGTTTGACTACCTTTCTTATCCCGAGATTATCAGGCCCACCTGTCAACCACACAGAACAGCACCTAGAAAATGATACCGTAATTGGGGGGAAATGGGATTAGGACACTACTTTCACAGAACAGATTACACAACCTTTTTTTTGTCTACCATAAGGACATCAACTTCGATGTGTTTATCTCCTTGCGGTGAAGATTGTGCAATATGGGGATCTAGCTTTCGCCCATTCTTGCATCTTCTCTATGCCGGTTCGTACTGACACCAGCATCCACCCCTACACACAGATGTATGAGTACCAGCAAGCCCTACTCAGCTCAAGAACAAGAACATAAGCCAGCTGCAACGATATTTAGCAACGATGACCCAACCGCGGGCTCAAAAAAGCCAAGTCCCACTAGAAGCTAAGCCTCAGTTATAATACCTCGATCGCTTCCCAAATAGGCACGAGCCATGAGTACCACGTGTCTCTAGGGCTCGACTACATGCGGCGGAGGCTTTGTAGACACACACGCAACCGCTTCTGTTGGCACCAGAGATCACTACTAGTCGCCAGAAATTGAAATCAACTAGAGTCGAAGGCATTTCAGTACAGCTACCACGAGGTTCCTCGGTTACAGTAGAGTTCTTCCCAAGTATATCATATCATGACATACACATTGTGATCGAGAAAATGCAATTTCATCGTGCTGAAGGCGCAGGTTGATTACGCTAAAACTTGTTTGCATATAAGTTAGTGTAATATTAATTCGTGCAGTTCATTAAAAACTGACGACTGAGGAGAAATGGTTCTCAGGTTGACCTTACTGAATCAATTGAGGCGATCTGTGCCAATGCTCAAGTTACTTTAAGCACTTTAGTTGAGTAACATTCGCGTCACAAATCATATCACGATGGATTCCCCATGACATAAAATTGCTGCTCATGTTAATGGTACACAGCTCCTGCAAGGGTATGTAAAGCGACTTCTACACCCGTGCCTCAAAGTCTGGAGAGACACCCAAGTGCGACCCGGCTTCCATAACCCCGAAATATATATACTTGAATAACGACCTCACTCCCGCTCGGTATTTATACCACGCCCCTTCAGACCTCGGCCTCGGCCCGCGCCTGCACATTTGCTATAGCGCTCTGCAGCGCACTCGTAAGGTCGATATGGAACAGCGGCCTGTTCAACCCATGGACGGCAACCTTCCTGACAGTCCGGCTCCGGCTGATCTCGTTTTCTTCAGTGGTCTTATCCCGCCTGATCGAAGCCGATCCGCTCGACGATGCATTGCCCCGCTCCATGGCATTGACATCGACGGCGCCGCCCGTGCTGATGTGCAACTCCTTCTCGTTTGCCTCCTGCTCCGCGGCCGCCGCCGCGGAGCTGCTCCCACCGATTTCGGCGACGCTGAAGATGGATCGCCAGCGGTGTTGCAGGCCGTCGGCGCGTGCAGTCGGGTAGCCGAAGCCGGCGGAGACGAGGGCGCGCTTAGTCCAGCGATTGCTGATGCAGGCGAAGTGCCAGTCCACTACCTCAGGGAACGTGTAGCGATCAAGCTGGTTGCGCACGTCGATCAGCTGCTGCACGGATGTGATATCAACGTTGTTGACGGAACTGAAGTCGAGGATGATGGCCTTGAGGGGAGGCAGGTCATCGCGCAGTTCCTGGCCCTTCTTGGGGCCTGGGTCGTTCCAGGGCCGATCGCCGGGTCGCGGGTAGGAATCCAGTTTGGTACGCCGCGTGTTTGCGAAGATGTGGCCGGTTAGAAATTCGAGCGTATGGTTTGCGTTTGGGTAGTTGAACCCTTCGGAGAATCGGTAGATGAAGATACCCGGATACGGGTTCGCAATGCGGACTTCCGGGTTCGAGCCATCGTCGTGGCTGATGGGAATAAAGACATTTCGTGTCGAAGGGTATAAGGCCATATCGGCGCTGTTTGTGTCCAAGTTTGGTTGCGAGTTTGTTTGCGAACTGTTGAATGTGCCATAATTATCGGCGGGTTTGTTATCGTTACCAATGACAGTGTCACCCAAAATCGAGTGGACTTGGACCCTTCCAAGGAATCGCCCCTTGGTTGTCAGAAGTCGGATAAGGAAGACGCCAAATGAGATAGCGATCGTACAGTAGATTCCGTTTTCGATGGACGAGAATACGGTGACGAAGACACCCACGAAGTAGATAAAAACCTCGATCGGTGATACCCGCCAGAACTTGTACAGCGTGTTGGGAGGCGTGATTAGATCGCCGACAGCGTGAATGATGACAGCTGCCAGGGATGCCCCTGGGATGTAAAAGAAGACTGCTGGTAGGGCGTAGATGGCGAGAAGAACCACAACCGCCGTGATGACACCTGCAAAGGGGGTACGGACTCCAGCCTTAGACTTAATGGCAGTCCGGCTGAAAGAACCTGTCGACGGATAACCACCTAAGAAAGGTCCGAGGAGATTAGTTACGCCAATAGCAACCATCTCTTGCGACGGGTTGATGATATAGTTGTTGACTCGGCCGAACGACTTGGAAATGGCGATATGCTCAATCAGGAGCACAATGACGGAGGCTGGCAGGTCACTAATGAAACCGTTGATGATTTTCGCGTTGACTACCGGTACGGCAGCATGTTGGAACCCTCGAGGCACATGGCCAAGGATGGCAAAGGCGGGATCGTCGTTGCGCCACATGTTGACGAGCCAGCTAATCATGGTGTACAGCAGGATGACGAACGAGGTCCTCAGCGTAGAAATGAAGAAATAGAGCTTTTGGTGGCTCGGGTAACGCTTCGCCAATTGGCTACAAGTGATGCGAATGACGTAGAGCAATGTGAGTGCCGTTAGCCCCATGGCCGCATTCATGTCCGTCTTTCCCAGGTTTTTCAACGTGTTAATAATCACCTTATAAGTCTCGTCTCTTGTCGAAAATCCGCTGATGCCCATCATCGTCGGAACCTGACCAGCAGCAATGCTGATGGCCGAACCCGTCATGAAGGCTGCGAGTGAGACAAGGGGTATGATTTCGACAATCCGCCCACAACGAATCAAGCCAATGAAGAGAACGATGGCACCAGTAATGATGGCCAAGGCCGAGGCAATCACCCAGGGCGTATCCTCGTACTCGGGATACTGATCAATGACGTTGGCAACCACCGTTCCTGTGACAGTGGACATAACAGCAACAGGCTTGATAAAGTCAGCTTACTGCATGGATTCTCTTCGTACTGAACACTTACACCAATCGTAATATCCTTAGACGTTGCGAAGAACCAGTAAATCAGAACGCCCATGAACGAGGAATAGAGACCAAACTGGACAGGTAGATTTGCCAGCTTTGCGTATGCCATTCCTTGGGGTACTACAACGGCGCCGATCGTGATGCCTTAAATTTTGTAAGTGATAAATTCGGAAGGTCAGGAAAAGCTGTACTGACCCGCAACGAGATCTCCGGCCAGCCACTGAAGGTTGTAAAAGCCTATCCATGACAGGAATGGGAAAAGGGATTTCACATAGTTCACGATTTCCTCGCCAGATGGTGTAAAATCTGATATCCATTCCGCCGTGGTAGGTTGTTCTTCGAAGAAAGAGTCGGTTGTCTGCATGGAGAGGATAGACTCGCCCCTGGTAACTTCTTCCCGAGAAGTTTCGGGTTCGTCAAGTTTGATACCAAGGAAGTTGGCTAGGCCATGGCCAATCTCTGTCCTTGTAGGCATCTTGGCGTATTCCAAAGGTTAAATTTCGGATACTTCAAGCCGAGAAGACGGGAGTGAAGGAGAACCAAGCCTGAGTGATCTTACGGGCAGTAACACACAACTTATGTAACGACACCCTCGGAAATACGACCTTGGGGGCAACTCAACTGACCGGGGCCACACGTTTCCTGGGCGCGGCGCCTGAACGAATCAAGTCTCTGGCAATATGTGTTGCTAGCGACAACAGCCCAGGACCCAAGGAAGCTTGTCTGGCGACAAGGAAGCTTGATTGAAACAACAACTTAGGCAGCGCCACTCTGCATTCACTGCAAGATTCAATGGCAGTTCGCTTAAAGTGCCCAACACAAGTTGCTTCTTTCTGCAACCACTCCGACAAGGCTGGCGCAAGTGCTAGAGGACAACCAATTGAGACAAGAAAGCCGCCACACTCGGGGGATGAGAGAAGAATAGTCCAAAAGGCGTAATAGCACGTGCTATCCGGTCGAGATCCCAACTGACTGTATAGTCAAATAAGGCGTTTGCTCCGACCTTCTGAGGTTGTCGATGGCGGGACTCCGGTGCGTATTTGGTCCTGAAAGTTGGTGGTGGTCCGGGCGTGTCAACCAGGCTTGGGTACTTGAGTATGACACCGACTGAGCCGGAGTGGCGGTATAGAATCAGACAATGTTGAGGCTCTTCAGTTGAATGCACTTCAGCTGGCACGTGGCTGCAGGTCTGCGCTGCTTCCAGGAGGTAAAAAGTTCAAAGACAAAGGCATTATTAACAGAGACATCAGCAAGTCCACAGGCGCGTCGGCAGGTCAATCAGGTACATAGTTCTTATGCCGATGAAGAGAATAAATTGCCTTAAGCGGATACAAAATTGGGTAACTCACCTAGGTCTTCATACTGAGATTCGCACGCTACCCACCTTTGGTGTGGATGGTTGACGTGAGATGGGAGCTGGGACTGGTTCCAATCCTTCAAGTTGCGATGGCGCAATCGGGTCTATGCCATGCAAAGACTAGTACGTTGAACACAACCGAGAGACCACAATCTGGCAGACCTGGCAGAGTCGTGGATCCCTGCGGAGCCACGGGGCCGGTTCGTCAACTGGTGACGTTGAAGAGCGGTCTTGAATCCACATCTCAGTATGCTTGGCATCCGTTGTGGGAGTTGGACTGCCGCCGGAGCCGCCGAGCCACTTTCGGAGACGACGTCTTTCAGTGTGAAATTGGTGAAGCACACACTCGCGTTCGTTTGGAGCTTGGTTCGAAGGCAAGAAATATGCGCCCAATTTGATATATCGCCAACTTGGAGCTCTGATGCAAGCAGCCGCCTGCAGCGCCGAGCAGGGGGTTTACCTAAGAGAGCCAGTCAACGAGCTGGACGGGAGCAGGGAATGATCCAAGCTCGGATGGTGCAAAACGAGGATACGATGAGGTGATCGAGAGCTTCAGGTTGTCAGCTTGCGATTTGTGATTTTTGAGTTGTATCTTACCACAACTTTGACAATTGTGAGCGGCCACAAGCAACCATGTTGGTAGTCAGCATTAGCGGCCGCGTCCGCAAAGACCTCCATTTAATGCATCGTGCAGCACTGTTTGTTCCCTGACGGCCGTTTAAAGCGAGAGCGTCCTAGAGTTCACAATGACACTTATTAATGTCGTGAATCTCTCTTGATGCTCAAGATATGGCATCACAGTTTCAGATTCGCAAGCTGAATAGTCATCCATGAAGATGGCGGTCAACTGAAATTCCAAAGCTCGTGTCAGCCGAGCCCGAACCATAACTCAGCTGATGTCTCGTAACATAGTCATCCATACCAACCAGATAATTCGCGTCCACGGAAATGCTGATGGTGCATGCTCGTATTGTACATCGGTGTGTGGCATCGTTGTGATCTTGTTTGTATCATGACCGAAGAGAAGCATTTTTCAGTGTCAAGTGAAAAGGAATGACTCGCCCCTGTATCTAAACCAACCCTCGACCATTCCTTTGGTGTCTCGTCCGTACTTGCCATCGAGATTTGATGCTGGTCCACCTTCGCTCGGCGGAGGCCCATTGCCTTATTGCCACCTTCAAAGCTCCAGGCGTCTTGTACGTTGTGGGTACAGTACCTCAGCGTTAGGTATTCGTTGAGTCTCAAGTATCAAGATGGATTGGCCGTGGTGATGGCAGCCTCGCAAGGCTGGCGTTAACTCGAGTGAACCCTAGCTGCTTTCTCCCGGATGAATGCTAGCCCAAAGCAGTGTTTCATTCTGCAGCTATTGTGATGCTACAACAGTATCAAAAACGGACTCGTTTCTGGATATCTTGAACGCTCCAATGCAGGTTCCGGCTCAAACCAATGATGATGCGGGGGAGTAGCTGGGAGCTTTTAGGGCTGACGCGAAAAGTCGCGTGGGAGGTCCGTGTGACACGGGACCAGCCAACGCCTCGCCTAGCCAACCTCGCTACATTCCGGACCAAAACATCGTCGGCAGTTCAATGCCCATGCCGCCGGGTCGTTGAAAAATAACGGCGACAATTCTCAATATTAGCACAGAACAGGACTTAAGAAGTGAAGAGTAAACCCGTCTTCAGCTTTCAAAATGCCGAGTCCAATGAGGGATTCGATCCCGACCCTTGCGCCGCCCTTCACCATGACAGAACTCCATGCCCCGCCATCGCCACGAACCCATCGTCTGCGCAAGCTGCAATCCGCCCACAACCTCGGTGCTGCTGCAAGAAGCCAGAATCAGCCTTCGTTGATCTCGCAACAGCGCATCCGAGACCTTCAAGAAGTCAATATCTCCCCCACGCGCAGGCATGTCTCGAACCGATCACCACCACAAAGACACCGCGCAAACAGCGATACGCCTTCCCCGATAAATGTTGCAACAAGCAGCACCATGTCGCTGAACAGACAAAGAAATGCACTGAGTCGAACCTCGGCTGCTGCAGACAGCATGTCACTGGAGCGGTTGATCCGCGATGGTCCGCCTGACGGCGACGTGAAGGGTGCCTTGGAGAGCACGCGCCTCAAGGTTCTGGACTCGGGCATCAAGTCGGATGGTGATGGCATGTCCTCGGTTCGAATCTATGCCTGGCTCATTCTTCTCGATGCGCCTGTTCTCGAAACAGACGCCTACCTCGCACTCATCCACCGCGGCGCATCGCCTGCATACTCCAAGATCCGCAACGACACCTTCCGAACCCTCACTACCGATCCGCTTTTCCGCCGCCGGGTCAGCGAAGCAAGCCTCATCCGCCTGCTCAACGCGATTGCCTGGAAACTGCACGATGCAAAAGAGGAGCGAAGACCGACGAGCAGCAGACACTCTCTCTCGAATGAACGTCCCAGCAGTTCCAGCACCGTCTCATCATCCCCGGCGGCGAGAAACCGCGCCAGGGCCTTGACCTTGACAACAGAAGGGTCAGACGCCAATGCTTCAGAGTCGGGAACCTACGTCCAAGGAATGAATGTTTTGGTGGCACCCTTCTTATATGCAGCTCGTAGCGAAGCAGAGGCCTTCGTTGCATTTCATCGACTGCTTACCAAGGAGTGCCCGGGCTACATCAGAGGAGCTATGGACGGCGTTCATCGTGGTCTAGCTCTTGTCGACAAAGTTTTAGCAATCGTCGACCCAAAGCTGCATCTGCACCTCATGTCCAAAAGCCTGTCAGCTGAGATTTACGCTTTTCCGTCTGTACTGACGCTATGCGCTTGTACGCCGCCCTTGCCGGAGGTGTTGCGACTTTGGGACTTCCTATTCGCCTACGGGCCCCACTTGAACATTCTATGCATTGTAGCCCAGCTGATCATAATGCGAAATGATCTGCTTAGTTCTGACAGGTGAGCCCAAACTCAGAGAACGTAGCTGATGGTAATACTAATATTCGGTAGTCCTAACAAGCTGCTGAGATCCTTCCCTGCTCTGCAAGCAGAGCAGATCAAGAAGTCGGCCCTGGCTATTATTAAGATGATACCCGATGACGTCTACGCGGAGATAGTCACGCATGCCTACTGATAAGAGTCCGACTAGACTATTTGCACTCTTTTCCTGGAGGAAGGCTGCAGCAGCAGCATAGAAGGGAGTTGCAAACAGAGAAAAACGAAAAACGAAGTTGCACCACCTCATAGCACTTAACGACATCATGGAAACGAATGGAGGAATGATGATGACCGAGAGAGAACCCACACCCCCGCCCTACCAACTACAACCTCACGGAATTTAATGACACGATGGAAACGATGGCGAATTGCATATGATAAATGATGTCGGGAAATGAGAGTCAAGCGCAACTCAAAAATCGACGACGTAATGATAACTTGTGTAAAAATTGTAAAATATCACGAGAAAATGGCAGGCGGTTCGATATAGGCATTAATGAGCAGATCGAATCTGAAACTTGGAATGCAAAAAGTAGTGTCCTCAGGCGCGTGCTCAGCGATATAGCACGCAGGGGCGAAGCCCTCATGCGGCGTGGCAAAGGTGAGGCCCTTCAAAAAGAAATAGACAGGTGCCATAAAGTGAACCCTAGCGGAGGTAACAACATGTGGGGTAGTAATATGTTTCTTAACACTACAATGAACACTACGATGAAGGTTGTGACGATATACTAGTTTACGGTGTAAATACTTCAACCAGGTGCAAAGATGCGAAATGGTAGTTCTAGGATTAAGTGTGGTACTGATAGTGTTAAAGTAGCTGCTGTCCGATGGTTTATAGTAGGGGCGTGAAACGTCTTTTGCTCTTTATCCTCTATTCACCCATCTTCTATGTCGCAGTTGCCCCATCTATGAATTCTACCACGCTCGTTCCGACCAATTTCCCGACTTCTAGAGCCTCATTGTATTTTCCAAAACGCACAGTACTGCTAGCTTCTCCGGGATTTTGCCCTCTGGTAAATCACCATGTTTATTGCGTCTAGTAATTTGTACTTCGGGCTCTGAGCCATTGCCCGACGGAACCATACCCCGGTAGTTGTCGTCCAAGAGGCCAAAGACAGCTGATGACATGCGAGCAAAAGGTATGGAGCAAAATTGTCCTACGTGATGGAGACGGCAGTGTATTCTGTTACAGTCACCTCCTTGACCAGGCTTGTTGAGGAGATTTCATGGGCGGAGTGTTTTAGTTCGCACTTTTACTAGCTGCGTGGGCGCGAGTAGAGGTACTGCTGTAGGTGCGATTGTTTACCCCCGTAACGGCGTGTTGCAGCATCGAGGTAGGGCTGGTTCATGCGATCTGAGCCTCATATTGCCGCCTCCTCGTTGCTTTGAGGACGAAAGCTTGGTGTATTCGAGATGCAGGGTTTTGGCAGTTGACGAGTCTGGCAAGCTCGACTGATGCCGCGGTGACTAACACGTTGGAGACTCTGCAGTCAGTTTGTTCCTCAATATCCTCCCAATGGACTATATGCCCCTCCGCGGTAAATGTGCCGTCGGTATCGAGCATGCGAACGGCATAAAGCAACCCGGCGGATACGATACGATTTTTCCAGACTCTTCGACCGATGCGAGTGACGTCGCCGCACCCACCTGATCTTCCCTCGTACAACGCGGTACCATCTTTCGTGCAGGCTCCGCGCAACAAAAAGGAGATCGAAGGCGCCTCGACTCAACTGTTGTTGTGAGGTTCATGTAATCGCTGTTGTCGTCTTTTGAGGCAAATATGCTGGGCGTCTGAATTTAGCATAAGCGAGGGTGTGAAGATATGTAAGAATGAAAGTGACAGTGACAGTCACGTCAAGATATGAAATGTCGAATGGATACAGCAACGAATGACTGGATGCCGCGCATCACCGTGGGTTGTGTCGATGATATAAATTATCCAAAACCCATGAGCAGACGACCGGGATCAGTACATAGGACAGCCTTGTTCAGCTCGCCTGAAGGCACCGGAAAAGAACTCTTGCATAGCGACGTAGTGATAGAGAATCCCACCCAGAACGGCAACATGCCAAAGGTTGTGGGCATTCCCAAAATAATCGAAAGTGCCGGGAAGCCATCGCTCGGGGACTTTGCTGGCATATATGCAGGCACCAAGAACATAAACGCTAAGGGACTTGACGAGGTTTGATCCGGTGTAGAACTCGAAAGCCCATGAGGGGCCCCTGGTGTACATGATCTGAAAGATGGGCAGAAAGCCAGTGGCACCAAGGCCGATGAAAAAGCCGACTCGTAGCCATGCCTTATCTGCACGATTGAAGTAAGGGTGCCAGGGCATGATGACACCTCCGACTCCCAGCAAAGCCGTTGTGGTCATGTAGATCCAGCGACTTATGGGTTCGCAATAAAATGCTGCGTATTCGGTCGTCATAATGGATGCGGCGATTAACAGGGCAATACCAGTATAATCGACACATGCAAAGCGCTCGAGGAGTGTTTGGTCAGCGACACAGTTCATGGTGTGCCAGATTGTGCTGCAGGCCAGACACTTGCAAGCTGCGAAGAAGAAGACAGCAGCAATGAAGACATCGGTCTTGGTACTAAGAGAGAAGTTTGTCGAGGTCGGGTAAAAATAAAATGCAATGGACAGCACTAGTAGCAAGCCGAGAGCGTGGGTCCAGATGTTGACAGTTTCGTTCGAGATGTTGAACATGGACCTTACACAGCCCAGCTTCGTTTCACTGAAGCGGTATCCCGAGAGGATATGGGGGTTGACTCTCCATGGTACGGGCAGTTCTTCGTACTTCAGCAGTGCTCCTGCTTTGGCTCGGGTGATGGCGTGCTGGATGTGCTCTTCCAAAGTCTCAGCAGCGCGTTTGGCTCTCTCAATACCCTCATCCACGACCCGGCGTCCTTCGCCCATGAGACTATTGGCCGCACCAGTAGCGCCGGCAAATCCTTGATCCCGGAGCTTCAGGGCTCGGGACTCGTAGTCAGTAAGCATGTTGTCCATCAACTCGATACCGACCCTAGCCTTCTCGTTCATCGACTCGGCCGCAATGAGAGCGTCGTGGTAGCGGGCGTCCAAGGTCTCGACCATGACATGAAGTCTCCTGCGGCCAGCGCCGATAACCCCTTCCGACGCTTGGGAACATTTTGAACGCACTGCTTGCAATGTCGAGTAAGCCCTTGAAATGCTTGAGTCGAAGCTGAGTTCTCCGTAGGTTTCCAGATACTCCAGTCGCCTCTCCAGCTCCGAAAGAAACAGATCGACCTTGAGCAGAAGCCCCTCCTCGCCCTCGACAAGGTGATTCACGATGGACTTCCTCCTGGGGATGAAGAATGAATGGCGTCTGCGTTGCACAGGTTGACCATCTCGAGCGTCCGCTCCGGAGCTTGTGGCATCGTGGAGATCCTCATGGGATCCCAGAGCAAAAGGCGAGGTGCAAGACATCTTGGATGAAGTCATGTCCATGATGGCTTGGGCGAATATCACGAATAACAGGTGTAACGTAGGCGGGGAGAAGGACGTACGACTTGTGAGCCGAAACCCTGCAGGAGGTCAGTTGGGTATCTGGACGTCGAGTTGATCTAATCAGAAGTAGGTGGAATAGATCAAAGCTGTGACTAGTGGGTGTCCATGAGTCTTGAGCATCCCGAGCAAGGAATGGATGTGTGTGTTGTGCGAATCAAAGTGGGAGTCTCAGGCTTTCACATGCAGACCCGAGCTGGGGTAGAAGCGACCAATAGGCCCTGTGGAGTCGACTTTCTAGTCTTGGGTTTGGTGGATGCTCGGGCTCGGACTGTCGGGATTGGCCTGAATTGGCGTCGTCATGGGCCCAAAACTCAACAAAACGTCTCCAAACATGCAGAGTAAATCCACAGGCATGCCGCAGCGCTTTATGGCAAATTAAACAACAGGGCGCCGTTGGTTTCATACTATTATTTGATGTCCGCAGGAACGGTAGTATCACATGGCAACCTGTAAACCTTAACTTAAACCATTTATTCGGACATCCATACGAAGAACTAAGTAGACCTAAAGTGAGAACAGATGAACCATTGAAGCAATTGACAACAGCAAGCTACTATTTCTCTAACAGCTGTCCATTCAGCTTTCCTCAAACCTTGTATTTTGGGGAGAGCTGACATGAGTAACGGCACAAGACTAAATGTAGCCCTTTTGCCTCTTTCGAACCCGTCACTTTCCTACTTTGAGGACGTTGACCGGGCGGCTTCGGCGCGTCATGAAGCCAAAACTTGCCATAAACTCACAATTGTCTCAGACCCCACCTCTTGAACTTAGCCTTTTCTAGGTTACGGTCCATCCCTCCCACCGATCATCGTTGCACTTGCCAACTCCCTCTCATTTTAGCAACTGAGACCCCGAAGAACCGGCGCCAACCACACTGGGCTTCGCGGCTACAAGAAAGTCCGTTCCGTGAAGACCCAACCGTCTGATAGGTTAGGCTCAAGTGGTCTAGGGACGATCGACTGGATAGTCACGTTCGACACTTCATACCTCAGCCAAGACCAATATTCACTTCCAGACTTCTACGTCAAACGCACATGCCTAGATAACCTGTTAGTACGGCTTCCCAGATACCACTGAGTGCCACTCGTCCACAACTTCGACGGCCTTCTTGTTGCAATGGCAATCGACGGAATCATTACGGACCCAAATCTGGCGACCGTGCTGGGCGCATCACACGACACGCGCCGGCAAGCCCTTATCCTGGTCGACCAGATCGCGGCCACAGGCCCTATCGATAAAGCCTCCGTCGACGTTCAGCTCGAGATTTCGAAGCAACAAAAACTTCTCATCACGAACCTTGCGCAGCTACGAGGTCTTCACCGTGCGGCACACATCGGCGCACGCCAAACCAAGCACGAGACAGCCGATGCGCGCCAAGAGGTCGACCGCCTTCACCTACAGCTACAGAATCTGTACTACGAGCAACGGCACTTGCAAGGGGAAATCGCAGCATGCGAGTCCTACAAGTTAGTATCTGCCATTACTTCAGATTCAACTGCACAAGCTGAGATGTCAAGCGACATTCCCACTCCTGGCGAATTTAAATACGACTTGACAGCCAATCAGCTTGCACGCGAGCTAATTGAAATCAAAATCAGCCACACCTATCAACAACTGCCTCTAATTCCCGTCGAGGAGTTCCTCGCACTCAATCCTGATCATACCAACGATGACGAGAACGCCCTTATGATTGCGCGTATAGAGCACGAACGAAGCGAACGAGAAGCTTTGGAGCAGAAGCGGATGGAATTGCTGAAGCGCAAGCAGAAGCTCATCGCTGACAACAAGAAGAGGAAGGACGACCTGGCAAATCTTGACAAGGAGCTGGAGAAGTTCATTGATGTGCGTATAATTTGCCATCTACTACTACTTTGTGACATCTACTCACTGCCAATTAGGCTGCGAAACCGATCCAGAAGTTGTTTGAGAAGAATGTACCCGCAGTTTGAACAGATTGATGAGACGGGATTGACTGCACATTCCGCACGAATAACCGACGAAGACATCCGATATTTGTCGGCCATTGGCCCACATGGCTGTGTAAAAAGGTCAAGGTGGTAAGGTTCTGTGTGCATCATGTAGTATAACGCTTGCTGACCCTATAATAGTATTGACTCGACTGTTCGCCCCCCTGTGGATTCGAAGGTGAATTTGCGGGCTAAACTCTACAGGATAAGCTCTGAAAGTATTCTGGCCATCTGTGAACAACTCATTTGGATGCAGCCATGTGCTAGACCTAGTAATCTCCAATGGCACATAAGGGCCACCTTCGCAAAATTGTAGCAACGGTTATACAGCAGATCCCCCCCCCCAAACAGTGACCTATTGAGGGAGAATTTCAATGAGCCACGGGACAATACACAGGGCATTGAGTCCGCCATGCAAGCATTATTCCTGAGGTCCGGTTCTGTACATCTCTTGCGTGTGGGTTTTACACCGACTTGTTAATGTGCAAAGAATTGGCCTTCATCCTTCTCCCTTTCGTGGAGTCTATCTGGTATGGACTTGTCATTTCCATTTAGGCACCCGAGTGCAAAATTGAGCCGAGTTAGTCAACAAAAAATAGGAACTATCCACAATCCCGAATCCCGCATGAGATTGTTGAACAGCCACCTTGTGAAGCTGCCACTTCTGCCGTGATGGGGCAGGTTCAAAATCTGTGAGGCTGAGCACATTCTGTCCCCTGCAAGAATGTAGTAGTGTATCACGTCAGCAGAGCAGTCAGCCTTGTGATACCTTGCTGAGCTCAGCTGTGACTAGTGGTGGTACAACGGCAATGACTTGGTTTGGGTTTGAGGATCCTAGGCTGTTTTCATGCATTGCTCTTTGCCTGCGTGGGACCTTGCATACAAAAATACCTTGTCAACCTCACTGCCGTATGTTCATAAATGTGAAACCTGATTCCCGGTGCTTGAGATGACTTCGCAACAGAATTGAGAAGCATAGTAATGACAAAAGTGAGGTCAAGGTTTAACCAAAATGGCCATATCTGCACAGAAATTTATGTATACATTTCATATCTATTATAGCATTTCACTTAGAGTAGTTGCAATTTTAGAATAATGCTAAGTATATACTAAGTATGGAGAAACTAGGAATGTTAAATTGCGTCCACTCTAATACTGTTAGGAAGTAGGAATTAACTACTCTAACCCCGGTTCTGCTCGCTCGTTTATCACTATGTAAATAGGATAGCCTGAACATTAGCTTCCTAAGCCTTACATAAAAGAAATGTCACGACCTGGGTTGCATCGCATTGGTAGAGACCTCGATTAGGTGCTATCGACGAAGATTCTACTCTAAGGAGCGAAGGAAAGAAGATGACAACTTAGGTTTGAGGGAGCGCGACTAAGTCATCCACGCTTGGCGGGGCTCCTACAAGGGTTATGATTGGCTTCCCATCTGACACTGCCATGGCAGGTGTTCCAGCTGTACGTCACCTGGTTGTAGTGAGTCTGCGAGGGTTGACCTTCACAAGAAATATGTTAAATTCAGGTTTAATTAACTACTATACTAATAAGTATCATATATGTAAAGAAGTAAGAAAACAAAGTCTCTATTTTTATAAGTTAGCGGATTGAATATACTTATAATCCGTCAAATTTTTCAATAACATTTTATTAGGTAGAGGTAACTCTGGAGTTGCTCTAGTTAAAGATTAATAATATTGATAATATATATGATTGTAGGCTACAGTGTATAGTATTACAGGATTAACTCTCTTATAATATAAGAGATAACCAAAATTCTAAACAAAATGGGAGAACATTTAAAAAGAATAGAATATCCGTTAGCGTTATATTTGTCTCTGTACCAAGTTCAGTAGCATTTAGTAAACTGTATACTATATTTGAAACTTGGAGATTATCTCATGGAAATAAATCGTTAATTTATCACTATTTTATGTATATGAGAAAAGGCTTCAGGATAAATTTGGGCTTAATTTACACTTGCACATATGTAATAATAATAATAATAATAATAAAAGTAAAACTAGTGTTTCTAGTTAAATAATTACTAATATTATACTTATCAACAGACACTTAAAATATTGCTAATTTTTAATGAGCGTTTCATCTTGTAACACCTAATTAGTAGAGCCTTCTCCTTCTAACTGTACTTACCTCGGCTAAAATCACTGCATCACATCTACTGAACAAGCGGTTCATGAGAGTTTGATGATAGTTATTGGCAAGCAGGCAGGCCATTCTTATTAAGCTTCCCGCAGTGTCCGTTCAGTAATTGGGGGGAAAGTTTGGAAGGTCTCATGACTCTTGTCAATCTCTATCGGTAACAGGCATATTTTTCTCCTCGTTTAGTATGCACGCAAACTTGCAACTGTTACGCGTGTTTCGAAGTGCGCGTATGGAAGGAGTGGGTTTGATCACGCTTAATCCACAGGAACATTGACAATCAAATTTCGCAGCCGAGTTGACAAATCAGGATTCTATGCTGACGGCCATGGTTGTGACCAATCATAGCGGCTGCGAGCTTAGCAGGATGAAATTAGTCGTACAGAATAACCGGGTTTATTGAGTTTTTTTCTAGTCTCAAACAGCGCGTCGTAGCCTCTCTAACAACGAGGGTGCTTATTAGTGGCCTGTAGGCGGCCTCGCAGAACATCACTGTGCGACGGCACTTGGGAAGCGTTTAGGATGGTTAGCAATTCTCGACAAAAGTTACCCGGGTTGCAGAAGCATTTTCTTTTCGAAATGTGCCGGCACAGGCGACACATGATATTTCTCAATCTCGTGGGGACACAGGGATTCGGGTCGTGGGCCACCCTCTTGATGTCAATGTCACGATGCTTACAAAGAGGCTCTCGCATTCGTACCTTGTCCCGAGTAAAGGCGAGTAAAGGCGAGTTAACTCCACCTAGCAACCATTTTGAACGCGATGCAAGTGACCATGTATTGACAACTCTTGCGTCGTCTGTAACATGCGTGTCACTGCACTGAATGCAGTACTATGCTGTCGTCCTTTGCAAGCAGTAAATACTTCTGCGGAGCTTGACTGACTTCCTCCAGTCGCTTTGGGTCTTTCGAGGTTGACTTCTAGTAGACAACCTGGTGTGGGATTCTCATATCAGGTATCAAGGAACCTTCCCCTTGGTGATGCACTTATCCGACGATAGTTGCTTTCCAACGGCTTGGATAGAAACAGTAAATTAAAGTCTGGTCTCACCCAGCGCAAGTCTGCCACACCACCGATATGACTCGGGGGAGAATAATGACGCATGCAACCATGTTGCCAGTAGCCGCACTTGACGATTTTTCATGCTCGAAGCAATGATGGCCATGTAGCTTGTGACAATGTACACGTCGAAAACCTCGAAAGATTGGGTAGAAAGTGGGTGGCTCAGTGAGGCAAGCCACCATGGCCTCGTCTTGGAGTATGCGACTAATGCGTGGTCTGAATTGCCTGCATCTGCGGTGATGTCGAGCTGCAGTAGTGGCCTGTTGTTGCAGATGATTGGAAAAACAAAAGTACCAACAAGTACATTGACGTTTCTATTTGCAGCAGGTACTGAGATAGTACTGGTGTCATCATCTAATACCTCAGAGCAACCTTGGAACTGATCATAAGCACGGGATAGCTTCATAGGGTGCGACTTCACACTAAGTCACTAAGTGCGGCTTTTGTTGTCTTTGTTGCGCGGGCTTTCTGTGCTCGTCAACGGACAAGTAAATTGGATTGAGCCTATAATGTGGCCAAACCGCGGAAGCAAACAACTAGAAACATTAGAAGTGAGGAAATATGGGACGACTAAAATGGGATGGGAAACACGACCATGCTCAGGTCGAGTGGTAGGATGTAAAATAGTGATGGGTTGTTAGTGTCCACCCATGTCCAGGCTATGGTTGCATGCTGATTGATGCAAGTGCATTATCCGGAAGCGTCTGCGATCCTACCGCATAGCCTCTTGATTGAAACCAGACGGTTTGGGATGGATGACGTACCAGACAAGATACACTGTAGAGCAATTCCAGTCGTTGGCCATTGGTTCACCTCGAGATGGTATTTATGCAGCCAAAGACGCTGTCATATAATCTTAAATTTGAGAAGCTGACAGAAGAGTATATACATCCTTGGTTTGAAGAGTTCGCGGATTTGTCAAAGGCAACCTCGGGAGTTGAAGTCGGAGGTCAGCTCCTGGGGCCATAATAAAAGTCGTCAAAACACGCGTAGACTGTGGCGCCGGACGCTGCTGCTAGTGTTGATTGGAGTCTAGCAATGCGCATTGTCGCATCCTTGTTATGGAGAAGCGGTTGGAAAGGGAATGCGGCTCGCTCTGCTGAAGAACAAGCAGGACAAGCGCCTTGGGCGTCGCAACACCGCCTCGTGCATGTCGTCAATGTGCCGCTCGGGACTGGCATCACATCCCGCCAGAAGTTGCGATAAACGTCTGCCTAGTAGCTGCGGTTGGCAGATTGACAGAGCTCACGTCCATAAGTAGACATTCATACTCATCATTGGAACCGAACGGGGCAGTTTGGCAGCCGATGGATCATATCCTCGTAAAATTCGAAAAAGCCAGCAAGGGTTTCCATCGCAACAAATGTTGGACTTCTTGGCAAGATGGTCATATTGAATAAGTATCTTGCCTTTAACGAGGACCAGAAGACTGGATAATGGGGTTGGAGGGGACGGGAGCCACATGCGCCCGCTGTTGTCCCTCCAAAATTGTTAACAGCCCCCAAATTTGTCCAAGCCAGCCCCAGAGCGGCCCAGAGCTAACCTAGTAATGGTGCATCTTGATGAGCCAGAGCCAACCCAAAACCCATTGGGATCCATCATCAAATCCCACATCCCAGTCGGCTCCCAAGTCGCAGAATGAGCCCGCCCTTCAATCTCCCCTTTTTCTATTACCTATCTCGCGAACATCATCTCTCCCGTAATTTTCCCCCTTTGAATTCGTTCCGCCCTCGCCTTGTTGAAATTTCCTCTCCTCTTGGTATTACGTTGTTCGTCGCCTGGACATAGTCAAGACAGCGGCAGAATTTTTCCCCACGGTCCCAGTTGCAAGCTCGCCAGCCCCCCGGTTACCCATCATTCCAGTGACGGGGCGTCGAGGAACAAGTGAGAGCTGTTGCCGCTCCCAGGTTGCAGCCAGCAGAGAGTGTGAATGCAGACAGAGAAGAACCGGGACCGCGCCTCTATCCTAGCCGCACTGTTCACCTAGCAATACCCACAATCAATCTTTCTATCCTTTCCCTCTTCTACATTCCACCTCCTTCATCACCTTCACGACTATCAAGACGCCGCCGCCTCTCCGTCTTGCACGCTCCTTTCCTCCCATACCAATTTCTCCGCCTGTCGCCTCTGGTCTCCCACCCGCATCAATCGGCTCGACGTTATCATGTCCATCTTCACTTGGTGTACACGGCGCTCGGGAGGGCTGGCCATGATAGCTACCATCAGCTTGAGTTACTGGGTCATTTCCAAGGAAGCAGCTGCGTCGCGGTTTGGCTACAAGTATATGCAGCAGGACACGCTGAGTGCTGTCTCCGCGTCTTCAGCGGGTGCTGGGCTATGGACCGTCTTCTTCGCCTATTACTGCCTACTAATCCACGTATTGGTCGCCATATTCCCTCTGCGTGCCTGCTGGTCAATCTTTGACATCACGCGGAGCTTGAAGAAGACTGCGCGAAACAAAGCTCTCCGGGACATCAAGCTATCTCATCGTCGTCGTGGCTCTTCGACTTCGCTTTCCAGCTCTGAGACTTTGACGTCGTCCCGCGATGCATCGACACCTTCGTCAATCTCTGGCAGCGAAGCCGGTGACTTAGAACCCGAATTCTACACTGACGGCGACATCGATCTCGACAGCCGCCTGATCCACGCTATCGTCATCCCCAACTACAAGGAGGAGGTTGATACGCTAAGGGAGACTCTTGAGGTTCTGGCCTCGCATCCTCAGGCGCGGTCCACTTACGATGTGAGTTGCAACGATTTCTTCGACGGTACTTAGCAGATCGACCGTCACACGCAAAACTTTCTGCTCTTGCGCTTGTCGGCTAGTCGCGTGACGGCAGGAAGCTATTCCGCGACAAAACTCAATGCATGAGTGCTGCGAAGAACAGGCGAAACTGGATGACATGTTCGCTTCGACGAGTGCATCTCTGAGATGGTAAAAAAATTCTTGCTGACCACAGACAACATTAGATTTATCTCGCTATGGAACAGCGCGAGCACAATGTCGAGCTGAAGGCCATGAATCTCATTCAGGAATTCGTTAAGAAGTTCCGCTCAATTGACTTCACTCTCCACCCCTCCGACATCCCCGGCGAGTCTCCTGGCAAGGGCAGCAATGCCGCTTGGGCAGCGCGCAAGCTCAGCGAGAGGTATTCCATTGGAATGAGGAAGGATGTGATTATTACAGGAATCGATGGTACGTGCTCTTGATCTGCAGCGTCATAATCGCATTGCGGCTTTCTCCCTGATGAAGCGTCGGATCTGTTGCCATCAACATTTCCAATGCCTGCACTATTCCATGGTTTGACGGGTCGACATGAACGTATTGCTGACATTTGCTGCAACTCATATAGCCGATAGTCATCTGTCGTCCAACTACTTCGCGCTGCTTACCAGCATGCACCTGGCCTACCCCGAGACTGCTACCACGACCCTATACTCCGCCCCGATTATTTTTGACCGCAATGCCCACAATGTCCCGGCCATCGTCCGAGTTGCCGATATCCTATGGTGTGCGGCTGGTATGTCTGGCTTATACAGTGGCTCGACCATCGCTCCTCCTACTTCTGTCTACTCGTTGCCTCTCCAACTAGTCGACAGAGTTGGGGGTTGGGACTGTGACTCCGAAGCCATTGGCGAGGATCTGCACATGTATCTGAAGTGTTTCTTCGCGCTCAATGGCAACCTAACTGTGAGGACCGTACTTAGCCCGGTCAGTCAAAGCAACGTCAAGGGTAATGGCGGCAACGGCATCCATGGGATCTACAACGATATGCACGCTCGGTACAAGCAGGCTCTCCGGCATATGTGGGGTGCTCTAGATTCCGGATTTGCCATGCGAAAGACGGCCGAATTGTGGCAAGAGAGAAAACACACATCGAGAGCTTTCCGACCTCTGCACGTCACCTTGAACCAGCCCTCCGATACTTACATTCCCCAGGTGGATGGATTGAACCCCGAGGAAACTCTTGAGAGTGGCATATTCTCCGACGTAACGACCGACACCCTGAAGGAGCCAAATTGGGAACGACTTTTCTACCTTGGACACCGTCTTTTCGAAGCCCACTTTTTACCCGTGCAGACTACCATTTTGGTTGTTGCATCGACCCTCTACGTCTGGGTCACCGAAGGTACAGCTGACCCGCACAATGTACACTGGATCTTCGGTATCTGCAACATCCTGCGAACGGCTGGTTTCATGCAAATTGCATTTTACCTCTTCTTATACGAAAGCTTCCATCGTATCAACGCTGCCAACCGCGAGCGAGAGATGAATGATGCCGGCCTGGCCAAGGGCATGTGTTTCTCCCATCGCAACGTCAAGAAGAACTTCATCGACTACGTCATGGTTCCGCTGGTCGCGCCGTTGTATGGATCGTTCCCCGGCGCACATGCTCAGATCTCCCATTTCTGGACGTTAGATTTGGTATATACCGTCAGCAAAAAGGTGACGAGGCAAAGAGCGAAGTCATTATCAGCAGATACGATGGCATAGAAGCCTGCAGTTGTATGAAATTTTGTGTATCCTTCGTATGGACCGACTTCTGGCAGAAGGCCGGATCCGACTCCTTTTGTTCGATTCTCCGCAAACCGTTTGAAGACCGACAGGCAACTCTATTCGACTTTTTTGAGAACAGCTCCGAGAAGCGTTTGTACATAGAGGACTTGACGTTGATATGCATGGCATGGCATCGGCATTGGCATTCTAGATACCGGGGTAAACTTGTCTGGGCCCAACGGAGTTCTCGGAGCAATTGCAGGAAAAGACATGATGACTTCTTTCCTGCCGGCACTCGTTTAAGCGGCAAAGATGGGGCAGGGTCGACGCGAAATGGGCCAGAGGGGGCCAGAGGGGGCAGAGCAACGTCGGCTTTGACGAACAGAATTCGAAAGACCTGTTTGTCCGGCTGGGGGCAAGGGCTAGCCCGGCGGGGACAGAGAGGCGGGTTTACGATCGAAACGACAAAACCCAGCTAATAACGCAACCTAGCCCGATAATATCTAATACTGTACATAGAGACGATGAGAGACACTCGAGATGGGGCTGGAGATGAAGTATTGACAGCTTGGAGTCGAGGGAGGGAGTGGTAGGGGAGTGGTGGACAGGCAGTAGCGGCCAGCTTACCAAGATAAATTCTATCTTGTATTGCTCCGATATTCGATCCGAGGGTAGCCCTTGTGTACCTGAGGAACGTGTTTGATACCATGAATTAAATGCTGTGAGGTATTAATGATGCATCCCAATTTTCTGCTATGTGGCTTTGATTGTGAAACGTTCACAAGGTGTTGTAGTAGTGAGTGACCCTTAATAGCTCTTCGTACAGAGCGCCCCCTCTTCTTATTTCCCACCAAAACCCACCTACTTCCAGATGCTCTTATTAATTGTATAAAATTCTAAATCATAGTTAAAAGGTTTTATGTTGATTTATTACCTAGTTTAGCGATGTTATACTTAACGTGGTTTACTATGAAGTGTAACGAAACCTATAATAGTCTAGCTGCGTAAACCACTAAAGAGTCTGTACGGGTTTGTGCTAGTAAGTCCTGCTGCGGAGTCCTTAGCAATAATATCGGGGTCTGACGTATGGAGTATAGGGCTCTGGGTAACTGAAGTATTCAAGTAGGGTAACTGGGAATAGAGTCGTCAAGGCAGTTTGCCTCACCAATGGGTTAGATTGATGCTTAGATTGATCACTGAAGTAGAGACTGCCTATCTATGAAATGCCTGGGATTCCTGTCCCTTATATATCCATCTCTCCTTCACTGATCCTGTTGGATCATTTGGATCGATCCATGATCCTCTCGAGCCTGGCTCGAACTGGATCTATCTCGATCCAATATATCCAGGTACCGAGGTACTTAGTCACGTGACCTTCGTTCCGTCGTTCTTCCGATACCTGGTCTCGTGATCCTAGCGAGCGTGTCCACTCTGGCCTGCCAACAGGCCTTCTTTGTTGGTCCAGGTTTAATGGTTCGTAACATAGCTATAGCAGACCCCGATAAGCAATTCGAAATCGAAACAGACGCCTCAGACTACACTATCGGCGGACAATTAGGACAACGAGATAAAAACAGCAAGCTACACCCTATAGTATTCTTCTCGAAGAAACTCCACGGTATCAAATCTGTCACGGTGAGCACAATTGAAGAGTCAAAACACTCTAATGCACTGTATTGACTTAACGATTCTCGACAAGGAAAGAAAGAGAAACTAAAACAGGCTGGCTCATATCTGAGGATCTTCAATCCCGCCTTCAGATGGCCAGTGCTCCAGTGGGTTTCGTGGCATCGTGACACCAGCCGTCACAAAATCCACGATAAAGAATTAATAGCTATTATCGAAGTATTCAAAGAATAGAAACACTACCTCAGCGGTACGACTTATCAAGTCCAAGTCTACACCGACCACAAGAACCTTACGGCATTTATGACTATGAAAGACCTAAATAAACGACAAATCAGATAGGCAGAATTCTTAACGGAATTTGCAAGGAAAGAGCCGTTGTGGCGGGCCGGTCTCAGCTGACAAGCTTAGTCGGGAGGGATTCGCCCCGATCCGGTAGAACCCCGGAACCGCCCAGCTTAAGAGGAGAACTCGTGACGCTCGCACCTAGTTTAGATTCTTCAAGAATCAGTCTTGCAATATACGCACCCATACACTGGCCTACTTCTAGCTACCCTTTGCACTCACTACCTGACTATTATATTGTGAGACGTGTGGTATCCTCGTTACACTCTTCTTATATGGTATTATTCTGATTTATTACCTAGTTTAGTAATTTTATATATTATATCTTTTTTATCTAGGTTAGAAGCTAAGGCTATTAATATAAACCATTTCTTATAAGCTAGGTTACCTATGACTCTAAAGTAATGCAAGTTTAGGATTCTAGTAAAGCATGCGTAGATTAGGTTTATAACGTATAATTAGCTAAACGCTATGTGTAGAGTCTCTTTGTGTAATTATCCGATCTCGTTTAATAACGTATTCGTAAACTAGGGTTGGGAAAGAGGGGTAGTACGGGGACTTACTGAAGGGTCACTGTATCTACTCGACTAAGCAGGAAATGGAGAACACATTTGAGGCTATTTGTTTTGGGTTCGTAGCTGAATTTCCACCCTTGCGCCACACGTACGGATCGGATGAAGGATCTCGGAGACGGCATAAATATTAATTCGACGGACCGTGCTCCTCGTAAGTTTTGGTTGAAAGGATGGACACAACACGTCTGGTATGACTGTACATGATCTAGTGCTCCGAGACACCTCGGGGTTCTAAGCCACTTCTAGCCAATCGCATTACAAGCTTGCTGAACCATCTAGGCGCCTTTCTCGCCTATTGCCGACCTCGAGTATTATGATGACCACCTATGTTAGGTCCGAGGAGACATGGAAGTACAGGCAGCTAGTTCCCTGGGCATTCGGCAAACCTAGAATCACGTCGTTAGCTGGCTAGAGGATACCAGGCTGAGGGCTGAGGCTGTCGAATATAAAAGCCAGCCATATCATTTGGATTCATCCCTATCCACTCTCATCAACACAGAAATCAGGTGTTTAGAACCGATCTGGTCACTTCCGAACTATAGACTCCAGGCATTTTGACTCAGCCCAATCATTTCCCACAACCCAACTCAGATCATCAAGATGGGTAAAGAAAGCGTCGTCCGCATCGGTGTCTTCATCCCCGGCGAATGCCAACTGCTGGACCAAGCTTGTGTCGACATATTCGGCGGCATGTCGCACGAATACCTATCCCTGCTGGCCGGCATGATGCCGCAAGCCGTCATAGACTTAGCGCCTTCGGTCAAGATCCATTATATCGGGTCCGTCAAAGCAGGAGAGCCCATTCCGCTCACCTCAAGCCAGCGCATCCTCGCCACCAACCACTACAACGACCCCGAGGTCGCTCCTGGCAAGCTCGACATTGTGATTGTCCCCGGCCCAGACCCCACAGCGGAGTTCGAGCAGGGATGCCTCAAGTGGCTGCGCGAGCAGGGCGAGACCCAGACCACTGACATCTTGAGCGTCTGCACTGGCATTATGCTCTGTGGCGAGGCCGAACTCCTCAATGGGAAAATGGTCTGTGGGCCTAGGGGCATGCAAGATATGATAGTGGCCAGGTATGGCAAGCACATTGTGCAGAAGGGGGAGGAGCTGCGATGGGTGCAGGACGGCAATTTTTGGTCCAGTGGTGAGTACTTACGTCCTCAGCTAGCTGACTCATGCCCGTGGCATGCTGATATTGATGTTTGACTACTTAGGTGGCGTGACCAATGGCAATGATCTTGTGTCCGCCTATGCGCGCCAGTCCAAGTACTTCCCCAAGCCGCTGGTCGAGCTCGTCCTCGAGATGTTCGATGTTGAGGATCGCCCTCAGCAGTACGGAAAAGGTCAGTCAGCGTTCCTGTTTACCACGGGATTTAATTTGTTTCGGGCTTGGCTGACTATTTTGTGATCAAAGAGTTGAGAGCCCCTGAGTTGATTGCTGAGATTGTAAGCCAGGCGGCTTGAGGATGGGATTGAGATATTTCCAGTCATTACAAGGTGGAGTGCTTTGCCAAAGAGATTTTGATGCTGCGTGGTGGAAGTTTTGAAGATAGTATAGGAGAAATTTGCCAAATTGCTGTTGTCGATGTCTAGGAAGCTGCATTGATGGTACTTACAAACTGAAGTGCGGTCCAAGCATCTTAAGTAACCACATTAAGCACTTAGTATTTGATATGAAATGGTATTCTCCATGTAGATTCACTGTGTTATAATTGTCTTGACTCGCATCCCAGACCAGAAAACTCACCCGTAGTTACGTAGATTGTTTATACCAAGTACAATGGATAGAGATAGCTGGAGTAGAAATAGTTTTGTCAAGAGCCTGCATTTCACCAGACATGGTCTCCTGATTCTTTGACAAAGTTAAAAGGATCCGTTGTGTTTAAGACACTCTTGCGTTATAGAGCCTCACTGTTAAATCTGTCTCATGTGTCGTCATATCAAGGGCTCCACTGACTGATCCACCAGTTCTGCATGAAAAGCCATAAGAGTAAACAAAACGACAACACTCGACCACAAGCAATATGCAGGTTGAGAACAAGAGAGAAGAGCAAGTGGTATGCTGACAGGAGTGACAATTCCAAAGTACAATAATATATTAAAACTTCCGAGCTGGAGTGAATCTGCTCACACCGACTTGTTCATTCTTGCAAGGTAACAGCTCTTAATAGTTGATGCAGTTGGCTAGCCGTTGCTAGTTACAAGGGTCTTCCGGGAGCCCGATAAGCCCGGTTTAGTGCTAGTACCACCTTATCTGCAGCGGTGTGGGGTGTCTCGGCGGGCAGAATACAAAAATTTCGAGATCAACTGGCCTAGCTCCAACTTTTTTTCCCTGTCTCGACGAGAGGCTGCAGAAAATTTCAGACTTACAGGACAGCACCTTTCCACTGTCTTTTTCCCATTGTCCAGAGTCAATCGCAAACTCATCGCAGAGCAAAGGATCTTCACGTCAACTTTTAATACTCTCATCCCGCATCCTTGATTCTATTCGTAATTCCCCTCGTTATCGTCTCACCACATTCACAATGTCGATGCTGCCTGTTGCCCTGTATGGCCTGGAGGTGCCTCCAGGCGGAATCTTGATTCCTGCCATGCAGGAGGACAGCTTCCCCGATGCTGCTGTAAGTAATCATGCCCAGTCTCCATATTCCTACCCATGGGAATTCATTTCTGCTCGTCCATGCACGCCTCGCCTTGCAAGAGCGTTGTGATGTCATGACTTCACTGCAGCATTGAGACCAGGTAGCTAATGCAATGCGCAGTTCCGCATCACCATGGCTGCTCTCGACCCCACGGCTACACCGGAAGCCGATGAGGAGGGAAACATCCCCGCCGTCCCCCGTGCCACTCTAAAGCTCGTGCGCCAGAGATCTCCCGATCTTGACGATGAGCTCGATGACGAGTACCTCCAGCAGCTCATGGGCGGCGGCTCTGACTCGTCTGACGACGATGATGAGGACGAAGAAGAGGAAGAGGAAGCCAATGGCGGCCCCAGCGACCCTTCTAAATCCAAGAAGGCCAAGCAGGCAGCTGCTCTCAAGAAGCTCATTGCAGCCGCCAAGGCTGAGGATTCGGACGAGGAGATGGCTGACGGCGCAGAGACCAACGGCAAGCCCAAGAAGAAGGGCAAGGAGCCCGCCACCTCGAGCGATGATGATGATGATGACGAGAGTGAAGACTCCGAGGAACTCGACATGGAAGACTTCGTCGTGTGCACTCTTGACACCGAGCGTGTAAGTTTTCCAAGTCCTATTGCATTAGCACAAAGTCCTAATATAAAGCGCGTAGAACTACCAACAAACGCTTGACATCACCATCGGCCCCAACGAGAAGGTCTTCTTCGTTGTGATTGGTACCCATACCATCCACCTTACGGGTAACTATGTTATCGATGCCGATGAGGCGCCCGATTCGGACAAGGACTCTGAGTATGACTCGGAAAACGACTTCCCTGAGGCTCTCGAGGAGATGTACGGTCAAGGCTCAGAGTCCGAGGATGATCTCGACGGCCTGGAGGACCCCCGGATCAAGGAAATTGAGTCCGATGAGGAGGTCCCGAAGCTGGTGGAAGGCAAAAAGGGCAAGAACAAGCGGCCGGCCGAGGATGCGACCGAGGGTCTCGACGCCATGATTGCCAAGGCTGACGCTGCTGGCGAGACTAAGCTCACCAAGAAACAGCAGAAGAAGCTGAAGAACAACAAGGGCGAGCCTGTTGTTGTCGATGAGAAGAGCCCCAAGGCCGACAAGAAGGTCCAGTTCGCCAAGAACCTGGAGCAAGGTCCTACTGGTCCCGCCGCCAAGGGGGCATCGCTCGGTGTCAAGGTTGTGCAAGATGTCACCATCGACGACCGCAAGCTTGGTAGCGGCCGAACTGTGAAGAAGGGCGACAAGGTCGGCGTTCGATACATTGGCAAGCTACAGGATGGCAAGGTCTTTGACTGTGAGTTCTCAATTCCTCGTCCTAACTTAATTGCTAGGCACTAATATTTAAACAGCCAACAAGAAGGGCAAGCCGTTCAGCTTCTCTGCTGGTACTGGCCAAGTCATCAAGGGCTGGGACATCGGTATCCAGGGCATGGCCGTTGGCGGCGAGCGTCGCTTGACGATTCCCGCCAAGCTTGCCTATGGCAGCAAGAGCCAACCTGGCATCCCGGCCAATTCGACGCTGACGTTCGACATCAAGTTGTTGGAAATTAAGTAATAAACCAACCCCCCACCTTGTATGACTGCCCGACCCAATGGGCCAACGACCTGATTTCCCTCAACTCTCCCTCTACTCTTTCCTGCAGATACCACTCCGGCTGTAATTTATCGGTTTCATTGTCACGCCGTCCCCGACTCTCTGGACATAATCTGAAGGATGTCCATTGTTTTTTCATAGATACCTCTTGCGCTGTGAGGTCTCCGACCTGCGCAAGTCTGCGAGGATCCGTCTCACCCTTGGAACGGGAAGCAGACGCTGTCTCATGGGATGACGAGGTCTGCATTGCATCATAGGCGTACGAAAAAGTTGATTTCATAGTGCTTGGGCTTGGTTTTCTTGCGAATGGATTCCTTTTTATTGCTATGTTTAGGTAATTCAGATAAATCGTGATCAATAAAGCGCGTTAACGCAGTCGTTACTCCTGGCCGATACCTGTGATGGCCTAACCATTGCGTTCTTCTAAATCGACGACTCTGAGGTCGCTACCGACACATAAGGGACCAAACTTATGCAAGGGACCAAGTACGCTGGAGTAACAAGCTGCGTAGGGATGTCGTTTTTGGAAGCTACAACAGCCCGTAGGACTACTTCAGGGTCTTCACCTTCAGTGTGAATGCAGCCTCGTACCTTCTTCACACCCGGGAAGCAGCAACTCACTTGGGCAGTTTGGCAAGTACAAGTATGCTAGAAAAGGACGAGCCTGTCGCTTCTCGATAACAGGATTTTCACCTCCTGGCAAGTCCATTGCAAGTCCTGCATGGTTCTGGCTCGTCATCATCTCGAAGTTGGGCTAGGCTCAACTTCGTCTTTCCAGCATGACACGAGCCTACTTTTATCCTCTTTCGCAACCCTTACAAGGGCACAGAGGCTGAATAGAGGCTGTAGCTGTGGAAGCGATATCTGACTACCGCACGAAGTTATCCATATACTCGATTCGTTCAGAGAAATGCAAAGCTGCCATCGCTTACTTTACTCTTTCGTTGCATTTCTCATACGTCTCAACGACAATACTGCACTAGTCTTTTCAGCTACAGTTACATAATCCACTGCCGTCATGAAGCGGAAGATCTCGGGATCAGGCCATTCTGCAGCTCTGCAGCAGGTCAATGGGACTGCTGTCAACTTGGGCCAGACACTATCTTCAACATCGTTGCCTGTCTTTGCGGAACCTCCCCAAAAGGTCCGGCGGCAAGGTTCGAGAATCATGTCAGCTCTGCGCTCGTTGACCAACAGTCAGTTTTGATCGCCCCCAGTGTGGCCATCAAATTTCCAAAGGCCAATTTCTAACAGTTTACAGCATCGGGCCATTCGATGGTTGAGCGAAGCAGTCTGAGGCTATCATCACCGACACCATATGAGAAAACGGAGAAGGTTGAAAAAGCTGAAAAGGGGGCTGACCGTCAACGACTCCTCAAGCGGTTCTCGTTCCCAGCCCTTCGCTCAGCGTTCAACCCCTCTGTCACCGTTGTGCACCGCCAACCGACCAAGTCAAGGCCCTCTCTACGTTCCTTAGAAAAGGCAACTAACAATGCGTCACCCACCACCAGCCCAGACTCTCAATACACACCGTCGCCAGATTCTAATAGCAACAGCAATAGTAATAGCGCCACAAACTCGAGTGGTAAGTCGTCTGGACCTACCAATGAGACAAACACCACGGCAAAGACATCGTTGGACTCCAAATTCTCCAAGCTATCTTCAAGCAAGGAAACGTACTCCGGGGAGAGAAAGTTGAAGCAAACCAGCGTCATCCGCAGGGCCCACGAGCCTGTAGTTTCCTCCAGCCCCGATTCGAGCTTAGCACCCATCGAGGAGACGGCTTTAGATCAGCTGCTGCCAACTATCCTGACAGTGGAAAAAGCTGCTGCAGCCAAGATCTATCTTGAGGCTTATTATAACAATCTCCTGTCCAAGCCCAGCCCGCGGGCCATGCGCCTTCAGTACTTAGAAGGGGAACTGTATTATAGCGATGGTTTGACGCCAGTCGAGAAAGACCTCCGGCGACGCATGTTTTACAGACAGGAGTCTGATCACCTGCGTGAGACACGGGCGTTGAAAGCCAAGAGCATTAGCTCTATGAACGGCGCGGACAACAAGCTTGCTGACAACTACGAAGTCCTGAAGATCCTGGGCAAGGGGAGTTTCGGGGTTGTCAGACTTGTACGCGAGAAATCATCCGAGGTGGTTAGCGACAACGCAAAGACGCCGACACAGAAAAAGCCTGTATACGCCATGAAGGTAATCCGCAAATCTACCATGTTGAAGACAAGCCAGGAGGGTCATTTGCGAGCTGAGAGGGACTTTCTGGTTTCTTCCGAGAACTCGAGATGGTACGTCCTCCCCATCCAAGCATCCAAGTTGTACGACCGGGCCATGGTGTGTGGTACTAATAATGGAGGCGAACAGGATTGTACCACTCATCGCCAGTTTCCAAGACGCGGCTAATCTCTATCTTGTCATGGAGTATATGCCCGGTGGCGACTTTCTGGGGTTCCTCATCCGCGAGAATATTCTCAACGAGCCCGTCGCCAAGTTCTATATCGCCGAGATGATACTTTGCATCGAGGAAGCCCACTCGCTACGCTGCATCCACCGTGACATCAAGCCAGACAACTTTCTCGTGTCAGCAACAGGCCACCTGAAGATCTCGGATTTCGGCTTGGCTTTTGACGGCCATTGGTCCCATGACACAAGTTATTACCATACTCACCGATACAGCCTTGTCCACAAGCTGGGCCTGTCGATAGATGGCGACACCCAAGACCGTCAAGAGGGTTCCGAGGGGACACTCAAGTGGATTCAGAACGTGGCCGAAGCGATGCGGAAGCACGAACGCAGACTCCCTCAAGACGGACACCTGAGCGATGTGCGGCAGCAGGAACCCCTGCTCAATTGGCGCAATCGTTGCGGCAACCGTGCTGCCGCCCGATCCGTCGTAGGCACAAGCCAGTACATGGCACCCGAAGTCATCCGTGAGGGTGACTATGATGCCCGATGCGACTAGTGGAGTCTGGGCATCATCCTGTACGAGTGCCTATACGGACATACGCCCTTTCTGTCGGAGGATGGTGGCCGTCAGGAGACCAAGCGGAACATTGTGAATCATAGGTCGACATTCGGCTTCCCCGCGAGACCGCTCATCACACGTCGCTGTATGGACCTCATATCCCAGCTGGTCCAAGACAAGGAAACCCGACTCTGCTCCAAGCGTTACCAAGTGCGGGACTCGATGTCACAGTCTGGACCTTCAAGACACGCTCATCATCGCGACTGGGCTGGACGCTCCGTCTACCCCCACGACGCCGAGGATATAAAGGCGCACAAGTGGTTCCGCGATATGGCTTGGGACCACCTGCACCTGATCAATCCCCCTTTCGTACCCCAGATCTCGAGTCTCGAAGACACACACTACTTTGAAGAAGACGAGCCTATCTCCGACTGGTCCGAATCATTGCCCGACACCAGCTCCGAAGAAGCTCCTTCAGACGGCACAAACGACGGCCCCGTCCCCGTCCCCAACCCTCTGCATATCCCCACCTTACCATCATCGACAAGTGCAACCCGAACTACTCCCTTGCAACCCAGCAGGCGCAATGCGGCGCGACTAGCCGCCGCAAGGGCAGAGCTCCGCACGTACCCGTCCCAGACGCGAGCGCTGCTCTCGCAGTTCGTGGCCACGCCTTACGACAGTAATAGGCTGAAGCGCATCAACCGTGAGATCGAACAGCTGTCGGCATCGCCGCAAGAGACGGAGCGAATGAAGAACTTTGTCCGCACCTTTGGCCGCAGGGAGAAGAAGAGGCCAAGGGACAGGCTGTTAAGGGATCGCTCGACTAAAGGGGTGGTGCTTGAGGTGAGGAAGCAGAGCGCGTTCTTGGGGTACACGTATAAAAGGATTAAGCTGTGGGACGGAGCTGCGGCGTTGCAGGAGGGGGGAATTGACGGGGGGATAAGGGGTGTTGGGGAGAGGACGAGCATTACCGCTTATAGGGCTTGGTATGAGGGAAGGGGGAGTGGGTAGTTGGTAGGGGTTATCGTAAAAGGACGCTCAAAGCTCAAAGGGGTATGAGAGGGGGCGGGGGTGGGGCGAAGTCGGGTTGCAAGAGACAGAATGGATGGGTGTATTCTGGACCCGAAGATGGTCCAATAATCATGGAGGGAGAAGAGTAAATATCATTAGGGGGTATTCATTGTCTCGCAGACCTATACACCATCATTAATACGCGAACCCGAACTCGTCTGATTTACAAAAGTTCGTACTGTTTCCAACACGACACCCGTCAACTCTACACATTAACTTCGATCTCATTCTTCGACGCATTATCTCGTTTCATTCCTTCTTGGCTCAGTATTCCCATTAGTGAGCGGCCATAACAGTGTATCTCACCACTTTTACCAGCTCTTCTCCTCGTCCGCCCTCATGCCACCGGCCCCACCCATACCGCTCGCAATTGCCTTGGCATTCATCATTTCCCACTCAAACTCCTTGAGCGCCCTCAACTCAGTCCCTATGAACAGCAACGAGACCAAGCCATCAATAACCCCCGCCACGAGACCCAAACTGCTCAAGAGCATGAGGATAAACGAAACGTAGGGCGGCGTGAACCAGACGCCGACCCAGCAGACAATGGTCACAACGACCCAGGTGAAGAAATGAACGCCCCGCCATCGGCGCTGGAACTTCTCGCGGACCTCGTACTTTTGAATCAGGGTCAGGATCTCGTCGTAGGTGGCTGCGGGGAGGCAAGGAACTGGAGACCGGAAGGCTTCCAGTTGGGCGGAGAAACTGAGTGCTTCGTCGGCGCTGCCGCGGCGGTGCGGCTTCTTGGGTCCCGACTCGAAAAGGTCCACAGACGAAGGGTGCGATTGCACGTCAAGAAAAGCACCGCTGTTGAGCTCAGCCTGTTGAATCGATGGCGAATCGGGGCGGGAAGCAGACCGGCCATCCCGATCCAAGTGGTTCGGCGAAGCGGTCGGGGCAACACGGTGCAGCACCAGCGTCGCCTCGACGGAGAAGTGGTCACTGAGGCTACACTGCAGTTCCGGGTGGCGATGCAGCATGGCAACGCGGGCGTCCTTGACGACCCACCCGGCCTTGACGTCTTCCTCGCCCTCGAAAGCCCCAGACGAAGCGAAGATGTAGTCGAGCCGCTTGCCGCGCTTGTCGAGCGAGTCAGGCGGGATCTCGATGGGGTCACGTCCCGGGCGGCCCAGCTGCTTCTGCTGCTTCTTGGGCCAGCGCCACGTATTATAGACGCTGTTGCTCGTCACACCGTTTTCGACGACGTTGAACTCGGCCGTGGGGATGGGGCGGCGCCGCGCCCGCTCTAGGTCGTCTTCTGCGGCACCGAGGGACGAGTCGGGGTGCAGTACGCGCCAGACGTCGCGAATGGGCGCGTGAGCGGTTAAGACGCGGTAGGTGAGGGAGAGCGGCACGTCGTTGAAGTCGCCCAGGGCGAGCACGAGGTGGCCGCGGGCGGCGGCGCCGCGGAGGAGTTTGGATAGTTCCCAGGCTTGCGACAGGCGGTGGACGTGGTACGAGTCGGTTCGGGGTGCGTGCTCGTAGATGGCGTGGGTCTAGGAAGGGAGGATGTCAGTTGAAGTGCAAGCTTGGTGTACTTCCATAAGTCATGTCCAATATTTGACTTACGTGAGTGTTGAACACCTCCACCACATCCCTCGGCCGATTTCCATAACGAACCCGCGCGCATCCAATGCCCTTGCCCACAAACCAATCGCCTCTCCAGAACGCTGTAGGACGCCCATTAAGCGGATACCTGTGCATGCTGCTCTCCTCGATGGGCCATCGCGACAGGATCGCCAGCCCGCCGCCGAATGCCCCGCTGTGATAGAACTTGCCGTACGGCAACACGAACCGCGTCTCCCGCCGGATTGACTGGTAGTCCTCCTGCGTCCAGCATTCCTGTAGCGCTACGATATGCGGCGACTCGCCATTGCTGAATGAGGTTGCCGCTAGGGCGCGCCCGATGGCCGTGAGCCGTGCTGACCGTTGCGCTGAAATGTGGAGTAGGCCCCAGCAGTTGAGCGTGATGACGTTGATCTCTTTCAGTTCTTCGGGGAGCGAGTCTACCATCGCGGCTTGCCCGAGCTGTTTATAGCTCGAGTGCAGGCAACTTGAGCTGGTAGTGATTTGTGATGGTTAGTGAGCAGTACTAGGAGGTTGCTTCCGAAACATGCGATGACGATGTGTTTCCAGCTTCAAAGAATCAAGTTTGAGAAAACGCGGGATATCAAGCATGCCCTCAACAGTCAAATGAACTACGTTGCAACCTGGTAATATATCATAAACGGCAAGGAAGGGGTCATAGCAGCTTCATTATGACCCGGTTACTCAAAATGGACTTTATCCCCTGGCTTTAACTTTCGATAACGCAGCATGCCTGGATGTGCATGCAGCTCTAGATGAGTTCTTGACCAATTCGGTCAGATTCGAGCCAAGTTTGAGCCTCGCTGGGTCCTTTCTTCCAGGAGCATTGCTTGTCATAAGATTGCGAAGGGCGTGACGGCGTAGATCGCACAGCGAGCTAAGAGCAGATACTCGTGATGAGCCAGCCAGCCTCAGCCGGATTGCCGGATTCTGATAGTCCCGCGAATACAGTGGTCTGTGGAGGCACTCGAAGGTGACGAGAAGATTTTGTTATCCAGCGAAAACCGTTGCACCGATGCTACGAGAACAAAGACGGTTGTGGTTACGGTGAGACATTGGGACAGTCGTGCTGCATTTCGAAATTTGACCACGAGACGTGATGAAGTGCAGCATTTTCAAGCAGCTTCATCTCCGACGTTGGCTTTAAGTCTTGGCGGAGCTGATCTTTACCCGCATCTGTCGAAGCGACGGGGAGCTGCCGAATTTGGGTGCCCCGCTACCCACGTTGCCCCACTCCAGGATTTCAGCCTATCCTGGTCCCCTGAAGCTCTCAGCCTCGTCGCAACTTGACTACTCCACACCAAGGCTACGCCTCGAACCTCGGGTTTTGCGATCGCGACGAGCAAGACGAGCAAACAACGCAATAGCGATCAACAGACCATTACCCAGAACCCAAGCTCGTATCGATTGAGACCATCTCGTTTCATATTGATTTGCGTGGCTAGAGACGAATCCTTGCCCCTTTCCCATCTTGGCCCAGTCAACAACCGGCCGCCCCTCCCCGTTTTCGTTCACCTAGTCGTCAGTTCGGAGCCAATGCAGTACCGAAAGCAGGCAATCGCCCCAGACTTCACCTCAGTATCGGCATCATGTCAGCCCTGGAATCGTCAGATATCGCGGCTGTCCCCGACCCGCCTGCCAAGCGCCGCAAGCTCCTCGACGACAGCGCCGATTCGACGCCCCGCTACGACACACCAGAGGAGCCAGACAAAAAGCAACATCTGCGGGTATCCATCCGCGAGAAGCCCCTAGAAAGCCGCTCCGCCAGCGTGAGTCGTAGTCCCGATCGCCGCAAGACCGATTACTCCTCCACCGACCACTCGTCGTTGCGCAGTCGGAGTCGGTCTCGGACGAGTTCAAGGTCACGTTTAGACTCGAGGTCCCGGTCAAGATCTCGATCACATTCGCGGTCTTCCTCCCGCTCCCGTTCTCCCAGGTCCGCTGAGCCAGCATCTTTTCACACACCCCACCAGCATGAGCCCTCTCTGCCCCCACCAAGGGAGCCGACACGGCCCGACTATCAGACGCGACTTGTGATGGGTGGCCACCAGAAAGCAATCGCTCAAGTGCGCATATCTCCCGACGGAAGGTGGATAGCCTCGGCATCTGCAGACGGTACCATAAAGCTTTGGGAGGCATCAACAGGACGGAATTTGGAGACATTAGTTGGGCACATGGCCGGTGTGTCGGCTGTCGCATGGTCGCCGGACTCAACGACTCTGGCGTCTGGCTCCGATGATAAGGCGATCCGACTTTGGAATCGGGTGACTGGGAAACCAGCTACAAAAAAACCATTATGGGGGCATCACAATTACGTCTACTCTCTTGCCTTCTCCCCGAAAGGCAACATATTGGCAAGCGGAAGCTACGATGAGGCTGTATTCCTCTGGGATGTAAGAGCGGGGAGACTGATGAGGAGTCTGCCGGCGCATAGTGATCCCGTCAGCGGCATCGACTTCTCAAGCGACGGGACCTTGGTGGTCAGTTCTAGCACTGATGGTTTGACGTGAGGATCCCCTTTACACATCCTGTACCATACAGACTCCCCAAACAGTTCGTCTCTAACGCTACATGTTTCTAGGCGCATATGGGACACTTCAACCGGCCAATGTCTCCGCACCATGGTCCACGAAGACAACCCCGCCGTGACCTCCGTCTGCTTCGCGCCCAATGGCCGCTACATCCTCACCTTCAGCATGGACTCCTGCCTCCGCCTGTGGGACTACGTCTCGGGAAGTGTCAAGAAGACATACCAAGGACACGAAAATTCCGCCTTCAGCATAGGCGGCTGCTTTGTTGTCGTCGACGGCGAGGCTTTCGTCGCCGCTGCCAGCGAAAACGGCGATATCGTGCTTTGGGATGTCAAGAGCAAGGAGATTGTGCAGCGTATCAAGAAGGCGCATGATGGCGTCTGTTTCTGGGTCGATGCCAAGGGGGACACTATGGTGAGCTGCGGGAAGGACGGGAAGATCAAGCTGTACAAACATCGTGGGCCCAAGACGGAGGAGCTGCCAGTTACGGGGATCGCGCCGGAAGTCGCCGCATCGGAGGACGAGGGTGTGATGCCTGTGGTGGAGCCGGCTACATCTCCAGTTGAGATAAAAAAAGAAGAATGAGAGAGTCTGGGGCGACCTGGCATTTTGTTGAGATGAGCAGATACAAAACAGAAGCTGCATTTCTCTCAGTTTTTGCAACGTGACATTGGCGTGTCAATGTAGCTGGTAACGTGACTTTCAAGTACGATTGGCCCGAACCAGATGTGCCTTACGTCCTCCTATGGGCATGTCTAACGTGCTCTTTCACCTTAAGCTAATAGTGCCCTCATATGATGCAGTGAATCAATAAAGTACAATAAAGTAATAATACACTGCCAAGGGTGCCTAAGTTAATTCCGGGTATTTGAGCCATGCCATATACATCAGGGGTGAGCGAGAGATAATAACCTCACTACCCTCACTACATCATGAACTTCAGTCCCGGAGCTGCGAAGCGTAAAGTGCTGTTTGGTGTATTCACAATTACTAACCACAAACCTACAAAGACAACCAACCTTGTAACGTCATCTGGCCGTCCTGTGTGTCCCCAGCCAGCTGGCAAAGTAGACCCACCCATCCAAGTATCAGTACTTATGTATGTAAGAGAGAAAGCATAAAAAGCTGCCTATGTATGTACGACAGAAGGCAACTATATAGTCTCCCACCCGCCATTATTAATGTCCGCCTCGAGCTTCCTGCTGATGAAGCTCGGCACGCCATGACTGAGCCACATGCTGCGCACCATGGAGTCGTACCGCCGCTGGTTAAGGAACAGCTGGCGTCCGTGGCGCAGGCCCACGTCCACCTCGCCATACTTGTCGATGTAGGGGGCGTTGCTGAAGCTGCCCGAGACGCGGTGCAGGTAGAATATGGCACACTTGCGGATATTGATGAAGAGGCCGATGTTACCTTGGCATCTGTTGCAGACATGCATATTAGTATAAAATTTTGGTAAGACAGATAGGGCAACGGAAATGTTAAACTCACTTGAATAACATATGCTGCTGCGCACCCCCAATCTTCATGGTACTCGTGCTTCCTGGCAGTTCGTAGTCCATCAGACAGCACATGGTCTGGCCGCAGAATATGTCACCGCACATCAGACACACGATGGGGTCGGCAAGATCTTTGTCCGTCTTGGGGCACCGTCGCCGTGCGCACTCCTCGATCAGCATGTCGTAATTCTTAGGTAAGCCGACTAGCTCGAAGATGCCTGGGTGGCTGATCATAGCGGAGCTGGGCAGGAGGCGAGAATCACGCGAGACGTCGGCGATAACTGCCGGAGTATTGGAACCAGGCCACATGATTTGGTGCCGCACCCAACCGTGGGCGATGGCTTCGATGCGCGACGGCCAGCCGAAAGTGGGCCCAAAGGGTGTGAGGGCAGTGCACATTTCGTCGAACGCAGGGACGCGTAGGGCGGCGGTAAGCCGGGAAAGTTCATCGGCTTCTGGTGAAGTGAAGACGTGGCTGTTGAAGTCGACGCCGTAGTGGACATGGAGGAGAATTGCCGTTTTGCGCAGGAACACCAGTGCGTACTTCTGGACGAAGGCGTGGAACTTTGCAAGACTGTCCATGCAAGGTTGGTCGAAGCCAACGTTGGGCAGGTCGCTATCTGGCAGTTCGTTGAGTTCCTCGCTGTAGTTGATGCCAGCCAGGGTTATGGAATGGCAGAAAGTGGCAAAGTTGTTCATGGCGGCATCTTCAGTGTCCCGACTGACCATGTGCTCAAGCCACTTGCTGATGGGAACGTTGCGAGAGATGTGGTAGACCACCTTGACAATTTCGGCAAGATAGCATAGTCGAACAAGGCTGGTGATGTTCATATTCTGTGACATGGCCATGCCGAAGATGCTCTCGCACATGAAGATGAAGGGATCTTGACTGAGAAGCGGCGGGTACGCATCAGCAGGCCGCCGGCTGTTGTTGGTCTCCCGCCCAAAGTACTCGGAGATGAATAGTTGGCAGTGTTGGCGTTCGCTGTCCTTACGGAACTCCATGTCAATGTTGTTCTCTCCCCCAAAACGAAGACCGCCGATTGCGATATATGATGAAGTTGTTTCCGACAGAATGCGTAGTTGAATCAATGTTTGCTCTGGAATTTTTTCAATCAAAGTCATGCCGTACTCAGCTTCAATGCCTCGCTGCTGGATCTCTGTTGCGGAAACCGAGTAACCTACAGCACGAGCTAGAGCGCCACTGCCACACAGCTCGTCATCCTTCTCCTCGCCATCAATCCTGGTGTACAGCTTGTTCTTGAGAAGCGTGTCGCGCAGTCTGCGATAGACGGACAGGAGGCCCTTGTCACTTTGCTGAGCATCCGAAGGGCTTCGCGATCGTACACTGGAGTCAGGCGTCGCCATAGCCGAGAAAGAGTCACTAAAAGGGGTTCCGGTGGAGACGGATCGTGTACCACTGCCATCCCACGTGTCCATGACCAGTTGAGTTGATCCTTCAATGAGGCTGTGTGGCATCTTAGACCGAACATAAGCCGCAAATGCTTGCTGGTGCGTCGGCGGGCTAAACATTCTAGAGAGACTAGGGACATAGGTATCGGGCCTAGCATGCGTTTGTACGAAACTGTCCAGATCCGCCGGGCTTGAAAGAACGCCAGGGTATGATTCTTCTTTACCGTCCCACGTGATGGGCAAGAAGGCATTTCCGAGAGCTTTGCATAAGGGGCATACAAATTCCCTGCGTTCCAACGTCTCGGGATGGTGGCGGGCAATTTGGTGGACATGACGCCGCGACGTTGCCTCGATGTACATCTCGAAACAGCTGAAGTGCATGATGTGGCCACAGCTTACAGCCACGGGTCCTGGACGGCAGAGCTTCGAGGGGAAGCCTCTTCCAATCCCTTGCCTCTCAGCCAGAAAAGTCTCGCCGGCGGCATTCACCTTCTCGACCGTCTTTCGATTTTCGTGGGCTAAACCGAATGGTCGAATTTCGTCAGCGGATCGATCGAGGTTGACGGGTGTGTTGGCGGCCTCGCGTACGAAGTCTGCATCTTGGAGATCGGTTTGTCGTAAAATTTGACTCTCGGTGAAAAGTCCAAACGTGCCGTAGAGCCGTCCATCGTCAGTGTCCTCCTGGCAAAGGATGCAAGTGCCCCTGGGGTACTTCCAGAAATTCTTACGTTCCTCGATGGGTTTGGCCTCGTCCAGTTCTTCCAGGTCTTCATCGCCCCAGTCAATATCCCCTTGATTCTCCAGAAAGCTCTTCTGTTGCTGCTGGAACTGTGCCATGACTTTCGCCTGGCGATCAAGAGCTGCCTTCTTCTTCTTCTCGCGTTCCTCCTCCGCATTTTGGATGTCAGCAGGTGAAGCCGTATCAACCCGATCAATTGGCACACCTAGGCGTGCGTAGGCCGTGTCGAAATGTTGCGGCATCCTTTGCCGCATCCGCTTAAGGATCAACGCGACCTTGGGGTGGCAAGATTTGAGCTCTTCTCGAGCGGACATCATCTCCAGAAGGGAGACGATAGTCTTCGCAGCCGGAGCTTCCTGCATAAAATTGCTGCGAGCATGTTTCGTAAGCGCAATGTAAATGAACGAGTTCTCGGAAGCCAGGCTTCGCTCATCAGCCTTGTCCTCTGTGACAGCGATCAGTGTCAAATGCAGGACAACATGTAGCAGGGCCTCCACGCGAGTAAATGGCACGGTAGGTGTCAGCTTAGTCGCCACAAGGGGGTATAGCAAGCTGTAGTAGATGATCTGCGCAAACATGCCAGTGCCAGTGAAATCTGAAAGACCCACGAAAGGCCCCGACGGAATCACCCGCAGTTTGGGTTCATAAACGATTTCCTCAGCAGACCTGCCCGTTTTCTTCGCTAACCACTTGCGATACGCCGCTTCGGATTCTTCACGTTGATTTTTGTTATAGTGGGCAATGTACGGGTCGATTTCCTCGATGAACTGCGGTTTCAATTCAAACGTGCCGACGTCCGAGACGCCCTCAGGGGGTTTAAAGGTGGCAATTTCGTCGAGGACTTGATGAAATTCCTCCTGTTCGTGGAACTTATCCGGAAGCTTGTTGCACACCTCATTGAAAGATAGGGGTCTGAAGCAGAGCACATGGGAAATGTCCCGGCGCATCGTCATCAGCTGCATTTCGTGCTCGTCTTCCGTCGGCATCAGAGACGTACGGTCGCTCAAGAGAACGATGAGAAGATGCAACATATCCTCGATGACGTCCAGGTGCTGACCTTCGTCCTGGCCAGTTGAAGTCTGTTCAAAGAAACCTTTGATCCACTTGTCCATACCGAAGCGGTCAACGATCGAGGCAAGAACTCGGCTAGGGTTGCAGACAACCATGGCTGTTTGCAACAGGAAGATATCCCTGTGATGTGTGACATCTCTATGGAGAATGTTCTTGTAGGTCACGGCCTGATGCCGAAGACTGATGCCATTGCGAACCCACATGGTAGCTTTGATCTGAGCTAGCCATGCACACACCCGGAGGGGATAGTCAAACAATGCCGTCAGGTAGTCTTCTGGTGTATAGTCACGCCTCGGCATTGTCTTCCGGCCCATTGATCTTGGCTTCATCTTCAGCTCCTGCGCCGTGAAGCTTAGAACCGAGCCCAATTGTTGCGCCGTCATGCTCTTGCCACACTCGATGAGCCAAGATAAGGTGTAGTGGAGAGCGTGATGAAAACTGATCGGTTGCTCTTCCACCACAAATTTAACGACATCAAACTTGTTCGTCTCCCCTGCGAATTCGAAGTCGGTGAGTGTCTTGAACCGTACTTCATCCCTGATCTCAGCCTGGGTGAATCTGGTGCGATCAGCACCAATGGAATTGATAATCGCGTTCTTGGCCGTCAGTCTAATCGCTCTCGAAATGTATTGCGAGTCTTGCTCAGGTGCCTTGCGGAAGGATTCTGCGATGAGCCGGCACAGTTTGTTGATCTCGCGAGTCATCAAAGACGCACCAATCCAGCTGTCAGTCTCGTATTCCACGTGCTCACCAACAGCTCTGGTGTTGGGGCAGATGCCTTGATGTAGTTTAACCAGATCAAGAAACTGGAGGAGGTACCGCTCTTCCGTCCGCATACGCTCCTGCACATGTGGGGAGCCAAAGAGGAATCTCATGTCCACATAGAAGTGATACATACGCCGGTTTGTGACTGAACCCGTGTCAAACCCGAGAACTGCGCTTGAGGAAACTTCCCACGGGTGTCCAACCTGTCTTGACGTAAGAAACGTGTACAGAATGGCCATGAGGGTCGTCAAAAAATTGCCCCTTTCCACCACCTCAGCGGTGATAGACGGTGTCGTCAGCATCTGCAAGGAGATATTGATAATAGAATGATCGGGTTCACGGTCGGCGATGAGATAGAGTTGAGCTAGGGTGGTGTATAGTGCTGCAAATCGAAGACCAAGTATTCTCTTGAACTCGGGAATTGTGACTACGGTCGAGATGTATAGAGACCTGAGGTCGTTCCGCACTTTCTTCCACATCCTTAGGTCAAACAGAATCAGCCAGTCTAAACGAACGCGCGAGAAAACATCTTCGTAGGGTTTATCCTTTGCACGTTCCATATAAGGGGTTGGGGTCTCTACCCAATACTTCCCAGGCTTTGGTGGTGGCGTCTCGCCTGACTTAGCCAAGCCTGGAGTCTTGGGGATGTCTAGATTGACCTTTGCGTAGACGGTTGGTGCTATCAATGGCTCCGCAGTATCTGAGTCTGATGGTGTTAGGTCTCGGTCTCGGGTACCACGCCGGAGCACTGGTGGAGGGGGAGGCGGCGGAGGGTATCCTGCAATCGTTGCCTCTTCTTCCTCGAGAGCCTCACCAATAGAGCCTTGTCTCCAATCTGCCATATTGACATCTGCGCTAGCTCCAGTGCCGGCATCCACCATCATAACATCGCCGTCAACATCATCATCATCGTCGTCGTCGTCGTCATCGTCTTCCTCTCCGCTTGACGGGGTTTGGTTTCTGGCCATGTCTTCGTCGTCTGAAGTATCGTTGTCGAGGATGTCGGCTAGAGCAGCTTGGATAGTAACTTGGCCATCTGCAGCATTAACTTGGGCCCGTGCCCGCGCCAGGAGTCGAGTTTGTCTTAAAAAGTTGCGTGTCTCTAGGTTCTGAGCATGAAGTTGCTCAAGTTTCTCTTCGTCCTCAATGCCGTCCTTGCCTACAATGGCGTGCACAGCGGCACTTCCCTTTCGCCACGGTATAAGAAGCTCTTCACACACTATGAGCCGCAGTATGGTCGAGTCTGAGCCGACGCTGCATCCGGCGATATCATTGAGCCAAGCGATCATGGTTCCACACATTTCTTCCCGGAAAGTGTCTCTTGATGACCGAATTGTGACGGTTACTTTGATCTGCTCGAGTATCTTGGCGACAGAGAGGAGGCTTTCGATATCATCGCCATACATGAGTATGCTCCGTCCAATGCTGTCCGTCTCCAAAGCCCTTTGATAACCGTCTGCCAGCGAAGTCCTACAAGCACGGGCAACCTGGGTCTGGACCTCCACGACGGTGTGTTTCTCATCGTTCCAGAGCAGAACAGCCCATTCACCGGGCGACTCGGTGTCTCCGCCGCAGTAGGTTGAGTTGAGACGGGACATCTCTTCGTCTTGTTGAATGGACTCTTTGGTCTTGGGCTGTCGAAGTTGTTCAGGGGCGCAGGACACGACATCGCAGATGAAATCGATGACCCTAGCAATCGTCATGCGGATGTTGCGCGTGAGGTCTTCCGGTAGTCCCGCTACCTCTTTGCCCTTGCCCTTGGACTGGTCCTGTTCGCGTTCTGAGTGTATGGTGCAAAACATAGGGTGCTTCCATGCTTCGGGGTCCCCGCAATCGCAGCAACCACTATTGCCCGGCGATATAGAGATCCTAACCATATGACCCGTGTGGTCTGTGGCATCGAAACATTTGCTGCAAAGACAACATGTGTCATCCGTACTGCAAGTGCGACAGGCATATGATGCCTCGCCAGCCCTGAAGATGTGCCCGCATGCTTTGCCTCTGGCGGCCTCGGTGTATTCCGCGCCCTCTACCGCCCCTTGGGCTTCCCTGAGCTTCAGCGTGCCCTGTCGGGAGAGCTTGCCATCGGGAAATATCAGGCGCATGTATTCAGGCTTTCCTCCAGCAATGGACCAGAAAAGATTGTAGAGAAGGTCTCGATTGGCCGCGTCATTGTACCGGTATCCATGGCGCATGGGGAGCTCGATTAGGTGTTGGCAGAGCTGCTGCTCTTGCGTGGACATCGATGTATCCATGGTTGCATTTCATGAGCTCCGAGGAGGAAGTCATGTGAATATAGTAATGGCAGGTCGATATGATGAAAAGGTGGCGGATCGAGCGTTGAGTACTGAGGTGGTGTTCTCGATGACCTACGCACTGCGGCCTTGCGGAGGGGCGAAATAGTACGTGATTGAGATACTCGGTGACTTTAGTGACGCCTAGTGGGGGTAGGTAGGTGGGCTAAACGTCTTATGCTGATCTCAGCAGGAGCGAGTTACTTGAATGCAGACTGTCTCATGTACCTCGACGGAACAATAGAAAGTTTCAAATTCCACAGGGAACGAATCGACCAAATGAAATGTGCTGCTGAATCACTGGACCGGAGAGCTTAAGCAGGTAGCCAGAGTCTCAGGCTGTTTCCTGAGTGCTTATCGCTGATAAGGATCATCGGGCAGGGGTTCTATAGCTGCTAGAGAGCGGGCTACAACGGCACCCTACAATATCAAGCTGCTCACGTGCAGGATGCGTAAGTACTAGTACTCAAACTTGAAAGCAACCCCACGCCGGTAGTGGTTGTCATTGTCAGGTAGAGCAAATGTTGGTAGCTCAGACTCTTACGCCCTGTATTCAAGTCAGGGTCTACAACAGGCATTCACAGTTCATAGAAACGAGGAAGCGCGTGAGTAACTCGTGTTGGAGTTTTTGAGCATGTACATTCCGTTTCCATTTCCAACCTCTGATGCCATGCCAATGTCTAACACGGCGATGAGCTAGAAAACACCTGCGATAGGCTCTTCTGGCACATTGCAACAGGCTAAGGGGTATATTTGCAATAGGATTGTTCGGATCCGTCTATAAAGTACAGAACTATAGAAGCAGGGTTTTGTGTCCCCCTTGAAGTGTCATCACCTCCCAGCCTCGACTTGTAGTGATTTATTCCTCATCCTCCTGCTCAACATATCGGGATCGGATGTCCTTCCATTGGCGCTATCGAATCGGTCAGTATCACTGTTGCCCCAAGAATTGATTTATTTCATACCCCTCTGTTGTTGTAATCCCACAGCTTGTTCATGCCTTGGTTGTATCCCCTGCTCAGCTATCAGCGGTTGTACCTTGAAAGTCCAGCATCGGACCACCCACAGCTCGAACACGAAAGCTCCAGCGAAGACCGCACCCAGCATTTGGAAGTTCTTGCGGAACAGAGCGCTGTGGTCCATTGATTAGCTGATGTAATCGATCGATCGAGGTTGGTCGACTGACTTGTAGAGTGCGCTGGCCTATTGCGCGATTAGCCTGTCATTAGGTACATAACTTCCGGTCGGTGTGGGAGATTTTACCATTATTAAGGATGAATGCAATTTCTCGATTGGGCGTGTAGACGCAGAGTATCGTTTGGGGTAGACGGAGGGAGACGTTTGTTGACGGATTGCTCGAGTTGTTGCCAAAGACGAAATTCGCGATTGCATTGAAGAATGAGGCTCTTGCGGCTGCTAAGACGAAACTGATGGCTTCCTATTGGTCGAAGCTTCCTAAAAGACCCATCGAAGCCTTTTGGTGGGTTGTCACTGCGTCAGGCCTCAACTCCGATCACCCCTCCAAAGTCGCAAAATAAAATAAAAGACTCAACCTTCACCAAAGTTTAGCAGGTTGCCGGTGAAAGGTTTGATTGGGGCATTCTAGGTGCCTGGCACTTGTGCATATTATTTGCGTCTAAAATCATCGTCACCAACACGTATCGAAATATCCCAGTCTATCCACGATGCCTTCAGAGCCATCGAAACCTTCCACGTCCGGAATTGTCACAGACGAGAATAGCGGCGAACGTCATATTCCCGAGTCTGTTCGACCAGATGGTACAACGAGAAAAGCGATCAAGATAAAGCCTGGATATCGCCCACCTGAGGATGTCGAGGTTTACAAGAACCGCACTGCCGAATCATTCCGCAGTCGCGGAAAAGGTGGAATTCCCGGTGCCGACGGACTGAAGGACCAAAAGGTCGAGCTGCCATCTGCGGCCGCCAACAAGAACGCAAAGCGTCGCGAAGCCAGGAAGAAGGCCAAAACTACGGTTGGCTCACAGGATGACGCGAAACCAGTAACAGACCAGGACGCCGCAGTAAAGACGGTCGAGGAGGTTGATCCCGAAGCCGAGAAGGAGAAGAAGGCGCGAAACCTCAAGAAGAAGCTCAAGCAGGCTAAGGACTTGAAGAGCAAGAAAGAGGGAGGCGAGGCATTGCTGCCCGAGCAGATCGCCAAGGTCATCAAGATCAATGAACTCATACGAGAATTGGAGGCGCTCGGGTTCGACGCAGAGGGGGAGCCCAAAGCTGCCAATGCGGATGCGGCTACGAAGGACACGAAGGAGACCCAAGAAGGATGAGGGCTATTTACAACAGTCGGCGTCATTACACGACTTTCCGCGGTCTCACGATCGCTCCTACTAATGGGGCCGCACCCCGTCGGTGGGACACCTAGCGACGGTGCGACAGTGCCGGCTCATTGCTACCATCTTAGACGGCCTTGATAGTCGAGGCAGACGAGAAACGAGGCGTGCCGCGACGCTGATGTTCGTCCCTATCGCCAGGTCAACATTGGACGAAGGCAATCCCACAGCCACTCCAGTTCAATGGTCGAGGGAGCGTCGTATCCCCATGGCATATGTGGTCACAGGGGGGGCAGGGAGTTGGGTATGTCAGGAACTCTTGTGTCCACGCCTTACGGAGAGCACAGCACGCTAAATTGATGAGGGGATCGTTCGCACGTTTCTTGTTCTGATGAACAATGTGAAGAGGTGGCACAAGAGCCCAAACAGTAGAATTATATACCATTGCCGGTGTTGCCTTTGCAGATGATACTTCTACTTGTGGATTCGATCCAAATTATCGCCGGGTACTTTGAGGGTCTTAACAAAGGGTGCCTAATTTTAATCGATCCATATCCCCTTGTTGCGAAGCTGGGCATGTGCGTCTTATCAGTCACAAAGTTAGGTAGACATCATAATGACATTGAGCTTCCAGAGACGGTGCTCTCCTCGAGCTCATGTACGATAAGAAAATCGTATTGCTGTCACCACAAGTGATCAAAAAATACTGAATTATGGCACGAGCAATGGCATGTCACTTGAGAAATCAGACTCTATGTGAGCTATTCCTCAACACTATCACGTGTGTAATTGTTGCTTAGGTTTATTTAGCATTGTGAAGTCTGCTCTTCGGGGCCAACCACTTGCAGAGCATCTAGCCACATTTCGAAGATGATGAAAGCAGAGGAGGCATCGCCCAATGTAAAAAGTCTTGTGATCCGTGTTCTAGTCAAGGTCATCGGTGATTGTCAAAATCGATAGCTTACAGGAGAGGAAGGAATTACAATAGCTAGGACGACTTGGAGTAATGCGATGTCAACTAGCTTGTATATAAGTAACAATCGCCCTTTTCCACATGATACTCTACAGACCCTTACTCATTTTCTTCCACGTTGCAGCCGATACTTCGAGAGCAAATAGATGACTTTGCCTTCTTAATAGGCCTTCTGCATAAACTCTACGAGCATGCCTCTAAGCTCGCAGAATCAACTGAGTAGTTATTTTACTTCCGACTATACAAGGGTGTCGCTCTGCGTTTTTTTCCAAAGCTTGGACGTCGAATACGTCCATTATTCAGACGTGTTTCATGACTTACAACAAGAGAGGCGCAAGTAGGAAAGCCTCAACCCCAATCTCCCAGCACCTCAGACAAGATAGCTTCACAAAATTCGGCGCTGTTCTTCTGCGACTCAACGCGCGAAACCGTTTTAACTTGCTGATAGGAAAACTCATACGCCCAGTCCCTAGCATTGAATCCAGAGATCTGCACGCGCTCTACCTACCGTTTCTGCAGAGAATTCTCCGAGAATCAGATACGTCTTCACCTCTATATCAATACCGCTATACCAACGGGCATTCAAGGACGTGCTATGCGCCTTGTTAGAATATTGATTACGGAGGGCGTCACATACAAGCTCAGATTATATCGCAATCCCGTCGCGTACACCTGCAGGCACTATGCAGAAACGAACAAAAGTTTTCACCAGTTCCAAACAACAGCAGTGGGATTTTATGGCTTCCTCACAGCCCCAAAGCATATATTGTACTAGGTTAGATGGAGAAAATGACGTCGGCTTGTTCACATATGCAATGCGCCGGCGCCGGCAAAACAAATACCTACGCTCGGGGCAATTAGAACCAACCAGTTCTAAGAGAAACGCGGTTCCGCAACAAAGTGATGGAGCCCCCGCACACGTCCCCTGATACCATACTGCTGGCGATGGTCAGCCCTTGGAAAGTCCAGTCGCGCCCATGGCGCCGATACAGACACATCAATATCATCTCCCCGCCCAACATTTATAGATTTCCCCTACAGTTTACAATTACAGCCCTGAAGAGTTTTCATTGTTCGTAACTCTAAACCACCCCGAAATCATGATTCCACAACTATATCCCAAAAGCCCATAACTTCCGTCGTACGAAGTGGTCTCTCAGGGGCAGCATTCGTTACCGCCTAGCCGGCGATGCTGACAATGAGATAGGTTCTTTTGAGAGCTTGGATTTATTGCAATCAATAATCGTCTTGAATTTGAATTATCTTGTTATGTACACATTGGAAATTGTTTTAGTCGTCTAGGAAGAAAAAGGGAAGGGGGTGAAACGCACAAGAAAAGGGGGGCGATTAGATAACTCCGAATCTACAAAGAATGGTGTATGTAACTAGAGCGCATTTTTGATCCTATCATTACCTTGTAAGAGTGGCTTGTTCCCATACCCAAAACACTTGTCACACACTTGAATGCATGTCATAGCGCAAATACAACGTATATTAGGTTGAATGAAAGAGCTACCTGGTTACCCAGTGCACTATTTTTAACTATAACATGGAGTGGACGTTTCTAAGACAATTGCATAAAGTGTTGCAAGTTGCCACCCACTTATTGACAGATATGTTTTACTACGTCGTCTAATAGGGAATGCACAACTTTATTCTGTACAACGCATCTATCTTACTTTTCACGGTATCAAAGGCAGCCTAAGGAGCTCCGAGACCCTCGTTCGCTGGAAAGAGAGATTACAGTTGATGTCATTTACCATATCCATAACCCAGGGAAGAGAGTCTCAAGCTTGCCATTGGATCCGTATAATATCGTCTAAGGAGCTATCTTCAAGGATGTAGTGCCCGACACGGAAGATTGAGAGAGACGCAAATCAGACACGGCTCTGATCTTAGGGTTCAGTCAAACCCTCTTCATTTGTTGGTGCCACACACAACCTTGACTGTCCAGGGAAGACGTCTCTAACACTCTGCTGGCAACGCTCAGTGCCTATGTAGAGACCTTTAGGGTGAATGGGATACTCAGCCCTGAGACATTCGAGAGCTCGTAGGAGAGAAAGAAGATACGGATCACTGATAGACTTTCGGTAGGAGGAAACATCACATACCCTCAACCGCCCATCGCCAGCGATACTCTTATGTTTCTATCCCAGATGCTCCGTGCAGGCAACTTGGAGAAGTAATCACGAGATCTAGCAGCCAAGCTTGCTGCCCAAGCCAAACAGATTGAGCCCCGAGAGTTCAACGCACTGTATCTTCCAACGCTTCGCGAATTGGAAAACACCCTCGACACACATCTAACGACATCTCTATCTGATCCTGCATTCCAGGCTATGGTCAAAGCAATTTTAATCGGTTGAGGCACAAGGCGTGCCACTTACTTGAGTTTGACTGCCATACTAACAACCAGAGTCAGAACAAAGCCAAAGGAGATGGACTTACACAAGACTGGGCCAACCGAGTCTCCCAAGCTAGAGCATTATTGGGCGAGTTCAAACAGTCACATCTAAAGGTCTTGCTTGTTGAACATCAGTACCGGAGGACTATGGGCTGACCAGTTGAGCACGAAATCACATTGGCAGTGTCCAATGAAGCTCGATTGTCCAAGGCCCTGCAGTTTCTAGAACAATTTAGATACCTGTAGCTTTCCGAGAAAATGTCGGTTAGCCGATATCTTAGTCTTGGGTGCCTTGCTAGAACCACTGTACTGCCATTACATTGAACATGAGCAGTCTAGGAACTACGAATATATACCGAAGTGAGGCCGGTATGCTACCCAGATCCAACACATGACACAAGGCCTCTTCCAATAGCCCTCCAACCTACATTAACATACGAATGTATCGAATACTCCAGCGTCGTTTCAGTAGCCAACAGCAACGCTGGGGTTTCCCTTTAACCCGCCGCAAGTATCGATGAATACTTCGAGTGACTACCCGGCGCCATCGTCTCGGCCTGCATTGACTGAAGTTGCTCTCAATATTTTGCGGGCTACATCTCAGCATAGGGTGAACGAAAGAAAATGCGACGATTATATATCTTACTGAAGAGGACCGAGTTCCATCTTGTGGTGCTAATGGGCTTAAGGTGGTGGAAACCAGACATCAACTTATCAGTGGCTTCGAGAACGGAAATGTCAAAACAACTCGACAAGTGGCCGAGGATGTAACAAAACTCAGTTCGTCACGAGTACTCTGTGACCACGGGCGGGTATACGAATATGCATAGAATCTACATGAGACTTGCGCGGAAGGCGGGCGGCTCCCGAGGATCGGTCTATACACCTGGCCTACCCCGATCGCTAGAATAGACTAGCACTCCGACTGTTGACAAGATTGCAAACGCTCTTCTACTGCTGTCAATGAACATGTGACATGATCAATCGAAGGCTTGTAGCGACCGACACCTGGAGGCTATATTTTAGCGATGAAAACTGCGCAGTGGTGACAAGATCATTGGTGATTCATTCAACTGTTATTTATGAACAGCTCTCTGTCGAGAGGGTGGCCACTTAACTATACCTAACCAGTAGAAACCCTGAAGCAATGCATGGTTAGACATGGGTATTGCTGCAGCTAGCTGTACAGCAAGGTTACACCGAGTCCGCAATGAACATTGTCGGATTGGGCGTATGTTCACACCATTCATCGACTTCGTTTGCAGCTCTGTTTGCACGTGTTCTCACCTCATTCTTCATTCACAATGACAACCTACATCGGCATTAGCAACATCACCTGGGGACTTGGCCTGCTCGTCATTATTCGAATCACCTGGGAGCTGCTGTTCTCGCCGCTAAGAGCTTTCCCTGGACCCTTTCTGGCCAGGTTCACCGATTTATGGCGAGCTATCGTCACTGCGCAGGGCCGTATCGATAGCACCCATACACTATGGCACCGCAAGTACAACAGCAGTGCTGTGAGGATCGGACCGAATACCATCAGTATTAGTGATCCAAATTTGATCAAGACGATCTATGCAACAAAGGATGCGTGGACGAAGGTACGTACGAAGCGTCGGCATGCGAAAAGGCCAATGCGGAATGCTGATATGATGGCAGTCTCATATGTATCGGGTCAACGATGTTCTCATTAAGGGCCAGCGCATTTCGAATATCTTCAACACCCAGGACAATGTCTGGCATGATAAAGGTAAGCCAGTCGTCTTGGAAGTCAGGGCATAGGATCCAGAGCTTATCAATTCAATCACTGACTTTGAATTGGAGTGATGAAACCAATCCGGGGGTTCTGGACAATGACTAAGGTATTGGAAGTAGAAGGCCTGATCGATGAAACACTTAGCAAGTTGACTGAGAAACTGGATGCCAAGTTCGCCAATGAACCCGGAGATAGCTCCAAGGTTTGTATGATGAATGACTGGCTAGGCTACTGTAAGTTAGATACAAAACATCGCAACCGATCTGTGGAAAGGGGGGCCAGGTGACTTTCACTTACATGACTCGCCTCAGTTGCTTGGGACGTAACGGCCAATATCAGTTTCGGACAACACTATGGTTTCATCGAGCAAGAAAGAGACGTCGACAATCTGATTGTAGATTCCACCAAAGGGCTCTACTATTTTGGCCCAGTAAGTCCACGCATATCTAATATGGTGTTATATAGTCAGATTTAACACGCGAGGCAGATTTCCCAAATCCCATGGGTTGACTACCTTCTGGACAAGAACCCCCTAGTTCGCATTGGGCCCAAGCCTACGCTCACTGGGGTTATGTACGCCTTCAAGGTTGTTGCGCAGTACCAACGAGAAATCGCCCAGAAGGACCGCACGGAAAATCCAGGGGGAGTCCATCATTACCTCGACAAGTATATCAAACTCAAGGACACTTACCCGGACATGGTCGACGACAACCAAATCGTGAACTGGCTGATGCTCAACGTCCTCGCAGGCGGCGACACAACCTCAGCCATCATGCGCGCCCTCGTCTACCATCTAGCCAAGACGCCAACAGCATACAAAAAGCTGACCGATGAACTTGACTCTGCCCAATTGTCTCTCCCTGCTCCGTGGAGGGACATCAACGGCAAGGTTCCGTATCTCGAGGCGGTTATTCGGGAGACTATCCGCATCAACCCCGGTCTAGCTATGGTTCTTGAGCGCGTGGTTCCTGAAGGCGGGTTGACATTACCGGATGGCCGGTTTATCCCTGCGGGAACTAAGGTTGGGATCAACCCCCATGTCACGAGTAGGGATCCCGAGGTTTTTGGGGCCGATGTCGATGAGTTCAACCCGGAGCGCTGGATTACAAAGGACGATGCCCGACTTCGCAAAATGCGCGATACGGCGGATTTCGCATTTGGTGGGGGCAACCGGGTATGTATGGGGCGGTACCTGGCTCAGTTGGAGATTTGCAAGTTGTTTGCGACGTTGTATAGCTTGTACGATGTAAGTGCTGGCGGTTCAATCTCTTTTTGAGGCATGAGAACTGTACCTGAACTGAGTGACTCACTTCTCTACAGATCAAGCTTGTCGATCCAGAACACGAGTGGAAATATCATAATGCTTGGTTTGTGTATCAGTGGGATATGCCGATGATCATCACTCGCCGACGCTGAAGAGCGATATGCGCGGAGCCCTTGGGCTTTTGTGCATGCGGATGAGCAATGCCACCATGGCGTCTTACTTTCCTTTACGACGGTACTTATTGGTAATAATCTATGTATGATCATGCAACAAGGCCAAACCTGACTAAGATAATCGCATTGCACACTAGGTCTATACCATTCTATGCCCCCTTTCTATCATTAACCAACAGCTCGCCAATTTTCTCCTTGCTCATTTGCCCAAGACCTTTGAGTTCGCCTTATCAGCCCGCTGACAACACTCCTCGATGACCCTCCAGAAGTGCTCCATGTCCAAACCCCTCGGTATGCGCATCCCAGCCACCCCAGGCTCCAGAAGCTTGGCAATCGTCCTTCCCGTCTGCTCGCCCTCAGTGACCACCGTGACCTGGAAGCGCTCCTGGCGCTTCTCGCCCTCCGTCGCCCTGGGGTCGAAGTCATAGAAGGGAATCTCATGCTCAGTGCCGATGAAAGCCACAGCCACGGCTAACGGGTCGTGTAGAGGAGGTCCCTCAACAATGCCGAAAGTTTCCCTGTTGCTGTTTAGCTTATCTCGAGATGATTACCTGAGTGCAGAAATACAGGGTAATCTCACCGGTACGTAGTAGCAAAGAAATTCAACAATTCCACCAGCATAACCCGCAGATCAGTCTTACCCCTGCCCCCAGCCTCGCTATCATTGCCATGAAGCAGCGCATGCTGGACCTCAGCAGTCGCGAGCACCAGGTGCGTCAAGTCAAGCGGAATCAGCGTCGTCTTAGCAGCCAGAACAGGGTTTTCAAATAAGGAAGCCGCCGCCTCAGGGTCGATAACGATGTTGAACTCGGCCCAGGGTGTGTAGTTCCCAATCCGCTCCACACTATCGACCTTACCCATGACAGCAGCCGTGAAACCGCCACCGATGGAACCACCCATGACGCTAAAACCGTGGATGTGCTCTGCCAACTCCGGGTACTTGCTGAACAGAGCAGCGACATTGGTCAGTGCACCCGTGGCGACCAGAAACGCAGTCCCGGGCTCGGTGGCTCTCAACGCCTTGGCCATGGCCTCGACGGCGGAGATGGACCGGTCGGCGGACGACTGCGGCTTCGGCAGCAGATCCGTGCCGTCGAGTCCGGACTCGCCGTGGATGTCTGTGGGAGCGTGCATTGGCGGTCTTTTGAGAGCGCAGGTCGCGCCGGGGTAGACAGCGATGTCCTCGTGCTTGCCGATGGCGGCGAGCACGGATAGGGCATTGTTGGTGGTCTTGTCTAGAGATGCATTGCCATGAACTGTGCTGATCCCTAGCAACTTGAGTCCAGGGTGATATGCCGCAAGAAGAATAGCGAATGTGTCCTATGTACACACGAATAATTAGTTGCCATGTTGGGTCAATCGAGGGGTCCTGTCAGCCTCCGAGCACCGGTGCCCGATCTGGGCTCTAGCGAGCCGGGCACCGTTTGGGCCGGACGGGAGTTGAGAGGAAATGGCACGGCCGGGAAATCAGTATGTGGCCCTTGATCCTCGAAGCCCAAGCTCCTTTTCTCATTGAAAGCTGCGTCTTACTATCTCATTTACAAGGACTCAGCTTCGATAGACTTACATCATGTCCAGGATCACAATCCAACCAGAGAGGGGTTTGGCCTGGCATTTTAAACTACGTGCTCGGGGATGCCTCAGAATGCCTCAGTATTAGGAGTGCGGAGAGTAACGTGAGATAGAGGTGTGGCAACTTGGGATGCGATCAATGTCACTTCAGACAAAGAGGTGTTGAAGTTGAAAGAGTAGAGACCAAATTCCGGCCGGTCGCTGTCGGTAGCTGCTTACTAGCGGTTATCCGCCCTAAAAGTCGGCAACTCGGCCTTGCTTCGAGCCTTCCTCCATCAAAGTTTCTACGGTTGGTGGAGAACAAGGCCTCTATCGTGTCAATTTGCTATGTCTCGTTTCACCGCATTGATGCTATACTGTTTGAGTAACGTAATTGTGAGTTCTGGTTGGTTATGACGCCAAATCCCAGTTATTGCATTAGGACCAGTATAAAGTTCACCACACACCCTATTAAGGGGCTAGGACTTTTTCGCAGCCTTCTGCTGCTCCATCACCCGCATCACGTCACCAGCATTATTCACGTCACCTTTGCGCTTCTTCCCGCCTCTCTTTCGCTTCGCTTTCCTGCCTCCGGCGGCGCCGTCGCCTCCGTCGTCTTCGTCATTGCCCCACTGAGATAGTTTGATTTCAGTTTCATCAAAGTCTGCTTCATCCTCAAATCTGCTAGTGCCGAAGCCCATATCAAGATCAGCGGCGTCGCGATCATCGTTTTGTAGCATCTTGCGATGTCGCTCGGCCCTGGCTTTGGCTTCTTCATCATCATCATCCTCGTCAGAGGCCTTCGGGGCGTTGATGGCGGCTGCTCTCTTGAACGCTGCCTGTATCGCTGGATCTGACATTGACGGCGCCTTGAGTATCTCAGAGGAAACCAATCCGGATTTGGAATCCTTGAAGTAATTTCTCGGCTCAGACGGGGCTGCTAGTTTTGAAGGTGGTGGCATCACATCCGTGTCGTCCTGTGCTTTCTCTGCCTTGGATGTCTTCGCATCTCCGTCTTCGTCTTCATCTGAGTCCTCATCTAGACCTGCCAAGGGATCATAATCATCGCCGACATCGTCAAATATGTCGATTTCGTCGTCTTTCAGCTCTTCATCCTTCGGCTTGTAGATATCTGGAACCTCCATACCAAGAGGTTTGGCGTCCTTGTCTGGCATCATCATCTCCCGCTCCTTCTCCTTTGCCTCGACTTCGGCTGCAGTCTCCGGTTGTACCTTGCGCACCTTGCGCTTTTCGTGACCGTCTTCGTCAACTATGATGAGAACTTCTCTGCCTTTGCTGTCTCGTTCTATCCGCGTGCCAGGGGCTTTTGCGCCAATCTTTCTGAATTTTGATCCTAACGCAGACTCCTCTTTTGCTTTGGCTGCATCTCGTGCGGCCTTCATCTCGGCTAAAATCATGTCCCTCGTCCTCTTCTGTCCAGGCTTTAGAGTAGTCGTAGCCAGTTGGCCTTTCTTGCGAGCCTTCTCTTTTGCGACAGCCTCGATCTTGGCTTCCTCCAGCTCCTCGAACGCATCGTCGACGTCCTGGGGTTCGGATTCCTCCTCCTGCTCTTTGCTCTCGCCGTAAACATTTTCGCCTTTCCTTATGCGCTCAAGTAGCTTGGAGTCCAAACCCTTGATTAGATGTGTGCTGGAGAGATCGCCACCAGCAATCTGGCTTTGCAACTTGTCAAAGGCGGCCTGGTCGATTTCCTCTTTCTTCAGAGCTTCCTCCAGTGCCTTTATTCTCACAGCACGTTCGTCTGCCTCTTCGTTTGCCCTCTCCTTGGTGCGGTCAATATAACCTTCGGCAAGCTTGATGCCTTTGGGTGCGGAGGATCTCGGCTTTTTTTGTTGCTGCTTTTGGCCCCGGTTTCGCTCGGCTAGCTGTCGTTGAAAATCGGATCTACCGAAACTGATAGACCGTCTGAAACCTGTTAGCATATGAGCGACTTTGATATCTTCTTGCGACAAGGCACTGCTTACGGCGTCATCGGAATACTTGATTTCTGTTTGGAGCCAAGCGCAACGGCGGCGCGTGGACGGGCTGGCGATGCACCATTGCTGTCGGCCTTGGGTTTGGGAGTATCTGCGCCTATCAGACGGCGGAACTGTTCGTTATTCATCTTAGAGAAGACTGCCCTGGGAGTGTTTATTGAAAGAAGCTATTTTATGCTTAGAATTCGCAGCTCCGGAACATTTAAACATTTGCGTGTCCCATGTTGATGTTCCGATCTTAAGGACAATCGCATCAGCCTCGTTGGTTGATAGTCGAGGCTGGTGCATTATCTGGGGGTTGTGGCGTTCTTTATGTTACAATTGCACTTAGTATCACAGGATGACGTGAGGCGAACGCGTCTGGGACCCACTTGAAACGCGCCTTCCGCAACCGCCTTCATCCTGGAACAGTAAATCGGTCCAAGAAATACCAACGACAGCTCGTCTGAAATGAGATGAATCGACCAGAGCATATCATTTTGACTGCTTGTCACTGCTATCGGTGTCGAGAGTCAGCATTCATCATCTCAACCAACTTTACTGCGCATCATGATCATCCCTTGGAACGGATATACTAAGCTAATGCGAGTCTTGGCCGTTGTTCGAAGGAAGATCATCTTCTGATCGAACTACTTAGACTCAAAATGGGAAGTCGACTGGAAAAGAACTCGCAGGCGGTGCGAAAGCGGATCGAAGAACACACCTTCTCAGATGAGCCTGGTGAAGAATACGAACCTAGCGCCTTCGGAGGCTTCCCAGATTACTTCCGACGCAAAAAGATCAAGTTACAGAATCTGGACTCAGAGTTAAGAAACTCCTCTTCGGACAAGCCTCAAATTTTTAAAGGGATCGTTGCGCATGTTTCTGGTTATACGCAACCGTCACTTCATGATCTCCATCGGGACTTGGTACAACATGGCGCCGCATTTTTGCAGTATCTAGATTCAAAGACCATGGCAACTCACATCATCGCGTCAAGCCTCCCGCCCAAGAAAATGGTTGAGTTCAACAAGTACAGGATTGTGAAACCCGCTTGGGTGGTCGACTCCATTGAAGCCGGAAAACTATTACCATGGACTGACTATCGAGTTATTGAGGAGACCCCAAGGCAGAAAACAATCAAATTCCACGGAGGCAATATGGGTACCCAGTCGCATGCGCAATCATCTCCATTAGCACGATATCGTGAACAAACCGACAAGAGTTTCTACACCAGTCAGCTGAAGAACGTCGTACGGACCATTGACGGCAACCAAAGCCAATCTTCAAGTCCATTCACTGCCACCAGAGCCAGGGGCATAACTGAAGATGTTGATCGAAACGATGTCATCATGAGATTCGAAGATGACCCGGTCACTAGGACAGCTGAGATGAATGACAATATCACCGTCAACAATTCCGGACAGACCGATGCATTAGAGGAAGTTGTGCCTGTTGGCAAGTCGTCATCACCTCTGATTCTTGGGGAAGCAACGGAAAACAATACTAGTGTAGAAACCCCAAACCTGCCGCAGGCCATGACCTCGGAGGAGCACAATGCCTTGTTACTCAAGGATCCGCGGATGAGGAAGTCGTCTACAGCGAACCCGGATTTTATTCAGCAGTTCTACTCCGAGAGCCGTCTGCATCATCTTTCAACCTGGAAAGCTGAGTTGAAATCGAGGATGCAAAAGCTTGCCGCACAGAAAGGGCTACAAGCCAAAGCGCCGAAAAGGAGAACAGGAACTCGACGTTACATCATGCATGTCGACTTTGATAGCTTCTTCTGTGCGGTATCACTCAAAAGCTCACCCGAGTACATCGACAAACCCACAGTAGTGGCCCACGGAAGTGGTAATGGATCGGAGATTGCAAGTTGCAACTACCCGGCAAGGAAATTCGGCGTGAAAAATGGCATGTGGATGAAAAAAGCAAAGGAGTTATGCCCTGATCTCAAGGTCCTTCCGTACGATTTCCCAGGTTATGAAGAAGCGAGCCGGCTGTTTTACGAATCCATACTAGAGGTCGGCGGTATTGTGCAAAGTGTCAGTATCGACGAGGCCCTTGTCGACGTCACCTCGGTTACACTCAACGCTGTTAATTCCAGTGGCAGTGGAGTTGAAGAGGGGAGCATATGGAGAGAGCAAGAAAAGGTGGATCAAATTGCACTCGATCTACGGGCCAGGATCAAGGAGAAGACAGGCTGTGCTGTATCAGTGGGAATTGGAGCCAATATTCTTCTAGCGAAAGTTGCTCTGCGCAAAGCAAAACCCGCTGGGCAATTTCAAGTGAAACCGGATGATGTGCAGAACATTCTGGGAGAGCTAAAGGTCGATGATCTCCCTGGAGTCGCCTATAGCATTGCCGGCAAACTCGAAGAGATTGGAGTGAAGTACATTAACGATATTCGGCAAATCTCGAAAGAGCGTCTTACCTCTACACTCGGGCCCAAAACGGGAGAGAAGTTATGGGAATATGCTCGGGGTATTGATCGCACTGACGTCGGTGATCAGCCTATACGGAAATCCGTCTCCGCCGAGGTCAATTGGGGTGTACGATTTATATCTCAGGAAGAGGCAGATGAGTTTATTTTCAATCTATGCAAGGAACTCGAAAAACGTTTGATCAACGAGCAAGTCAAGGGGAAACAGTTCACCATGAAAATCATGAAACGATCATCAGACGCGCCTCTGGATCCTCCGAAGCATCTTGGGCATGGAAAATGTGACACTTTCAACAAAAGCACAATTTTTGGTGTTTCAACTCATGATCATGAAGTTCTAGGCAAGGAAGCGGTATCGATATTGCGTTCTTTCAGGTTCAGCCCAGGCGATCTCCGCGGTCTGGGCGTTCAACTGACCAAACTAGAGCCCATTAAGACATTCCCCTCAGGGTCAGAGAGCAGCCAAAAGAAACTGGATTTTGCTGCTTTCAAGGGTCCCGCCGCGGCAAAGAAGACTGCCCAAGATCCCATCCAAGATGGAGGCGGCAGTCCGGAGAAGTCGAGCCCAACGCAAGGTCCCAGGGATGCTCAAGATCCAATTATAGATGGACCTTTAACGCCACAGAAGCCCAAGCCCTATCCTATGCATCCAGCACTCACCATATCGAAAGCCAATGAGAAGGACACCAAGGCGAAAACACTGTTGAATATTGGAGGGACTCAATTTGTTATGCCGACTAATCCAGATCCTGGTGTTTTGGCCGAACTTCCTCCAGATATACACTCAAGACTTTTTGTGCAAGGGAGAGCTCTGCCGGAGAAGCAGCAAGAGTCGCCATCTGTCAGGTCGAGGACTCAGAGTTCTTTATCGCTAGATGACATACCTCCTGACGTGGACCCGGAGGTGTTCAAAGCATTGCCTGATGATGTGAAAGCCGAAATACTAGCTACGTACAAACCAAGGGCTGTCCAGACACCTCGGAAGGACCGTATCATCCCGCCAACAAAGAAACTCACGCCCACAAAGCGTCGAGCGCCAGGACTATTTGCTCGAGCCCGAGAGAGACAGGCCGATGCCAACGCAAAAGTTGTACAGACAAACTTCCTACCGCTGAAACAGGTTCTTCAAGAGGAGACCGAAACTAGCGATGTTGAAGAACTCGATCCCAACATCCTGGCAGAATTGCCGGAAGAGGTGCGCAAAGAAGTTATCGCTGACCACCGGCAAAGGAAAGCCCAGCGTTCGGGCCTGAACCTGAAAATTTACCGCAAGCGAAATCTGGACGCCGGCGAGGAAGAACTCCTTCCAGGGGGGCAAATGAAGTTGCAGTTTGCGCCGCGGCCAGCAAAGATTGCATTCACAAGTGCGGGATTGACGTCGGTCTCAGAAATACGGGACATGCTCAACGTGTGGCACAGGGAGACGGGAGTAGAGGGTCCACATCGAAGGGACGCAGATATGTTCGAGAAGTACCTGGTCAGGGTTGTCCTGGAAGAGAAAGACATGGATAAAGTCATCAGACTGATCAAGTGGCTTGAATATCTGGTCGAAGAAGACGAGTCGACAAGTCGCGGCAAAGAGAACTGGCAGGCTGTTATGAAAGGCATCAAATCTGAAGTACAGAAAGCGGTGCAACAAAGGGGATTGGGACCCTTGGATATATAAGATGAGGCGGTCTACACTGGCAATGACACACACGACTAGAGATACCATGAATCAAAAGAAAATCCATCCAGGGCGATGTCTCAGAAACAACGTGGCCCGCTGTCTGCTTTGGGAGGATTATAGGCAGAAACCCGGGTATTTGATATTAAAGGACATCCACTCTACTTTTGACGACACCAAATGTTGCTCTTCCACGACCTACAACAACCCAACCACTGCCGCAACACTCCCAACCAGCACTCCCGTAGCCAACATCCCCATGTCCAACCCCCTCCCCCCCCTGCTGGCGTCATTCTTCCCATCCTCGGTCAAATTATACAAACTCAACCTTAAAGCACCCCCGCACGCCGTCGTATTATCCCCATCACAAGCCGTATTGCAGTCTGCATCATCCAACTTAACACTCAGCGAGCTCAGTTCGTCGGCGCACCAGCACTCGCGCGAGTACTCGAGCCCAGCGACCCGGTACTGCGTCTTGGCGGTGTTGTTTCCCGCGCAGTAGTTGAGACACAGGGGAACCGTCATAGTGACCGGGACTTGTTCCGAACTACCGCCTGCGAGCGCGCGGAGCCCCTCGGTGTTGGGGATTTCCGTCGTTTCGTTCCAGCAGCCCGCGTAGTGGTAGGTGGAAGAGGAGTCGAAGATATTGAGGTCTGCGGCTTGGGTTGGGGTGATGGTAAGGAGGAGCAACGTAAAGAGGAGGAGGATCAGATGGTAGAAGGGACCCTGGGGAAGATTGTTGGAGGCCGCCATTGCTTATGGAGAGTCGGCAGCCGACTCGCAGAATTCTAAGCTGGGAGGTACAGTAGTGAAGTGGAAATCCAGCTAAAAGCACGCAAGTATTCCCCGAGGAAGATGTGTAATATGGCTTCAGTGTCGACACAGTTTATAAGACTTGCTCATTTGCTTCGAGATCATTTAGATCTCGACTTTCTCCCGAGATCCAGGGTCCTAGTCGCGCTTACGTCGCGGCCCCAATGATATTCAGCCCTGCATCCAGCTGACGATACCAACAAGCAGGAAAAGACCTTGGAAACTGAATGATATTCAAATAGGATTCGCGAAGCACAAGAGCCGGGCAAGGAAGAAAAGCGCCCCAAAATAGTCAACAATGGAGACGGTCGGTTCAAGTCTGCCACAATGTCTAGGAGAGCGTTGCCAAAATTCGATTGTCCTGAGCCAAGACCGACCAGCGGTGATTCGACGGATTCTACAATGATGGCTAGCTGCGATGGTCAAAACAATAAGCACTTGCGCAACTGGGCTAGTGTGGTGCTGCAGGATGGTGTCTAGGCCCCTGGCGAATTGTTAGGCGATATTGAACCCTGGCCGCAGATTTGACGTGAGGCTGAGATCTGAAGGTGGATATTGGTAACACCGGAATGCAAGATGATGTTCTGGATGAGGGCCGGCTGTTGTTACCCCTCGCAGTTTGCCCATAATTGCTCCGCATTAGAGATTTTCAAGAACATCCCTTGCAGTAAAAGCCATGGGAGCATATTTCTGGTAGCGACCATGCAGGGTGATTAGTCAGCCATCGCTCACTCTTGAAATTCGAGTATGTTGCCGCTCCTTGCAAGTCGAACGCCCGAAACGGTTGGCCACCGATGGCGAAGCTGGGAGTTGGCTGAAATTTCGTGACTTCCTATCATGTCATGGGTATCAGTTTCTACAATTGGTCTACAGCATCTATATATAGTTCATTGCAGGTCCAGGTCGCGGCCAAAGGGCCGATCATCTAAAGGACTACCGACCATCTTTGATACCCCAGCTGCCGACCAAGGCCATAGCCTTTTCGTCGCCATTGATCAGTCGTTCATCCTGAAGCGCGTCGGAGAGACACCTCCATGGATCCCGACTGCCTCCCCATTTCAGGAGGTTTTCTTTCAGCCGTTCGCCGTTTGCTCTGTCCAGGGCTCCTCCATTTTGACCTGCAGAAAAGACGAGATTCCAAGTTCGTTCCGAGAGGACTTGGTCGAAGAGATAGCTGTAGTATGTGCTGCCATATCCGTACAAATGGCCAAAGAACCCTTGCCATTTCGTGCCCTCGGCATCAGGCGGTAGTTTGCCATAGGTGCGCTGCAGATTGAGGTAAATATCGGTCGAGTTGAAACCCGGATTTGCAGGTTGCGATGAGTGATACTCCTGATCAAGCATGGCGAGAATGATCTGATTTTCCCTATCCGAAGCTTCAAAACGCTGGGATATGTGTAGTCGATCTGCTACCAACTCGTAAGGGAGCGGTTCGTCTGTAATATGGTGCCGTGCAAAAAGGGCTAATACACTTGGATTGGCACAGAAATGCTCCATCAGCGTTGACGGTAATTCCGCAAAGTCTGTAGCACACCTTGTTCCAGCAACATTATGAAGAGATGTCCGCGCTAAGACAGAGTGGATCGCATGACCCATTTCGTGGAAAAGCGTCTCCATCTGATAGTAGTCCAGGAGCGCTGGTTCACAGCCTCCGGGGCTGGCATGATGAAAGTCGCACACCAGAGCGATTGTAGGTAACTGTTTTACAGTTCCTGACTGATTCGAAAAGTGCATTCCATCGTTTGCTGCTTCGACCGCAGTATCAAATGAAGGCAATAACTCATTTGAATGCTGTTCAGCTGCCTCTTGAATTTCTTGCTGGGAAATTTCCCTGGAACAGCGTACGGTGAAATGCGCAGGATTTGGCGACTTGTCTTCTCTATAAAAGAGGTCGCAGTATAGGACTGCGACATGCCCGTCGGTATCAGAAACAACATCGAGTCGTCTAACGTCGGGATGCCACGTTTCTCCAGGCAGAGTGTCCCGGGGCACGAAGCGGATGCCGTACAATCGAGTGAAGAGTCTCGATAGTCCCTGCATAACGGTCCCCAACGAGAAATAGGCAGATAAGAAGTCATTGTGACGGGTCCGTGACCGTAAGCCCCTTCGTATGCTTTCCATATAATAATCTTTGTCCCACGGCTGCAATGCGGTGGCGTTCTGTCCTTTGGCCCGCCGTAAGTCTGCAACCTCCTGCTCAACTCGAGGGCGATTATGTTTTGTCAGAGAAAGCAAAAACTGTTTGACGGATTCTGGGGACTTGGCCATCATCCTATCCCGCAACGCCATCTGACCGTAACTTTCAAAGCCCGACAAATTGGCAAGCTCGGCTCGCAACCGGAGCATGGCTTCTAGTACTTTAATAGACCGTGTTGATGCTTTTCGAGTAGCAAAATACAAGATCTTTCTTGTCTCCTCGTCGTGGACGCTTCTTAATGCGACGGTCGCCTCTGGTGACATAGTCGGCAAATGCAACTTTCCCAGGGCGCTTTTGTATTTTTGAGCAAGGCGAGGGTCCATGCCGTGGAATTTGCTACTTGGCAAAACCACCTTGTAGTCCTCTGGGGCCATGTCTTCGACAAAACTCGACCCGACCTCGCTAAGTTTCTGTGATAGATCCACAAATCGATCCCGCGACTTTTTGGGTAGGTGAATGGCCGACTTCATGAAATCTTGCATGAGAATGTTGGCGACAGCCTGCTCCTCTTCAGTCCAGCTTGCTAGCACTTCTGGATTGTCGAGTGCCTTGCCAAGTTGATCTTTTAAACCAGTCGTGGTATTCAACTGGTTCATGTACTGATACACGAGCGACCATGCCTGAGAGGCGGCGGATTGAATCGACTCGTCCGGGTGCGTAACGCGCACGAAGTCGGTGACATCGAGCACCCTACAGAGCAGGTCACTGAGCCTGTCCAAGTCTCGAACCGTGGCCTTGTACTCCTCCAGTGTAGACGCATTGAGAACCTTATCGACCACTTTCTGGGCTCGCATTAATGTGATTTGGGCGAACATGAGGAAACCTTCAGGCGAAGTAAGGTACTTGTTTCTGAAGAGTCCCACATTGTCGCCGCTCACCACCTTGCTCGACTGTTGCGCAAATGCTTTGAAGGTCTGGGGGGAGTCGAATAGCTGACGTAGGAGCGAGTCGTCGTGTTTCGCGCCTAGCGGAGAATGGTCTACGGGCGTTCTCGAGGAGTCATGGTGGGCAACACCGGCAGCCGCAGACAGCAAGCGGCGTTGAGGGTATCGAGACGTTTGACGCAGGCACCTAAAAGAGGTCCATAGACCCGAACGAACGGATCTGATCATAATAAGGGGTAAAAGTACATAACTGAGTCCGTAAAGAGAAATTATTCGAAAATGTACGTACAAAAGGAACAAATATCATTGAAGCTCGCTATTGCGACATGGTGCAGATAGTTGAAGGTCCGATTCGCGCCGTGGGAAAGCGCGGGCAAGCGGTGACGAAATGCTGGCAAGGCTGGGCGGGTCGCTGAGCCAGAAATTTCCAGTTCCCCGGAACTAGCCGAAAAGATACTCCGTGCTTGATAGTAGCTTCAACGTCCGTCCTACCATCTGACGACCACCCAATCCAACCTGCAATTGAGGGCAACATGGCAGCGAGATTGTTGCTACGACGGGTAAGGCTCAATACGTACTCACAAAAGGAGCTTCTCGAATACTGACATTGATGACGAAGCGTGCCGTCACGCCTTTCATGGCCGCAACCCTCGTCGGGGCAGCTTTAATTCCCTCGAATGCATATGCAGAGGCGCCGGAAGATCTGGTACGATTTTGGGAGTCCAGCATGCCCCAGAAAGATCCTTGAGGCATCTCCTTGAGGCCACGCTGACAAGTGAAATTCAGAGTAAAAAGCCGATCTACGACGACTACGAGGCGCCGCTCCCCAAACCCACAACCCCGGCTCCCTCTCCATTCTCCGGCACAATCCCAACAACAGAGTCTCCGAACCAGAAACGAGGCCCAACACCAACGGATCGCTTGGCCGTGCAGATAGGGAAAGCGCGCATGTTCCTGTATCAGCAAGCGACTGCTGCCGAGGATGCCGTCAACTCAACCATGGACAAAGCCTTTGACCTGGAGAAGTCCTTCACCCAGACCGTAGCCTCCCTGGCTCCGCCACGCGAGAGCGGTGAGAAGCTGATGCCGGGGCTGGTCTACGTCTTAGTGGCTGGCATGGCGGGCAGCATTGTGACGCGCAACCGGAACATCTTCTTACGTGCATCAGTACCCTTGGCACTGGGAATTGGCGCCGGATGGCTCGTGATCCCAGTGACGATGAACAACATTTCGAGCTTGGCGTGGAGATACGAGCAGAAATTCCCGGCCGTGGCAGAGGCGCATATTAAGACGCGTGAGAGCTTCCAGAGGGGCTGGCAGATAGCCAAAGCGCGCTCGGGCATGTCGAAGCAGTACGTCGATGAGAAGGTCACCGAGGCGAGAGACGTGGTGGAGAATTGGGTCAAGAAGGGCAAATAAAAGCCCCCACTAAAAGCTTGAGGCTGTGTACTATACCTAGAAGAATAGACCTACGTCTCTTATGTCTACATTGAGTGCTCGTATTGATGGCTTTGTAATAAAACTTTGGCAGTAACATTGCACAATTTGTGTATCATATTGTCTGCCGAAATGTTCAATTTCGCAATTTCTGTAAGAAAGTTGACAAGAAATCTCCAATTGGAATGCGAGTATTGATAATGTCCCTTGATACTCTGAGTTTTGACCTGGTAGTCGTATCTTTCATACAAGTAACAGTCTCCCTACCTACTTTACTTGAACAGATCGGTCACTCGTATCGTATACGATACGCCGCCTTGATAAGCTGACGACCCCATAATTGCTCATACCAAAATTCCAGTTCATAGTGATTGTGATGTAGAGCACTCTGGAAACAGACTTCGGCATTTGATGTAATTACACGCTCGTTCAAAATATACGAGAACATCTGTATAGGTATGGGGCTAAGTATCTACGAGTCTATCTGGGTATATGAAAATGCATCACGCGATCCAGCCCACCAACGCAACCATCATTACCTAGATACATCTGTTCCACGATGACTCTTATGCCTGCTACGCTTCCTTTGTTTCTGTGGACCCAACCAGCAGTCCCAAAACCCGCTCATAAGTCCATATAGTGACCGCGCTCGCCGGCGCCGCCTTGAACAAGCTCACTGTCAACCCCCTATAGAGCCCCCTCACGCCCTCCCTCTCGACAATCATCCTGATAGCTTTGGTAGCCCCCAAATCGTACCGCGGAATATCCTTATACACATAACTCTCCCTCGTTGGGCCCTGCACCTGAATCCGCTTGCGCACCAGATCAAGCGGGAAGACGCCTGTCTTGGCCACGACACTAGCGACGACCCCAGCCGTAGCATCCCCACTGCCGAATGGCAAATCCAGTTTTCCCAGCGGTAGCCGCAGCTGCTCGTAGATAGCGAAGAACAGTCCCATGAAGGGTACGATCTGCGCGAGACCGGGTCCCAGACCGCGGAAGAAGCCCTTGGCCCCCTCATCGCGGCGGATGTTGCTCACGGCCTGGCGTAGCGAGCTGTAGACGCGATTGGTGCCCTGGGCGGCGAAGCGGGTGCGCAGAAGGTCGAGCGGGTACGTAGACGCGGTAGCAGTTGCGCCGGCCCCGGCTCCCGCGACGAAGCTCTCGACTGACTTAGGGATGGTACGGTCGCCAAAGATGCGGTGCAGGAGAAGCGTGATAGACCGGTAGGTGGTGAACTGGATGGCGGCGTACGAGATGTACATCAGCTCGGCGGTGACATTGCCCTTCCAGAACCCGGTTATGCCCTCATGCCGCAGGATGTGGCGGGCCGTCGCGATGGTGCCCTTGAAGCGAGGAGATGGGCCGCGCAGGGATGATGGCTCTTGATGGTTGAGCGGGTCGAAGAGGGAATGCGATTGCAGCTGCAGGCGAATCTTGACAACGTCGAGTGGTGCGATGATGAAGCGCGATATCAGACCTGCCGTTGCGCCGGCGGTAACCACTTGGAGTCTGGAGCCCTGGAATTGCGCGCAATAACGTCAGCTTGGCCTTCTGTGACATCTGTGGGAATGAAGACCTCCCAAATCCATACCTCATCTTGAAGGCGCTGGCTATGGGCGCTCTTCGACATGCATCCGTGGAGCCCTACCCGGACCAAGGGTTCTGTTTCTGCAATGGTTGCTGATCTAGACGCGCCCTCAAGAAGCACTAAATTCGATAGTTCCAAAAGTTGTTCGGATGATCCCGTGCGCAGAGCTGCCAGTTTCTAGACTCGACGGTTCCGAAATAGCGCGTACCAAGCTGTAAGGGACCGGCTTCTGGAACAAAGCAGACACGTGCATACGTTGAACTCTAACCTTACATGAGGCCTGTGTAATTAGCAGTAATGATGAGTCTCTGGGATGACGACGTGATTTGCTTTGTGCGCGAGCCTCATATCGTTCCTGGGTCATTCTCGACCATTTTACGCTTTCCATCGGATTGGGGAAGCATGTTCCTGCTAGTGACTTTAGGTAAGCACGAGTTGCCTACTGTATCCATTGCTATCTGCGGAGAGCTTGCTGATCTCCAGCTTGGTATTGTTACTGTCAAAAATGCTTTGGAGAAGATGAACAGCATTGGATGTCAGGCCCGTCAACCACATCTTGATAAAGAATTGTCATCACCTGCATCGGTACTATTTTGGCGCCCGGGGCCTTCTTCAATAATTCCATGGAACACGGCTGATGCTACCTACCCTAGCTCGAAGTTCCCGATGCCCGTGACCCCACCAAGCCAGACCTTCATGATCCGCAGACTGGCATTTCCTTCTGTCCGAAACAATTCAGGACCGCACTGGGATTGGCTGAAGACGCCCGCTCCTGCAGTCTGACCGGCAGCTAGCCAACAAGGGCGACGTAGCGGTCATCTCTCAGTTTCTCCATTTCTCCAACCTGCAGGATGCAAGCTGGGGTACCTCTTCTTAAGGTGAACGAACTCTCAACCTCTGCTCGTGCATCGCGGCTCCTACCGCATCCTTACTCTCTTCTGGCATCCTTGGTGACGCGTGTATAATCCATACAATACTCTTGTTTTATATTTCTATTCACCTTGAATTCCATAAAGGTCCGACACTATCAGCTCCTTCACCCCGTGTTGTGTGGGGGATAGCTGTGGTAGTTCGACTTGCATGTGATATCGCCTCTATCCTTGCGGCCCCCAGACTTGGGAACATTCCGACCACTACCTACTCTGCGCAACGCGTCCCTTTGTTCTTGGGTTGAACTCCGTTGGTCAACATGGCGTTGTCTTCCAATATCAAGGTCCCAGATCTACGAGACCGTCTAGGGCCCGTCTTGCCTTCTTTGCCACCCGCTGCACTCTCAGTAGAGGTTTCAGATACCATCCTCCCATTTCTCTCACCGATATTACGCCAGCGGGTACAGCTCTTATCTGCGTCTAGCACAGAACCATGGATCGGGCTGTTATGTTACGATCCTGCAAAGGTACCAAAGCTCTCGGAGATTGCCCAGAGCAATTGTCTAGAGCCTCATCCTGTCAGTGGTGAGGTCGAGGTCGATTGGGATTATGACGCCGAGACTCGCTATCGCAGGGTTGACGAAGAAACTCTTCAAGCCCTCGTGGCGCTACAAGGTTTTGGATTGTCATTTCGCCTCGTCTATTGCGCGGGGGATCCTATGGGCGGGGATGGATGGAGAGTTGGTGAAGTCAGTGTTGTCGATACACCCTCTGCTTTCTCGTCTTTTGGGGGAGTTTCGACCATCGAGGAGGCAGAACGTCAATTCAACGAGTCCAAGACAAAGAATGCAGCATCGGCGACCGGGGGCTCCAAGAACGCCACCGCAACAGCAGAAGACAATGACGATGACGATGACTACTGGGCTCGGTACGATGCAACCCCTGCGCGAACGCCCGCTGCGCAACGATCACCTGCGCCGGGTTCGACAAATGGTCGCAACACAGGAAACGAGGAGGAAGATTACTATGCCCAATACGATTCGGTACAGCCTGCCATGGATAACCACGATCCAGACGAGGAGGTTAACATGCCAGATATTGCACCGCCTCTGGGTCTCTCCTCGAGATCAACGCATCCCGCTCACGATCAGCGGAGCGACGAGGAGGTCGAGTTGAACGAAACTAATGGTGCTTGGACTCTTGCGGACTCTGCACGATCGCCGTCTGCAAGCCCGAAACGTGAGAGTGATCCTAGCATTGCTCACCCTCGCCCGTCATCGAGTGCCAGCTCCAATGCATCGGTCGAGAAACTCGAGGCCGCCGCAGAAAACTTTGGCGTCCAACAGCACATATCAAGGAGCATTAAGAGCCTCTTCATGCTGTCGCGCGCGTCGGGAATCGAGCGTGCCGATTTTGAGCGTATCGTCAAGACAGAGCTTGATATGTTGGGCCTGATGGAATATTGAGTGAGAGGATTTGGGTTGGGACGTCTTGGGTCTACAGCTACATTATTGCATCACGTTAAGGCGTAAGGGAATTCATCAAATAAGGCATTCGAGAGCATGTCGTTTGGAGTTTATATGACGACATTCACGGAAAGTAATCGCAGAATTTGAACTTGTGAACAGGTCAAACCAGCTACCTTCAAATTTGTGATAACTGTGTTATTTTCTAGGCCTTCTCACCCTGCATTCTACCCACAGGGGAGACATGCTAGTTTTATACGGAGTGCCACGTTGTCACAACGGATATCTTCTTTAAGATGGATACTATACCACCCGACGAACATTCGTGTAAACGCCTCTTAGACATCATCATGCGAAGGAAGTTCTCCGAAAGTTGCAATACAAATAAAATAAGAAACTATTTTTGCGCGAAATCTGGAATCAGTATGGGATTTTCATTTGATGTCATGTTGTTCTCAACCAATGCTTTGCCAGCCCGTGGCGACCTTACCCCACGTTTCCAGGTATCGTCGTTCGTGCCCCTCCATTTCGCCCCAATTGACCAACTATTACCCTTCTGACTCAGAGAAACACCGTCGACCAAAAGTTCGAGCTCGAGATGCAAAGATAACGAACACAATTAAATTCTGCGCCCATTGGATCCTTCGACTTTCACGACGACCCTAACCATGACTCCCGAAGCGTCGATCGCTTTGATCAAGGCCAATTTGGCCGAGGTGCTCAACCCCGAGATCATCGACGATGTTATCCTCAACCAGAAACGACCCCTCAAGGTATACTGGGGAACAGCACCGACCGGAAAGCCTCACTGTGGCTACTTCGTGCCTATGGTCAAGGTCGCCGAACTTCTCCACGCAGGGTGCCATGTAAAGATCCTAATCGCCGACATCCACGCCTACCTTGACAACATGAAGGCGCCGCTGGAGCTCGTCGAGTACCGAGCCCAGTACTACGAATTCCTCATCAAGAGCTTGCTCACGGCCATTGGCGTTGATATTGCGAAGCTCGAGTTCGTCCGCGGCAGCTCGTACCAGCTCGAAAAGGACTACACAATGGATCGCTACAAGCTGGAAGGTGTCACGAGGATCTCGGTCGCTCAGAAGGCAGGCGCCGAAGTCGTAAAGCAGATGGACGACCCTTGTCTAGGCGGTCTAATCTACCCTCTGATGCAGGCACTGGATGAGCAATATCTAGATGTCGACTGCCAGGCGGGCGGAGTCGATCAGAGGAAAATTTTCACGTTTGCCCTGGAGAACCTGCCCAGAATCGGGTACAAGGTGCGGGCGCATCTGATGAACGCCATGGTTCCGGGTCTGGGGGCGGCAGCGAAGATGAGCTCGAGCGAACCGGATTCGAAAATTGACCTGCTAGATACTCCCGAGGACGTGGGTAAGAAGCTCAAGAAGGCGCATTGCGCGCCCAAGACACTCGAGGGCAACGGTGTCGTGGCGTTCGTCGAGCATGTCATTTTCCGCGTACAGGCAATCAAGACCGGAGGCAAGCCCAGATTTGTCGTTGAGAGGGAACGAGACGGCCTTGAAGCCTTGGTTTACGACGATATCGCTAAGCTGAAGGATGATTTCGAGAAGGACATTGTAAGTGGCAGGTCTAGTCCATGGTATCGTAGAAACATGCTAACCTACTTTCAGTTGACACCTCAACTACTCAAGGCGGCGCTGACCAAGGCGCTCAATGATCTCCTGGCTCCGATTCGGACAGAGTATCTTGCTTCTGAGGCATGGCAGAAGGTTTCAGAGGCAGCCTACCCACCAGAGAAGAAGGTAGTCAAAGAGAAGAAAGTAAAGAGCCTCGGCGATCCTGCGAAGAAAGCAGAAGCGGAGAGGAAGAAGGCAGAAGCGAAGGCGGCGAAGGAAGCTGCGAAAGCACAGCAGGGCGGGGTAGAGGGTGTCAAAGATGGTGTAGACAAGCTAAACGTGTGAATCTCACTTGAAGATCCCGAGATATACGCTCCGTGGTATAGACCACGCAGGCTTAGCCGCCTCTGCTGAATTTCGGTCGTCCGATGCAGCGGATTGTGTGAGGGAGTCCAATAGATGGCCATAGATGACATGATGAACATTCATAGACGCATGAGATTACAAAATGAGGAAATATTCGGCAGTCTGAAAATCGAGCTCTCTGAAGAAATTGCTTCGTCCAGGCCTAGATTGGTATGTCCTCAAGTAGTCTTTGTCCTTGTCTGAAGTTGAGAGAAGGTACCCGGGACCCAATCCAGGGGTTAAAGATGTATGGGCCAGGCAGCCGCACTGACCAATCATCACCACCTAACTCAATTGGCGCAGGGTCCAGAAAAAAAGTGAGCTCGAACCGGCCGCACCTTCACGGCTTAGTTGATCTGGTCGTAGTTTGCAACCAGATTCCGCATCACACACCATGTTCAAGCCTAGATTAAGAGTGCCGCGCGTATGTCTGCCGCGGCCTAGGCCAGCAGCCGTGATGCGCCGGTGGCAGCACTCAATGCCACACGCCATTCCCGTTCCTGTATCAGGGCTTACAGGAGCAGCAAACGGTATTCCGGGCTTGTTCTCGCGCGAAAGCTTCCACCTCCTGTGGACCGAGTACCAGACGTTTGTGATAGAGCGGCTCAACCAGCTGATAGTTGGTGAGTCGCGTTGCGTGTGTTCCTTCGGGAAAGACGCTTCTAGCATGCGGAAATGGGTCGACTGACGAAAGGCGGGATACAGGCACCCAATACGAGCATATGGAACCGTTACGAATCCTTAAGCAGACTGCGCGCGAGCCGTCGCTGGCCCCCGTCTTCAACTACGCCTCCATGGCACATAACAACCACTTCTTCGTTAACACCCTCAACCCGGACTCCGAAGAGAACAAGCCGATGGAGGTGCCTTCGAAACTCAAGCTGCAGCTCGAGGCCCAGTTCAGCTCCATGGAGACGCTACGCCGCGAGATGATCCTCACCGCCTCGACCATGTTCGGCCCGGGCTTCGTCTGGCTCGTCAAGAACCATAAGAGCTCCCAGTACCGCATCCTCACAACGTACCTCGCCGGGTCGCCCTACAGTGAGGCCCATTGGAGACGCCAGGGGATCGACATGAACACGGCGCCGGGGCCGACGAGCGCCGACGACAACGCCACGACAGGGGAGTACCTCGAACGCCAGAAGCTGGGCTCGGGAGCGTCCCACGGCTCAAAGTGGAGCAAGGACGAGGCGCCCGGTGGCATCACCGTCATCCCGCTGCTGTGCGTCAACACGTGGGAGCACGTATGGCTACGTGACTACGGCGTGGGTACCGGAGGGCGTGGTGGCAAGCGTCTATACCTGGAAAACTGGTGGAACTCGATCGACTGGAACAAGGTGGCCGATGCTGCGCAGGTCCACGGCAAGTCTCTGAAGCTGTAATGAGGGGAAAACAGGCAGGGCTTTTGGTCGAGTCGCGGGACAGATGGGATACCTGGGGCAAGCAAGCAATGCTGCGTTGTAAGATAGCGTGCAAGGTGGATGCTCTCCCGGGCGATGAGAGCCCCGTGTTATATGCATACATGTACCATGCTGTACTTACTGTATATGATTGAGCTTCGACATAACCGGTACGTCGACATCAATTGCGCAATCGTCACCATGCCAGGAGACGAGAACGGCCGCGTCTTTGAGACGTCCACCGTGGGTCGTTATCATATCTAAGTTGAGGACACAGCTCAACTAGTAGTTCACAATGCATGCATACAATGTATATCCAAGGTCTAGAAAGTGGGGGACAAAGAGGCAAACAGATTCGTACACTGAACGACTGTATCTGCCGGGCCAGGGTTGCTTCCAAAGATACGCAAAACCCTGTGCTAGATGGAGCTGCGAAATTACCATACATATCCAAATGCATATCCAAGGACCCGAATCGTTGAACCTCGTCTCCCCTCGGCAGGCTTGGTAGCAGCAAGACACTATCTTTGTCTGATCACCACATATCAGTTCTATGGCACAAATACTCGTCAACTGTCCATAAACATTGCGGGCTTTCTCTTCTCGCTTCCCACAGAGCCATGGCCCCAAGATAGTGATTTGTATAGGCTAGGCTACCACCAATCCATCTTTAAGCTTGCGTAGTGTCTACTTTGATTCAAATTCGGGCCGTGGCAGCCAGCTACCGTAGTTTTCAACCCAATTTTGACAACTATTCGAAAAGGGGCCGTCAGTGGAGAGTTGGGGACGACATGATGGCTTTACCAAATGCCTTTAGTGTGTTATGTGTTTTTCACTTCATCAACTAACGCCACTAACAACGCATGTAGTGGAGCCCTGTAGCAGGTCTGGATTGATTGTGCATGATTTGGACTCTGTCTCGTGATAGACAAACTAGAGCCAACTTCCGCTATACCTGCAGTCAGCTCCACAGACTCTTCAGTCCTGGTAATGAAAGGACAGTGCCCAGAATCGATCCTCCTATGCTCACATTCAGCACCGCAGCTGCGATTTGCTCCTTAGACGGCGCCGGTATAGCCTGGTGCCTCTCATAGATGAGGTAGTAAGCAGGAGTCGAGTGAAATTTAGGAGTGAACGTCACCGCCGTGTGTGAAGAGCATCCTGCGATTGCCACTGCAGTTTCTTGGCCCACTTCTCGGCTTCCTCGTCGGACATGTCGTTGCGGAAGGCTGCTTTGGAGAGTTTGTTAGGTCCACAGAGAGAGATCGGCCGCCACCGAAGGCCAGACGGTCAGAGTACACGCCACGACTGGCAAGAAATAAGGTATCAGGACCATCGTCGTCAGCCGTCGTTAAGAATGGCGTAAGCGCTATCGGATCGTTTGGCGGTTTTCCGCTGTTTATGGTCATAGGAGTGACCCGTGATGACGAATCTCTTGTCGTCGTCCATGTATGGCATCATCGCACATGTTGTGGATTGCAAGTTAACAACGGATGACTCGATGAATAAATTTAAAATAAGGATACGTGTTACGCGTGGATACTTACAACATCGTCTTTCCAGGTCGCAAAGGGTTTGTTTCCAAAGTGACGCATGCTCCGGGACGAGGACGGGCTGGAACCTCTCGGCCGCGAGACGAGCTTTTGCTACATCGAAACATTCGGGAGCATGCACGCCACTTGCGACGAGAACAATATCGGGCTTGAAGGCTATTGTTTTTTTTTGATACTAGGGAAAAGTGTGTGTTTATGATTTGTGCTCCAACCAACTCAACGAACTTGTGTAATTCAGATGGGTAGACAAACATCGAGATGATTGCAAAGTAGAAAAGTTATATAGTACAATTATAACACGCACTGGATATTACATCCAAACGCGACGATCTCGTCTCTCACGCATGGGATGCAGTGTCCCTGCCAGGCGATATCCAATAAATGGAGAAGGCGCCAGGATGATCCCGTTGATACTTAGTCTACGCAATAGCCCCAACTCGACCAAACGATAGTCGTATACCTAACGCAATTCATCAGCTGTGACGGATGATCACCGCTTTTAAAAGCTCAAGAAGGTTAGCAACGCCTGGCCTGGCCACGGGAAGCAAACAGGGCAAACAAACAGCATAGCTAACCAATTCTGGGTCCTATATGGAAGGAACTATAACTCCGAGTGGATGATTTTCTGCATAATTATGTACTATATCGTTGTTGTTCACGGTACGCCAGAAACGAAACTTTTCCGCGTACAGTAGAACAGTTGAGATGTGTATTGGGTCAAGGCGCACTGATTCTTCATTCTCCGGCGTTCTTTTGGGGTTGTTGAGGCATTGGCTGTACAACAGCCTACCGATACATATGTCGCGGCGAGTGGAGTGTGATCCATCCACACCTAGACGACGATGGCGATATGCCCTTAGTCAAAATACATCGCGCATATCTGACTATCTTCTCGCCAATAGGCTAGCCCTGCCAACATGAAGGCCCCCTTCCGAGCATTTTTTAGTGTCCACTTCTTTATAAGCTTTTAGACTCTTGGGCTTTTCCGGCAGGGTTCGGTGGCAGCTCAGGGTTGTCGACTTGGATAGTAGGCGGGTTAACGGGTTCGCCAGGTCTGTCTAGTGATGCTGGTGGAAACACGGTCGTGAGTGGAGCGGTGCCTATGCAAGAATTGGATTGTATCTTCTCCAGATGCGCGCTACGGATTGGGGGAAAAGGGGAAAGGCAGGGTATTTACGGCATTGTTGCAGATGCTACCCTATATTCACACTCTCGTCTCTTCTGGGTAGTTAGCGTTGATCCATAACAAAATGATGCAAGCATCAGTTGGAAACTCGGGCATCGATGTGATTCAGGTATGCTGATTGACAAAGTTAGCTTGGGAATTATTTGGGAAGAAGTGACTTAGCACCTACCTGTCAAAGTTGAGCGATCAATGTACTCATCTGAGTCTCTGTAAGGGACTCTTAAGAAATCTAAATACATCATACACAGTCTAGAAACGGCTGGGCGAAAAAAACTAAGAATGTTTCCTTAAAAGTGATTCGTACAACCCACCGTCGTTAGCATAGTCCAGAGCCAGATGTTGTAACTCCAAACCTGTCCTGATTTGTCGACCGCTTCCTATTCTCCTCAATTGCGGCGTTCTATAGCACGTCGATCTGTTTTACGTCGACCAAGTGGTTTGCAGCCTGCTTATTCGAAACGTTCACTCCGGTTGGCTGCAGGGTCCTCATGCGGACTTGTCATCTCAACAAATGTGCCTGAGACTGACTATACATCACTGTGGTCTTGTGGTGGATGCCTCCTCAGGTAACAGGTCACATAATCAGGTTCAGATCACAAACACATTATCCTCATACCCGAGAACACAGAAACAATATAGACAGTACCCATGCACAAGAGTGGTAAAAACCGGGGAATGGAGCAACCTCTACAAGTCTAATCCGCATATCCCCGAATCTAGAGTCCTCATTGCCATCTCGTGTCATACTCTGGCGCAGCCAAACTGTCATGGGAACAAATGCATTTGCACCTTGTGTATTGCTTGTGATGAAACACAGAGATCAAGATAGCTGCTACACCTGAAAGTGAAATTAAATACACAATAAGCGCCTCTGAGTTTGAAACCCTGGATTAACCTCTCGAAGTGAAGCTACCGGAAACGCCGTGGGGAAGTGATGATCCTCCGGCACGCAGCAGGGCGGTTACCTGAGACAAACCCCAAGTTCCGTGTGTCGTAGTTGCAAAAATAGCAATTTCAGGAGAGTAAGTTCTCCATCTGGTTCGCCGCTGCTGCGACATAAATCAAGTCGAGCATCCCAATGAGAACGTATCCGTCGTCGTGTCAGTTTACTTCTTTAATATTCCAGACTCAGTCCGATGATCATAATCGCATCACCCTCAAAACTACTCCAAAATAGAGAGGATACTTGGTTATTCATTTTCATCTTGGTAAGTAACACTAGCTTTATGTCTCGTAAGGAGTGTGTGGTGATGTGTTCCATTTTTCATCTCATCTTCCTCTTCTCATATCAATCCTTTCATTTCATTCCTCAAGGCACAGCCAAAAACAAAACATAATGCGCGCTTTCCTTGATGGGAAAAACGACAGAATGAACTTGCCAGAATTAAATGCTCGTGTGGTTTTGCTTTCCATTTTCAGAAGCAATTTCTCGGTCATCATAATCCTCACTCCGCAGAAAATAAAACAAACAGCAAACAAGCAAACAACAAGAGTGGTATCAAATTGCCTTCTGGTCAACTCCGAATGTGTAAAAGGCATTGACGCCAACAGAATGGCGGAGAGGAAAGAGAAGAACAATAGCTAAAAGAGGCCCGGACAGACGGAGGCCACGCAGACGCGAGTCGGGGCACGTGGTATATAAAATGACGAAGCGGGGAGAGGGGAAAAAAAGCAGCAAGAATACCAGTGAATGGATATAGATAGATAGGCACAGTCGTCCTAAATCATGTTTCCGTTAACCGAGACCTCGAACCCCTCGCCCTTCTGCTTGAGGGCCTTGGCGAGCATGAGCTCCCTCATCCAATCAATGCGCTCATCACGGCTGCGCACAGCAAAATGGTGCGTCTTGCCCGTGCCATTGACACCCTCAGGACCAGCAGTCAGAAGTGCTGACCCCAAGCTGCTCTCGCGCTTGCGCAGACGCGCGCCGAGAAGTCCTTCCTTACCCTGGGGAATGAGCTGGAAGCTGAAGGCTGCGACGTCCTTGTTGTCCTTGTTGCCGCGAGAGATGCTCATGGCCTTGAAGGCGGCGTTGAGCTTAGAGGAGGCGAGCGACGAGCAGGCGATGGCATAGTCATCGACGTCGATGTACTCGAGGGTGCGCTCCTCGCGCGAGGCGGCGTCCTTGTGGATGGCGAGGCGGGTGCCTTTCAGGGTGGCGTAATGGTCGTGCCACTCATGTCGCAGCATCCTGGTCTTGCGCTTGCGGACAGGGCCTTGGTATGCGATGCCCTCGGCGTCCTTGATGGTGCCGTCCAAGGGCTCGCCCACGGGGAGGGTGCGCTCGAAGGCGGTGCGTTGGGGTTGCGCGGACCAGGGGTATTGGGCCCTGGGAGGGGCCTGGAGGGGCTGTTGGCCGGCGCGGCTGGGGACGCGGGGTGGTGATTTGGGGGTAGATAGGTGAGAGAGGTTCAGGGGCTGGGGCTTCTTGTGGACGAGAGGGGTTGCGGCGTTCTCGTCCAAGGGGGCCATGACCTGGAAGGATGGCCGCTTGGAGGCTCGCGACAAAGATCGGACGGGCACTGCTGGCGCCCGGTATCCCATGTCGGGAGGAACGGATTGCGACGCATCGCGAGCTACAGGGCCGAGGTCGATGGCGGTCACAGGGACATCCATCTCGGAGAAGGGAGTACCAAAGCGATAAGGGCCCACGGGTGTTGCCAAGTCATCAGCCAAAGGCTCGGCTTTGGACATGCGGTAAGGAGTGAACTCACGCGACAGGTTGGACGACTTGGAAGGTGCGTGCATGGATGTTTTCTTGGCCGCTTGCTTTCCGGGTATCGACAGTTTCGGCAGAGCTCGAAGACCCTCATGCGCGGGCGCGGCTGAGGGGTGCATCTCAAAGGGTGGTGTGGGCGGCACGTCGCTCGAGCCGGCCGCTACATGCTGATGTTGGAAATCTAGGAACTGCTTGACATTGTCCTGGGGATCTCTTTGCTGGACGCTGCGTAGGGTGGCTTCTTGCAGATACTGGAAGGGGCTAATGCCAGGACCAGGACCAAGCACATCCGAAGATGCAACGACTGATGGCACAGCATCCGAGAAAGGCCTCAGCACTTCGGTCGATGACGGGCGGTTGAGTGCTGGGGCCGACGCCGCGTTGCCTGGGTCTCCTGCCACCATGATTACGCCGCCCTCGTCAACGAAGGGGTGGTCCTTCTTGAACGCCTCGATCATGCGCTGTTGCCTCCTCCACTTGGAACAGTTCTCGCCCTTGGAGCAGTGGTGTGGCTTGGGCATGACCTGCTCGATGCCCACAATTGAGACAGATTCTAGGGGCGAGATAATGTCCTCGTGGCAGGGCTTCCTCTTGCTTTGACACCGCTTGGGCTTGTGGTCTTGCTCCTCTTGCTCCTCCATCCGTCTGCGTTCCCGTCGCACCTCCTTGTCCTCCTCATCCTCGATGGGCGTCTCAGGCCGCGGCGATTCGGGTCGGATGTCTCGTAGGTTGCAGATGTGTGACCAAACCTGCATCCTCACGCCAAACGACTGAATGTGCAGTTCTTTTAGATCCTCCGACTTGAGCGTGATTATGATGGCTCCATTGATGTCGTTCTCGACGAACTTCTCGGCCACCTGGACCTCGACGCCAGCGTTGAGCATCCACTGCGCCACCATCTCGGGAGACCACGAAACCAGTTCCCTCGATTCCAACTCTGCATTGCTAAACTGGAACGGCCCGCTGTCTCTTTGTCTTCCTCTCCGTGTCGGCAGTGGCTCGTAGTGTGTCGGTAGCGGCTCATGTGAGATGTAGAAACGGAAATCACCCTCGGACAGCGCTGGCGCCTTGGGCGTGATGGGCGAAAGACTGAGTGCTTGCTCGAATTCGGCTGAATGTGAAGATGTTCGGAAAAGGTGAGGACCTCTGGGGCCCTCGACCGGCTTGGACGGGTCATAATCAAACGGATACGCCGCGCGAGTCCTGCTCGACCTGGGCGTGTGTGCCTCCTCGTACGACGACAGTGTCGTTACACTTCGCTGCCCACCTGATGACTATGCGCAGAGCAGTGTGAGCAGACTGCTGGGTAATTTTATCTTGGGCACCGCAAATTGCTACTTACTGAGTTCAAGCTGATTCGGGGTGAGTTGCTCTCATCGTCCTCGATGTCACTGATGATATCGTCTTCGTCTTGATCCCAATCTGTATCCACGATCTCCGTGGCCACTGAGCTTGGCCGCAGTCCTGTACACTTCAATCCAAAGAACGAATCGTGCATATGCGTCTTTTGTGACATCTCATGCGACCGCTCGCTCACTCGAAGCGAACGGGTGGTGTTCTGAGCACACCTATCTTAGCTACGTGCCCACGAGTTGTCAAGTTATTATGTTTCAGCTTACCATTTTGATGACTTATTAGAAAAGTGTGTCGCAATTAAGTGCGGCTCTTGGTGTTTGGTATCTGGGTACCAGGCCGTTGCCGGCTTGCTGCTTTCTACAACCGATGATATATGCGAACGATGAGGAACAACAGGAAGGAAAGTTTGGTATAGTCGCAGAATTGAATCGACGTCGCGAAAAGAAGAAAGAGGAGCTTTGAGCAACCATACGCGGGCACCTGCTGCAGGTATATGTATGAGATATGGTAGGAATGGACGGTTTGCAGCAGCAATGGGACATGCAGGGAAAAATGCTGTGATGGTGCAGGCACTGAGTGGCTAATGTCACGATGTGATTTGTTTCCTTGGGCCGCTTTCACACCACCGCAGTGGTCACTGCGTCTGCACCAGCACCTACCATCTACCGTCTACAGCGACTTCGATTCACTAATAATAGCATTGTGCTCGGCGTGAGGAGCGCACGTTGCCAGCATGAGCACGCCAGACGGAGCGTTAATGGGAGTGGAAGGCAAAGGCTGGTTGGACATAATCCTACTACCAAGAGAGCCCTGATTGGCGACTTGTTTCTCTACCACCCCAGAAATAGCAGGTTAAGCGCCTTTGTTTCTTGAGACCAGGGTGCCTGTCGCACCTTGTAGACTTGCAGGCTTCACTCCACGTAAGTCTGGATGCAAGCTAACGTAGATGGCTACGACCTGATGGTCCGCTGCAAAGAAAAACTCGAAAAACTCGAGCGACCGGTCCAACGACCCCCTCATTAGCACCGTATGATGGATGTGGTTGGATTGAGCTCCATGGGTTCCATGGAATGTTGCCCCCCCCAAACTGCCCAAACTGTTGGCAGTTTCCCATAAACGACACTCAAATCTAGCTGCAAGATGCTTCACGCCGTTATGCCGAGAATAGAGCGCGCGTTGGTCCCGGACGCTGAGTCAAGTTGGATCCAGGCAGTAAAACTGGAGAGCTCTCTCACACAGCGAACGACTCTCTTCGGTGATTCGGGGAGGCATAGAATTGATCGACCGTCAACTAGTACAGGAAGGCGGTTGTCGAGGATTGGTCAGGATTGTGGTTGGATCCTGCAAGGATCTGTAAGGACGGGCCCGTTGCGGACAGAGTCGGGTGGACGGAGTTGACGGGCTGGCAAACTGGCAAAGAAGAGCGCAATTCCCACCATTGGCCCAGGGGCTATACTGCCGTACGTACCCCACTTGCCCAGTTCCATCTGTACTATGCATCTTCGTACACTACCTCCATCGTCGCCAAGTTGCCGACCGCATCCCGCGAGCCAGATTTACCCCTCTCTTGTGCGATGTCGCCAGCGCGATGAGTGGTGCATCCGACAGTATCACAAGATGCTGTGAAACCAGTAGCTTTCTAGAATCCCAGCCTCTTTTCGCTGGGACTGTATCGAACCAATTGTTGTGGTTGGAGACCCTCCTTGGGAAACTGTCACGTTCGAGAAGTAAGCAGCTAAAGCTAGCGGACTATGGCACGGTCCAACAAGAATATATGATACGAATTGGTACCAGGATCAACCTTCTTGCTGATGAATTGAAGACGACAGGTGAAAGGTACAATTGCAGATTGTAGCTGGCCGTTAGATTGAGGCTTTTGCGGTCACGGGCCTAAGGTGACTAGGTTGTCGATAGCGGCAAACTCAATGAGCTGAATCTAGCTGTTGACATCGTGAACTGATAACGGAGACCAAGGGACTTGGGTCGAAATGGCGACGATCTCTCTCTCCTTGAGGCGGTTCTTGCTTGGACGGCGGAGATGCTCCTGTTCGATTTGAGTCGAGGAAACCCCTCATCAGGCCAAAACGTGCCGTCTCCGCCCGGTGGGGTCGAAAGTCTCAATATTACAATTTTTTTCCCTTCCCTGGAACCTGGTCAATGTTTTGCGATCGGTTCCGTGTCCATCAAGCCACCCGAAGCTCATTAGTGCAAAAAGTCCCTGTTCGTCAGGCTGAAAAGCGCTCCGGGTAAGGACCTTGATCATGTTGTTCGAAGTAAGTTTGCAAGTGGCAGCAGCTTCCCGCTTCTGCAGCTCCTCACTGGCTCCCGCACATGGCCCCACTGGTTATACTGCTCGAACGATCGACTTGCGCCGATGATATGTCGAAACGGTGAACACCAAGATTGGAACACACCGACAGTTTGAAATTGACAAAATGAGTCTTCACTTCGTCATTCCCCATCTGTGGACTCCAGTGGCCATCGTCGGCTGTCTCAAGACTCCGAACTCTCTCGTGTCCCACTCAGGCTTGGGAGGCCTTTCAGCCAGGGCATTGGCTCAGGCAGTCCCCGATTGTATCCGAGTCGCAACGTTGACTTGTTCAGACTCGATAGGTGAACATCAAAGTTGCAGGGAAACAAATAGGCTCAACCAGGAGTATCACCAATGTGACGTGGTCCCCCGACTTTTGTAATTTCCCAACTCAGCCATATCACCGTCGGACAAGGTCTGAGAGAGTCTCGGAGCTTATTGCGGCGAGGAGCAAAGACCCTCTTGTCTCGGGAAGGCTAGCTTATGAACGGCTTCCCCAGAGTCTAAAAAGTCAATGCCACCGAGCCCTTACCATGGCTCTAGGACTGAGTTAACCGAACCTTACGTCTTCACCAATGAGGCTCTGCGAACGGCCTCTCAACATTCCGCACCTTGATGAAGTAAATATCTCTAACACGATGTGTCCCTCTTGTGGGTGAAGGGGAAGCGTTTGCATGACACATCACCACCTTGGACATTCCAGGTCAAGATTGGTCCGAGGGGGGATATCTCTCGGCCTCACCAGTTCCCCACCAAGATTGGATAGGGAAGGATTTCACAAACATGCTTAATATCGAGCAGGCCAGGGCCGTTGCTGCATCCGTTGATTGTCGTTACTTCGAATGGGCACGTTCGCAGATGAGATTGAGATGCCAATTATCACATTGTCCCCAATCTCCACTTGTCATTTGTGATGGACGAGGATGCTTGATGCGTGGAATCTGTCACTCGGAGGGGAAGGGGGGGATCACGGACCAGAACGGGGGGCCAAACTGGCTAGCCGGTGTATAATCTTTGCATCAACTCGCTTTGATCAAATTTGGGCCCCCGTCCGCTCCCTGGACTTTGTGGCTATATCCGCTAGTAGGGCCAAGGGGCTTCTTGGGGGCCAATACTACCCGTCGCAATTTTCGACTCTGGAAGTCTGGAGTGCGGACTTTCGTAATAAAGCTGTGGAGCTGCCATGCCACACTGATTAATTGTCAATTAAGCAAGCTTGACCCGTCGGGAAGCAACCGCAACGTAATAGGGACGACCTTCCTAATTGTATCCCTGCACTCACTTTTAGTCTGCGTCGTGATGTCTTGGACCTGCTTTGGGCTCACATGAGAGACTTAGTCAACAATCGTGGCATATGAGTCAAGACCCCGCTCTAACATGGCAGCATCAAAAATCTTCCATCCATCTTTTTCCATGCAGGTCTACAGGCTGTGAGCAAACTTATTTCGTAGTGTGCATGGCTAAGCTGTGGGGAGTTCATGACAGATAACTCGGTAATGACGACGGAGCTGTGTGGAAGTGGACCGAACGAGGTGTTCTTCACCGTACCTTGGGATCGTATCGTAAGGCGGCCAGCAATCGTTGATGAACCTTAGATTTGCGGACCATATGCATGGGTACGGAGTATACGGGGAGCGGTTGAGGTAACGTATGCCTTCAAGGCCGGCAAGGATAGCTCGGGGAGCAACGATGTATGTGAGAATGTTATTAAGGACTCAAGCTCTCCCGATACCATAATTAGCCCAGCTGACGCCATTTAGCCCAGTTGGGTGACCATGCACGAGGGATAACTCGAAAATAGGGTAAAAATTAGCCAACACTGCCATTGCATGTGGCCTCGACAGCAAGCCAACTTTTTGCCCGCTCGATCAGCCACTTTGCCCTGTCACTTGGGTTGACTGGGTTAATTATAGAAAACGAGGGCTAATTAAGTCGTCATCGTAAAGTAGGATCGCTGCCCATCAGCCGGGTCAGCTCCTGGCCTGGTCTACCATGGTCATCAAGGCCTGCAGAAGAGAGCTTGGGCCAACGGGATGTTTTTGTCTTGCAGAGCGCATTGTCCACCTCCACCATGCCACCCGCACCATGCCACCCGAGGCTGCTGAGGACTCGAGGTTGCGAGGGGCAGCAGTGTGCTGGCCTGCTTTGCTTGCTTGATGTCGACGGAAAGAGCAGATGCAGAAATGACTGGTGGGACCATCCGCTGCTTGGCTGGCTGCAAGCGTATGTAAGGATAGGCAGGGATACAGTGGGGACGGCTAAGGGTTCCACATATCCCGCTAGCTCATGGCTCCCTTGTGTGCATCCAGATTGGCCACTGCGCGAGTGTACCCCAGTTCGACGTTGCCGAGCACAAGCCAATCCCCAAGTCAAACTGCACAGCTCGTCACATTGGCGCTACTTTAGCTGCTTCCTAGGTCCCGCTTCAGGCGCTAGGTCATCTCGTCACTGTCGAATCAGCGCGACAACAAGGCCAAACTTGCAGAAATCATCACCAGGAACCAGCCAATCCTCTGCCCGTCTGCCGCTGCTTTGGTTGATTCCCATGTTTCTCGCCGTACCACTAGAGCGCTGTACCCGCAGTGTGATATCTGGCAGCATCGGCTTGCACTGGACGGGCCTGGAGGATACTTCCTCCTATCACTGCACACCACTTGGCCCGCCGAGTTCTGTCGCGATCCGAAAAGAACCTGGCAGCACCATGCAGTTCCCATTTTGGATCACCATATCAAATCTTGCGAATTTGACCATTGTCCAGGGAGCGAGTCGACCGGGTATGTAGCCCTGAGCACGAGAAACCGACTGGTCCAACACGGCCCAATCCTGTCGTCGTTTTCCTTAGTCACGGAGTCATTGGTGGAAACGCTCATATTTGAAAGAGTCATTTTTCCAGCCAGATGAGCCTGAGCAGTCCACAGTTGTCCGAAATCGCCATGCCCGGCTCAGAACCAGCCAAGGGAGCCCACGACAAAAGAAATTGACGGCTGTTCGGCTGCCTTTTACCCTTCTCCGCCGTGGGGTACGACGACGACATGATAGCCGAAAAAAGCAAGCAAACATGTGAGGTGATGGTGGAAAATTGGGACCACGAAAGTCGACATGCAGGCCAACCAGCAACTTTGCAGTGTCCATGCAGAAAAAGGTTGTGATCAGTTACAAGGGTATCAGGCCGGCAGCACAATGTGCTCACCTCGGACCTTCACGATATGGCGCACACCATAATCGACTTAACTCGTGGTTCTCCTCGCACTGCATTTCAAGCTCCCACAACCTGTGTGCCACTTGCCGAATGTGGGCGCAAGAGGAGTGAGACAAAGACGCAGACTTGGGGTTCGAGAAGCCAGCCAGCCCTACGTATTGTTTCTTTGCATAGCGAGTTTCGCGAAAGACTATGTCAAGCCTACGGCCGGCCGACTTACATGATGGGTCATATACTGCGATCAGCATTGATCCCTGGAGCTTTCATCAATAAACTGAATAACCCCGGCCGGCACGGCTAGGGTGACGAGCTAGCAGCTTTTGGATCCCCTGCCAGTACATGGGGTGGGAAATGGCCCTTGTTTCGTGCATGATGCATCCTCGTGTGTACTCACGTAGCGGGCAGACACTGGTGGTCCCAATGACCGGCCAGCCACATACTCGAGAGCTTCCTCTTTAGTTAGCTCATCCCTGTCCCATTGTGCTTCCGCGAGTGTCACCGAGTCGGTACAAAGGCAGTTGTACCCCGGCCGTGGGTGGTTGGCAACGTTGGGGCCGTTGTCGTGATTGGCTGTCCCTAAGCGCAAGCCGGCTCCAGTCACTCCTCCATCCTACTTTGGCAGTCAATACATATGCAAATGCAGGCTAATTAGCCAACAATACATGTGGGTTAAAAAAGGAATTACCCCAAATTGCTGCTGCTGTGTCCAAGAATAGAACAGCCCATCGACGCAGAACCAGTTCGCGATGCAGGTCGCACAGGTGGTCGTGAGATGGCGGCCACGATATAAGCCTTTGCACCTCCAACAGACACCAAGATATTTCTGAGGTTTTGAAGAGCAGAAGATTCAAGTGTCGTCCTTTACTCCGAACAACCTCTCTCTTTTTCAACCCTTCCCCCTCCCCCCCCACGCCCTCCTTCATTCTACAGACCTCGACTATCAACGTGAAAGGCAGGCTGGACTTGCTCGGATCTCACCACTCATTCGACAACGAGATAATTTCATATTTACGGAAACGATAGTACTGCTGGGCTAGTCATTTCCACCCAGGCAAGATTTGCAACACTCCCCGGACTTTGCAGAAGGGACGGGAAATCTCAAATCGCTGTGCGGCCTCGACCCTGCCTGGCCTTTGGACCCCGGTTCCGTCGCTTTAGCTCGGCTTGGAGACTAGCACGCCTTTCTCCTCTCCCCCCCACTCCACACACCACCACCACCAACGCAGGTACCTCGAGACATATAATGTCAACACTACCCAGCACCCAGGAAGATCTCATGAGACCTAGCACCGTTACCATGGCTGTCGCTCAACCCACAAAGTCGAAGGCTGCTTCGAAGCCCTCCAAAGATGCAAATGCAAAAGCAAAGACACAGATGCACCGCCGCTCAAGAACAGGTTTGTGTTTTTCCTCTCGGTTTCCGACTTACACACATTTGTCATTCACTTGCTACTTACGCCCACTTATACGCTTACACACCCACCCACTAACACCACACAACAGGTTGCTATACCTGTCGATTGAGACGAAAGAAGTGCGACGAGGGCACCCCAATGTGCACAGCATGCAGACACCTTGGATTGCAATGCGAATACAAGCGTCCCCATTGGTGGTCCAACAACGATGCGAGGCGGCAGCACAAGGACGACATCAAGATGATCATCAAGCGCAAGAAGCTCTCGGAGAAGGCTTCGCATGCCACAATCCAAACGTCGGTCCCTTCACCACCAGGACTTTCGCACTCACTGCCCACCTCTGCCAGCTTTTCAGATGGATTGGATCGCACGCGGTCCGCTTCAATTGACTCGTCTTTTTCTTTCAATTTCAACACCCCAGTGTCCAATGTTCAAGATTACAGCGCCTACCACACTCACCCGGACTACATGTTTACCATGTCACCATATGAAATTGACGTCAAGACGGAGAGGCAAATGTTTGTGGACGATGTGCCTACAATCCGAGAGTCGACTATTTCTACTTTCAGCACTTTCCACACACCGCCGCCGCCGGGGACGGTTTTACCTTCTTATCCTTTTGGCGGCGAGTGGACGGAGCAAGTCTACCAGGAGAGGCGCGAGTCGCTCACTGAGGAGAATCTGAACTGCAACTTCTTCGACTTCTCTCACGGCCCGGCCATGAACACGCGACAAGTGGACATTGAACTGGACGAGAACGACCAGCGCCTGCTGGACCACTTCATCCAATACGTTCTGCCCATAATCTTCCCGATTCTCGAGACGAACCAGCACGGCTCGGTCGGCTCAGACTTGATCCTGCCTGCTCTGCAGAGCAACAAGGGCTACCTTCATTGCTGCTTGATGATTGCTGCCCAGCACCTGAAGGCGACAATGAACCTGCAGTCGGAGGAGATTGACAACGACATCATGCGACACCGCCACCTCACAATCCAGGCTCTGTGCGACGCATTGAACCGCGACGAGAACCACCAGCAGATCCTCGAGGCCGCCCTCGGTCTGATCTTCTTCCAGAGCTGCGTCGGTCGCTACGACGATGCGCTTCCCGACATCGCCTGGCACCAGCACTTCCAGGCGGTCAACTCGCTCGTCACCAAGCTGGACCTGCCTCGCTTGGTTTCCGACCCATCTGAGCCCCTGGCGCAGACGCCCTTCAACATGACCATGACCGCCTGGATCGACATCCTAGGGGCGACAATGCAAGGGCGCGCACCCAATTTCGCTCACACCTACCGCGAGAAGCACCTTTCCACCACCAACCCTTCCCTCGGGCTTCGCGAGCTGATGGGCTGCGACGACCGCGTCATGTACCTCATCTCGGAGATTGCCTGCCTCGAGGCTCTCAAGCAGGACGGCATGGATGACATCATGCTCTGCCAGCACGTTCACGCCCTGGGCGACCAGATTGGCCTGACCGAGATGGGCGAGCAGGGCCCCAAGATGCCCTTCAACGCCAACGGCTCGCTGAGCCCCAAGCAGCTGAGCAAGAACATTACCAGCGCGTTCCGCCTGGCCGCCCGCATCTACCTCTGCAGCCTCGTGCCTGGCTTCTCTCCCAGCCAGGCCAGCACGGTCGGGCTCGTTGAGAAGCTTACCAACGTGCTTCAGCACATCCCCTCGGGACCTGGCGGTTTCGACCGGAGCTTATCCTGGGTCTACTTGATCGGCGGATCCGTCAGCGTTGCTTCTTCCCCCTTCCGCGCCTTCTTCAACGACCGCATCGCCCAGCTCGGCGACGCCGCAACCCACGGCAGCTTCGGCGGCGTCAACTCGCTGCTTCACGAAGTCTGGCAGCAGACTGACAGCTACCAGGCGAGCCCCAGCGCCAATGGCAGCACCGACGTGCCCTACATCTCCTGGCGAGATACCATGCACATGCGGGGCTGGGACTACCTGCTGATCTGAACAAATTTGCCCCTTGACGGGGTGGATGCGTGGGAACAGCAGCACTAGTCCTCCCCGCCGCCCCCCTCCCCTTTTTGTTTTTCATCAGTTTTCTACACACATAATACCCCTTCTAGAGAGAGGTCGCCGCGAGGCAAAACTACAGAGGAATCAAATTTTCAGGACGACACTTGAAAACCTTTTCCGTTGGCAGCCGGGCTGGGCCGCAACGATGGGAGGAAAACACCACGACATGTTATGGATGGATGGATGGATGGGACAGAGGCACACATTTGATGACAATGGCTTTATGAGAGGGCGACGATTTTCCTACTTGATTCCGATTTCCTCATTTCCTTTTCCTTTGATCTGCACTCGACATCATCATAATCGTTCGTTTCTCTTTATATACCAATTGCATGCATTTGGGCAGGAGTTTTTGGGGGAGGCAACAAGGGGCATGATGATGCAGGCGACAGCCCTTTGGGATTTGCTAGGAGGGAGCTCCGATTTGATAGCTCCTACTCTCGTCGAGCAGACCAACTCCGAGAGCATTTCGTATAATACCATATACCCAAATGAACAAATCATTCAAAATCAATCCACTCTCCTCGTCTTCAGATTGCACGCACGGTGAAAATACGAGTTGTCAGACCAATTGCCACAGTACTATTTCCACGATCAGGTACCAACGCAAATTTCACCATGGCCGCTTGTGTGACTCCATGATCCGTACATTAATCCACGCCTCGTCTCAAACTCACAATGCTCGTTCACCGACTTATTTGCTCATTTCAAGCGCCAAACGAATCACCTGTCGAGATTGCTGTTTGGGCCATGAACACCTCACGAACCTCCGATCATGTGCCCCCACTTGGGTGACTCCCAAATACCCAGTCCAAGGAATTGAGGGCCCCAAACACGTATTGTGAACCCTAAGTCCACTTCCAGGCCTGACCGTTTGTTCACTCGTCAATTAGGGTAGTTTACAACTCACCCGTGTCTCAGCAGGCCTGGGTACAGTTTTAACCCGGTTCAATACCGGGGGATGTATGAGGCGAACTCGGACTGCTATGTGTGCTGGCGTCGATCCAATTTCCCGCATTAACCGTCACAGCCAGCACAGCCAGGACGCCGAACGGCCTTTTCCATGCCTACCATGAACACCACATCGGCGCATCTGCAGATCGTGGCACCCGCGATTGGAACCGAGCCCGGCCTTATACTAAAATGTGGCTTTGCTGCTACGTTAGGCGGCGATCATATATTGGCTCGGACAACATCAGATCCAAGCGTTCAAGCGTGGTCCAGATGACGAAACATTGAGTGACGTGTGCAGGACCCCTTGGAAAGCCCTTGTTGCGCTGAGAAGATGCTGCTTTGGGGGTCTGTCTCTGGACGTTCAGGACCGCAAGCTCGGCTGGTCAACCGACAACGCCAAAATCCATCTAGTGGGATTTGCAAGTTGGTTCTGGACTCGGAGCTATCAGAGACCCACCCAATGGAGGCCTCGAATTGCGCTCTCAGACCATGTCGAGCAGTTTGGGGACAAAGATTTGCCATGCAGTCTTTGCTTCCCGGTTTTTGTGCTCGCTTGGTCATGGATGAATATTACAAGTCGTCCTACTAAGCGGCTGTCTGGTCTGGCCCAGTGGTGGCCCGTCGGAGCTGCCCGGGGTTTTGGGGTCGTAAGGAAACGTCCCGAATTGGAAACATTTCAGACCAGAAGCTTGCCTAAGCCAGCAGCCCAATCAGACGCGTGAACCCGACCTGGGCGCGCCTAATTTGAAGTTGCAGCCAGCCTTTTCGGACCAACCTCGTCTCTTGTTTCTCCTACCCTCTCTACTGCTTTTGAGTGTCGCCCCAACTTTCTCTCAACCCTGTAGCCGCCCACAAAGCCCAGCGGTTGACGACGGCCTCTCATTCTGTGGACTTTGGGTTCAATCAAGACCTGCACTGCCTCACCATAGAAACACACTCCTACTTCGTGGTCCAGCGGTCCTCCGAGTCCACCCGTCGAAAGGACGGGCAGGGGGCCCAGGGTTGGTTGCTTCAACGCCCAATCTATTCTCCCAGAAGTTCGGAAGTAGACATTGTCCAGTCAATCCTGTTGATGATGCGCAGATGTCGCTGCACTTGTCCGGGGCCGTATTGCGTTACCCTATCCGCTGGCCATTTTGTTGGACCAGAGAGTACGACTGCAGTGGTTGCCCGATAGCATGACTCTATGTTTCCAGGTTCAAGGCGTAGCCATATGATCCGAATGGAACAAAGTGGAAACGAAGAAAAAGAGAGAAAAACGACAAAGAGCTCCGAGGTATGATGACATAGGTAAGGTGGTGGTGGTGGTGGTCTGCTGCAAGTCCTGATGGCCATTCAGTCTTGTGTTGTCAGATGGGGCCATATTCACCTTTGTTTCCACGTCGTGTCGTTCTCTTAGACACCGCGCCGACTCAATCGGCAAACCGCCTTCATTGATTGCCTCTTCGTGACTTGATTTACCAGTATTTCTAAAAGACATTCCCCCTTGTTCTCTACTCTCAATTTTTGTCTCTTGTCTTCCATTGAACGAAACTGGTTTGCCACGACGCATAATCCTACCTTTAACCACTCTTTTCCGCCTCGACTCTACTACTACTTCCACGAGCTCCTGAAACCCCCTCTCGATATTGGATACGTCGAGGTTTATTATCCCAGTTTAACATGTGCACCAAACCCCAAGATATGACAGTACCTCGCGGTGCGCTGCGGCTATGGCTGTGGGCGGCGGCACTGCTCGCAACAACAACACAGATCTCATCCGCCATGTCGGTGCCGCCGAGTCGGCTCTTCGAAAGAGACGATACTTGCGGCGAGCCCAGCTTCACCAGATGTCCGCAGACCGGACTACCCGACAACTTTTGCTGCAAACCGGAGACGTCGTGCGTGGTGTTGGCGGGCTTGACAACCGTACTGTGCTGCCCAGACGGCCAGGACTGCGCTGAGATAGCTCCCATATCGTGCGACCTAAACCTGCAGAACGCCGCCTCAAATCCCAAGGCAGATGTTAAGACGACGGTACTCAGTGGCAAGCTGCCAACGTGCGGGGACAACTGCTGTCCGTATGGATACACGTGCAATGACGACGGGAACTGTACTGTAGATCAGGACCAGAGCAAGAAGCCCGGAGACGGCTCTTCGTCGGCCACGTCTGCGGCCGGTGGTGGTGCAACAACGAAACCCTCTTCCACAAATGCTGCCTCGCCCACCTCTTCTCCGGCCCAAATATCCGCTCACGCCTCATCAACGGCATCAACCGGCGCAGGAGCCACAGCCGCACCAGCAACGTCCGGTACCCCCAAACCTGCCAGTGGCCATGGCGCCGGCGGTGGCGGCAGCCCCCCATCACCCGTCATAGTAGGTGCCGCAGTCGGCAGTATCGTCGGTCTCATCGTCGTCGTGGCCGGCTTCCTACTCCTCCGGCGCCGCAACCAGAAACGAAAGGAAGCGCGCCGCGACACCACCACCTCGTTCGGCAACCTCGACTCATCCAGCTTCAAATCCCGGCCCGACGTAAAGAACGCCAAGATCAGCAAACCCCTACAAAACACCATCGAGCGCACCGACTTCGTCATGAAGCAGCCTGGATCCAGCACCACGACCGCCCAGGAACACTTCGACTCGATCGACCTGTCAAACCGCGACGACGACGAGTACACCGAGGACGGCCGCAGTAGTTATCACTACTCGGCCATGATCCCGCCCATCCGGGGTCTGAGGGATAGTCGCGCCAACTCGTGGGATAGGCAGGTGAGCCAGGGAATGATTGACATCTTTGCCGATCCGAGGTTGACGGTAGGGGACCCAAATGCACGTGCCACGCGGCGGGATACCACGGCGACTACGTGGACTAACATGATGGGTTATGCGGGAGGTAAACGATGACAAGACCAGCAGCCATAGAGCATTGAGATTTTTTGTTGTTATTTCGTTTTATCGTGATGAGCATTATGGCATCTTCACACCGTTAGGCCGGCGTTTCTGGAATGAATACAAGAATGGGACATCGGGACGGGTGCAAGGGTTTACAACAGCATGGCATGGCATTGATACCACGGGATTGGAACTTTTCAGCGTTTGGGAGTTAGGGCGTTTTGTTCATGGATGACGGAAGCGAGTTTTGCACTCTGCTGGACAAGCAGGTTTGGATGTCCTCTGGCAGGGTATGCTTTGGCTGTAGATACGTCGTCGGGTAGCATAACGCACGATCATTGTTCATAGACGGACTGACTACTGGATCAACTCGACTTTATCTATCGAAGTGTTGTGTTGTATCCGATGCGTCAAGCGACCGAACTCGGTGTGGAATCAAAAGCGTGACAATCCAAGGCATACCATACATACATTTCCTTCCCCAGAACACTCGCGCTAAGCGCACGCCGTAATATGGCGAGTCTACAATGCAATCCAGAAGTATGACACGAAATCCCACCATCCGCAAACCAACTTCCCCTTCAAACATGTCAACCAGCCGAGCCAGCCATGGGACCCTCAAGCTTCGCCCTCTCCCGCCCCACTCCCCTGTCCCCTCTTCAGCTCACTGCTTCTTCTTGGAGTGCGAGCCGCCACTTGCAGCCCCCGTCACCGCCTTCTTATCCGCATCCACCTGGTCCATCTTCTCCCTCTCCTCATTATCCTTGCGCTCCGCATACCATTGGCCCGCCTGCAACACCAGCACGCCCACCAACACCAGCGCCAAAATCGTATTGCTCGCCGCCAAAACCTTCAAGCTATCCTCGCGTCCTAGGATAACCTCTCCCGTGAGCGGCCCGTCAACCGGTGTCCCCGTGAACAACTCGTCGTCCCAGATCCCCGCGCTGACGGTGCGCAAGCCCTTGACGATGTTGGCGATCCAGATGCCGACGCCGATGAGGTAGAGCACGAGCGAGGCACCGTCGAAGAGCATGTTGCTCTCCGAGGGCTGGAAGAGCTTGATGAAGAAGCCTAGAAATCCAGTCCCGATCATGATGTGCAGGATGCGCGCGATTAGCGGCGGCGACTGGTGCATGAATTGGAGGTGTAGCTCCAGCTGGTCGAAGTAGGCTGGGGAGACGGGGTCCGAGGTCCACAGGAGAGGGAAGTCATAGGGGAATTGGGCGAAGAGGATGCCGAGGAAGAAGCATGTTGCTGTCAAGAGTAGAGAGGTTAGCCTGGCTGTGTCTATCTATGCCTGGGTGTGTGTATACATCACTGCGGCGCGGAACATTCAGGTAGAGCAATGGAGGGGAGGGCATAGCATACGGCCGATGATCATAAAGGTCGCAAACGAGCTGGAACCGCGATAGTTCTGCGACTTGGTCGTCTTGGACCAGTCTATCCACTTGTCCGGCATGGTGTCTGGTGTCCGTCGAAATTTTGCAACTGAGTGCAGCTGGGTGTGTGGTGTGAGATCGTCTCTGTGCTGCCGAAAGTGCTGATCGCCTGAAGCTTGCTTTGCTTGTTTGCTTGGTATTTGTGCGATTGATCGATTCGCGGCACGGAATCGGGAAGAAACTTGGGATTGACCGCTGCGCTTCTCTCAACCAAAACTTTCAAAAGGAAAGAAATGCGAAGGATATAACGATGTCAAGACACGGTTTTCCCCAGCATCGCCGTGTTCAGGCAATCTCCGCACTCATCCACTCCAACGCTGGGCGGTCGCAAGTACGACGTCGAGGGTCCTGCCTGAAGCTGCATAGTCGCAGTGGGGTCGAAACCCAGTTGCGGTTTAGTGAGGTCATATCAGCCGCTGACAGGCGCGATTAAAGTGAAAAACCCCCGTCTTGATTATTAGACATGAAAACCACAGCGCATTTTAGCTAAGTACATATACCACCTATATTAATAACCCAGCCAACCGAGTCATGATCTATCCTTCAAAGTATTTCCGTAATGTCCCGTATCTTTCAGTGCCCATATGTTCGTACAAGTAATTCATTCCATTAGCGTCTCTCGTCTCATGCACCCAGCCTTCTCAGCGGATGGGCCTCCGTGTTGAACACGAACTCGTCGAGACTGATGAGATCAGGCTCGCTGAATATCAAATAGAAATACTTCAACGTTTCGCCCATCCAGAAGCTTTCCATCGAATCCATCTTGAGTGGATCGCCGTTCGCGATGGTGACATCTTTCAAGGCAGAATTGGCCAGGTCCGTTTCGGTGTATTTCTGGATCGACTGGAAGATGGCCCACGCCGATTCGAGTAAGTCCTTCTTGCCTGTCACCCGGTAGAGCACAAATATACTCTCGATAGCTTCCGGTCGTAAAATGTAACGAGTGTCGGGGATGCTCGTGAATCCCTTGGGCAGACGGTTCTTGGAAATGAGCTCGTCGGCTTGAGTAAGATCACCGGACTTTTTATGATGAAGCAAGACAGCCGTTTTCCACCGGACTTCGTCCCAGGGACACTTCGATTGTGATTCGCATGGGTCCATAAAGAAAGTCTCGGGCATTATGCCGAGCGGCATGGACTTGTACGTCCAGATGCAACCATCGACCAGCTTGCGCGCCGTTTCGAGATGGTCGGGTATGTTGAGCAGTTTGCTGCCAATGGCGAGCATGCCTCCAGCATAGCACACCAGATGCTGCCCTTCGCTCTCCAGCGCAGTGACAATCTCACCGTCCTGCTCCGAAGTATGGACACTGCCGGCGATGAGTATGTCGGCCTCGTCAGGAACCATGGGACGGTAGAGGTTGTACTTGATCGCCGTTTTCATAGCATCTTCGTACATCCCCGCATAGTCGGGCAAGAGCCCTCCGGTCAAGGCTACCATCTTGGGTAAGTACTCAAAGGTCGAATCCGCCCGGGCCCCTAGAGAAAAGGTGTTGTCGTCGGTGAACTTCATCTTGAAAGGATTCACGGTGATCGGCCACATGCCCGGGAGCTGGGTCTCGTTCTGTTGGCTTTTGAGGGCGTCTGTGATTCTCTCAGTTGCATCGAACCATTTCGGATTCCCCGTCACGAGAGAAAGTCGCGTGAACTCCATGCAAAGCGACCCAATTTCGGCCACCAAGGCTCGCAGCGGTGCTTCCCCAGCCGTGTTCGCCAAGGCCTTCGCGAAGTTCCAACGTGGCATCGGCATTCTATTTGGGGTGTCGAAGGCCTTATACAGCATGTCGCCAACCTCGCGAGCCTTGCGCAACAACCTCGTATCCCCACTGAGGTCATACGCCGCCAGGAACCCCCCCAGGTACCGGATCGTCGTCTCAAATGCGTTGACTTCCTCAAACGTGCTCGTCTCAAAATTGATGGCGACGGCGGCAGTCGCAGCTTGCTCGAACTCTTCCTGGAGTCCCATAATCCACAACGTGTCCAAGCTGTCCACCAATGTTGCTCCCCACCCCCCAAAGGTGTTCCTCGATGAGCCGCTAACGGGAGTGAGCTCGTCTTCCAGCCAGGCGTGTTTCCCATACGCTTTCCAGCAGCGCTTCAACGACGACTTGACAGCTTGCTGTCTCTTCAGGCGGATCTCGCGATCTTTGCCGCCCTCCTTGCCAAATGAAGCCTGAATCTTGGGCAGCGTCAAGGGCTTCCCGGTGGGCATTGGTCTCATAGACTGTACCGGGAAATGGGTCGGCATCTTCGCCCAGAAGTAATTCGCATCTTCGACATATACTTTGGCCTCGGCTGGCTGTGCTTGCTTGGGATCGCCGCCATGCCTTGAGGAATCAAAGCTGCTAGGCCAGTAATCCGAACTTGTGGTACGGATTGTCCATGCATAGCCGAGAAAGAAAATGAGGAATCCCAGCCCCAGTGGCACCCCAAACCTGCGTCGAATAAGCATTTTGTCGCAGCGGGTGCGCAATTGTTTTGCGAAAGCGGCGGAAGATGAAAACGACAAAGGCGGATCGGCTCCAGACGAAGACGATGTGCACTTCGAAGCTTGTCAGAATGTCACTCGCGCGCTATTCGCTTAAGCCGTCGCTTCTGCAGTGGTCCTGTTCACCCCAACCACAAAAGATGCCTGCAGATCCACTCGCTTACCACTGTGCTGTTATTGGTTGGCGAGCTGTGCATCGGACCTGAAAGCTCCTTCCCCCTCAGTCTTCTAAATACTCAGAGACGGTCTAGACTCACCAAGCAAGTAGCTAGTTCCAAATACCCATTCCAAAATCCAAATAAAATCCATCCATTAACTTTTGACCATGATGGTAATCACCACAGATGCTTGCAACATGCGTTCATCTCAAGTCCCAACTCTGGGTTGGATGACACTAAGGTGGATAGGGGCTACCCAATTAAAAGTTGACAAACAGTACCATAGTCTTCGAAGCATGGGCACTCCCTGTTAGCCTAATGAGAACATCAGGCCGCGACAAGCAGCCAATTTGGAGCATTAGGGCCGTGGCGTAATCCATCCCTTGCCACTCCGCTAACGTTCAAGCCCACCTTAGCCATGTTCGACAGCTCCAGTTCCCAATGACCACCGTCTCTGATCCATATTGCCACTTCTCACACCGAAGTGGAGGGGTATCATGTCAAGAAACCAACAAGAGCTGCCGTTTTGTGTCTACTTTTCCCGTCATCTCTTCTCTCCGGCGGCCGCCATCTGCTGTTTCTTAAACAGCCCTGTAGCAACTCGTGGGATGGCGACGATGGTGGCACTCTACTGATACACGCGAGTGAGATAACAAGAAGCACAATGTTCTAAGATCTAGGATATACTGCAACGTTCAATGTGCTTTGCCTTGAGTTGGCCAAGGTGACTTCTTCGGCTGGCAAACTCGGTGCAATCCTAATCTACTGGACAGTCTACTGGAGCAATCACCACTTCTCATCCCAACGCCGGATCGTCATCCACAGTTGATACCACAATCGAGATGTCTGCGCTGTTATGGGAGCTGTCCATACCAGATACTTCCTCTGAGGGAATAGCAATTTCCCTTTCACCGACTTGCTGCTACTTCTGCTCGGACAGCTCGTCATGTCACGACGATACGCAAGGAACCAGGATCGTAACTGTAAAGTCTCGCACGCGTGTTACCTCGCCCTTTGTTTGGTTGAACCAACTTGGTGTCAAAGTCGGAAGGTACGCTTATTGGAAAATTTAAACCTTCACCAGTTGGTCCCTGGAAATATGGAATTGTATTCTAGGTTGGGGGTAGTCTACATCATCAACATTACTTTACTAGGACACCTCCACTCGTCACGTTCAGCCTATGACCATTCCAAGATCTAATGGTGCGATCTATTCCTTAATATTCCTTGCCGTAAACTTATCACCTTCGTCGGTCTTGCACTGCTATACAACTCAAATATCCTATCTTGCCTGTGGGCGTTGAGGGCATCTCCCTTTTCCAAGCCCCATAAATGTGGTCTCCATCTCTCCCAAAAGCTTGACCCAGTCTCTCCCCATACGAACCCGAGTCGTAGTTTGTGACTTTATTTACTGCAAGCTCCTAGTCATGTCCCAATGGCCCGATGTGAGCTTTCACGGCCATTCTAACTCTTGAGTTTGTAGTACTTTGAGTTCTTATTATCACCGTACCTCCCGAGAAAATAAATTTAATCAAGTGAGATAGAATCGTCTTGTGTGCTTGAATATGCGCATGTAAAGATGCACAAACCCTAATGATGTATTCTTTTTTTTCAGATTATGATGTTACTAGACGTTCCGAACTACTCCGCTATTCACATATAAGCAGTAGAAACCAATATCTCGTAGCTATACTAGTGAATAATGAACCACGAAAGTTAATGCAGGTCCCGGTTGCAGTGCGACGATAGTGCTCACAGGTCAATGCTAAAGATAAATTCAATCCGAATTGCAACCAAACCCTCTGGATTGTACTTATAACGATCTATGGACTCCGTGATCCACGATACAAGTGGGTTTCTCCCGTTTTCCTCCGACGCATGAGTTCACCCAAATGTAATTCACGTACCCAGGTTTTGCATCTTCTACTCATGCTATATTGAATTTAGAGAATGCTATCTCGATCACAACAGAGACGAGAATGACTATCAAAAGTCAATTATGACAATCAAGCAAGCCAACGTCCCTAATGTATAATTGGAAAACGACTTCCTCCAACTTGGGGTATTTACCACGATATCGAAGGGGGCGATCTCTTCCAGGGGATGTTTTGGGTATTCTGGCGCCCCTATTGGACTCTGCTACAGATGCTCGACGGTATCCGAATGCATGTGTACTCATTAAGACGAAGCTGTGACGAGATGCCTGCATATCAACCCGTAGCACTCACAGTCATCACACTACTCTGACTAGGTCTCGGTCGTGTCTACCAAGTAGCTTCACATGTATTTGCAACCTTTGTACTCAACAGTCAAATATTCATATTGATCATCCTCATTAGCCCGGGTATGCTGGTGAGCTGGACAATGATGTATAGACTCGTCCATAACGCAGTATGTTTCAAATTTAGCATAAAATTACACAACAGCGTGAGCATTAAGAAAGTCTCCATCTCGAGCTTAAAATAGAACTTTATTAATAATGGTTGATGAATTCATCACCTTCGTGTATTACCTAGGCGGCAATGGGCGGAAACCGCTGAAGAAGTATCTTCTTATATTCGAGACTAGCTGGGACTACCACTCACCTATGTGCGCATTGGAAGAATTGGTTCCTTTCGAGTCTTGTCCCGGAGCTAATATATAAGTAACAGGGACTAGGCCAAGACTCGGATATTTCGTAGCTGGCTGCCTATACAAGGTGTCCTCATCCAGCTCGTCTAGTATATGGAGTGCATTGTCGCACATTTTGGGAATGCGGGCATCCCTGAGTTAACTGACGAAAGTTGTGGAAGCTATCACAAGAATCGCTACCTCTTTGTGATTGTATTATTTCTAGAGTCAGGTAGCCCTGTGGATAACAAAATTAACGGTGCAATCAAAGATGCAGCCCGGTATTCCAATGCAATAAACCGACACAACGTAGTTTGTCCGTCCACCTGGGTAGGCCAATTATTTTGTCGTCCGATTGGGCCTCTGTACTTGATGAATGTCCTCGAACAGTTGTGCCTCGTTAGGAGGAATCGCAACCTGTGCTGATAAATTCCCCTCCTACTGGTCTCTGATACATTGATAAAGTAAGTATGATGTCTAGATAGTGCTTTGAAACCCCCAAGGATAATAGCATGAGATGTCATAAGAGGCTTCGTGCTACTATTGATGGGGAAGTGCTTGAGTATTTGAAATGATTCATATGTGGCGTGCTTACGACAAGCAAACCCGGAGTCAAGCTTCTTCAGTCGTCGAATGCAAGCTTGGGATACTACTCACCTGTATACTCCGTCACAATTCCTGTCAGTATTGTTTGATATGCCATCTTAACGCAGTTCTGTCAGCCATTAACGGAGCCTTGAATCCAATCGTTAGAGTGTTCGTCTGTAATTCAATACTGTCACATATAGACCCTATCTTGTCTATGTTCTGTTCGAAGTCACAGTTTTATTTAAGTTGTAAATTGGCCGATTTCATCTGAATTTGGTTGCGCTCCTGGAGAGAAGTGACCCCCTATCGTGAATTGCAAACCCCCGCAATCTAGTTGGCCCCGGGGAAGGCAGACCCATTCCCCGCGATGACCACCTCGGGAGTTGCAAAAGAAGCTTCAATGCTAGCAAGCTCTAAAACCATTCCCGTGACAATGGTGTCGCTCGGCACATTCGACCTGCCATCCTTAGGGTACAACTGACATTTTACATTTTATGCTTATCTTGAGTTGACCAGGAATCTGTCGATCTGCAGATTGAGCCACAAGGAACTCCTGCACGTCAATGGTGTGATCGGAAAGCTGCTGCATCAATACCATCCACGATCAAGACGATAAATTGCGCCGTTCGCAATGGCTACCGATACTTCGTCCCACCCGACGTCGCCGGAAGTGCCTACTCTCATACTGCGACGCCCGTCATCGCAGTCCCAGCCGAATACCAGGCCGCCGAGCTTCGCTGGGCTCCCGAGGCGTCAGTTGTCGTCACAGTCAGCCCAAGAGAGGATAAATGACATACTAGAGGTTCGTCCGTCCCAAATTCGAATTCACCGTCACCAACGTGGTAGTTCGGCGAGGACCACCAGACAATGAATCCACCGGAGTGCGGCAAAGCTCAATTCCGACATTGTAGTCCAACTGAGAATCGAGAGGAGGATAGCCTGAAAATGGTTCCAAAGCTTAAATTGGCCGTCATTGACTGAGATCTGCTCTCCCCAACAGACTGGAAGAGAACGCGCCGACGCCATGCCTGCATCACCGTGGTCATCTGGGCGCAGCCACAGCTTCCAGCCGCTTTCCCAGGCACCGGAGCAAGACGACAGCCCCGACGAGACGACCGGCCTTGTTATGAGAGGGAGCTCGAGGAATTATCAAAGTACCCATAGGACTTCGAATTCGCGGTCACAACCGTCGCCGACACGCGCACAAGGAGATAGCCAGCATGCCAATGGCGTTGATGGGACCAGTGGGGCGGACAAGAAGGAAACATATTGGTGGACGGAATACTTCTCCAGTATATGGACTATAGAGTTGGAGAACAAGGGCTCTGTTGCGAGAGATCATCTAGCATTGGGTATGTCCTCCTTATTGAGCCTGTGTGGCGCTGTGCAAGGTATGACTGACTTGCATACGCATCTAGAGAGAACATTTCTGGCCTGGCTGAGGACCTCTCTTGCCTTTGCCTCGATCGGCATAGCGATTACGCAGTTGTTTCGCTTGAACGTGTCCTTGACCGACAGCCCTGAGGACCCCAACTTCCGGACAATTAGACACTTGGGTAAACCTCTGGGTGCGACTTTTCTAGGAATTAGCATATTGGTGCTGTTCCTGGGCTATCATAGGTACTTTGAAAGTCAACAGTGGATATTGAAGGGCAAGTTTCCATCAGCGCGAGGGACAATCGTCGTAATGAGTTTGATAGCTTTCGCTTTGATGGCCGTGTTGTTGGTGGTTGTGGTGGTTGAACAACCTGCTGGCTCTCAAGACTCGCCATGACTTGCATGACGAGCCTTTAAATTTGCTAAGACTAAAATGAAAACGAATGATGAGAATACAATAAATATCAACAGCATCTCAGTGGCATTGTGGCTTCTGTAAGAACGTGTGATGATGCATTTTGGCTTGACTGCAGTCTTTTCGTTCATAGTGGCGAAACTCGCTCCAATTGAATGTGGAAAACTGGAAATGCAAATAAGACCGGCAGAACCCCAGAAACGCAAGAAAGATTGAAATCTAAAGCGGACCGTAAGCCTCTGAGAACCGATATTCACGAGTAAGACCACACACGGCCGCGCCGATTAAGACCGACAGACAGCGTTATCTCAAATATTTCTGTGTTCGGCAGAAGCGAACGGCATACAGCAACGCGCAGCTGAGATTATGGCACCCTCGGAACCAGTAGACGTCGAGACGTTTGCGCGCACTCAACTCGCACTCCTCGACGCTGAGTTGCAGAGCGAGCTTCAAGAGACCAGCGGCCTGATTGCCAATCCCAGCCCCACGACTCTCCAACGTGCTGGCCTCGCCATCACCAACCTCACCATCTCGGCACAGCGAACTGGTCTTGGCGGCAGGACGGTGTTGGAGCTAAGCCCAGACAGCGCGACCGCCAATGCAAGCGGCGAACTGCCGGAGCACGGCATCAGGACGGGAGATATCGTGCTGGTGTCTGAGCAGCCCGCGGGCAGTGCTAAGAAGCGGGAGATCAAAGACGTCGAGAAGAAGGGAGCCCGGGGCGTTGTCATTAAGGTCAAGAAGGATGCTGTGCTCGTTGCCGTCGATGAGGAAAAGGAGGATGTTTCTATCACCGGAAGAGTTTGGCTCGTCAAGTTGGCCGACGATGTCACTCATCGGCGGATGAGTCGTCAGATGGAGAAACTGCAGAATATGACCGAGTCCGACTACTCAATGTTCACCCGAGTGCTCTTTGGGCTGTCGACGCCGTCACTTGTCCAGAAGGACCTGAGCTCTCATCCCGAATACGGCAAGATGGAATGGATTGACCCCAGCCTTAACGAATCCCAGAAAGATGCCATACGCTTTGCTTTGGCTTCGAAGGAGATAGCTCTGATTCACGGGCCACCGGGGACCGGCAAGACTCACACATTGATAGAGCTCATCTTGCAAATGGTCAAGAGAGACCTTCGTGTACTGGTTTGTGGGCCTTCCAACATCTCCGTCGACAACATCGTCGAGCGGCTATCGCCTCACAAGATCCCGATCCTTCGTTTGGGCCATCCGGCAAGACTGCTACCTTCCGTAGTCGGGCATTCACTAGATGTGGTGACCCAAACCTCGGAGGCCGGATTAATTGTGAAGGACGTACGTTCCGAAATGGATGCCAAACAAGCTTCCATCAAGAAGACGAGGAGTGGGAAAGAACGCAAGGCCATCTACACGGACCTCAAGGTGTTGCGCAAGGAGTACAGAGAGAGGGAGAAACGGTGTGTGAGCAATCTCGTGGCTGGAAGCAAAGTTGTTCTCGCCACTCTCCACGGCGCTGGTGGTTATCAGCTGAAGGACGCAGCGTTTGATGTGGTCATCATCGACGAAGCCAGCCAAGCATTGGAAGCCCAGTGCTGGGTTCCCCTCCTTGCGGCGAAGAAGACTGTATGCGCTGGTGACCATCTGCAGTTGCCGCCTACTATCAAGTCTACCAAATCCAAGGTCAAGCCAATAGCCAAGGACGGTGGCGCCATTATCAAAGGTATGACGCTCGAAACGACATTGTTCGACAGGCTGTTATCACTACACGGACCGTCTATCAAGAGGATGCTCACGACACAATATCGCATGCATGAGAAAATCATGAGATTCCCGTCGGATGAGTTGTACGAGAGCAAGCTGGTGGCGGCCGATCACGTCAAACAACGGCTGCTCATCGATCTTCCATATCAAGTTGAGAATACTGAAGATACCAATGAGCCAGTCATCTTCATTGATACACAGGGTGGAGACTATCCAGAGAAAAGCGAAGATGACAATACGAGCAAGAAGACCAGCAAGAGATCACTGCTCGATGATAGTAAGAGCAACGAGATGGAGGCTGCCCTCGTCAAACAATATGTCCGGAAGCTAGTCGACGCCGGCGTCAAGCCAGAGGATATAGCCGTTGTCACACCATACAATGCCCAAGTAAGTCCATCCAATGGTCTGCTATGCGTTCAAGTTTGAATAGTTCAGGAAGTTTGTTTGTTAACAATAGGCACAAGCTCGCATTATTGGCACCTCTTAAGGAATCCTTTCCAGGGATTGAACTTGGAAGCGTGGACGGCTTCCAAGGTCGCGAGAAAGAAGCCGTTATTGTTACTCTTGTGAGAAGCAACTCTGAAGGTGAGGTTGGGTTTCTGGGCGAGAAGCGCCGTCTCAATGGTAAGTCATTACCATATGCTTGGAAACCCCCCAGTGTTGCTGTGATGTTGATGCAGGTCCAAACAGTCGCGATGACTCGTCCGAAACGCTCATTGACCATTATTGGTGATTCGGACACCGTCAGAAAGTGAGTTGTCACACCGGCCCTGCCCATCTTGAATCACCCCCATTCGCAACTCACGGATGTTTTCCCTTACCCCCTAAAACACGTTTGACTGCCAACTTGTCTCTAACCTGCGTCCGTGTTCGGCTGCAGAGGCAGCCAATTCCTCAAGGCCTGGATCGAATGGCTCGAGGAGAACGCCGACCTTCGCTATCCGGATCCTGCATCTCTTGAGGGCATAATTCTGTAAAGTGGGATGCGTGGTGAAGAGACGCGCCCCGCGGTCGTCTGCATTCATCATGCACCTCGAGGCACAGCGTCGCATTGACTTTACGGATCATGTTCATCCAGAGTCCAATCCAAAATAGACTCGAGCGCAAGCCGCGGCGCGCGGCGCTAAAAATCGAAGATGGACGGGTCCGATTTTCTTCATGCCGCCAGTAGGTATTCACAACCTGGTTTGCCCTGCATCGTTATTGTGCCTGATATTATCCGGCGTGTTGGGATATCATGCGTGTCGTAGGATTTACGCCCCTCGCATAGATACATAAAAACGCTGGTCCCTGCAACAAGGCCGAAAAAAGGTTTGCTTGACCACCCGAAGCTCTGGCATCGGCGGACGGGAGAGGGAAAAAGGCCTCATAGATATGACCATAGTAGATTAGGCGAATGACGATATCACCATCCCTGTTGTTTCAGGTCGCCCGTTGTGTGGAGCGGCCTGGGGCGAGCCGGCCAAACTTAGTTCACCGAAAGGGCGTTGGCGAGTATGTTTTCGGGCACGGGAATAATTAAAAAGATATCAATCACACTGGGGCCACGCACTTCTATCTCGATTCGGCGACGGACGGGCCTCTCGTTGAACCTCAGATTCATTTACAGGCACCATTGGCAGGTGAGAGCAAGGTTATCGAGTCCGTATTCGGTGGCGTCTCTCTCTATTCCCAGCTTGAGGCTTACCGATATGAGCAACTCGCAATTAGGGTTAGAGGCGGAGGAGGCTGTAGCGCTAGAAGCACCAAAACCAAAGAAAATCAAGAGAGCGCGGCTCGGTGTGACTGTTGAGGGCGATAGCATTCCTGTCGTCTCCAATTGCCCCGATACAACCATGATCCAGTCGCATTTGGGCGGCTTACCTCACACCCCTCTACTGTTGCAACTGTAAACAAGGCGAAACGCAGGTTAGCTGCAGAGCCTGCGAATCACACACACTAGTGCGTTGCCCATCCAGATTGCTTTTCTCCGAAATGCAACCTCTGGTGCATTGGGCGCGATGCTGTTCTAGCGGTAGCGAGTGGTCAAATGCTAAAGCAGCGCTTCTGCTGGAAGCTCCTTGCAGATGCTATGTGCGGTATGCGTTTCGTTAGGCTTCAAGATCCCACATACTATAGTACTCTGGTCTCAGCCAGTCGTCTTTGTTCATGCAGATACATGTTGAAGAAGGGCTCACAAGAACACACAAAGACAATGTGTATGAGCATGTGTCTGAAGAGATCATTGGAAAGGGTACCGTGGGCTCTCTCGAGATCACCGATGACGAGGGCGGAATTACGTCTTGCAGCCACCGAGGAGCACCGCCGTATCAGAATGCGATGAAGTCAAGTCTGATGGGAGATCTTACGAAGCGCGATGCCGGTAATAGGATTCACTCGGTCCCCAGTATCCGCAGATCAAACATCTTACGCCTCTCGCTTGGTGAGCAGCTCAGGACGAAGCCTTTTGGAATGAGTCACGGCAGGTTTCGAATGGCACCGAACTTCAGATGCCAAGGTGGACTCCCCGCGACAAGATGAATCAGGTGTCCCTTTGCCAACGATTCCCCACATTCCATCATGACACTATGAGTGAGATGAGTGAGATACGCTTTGACGTTCGATGCTGGAAGTTGGGAAAAAACTTTAGTCGTATGGCGCTCGCCGTTCTGTTATTGACTCGGTTACTGCCACAAGCGTTGACGGGTTTGTCTGGATATTGTCACCGGGTTGATGGGCTTAACGGGCATATCGATAGAGTCGACGATGAGTTAGTTTCTAACTCGCGGGATGTTTGACCTTGCAGCATCTAGCTTCTGGGTCGACAGCTGAGTCGCACACGACGTGGGTAATCTTACAAGGTGGATATACTCTACAGTGAGTGGTGCTGGCCTTTGATTTTCAAGTACTTTCCTTTTAGCGCCATATTCGAGAAATGTACGTAGCACGAGGCACCCATGCTACTCCCATTTGCAGTAGCGAACAACTAAAAGATACTTCATCTTTAGTGTAACCCACTTATTTTTGTTATCTTGATTAGTTTTTGACTTATTTTCTCCGAGCCTTTGTAGGAGCGGCCAACTTATTAGAAAAGTATTAATTTCTAACTACTTATTGAATAGTATAAGCTATATTTACTTCTTACGATTCTTTTACGTATTATCTATACCTATAAGGCTATATAAAAGACGATATTATGATTAAGTTCTATAGCGTATTAAACGCCTAGCGCGTATTCATCTAACTTTACTAGTAATTATTCTTTTTGTCTATATAATTTGACTATATTAGCGGAAGATAGTAAGATAGTCCGGCTTACCTTTATAATAAGAGTCTGAAGATCCGCAGAAACAGCTCTATAGCGGATTCCAAGTACCCGTAACTAATTAATAAGCTCCTAGGTCTTTTTACAAGTATATATATAACTAACTGTAGCTTATATAGAGGTACTCCGGCTTTATAAGTCTTAGAATAAGCTCCGGAATACGGTTAGGCTTACTAGTAACTATCTCAGGATTTATTAGCTGTAAGCTACCACGCCGCTAGTTAAAGTATGTATTTTTGCTACTAAAGGCCTTTTGAACGGCTTTTTCATAAGCTACTGTTTATATTACACTCGTAATACGCTAATTAAAATTTTCGATGTCTTCTTCTAATTTGAGTCCAGCAAGGTATAGTTCGTGAGATATTGTGAATTCAAGTTATAAGGTTATTATAAGAGGCTGGATTTTGTTGCAAATGGGGGTAAGCATGGTTAGGGAGATGATATCTGAACCCGTGGGGTCTACTGGGCGCCGACTGATAATTACGACGACCCGACGTCCGTTGATCGAGGGGTTCCCTGGTCGTGGAGTGCATCAATGTAACCCTAGCGCCAATCGGGCCATTGCCATATTCGGCCCTCCGTTGCTCTATCAATTGACTCGGAGCGTGCTTTCAAAACTGTTCAACAAAACCCGCTTTGTTCGCGTCAAGTTGCAGTACAGTCCGGTGATTTGAGTCGAATTGAGTATGCAAGGCGATGACGAGGCAGGGAATCCAACAAGCCGGGAAGCGTCACTCCGCCCGCTGTGGATTTGCGGAGCAAAGTTACCAAGGTTACCTTGGAGCCATTAATGAGAGGACTATTGCTGAGGATACCACTTTTGACGCCCAGGTACACCTTGCTCTACACCTCGACTAAAACACCAACGACCACGTCGAGCTAGAAAGTCCGATCTACTAATATTATCTCATGGGCGCCCAGACGGCCAACTCGGTGACCAGTGAAATTACGCTTCTTCAGAATGCTGCTATTGCCATATTTGGCTGCTCCTCCAGATTGTGGCTTCTTAAACAGCTGTAGCGTGGCGTGGCGGCTGGGATTTGTGGAAGGTGCTTATGGTCTTGCCACATTTGACATCTATCTAAAAGTGCCGCCGCTGCTGCTACAAGTTCTGATCTAGACAAGTCAGAAGTGCTCTTGATTTGTGGGTACAGAAAGAAAAACAAAATTACGCTTGCTCGCGTGGACAACAGTGTCGTTACTTACTTTTTCTCTGTTTGTCTTCTTTTCTCGTCATAGTACGATGTGTCCAGTCGCAGTCATCCACGCTTAGTTCGCTGCTTGCAGCTGTCTACTCATATGGTCCTCTTCCGCAATGGCAGCGCGGCAGCGCGGAATTGCTCGCAAATGCTCAATCGCTGTTACAGCTTGACAGGCAATGTCGGCCAACACAGACGCGAATATGCAGCTACTGACAGGGCTCACGCCTCTCGAGCCACTCAAGTGACAAGTTGCAGCTGCTGGGCCCTCAAATGCAACCTTTTCCCCCACCAGTCCATGGCTTGGACAGCTTATGGGTGCCAGTAGCCGTTCTAGCCCGGGCCTCTCTACCCTGCGCCAACCCTGCCGATCCTGGCGCCCCCATATTATTTCGAGAGGACCCCTGCCCCTGGCCCCTCATCATCCGACCTATCCTGGCTTCCATATCCCCAAAATTCGGCGTATTATGCCCGTCCTGGGGACGTTATTACCTTCAAAGACGCAAGTCGCATGTTTCATGGGCTTCGATGCATGCGTGAGGGTTGATGCGAGTCGCAGACGCTCACTATGATACGTGATGCAGTGGCCAGGGTCCTCCATGCTCGCTCAACCATTAAACCTCGCGCTTCCCTAGCTCCTCCTTCGCCACTACTGGCATCGAGTGGCCTGTGAAGAACGAAAGTAGTCGTCGTGCGTGTTTGATTCGCAGTTTGATGCATTCGACCAACTCGAACCGAGCCGAATTGCTGGCCATGTGGGACGCAGCTTCAAGAGAACAGTCCGACTGCTCCAGCCTCTAGCCAACAGTAACAAACAGGGAGCTGCCAGCTCAAGCTTTACTCGACATCGACCAGATGATGGATCGTGCTGGTCATCGTCTATACCACCCATATCCACGACCTTACTGGCTACCGTGCCCGGTCGCTCTCACTCTTTCACCCGTCCCCTCTGTAGGCATATTACCCATTTTTTGTGAGACCACATCATGAGAGTAGGCCGTTTGAAGCCCACCGCGAGCGCCGGTCGCCCTCCAACGGGTGAGTCCAGCATCCGGGGAAGAATATCAGGGCCAATCCCAATACCAGACCCCGTCGACGACGACGAATTTCCCATGCGACAGCCCGGGACGGGACTCGCCATGCCTCTAGGCAGTGAGAGCAGCAGGCCGCAGGTTCCGCCAGATAGCTCCTCCAGCATCAATGTGCAAAATAACAGTTCACCTCCGCCTAGTGCTGTGCCCGAGGAGAGGCCAGTATCGGCCGTAACACAACCACAACAGGAGCAACGAGCTGAAGGGCCGAGTCAAGCTTCCCAGACCTCGGCCAGCCTGCCGCGATGCAACGATCTCACCAGCGCTTTGCGGTACTCGACGGTGAGTGCTGGGACCGAAACGGACAGAAGCCGCACCGGCCCACAACGCAAAAAGTCGACTCTTCGCGGTGCTCTCACCAAGCTCTTTGGCCGCAAGAAGAAGCGCACAAGCAATGGTGGATATGGCTCGGCATTGCGTGTTGAGGCTCCGATTAGTTCTACCGCTGCACAACATAGGAGTGTAAGACAGCCCCACGGAAACACCCCACGGAAACCGCATAACGGGCTTTGTTACTAATTACATGATGACTTAGGATCCGTCTGCTCTGAGCCGAAATATGACTAAGGACGCCGAGCCGAAGCGATCAGCTTCCTTGCCAATCACCGAGTACGACAGAGCCCTGAGGTCCAATTCCATTGGTCCGGATGACTTGATGGCTATAGAGAGTGCGCGCAACTCCCTGCAGGGTGAACACCCGATTCATAGTGCCAGGCGGAGGGCCGCAACAGCAACAGCCACAGCCAGCAGGATAAACAGCACCAGAAGTAGAGACTTGGGGGATATAGTCTGTGGGCTCTCTCCGAGGCCTGCGAGCTCTCATGCTCGAGGCAGTGAGGTCCCCGGCGACGAGGATCCGGAAGACATAGGCCGCGCCATTACCAGTGACCAACGAGCACTGCGTCGCAGATCCAGGAGTTTGTCGCAGCTGCAAAATCTCGCACTAGACGTGCCTGAGGCCCGGAATCGCAGCGATGAAATACGATACTGGAGGGAGAGCTATGACCCGGCCTTCGTATCGCCCACATCGTCAAATGTCCCCGATGACACCGCGTTTGTGAACGCCGATGCTCCAGAGTTCGTAGCTGATTCGCCAGCGGGACTGTCACCCAAGACGCCGCCCCAGCCGTTCAACTTCGGAACCATGATGGGGATGAAAATTACGCAGGCCGCGAGCCTAGAAGAACGAATAGTGACGCTAGAGACTCGCAACGAGAAACTGGAAAGATTACTTGCGCAGCTTTTCCAAGTTATTCCCGGGGTCAGCGCCTACTCAGGGACGCCGGAGCGGGAAGCTCGACCAGAGCCAGAAGGCCTGTCTGCTACGTATGCTGCGGGCTCTGCTGCTCCAAATCTGACGTCATATCAGACGATAACGAACGATATGCGCTCGACGTCGCGCCACGGTAGTAGTTCTCGACACTCCAACGAATCTTTTGGCGATGGGCACACCTTCATCGACTCCGTCGCCCCTTCCACAGCGCGTGCCAACCGCCCTAAATCCAACACCACCGTTCGTGCCGCAACCAGTCTTCCCACGTTATCAAGAGAAGCTTCAGGTCCGTTTAGTGCGGACCACTACACGGCACTTCTCGCCCTCATTGAAACGGAGCGCGTAGCGCGCCAGTCATTAGAAGCGCAAGTCACAAAGCTTAGCCACAGGCTCAGCCTGATGTCCCGCGCTCTGCAGAAATACGAGGGCCACACAAGCCATGTCAGTGGCACATACTCGGTATTCGAACACGACGACGAGGATGATACGACAGGGGCTGACGACGAAGAGTACGAGTCGGAAGCATTCAAAACCCCAAGGGAGGAACAGCCGCAGCACGGTTTCGGTGCATTTGGCGAAGAACTCGTAGATGACGATTCGGACGGCAAGCGCAAGAAGGCGGCCCGAACGTTGTCGTTGAGTCAACTCACACTCGGCAAGCCCAAGTCCAAGACGAAGACGGAAGTCGGAGTGAACTTATGACTATATGGACTTCAGTCCGAAAGTCTGGCAGATTGAGCCGGCCCTGCTTGCGCTGGCTTATCGCATCTCACTTACACACTTATATATCCCTACCCTAATTCTCAGCTGGATTTACTCGACCCGGTGTTTAGAGAGCACAGCATGGCGTTGATTCGGACGAATGTACGATGAAATTTACTCTCGCATGTCGATATGACGGATATATCTTTCGTTTTACCATCTCTTTTGTTCCAGCACTAGGAGCGGGCCGGCGGCTCTAGTTCTCCTTTCTTGCTGGGTTACCCCCTATATTATTTCTTTTCCTGTATAGTTGTCTTGCTCGAAAAATTCGGCCATTTTGATTTATCCTATATTTGGGCGATGTTGGACAGCATCGTCTTGAGACCGAGGTTGACAGGACAGAGTGAGTTCATTGTAATGGAGCGGCGTGGCGAGACCGACATATTGGTAATTCACATAATTGATCCAGTTACCAACCGATTTCTTATTGTTCGAGATGAGGCAATTGTCCACAGGTCTGATATGGCCAGACCGGGGCCGTGTTGTGGTGCGCTCTATCATATTCAATTATAGGCGCGGTATCAACCGAATAAGTCATGACGACGTTGTTCTAAACCCCTCAAGGCACTACCGGTAGATGGTGCCCGCTCACACCTCATTGGCCACCTCCTTATGACCTGCCTTTCTGAGATAAGTTTATCCGCAGCTGTTGCAATGAGAAGTAAATAATGATGGGCTCCAAGACCCCGTCTTTGAGCTCAGCGAATACGGCCGCTGCGGCTCTCGGCATGATGGGGTCTATAATGGCAGTCTCAATCATAGTTTTGTTCCTACGCAATGAATTACACCGTAAGAATTATTAATGAAGTCGCATCCTCCCAATATGAGGCTTCAGGTCGTTTCCGCCTTCATGACAGTGGTAGCAGCTGGGTCGATCTTGTCTCCAAATCCGGCATGGGGACTTATGAATCCACAAGAGGCTGGTACAGCGTTGTTCAGCTGTGCTGCCACAAACTGGCCGCGCAAGACCATCGGGGAGATAAATGTGCCTCAACAACCGTCCCCCGATCTCGAGTCCATCTTGGCAGAAGTTGACCGCTCAAATATCGAGGCAACCATCTTGAAGCTCGTCTCTTTCGGCACGCGACACACGCTTTCAGTTCAGAACAGTACGACCCGGGGAATAGGGGCAGCTCGAGACTGGATCGCGTTTGAGTTCCAGCGCTATGCCAACGCAAGCGATGGACGACTGACCGTTGAGACTATCGGGTACGAGCAGCCGTCCGATGGCAACCGCATTCTGTTTCCAGTGCGTATCAGCGATGTGGTAGCAACACTCCACGGCACAGAGACACCAGAGCGTCTATATGTCGTGTCGGGGCACTACGACAGCCGAGTGACAGACGTGCTAGACTACACATCCTTTGCCCCTGGCGCCGACGACGACGCCTCCGGCGTGGCCATCTCCCTCGAACTTGCACGCATCATGTCCCAGCCAAACTACCCCCGTCCGAAAGCCAGCATCGCCTTCGCGGCCGTGGCAGGGGAGGAACAGGGCCTGTTTGGGTCCACGTACCTAGCGCAAACGTACGCCAACGCCACGCCTAAGGTCAACGTAGAGGGCATGTTCACCAACGACATCGTGGGCTCCTCCACCGCCGACGACGGCACCGCCGATCCCTTCACCATCCGCCTCTTCGCGCAGGGTCTCCCGCCCCTGACGGTCGAGAACTCCACGGCGCGAGAGAGGCGCCTTACCATCGGAGGGGAAAACGACACCCCCGCTCGCAACCTGGCCCGGTTCGTCAAAGAAGTTGCCGACAACGACGCCACAGGGATGAACGTCTCGGTTGTCTACCGGCTGGACCGCTACCTGCGTGGCGGCGATCATCGGCCATTTCTTGAGGCGGGGTATCCGGCGAACCGGTTCACGGAGCCGAATGAGGATTTTGCGCACCAGCACCAGGATGTTCGGGTGGAAGAGGAGAGCGGGAAGCAGTATGGTGACTTGCCTGAGTTCTGCGACTTTAATTTCATTGCCCGTGTCGCGAGGGTGAATGGCGCGGCGCTGTGGAGTTTGGCGAATTCGCCTGGCATTCCGAGGAATGTGAGGGTTAATTCAACGGAGTTGAGTAATGATAGCATCTTTTATTGGGACCCGCCGGCGGCGGGGGAGGAAGGGGCTGGCGTGGGAGGTTATGAGGTCGTTTGGAGGGCGACGGATGCGCCGTTTTGGACGGACGTTATGGATGTTGGGTTGGTTAATGAGATCACGGTCGATTTGAGTAAGGATAATGTTGTCTTTGGTATTAGGGCTAAGAGTGCGGACGGGTCGAGGGGAGTGGCCGTTTTGCCGTTTCCGGTATCGTGAGTGAAGAGGGTTTGACTTGGGAGTTCAGGGGCCGATGTGAGTGTGTGTATTTCACGGGCTGTCGCTCGTAGAGTGAGCGGTGGTATAACTGTTATAGACTCCATCAAGGCCCCTATAATACACGGCAGAGCAAAATATTGATGGCAGCTCAATTATCTGTAACCTACCCCCAGATCAAAACATTAGGTACCATCTCACAACTCAAAGATGGTAGAAATATAACTTCGAGATATGTTTTCCAACATGCGCAACATGACAGGTAATGCTGTTGGCAAGTCATAAAACCTTAGAACTGTCTAGGACCGTTATATACGCAGCCCTTACTTCATGGAATACGAAGCCACAACTGTCAAGTCTGCTAAGACAGATCACTAACTTAGACATGAGCGCGAGAGCAGCGTGGGAACAGTAGGAAATATATATATGCTTCGTAAGTCGCTCTATAACTACAAAGATACTATCGTATAGCATATTAACTATTACTTCCTTATTCCAAGGTAACTAAGGTAATTTGTTATTATCATTATTATTATTATTAAATACGCCGTAGGCTCGAAGCCCCCGGTACCTCTACTAGTACTCCCGTATGTCAAACCGTGCCCTAATGGCTGGACTAAATACATACGCTGCGTCGTCGGTTCGCCCTATTGGCGACTGCGTTGCGTTCACTACCATACTACGTTGGTTCTCAACCTACCAACAAAGTCCCCCCTGAGAAGATCGATGCTATCTGGGCCTTGAAGCTGTCCGACCCGTCCCTAGCAGCCATCTTACAATAGTCCCACTAACTACTGGTTCTCCTGTTGCCGTTGCGAGGTCTCTGCGAGAGTATAGTGGTCGTGGTGCGATAGCGGCCCGTAATCGTTCCCTCGGTCCTTCCAACAGCCCGCAAAAGAGGATTACGTGCTCTGCCGCCTCAGGGGCGTCGCCACAGCGGCATAGCGGCGAGTACACGCCAAAAGCCCCTGTCTTGAATAAGAAGGCTGCTAGTCCTATTTTTTCCGTCCTGATCTGGCACAGCGTAGACGCCTCCAGTCGGTTCAGGCCGAAATACTTGCCCCCTTTCGGTATCTGCATCGAAGGGCCCTCCGGTTCCTCAGCGATAGCGCGTCGCTGGCGATCGTGATGCTCTGCTCCGGTGAGCCATCTCTTCCTCCAGTGGCCGAGGAGGGCAGCCGGGACCTCCTTTTCCTCACTCATCCACTCGGAGCCCCGGGCCTCCTTCTCCATAGTGTACCCTGCCGGTCGGAGTAGCTGCGACGCCTGCTTCCTCTTCGCCGGCCTATCCTGCCTATATATAATTTTAGGTAGAAAGAGAGGTTAATTCTCTATATACTATTTATCTAGATAATCTGAACTATATATATAAGCAGAGTTTACCCCGCCTCTAGTGCTGTTTTAGGCGCAATTTGGACACCTGTAGATCTCTAAGCGAGTGCAGTACTAGATACCAAATATTGCTGACATTTTTTTCTTCAACTTTTTTTTAAACTTTGCATAGCCCAGGCACACCGCCTGTTGGCTGGGGAGAACGCTCGGGCCAACTGCCCAAGATAGCCCTTGCGTACTCACGTAGCTGCAGGCTTTGGAAGTTGGTCCTATCATCACCACCAATACATGCTGTATTGCCCACATCCAGTAATACAAGGCTTTCTAAATAGTATATCATTCAAGTCCTACCTGTCTTGTAAACACTTTTATTCTCGTGTAGCTATGGCTACCACTGATCACTGTTTAGCCAACCTCTCTGCGACATCCATTCGAGAGAGCCAATTATACGGCACAAGTCATGGGCATAATTAGTCATGTCGGTTGGATCTTCACCTGGTCAGCAGATATGCATAGAGGTATTGCATGGCGATTAGTTAAGACCGTCAATTTCGTATCAGTGATCCATGAGGCTACTTCCATAGGGTTGGAACGGGTGAATACCCCTATTTACCTGATATCGGTAACGCATGGTCCAAAGATCACACTGCCAGCTATCCGAGATGATTAGATCCTGTGGTATTACCGGAATCCAGCACCTTTGCGAGAATGAAAAATAGTTTCGTAGGCTCCCAGGGCTGCCGTGAGATCAAAGCATCATGGATGATAATCCCATCCTCTTTCTCGGTATGTAACCCTCCGCGAAGGGTGACGCATGTCGTCTTGCTCAAGGTTACCCCTCCCAGAGGTTGATAAGTGATAACCTAGATACCAAAGACATAATAATTCAGATGCCTACCGCGGAGTCTCATATGTAATATCAAGCTATTAGTGTCACATACTGCTTTGTGTTGTAAATATACCTCCACCAACCAGATTCAAGCTTTATTTACTGCAGTCACAATGGCCAACCAAATATAGCAAAGTTGGCTTCGAATGCAAGCATACGTGTTCGCATGTATAAGTCTCGATTGGAACACAACTCGAGTTGTTTCAAGTGGTAAGTAGATGGTATCTCAGCATAATTGACTGTGTTATTGGCCAACTACAGGTGTATCGAGAAACCCGACTTTTCTATAATTATATATTCGTGGAGCAATCAGATATGAATAGCCATACTCTCCATGCTATTCCAAATCGGTATCCCGCTTATTCAGTCACTTTGTTCGGGGGGAAGAAGAAAATACCTGCCCACGTCAGATCGCCAACCAGGATTGTCGACTCTGACACGTCCAAGATGTTTGCTTTTGCCAAAGCCCTTGTTGCTTCATTATCGGGAATGCCACGTCAAAGCGGGAGTCTGATCTGCATAAAACCCCCGTTATGTTAGGAATCGAAACACGTATCATTATGCGGCCCAAAGAGTTAAAGCCGACGACTACAAGCCACGAATCATCAATGAAGGTATTTTGAAGAATGCTTCGCATCTCAGAGGGTGCGCCACCCTCAGAAAGCCGGCACTTCCACGCCTTCAGCATAACCAATAGGCTCTGTTCTAAGCTACTATGTCGATTTCAAGCCTCCAGGAGGCAGTCTGACGCCGTAGAAATGATCCCTCTCTTCGGGCAATTTTGTCGGCGTACGCAAAGGGACTTCAGTTGCTCAGCATACGGATGACAGAATAAACTGCGCACACGGGCGGCATAGTCAGGTTACAACGGTGTACTACTCTAGTAGATTGGGCTATCTCGTACCATTCCACCGTTAATGCGCCAATATTTCGTATGTGCCTGCTCAGCTCAGTCTTTGAATGAAGTGCAGCAAGGGTCAACTACAGGAAGGTGAGTAAACAAGGGAATGCAAGTAGGACGGCCGTATACGATTCGACAGAACGTCCAAGATAATCACGAAGGCGTCCGAGGGAGACTCAAAAGAGCGTCCCACATGTGACATTTGGGGCTATATACTATGCTTGGGTTGGGCTTCTATAACCAAGGCTATACCCAGCCGATCTGTGTTCGTCTTGTGGATCCTGGAATATTCACTCAGCATTCAAAAAGATACTTTACCGTCCTACCGGGCTGCGATCCAAGCTGTACATCTGGAAGAGCGATACTTCCAGCACGGCAATACTGGAGCCTGGGGATGGCCTGCTCTCATGCGACCACACACAGCCTCGATGGTCAGGTGAGGTCTTTAGACATCACCCTGCCCGCGAGAGCGGACCAGTCGGACCAGTCTTTGACCAAGTCGTTCAAGCAGGTGCAGCATGTGGCATCTGTGGCAGTGCGCAACAACTTGGAGGAGCTGCGGTTGCAGGACGCCGATTGGGCGCAGCATAACATACATGTGACGTACTGTTGTAGAAGGACGAACCAGTGGGAAGACGTGAGTTGGTCCCCAGTTTCTTTGATTGAATGTGCCTTGTCGACGTATACTGGACAGCAGCAGTTGGCCTGATTGGGCGGATGCCAGGAGGCTGGGGGCGACTCATCGCGACATGACCAATGCCATAATAGCTGCAGTATGAACGAATAGCCAGCGCTGAAGCTGTACGAGAGCATCAGGAGAAAAACGGGACACCGAGATGGAGTTCCCCGCCGACTCGCATAGGCCAGACATGCCGCATTTGATTGACGATGGCATGTCGAGCTGAGTTGGGGGTCTCAAGTGATGCGTTCTGCTCGGACGTTGGGAGGTATCCAATGACGCCCATTACGTAGGGGGTTGACGGGCTCAGCGGATTTTTCGCCCTTGCATGTTCATCTTGCATCGTGTGTATCTCCAATGGCTCTGCGCAAGCGAGAGAGGGGTCCATGCATGGCCTTTCCATTAAACAAACATATGCCCATAGTTTTGGGGGACAGGCACGGCAGAACGGATTTGTGCGAGTGCGGGATGGAATCGGGCGCACCGCAGACTGGCTTGCTTTGAACCTGGATAGGTAGGGGGGAGGGGGACTTTTGCAGCGAACACGCAGCACGATCAATACCTCGAAGTAGCTGCTGACGCACAATGAGGGCAAAGGAAAAGGCGTTGGGAACCGTACTGCTGGCGATCCATGGATCAGCGTCCGTCCGGAAAGACTCCGAAATTGCAACAAAGGCAAATAGCATCATCCCATCCACCCCAAGCAGCAGGTTCTGGTGCAGACCCAAGAGCAAATAGGTATGTTGCTGCCAGACGGCGACTTCGCTAGCTGGGTCAGCAACGTCATTACTAACATGAACTACTGTACAGTCGCTGCGACTGCATACGGACATACAAATGCATATGCTGTGACAGCATCGGTGATAACGACGTTCGGTCCCTCAGATGCTGCTCTCTTTGCCTTCCCATATCGGGGCTTCACTATAACTAATGGATGCCGCATGAGACAGGACAGTTCGACAGATCGACTAAAATCGGCAGGTGCGTATCGCTAGCGGTGGCCGCATCAGAGGGGCGAACATATTTGGCTGGATGTGATGGGGGGATTTGAAACTCCAACCAAAAAAACTAGAAACACTATCCAGAGTCGCGATTGGGTCAAGAGAGTGACGAGAAGTCATTAGGTGCTATCTGCTTGCCGCATGCACAATCTCTGGGGAGGCGGCCACCCCCGTGCATAGAAGCTTCCAGTGAACCTCGCTCTGCTCCGGCAGTGCAAAATTGCACCAATCAACCCATACTGCAGTGGATAGCCCGGTTCTTTTGCCTATGATAGTACTTAGCCTCGATATCGAAGAATCAACATTGGACATGCGCAGCGTAATCTTGTCAGTCTGCAATCCTCTAGCCGGCATGACTTTAGCCTAGCCTCACCGACCTCTATTTTTCATTTTTTTCATTTACCACAGGCCTGAAAATGCGGTGTAGGGGGATGAAAACCCCAAGAAGTAGAACTATTGACAAGACGACAGCCTCGCTTGCACATATCAGTGTCGCACCACCGCCAGAAGCAATACTGGACTGCCCCATCCAGAGGTATATACCCTATCTTATCAGCAACAAAGCGTGCCTGTCATCTCAAAGAGGGAAGATCAGCGTGGTATCGATGGCCCTCCAGTGCTCGGCAGGTAGTATTTGACAACAAAAGAAACAAACCCTCATCCAAGCCCCGGTCAAGCGATGGCGTGCTCCTTGACACCGGGACCCGGCAAGTGGGATGAGGAGGAAGGGGAGTATCATCAAATGGGGAGCACACCGTTTGACGTGGCTAGCCGATTGACACTACCCCGTTACGTCTTGATACATATGATTCCTATCTACTATTACTCAACTCTGATCTTACGTATTAGTGCACGTTATGACGCTCGTTGAGTCAAGGAAAGCTTCTAGACTGTCAAACCTAGACCCTGATGAACATGCCAAATGAGAAATAACCCCACGAGATCATTCGGTGTTCCCCGCCGCTAGCAAGACAGGTTGCCAAACCTTGGAAGAAAAGCCAAAATTGCTGGATCTATATGAGGATCGTCCTCGGGGTCCACCACCGGCAGTGAGACCAAATGAGCCGCATATCTCATATCGTGAACGGTTCGCCCACCAGAGATCCGCAAGCGGATCTGTCCAGCGTGTCCAGCGTTTTCATGGGACGTTGTGTTTGGTTGTTCAACGGGGTCCCCGATTATGAGGTGGCTTGAGTGGCCTGACACCTCGAGTTTTCACGCATGCTTGCTGGCCATGGTGATGGTGTGGGTATGGAGTAGTAGTAGTAGTGAGATCCGAGGAAATATTGTGTGCATACGTCGATACCCAAGTACCCCGTGGATCTGGATAGCAATTGGCTCTTAAGTCTTGCCTAGTTGCTAGTCTGCCGTAGATACTGATACTCGTTGACACTACCATGGTCGATAAGATAGAGCCGTATTGCATGTGACTGTATCAGAAGCAGAGTGAATGCGATGACACATGTACCTCCAGACCTCGCGGGGGCATTCAACGTCCCACGTGTCTTGGTGTTTTCTCTGACCGATCATGTCAACTGGGAAACAGGGTTCCCTGGGGCCGGCCGAACTCGTGCCGAGAATCACCTGGCCAGATGCTCGTTAGTCGTTCGAACGGGCTTCATTCCGACCTTCGAAGGTCCCGGACGTTCCATAGATGGAACCATAAAGTGGGGGAAGGTTGCATATGGCAATAAATGGACCTACGAGGCCAAATTAGCAGTGACAGTTGATATGCAAATGCAAAATAATTATGGAACGTGGGAAAGATGGAGCAGGTCGCCATAGATGGAACATCGGGCAAGACTTGGCGTCTCTCTAGCTCCAAGCAGCGGGTTCTTGAAACCTTCTCGAAGCCCATCAACAGGGATTGTAGAACCAATAGGCCTCTCCGCGGACCACGGACCTGCGTTAGTGGAATTAACGACCCCATTAAGCCCATCTTGCGGGCCGTTCGCCAACTTGCCCACCCTGCCCGCTGACGAGGTCTGGAATATTGATACAAAGTACTCCGCAGAAAAGACCGTGATGAGGAAAAGAGGCCCCATCGCTCCGTCCAGGCTCCGGAGTCTAGCATGTTTCTGTGCTAGCAGAAAGTGGCTGCTATCACTCGCCAGTTCCGATGACACACGCTTCAGCCCGGAACCTACGGGTGAGGGCCGGGAGGTTTGACGGGAGGGACTATCGAATTCGGCCCTCCGACTATCGTGACACAAGGGATCTCTTGCAAGGTTTCTTACTTCGTACTCGGCCTATTAGATGCTAGTGCTAGTTATCTCCTCGACGGCATTGACATGAGGTTCATCACGCGACGACCTTCTTTTTAGAGTCATGGGTTGTGTCCTCAACATTTCGCCACTTTCGTTTGTTTGCTGTTACGAAGTTATCGAAGGGCCGAGTTTCCTAGCGTCCCTGGCATCAAAGCAGAGCCCTCGAAATGTGCAGCTGATAGCGAATCTGGTTGGCCCATCATTTGCCGGCAAAAGACTGTTGTGATCTTCCAGAATCCTGCCTCAATGTGTTTAGAGCACAAGTGATCCATGTCGGGGCTAAAGTAGCTGCGTCGCTCATTTAAACCAACCTGGTGCCTGTCAATCCTCTATCGGGACCAATCGCTGCCAATCAGCTCCTCGTTGCCGGGGAGTCCCTTCCAGAGCTTGCAAATCCGGGGCAGGGCCTGACTCTAGAACAGCTTGGCCCTTGTCTGCGGCGTTGTCTGCTGGGCTACGGCTAACCTATCTGCGGCCCGTCTAAGATGCGGTCTGCTTCAGGGCCTGACTGACTCGTTATCAAAGATATGACAAGATTGTCGGTGACCATATGGAACAGTAATGGAACAAAAGACAGGTGAATTGTAATGAGTGGTCGGCATGTCAAAATTGCCAAAATCCACAGTGAAGTAGTTTTCGTGGGAAATCGGTCGAAGGACCCAACGTGACATGTTAGGTGAGCAAGGAAACTGGATCCCGAGTGAATGGAACTGCAACACACGACTCGCAGTGAGCAGTCACAACATGACCACGCCGTCCAATAGAGTCAGTCGCTCTATTGTCACCGTCCGCTACGACTCTGCACGTAGTTGAGACGACAGTTCCAGGAATCTGGCACTCACTCGCTGGTGCAGACTGGGTCAAGAGTCGTATCTGCGCACTGTCGCGGTCTCCGACCACATGCGCGCAGACAACCGCATGTTCTAGCGGAAGAGCCGCCCGAGTCCACATTGTGATTGATCGCTGTCTCGTGGCCGGCTTTTGGGGATGTGGTGTTTCTGCGATAACGGTTTCGGAAGAAACTGTGCAGCGATCGTCCTTGCGGCACGTATCAGTTTCACCAGATATGTAAATCTCGGGTTTCCCATTTCTTGGCATGCAGTTCTGACGGGGGCTGCGGAGCCGTTTTGCATAATGTTGCAAAGAGAGGTTTGAACCTTGGCCATAATCCGGCAAGTCATCTATCGAAGACGATCTGCCACGCACTGCAGCCAGCCAGTCTTCAGTATGCTGTTGTGGAGGAATCGATTTAGGTTTCTGTGTTTCGTTTTTCTTGCCATTCCTACCCCCAGAATCCCCATGATGAAAAATCGTGAAACCGTTTCTGCATCTGGCAACAATAGTGCAGAGTTTTCTGCACACTACTGCAGTACTTGGTGGTATGCAAGGTACGCAAGGTACGGTCGACGCGAAAAAGGCAAGGAATCCGGCCGCGGTACCTTCGCTGGGAGGATACAATCCAGGGCAACCTGGAGGGTTTTCCAACGGGGTGGGAGCCGGAGTAGCTTGCATGATAGAGGCAAATTGATGATTGGTTAAATCATGGGCTGCTGGGGTTGGAGAGACATGGTTTAGTAAGACGGAAAGCTTCCAACGAGGCCGTGACGATAGTACCATGAACAAGCTGGCTCTTTCTGGAGAGTGGGGCCGAAGAAATGGATCGGACTCGACTCGTAATGCAAGGCCGGCTGCACGAGGCACGGCAGAATAATGAAAAACCAGCCATAAGTAGCTCCGAACGTAACGATTCCAATCTTGGAAACAATTTGTTATTAATGAAAATGAAATCAGTCGGGTGGACATAACCGTAGATATACTGTGCATAGTACAAATTATGCGTGTATGCATAATTATTCACGTCCAGTCGTCCCGAACAATCGTCCTGTACTGTAATGGCCTTATGCACTCGCATGGATGCAGTCGTTTCGTGTATGACGCCGAGTATACTCTTCTAGAGCGTGTCAAGTATACGGCTCGGTCTTCCTGCTTGCGTCGACTCGCCAACACTACAGGGTATCGACCAATGCCTGGAGAAGAAGTCGTGGCACCCCATCTGGGACCAGAACGTTATTGATTGAGTTGTCAACAATGATCTGCCTTTCCTGCCGAAGACGATTGTGCAGAAGGGCGAGCACATGCTACTTACTGCGTGCGGTCTGCTGGGCTACACGATCAACCCGATAGATGGTGCACTTCTGCGGGTGCCGGCCTTGTGTCATCTCTGTCACCTCGGATGACGATGTACATTTGGTTGCTTCTCGGAACATCGAAGTGACACTCGCGGGAGAGTCTTGTCGATATGTTCCACTGATCAGCCACAAATGATCGTTTCTTGAAAATGGCCCCGAGAAGGAAATTGGCAGAATGCTAAAGTCGGCAACGAAGTACCAATGAGAGACCAGGAACGTCCCGAGGCGGGAAATAGAGAGCTTGTGAAGATGTCTTTTTTCGAGAGACCATTCGTCGGAAGAAAATGGTTGAAGCTGTAAAGAAAATCATTTTTATAGGAAAATGACATGGCAGTAGGTGGTCGCGATTTAGCATCGTGCCACAGGAGGCAATTCTCGTGTCTACAACTTCAAGTAACGTGAACTGTTAGTAGTTACTTTCCTTCCAGCTGGTAGGTCGTGCTTTCCACAGTTCAGACTCTACTTGGCCGTGATCGGGCTGATAATGATTGATTTTGGCCCGCGCCCTCGCTGCAGGACATCTCCATTTCATCTTCGTGACAGCTTGAGAAGACACAAGATCCATCGAAAGAAATCAATGTTCAATGATGCGTCGCTGCTTCGGTGGTTCGCTTTACCACGTCATCTATTGAGATGCTAGCAGTTCTAGCGTACAACATGGGCCGCCTAGGCTCCATGCTTCATATTTCAACCGCGCGCTGCAGCGCATCAGATACGCCATCTATCACATCTATCAGCACCAATGTCTGGACTTTGCAAGCCGCACGAACTGCAGGAGCCAAAGCGTGCATCCATCATATGCTGTTGAGTTAGACGGGCAGACGGGATGGATGAGGGATGAGGGGCAGAGCAATCAAAAGGATTGCCCCGCTACTGTGATCACTGATTCTGGGTTAGAGCCACCACCACACCTCCATGACCTCTCGCATCCGCATAAGGGGAGCGATACACAATCAGGCTTCCAAGCGCGCGCTCTTTGCTCGCTCTAGACGATATCGACGTCGTTACGAGCGCTTGTCCGAGTGGGTGCATCTCGTCGATCAAATGCCTTCCCAAGAAGGACGCGAGGTACGACTGTGGAGGTGCTGACGACGCTATTGTCCACTTACAAGAGAATCCCAACTTTCTCTGTGTTTCGGCTTGAATTATGAAATACCTCATGCTAGTGAGCGAATACCACCCTCCCATTCGCCTTCTATTCTCGACGCCACCACCACACAGAATTAGCCAATGCAAGGTACTGAGTGCGTAGTACGAGTACGCTAAAGGCCAAAATACAAACGCGTCGGCACCAGGAGACTGCCATATTGGCTGGATTTCTTTTCCACCAACGTGCAGTCAACACTCCGAACGCAATTTTTGGAAGACCATGCATATCTCACTCAACATGCCAGTTGCTGTCGGCTCTATTGGCTGTATACGCACATCGCATCCTATACCCATGATGAAGCCAACCGTGGGATCTGCTCTTTCCGTCTGTTATTCTTAGCAGTTATTGTTGGAATATTATGCGTCGGAATACACAAGCAATATCAATTTCAAACTGCCTTGTTCTATCTTTTGCAACTGGAAAACGCATGATGTTGCCCGTGCCGAACCCGGCATACGCCGTCAATGCTATTATAGGCGGTATCGTCGGCGTTTCGTACATACATCAAGCTGCTTTCTGCAAAGCCAGATCTATCTCGAGTCAGAATTCGCATCGTTGGACCACCAATCCAGACAAACCATCAGTGACCTAGCAAGTGTCTGGCTTCTCTGAGGCAAGACGAGATGTTTTGGGACCAATGGCAGATATCACGAAGGTGGCTGTGGGGAACTTTGTGAAAGACAATGTGATGAGTCGGCGCAACGCCTGGTTGGCACACAGTGTGCCTTGCATTCCGCTCTATGGGTGGGTGCACAATAACTGGATGGCCAGACAGCCATCAGCGACTGGTGTGCAGCGTCGCAGTGTGCAGTCAACCGGCCACAACACCAATGCAAGTGCTTTGGCTAAAGGGCAATTGTGCAAATTGTGTGGCTACTAATTTTCTGCTAATAGTTTCGCGTGGTCAGCAACAGCCCCTGTCGGCTGCACAAGGACCTATCATCCAACAACCGGGCGACTTGTGCAATGACGACGTTGTCTTGCGTTCACTCGTCAGTCTTCACGAGTCTGGCGGGTCAAATTCCTCATGCCCACCGAGAGCTATTGCTATCCTGCCACACTCGACGGCCCCCACCACATAAACTCAGAGAGTGACATGACGCTGGGTATTGCGATGAACACCCACCTGTCCAGAGAAGAGGTGGATAATATTGTGCCTGGTAACCTGGGACGGGGACCAAAGGCCCAGAAGCACCCCGTCGGGCTCTTATGCAACTCGTCTGAGCCACGCTTCCACGACGAGTACGATGTATGCACGAGAGTCCGTATCTAGCACGTTGGCAATGTGGGTTCTATGCAAGGTGTCGTATGTGCGGACTGTACTTAGCGAGTGGACAAGGTTCTGGCAGGCAAAAGTATCGTTGATACCGCGGTACTTGTCCAAAATAGCATTGCCTTAAGTGGCTGCGCCATTGGCCTCGAGCATACCCACCCATCTGATGTTTCTCCAGACACGCAGCAGGGGTGCCATTCTCTCATCCACTGTAGACCAGGTCCCATCTTTAGACCCTTGTCAGCTTTTCCCAAGTGAGACATGCATGGGTTTGGTGGTGCCTTTTTCCGGGCCCGCCATTCCATCCACAGGCCAGTCAGTGCCTATCGACGGGTTTAATCCGTTGATCTGGCTTCGACCACTCTTTTACATTACCCTTCAAGGTCCCCTTCAACCACGCTCCTTCTACTGCCCAGTTCGTGATCGACATATTAGAGTAGTTTCTCTTTTCCTCTTCATAAACCGTCGGTTCTTGTTTGTTCTGTGACTCGACTTTTGGATTCATAACGAATTCCCTTACCTTCATTTAGTATACAAGCTGCCTCATCCCCTCGGTTGATCACTCCACGAAGTCCTCTCTTCAAGACCACGAAACTTCAACCAAGTTTACGACAGACACATGTATAACACGACCACAGCAGTCACCAACAACTAAGAGATAGTCCTTGATATCCATCGAGGCTAACGTCCATTCCTTCCAACATTGGGAACCGAACCACCGTCTTTAGGCCAACTGCCCGCAAACCTACGCGCATTGTACAGTATATACATTATACTTAATATATAAACGAAGGAAGAAGACACCAACCATATCGTCTACGACAACATCAAGTTTTGACGCCCACGCTTGGCTCAGCAGGTTCGTGGTCATGAGTGTGCATAAGCCAACATGACGGACGAGCTAACCAGACTGTCTTCAGAATAATGGATCCCAACATGATGGCATCACAGGTGATGGGACCAGCTCCATTCTTCTACTACAACCCAGAACCAAACCCGGAGCACCGACAGCATGGCCACTTCAGCCAACATCCTGCTCTGCAGCAGATGCACATGTTTCCAATCGTGCCTACGCTCCCCTCGACCCCAATCTACTCCAGACCCAACTCATCTTGCTCGCAACCGCCAATGCCAGCCAAGGTCTTCAACTCTATGTCGTCCCACATGACGCCGAGGGCATCGCCTCAGCCCACTTCTCACAAGGCCGGCATCCTGCTCCAAACTGAAATCTACGACGACGGTTTCTATTACCCGGCCACGCCGCCACTGTCCACAACTGGAAGTAGCATGGGAAGCCCTCACAGCAACGATGTTTTGGCAACCCCATTGAACCCCATGTTCTCCGGCCTGGATGGATGTGAGACGGTCAAGCTCGAAGTCGAAGTAGTGCCCGAGCAATTGGATGTGCTGGACTGGTCTAGCTGCGGATCGCCTCCATTGACACCTCGTGAGTACCCACAATTTTGCTTGCGTCTCATAAAATTCCAAACACAGCAAATTAGGCTTCACGAGTTGCGTTTTTTTTTTTCTCTTGTAAATGGAATGGGTCAATTTTCATATCGTTTGCGCACTTACACCTGTCACTGTCCTTGCCAATTGTCGGCGGGGCTATCGTGGGAAATTGGGGCTAACCTGGTTTTTTTTTGGCAGTCTACCTGCAATCCCAACCCGGCAAGAACATTTCGCTTAGCTCGAGCTTTGCCAGCGACCTCGTTTCCACCACATCGTGTCCATCCCTCTCACCTTCACCCTCACCGTACGCAAGATCAGTCGCATCTGAACAGGACATTGACTTTTGCGACCCACGCAATTTGACCGTTGGTGGCGCCCCCACTACCTTGGCACCAGAGTTTGCTGCACCTGCCAGCCTCGACGAGTTCAGGGGTGATGGCCTCGTGAAGCCAGCATCCTTGTCCAATAACACCTTCGAGTTCAATCCCGAATTGCACCACGGTCTGCCTACATTTGACGATATCTCTGATCTTGAATCTGAGGACGACTTCGTCAACGGCCTTGTCAACCTTGGCGACCACTCTGTTATTGACATCAAACGCTCGCGGTCTGCCACCTGCTCAACCACCCTGTCCCTGGGCCACGAGTCTTTCCTTGGTGGTGAAACCGAGATTAACTACGAAGACACCACCTCGTGTTCCGTCACTGGACTTCCCAGCTGTTGTAATTCATCTGACTCCGACGCGCACGCAGACAAGAAGGTCAAGAAGTCAAAGAAGGATTCACGCAAATCTGGACCCACCATGGATGTCGCTGCCGATTCCACCGAGCATGGCAGCGAAGAGCAGCAAATTCCTGACCAGAGTGAAGCAAGTGAGGGAAAGAGCAATGCTGCATCGACAAACTCTGACTCGGCCTCTACCCCCCTTCCTGCGCCACCCAATCGCCGGGGCCGCAAGCAATCTCTAACTGAAGACCCGTCCAAGACATTCGTCTGCGAGCTCTGCCACCGCCGCTTCCGCCGACAAGAGCACCTGAAGCGTCACTACCGCTCACTCCACACTGGTGAGAAGCCCTTTGAGTGCAACGAGTGCGGCAAGAAGTTCTCTCGAAGCGACAACCTCTCCCAGCATGCCCGCACCCACGGAAGTGGTGCCATAGTCATGAACCTCATTGATGATGGCGAGGGGAGTCTTGATATGATGTCTCATCAAGGCGATGCCGCCGACTATCACAATTTTGGCAAGGTCCTCTTCCAAGTTGCCGCTGAGATCCCCGGCAGCGCCAGTGAACTCTCTTCTGAGGAGTCCCCGAATGAGAACTTCGGCAAGAAGAAGCGCAAGCGCACCGAATGAATGACATCAGCTGGTACCTGAGATGTACATGTCAAGAACGATAGACTTCTTTGGCATACGCCCGACACGACATTGACGAATTCTTCACAAATATCCCACCTACCCCGCTAGCTTTACGCGGATCGGTCTTTAGGGTCACAAAACGGATCAGAGGTTGCCTACAGACGGACAAGAGCGGCACCAACCTAGAGGATTGAAAAGTTGCACCTGATTTTTGAGCATTCGCTCTTCCTGTACTAAATTTCACACTACTAAGACTTTGCAACTAAACGATCAGACGATCCTGGGGGAGGTTCGGCAACCTGCGGAGGGAATGGGGAACCAGGGAAAAGGCGTGATCCGGAGATATGAGAATACACATTTGCTTTTTACACCTCGATTTTTGTTTGGCCCCTACGCGGCTTTATTGTTCGGTATGCTCGTTGTAATCTCCACGGCAGGCGGAGCAGGACGGCCGCTACTCGCTATGGACATGTTCAGTGGGAGAGGCATCCGCAAGGACAGTCTCTCGCCCTTCTTGTGTTTATTTTTCTGTTTCACACTCTCTATTTACTGTGATTATTCTCAAGCAAGTGTGCCGGTCACAAATGGGATAGCTCAGCAAACCTGTACAGATAGGAAATTGATTTCCATGCCATCAAAAACAATGCTTGGCCTTCTTGTTCGAACGTGATTATGGTGGAACCTTCAATACAGATTTTATCTGGCATGGTTGATAAAACATTATGCCACATGCTGTACCCTATGCGCCAATGACATACCACAACGGACGACAGGCAAAAGTCTCATGTTGGATCTCAATTGTATGGTTCGTGCTGCTAGCATTCGACGAAAGACCGATTGGCATGAAGACCCTGCCTTTCGTTGACCATGTCGGCCAGCTGTTTGCGAGCCGTTGGTTAACCTTTAGCTTCGATAGCGGACCCGTGGCTTCCACAACATCAACAGCACAAATTTGGGTCCCGCGAACTTCATAAAACAAATAGATGCTCTACTCTAGGCTACCTTCACCTAGGTACGCACCAGCATGAATGAAGACCATATTCTCAGGAACTTGGATCTTCATTTCCGACCCTCTCGCAAATATTGAAACTTAGCGAGACTGCGTATTTCGCCAAACTCTGCTGCCCATTGTCACTGCTAAGGCGCCACCAAAGAGGACGCATCCCAACGAGCTGAATTAGGTTCCAGACTACAGGATCCAGCACGGATGGTGATGGACATCAGCACAAATATTGCCAGTCTCCGAACTCACATACTTCAGACGACGGGTGCACGTACCCAAACGTGGCCTTAAAGTGTTGGTGAGGAGTCGTTGGACTGGCTTTCAGGGTCATGAACCCCAACTGACCCGTCTCATCATGGCAACGGATGCACCCCTGAACGTCATCGCGCTGGTGTCGGGAGGCAAGGACAGTTTCTTCTCAATTCTACACTGCCAGGCAAATGGCCATCGCGTGGTGGCGCTCGCCAATTTGCACCCGCCAGAAGACCACAGCACTACGCGGGAATCATCCGATGGGCCGTGTCAGCAACAGCACGGTGCAGTTGCGTCAGCAAGTGGCAGCCCACACCACACCGATGATGACCAAGAAGCCGACTTGAATAGTTTTATGTACCAGACTGTTGGTCACCAAGTCATACCCCTGTACGCTGCCGCCACCGGCTTGCCTCTATTTCGACAAGCCATCGTTGGGACTGCAGTATGCCATGGCAAGAGCTACAGTGACCTCCCACGACAGGTGCCTGATATAGGCACTACTGCTGCGGCCCAGGTTGGGCCCCAAACTGCTGGTCAAGAAGAGGATGAAACCGAGTCACTAGTTCCGCTACTGCGAGCCGTTGTGGAGGCCCATCCAGAGGCCAATGCCCTCTGCACCGGAGCCATCTTGAGCACGTACCAGCGAACCCGCGTCGAGTCTGTCGCACTGCGTCTCGGTCTCGTCCCGCTCGCCTATCTATGGCAGTTCCCGGTGCTGCCCATCTCTGCCGCGCCGGCTTCAGGTCACGGACTCGATGGGGACGCGCAGCTCCTTCGCGACATGGCCGCCCTAGGGCTTGAGGCACGCATCGTCAAAGTTGCAAGCGCCGGGCTTGGCGAGGACTTCCTCTGGGAGAATGTGGCGAGCGAGGCCACGATATCACGCATCGAAAGGGCGTTGAAGCGTTTTGGAGGCGGAGGGCGCGGGTCTGTGCTTGGCGAAGGCGGCGAGTTCGAAACCCTCGTTGTGGACGGTCCAGCTACCCTGTTCATGGGGAGGATCGTGGTGAGCAAGGAGCAGAGTATAATTGTGCGTGAAGGCGGCGGCAGCTCTTGGCTCAATGTCCGTGGGGCTACAGTAGAGATGAAAACGGCGTCGTCTCAAGGAGGGGATCTGGGGAACCCTGCTGTGCGAGTCCCCGAGCTTCTCGAAACAAGGTTTGAAGCCGCCTTGGAGGCGTTGCACGACGCCCATCATTCGGGTATCGTCGTTGAAGTGTCCTCACGCTCGAGCCCGCATCTATCAGGCTTAGAGCAAACTTGGTCGTCACCATGTGGTCGACAGTGGTGTTTCGTTGGCAACAGTCAGCAGGTCGACATTGAAGACCAGACCGCACAGGTTGTAGCCGACATCCAACAGCGGCTCGGCGCACAGTCGCTCCCAGTCAACGCCATCACTGGCGCCGTCATTGTTTTGAGACACATGTCAGACTTCCCAACCATCAATAAACTTTATGGGGCTTTGTTCCAGGAGCCAAACCCGCCCGCTCGGGTCACCATTTCCTGTGGAGAAAGCCTGCCCCAGGGGTCTGGCATCGCCGTGTATCTCACGAGCCACTCTGGCTTGACTCCCGATGAGAGGCAGGGCCTTCACGTCCAGTCTCGGTCATATTGGGCACCGGCAAATATTGGTCCCTACAGCCAGGCCATCGCGTTTCCCCTTATGGATTCATCATCCACCGGTTCTGACCAACCTCAGCATCATCGCACAGACACGTCCACCATGGTGACAATAGCGGGCCAAATACCTCTTATACCTGCGACCATGGCCTTGCCGGCCGAATCGCCCGACTCTGCCGCATTACAAGTCACACTGGCCTTGCAACATCTCTGGCGCATCGGCGTCGAAATGCAAGTCCAATGGTGGACCAGTGCCGTAGCTTACTTCCCCCAAATGCCTTCGGCCTCCGTTATGAAACAACGCGCCCTCCTCGCCGCCCGCGCTTGGAGAAGCGCCCACATCTGGTCTAACAAAGATCCAGATGAAGACGGCCCAGACCTCTGGGACAGGAAATACAACCCGCTGTACATGTCGCTAGCAGGCGGCGCTGGTGACACCGCAGCCGCCATCAATCTTCCCGCCTGGGATACCCTCCCGGGGCTCGATCTCGATGACCTACAAGTAAACGAAAAGCTGCGGTACCTGCCCTTTGCCTTTGCCGCCGAGGTCGAGGAGCTGCCTAGGGCCGCGGGCGTCGAGTGGCACGCGCATATGGGGCTAGCTAAGGTGGGGAGCGGGTCTATCCACGTCTCTACTGTAAGGGGCATCCAGCCAACGAGCTTTGAGCTGCATCATGTTATCGTGGTGTCTGATCCTGGAGTGTTTATTCACACTGTTGCTGCCGTCCACCTCAGTGGCGAGGGAGATACGGCAACACCGTCTCTGGACTTCGACGCATTGGCCCGCACCATGTCCAGCGAGGTTGCAAAGTCGCTCGAGTCTATCACTGGATCAGGAGGTTCGCGGACAAGGTCATTCTCGGAGTGTACCACGTGGCCATATTTTTCATATGTGGATTCCGCGAAGATATCGTACGTGGCTGCCATGACTGCTGGAACAGATGGTCGCAGTCCGGAAGCTGTCATACCTTGCCATTCTCTCTGGGATGCCCAAGGAGGACGGCTCTCAAGCGTTTTGCTGTTTGAACATCGTATTGCGAGAAAATAGTAAGTGAGATATTTACTGAAAAAATAATAAAATTATCAAATAAAAGAGCAAAAAGGCTTTGATCCCATTGAAAAACGGGTAGGGTTATGGTGATGTTCGTTTGGCAGTGATTTAGCAATACTCCCCATCTGGGCCCCAGTATAAAGCAGTCATTTATACTATATGACGGAGATAATCACTCGTTCATAATAATTGCGACAGGTGTATAAGGTAAGTTAATTGAATGGTTAATAACTGATCATCTTCCCGTGTATTCATTGCACATGGTGTCTATAGCATCCATGCAGCCTCTCTTTCTGTCTCTAAACCAATGCAGCGCTATGCCTATGCTAAATATACTTTGATAACATCGGTATATACAGCCATTTTCATCCTCCCTTTCCCTCTCTCATAATCAAAACTCGCCCAGATCCGCCCTCTTCCTCTGTTCCGTCACCGGAGCTAGACCCCTCCAAGACGCACACCTCTGCAGCAACTCCGGCCCCGCAAGCTCCATGGCGCTATTATCTGTCTCGAAGCGCAACCTCGTCGTGGATGCGGTCCAGGGCTCCCACATAGGAGCAGCCGGGTTCTTGAGCGAGTTGGGGTTGAGCGTCTTGACAAAAGAAATCCAGTAGTCCATGACGATAGGGACAATAGGCGCATTATAAGTATAATAGCTAGCGGGCCCTAGACCAGGCCCACTGATGCTATCTGGGCCGAAGATAGCCCACGACTCCCAGAGGTGCGGCACGCCCAGGCCGATGGCCGTGTTGTTGCCGTCGATGACGTTGTACCGGTAGGCCCAGGCGGGCTGGGTTTTCTTGGTGGCGAGCTGTGAGTTGAGGATGTTGAGGCCGGGACATATGAAGGTGGCTTCGCCGTAGGCCATGGAGGCCGAGGGGTACCAGGCTTCGTGAAATGGGAGGGAGGGTAGCTGGGGATATAGTTGTATAATATTGGAGGTGTCGCTGTCAGTGAGTCGTGGGTAGTTGTTGGCGAAGAAGTTGCGGACGTCATCGGGGGTTGCAGCATTGATGGCGAAGTAGGAGCCTTCTGTTCAGAGGTCAGAATACATGGAAATCGTGTTTAAAATGGTATCACTTACCATCGTTGGAACTGCCTAAGATGACGGGTACGTCGATGAAAGTCCCATCGTCGAACATAGTATAAGGCAAATCTGGCAGAAAGTCGCCGTCGACGCATGGGGTCCAGTAGAATAGGGGTAAGGGGCTTTCCGTCCGGCTCGGAAAGGGGGATGGAAAATTGGCCGCTTGCAGTTTCGCGGCATCCAGACCTCGTAGGCAGTCCATAGGATCACCCGAATCTATACAGCCGGTAGAACTTAAGAATCTGTCGAATTGCCACTCTAGCTCGGCAACGGGAGGCTGTTGCGGGAAGAAGACAGATTCGGCTATGGCGCCCTGAAACAAGTTCTGGTTTTGCCCACCATTGGCCACAAGATGAAGAGCAACAGAACCTGCTCCCGCAGAGGCACCGTGAATGATGACATGGTTCGGGTCGCCTCCGAACTAAGATATGGTGTTAGCTATATTCCCGTCGCCTATGATATTCCATGCAGGAGTACGCATACCTGTGCAATATACTTCTGTACCCACATCATCATCATGCGTTGGTCCAGTAAACCGACGTTCAAGTTGCCGTTTGCCCTCAGACGCTCACTGGCGAGAAATCCCCACGCCCCGACGCGGTAGTTGAAGTTGACGAGAATCATGTTGAGCCCCGATCGCTCAACCACTTCAGAACCGTTCCAATTAGCATTACTATTGACGGTATAACCTCCGCCTTGAATGAACAACCAAACGGGCAACTTTGAATCAACTGTTGCGTTTCGCGGCGCCCAAACATTTACAAACAGACAGTCTTCATCCTGGATGTCGTTAGGGAGCATTGCCGAGATGCCGAGGCATATCTTGCCGAACTGCATGCTGTTAGTTTTTATTCATCGCTCCTTTATCAGTCTGTCCTTAAAGGGCATTTACTCACAGAAGTGGCAGGCTGGTCCTCCAAAACCTGATCAGGCTGGACAGGAGCACGCCAACGCAGGTCTCCGATAGGCGGCTGAGCGTACCGCATGCCCAAGTACTGATTAATTCCATTCTCCAATGGCACGCCCTGATACCTGATATAGCCTAGATTGACGCGGGCGATGTTTATATCGGTCGAAGATGTCTTGGGATTAGTACACCCGGTCAGCACGGGTTTGGTCCAGGGGAGGAAAAACAGCGGAAGGAGACGGGTGGTGATGAACTGAAGCAGTCGTGCCAGGAGGGATGGTGGATGGCAAAACAAGAAGGGGCAGCAATACTGGGGTTTGGGGTGTGGCACGTGTACATTTGCAACCGGAAAACTGTTTATTGCCACCTGTCTCTTCTTGTCTCTGACGTGCACCAACACGATGGCCAGCACCATGGCGAGTACGCCCGCGCTGACAATGGCAACAGCAACAGGCCACGGCCGGAAGCGGCGCCTTACTTCTTTTCCATTGGGCTGGAGGCGGAGTCTGTCGAGAACGGAGGCGAGGGGTGACAATGCCTTCTTGACCGGTAGCGCCGTATGATTAGTTGTAGTTCCGACGGCTTCTGTTATTGGCGGATTCGGGTTAGAAACACTGCTTGTAATCTCTGGCGTCGTCTGCTCTGTCACCAACGACATCCCTGTCGTCACTCCCTCCTCCATGGTGCTTTGTGATACCGCACCCTATTCTCTTCCACGACACCTGTCTGCCGCCATATGCAACCCAACGCAGCAAGTCAAAACCCAGCAGATGCCTGCTTGCAAACCGCAATAGCGGCCGCTCACGCGTCTAAGTGGCGAAGTGAAGATCCTGTTCAACTAAATTGGTAAGCAAATATGTCTCTATGGATATTGAACAGAATGAGTGTAAGAGATGCCAAGAGGGCGACAAGAGGTTTGACAGCCCAGACGAGTCCAGCGCAGCCCACCGTCGTCAAGTGATTGACCAAACGACCAAACGCTAGACTGATGTCGCGAGGAACGATTTTAAGATAAGTCAGCACTGATCCGGCTGTCTCTGATCTCTTGTGACCAGATTTTTTATTATCAACCTGCGCCGACCAAACGTTTCCCGCACAACCCGTTTCACACACCCTCGAATCTAAATCTTGTATGGGGGCCGAGCCGAGGCGAGGCCAGAACTACTGCAGGACCGCAAAACTGTAATGCTGTGCTGAATCTCAAGTTTTGTCGCAGCTGCAGGTACAGACGTAATGAGAGAAACCAGGGAGGGAGGCAGGGCGGCAAAAGACTAAGTGCTGACCGGGAACGAGACTCAACTTACGGACTGCTACTCGTACTTGCAGATATGACGCGTGATTTCGGTGTCAATACACGCCATGCAGATCCGTCCAGTCTATGTGCGTGCAGGGGATTGTGTCTCGAGTCCATCAGCTGCCGAAAATCAAAAGGTCCTTACATCAAGTCCTATACTCGCCAACTTTGCGTCGATGAAGTCAAGTATGTCCGTCCAATCCCTGAAACGAAACGTGTGCCGTCAGGAACTTTGCATTGACCGTTGGTGGTTGATCGCAGATCCTCGCGAGCTTGGCGATGGCTATTGCATGTGGGTGTATGTTAGCTTATCATTAGTCATGTCATCGAGTCGTTAGTTCCTGCACGCATGAAGTAGGGTTATTAGAGGCTAGATGTATCCGCTGTAATACTATATCCTTATAGTTCATTTTAAAACAAGTAACGTCCTACTATAATCATAGGTACAGATTTAATATTAAAAATACTTCAGGAAATTGAAACTATTAAAACTACTTAACATACAAGTGTTTACAAGTTGTTATTCAAGGTTAGTGATAAGTTTATAAGTTTAATACCCTTGACCCTTACAAATACGAGTAAGACGAAAGTTAGTTAATGAAGCGAAAGGCTAGTATAGTTATTATATAATAAAAGGCTCATTATACCTATGCACAGGAGGCTTAAATATAAAGTAACTATGATAAGCCTGTTTTAAATGATATATTAACTGCGAAGTTATGGTATATAATGAGACGGATAGGAATGCCCGCAGGTCAAGGCGATGAAGATGGAGACGGACAACAGGATCCTCAAGAAGACCTGCTGCCTGGCGGATAACTAGATGAAGATTGAGAGAATGTCACAAGGGAGGACCGTATCCCTAGGCCAATAGACAAAAAGATCTAGAATGCCAGTGGATCACTGACACTTGGTTGCACTAACTGCTATATACAGCACTCTGTGGCTCTGTAATCGTCAGCGCTGTGAAAGAGAAAGACCTTAGAAGGCACGAATAATCGACTAGGTCCCAACAGGCACAAACAATAGAATAGGGCCTTAGCAGGTCCTCGAACGGAATCACCTCAACAGGTGAACAACAGATTAAAGCTTTAACAGGCTTGAATTGATAGACTTGAACAACATAAGCACCTTAACAGGCACGAATCATCCTGAACAACTCAAGAATAGGAGAACTATTTACCTCTCTGGTCGTCTTCCAAACTTATTACATATCTTATCCGGAAATACTCGTTGAAATTGTCACGACCTGGGTTGCATCGCATTGGTATAGACCTCGATTAGGTGCTATCGACGAAGATTCTACTCTAAGGAGCGAAGGAAAGAAGATGACAACTTAGGTTTGAGGGAGCGCGACTAAGTCATTCACGCTTGGCGGGGCTCCTACAAGGGTTATGATTGGCTTCCCATCTCACACTGCCACGGCAGGTGTTCCAGCTGTAAGTCACCTGGTTGTAGTGAGTCTGCGAGGGTTGACCGTCACAGAAATCTCCAGTTTCTACGTTAATAAACAAACTATATATTTATACAGCGTCGATATATATTTCCAATCTTATGCTTATATTATGAAGTCGCCAGCGACGCGCTATCGCCGAGGAGCAGGAGGGCCCCTAGATGCGAATGCCGAAACAGGGCAAGTACTCAGACCTAAACCGACCGGAGGCGTCTACCCTATGCCAGATCAGGACCGGAAAAATAGGACTATCAGCTTTCTTATTTAAGATAGGAGCCTTCGGTGTGTACTCGCCGTTATGCCGCTGTGGAGAGGCCCCCGAGACGGCAGAGCACGTAATCCTCTTTTGCGGCCTGCTGGAAGAATCGAGAGAGCGCCTACGGGCCACTATCGCACCATGGCCGCTGCATACACGTAGAGACCTGGCAACGGCGACGGGGAAACCAGTAGTCAGCGGGACTATCACAAGGTGGCTACTCAGAACTGGCCGGATAGCGCTTAGGCCCGGATAATATCGATCTTCTCAGGGGGACTTTGTTAGTAGGGTGAGAACTAACATAGTATTGTGGTGGACGTAACGCAGTCGCTAATAGAGCGAACCTACGTCGCAGCGTATGTATTTAGTCCAGCCATTAGGGCACGGTTTGACATACGGGAGCACTTGTAGAGGTACCGGGGGCTTCGAGCCTACGGCGTATTTAATAATAATAATATTATGAAGTAGTCTATGACAAGACAAGTGAAATAAGTATAAGTCTTTGGTAAGATTAACATGCATATGTAACGAGGATACCACACGTCTCACAATATAATAGTCAGGTAGTGCAAAGGGTAGCTAGAAGTAGGCCAGTGTATGGGTGCGTATATTGCAAGACTGATTCTTGAAGAATCTAAACTAGGTGCGTGTCACGCCGTGCTAGGGGTTGCAATCCTTGCCACTACGCCACCGTACCAGATGTCTTCACCAAAAGAGACCAGTGTAGGTCAATCACGTGACAGTGCGAGCGTCTCGAGTTCTCCTCTGAAGCTGGGCGGTTCCGGGGTTCTACCAGATCGGGGGCGAATCCCTCCCGACTCAGCTTGTCAGCTGAGACCGGCCCACCACAACGGCTCTTTCCTTACAGCATACTTCACCTGGTTCACTATGAAGCCACGTACTTTTTCCACAAATTCAAGTTCTACATAGGTTTAACTATAATAGCTTAAATTGACTAAAATGAATCAGATTCTGATTTACTAGGTTAGTCAATTCTGCATCCTTTAATAAGTCCGCGTATTATAGCCGGTTTAGCCGTAGTTGCTGTAAGGGTCAAGGGTAATGTCGATGCAATTAGCCTAGCCTACTCTACGAGTACCATCCATCTATGAAGAGAAAAACATTAGATACATTCAGTGTGGTGAACCCTTCTCCCTTTTATCCTTCTGTCCTCCCGTCTCGTCATTTCAGGGATCTTCGAGAAGTGAAGCTATTCGGAGATAGCTATTCGGAGATTTCTCTGAGTCCAAGTGCTGTCGAGAATCTTCTGTGGGTCTTTCTGGCCGAAGGCGTCGCAGAGGCCACATACCGGTCATAGACCGTGACAGTTGCTACACCGCTGTGATATTGTCGCGGCCCGCTTTAAAAAGCAACTGGTTCAACTAAATTAGTCGCTACACGCTTCCTCTATTACTTATCGGCTAGTAGAGTCTAAGAATGCTCTATTGTAAGTGCTCCTCTAAGTTATATCTGTTAGTTTTTAGTACGCCGGCGCTTCGAGAGTGTTTCGTTAATGTCTTAAAGGGTCCGTACCTATTCCGTTAAAAGCGTAATAGAGTAAGCTAAAGCCTAAGTACCTGTGACAGGAGATAATTAACAGTATTGGGCCATGTTGAGCTGTATAGTTTCGCAGTGAGCCCGTCACAGTACCCTTCGTAAGCTAGTCTATAGCTTAAAGAATCAGAGCTAGGAGATTCGAATTTTAATAAGAGTTAACTAGGAAATAGCTTCTATTAGGTTACGCGACGTCTAAGAGACCTAAGGTAGCGACGGAGGCAAAGGCGTGTTAAAAAATAGAATCTAGGTTATTTCCGCCTGATTAGCTTATATAGGGAATTATACACTAAGGGACGAAACTCAGTTATAATATTGTGAATTTGTACCTCTAAGTGCTGTGTATAGCAGTGTAGAAATGATGAAGACGATCTCGAGTATTCCGAGTAAATAGAGAATACCACACTGCTTTATTCGACCGAGATCCGTACTTACTTTTCAAAATGCCCCGACTCCCCGACCCTCTACCATGCGCCCAGCTACAACTTTCTGACTAAGACATACCTGCCGCCGTCATTGGATGGATGCCTTTCGTCTCATCTAAAAATCGTTGCATGGTTGATGCCACGCTTACAAAGACTCGACGTCAGGTAATCCTGCGGCCCGACGGACTCGCAAAGTTGTTCTGAACAAAGCTTGTGAAGGTTGTCTCTGTCCGTCTCATGATAACTCATCGGTACCGTCACAAACAGCGAGACTGCGATATTCGTACTGATGTATTAATGCACCAAACCAGAAACCCAGTAGAACCCTATTCGTCATATGGCCGTATTTCCTAACGAGCAGCTATTTGTTCGACTTGTTTGCCTTATGCTCTCTTGGCTCTCCAGCACGAAGTCTACCAATTCTACACACCTCCACTAATACATACACACGAGTCAAACCGAAACAAATGCAGCCGCACCCGTTCCTAACAAAACCCTTTATAGCCGCAAAACGCCCAAAAAATAATCCGGAGTATACTCGCAGCCAGGATATCCACGACTGGCTTGAGGAGGGTTGGATTTCTTCTTCAGTATGACAGGAGATGCATGTCTCCGTGTCCATTTCATCGTTTCCCCAGAAACGCCATCGCATGCAGAGACATGAGCCGGTCATGATAGTCATCATCGTGAAGCAACATCGCCAAACGTATCCGCATACGGATTATCGAATCGGTACGTGAATAAAAATGTAGCCACCAGGTAAGATTACCTGGTTGCGGTGGGCAGCAAGGTTCGGGGTTCCTATATCGCTGACACCTTGCGTGCCGTGGACGACGTGGCGCTAGGCGTGGCAGTCACACTGCCCACACGACCAGATGTCTTGCGGACGCCGGCTGGCGGATTGGATCCCGAGGATCGACTCGAGTCCGGAGACCGTTTGCTGCCACGCACCTTGGTCAGAACACCGGAAGCGCTCGCACTACGGACGGGCGACGAGCTGAGGTGGTCCATAATGTTCTTGGGCCGTCTGCTGCCGATATTCTCGGCATCATTGGAGGCGTCGTTGTTGATCACTTCGTAGACCGTCGTAGTCGTAGTGGTGTGGCTAATCGACCTAGATTTTTCACTTCGACCTGGCGACTGCGACGGCTTGCGGTGGCTGCGCATGCGGAGGTGGATCTCCTCCTCAGACTCTGCGCCGTTGGACTGTCGACGGACGGAGATCACTTCGGTCTCCTGCTCTGGCCCTTGTTCTTCCTCGACTGTCTGGTTGATGGTATTGCGTTGGTAGGGATGATGACGATCCATCCGGCTAGCCTTCCGTGGCTGCCCAGGTGTCGGTGCAGGGAGATATTCATCTTGAACACCAATATTATTGCGCTCCTGTTCTACCTCGCTCAGCGGCGTGCGGCTCGATGCGGCTTTGGGAGGAGGCGTGGAGTTTGTTCGGGTTAAGGATGCCTTCTGCATGGCCCGGATGGGTGTGCTTGGGGCCGCTGCATTGGCAACCATCTCCTTTCTCAACTTGCGCTCGATTCGCTCCTCGATCCACCATTCCCGGAAAATGCCCTGATTGAGGTGCAGCCAGTGCTGCTGGGGACCAACCACCATGCCGGGACGCATGAATCTCATGAAAGCGATAACCTCGTTGGCGGTAAAGCCGTGGCGGTAAATCAAGTAAGCTCCAATGAGGCATCCTGTTCGACCAAGGCCGGCCTTACAGTGAACAGCGATACCCTTCTTCTTGATCGTGATGGTCTCGTGCGCAAGTCGGATGAACTTGCGAACGGTAGTCAGCGGCGGGCAGGTGCCGTCTTCGAAAATCATATCCAGATGTTGAATTCCCAGTGCCTCGAAGTGGGATGGTGAGTATAAGGGGGAGTTGAGTCTGACAACGAGACCAATGTTTCGCTCCGAAAAGTGGCTAAGCACATTCTTGAATGGTTGGGGGAGAGTGGGATGTGCTTCGACTGCGTCCAGAGTCTTCGGTAGCATGGCATATGCATCAGAACCAGGAGCGAGGGGCGCAACGGGACTGTGCTGGGGGGATGCAAAAGCCAGGAAGTCCGGAGTAACCCAGTTGAAGTCTCCATGTTCAACTCTTTCATATCGCTCGTACTCATCCAGGTCAAAATTATCCAACGCGCAGCAACCCTCTTCCTTAGCCTTCCAAACACCATACACGACGTCTTGCACAGTAATGCCGTAATCTGCCTGACTGTAGCCAGCATCACGGAAGGGCATCAGAGGGGGGTCGACCTGGGCGATGGGGGCCAGGGCGAGATGGGGCGGCCAGGACTGAATCAGAACCATGTAGCAGGCGAGCAGGCAAGCAGCGTTTGCCCGACCTAGATAGTGAATAACGGTTAGAAATGCTGGCAAGGAGAGGGCAGATTTGGGCAGCATACTTCTCGGGTCAGCGCGACTCCAGAATACGATAGGTCTGTGTTGGTTCTCCTTCGCGCCCAAGACATCGTGGAATAGGAGAGCGAAGCGGTACAGATGGCCGACGTGGAACGGACCGAAGTCGTGATGGAAGGCATTGTAGAAGAGCTGGTCTTCGACGGTGAAATAGCAAGGAGGCTCGCGGCTAGACTTTGACGAGACCGCAGACGGCCCTTCAATTGCTCTGGATGACCGCTTGCTCGGAGAGCTTCGGGTGGAAGTCTCGGGGTACGGGAAGAGGGTGTCGGGTGTCGGAGGCTGAATGTAAGATGCCAGATACAAGCGATCTGTAAAAGTCAGTAATGTAATAGGATAGCCAAGAAAAACAGTCGATGATGGCGGGATAAATGAGTTTGGCTTCGAGGACTGAGTCTGGCCCTCCTTGCCGCTGGGTCGCTCCATGGTATGGGGAACGAAGCGAAGCAGGACAAGGTAAGAATATGATGAGACCGCAATGGAGGAAATGCGACTGAATGGGTATTGCCACTGTATCCGACATACCTGGAATATATTCCACAACCTGTCCCAGGTTGTGTCGGGATGAAGGAGCCATCGGCCTTGGTGACTCCCAATTTGCACCGTATGTTTGTTATTTACCTCCGATTTCACCGTTGCCGAGCTTCAGGAAACCTCGATGCTGCAGCGGATGCAGGCACAGGCTATTTCAGTAGTGTGCTGTGTATGTAAAGTTTATCGAGTAACCGGACAGCTGCAGATGAGGAATGACGACTATCGATATCGAAACGGCGGTAGCTAGGACAGGGAAGGATATTTGTAACAAGCGCAAAGGGCATGGATCGATGCAATGCAATGTCCAAAGTCGAGCAAGCAACAGTTGCGACGGCGAAGCTCAAGAGGCGAGCGCGATCGATGAAATGCGACCAGTGTAAAGGTTGATGAGAGAAACGAAGATCGTGTGAGCAGCTTCCGAAGGTGACGATGGGGATGTTTTTAATTATGGGCGGTCGGTGTGTATTGCCAGCAAGTGCGGACCCCTGGTCTCTGCTTTCCGGTAGCTCACAGCAATCGTTGTTATGGGCAACGACCCTCTTTGTGAAACGTCAATCCTGGAACGAGAACAAGTTGAACACAAGTCAAGGGCCCACTTTTCATTGGCGGCGCAACCAAAGCCGCAAAGCCACATCTGCAGCCCCGCGTCTTGGTCGCAATCCACATTTCAGACTTGACGTCCTTTTGCGGGTTCGATACTAAGGCAATTCAGGAAAATCATAACAATGACTGCTTCCACGGGATCGCAGGATTTTCCCTGTGTCTTGTGAGTTCCGTATAGCTCGAGCTATAGTAGCATGCCCTGCTGACAGTTTACCCTTCCCCAGAACACTGGATGTCCCATTCCCCACTGCACGTCTAGCATCGATTGCCTTGCAGTCTTTGCAAGTCGACAAGGAACTTTCGGCCCTCGTTCGAAGAACATTTTCCATTTCCTCCTCAATAGAGGGTGCGCGCGGCGACTCAGACAAGATACTCAAGGTGGAATATAAGGCTACCACCAACAGGATGCTCCGCGTGGCCTTCAATTCATTCATGGAAAGCTTGAACCTAGTCGTTGAAGTGATGGAAGAGTTGGACGCGGACGTACTATCCACGCCCATTGCGGCATGAGACGGTCCTTTTGCCACTATTGAATGGTTATTGACCTGACATCATGGTGCTCACCCGGCGGCCGAGGCCAGTTACTCCATGAAGGCGGCAACTGGAATGCGTTTGCACCTTGCGAGTATCACTTTTGAGGCGTATGATGCTGTGTCACATTTGGAAAGAGACCGTCATGAATCACCGGGTTATTAACATGGGAGCTTCAAGAGTTTGTGCCAATTGGCACGTCTTTTTTTTTGGTGTGTATTATGCTATGTCGAAGCCAAAATTTATACTATCCTCCCAAACCAAGATTGCCGACTAGAAACGCCCCAAACCAACCCATCAAACCCGATCCATACTCTCTTATTTATTGGGCAAATAGCTCAATCAACATCAATATTGTGGACCTCAGTCCACTCCTTCTCAGCTTTGGGAACGGTGATGATGAGAATACCGTTCTCCAATTTAGCGTTAATGCTGAAAGCGTCGATATCTTCCTTCTCGTCAGATCCAGGAGGCGGGAGCTTGATGCCTCTTTCAAACATGCCAACCTTCCTCTCGCTTGAAGAGAGCGTCTGGAGGAATTCCTCGTGGCCAGGTCGGTGGACAACACCGGCCACGTTGAGTTCGCCCTTCTCTGAAATCCACTTCACGTCAACGTCTTCCTTCACACAGCCTGGGAGGGCAACGTGGAGGACATATGCTTTCTCGGTGTTGAAGACGTCCACAGGAGGGACGAAAGTGTCGTTGTGTTCGCCTACAGGTGCTGGGGCACCTGATCGGTACTGTTGTTCGTAATAGTCACGAAGACCCTGAGCGAACGGGTGGGAAGCAAAAGCTTGCATCAGAGGTCGGAAGTCGAAAGGTCCGCGGTATTCAGGAGGGCCACGCTCACGGGAGCCTCTACGGCCACGACCACCGCAGGGACCGCCGCGGCGTCTATTGGCCCGTGGGCCACCCGCATGATGAGTGGCATGGGGCCCGTGGTGGTCGTGATCGGGTGGTGGACCAAAGCCAGGGAATGGGGGAGGCGGGTGGCGCAGACCTCCAGGTGGTGGATGACTCTCATTCGATCCTGCTGGCCCGTCCGGTGCATCTCTCATGGTCTCCGGAGAGTGCTCCATATCTGGGTAGTTGTGCTCTTCATTTTCCTCTCGGCCAGAATCGTTTTCGTCTCGACGATGTCCGCGACCGTACATGCCATGACCGCCATGACCGCCATGACCGCCATGCCCGCCATGCCCGCGGCCACCCCAGGGACCAGGTCCGCCAAATGGACCACCTCCCCGGCGACCTCCCCAGCCCCAAGCTCCCCAAGGTTGAAACGATTGGGCGTCGAATGGGAATCCTGGCCCAAACTGAGGTCCAGTGTGATCAACCCCAGCCCCAGCCCCGGCTCCGTGTGCTTCGTTAGGGTCGAAGGACTGAATGAAGTCCCAGAAGGAACCTTGATTGTTATTGTTGTTTGCCATAATGATATACAATGATATGTTGTGATGTACTTGATGAAGTAGAAGATGGTGAAAAATAGTGAAACGGGAGGTGCTGTCCAAGTATTTATACACACGGCAGACTCGGCTCGTTAGGCACTCTAGAGTGCGTCACGGCAAGGCAACATTGAAAGGCAAATGATCAATGCACTGCACACAAGACGTACGACACGCCAAACAGTCATAAAAGCATACGCAATCTGGTCAACCTCATCTCGAACATTTCAGAAACTATTGGAATGAGTTGCTAGTCCGGCATTGATGCCACCCGGGGCACTGAAGACGTTGAGGCGTTGCCACGCGTACATACACCAGTTCGAGTCAGATGGGACATTGTGATTGGTTCATAGGGCTCTAAGCTCCGATCACCGAACCGTCTTTAGTGTGGCTTGACACACCTTTTGGGGGAGTCTAGGCGTGAGCGTCGATGTTTTGCCACTTAAAATGCTCGGGTGTCGGATTCAAACTCGGTTCCGAGCTGGTGAAGGCAACAATTTCATGGGCTCATCGTGAGCCATGGCCCATGGCTGCCTTGCTCGGGGCCGCGTCAAATTGTCGCCTCTGTCAAGGCCCCGGACGGTGCCCTTGGGCGGACAGCGGGACCAATGTTTTCGTGCGAGTGCTCGACGCAAACCACTCACCATCATCGAACATCTGAACGCCGCACTCTCCTCGGTAGCCGTCGCGCTTGTTGCAATCATCTCCTGGCTTTCCCAATATGGGCACTTGTCTGGCCAGGGCAAGAGTTGGCTGCGCACTGACGGGAACTGGCTGAACTCTGAACGCTGTCAGTGCTCGGGAGTTTCCGACACATCAGAATACACGGGCCACCAAGCGGTTGATCGATGAGCTTAACAGATGCGCGGGCCGTTACGCTAGGATTGAAGCTTCTAAGAATATCCGGTTTGACAGGCTTTCTAACCATCACTGCAGAACGAGGTGGTTTGCATTTACGAACCTTACCCTGCCTTCAAAGGATCAACTGCAGCGGCAGGATTTGTTTCATGCAGATTCTCAACCTTCTATCCTTAGGGGCGGGAGTATCCTAGTACCTGACAGATCTGTTGCTGACCTTAACCGCCGCAGCTGCTAGAATGGGTTCCACACCAGAGTATCCATGGGGCTTGTCTCGATGAAGATGAGCGCCCTCCTATGCAAGAATAATGGGTGCCAGCCGAGGCAAAGCTGTCTCGAACAGGCTTTCGTCGTCTCATTGTTGCAGCCTTTCACCGATATCATCGCCTGTTACAGTTGCACCATGTGCGGTAATGGCGCTTGAGATGGCAACGGGCAATAGCCAATGCTAGGCAAAACAAGGGACGAGTTGGAAAGAGTGATGCCCCCAGACTCTCAGCGGGCCCAACTCAGTAATCTGGGCCGATTGCCGTGCCCATCAAATCTCCTACCAGCATTGGGCGCTTGCAAATGCGATTTGCTTCCTCTCTCTTCCCATTCTCCTAAGCGCCCTTGTCTACGGACCAATCAGCGGGCCTACTGTCGTCCTTGGCTCTTGGCCAAGTTGGTCAAACCATGGGCAAACAGCAAGGAGCTAGGCTCCCCGCCACAACCCTGTCGCAAGTCTGGCGCATCGCACAGGACTAGACAATACCATTAGGTTGGCCGTCAGGCCGCATACCTATCCCGCAGTCGCAAGTCCTCTTGTTCTTCTTGGGTTTGTTTCATCCGTCTCGTCTGTCTTCAAACCGCCTTCTTTGCGCCTTGTTGCTACCGTTTGTCCTGAGTGTTTGCGCCGGGAAGTTCGCAGCTTTACACACAACGCAGCTTATTAGCCGGAATACTAGAAGCTGTCAGCCTTCAACCCCACCTGGCCTCGATAAGGGCGACCCGACTCCAACGCTCGTAGAGAGCATCTGTCGACAGCTCCTATAAATAACTTTTCTTTTTTTTTCTCCCCCTCCCCCGTGCGTCATCCCGCGTGGCAACTAGAACCGGGTACCTGAGAGCCGTTTCGTGTGTTTTGGTGTGTTTGCCTGCGTGCCCGCGTGAAGCAAGATGGATCGCCACGGCAGACCCGAGGAGGAGATGTTCCTCAACAAGCCCTACGACGACTGCGACAGCCCTACCATCGAGCCTCTGAAGATCTTCAAGCCCCAGAGCCCAGTTCCTGCAGCCGAACGGCCCCAAGATCGCTTCAGATATCCCGCCCCATCGTCGTCGAAGCCGACCTTCCCTCTCCCCCCTGGCGCTTCCAGTTCGGCGCAGCCTCTCCCATATCCCGAGGATGAGGACCTCCGGCCCAGCCAGCCGTCCACGTCAACTCGGCCCCCTTACTCAGACGACAGTCGCCGTCCATCCGGCGGTAGCGGTAGGACGTACAGTCCGACGACCTCGGTCAAGTCGGACAGGCTCAACGATACAACACCGCGGTTAGACACGAGTCCCATCGAGAAGAGGGGACCTGGCTTGGCTGAGAGACGCGGGACTGCGCCCAAACCCCTACCAGGAGCGCTTAGTCCGTCCACCTCGAGTCCCGGCCCAGATTCCGACGGCACTGGGGGTCTCTTTGCGAAACCCCTTGCGAACCCGCAGAAGCCTGCCGCTGCGAGTAACAACTTTCCCGACTATCAGAAAAAGCCGTACTATCCTCCTCCAAGAGGAAATTCGGCAGGGTCGAGCTCTAGCCAGAACAGCAGTGCTCGACCACAACCTCCGGATAATGACTTGTTGAAGATGCCTGGGGCAAGTAGTGTCAACCGGTTCGCCTCAACGGCCTCCACCTCGACGACACGTGCCAGCCGAGGGTCTCCTCCTCCGCCAGAGACCCCTATCGTCGAACCAGGCAACATCCCTGGAGGTGGCATCGAGGCAAGGTATGCCGCGGCAGGAATATCGGGCACCGCCACTTTGACCAGTCTGCAAAGCTCGGCCGCTCAGCAACGGTTGGCGCAATATGGGCAACACCCGGCAACACAAGCTACGCCCGCTCCGGCTCGTCCCTGGACGCCGACTGAGACTCCAGATCAACAACCGCATGGCCCCCCACCGTGTACCAGGGTGCCGAGCCTGTGGCCAGTCCTGTACAAACAAGCTTCAACGCGCCGCCGCGACCTTCGACCTCGTCGTCAAATGGCCAGCTGCAAGTGAGTGTGCTGGAACAGGACTTCCAACGGGTCCAGATGTCCCCGAGTCCGCCACCTGCGTATTCTAGTATCAACCCAAGCGGAGGCTCTTCATCATATCCCTCAGAAAAGCAACGACCTGGGGCACAGGCCAGTTCGAGTTCAGGATCGGCGTCGGCTGCTCAACCTCAATCTCAAGCTCAACCTCAAGCGCAAGCAGCTGTTTCGTCTGTGTCCAAAAAGCAGGAACCCTATTCTGTACCATTAGCCTCTCCTGCGTTGCAACACCCGGGCCATCCAGCATTTGCCAATGACCCTGGAACTCATCCCGCATTCGCCAACGACCCCAGACCGGAAAGTTCGCAGGCCAATGGCAAGCCGGCGCAAACTCCTTCACCATTCCAGGGCGCAGGACCCAGCTCCCCACCTCCTCTTCCCGAAGGCTGGATCGCCCACCTGGATCAGAACTCTGGCCAGTACTACTATATCCACCTGGCCACTCAGTCTACTCAATGGGAATTCCCTAAGGGGCCAAACCCCATCAACCATGAAGCTGCTCCATTATCTCCCACGGCGTCGACATACGGCAACCCGTTGGCATCGCCCATGTTTGGCAAGCAATCTGCAATGGCGTCACCCATGTTCCCTCCGCAGACCCCCGGCTATGCTGAAAGCATTATGAGCGTGGCGGCGTCGGCGGCGCCCACAGCGGGCTTCACCGGCCCGCCGCCAAGCGCGGGTATCGACATGTATAAGGTGCAGCCGACGAATGGCGTCTACTTTGGGCCGTATCTGAGATACGTCAATATGGACGTTGAGAAAGGACTCTGGCTAGGTAGTATACTCATTGTCACGGATGCGCCCCAGGCCCCGACTATTCACATCCACCAGAGTGTTGACCTGTCACCCAACCCACGTCAGCTTGTACCGCATTCCATCTACACCCATCAGAGGTGGCAGTTCTTCAAGTACGACATCGATTTGCAGATGGGCGAAGGCGCCACCGAAAGGTGGACATACGCCGTCACTTCGCATCTGGGATGCACTAGATATGAATTTGTCGTTGCTGGTAGGCATGAGACCAACTGGCGCTTCGTGGCCCATTCCGGCAACGACTTCGCCGCCAGTACTTCACAGAATGAACGCACCAAGCTCGGTGGCGTCGGCTTCATGTGGAAAGACGTGCTCCAGAAGAACGTTGACTGCGGCGGGTTCCACGTCCAACTCGGTCTTGGTGATCAGATCTACGGAGACCGGCTGTGGAAAGAAGTTCCGCTGCTAAAGCAGTGGCTGGCTATGCAGGGCAAGGAACATCGGAAGAACGCTTCGTGGACGGCGCGACATGAGGAGGACGTCACGCACGCGTACTTCCACTTCTACACCAGCCACTTTGATCAACCATTCTTGCGGGAGGCATTTGCGCAGATTCCTCACGTCTGCCAGATTGACGACCACGATATGTACGTTTTTGGTGCCCCTTAAGGATTTTCTGAATCATGACTAACCAACTATAGCTTTGATGGCTTCGGCTCCTATCCTGACTACATGCAGAACTCGCAGATGTTCAAGAACATTGGCCGGATAGCCATCGACGTTTATCTGCTGTTCCAGCATCACACCACCCTAGAAATTCTTCGCAACGTGAATCACGACCTAGATCTGTTCACTATTACTGGTCAAGGGTGGCATTTTGTCAAGTTCCTAGGACCGGCAGTCGTGGCCGTGGGAGCAGACTTGCGGTCGGAACGGACTCAAAGCCGCGTGCTGGCTGGCCCGACGTACCAAGGCCTCTTTCCCAAGGTGGCCATGCTGCCTCCAAGCGTGCAGCACTGCATATGGATGCTATCAGTACCGTTGATCTACCCACGACTAGACACGGTCGAGAGCCTGGCCAACACGTTCGCAACGGGCAAGAAGGCGGTCAACACGACTTACAACGTGCTCGGAAAAGTGACCAGCTCCGTGGCTGGCATCGTGGGCGGCAAAGAAGTCGTAGCGCAAGGCTTCAACCAAGTCAAGCGGGCCGTTGGAAAGTCGGGACTCATGGGAAATGTGGTCAACCAATTCGGCGACCTGGACATAGGAGAGATTCTGAAGGATATGTGGACACATGACACCAAGGATCTGGAGCGGACGTACCTGATCCGCACGCTACAGGGCATCGCCCACCAAAAGGGCATCCGGATGACCTTCCTATCAGGAGGTAAGTTTCTCCTCAATCCCGCGCCTGTTCATCTCTTGTATCCGAAACTAACACTACTCATCAGACGTCAACTGCTCCGGCGCGGGCCTCGTCCACGACCCTGCGCACCCTAGCGACCACAAGACCATGTACCAAATCATCACGTCACCCATTGTGGCGGCGCCCGCCTCCAACTACATCCTCAAGATGCTGCACAACAACAAGTCGTACTATGTGCCGGCCAACGGCCAGAAGAGTAACCACGAGGTTTCGGACACCAAGGAGGACATGATGGAGATCTTCCATACCGACGCCTCGGGCCAGCCCCGCGAGCTCAAGAAGCTCATGGGTCGCCGCAATTATGTTGCGTTTTTAGCCTACGACCCTGAGGCTATCCCGGGTACGCAGTATAGTGCCAGCATTGCGAATGGGCAGCAACAGGGATTGAGCAAGCTGAGTTTGGCTGTCGATTTCGTGGTCCAGGGCGATGGGGCGTTTACGACGCCGACAAAATACGGACCGGTGATTGTGCCACATCTTGAGTTTGGACGGTAGTTTAGGAAGCGCTGGGTGGCTGAATGGTGTCGGTCTGGTGGTGTCGGTACGAGCACGAGATGAGGTTCTACATACAAGATATAAGGGTTATATGGTGGACGAAGACCTGAAATTACGAAAGCAAGCAAGCAGGCAGGCAGGCAAGCAGCATTTTCACTTTTTAGGATATACACCCCCTTTTTGTAGATCGATCAGGTTGATGGGCCAGTTCAAGAAAAAGATTTGAAAGCAGAGCGTGTTTTTCTCTTTTGGTGCCCGCTTGGTATCTATCGTTCGAATCATCACACAAAAGCAGATGCTAGCTTTAGTACCTTACTCAAATCGCACAAGAACACTGTAGTGTAGAGAATCTGTTTAATATCCCCCCTCCATCTAGAGCTTTACCACAGATGGCATTGCCGCTGTCGCTACAGATTTGCGCCGTCATAACTCCGTGCTCGTGCCATCCTGTTCTCAAACGCCGAACAACGCGTTGATGGCCCTGATAGTGTCCTCGGGACAGTCAACGGTGTGGCCGATGGTGCGGGGGTCCTCGTAGATCTCGTAGTCGTTGCCACCCTTGAAGGTCTTGTCGCCGAAGAAGTGGATCGTCGTGTACTCGATGCCGCCGGGCTTCTTGGCGTCGTTCTCGAGGTGCTGTAGGCAGTAGGTCTTGTCCCAGCCGGTAGGGAAGACGTCGAAGGAGATTTGGCCACCGATGGAGAAGCTGTTGGTTCATCATTGGCATTAGACAACAATGCTCCCAATTGCACCCCGCAAAGCATGAAAGGCCAGGGGAAAAGGTAAATACTCACGTCAATCCCAAGTGTCCAAAACGCTCCTTGAGCTTCTCAACAAACGTCTCGCGAATCTTGTGCTGCTTGTCGTAGACCTCGTACTCGTTGCGCTCCTGGTTGCTCGCGTTGCGGCCAATGGGGCTGACGTTGATCATGCCGTTGCGGAACTCGATGAAGGTCCCCCGCTTGATGGGGATGTCCAGGTCGGCGATGTAGTGCAGGATAAACGACGCCAGCTCCTTGTACTGGTCCTCGCCGATCCACTGGATGAAACTGCTCGACGCCAGCTCTGCCCCGAGCTTGTACGCCGTCAGCCCGTTCTCCGAGAAGCAGAAGTCGAACATGGACGTCACGGGGCGGCCCGCGGGGACACCCAGTTGCTCTTGTTGCTTGGCGAGGTTGCTGCCGCCTACGTAGCCGATGGCGCATTTTTGGCGGAGCGAGGTGAGCATGTTGAGCGTTTCGGGGGAGGCGCCCTGGGAGGGGGGGGAGGAGAGTTAGCTGGTAGTTTCTGCTGACTTGGGGTGGAGTCGGGAGGGCTATGTTACCAGACGAGCGGGCGTGAGAGGTCCATCGACATCGAAGAGGCAGATGGTGTTCTTGAGGGGACGCTCCTCGAGGGGAGGAAAGTAGTCGGTGGCCGTAGTACCGAGAGAAGCCATCTTTGCGACTGTGTATTAGCTGCGAAGCGGGGATCGTGTTGATCGACGGGTGGATGTGGCCGAAGAAGTGGACGGAAGGGGTGTGCGAATGCGTTCAGGGAATTGCGGAAGGGCAGGAACGGCAATTGAGTAACAATATCGCGAAAAAGGCTTCGTGTCGCTTTTCTTATTTATTAGAGATTAAGAAATAAGAAATGTTGCTCGCCGCTCTTTGCTCCGCCAGCCAGCTACCACCCACCCCTCAATGCGCTCGCTTATCATCCCTGTCCCGTAATTGAGGGGCAGCAGTCAAGGGACAGGGGTGCACTGCATGGTTCCTGGCTGCTTACTAACTTTGGCCATCTGGATCGTAGGCTTCGGCAATTCTCAATCAACTACTAAGAATGTACGACTTGGACCGGCTAACTTGGTTGACGGTGCATCTTTTCTGCATTATACTATCCAGCTTAAGTTGAGCCGGTGATCCATCTTACTTGGTGTTTCGCCAGTGATCTTCCCCAGAAATGCACCGTATACCCAGAGTTTGCATACGCCATACTGCTAGTAAGCCCAAGTCAACATGGATTTAGAAATTGGATATGACCAACACCAGCCTTTGGTAGATTTTGAAGACAACCCTCTCAGGTTCGTGACAGAATACTTAGGTAGACAGCGTGATGAGGTGGGATCACTTGGTGTTCCAGTGTAGTAGATCAGGCATATTCTGCTTGTTCTATCTGGATGCGCCGTTTATTCTGTCAACGGCTCACCTCCTTTGATCATCGTCAACAGAGCAGCCTTGTGGTATGTCCCAGTCGGAGCTCACAAGGGACCCTGCTACGCACCCTATGACTCGACGCTAAATTGGCTCTTTGTTCCTGTCACTAACCCTGATGCGCATGGAGTCTATCAAGAGGTAACCCATATGTTGTAGTAAAGATATCTGCTACATTGCTGTGGCTGACAAAACCATGTCGAAGAGCACCGTGGCTCAGTGTCGTTAGTGCTTTGACGTTCTAGCCTTTCTTTGCCTCTTCGGTATCAGTGTAGATACACGTCGATGTTTTGTTTGTGCTCTGGTCGAACCTCGAGTCCATTGATAATGACGACAGAGATATCTAACAACTTGACAATACACCACACCAGAAGTAGATGAAGCGAGTGGCATATCGCCCCAAGCGACGCTGTCCGTCTAGAAAGCCAGCTTAGCCGTAAGGCATCCAGTCAGAACGCAGTTAGAACTTCTCAACCTGTCAGTTCTCGTCTCGCAACGAAACTATCAACTAGTGATGATGACTAGCCGCATCAACAGACCCCTGCTGGTCCAACTTACTAGCCCCCTTCTTGACCTAGAACTCAACGTCCTCAGCCTGCTTGTTTCCGCTGCTGCGCGTGTATCGCTTACTACCCCCGGCATCGAGCTTCTCCTCGCCTGTCTTTCCAGTCCCCAGCTGGTCAGTGCCAAACTCATCATCGACATCCTCCTGTTCCAGGCCATCCTTCTTCTCGCCACTACTGGCGACCTTGTTCTTGTCGTCCTCGACACCAATAGCACCAGTCTTCAGGTCTTTCTTGTTGGTTTCGGTGTTGGCTTTGTTATCGTTGTTATCATAGAGCTGGCCAGCGACTTCCTCGACCGTCTGAGCAAACGTCTTGTTGGTGTTCTTCTGGTGCTCCTCGTACAGCTTCTGGCCGATCTCGGCGCCCTTGGTGCGGAGCTCCTCCTCGGTCAGGCCCTGGCCCTTGTCGCCCTTCTGGAGTTGGGCCGCAAGGTCGGCGACGTTCTGGACGACGCTCGAGTCTCCGGCCGTGCTGTTGGTCGGGGTGGGGGTGGTGTTGGCAGCTTGCTGGTGTTGCTGCTGCTGCTCCGGCTTGGTGAGCTTGTTGAGGAAGGATGACATCTTGGTGGTTGATGGGTGATGATGTAGAAGTAGTGCTTATTGGTAAGTAAGTTGAGCTTGTTGTTCTGAATGGGTATGTGCGAATTGCGATGCCCGGGAACAAGTCCATCAACAAAGGCTGAGGGCGGCGCTTTTATACTTCGGAGACAGCCCTGTGATCCAGTTCCTCAGGACAGAGCTGAACATGACGCGTAGCGAGATTCAACTTTGCCATGTTTCTTCAGCTTCCGTGATGGGATGTCATGGGAAACCACACACAAGCAGATGGCCTCGGTTCTGAGGCTGCCACTGTATCGTGCCACTGCCACATCATGAATCGCATCCTCGGAACATCTAGAAGCATCGTATGAGACCGGCACTTTGGGGCCCTCAGTTTGAAATTGCAGGGCCGCAAGCCTAGGTTGATGACGCACGCTTCTCATCGTGGCATGTCCTACCCTCGGAAACCTGTGCCGCCTTGTATAAGTAATGCGTTGTCACATCAGCTGCCGTGTATTGGGTATCTGAGCTTATTTGGCTTCGAAAACGAATATGTACTATACACAATAATTTGTCATCGCTCGACGCCTACGCAATTTCGAGCCAAAGACCCGTTGATTCGATAACCAAGTTTATAATCGTGCCAGTCAACCACAAGGCAACCAACCCCCATCCTATCTTCCTGCTCATCACCCACTTGTTCATCGGAACGGCGATCAGCAGGACCAGCAGAGTGACCAGTAATACCACTGCCGAAACCAGCAAGGTGCCACCGACTTGGATGTGGTAGGGCTTGTACTGGATAGGTCTGTCGGGGTGCTTTCGATGTTTCTTGTCTGCTGCGTGAATTGTCTGGTAGGCCCCGCCAAGCCCTATCCCGAGGAGGATGTTCAGCATTGGCCCGCCGAAGCAAGCAGATCTGTAGACCGTCAGTTTCGTGCCATCTTTTTCCACTGAGAGAACCCGACTCACAGTGCCATGACGGGATATCCAAGGCGGGCTACGGTAATATCGGCAACCAGGTCACCGACGGAGTTGCCAACCGCGAAGACGGTGAGACCCAGGATCGCTTCCGAAATATTCAAAATTACACCGATTGTTTTCAGTACTCCAACAACTTCGCCTGCGATCGTAGAGATCCAGGCAATCGCAATGATAAATCCAAGGAAGCAGAACATAAAATGGAATTTCGGGCGGCGATCGGGGCTTGTGGTAAGCAGGAGGATTCCGAGTAACACAAGAGAGAAAACGAGAGAGATGAGCAAGGCCCTGATGAGCACCAGTCCGGGCTGCTCTAGATCATCGGCCATGTTTGCCCAAACGATGAATACAGAGAACAACGGGCCTGTAAAGATCTGCAGGATCAGCAACCACCGGTTCCATCCTTGCTCCTCGCCCCCTTGAGCAGAGCTGTCTTGTCCAAGTTCCGACGAAGGTTTTACAGGTTGCGCGTCCAAGGCCACACGAGCAGGTCGTACCGTCTCGGCAGAGCCTGAGCCTGAGCCCGAGCCAGGAGTCTCGTCAGGGGCAGCCAATGAGAGCACACTGGATGTTCTGATGACAGACGAGCCACGAGATCTCGTCCTTCGTCGGTACCTTTGCCATTCCGTTTCAGACTCGATCGATCCGTTGGACTCATGTGACACGGCGGCCGCTGTGTTGCCAAGGTGGCCAGAGGCTGGTTGCTCCTCAACGTTCATATCCGAGTCGTCATCCGTCGTGTCACTCTCCACCACAGGCACAGTGATGGCTAAAAGGAAAATGCTCGGCACAGAAACCAAACGAACCAGTTTGTCCCAGAACAGTTTATTTTTCCAGTCTTGAAGCGTGGGAAATAAGGTGCTTATCAAAACGTGTGGCGCGGGCAACACTTCATATGGCCACCATCTTACAGGTTTGGGATCCTCCTGTTGCGGTAGGGTCGGAAAAGAGTGACGCTGCTCTAGACCCGACGTGGGTAGCATCAACTGCGAAGGATCGTGAGGATTCGCCGCAAGAGGTAGAGGCGAATCTGTGTAGCGAGGAAACGGGGACATCGCAGGCGAGGATTGTGCACTGCTTTGAGGGCTTGGACTGGGGATGCGCACACGCAGTCCTCCAGATGGTTTGGAACGCGACGCAGAATCCTCACCATAGCCCTCTACAAGACGAGTACCACCGGAGGTCAACCGAGGGGGTGCTAACCTTCCGCCTACGGTGTGCGTGGATGGACTGCGAGCCCGCCCTCTCTCATCGGCAGAGGCGCTGGGGGGATGTTTCAAACCAACGCCGGTGAGAGTAAGCACAGCCGCTGATGACTGTGTGCGATTCCTAGTCGTGCTCGCAGCCCCCGGAATAGTCTGCCAACTTGTAGACCCTCGCATCGTCCGCCTGGTGTCGTCTAAGCCAACGGAAAGCCTATCCGCGGAGTGGCTCCGAGTATGGATTGGAGCCATACACATGTTTCGCTCTTGTTGCAAAGAAGATAGGACGGACCTGAACTCGAGCGCGCCGATGAGACTGGGCCGGATGGGCGTGATAGTCGTGGTGCTTCGTCTGCCACGTGGTCGGTTCACTCGCATACTGCTCGTCACTTCTGCTGCGACGTGCTGACCATGAGCCTCGTCGTCGTCTTCGTTATCGTCGTTAGCTTGCCCAATCTCGATTCGAGGCGCACGGTCCAGGATGCCAATGTCGACCGTCGCAGGGCCTGCCCGTGCAGCGCCCCGCGACGCACCAGGCGTGGTATCCTCGTCGCCAGGCTCGTCTCTGTACGGCTCCAGCTCGTCCTGACCCTGACTGCTGCCCGAGGCATGAAAATGGCCTCTAGCCGCAACTTCTCTTGCCCTCCGTGCTTGTTTCCGCTTTGCGTATGCGTGCCAGCCCACGACCACGATCACGTAGAAGACGTAAAACCCAATCATGACGCAGCATTCCCATAAGTGAATGTGGCCATCAGATAGGAAGCCCACCGAAAAGGCAACTGCAACAATGAAGAAGCAGATGTCGCGCACGAAAGTCTTCCTGCTGACTTTGAACTCCCGTACGAGGGCCATGGAACCGGCAACGACCGACGTAATGAATCCAGCTGCGCCAATGAGCTCGCCCACAGCCATGCTGCCGCTATTGGAGCTCATAGCAGCGAAGGTGCTGAACACATCGGGTGATCCATTGCCGAAGGCTAGGAAGGTCACGCCAGCCAGGCTTTCGCTGAGCCCTAGTATGGTAGCGATAGTGCTCAGGTTCACGGAAAAGAAGTCGCTAGCTGCAATGCCGATGGTAGTGAAGAGCAGGCCAAGCCACATTACGAGGATGATGAAACCAAGCGGCTGCGCGTTGCCGAGGGTGCAGTAATAGAATGCCAGGTACTCGATAAGGCCGGCCTCATCGTCGTGACAATTGCGCTTCACAAAGGCGCATTGGTCGGCAGCTTGGTGAACAAGACGGCAGTCCTCCCCGGACCGTGTGTGGAGCAGTGGCGCATCGTCGCGATTAGCAGCATGGTCCCGTATGAAGATGCTGTAAACAGCCAGCAGTGTTATGCAGAATACTGTCGCAAAGAATGGGCGAGAACTGAATCTCCTGCCTCGGGCGACGGCAGCAGAAGGCATGGTGCTCGATGTCATCACATCAGCATTCCGTGGACGCCATGTGCTGAAATTAGAGTGGTTGAGAGCCGGGAGGGTGTACGTCAACCAAGAAAGCGAAGTTTGGGATCCGCGGGCAAAGAAGTAGCACAGTAGAGAGCCGCTACATTACTCGTGAGAAATATATGTTTCAAGCAACAGGCTCTAGTGGAAGCATGACACAGGTCCAATAATAAAAGTCTGATGTCGAGACGACAACGGGAAGTGAAATAGCTTCAAGATAGCTGGGACCTGGGCACGGCGAATGGCAACATGGGCGCCCTCTTTCGGTCCCAATCCACCTTTTCGACTGCTCGCCTGCTGGGCCTGGACGGAGGCGACGTCTCGCAAGCCTTGGAACTGCCCCCGGTTCCTGACAAGCGTCGGCTTATCTTATCGCCAAGTTCGCCAAGTGTGGCGTCCTCTACTTAATTCTGCTATGTTGCCACGCAAGCAATGCCCTAGGTGGAAGTGGCCAGTGTAGAGCGACACTGATTGGACAGCTTGAGCTAGTGCCCTCGTCAGCGCCACGTTGGTTTGTGGTCGGTCGGTCGGCAACGGAGCACAGCAAATGCATTTTTTGGCTGGTCCGAGCTTTGTAAACAAGATTGTCGGAGGGCCATTTCCGTCGCGACCGCGACAACGGGCGCCCGCAGCAAACCCGGCCACCGAGCCCTTTCATCATGAACCCCGTGAAGCCAATCTCAAACATCGCCGACGATACGCAGCAAACGACACCATGCCTCGTGTAGCTCAGGTTCCACGCGCAAGTGCTGGCAGCAGGAACGCATCTGGCTCCATGACAGCGTCGCCTTTCCAATCCCCGCTCAAGTACGTTCAGTGTTCCCAAAAATTGTTTATCGTCTTTCCAGGGCCGGGGCTACTTGCGCAAACATGAAGGCTCGGCAGCTCACCGTCCTCCAGAATCCCTCTGAACGACGACAAACAAGAGAAGAAGGGGCGATCGCACGCCCGACAAGCGCTCCACGAGCGACAGATCAACGAGCTCAAAGCCGCTGCCGCCACCCCGGCGCGGAAAGGCGCCATCAGACTGGATAACCTCGAGAGTGCGTCGCCGGGCTCCAACCCGAGGACGCCGCGGAAAGGCCAAGGGGACGACGATGATCTCTTCGTGGTGGGCGGGAGCGGCGTCACGCCTATGAAGCGTGTACCCATCCTCGCCAACTTTGAGGAATGGATGAAGATGGCGACGGACAATAAGATCAACGCCACCAACTCGTGGAACTTTGCGCTCATCGACTACTTCCACGACATGTCCCTCCTCAAAGAAGGCGATAGTGTCAACTTCCAGCGAGCCAGTTGCACCCTGGACGGCTGTGTCAAGATCTACACCAGCAGAGTCGACAGTGTGGCCACCGAGACGGGCAAGCTGCTGAGCGGTCTTGCCGATAGCAACAACAAGAAGAAGGAAAGAGAAGGAGAGGGCGAGGAGAGCGACGAGGAGGAAGTGGACGAGAACGGAAACGTCATCAAGCGAAAGAAGCAGAAGCGGGTAGGTCTACAGCGGCATCCGCATCATCTGATAGGGGGGGAGCATACATAAAACTAACACGCCTTGGCAGCAACGCTCCTCTGAGGTAACATTAGCGCCGTCCTTTGCCTCTCTTCAGCTGAAGAAGTTCGAACTCGAGTTCTCAGTGGATCCTCTGTTCAAGAAAGCATCGGCAGACTTTGATGAAGGCGGCGCCAAGGGTCTCCTCCTAAACCACTTGATGATTGATGGACAAGGCCGCATCGTCTTTGACAGCAGTGACGATACCAACGATGCGTCAGCCTCAGGCATCAAGCCGAGACGGCGAGAAGATGTCGTCGCTGATGAAGGTGAAGAGTCCGAAGAACAAGAAGCTACGGCGATTGAGGATGCACCGGAGCCCGAGGACGAGGAGGATGTGGAAATTGATATTGGTGCTTTGGGTGCCAAATTCTTCCCCGACCTCACTATACTCGACGGTCAAGATGTGTGTCCCTCCCTGAAGAGCTTTGACCTCGGGAATCCCTCCGGCTCTCTGGACATTCCATTCCTGCGGGCCCCGGAAGATTGGAAGCAAGAAGATGAAGACGGTGGTGTACCCAATGCTGCCGGTGACAAATCCGGCATGTTTATCGACGATGACAATCCAATGGGCTTTGACGATATGACGGCCATGGGTGGCTTCGACGTGGTTGATGTGGCTTTCGGTGAGGGTGGCGAAGCCTGGGCTCGTGAAGCTGCGTTAGAACCTCAGATGCGTCCCTACAATATCGGTACCGAGGACGGCATGGGAGGTGGCGATGCAATTGATGGCATGGATGACGAGAACGGCAATTACGTCGTTCGTATGAACCTGGACAAAAATGGCGACAAGATGCACGAAGATATTCTGGGGTACTTTGACCAAGCCCTCCAAAAGAATTGGGCCGGACCAGAGCACTGGAGAATACGGAAAATCAAAGACATCAACAAGCCCGACACCGGCACGAAGCAACGAAAGGAGAAGGAGCCTTTCGAGATCGACTTTGTCTCGCCATTGGATCCGAAGCTGGCCGAGCAGATCTATACGCAGGCTTCGAGCCATTCTGCCATCTGTTTGCCCAAGAAGGATTGGAAATCGAAAACCAGGAATCTACTGCCCGATGATAAGCACTTCAACTCCAAACAGCTCCTCAGTCTCTTCCTCAAGCCCAAGGCGCGCATGAGCAACCGGCGTCGTTTTGCCAGTAAAATTGGCACATTCGGCAATGCTGGTCAACAAGACAACCTCCCCGAAGGCGAGATGGACGAGGCATTCTGGGCCCAAAAGGAGCCCCAGAACGCGCATGATGACGAAGCGGCCATGCCCCAGGGTGACTACGATGCAAACTTCTTTGATGACGAGCTGCCGTTGAATAAATGCGGCATGCTTGACGATGATGACGATCTCGAGTTTGCCGATGCCAGAGATCATTTCTCTCCAGGCGCCGAAGTCCCTGCCACAGAGAACGTAGGCCTCACGGCTATGGGCGAGCTCGGCATGACGACTGGCGGGTTTGGAACACAGCTGGTCACGTCAACACGCAGATTGCGGCCCGAGTATGTACAGTATGCTCGCGTAGCCAAAAAGGTGGATGTCCGACGGTTGAAGGAGGAGCTCTGGAAAGGCATTGGGCTTGAGCAGCTCGACGTAAGTCTGCTTGCTTTTTGCACGGCGCAAATTTCTTGCTAACAACCATATCAGGAACAGCTTGACAGTGCTAGAGTGCCTACACCACACACAAACCAGGAGTCTACATCAGAACCGCCGGCCGAGCCAACGCTCAAGTTTACACAGGTCATGAATAGCCTGCAAACAGTCTATCCCAAGGCCGTCATGGACGATATCTCAACGAGCTTCTGTTTCATCTGCCTGTTACATCTGGCCAACGAGAAGGGACTCTCAATCGAGAACACGCCGGAACTGATGGAGCTGGACATCCGCAGAGACCCGACGGCCGTGGTGACGGGCGAGGTTTGATCAGGCAAGGCTCGGTAGGCGGCGCATGTAGCTGCGAGCATGTTTACGTATACATGTATGACTTGATGATTAGATATGTCCGCTTTGGAACCAGCCTCGAGCAAGGCTAGAGAAGGTGGAGGCAGGCGTTGTTGGGTACTCAGCCATTGGTGTCAGTTTTCAATAGGGGATGCGTGGAGAGCGAGTACAATCCATGGTCGATTAGTGGCCCGCTGCTGTCATTCCTATGGAGTACCTTGTGACACGACACGAACACGTTGGGATTCTGTGTAATTTGGGTGCTTCAAGCAGCGTACATGATATGTTCAGGTGGGATTCCATTGCGACGCCCAATTCCAAATCCTTGCTTGTCAGTATCTATGCATACATCACTGACGGTTAGGTTAGGAAAAGAGATAAACGGAGGTGATGACTTTTGTCTGCCTGTCAGTAAAAACTCCATATCATACGGCGTTGAGACGCGAATGCGAGACGCAAGTTAACCAAGACGTTTCTACACAATTTATGAGTTACTCCCGTAGACGGTCACCTATTGCCTACCCGTTCAAACCCACAACTACACACGCGCACATTAAAGTAAGGCTCACGCACCCCTCCGGAAGAATATAATGGCGTGACACGCAGCACTGTCATGGAGGGCTGCCATGCGGCTGCAAAGCAGGATTTTGCAGCCACGCATTATTGAACTCTAAATTGGGGCAACCAGGTCCCCCCTTCACATCTTCGACGATGATTTCCACGTAGTAGGGCCGTTACATTTCCCCAATTTCATTGTGATCATTCATCGATGACCCTCTCAGTTACAGATTCCCATTGATTGTTGTGGCGGGCACGTCGTTTCAATGATTCATGGACATATATGCACTTGACAAAATCGGGAATAGTTGTAATCGAGATCGCGATCGCGGTCACGGACAAATTGTCGCATTTAACCACGTTGCTGTGTTACGAGTAACGCCATTATTTCCACCCCATCTGCCTTAGGTCTGGTAGGCCAGGTCTTTCTGCGATTAAGCAACCGTTTCCTACGATCTTTGCTTTGGAGCAGACTCCACCATACGTCATCGTGATCAACCCATAGGTTAAAACATGTACACGTTCCGACCGTCCGACGAGCACACAAGTCAGACGGCACACATCAGTCTCCAGCAAATGTCTCTTCTGTCCAGTTTCCCAAAGCGCCAGAAACTCCTGTGCTCGCAGCCCGACATAATGGCCTTGCTAGAAATGCTGAACTCCAATACTTTGCCCGAGTGTCTTGGTATACATCAAACCGCGTAACATGCAAAAAAACACTCAAGACACCTGCTGGCCTTTCTGACATTTTCCGAGCCGTTTTCCTTATGAAGGAACGAGTCAACTATAAGTGAAAAATATAAATTTGAAGTCTTCTGTCAATTGATTCTTGTCAAATGATTCAAGCATGACGTCATTCATCGTGGTAATCATGAGTTGTCCGGGCGCCCAACGATGTCGCTGGCTCGTAGCAAAGCACTCATGCCATCAAGCCCAAGATCAGGGGAGGCGGGAGTGGCCTTGACGTGGGATTGCCCCATGGTGGGAGTTCTTTGATCTCTAAACTCTCCCATGGGTGTAAGGTCTGTGGACAGCACTGGCTGCAGATAGCTGGCCGATGATCCGGGGTAGCCTGCAAAGCGGTTGGTCAGCCACAAATTTGACGACATATAGACGGCGCGCGTACTGTTGCTAAAAGGAGGCCGCCCAGTGGCTGCTGACTGGTCACTTGGCGGGCGTCCGGGATGCTGATGGATGGGTATGGCCGACTGGGGTGTAGCTTCTTGTGTTGGTGTAGTCGCCGTGTGCGCTCTATATGAACCGTCTGGCTTAGAAGAAAGTAAAGCATGGATTGGCAACGACGACTCGCTTGGCGTCCTGGGTCCTGGAAAGGAGTTGAGCGACGAAATGCTGCCCGTCGATGACTGTTCAGTTTTCAACGACGGAGGACCTGACCAGCCCAATTTCATCGAGGCAGACCCTGCCCTACTTGACCTATTGCTGTGCGGCGTGAGACTCGGTGGGATGCTGTTCATGCTCGCTTCAGGAGATTTGGAGGTTGCTGGAGGCACGCCTCGCACATCATTTGAGCCAGACAACCAGGGGATGCCAAAACTAGACATTTCTCCCGAGTGCATCATGGAAAGGCGACGTGACGGACGAGATGGGTCATCAACAGTGCTGGCATTCGAGAAGCTTCGATCCCTTCCCATGATCTCGTCAAAAGCCTGGGGTCGGGGCGACCGTATTTCGTCCAACAGCGGCTGGAAGGCAAGTGATGTTGTTGGTGATAAATGCGATTCTGGTTGCGATGTTACCGAACTCAGTCGCTGCTGGCGAGTAGGCGGTGGTTCACTGCCGGCTTGGCTGTCGGTGCTACTGCCGGTCCCACTGGTTGTGCGGCTCGCTCCGGTCGACATGCCGCCATTGCCGTTGCTACTGCTGCTGCCTCTATAAGTGTCGAACAGCTTGATTCTCTTGGTAGCATCTTCGTCTACAGCGTCGGAGTTAGTCCGTCGTTTTAAACCTCTGGTCGACGGCCGCAAAATACCTTGAGCAGCTTGCCGGTTGCGGAACTCCTGCAAGTAGTCACAATAGTTTTTGTAATCATCTGTTTGCTTGTATGCGGCCATGTCCCGGTTGTACTTCTCCTTGGCCTCTTGAGCCTGTGTCTCGTAAGGGGCCTTTTCGGCTCGATTCAGGTTCTGCCAGTTCTCACCCACGAGCTTGGCAATCTCGGTGAAACTGAGGTTCTGGTCCTTGAGGTCCTCTCGCATCTCTGGTATGTCGTTAGTTATAGATTTCATTGTCACGTGTGTCACATGACTTACTATTGGAGAATAGAACATATGCAGACGGTGGGCGCTCGGGAGCTTTGTCATCGGGCTGTAGCCACAATTAGTTAGCGAACGGCAAACACAATTTTGGCTATGTGGTCCCACACGAGAGGATCCACGAACCTTTGGGTGCCGTCTGTATTTGCGCTTCGCCACTGTCGTTGCCTCCTTGCTCTCTGCTGTCGGCTGTGTCAGTTTGTTGGGTGGCACATGAGATCCACCTTCTTCGATACTTCGTGTAGGCGATACGAGCGACAACATGGGAGCCAGGCCGCGATGATTAGCGATGCGACGCTGCAGTTTCTGCACCCAAGGTTAGTCAAGAACGACGTTCTCGTGAGTGAAAAAGCCCTTACCCTGCGATGCCCGAGTTTGACACCAAGTGCATCCCTTTCGACGTGTTAGCCACATGTGTCTGTTACCACCGTCCCTCCAACCCCGTCAATGTGCAACTAACAGATCTGACTCAGTTATGTCTAAAATGGTATCCCACGAGTCGAATCCCTGATCAATAAACGCATCGAGGTATTGAGAGATGCCCAGCTCTTCGAAGATCGTCTCTAGTTGATTCATATAGCCGGATTGGCCGCGTTACCACGGATCGTTGTAGAGTGTTCGTCCTTGGGCATCGAACTCGGGAAGTTTTATTCGGGCCGGAAAGATGTTCACGGGTCTCGTTGGTATGATAACGGCTTCGTACACTGAAACGGAAGATTTGGGTCCGCCTGCTTGCACCCTGAATTGATCCTGCACTAACCGGCTGAAGCTCCTTCGCGAAAGTCTCCACGAGGGGCAAGACCGGTCTAGTAACCAGTATCGAAGGGATTTCTTTCGGCAACGTCTCGGCTTCAGGGTGTAAGAAAACGGTCTTGCGGTGGAGGCCAGACAGCACGGTCGGCTTGGCTTCCAGAGCCTGGTTGAAATTTCGTTGGTAGCTTGGACCTCCAGTTTGTCCAAAGACGAAGCTCCTGGCACTGCTTTTCGTAACACTTTTCGGGCGTGACGCGATCGAGGACTTGGGTTCGTGAAGGCGTTGCTGGGGTCGTCGTGGGGCTGCCGATCCAATAATCACAACTGCGATGCGTCGTCAACGTCTGAGATGGCTAGGCTGCGGCGTTGAAGAGTAGCGATGGGAATGTTCGTTGCCACAAGGGTCGATGGTAATGTTTTAGGGGAATTCAGAGAATTAGCATTATGGGCCCTGAACAGTGGTGCAGTTATACGATCGGTTCATGTTTTCCAGATCTCGATGAACGGTGCACCGACACAAGATCAGAGTGTGACAGGAAATCGGAGAACGTTACGGCGGGCCCCAGCTAGCGGCCCGGAAAACAGAAACACTATTAGACAAAGGGCACATCCACACACTTACTAACCGCATTGACCACCTTTTTGCATGCACCCCCATTTTGCAGGGAATTTCTACGCCTCAACAACACGACGTCTCTCCATTTACCTCGCAATTGCTCCCTATCTACGTCCAAAATGGCTAATCCAGTGGAGACTAGCCTGGACGATTTTGAGCAGCGAATCGAACGCGCTAAAGAGCTTATCCATCAGGGTTCTTCCCAGGCCGTAGCAGCTCATCGGTACGGTATCAAGGGGACTACACTGTCCTACCGTATTCGTCACGGTAATTCGCATCGCGACGCGGCCTCCAGGCAACAAAAGTTGACTCCAGAGCAAGAGGAGGTTATCGTGAACTGGATCCTACACGAAGAAGTGTCTGGACGGGCTCCTAGCAAGCGTTATGTGGCCGACTTCGCTGCCGAAATCCTCCTTGCTCAAGGGGATAACAATACACTCGGCCAACACTGGGTGGATCACTTCGTTAGCCGCCATCCACAGATACGTACCAAAATTGGGCGCGTCGTAGTTAGAGCGTCCGTGATGCGTGCACCTAGGGGGGAGGATGCTATAATGCAGTAGTGCGCAACGTTATAGTATCTAATTGAATGGGATTCACCTAACCAGTGGGTCCCCCTACCTTTTCGTATCAGTCCGATTCGAACAAGATCCGAGACTTCTACACCCTCCTTGAACGCTTACGTACGAAGTATCGTATCAAACCCGACAACGAGTATAATATGGACGAGACAGGTGTCCAAGAGGGGGAATGTTACGGTTATTGGGACGTCTAATTCACGCCGGGTACGCGTATCAAAGTCGGACGCTTCGTCGTGGTGCTTCTGGTTAGAGTACATTTCGCATACCCAACGGGGTACACCTGTCTGCGTATTTTCCGGCAAGAGAGTCCAAGCACAGTGGTTCCCAGACCAAAATATCCCTGAGTGGGAATACACCGCGACGAGTAAGGGCTGGAGTAATAAAGTTATCGCAAATAGGTGGTTAGATCAGGTTTTTTTCCCCGAGACGAAGCCTAGGGGTACCGAATGGCGACTCCTTATCCTCGACGGCCACCAAACACATATTCATGCCGAATTTATGTGGAAAGCCTACTCGAATAGAGTCGCCGTGCTGTATTTACCCTCACACTGCAGTGACGATCTCCAGCCGTGCGATGTCGGGCCGTTCTCACCTTTGAAGACCTACTACCGCCAAGAGCTCAGGGCTTACGCTTCCTACAAGGCTACAGCCCTAATTTACAAGCAACGTATGCTAGAAGCATATCTACGTGCCTCGGAGAGAGCCTTTACTACGGAAAATATTAAATCTGGCTGGCGGAAGACTGGTATATGACCCCTAGGCTCCGAAGGACTAGTCGACGTATCTTGTGATCCTCCGGAGCCTCATACACCAGATCCTCCGCCTCATATATCACCACCTTTAGTTGCTTTTACTCCTCAGAAAGCGCAGCAACTATCTAGCCAACTACAGTCGATAGAGAAAGCCGAGGGCGGGGTATCTCGTAAGATTCGTACCCTAGTAGGCAAGGCGGGCAAGGCCCTTACACTCCAGGCCGCCGAGAATGCCAAATTACGTATCGAAAACGAGCAACTATATAAAGAACTCGATAAATACGCTCCAGATATACGCCAGCCCGTCGAGCCAGACCCGAATAAAGTATTCGTTAACTTATCAGCGATCCGAACAGCCCAGGACAAGCGAAATAAGCGAATACGGCCTATTTTACCGGATAAGCAGTTAGAAATTGATACTTTTCTCGAAGGAAGGGTCCCTCCTAAAAAGAGGGCTCGAAAGAATATATCTAAGTCTTCGGACACTTAAATTAAGTATGTTCTGTATATAAATAATATGGACGAAGTATTTAGGTTGATTCAGTTAAACCCTGCAAAATGGGGGTGCATGCAAAAAGGTGGTCAATGCGGTTAGTTTATATCACTGGCTGGTCCATCTAACCAGATCGCTTACTCGATACTTCCTCACCTTTGTATGTTTGTAGGTCGGCGAGCGAGTAATGTGTGTCGATCGATATGCTACTGCAGCACCCAGCCCTTTCCTCTCACGACCGGCGACCAAGTACCAAACTGCTCGATATGCTTATAACAGAGGCTCGAAACGGTGGCACAGCAAGGATGAGGACCGGGGAATCCCCACCCCACGGGTCGACTGGTTGACTATGTTTGAGTGTACGAGATGTGTCGTCATTGCCAGCAATGTGCTCCAGACGCTGATCCAACGGCGTTTCTGAGCTGATATTGCAAGTGAGCGGCGGCCACCTTGCTTGGTGAGCGCAGGAACACAGAACCTTCTCGCTATCGGTTGCTCCAACGATGGGTAGAAGGAGCATGACCCCACTAGGTACTAGCTACAACACGCAGCGGCTGGTGTGGGTGAAGGGTTGTGTCAACGATGCAGCAGCTGCAAGTACCGAGTTCATACGAGGGCCAGTGATGTAATAGCGCTGAGCAGTACCCACAATTACACGCAGCGATTGGCCGCGGCCCTGGCTCCGTGGATATTCTTTGAACGGGTGATTAATGTTAGCAGATGCAATAATACGTGGTGTGGGAGTCGAAAACGGGCCTGGTGTTGAAGAGATCGAGATCTGCGGTTGAAGCTTGTGCCGACAATAAGAATGGGGCTGGGAATTGGACCTCATTCGTCCCGTTCAAATCAACTGTCTCGAACATGGGCACGAACATCTGAGCATGGCCTGACTCCCAGGCGTTCACGAGGCTTGCAAGGATAACTGTGAAAGTAAAGTCATTCGAGCCGGTAGCCTTATCATTTTGCGCGGCCGTTGCTGCAATATCGTGAGATGGGGGACGAGAGAGAGCCAAACTACCGTACCGTTGGTCGACGCAGCTCAGACGAAAGTGGTAGGTACGCTGTTGCCATTGGGCCAGCCGAAGAATGTAAATTGCTGGGCTAATTGGGTCTTGGGGAGGCGGATGATTTCTCCTATGGCAGCCAATGCCGTGGGAGGCGGCTATGCCAAGACACGGGCTGTCAGTTGCATGGTGTTTGGTGTTGCTGAAATCGAGGCAAGAGTGAGAGATCGAGAAGTTGACACATGCAGTCCAAACTCCGCGTTGGGCTGCGGCCCCACCACATAGTACGCTTGGCAAACTTGACAGGCGAAAAAAGATCAACAGCCAAACAGCGCTGGAAGACTCGTTATTATGACCGTACAAGGTGAACAATGCAAGGAATCCCGTCTCATACAGCAGATTGCCATCGCGATTTAGCGGGACAGATCGGGACATCGAGATGCCGAATTTGTTGTCGAGGCATGCCATTTCTCCATGCTAGGGGCGAAATCCCAATATGGATCACGTTGCGGTTGCATGCATGCTTGATGCTCGCAACGCCTGGATGGGGATCGAGATGCCGAGAACATGGAAAGGTGGTGGTGGCTGCTTGGTTGCTGTAATGTATGGTACTTGTCTGGAGTAGCGAAGTAAAGTATGATATGCATTGACTGAGTCTCACTGACAATTCTTACCAAGCACGGTGGACGGGTTTACGGTTTTGAGCATCTCGTGGTTGCCACGTGCCGCAATCGGCGCATCTCAAAAACACAACCTGATCTCCGAAGCCATTGGCAATCATCAATGATTTGGCTTGCCAATAAGTGCAGGAACCCTAACTTGCCAGGTGTGCGTCAGCTTGAATCGCGCAGCGCGCAAGATCAGTTGAATAGAAAGGCTTCTAGAAACATCAACCACGAGTTCGGTATCGTATCTGAAATGCTGGCAAAACCAACGTACGAGGTGTCAAGTGGGACACGCTGTGATAACGGGACCTGTCTGTGGCATATGCACAAAGTGTGATGATGGGAATCAGGCTGCAGGGCCCAGCTACACCGTATTGCACGTTATTGTCAACCGAGGAATTTAGAAGCTTGGAAGGGGATTCCCGTTACTATTCCCTAAATCGTATGAGCGGGAAGTCTAGATGGTTATCGACTCCAAATTAACGAGGCCTAGAACTTGGGAAACACTAGCTCTCAAAGTACGCGTACATACATTCATATGTTCACCGTTGGTTGTATTGCATTACTTGCCTTGTTCTAATTTCCCAAGTTTCATCTGGACTTTTCCACGCTCGTGCAATGATTTGGCAGCCCAAGCCTCGTTGCCATATTGGCCAATTTCTTCCAGTTAAGACTGACAGCCCGCTTCAATGAGCCAATTGCAAGTCCCAATCTTGGGTTCAATCAAACAAGCTGCCAGTCGCATTAGCAAGGACGCAGGCCACTCATGACATCGGAATCTCTCCATTCAGAGTGATGAGATATCAAGGCTAGGCATCTTTTGGATATCCAGCTCCCCGATGGTAACAGCTGGGGTACCGTCTGTCATAAATTACCATTGCCAGCGGCTGATAGCCACCACCAATCTCAAAGGGGGAAGCACCACAGCACTATTGCGTGTCTAGTCTAGACCTACAAAGACCCCGCCAGCCGTGTTCAACGTTGATGGATAGGCGGATGTCGACCATACGACTTTCCCATGGCTCCCGAACTAAATTGCGGTTCACTTGTCCATTCTGCCCGACGGGTGGTACACGGAAATGTGGCATGGGCCTTCTAATTTCCCATCTGCTACCCCTTGTTGTGCAAGATCTGAACTTGTTGACCTGTGGTTTCCAGTTGACCGTCCAGCCGTCCTACCTTCGTGTCGATGTTCCCCAATATCCGTCGTTGGTTTGAACAACATCTAGGTAAAATTGACTGACCAAGCGGATCAAAGGCTCCGGGTCAGGGTAAGCCTCTCCCCTCTCTCTATCGGACCGCGAGCCCTCCTCTCCGAGAAGTTTTCTAGATGAGAGTGGCAGAGACCGCGGACCATGAAAGTGTACGCGCCCAATCCTAGTCGAGTGTGCTTTGACACTTCACATCAAGTAGACCGTATTCTATAACCACTTTGCCCGGCGTGTTCGTAGGGTCAAATTGTCGAGGACTCGGAGACGTCGCCGGGGCCAAAGGATTGGCTGTCACCGCAACCAGACCAAAGACTTCGTTTGTATTCTGCTACCCAAGTTGGTGCCAAAGCTATACACTCTTTCGTACCTCTCCAACTCTCTGTCTGTGTCCTACGGCACTTGAAGGAAAATTGGTATCTAAACACACCACAGTGCCAGGCACAATATCATTACTGACACATCGGATACCTTCAAGCCTAGAGTATAAAGAGAAGGATGGGCTTAGAGAAAAGGCAGGCACAAATTCTAGCGAGGAGAGTTCATTGTGTAGTGTAAACTGGATGGAAGCTCGCATGCCATTCCACAGTCATGGCTGCTAGTACTCGGTTTGGACCCTGTTCTCGGAAGTTGGAACATGTTGCACTTGAACAGCACACTATATATACAGAGATTATTATAACGCCAGGCTGTTCTTCACCTGTACGCTGTTATCTTAGATCGGCTCTCTCATGGTGAAAATCAAGAAGCCTGTCCTGCCCTTGTCATTGACATGTATAATATATTCCTCATCATTAGGATGTAATGAGTCCTTGAGGTGGCCTTGGGAAAAGGTTGTAGACATTTGAATTTATAATCCAAGTCGGCCAAGTTTTCCTTAGCCGGAAACTCGAACTTTCCAGTCCGGGGACTTGTTCGTACCGCAGTGGCCCGTGATTCCTCATAAATGCGATACTAAAATGCTCGTCGAACCGATGGGAAAACCCAGCAACCCAGCCCACGACCCAAATCCGGTTAACGCCGTATGAAATTGCCTCGTTGTTTCGACATCTCCTCAGAACCACCCGTCGTAATCCCTAGCTACACGGCGTTTCCCATGGCACACTGACGCAAACCCATGTGAGGGATAGTTGCGGTGGCACGAAATAGCTCCACTAGGTGCACTCAAATCTGGAGCGAGAGCAGCTGCTGGAAACGCAGGGGTATCGAGTCGAATAAGCTGCACGAATCTGGGAATGATGGGAGGAGCTTCGGCTATCGTGCTTCATCGGCTGAGGAATCTTTCCTCTGTCCTTCGCAAGAGAGTTGCCGAGCTGATCCGTAGCTAAGTGATATAATTTTTAAGTGCTGTGTGCTCGCAGTAGGAGCTGAACGGTCGCAACGCGACGTTAGTCGGTTGTTCTGTTAACATCGGGTAGACTTGAACATGCCCTTTGGAGCGGATCGCCATGATTCACCGATACCAACGCTGGACTTTCAGCGTTTCCTGTCAGTGGCTCGGCCGACGTTAACGCACGAGCTTCAAGACTCGGCCGCAACACAGCCGGTGCCCTCGCCTGGTCAGGGTTGACTGCAGCAGCCTGGCCCGATCCTCGCGTCAACTCCCGCTCTCTATTCTTTTCTAGCAGTGCTCCGCCAAGCGTGGCACACTTGAGTATCGTCTGGATGAGGTGGTTTTGTTGAAGAGGTTTCGATAGGTACTCGTCCATCTGCGCCTGAATGCACTTCTCTCGGTCGCCCATCATGGCATGTGCCGTCAGCGCAATGATGGGAGTCTTGTACGTGCCAAGACTTCGCTCGTACTCGCGGATCTTACCCGTTGCTTCGAATCCACCCTGCAAACTTGTTAGCGCCGTGACACCAACTGAGTCGGTATTAGATGAGGGATCAAACCATTATGGGCATTTGCACGTCCATGAGAATGACGTCGAACTTCCTGTCTTTGACGGCCTCGACTGCTTCCAGGCCATTGCCGACGACCGTGACGACATGGTGGTACTTCTCTAGGATCTTCACAGCAAGACGTTGATTGACAGTGTTGTCTTCGGCGAGCAGGATTTCGAATGACCTTGTGTTGTCCGCTAACGAGGGTGTGGCGCGGTTCTCAAGTGCCGGGACCATGCCATTTCCAAGATCGATGGGCTCACATGGTGTAGTCATGTAAGACGTGATGCCAAGATCTAAGCACGACTTCAGACTAACATGGACTACCGGAGCAAGCAGAACAATCGGCAGATACTTGAAGTGGTCAATTGCACGAAGACGTCGGGCGGTGTCAATAGAGTCGACAATAATAACGTCGTATGGCGGCTCTTCAGATCCAGAATGCAGAGCCGGGTAGCTTTCTTGGGTTGCCACGACAGGGACCAGTCCAAGGCCTGCCAACATGGACACAATCTCTTTGCCGTACTTGGTCTTACCTCTGTCGACGAAGAGGATCTGATGGCCCTTGTACGGCTTGAGCTGTTTCTCGACGTAAGACAACTCCCCTTGCGCCAGTTTGACCACGCAGGTGAAGAAGAACGAGCTGCCTTTGCCGAACTGGCTCTTAACCCAAACGTCTCCGCCCATGAGGCTGACGAGTCGTTTCGAAATCGACAATCCTAGACCAGTTCCTCCGAACTTGCGTGTCATCGATCCGTCGGCTTGCTGGAATGTGTCGAAGATGAGGTCCAGCTTGTCCTGCGGGATTCCTATGCCCGTATCGGACACGATAAACTCGAGTGCATACTCGTTCCAGGCCTTGGTCTGGACATTCGAGGCTTTGCGGATCGTCACGTTCACTTCGCCGAGTTCGGTGAACTTTATAGCATTTCCAACCAGATTCAGGATAATCTGTCGAAGTCGGAAGGAGTCTCCCACAACGTAATCGGGAACCGAGCTGTCAACACGGTATGTAAGATCGAGGAACTTCTCGTTAGCCTTGACAGCTAGGGTTTTGAGGGCATTGAAAACAGTTCCACGCAATGTGTACGGAATCTCTTCAATGACCATCCTCTTGGCCTCAATCTTGGACAAATCCAATATATCGTCGATAATAATCAACAGACTGTTGGCCAAGTTGTTCACGATATTTAGCATTTCTCGCTGGTATTGAGTGAGATCGGTATCCAGTGTCAGCTGTGTCATTCCGATGATACCGTTCATGGGGGTTCGAATCTCGTGGGACATGTTGGCCAAGAATTCGGACTTCGTCTTGTTTGCTTGTTCGGCAGCCTCTCGTGCTTGCGTGTTTCGCTGGATACTGTCCCGTAGGTTATACACCATTTGATTGATCTTGCGTTTAAGTTCGTCCATTTCGCCCGAGGCTTCAACGTCGACCACTTTGGTGAAGTTTCCGTCGGTAGCAGCATTAGTGATATCGCCGAATGCTCGCACTTGAGTGGTCTTGGCAGGCAGGAGATTAGCTCATTGCTCAACTGATGGGTATCGAACATCTGGAGATGTTGTAAGCTTACCAAGTTTGTCGCCATGGTGTTCACATCCGCTGTAATCTCCTTCCACCTGCCCTTGAGGCCCCCAACATCAGCTTGGCCACCCATCTTGCCGTCGACGCCCACATCCCTGGCTACTCGTTGCACTTCATTACAGAAAACTGACAGACGATCAACCATGTTGTTTATGGTTTCTTTGAGCACCGCCACTTCGCCCTTGGCTACAACTCCGATCTTTTGGCTCATATCTCCGTCGGCGATTGCTTGTGTGACGGTTGAGATCCCCCGAACTTGGGACGTCAAATTTGACGCCATCGTATTGACGTTTTCGGTGAGGTCCTTCCATTTCCCTTCCACGTCGTCCACTCGAGCTTGGCCGCCGAGGGTTCCGTCGGTCCCAACTTCTCTGGCGACTTTACTAACTTCGAATGCGAAGGTGCTAAGTCGGTCAACCATGGAATTGATGGTGTTTTTAAGTTCCAAGATTTCGCCCTTGACCTCGACGGCGATTTTCTTACTGAGGTCGCCGCGGGCTACAGCCGTCGTCACCTTGGAGATTTCACGGACTTGGGTCGTCAAGTTCATGGCCATGCCGTTGACGTTGTCGGTGAGATCGCGCCAGGTGCCTTGCACGTCATTAACAGTAGCTTGGCCACCTAGGCGCCCTTCTGTGCCGACTTCTCTGGCAATCTTGGTGACCTCGGATGCAAATTGCTGGAGTTGGCCCACCATGGAGTTGATGGTCGACTTCAGTTCGAAGATCTCGCCCCTACATTCGGCTTGAACTTTCTGTGTAAGGTCGCCTTTGGCGACAGCCGTTGTGACCTTAGCTATGTCTCGCACTTGAGTCGTGAGATTGTTGGCCATAGCGTTGACGTTGATAGTCAGCTCGTTCCACATGCCCTGCACACCCATGACATCGGCTTGCCCGCCGAGCATACCTTCCGTCCCTACATCACGAGCGACGCGAGTAACTTCAGCTGCAAAGGTTCGTAATTGGTCCACCATGGTATTGATAGTTTGTTGAAGTTGTAAAATTTCTCCATTGGCAGGTCGTTCGATCTTCTGGGTCAGGTCGCCATGAGCGACGGCAGTGGTAACCGATGCAATTTCGCGGACTACAACGTTTTAGTCCCTTGGTTGTAGGCGGGGGCCAGATTATACCACTTACCTTGATCAGTGAGGTTCTGCGCCATCACGTTCACTATGGGAGTATTAGTAACACAGCATGGGAAAACGAAAGGGGCCAACTTGCCATTGTCAGTCAGTTCTTTCCATGTGCCGTCAACTCCGTCGATTGTAGCTTGGCCACCAAGTATGCCGTCGGTGCCGACCTCGCGAGCCACACGAGACACTTCGCTTGAGAAGACCATCAGCTGATCCATCATGGTGTTGATAGTCCGCTTGAAAGTAGTGATTTCCGGATCCATTTCGACTTCGTTCAACCGCACTCTCTTGCTCAGGTCGCCGCGAGCCACTGCAGTGACGATTGCTCCGATCTCGCGCAGAGCCTTCTGGAAGGCCTCGTTGGCCTTCTGATGTTTCCATAGTTCCCTCTCCAGAGCCGCAACACGTTCCTCTTCCAGTAATCGGAGAGCCTTCTCCTGCAGGTTCTTCTGCTGCACGAGTTGTTCGTTGACGTTGGAAAGCTCCTGGCGTTGGTTGTCGAGCAATTTGGACTGGTCGTCGATATGTTCACGGAGGCCTTCCAACGCCTCGTCTGTCAAGGGAATAGTCTTGATGGTACGATCGTCGACGCAAGCGTTCCGAACGCTGGTAATGGGCGCGAGCTTCGATCGGAGGCCTGACCTGCCATTCATAGTGGGGGACGCGGACTCATCGCCAAACAAAGACTCGACGGTCTCGTTCGGCGTATCCGGAAATATGGGGCCATTCGCTATGCTAGCTTTCGCCTCGAGACGTTGGACTCGGGCGGCGAGTGCCGATAGTTCTCGTTCCAGTGATTCCTTGGCTGCGCTATCTCGACCTGGGAGCTTGAAGGGGGACCCAACGCCGGGGGGACTGGGGCTCGCAGTCTTTGGTTCGGTGCCTATAGACTTGACTATAGCAGCAGCGGCGGCAAAAGCCGCCGATTCGTCGGCCATACCTCTCATGTCACGAGGTCGGGTATGATCGCAGGACTGCGAGGCTGTGATTGGGTGACGATTTGTGGTTGTAATTGAAAAAAGGAGTGAATGAAGCCAGTAAAGACTTTTGTCGGGCTCGGTATAGTTATCGTCTCATTGAGTAAAAGAGGACTTCGATATTGTCGTGCAGTACTAGCTGTCCAAGGTGGTTGGCCTGTATTGCGGGACGTCGGTTCATATCCGCTTCGCAGAAGACGACGTCGTGTGGTGTACAGACCAGCAAAACTTGGCCGAGAACGAGACGAGGACTCGCCGGCACCGGATGGAGTTGATGCCGCGCGAGATGTCAGAATTCGATGCTCGAACGAGGGTGAACGAGGGCGAATGAGGGGAGGAGTGTTCGAGGCGCGAAAAGCGATGAAGATGATAGTTGAAAATTATCAAGCCTTCTCAGGAGTGATAGTGGTAAGGGAAAGTGGAGGCTAGAGCCAGCCTGAGGGCGTAGGATTCACTTTGGGCGGCCGTCGTGTTGCTAGCGGAACCCTTGTGAAAGCTCCTGGTAACTACTCTGACCAAAGCGACAACCAGTGAACACCGAGGGTGGGCGAAGATAAGGCAAGACAGTACGGTAGGGGACGCAGAGCCTGGATGGGCAATGCTGAGAGGTCGAGATTGGGCTGTCGCGGGATCGTCAAGCCCAGGGGGTTAGATTCGGGCCACTAGGATGCTGGGATAACCCCTCCACGTCCACTTTGAAAGCACGCACGCTAGAAATCCAGTGGCACCTGGACTTTTTTCTCCCAGTCGAGCGTTGTGGTTATTTATTTTAATTAATGTCGTTTCCTAGGTGCAGCAGCCCCAAAGCGAGGGAGCTGGCATCCAATTCGATATTGCGCTATGAGCCAAAAAGTCAATTAGCTGATGCGTTTAGTTCAGGACCGTCAAAGTATGCAGGTGCAGTTGGGGTCTGGTCGCTCCGACATCAGTCATAGTGGACAATTTTGGAAGTCGCAACTGGGTTCTTCTGATTGTTAGTAAATGCTGTGCTGCGGAATGAAAAGAACAGACGACATCTGAAGAGTCGACGAGACGGGTCCTAACAAGTCGGATTTGAAGTGCGGGCCCTGCCTGCTTTGTCACGGTGCAAGCAACTGAGCTATCAGAAATTGATGGTATTGGTCCTCTGTTAACATCTAACGCTGTATTTGGCCATCAATTGAATGCAATGCCACCGTTCGCAGACATTTCCCACCGTTGTGTAATGAAAAGGATCAGCTGAGTACTTCATTACCAGGCACACCTCCACAACTGCATTCGAGTAGGTAACTTTTTCCTCAGACGACTCGTGTCCGATGCAGTGTAGATCTGGATGCGTGCGAAGCTGAATTTGCAAGGCGGTTGAGCGGCCTTCTGAAAAGTAGTCCTGTCTGAAATGGCAAGCGCTTCACTATCCTTCGTCGTAACTCGCAGTGACTCGCGGCGTAACAGAAGATTATACGCTGCTGAGCATCAGATCGGACGACATAGTTTGGCTGAGGCACCATTACTCAGGTTGCTCCAACGTCCACCAGTGGCTGCAAGGACACTGCCTGTCCTCACGAACGCCTAGCACATAGCGTATCGGTTGCTACGCTATTCAGTCCCAGCTGACGAAAGCTCTGCGGGCCCTGCACGACCGTACCGTAGTAGTCAGAACCCGATACTCGTCGTATGGTTGTTAAGCACCATGTTCCCATGCATCTTGCTGGTGTGTGCGTGCTTTGTGCTTGGGAAACGTGAAAGACGATCGCGAGTGTCACCCGCACATTGGATGTGATATGACCATTATGGTCATGCCCAAAAGAATGGCAATTCATTATCTTTTCTCAACTCTAGCCAGTGCCACTTCAGCTATTGTCTCGTACCTCGTCTTCTCGAAATCATGCCTTACATGTATGTTCTTGTCAAACGTGACGTTGGTGTGTAATTTCTACGACGAATGACGAGCGACTCGGCGCAACTCTGCGTTTCTGGCCTGAACTTTGGATGACTTGCGGTATTCAAAACTTACTGCTGCTGTGTGTAGTTATCAATACCATCCTGCAATATCATCAGGCACCCGAACAACAATTGCCGTACATGTTTGTGTACTGCTGACTCGAACATGTCGCCCATTCATTCACCAGATATGACATTGTTCTACCTAATTATTGTCAATCTGATGCAGGTTCTAGAGTTGGCCTGTTCGGATCCCTGCCGCCATCTGCGGTAAGGGAAATGATTTGCAGGATGAAAGTACTGCAGAGCTCCCCCCTCCCCCCGTCCCCCCCGGTACGATCGGCATCCTGGGAAGAACAGATTCAGGTCAGTTGTCAGAAGCACAGGTCTTGATCATTTCAATCCTGCGCCCGTTGCATTGCCGAAAAGGGGTTTAAATCATGGGCAAGATGGGACATAGCAACTTGAAAATAGTACCAAAGAGAATATGGCAGTGAACTTGCGGGATCTCACGAGACTTGGTCCACCGCAATCGCACAATTGAATAGAATGGCGCCTCAAACGACGAGCTTGCCGCTTTGCCGGAAGTCATGTTAGCGGATTGCAAAACCCAACGCTCCCAAATATGGTGTGGATGGATGGACCATAAGGGGGAACAGGCTAGAGAGGACCAAATCTCTCAAGTGGCAAACTCCCATTGCTTTCAAACTATGATCCTACACCAATATCGAATGTCGTAAACCAACACAGATCGACAGGATCAACGACTCATTTTGGCGCGTAATCAGATGCGGCCATCGTCAGCTTCATCTCGGTACATCGTGTCATTCCACACCAACTCTCAGGCTCCTCCTCGGGATGGTTCTGGCGCGCCAGGCCATCTTCATTCAATAAGGCAGTCTACTTTTAAATAGTCTCCGCCCCGCAGCGCGCCTCTGACGTCAGAGCTGCTCTATTTATAACGTCATGCTATAGGGGTTTGGAAACAGTCTTCGGCGGCCAACCGCCATCAAGTATATCGTTGCGTTTCATAATATGTTATCAAACTACTAAGGTGTCTTGGTTCCTTGGCTTCCAGCATTGCCAGATCTGTCAGAAACTACGTCAGAGCAAACTGAAGGAGAATGCTCCGGTGGACAGTCCTATCGACTGCCCTCGAAAGCCCAAAGATCGAAGGCTTTGGACGTATCTCTACGCCCGCTCTCTATGTCTATCAAGGGCCCACAAAGTCTGCTTGGCTCGTCTTGTTGTCGTATAGGAGTCATCTCCGATTTTGTCGTGTTATCGCCTGACGGCCTAGCCCACACAGCATGCCCACAATCGTTAATACCCAGAGGCCCCATTGGACCCCTAAAAGTCTAAAAAGTTGTCCAACCTTTTGGCGGGGCAGCACGCACCGTCCGCTGGCTGGTAATACATGCTACCCGCTGGATCTGCAAATCTCGACCCTTTAATCCAGATATTCTCCTTACTAGTCATCTCGTGCGGCACCTGCCGAGCAGAGTATCAATGCTCCCGCAGGCCTCCAATGCCGCGGATCGAAGCCACTGAATCCATATAGGACTTAGGGAGATGGATGACAAACTCTAATACTCACGTACGTGCAGATCTTCGACTGAAATGAACAGCCTACGCGCTAGCGTTTCGAGTCTGGGCACCGTCGACTCGGAATCTTTCAAGGTCATGGCTCGAAACGGAACAAGTTCTCCACGAAGTAAAATTCAACGGCCTGCCATAGCTTCCTCGAAGGCCCCACGGTTCATTCTAACCACTATGAAATCATGGCCCGTCATCCTAGGCTGTTTAGGAAAATGAGGAGGCTCTGCTTCAAACCACGAAGCTGAATCGCGGTGAAGGGAGGCCTCGACTCTGGGCCCACTTCTGCTCATTTTACAATCTGGCTCGCCACGAGAAGACCGGTGGACGGTCAGCACAACAGACCGCCCACTAGTCCATCATCTCGCCAAGCCTCCCATGGCTCCGCACTCCCGCAGCACAGGACCCGCTATCCGCTCGGAGCGGACTCGGAAGACCATACAAGCTCGCCGCCCGCAACCACGTAACGAGTGAGTGGCCCAGATTCTTTGCACCCACCTTGTCAGTTGATACGACGTGATGTACGTTTTACGAATACTACCGTCGGCGGGCAGTAACGTGTGGCCAAATCGATCCGGCCTCTCATAGCACGCCGCACGCAGCTAGCCAGTCCTCCCTCGCCTTGTTTGTTTCAGGCTGTAATGGTCCACCCATCAGCCAGGGAATCGACATTGTGCCATGCCGCATGTAGTGAGTAATCGGCGGGATATTCATGTGATCAACTTGATATACCAGGATGGTCTTCGGGGGCGCCAGCCAATCACGACTTGCGTTTCCATACCGGCCTTCACACCGCGGATTGTCTAGGCTACCCCCCGCGGCTATCACGCAAGTCACTGAAGAAAGATCTGGTTAGTTTGATTGGTGAAAAATTTCCGCTGCGTCTTCGCGAGTGGTTCTGGCCGAATTTGAACATTACCATGTGTTGACCACCTCGTATGATGTTACTCAAGAGTCATCAAAAGATTTTGCAGAACTGAACTTGGCAAGAACTTAGCATAAGGCTGATTTATGCCAATACCATCATGGGGGGCTGTGTCTACTCCGAGAGTACCGACAGTTACATAGTATTCGTCGGTGCATATGCGGGCAATTGAAGTAGACCACCCTCGACAGGCCAACCCAAACTGGCAGGCCTGAAGTTCAACCTCGAAACTGTATATCGCTGTAGCGTCTGAACTGCGGTGAACTACTCCCAGAAAACCTAGGGCTTAATTATTATTATTAAATACGCCGTAGGCTCGAAGCCCCCGGTACCTCTACTAGTACTCCCGTATGTCAAACCGTGCCCTAATGGCTGGACTAAATACATACGCTGCGTCGTCGGTTCGCCCTATTGGCGACTGCGTTGCGTTCACTACCATACTACGTTGGTTCTCAACCTACCAACAAAGTCCCCCCTGAGAAGATCGATGCTATCTGGGCCTTGAAGCTGTCCGACCCGTCCCTAGCAGCCATCTTACAATAGTCCCACTAACTACTGGTTCTCCTGTTGCCGTTGCGAGGTCTCTGCGAGAGTATAGTGGTCGTGGTGCGATAGCGGCCCGTAATCGTTCCCTCGGTCCTTCCAACAGCCCGCAAAAGAGGATTACGTGCTCTGCCGTCTCAGGGGCATCGCCACAGCGGCATAGCGGCGAGTACACGCCAAAAGCCCCTGTCTTGAATAAGAAGGCTGCTAGTCCTATTTTTTCCGTCCTGATCTGGCACAGCGTAGACGCCTCCAGTCGGTTCAGGCCGAAATACTTGCCCCCTTTCGGTATCTGCATCGAAGGGCCCTCCGGTTCCTCAGCGATAGCGCGTCGCTGGCGATCGTGATGCTCTGCTCCGGTGAGCCATCTCTTCCTCCAGTGGTCGAGGAGGGCAGCCGGGACCTCCTTTTCCTCACTCATCCACTCGGAGCCCCGGGCCTCCTTCTCCATAGTGTACCCTGCCGGTCGGAAGGGCTTAATTAAACAACTAGCGATACAGCAATACCGACTGCTGTGTATTGAAGACACCGGTTGGCAGGCAACCCCTGTATGACAAAGTTTGACGTGTCTCCATTCTGCCCTATCACGAACTCAACTGAAGGGGCACGGGATGGTGTCGGTCTATCCTCATGACTAGCAACATTCGCACTACGTATCTGTCTGGCGATAATGACATCACTAACGAAGTCGATCATTCCCCGAGGCCTAACTTCTTCCAATGTACGTCTGCCCTACGAAGTTTTAGGTTGCTGTCAAGCTCAAAAGTGGGACATAGTCACCATCCATCCACATGGCATGGCTTGGACTGGAATAGGTGTTAAAGTATGGCCTTCAAGCTGCGCTAGTGCCGGTCTGGTCTGTAGTCCATGGCATAGCCACGTGATTAAAAGGTAAGATGTGAATAAGAGTCCCTGGAAGCTCAACTAGTTACCGAAATGTCAATCGCGTGAGGTTTTTCTTCATGTATTGTACAGCACATATTGATGACCAAGCACACCTGTATTGCGGGCCCGTCCCCTGACTCCAGGCACACACTCTACATCACCTAGGCGCCGAACAGGCTTCATCCGCTGTCTGCGAGTTGACTCGTGCTTAACCAGGTCTCAACCAGGTCTCTCCTTGCGAGTACACACCATCAGCCCACCCCCACGTGAACTCCAGCAGCAGTATCAGGAGCTAAACCTCAAGTCCGCCCTGTTAAGTAGAAGACACCATCCCTAACATTCTCTTGGTGTTCAAGTAGTTCATAAAGTCGCTGGCCCTAGAATCTCTAGCGTTCTCAGTCGAGACGTATTGTTCCCGAAGGAAACCTCCACAACTTACTCGGTGAGGGTATCGACAGTCGTAAACAACGATCCAACGCCCGCCTCCTATGTACCAAAATCGTAAAAAAAAAAAGACTTTCACGTTGCAACTCCACATGTGGACAGAGTGAACAGTATCGCTGATGTTCCCTTCCCGCTTTCGCTCAAACACACATCCAGGGGCGTCGCACGCTTTACTCACGGCTGGCCGCACCGTTGGCTTGTCAAGCTCCCAAAACAAGCACTGGGCTCATCAGACGACTTCTGCCCTGTTCACCTCCTTGGCACGCCGCCACGACCAACGCCACCGTTCCAGCCCTGACTGGCACTCTGCTTTACTATCATAGCAGCAGCGGCATGAGCAGCCTGGCGTTCCTTTTGACGGTGCCTGAACTTCAGGTAGTCGGCGGCATCAGACCGCATGCGCAGGATTCGCAATATCATATCGTCGTTGGGGTCGGCCTGGGCCTCCTTGCGCTTTTCTTCTTTTGCGCGGCGCATCGTGCCCAGATTGCGACTCATCATGATGCTCTTGCCGCGGCGGATGGTACCCATGCTGGCAAACGACGGCCCGGCAGCGGCACCACTGAAACCGCCAAAAGAGGCCGGCGCCGACAGGCGGTTCTGGCCCGAGGAGAGCTGGGTAGTCATGGCCTGCTGAGCGCGCTGAGCTGTCGCGGCTGCCATGCGCTCCGATGTGTGGATCAGCTGTTCGGTAGACTCGAAGTAGAAGAAGTTGAGTGATGCGAGCTCGTGATACTTAGGCGACTTGAGAACTTCGGCTGGCACACCCAAAACTTCACCATCTTCATCCCTTGCGTTGAAGAAATCAAAGAGCATTCCGAGCCACTTGTAGACGACTTCGAGTTCACGCTCGGTAAGAGGCTTTTGACTAGATGGTTTGTCGGAAAGAGGAGGCACAACGAGGGATTCAATGGCCATGAGGACTTCCTTCCACAGACGCGTCATAACAGCTTGCATGGTGGCTTCTGTTAGCGTCTGCTTCATAATGGCAAAGTTGTCATTAAAATAAGCGAAGAGCGAATGCAAGGCGTTCTCAATTTCAACGTCTGTAAGCGCCGGCACCTTGGATTGACGCTTCCAAAGGATTTGGGCCGATTGCAAGATCCCACGGCCAAGCAAGCTTCGTAGGGCTTCCTGGGACAGTGATGCGTTGATGTGCGATGTGAGCTTGGATTGGTGTTAGCCGACTGCATACAATTCACCCGTATCCCGGGGCTATGACTTACCTTGTCAGTAATCTTACGGACCATGTCGCGCTCCGTCCTTTTAAGGTGCCTGAAGGCCTTGCCGAAGAAGAATTGGATGTCGTCTCGCTCACCCTCCATGCTGACTCGCAGTAGAAGCGTTCCCTGAGTATCAAGGTCCAACCAGAATTCCCTTGGGAGGTAGTCGCTGAAGTGTTTAGGATCAAGTTTCAGCGAGGTCCTCCCCACGAAGTCATGATCACCAAAAGTGTCATAGTCCCAAATCGTTGCGACAACGTTGATAGGACTAGTTACAGTAATATCCACCGACTCGTCCCATCTGGGGTTGAGATTTCTCATAATCACCCTCGTCTTCGCTAGACGCTTCTGATATTCGTCGCCCAGCACAACATATGGATCGCTGGTACCATTGGGATCGCACGCCTTCAAGTCTTCAGCTTCGACGATTTTGATGGTGAAGACATACTTCGTAGGTCGCTTGAGTTGCTTCTTGGGACCCTCCGCCTTGTCCAGAACAGCGGCGCACGCATCCACATTCATTGATCTCTCAAGTTTATCTAGTTCTTGCATAGCGTATTCGATATTGTTCAGCTTGACTAAAGACTGCAGGATTGTTAGCAGACCGTTGACAATGTGGAAGAACTGCGGCGACTTACCTCGGAGTAGAACTGAAATGGCTCCACTTTCTCTTTGGTGTTCCAAGCGTCCTTCGCATATTTCATGAACTTGCCCTGGGTCGTCTGAGTGGTAGTGACTGCCTCCTCTTGATTCATTCGAGGAGTGTCCATTTCCTTAACGAACCTGGTATCCACGATCTCGCAATATTTAGCAATACCGTTTGCAAAGACCTTGGCCAGGGTAGTCATGAAGCGCGCATGGTGCACGTCGTTGTCCCACTCAAGTTGAAAGATCTGGTCTGCAGTCTGGTTGAAGCTTTTGAAAATGTCGATGATGGAGAAACTGTGACGCTCAGAATCCAACGTGATATGACCTTCCCCAAGAGAACGGACTTGGAACTGATCTTGTTTGATGGCGTTTTCGACAAGATTGTCCGTGAAAGCTTCCGCATTCTCAATCCATCGCCACACAAAGTTTATAAGCAACTCTTCAATGTCGAATGTGAACGGCGTGTCAGGCAGTGAAGATCTGTGAATACGTCGGATCTCCACGAGCTCTTTGTACAGATCGAATCCATCCTGAGAACCGAACTCCTCACCTCGCTCTTTCGCAACTTCAATAATTCTCTTCACAATTACATGGGCATCGTCCTCGAAGCTGGGGAACATGGTTTCCACAAGAATTGTAAGCGGGTTTACACCCATGACTTCTGGGTTAGACCTGTAACGTTTCTTGATCCTTTCACACAGCTTGACGACCGATTTACCCAGCTGTACAACGTGGTTGAAATCCCAGTCCTCCTGGCTTTCGGGAATCTCGGCTTTCAAGTAGCCACGGTAAGCAATTTCAGCCTGGGCTTTGAGGCCATCGCGCATAGCTGCCTTGTAACTCTCCATGTCTTGCTCTTTCCTCGCAAAGTTGGGATCGGCGTAGATTTGATTTTGGAGCACATGGAGTACTGGACCAACCGAGGGTGGCTTGGGCTCGTAACAATGCATGAACGTATCGTACAACTCCCGCAATAAGGCATCGTGCAGAGCATTGAGTGTTTGCTGGTACACGGCAAAATCATGGACCGTCCACTGACTTCGGTCTATCGTACCCAGACTTTCGTTGTACAAATAGATGCGCGGCGGCTTCTTGTTCTCTGGCGGGGGTATTTTGACTAAATCGAAGACGGTATCAAGGTCGAGGACGGTGAAAAGCGTGTCAAGAAACCTGCCAGAAGCTACTTCTAGGCAAATGACAAGGCGCGTGAACTGGGGGATGCGCCAATAGACGCAAAGCTCCGTCAACAACTCATTCGTTGATTTGGAGAATGGGCCAACTTCTTCGGTGACGTCCCCGTGCATTGCATCGAATTCCATAGCATATTTCACTATAGTCTTCAAGAATGCTCTGGGGTCCGGCGGAATGAAGGTGTAATGCGCCTCATCCACGCTTCTGATACTGCTCGTATCATCAAGTGACATTGACCCGAAGCTCAGGGAATGATCAAGACCAAGGCCGGAATCGGGACTTGCAAGCGCCCTGCTCAAGTCGGAGTATGCTTGGTCTTCTCCATATCCGCTGGTTGGACTAGTTGGCAACGGTTTGTCCAAACCTGGTTGGGAGCCTGATGACGTTTTAGCCAGCTCCGGTTTGGCTGTCAGGATATCCAATATCATCTGTGAAAGGTAGGGACCTTCAGCTTTTTTCCAATCTTGGTATGCCTCTTCGATGTCGAAGTCTTGGCTGCGCAGTGCGCCACTCAAGTTGGAGTTCAACCGATGTTGGTAAGACTTGAGATCCTTCAGAGCAGCTTCCTCAGTCCAGTTGGGACGTTGGGCGTCGATGTGGCTTTGGACGTCGGAATTGGACAAGCCAAAAATCCTCGCAACGACTTGAACCATGTGCATGTCTTTGACATCGTAACTTAGCGGCACCACAACTTCAATGTGCGTGCCGTCGCTCTGGCCTGTGTCGACGAATAGATTTTGGTCGTTGGTTAGAAGTTTGTTTTCCAGGGTCCTAAGTCGGCTCATGAGCTCAGGTTTGTCTCTATCGCTGCCCATGCCTTGCAAGATATTGCTCAAGAGCCTCACAAACATGGCAACGTGTCTGTCAATGAGGAGTCTCCATGATTCATCGCCCGGGCGGTCGGCGGCGGTGGCCTTGCATGCTTTCTCTGCAGCCGAAAAGAAGATCATGAGTAGCGGCTCAATCTTCCGATCCTTGTCTATGCTTTTTCGAAACGCGGCAGAGGTGAAAGCGGTGTACGCTTCGCCAAAGGTGCGCCTGACTGCTGAGTCGGTATAGCCGGGCAGTCTCTCCGTGCCCATGAGAACGCCCGTCATGCGCTTCTCAAGAGGACCACGGAATCCATGAGGAAGTTTGACATTCCCCGTGGAGTTTCCAGGGATGAACTCGTTGAACAGAACCACAGCCCGGGAGGTGTAGGCTCTGGTGGGAGGCTTCGGCGCGGGGACGAACTGTTTTCTCTTCGCTTTGGGCTGGAGTAGGTAGTGCAAGTAGGCAACCCGTAGGGCGTACGTGTAAGCATCGTCATGGCTCACATTGAGCTGGCGTGCGCTGGAGCTGGCGCGTCCTCGTCGTTCGACTTTTTGGACGCTGTCGAGACGGCGGTTGAGTGGTTGTTGCAATAGCGACTTCCTCGAAGCCGACGACATGGTGCCGAAAGGGTCAAACGACGCTGGCTCGGTTGGCAGCAACTCTTGCAACTGTCGCCTCAAATGTGCAGCATTGCAAGCTCAAGGGAAGTCAAGAGAAGAAGGCTGGTGTGGCTGACGTCGCAAAAGATTCGAATTCCTGTGTTTTGGCCCGTCAGGGGTTCTACAGTTGCTGCTGCTGCAAGTGTGAGGCTAGAGGTTGATTTTAACGAGACGTCATCAGACACCAAGTGGAACGGAGGGGCGTGCGACGGTTGTTGCCCAATGTGCCTGTGTTAAATAACTATCCTTGTCGGGTAGGGACAGACACGAGCGACGTGGATTTTGAGTGCACCTCACCACTTGGAAAGATTTCGAGGTTGCGCTGGTTGTGCTACAGCAAGTCAAGTCTCCAGGTTAGACATTTTTTTTATCAGGGTGAAAAGAGAGATAGTAAGAATTTCAACGTAGTCGTCGATTACGAGATTCAATGCTGCTCGCACTGACACAAGTCTATTACAACTAATGCACCCGTGTACGGAACTAGTAGAATCTGCATCACCGACAAATCGGCTTCATGTGCAAGGCTAGTGAGGAAACTCTGGCGACTAATCGACACAATATGCGGCGCAATCACCATGGTAATGTAATCACATATTACCCCCCGAGTCCATTAATACAAAATCGATTTACAGAGACACAACCTTACGAGTGCACGAGGGCACAGAGCCGCTGCGATGCATGCTCCGTCGAATTCGGTTGGAACAAAGTCGTTGGCCGCTCTCTATTTGTGGTACAGCTGCCATGGCTGCTGCTTCCTGTTACCCCTCCCTTATCAATGTGCCGGAAGTGGGTATTTTCAGCGCATGCTGGAACGAGCCAGGGACCACAGTGATCTATTTGCGGCCTTCGAAGATGAGGGATCGCATACCCATGACCCCGGGAGTTCGCTGCTTTCTTACTGGTACGAAGTGTTGTAGGTACGAGTAGTTTGATACGGCCCTGGGCTCCGCAAGCAAGGAGGCGACAGAATAAACGGCGCACTAGAGGTGTAAGAAAATAGGATAACTCGATATTCCAGTATAGCAAGGGCGTAATGATATGGGGTAGTTCTTATTCTAATCTAGATGATCCTAACTGAGTGCGCCGTTTATTTCTTCGTTCAGTTGGCAAGGAACCAGCTGTCCTTCGCTTTTGAGACAGTATTCGTATCTAGATAATGAGACAGACAAGCTCCTAATGCAGTCAGGCGAGATGGGATCCGATTCCAAGTAAAGAGGTACCTGTGCTACCTCATGCGTCAGTCAATACGCCTCATCGGTTGTCCATTCCAGTCGAGACGGCTCGGCTGGAAATGTCTAAGCTCCCCGTGGCATCCATGCCGACCTCTGAAAACAAAAGTGCGTCAGTGCTGTGCTCCCGCAGTTGTTGAAGGTACCCATGTTGTAACTGGCAGAAGTCATCTGCGTCGGCCTTGTAGTCAGTTGGCAAACGTCCAGCATGCAGCGTGACCATGATTTGCGCGTCAGCCAGGCTCGTCGTCTCTGATATTCTTCAGCCTGGACATTGCGTCTCCCATGTCGCATTGTCAACGTATCTGGTGCTTTACAGCCTAGGCACTCAAATCGAAGCTATAAATGGTCCAAGTGGACCCTTGCATTGGAACAGACTCAGAGACAACCGTCCGCTACCGCAACTTCTTTTGCCCCCATCATAAGTACCTTTACCTGCTAGATCAGATCAACTCAACTTTGTGTACATAATCTTATCCACTAATCACCAGTTGGCTCAGCCTTGCGCTCGGCGCCCGTTGCGCACAACCGTTGGCGTCAGTACATGGAGAAGGACCAAAAAAAATTCACCTCCAACTCGAGGCGCGTTCCTCGCTGCGTCAACCAGCGTGGCTCTGACTGTGCGGCTCGCGTGCGAGACATCAGCCAGCCAAAAAGTACTTGCAAAACTTGCATGTGGCAGCTCCATTGTCAGTCCTCTAACGTCGCTTCTTACCTCATAATACCTTTACGTGTCCCGCGCTGCATTAGGATTGGACACTTCGTAGGGTACCCCGCCAAAAACGCATCCACTCCCCATCGCCAGGTAGATTGGCTGGCGACTCCACGGACTGCATAACATCTAGATTAGATGTCAACATCTCTAACGCAACGTCACAACTTCTCATATCACATCACATTCTATCCATAGCATCGGCCAGTCGGCCTCAGCTTAATCGCGACCACGACTGCGAAACTGCACTTCTGCCCCCGGCCGTCTCCCTGGCCCAGCAGCCGCTGTAACCATGGGCATCGTGAGCAGCAGACCAGAGGATGGCGCCCCCATCTATCTGAGGGACCAGAATCGATGTTGGTGTTTCCCTCCATTCTTTCTGTCGCCCGGATGTTTTGTCGCAAGGGAATGCGACAACAAGGGAAATGCGCGCAACCAGGCTGACCCATCTTCTCAGTGTCCATATCCTCCGTCATCATATCCAATCCTCGCAAGCGCTCATCTATTACCGTCGTCCCGAACTCGTTCCCTGCTACTCGAGCTATTGCGACGCGAACCTTAGGCGACACTGGCCCCGTAGACTTCATTCAGGTTTGTAGGATCCGTTGCGTTGTAATGCCTTTGGCTGACGAGAACCGCTTCTCAGGACAATGAGCCTTCTGCCACACCCAACTTCCTCCTCAAATTAAACAACGAGGACGAGATCGTATTTACTTTTACTTTTGTCATTCGTCACGAGAATACCGGCGGTGCATCCGATACCAGCATCAATGGCCTCACATATGTCTACGCTTCGACAAGCAGGGAAGTTGAGAACCTAGTTACTCGGGAATTTCATGCGGATCCGAATCTACACAAGAACGCCAACGTGCAGCTAGTAGGCGACTATACCACAGGAGGAAGCTCATCGGTGTCTTTCGAATGGTCATGGAAATGGAAACCACCGAAGGGCTTGGAGGATCGAGGGGGCGGCTGGAGGAATGCATGCAGCGTAGGTCAATCGGGAAGTACAAGGCGCGACACCGCGACTGACGTTGACATAGTTTGTCGAGTACGACCAGAGGGCCCACAGGCTGGACACGCTCGCCAGCTTCTCATTCTGGGTTGCAAGTAAGTATTCCCTCTTGATGACTGGAGCTCTAGAAGCCCGGCTTGGATAAGGCACTGACTGCATGGAAAGACACCTCTTATTTTCCAAGCCATCCGAGTTCGCCTTCTCCCGTTTTTCAGCTGGCTGTACCGCCTAAGATTCGCGTCGCCTCCTCTCAATCGGTAGATTCCCGTATCAGTGAACAAGACGAGCCTGGCTCTCCCCTCAACCTTCAACAAGATCCAACATGGGGTGGGCCTGCCCAATCCAACGCCTCGCGTGACGCTGTCAAAGTTGATATCGCTTGCCCACGGCCGGGGGACGACATGACGGTCAGCGACGACGGGCCCGTTTTCAGAGCCACAATCAAAGCACTAGAACAAAAGACGGGCAACTTGAGGTCGCAGATGAAAAGGGTTTTGAAAAAGGCTGAGCAGGCCCATGCTGCTCAAATCGAATCAAATGATGCTTTTGTGGGTTTCATAGACTCGCTACGAGACGCATCTTCCACCAACGCGAATGCGGTTCGGCCTGCGTTGGAGCACTATTTCGATAGAATTGCGCGGGAAATACTCACGTACGAGAGGCAGAACACGACAAACCTGCAAAAGATAATCATCGATCCTATCAGCAAGTTATACACATATGACATAAAGCAAGCTGAGAGCAAAAGGAGGGACTTTGAGGAGGAGAGCAAGGACTACTACGCCTATGTTTCACGCTATTTAGGCCAACGGCAGGACTCGGTCAAGACGAAGAAACTTGCCGACAGTGACACCAAATACCAGACGAAGCGCCGAAATTTTGAGCTGAAACGCTTCGATTATTCGTCCTTTATGCAGGACCTGCATGGGGGTCGCAAGGAACAAGAGGTTCTGTCACACCTGACAAAATATGCCGATGCCCAGGCCCGGAGCTTCTTGACAACAGCCAAGAAGATTGACGGGTTGCTACCGCAACTCGAGGCTCTCTCCAACGAGGTGCAGGAAGCCGACAAGGACTTCCAATATCAACGACGCGAACGAGAGGAGAAGAGGCGTGTATTAGAGAAGAGCAATTTGCAGTATAATGAGCCAGAGACGGCGACCTCGACGACGACCAACGTCAGCGCCGTGCCCACCACCACCACCACGACGAACGGGAATCCGATGAACTCGGACTCGGAGCTTGGTCGTGCTGACAGCACCGGCTCGCAGCTGAAAGTCACAAACACGGGCAACTCGGGACCAGTGGCTCCGGGGGCTACCGATCTGTCGCGGTCACCCGGTAGTCTGTCGGCGGCCACTAGCCCAGCTCAAAACAACAAATTCAGAGGAATAAGAGATCTGGAGGAAAGGGACTTGACTCAAATGACCATCGCAGAGAAGACCTCGACGCACCGCAAGGAAGGACTTCTCTGGGCTCTCAACCGGCCTGGCAGCCACGTTGATCCTCGGGCGCTGACCAAGCAGCAGGGCTGGCACAAGTGAGTTTCGCTGTGGTATCATGAACCAAGGACAAACATATTGACCGATTCAGGTTCTGGGTTGTACTTGACCAAGGAAAGTTGTCCGAGTACAGCAATTGGAAGCAGAAGCTTGACCTTCACATGGATCCTATTGATCTGCGTATGGCTTCCGTCCGTGAAGCTCGAAACGCCGAACGACGATTCTGCTTCGAAGTCATCACGCCATATTACAAGCGTGTATATCAGGCGACCTCGGATGAAGATATGAACAGTTGGATTATCTCCATCAACAACGCCCTACAGAGTGCTGTTGAGGGGCGTGGTCTCAAGGACGCGCCGTCGACAGCGTCATCCTCAACGGGCGATTCATCAGGTTTCAAGCGAGATATTGGGTCCGTGTTGACGGGCAAGAGCAGTTCGCTGAACCACGGCCACGGTCTTTCTCACGTGCCGCACAGCGGTTCCACTGCTGCCGTTCCATCCCGCCGCACGACGGTCGGGGCGCGGCCTGTCGCTTCTCAGCGGACACCGAGCGGTACGTACGATGATAGCCCGGACAAGCTATTGCAGATGCTTCGCGAAAACGACCAGGGCAATTGCTGGTGTGCCGACTGCGGATCGGGTTCCAAGGTCGAGTGGGTCTCGATCAACCTAGCCATCATTCTTTGCATCGAATGCAGCGGAATCCATCGTTCGCTGGGAACGCACATCAGCAAGGTCCGATCTCTCACCCTAGACATCACATCCTTCACTCCCGATATTATCGAGCTGTTGCTACTTGTTGGAAACCGTGTCTCCAATATGGTCTGGGAGGCAAGGCTGGATACAAATCTGAAGCCAAGCCCGCAAGCCACTCGAGAACAACGGCTAAGATTCATCACGGCCAAGTATGTGGACAGGGCCTACGTGGAGCCAATATCCGCGACACTGTCGAGGTATCCCACTGCGGATGATACACTTCTTGCGGCCATCAAACGCAATGAGATCCAGCAAGTTATATATGCCTTGGCCCTGAAAGCCAACCCCAATGTACCCGATAGATCTAGAGGCACTCACCCGGTCTTTCTCGCCCTAGCGGCTGCAGACCCTGCACCGCCGTCGCCAACAGCGACACCATCAAGCGGACGCCCTGAGTCTGATGTTCGGTCAATACCGTTCCCCATCGCGGAGATGTTGATACAGAATGGTGCAGAAGTGCCTATGTCCATGCCAGCCTTTCCGCTGAGCCTCAGTGCTCAGCAGTATATTGACCACAAAAGGGGCCGCACTGCCGCGATAGAAGCGATCGGCTCATCATTACCAGCAAACTTGAGCCCCAGCCCGAGCGAGCGGCTGCAACGTGATAAGGACCGTTTACAGAAACGCATCAGCGCCGGGGGTCGATTGGCCAAGTCGCCGATACCTGAACGATAGAGACGACGGTATACGACTACTTTACCTTCACCATACTCAATTTCACCGGCATCGTCGTCTGAACTATCACCCCCGTCGAAAAGTTGGCTGGTGCGCCGGCGAAAGTCCAGCATTGGTGGCACGCCATCCGAAGTTTCATCATCACTGGGCAGATGGCCTATTCCTCGGCGACACAGGTCAACCACCACGTGTTCACGTTCTTCATCTCCTTCCGAGCGATAGAGACGACGGTTGCAATTCTCATCTTTCTCGATACCCTACCAGTCTTGTTCGTCAACATTTAGTGCCGCCTTCTGCCTGCGTATCCCCTGTTCGAAGGATGGCATTGTATCAGCTCCTGTGTCCCCGTGCATGATTGAGGATTTATCTGATGACATTCGACCCATGACATGATGAGAAAGCGAGTTTCTGATTGAAGAGGCGGGCGGCTATGGTTGACATTATCCTTGCTTTCCGGTGTGCACTATCTGGATTAAGGGGTATTTTGATATTGCTGGTTTTGGGCGGACCGGTGTCGACTAGCAAGAGCGAGCGATGCGTCCATATATGGCATTCGGGATGCGCATCAAACAGTTGGCGGCGATCGATTTGTACAAGAGACTGTTAGGCTTCAGGATTATATTGACACGGTGGGGGCTGGCTGGCTTTAAGCTATATTGTTGCTCCGTCACTGCAGGGCGTGGGACAAGCTTGCGTCTTGGTCATTGATACCAGGGTTTTAGTAGCTCGCAATTGGGGCATGCCATAAGAGCAAGGAGAAAGGAAAGAAGGAAGGATTGAACAAGTGTATGAAATAGGATAGTAATCGTAATCATTGTATGATGCGAGGATAAGCAGTTGTTGGATTAGTAACGAATCCCAACAGTCGTTCAGACATAACAAAGCATGCCGCATTTCAACTCAATAAGTGAAGTGGCCAGCACACGCAGTCAAAGATTCTGAATGAGTGCTTGGTTCTTTGTAAGAGCAACGTACAGATATATTTAATTCATCGGTGCCAGAATATCTCTAACTCATATGGATGCGTCAAGAGGTGGAACTAGATGACATCATTCATTTACCCAAGCAATTCATGATCATCTGTGATCCAAACTTACGGCTCACCATGCACTGCCATACTTGGGGCTGGAGAAACAGGCAGACAGCCCCCTGTGTATATATTCTAGGGTATTTTGAGCTTGTCGACCGTGGCCCCTCGTCTCCTCCCGAACATTGGTATGCTAATTTACGCCTCATGATGCTTCGTATAGCATGCATCATTACAAGAGACCACGTTGCGCTTTGGTGTGCGGAAGAATATAGCACGAACATCATTGAATGTATGCAACTACAATAGACCTCTCCACGACCTTATCGGCTTGTCGTGTCGATTGAATTATTCTCGTCGGTAAGCAACACACCTCGAGGCCTAGCTCCTAAATGGTTACGAGGTTCTACGCGGCTAAGGGAGTATTGTAAGCACAGACTCATGATTATGATATGGTATATACCAGTATCGTACCAAACGTAACTGAACACTATTTTTCCGAACCACATAATGCGCCTGAACTCGCAAGGTCTCTGTTCCAAACAAGCATGGAAGATAAATCAGCTTCCACTAAGTAATATGTCCCCAACCAGTGTGTGTGGTGTCCCAAACACCGGTTAAGTGGGAAACCGTATCCCCACATCGAAATGAGCGTCAAACCTAGATGATTATCGATGTTTGTTCGTTGTTGGTCGTGCCGAGTTGCGTCCGTCTGAATTGACGACTGAGCCGTCGCCACCAATTCATTCCCGCTTGTCCGTATCAAACACCGTGATAGCTCGAGCTAGTCTTCTCACTTTCCACTTGTCTTCCCCTTTGTCTTCACTTTTGCCTTGCCCTTGGCAGCTGCGGCTTCAGCTTTCGAGTAGAAGCTCGACCCATCGTTACCGAAGAGTTCTTGATCCCCCTTACCACCCATCTCCATGAATTCGCGAGCATCTCTTTGATCAGCTGGCCGCGCCTCTATACGTGTGACATTTGTACCACTTTCCACACTCGGGTTCTTTGCGTACACTTTGAGGGGGCCTTTGCCATCCTGCTGTGGACCCAGAGGCAATTGGCGTGCTAGGTGTACCTCATTGACAGACGAGAGTAATGTGCGCTCACGCGTGATACCGCGTCGGTGCACATCTAGTCCTCCAATTCCAGCAACAAGCCCGTCGGTGCTGTCATTGACTCCGGGGAGCTTTTGGGTTATCCAGGGATGCTCGAGACACTGATCGATAGCGAATCTCTTCTCGGGGTCGACCACAAGCATCGAATCGATCAAGTCGAGCGCAGGATCACCAACGGAGTCCCAGTACGGCGATGGATAGTCGAATCGGCCGCTCTTGATTTGTTGAGACAGCGTGTACGGGAAGTCGCGAGAGTACAGTTCGTCAGAAAACGGAGGAAACCCGCAAAGGCATATATAGAGAACAACGCCGAGCGACCAGACGTCGACCGCCTTCGTATATTTTCGGTGCCTGCCTTCAGCCAGTATTTCAGGGGCAACGTAGCTTGGTGTTCCACACAGCGTGGTGGTGAAAGACTCCTCCCCGATGATCTTGGCAAGACCAAAGTCGGCAAGTTTCACGTGGATCTCCTTATCCACGACCAATATGTTCTCTGGCTTGATATCTCGATGAACAATATTCCGGTCATGCTTTACACTAGTTAGCAACGTTTCGACGTGAACCCAGTTCATGAAGGGAGACTAACCAAATATTTGATGCCTTGGAATAGCTGGATGAAAAGCGTTCGCGATTCCTCCTCGGTCAACTTCTGCTTCATGACGATGTGGTTGAATAGCTCGCCTTCGGGCGCAAGCTCAAGGACAAGGTAAACGGCGTTCTTCTCGTTGAATGTATCTTTCAGGCACAGAACATTAGGGTGGCTGACACCCATCAACACGGCAATTTCCTGCTGCAAACCATCGGTTTTGGACTTTTCTTCCATTCCAGGGTGTTTAGTGAATATTTTGACGGCGTACCTAGAGCCGGTCGCTTTCTCCACGCAGAGAAACACCTCGGCGAAATGGCCCTTGCCTAATCGTTCGAGCAGTGTGTATTGTTGAAGGAAGGCACTTGATGTTCGACTTCGCGGGTATCTGAAGATGAAGCGAGCTTTATCCATGACTGCAATCTCGTCTTGCTCTCGGAGCTCTCGCCGTTGGTTCCGTCCAACCATGGCCTCGTTGACAAAGGTGCCGTTGCTGGAAAGATCTTCAAGTATTGCAACGGTGTCTTGGCCCTTGTTTTCAATGAATAGAATACAGTGCCGATTGGAAATGACAGGGTCGTCTATCACGACATCGCATTCCGGATGGCGACCTATTAAATAGCCGCCGGACGGAATGCCCTTGATCTTTGACTCTTCGAAGCTTTCCTCCTGTTCCAAAGCTCGGCCTTTCTTCTTTTGTTTCACAGTAGCAGAACCGCTGACAGCGTCGGGAAGAGGGCAAGTGTGCCGTCGCTTCAGTACGACGCACCTTCCATATTTGGTGTCAAGTGGAAAAAGGTAGCCCCAAACCCCTTCCTTGACCTCGTCTTCGACTTCATCGGAAAGAGCAGCGTTCGGGTCGACGTACTGGGAAGGGAACGCCTGTGTGTCTTGTGGGGGTGAAGATAGGCCCTGGCCTTGCGACGAAATGGTATCCTCGGGTGTTCGATGCGCAATCTGGCTCGGTCTGCCTGCTGGGGGTGTAGCGGTGCTTTCCTTGTAGAGTTCGTTGCTGTCGTCTTCAGTGAGATGTGTGACTGGTGAAGGAAGCTTCTGCTGGTTTTTGGTGACAGGCGTCTTGAGGTGCTCGGGGGCGTCGCCGTTACTGTCCCTAGACAGTCTTTCGGATCGACGGGGCTTCTTCAGCGCCTCGGACGTAGTCGGAGAGACCTGTGGGAAGGTTGGGTTAGTTGTGATTGTTGGTTTTGACTCGCTAGACCGTAAATCCAGCAGGGAGCGCATACCCGGCCTCGCTTCAATTGGCTCTTCTCCCGAGGAGCCATGGCTCGTGACTGAACCAGGTACAGATGAATGTAGTCGTATGTTGTAGCCTAGTAGACTGCTGCTGTGAAAGGCAGTATTACAGGCGCGGCAATGACAGGATACGAAGGTATTGGCGAACAGATGCCGTCGGCAACAGATTACAAAAACAGTAGAATGTGGGTAGTAGGTAGGTGCCTGAATGAATGGGAACAGAAACGGGGGTGTGAAGGCGCCGTTGTGAGAAAGCTTCGAAATAGGCAAGTTAAAGGGCCTGGTCCGGTCCTCGTGCAGGTCTGAGGCGATTGGCTGAGTCAAAAGCTGGTCGTGCAACATTGGTGGTGGGCAAGGGCGGGCGACCTTGTCGGGTTTCTCGAACCCCCATGCACACTGCAACAGCTACAGCCACAATTGATGGATAGCAAATGCAATCCAGATGCACAAGATCTCGACCTAGCTCGACTCTCCACTGCCGTCAACTCGATCGAAAATGACGTTGACGTTGGCGGGCGAGTCGGGGGATCATCCCTGTCGGCTGGTTGTCACCGATGGTACGGTTGATTGAACCCAGAAACTTGTCTCTCTCAAGTCTGAAGACAATTGAGTCCAATCGACAAACTCGTGTTCAATGTAGCAATCGTCAAGTGTTGTTCGTGGAGGCAGTGAGCGCTTGCGCTGATATGATAGTACACTTAGTGCACTGCTGAGCCCAGCGGCTGTCCCTGGCAGGCTAGCCAGCTGATGTAAGTGCGGAATCCGATGACTCCAGAGTCTGACCGAACCACTCATCACGCGTTCGACTGTTCGTCACGACGCGGCTCACCATAAGGGTAGGGAAGTCATTGGATCTTGCACACGTTAACAATTTTGGAGGCTGTTCTTTGCCTCTCAATTATCAACTTCACAACAACCAAGTTGCAGCTCATGACACGCCATCTGAGGCTTGTGGCCAGCCACATCGTGGAATGAGACGAGGTCGGCTGATTGGTTGCCTAAATCAATGCCCAAACTCCGTTGCAAGAAGGAATCATTCGAGGTCCATCTCATCCTCAATCAGAAACTTGCAAGCTTGGCAGCAGCTCTCGATCAACCCCAGTTAAGCTGAACCTATTCGATTTCTCAACTGCGCCTTGCACATAGTTGCTGCCAGTCTCGGGCGTCCCTACAACCCCATATGTGCCTCCATCGGACCAGTTGAGCTGCCATGGGCGTCAATTCTATGTGGAAAATGAGCCACGCCCAAGGTTTTCCAGCCTTCATGTTGGAAGAAAGCGTTTCTCCAGTTGTCGAATTCATGCCGATCATCAGCATGGCCACTAACGATTCAGCTTGTGGTGGATGCTGCTTCTCTAACATAATGATTAGAACCGATCGGCAACTGTCATCATGTGCATGCTTTAGATACAGTTATAGTGGCAATCTATGGTGTCCCCCGACAAAGGTCCTGTAAATCTACCAACCCACTACCACGCGCTATATAATATGTAATGGTCAGCAAGCGGTAAGGACAATACACGACGAGGGAGCTGGGATATCGACTCTTCATATAATATAGGTGCAAGTCCAAGCACACAGAGTGATTCAACCTCCGAGGCTACTAGTAGGAAATCCATATGCATGTTACTTGCTAGATGTTCTGTCGCCAAGTTCAACCAGTAGGGGGCGCATTATACTCTCCCGAGCTACTAGTGATAATAACATGATACTAGTCTGAACTAAGATACCCGCAACAAGCCGATCTGCCCTGCACGTACCCCGCGTCCCCTCTTATTAATCCTTAGAATACTACGTCAGTCTACATCAATGTGCTGATAGCCTACCTCATCCTCAACTGGCACTGACGCTGTTACCACACGCGCGGATCCGTCGTCGCCAAATATGAACTCCACCACCGAGTCCTCTGCAATCTCTGCCAGCGACGTCCCCATCACCGAGCCCGAAACAGCACTCGTTCACTCGGATAGCGTACCTGACTTGACCGCGGACCACAACCTCGAGCTCGCCCTCGATCTCGCCTCGTACCCGGCGTCTCACTTCTGGGATGCGTCGACCATGGCCCCGCTCAATGCAGTCTCGGCGGTCAGTATAGTCACAATCTAATCGGTCGTTCTTGCATACCACACTTTTATACATGTCTTGAGACAATAGCATGTAGAAACTATGTCCAGACCAGACTACTCATACCCTCAAAGGCCGGCCTCGCTCGCTTGCGCGCCTACCACCCTCCTGCCTTCCCAACCTGGGACCGTCTACCCGTGAGCCGGCGAGCAGCGGTGCTAATCCTGCTCTTTGCGGATCGGATGGGCGACCTGCGCGTCGTAATTACCATGCGCGCGGCGAGCCTGCGGAACTTCTCGGGCCATGCCGCGTTTCCGGGCGGTAAGGCGGACTCGTTGGCGGAAAGTCCTTGTGAGTCGTCTGAGTGCACTATAATATCTGCGCTATGTGGCAAGCCAGTACGGAAGACAAAAGATAATCGCTAATGGAAAAATGTGGCCAGACCAAATCGCCCGCCGCGAAGCCTGGGAAGAAATCGGGCTACCGATGGACGACACCAAGATCCCTAAGCCCTTCCGGATCGAACCGCTCTGCAGCTTACCCTGCAGTCTAGCGAAGACCGAGCTTTCCGTTCGGCCCTGTGTCGCTTTTCTCCATGCCGACAATATGCCCGGGAAGCCGGAGTTACTGGTCGACGAAGCTATGATACCCCGGTTAGACGCAAAGGAAGTGGCGGCTGTTTTCTCGGCGCCACTACACAACTTTTTGAAGTCAACGGATGAGCGCACGGAAGATGAGACGGTAGCCGAGGGACACTGGTACGATGGGCGGTGGACGAATTGGCACGATTCTCCGTGGCGGGTGCATAATTTCCATGTGCCGGTGAATAACCAGCGGGTGGTGAAGCCGAGGGTGAGGGAAGGGGGCCAGGCGGCGTTAGCGGAGGAGTTGGAGGAAGACGGTGTGCCGCAACGCTTCCTAGTATGGGGGTTGACAGGCAGGATGCTGGTTGATACTGCAAGGATCGCGTACGGAGAAGAGCCCGAGTTCGAGCATAATTCTCACTACGGCGATGAGGAGATCATAGCCCGGTTAGAAGAGGAAGGACGTCTACCAGAGAAGAAGAAACGAGAGGTTGGACTCGATGCGATTAAAGAAGACGTCAAGGATGCCAAGATGTAGATGGATAGACGCATCCGCACAGCTAGATGGGTGTAGCATTCAAATGCCCTAGATTATGGTGCTCTTAGACCTATACTGTAGGCAGACCGACGACTCCGATCTATGCCAAACTCCAACCAACGCCTCAATGCCAGGCTATGTCGTTGGCACCTTGCAAATACACCTTGCTTTCTCGCTCGCTTCGTTTTCCACTCATCGTACGGATCGCATGCCGCCGGACCATCAATGACAAGCAGTCTCCCGGACGGTACCCGTCCTGGTTCCAAACATGACATAACCCACAAAAGTGCCAATGGCCACAGAAACCATAACCCATCCGTTATACGTCATAAACAACAGCCTTGCACAGTGTCAGGGGGGTTACAACTCCTGGGTAGCAGCAACACCAGCACTTACATAATCATAAACGCATAAAACGTCTGTGCCGCATACAAAGCCGCCTTGACGACATGCGCCCGCTTGCTGACCTCGACCTGGTTACTTCCTGCTGGCCAGAAGAGCGGCGTGTTCTCAGTAACTTGCACTTGACGGCCGTCGCGTTGTTCTTCTTCAGCGCCACCGCAACAGCCCGCACAAACCCCCAATCTTAGCCAAGAGCTCATTTGTTTGCTACTGTTGTAGGTGGCAGGCAAAGTGGCTTTGTGTACAGACTCCGCGCGGGGAAGTTGGAGAGCAGGAAGGGGGTGGCAAGACGCTGGAAAGGGAGGGGAACTCACTCGGTAGTTCGTTCTGTCTGCTGCTCCAGCTCTCGTACCGCCGTGTCGCCTCGCGCAACGCTTCGTAGCCCGCGCAGATGGCTACGATGGCCAGCAGTGAGAAGACGAGCGAGGCGGGGCCCCGGACGTGCCATTGTTGGAAAATGATGCAGAGATTCGTCGAGTCCCAGGTAAAGAGCATCTGCCGTGCCAGAGGCGCGTTAGTTTGGTTGAGTTTGGGGGTGGCGCTTGTTCGGAGGCGCTGGGGCGAATTCGTTGAATCATGCACAAGGTTTGACGTTGGGTGGTTGATGGCGCTCAGATGGGATGGCACCAAGGCGATGGATGTCAACTCACGTTCATGCTGCACATGTCGCCCATTCCGCCTCCGCCGTGGCCCATATCGCCGTGGCCCATGTCGCCGTGGCCCATTTCACCGTGATCCATGAGCGAGTGATCCATTGTGTATCTTCGTACGTTGGCTAGGAAAGAGAGTCGATTCAGAATGATTGGCTTTGAGGTGTGAAGTGCTGTGAAGACTTTAAGTATGTATACAGGTCTCCGAATGGAATTGCACCATGCACCACCTGACTATGTTTAGTTTGCTGTTAATCAGCTCAAATGTGCTCAATTGTAGTACTAAAGTGTGGTAGAAAGAAGGTGACTTGTCCCGAGCTGACGGTCGTTCGAGCCTGACTGATTGGAGCTTTCGCAACCGGTGGCGGTCAGACCTTGGTTCTGATCCAACACCAGGGAAACCGTTGCAAGCTCCCATTTGGATACGTCAGGGGTTTTGCTTATCGCCCTTATCTCAATCTGAAAGTGGGCTGGCGGGAAATGCGGATAGTTGCGGATGCTTCGTCACACATCGGCTGAATTACTAATGCCAACCTTTATCTTAATATCCACAAGTGGTCTCCACAGAGATCGAATACACTCAGGTCTATCTGTGACTTCAGCCCCCAGTTACCTGCGTGACAGCGTCAGTTACACTCAGCCTGCGCCAAGCTCGTCAACGCCGCCGCTCATTGGGAGTCAAGCCGAGATACTATAACTAGACACATCTGGAGCTGAACTACAAGCGCAATGCTGGCGCCTGCGGTGAACTTGCCGAAGTGGTATGACCAGATTAACAAACTCTGGCAAACACATCATTATACTAACGGTTCTCAAGGCTTGAAGAAAACAAACATCTGCTGAAGCCACCGGTGAACAACTACTGCGTGTACAACGATGGCTTCACCACCATGGCATCTACCTGCCCTGTCGCCTTGCTCACTCTGAGTCTCTAACGTCCCCTCCAGATAGTAGGCGGCCCCAACGCCCGCACCGACTACCACATCAACACCACCCCCGAGTGGTTCTACCAGTATCAGGGCGCCATGATGCTCAAGGTAGTCGACGAAGGCAACGTCTTCAAGGACATCGTAATCCGCGAGGGTGACATGTTCCTTCTCCCGGCCAACACGCCGCACAACCCCGTCCGCTTTGCTGACACCGTGGGAATCGTGCTGGAGCAACGCCGCCCCGAGGGCAGCGTGGACAAGATGCGGTGGTACTGCCAGAACTGCAACGAAATTGTCCACGAGGCCGCGTTTCACTGCACCGATCTGGGGACGCAGATCAAGGCCGCTATTGAGACGTTTATGAGTAGTGAGGAGCACAGGAAGTGTGGCAAATGCGGTGAGGTTGCGGATTCGAGGCCGAAGCCAGGGACCATCAAAGATCCGAATCTGGAGTGAGGAAAAGCATGAATGCGAGATGAGCCTCTCTTGTGTGATTTCCAAGGTATGTAACGGCCTGGTCTGGACATTTAAGTCATGACAACATCCAAGCACCTCTATACGTTCAATAGTCGTGGAGCCTTGCTGTAGGGCTCGAGGGGTCTGGAAGCTCGGGCTTAGCTCTGTGGAACCCCGTGCACGGATCGCTATGAAATCACTACATCTATTACCGCAATGTCCCCATCGTGAAATACCGTACATTCCTGTATCCTCGTCAACGAAGGTACCTTGCTTGCACACCTCTCCAGGCATGCAGATTCAGATTGTCGGCGTGTTCCAACCCCCACAGTACTTGGTCTTCTACTCGCGTTCAGTGCTACGAAGAGCAATAATCCCCTTGTCCAAGTACATGGGTACTTGACCTCTCACACACAACTTGTATGCGTTGATCAGTGCTTAAAATGCGACGTCTCATCCGCTAAGAATCTGCATGCCTTCTGCGTGCCTGGAGAGGTGTACGCACAATCACCTTAGTAAAATTCATCATCGGAACACAAGATGCCCGCAGGATGGACCTGGCGATTAAACAGTAGCGGACGAAAGTGGCCGATTCTGCAGCCGCGACGGGAACCTCAACCACCAATCATGCCCTCGTTGATGCTTGGCAATGAATGGGCCAACCAATCGTCATGGTCCATCCGACATATACGGCGCCTATTTCACACACAACTCACCAGCCAGAAGCTAGGTTGCAACCTTTCACGACTCCTCGCACGAGATTTCCTTGAACTAGAGCCTCGCGTCGCCCTGTTGACTGCAGTAACAACATGAGTGTCCCACAGCTCTTGACCACTCATGAGCCTTTTTGTCACCTCTAAGCGACGAGTTGGTAGACGCGAGAACACCTCTGTGGGCGTGATCCTAGCCTTCGCGTCTTTCAGGTGGGCGAAGAGGAACGACGCTGTAACTACCAGTCATTGTGCGGTTGCCTTTAATGTTGGTCACACCCAGTTTTGTTCGGTTGACTATGACTTCTTTTGGTCATTGTTTGTCGAGTCTTCTTTCTTCTCCTGTCACATAAGGTACTGACACCCGAAATCGTGAATGGAAATTGCTTTCTTTGGCCATACCGAGTCAATTTACTCTTAATTCCTCGACATTCATTTGCGTAGAAAAACCTTGGGTTTTCTACAATTCCCGCTGCCTTAACATCATTCCTCAAAAGCTTTCATTTGCAGGCTTGGCGAACTCGCCTCGAAACCGTCCACCTGTCTATTGTAATTAGGAACCCGAAGCTGGCTTCGCAGACTCTACATTTCTTTTGATAATCCAAATCAAGCACACTGGTCAAGGCGGTGCGCACAAAAACACCCTCAGGATGAACCCGACGAAGCCCAACACGGGGGACTCTTTCGACCCTGTCTTCGATGGTCCAACTCAGCATGAGGACTGGGAATACTGGGAGGAAGACGGAACCCTAGGAGCACCGGCAGATGACAATGACTTGCTGATAGACGTGGATGGCGCACAAACCTCCAAGCGGCCAAAATCGAGATTTCGACAGAAGGTACAAAATGCCCAAGCTGGAATCAAGTTAGACACGGATGTGTCCAAGTTCCGACGGGCAGCGCCTCAATCTACAGCACACAACGTTCACAACGATACCTTGAAGGCATTGGAGGGCTCGTCGACGTCCGGCAAATCGACGAAGGAAAGGACTGGCGCATTCAACGGGACTACCCGAGGTCGTGAATCGGATCTTTCGCCGGAAGGTCGCAAAATAGTCATTGGCATTGCTCTGCCTTCGGACAATATATCAGAGCATCAATCCAGCCCCCAAACGGCTGGTGTCGAAACTCCCATCGACATGCGAAACTACATACAGCGGTCGGCGGCCAACAAGGCACCGCCACAACAGCAGTCGGTGTGGTCCCCAGATACAGAAGCAACCGAGTCTCCATACCAAAGTGGCCGTCCGGCATCCAGCATATACTCGCAGCCTAGCATGTACGGAGCTCCTGTGGCGTCAGGTCATGTGCCACCAGTCCCTGCCCTGCCCTCCACCTTCAAGTTTAAGCAGTCACAACCAAGCGCATTCCAAGACCCAGACGATGACGATGTTGGAACACCCTGCACGCTCTTCGAAGAGGATGGTAGCCCCATGGCCAATCGCAAGTCCTTCAGGCAGAAAGCTGCGGCAGTCACGGGCCCACAGAGTGAAGGAACCCTCCCTAATGGCAAATGGATCTATGTCACAGATGTAACCACACGAGAGACGAACCCATTCAAGCAACAACAGACTGGAGAGAGCTCATCATCGGCTCCCAAAGAGTGGTGGCAAGGAATGGACGAGAAGAAGCACCAAGCGTCAAAAGCACAAGGGCTTTCGGTGGTCACTCCTCCCACTTTGCGACAACAGAACACTGATCAGTCTTCAATGGCGCAGGCGAATGCCTCTTCATCGCATAATTCCCAATCTGATCGGCCTGAAACACACTCGGAAAAGGCACGGATTCTGCTCGAGGAGAGCCAGGTCCCAGCCGATGAGCCCCCCCCTTACTCGCCCCCCAAGACGGTCAACGAGGTCAAGTATGCTGCTGTCTTCCCCCCTTCTCATGCGGCCAATCTGCGACCGATCCCGTCGCCTGGACCAGTGTCGCCTGGTCTGCCAGGCACCATGAGCTCACAGGGGAACATGGCCATCAATCTAGCCGAGATCCCGCTGACTCCTCGACGTGTGCCAGGGGCCGTACTCTCTGACCGCCCAGCTGGATCTCACGTCATCGGAGACCATTTCTATGGGGCGCTTGGGACAAGGCACCGGGTTGAACGCCAACGCCGACGTCACGAGAAGGAAGAAGCCGTGGCGAGGAGGGTCGGTGGCTTCTGGAGAGGACGCGGCTGCATGCCAGAAAATGGCTGCTTCGGACGTTCAGGTCGAGAGGGGAGAAAAAGAAGACGAGTCTACTTGGGAGTATTTTGCGGCGTCGTTGCCGCCATCGTCCTCGCCGTCGTTCTGGCGGTGACTCTGACACGCACATCAGCACCGCCACAAGGCCCAGAACACTCCATCTGGCTCAACTTGACAGATTTCCCCCCTATGCCGACGGGTGTTTTGACAGTTGCTGGACCAGATAATTCTCAGTCAGTCTCTGGCTGTCTTACCGTCACAGCGCAAACCTCGTGGAGCTGCAAGCTTCCTAAGGACCAGCAGAACCCAGATTCCCCTTACGATGCGGACCAGCCCGAGTTCATCTTCCAAATCCAGTATGACAACAACACGCGAGCTTTATGGAATGTCAGCAATACTGGCGAGCAGCCAGACGTCAGTAACCAAACAGCGACGGTGGGGAACGCCCGTCTCGCTGTAAGCCGCGTAATCGCTCGTGCTATAACCATTTTTCGCCGTGGAGTTATCTACGACGCGGGTTTCTCGCCCAAGCCTGCGCCGCCGTCTCTTGCTGAGATGAACTTCCTGGGTAACACAACCGACGGCATCGTCTCCGACAACAAAGCCGGCGAGCCCACACCCTTCTATATCAGCCTCCTCTCCTCGAACAACGCTACTGTCGGATCTGACACGGTCACCCGCCGCGGTCTCGGCAATGGTATCGACTCCGCCCCGGACAACGGCACATCCGACTGGAACCTGACCGACATCCTGCCCGCACCCGCGCTCAACCCCGATGGTACCGGCGCACCGGCCAAGCTGTACCCGCTCCCATTGCAGCAGCCCGTCCGCCTATTCGACCGCGGCCTGCCCACCGAGCACTACGGTTTCTACACCTTCTTCGACAAGACCGTCTACCTGCACGACAAGTCCAAGTCGGTCGCCGCTGACGAAGACGGCGGCTCTCCCATCAAGGACGCCAAGTTCCTCATCACCATGTCGCAGACGCGTTTCCTCGTTAAGATCTGGACCCGCAAGGAGAACACCACGCAGCTCCTAGGCAACGGAACCATTCCCGGCACCGACGGGACCACTGTCGATGACCAGCCGGGGACTATGCCGTACCCCGTTACCATAGCTGAGGATCTCCACGGGGGTAATCGCAATGATAAGGCGCAGTGGTACTACGGCGTCGATGAGAAGCAGCAGATTGACCGGACGGACGTGAAGCTTATCGTGGTTGATAAGGGGTTTGCGGGGACGTTGATCAATAGGCTGGATTCAAACTCGGATTTGTCGCTGGGGGGCATTGATGGAGGGACCGGCGGGTGTAAGTGCGAGTGGGTCAACTTTCAGGGGAGGACGGTTGGTACTTTGGAGTAACGAACGGGTCGGCTTGGCCTGAGTAGGAAATAAAAGCGTAGGAAGAATGGATTATGACTATAACGGGACGGACATACAGAATCTTCGTATATTACGAGGGTTATGAGGCTGCTAAGGGCCAGTCGTACTTTTGTATATATTTCGCACCGTTGGGCATGGTTTGACCAGCTTTAATATCAACATTCACGAGGTATCTTATTAAGTACGTGCCTGAATATGTAGTCAACCTCCTCGCTAATAGTGAAACACAACAATATATTGTTCAACCGGTAGCAACACTCCTGTATATCCGAGACCGAGCGAGTTAGTATCTACCTCGACGGTTCAAAAAAAAAACCCGAGTCAAAGAAACATGAATCAGAACGCAGCATGGAACCCGTCATAAGGCCGATCGATTGGGCAAGGTGGTTCGGTTAATACAGAAGACAAGGGTGAAGCTCGATGGTGTCGACCGTATTGATTTGTATCTGGCATGTTGAGAGATCCGTCGGCATCCACTTCCCTCCACAATTCGTTTCCCCTCTAACCCAGCTAGAACAAACCAAGATGGCACTTTCGATCAATACGGACCGGCTTCCCATCTACGTCGAGTCGTACTACTCTCGGGGGATCAGAGCGAAACACCGCTCCTAGGTGAACTAAGGAATAGGCGAATATCAGCTATCATCCAAACCAAGCCTACTCCTTACTACCTTGCCAGATGCGCTGCATCACTTCCAGCGGGACAATCAATCCAAGAGGTTCCCCGAGGATGGTCCCAATCGTGGGAAGGACCCCTCGCGTGACCTGCTAAAGACATTGGAGATGAAAATCGCTTCATCTCAACGGTCACTGAGGTGGAAAAATCTTTTCGGGGTCAGGATATGCTACGTTTTAGCTAGGCGGCTGATGTTATCATAGTACCCCTGAGAATATCTACTGACTATTCATGCCCGTTACAGCCATTCCACTCCGACGTCGTCTGCGACATGGTGGGTATATTCACTCCAAGTTCTGCGGCTGCTGGCGGGTATGGAACCTTTGCTTTCCCTGACCTGAACTATATACAACGAACTTGGTCGCAACCTCTCCCCCTCCCACTTCTGCAAACAGACCTTCCTCTTCGGCGAAGAAGCGTCGGGGATCATGAGCCGGCCAAGCTGCAGGGTCATGCGATTAGGAGTGTAGGTTCTTGGGTTGAACTACTTTCTCGGCGTACTTCGGTTTGAGATAGTTCTTTCCCTTTTTTGTCCGACCTTCAGGGGTACTTAGGGTTCGGACCAGAGCAAGTCCCGGAGGTGTTCCATCGAAAGACCACCGTGAGAACTTTCCTGGTGATGCGATTCCGATAGACACCGCCAACCTAGATGTTTCTATAAAACACAATAATTGATTGGGTATATGGAGCAAACGCAGTGGTTAAATATCTTGCCAAACCTCATAACTCATTCCGCTCTGGAATGGGCTCCGAGCCAGCAACTCTCGGTCTACTTTGCTTCAACCTGGCCAACAGGTCCTGGCTCCAACCATTTCCTGATGCCTTTCCCCACACGTTCTTGATGGCCAGTTGCTCAAGGTGATACTCCCAGCACCCATCATCCAGCCTGGTGGCCTCGTTTTCACAAATATTGCCATCGCTGGCCGCACCCACGGGCCACACACCCAACTCTGCGCCCACGTCCCCGTCCAAGAAGGTGTCTGACACAATCATGGCCACCTTGGACCGCGCCGCATCCCACACCGCCCCGTCGTTGAGGAGAACCCGCAGAAAGTTTTTCGTTCCGCCATTGGCCAAGAATTGGGTCCGGAACACGTCACTTTTCAGCAATCTACCCACGACGGGGAGAGTTGTGCGCACCCAGCTTGCCTCATTGGCATATTCTTCTGTTCCGGGCTTCGCCATGGTCTTGAAGCTATCAAAGAAGACATCTTTCAGCGGCTGTTGATGAAAAGCGCACTGTTTGTTCATGAGCGAATCCCACCCGGCCTCAATATTTCGCAGTGCCGGTGGGTTGTTCTGAGCTGCCGATGCCAGAACCGACGAGGCCAGAAAGTCCCGGCGCTGGGTCAGACCGCGAGTCTGGATCTGTTCCACGTCACGCTGGGTGAGAAGGCAGAAGAGCGCCCGCAGCGCTTCTAAATCTTCGGTGATCTTCTGCCCGTAATATATGTCGTGCGAGATGTCCTCCAGATCCATCAAAGCTTCGTCCAGCTGGTGGTTCTGTGTTGATGGTGCTGTTTCCGCAAATTCCTTCAGACTTGCGAGCGACCCAGCAAAACCTGGGTCCTTTTGCGGGGGCTCTTTTACCACCCCGACGGGTTCGTATGCTGGAGCGCCAGATGGCATCAACGGTTCATTTTTGACCCCTTCTGCTTCCACCACCATGACTGACTGCTCTACGGGTAGACCTTCTAAGGAGGGGTCGTCGTCGCCTGGAATATTTAATCGTGCTTCCTTCTCTCCTGTCCAGATGTTCATCCTAACATGCAAACCAGGGGGTATGTCTTGATCATGATGGATGATCTGAAACTCCTCGGTTGGAGAGAATACCTTGGGATAGCATTCTGCTTGGTTGTCGGTATGGCAAATGAGTTCGACTTCAGCAGCTGGTGATGCTGCCGCTATGGACGGTGACGATGCCGCCGCAACAGATGCAAAAACGAAAGTGAAGGAAATGACGGAAAGAAAAACCCGCAACAAACCGCGGGAGTTTTGATGTGGCATGGTGGAAGTGTCAAAGTAGATATTGGTCGGTATAGAATCCGAAATTCGAAGAACGGGCCCCGTGGGATTTTTGTATTGGGGCTGTGGCGAAGGACAGCTCGCAAAGATGAACAGGCCACGAAACCAGTTGCAAAGAACAACACAGCTGCAATCCTATGATGAAGACTGTTGATATCTGGCGAGTTAAATCGGGCACACTTGGTAGTTGTTGACTACTTCAGTTGACTGCGAAACATTTATATCTCTGCACGTCCAATTTACCATTGACCACCTGGCAACCAAGGAAAGACCATGAACTTTTTCGATGTTCCGCGCTTTCAACTTATACCGGAAAGATGAGGCAAAATCATGAGCTGAGAACACCGCTGAATTAGACAATCAACATTGAAGATCGATTCAAGTATTGTTGGAAATAGAAGTTACTGAATGCAGGTGAAAGTGCCGTAAAGTCAATATCCTCGAAGTGTGGAATGAACACCCATTACCAGCACGGCAGTGGGTAATCAACCCCTCTCTGATTGGGCCTTTCTGCCTGCTGAAGCTCAGGCCTCATCAATTCCAACACCACGTCCAAGATTCCCGGCGGCTCTTTGAAGCTCTTCCGCAAGCCCTTAAACGCCCATTGCCAGCACAAGCCGACCTCAATCAGGATGCAGGCCCTCCGACAGCGAGCGGCTTGCGCCGCGCGACGAGTGCGGCCAACCACCTCCGTCAAGAACCCCCGAACCGTGCGAACATACGTATCCGAGAGCCACGACCATCACCACCACGAAGCTCCCAAGGTCGAGGAGAAATTGGGCGTGAGTACTAACCAGCGCTGTCTCGCCATCCCAATTAGGAGGAGGCATTGAAAACAAGCCAGTGGGCTGCTTAGGAGAGAAGCGTGCTGACCCAGCTCTGGCCATAGACCGCATTCTATGTCTTCGCCGGTGCCGTCCCAGCAGCCATACTCGGCTACTCCATCTCCCGTCCGGGTGCGAATGGCGAGCCATCAAGCCTGGCGAACTTTATGCGCGGCTTCGACTACTTCGCCGAGGACGAGGCGCGCAACACGATACGAACCCAGATGCTGGAGCAGGCCGCCCACGACAAGCACCTGTTCAACTACGCCGGGCAGAACTCCGCCTACATTGATCTCAAAACTCCTGAGTGCGTTTTACTCTCCCCCCCCCCCGAACGGAAGCAGTACGTGACATGATTTCTGACAAAGGGGTTTCTGTGATTGCAGATTGATCGGACAAGGTTCCCCATGGGCTGTGCCTGCCGGCCACGTGCCTAACCTCGACCACGTTACCGAGCACTATAGAAAACAGTTCCACGCCGAGGAGGAACGGAAGATGAAGAAACTTGCGGCGAAGGCAGCCGAGGCAGCCAAGGCGGCCGTTGATGTGAAGGAGTCATCATCGTGAGGAGTGTATACCATCAAACCAGGGCATTCGAGTACATAGAACGGGGATTTTTGGGGTGTGACTGAAGACATTCACTTTGTCTACTTGGCTTGGGCATGTATGCTGATTTTGTGATTTATGTGCAGGACGTAATGTAGGCTCTGACGTCTCGCATTCAGGCGTCAACTTTCCGGTGAGGTTTCTGGATCAGTCTCCATGTCCACGGCAGTCAGATGTTTCCCAGCAGAAGTTGCCATGATTGATTAGATGTGTTGCTCAGCGTTGCAAAGATCAAGCCATGCAAAAGTATGTTTGTCGAACATGGACACACAGCCATGCTTATATATGATCTGAACCCAATAATTACTTCTACACATTTTCGAGTTGGAGTTTGAGACAGCATAGCACCGCAGTGCTGGTAACATAGTCTGATTCTCCACGCATGTAGTCTGGGGTACCGTAGTCCAAGTTCAATGTTCGACTTATTGCAAGAATCCTTAATTCACAGTCACACAGCAAATCGGCATGGACCCATGGTGATTGCAGTTATGTTGCAAGTGCGCATTGATCTCATTCGTATATCATAGCACAAGTGACACACGATAGCGGCCTTTTTTTTTTGCCTTGCTACCGAGCAGAATCCATTCCGTTCGCCAAATCCATGAATGCAAGTCCCCAGCCTTATTCCACAGCTTACTTGAGAGGAATGAATCGCGAAGAGTGAGTGGCACCAATACCGGGACGTCCGTGCTTGACAGGCTTGCTGTGAGGTTGTTAGCAAATGACGTACGGGACTGGCGAAAGATCGTGCTCCGTGTGGGGCAAGAACGTACTATGAGATAGAGAACTCTCCCAGGTAGTGACCAACCATCTCAGGTCGGATTTCGACTTGGTTGAATTCCTTGCCAGAATAGATACCGATAACGCTGCCAATCATCTCGGGGACAACGATCATGTCACGCAGGTGTGTCTTGACAAGGTCTGGCTTCTCGTTTGGCTTGGCCTCCTGCTTCGCCTTTCGCAGCTTCTTGATCAGGCCCATGGGCTTGCGCTTGAGACCACGGTTGATTCTGCGGCGGGCACGGGCGTGGACGACATCGCGGAGCTGCTCCGAGTCAAGGTCCAAAAGACTGTGGGATATCGCATGTTAGCCTCATTTTCCGTGTCATGGAATTGTGCCGTCCGGTTTGCGCTGTACACCATGGCATTGCCTATCGCATTGGTGTGGCGGCGATACGTTGCTTCCCCCAGAGAATAATGAACCGGATATCACGTACGCATCAAGGTCGATGCCTCGGTAGGAAAACTTGCGGAACTGGCGCTTCTTCTTGAGCTCGGCGGCCTCCTCGGCGTTCTGTCATAGAAATGGTCAGCCCAGTCTCCCTTTCTTTCATTTCCCTGGCGAGTCGGGACGTACGTAATCGGGATCGTCAGCCATGGTTACGGTTGAGTGCTCGTCAAGGAATTCGCGTTTCGATGCGTGGAATCGAAAGGCGATTACTCAAGGGAGGTGATTGATTTCCAGGTGTTGAATTTCAGCGGAGGAGGGGGCTGATTTCGTCTCGGCAAAAAACTGCGTTGTGCGTGCAAATTAGAGATTCGGGGACATCTTATGGTCCGTGCGTTAGTGGCCCACACGTGACTAGAGCAGCTGGGAAGTTCGACTTCTATCTGCAAGCTCTAAAGTTGCAAGGTAATTATGGGGCCAGGATTAAGGTACTTTTAATTCTAAAGTTGCTTCAGACTTCGTTTTTCCCCGTATTTTCTACACAGATTTGATACTTGTTTGTTTGATTTGGTATGTGGCACCAAGGGATTGTGCGTTGAGAATTCAAATGTCCAGCTTACTGGACTACGAAAACTTCATTGCTTCGTTACAACCAAAAATATGATCGAAGACGGTATCGGCTGTCTGGTACCCATGAGCTTGTAAAGTTGTCTTGTCATCTGTATGAATCATGTGTCCTCCCCGTTGGACAAGTGACCTACTTTCAAGTACGCAACATGCGTATACTTGATACAGTCTAGCATCATACGATGCATTGCGACGCCTTCATATTGGTTTGGAATAATATAAGTGCTCAAATATTGGAACATGCAGCTCGGTTTGGACGTCTAGCCGTCCAAGCTGCAGTCAAGTAACTTAAACCCTGGCCATGCAACTATACAGAGAATTTCCGTGGTAATTCTGGAATTCTGTTGAGCATTCAGAGCGAACACGTAGCAGCATCCGTTTGCCCTTCCAGGCGGCATTCTATCTGCGCCTACTATACATAGACGACTCAGAGCGATTGGTATGAAAGCAACTAATGCAACCACTTTCCCCTTGACCTCTATTTTCTCAAACGACCAGGGGCAAAACGTCCTGTCAAAAGCCGAAGAACAAAAGACCTCGGAGATGCAAGCCGGCGTGGGGGATCTCTGGAAACACAACTTTTGTGGGGAATAACACCACCAGCACCGCCGCCCGAAACGCCTCTTTCCTTCCGGAATCTGTGAATGGAATCGCACCAGAAAAATTAGGTAACGATAGCGAAGAAACAGATGCAATCCCAGTCCACTAAGAACATGCACAAAGACCATTACCATCGTGCATGACGTAAGACCATTTGCGTAATCCCTCCTTTCGTCCCACATCTCTACCGTTAGAGATGCTCGCTCAACAATCAGTCGTTACTGCGTTCCGTTGCGCTCGAGGCAACTCCTCAAGATAGCTGCGTACCTATTGCAACTGGTCGAGATCAGCTGCCTTGGTGGGGGTGGCTTCGGCCGGGTTTGTCTTCGCCTCGAGCTGTTCTCGTAAATGCGCAGCTTCGGCGGCCAGGACTGTGATCTTGTCTTCTTGGCTTCTTTCTGTTTGCTCAAGGATTTGAACACGTCCACCAAGGTCCCTGATGCTCTCCTCGAGGCTGTGAATGTACGCCCAGATACCCTGGTCCGTCGCAAATATGTTGTTGCTCGTGCTGTCACCGCTTCCACCATTTTGACCAAGTCCACTGGAGGTACGCGAGTGGCCACCCCCGGAACTTGCTACGATGGGTGGCTGACCTGCAGCACTAGAAGTGCTCTGTGGTGGCGGTGGTGCAGTCCCTGCAGAACCTCCCTGACCCGAGGCTGCGTAGCGAGCATCGCCTGCGGCAAATCCAGGCACTGAGAGGAGTTGAGCCACAAGCGCTTCAGGGTAGGATGAGGTAGGAGACAAACCTGGAGGTGTTTGTCGGTCTGTCTGGTGACGACCGAAATGCTGCTGCTGAAACTGCGTCGTGAGGCTTGGTGAGCGCTGACGCGCAATGCTGCCGTCATGACCTTGCAGGCCAGATGGACTCAGTGGCTTTGGACTTTCCGTCATGGCACTCTGGGAGTACATAGAGGAACTGGCATTGGGCGCATTCGAGCTGACTGAACCGCGTTCAGAATTTGGTGGATAAAGACGGCCAGTAGCGCCCGGAGGCGGATACGATCGTGAATGTTGTGCAAACCCCTCCGGCGCAGCTTGATTGCCCTGGACGTGTTGAGCCTTGATGCTTGGCAGACTCAAGCGCCGGCGGTCTTCGTCAGTCATGTCCGCCTCATTCATTCCATCGTAGACGACACCGGACATACTCGAATCGTCACCCTCGAGTTGACTGGCTCCTTCCACGTCTTCTTCACCAAAACCGAGACTACCTCGGCGGCTTACACATCCACCAGGTCCTTTACTGTGACGCGCTAAGGCATCACCCCGCGCGAACTTGCGGTCGCACTTCGGACAAACATGGGGCTTCTCGCCAGTGTGCAGCTTGCTATGTCGCTTGAGATCGTGGAGTCGTCGGAAGCGCATATTGCATGTCTGGCAGACGTATGGCTTCTCTTGACTATGGGTCAACAAGTGGCTCTTCAAATTGTGGTGTCGAGTGAATTCTGTCTCGCAATAAGGGCACTTGTGCTTCTTCGAATTGGGCGACCTGGGAGTGGTTTGATTCGGCGTCATTGGCAGGCTCATGCCGCGAGCTGGTGGGGCGGGCATCGTGGAGGCTGCATTCGGAGGCAAGATGGTGCCTGGAAACGAAAGCGAGGTCCCGTTCCCCTTTTCCTCCATTTGCGCCGGTGGTTGAGGACCATAGCCGGCGCGATCAATATCCATCGGTCCGGGACTACTGGTGACAGGAGGAGGACCACTTCCTAAACTGGCCATGCTCGTTGCGCTTTGAGGACTGACATTTGCCTTGCCCTCGGCGTCACCTCCGGTGGATGTTGGAATCGAGACAATCGGGGGACCGAGGATTGCTGGGTCGGCACCCATTGGAGCGTCTTGTGGCCGGCTCATGGCGAGCGCACCAGCAGACATCAGTTCTGCTCGCGCCTTATACGCCGGGTTCTCGGTGGTAGCAGATGCTTGTTCCCTGTATTGCTGTTCTTCGCGGCGCAGGTCTTCGAGTGCTGCAGCGCCGGTCAAGGGAGCGGGAGAGTGCCGTGAAGCTGCCCCAATGAGCCTCGCAGCCTTGGACGGCGACAGGTCGAACTGCGCTGCGATAGCAGAGGTGGGCGAGGTCGGAGTGGTCTCTCGCGCTCGCTTCAGTGAAGCTGTGGCGCGAGTCGCGTCGGCTTGTAGAGACTCGACGGATGGGATCGAGGCTTGAGAGATGGTGGATGATTGAGGGGCGGCGACCGGTCCTTGTTCCGACGCCATGAGTTAGGGACGTGACACAAATCAGGCACGCGATTGAGGCCCTATAATAAAAACGCCAGATATCGCCCAAGAAACACCTGAATGATGAGCTCTCAGCTCATCGTCACGATGCTAAGGTCAGGCCGCCGAGGCTGTGTGGCGCAGACCGCGAGTGGCTTTGGTCGAGTTGATGCTTTCAACAATAGAATTGGGTGTCGCGACAGTCCGCTTCAATGATTCTTTTTTTCCCCGACGAGGTGCAAATCGCAGCGAAAGGAGTGTGACACAGTGACGACAAAAAAAGAAATCCACTTAAGAGAAGTGTAGTAAGCTGAAGTGGGTGGATTTTGGTTGATGAGGCAGAAGTTGTGAGTGACAATGGGGAAATCGACTGAGCCGCAATGACTTGGAAGATGAGAATGTGGATGAGCACAATGCCGCAGTTGCAGGAAAAAGTGCAGTCGAAGATGTGGCACCCTGGGTGGGCCGAAGAGGTGTGGAGGCGAAGTGTGACAACCCTGTGGCAGGGACCGCCTGTACTGGTTACGGCTCCAAAGCTGGGCTTTGGTTCTCTTTGGCGAAGGGATGTTTTGCTTCCTTGGTCTGGGTAGCACCCGCCACTCGATCGAGGAAGTCCTCCACTATTATTTGATGGTTCGCCAAAAGCTTGTTGCGTGAAGCTGTGGATAAAAGTAGAAGTCGAGGTGTTGTTGGAGGTTCGTCACCAGCCCCATTCAAGCTGGCAGTCAAAGTACCTAGGTACTATGTTGGGGCGTCGCGCTGTGGCCGATTGTCCGATCCGGGCTTGGGATTGGAAGGCGCAGCAGTTGCTGTATGTGAAATGTAAGCAATGGAATCTCCACACGCAGCCAACTGAAGAGGTGAATGCAGTGTCAGGACAATCAGGTCTCGACGTAGTCAGTGTCTCATCAATATCAATATGAGCCGACGTACTTGGCAGAGTTATTATGAAGAGGAGAAAGATTGGTGCCAAATTGACGCAGGCTTCAAGGATCCCGGGTTGCCCGCGAAATACGGCGCCATGGATTATGAGAAGCAGAACAAGTTCGACAAGATAGCAAAGAGCTGAAATAGTGGCTGTGCTTCTTGAATGCTCGGATGCGACAACACCGACGGCGGTGGCAGACAAGAGAATGCTTGACTGGTTGGTTGCTCCGTGGTCTGCACTGCTAATTGTAATGGAGGCCACCTCGTGTCAAACTGCCAATCACCACACGCCTCTACCAGTATCTCGCCCTCGGCTGCTCGTACCTTTGGCGGCCAGAGGCCGTTCCTGCTGGAATCTGCTATCGACAGAATGCGCTGGACAATAACTGGGGAAGCCGTGGGATCAAATCTGAGAACGGAGCGACGCCCTCCATTGCGTGTACCCGGTATAGCTTCTTCAAGTGTTCTAACAGCTGTAGCAAAACGTCCTCAAGTTCGCTTGTTTCTTCGTTCGAGCATTGGTCTTGGCGGATTACCAAAATCGCCATCGAGACGACGATCATCCGGTATTATTGATCATCCACAAGCTATCTATTGATTCTGGAGACAAATTAAACTACGTACATCTTGGGACTTGCGTCACTGGATGAGCTTACACTCTTGATGTGAGAGCTCTACTTGAACGATCTACCCGTTTATGAGAAGGGGCCCCAATAACAAGAACAGTCACTTCATCCATCGGTACCGCGACTCGACTTTATGAGCCTGGAGGTGATCTTTATGGGCTGCACGAGCCTTCGATGAGCGACTGGACGAGCAGGGTAGATGGGGTACATCCTACCGAGGTACCGCTTCCTACGACATCAAAGTTACAGCCACCAGATTTCAACCAATGAGCACCTCGACAGGTATAGGTCGACCAGGGTACAATCCCCTGCCCTCTGACCTGACGTTGCTCCAATGTTGCCTCTAGGTGCCGTATCACACTTGGGAGGTAAAGCTCCTACGATTAATCAATAAGCGTTCCTCGGGACAGAATCTCTCCTGTTGAAACGTGGAAGCGAACAGCCCCAATAGGGCGTTACATCGTTCGATCCCGCCATCACGAATGCCTTTGGGTCGTCCTGTGGATCTAACTCGATACAAGCGTTGTTGCGCTCCTCCCGTCTGCGTTTTGCTAGCTGACGGGATTGGATGCATGATAGCAGTGGCGTCACCTATTATCTGGGGAGTTATCCGCTGTCCATCCGGATGCACTCTTCCCAAAATGTATTTGTCACCGCCATGTCAACTCAAGTCCCGGTCAATCATGTCCCGAATCAGCAGAAATATTGCCGGGATAGTCTGGATCGGGCATCGAAACGGTTCTCGTCGCCTGCATCTATCCTGCTCCATTGTGGACTTTCTCTGGGATCGCTGTGGGGATTTTGGAGACCTGCTGGGGATGCTCTCCTTGGGCTACCAGACGTTACCGATGCACTCATGCGCAAAATCACCGATGAATCGGCATCTCAGCCTTATGTGTTCGGCCATGCGAGGGGACACCACTCTATATCCCAACTAGCTGAGAATACCCGATTAGCTGAGCCACCGCTTCGAGCCGGCCTATAGGGATGATAATTCAGCACAGAACGCGCTGCTCTGAGGCATCCTACCCTGCATGCTAGAAAACTAGCAGTCTACTGAGAAGTACTTGTCGTGGCCTGACAACAGGGCAATGCCAGCCTCCAGCCTCACCCCACGGGATCCTGGAGGTGTAGAGATCCTTGTACTGAACCTAGTAGCCATGGTTTGATACGAAGGAACCCATCCGATTGCATTTGAAGTGACAAACACGCAATAGCCGCCTGGTCTTTGCGGTGTTCACCTCGAACGAAGCAGATGCCGGCAACCATTGGTTTCCAATATTCATCTTCGGCTGCCATGTTGGCTGTTGGATTTGTTGTTTATTTACGGTAGATGGCGAGCCTGTGGAGGGTTAATTGGATTCGTCGTTCTATTTCAGTGAAAGACGAAGACGTGGGTCCTCTGCAGCATGAGCACAGTTGTAGGCAAGCCAACCATGCTCTAATATCTATAGGCTTGGTCAATTTCAACTCTTCTTTCATGGACATTGGGTAATGCGATATGTTCATGTGTGGCTTGAGATTAATGTCACACACAGTGTGAATCTCCGTGGCCGCATGTGCTGCGGCAATGCAATGGCCTATGACAGCTGCTTGCGTACGCCGATCAAACGATTTTTCGTTTTTACACTTCAACTGGAAGCTTGCTGAGCGTATTGTAATGGTTCTGTTTCTCGATCTTGCGTTTACGTAAAATATGTAGTGACGACCGAATGGACCTATTCTCTTTATTTAATGGAAAGCGCTTGCCCTTCGGCATATTCTGCTGAGATCATGGGCAAATTCAATAGCAACACGCAGAAAGGTAAATCATCAGGGGCCTCGGCCTGTAGATACCTGTTAGACACCCATCCGAGTAGCAGTGTTTGTTCAAACTAAGACATGTCAACAATAATAGAAGTATAGGTTCCTTAAAGCCCTTGTTATGAAACCAACATATATGATTGAGCAAATCTCATGAACTTCTACTAATATAGCAACCTCTGAATCTGGAAAAACCCCTTACTTAAAAACTCAAGTATCACTGATGAGTACATACTAATCTTGGGACGTACTAATACGATCAGGCGTTGTATCGACTATTCCTTACTATTATAAGAGTTAGGGCTTAATCTATATGCTAGACGGTCTATCGCGATTGCAGTTAAGCTTTTTCCTGGACTCTCCATCAAGTCTCTCAAACGCTGAATTTCAATCAGACAGCTTCCACATTACAGATCTGGAGCGTTTTGAATACCCTACTAATATAATACTCACGCGATTCGAGTGACTTCCAACTTATTATAGTTTCCTCCCACTATTAGGTAGGTATCGTGCCTAGATATATCTCCCATCTTTGTATTGACGACGGGCAGTGTATGCCCGCAGGTTTAAGGTGAAGACGATGGCAACGGACAACAAAGCCCTCAACAAGATCTTACTATCCGAGAGGGTTAAAAAATAACAGCTCAAGAGCCTTCTTGACCTGATCAGATTAATAAAGTACCTCAGTAGATACGACGAGTTGACTTAGCCTCAGCAGGCTTGAACAGAATAGGGCCTCAACAGGTTCTGGAATGGAACAACCGCAGCAGGTGAACAACAGGACAAAGCCTCAGCAGGCTTGAACAGATCGAATTGGATAACAAAAGTACCTCAACAAGTTCGATGAACGGAATAAGACCTCAGCAGGTCATCAAAGATAGCTGGAGTCTCAACAGGCGAAGGGAACACAATTCATTACTACAGCTGGCCGCTTACTCTTTTCTTTTTCCAGAGAGTGACTACCTACATAATCCAGGTCCTTCTTATTGCCTAAATCATCCGAAACCCGAAAAGCAAGACTCAAAAACCCTGTTCCTAAGTCAGTATAAGTTAGAGTAGAGAGAAATAGGTTTTGTGAAGATATACATACAATATGTAGTAAGTATGAAACATAGATTTCAACCGAGTAGCGGCTCAGACCTGTTACCTTTCAGAGGTGTATAGTAATAAATCATCCAACTCGAAGGTAGCAACGCCGATTGAAACCAGATAAAGAAAAGAGCAGATTCAGAGGACACACAACCTCTCATAGGTCATTCTACGTCGCTAAGAGATGTTCCCTACGTTCCCGCTAAGCATCTGGCGGAAAACACAAATATAGAAGTTGCAATATTACCTCAATTGCATCGATCATCACAAGTGTACCTAATAACTTTGATACATATTTCGTGCTGTAGGTTAGTTCACTAGACATAATTTCAAACAACCAGTCGTTAGGTGATGTTATAGTCAAAAAAGGCGCTACCAGAGTTACTAGCAAAACCACTTCCTAGCGCAGCTGCAGGACGCTCCTTCCGCTTCCCCCAGAGAGGTACCAAAAGTCGAATATGGTGCAAATCGGTGTATTCGGCCTGGATTCGGGGTTGCTGCACTGCCATCTGGGCTCGACTGCCTCTGTTACTGCCCCTGCCGCCCAGATTAATGATCTATGCTCCCTCTGCGTTATTTAGGAATTGTTCCCCCGGTTCACATCGGCATAGACGTAACTCTGTACAGTCTATCCTGAAATTATGAGGGAGAACGAAGACGTCATCATACTTGTCTTGGGTGCTTTATATCAGCTGAGATCAGATCAGCCCCAGTGTGTGACATCATGTATCTCTGGATGGCTTTGGCGACCACTCAGGATTTTATTTTCTACAGATAACCATGTCTTCTGGGCAATTCAAGATGCATATGTGGCGGTGGGGTCTCTTACTAGGTTAAGAGCATGATCACGGTATAACATAAAGATACCCCTAAGAAAGCTTTTATTCTATCGAGATATTGTGCATAAACTCCCACTAAAATATATCGCCATGAGAGTGGTTATGTCGATCCAAAGTCCGGGACAATGGTCATTACTGAACAGGAGTTCATAAAACCTCGCGCCGAACGTCTTTTCTTCTTGTGCCTGTGGTTTCCAATTGTCATCAGGCTTACAAACCTGAAATGACTATATGCCACCTCTAAGAGGCAGGTTGCGCCAGTGACCGAATGCAATCTAGTACAATCTAAGTGATGTACAGATTCAAGTAGAACTTGGATGGAGCACCCACCTTCGACGCATGCTAATCATGGATAGCCAAGCGGCTCTCGACATAAGACAATGATACCTGCATTTGCCGTATTTCCCGGTTCAAGTAGATGCAACTTGCGAATCGAACGCTGCCATCAATCTCTGCCAGCATATTAAGCTGAGGTTTCATCTCAAACTCAATGCCGAACTCAAAGGCCGCTGGGAAGACTTCGAAGTCACTGAACATAATTGCCGATGACGAGAATCCAGTCCCCTGGTAAGAAAGAAGACATTTCACCTCATCACAAAAGCAAGCTGGACCGTACGGGAATCTCGTCTAGTTTTAGGCTGAGATTCCAAGTCATTAAAATAAAACAAGGTATTTGTGGGCGAATTGCATCAGACTGGCACATCGGCTGACCTATTAGACAAGATGCCAAAGTGGCATGTAGCTTGTAGTCTGTAGGGCGTTCGTCGCTAGAAGAGTTCCACAGAGCTTTTACCCGCTGTAGCTGGGATGTCTGGCATGATCTCGGGAGTAATGGCTGTAAGAAATTGTAGAAAGATGGAATCCATGAAGCGCTTACAGCAACGCATGCATGCTCTCATCCAAATACTTATACTGAACTGCTCAGAGTAGTAAAGGCTCAACAATATCATCTATATTCAGCGAGCTAGATGCATTCTTGAACAATAATTGAACTCAAAATTGGAGAGATGAATTAGGCAGTTATGTGAAAGTTGGAAGCTATCAACTCGAACAGTTCAAATTGATCCGAACTTGACGACGTTGGACTCATTTTGGATGAAGGGGTAATGAGATTGAGCTGCAGTTGTAGAGATGAATGATTCACGCACGAGTGATCAAACTGAAGTCGTGCTCTTGGGGAAAGACCTACTGAATTGTACTTCATCATACTCAGCCATCCGTAGTTTGGTACCCAATGTCCTTCTTAAATGAGGGTGACGTTGATTATCTTGAAACATCGTGAGAATCGCATTTTAGTGGGTGGATGCAATACGCGTCTGGGCAAATGGGGATACGCGCCCGTGCGACAGGTGGACCAATCTCAGGAACAAAGCCAAGTTCGAACAGCCCCTCTTGAGTATTTCGGGTAACAGGAGAGAGGAATTAGTATTGATAAAATGAAGCTGTCAATTCCAAGTTCCAACCAGTCAAAGACGGCCACTGAGGGTTCAAATTAAATAATGGGCATGCCGCAGTGAAGATCTTGGGCATTCGGCCAGCCGGCCTGGTTGTGCTGTATTCCGACGCCAAGACATTGAAAAGCCAATTTGCCGGATGGCTGGCGTTCCTTGCTTTGGCAGCGGTTCATCCCAGGCCTTCGGGCCTTGCCCGAGTTAAGTTGTGTTCCTTGCATGACGCCTCTCATCTAGTTGCTAACTCAAAAACTGACAGAAAACGTTGCGACTATGACCACAGCGCACTACGTTCGTCGGCTTGGTGTCTGCCGTGCTAGTCCATCAGCCTAGGACCTGTTGAGTGAACGGTCTGATCAAGGGGCAACCATTCAACACCCGGCGCAATTGTAGTTAGCCCATGGATAACCATGTTTGCCATGGATGCGATACTAGCTGATGCAGTTGGTTTAGTGGAGCCTACAATAGGGCAGTGCAGCATCTCCAGGGACGGGGCAATGGGGCATAAGATTTGCTCCAGTTAGTGCGTTGCGGCAGTTTGTATGGTTACTATGATAATAGCAAGTGCGCATAGCAACAGAAAGGGGCCAGCAAAAAGAGCCCGCACATGGCCCTGTCAAGATGGTGTGAGTGAGCCGACGTTCCTCAACAAAGGGCGGATCTGACATGCTATTGATGTTCCCAGCTAGATGGAACAAAGGTTACAAAGCGATCTTGATCGATGCAGGCTGTGGCCGCTTGTTTGTTTGTTGCTTGGAGCCGCATAGGCTCAAAGAACCCTGACATCTTCTAGGTGATATTGACTCCGTTGACTTGGAGAGGAATCCTCGAGTTTATCAGTTGCGATGCCATCATTACCGAGACAATCACTGCGGCTGTATTTACATTGATGTTTGGAAACTTTTGTTCCATTCGTGGCACGAACGCTTGGAGAGCCACTTGATTGAAATGATCTATGCAACAATACCGTGAGTAAAGCTTCAATTGGCCACATTGGCCAGTCCAACAGAGCAGGGTGGTGTGTGAACAATGACATTGAGGCAAGCGCCAGCGAGGAAGACGGACCCCACTCTTGTCCTATACCAATTTCCCTGCGCCCAAAGAGGCAAGACGCCCACCCGTACCTTGCAGAAAGGCTTGCAGGGGTGCCCACTTGGCCTGGCCGGCCACTCTTCTGCCGGTCCAAAGTTCATGAAAGGAGGCGCTTCCTCCCCCGGTGGCACTGCCCTTCCCTTTTCTTCACCTACCTTTACAGCGTACATCGCGTCGTCTTCCACCCAACTCTGAGAGTCATTGGACCTCTACCACATTCTTTTGGAACCGCGCAGTCACTCGTTTGATCCAGCACGCAAAACGAAAACAACATCTCACATACCATACTAAGCGTCCATCCTACGCAGCACAAGACTTGACCAATACGTACGCTACACCCAAGGTAAGGAAGAAAGGCTACACAACCCCCAGGATGTTGGATAGTTCCCGTTGCCACCTTGCATGTTTGTCGTCACCAACAATGCCTTCTTCAATTCCAAGACATAGGATCGTTTATTCGACTGGGCTTCACTGTTTACTTATATTGGGAAGGTTTTCGGGGGAAGGGATTCTTTTTATGAGAGACGGGGGGTTTTTCAATTTCAATGTTTGGCGCATCATCTTGGGCGTAGCACTGTTGCACACCCGTGCCTAGTCGCACTTCAAGATGCCATCGTCGTTTTCAATGAGCTCGCTAACGTTTCACCTGCTAGATCGAATTGATAGTCAAATCTGATTACGATGAAGATTACGATCCTTAACCTCGCCTTCGCGGCGTCCCTGGCTGTTGCCCAACCGCACAACCACGGCCATGGGCACTTCCACCAGAAGAAGCGTGGAGATTCAGCCGTTGACAAGCGCGGCGACGTAGTCGTGGACTACGTTCCCGCGTACGCCACTGTCTACAAGATTGGAGACGAGGAAGTCACTCCCGAAGAGGCAAAGGCCGGCTTGGATAACGGTCTCTACATTGTTGTTGGCGAGACCACCCCGACCTACTCTGCTCCCAGTGCGCCCTCGATCACGCCCACCAGCTCCCCCGAATATGCAGCTCAGTTCATTGAGAAGACTTCCACTACTACCTCCTCGTCGACTACATCCTCCACCCCGGTCCCCAGCACCACATCCACCACCTCCAGTGTTGCTCCTGCCACCACCAGCCAAGCGAGCAGTGGCGGCTCTTCTGGCACGACCGGCATCGACGCCGAATTCCCCAGCGGAGAGATTGATTGCGACACCTTCCCATCTGACTACGGCGCGTATGCTCTCGACTGGCTGGATACTGCTGGCTGGGCTAGTCTTCAGTACACGCCCAACTACTCCATTGGCGACGCCGCAATCAGCTACATTGTTTCTGGCGTTACTGGCGACAAGTGCAAGAAGAAGGGCTTCTGCTCTTACGCTTGCCCTCCTGGCTACATGAAGTCGCAGTGGCCCGAGGACTCCCAGGGCCTTACTGGCCAGTCCATTGGAGGCCTTTACTGCAACGCCGACGGCAAGCTCGAGCTTACGCGCCCCAAGGTCAAGCAGCTGTGCATTGAGGGTGTTGGAGGCGTGACTATCGTCAACAAACTTTCTAAGGGCGCTGCCGTCTGCCGTACCGATTACCCTGGTCTCGAGAACATGGTCATTCCATTGGACACCCAGCCCGGTAACACGTACACCCTGGCCAATGTCGACTCGTCAACCTACTACGAATGGGAAGGCATGGCCACCACTTTCCAGTACTACGTCAACCCCCAGGGTATCTCGGTCGAGGATGCCTGCGTGTGGACTAGCCCCGTCAAGCCTCTTGCGGCCGGTAATTGGGCCCCGACCATCATTGGCGTCGGCAGAGACTCAACCGGCACGACTTACCTCTCTATCTTCCCCAACTCGCCCACCAGTGTCGCCACTTTGGATTTCGACATCGAGATCAGCGGTGACTTCTCTGGCTCGTGCTCGCTCAAGTCAGGGACGTACGAAGGCTCAGACTCCGGTTGCACGGTAGGTCCCCATAACGAATCCCTTGGCAGCCAGCAGCTAACTTTTTCTAGATTGGCATTCCGGAGGGCGGCAACGCTGTGCTCACATTTGTGGACAGCTCGTAAAGATCTACATGAGAACGATTGATTTCCCATTGCGTCTTGGTTTTATATTGCTTTCTAGTGGATACCTCTTACCATCTGCCTCTTTGCAACGCCATATCACGAGGTCACTTGTCACGGAGATGGCATAGCGAATCTAATATTTATTGTGCATAATTTGGGCGTCGCTAACGAGTAGCTCTCGGTAGTGGAAGGAGTGGAGTCGCCCGGGGTTGTTGGGATTCCAAGCCGATGTTGTTATACCAGTGGTGTTCTTTTTCGACAGTTGCAGGGCAGTGGTTCCCTAGTTGGATTCTATCCGTTCTTGGTTCGGGGTGGGCGAGAACGGAGACTGGTCGAGTCTCCACTCGACGGGCCTAAGCATGCTTCCTGGAGCGATGCTTGCAAATAATACCTTGGTCGGGTCGTTTAGTGAAGAGGCACGCACTTGTATACTCGCAGACCAACCAGTTGGCGTATACCAGTCTGGCCGAACGTGCCATGCCAGGAGTGGATGAAGTCGAGCAGGAGGCTAGTTTAGGGGCCACATACGATGATAATACAATGCCCTGCAATTAAAAGTCATGTTTCCTTTGTATTTTGGCCGTATGATGTGTTGCCGAAGCTGAGTGTCAATGGTGGACTGCTCATGGTCCATCTAGCCTCCCAGACCATGATAGCAATGTACACAGTCCTCTGAGAACGCCGCAATTGCTTGTTTCCTGAACATCGGTCGCGTGTGATAAGGATTGTGAACAACCACAGTTGCTGTAAGGTGTTGACATTCTTAGCTGCTACTTTGGAATTTCCTATCCTTTAAGGTTGTCGATCCTATACTGCGGAGGCTAGAGGGAGGCACTGATTTGCTGCACTAAAAGTGCACTGTTTAGTAATCTCATGCATGTAAAAGTAGCGGTCGTGATGTTGGCACTTTATAGTAACTAAGGAGGTATATGACCAGGCACTGTTCACAACCCAACCGGCACACAGCAACTAGGGCTGACACCTGGGTCGTGGGTAGTAAACTTCTCTTGAGGCAAGGGGTGTGCAGCCTTGTCAATTCTCGTAGGGTATACTGCAGCCCAGGAACGTACTCAAGTACCCATGCAAGGTTGTCAGGTCTGTCGAATTGCTCTGCACCATCGTTCGTTCGCGGAGAGCTCCGGGTAGCTCGAGGTCGTACGAATGGAGAGGTGCTCCGGACAGGCGGCGAACGTCAGAATAAACAGCGCACCCAGGCGGAATAACTACGGTGGGTCGGTTTACTACAGTAGAATGTTGATCCCATGTTACCCTACTCCCTCTTCGTTGCGCCGTTCAATCATTTCTTAGGGCCTAAACACTGTGTAACGCAATTGGATCGTTTGTGCAATAGCTCGTCATCTTCAGTACCTATTAGGCAATTCGTCAATCAGCTGGTTCGAAAGCGGCTGCATCACTTACATGAAAGCGACCAGTGAGCATCGCCAATTGCGCCTTTTCCGGCTACTTCATTCTAAATTTGTCAAATAGGTCCTTGATCCCACCAACCTAACAAGGCGGGGTAATACCAGGCGGAACACCCGCATATGAACGATCATGGGGCCACTAGCTTCAGGCGAGTTTAAAGCATCAGAAAATTTCTGTCAGATTTCCGTCAGAAAATTTCTGTCAACGGATTCTTTCCTCCTGTATTGCATCGATCAGGTGTCGGCAGAGTGAAAATTTGCTGATCTGGCCAGTAACGATGCATTAGGTTTGGGGTTGAAGTTGTTGTGGTAGGCTCTCGGTTCCCAGCTCTTCTTGTCTTATGAATCTTGCTCTCTTTTTGAAGGTTGTGACGGACGATGAACCAACTCGGACCATCCCATCTTCTTGTTCCCAAATTTTGATACTCAAGCAAGCCACTCCACCGTCCTAGCTACTCCCCATTTTTGGTTGCTTCCTCGGCTGCTGTCACATTCAGCGGTCTACGCCTCTTTCTGCATGTCAAGTGCTACATCACTACCGTCGATCTGAGATCACTGGGACGAGCATCCTCTGGCGTTCATTGGCGAATCACAGTCGTGGATGTTCAGCATTACGTTTCGGCGGACTTAGGATCTATTGACGGCTACAGCGTGGGGAGCATCCGTCGAGTTCGTGGCGGGGTTTTGGTGCCAAGTATCTGGGGAATCGAAGCCGTTGTTTGTCGCCCTTGCTGTCCTTCCACCCGTACTGCTAGTCAAGTGGTATGATTATCATAATCAGTGGCAATGTCTCTCCATCGTGTCGGGTCTCTGGAGACTTTTTTGAGCATTCGTTCCGAAGATGGCGGCCGTCTGTCCCGTCGGGATTCCCTATCGTCGCTGGTGTCGGCATCTGACAGAGCGCGCAAGTTGAGCTTCAACCCTCTGCCCGAGTCATGGGACCCTATTTTTGCGAGAGATGATGCCCAGCCACATCTGGGACAATCGGTGGGAGCGTTTGAGGTGCCCAAGTGGAAGAGAATACGTAAGTCTACTTGAACACCACTCATGATATTTCGACTGACGGTATCTGTTAGTTCAGGTGGTGGTGACTGTGATATACTGTTTCTTCGCTGCGGGAGTGGTATTTGGATATGCAGCTCTGAAGCCAGTGCTCAAAAAGGAAGGGGCGTATCATGATGTTTGTGATGGAGAGGATACTTGTGTGGAAATCCACCTGAATCTCATGTTCACTGTGGCTGCTGTGGTAGGTAGACATTTCTTTCCTTCGAAACGCGCAGCGAGCACTTGTCATCCCCCTTGAGGGATACCCACTAACATCCCGAGCCTCGTAGTCTACCAATGTCGCAGCTTTACCCATCGGTGCTATTCTAGACAACTTCGGGCCACGCCTGTGTGGGTCTTTAGGCGCTATATTTTTAGCCATCGGCGCACTGTTGATGTCTTTTGCGCAGCGTGTGCCCTTTGACGGCTTCCTAGTTGGATACCTCTTTCTCGCGCTGGGTGGTCCGTTTACCTACATCAGCTCCTTCCAGCTTTCCAATGCCTTCCCCCAGAACTCGGGCCTTATCCTTGCCCTGCTCACAGGTGCTTTTGACGCTTCGGTATGTTTGAACTGCTATCCTCCCTCAAGACGAATACTAATTTGGCGACAAGAGTGCTCTTTTTTTAGTATATCGTGTTGTTTTCGAGAGCACGGGTGGCGCCTTTGGACATCAAAAGTTCTTTCTGGTGTATTTACTCGTCCCGGCCGTGATACTTATCCTGCAGTTTACGATTCTTCCCGCGCAGTCATATAAAACGGTTGGAGAGATGATCGAGGATATCCAGGATCCCGAATTTGGCAATCCGTACGCACCGTCTGAAAACGCTGTCGATGACCAGCTAGACGAGCAGACCGCACTACTACGCGAAGAGCAGCAAGAACATCGGGAAGTTGTCGTCCAGGAGATCGAGGAGCTGATTGGATCGACCAAGGCAGACAAACAGGCACAACGGGAGGAGAAGAAAAACGAAAGGAGCGGCGTATGGGGAGTGATGCACAATTACAACGCATGGCAGCAGATCAAGTCCTGGTGGTTTTGGCTCATCTGCCTCTTCACTGTCGTGCAGATGACACGCATCAACTATTTTGTTGCGACTGTCCGCCCCCAATACGAAGCTATCTTCCACTCTGGGGACAAGGCCGTCGAGGTCAACAACTTCTTCGACCTGGCTCTTCCATTGGGGGGACTAATATCGATTCCCTTCATCGGACATATTTTGGACCACTTCACCACCGTCACCGTGCTCACGACGTTGGTTTCGGTCGCCACGGCTATAGGGATTTTGGGCGTTCTGCCGTACATGTGGGCTGCGTATCTCAACGTGTGTCTGTTCTGCCTATACCGCCCGTTCTACTACACGGCGGTAAGCGACTACAGCGCAAAGGTGTTTGGGTTCCGCACCTTTGGCACCGTGTATGGTACGATTATATGTCTATCTGGGCTGTTCAACTTCAGCCAGAGCGGGCTGGACTTCTTGTTCCATGTGGTGTTCCGGGGAGATCCGGTGCCGGTCAATTTGATACTGCTGTCGCTAGGCTTGTCGATAGGTGTGGCTTTGGTCTCGTACGTGGGGTGGAATGTGAGGAAGACGCAGAAGAAGACATTGGCTAGGGAAGCGGAACTTGGGACGTCTTGATCGGTTCGCTAATGCCTTTTTCGCTAGGTGGTTGTTGTAATGTGCTTGAGCTAGGTTGTCTTCTAAGTTTGGGCATCTTGGGTATTTGACATTTCCAAGGCATTCTCAGGGTAGCGGATATAGGTCATACAGAAGGGTCGGTTTATAGGCATTGGTGACGTCACTCAGTATAATGAATGTATCTGGCGTAGTTGGATTGTTTCCCATGCGAGAGATGGAGACGACTCTCAACTTGGTTGTCTTTACACACGGGCATGTTCACGGTTCCACATTGTGTTAAGAGACAGTTTTGTGTATTGTTGTGTACGACCATAATATCATGCCTGTCTTGTCTAGGACTAAACCAGCCTCTGTCTTCGGGGATATGTACATTATTGTAAAGCCTGCCGTCTTCATGTTTCCATTCGGAGCATGGCCTTTCAAACTCACTGATGATGTCCACGTTGTGGTGTTCATCTTGTTGCATCTACCTATGACTTTTGGAAGTACCCACCTAGGGGAGCTCGACTACTGAGCCTGAAAAAGTTCATATTCGAACGTCTTCGAGCGACAGGGACAACATGCATGTTCACCCTCCTTGGGAAGAAGTCGGGCTCGTTGCCGCCTTGATCGTGGATGATATATCCCGAGGGAGCTTAGCAGTTGAGCACTTGTGGCAATGCCCGACAGCTGGAAACCTAGTTACATTCCGAAGTATATGATAGTCTGTGCTAGGATGTCATCTGTTAGCCAGTAATGTACCTGTGGAATACCGTGTGAGTCAAGTGGCATTCGCTGAGCGTGCATGAGTTTCAAATTTCGAGTAGGACAAAGGCAAACTGAAGCTAGAAAACACATGATTATGGTGGCATTGCACTAATACTGGCACTCCGGCCACATACGAAGGTGAGGTGGGGGTGGTGGGGGGAGGACGGGGGGGTCCAAGCCGCACAAGGGCACTGAAGTATCGCAGGTGTACCTCACCATGACCTCAGGCCACCAATTCCACAATTACGACAGATACCTACGAGGTCAGAACAAATTGACATTCAGTAGATAGTTGCCCGTGTGTCTGGGTTTCTACGTTAGAAATACCACTTCTCACTTCTCCAGTTATCGACAATGCAATAATGATCCGCCCCAAAGGTCACAGCATGACAAGAACAGGCCAACCACATTCGTCCCGAGGACAAGAGGCTAGCAGCTCAGAAACTCGCGATGACTCCCTCACGAGTCACCCCGAGGAGATATGGGGAAAACACGCATGCTCCAAGTAACAGTAAAGGGACTTGGCTTGTCATGATAGGACTAACAGTAGACAGGATCCATTTTAAGTTCAAGCACTGTTTGAAGATCAGAAGTCAAACTCAAGAGGGAAGGAGTGGGAAAGCGGGAAATCCGTTGGTCTGGACAAGAGGCACCGACGTTCCTTGGTTTCTCAATTGGTAGGATTATGTCGAGAAAGCTTGATCGTCCGATAGGGCTGAACAATATTGGCAACCAACCAGTCGCTCGCTGCTTGACGCGACATCAACGTTATGTATACGTGTCCAGATGAAGAATTCCCTCCCCAGTCCTTCTCGAGATCTGGACGTTGTGACAGCTAATAATATGCACGTGTCCAGGGATGACGACGAAACGATTGGATTCCTGGATGGATGCTCGGCTACAAACAACATCTGAGACCTAGGAGTTGCCTCAATGGAGTTTCTAGTGCCCAGCCGATTCGCTGACTCATGACGTGCATCCACCACTCTGCCCTATTTGTGGGTGCGAATGCGATGCGATTAGATTACAGTAGCCAAGATTTGACAACTCGGCCGGTGACTGAGGTTGGGCAAATCCTTGCAGCCAACAGCTGCAGGACCATCAAATAGCGAGTGTTCTCTGAGATGGCAAGAGGGCGCTTCACCGTCGTTATCCCATGCCAAGCCAACTACGTTTGCAGTTGACGAAATGTCCCCAGGAAAAGAAGGCCACTGGACATGGACTATACATATAATTCTGGCAAGGAAGAGGAGAGTCCTGACTTTCTCACTGACAAGGCCTTTTGTCTCGACGTCATGGGAAAGAATGCATTTGACCTCAAAACGAGGGAAAAGACCTGAAATTTTGTAGTACACAATGTGCTCCTGCATATTATGACTCCAACTGGCTCTCTTCTGATAGGACGACTCCGATCATGTTGGGGTGGCTCAGCCCAATAGTTTGCAGCAAAAGCTCTGAAGGATCGAGGCTGGCGGTGAAGGAAAGAGGCACAGGAGCTTCTGGTTGAGTGACATCGGGTCCTCATGCAGGTGGTCCCTGTGATCAATTCAAGATTGAAGCTGCATTCCGCAATGCTTCGATGGCACGGCACTGCCAGCTTGCCAGCTTGCCAACGGAGTTCTTCCAGATTGCCCGGGACGGAGCCTTGGAGCGGAGCCAGGTCCAAACTATGCTGCGATGGGCTGATGAATTGGTGAGCGCTCGGCCCAACGCCTTGCCGATCTGACTGCCTGCTCAAAACACCAGATATCCCTGTGTCCTTCCACGCGTTTCTTTCCGTCAGGACAATGAAACATCGCGGGAAGAACAGAATGGACCACCATGTTGTCGTAATGAAAATGGCAAAATAATGGAAATGATAACGTGTTGGGATACGAAGTCCTATTTTAGTGTGTTTCCCTGACGACCTTGGCTTTGGTGAGCTAGGTGAGAAATGTCGTTGCCTCCAATTTGGGGGCACCAACCCAAGCTAATGGCGGCGAAATGCGCCGGATGTAGTGCTCAGGTATTCCTGTTATGCTGTGCCGTAATGAACCCACATTTGGGGGTCAAACCACCACTGTGAAGATACAGCCTGTTGTGGAGGAACTCTAAAGTTGGCAAGGAAAGATAATTGTTCGGGTTGAGAAGCGTCGTTTGCGCAAACTATTGATTCTCTGGTCCTCTTTTCTGCGGCTCTGTGATTGGGAGAAGTTGCTACTAGCAATTCAGAGAGGACCGGCCTTCAATGCTGTGAGACTCAATCGCTGTTACGGCTGCGTAATGCCGCCTAACAGTGTCTATGGTGTTGCTACTGTCGAGGATCCCGGCACAGCCTCAGCTGCGCTTGCAAGGATCAAGAGCACTTCTTGGCGCTGCTGCCTGGAGTTGATTTCCAACGCTCAAGACTCCAGCGAAAGACAAGCGAAAGACGACCTCTCGTCCCATAGCTCTCATCCATCCTCCTCAACTTGCACCTTGGTGTTCCCCAGTCCTTTGTATTTTGCCAAATATTTGAGGCCACCATTTCGTCGAGTTCCCGCCCTCGTGACCCCGTGAAAAGGCGCCGCGAACCACTCCCCAAACCGCCCGCCGTATTTCTGATATTTGTTTGTCGCCCCCGGCTCTATACCAACCCGTCTTACCCCCAATCTTGCACATTTCACCCCTCTCATCACCCTTTCGATTTGCACTCAGGAACGCGCTTACGTGCCCGTGGTTTTCGATGCGGGCCAGTGTCTGACTGTTTCTCTCATCCGGTCCTCTGATTATCCACGAGGGCCACCTCGACAGTCTCGTCCAGCAAACCGGACAGCCGAGTCTTCAGCAAACCCGCTACATCCGGCAACGTTGAATCCTTCTCTTCCGGCCTTTGCCCTCAAAGTAAGGAAGAATCCATTCATATATCTAAATACTTCTATTTCCTACCCCGCGATCCGCCGATTGACCGATGCCAGCTTGGCAAATCGTGATATCATTCCCGAAAGTCCTCAGGTCATCTTGACCATCTTAGGGTTCGGTGTGTTCGAAGGGTGACTCATATTGGCCGATACCAAGTGCACGACGGTGCTAACCGTACGGGCTCTTGACACAGTATCCTACATATAACATATATACCCGCGCACACCCATACACACACATCTGTTCTCAACTCACACGGAGCCAAGATGTCCAACCCTAGAAGAACCCCGGTGACTGGCAGATCTGAGGGCACCACTGGCCTGAGCCTTAAGACCAACTTCACCCTCCGGAAGGGTGCTACCTTTCACTCTCCTACTACACCACCCTCCAGTCCACCACAGGCTGCTGGATTCCGGGTGCCCTCACTACCTAGACGGTCTCAGACGACTCTGGATGATGTGGTGGATGCCAGTAGACGACGAATGGAATTGACGCTCCAACCCATTTTGAACGCTACCAAGGCCGAGACCTCGTCGTCTCGTCCATTCCGCGACAACAGTTTGCCTGTCCCTCAAAGCTTCCTCGAGCAGGTGGTGATGAACGACAACATGACCCAGGAACCGCCAGTCATGGATACGACGGAGAGACGGGTTCTGCGCCAGCGGCCCACTCGCTCCTCAAGGCACCATGATTCAGACTCGGGACTTGGAACCTCGATTGCGTCCAAGGCATCCAGAGCCTCCAAGTCTTCTGGGGCCGCAGCTGGCATTACTCGATCTGCTGCTGTTACCGGGTCAGAGAATACTCCACGTCGCCTCAGTCAGCGCGCCGTCAATCGCATCCATGAGCATACCCTGAAACCATTATTGGCCAAACCTTCGTTGAATGAATTCCATCCCATCGTCCTTGATTGTCCCAGAAGGATCCAGGAGAACCAGATCGTTTGTCTCAGGGACCTCGAGAAAACCCTCATCTTTATGGCACCAGTAAGTGAGCTTCTGAAAGATGATTGTGTTTGGGGAGATACTTATCGGATGTTGTGCTTGAAGGAGAGGGCTAAATCCGCCGAATTGTACCTCGACTTCTGCCTCACATCGATCCGCTGCATTCAAGCGACCGTCGAATACTTGAGCGACCGGGAACAAACTCGACCTCACGATCGACCGTACACCCAAGGCTATTTTATTGACCTCGTCGAACAGATCCGCCAACACGCCCAGCAAATTCAGGCCTCCCGGGAGAGACAGGCTGCAGGAGAAGAACCCGGCGAGATGGATGTCGATCCGTATGACCCCCCAGCCCCCCACCGTCCCTATTCTCACTTCTACGTGTTAACTCTATATCTAGAACTGACGAGGTGAAACTCATGGGCGGCCTTTCATCCACGGGCCGTCCTGCTGAGCTGGTCCGCGTCAAGAAGAATGGAAAGGCCATCTCCATCGCTACTGGTCAAGTAGTTGAGAGCCTTGAAGAAGACACTAGTGTTCCTGTGCGATTCAAGCGCTCTATGAGCGAGCAGCTTGAGGACGAAGAAGAAATCGTGCGCTCGATGGCGCGTCGAAAGAAGAATGCCTCACCCGAAGAGCTTGCTCCCAAAAAGTGCAAAGAACCCGGCTGCAACAAGGAGTTCAAGCGGCCTTGCGACCTGACGAAGCATGAGAAGACCCATTCTCGTCCTTGGAAGTGCCCCATCTCGACCTGTAAATACCACGATTATGGTTGGCCCACTGAGAAAGAGATGGATCGCCACGTCAACGACAAACATTCGGCTGCGCCGCCAATGTTTGAGTGTCTCTATAAACCGTGCCCGTACAAGTCTAAGCGGGATTCAAACCGTAAACAGCACATGGAGAAGGCCCACGGTTGGACGTACGTTCGGACGAAGACCAACAAGAGCAGCGGGAAGCTTCCCACCACGGCGGAGAGCACAACTGGCAGCTCGACCAAACCTACTCCAATGATTCCCAACATGCCCACGCCGAACAGTAACGACCAAAACAGCAACGACCAAAACAGCAACCACGTTATGATGACACCTCCGGAGGAAACCCCTTTCACATATGAATATGAGAACAATCTGGATTTTCCAGCTTACGTTCCGGCCGACCCATTCAATCCGGGTCTGTTTGACCCCACCTCTTTGGGAGACATCCAGCTTGACCTTGACTATTCCCCAGTGGATAATGGCACGCCTTCCACTGATGCGGAACACCAGTTCAATGCGTATCAAGATCTCTCCGACGTCTCCGGCCAGTTTGAGGAAGACATCTATGGTGCACATGTGCAGCTGCCTCTTACACACATGCAATTGTCGCCCGCCAATTCTGACTACAGCAAGTGTCCAGCTCCAGTTTTCACCGACTTCGCTACTTCCAATGTCTGCCAAGCTTCTTGTGCTTCTCATATTTCCCCAGTGGGCCAGGGCAACACGATGCTTTTCACTCCATCTTCGATGGCAGATGTTGATGAGGGCTTTGATGAATTCCCTGCCAATGAGCCACTTGGCAATGACTTTTTATTATTCCCTCCTGATATGGGCAACAAGCCGTCGGAATTCGAGAATCCCTTATTTGTCACACCTAGCGCGGCGGCTGGCTTCACTCAACCTTCGTCGCAAGACTTCAACATGGACTTCAACCAGGCCATGGATTGGACAAGTGATTACAACACATACCAACACCAGCCATAAGATGCTCGTCAACCGGTTCAGGCACTGGCGTGAAGTATTCCATAGCCTGCCATGCTTCACGACGCGATGATAATAAAATAAAAAGGAAGAAAGGGGTAGAGCAAATTCAGAATGAAATTTTGGAAGGGCAATCCTACTTTTATGGCAACTCTGATTTTAGCTGCTGCTTATGTATACACTCTTGTGGAGTTTGGGGATGGGATGGTTTCCTAATCTCGCTCTGGAGGTGATGATTTGAAACGTTAATTTCACGGCTGCAAACTGGAATGGACTTTCGAGGATTGGGTATGGCTATAGTCACGTCTTCGGATCCGAGATGCAGACTTCTCTCTCTCTCAATGACAAAATTGAAGAACAACAAACTCGTCCTTTATTCTGTGAAGTTGCCCACCGCCTGTCAAAGTTGTTTTACCACGTCAGCAGTCTCGCACTACAACCCAGCAAATAACAACAGGCCACCATGACCCTTTGGCTGCTTCGAATAACCATGATTGTAGCGCAAGGATGCTGCTGAAGTCTCATTATCGCCATGGATTGAAAATTGCAAGTTGACCACATGCAAGGGAATTTCAGTGGAGGGTGTTGAGGTATTTCCAGCTGGCGTCGGTCCGACAGATCTTGCCGGCTCTCACTTCCAGTTTTTTTTCCTCAATTGAGTCCTAGGGCAATTTCTTCCCCCAAGATCATCACGATTTTGTCGTCAAGGTGTCGAACACCTCCTCGAGGCCTCGAGGCCCCTACTTCCTGTGGGATGTGTTTACCATCGTCATTGCTAATAATCATTTCGAAGATCACTAGCTTCAAATCACCTCGTAAGTTCATTGTCTCTTGTTTCTCGTATCAGGCAGTGCGAATCTATTTTATCCTCCGCCCAACCCAATTTTCACATGATGACCTTCGACACCTCTGGTGTCACTCAAAACCATATTCACATATAGGAAGAGCCGTATGAGACCGTCCTCGGGCCTCGAAAACCCTTTCCAGCTGAACCATTGTCGCGCATCCAGCTCGCCCCGGCCGTATGGGAGGCGTGTGTGATATCGTCATATGCCGCCACGCTCTCTCGGTGTCGCGTGGTGGATGGGCGTGCGCAGTGGGGAGGTGGGGATGTGTGGTGCTTAGATCTTTGGTTTCTGATATTGTTCTATTGGGTTGAATTTGTTGGGATATGATGCATTAATCAGAGAGGAACGATTCGCTGACATTGTTTCTACAGGATTTACTACGTGCGGACATATCGCGGAGGGTTGCGAGGTGGGTGGATGGATGGATGAACATACGTTTCGGATGGACATCTGCTAACACTAACATGCTGAATGGCCGGTTATATCTCTGCTCAACTGCATTGATGTAGCGATTTCGAAACGATGCAGCCAGTTTTGCTTCTCGACCTGCTAGGAAGTTTTAACCACCCGGTTCATTGCCACTCAATCAACAATATAAACCATATATATACAAGCATCTGTGGTCCTGGCCGTTCGGTCCAAGTCTTGTGCCTAGCACTATTCGTTTTGCGTCACGTCTGATCAAGACTATCATATATATATCAACATTAAAGATGCCGGTTCCTTCGACTCGTAAACGTGGTATAGATTCAGTTTCGCTTCAACCTGTCTCCTCCTGAGGCTAAACTGTATGCACTATGATAACGAACACTATCACAACATGACCCAGCTAGACGAACCAGGTATCAAAGGGCTGTGCGCATATTCGCCGCTCAACGTTAAGAGTTCAACTACATGCGCAGCCCGCTCCTCTGGGTCGTCACTGCCAATCTGACGCATAGCCCCCATACCATCGATCCCCGCCTCAAATCCCGCCTGCCGCAGCACGTCTTCATTGTCCTAAAACAATGGTACAGGCCAAGATAACAAAGACACGATGATTGGACTCGAGCTTGTCCGTGTGGCTGTGAGCGTCGCGGGTGCCAGTATTTGGGCCATGGAAGTTTTGGACGAGAAATTTCCGGTTTCTTTTGCCTGTATGGAACCCAAGGATCCGGAGACGGATGGTCGGCTTACGCTGAAGGGGGATGCTTATGATTTAAAGGTGCACGCAGATGCGACGTAGGATGTTGGCCAGGATGGCTGCTTGAAGGTACGGGTGGAGGATTGGATCTATGGTGATAAGGAGGTCTGGGTGGTCAAGTGGGTTCTGGAGAGTTGACGTTGCGGATTCCACATAGGGTGACATTTTATTGACAGGTCCACACAGTCAGATTGATAACCCAAGGGATACGTTCACACAATTCCCTCGAATATGGCGTCGATCGCATGCCTGCCTAACTAAAGCTGCCTTCACCGTGGCGAAGGAGCTGGACAGGGAACGCTGGGTAAAGTGGCGTTCGCACCAATGTCGGTTCCTACGCTCATGGCTGTACCATGCTTCCGGATCAACTGGATGCGGCTGTTGACTTGGGCCGAGTTTGCTGGGTTGCCATATTGCATTGTCAACCCGTCATTGTGGTTAACGAAGGCCTGTGCAGAGTAAGTGATGTTGGCAGGACTCCAAATCCTAAAGTGCTGCTATACTCACACTGCAATTGGGCAAATTCCGACCAAATAGGCTCCAGAAAGTATCGCCACAGGCCATACTGCTCTTTTCGATGATATCAAAGAAGGATGCGAGATTCTCGGCTTGTCCGCCTATCCAGTCGTACTCGCCAGCAAAATACGCCTTGCTCGCGCCTCCTACGGCTGCAATGCCCTGCCGCAGCTTTGTCGTGTCGACAGGGTAGAAGTGGTCCGAGAAGATGTCAGCCTCCTCGATACCCAGGTGTGTCTTATTGATACCATATGTGCCGTCGACAAACAGCTTTGCTGGCGCAAGACCTTTTACGAACTTAACGATGTCCTCAACCCACGAACCCGGGCAGTTCATGTCTCCCCAGACCGGGCCTGACAATTCGTTTCCAGTCTCGTAGGCGAAGATGGTAGGATCCTCGGCGTACGTCAGCCCGTTGTATTGATTCTTATGCGTGACTAGCTTCTGGATATAGTCCTTGAAGGAAGCTACAATAGTGGCATTGGTATAGAACTGCTGAATTGCCGGGTTGTTGCTGTCCTGGTTTTGCGTCAGGCTGAGACCGGCCCAACGAAGGAAGGTGTACTTCCCTCCGTGGTAGTAGTCGTAGTTATCCACCAAGGGCACCATCAGCCGGATGCCGAATAGGCCTGCTTGGTAGACGGCCCAATCGATGGCCTCGAAAGCAGCCTCGTTGATGACTCCCAGTTTCGGCATCACACTGAGTGGGTTCCCAACGCTGACGCCAAGCGTGTGTGTCCTGATCATGGTGCCACCAAGAGCTTGAACTGTCGCCATTACGTCGGTAATTCGGCCCTTGGTGGGATAACTCGACTTGGTCGCAGCGTCATATGGTTCTCCTGCGGGAGGCACCACGTTCTCGTCGAGGCCGAGCCAGTAGACATTGGGGCCGACCGCTTTCCACGGCCTGTCATTAGCTAACAACAGAGAGCCTTTGCGCATCACTGGCGCCAGTGTACCGTTCGTGAACTGAGCAACTCTTGCCAGCGCACTCGACGCGAGCATTAAGAATAGGAAAAGCTGCATGTTGAAGAACTATACGAGGGAAGTCTACAGCTCTAAAAAGGAGGAATGAGAGTAGAAGAGATAGCTCGTCGCTATATTAATACTTTGCAGACCAGCATCGCTATCATGGCTGGTTAAACTTGCCAGAGCGCAGCCGGCGTTCAGACCAAGCCCATCTGGTACCGGAGAGCCCCCATCATGAAGGTCAATGTCACCATCATCTCCGCAAAATGCAAGAACTTGCCTGTGCTGGCTCAACCATGGGATGATCTCTGAATGTTCGGCTTGAGACATTGAGGCTCGGTAGATTTGTGAAGGATATTGTCTGCAAGGCCGTGGAGTGAAGCTGTCCGTGTCCTTTTCTGGAATAGATCCGATATCGATCGAGGCTGCAGGGGTTGTCGCCTTGGCTTTCTTGGCAATCTACTTTACATAGTCATACAGTACCTCATTTGGGGATCTAGTACGTGGCGGAGAGTTGGCCGTAACCTTTGGAGAAGTACGTCTTACAGTTTGGTTCGAGATGCAACTCACAGTTGTGGTTCACTCAAGGTCTGGGTGACATGGGCAATGGCCATCTGGTCAGAACTGACCTCTGCCAAATATAGAAGTATTGGGATTGCGATGAGCATACGACCCTCATGTGGCGCAAGCCGTCATTTTATGTTGTTTATGCAACGGTTTTCGGTTGAAAATCCGGGGTATTCACGGTCTAATGATGGATGAACAGGCCGTTGAAAAGTGGTCTTGACCAATCAGAGCCTATTTTTACCAGCGTTCGTGACAAAAGTTACAAGCCTGCAACACCCGGACGGCGTGGGTTGGCTAAGCACCAAAGAAACGAGCCATGAGCTCCGAGACGCCAGCTCTCCCTTCACAGCTTCTTACCTTGCCCAGACGAGAGCTTCATTCTTTCGAGCCCCTAATGCCGACACAATGCTAGGACGAATCTACACGAGGATATCGCCTTCATTGGCTGCGATCCTCATCCTCTGCTTCTTGCTGACAACGGCCGAAGCCTCGCTGGGGGACCGCCTGCCTGAGTTTCGGGAATGCGTCCAGGTACGATATAGAACAGCCGAACTGCGCCTCTGTTCTGAGCTGTAATGCCCGCCCGAGAGGTTACCAAGACTGATCTGAGACCCTTGCAGGTTTGCGCCAGAGAGAATTGCGACCCCAATAACAATCCCACGCGTATCCGTAAGCACGACCTGCCTTCTTGCTGACCGAGTCCTCTCTGTATCAACATGAGCTAACCGACCTGTTGTGCGCAGCTCTCCACCACCGCCTCCTCCTCTGGACCTGCCCGCAAGAATGCGACTACACCTGCCAACACATCATCACATCGCGCCGCCTCGCCCGTGACGAACCCATCGCCCAATTCCACGGCAAATGGCCCTTCACTCGGGTCCTAGGCATACAGGAGCCCTTCAGCGTGCTCTTCAGCCTGGGCAACATGGTCGCGCACCAACACGGGCTCGCCAAGCTGCGCGCCCAGATCCCCGCCGACTACCCGTTGCGCCGGTACTACTGCCTGTTCGCCTACTTCGGTGTTGTCACCTGGATCTCGAGCGCCATCTTCCACACCCGCGACTTCATCTTCACCGAGCAGCTCGACTACTTCGCCGCCGGCGCAAGCGTCCTCTACGGCACCTACTACACCCCCATTATGGTGTTTCGGCTCGACCGGCCCACGCCGCTCAGAAGGAGCATCGTCAGGATGTGGACGGGGCTCTGCTGTGGCTTGTACGCTATGCACGTCATATACCTGAAGATGTGGAAGTGGGACTACTCGTACAACATGGTGGCAAATGTTGTCGTTGGGCTGGTGCAGAATGCGTTATGGACGTACTTCAGCTGGAGGAAGTACACTGAGACGCACCGGTCTTGGGCCATCTGGCCCGGGTGCGTCGTGGCCTGGCTTATGATGATCATGAGTCTGGAACTGCTAGACTTCCCCCCGATATGGGGAGCGCTGGATGCACATAGCCTATGGCACCTTGGTACCATTGTGCCAACTATTGTGTGGTACAAGTGAGTTCATCTACATTTCGCCGTTCACATACTCACCCCCTACTAACCCCTTTTGTTTAGTTTCCTGGTCAAGGATGCTCAGGATGACATTGCTGGAAGTGCTCGATTAAAATCATGAGAGATAGGATCCCAAACAAACATCATTGCCCGGCACAACAGTGATTATGAGGCGTACTGGACCCAGGTTCCAAGTACGCTCTGCGGTTTGCCTCGACGCGGGTCAGTTTTGGAGGACCTTTTGTGTCCCGGGTTGCATGTTACAAATGGCTCTTAGGTTGCACCTCTGGGAGTTGCGGTTTGGCGAAACGCTAGTTGCTAGGAGTGGTCTAATGATCATATGACCTATACCTATAGCACAACATATTCTTCGTTACCATACCCTATCAATGACACTTTTATTCATGTTTTTCTTTACACGAGCTGGACTTGAAATGGTGTGGTTTGCTACTAGCGACCTTTGTTATGGATAGTTGAAAGCGCGGAGTATTGCCTTCGAACTGGCCTACTAACATTTCTGTTGTGTTGACGATTGATACATGTTCCCTTTTAGTGAAAACCGTCCTGAAGTTTATTTTACTTGTGATTTACAGAGCCTTCTCATGCCGGCGTACTTTAGACCGTCCAGCCTTATCCCTTCCCCCGCACCCCACCCCTGGGATACCCAGTCTATGCTCCTTTCCCTTTAAATAGCTGTCTCTAGCGATTTGAAAACATGAGTAATATTATAAACCAGTCAGAATGTGTATAGCCATGTTAGCTGGAGGTACTAAACAGCTATCCTCCCGCCAATGTCATCACAGCAAGGTTCATTCGGCCGGTCAGTCCGAAAAGGGCTACCCGAGCTGAGCTTCGGAGCCAAGGTACCCCCCTGGAAACAAATTTGTATTCTTTTTCAGGCGAGTTTCACCAAGCACCTCCACGCCTAGCTGCAGAGAACCAGGACTTCACGGAATAAATCTTTTCCGATTATCGGTGGAACCAGGCGGTCACGGAAGGCGCATTTCAAGGTTGGACCCTTCAATCGAAAATGGACGAAAAAAATCCATGCCCGACAAGAGAGAACAACGGGCCATTTAATTGTTCACCTCACGTCTCGACGGTCACTTGAAACTATTATTTTCTCAGCAGATTGTACTATAATCTGCGATCATGGCTGGTGAAAAGATGGACGTCGAGCAGGCCGAGCAGGCGCTCAAGAGCATGGCCCATTCCGAGCAGCACTACTTCAATAGGTGAGTTGAGCCTAGTAAACACGGCGTTGATCGTGGAACGTTCTTGCTAACTATCGGGTTCAAACAGTTACAACCACCATGGTAAGCACGCAATTGACTGATTGCAATGATGGATGAATGGCTCTACTAACGTGAAATTCTCATTACTCAGGAATCCACGAGGAAATGCTGGTACGTACATATCTATAAAAAAATTGCCCCGATTGAACTCGTGTATCACAGCTAACACCATATCCCTTTGTCAGAAAGATGAAGTCCGCACGCGTTCTTACATGAACGCCATTGTTCAGAACAAGCACTTATTCAAGGACAAGATTGTTCTTGATGTCGGATGTGGAACTGCTATCCTCTCCATGTGAGTTTTCACACTCTCCTCACTTGAGGCTGCTCATCTTCGCGGATACTCATGCCCCCTGCGCCACCTAGGTTTGCTGTCAAGGCTGGTGCTAAGCATGTCATTGGTGTTGATATGTCGACCATCATCTTCAAGGCCAAGGAGATCGTCGCAACCAATGGCATGAGCGACAAGATCACTCTGATCCAGGGCAAGATGGAGGAGATTGAGCTGCCGTTCCCAAAAGTCGACATCATTATCTCTGAGTGGATGGGCTACTTCTTGTTGTACGAGAGCATGCTCGACACCGTCTTGTATGCCCGTGACAAGTACCTGAACAAGGACGGTTTGATCTTCCCCGACAAGGCAACGATTTTCGTGTGCGGTATTGAGGATGGCGAGTACAAGGACGAGAAAATAGGGTGTAAGTCGCTGGTCTTGGACATGGATGCCAATCTCCACACTCGCTTCTTAGCTGACAACACGTGAATAGTTTGGGACAACGTCTATGGTTTTGACTACTCGCCGCTGAAGGAGACTGCTCTGACAGAACCGCTGGTTGACACAGTTGAGGTTAAGGCCGCTGTCACCGACCCCGCCTCTGTCCTGACGCTCGACCTTTACAAGTGCACTGTAGCCGACCTCGCCTTCTCGGTTCCCTTCAAGCTGTCCTGCCGCCGCGATGACTTCGTACATGCGTTGGTTGCCTGGTTCGATATTGATTTCACAGCCTGCCATAAGCCAATCCGCTTCTCGACAGGGCCACATACCAAGTATACACATTGGAAGCAGACTGTATTCTACTTGAAGGATGTGTTGACGGTGCAGCAAGGCGAGGAGGTGGAATGCAACCTTGAGGTTCGTCCGAACGACAAGAACCGCAGAGACTTGGACATCAGCATCAAATACCTACTCGACACTCAGGACAGCACGAGATACGCTGAGGGTCGATTGGACTACAAAATGTGCTAGAAGTCCATCGTCTTGACCCAATGCATGCTCCAGACCATTCACTGGGGGGTGGATTATCTCAGTGACCTGGCTTTCGTCTTTCGAAAGGAAGACCCCGAGTTACTCGAGGATAGCCAGTCCTGATTGCATTACACAACACTATTGTACATGAGTACATTCTGGGCACTGGTGGCGTTTTGGTCCGGCAGAGGACGGACGACTGAGGAATGGGCTCGTTGTCAAGCCTTTGACACATTGATAGAGGGATCCGACAAGTCGTGACTTAAATGTCAGGAAGACTTGGAATTTAGGGTTCTAGAGACGAAAGGGGCAGGAGATCTGATGACTGACGAGAAACGATACACTGTAGCTCTTATACGTCCCTCGAGATACCACATTTTCGCATCCAGAGGTTGATGGGTCAGTCGGCAGTGGCGTTTATGAGCTGGCTGCTGCGAATGGACTTGTTTTCCATCTGCTATGATTGTTGATATGGATATGCCTAATGACTAACCGTTTGGACCACCCCCCGGGGCCCCATCGTAACACTGATTTTGCTAACAACGCGGTGCGCCCTCCTCCCCTTTCCCTTCAACGCTTCTTTTCTCGACAACTGTGGGAAGCTGTGACCTAAGGTGTGGAGGGGTACGAGGCAGGCAGGCACGGGTTGTAGTATTTAAGGATCGCTCGGGGCCAACTTGGGATTGGTCCCTCACGCACCTTCGTAGTACCAATACAGCCCCCAATACTCGGAATCTGATAACATCCACATGGTAAAGCACTATTCTGTATGAAATTATCATGGTCAACGTAAAAAGGCGCATCGAACAAGCCCGAAAACTTGTATCATTGGGCTATAGTACTAGGTCAGCCGCGAAGAAATTCGGCCTGTAGTCATCAACTCTCTTCACACGCACTGATAGAGGCGTTTCGTGACAGCAAGCCCAGAAGGTTAATCAACGGTTATCTGGTAACTTAGAAGACTTCCTGTTATATTAGATGCTACATGTGGGATTCAGCGCCACCGTTATGCCCTAGGCCGAACGCAGTATATTTGCTAGTGTAGATAGTAAGTCAGACCCTTCCTTCCATCCTTCCTTTCTTAGAGAGCGGGAGCTCACCTTACAGAGCCACTCAACTCCGTACTACGTAGCACAACGCGCAAGCAGGCATAGCGGTCAATACGATATTCATTCAGAATCATCACCAGAGGGCCGATTACCTCACTATAGAAGGAAGCTTACGGGCGTGCACCCTCGGAGCGATTTACTGTCGTATTTGCGCAAGAGATGCTCAAGGACGCGGATAGCCACTGGCCCTTACATTGGATTAACGGCTTTATCAAGCGCATTAAGGCAATCCCTACCAATAGCGGCCGCCCTGTACCTTCCAAGAGACTTCACACTATGAACAAACTTTCTAACACAATACTACATGTAGCCGCTTAACGAGTATAATATAGACAAACTAGACTTAAGAAGGGTGAAACAGAGAAGGAGATGGTTATTAGCCGTTTTTAGTCATATAGGGTAGGCGTAGCTAAGTCAGAAGCAACTATCTATGTAACAGTAGGTACTGTGTAAGGGGAGGCCAGGCACAATTGTCAATTCCTAACGCCAGTAACAATTAGATACAAAGAAAGAAACTTGGCCCTCCAAGTTTTTATGGCTTGTGACAATCTAGGTGCTAATTCCCGAGTGTATTCGCCTCGTTGGCGGACAGATTACTCTCAGCTTTGTATTTAAGAAAAACAGTGCAATAGTGGTTTCTGAGGGATTCAATCCTCTATTGATGACTCTGTGTAGATCCTCTGTTGATTGATCTATCTATCTGCTCTGTTGTGTCTTCTGTGTAGCTATTTTATCTATGAGGAAGGGTTTTGACCCCACTAGTGCAATTGCCGCTACACCGCCTTCGGCCTAGAGCATAACCGTGGCGCTCAATCCCACAGTTTCCGCATAGTGTTACCGAGGCCGAGTTTATGGCGACCTCCTCTAGCAAGAGCAACATTACCATTGCTACGCTAACTTCACTTTCTAAAAACCGAGCTGGCACGGTGTAACGAAACCTCTAATAGTCTAGCTGCGTAAACCACTACAGAGTCTGTAAGGGTTTGTGCGAGTAATTAAGTCCTGCTGCGGAGTTGTGACGGTTGTCACGTGATTGACCTACACTGGTTTGAACAGATTGATAAGTGGTTGCAGATATCAAAGTCCCTGACTTTGGTATTGGTCTCTTTTGGTGAAGACATCTGGTACGGTGGCGTAGTGGCAAGGATTGCAACCCCTAGCACGGCGTGACAAGGTGAGGGATTCAACCCTCAGATGATGACTCTATACAGATCCTGTATTGGTTACGATGCTCGATGCGCAGTGTGATGTGTGTATTGACTGCTCGGAGTGCTATGTAAGAAGTTACATCTAAGGTAGGTAGGCAGGTGCCGACCTTTTTATCTACACAAGCGATTTCACTGCCTTAGGCACCACCTCAGGCACCACCTCAGGCACACATATGGCGCTCAATCCCACAGTAGGTTATAATCATATAAATATATCTTAACGTGGCGTATTAGGCAGAATGTTACACGCAAAGGTGGTCAAAGATTTGTGAGGTTGTAAAAGCATGACATTCTATCTAGTCCTATGGAGCACGAAGGTTGGGCTTAGTCCCGAAGGGCTAAGTCACGTGGTAACCTTGGTGGTCTTGGCAAAGCCCACCAAGGTTGCCTAACACAGAACTTCAGGGATAAACTAAAATAGCGGTTAATATACCGAAGTATAACTTCAAGCACATACTTAAGGAATAACAGTGAGCCGTAAATATATTATTATTATTATTAAATACGCCGTAGGCTCGAAGCCCCCGGTACCTCTACTAGTACTCCCGTATGTCAAACCGTGCCCTAATGGCTGGACTAAATACATACGCTGTGATACGTGACCCCATGGGGGGTTACCCTATAGCTACAGATAAGACAGATAAGATAAGATAAGAGCTATAAAAGAGCTCTGCCAGGCCAGAATAGCTGACCTGGCCATCCTTTTCCAATACAACAATTCACACCCCATATGCACTCGCATCACGCCGCGTCGTCGGTTCGCCCTATTGGCGACTGCGTTGCGTTCACTACCATACTACGTTGGTTCTCAACCTACCAACAAAGTCCCCTCCGTAAATATAAGAATACCAAGTCTAGCTAGCGTTATAATAGCGTATAATTTCTAAATCACTCTACTATTAGAGTTCTAGATGTGACAGGCTTGGCCTGTGCGCAGGAATCTGGCTCTGGGGAGCACAGATCAAACGCCCCACTACCTAAGAGCATACAAATCAGCGCTACCCTACCTCACCGCCATTCCTTCCCTTCCTCCTTCCTCCTTCCCTCTGCATAGTATGATATATACATCAGGGTAGTACAACAGGCTCGTTACATTGTACTGCATCCGTTACACTAGATAACCTGTTAGATAATAATTAACTCGATCAGATCCTATTCTATACTACATGTAAGCTGTGGGACGTTGAAAATAAAGGCAGTAGCGTTTCTTATTACTTACGGACCTTGACGTAGAACGTAGATAAGGGACTTGATAGTAACACGGCTAAGCTAGTGATCTACGTTAACCTAACGCCTAGTTACAAGCTAAACTTAATGGATCTAAGCTAGTCATCCGTTAGGCGGTATAGAATAATCTTCATGAGGTGCGTGTTAACTTTTAAAGTATTTCTTACGCAGAAATAAGCGCTAGAAGTGATTACGGCTAATATAGACAGATAAATGACTATATATTGATAATCGTATTAAAAAGGCAAAAAGCCTTTGAGTAAAAAAAGACATAGATAAAATGGTTGTTAGGTTGTAAATATACTTCAATTATTTAGGCTTGACGTGTAGATAGTTTCCGCAATGTATTGTTACTCCAGGGTGTGCTGCCTCTGGGGGTGCTGCCTCTGGGGATGAAAACATTCACTGTGACTTGTGTTTTTTACTTCATTTAGTTGTCCATACTTCACTGCTCTAGTCAGGTACCGCTCATCGTTTCTATGTATCTTCAGGTGAAAGGGACCGTCTAACCCGTTACCAAACTGTGGTGCAACAGGGAGGTAATCCTTGGTTACACTGATCGATATGCAATTAATTCCAGTAGAGATGAATATGGAATAGACCTGATGATATCTATCATGTTTTATTTCTTGATTCTTAACCTGGCGAAAGAAAGCAAATAATCAAAACGCCGTGGAATTTTGTGGTAGTTCCTCATGCATCGCATTCAGTTCGTAGAGCCCGACACCCCATCCCTCGTCGTCTCGTAGCCTCTGCACTCTTTCCCCTCTCCTACCCACATACGTCAACTAATTTTAGCCGACCAAATAATCGGTCATCGCATCGTCGCAAAACCAAGCGACATCATGACAATGTCGTACGGATTAACCCGGTGCTGCGCCGCGGCCTCCTACGCCCCGCCGTAGTTCTTGACGATAGCAGCGACCTTGTTGGCGAGCTCGTCGGCCTCGGAACGCGACTGCGCCTCGGCATAGACCCGGCAGGCGTTCTCAGTGCCGCTGGCCCGCGCAAACGATCGAGCATTAGTGTATTTCTTGACGCACTGGTCGATTTCGTCCTGGATGCCCACCGGGTGCGATAGCTTACGCTCGGCGTCAGTCGTCTGGAACAGGTCCTTGTTGCCCACTTCGACGCGCACCAGTCGGTTGGGCAGGTCCGAGTACGTCACCGCCCAGTCGCGGAGCGACCATCCCTTATGCGCCAGGATGACTTCCACCATGAGCATGTCGGAGATGGCATCGCCGACGGTCTGGTTGATGAGATCGCCGAGAGCTCGGAGGGTGTCCAGAGCATCCTTCTGGGCGGGGGACTGGGGTTCCTTCTTGGCAAAGGTTTGCATAGCTTCCGTCGAGAAGAGAACGGTGCCGTGGCCGTTGGCCTCAAAGTACACGCCGATGTCGAACGCGCAGGCTGCATGGTGCAAATGCTTGACGCCAGTGGGTGTGCAGACAACGGGAAGCTGGAGGTGCTTCTCGATGTACTTGGTGCTTGCACCATTGGCATAAGCCGTCTGGACAACGCCGATGCGCAGATCCTCGTCGAGACCGGCGGTGCGGAAGAGATCTGCGATGAATGAAGCTGCCAGGGTGGCAATGCGGTCACCGTCAAACATGAAAAAGCCAGACTCGGGATCGATCCAGTAGTACATTAAACGGTCAGCATCACCATCCAGAGAGCACCATCTGTCACCAGGTTGCGGCTTGGGATTGGGCGGCGCTCTTTGTCTGGTCTTGACGTAGTCGGCACCGCAGTCGAGATTCAAGACCTCGGGCCTGAGTACGTCGTCATTGACCACCTTGCAGTCGAGTCCAGTCTTTGAAGAGTCAACGTGCTTGAGCAACTCCTTCAGCTTCGGACCACCAACGCCATTGGCACAGTCAACAGTCAGAGATCCAGTTACCCTCTTCCCACGCAGGCAACGCTGGAAAGCATCGTTGAGCTTCTTGTAGTATCCAACTTCGCTAACTTCGCCATACGAGGAGGGAGTTCCCTCGGTGTTGATGCATCGAGTCAGATAGTGCAGCTGGGGTGTGGTCAGGACCTTGAAGTCGACAATGGAGGTGTTGGTGGCGTTGGAGGCATCGATCAGCGACTGCATAAGGGTGATGCCCGAGGGACGGGTGTCCCTCCCGGCCACAATCTTTCCAGGTGACTTGAGGTCTATCTTAAGCTTCTCAGCGATCTTGAAGAAGGTGTCGGCGAGCACCTCGTGAGAAGGGCAGTTGACGAGCCCTGTTGCAAAGACCTCCCACTCCTGCTCCAGCATGTCGCCCATGGGGTCGACAATCTTAACACCATTGTCCTTGGCAGGGTTGTGGCTGGCCGTTATCATGACACCGATGGCCTGGCCGTTGAGCTTTCGGCTCCTGAGGGCAGAGAGAAGACCGACTCGGAAGGTGATGCCGTCGAGGAGATCCGAGTTCATGCGGAAGCCGGCAGTACCATACGTGTAGTACTTGCCTCCCTCGAGAGGCACAACGTCGTGCTTGCGCGAGGCAGCAACGATAGTCTCTCGATCCATCGTGTCGAACGTTCTGCAAGGTCTAGGAATGATTGGGCAAGTAAGCTTTTTACTTATGTGTGTACCTTAAGGTAGATCAGACGAGCGGTGGGAAAGAAAATGTGGCAGATGACCAAAGGACCAAAGTTGGAAAACAGGAGGAGATCCAAAGGCGAGATGCAGAAAGAATGCCAGCAATTGTCGGCCGTCCAGAAATTACGAAGAAGCTGAGATACTAAGGCAGTGCTGAGCAGGTTGATGAGAGAAGCTGAGTACACTCGGGGAAGAATTGAGCTTTGAAGTCAGCTGCAATGCCCCTCCCCCTCCTTGTTCAGCGCTGCTGCCCCGCTATTACGTTGCGACAAAAATAGATCCAACTCGATTCAACGGGAATATTTAAGTGATGGCAATAAAACAATGGACACCTGCGACCAAGTGTTCATCCGATGATCGGATGAATGCCATCCTCATATCCATCTCCAAATTCCTTACTAATCTCAACTACTGTTCCAACATATAGGAACATTATAATTAATTCCATCATGGGCTGTGAAGTATATGAAGTAACTATACCTAGTTATGCCACTTGCATTGAGACCCCTGTCAGCTGGTCCTTGCAACAGCGGGGATGGATGGTACTTTAAGCTCGAATGCCGATCAGAGTCATGTGCTCTGGCGCTTTGTTCTTGACGCGGAACGCGTGTCGGCGTCATGACAACAACTGCAGCCTTTGGTTTGGCCGTACGAAGTATGTGACGGGGCAAAACTCCATCCTTTTGCTCGAAAACTGGCGTTCTTTTATTGCCATTGCTTCTGGCTTGCCTTCAGAGGCTCTGTCACGCATCGCAGAGTTTCGGCATCATGCCTTCACAGGGTTCCGAGGAGCACATCCGAAACGCCCTCTATCTGCAATGGCTCAAGGAATGGGAGGACCAGGCTCGGCAACACAATAGCAAAGGCGTGACTGTTTACAGACGTGCCTATCATGCCCTCAAGGCTTGCCCTATTACCTTTACGCATCCACATCAGTTGCAGCAACTCAAGGGCTTCGGGGAGACCTTGTGCAAGCGGCTCACCCACAACCTTGAGAAGCATTGCGAGGAGAATGGCTTGCCCATGCCCCTGAAAAGAAAGCTGAAATTGCCTGGCCAGCCTGACGACGACGATAATGGCGATGCCGAAGCGAGGCCCGCCAAAAAACCGCGAAAGACCAAGCCCTATGTTCCGGCTTACCGGTCAGGGGCGTATGGTTTGGTCATGGGGTTGGCTAGAGCTGGAAGCTCGGGAGGACTGACCAAGGATAAACTAATTGAGGCAGCCCAGCCTCATTGCGACGCCTCTTATACTGCACCTAGCGACCCAACCAGTTTCTACGTGAGCGTTTCTCGCAGTTTTGCTTTCTTCTTCTTTCCTTGTTCTGTCTCAGCGATCCGTAGAAAGCGACCACTTACCGTCCCGAGACGTGACATGATCCTCCGAAGCTGGGATATGAAGAGCATTTACTAACACCGGACCATGAGCAGACTGCCTGGAATTCCATGAAAACTCTGCTACAGAAAGATGTGGTCGATGAACGAGGACGGCCTACAAGAAAGTACTCTCTGACGGATGAGGGATGGGAAGTCGCCAGCAGGATCCAGCAAACCCTTAACCCAGATGCTGCCCCCCTTGCCCCTCTTGGAAGGTCGGGGTCCGCAGCTCAGGTGGCTCAGAGCGCTGTATCCGATTTAATGCCAGCCGAGAGATCGCATTCCATAGAAGTTGAGCCATCGCTGCCGCCGGCATTCGCATACGCTGATGTAGTGCCTGATGGGAATACAGCATCTACCGAGCTGGCCATCCCAAGTTTCCGGCCCCAGAGCCTACCACCCGGGAGCTTCACGGTTCACCTGGTACTGGATAATCGAGAAGTTCGAGCCAAGACGGACCGTGACTACATGCAAATCGAACTCGCAAAGAAGGGGGTCACGCCCATCGTGCGTCCACTCGAGGTCGGCGATGCATTGTGGGTGGCCAAGTGTCATGATCCCAATTTTCTCCGAAGAATAGGAGCCGAAGGAGATGAACTCGTCCTTGATTGGATTGTCGAAAGAAAGAGGCTTGATGACTTGATCGGTAGTATCAAGGACGGGCGATTCCATGAGCAAAAGTTTCGCCTCAAGAGGTCCGGGGTCAAGAATGTCATCTACATTGTGGAAGAGATGGCAATTGATCCATCCAACAAAGAGAGATACGATGAGATGGTGCGGTCTGCCATGGCGTCTACTCAGGTGGTTAATGGCTATTTCCTGAAGCAAACCCAAAAAATGGACGACACCATCCGTTATCTCACCCGCATGACGTTGCTCCTGAACAAACAATATGAGAGCAAGTCTTTGCTGGTAATACCGACCGAAGTCCTGACGGCACGAAACTATCTGCCCCTGCTGGAGGATCTGCGCCAAAAGAAGCCGGAAACTGGGCACTACATCAGCTACGACGCGTTTGCTTCGCTGGCGTCCAAGTCTGATATGATGACGCTCCGAGACGTCTTCCTGAAAATGCTCATGTGCACAAAACAAGTCACTGGCGAGACAGCCATCGAGATACAAAAGCGCTGGAAAACCCCGAATGAATTCGTTAAGGCCTTCGACCGGCTGGGGCCTGGTGCAGAGGGCAACAAACAGAAGCGGGAGATAGTGTTTGGCGAGATGGGGAACTTGTACGGAAGGAGAAAGGTTGCAAAAGCCCTCAGCCACAAGATTGCAGAGATATGGGGAGATGCATGAACACTTACTAGAGTTGTACATGTCCATATCATCAGTCGGCTTTCAGCACAACTGTCGGTCTATATGTAGAGTATACATCAAATTACGACAACATAGATACCCAAACTTCGACGAGATAACCTAAGCATGTGCGCCCATCGCCTGCGCAATGAGATTCTGCACCATCTTCTCCACGATTGGCTTCAGCCCATCATCGCCTTGCGCGCCCATGTAGCCTGCCATGCTCTTCTCAGCGTATTTGGCCAGCACGTCCACTTCGACGTTAACCGTATCCCCAATCTTCTTCTGCGCCAACACGACCTTCTCCTGCGTATACGCAATCAGCATGACCTCCCACCACCCCACCTCATCGTTTACTTTCGTAATCGTCAAGCTCGTCCCGTCCAGCGCAATGAAGCCCTTGAATACGACATAGCGCATGACGTCCTGCGACCGCGGCGTGAACCGCAGTGTCACCGCATTGCCGTCCTGCTCAATCTTGCTGATCTCGGCGACGGTGTCAACGTGTCCCTGCACGAAGTGTCCGCCCATGCGTGTGTCGGCCCGCACCGCGCGTTCGAGGTTCACCTTGGAGCCTTGCGTCAACACGCCGAGGTTCGTTAGGCGCTGGGTTTCGGGCGCGATGCCGACGGTGAAGGATGGTGGGGAGGGGGTGATGGAGGTCGCGGTTAGGCACACGCCGTTGATGGCAATGCTGTCGCCTAGCTTGGCGTCGGAGAGGAGGGTCGACGAAGTGGGGAGGGTGACGGTTAGGGAGGTGCCGCCAGTTTCGTCGCGAGGGTTGAGCTCGGCGACCACTGTGGTGGTTTGGTGATTAGTAAGAGATGGTGGACGTGCAGAACGTGGGGCATTGTAATCAGGAGGATCGAGGAAGGTACTAACCGCCTATCTCCTCTACCAGGCCGGTGAACATGTTGACGGTGGACCGGTGACAAGATCCTTTCGAAGGGGATATCGAGTTGTGATGTTGCAATGATGATGTTGAGATTTAAAAAACACCGCACCTAGTCCCGCCACCAAGCTCGCGTCGCCCCGCGATCTTGAAACTTTGGACCTTGAGCTCTCAATTCGCAGCGGTATCGGCTCGTGTCTAAGTACTCTGTAAATGTAGCTTAATCCTGGCTTTTCTGAATACTATGGATGGATGCTTGTATGCTCATTGTGGCAGTACTGGAATTAACAAAAATCTGATGTCCATGGTCGGCACATATACATCTGATGTTTTAATGCAAGGGACCATGCACTGGTCATACTTGAAGCAGCTAGGTACTTAGTCTCAACAACGACGAACCTCGCCAGGCATGAAACCCGATTGTTTTATGGCGATAGTACATTTTAGGCAATTACCACGTTCTAGATGCCTTGTGATTGGGCAGGACCAAAGGACGACCAAAAGCAGAAGGTGGATTCCTCACGATTACCTGCTCAAGTGTACTGTACCAAAATTGCTCTGCGCGCAAACGCCATCGTTTTGACTAACTCCAACCACGCCCGAACTCTTTGGCAACTTCAACTCGCGGTCCCATTTGGATACCTAGCCGTGGTTCCTTTTGGAAGACCCACCCCCAGACTCATCGTCTTTTCGTCTCAAAACAGCAAGCACCAATGATCATGGTGCCGGTGTGATGGAGCCACCTCTGAAGGACAAGATCGCCTTCTTCCAACGCCTCGAATCTCTCCAGGACGACGGAGATGATGGTATTGATCCGGAAGAGGAGATTCGCAGACAGAGAAGCAAGTCTTTTCTAAAGGCCTCGGTCAACGCGCGTTCCTCGGGCAACATACAGGCGTCGCGTGCGGACACCAGAAGGGTTGCATTAGAGCCTACGCCGCAGAGCACCGAGGTCGTTATTATCCCCGATACCCCTCAGCCCACTAAACGCGCTTCCAAGGCGTCGAAGTCGAAAGTGGCTTCCGCGAAGCTAAATAACGCATCAGACACGCCGGTGCCTGAAACCGCTCAGCCGCGCAAAGCGGCAGCGCGTAAAATCACACACCCTCTGCTACGCAAAAAGCAATCAGCACCACGATCTTCAAGTGAAAACGAGAGTTCGCCATCGGCGAACAAGATGATAAAGCGCAAGAGGGGAGGACCTGCGTTCCAACTAGTCCCTGAAGCACAAAGGTGTTTCACGGGCTTGCATTTCTACTATATTCCCAACGATGATGTCAATCCCGTACGAAAAGCTCGCATCAAGAAAGCTAAAGAACATGGCGCGACGTGGACTAGGGGCCTGGAGACTGCCACCCATGTCATTGTGGATAAACAATTTACGTACGCCGACATTGAGAGCACCTTAGCCAAGGCGGCTTGCACTACTGACAAGATCATTGTCAACGAGACCTATCCGCTCGATTGTCAGGGGTACCACGCTCTCGTCAATCCAGACCAACCACACTACAAGGTGCCTGGTTTCCCCTTAGCTGACACGCCTCAAGCTTCCACGTCAGAAACACCAGCTGATCTACCTGGTCAGTCTCAAACGTCAGAACAGTCGCTGGAGTTGAAGCCACGTCGTAACGCCCCCTTGACACGGGCCTACGTGCCGCCACGCGCTACACCGGAGCGGAATTGTGGTTCACAGAGAAGCCCAGAGCCCAGAGCAACTCAAGTCATACCTTCATCCCTTCAGGGTAAACGGCACAATCCGGCAAGTCCTGAACCAGATGACCGAGCTGCCTCCGCTAAGCATCAGTCCAGCAACTCATCACCACCGGGTCCAGAAGATGAGCTCACCAAGTACATGAAGCTGGCTCGTGATCATTTCAGTGACTTTATTCTAGACGATGAAGAGGAGGTATTGGCAACCGTCGATGGAGGGGCAGAAACAGGCAGTTCCGACGAGGAACGCCAAAATAAGAAGCAGCGATCCACGAAAAAGCCGGTTAAGTATGCAGATAATGACGTGTCATGGCAAGACAAATTTGCGTGTATGAAAGGCGGCACGGAAGGTTCCAAGGACTCTGACAGTCCCAACGCAAGAACCATTGAGGTTCTGCAAAGCATGTGCGACTACTACAGTCGTGTTAATGACCACTGGCGCGTCAATGCTTATCGCAAAGGCATCGCGACCCTTCGTCGGCTGAATTGGAAAGTCACTACATACGAAGAGGCATTCCCCCTTCCCGATATTGGCCACCGACTGGCACAGAAAATTGAAGAGATCGCTACAACGAATCGACTGCTAAGATTAGAGTATGCTCAACAAGATTCCGTGGCCGAGGTCCTGGACCAGTTTTTGAAGATCTATGGCGTGGGCCTGAGTCAAGCAAACAAGTGGATTTCTCAGGGATTTCGGACCATCGAGGATCTCAAAAAGCAGGCAAATTTGACCATAAATCAGCGGGTAGGGATTGAGCACTACGAGGATCTGAACACGAGAATACCCCGCCAAGAGGTACAAGCCTTGGGCGATTGCGTCAAAAGAGCAGCCGCAGCCATCGATCCAGCCGTGGAGTTGCTGATTGGAGGTAGCTATCGAAGGGGGTCGGAAAGCTCGGGTGACATTGACTTCATCATCACCAAGACAGGTACAACTTCTACTGACGAGCTTGTCCCGTTTCTCGACAAGCTAGTCCGCAAGCTGGGCGACGATGGTTTCCTTACGTGCACCCTTGCCGCTCTTCGCCACAGCGAGACTAAGAGTCAGGGTAGTAAATGGCATGGTTGTTGTGTGTTGCCCCAAAGTGACTTCCCTGGCAAAACCGACGAGCACCGCCCTATCTGGCGACGAATCGACCTCCTCTTGGTCCCAGAGACGGAATTCGGCGCTGCCGTAATCTACTTTACCGGCAACGATATTTTCAACCGGTCCATGCGGTTGCTGGCATCCAAGAAAGGAATGCGGCTTAACCAGAGGGGGTTGTACAAGGACGTGATGAGAGGCTTCGACCGAGTCAAGCTTTCAGAGGGCCAGCTGATTGAAGGAAAAGACGAAGAGAAGATCTTCGAGATCTTGGGCGTCACGTGGCGAGAGCCGCATGAGAGATGGTGCTAAGCCGGATTGTGGCTCGGCTCGACGACTGCAGAGCGAGAGTGACTGCGACGATTCTGGTATCAGGTGGCGAGCAGTTGAGGAACAATTGTGCCGTGTCCCGGTTAGACTTACGGTTATAAGCATCTATATAGAAGCAAGGTAGGAGAGGCTCATGAATGGAGCCATAGCTGGTTGATTACATGGGAGAGGATCATGAGATGGTAGCTAGCCATGGTAATGGCAATGCTTAGTACTGTATGATGCAATAAGAAGACCCGAATAGCCAGACGTGCTTATGCGCTGGATGCGCTTTCTCAAGACAATATGAGTGACAATTTCCTATTCTTGCTCGATAGACTCGGTTGGGTTTCAAACCTCCTCCGTCTGTACGAGCGATCAATATCCTTCTCAAATGGCGGGCGGCAGCACACTGAGTTGGTGGAGTGTGACGTAGACCAACCATGATTCGTGTCTAGCGGGCCAGTGCCTCAGCTAAAGAACCCGCTGCGACGTCGAGGTACTTCGTTCCTCCTTCTGTTTCGTTATTTCGAACCCAGCCGATTGGGAAGTATGCTTGTTACGGCGCTGGGCCCATCATAGCAAAGTCTTCGGGGAATGGACATGGCGGCTCCTTCTCTGGCCGGGGGAATTCGGTGATGTGCATACTATGATAGCCACGTTATGACGGGCGCTGAAGGGTAAGCGAACTGGATTATCCTAGGAAGTTCTCGTATGCATAGCCATTCCGGTGGTACATGAAAGCACGAGAGCCACGTGAAAGTATGACAAGATGTTTAGATCTGCGAATCTGTGCAATGCCTTGCCATATGTAACCATTGAAGCATTTTTTTATTCAATGCCAGTTTCTAGCTGGCTCCTGGGCTGGGTCCCCATTGCTGCGCTGTGGACAAGGCTCTTTCAGAACCACGTTATCCTCTTTGCCATAAAAGGGAAAAGCGCCGCAGCTAGAAACGGTAAGGTAGTGCCTGTCCACGGTCAAATGGTATCAGGACACGAACGGCGGGACTTGGTGTATAGAACAGCTGCTGAAGAGCACCTGGCCGCGCAAGGATCCTCCAGATAGTCAGAATAGCGTTTTCTCTAATCGCTAGACTACCTGCCTAGAAAGTAGCCACGAAGCTCGAAGCCAATGGTATACAGAAGGCCGTCAATGTCATGAGATGTGGAAACGAGGGGAAGGAGCAAGGCTGATTGGGGGCAAGATCAAGCAACAAAATACCAACCTGTATCAAACCAAGTCTCCCAACATTCAATCCAAAACCATAGATGATAGTCTCTAGCTCGCATCGAAGTCCCATCCTGTAAGACGCTAGCCACAGGAAACCCGCATGAAACTGCCAAACTAAGCGGTGTCCGATAACCAAGTAATTCCAGGAAGACCTAAATACTATGTCGCCGCATTTTCAGCTACGTTCAGCTAGTATGGTTTACTTGGAAGTTGAACGCCGTAGAGCAAATCTCACGGAAGAGGGTTATAATAGCGGAAAGAAATGATAGTGCCTATACACTATCTAGTTTCTCAATAGCAAAGAGAAATCGGTATTCAAGTTTGTGACTTTCCGTGAGCCTCGGGTATCACCGACCTTAGTGTACTTGAATTCCACGACAACGGGGCAAGTGTAGATCCCTTGCCTTTATTAGCAAGCTACCCTCGGCTCGTACGGGGCAGTCCAGGCTGCCTTTTAAGGGGATTCCGTCGTTTTGGGCAAGTAAACTATAGTTAGTCAACTCTGATATAGAAAGCGAGCCGCTTTCTAAATAGAATGTCGATAGAATGGTGTCTATGTTGTATCTTTTGATCATCCTTGTCTTTCTCCTTCCTAGTCATATAATCCTGAAGACCGTAGCCTAAGTAGTGGTTTGTTCACTCCCTTACTCTTAGTGGTCGTGGGTACTCTAAATGGTTGTGAATAGAGCGGGTGATCCTGTAATTACGCACGCGGGAATTTCATATCATCTATGTACAGGGCTTTTCATCGGACATAGTCTACCTCTACTCTAGAAGGATACATAATAACTCGTGCCGCGCCTAGGATTTGTCTCGATCCCGCTCCTATATCAGAGTTAAAGCGATGTGAATAGTAATAGGGATGGTGCCCGAAGACTCTGTTAGGCTCGATCGGCTGCATATCACGATTAATAGGTATAAAGTGAGGGACATGAGAAGCGAGGCCCTTAAACGTCTAGTTTAGGCATTAGCTTGGTTCGGATCCGAGAGGAGCGGATAGTTTACTTACCTCTGGGTGTGGTTAAAATCCGTCGAGACCAAAGTCACACCGAAAATCACTTAAACAATGTTACTGCTGGGAGGGAGAGCTAGAGATAGACTACAGTCAGGCTGCGGGGGAATACCCTACAGAAGCACTATCGAACTCGTCCACTTACAGCCGGCTGTTAGCTCAGATGTAAGTACGTAATTAAGGCTGATATCCACAGCCCCATATGTTGAATCCAGCGTCCACCGTGCACACGCCCATTTCGACTCGAAGGAATGAAAACCAGAGGCACGAGATTGACTGGGTGAACGGAACTGAGAGTGTAGGCCTAGATCAAGAAGCCAATGCAAGAAAGGGGGTTGGAGAATATCCAATAACTGAAGGAGAAGGTATGGATCTGGCATTCCTGTCTCGTCAATTTGGAGGCAGTTCCTTGGTAGAAAGACTAAGCAGACACCCCACAAACAGTGTAAGACTTCATCCCAGCACGCTATGAGGTACGTTGGCTTGCTAGGGTGGGCGCTGTTGCGAGGCGGACGATGGCTCGAGCTGGCTGCGAATCGTTGGTTTCGCATTCGCCTTCCCGTGGCTTTTCTACGGGTACGATGACTCGAGCTCGGCGTTGTTGATTTTGCGGTCGCCTTCTCGTGGCTTTTTTACCTGTACACCTGGCCATGCTCGGATGACTCGAGCTGCGAATTCTTGATTTGGGGCCATGAGTTAGGTCAGACTTTCTAGATGTAAAGCTGTGATTCATTGAGACTCGAGAGAAACTGGGAGAAAAGCCGTTCAGCTTCGTCACAATACATGTTAACCCTCATTGCGCGGGCAAAGAATAGTAGGCATGGGAATAAAATGTCTTTACTTAAATTTGGCGCCGCAACGAAATACGGCGACACGAGAGAGCCAAAGGCAGCCCGGGCAGGCCGTCAAGACATGGTAAATAGCACTTGCGCTCTTGGGTAGCAAAGAAAAGTATATTTCCGAAAACAGCTACAATGGTAAAGAACACTACACAGAGCCCTTTACGGGACGTCCTAGTTCTTTAAGGACAGATGTACTTGCGACCTAGCAATATTCCTACCATATTAGCAATTAAGTGCTGGTTTACCGCCGCATTGGATTTCAGACATCAGCTTATATGTCGTACACCGACAAAACGCTTGCGCTTGTCAGAGTTGGTCTACGACTTTGTTCATCTCTGGACAGACCTGAAGTGACAAATGTCAAGTGCTGTGGGTGTGACAACTACCTGCGGCGGAGGTCGGGTTTAATTTTGACTAAATTGAGAATCTCAACCTCGTTCCACCTCATTCCGAGACTTCACTATTGGTCGTGTACTTCGGCGACACATCATTCATACTCGCGGGCTCGGGTAACTATACACAAACCAAGCATGGGATTTCGCATGTGGTGTTGTGGGACACAGACATAGCTGATTCGACAGCATCGAGATATGGTACGATATATGCCCAGAGGGAGACAGTCTTCCCCCTCCCCTCCTCCCCCACATCTCTCTGCAGCTCCAGTACATATCGCTCATCTATGGGGCAAACCCCCAAAAGGTACCCCAACCCATCAATCATCCAATGCATAACACAATGCAAGGCAAGGCAGACTTCCTTCCGTTTGACCTTGTCGAGCAGGACCTGATTAATAAAAACCCCAGCGACGAAGTATATGCAAGGCCCCGAGGTCCCACGGGGGTGTCGCTGAGTTTCTTGAACTTATAAATTTGTAGCAAACGGCAAGATGCCTCCCTAGCAATCATCCAATCAAACAAAGAGCTACTGCGCATGTAATTGCGACGGCCCAGCGTAGATCCTCGTATCCATCAGAGGGATGCTATTCTTTTCCCTCGGATCGAAGGGGTTCGCGTCACCCGAGTAACGGCTTTGTCCGTCGCCATCCATGTCATTGAGCACTTCTCGGGTCAACTCGACGTAGTCGTATGCGAACTCGCCAATCTCGGCGTCGTCGATACCGAGAATTTCGGCGTCCTCGGTCGCACGTATTTGAAGGCCAGGAATCATGTTCATGATGAAGAGAATGAAGCAAGTACCGACGAAGGAGTAAGAGCCCCCGGCGAAAGAGTCGGCCAATTGGTAACCCAGCTGGATCCAGTTCTGGTTCAGCCAGCCTCCGTTAATGACTTGGATGTTGTCCAAGTGGGCAATGTCGGCCCGGGCGAAGAAAGCGGTGCAGATGTTTCCCACGAGTCCGCCCATTCCGTGGACGGCAAAAATATCTAGGGCATCATCAATGCGCACAAGGAACTTGAGCTTCGTCGCATAATTGGAGAAGGCTGCTCCTAAAATCCCATAGGGGACGGCAGCCCAAACAGGTACGTAACCTTCACAATCAAGTAAGCATAATGAGCAAACCAAAACGGGAGATTCGTATTCTCACCTGAACCGGGTGTGATGGCAACCAGACCAGCCACGACACCAGAGCAGAAACCGACCGTCGACCACTTGCGCTCCAATCTGTAGTCAAGGATACACCAGGTGATGCCACCAACGCAAGCCGCCAGGTTGGTCACAGTCGCCGCAATGACAGCACGCATGTTGGCCGAGAGCGCAGAACCGGCGTTGAAACCGAACCAGCCGACCCAGAGGAACACGGTACCGATAACAATATGCGTGACATTGTGGGGTCGGTAGTTCAGCTCGTGAGTTCCGTGACCACGTCTCTTTCCCAGCATCATCGAGTACGCCAGTGCCGCGGTGCCAGACGAAATGTGCACGGGAGTACCTCCAGCGAAATCGAGGCCTCCCATCCTGTTGGACCACCCGCTCGGGTTCCATGTCCAGCATGCAATGGGATCGTAAATAACCGTGGCCCAGACGAACATGAAGATGACACAGGGGAGCATCCGACCACGCTCGGCAACGGCACCGGTTGCCAGGGCCACCGTGATAGCCGAGAACATGCCTTGGTAGACGGCAAATAGCAGATCGGGAAGTCGGGATGAACCCACGGAGGGCTGGGCGAGAACACCCTTGAAGCCGAAGTTGGCCAGGTCACCAATGAAGGGGCCGGCGGTGTGCGAAAAGGTTAAAGAATAACCCCAAAAGAACCATTGAAAGGTGGTCACGGCCGTGGCCATGACGGAGAGCCAAATGAGTGATAAAGCCGATTTTCTTCGAGCGAGTCCGGAGTAGAAGAAGCTGTACTGATGTGAGTGGAAAGGTTCAGCGCAGGATGAGCTGGATGGGCAGTACTGACCCAACACCGGGAATCATAAGCAGCACGAGGGCTGTTGATGTGATCATCCACGCGATATCACCACTCTCATACCAAATGTTCAAGTTCGTCGTGACGGAATCCCCGCCGCTAGCTCCCGTGCCATTATATGGGTACAGCTGTACATACGGCAAAGCGTCGAGGTCGACGCCTTCGATGACAACCATCTTGAACGAACAAAAGACTCAGCAATCGGGGCCGACAAGTCAGAGAAGATCAAGGAATAAGCGTCGAGTGGTAGTGACGGTACGGCCTCGACGGACGTCTGAGCCAACAACTAGGTAGTGGTGTCCAGGAGAGCGTCCAGAAGAAACAAAGCCGGGGAAGGGCTGTTTGCAGTGGGATGGCCTTACATGAAGTACGGTCTTTGAGACGAGAGGGCCAGCGTGGGACAGGGCGTGGCTAAAATTGCGCTAATGCGCGTGGCGATAGACCCTGGGGGGGTACCCAAGTTTGGCAGAGTTTCCTCAACTACGAGAAGAAGCAACCACATTAGTCGCCGAGCAGAAGGACTTGTCGACTGACGCAGCAGCAACTACTGCTAAACTGGCCTTGCAATGAGAATTCAAGACCAAAAAAAGAGCGACGACAGATGGGCGCGCCCAAGGACATTCAGATATGCTCGTGGCGTAGCCAGACCTTGACCTTGAGAGAGAGTGAGATCGTCCCCCTTCGTCGGGGGTTCGATATGCAAAATACGTAGCTTACGATGCAGCATCTGACAGATGCGCACATCGCAACCGCGTCTTCTTCCACACGTGCTTACCTTTTGGGTAGGAGATTATATCGTTGTTGGCGTCTTGTATGGTTCTTGACTCTGCGGTCCCTCAAGTTGCATGGCCGCAGGCAGGGACCCGACATGGTACACCGCACCCGAGGTTGTACAGCTGCATCTTAATTCGCAGAGCCAAAAAAACGTCCAGTCGTCATTAACAATGCATAATGCGACCGGCCGAGTGTAGGGCAGTTCATTCGTCATCGTCTATCGTCAGCGAACGAAACAGAGTTGCGATAAGATTGAATTAGTAGCAAGCTTTTAAACACTGCAGGGGATGAAAGCCAACAGCTGAAGTCATGCTAGAGACTGCTGGGGTTGCTCGGAGATGGGCAGCCTTGTCATGCTTGGCTGGCTTTGGGCAAGAGTCCCAATCGAGAATGGAAGCTGCAAGAAGGTCAATATCGTCACAGGGGTACTGCTGGCTCCCACCGCGAAAGAACCGGGGCGCAGCACCAGCAATTTGTTTGTGTAAAGATAAGAATCTCCCCCCCTCTGATTGGATGGAGCTGCCTTCTTGGGTGGCCGTTGCAGAAAGACCATAAATTGGCATGACAGAACAGCAATTGCAACCGAAACTCACCACTACAGCTTAACTTTACTTTGCTTCCAATTAGAGGCTCTAGGCCCTCCAGCAAAAGGAAAAATCTGACATTGACTTTGGTCAAGGTGGGCCTCAATACGGGATTGCCGGCAGTCTGTGAGGCAATCAGGTGACGGTATCTCGGCTTCGCAGCAGGATTGGGCAACCCTCGGAAGCAGAGCTGCAGGGCATCCGACATCCGTTTCATTCTGGGCGGCCTTCGACGATGATCGGTATCTTACAGGGGGGCGCCCATTGTCCATGACGGGGGAGGCCTTCTGGGATACCTTAGACGATCTCCCCGCGTGCCACAACCTTAAGGGACGGCAACTCATGGCTGTGAAACGTCCACTGAGGTTTCGTGGTACGCAATGTGACTAAAACTGCCTGGAAGAGCCACGGGTACGCATCGTATCTTACGTAGCAGCCATGTGTGGGTGTTTTTCCGGGGAGAATAGTGCAGCGCCGCCTATACACGTCGCTATGTAAGAACGTTTCAACTGAAGCGGACAAGGAGGGGGAGCCTCTGCAGGTAATCGCAACCATCCGTAACGTGCTCTGCTCCTCAACCCCTCCGCCCACCGTACCGATCCCCCGGCGCCCTAGCCCAAGCCACGATATGCTGCACGGTTGCCCGCATCCCATTCGGGGAGGAGGAGAAAAAGAGGATGCTGTGGTTGAGCATGCACTACATATTACGGTTGGGAAAGTTGTATCATGTCTGCCCCTGCATAGAGATTGCAGGCTACTGTCAAGGTAGTATGTGACCTACCAACCTTTCCTCCTATCGCAGTGGCAGTTAACGAGCAAGCTGCAAATGAAGAGATTTGTCAGTCCACTCGTAGACCATTTCGTGGGCTTTTCTTCTGACAGGCTGATCGAAAATTCTTCTTCGGCTGGTTCTCGCGCCTAGCGCTGATCTCCCACCCTAGTCATCTCAAGTTTCAATAGCGTGACGGCAGTCGCAAACTCAATTGAAGTCTCGCTGTTGATCTTGATTTACGGCAAGCGAGATACATTAGGATTCATTATGCCGAATCCTCGATGCTGCGCCTCAGCTGTGCAGATACTGGTTTTCTTTGAAGACTCATTGCAGCCAAACTTATCCGTTCGACAGTTGCAACGTACAATATTTGTATCTAGATATCCATCACATAGCAACATTTTATTCCAAATTTGTAGCATGCACGTACTAGTACTGCGGCTCTTACAGATGGGGAACTGGGGAACTATTAGGTTTGAGATCGTCAGCGCTATGGGGTTGTCTTACAGCTTCCACGAGGCTTTGGAGACACAACTTCTGACCTGCATTCGGGTAGCTAGTCCCATGCAAGCTTTTCCTACTTCGGTCAAATACTAGCCGAGCTTCTGTCAACCGGCTCCGTTTTCTGTCTTACACGATCAGAGTCAACGGCTGCCCGTTAAGACTCGTATGGATAGATAGCGCGATACAAAAGCTCTGTTGACACATCCATCGTGGGGCAAGTGTAACCACACGTCGTGCCGCTCATGCCTATTTTGTGAGGCGAAGGTCAGGTTGGACTTTGGGGAATAATACTTGGCGACGGGCAGGCAGTCTTGGCTTCGGCGCCAGTCAAACCATCAACAACTCTATCCGGCCATCTATCGATATACAGGGACGCCATTAGATTGACGGCACTACGGGCAGATCAACTAGGCATTGCCGAAACAGACGGCCGATACGAGGCGACCTTCTGTGTTAGGAGAACCGATAGACGACCGTTGCACGCATGCCAAAATGTGACCTGGCTAATCGAGACAACAACGACAACAAAACTCCTATCATGGCGCCACTTTCTCCAACAATAATCACAAGCGGGTGCAGATCTCGAACCATCCAGTCACAATCGACCTCGCAACGTCGCATCGTAAAGGGTCACTTGCACGAGTGTCCTACACCGCACCATCACACCCATTCCTCCAAGCCGAAACCCATCGGACTTATATCAGAAGCAAGAACTGCGAATCCTATTCCATCTTGAGATTCTGTTCTCTCAACTTCCTCTTCATGTTTCTTCGTAGTCTCTAGATGACCGTGCTAATCCAAAGCTCCACACGCTTAATCCCCCCCTTGGCAAGTATGTATGAGTGAGTGTTTTGGCTTACTATCGATTGGCAACACCGAAATCATCAGACTCGGAACCACGAAACTCGTAACGATTCTTCGATTTCAAATGCATTGCCCCATTTGAATCCTTAAATGCAGGAAGTTGTCTGTGTCCAAACAGACCCGAGCTCAGGGTGGCGTTCGGTAATTCCTGTCATATGAAGCGGCCAAGTATTATATAGCTTGTCCAGCTAACCGCGTTTCAATGGTAATTGAAATACGAGGCTCTTGAGCTATTTACAGAGTTAATTTCATCGTTATCCAGAGAATCTTCTTCCTTGCTTTGAACAAGTCTGCTGTGAAAGACCAGCCCGCCGCCCCCTTGATCAATTTTATCAAGACGACTAGGTTCTCTTTTCGCGCGTATCGTATAATCAAGGAGTACACTATGTATCTTGGCTTCGTCCCGGGAGTAAACATCTTAGGATGTTCCCAAACCTGCCCTCTAACTGAGAACACATTTAAAAATAATCTCTCAGCCCTCTGTTTTCTATCATACGGTAGTACGCAGCCTTCAGTGACAGCTTCGGATTTTAAACTTCCCATAATGTCTTTCTTCTCTAGAAGAATCTGAACATTGCGGGAAAACTGCCCTAAATATCTCCAAGAATTGCTAGCAAGCCGCCACGGCTTCAATAGCACCCCACTGTGTTCTCGTACGTTGAGTTGATAATAGCGCACGCCCATCTTCATCCTCCATCCACATCAATCCACCGAACACGAATACATCAGATCATAAAAAATGGCTGCACTCGGCCCTCGTTCTTCGCGAAGAGATCAGGGTTGCTCCATGCGGTACTTGGGTTCAGTGGTCTAAGCATTCCCATCCATCAATAGGGTCTATTTCAGTATGACGAAACTGGGGTATCTACGACTATCCAAATGCTTGCTGCGGTGCGATCTGCGGATTTCTGATACAATACACAGGCCACCATTCACGTGTTCTGTGATGTAATATTCCATATCGGGCTCTACAAGCAAGAATTTCAGTCCGTTGGGACATGATCGTAGGTTGGCCCTCAGTTTCAAGCTAAATAACGGCTTGTTACCCTTCAATGCAGGTCATTCTTTCCCCAATTACACTGCATGTGAAGGTAAAATATCATTGATTATTATGTACATGCATTGAAAACGTAAGTCGACCTCCTATTACCGCAGGATCCTCCCGTCAAAAAGATCATCGCCAATACATGTCCGCAGACAGAAAGCAGCCATGAAACGCCAAGTGCTGGATCAGTTATAAATAATCGAGTAATGTCTCCCCGGCAATCAAGAGTAGATATCGAAACGTGGGACTGTCACCCCCCAACTTGCCAGCTCCCCGATGTCCTGAGGCATGTTGACTTGTGAGCTGACAACGCTGATACCGAGTCCGTCCACATCCTTGGCATCTATGACAGATCCGTCATTTATGGCAATCCCGATTCGCAAATATTGACGTAGGAAGGGCTCGACGGCTTCGAGATCGAGGCTTCGTAGCTCGCCGGTGTCCACCAAATTCATCAGTGCTGCCGTCAAGGGTATGGTGCCGGCAATTTGGTTGGGTGCCATATTGGAGTTGCTGCCGCTGTGTGCGAATATTCCCATGGTCCCAACTAGGCTCCCCGTAATCTGCCAGGTTGAAAGGTCACCCGGGACCTCCCCAAAAAAGATATTGATGCTAAAGGACCTGTTTAGAGCGTGCTTATTTACGTGTATATTTGCAATCCACTCCCGGTATTTGCCATCCTGCACGATCTGTTCATTAGGTGTACTAGACCCTTGGGTGTCCCAAGTCGGACCCTCCGTACCAGCTCCACGAGAGGTTTCGGGAGTCTGATGTACCCCATCCTTGGAGATTTCGCCATCTTGCCTTTTATTGCGGGTTGCAAGCATTCTTGCCGGGCTATATGTTGTATAGAGCCGGTTAATGGCAGCAATTACATCGGAACGGCTTCCACTGGCAGTTTCTGCGTATGTGTATCCAAATATTTTGTGGTCGCGTACCATGTCACTGTTCCACAGATGGGTTTCGTTGTGGAAGAATGGTGTTAGTTCCGTCTGTGAATCTTGGATCTGATCCACTGAGATGGTGCGAGTAGCAAGTATGGCTGGTGTTGGCTCTATCCACGACTCATTATGGATTGTCTGCCACATGGCAAAGATCCTGTCCACCGAGGTATGATGTAGGAAGAAGACCGGGTCGAACGACGAGTACGCAATGATAGCCATGTTTCCATAATTGCCCCCACACGCTAGGTGTATTGTATCGTGAAGCGACTCGATTGAATCGTAGGTACCATTGTTGCCATATGGGATCCACCCTTCATTACTCCAGGTCGAGTAGTTATCATAGTTCGAAAAGAGATTATAGAGGCGCTGTTGGTTGCTGGGAAGTTGGCTATCAAGAGTCTTTGCTACAAGGGAATTGTTGGAGACGGGGTTGACGCTTGATATGGGTCTCGGTGCTCGCTTGGTCTCGTTCCAATGGTTGAACTACTCTCATGGTCAGGACGTTGATATCATTTGGCTTCTAGCTTAAAACGTACAGGGTACTCAGGGAAAGACGATGCGTTCAAGGGCTTAAATGTGTAACTGAACAGGGGATTCCCGATCCGCTGTCTACCATTTGGACCATCGACCTCGACGTCGGGAGAGCCGCCAACACTCAGAGGGAGAACACTGGTACCATTTGGCGGCGTGACGGCCCAATCCCAATATGGCATGCGGAAGTTCAATGCTGCTTGTGTGAAGAGGTCTTGTTGCGGCCCTTCTGGGTAGAGAGAGGCAATGAACTGGACGATATGATACATGGTTTGCTGTTTAGAAATAATCAGCATGGTCTTGCATGGAGGACCGGGTAAAAAGTTGAAAAACAGCGTCATACCTCGAATAGAGCTAGGTATGGACGATGCCAGGCTGGGAACAGGGGCGAAACGTGTGTGCAGAATCCTTCATGAGTATTGTTGGGAAGTGCTGTGACGCCCCCGTAATCCGTGTACGGTGCACCGTGGATACCTGGAATATTCATCAGGTATCACTGGCCCTCAGAAGTACTCAAGGAGAATAATTTACCTGCAATTCGATACCATGAGAAGTCATCGGTCTGGTCTGTGTACTGCATCCAGCTCAGTGCCAAGATGTAGAGGGTGAATGCTTCATGGTCGTTTTCCAAATCCCTGATCTCCCGCCTCAGCGGAATTGTGCCATTGACTAGAGGAAGTCCAGTCACAATCGATGATTGAAGGATCTGCCTCTTTTGGAAGAGGTTGCTGACATCAAGCTCATAGTCATATTCCTTGGCGGTAGTGCTCCCGAGGAGGAGCAGAACCGATAGGAGGAGAACTCTGACGAGGAGAAACATAGTTGCCTTTGAGGCCAAAGGTTAACCTCAATCAAAGAAAGGATTAAGAGAATTGTACCAAGATGAGATTCCTGGTGCAAAACTTATTGCGAAACAAGGGAAGTCACCCAACGCGTCAGAATAACGAAAGACTCGAACCCAAGAGAAAACTTGGTCCAACGTTAACAAAAAGAATTCAGAGACTTGGCTTCATATCAAACAAATTGGGCAAGAATGTGAGGGTTTCATTGAAGCTGCCGTGATGTTATAACCAGAAGGGCGCAATGGGTGCGGGACTGTGGTTGCCTTGCAAAAAAAGTAAGGACGACTAGGAAAGCGCAAAGGAAATGCAGTGAAACATGGGACGCCGATAGTCTCGATTGGTTGCTTGCCACGTTCAGTCAATTTCCACACACTGAGTTGCTCCAAACGGAAGGAACGACGGCAGTGACTCCTCAAGGCCGCCTGCCACGTATCTATGCTCATTGAGTTTTGGAGTGATTGGCTCCTGTCAACCAAATAGGAAAGAATGAGCAGAGCCATTATGACGGCTCGGCATCGAACAACGCTGATATAGTCAAGATGAGGCAAGTCTACAGGATGCATTCAACCGTACTTGGCATCGGAATGCTCCTTTGGGACCGGCTCTGTCAGGGCGGACGCATCTCCTCCCTCAGCGGGAATCGCTATAGACACAACGCGACACATGTAGGCTGCCGATCCCAAGTTCCACTTACGGCAACGTGCATCGCCTTGTTACATGTTCCTTGGGAGCAAACGAATTTATGTAAGACTGTCTCATTAACCAGGCTATCTACTTCTGATTGCTCTCATGATATCAACACCCATAATTGCCTCGGAACACATCAACGCGTAACTAGCTTAAACCGAGGAAATGCATTAGCCCCTTTTGTACTCCGTGAAATGCTATGTGCTGAAACTCGGCCGAACTCATGCCGCCACCAATGCGGGCTGAGTGCCGTTTGTCTTGACGCCCGACCGAAGAGCATCCCAGGTCGTTTGAAGAAGATGGCCTTTTCGGGGCGCATCTTTGGGGTTGACTCGGTATTTAAGTTTGATTCCCATGGCTGCCAGCTCCACGTCGAGGTACTTCAAGGCACCGGGCACGGCAACTAGAGTCGTATCCTCTCCACCGACCCACTGGTTGCCTTGTCCATCCTCCCAAATCTCACCTGTGATCTTTGTCACGTCAACATCCTCCATGTGATCTAGTCGTGTCGCACAGTTCCGGCACCGAACAGTGTTGACCGTTTTCTTCTTGCCGACGAATGGTGATGCCGTTGGCTGTATGGATAAGAAGGAACCACATTTTCGGCAGATCCAAGAGCGCGAGTAGTCGGAGCAGTTCATGAGGCGATCCTGGAGAAGGAAAGCTGTACCATGTGCTAGAAGTGCGTCTCGTTCCATTTCACCTACGCGAATACCACCTCCCCGCTTCCTTCCCTTGATAGGCTGGCCTGTCGTAGCTACAACTGGACCTGTGGTTCTGACCTGGTATTTGTCGTTGACCATGTGTCTCAGTCGCTGATAATAGACCACACCGACGTATATGTCGGCTGCCAGTTCTTCGCCTGTGATGCCCGAGTACATGGGTTCGTTTCCGTGATAGTTGTAGCCGGCCATTTTCAGTTGGTGCCCGAAGTAGTCTCCAGCCGTGTTCTCTTCGTCGAAACGGAATGGCGTCGAGTCCTGAGCCAACCCATGCATCGCACCGGCCTTGCCCGCCAACGACTCAACGAACATGCCAATGGTCATTCGGGAAGGGAAGGCATGAGGGTTGATGATGATGTCTGGCTGGATGCCTGATTCCGAAAACGGCATGTCAATAGCAGGCCATTTCTGCGACATAACACCCTTCTGGCCGTGACGAGACGAGAACTTGTCACCAATGACAGGAGACCGGGGAATGCGGAGTTTTATCGAGATGGTCTGAGCAGGCTCAGAGCCCAACTCGCTGCCAATGACCCTCACCTCCTCGACGAAGCCAACTTCCGAGTCTTTGTACTTTTCGTAGTGTGTCTGCCCATCCCGGTTGACCAGATTACCACTGTAGTCCGCTGAGACGGTGTGCCAGGCGCAGAGAGTGTCACCTTCCTGGATCATCGTCCCGATGATCGGCAAGCCATCGTCGTCAAGCGTTTTCCGAGACCAGGCCTTGACAAGACTGGTGGGGGCAAACCCAAACAGCTTTGTCACGTTTTTTGTTGACTTCGTCCGGTTCTCTTCCTTCAAGGTAATTTTCTTGACCTTATAAATAGTTCCGTGACCGAAGCCACGTTCGTGAGCGGATTTATTGATGATCATAGCGTCGTCCATGTCGTATCCCGTGTAAGAAATGACAGCAACAACAGCGTTGAAGCCATTGGGGAAGTTGTCGAATCCATAAGCGTTGTGGAGAGGTGATCTCACAATGGGAGTCTGTCCGGTCTGGATGCGATACATTTTGTTGTCCGTCCTGTAACGGAGGGAGGCACCGGGGGTACCCATAGTCTGCTTGCCCATCTGGCATTGGTACATGTTTCTGGGAGACTGGTTGAAGTCCGAAAAAGGCGTCATGTTAGCCAGAATGGAAAGAATGTTGGTCGGATCAAACTCGACGTGCGTTGATTCCCCAGATGTGATTTCGGGTTCGGTGCACGCGATGGACATGTATGGCTGCTCCAGCGGTCCGATAAAGTCTTCTTTCTCTAGTGGCAGATATTTCGTTGGCCTGACCATTCTTGCTGGCTCGGAAGACATGTAAATACCAGGATAAGATCCACCTTTGGATGCGGGAACATAGCCAATTTCCAAATGCAACGGTACACCATGACTGCCCTCAACCTTCCAATATCGGAACGTGTCCGCAAGTCGTCTAGACTCGGCAGGACTACACCAGCCGAGGATTTTGCCATTCAGCATGACGACTACGCTCTCATCCGTGGCAGCCGAAGAAGTGGAAACGACACCAAGCTCTGCAGCCAGCTGAGGTATGGCAGAGGCGTCCACCGATTTGGTCATGATCTTACATTTATGAGCAAGATGGTTGAGAAGACCACAAGGCGAACCATCAGGTGTGTGTACAGGGCAGAGGAACCCCCAGGACTCGGGTAGCAACTTTCGAACTGTCGTGGTCTTTAATTGAGCGAAGAAGCTACCTCGGTGCACCATGCGGAAATGACTGATGAAACGGAGAAAGTTGAGCTTTTCGGCCACAACCGTAAACCCTGAGACCTGTTGCAGATCCAGACCTGATGGACTTGAGAGGTTTCCAGTGGACATGAAATATTCTAGGCCATTTCCGATATTCTCGTTTGTCTTCTGGAAGATCCTTATGGGAAAGTCCTTGCCGAATTCTTGCGACGTAAATGATCTTCCGGGGAATTTCTGCAGGTACTCTCGCAAAGAAAGGCGGAGTCCGGTGGAGAGCAGCTCATCAAGCCGTTCTTTGATGATCATGCCGTAGAGGAAACCACCTAGCAAAATCTCTTGGTTCTGAACGGCATCGGGGTTGTCGACGGCACAATCACCCGCTACCAAAGCGTAGAGCTTCCTGATCATTAGGAGGATCATCCGGAACTTGTCGGAATCCTGCTCTTCCGTGACATTCACATTGCCTAGGTGCACAAGCACAATCTTGCGTAGAAACTCGGTTCCCACCTCGAAGTTGGACAACGTGTCTGATACACCAAGCACGGGTCTGAACTTCTCCCCAAGGTAGGCCCGGGTCTGAGCCATGGTGTAGAGTCCGTAAGTTTTGTAGGTACGTAATAAGAGCTCCACTCGATCCGTTAGGAAGGTATTCTGAATACCCTTGGAGTTGGGAGAGCCGACCAAGCCTTCAAAGATTTCCCGGTCATTGGTCTCCACCAGTGCTTTAAGGACCATCATGACGGGTACCAGGTACTCGTTTTTTCTCCAAGAGAAACGAAATGTGACATTACCATCGCTCAGGTAATGCAGAACATTGGTCTGTGAAGTTTCGTCAGGTCGCACCGATCTCATAATGATACCGTGGGGCGTGTAAGTCGGCCCTCTGTTCTGGAAACTCGGTCGGTAGATGGCTAAGGGGAAGTTTCTCCGATTCACTAGCAAAAGTCGTATGATCTTCTCGATGCCATTGACAATGAAGTAGCCTCCCAATTCCTCCGACTCTTCTTTTTGTGCAACCAGCTGGGCCGGGCTGCTGTTCCTGATATGGCAATACTTGGACTGGTGATTGTTCAGTTAGTCTAGTTGTCCCCTCACTGCTTCGTAAAGTCCTCTCTCACCTTGACCATAATGGGAAGCTGGCCGATTTCTCGAGTGAACTCCTTCGGGTCATCATCGTTGATTCTGTACTCGAACGTGGCCGAAAGCTTGCCCCTGTATGTAACATGTCTTTCTCGACACTCTGCCGGGAGGATATCTCGGTTCTTGATAGCGAATTTGTTGGCTGGCGGAAGCTGTGCCTTCTGCAGCTGCACGTTCTTGTACCTAATGGACACTCGATTCCTCCCAACTGGCGAAGCTTTCTCGTCACCATCAAGGAAAGTTCTTGTGTCGATGTCCGCCAAGCCCCGCGCGATCAGGCCGTCTGGCTCGAATAGAGCATCGAACGACTCAATGTGGGGGTTTACGGCGATCTGGAGTAGTGGGTAGGCGGAGCGGTCTGTAGGAGGCTCCCGAAACAGCTTTTCTCGACGTAGGGTATGGAACTCGTGGTCCCATTCTGTGCTTGTTGCCGTAGGCGCCATGGCGGGCGAGTTGAGTGCTGGTCCTCCTAGGAGCAGCGACTTAATGCAACAAGAGGCGAATTACGCGTAATGTGTAAGTTGCATCCAGCTGGAATTTGGTTTGGTCTATATAATGACAAGCAAATCTTCAGCCGCGGAGTTTCAACTAAAGAATGGCGGGCTGGATATCATCGCCGCAACTTTTCCAACGCGAGGATGATTTTTTTTTGGTTCGCGGTCTTATCGATAAGATCTTTAGTGGAGCGCACTCTTGAACGTAATGCCGCAACGGCCGTCTTCTGGTAGGGCAACAACCGGCGGCATCGATTGCACACCATCAAGTTCGATGTACAGAACACATTGCCTGGGAGCTATTATCGCTTGACTATGACGTACCCAGCTCGAGAATTAAGCTAATAATGTTCTCCCGTATCACATTCAATACCATGACCGAAGCCCATATTAATGCCCAAACACCACCAGGAGGTCAGCTTTACCTCAAGATGGATCTAGATGAGACAGACAGGGATACAAAGGGAACTCTGCAAGGCTCACTATTTTCTACCGGGAACGTTGGGGAGCTGTACCGTTTCATAGTATTGAGCGGAGTGCGCTTATGAGGTATAGGTCACAAGTTATGAGCGGGCAACGTTGTAGTTGGTTCGTACGGGCAAGGCCACCCACACCTTTTGAAAGGCTTGAGAAGCATGCAGTGGTAGCCTCTTGCACACGGTTAAGGCAATCGCGTTTCCTTTCCGCTCACGGTCTCTGCCGAGCAAGGCTGGGACCAGGCCTGTTCTCTTACGGCTGTACGGTTCCTGGTCATCTACCCGGCCATGTTGGCCTGGAGCTTCTCACTGGAGGATGGTTATGATCCAGTCAGGCATCACTGCTCTAGACACACTTGAAGCAGCCCACAGCCAGTCTTGGACCGGACCATCAAATAGGCTAGCAAGCAATGTCGGCCACTCATCTCGTCGAGACCTCCGAGGTACGACGTGCATAAGGGCATGGCGCAGGTATTTTGCAGCCCAACCTCTGCTGCATGTATTGCATAGCTAGCTACACATGCTGCCTTGCCTTGTCTTTACGTCGATGAACATGTCCCAAGCTTAGTTGATGGATGATGGCCTGGGTCCTTGATAACTGGGTCTTCAACTTCACCAACCCAGCTGGACCCGAACATACCTTATTGCTTCCTGCAACACACCTTGGCCAACCTGCATCGTCATCCACAGGACCCTCAGGGCAAAGGCTCGACGTCAACCTACCGTCTTCCTGTTGCCTGCTGTGCTGCAAACCGCTTGCACTGCTAGTCGGGTCGCCGCCTCTGCCGCCGCCTCCGCAGACGTTCGACTCGTACTACCGGACGCCCTCGATTGCAGCATTACACGACTGTGGCAGGTGCTGTAGCTGGGTCATCAATGCGTACGACCTAGCTAATGTGCCATTCTTGAAGCAAGGGAAGTTCAAGTTGTTAGTTTAGACAATTCAGCAGGCAATAGATCGATCGCATCTGCGGTACTGAGAGGGCAGCATCCCCTCCAAGAGCCCTCCGGAGTGTGGAGAAGCATTCCGTAGACCTGGCTGCCCACCAGTCAGAAAGTCCCTTATTAGCTACTGCCCGAACCAGCATACGGCGTTCCGAAGAGGCGAGCCGGAAACACAACATTTCAAAGACTTGAGCCAGAGGGAACACACACATTTTGTCAGCGACCCTGCAGCAGCACTCAACAGCACCCGTACATTCAATCATACGTTTCTCGTCGTCTTTTCCCAAGCTCCAGCTTTAATTGCGTGCAACTATCTGCTTGCATTACGCCAGCGTCTTTCGTCTTTTGAGAGCAGCTCAAGGCAGAACATCACCCCCATCGTCATCGCTAAAATAAGTTTGCAAAAGAGGTTCCGACGCCAGTTTGCCGCCCGCCTTCCCCACCAAAAGAGTACAGACATTTTGGGGTCGGTATTGTCTTGCGTACCGGTGTGACCCGCCCGGCCATTATCGAGCTCTCCCATCTTTCATCAATTTCCCTTCTTGATCGCTACCTCTAAGTCTCACGCTTTCTCAACCGCGCGCCCTATTGCTCGCTTGCCGCCATACCGCCCCATCCCGCCTGCTCACTCGTCTTTGTCGCCGTCGTCGTCTCGTCTCTGCGCCTCGACGTTGAACCGCGACTAGGTCGGGAAAGACAAACGAATGAAACCCCAGTCTTCCTAGCCGCTGCATCTTTGAATGTGCAAGGTTGACCCTCAGGCCCTCCCACTTCACTACGACCCTTTCCGAGGCACGGAGCAGCGTACAGCTTGTGCGAAGCTGAGTAGTGGGGACCGGTCATTGTGACCATCCGTCACTGTCAAAGCTGTCACGGCGTCACTGTTCATGAGCGTTCATCCCACCTGGTGTTGGAACGTTTCCGGCAGCTTTACCAACATTCACAACGCACGAACTGCTTCAGGCTTGCTCACACTTGAGCTGTGAGCGCTACGAGCACGTTGCAGATCTATTGTCATACGAGACATTTCATTCCTAATTTCAGAAAGAGCTCAGCGAGCCGAGCGCGACTATTTCGTACCTTATTTAAGACCCCAGCCCGCCGCCAACTTCAGTACTCCCGTTCCCCACCGCGCCTCTTCCTCCTAGCACCAGCACCCAGCCTTGCGCAAACTGTAATAGAGCTTCGCACACGACAACCAAGGCGCAGCCATCTCCTCTTACCTCCGTCGAGTGCGATAACTCGGCCTTGGAATCCAGCATCATGGCGGGACTATTCCGCAAGGTGTATGACTGGTTGCTCAGAACCTTTTGGTGAGTCTCTGCGATGCTCCATGCGGCGCGGGGTAACATAGGCGACACCGCTTCAGCTTCACCGCCGCACCTGATCAGATGCGCTGTTCCACCCCCAGGACGACTGGCATCGATGACATGACTGCTGACGGCTTCCAACTAGGGCGACTGAGATGGACGTGACCATGATTGGATTGCAGAATGCTGGCAAAACGTCCTTGCTTCGTGTGTTATCGGTGAGTTCCACCCCGGCCTTGATAGCTCGCAAGTGTACAAACAAAAACTGACTCCTGTATCTTCCAGGGGCAAGAATTCACGATCGAGTAAGCGCTGACCGTTCCCTGTCCTCGCCACCCGTAACCTTTCGATCTTCTCGTAGCACCGTCGCGTATCTGCGGTACTTTATATTGTCGGCTAATCCTGTGTAGCTCCATTCCCACTGTTGGCTTCAACATGAAGAAAGTACAGCGCGGCCATGTCACACTCAAGTGCTGGGACTTGGGAGGCCAACCACGGTTTCGGCCCATGTGGGAAAGGTACTGCCGAGGGGTTGACGCTATCGTGTTTATCGTCGACATCGCAGACCACAGCGTTCTTGAGCAGGCCAAGTTCGAACTCCACGACCTGATGAACAACCAAAGCCTCAAGGGCATTCCTCTGCTCGTACTGGGCAACAAGTCTGACCTTCCGGATAAGCTAAGCGTGGATGAACTGATCGATGCCATGGAGCTGAAGAGGATAGGAAACCGCGAGGTTTCTTGCTATGGCATAAGCGCGAAGGAGGAAACCAACCTGGATGCCGTAGTCCAATGGCTCATGAAGTTTGCCAGATGAGCAACCTTCCACGACCCTCACTTTCGCATGCTTTCTCTTTCATCCTTACCCCCCAGCGGATGGTACAAGGCGAATGACACCACAATAGGTGCCTGGACCTTGCGCGGCACGGGGAACATTTGACAACAGTAACGACATCCTGGGAGTTAAAGACGGTTCAACTCTTCGGCCGGCGACGACCTAATATATATAAGTTCTCTCGCGAGCTTGAAGTTGGAAGTGTGCTGTCCTGTCAGCGACACTCCAACCTCTCGAAACTCACTTCCTGGCATTTCGTTATCTTAATGCGTCTCGTCAGTCCGGAGCGAACCTTTTGCTGCATTGTCACCAGCATGGAGCGAGTTTATCTTTCGGGTACTCGAAGAGTACACGGACCAGGGTGGACTGTATGATCCCATTTCTTTGGCTGGACTTCCTTCAGAGGGGTGATCTGGCGACAGGGCATCACTAAATGCCATCATAATGCGAGCCAGCATTTAGATGTACCTAGGCGCAGACCATGATGAATCGACGATGATGATGATGACATGAGAGACTCCAGATTGTGAAACTGTGTTGCCCCCAAGCGCCACATCACCTATGTAGCGAGTGCTGTTCCAGGACAAGCATCATGGACCGTGTCAATAAGAGTCCATTGGAAAAACAGTCGAGAAAGTTGTGAGACAGGGATCCAGAATTACGTGTTTGGGGCCCGACGATGCGATGCACTGGCGACAGTTGTTCAGTTCTCAGCACGGCGTGTTCTCGAATACCAGAGGGTGTGGAACCGGGGGCATGAGATTCGACAGGTTGCAAGATTGGCCAAACGAACGAGATTGAGAAGCGAAAAGAGAGAAAGACGGGAAGGAAAATAATGTGAGGCAGGAGGACGAGGAGGATACTTGTCGGTTTGGATGCACACACAGACCACTTGATGCGCTGGCAGAGTCACCCCCAGCGTTCGTGATGATCCTGGTATTGATTGGCTCAACAGCCGACTTTGCGATGGCAGCTCATACAATAAGGTAAGGTGATATTTTTCATGTAGTGCCTAGCCTCATTTTTTGGGCAGTCAGACTGATCAAGCTCAATGACATGCTGCTGTTTTGGGGACCAAAGGGCAATATGGGCTGCAGAAATACGATGTCGGGGCGAGTACGATGGACGACAGAGGGCCAATCGCCAAGCGACGGAGATTTTTGACGTGGCCGCGCATTATTAGTCGCAGGACCGAACCGCATCACACCTCTCAATCAGGGCAATTGTACCTCGTTTTACTTGGCTGCTACCCGTCGCTTGCTGCAGCTCCAACCTGCTCCGAGACATCAGCTGTTCTTTTTCTTTATGTCTGCTCATTTTTTGGTTGCGAACATCGACATGTCATGTTGTGAGGGCGACATCACGAGCTAAGGTATATAAATTGATAAATACAATTCGCATGCACGTGAAGCAGCAGATCATCAACCCACTGCAGCGTCACGATGCTGTGTGTCCATATAACAACAAGGCGGGGAATGGTCATGGCACTCATCAGTCCCTGCTCCCACATGGAATAGAACCCCATTGAAACTTTATGACAAATCCCCACCTCTGCCTTCAAATTCGTTTGTTTTGTGGGCTCAGAATTCCTTGAAGTCGATCAAGAGAAGATTTGTTATTTTTAATCAAGGCAGCAATGCGCAGCAGGGACGAACATTCTCATGTGTTGGACAAGTTCAGTCGAATTTGAATAATAGGGTACGTGCTGAGCTACGTAATCGCGCAATAACCTCCTAATAGTCACGACCAAGTCGTATCGAAACACGTTCGTGGCCACCAGTGCCACAGTTTGTTGTTGCTTCCGGTAGCTTGGCCGCGTTGTAGCCGCTGTATTCTTCCACCGGAGTAGGCACAAGATCTTGTAACGAAATATGACGCCGGATTTGTAAACTCCGGCCAACAGCGCTGTCCGAGGTGAGCAGGAATTGGGATTATGTTGGAAGTGCCATTTATGGAATAGCAGCTGAGCTGAGGTGAATGAGCAGGGCGCTCGTTGGCCAGCTCTAACACAGCCGCCCCTGTTTGCGCTGACAGCTTAGACGATTATTTGTTGTCTGAAAATTTCCCACGGACTGCGCTGCGCTTTCGCCGATTTGATACCTACCAGCCAGCCCTACTAAATCTTCCATCATGAGCTTACAGTGCCTCTCGGACCGTCGCCATTCTAGAGCCAAAGCGGAATAGATGTATTCGTCAACAGTTGACTCCAAGCCTCGATACGCCAATCGCAAACCGGTTGGTTTGCGCCATGAGTAGCTTTTCTAGTCAAATACACAATGTCATGACTAGTTTGCGGTACCACCAGACACCCTAACTAACAAGCCAAGCTGCAGCACAGCCCCCAGAGCTCCTGTTGGCAAGGGTCTTGCCACATCCTCAATTGCTGCGATCAAACCGGGAACACGGCATAAGCAGGGAGCAGCAGGATTGTGCTTAAGAGCGTAGACATCCCCCAACCAAAATCATCTTTCGAACAGTCGTCTGAATTGAACCCGCACAAATTCATCATCGTTCCTTGATTGAAGTTGCACCACGAAGCACGGATAACTCGTACCCCACAAATAAGTTTTGTATTGTTGCAACTGCCGATTCTCGACGTCACAACACCTCGCATCCCTGCCGGCCATTTCTTACAATAACGCCTTGACAACTGCACCGTTTCGGGCGCTTTTGGGTGTTGACATTACCCATTTCCTTTTACCAACCTTCTTCCACCTACACAACAGAAGTATCAAACCTCGGAACAAACTACTCTTCTCTGAAACCAGAAATCATCAATCTCCATCGCGGATCCGCAATCATGGCTCCTGTAGTCGACCTTCTCAAACGACAATCGAGATGCCCTAGCGGACAGTACTATCGTAATGGTTACTGCTACTCATCCTGGGCGTGGTATGGTCGCTGGATATTTGCAGCCGTGGTCATCGCCGTCATCATCATTGTCTTCTTTGTTTTAGCGTGAGTTATTCCCCCGTTAACTCTAACATGGCTAGATTCTGACTGCGAGTAGCTGCATAAGGTCAAGACGTCAGAGAAGACGAGGCGTTCAGCCGATGTACGGAATGGGATGGATGGCACCGCCGCAGAACTACAATAACGCCGCTCCTCCCGCATACGGCGCTCAAAATCAATCGTACCCGATGAACAACCAGCCACAGTATACCGGCAACACGTTCAACACCAACGACGGATATTACGGCCATCATGAAGGCATTGCGCCGCCCAAGAATGTGTACACGAATGACAACCGCAATGAGACTTATGCGCCACCCGAAGGCCCGCCCCCGGGCAAGACTATCCGATAGACGATGCTCAGGAAACGTGCATCATGAGACGGTCGGAAAAGAAGCTTGAGGAAATATCAAGGAGATGATTTTACGAATTACTTTTGGACCATAGAAGATGAGGATTCAGGCTGGATCGTCTGGGCATACGGCGTTGGGACATGCTTTGTTCAAAGGGAGAGAGTATACTCTTGCCTCGGAAGGGCTTAGCTTGGGTCTGAAGCGTGGCGCATGCGCGTCTAGGATACTGTAATAACTGACTTTGTAAAACATATTCTCATTCCCTACATCGTGCAATCAATCATATTCACCTGGTTGCAGTTGTGGTTATCACCTTTTCGTTAGCCGATCCGTCAGGGGATGAATGATCTCACAGCTTAGATCGAGGCTGTTGGTGCTCTTCGGTCGCAGTCGCCAGTGTTTATGCTGACTTTGCGTCGTGGAACATGACGCCAACAATGTTACGACTGATGACGACGCGAGCGCCAAGGCTTGGTGAGGTCTTTAACGCTATTCATATCGTGTTTGTATCACTGGATACTATCTCGCAAGCTCCCGAAATTCAAGTGCGAAAGGTATCGTAGGGATAGATCTTACGGCTTAGAGTAACCGTCCTATCTTGCCCAGCTAAATGCGGCCATTTACAATACGACAAAGCTCCACACAGATTCCGAACGTCCGCTAAGTTGACAGTGACATCTGATAGTCAATTTTTGTTCTTGTGACATGCACTAAAATCCTCTGAACTCTCATAAATATCACTTCGTATGACAGCAAAAACAGTAGGCGATACAAGAAGGCAATGATGGAAACCCCTGCTTGGGCGGCCTCCGATGAGAGAGCGGATTTGTTAGTGACATTCTTCAACGCTGATCGTACCAGGCGAAGCCACCGAATTCCACGTAATACGCGACCGATAGACTTCCTGGCGTGACGCCGAGATCTGGCACAGCCACTGCCACTGCCACTACAACTCTGATGCTTGGTGATTTGGGGAGGGAAATCGCTGTTGACGTATGGTGTCTCGGAAATATCGGGTTAGCTCCTTAAATATTCAAGTAACTGAACTAAGCAGCATCTTTCTATGTTGACCTGAGGTGAGTAGGTTCTGTGACGTAGGGTGGTGAAATATAGGCTGCGTACGGTGTTGCTTGAACACGAATCTGGATTCGAGGACAGACTGTATCGATTATGTACTTCCAAATATTCTATTAAATCTATGATTTTGGTGATTCGCTTATGATTGGAGGCTCCCTGTCAATTCCTAGAGAATTCGCCTGTGCTGATCTTCACCTACTGTGATGGTGCTTGCCTGCGTGGGCAGAGGTGTTTTTTCATGCAAGACAAGGGACCGTACACTTGTTTTCCTTTCTGAGACTAGTGTACGATGTAACAGTCGATAAATTTCAAGAAGACACTGCTATATGGAAAGAGGACTTGATGTTATGGCAAAGGCATTGCACACTTGTAGCGGATGTGTTGGATTCAAGGCATTCATGCTTACGCAAATACCATGAAGATCATGTGTGTATATGAGTAGAATTTCTATGATATTTGAAAATAACAATAACAGAACTTACAGATGCCACGGGAGCATAAATTCAACAGAGCAAGAATGTAACATGCAGCATCGCTCGGTTTCGGTCCGGGGACCTCTCTGGGCCACCATAGTCCGATATGAGCCCAGTGCTGCTTCCACTTGCGCCAAGGTACTTTTAGGGTCTTTATTGGAAGTTCATGTGCTATCAAACAATATAAGCCCAATATTAGGTTGGTTTGGTGAGTCTTCACTGCCACTACGACGTTGGGTAGATAAGTCAATTCAGGGCCACCTTGTACGAGACGGTCAGTCATCAGCTTCCAAGGACAAAATATTTGAGTGGTAATACCATGCGCAAGCCACGCATATAAAAACTTGCGTGGAGTAACTGAAGTGACGTTGGACATTTGTTAACACATCAGTGTATAAACCTGTTGGGACCTAGCCCCTTTTCCCTGACAACCTGTAACTGAACACATTGAAAGTGGATAGATCATGGTGTCGATTTCTGAACTTACTGGACTTGAGTAATCTCTGAAAGTTGGTTTCTGGGGAAGGAGAAGTACACCTTCATGAGGATCAAATCCGTAGTAGAGCAGTTTCTAGCGGTGGTAACGAGATATGAGAAGCCCCTGAACTCATATTCCAAGCATAGCTCAATTCATAACATAGAAAACTTTTGCTCGCAGAAAGATACCATGTGCCAATGACTGCTGAACTCTGCGATATTTGTTCAAGCAGTCTCCTTAATACGTTGAAAGACGGAGCGAGAGGCGTGATATTTATAGCAAGGTTATACCTACAGACCTTTGAGTGATACCCGTCTGTGTATGGCTTATTTCAGTGCTGGTTTCTACATGTAATCGTCTGTCTACGACAAAATGTTGGAACATCGAAGATCTCACAAGGTGCAGTGTAGACGAAGCTTGTCTGCAAGATATAGTTAGATCCTTTCCTGGCATGATAGCTGGGAGTCCTTTCCAGGTAAAGAGATAAGTTGCAATTCCAAGGCAATCACCAGGAGGCAGCATTGCCGTAAAGTGAATACATATTCAAATTCTTCAACCGCGCCCACCAACACATCATCACAAAAGTCCTACAGATCGCTTTAGCACTGTTAACTCATTCGAATTGAACCACCGCACCTTTGAGGCAGACTAATCAAACAAATTATATATGTGGCATACTATTTATGTTGGGAAACACCTCGGGATATTAAGCCGTTAGACGTTGACGGGTCGTGGCAGGCTCAGTCTTTGGATGCATCCCCTTGCCTTTTTCTTATTTTTTGTCTCTCTTCATCCTTCCATGTCTCATAACTACTGCCCTTTTAATTCGTCGCCCATTGTTCATTAATCGCCTTTACTTCAGCAGGAGAAGAGGTGCGACACACAGGCTTACAATACATTATGTCAATGGTGCAGTTTGCCTGAGATGCCCTAGCGATATGCTACTCAATGAGAAGGACATTCTGTGGCATACATATAAATGTACCCCACGCGGGATCATCTGCTCATGCCACAATCCAGCCAATAACATACACAGCAGGTTGATCTCTAGAGCCACCATGCCTCATTACGCGAGCTTTAGAAGCTGCCGAGGCATCACCGATAATCAACCAGCGATTTCCAAGTCTTGCCTCTACTACATATTTGACGAGGACTATATTTTTTGCAAGCTAGATTTTCCCTTCGTAATTTTCATGGTTGCCCTTCACAACTACAGTACTCTGGATAGCAAGATAAGATGCCGTTGGGGTCTCATAATCTACAAGGCAGCAAAATACCCATAACCTTAGCTGAACCCCAGCATATTTCCGGCGAACATGGGGTATACCGTCTAAACTCTGATTCCGACATCACGAACATGGCGGATTGGCTATTTGAACTACCCGCAAGCGCCACAACCTTAGTACAACAACGCCGTTTCTAGGTATCGTGGTGGAGACTGATATAGGCAACCCGGACGATCAAGCAGCTCAGGGACCAAAGCTGAGCCTGAGACCACCAGCGACTGTTAGAGTTTCGGGCTCAACCTTACTATACGTGCTTACGCAGGTACTTACTTCCATCTGAAGGTTGGCAAATTACCAAACGACCAGCCAATCTGGTTCGCTGCGTCTGTTCTGTTTCTGCTTCGTAGATATCGAGTAAAATTCGCCTACGGACATGAGCTGACCATGGATATTCCCGCCTTATATTGCCGCAATGTCCGTCTCCCAAATTACTACAGAAATTACCAGACTGAGATAGAGGGTGGAGCCAGGGTGACGTATGCACGGGCAACACCCATGTGAACGCCAATATTTGGGGTTTCGAAAAATGTTCGTTGACCTTCATATTTGCTGCAAAACAGCAGAAATGGCCCATTCGACAATTCCCTCTAGCCAGCCCACCGTGGATTGAGAAAACCCCTACATTAACAGCCTCGGCAGGCCGATGGATCGTACAACCGAATTGCAAACGTTCAATCGCAAGTCACGCGACTGCGAGGTTATGTCTGCGAAGACCGTGCCAAGCGGCGACTATTGTCAAGCACTGGCTTTGTGGACAAAATCGATTTCCGGCGAGGCCGCGCTGTCTGAAATCACGAGTCTCACCGGGGTCAAGTAAGGTCATGCCTCAGGATATGGGTTATCGCTATCGTCGGTTGGGTCTCAATTCCAAGGTCATTTCCTTCTTCCCCTGCCTTGTGCTTCTCTTATGGTGATCAAGATGGTCACAGGTGAGATGAACCCCACGAGGCCGCGGAGACTCGAAGAGGAAGCAATGCGCGTAATTGATCGTCCGAAGTTTGATAGTGGCATGACCTTGCATCCTCCTCATTCGTATATTGACTCGAATCTCATAATATCGCTCGAGGCAGCGAGTCAACATGCACGTGTGAGGAAAGAGACATTCTTGACGCCCGCTCTGTCTCATGCAAGAACGTCTTTTTATGGTTCGAACGGACCAATTGACGATATTTCCAGAACGGGTTGTTCCTCTGGATGTTACATTGCCCTGGGTTCCACGCCATCATATGGAAACGGCAATGAAGTGATTAGTTCTCCACTATCTGTTTTCAACATTGAAAGTGGTTCAACCCCCAAGCTGTGAGACGTCACTGATGACTCCCACAGGCCTACAGGCCGTTTTAGAGCCAACACTCCGACACAGCCTCGCCCTGCACGTTTCACACGGCAGGTTGAGACTCGCTCGGGCGAGTCGCATCGCGGAGGAGGCAATTGCAGAATGGGCGTGCCACCAGCTGAAAGCAGCGTTGCCAGCCGCACAATGGCATCCAATTGTGCCGGATCGTACATCTTGGCAATCCCATCACCTATCCGTCGCAAGGATGTCCCGTCCCCCAGTCTCTACTAAGCAGTCTTCGCTATTAGCGGATCTCGTCAGGGGTGCAATCGCTTCGCAAGTGCATGCTAATTGCGACTCGCCCTTGGAACTGCCGTTCTTCATTTCTCCCGCTGCCATTCTACACCTGTTTTGCGGAAATCCCCTCCTTCAATATTCTCGCTGGCTGCAACCTTCGTTTTCGCAGACTGGCGAGAGACCAAAGAAACAAAGTACTCTTATTCGCGTCTAACAATCTTCTTCTTTTTTTCTCTGTACTGGTGTGGCTGCGCTCGAGTACCGACGTTCATTATCGCTTGACGCAACTTTATTGCTTGGACTCTCATTTCTTTCAGACGAACTGATTGTTTGCCACGGCGCGGTTGGAGGAAAACGGCCTGATTTGGCAACTCGTGCTACGCGACGGCAATTTGCGAGAACGACAACAGCCTTACTACGAATTGAGTCTCTTCTCAGGGGGTTGTGCCGATCAGACTTTCCTTAACGTTTTAGAGGATGGAGAACTAGCACCTATTCCTTTCAACCCGAAATTCACGACAAACGGTCGATTCCCCCAGGCCACACACTCTTTGCGGTGGGCTGGGATACAGTGAGCGAAGATGCCTCACATTGGTGCCGAGATGGCGCGAAGCTTTGGGGAGGAGCGCAGTCTGGCGCAAGCATTTCAAGACCTCGTGGTCCGGAGCGTATCGGCTGGCATAGGGAAGCGCCAATCGATTAGCAGTATTGAGGGGCAGATTACCGACGTGAAAACGGCCTTCTCAAGCTGGGACAATTGCATGCAGGCCAGTTTTTGCAAGTATGGCACCTCGTACCTTCGTTAACTCGTCATGAACTCGTGCCGCTGCTGACATGGCACAGGTGGCCAGTGATCGCCGTGATCATTGTGGGCGGTCTGATTATATTCTCAGTTGTGTGGTGCATCGCGCGCTGCTTATGCTGTGGTGTTTCATGCTGCTGCGAGTGCTGTTACTGTCTCAAATGTTGCGGTAACTGCTGCGGTTGTTGCGATGCTCCTAACAAGCGCCACAAATATCTTGACGAGCCGTATGTGCCGCCGCATCAGGACCAAGGCTACCGCTCACAAGCGCCCATGAACGCGGCCCCAGCTCCGATGGTTTCTGGTGCCCTTGCCAAACCCGAGCCTCCCCAGTATGCCGAATTTGAATCCGGAAAGAAAGGACACGAGGATGAATTGCCCCAGATGCCGAGTTGGGAAGGCGCCGGATCGAAGAAAGTGTTGGTCGAGGACGAGCCTGTTGAGATGGATGACCTTAAGAAGCCTGAGAGTGCACAAAACTTGCCGCCCATGGCTCCCGGGGCCGCGTCTCATCCTGCGAGTCCGAATCCGATGTCTTCTTTTGGTGGTAACAGCCCTTACGGGGCCCCATCTAGCCAGGCTGCGTCTAGCGGGTATATGACTGCAAACTCCGCAATGGACCCTTACGCGATGAACACACCGGGACAGGGCTATAACAATGGAGGGTTTAGCCAAGCATCGCGCGAAAACCTGAACCAAGCATACGGCAACCAAGGTTACGGCAATCAGGGCTACGGAACCCCGGGTTATGGCGTGGCAGCTGCTGGCGCGGGTGCGGTCGCGGGTGCTGGTGCTATGGGCGCTATGGGTGCCATGAATCAAGGCCGGGGGACGCCTCAACAAGACTACAACAATGCTGGCTATCGTGGACTGACGGACCTGCCCCAAACTCAAACCCCGGCACCGTACGACAATTACGGGCGAAGTGGAACGCCGCGGAGCCGAACACCTGGGATGCCAGCAAACGGCGGCTATAGTAACGATCAATATGGACAGAACAGACCGCCGCGTAATCGAACACCGGGAATGCCAGCGAACGACGGGTATACCAATGATCAATATGGACAAAGTGGCCCGCCGCGCAGTCGAACACCGGGAATGCCAGCGAACGACGGGTATACCAATGATCAATATGGACAAAGTGGCCCGCCGCGCAGTCGAACACCGGGAATGTCAGCAAACGCGGGATACGGCAATGATCCATATGGACAGAGCGGAGCACCGCGGAGCCGAACACCGGGAACGCCGGCGAATGGGGGATACGGCCGGGCCCTTCCCCGTCGGGCTGCTACGCAGGATGCGTATGGAAATCCTGATCGAATGCGGTCTCCAGCGCCTCAACAGGGGGGATACGGTTACGAGCAAAGATCGCAGACATTCGACAGCTATGGACAACAACAACAACAACAACAACAACAATACAGAGGCGCTCCGCAAAGACAGTACTCATCCGAGTCGACGCAACCGCTGGCAAGGCAGGCTCCAGACCGCCAGTACTCGGATTCCCAATACTCGGACGCTCAGCCCGCGCCTTCCCATTCTCCTCTGCAAAATGTGGGTGGCTTTGACTTCAACTCAGGCTTCAGTCGGAGCGAGAACGCAAGCCCAGCTCCTCAACAGTCTGCCAATGGAGCGACTGCATATCCCGGGTATCGAGCATATAAGCCTGCTCAATAAAATCTGTTGACATGTAGAATCATCGATTTTGTGTATGTAGGCATTTGGGACTGATGACACAGAGCTCTGGCGTTCGGTGCGGCGAGGGGTGCATGCATGGCATATTCATTTCCCCAAGGGTGAGTTCGGAGGTATTGTATAACGATACGGGCTTGGTGTACAAAAACATTTTTGATTCATGGCATTGTCACATAGCCTCGAGGAAAGCTCCGGGAGCTGAATGAGATTTACAGATTACACATCAATCAGCACTGTTTTCAATGATTCTGACCATGCTTGCGAGTGGAACAGCCGAGGAGGTGGTTTTGCTCAACAATGGGATTGAAGTGAAGTTGATATCTGACACAAGACAATCGAGGGCAGTTTATTCAGACAGGACCGAGCCTCGGACTTCACATCAATCGGGCAGCTGAGCAGGGTAGGATAAAGATAAGAACAAGGCTGGATAGAACATGTATATTGGCGCTTCGACCTTAAAGCTGAGGGTAATATCTCATCTGTGGGATCGCACTGGCACTGGCACCGGCATTCCGGCTACATACGAAGGTGAACAAAGGAAGTACAGGTGGGGGCTCCAAGCCGCACAAGGGCACTCAAGTATCTCAGATCCACCTCACCATGACCTCAGGCCACCAATTCCACATCATCCTACAAAGATAGTCGAGGCATAAAAACAGGATTGAAGCAGAGTGGTCAAATACGTGCAAAACAGATGAGCTTTCGCTCAGGGCTGATTCTTGTATCGATAAAACCGCGCCGTTCACATGAAGGGAGAGTTAACAATACTACAAGACTTGATATAAAACATTTCATTTGCCCTCGACCGGAGAAGAATCTGGGTATCTGATATATCTATACTGACCGAGAACGCCACATGTCCTACTGACAGGCCTGTTTCCTCCAAGTAACAGTGGGTATAGTCCTCGCAGGAAGAAGACTCGTCCTCCGCAACCGATATGTGTGAGCCTGTCCCAGAAAACACCAGGGGGCATGATCCTCCGCAGGTTGTCCCTGTCCCTGTTCTCTGAAAACCGCATTTGTACTGAAATGTAATGTGTACATTGTTGTCCAAATCATCATTCATATCATCAATGTCCCGGTCTTCTCATCGAATAAAAGGGGGAACTTCGTTACCGTGGTCGATTTCAGAAGTAAACGTCATCTGAGAAAATGAGATCGTTCTCCACAGCACCTGATCGAAGCATTCCAATCCAGTGGGAAAAAATGGAGCCCCAGCTTCAACGAAGCCCAGAGTTTCCAGTAACAATAAATCAGGACGGGTAATCAGTATGGGTGACAGTAAGTCAAGTAGAATATGAGGGGGGACACGCAAGCTCAAGCGCAGCCTTCACATTCGATTTGATCCTCTCCTCCGCTTCCTTCCGCAAATTCGCCTGCTTCTTTTCCTCAAACTGCTCCAAAAGCTCCTCCTGCTCAGCCTTCTTAAGCTCCACCAGCTTGTGCAGCGTCTTGTCGTCGTCGTTGACGAAGCCGTGCTCAGCTTTGACCTCGTTGTACAACAATTTTTGGGCCGAATCATCGGGCAACGGGTCTTTCAGGGGAGATTTTCCCGGCGTAGACGTGGATGTGGACAGACGGCCGTGAGGCTCGTCGAGTCGCCGCCAGCGCACTATGGAGGGCGGATGCTGGGGCATGTAGTACTGGACGTTCACGGTGGAGTTAAAGCGGGTGCGGCGGCGCTGCGAGGGTGGGATCGTGGTCACGGGGCCGGGGGTGCCATTGGCAAGCTCGCTGCAGCGAAAACCACCAGATGAGGAACTGGCAGAACCCGGGCTAATTACGCTTGCAGGAGACCGGCAAGGAGCAGTCAGATCCTTAAGAGCCCCGTTGATGCTCAGCTCGGGGTTATAACCTGCTTCAGCCTGCGCTGTAAGGGCGTCAGGCACGGTGAAGGCATCGCCCAGCTCGAAGTGACCGCCTTCGTAGATAGCAAAGGTGCGATCGCACCACTCTCCACCTTCGCCGGTTGTCGCGTCTTGTTGAGAATCGTCATCATTTGCAGAATGGACAGCGTCGTAATCGCTCGAGTCGTCGTCTGACGAAGCCTTGATGTCACTGGCGTTATCCGAACCGCTGGCATACTCAGCTCGGGCTGCGGGCTTGGCTTGTGCAGCCGACTTGTAGGTGTAAGTGCCAGACATATGATGAACGCCATCCTGATCCTCCGTGTAGAACTGGTTGTTCAGCTCGTTGCTGGGTTGGTTTTGTAGACAGGTGGCACTGGTAGTCGCTCTGTATCCATCGGGGGCGATTTCACCATTGTGGTGGACCCAGCCAGTGGAGACTGGTTCAAAGGGTTCAGCAAAAGGGTGAGCTGCACTGGAATAGGTGTGTGAACTTTTGGTACTGGAATTGGTGGTTGTTGATGATGAGGGCTGCTGCTGGTCAGGGGTGTGGTACCAATTCGACCCATAGCCGGGGTATCCGTTCGATCCAGAAGAAGGGTGCTGTCCAGTCAAGCTGTCATAGCTGGAAGCTCCGTGCTGTGGGAACGTGCTATAAGCAGGGCTGGCTCCCTGAGTTGTATGTAGATATTCTGTTTGCGGATGGTACCCAGGCATATGAATGGATTGGCTGGCTTGTCCAGCCTGTCGGTAGAGGGGGGCATCGCCGAAACTGTGGGCACAAGCACCATGGCAGCGGTATATTTGTTCAACGTACGGGGGTTGTTGACCATAGCAGCCCTGATAATTGCAAACCGCGTGCTGGGACCCGTTGAATAGGTAGACTGTGTGTATACACATCTTGAAGTTCCGTCGGTTTGATGTTGGAATGGAACTTGCGTGGTTGTGAATTGAAACTGGACGTGTCGGCTTCACCTTAAGTGAATATTCCGTTGCAGCTGGTAGAACGGAAATCAAGTGAATGTGCTGATGGAACTAGTGGTCAAGTCCAACTGAGTGAGCTAATAGAGGCCCGTACGCAAGTCCAGATGAATACACCAACAAAGCCGTTGATGATTTCCTGCTGAATGGAGTGTTCAGGTAGGATGGTCTCGCTAGTATAGGTGAATGCATACATGTATGTATCCAGAGTTGGGGTGGAACCAACCAAGCTGTAGTCAATTAGATAGCCTTACGGATTTAGGTGAGCTGCACCTTCCAAAACAGAACATATCAAAGAAGGATCAGGCCATACCCTGTGACCTGAAACAAAATAGCTGCTGAGGTAGTAGTGATGACACAGCCTTCAGCATCTAGCACCAATTTGTTGGTGTTAAGGATGAGGTCTACCAAAGTGGTGGGGCAGGCAAGGACTAGAACTTGAGGTGGTGATTGCCTTAAAAAGAATAAGAGGCGTAGAATGTTTAGCCGGTACCTGGGGTTACTGGCGGAAATGACAGGAAGGAATGATCATAATTCACGATAAGGAGCCCATGGGTAACTGAGGGAACGAATGGCAAGTAGCAAGATACTGGTAATCAACGTAATGAAGATGGTGGGCGCCCTGAACAAAGGGCTTACAAAAATTCCCTAGTACTCAGTGGTGCTCGCCTTAAAGAGTTAAAGGCGTACAAACATTATTTTGTGTGACATGGCGGGTGCTCTCGACAGAGTGAAGGGAAGGAGTAGCAACGATTCACAGCAAGCATCCAGTAACCAACTGATGTATTGACGATATTACTAATGATCGAGGCGGTGATCGCCTTAGAAGGCGTAGAAACATTGGTTGGCACCAGAAGGCAGGTGCTCGCGAAAGAGTGAAGACAAAGAGGGATAATAGTTCACAGCGAGAAGCCCACAATCAACCGAAGTGATAAATCCCAGCAGATGGTAGTCACCTTATAAAGTCAAAGGGTTACAAATATTGGTTCGTATTAGATGGTGCGTCAAAGAGTGAAGGGGAGGAGTGATGATAATCCACGGTGCAGTGAATAGAGCAGGTGCCCGATAGTCAGAATATTATCTTAGAAACCTCACCAAAAGTTGATTAGAATCGGCAAAATTGAAAATCCAAGGTTGCCTCAACAATGAGTTGCGACGAGGAGATCGTGGGTGTCAGGTCAGGTTGGTGAGAGCACCCACCCTAAGAAATCTTGGTCTTCGGTGGGAGGTTTGCCAGATCAGACTTGACCTGATCATTCGACGGAAGTTCCACCATACCAGACTTGACTAATTTTGGGTTGGAAGCTTCCAACAGACCAGGATCGATCCCAGGTGGAAAACACTTTGGCTTGAATAGTGGCTGCTGTATATATTAAATGGTTGGACACGGCGAAAATAAAAAAGGACAAACTATTCGAGTCCATTCGTTTGCCATCCTTCATATCTCAGCAGCAAGAAAGGGAGTTAGATGTCCCCAGAGACATGGCCACCCCGTTTGACACCGCATCATACATGTGAGCTTGAGTGCGGCTGTCTAATATCAATATTGAGGGAATCCACAAAGTCTCACATGAGTAATCTCAGGGGATGCATGAGCTAAGACATTTCCTACAAAAGGAACCAGAAACCCCCTGGCTTGTGAGCAGCAAAAGGTCCCAGGCATTGGTGATTGTTTCTACCCATTGTGATACATGTATATGTATAAAGCTGGTTTTCTTCTGCAAGCCTTGACTTATACAGCGTGATGCATCCTAAACCCTCAGCGCCTCTAGTACTATGCTCTTTGCAAGATGAAATCGAACTGACGATGCCCCATGACTCCGGAGGAAAACCAACCAACTCCTACACCAAACAAGGCATAACCCATAAGACAAACATGAATGAAGATGCCGTCGCTTATTAACTGACCCATTGCCCCCTTTACTCTGGCGGCACTAGTTCCTTTGGCAATAGTTTTCCCACGTCTTGCTCGTCACGATTGCGATAGCTTTCCGTTGTGGGAGTGTGACCGTCCGAGTCCGGGTTGTACTCCTCACGTCCGTCTTTCGATCGTTTGCGCACCATTCCTTTAACGCTATTTGGTTTCGGTTTCGATAGCGGCACATCCTCGCTGCTAGCTTCGCTAGATGCCGCATCGTCGTCACTGTCTAGCAGAGCATCATCAAAAGCGACACGACCTTCGTCGGGGTCTTCCGAAGGTAGCCTTTCGTGGTCGGTCTCATTCTTCTTGATGAAGCCGTCGATGATGTAGTACTGCATGGCGTTCATGATGAGCGGGAAGAGCATCATGACGAACACGATTTGCAGACGCTCGTTGCCTTCGGTCCAGCCTAGAGCCCAGTCGCCGATACGCGAGATCCAAGGCAATATCAGGAACAAGATGAGCACGCATATCTTCATGCCGAAGAGCCCAATGAAGTAAATCATGGATTGCTTCAGCCACCACAGAGCTCGAGGAGGGCTGCCGTAGTAACCACTCTGGATGGACTCGGCGGGTTTGCCCATCGGTGTGTATGAGACGATTTTCGTCGTAACACGGAGCAGAAATATGAGTATCGGGATACCGAGTGTTGTCTAAACCAACGTTAGTTGACGAAAACCACAAGCCAGGGGGTGGAGGAGAGGAAACTCACATCGATGGCCAGATTCAGCAGGTAGAAAGAGCATGGATTTGGCACATACGTATCCTCCCTTCTTACCAGCTTCGCAGCTATACGTGGGACTATCTGCACCGTGGTGGGATCCAGCTTTATTGAGAACCGACCGCTGGTAAGCATCGACATGAAGACATTGGCGATATGGACCAGCACACTTCCAAACACCTGCTTCGATACATCGAAGAACCAGATCTTGACAGGCCTCTGCGGCCGCTCCCGCCACCGCTTGTAGACGAGGGATAGGAGGGCCAGGCCGCCGAGCGCAAGCTGTACGAGTAGCGCAAATGGGCCTAGCAGTCTGCATTCGGCTGTGTTGTCTTCACCTCCTCCTCCTGATGATAATGATGTCATTGCTGCGGTCGAAGTCGAGGTCGTCATTGTGACGAGGGATGTGAGGGCATCTGTGGCCACAGGGAAGTCGACGCCGAGCGGAAGGCCGGTGGTTGTTGATGTCGCTATCGCGTCATGAATTATAGGCAATGACATTTGAGAGGGGTAATGTGGAGGAAGGACTTCAAGCTCCACCCGATGATGATGTGAACGTGTTGTGAAAGGCGGTTATAGAGGCTGCAATGTATCCAGCTGAGAAACTCCGATGAGTAGGAGACCAAAGAATGACTTCTTAGAAGCTCTCTGGTCGGAGAGTACTCCGTGTAATTGTAGGGTTGCGTCGAGGGCGAGGGCGGCCTAGCGGGTTTGTTGCCAGGAACGAAATGAGTTTCGCCGAAACAGAGGACGGGAGGGACTTTGACGGGGTCAATGTGCGAAACAAAGAGAAAATAACAGTAGCGGTGCTCTACATCCAATAGCCCAAAGTCAATCTGGGTGAGGAGTACTCTGTTTGTAGAAGAAGCGACGCAACTAGCAGGTATCGGCCAAGAGAACAATTGTCGTTCTCCAAGGCTGCCACCGGTTACAGCCTCAAATGCGGCCATCTACGGAGCAGTGAGACTTGGCATCTCTAAAGTTTCAAGCATAAAATCCACCCCATGCAAGTGCTCCTCAAATGACGCTACTACATGTCACGAGCTTGCTAGTGTACCAAACAGGAGGACAGTCCCACTGAAGAAATGTTTCTTCTGGCTTATTCGCAGAATTCGCAGAATGAACTACTCAACTGTTGATTTAATCTTGCATTTGCCTCGACACACTCAGCTCCATTCAGGGTCAGACTGGGCGTGTCTCTCCATCTACAGTCAATCATTGGACGTCAATGCAAGGAGAGATCCTTGTTGAGTCGGCAAAGCCAACCGTAACACACCGCGGCAGCCTCAGGCTCATGATCATGGGTCCGTTTCGGCTGACAATGCAGTGGGTCAACATTTAACTGATCAGCCTGTCTGGTCCCGTGGTTTGCTGCTCCACATTGCTTACCAGGCAGTGACCATGCCATCTTTGTCTCTGCAGATCCAATTTAATTCCCTTCTAGATGGATTCGAGCTTGTCGTAACCGCATCCATATGTCATCTCATTCCCGCGGTTGGCTGCTTTTAAGTGTTCTGGGTTTTCCATGTTGCTGGTTTGGTAGAACACATTCATTACGAGATTGTTGCTAAAATGATAACAGTTTGGAGGGAGAAAGACCAGTACAACGACTGGCGCAGCTTGCTTTCTCGAGTTGAGCCCCGGCCAAGTTGCACTGTGGCTCGTCAAACTATCGTCTCCATCATAAAGGCCCCAGTGCCAAATGGCAATATAAGTAGCGGCGTCAGGCTATATTCTGTAGAAAACCATCGAAACCAGCCTAACTATGATCGATCAATCGACTAACGTCCGCGGCATCTATAGACACCCTCCAACAAGAAAACAAGTTGCCCTTCGTGCTACTGAAAGATAAAAGAGGTTGTGAAGGGGTAGCCAACGCCGAGCCAGAGCTAGCCTGCGAGTCCACTCAAATGTGTGTTGAGATGACCAAAGTTCGTGTGAATCGTGAGAAGAAGAGTCGTACAAATATTTGTGTCAAGACATGCACTTGTTGGGTTTCTGCGGGGGGCTTAGCAGTCCTCGCACGAAGCTGAGAATGGTGCTTCGTGCGTGCTCGGCGACATCATTCGGCCTGCCCTTCCTTATGTTGTTGGCCACCGTGGCCGGCTTCGTTACCTTCTCCTTGGCTGGTATGGATGGGGGTTTCAGGACCGACGAGACGGTGGAGGAGGTAGCGCTGGTGGAGGAAGACAATGACGGATCTGCAGACGTGCGACGAGATTGAGAAGTCTGAAGCCTATCCGCAGGCCCGTCGAATTGTCAATCGATACCCTCGCGCTTCTTGAGCTGAGCTAAACTCTCCTTGCGGGCCTCGAGATCTTCTCTTGACTTGATCATCTTCTCTGGCTGATGATATAATACTACAAGACTTGGTTAACCTTCTTGTGTCCGATAGTGTTGTACAAAAACGGGAGTCGCGTGACACATACCGACCAGGTATCGGTTCTGGAAGTTGAAGCCGTTCAGCTTGTCGCAAGCTTGCTTCGCATCCATTACGTCTTCATAGACAACGAAAGCAGTGCCCTTGGTGTTCGTCGCGATGCCTTGTCGGACCTGGCTACAAAAGGGGTCAGTGGACAGACTCCAGCGATGAAGGGCCCGGGTCGCGATGCCGTGCTGATGATAACATACCGAATGGCCCCGAATTTGCCGAAGAGCTCGAATAAATCCTCGGGCGTGACGTTGTAGCTACAGAACTAAGGTCAGACAACAGAAAGTAGGCCAAGCTGCATATTGGGGAATGTTACCTTAGATTCTTTACGAATAAAGCTCTGTCTGGATGTCAGCAGGATGTCTTGGGAGATGGGGCGTTGCGAGGCGGCAGCCGCTCTGGGCTGGGGGGGCCGAGGACGCGGAGCGTGATAGTCTCGAAACTCACCGGTTGACCTCCGGGGCAAGCTTGCCGGCGCGACTCATATCTCGATGATATGGAATGATTGCGTATCTCGATTTACTCGATGTGAGGAGGGGATGGATGGTGGTTTCTGGGTTGCGGGCTTGGCCGACTGGTTTGCGGAAAGTAAAGTCGTGGAAGAAGACGGGGGATAGTTGGCGGATGATCGCGGCGAAGGAGCACGTTTCCTGGGCTAGTGTAGAACGGGTCTAGCGTAGCACGTGATCTCCACTTTTCTGACGACGCGCCTTCCTTCCAGCAGGTAAATGTGGTGGCGTACGTCCGAAATCGCCGAGTCGATTGGTGATATCCGGCCGATGCCTACCTTCGCAGAGTAATTCAGATCAAACGCGGATGGTTGTGATTAACTTGCGATAGGTTTGGCGATTTTGTGAGCTGCTGTCTTGGCTCAATTCAACCTCAGGTTGGGAGCTGGGTAGATGCCTACTTAATTGATGAACTCAAAAGATCACGAAAAGGGACCGTACCTGCTTCTGCCGCCGCGGCCGGTTCAATGACAACTATAAACAGAGCCTATTGAGAGTTTGCGAGATTCGTCACTAGAGATCTTCAGTAGGTGCTTGGGTCACTTGAAACAGCTGTTGTCTACGCACATAAGCGGCGGCACCGATTAGCTCATTGATCATGGAAGTGGTCCGCATCAGTGACAGCGGCTACCAGAAGAATTCACCGAGGAATCGCAGAGCAGAAGGGAATGACAATTCCTAGGGTACATCTCTTCAAATCCTACTTGTTGTGTTCCGGTCCCTGAATTGGGCTTGATCCCGATCGTCCGAGGCAACATAGACTTCGGGCCTGCATTTCGAAGTCGTATCCTGCCCTTAGTTATCAACATCGGCGCTTCTAGATCAAAAGTGGACAATATGGTCAAATAATGCAACGATGTACGTGACAAGAGTCGTTCAATAATGGGTTTCAGTGAAAGCTATGATGCGAAGCTATACGAGGCCCAAGGCCCCCCTTTTACTGCACTACATTTTGTATACATGTATGCCATGTCTTCTGGATAGAAACGGTCAAAGTCTGGCTGGTCACGCGCATTAATAGACATCATCATCCCATGAAATCCTGCGCCTATGAAGTCAAGGCTGGCATTACAAGAGATGACAATGTCGAGCAGCTCTCACTGGTACTGTCGCTTCTTATTTCCATCATTGCTTCTCTTCCCCTTGTTGTGCGAGTTTCCAGTCACAGACTTGCATTTATTAGCTTAGCTCCTTCGCTTCTTGCCCTTAGCTTCTTGCCCTTCCCTTGTTTGATAGGGCCGACCTCGAAGCCGGAGCTGTCATCCTTGGAGCTAGATGAAGTTGAGCTGGCTCTCTTGGTGCTTCCGACACGGCGCTTCTGCTTCTTACCCTTCTGTTGTGTAATAGGGGTAACTTTGGAGTCGGAGCTGTCTATAGATTCAGAATCTTTAGAGCTAAATAAAGTTGAGCAGGCTCTCTTGAGGCCCCCAGATGTTCTCTCTCCTCTTCCTTGGCAGCTTCGCGCATTACGTTCTCCTGATCTGCTCGCACTGCCGCCTCGAGTCTGTTTTCGGATCCTTCATCAGTTTGACTTGGCCAGTCCAGAGCTTGTCAACCGTGGGCGTCCTGTATTGCTCGATCTTTTCCTCCACGCCGGACGCCATCTGGTCTTTGACTTGGTCTCCAGAGGACCAGAACGTTGCCTGACAGTTTTCATATCATTGATGGAACTTACTTCGAAGTTCTACGCTGTTCTATTCGTCAATGGCCCGTGCAAAGCACTGGCACTTTTGGCACTTGGCTGCAATTCACCCTTGACAAGCATCACGTAGAGCGGCTGGCATCGGGATCACGATCGTCTTCAAGTCTTCAAGGGGTTCCAGTTATTCGTTTGGGGAAGATAAGCAGATCTTAAGCAGCTTGACGCGCGGGCTGAGTCCGATAGGGAAGGCGTCCAGCAGCAACATCACTACTGGAAAGTCGGCATTGGCTTCCTACACTGTCGTTAGCGAAATGACAAAAACAGTTGAAAGTCAGCATGGCAGTCGAGCGTAAGTGGTTTAGTATCATGAAAGACGTCGTCTCGATTTATTCTACCAAGCGCAGGCTCTTATTTCAACTACTCGAGGGTTCTGTGAGATATACCGTGTTTCTACCCATTCCGAACCGTTCGCTTCTGCCCGGCCATGTATATTTTCGTTTGAGCTCAGGAGACTCCGATTCATCTTTATCGGCGTCTTCTTGGTGCCACGATCTTCAGCCATCCGAGTCGCTTGGTACTTGGGGCCGTGCGTGGCTGAATGAGGTCGGTAGGAATCAGAGTACGAAGGACTGGCTGCTCTGGAAGGCATTTGTAGTGAATCACGTCGGTGGTCATTCCCAGCTACTTACTGACGGCTCTGCGATCCTACGAGACATCCTAACTTTACTAGAAGCCGCCCGATTTCCTCGACGAGTTATTCTATGGCTCATGACGGTGATGAGCTTATTAAAGTGGATGTAGAAAAATGAAGGCTCCCAGCGTCGGTAGGAGTAAATTATGCGAGTGGATGGCTTTAATGGGAAATTGGGAAAAGGAAGGGAAGATGTGGCTGGGGAGTCTTCTCGGTGGGAAACTGGAGCGCCGGGCATGGAGAAAATTGCGCCTTGCGAGACTCGTAAGACTTCTGAGACTATTGGGGCAATAGGGGAGGTGTAAATCGTAAGGCTTTCAGTGGAAGAATAGGGTTCCGGGTAGGGGTACAATCGTACCGCGCAAGACTGGAAGTCTGGTTATCAATACCCATATTTTCACGCCTGGTGCTACTTGGAAGGCTGACGATCGAAAACCCTGGCTTCTAGAAACAAGCTGGTCTTGCCCTGTCAAAGAGGAAAAGTGCAGTCTCTGCGGTTGGTTTACGGGTGAAGTGCTAAGAAGAGAATGAGACGGCGACAAGGCCTAAAGAAGACTGTTGGTCCTCCGTCTCCCTCGCATGCGCGTGCACACTGCGCAAGAGATCGATCTGAAAGTACAAGCCAACTCCCTTGATGGAGATCAGTACGGACAGAGGCAAGTATTAATTTTCAACAAAAATGCGAGTCTGGGACAAGTTGTTCCTCTAAGAGCTTGCGAATTTTTCACATGCTCAAGGGCAGCGAACGGCAAGCGGCAATCACTCAAGTGCTAAGTTTGGCAATGCACTGGATTTACCGCCATTGGTATTGTTAGGGTAATATGAAACTTGGTGCCTTCCTCTGCCTGTAAACCGCTTCACAGGTGGGGTTCATACTAAAACCAAAACAGAGTCCTCTTTCTAATAAGATAATTAGAATTCGTAGTTGGAATAATACTCCCATTGCGTTTCATGTAAAGTGATTTGTTTGGATTAGTCCCGTTTTTCATCAAGCTGTGTTCATGTCAGCTGTTTATTTTGTCTGATGAAACATTCGATGTGATATATAGAGTAGTTATATAGAGTAGTTGGCTTGTAAGTGGCCTATCTCCGACCATGAGAATCGCGACTGCTTACTTCCGCATAAGTGTCTGCATATAAACAAACCATTAGACACTGGCAGACAAGTCAGCGATTTGAAATCACTGTGATTGGTGGCCAACTAACAGTGAAAACTTAATGACGGTAGTTTTCATATCCATGCATGGTGCGGCGTTGGGATGACTGGAAATAAAATACCTGATTGCCTATCCTAGTACTCTGCGCCCTTCCCTCCGCATGGTTGACGTTTCATTCAATTCATGTTTCCGGGGTGAATGCATACAGATCTAGATCTCGGAATGTCGATAACATTAGCTAGTCACAACTGCATATCACAGCGATCCCCTTAAACGGAGCTTGAAGTCATCTGAGTGGTGAATTGCAATTTTGCCGGAATAGAGTGAATCACCATGTGTGCCTCCATTCAAAATGTGGCCTTCTTTTCCCAGTAGCCCTTCGACCGTCATCCTACAGCATTATCATATTGCTTTCTGGTTTGGTTTCGGAGCAATTTTCTATGAAAATCTCATCAAAGTCAAGATGGCTGCGAAGAAGCCAAATTTCTTAATTATCGTTGCGGATGACCTTGGATTCAGCGACACCACTCCGTACGGATCGCAAGATATCGAGACACCGAACCTGCAGAGGCTAGCCGATGAGGGCTTGCGGATGACTGGATTCCACACCGCGGCGTCATGCTCTCCAACTCGAGCAATGCTGCTTTCTGGCACCGACTCTCATATTGCTGGACTTGGTTGCATGGCAGAAAATGGTAGTAAACCCACCCCCTTTGGCTTATGAGGGCTGACTAAACGACATCTGTAGAAAAAGGTCCCCGAAATATTCAGAGATAAGCCGGGATACGAGGGATACTTGAACTATCGGGTCGCAGCGCTTCCTGAAATACTCCAGGATTCCGGGTATTTCACACTTATGAGTGGAAAATGGTATAATTCTCAGCAGTCGATTCCGCCATCTCGTGGCTAACAATCTGATCATAGGCATCTGGGCCTGAAGAAGGAACTCAGTCCTCATGCCAGGGGTTTCACGAAAGTGCTCTCCAGCCTCCCAGGAGCAGGAAACCACTATAACCACGAGCCACAGCTTTACGACCTACCCGAAAAGCCCACGGCCATATTCAAGGGCGACGGGATTTGGATGGAAAATGACAAGTTCATTAACGGCAGCCAAGACTTGCCGAAAGATTTCTATTCCTCCAACACATTTACCGAATATTTTCTGAAGTTCCTGGATAAGCGGACCGAGGAGCAAAATGAGCAGCCCTTCTTCGGTTACCTTGCCTTCACGGCGCCACACTGGCCGCTTCAAGCACCGCCTGAGCTTGTGGAGAAATATAGAGGCAAATACGACGATGGACCTGTTGCGCTGAGGGACATAAGACTTACGAGCTTAATTGAGAAAGGTCTCGTACCCCCTGATGTTGAGGCTGCACCTTTGCACACTCTGGGCACGAAACCTTGGGATGACTTGACCGACGAAGAATGCATGCGATCGGCGAGGACCATGGAGGTCTATGCAGCTATGGTAGATCTCATCGATACCAATGTCGGGAGAGTGCTCAAATACCTCGAAGAAACAAGGGAACTGGACAATACATTTATTGCCTTTATGTCAGACAATGGCGCCGAGGGACAGTTACTGGAAGCACTTCCCATCCTGGCCGGCTATACCCTGGACGACATATTGAAGAAACACTACGACAATTCCTTGGAGAATATCGGGAACCATAATTCTTTCGTGTGGTATGGACCGCAATGGGCTGGCGCAGCAACTGCACCGTCTCGAGGGGCAAAGTCACATACAACAGAGGGTGGCATTCACTGTCCATGTATTGTGCGGTATCCCCCGGTTCTACAAGAAAGTGGAGTTATCAGCGATGCTTTTACGACAGTAATGGACATATTGCCCACTGTTCTTGACCTTGCGGGGGTGAAACACCCTGGGATCTTGTTCCGCGGGCGTGAAGTTGTGCCCATTAGAGGCAAATCTTGGCTACCTTTACTCCAGAACCCAATGAGCAAAACGCTTCAAATATACCAACCAACAGATATCGTCGGATGGGAACAACTTGGCATTGCGGCAGTGAGAGTTGGAAACTGGAAGGCTTTGTTTATGCCGCCGCCGAAGGGACCGGGAAGATGGGAGTTGTACAATCTGTCCAACGATCTCGGCGAGATACACGACCTGGCCGAGAAAGAACCTGAGAAGTTGAAAGAAATGCTGGCTCACTATGAGACATACTTTCATGAGACAGGGGTATTCGACTCATACCATGATCCAAGAGGCGATGAAGCAGAGGCAGAAGCGTCCCGGAGCAAACAAGAGGAAGACGTTTGATGAACTGGAGGAAGCAAAGGGGACTGAGGATGCGAAGAATATTTGGGGCGTTGTGATTTCGATGCATAGGGCGTGGAATTGGCTGGTAAAGATGGTGAAGAAATAAAACCAAATGCTTCTACATAGTGTGTACTGGTGAGTATTATTGAGAAAAGGGGGTGGCGGACGATACAACAACTATGCGAACTATTTCGAGTATTTACTAACAATGTCTACCTCTCAATAACCACATCTGACCTAAGGCTTGACTTGGCCACAATAGTGTTCCGTGCAACACATCAATGCATTTGATGTTGATGTGCCGGTGAAGCTATTTTAATGGCAAACAAGACCAATGTGATTAAACGGGCCTTGAAGGTCCTCTTCCTACGCAGAGTTCCTTGGTGTCCTTGGGTTTCTCAGTCTCTGTTGGTATGAACAAGTGACAGGCACAATAAGCCTGATATGCATGACATACCTAGTGGTCATTGTTCGCTTCTTTGTTTGCAGCAGAGTTGGTGTGAGCTTTCGATTCTATGTCTGTATTGTTGGAAATCGACCTGGCAGTTTCAATGATGTGGCATATTTTCAAGGGCATGTATAAACCGGGCAACTGCCTTCTAGTATGTCTCAAGCGAGCTTTCTCCCATAGAAGCCCCACGACAAAGGCTTGATGATTTGCGATTGGAATTTGACGCCGTACTGGGAAGGCGAGTTTTTTCTTGGCTTACATTTACTATTAAAAAATGGCAGTCGTTCAGCGGCATTGGCATATGGATAACATATTCTCGCTTATTCGCTATATGAATCTAATGCATCGTATCTTAACAGTGAGGGAAGATTTGGGATGTGTTCTCATTGGAGCAATCTCGTGGCCTTGACAAGGTGTGTGCCATTTTAGAACTAGGATAATGCCTGAGTATTCCAGTGATTGATGGAGAGGCAACATGGTGGGTCAACGAAACTCTGGTAAACTTGAAAGTACTGAGAGTTTGTCGTCTATATTTCAAGGTTTCTGGTCCATCTGATGTTGTTGAGCAGGTCGTAGTTGCCTGGTGGTCAGCGCTGTGACAGGCAGGTCTAGCGCCGAAACATGGGATTAACGCCCCTCCAGAAGCCTAAATTGCCGTTTTCCCAGTGGGTCCACCAAGCCGGGGCCAGCCATTCTTCCGAACCGCACGGTATCACGTTGACGAGATCGGGCAGGAGCGCAGTCGCACATGCTCCTGAGGCAAGACTTCACTGCTTCCTGCATGCTATCAAATCCGATTACTTCTTTGATCACCGAGTCTCCCTCTCCCTTTCTTTGCTTCTCGCCAATTACAGGTTCACCTTGCTACAAGCTTGGGAACATAGCAACTGGAGAGACAGCGAAACTTGCCACATGCCGTCAGTAACACACTCCGAGTCGCCGACTCTGGCCTCGGGCAAGAAGCGACGACGGGATGACGAAGGGGAGGTTCAGATGCCATTGTACGGCTCACCGCAGCCCAACAGTGCCATCACTACATCAGCTTACCCAGCATTTCTTAACAGCACCTCCGCATCCCAGTTCAACGCCTCTCAGAACCGTCTGGCCTTGATGAACAATCATGATAGGCTCATCTTCCACCAAGCAGGTCCCAGCCGAGGGACCCCCAACTCGTTCTACAACCTGCCACGGAAGATCATACCGCTGTCTGCCAACAAGCGGGCGCGAATTTCCGACGAGAACGGCCACGACCTCGACAACGACGTCTCACCACATGGTCATCCCAGATCATCACATCATCACTCTACCTTGCCCGTTTCTGTGCAAGTCCAATCTCATATCACGAGGCCGACGGCAACACGGACAAACTCATCATCCCTGCTGAGCGCGTGTCACATCTGCCACCGCAGACCCAGCAAGAAATCAGACCTCGACTCCTTCGCTGACTGCGAGGGCTGTGGACAGAGAACGTGTTTTGTATGCATAAGAGCATGTCAAGGCTGGCTTCCTCCCTCATACATCGACAGAAGTACACATACCAACATGCAGGACACACCCGAAGACCAGAACCGCTCGGCTTCCTTCACCATGCACGATGTGGATAACGAGGAGGTGGCTCGCCAGCTGGACCAGACGAACGCCGAGAGCGGTGGAAAGGGAGCAGGAGGCTGGAACGGTAATGGTCATCGATCCAGGATCTGCAGCGGATGCTGCGTGGAGCAAGGAAGTGAGGGCGATGTCGTCTGTTTGGGTTGCTTGGCTGTCGAGGAGGGATTGTAGGGAACACCGCCTTGTACAGCCACCACCAAGACCGAAGCAGAAACCTATACTTTTATCGATATACAGACAAAATCGTGACGGAAAGGACTGTGTAATAGAACGCGGGAAATATTGTCACGTGCATACTTTGGTCTTGATCACGACCAGGACGACGGATGGGAGATATTAATGGACTTTCATCAGATTAGATCGGACTCCAGGGCATCGATCGGGGCTGATACTATACCCGCAGTGTGGCCAACTAGCTTCAGACCGAATACCAAAGCACATAGGCCGGACACAAGGTGTCTTTCGATAATGCAGTTGTCGAGAAGACTCGGGGTATCATGAAGGAACACTATCAACATGATTTACGGCGTTTAAGGATGGGTTACCTAAGTCATGGGATATCAAACTAGGTTCATGTACACGAGTGCAAGGTTAGGGTCTTCGAGGTAGGGGAAAGGGTAGGGGGATGCTATATCTCTCGGACCCCAGAGGAGGTTAATGGTGCTTAAGTATTCTTAGTCAATATCTTGATCAGAGGATTCCTCCCCCCAATTTTACCACTGGGACCCAAGCACCCATTTTTTGATGTTAAATATTCGTTACATATGCCAACCGGATTTTGATCGCTTACGAGAAAAGGGGACATTCAAGTATTGGCCACATCGATGAAAACTCACAACTACAGATAGTTCAGCCACGGCCCAAATACTACACGCTACTGTGTTTTCCGGAGCAAGTCTCATCATACTAATACTTGCATGCATTCCCGCTTCAGGCATTCAGATGATTCCACTACTAGTTCACTTTTGTCACATACTGCCATTGCAACGTACGGAAGGAAGTCTCATTGTCTTCTATCATCGAGCTGCCGTCGCCCATACATCAAATGCAGGCCGTCCAATTGTATCTAGAAGCCTGCAAATTGCCCCATTTCCTAGTCATACAAGTAGTACACCGAGCCAGTATCCGGCCTCTTCCGCTCCCCCGTTCTGCCTTCCTCGCCTAGTTGTACTGCATGTACGTGGCAGTCGAGTTGAACTTCAAGTTGCCCTTGATAACTTTGTCGACCGCACTCAGGAAGTCCTTCTCACTAGCAACCTTTCTCCGTGCGCGGATGGCGAACATGCCGGCCTCGGTACACACACTGCGCAGTTCGGCACCGGTAGCGTTGGGGCACAGTCGCGAGATCAGCTCCCATCGGATGTCGCGCTCCACGCTCATACTCTTTGCGTGAATACGCAGGATGTTAGCGCGACCCTCGAGATCTGGTAGCGAGAATTCGATCTTACGATCGATGCGGCCAGGTCTCATGAGTGCAGGGTCGAGGGTGGAAGGTCTGTTGGTTGCGAACATGACCTTGATGTTGCCACGGGCATCGAAACCATCCAATTGAGTGATGAGCTCCAGCATAGTTCTCTGCACCTCGTTGTCTCCACCAGCTCCGTCGTCGAATCGTGCTCCGCCAATAGCGTCGATCTCGTCGAAGAAGATGATGCAGGCCTTCTTGGTGCGGGCCATCTCGAACAGCTCGCGAACCATACGTGCACCCTCACCTACGTACTTCTGCACCAGCTCGGATCCAATCACACGGATGAATGTGGCATCTGTTCTGTTGGCCACGGCTCGTGCACACAGCGTCTTTCCAGTTCCCGGGGGTCCGTAGAGCAGGGCGCCCTTTGGCGGGTCGATGCCGAGGTTGACGAACCGCTCCGGTGAGAGAAGGGGCATTTCGACGACCTCTCGCAGCTTCTCGACCTGCTCCTTGCAACCACCAACGTCGCCATATGTGACGTCGGGCTTCTCCTCGACCGTCATCATTGTGACGCTGGCATCGATCTTGGGCGGCAGGGGTAACAGGATCTGGTATTTATTCCGGTCGACACCTACGCGCATACCTTCCTCGATATCCGTCGGCGACACCCGGTCACCCAGCTGTACGACGAACTTGGCGATCTGCTTGACGTTGATTACGTACTTGCTCTTGGACTCGTCCTTCTCATCGGCGATGATTTTAGTGCACCGCGCTACCTGAAGGGGCTGCTCTTCAGACATGCGCTGCCGGTCGGCGGCTACGTCCCATAGATGGGGTGGTGCCAACCCTGTGTCGGATTCCTTGACGCCTATCTTCTCATCCACGCTTTGTTGCTTCTCCTTGATCTGCTTCTCGAGGTTCTTGAGTGCCGAGCCGTAAGGTGCCGCGCCGTATGTCTTCAGTACTTGAATATCCCTGCTCGAGGTCAGCTGCTGAATCGACACGTCGCGAGAAATGGCGGGTTGACGGACTCATCGGTAAGCGGTGTTATCTTCTTCTCTTCTATCTCGTCGTCGGCAAAGTTCTTCTGGTACTTCTCCCAGTTTGACCCCGTGGCGGACGGCTGTGACAAATGGTCAGTAGAGTTCCCGAGTCAAACACGCCATGATAGAACAAACCATGGTGACGGGATGTGTGGGCAAGTGCTAGATTTATGAATATCGATGGGCGAGAAGGAGTTTGCAGGGTAGGCTGGTCGAATAGTGTAGGAAACGATGGGTACCGGGTTCGTGTAGAAGAAGTAATGGGCTATGATGGAACTTGATAAAGACCAGGCTGCATGGTCCCAGGGCCGTATTGACCTGAGTTGCATAAGCTAGCTCATTGCCTGGAGAGTGGGTCGCACCTGCCCCACTCTGGACTAGCGCTGTAGACATGTATCTGTATGTAGCCTTGCAGCTTCCCCCGGAACATTTATTCAGCGACTTACAAAAAAATATCAGTGTTGGCAGCCTTCAGCGCGGGGCGATATTGCGAACTTGTTGAACGCTCTACCACCATTTTGCAAACCGACGACCCATCGCCCGAGATACCCCTGAACCTATTTTCTGGTCAAGCGCATACGTCCCGAGAGTCGAATACCACCAACATGGCGACCGCAGCACCGCCCGCCACTTCAAACTCCAATGCCACATTCAGAGTACGCCGTACCCATGGTACCCAACAGCTTCAGTGGAGCTCCCAGCTAACGGATGCCTTTTGTAGGACAAGGAGAAGCCGATAGCAGTTCGGTCTGCCAACATCGTCGCAGCCAGAGGTGGGCCATAATACCCTGCGAAAATTGCATTTCTTTTTATAGTCACTGACCCCCCGTAGCCGTCGCCGATGCCATCCGAACGTCACTGGGCCCTCGCGGCATGGACAAGATGATCAGGAGTGGTCGGGGCGAAACCATCATCACCAACGATGGAAACACCATGTTGAAGGGCATGTCTGTCATGCACCCCACAGCCAAGATGTTGGTCAATCTTTCAGCAGCACAGGATGTCGAGGCAGGAGACGGTACAACTTCAGTCGTTGTCATCTGCGGTGCTCTGCTCGGTGCTGCCGACCGGTTGCTAGGCAAGGGCATCCACCCCTCCGTCATCTCCGAGTCTTTCCAAAGAGCCGCAGCCGCAGCCGTACAAATTTTACACGACATGTCGCATCCCGTCGCTCTTACAGACACCACGACCTTACTCCAGGCAGCAAACACCTCCCTGTCATCCAAGATCGTGTCACAATATTCGGGTCTGTTGGGCCAGATGGCCGTCAATGCTGTCACGAAAACGATTGATATCAGGACCGCCGAAAACGTCGACCTCAAGAATATCAGAATCGTCAAGAAGGTCGGTGGTACAATAGAAGACAGCGAGTTGGTGGACGGCGTGGTGCTCAACCAGCCTGTCATCAAGCAAGCGGGTGGACCCGTCAGAATGGAGAAGGCCAGGATCGGTCTCATTCAATTCCAACTGAGCCCGCCCAAGCCAGACATGGAGAACACAATCTCAGTAAATGACTATCGCCAAATGGACAAGATTGTCAAGGAGGAGCGCCTCTATCTCCTGAACCTGGTCAAGAAGATCAAGAAGGCAAAATGCAACGTTATTCTGCTTCAGAAGTCTATCCTGCGCGACGCTGTCAACGATCTCTCCCTCCACTTCCTTGCCAAGCTTAACATCCTGGCCATTAAGGATATCGAGCGTGATGAGGTCGAATTCATCTGCAAGAGTACTGGATGCAAACCGATCGCCGATATTGACTCCTTCACCGAGGACAAGCTTGGCAGCGCTGATTTGGTTGAGGAGTCACAATCGAGTGGCGTTCGTTTGGTCAAGATCCTGGGCACCAAGAGCGCAGGCAAGACTGTATCTGTGGTATGTCGCGGTGCAAACAGCTTGATTCTGGATGAGGCGGAGCGCTCTCTACACGATGCTCTGTGTGTCATCCGATGTTTGGTGAAGAAGAAGGCGCTCATCGCTGGTGGAGGCGCCCCTGAGATTGAGATTGCTGCTCAGCTATCCAAACAAGCGCGGTCCCTGGCAGGCACCGAAGCCATCTGCTGGAAGGCTTTCGCAGATGCTCTTGAGGTTGTGCCCACAACACTGGCAGAGAATGCGGGTTTGAACAGCATCAAAGTGGTGACGGAGTTACGGCATCGTCACGAAATGGGCGAGAAGAATGCAGGCGTCAGTATCAAGAGCGGAGGTGTGAACACAAATATCGCGAAGGAAAATGTCTTGCAACCTCTGTTGGTCAGCACAAGTGCCATTGAACTAGCGGCGGAGACGGTCAAGATGATTCTGCGCATTGACGACATTGCGCTGAGTCGGTAATGCACTTTGATGGGAGGATGTATCATAGAACTGAGGGTATGAATGGACTCATCAAGATTCCCAAGGCTATAGATAGGAATGAAGTCCACTGAAGACAATCACATCCATGTTCGACATGTGGCCAATGTCTTCAAGTTCATATCTGCATGTTGCTTCCATTTATTACATAAGCTCAGGACGTTGCCAAATCACTTAGCAGTTCTTCACGAAAGTTCCACTCGTCTCCCCTGTTGTGAGTTCCCACACTGCCTCGCACAGTTTGGAGGAAACCTATGCTTTGACGGGGCAGCACTAAATGCCACACGGAATGTGTGACCAAAACTTGATTCATTTATGGGTTTCAAGACGACACCGCATAGATCAACATCTCTGAGTCGGTGCTTCACATCCCCGACGAACGTCCAAAGCCCAAATTCCAGTTGAGAGCCGCTATTGCTAGCATTCCAATGAGTTGATTACCACGCATTTGATCCTAGGGCGCTGGGCTACCTGGATATTTGTGATTGCACTGCAATACATACGAATGCAGTAATAAAAGCACATACTCACGCAACATTGCAGTATCAACGTCTGTTAGACGAATTAATCTATCTAGTTGACATTATGCCACATGATCACCAAGAACATCATCAATAACTGGACAAGCGAATTGCATGCCGTAGTGTAGGGTGGGAAGTTTGCTTTATCTCTTTATTTTTTTCCTTACAGATCCTTATACGACCAGTAAATATTACCGATGGCAGCTCAGGTCATACAACTTGATGGAATCGTTGGACAAGCGAGTCGGGATGTTGGGGATCGACAGGATGTTACATTCACACAACACCAACGAACCTACCAACCAGGCCGGAAACATACCAACAGGCGCACATAGTGCGAACTATTGGGTCGTATACACACTCTTTACTATCCCCGCTGGCCCTAGTCGTCTACCTAGATATTCGGCAGAGTCCCCAAGGATTCGCGGTGTTAATGCTTTCTCGGCAGCTTGAATGATATCGGCGGCCGTAAGTACTAGACACTCAGCAGAATAAATACAGACAATCCTGAAGTGGATCCCGAGCGTCCTTAGACGCTCTCGTCTGCTCTTGCCCCACTCGGGAGCTATCACCTGAGTTGATTGTGCTTGACGTCCTTAGAAATTAACTAAGAACCAGACGTCAATTAGTTTGTGATGGTAGATGAAAAAGCAACAGCATGGCATCTAATCCATTGCGAGCTGCGAGTTGAAGGTGTGGTGATTTTAGTAATAACGGATCGGTGGACGCTGAAATCCGACGCGACGGTGCTTCGGCTTCGTCCTAACTTCAAAGCAGTGATCAGGGCCGCGTGTTGAGCGGGGTTGAGCTTAGGTCTTTTTGGATAGTCGCTATCAGCTCTGCCATAAATTCGGTCCAATTCGAGTCCATTTTGATACCTTCGTGCGAGGATCAAGTTGCATGTTGAATGCAAAGGATTGCGCGAATCGCCGTGTTGGCGTAAAGTAACTTCCCACATTTATGGGACCTGACAAACTCCGGTACGTGTTCCCACTATGTTGCCATACTCGTCAGTGTCACTATCTCCTCATCCCAGTCTTCCCAAACCTCAAGATTTGACTGAACTCCCTTGGCATCTTCGGGATTCATGCCATTAGGGTCGAGTTCCGTAAGGATTTGGCAGCCGTTGCCGTTGGATTTTCCAAAGCCATTTTGGCGCAGGGCAATCCACTGCCGTTGCGATTACAAGGTTGTTTGTTAGTTCGGGAAGCGCTGGCAGCTCTGACAGATTGATAAGTTCCAGTAAAGAGTATATTATATTAGTTGTTTTATTGGTCCTCTCTGCTGAGTGGGGTCAGGCGCGGCGGCGGTACCTTCCCGGCTCCGACATCCGTGACTACTTCCGTTTTATAAAGTCAACAATATACAAGTTCCTTTTGATTGATTCATCTCCTTGCTCTGCTCTGATGCAAGTGGCGGCTTGGGAATTTACCAACATGACGAGGCGAATACTTGAACAACAGCCAGCGGCTAGAGCGTCACGTAAGTACGCCGTTCACATCTTCACATCTCCATATGAGGACTTCTCTATCGTAAGCTGCTGAGCGGCGGATTCACTCTCGTAAGGTCTAATTTTAATGTTTCATGGCAGCACACTCCCGAGCTTCCCCAATAACTCCGTCAATAGCTGCCCAGAGTTCCAGCTCGCCACTCCAGGCGTCGTCCCGTCAGATCTTCTCCACAGGCTTTGGTATTGCCATCAGATCCAAAGATGATGACGACTCAGTCACTTCGGAAGATGTCGCTGCGACGAAGAAGACCTTTTACACCATAATCAAAGCTGGACTTCTCATTCCAGGCGACGGCGAGCCTCTCGAGGATGGTGCCCTCGTTATTGAGAACAAGCTCATTGCCTGGGTGGGTGCTCAAGGCGACATCCCAGAGAAGTATACAGATGCCAACCACCGCAGCTTCTCGGTGCCTTTCCTGATGCCAGGCTTATGGGAATGTCACGCACACTTCGCTGGAATCGGCGAAGAAAGCGCGCCGCTGGGCTTTCTGGCACTTCACACTGAACACCCGGCAGCTTGTGGCGCGCGCCTGGCTAAGATGTGCTGGGAGAGCTTGCAGCGCGGGTACACGTCGGTTCGCGACATGGCCGGCTATGGGTGCGAGGTTGCACAAGCCGTCAACAATGGGGCAATCGTGGGGCCCAACATCTACAGCGCTGGTGCCGGTCTGTCTCAACTTGCCGGGCATGGTGATATCTTCAATCTACCAGCGGGCGATGTTCTCTCTAATCTTGGTGTGTCGAATTCCAAACCTGGTCAATTCGGCACTGGCGCCATTTGTATCGTTGATGGTGTTGACGAATGCCGACGTGGCGTGCGCCTTCAAATTCGCCGCGGTGCCAAATGCATAAAGATAATGGCCTCTGGTGGTGTCATGTCCTTGGACGACAACCCACTGTACGCTCAGTTCTGCAAGGATGAGCTTGACGCTATTGTCGAGGAGGCTACGCGCATGAACCGGGCCGTAGCCGCCCACGTCCACGGCAAGCCCGGTATTATTGCTGCTGTTAACGCCGGCGTCACGACTATTGAGCACGTGTCATATGCTGACCAGGAGTGCATTGACCTGATTAAAGAGAAGGGCACAGTTTTCATCGCAACACGAACCGTGGTGGAAAAGTTACTGGCAACTAAAGGAAAAGGCCTGCCGAAAAAGGTCTGGGAGAAAGCGAAGCTGGTTTCTAGGAATGCAGAAAATGCATACAAGTTGGCAATCAAAGCCGGCATCCCGTGTGCTCTAGGTACCGATACGGATCCTGGCTTCAACCAGGCGGTGGAACTCGAATATGCCGTCCAGGCAGGCATGAGCAATCTGGAGGCTATCAAGGCGGCAACTGCTAACGGACCGTTGACTGTGGGTGGACAAGCACCAAAATCTGGCCAACTGAAGACTGGATACGAGGCTGATATCCTTGGGTTGACGGAAAACCCGGTGGAAGATGTTAAGGTTTTGCAGAAGAAGGATGTTGTAGAGTGGGTGTGGAAAGGGGGCAAGATATTCAAGGGCCCGGGCATTGGACCATGGGGAGAGGACTACGTTATGGATTGAATCAGTGAATTAAATGAGCACACGTTTGCTTCAAAGATGTTCAAGAAGTGAATAATCGTGTGGAGTAAAGAAAGTCGTATTGCGCGACTCTAGTTTCTTCCGGCTTGCAATAGGAGACTCCACAACTTACAAAACTGACACAGATAACATCAAAACCTGCAATTGACACATTGCCGCACACAAGACACCAATAAACGATATCGTACCAGATGTATTATAGCCGGAGTATACAAGATCCACCCGCCGCCACACCCCCTCCTCTCTGAAAGATGGAAATATGCCCTCGGGATCAGGGACCAGAAACCAGGCCTATATAAGATGCACCAATTGTTCTCATTTCTAACATAGCAATCATCTCCAACCTCGTAACAGCAACAGTTCATAGTAAGCAGTATAGAAACTAACCATAACAGATCAGGCTTGCGATATTTGTACTTGCTAGATTGCAGAGGAGAACTGTCATGACAGGATTATCTTCGGTAGTGGAAATCAAGCAATAGACGTCAACGAATCCTAGGATAATCGGGGGTGTCTTCTGGGCACGTAAGCAGTGGATGGTCGCAGTTTCCACTTACTTAAGTGTCCAGATGCACCGGCCCTGACACCCTCATCGATATTTCTCAAAGTTGCTCTGCGGCTTCCTTGTCTCAGAGTTCAAGCCACTGGAAGCTCATGAAAATCCTGATTTCGTCCTATGCTTGAAGTTTCTCTCGACCCCAGCTTCAACACCGACTACTTGGAATTGTCCAAGTACAAAATAGCACGCAACGTTTTGCTGCAAGTTGCCTCTGAGCCCAAACCCAACTTTTCAAATACTTTTGCACGTATCATACAAGGTATCTTACTCACTCTCATCGGCCACTTTCCCAAGCTCTACTCGAAACATGTCCGACATCGCAGCAACCATGGAGGAGAAGAGAATCATCATGACGGGCGTAGTGATCCTCATCATTGCGACTATCTCGTTCATGTATGCAATTCTCTTGTTCTGCTACTTTGTCTTTGCTAGTCGAAAAGAGAAGAGGATGGACAGAAGGTGGCCTCCAATTTCTTATGGCATAGAGCGTACTCGGCCATGTTATCTCTAATATACTGCCTTTGAAAGCCGTCGAAACCAAGGCCACCAAGGGATATCTCAGTTGTGGAGGTGTATTGGAATTTCTCGCATCGACGTTCTACATGCTGTTCGGATGACGTGGCTGGGCATCCACTTAGCCGTCTGGACTGAAGTATTCTTGGATTGGGCAACGGGGTTGATATATAGACTCACTGGTCGACTGGCTCGACTGCTCTAGTCGTCAAAAGTAGGTGATGCAATACACGACATGGAGTATGGCATCTGGGAAGGAAGATGTGAGAACTGGCATCGAGGAACTGGAGGAGCCCTCTGCTTCTTGAGGGTAGGCATGGGCTTATGACGGACTTTCATTGGTACTTCTTGGATGGTGCTAAGCCGTACCATTCACCCATTGATGGTACACATGCTGACTACCAGCAGTAATACCTCCACATTCACTCGCGTCCCCCAAGATATTCTTGCGCTCAGTCCCCTGCAGTTTTCTGGTCGACATTACAGACCTCAAATCATTATTCCCGCGATAAGACATAATGGTTGCTAATCCGGGTGCGTAAACTTGACAACCTTGAACGTAAAATACATCACAGGACGTAGTCCCATTGTTATTGCACGGAAACCTCTGATGTACATGACTGCGTAAAGGTCAGGTTGTTTTCCTGGTGATTCCGAAGTTGTAATGTGCCATTCGTCTGAGCTTTGCACTTTCCTTCCTCGAACCCGGTTCAGAGGAGCCCAAACGCTTCCAGTCACATGAGCCAGTTTCCGGGCCGTCACTTCCAAATGTTGTAACAAGGCGACAGGTAACTACAGTCTCTGATACTTAGGGCAGTCCAGGCTGAAAGACCGACATCTGTATGAAATACCCGCGATATCAAGCCTTTCCTCAACCACTTTCCCAACTCGAAGCTGGCTGCCATGCCACTTCATGGACGACGACTTTGGGCTGCATGCTATTTTACCCATCGCCGTACTATTATTGAAATAATCTAGCGCTTCTTCTCTTGTCCCTTTCACTGCCCTTGGATGTTTTGGCCACTCCTAGGGTTAAGTCAGAGATCGCCACAAGATGGATACAAGTAACTATCGACTGCCTCGGCGCTCAGCCAGCCATGGAACTCTTCGTAGTAGCTACGCCCATCACGGAAGACCACTGCACAAGCCCCTCCGAAGTGTCAACGAAAACTCCGTGTTGCTGCACTCTCCCGGAGCCTTGGAGAGCATGCTAAAAACCACCACCGAGACTGGAGACATCGGTATTTTCAGCATAAAGCCTTCTAGCTCTTCAAACCTAGGCGAGTTGACTCCAAGACGCAACAACATCTCGAGAGGAACAGGGCAGATGCTTCCACCCGTGCGACGCTCAGTTGATGATCGAAGAAAACCACCTTCGCATCGAGACACGACCTCGGAAATTCTTTCCATGTACGGTTCCGCCTCTCAAAGCTCTGTCACCAGCACCTTGACTCCTTCGACGGACGAAATCGGCGGGCAACGCTCCTACTCCATGACCACGGTTGGATCGAGACATTTGTCTCATCACAAGTCGAACGCCACGATGCAGAGCCAGGCCAGTGGCAGTAATATGCAACGACCGCGTTCTCCCTTTCCCTACCCTACACGTCTGAAGCGACCGGGCGCTCGGCCGTCGTCTCCAGCTGTGACGGAGAATGGCCTTGTTGACTATAGTCGCATGGTAGAGATTAACAGAATCTCCTTGGTGAGGACTCCTTGGCAACGTCTTTGCGATGCATTCATTTACTGACCCAATTCCCCAGAGAACTAGCCATGGACCATATAAATCGTCATACCCGCAGCCTCGAAGACCTCCTCCTTTGGGGCTCCGCGCCGATGCAAATCAGTCGACTCCTCCATTGCTTGGCCAAGGGCCCCCTATGCGCCGTCACCCAGGCCCACCTTCGGTTCGGACTGTGTCTGCAGCCTCCGTAGCTTCTTGGAATGCACCATTCCGAGATAGATTGGATAGCAACTCTTCGAGAACATCAAGTCTGACTTCGGTCATAAATATGTATCATCGCATGCCATCCGCTCTCAAAAACACCCAGCTGGCGCCTCCTGCTCCACCGCCACGATACTATGATTACACCGAGGAGTTTGAAAGCAAGCAACCTCGGTCATCAACTCCAGTCCAGCCAGTAGCGCCGGTTCCAACTAGAGCACCGAGTGCCCAACGTCCTATGGTCCTCAGAGAAGGGTCTGAGGAACAGCTGGCAGCTGCTTTGGGCGTGGATGCAGAATCCGAGTCCTTGCAAGAGAATGAGAATCGGAGTGATTCGGGAGACACCGAGCATATCCAAGCGAGGAAAGACGTTGGAGGCCACGGTGACGGTGACAGCGACCAGCCCACCACCGGTCAAGGTTTGACCCAACGAACCCCCGCATCTCCGCCGCAGGGGATTGTTGCTGTACCCAACAGCGCGGGCAGGAAAAGAACGCAGACAAGAGGTAGTGATATCGACCTGTTACCGTCGCAAATTGGCCGTGGTTCCATGGACACCTTCAATCCAAGTCTAGATATCGAGTCCAGAGAGGCTACGTACAGTTATCTAAGCTACCGTGCAACAGCAAGCTCCAAGACTATGTCAGCACTACCAGGTCGTCAGGTACAGGTACAAGGCTCCGGAACTCCTACCATCCGCAGTGAACAAGGGGTAATTCTCAAGGATGATGTTGAAGATGAGAGTTCTTTGGAAAGAGCTTCTCATGCAAGTGTTGACCGGACCGAGGTAGCAACTCCTATTATTTCTGTGCAAAGCCCCTCCAAAGGAGGATCAAACTCCAACCCAGCTGATGGTCATTCAAAGACATTGGATGAAAAAGCACAAGGAACCTTCGTTCGTCCCTTGCGCCGCGGAACATCAACAGAGCCTCTCGGTTCAATGGTTGTCGATTCCAAGCCCAACAGTAATCTAGCTGCTGGACCCAGTCTGATGGGAGAAGACCTGCGGCTGAAGCTTGATGCGATCGTGGAAAACGCCGAATCTCGAAAGTCATCAATATCTTCAAACCCTGGTGAAAATACAGTGCATCGATGCTCGGACGAGCGTGGAGATGTTAATTCATCTCCAGACACCACAAATTCGCTGAGAATGAAAGGAAGTGAGAATAATTTCAATCAATACCGATGCCACAGGAGGAACCAAGCTGCTCTCAACATAGCGACGAAGGATCTGCCTAGAGAAAGCAGCGGAGATTTTCCACGGCTTACTCCATCATGCTCAGAAACGCCTTTGATATCACCAAAGCCTATATCTCCCGCCCGGCAGCTCAAGGTCAAGAACAGTATCCCTCAACTCATGAAAGCGCTGCCGCCCTTACCTGGTGAGCCTGGTTACGTTCAGCCATCTACACCCCCCACAACAGGTGACGAGGACGACGTTGCAGAGGTTCTTGCGCCATTCAGTTTCGCTTCATCTGACACCTCCAACGTATTTAGAGGGCCGAACAAAACACAGTTCCCTACAAATAGTATGTGTGATGGAGGTAACCGATTGTCAAGCTTACCCAAGAAGCTTCCGAAGATACGGCTCAGGCCCAAGGAGGCTATTTATTCCAGAACGAACCCAAGAGATTCTCGACCCTGGAATTCGGACAGCAACTACCCGTGGTGCAGTCATAGCCCGGAGATTGAACATGAGAGCGAGGACGGCAACGACAATAGTCTGGCATCAGCCAAGAGAAAATTCCGATTAAGGGGTTCTCGAAGTGTTGGTGGTGGTAGCCCATCCCCTACGACTGTACGACGACACCCGGCCGCTCGAGGTTCTGAAATTGTCGCAAGTCTGGCTAGACAGCAGGCAAAGGATTTGTTCAGTTTACCGAGCGGGCTGAGCTCCGCTTTCCGTGAGGTAAGCAGAAAGCTGACCTCGAGTACCCATCATGATGTGGGAAGTTCGATCGAGAAGCCTGGTGTAGCATCTGAGGATCCCAGAAATGCAGAAGCTCGACAGGAAAACCAGGGCGCAGAACTCGAGCCAAAAAAGCAACGCATCCTCACGAGAGTGCGGGGAAGACGGGACTGGAGTACAACCAGAGCAAGGAAGAGCGCAGGATCAAAGCGGCAGCAAAGATTGCGTAAGAGTTTGTCAAATATTGGATGGATCATAGAGCGATCTCCCCATGTTCGACGAGGACAAGCGATGCCAACATCGGTGACACAGCTAGTGCCCGACAAGAGGCAAGCCGGCTTGGATAGTGTGTTGGGAACAGACAATATCGATTTTGACAGCAAGCAATTCACGGTCAGCGAGGGTCTTTCGCCTGTGCCGCCGCAACGGGCTCGCTTTCGACGACGAGTACGAGATAAGGTCTCCAAGTGGATGAGACGTACCAAGGAGACAGTGAAGGCTTACGGCAAGAAGATTCACGGCATGTGATGGCCAATTCAACATCTAAGTGTTTGGTCGAGGGATGGAAGAATTGATAGGGCTCTCTTCTGGGTCATCGACTGTTGGCTTTGAGGAGGCAAATTTTTGGTGTGCATTGCACAAACACTTTTTGGAGCCTGACTCAATAGGGACTGTTCTCAGCTATTCACGTTGTTCTGTTAGAATTGATAATTCACGCGGCAGTCCATTGGTATAAGCCGATAGTGGAGCTGGGCATACTTGCGTCCAGGGTAACACAATGCAAAGAGGGAACACTCTCCATGTACTTCGTTGTACCTTGTTAATTCCTAGTTATGTTATATATATCAGAATTGCGATACATTAGGCCCAACGTGCGCTTCGTGTGAAGACTGTGGACTTTGATGGACAAGCCACCCCTTTTAACTCTGGGTATTGTTTGGAACATCAAATGCTAGTGGCATATACCTCCACTTCTCCGCGTCCAGCTGCCAATGGCAACACGAGACAACCGACAGGTTTAACAGCGAGGGCCAGACAGACGTACCTCTGAAGCTTTCTTATATGGGTTACTCTGGTACTCAAGTACTCTGTGGCTCTGGGGCTCTGGGGCTCTGGGGAAGCTCTAGATATGTGCTCACACGTCATTATCCGCGGAAGCTTAACAGTCAGCTCACGAGTGCCCAACCTCATCCCTCTTTTTGACCATGTTTTGACCCGTCTTTGGAAAATTTCCTCCCTTCCCCATCATATACCCATTCGAAAAATTCCAACCTTCATCACCCTCGTTTCGCCTTTACTGCAGGTGGTGGCTGTTGCTGTCATTACCATCCGTTCGCTCTTCTGTGGACATACGTCCAGATACCACTCGCTTTACCCCCTTTCCCACTCAATTACCTTTTCATTGCCAAAGATCGTGAGTGTCACGCCGAGAATTCATTCGATCCACATCCACAAGAGTTTGATCAGAGCGAAATTGTATCACGAGTCCTGAACGCCTCGTTCCTGGATTTCTGTATTCCTGGCTCGACGTATGCGTGTGCGTGCCAAAGCATCTGGCCATGCACCTCAGGGTTCCTGGACCCTCTCTGATTTCTCTCCTCGAACAATCCTGCACGGCGAATTTTCAACCAGCGAAACCCCCTGAAAGATCGGCAGGGGTGCCCCATCGCGATAAATCCAATGGAAGCACCTATGCCTGGCTTTTCGCATTCACCCGGTGTCAAGCTGATGACCCACGTTCATCCCCTGATCCCCATGACGACAATCGAGGAGCCAGTGCCCGCGTCCTTACCCCGCAGCGTCGTCGACGACAGTGGCAGCTCCAGCTTCGAGCCGTCCCCCTTGCTGCACGAGACACCGAACCCCTTGTTCCCCACGGCCGCTATCAGCTCGATGCATACGACAGCTTGCTCAAGCCTAACGGGAAAATCCGTGCGACTGCACAATTCGTCCAGGTTCACTGAGCACATCCACCTAGACATTCCTGACGCATACGGCAACCTAGGCCACAGCATCAAACACCCAGGTGCGAGCATAAACGTCGCTGCGGTTGACGCCACAGTAAGCGAGGAGCTGCGCGCCGCGTTCCTGAACCTCAGCGAAAGGCGCCGCAAGATCGCCTGGGAGATCCACGAGGATTCCCGACCCCTCAGCCTGGGGAACCAGGTGGAATCGAAATGCGGCGACCTCGTGTGGGTCAAGCGGCTGAATCCCACGATGGAGCAGGATTGGGAGTGGACTTTTCCGGACTGGGAGGCACCGGAGCCCAACGAGGAGAAGGAAGAGGAGGAGTCGCCTCACAAGCGGGAGACGAGGGCCAGGTCAACGCCAGGGTCGGTGTTTTGGCCGTCGGTGCTTTCGCTGCCCGAGAATGCGGAGAGGCGGGCCTCAGAGCCTGGTCCGGGGGGGCTCAAACGGGCGCGACCGTTGGCGGCGGACGAGGAGGCGCCGCCGAAGAGTCGTCGGGAGAGTTGGGCTGCGGGATTGAGGAAGTTGCTCACGAGAAAGAGGAAGGACCCCAAGGACGTCAGTTGCCGGCAGTCGCTCGATTCGGGCGTTATGATGGGTCAGGATGAAGAGCCCATTGGACCTAAGAATGAGCGTTGGGAGGACGCTCTTGTGGTGCATATGGATTATGATGGGCAGGCTATTCTGCCTCCTTTAAAACGACGGCCGAGATCGGGACACTGGCTTGCCGGATTGGGTATCAACGAGGTGTAATAAAACCCTCTATCCTACTCCCCTTGGAGAATTGACACCAGGAAAGATGGGTTGTGTGGAGTAATAACCGTGTTTGTTCATTCTACTTCCTGGAATCATGGAGCGGCCACAATCGCATCAGCCAGATAGACTTAAAGTATATTACCCTTTAATGTAATGTAATAAACTTGCAGAGGGCGTTCAAAACACGCCTCCGCCAATAATGAACAATCGCTCTTCCTCTCTTTTGGCCCACTGAATAATCTCGTTCGCCCCTTGCGTCATGACCTGTCTCGAGGTGTTGGGACCGGCGACACAGTAGAACTCAAAGATGGGCGTGATCCAAGCAAGTGACGTTGCATCATCGCCAACGCAGTGTAAGATCTTCAGATGCGAATGCCGCGCGTGAACGGTAGCGTGGAGGCTGTGGTAGAGTGACATGAGGCGCCGGTGTGAAACCAAGTCGCTGAAGAGGGGTTCAAGGGACGACATGCAGAACTGTACGTTCGCTTTGGATTTAAAAAGGAAGTGACTGGTTTGCAAGCCGGGCGCAACGTCGTCGACCTTGGGGCGCCCCTGGGTAGTTGCGGTTCTGATGATGTCGAGACTGCCCTTATTCTTCAGCTCGACGACAACGTCGTCTTTCATCTTCTGAAGGGCGAAGAAGCTCTCCTTGTCCGGACTGATGAGGATGACGGCGGTGTCATCATCATGAGACGACGATTTGTCTTTGGGAGATGTCGACGGGCTTTCTGAGTGGCTGTCGAGAAAACTGACGTACATGTAGAGATAACCGCGGTTGTTGAATGCGGGCAGGCAGATGGGAATCCAGTTCTCTCCACCTGTTGCTTTGATCCCGCCCGATTCGAACAACATGTTGAAAATTAGTTGTAAATCGCTCGGATGAAGTGAATGCCTCCGCGGCCTGATAACGCTCACGAGCTTCCCGCCTGCTACGATCAGCCCATAGAGTAGTTTGTCGGCTCTCGTCTTGAGGAACGCGTTGTTGATGGAATGTCTGTGTGACTTCCTAATCTTCAAACACTCCAGCGCCCCTAGAAGCGCAGATGGCGAGCCTTTAGTGAAGCTATCCGCCAACGATGAAAGCAATGACTCCGTTCCCTCGAGAGGCTTGCGGAGATCTGACGATGGGCGATTCGCAAAAATGTGAGTTAGTGTTGGAAGTGTGAGGGTGGAAAGTATCTGCATATACAGAGCGTCCAGCTGGGCCCGGAGTTGCGAATCGCTTTCTCCCAGCTTGCTGATGGCGATCAAGTAGAGCGGCCCTTCGGTTGCAATCACAAAGCGTGTGGTCCCAGCAGTGAACCCCAGCAGGGGATTCTTAGCCCCTTCGTAGAAAGATATGATGGTCTGTACAACGCCCATGTATGAGTTGATAAGCGCCAGGTCGCCGTGTCTGCTGTATATGGGCTTCCCGGCCGAGGATAGGATCATGTAGTGTTTTAGTTTGGACTTCCACACTTCGAGACGGTCCCAGTCGTGCCAATCCTTCTCGGATTCATCTGGTATATCGTCAAATTCCTTTGGGAAATCCGTCAACAGGGAGCCCTCTTTGGTCCTCATTTTCTCGAACGGTGGCACCGTTGGCGCCTGTGACCGCAGCGAGTGCCAAGCTGCGGTCCTGTTGCTGTTGTCCCCCACCATCAAGCTTTCCAAGTCCCCAGGCGGCCGCACTGTAGGGACGAAACTCATAACACTTAAGCCTTCGTCCAAATCATTTGCGACTGCACTGGTACCTCGTGTAGACGCAAGATCCCCTGGAATTATCACAGGCTCCGGCGCAGCTGTAGTGTCTTCCCCGCTGGTGAAGGTGCCCCGTGTGCCGTCTGGAAAGGACAACGTCTGAATGTTCATAGACGAGATGGCCGTGGTCGGTTTCGATTGCAGGGCCGGCTTCATAGGTTCTATTGACGGTCGAGGTGGCAAAGGGGGCGGCGGCATTTCCTCAAAGTCGCCATGGTTGCTGTCGGCGCTCGAAGCTCGGGCTTCTTGCTTGCCCGATTGCATTGTAGAGATAAATTGCGTTGTGGGGTTTGCATCCTCTTTCTATGTAGTCGGGGCGGATCCGGGGTGTTGGAGGTTCGCGGCGCCATTCGTAGAGCCGCAGCTCGTTCAAGGCCGACAGCGATGACGATACTTCGTAGTCGCGTGCTTGAGCAGCGCAGCGACGTTGGCACCCTATGGGCTATGAACCGCCTGGAGCTATCGGGCTCGTCAGGTAATGCTGCGTTGTATTCTTGCACGTCATTGGAGACTAGTTGGCAGCCGCTGGAGCCTTGCAGCGCACACTCAGGGCGTGGCATCATCCCTGCAGGGGTATCAGCCAATCAGACCCGCATTTACCGGTGCACTAGCAGGTAGCTAGATACAAGCAACGTAAACCTCAAGGTTGCGACAGGACTTCTAGGGATAACATTATTTGCGACTTTGGAGACTTCTCCATGTGTTCAAACCGCCACGTTTGAGGCAGCGATGCACTGCGACTCTGCCAGCGCCTCCCCTCAAGACCTCATGGTTTTGCGACCACTCCCACCATAGTACGCGCTCTGGAAGCCACGCGCCATGGCTCTCGAGCCTGGTCCCGCCCGGTCACTCTCCCCGGAGAGCTCTGGACGCAATACGCCAACCCCGCGACAATGGAGGAACCAGCTCAGCTCAGGTACCCTACCCTATCCTACCTTGCCATACGTCCGAGTCCGAGTCGCATGCTGATGTCTATATACAGAAGAGCCGCCGCTCAAAGACAAAGCCTACCGAAAGTATGCGTCCGGCGTCGAACGAGCCCTGTCGTTGTTCGACACAGCACTCCTGGAATGGGCAGACTACATATCCTTCCTGAGCAGGCTGCTCAAGGCCCTGCAGGCACGACAAGCCAGCATCACAACCGTACCCTCCAAAACCTTGGTGGCGAAACGTCTCTCCCAGTGCCTCAACCCATCTCTCCCCTCGGGCGTACATCAGAAGGCACTCGAGGTGTATAACTATGTCTTCTCCATCATTGGCAAGGATGGCCTCGCTAAGGACCTCCCTCTATACCTCCCTGGGCTCTCTACGACTCTCTCATTTGCCTCTTTGACTGTACGGGCCCCCTTTCTCGAGCTTCTCGAGAGATACTTCATCGAGCTGGACCCCCGATCCCTGCGGCCTGCCATGAAATCCGTCATATTGGGACTGCTGCCTGGGCTGGAGGAGGAGACAAGCGAGGATTTTGACAGGACTCTGAAACTGTTAGAGAACTTCAAGGTCGCCATCCGTTCGCCAGACAGCCAATTGCTCACAGCAATCCATTCGACTGGCGACGAATTCTTCTGGCAATGCTTTTTCTTAGCTGCAATTACTAGTCAGAGCCGTCGTCCGGGTGCTTTGGCGTATCTCGTTCGAAATCTCCCACAATTAGGACATTCCCTGTCGAATGAACCAACGGCCACGAAATCCAAGGGTGAAGACTCAGAGGAAGCCGGATTATCCGAGGAGTTGACAAGTCTCGTGACGTCCCCTGAACCTGGCTTGCTTTTGAGATGTTTCGCCGCCGGTCTCGTCGATGAACAACTTCTTATTCAGCGGGGATTCCTCGACCTTTTAGTAACACACCTGCCTCTGCACTCCAAAGTACTGCAGAAACGGGTCAAACCTGAAGACTTGGAGCTTTTGCTTCGTGCCGCTGCCGGCGTCGTCACCCGGAGAGACATGAGCCTGAACCGACGTCTGTGGGCTTGGTTCTTAGGCCCCGAACCTGCGAGCCAGGAGAACGAGAATGGTCTCGACTCCCCAACATCACCATCAGATACCCCCCACGCGTACTTCTCCACGAAGACGAGCTACTTTGAAGAGTACGGGCTGCAAGCTCTGACGCAGGCACTATTATCCATGATCAAGACTGCGTCTGACAGCAACCCAACTGAACGAGCGCGTCCATACCGGATATGTCTGTCCTTGATGGATAGGTGGGAGATCGGTGGTGTTGTGGTACCTGAAATCTTCCTCCCTGTCGTAAAAAGTGTCAGGGACTTCAAGACAGGGGTTGCTGGCAAGGCCGAGTTTAACGAAGTCCTGCGCAGCGCGAGCGTCTTCTTCGATGGCGTTGAAAGTGGACTTATTTATAGTGAACTCATTGGGCTCATAGCTCAAGCTATCGGCCCTGGAGCCACGGGTTATGCAGAGCGCCTTGATAATCTCTCTTTGGTCCAGTTCATCATGGATCATTTTAACATCAAGGAAGAAGAAATGGTCACTATTCATGCTCCTCTGGCAGCCTTGTCAATCTTAGCAATGCTGGAGGATTGCAGGGAACGGGACAACCGATCCACGACACTGACTGAGAGTGCAAAGGCTGCCTTGTCAGATCAGGCGCTGAACATTGTCCTGAATCTCTTGGAGCTCGTCCCAGATCGAGCTTTCCCCGTCAAATCGGGACAGAGGGATTCGGTAGGATCCTTGGAGGGTCCCGTCATAGCATCCATGTCGAACAATGACCTTCTCAAGAAGATCAAGAATTTCTATGTTACTGATCAGGGAAATCTCGAGGCTAGTAACACCCCCTTCTCTGCGCGGAATGTTGGGGCCCTCCTGTTGCAAAAAGCCGGTAATCTGACATGTGAATGCTTGGCTGAGGAAAACTCAACCCAAGCATTGGCAATCAGGAGTCGAGTCCTAGCAATGTTGTTGTCCAAGGTGCCGCAGGAGTATCAAGTGGAGATCGAGAGGTTACTGTCAGCCATGCAAGCCAGGTTGTCTGTCGTCGATCTGCCTTTCGTCTCTTTCAAATCAATCTTGTCGTTGTCCACACAGCTCTACAGCGGAGCGAGAATACCCACGACCTCACTGTCGTCCTTGGTCGAGCCGTTGGTTCGTCATGCCTGGGGATTCTTGTCCCTGTCAGAGCCGAAATACCATGTGGAGACAGTGCGGTGTCTGTGGCAATTGCAGTCAGCGCTGACGGTTCAAAATCGTGACATAGAAGGCGCTATTGCAGCCCTGATGCAGAAAAACGACACAAACGGTACATTCGCCATTCGACCAGCAGAACCTGGCCGGAGCTTCAGCATTCTCTGGTCACACACGCTGCAAGACAGTACTGACCGACGAGCCCCCAAGACCCCGACGGTAGACCTGAAGGCTGTACCTCGAGTATCTGGACAAGATTACTACGAAGTAATGTTGACTCGACCCTTATTCCTGATGCTCGATGCTCTCTCGGATGATCGAACGCAGCTATTCATGGCGGTAAAGACTTGGCTTAATAGCATGGTCGGTATCGAGAAGTAGGTGCCCTAGCAAGTATGCCAAAGCTTGAGTTGCTGACGCCATTACCAGACTTTTCCTGGTGTTTGTGACAAAACTTTCACAACTCTCGTTCCTAAGAACACTACCAAAGACACCGAATGCGACGGTGTCAAGTCACTCCATCGCATTTACAGCAGAAGACGACCTGGACCTGGCCTTGTACTACCTACGTACGCTTTCCAACATGTTTCGGTGGGCGCCGGATGCGTTCTGGGGAGTGCTTGCAACTCGGTCGATCGAGGAGCCAGACTCGAGTGTGATAGAAATCAGTAGGTTTACTATACCGCACACTGATAAGTGCATGGCTGACTTGGAGTAGCGATTACCGAAAGCGATGTCTCCTTGCAAGAGTTCTTCCTACAAGTCTGTTTGAGATGCATCGCAGGCAATAAATTCCCTGGAGACATGCAAGTGCAGCTACGCATTGCTCAACTTCATCGATGCGCTCTCACCCTCCTCCACCAGATTCTCTTGAGCCCTTATGCGGAATCACTGTCAAATCTGCATCTAGAGAATATTTTGATCGAGCGACTCCACCAATCACTGGATGGGCCAGATCCATATGTCCAGGTCTTGCTCCTCGACGTCGTTTTCGCGTCACTTAAGCTGCGGGATGTCTCTCCAAATGAACTTCCTTCATCACCTACGGGTGAAAAACGGGCCTTGAGCTATCCGTCAGGTAGCGTACGCATGTCATCTGGGACTGTTGAACACGTACCTGACAATACACCTCCACCTCCCTCGTTACTGAAGTGCATTCAGGCTGGCTTAGGCTCGTCTAGCAGCCGCCCAGTGCTAGATAGCTGGGTTGGGTTCTTGACGGAATGTTTGCCCTTCTATGCCAACTCCGTCTTTCAGGTGCTCATACCATTAGTTGGGACTTTGTGTGAGCAAGTGGCAAGTACTTTTGAGGATCTTCAGAAGACGTTCAAACAGAATGGAAAGACGTCGGTCGGCATCAATGCACCCGAATCGACGCTGATATCATTACTCAATGCACTTGAGCAAGTTCTGGCCAAAGCCCACGATCAACTCTTGGCTGAGGAGGCTAGAACCCACGTCACCAAGAGCCCAGATCAACCGGCTGGGTTCTTTGGCAACATGGTGTCTGGAGTATTTAATTCGGAGGCTCCACAATCGCGCAGCGCAACGGCAAATGACAGACTCACGGTGTTACTTGCGTTCCAAGACGCGGTACGCATCTGTTTCCGAATCTGGTCTTGGGGTCAAGGGAGTGAAGCGTCGACTCTGGATACTGACTCGGCTTCATCCTTCCTCTATACTTCCCTGCGCATGCGGAACCGTGCCCGCCGGCTCCTCGAACATGTCTTCGCCGCCGAGGCCCTGGAGTGTCTCGAGACTGTGGTTGGTATCTGGCGTGCGTCATTGAGCAGCCCAGATACAACGAAGCACTCAGAGGTTTTCAAACTGCTCCCAGCTCTGGACGGTTCTCGTCCACGATACACCATCCCCGCCATTTTCAACGCAATCTACAGCCGTACCAACCCAGGTGCGCTCGATCCGGGTAGAAAGTCGACCTTGACCATATCTTTACAGGATACTGATCTGGTCATATTCTTGGTTGACTATGCCCGGTCTCTCGAAGACGACGCGATGGATGAGATCTGGCAGGACTGCATGATATTTCTCCGAGACCTCCTGGGCAACCCCTTTCCACATAGGCAAACTTTGCCGAGCTTGCTGGAGTTTGCCGCTATCTTGGGCGAAAAGGTGGACAATACGAATTTCGGCGAGCAGCGGAAGATGCGGAGAGACCTAGGCGTAAGTTCGATGGTGTCCCTGCTCGGTGGGCGTTGCTAATTATTCGTAGGATTTGTTTCTCCGACTCCTCACTGCTCTCTTCACAACGAGGCCAACGTCATTTTCCGAAAACTCGACCACCTCCCAGTCGGACAAGCCAAAGTCTGAGGATCGACACGTCTCACCCGCGAGAAGCCCTGCGGAAAGGGCTGATGATGTTGTTGGAATTCTTTCCACCATCGTACCTAATTTACCCAAGATCCTCGTAGAGTCTGATCGTGTCCTGACAGCAGCTGGTGCCATTTCAGCAAACGTCATCGGTCCGACGATTCGCTCCAAGGGATTCCCTGAGACCATATCCAAGAGCAACTTGACTCTTCTCCAGGAACTGGCCAGACTCCCCAACAACCAGAAGACATGGAAGAAGGACGTCGGCGATGCTTTTAACGATGCGCGTTTCTTCGGGTCATCCGTTGCACTGGTCCAAAGCGGCTGGCTGCCACTGTTCAAGCAGTGGACTGTCACAGACAAAGATCGCATGACTGAAATTCTTAGCCGCATCACGCCACCTACAACCGCAGGCATTGTTTTCGGCGTAGGTGCCACGTCTGCGAGGCTTGAAGCGGACCGCAAAACGCAGCTAAACCTTCGTCGCGTAGCAACGCTGATTCTCGCCTGCGGAACCGACACCTTCGTGGCGGATCTTCCTACCATACTTGAGCGACTCGTTGAACTCATGGGCGCAACCTCAACCTCCTCGCCATCCTCGACCACCAGGGCCGAAATCTACATGGTTGTCCGCGCCCTGGTCCTCCGCACATCAGCAATGCATCTCTCACCCCTATGGCCCGTCATCAACGCCGAGCTGCACGCAGCCATCTCGTCTGTCGCCTCGCCCGACCACAGCGCCAGCAGCGACACGTATAACAACATGTCGACCCTGCAGGCCTGTAAGCTCCTCGACCTGCTCATCTGCGTGGCCCCCGACGACTTCCAGCTGCACGAGTGGCTCTTCGTCACCGACACCATAGACGCCATCTACCGTTCGCCCTCGTACCAGCCCGTCGCCCTCGTTGACGAGCTGTCCGAGGAGCTCGGCAACAGCTCCATCGCCAACAACTCGGCCCTGCAGACCGAGTCCGCTGCCATTATGGCCGCTTCGGGGTCTTACAGGCGGCCGCTACTAGGGCCGGGGGGCATCAACGATGAGCTGGCCATGGATCGCAAGGACGAGTTGGTCGCCAAGATTTTGAGGCCGTTCTTTGGGCAGTTAAGCATCTTTGCCTTTGAGTCGACGTACTCCATGGGCGCGCTGGATGAGGAGGCCGCACTGAAGGGGCTGTTGAGGGATTTGTGTGATGAGCGAAGCATTGTGAAGGCGCTTTAGAGAAGTGGTGGGGTGGGAAGGACGAGGAGTGGGAGGTGGGTGTCGCTAGGCAGAGTTGCATACTAGATAGGAACATGCAAGGTTTGGGATCGGGTGAGAGGAATGAAGCACTTATTCAAAGCTTTTTTACTCATTAGGCTTATGGATTGAACATATGCTAGCCGTGTTTCTACTTCCCTGGGGCCTGAAACATTCGGTCGGCTACCTACTCATAGGCTACAGGGTGCCTAACCGCACGGCGCTAAGAAAGTCAACATGCTACAGCCTCGTCAGATTCTTTTTGTAGCTCATTGCTGGATTCCAATGTCCAAGAGCCATCGGATGTTGACGTGTCCCTTTTCCGGCGTTGGCAGTCGACAAAGGGACTTGTAAGTAGTGACTCACCTTTGTCCTATGCCACCTTGATAGCGCCCGGTGTCTGCGAACTTAATTGTGTCTTGTAGATCAAAAACGACAACTTCATCTCCGTTTGGTCTTAGGTAAAAATATACGGATAGAAAGAAAAAGAAATTCCAAAATCAATGACCATTGCTGTTCGCCCTGTGCCTCAAGGAAAGTACCAAACAAGATGACGAGTTCATTGTTTTCGCTAGAGCAGCTGAGCATATGTCGGCGCGATTCTGTCAACATTCTTTGTTACGGAGGCATGAAGTGTAGATTCTTCACAGCGAAATATGATGGCACATATGAGAATCTCAGTTGGGTCAAAACTTGTCATGATGATGTAAAAGTATAGCCTCAGATGATGTTGCAAGCTGATCGTAGTTGGCGTAGAAGTACTTATGCTACTGTGCGGCGGCCCTCCTCCTATAAGTAATTGATAAACAGTCTAGGGTTGAAAGTTAGTAATCTGCTATACATCGCTGCCTCACGGCTTATAATATACGTAATAGAGGTCCTAGAATAGAGTCGTGCATACAGCGTACAAAGAGGTAGTAAAAAATCATTGTAATTTTACTTATTGTTAGCTAGAAAACCTTGAGGAGTCTCCGTATTAATCGAAGCGTAGGGTAATATTTTAGACGAGTCTTCTATATAAAATTCTACTAGCAGCCCAACCGCCTGGGTCTTCCGATTTGAGACGCTTAGTAACGTACAACCCCACCTTTCCGGCCACCCACCCTTCTGGCCACACACCCTTCTGGCCACACATTGCAATCCAATTGAAGGTATTCGAAACAGTGTATTCAACGTACTATTATAGCTATTCAGGTACAACCAGCTCTAATAGAAAGCTGTGCTCTAGGGCTTCCTGAGGTATAGATCTGATAGATTCTGACACCTTAGCTGGGTCCAGTATTACCTGATTCCGACGTTGTACCTGGTCTCGTTGCCGTTCTACTTCAAGGGCTCGATCCATCGCTTCCTTAATCTGTACAATGTTACCAAATCGTTCATTAGGCCCTAATCGTACCTTCTTACGTGGTTTGGGGCGTAACGAAGTTATCTCGGCTTCTAATGCGTGTACACGTTGGGCCAAAGTAGCGACCTCGACGTTCTGTACATCTAGCCGACGAGTCAGCTTCCGAAACAATAGCCGTTGCGACGATCGCAATGGCGTAATCGCTGCCAGACTCTCCCTAGCTACTAAGCTAGTCACTGGCGTCGCTATTATTGTCGGATCAAGCCAATTACCAGCTGTTGGTGGTGTAGTTGGTCGTTCTGATAGGGGGGCTATCGTCGGCTGAGGTCGCGATGGATCTAATGGGTATATTCCAGTTGCAGAGAAGCCTGATTGTATATTACTGATCGTGAACGACTTCGTATATGCCTCGATGTATAGCGAGAGGAACGTCGACTTTTTAAATGGAATAGAACAGTACTCGATCGAGAGAGAGGTCGCTAACGAGCGATAGTACCGCTTTAATGGAGCAAATACGGCGACGTCGAGAGGTTGGAGCCCGTGAGAACAGTGTGCTGGCAAAAATAGTAACGAGATCTTGTTACAATAGGCTAACCACATAAACTCGACGTTGTCGTGAGCGATATGACCATCTAATATCAAGAGCCGCTGCTCGTCGGGATCAACTGGTTGTGTACGAGGTATAAAGATATCACGAAGCCATCGAACGGCGATATCTGTACTGATCCAACCGTTAGACGAATAAGTATATTGCCAATCAGGTATATCGTCGCAATCGTTAAACCATTGGGCTTGGAGGCTCTTGCCAGTATATATTACTGCTGGGGTCAACGAGTTACCCATCGCCGATATAGCATGTAATATAGTGACCCATTCGCGGCTTTCGTCACTCCGAACGAATGTTGTATGTTTCTCTGACGATCCGTACACTATACCCTCGATCCCTTCGCCAATCGCGATGCCTGTTTCGTCCATATTCCAGACGTTATGTGGAAAGTAGTCGTGAGCTGACATCAAGGCTTCGTACGTCTCGAAGAAATCGTCGATATTCTGCGTCGATAGGCCATCAAATCGCTGACGGTCGAGGCGTCGAGATTGGATACTTCCGACCTCTGGATGGCGTTGAATAAAGCGATGAACCCAATGGCGACCGAGGCCCTCTGATCGACGATCCTGAGGTAACAGAATCAACGCCATCTTAGCGATGAATAGCGCCGACGGGCTACGACCCTCGCGATCCATTTCGAGGATCCATCCAATCAGCGCGTCTTCCTGATCCCTAGATAGCTTCATCGACGCGATTGACGTGTCAGAATGGCTGAGGCCATCGCCGAGTCGTAATTGGAGGGTAGAGCGTGGAACGCCCCATCGGAGGGAAGCCTGGCGCTGGGATATCCCTTGATTGATATCGTTGAGAGCGCCTTGAATCGAATTTTCTGAATATCGAGGCATTGTATAATAATAGCCAATAACGACGATGATCTGTTGTGCAGAAGATTGTTGTAGTTGGCAGATTAGGTGGCCAGAAAGGTGGGTGGCCGGTGAGGTGGGGTTGAACGTTAAGGACTGTTAACAACTGCCTGGAGTCATTTAAAGGCATTAGAAAAGTGTGTGTATGCTCCTATATATGTAAGACTAGATACATTTTTAGTAGCATAACGCAAAGACCCACCTCTCGGCGTAAGCGATAGAGTGGTTTAGTCGTCAGCCTATTCCACCAGTCGAATTGCCAGCTCATAGCCTAGATCTTGTCCCTATTAAGCTGATGCGAGTGCATATGGGGTGTGAAGTGCAATGTATTGAGAAGCTTGATTAGCTAGCTAGCTGGCTGGCCGAGGGCCCTTTTGGGCTGGCTGGCACCCTTGCAGCCCTATCCTATCGTGTCTTTATCTTATCTACTCTCCAGGGTAGCGGACGCCCTATGGGCTCACGTATCATAGGCAATCAATGCCTCAGATTAAAAAAGATTAAGCTCGACAATACAGAGTTTAAGGCTACACTGGGCAGCAATGCGGGGCGGGCTGTCAAGCGGCTGATCATTACACTAAAACGCCGGCTGAGCGCGGTTAAAAACGCTTGCGGTTGGTTCACAGAATATCAATATCTACATACTGAGTTGTATTTTGACTCCGTTTTGTGTGCAAAATCGCTTACATTCTTGGAGAAATGGCCAAGCGGTAGTCGTAGTGCCCTGTAGCGGTTGCGGGGCGGTCCCCAGACTTTTTGATCATGGCTGTACGCTTTGAGTCCGGACCTGGATGCCGAACTGCAAACAGTCTCAACAATGGGGGGGAAAACAATTGCTGCGTGCTGCAGTTGTTGCTCTTGTGTACTCCGTACCGTCTAAACAAACACCGAACCCTAGAAAAACAATTGCTGCGTGCTGCAGTTGTTGCCCTTGTGTACTCCGTACCGTCTAAACAAACACCGAACCCTAGAACTCCGATATAGTGCTATAAGAAGAACGTTTAGAATTCTTAGAGGCTACTTCAAAGGACGTTGGGGTTGGCTTTTGCCCATCTGAGGCTCTCAGAATCGACTACCCCCAGATCATCAATACAAGTGCAAGCTGACACTCCCAAGGCTTTCCAATGGCCAGGACACGATTGACAGACCCATTGAATGTTGCCTCCGAAACTATGTTTGTCAGTCACCGGACGATACATGGCACATCAACATACTTTGAAGTCTCGCTGTGTTTAAGGTAGGGTGAGGTGTGCTCAATCCATGGATATCACCAATCACCAGCACTTTGCCCGCATAAGCTAAAGACTTTGGTGCCTGGTGCTCCGCAGATGGACCCCTAAGGCGCTTCCTCCAAAGTTCATCCCTGTCCAAAGGGCGGTTTTTAGCGTTCCAGTTACTCCAAAAATGGGACTGCTTGGCAATGGGATGAAGACAGGTGTCATGTTCCTGTGTAGCCGCGCAGCGGTTGAGTGGGCGGCCAAACCTGGGCGTGGAGCTTAGAAATTCCGTTCAACGCCACTTTAGACCAGTGACAGGATTCATCAGCTTCTGGAGAACAGATTTACAAATTCGTTGTTCCCTCTGGATTTGTCAAGTCTACAAAAGGAGCCAACTTGTCCATTCGTCTCGAGTGAATTATTTGACTGATCTGCTGTTCTATTCACCCGACGTCCTTTCCAACTATTCCATTCACTTGGCCTGGTCTTTTCCCATGTAAGTTGCCCATTGCTATTTGAGGTGCGATCTGCTATCGTTGATAGCAGTAGCCTTGTCAATCTGTCAACTTGACGGTGGATCCACGAACTTCCCCATCCGAGTATCCTCCTCCCACCGGGCAGTTTCTCAACTTGCCAACCCATTCACGCCTACACGCCAAGATCATTCCCGTTGCTAACGCTTTCATCGTCGCGCTAGATCTTGCACAATGTACAGAAAGGTTGCTCTTAGCCTGCTGGCGGCCGCTGCCGCTGTGTCGGCTTCCGACGTTGCCCAGCTCAAGAAGGACACTTTTGACGACTTTGTTGCGTCCAACGACCTTGTTCTTGCAGAATGTAAGTATCGGACACACCAGGCATCATACTGCTCCATAACTCTTGCTGACGCTGTTTTCAACAGTCTTTGCACCATGGTGGTAAGCTTCCCTCGTTGTGAACACGATTGTCGCCTCGGCCTCATTCAGATTGCTAAACATCACAAAGCGGACACTGCAAGGCGCTCGCTCCCGAATATGAGGAGGCCGCGACCACACTGAAGGAGAAGGACATCAGGCTGGTCAAGGTTGACTGCACTGAGGAAGCCGAGCTCTGCCAGTCCTACGGTGTTGAGGGCTACCCCACTCTCAAGGTCTTCCGCGGGAAGGATAACATTACTCCCTACTCTGGCCAGAGAAAGGCTGCTGCGTGAGTCCTACCTCGAGTGCATATCGTCTATGGCCAACCTACTAATAGTGCTCCCTGCCGACAGCATCACATCCTACATGATCAAGCAGTCTCTCCCCGCTGTTTCGCTCCTCACCAGCGAGACTCTTGAAGACTTCAAGACTGCCGATAAGGTTGTTCTTGTCGCCTACATTGACGCCTCGGACAAAGCTTCCAACGAGACGTTTACTGAGGTTGCTGAGAAGCTCCGCGACTCATATCCCTTCGGTGCCAGCAACGATGTTGCTCTAGCCGAGGCCGAGGGCGTAACCGCCCCTGCCATCGTTCTGTACAAGCAGTTCGATGAGGGCAAGTCCATTTTCTCTGAGAAGTTCGACGTGGAGGCTATTGAGACCTTTGCGAAGACCTCGTCCACCCCCCTGATCGGTGAGGTCGGTCCCGAGACCTACTCTGGATACATGTCCGCGGGCCTCCCCTTGGCCTACATCTTCGCGGAGACCCCCGAGGAGCGCAAGGAGCTTGGCGACAGCCTCAAGCCGGTTGCCGAGAAGTACCGTGGCAAGATCAACTTCGCGACCATCGATGCCAAGTCGTTCGGTGCGCACGCCGGCAACCTCAACCTCAAGACGGACAAGTTTCCCTCTTTCGCTATCCAGGAGACGGTTAAGAACCAGAAGTTCCCCTTTGACCAGGAGAAGGAGATTACCGTCGACGCCATCTCCACCTTCGTTGACGAGTTCAGCGCGGGTAAGATCGAACCCAGCGTCAAGTCGGAGCCCATCCCCGAGTCTCAGGATGGCCCGGTTGCCGTTGTCGTCGCCAAGAACTACAACGACATTGTTCTGGACGACACCAAGGACGTTCTGATCGAGTTCTACGCACCGTGGTGTGGACACTGCAAGGCCCTGGCTCCCAAGTATGAGGATCTCGGTGCTCTCTACGCCAACAGCGAGTTCAAGGACAAGGTTGTCGTCGCCAAGGTTGATGCCACTGCCAACGACGTTCCGGATGAGATCCAGGGTTTCCCCACCATCAAGCTTTACGCCGCTGGCTCCAAGGGCGAGCCCGTCACCTACAGCGGTTCCCGAACTGTTGAGGATCTGATCAAGTTCGTCAAAGAGAACGGCAAGTACCAGGCCGAGGTCTTCGAGAAGACCGAGGAGGAGACGCCCGTTGCCCCTGCGGCCACCGAGTCTGCCGCCGAGGGTGAGGCAGACAAGGAGACGCACGACGAACTCTAAAGAATTGATGGCGCGCGAATACCAAAACACTTCTTGTACAGTTTCTACGGCTCTGCTCGACAAATCGAGCTGGGGGCCCCAGGCCGCGGGACGGGGATACAATGCGAATATCTTAGTTCCAGCATAGGTCAATCAGAATTTCCTAGTTGTTCTTACGAGCTTCTCCACGTGAAATGCCCGCTGGAAAACCTCGTAATGGTGGTGACTATCATAGCATAGGCATATAGTACTACAAGGCGTAATGAATAGTACGATGGATTTAATATCTAGCTAGCGAGATGGGTTCTCTCAAAGTGAAGACACGTGTTACCCCTATTGAGAGCGCACTGAGCCAGCCCCTCACCAGTGCCGGCGGCGCGGCCAGGGCCAGTCAAAGAGCAGCTAAAACCTCCTGGCTCAGCATTGTGCTAGTTCTCCGCAATTTGCCTCCAGGGCGGTCCCTGCGCTGGCTTGCTCCAATTGATCGCCAAACGGCAACTGGGTCCCAATAATTTCGGCCACTTGCACGTCGGGCCATCGTCAACTCCTGCCTCCACTTGCACTTCTTCAAACAATTAACCCTCACAACCACTCATTCCACCCCCCGAGATCACCCACACGCGATCAAGATGTCTGCGAGAATAGCTTCGACGGGGGCTCGAGGCCTCCTGGCAACCGCAGCCCCAATGCGCTCCACAGCTGCCCGCAGCTTCACCACCAGCTCGCGCCGTCTTGCCGAGGTTACGGCACTTCCTACCCGAAAGCCCGTCGGTGCTTTCCGCGGAGGGTACGAGATCCAACCTGTTGATGTTCAATATGCAAATGGGGGGTTTGAATGCTGACCAGCGACTTTACTACATCCAGTCTCTTTGGGTTCCTGCTCGGAAGTACCCTCGCCGGCGGCAGTGTCTACGGCTACGTCCTGCAGGAGTACAAGGCGTCGAACGAGCTGTTGACGGAAGATATCTACGTGCGTCTCTGCATCTAACATATCTCTCTCACGTCCTGGCTGTGTGGGGAGCGGCTGCTTTGTGTCTCGTCTCCTTCATTCCCTGGCGGAGTCATTTTTTCTGTGTGCAGATTCCCCGAAGTCCTCCTCGACTACTTTACTAAGCTCCCCTTGCTTCGCCCACGATACGATCGAAACGAAATATACACACTTGGTTTCTAGGATGGATGGCTAACTGGTGGCTTTCTTTTGGCCTTGTCTGTAGGCTTTACAGGACTCGTGTCAACGATTGACAAGATATGTTCAGGCGTTGGAGGATAAGATGGAGGCGACAGAGCGGAAAAGGAAATAATGGATAGGATAGAAATCGGGTGGACATCTGGGTCGGTAGATCTAATGAGGAACCCTGAAGGGACTTGATGACAAGCCCAAAGGCATTGCGAGCTGTATTTGGTCCTGGGCCAGATTGTACAACACTTTACTGAGCTTGTATCAAACATGATATACGCAACGTCGAGAAACCCCGAGATACACATGAGAGGCCGGTATCAAACAAGTGCTTAGTTCTCTCTATGCTCAGTTCGTCCGCAAGGATTCATGAAGTTTCCATTGGTGCCTTGGACGAAAGCGAAGGCCGTCTTGTGATGTGCTTATTTTGGTCCGTGGACGCCTGAGATGCTTCCCCGGGAACCAACTCAGGCTTGTTTAACACCAAGAAGAAGGCACGCGTCTCGACGACTCCGGAAGCTCACCACACTACGCACTGCGTTCTCCAGCTCACTATATTCTGTGTACCAACTTCTCAGCAAGCTTAAGGCCTCCTCCAACTCGGGTTTTGATATCCTTCTTCGCCGGTCGCAATGGGGCCTCGGAGTCATTACACTTGTCAGATTTTGATGACAACATGCAGGCCCTCAAAGAAACAGACACAGAATCTCGCAACCCCTCTTCAACGAGCACCTTGTAAACCACGAAGCCAGGAGAAACCACTCGCCGCCATAACAAGCACCAGAAACCTTCCCATATGACGCAATCCCACCTGCAAGAAGCCAGAGACAAAGCCACCAAGGAAGGACGTATCTACATCGGCAACCTGCCCCCTAACATGAATCACACCCACATGAGGACCCTGCTTAGGATGACGATCAACTTTGACAGCATCAGAACATCTCCTCGCCTTATGACGACCTCAAGTGATTGTTCTGTGACTCGCCTTTGTCACCTTCGACTGCCGCCGCAATGCCTTTGATGCCATTGTTGTCATCCAGGGCTTTGAGTATGTGAAGGGGGGGGAACAAGACCGCGGCTCGGCAATGCTATCAGAAGAGAATGACTAATTCAGCGCTCGTTCTCGCTCCTGTTTACGTTTACAACCCTGCTCCTCTTCACACTTACAGTCCTACTCGTGCCATTGTCCCTGGGACTGCAACCATGGCTGTTGTCAGATGTTCGGACGCAGAGGGGTCTAAGTATACTCCTCTAGCGCGGCTGGCGCCAGTGCCGAGGGAGCCAGAGTCGTGTCCAGAGGGCATACACTGTATTCACCCTTAGGCGGCACTGGAGGTATTATGAGGTCTATGTTCAGCCCGGTCCGCCTGTCGAGCTTCCCAAGGACTCATTCGCGATGCGGGGGCGGACGATCGAGGTCCGCAACTTGCCGCCTATTCAGGGTTATTCCGCTGCTCAGATGAAGATGAAGCGGTTGTTTAGGGGGTATGATTTTTGAGGTATTTCCTTTCTTTTCAATACTCCTCTCTTCTTTCTTTTCACTGTTCTAATTTGTATCATGGATTTGCTACACATGTGGATGGAAGGACTTTATACTGACCCGACTCTCCCCAAACAGCACCGCTCTACCTCAGTTGTACATGTAAGTCTGTATATCCACTTACCAGCGTGAGGCATCTATCTCGGGCGAGGAACAAAAATTGAAATTGGTACTAACGGACACGGCTTCCAGGCAAGGTTTCACACCCAGCCCTCACTGGTTCCCCCTTTTCGCCCCGGGTACCACTGTTTTGTGCAATTTGCGGATTCACGACAGGCTCAACACGCGGCGACTGAGGTTCTTGGAAAGAAAATCTGGCACGGGGAGCGGCGCAGATGTGCTACTACTGATAAGTTCTGGAATCTGGACCAGAACTAAAGGGCTGCTTAGTCAAGGGCGGCTGGAGGGGAAAACGGAATGGGATCTTGTCATGATGGTTAGAGTGAGGAGGGTACATAATGATTAATTACGTACTGCTGGTTGGAGCACCTACATCCGCGTGCCAGCAGCAGTCATGTTCTGCCAACGGCTGGTGGAATTATGGCAGCCTGGGGCGAATGGATAGGGTTAACTTGGTGGCCAGAATTCATCTCAATCTACAATGATCTGGAAGGATGTGTGGAGATCAGATGAAGACGTATGGACGACAGTTTATGAATATTAGTAATGGCCATTCTATCCTCAGTACTTGCTCATAATACCAGGACTTGTATTAGTCTCGCTAAATGTAAATCCCTCATGCTTCTCTTAGGATGCTGTTTCTCCCGGATCGCATATTCAGTCGCTATTAGAACGTATTACAAACTGTGCAGAGATTTTTTCATACTAGGGCGGTTGGTTCAGGTGTAATAGAAACATGAGCAAGAACAAGCCTCGTTAAATGCCAAACCCTACTCCATCCTATCAGTACTGACATCTTGACGTTACTAGAGAGAAACTGGCTGATTGAGGTAAAGTACCTCGTAGCTCATTGTTTTCGTACTAACGTTCTCTCTTCAAGGGTCTCTCCCTTTTTCTAGTGTGAATATAGGGCATGATGTACACAACTGCGTGAGCTTTGTTCGTAATCTTTTTTTTCCAGGAATCAGAACAGCCATGTTCCTAAATCACATAGTCACGGAGCGTAGAAGTATAACTTTGTTGAGTCGATACTGGAATGGAACACAAAGAACAACCTCGGTCAGGCGGCACGCTTCATCCTTACAAGACCTCGTGAGATAGACGCATCGATAGAAGAACCAAGAACCGTTCTAATTGATCCCCAACCCCCCTTGTTCTATACCAAACAGCGACTCCCCGAGGAAACCCCGGCGGAGCAAAATTTACCACTTCCTCGTCTTCATACTATTAAACCCAATCGCCTCCACCTCAACCTCAACCCTAGGCGACTCCCCTGGACTCCTCAACGGATCGACCTGCCTAAGTATATACGAATCATGATAATGCGCATCCATCTTCCTCGTACTCTCCTGACGCTTCAGATCGGCCTCGCTCCCCATCCGACTGTGCTGAGACTGCGTCAACTGAGACTCCTCATCGGCGTGGGCGTAGCGCGTCTCGCGTGTGATCTTGATCTCCTGTGTGACGAAGATTTTGGATACCTGGTTGCTGAGCGAGGGCCAGAAGATGGGCACGCTGGCGCAGACGGCGGCGGTGTCTATCTCGAGCATGGCGAGTATGATGCTGATGGGGGCGTACCAGGTCGGGTCCCAGATCGGCCAGGTGGCGGCTTGATGCTTGATTATCGTTGCCAGACGCCAGATTGCGATGCAGATTACGCTTGAGCGGGGTTTAGTCATGGTATAGGAGATAGGAACAGTCGAGATGTTTTCCCAAGAAGTTTGAGTGTCACAGGGCAAAGAAAAGTGGCATAACTTACACCGTTCCCATGAATATGAGGCCAAACAGTCGTAGGTGTTGCGTAAACTTCGTCCCTTTCTGGAAGAATAGAGGCAAGGGAATGATTAAAACCATTATATCGAGGGCCATGTTGATAGCCGAGTGGGTCTCATACGTAGCCACGAATTGCGTTGGTATGATCGACCCATATCCGTAGCATTGGGCACCTGGGTCACCTGTCCAGAACTGCCAGATAGGGAAGCAAGGTACCCAGGCGATAAAGGAATAGGCGAATCCCCATAAAGCAGTGAAGATAGTCACAGCCTGGCAGGTGCGGTACATCATGGTGGCTTGATCATAAATTCGAAGATACTGGAACATCAAGGCGAGTTTGATGAAAGTGGTCGAGCTGACGTAGGCCGCGTTCATGACGTAGAAACACTGCGTCAGTTAGAGATCATCGAGTCGTCTTCGGGGTTTGATTGATGTCTACCTTGAGGTAATTCATTACCGTAGACGGATCTAGAGTGGCAACATGTTGACCTAGGCCATGATCAACCGCTTTAAGTTGTTAGCGTGCAAGTCTCCTGACGAACGTGGTCCAGACGTACAGAGACATATGGCAATCGTCCCGGCAGTAGTCGTGAACTACGTGGAACATGTCAGTTCGTCAGGCTGCCTGAGGCGGGAATCAGAATGCTCACCAAGTAAAGGACGACGAACAAATCATCCCATCCCGGTGACCGAATGATCTTAACTCGAGTATACAGTCGACCGGCGACGCAAATCCACGAGAACAGCTTGAAATTATCATCAGATAACAGTTCCAAGTCGCAGCGCCCGTCTCACATTGATTTCTTACCAAAAACGAAATAGTCAAGCCAAGTATAGTCGACGGCCGGTTCGTCAGCGGCACGGCCTCGCCAGAAATATTAGAGTCGGCCATCTTCTCGACCAAGTGCGGCCAAGGTCCAGCTTGGATAAAGAATAATCAAGATGCTTCGAACGTGGTCGAAGTCAAGGGTTTTCTGAGGCAATAAAGCCTTGAAAACCCCGTTGGATCTAGCACATCTGGGTCTCCCAAGGCCTTTATGGGGCGTTTCCCGTTCCCGATGGGAAACTCGACAGGGGACGCGTAAGTTAGTTAGCGCGCTCATCTTAGGACGAACTCGCTCGTGGTGATACCCGGTCCACGATAGCGCGATAGAGTTCGGTACCCTACTAGAGCCAAGTGTTGAACAAAAGTGTGCGAAACAATCGCCTAGCATCCAGACGGTGCTGAGGGCAGTTATTGGCAACTGGGCCGCACGATCAGTGGTCCTGGCGTGACATCGCGCCTCCAGGAGTCCAGACTTGTGGGGTTTAACACATTTCTGTCAAGCTCGCGAGTCGTCCACTTGCTTGGCTGGGCAGTATAATTATACGTTCGACAGAAATCTCCTTCGGGAACGCAACTTCGGAAAGGTGGGCGAAGGAGCAGGCATGACCGGGCGATCAACGGGCAAGGACCGCAAGGAGGTCAAATACACTGTTGTTTTCTCTTTTGCTGCTTCCTCGATCCTTCCTTCCTATGTTCCGTAGCGTCAAGTCAGAAGAGTATGATTTCAGCAGGGCCGGCAGATGGACCCCGGACTGTACATTGAAATATGTGGAGAGACCAGCGATTCTGCAAGGGGCCCTTGACTCGTTGCGGCAAAAGCCGCTTAGCCAGTGGGCCTGTAAGAACCGTTGGCCCATGTATCCGTATGGTTGGGCAGAGCTGCGATATGGAAGATCGGGCAGGAAACTGATGTCCGGTTTTAGGAGAACATATTTCCACCTCAACTGGTAGAGTCGTTCTCATTGCTTCTGAATATGCGATGGACATGTGATCTCTCTCCGAGTTCAACCATGACGATTCGTCCACTGCGTTTATTTCCCCCCTCTCTTCCGAGACCACGTACCATTGTCGATGGGCTTGATCTTTCATTAAATATGATGGCGATCAGAAGCTTGGATGTCTCCCCCGTGAAACATCAAATGCGGGTTGCGTAATGTGGGCGCAACAGGTCTGGTCCCGCGCTCGGTCGTACTCGGGGTAAAGACATTGGATAGGTTGCCAGAGTGTTTGCTCTGCCAAGACGAGGTTGTGGGAAGATGCCGCGTAGTCCACATTGAGCAAATTCTTACTCTCGAGCCACACGGCAACAATAGAAGCCACACAATTGAGATGAAAGGAGAGTCGTTACCGTGCTCCGTTATCTCTCTGAGTTGTGGATTCCGTACTTCGTTTTGAGACTAGGCTTGTGCTTGGGATATATTCAAATACCAAGACGGGGTATTGAACTCCAACAGGACAGGAAATCAACTCGAAGGATAGTTGGAAGCGGATACTGAGCACCAAGCCAGCAAGCGGTCCCTTGTGTGGTCCCTTGTATGCTTGATTCCGAGAGGCGTTTCCGTGATGATGTCCCTTGGAGATCTGCACCCGAAAGAGCCTGTTTCGTGACAACAGCAGGGGTTTTGATGTCGATCATTTCTTCACATCTGCTGCTTTGGGTGTTTCTTGATGCGATGCAGTTTACAGCTGACCCCGAGATTGGTTCATCATACTCCAGGGTAGATAATTTTTCGGTCCAACATTCACTCAATATTAACTCCCTGCCTTCCTTTGTTTCCTGCAGTGCCCAACCCTGGGCGTATTGTTTAGCATCATGTGGGAATCAAAACGGCTGGGTTGGTAATGCTGCTCTGGATCGGTACAAACTCCCGGAACTGGGTGTATGCGTATGACCAACACCCTGGAATATGGGGCCTGCGGTTTGACTGGGGCTCGTACTTCTCTTGCGTGAGTTTTAACCCCCATGTAGATGTCATTTAACAGAGTTGAGCATAGCGGACTCCTTAGAGTCAACGGCTTCCGATTTTGACTGCGTACACCCTGCAAGAGTGAGTGATGGGGTAACGTATAGTTCATCCAACCAATGGGCTTCTCGCATCTGGCGATACAAAACTGGGGGTTGAGGCTCTCACATTTGACTACGAATCCGACAGATTGGCGTTCAGAGAGTTCTAGCTCCTCCAAACTGTCAGTGATATCCGCAATGCTGTTCACCCAACCTCCTGGCACCTTCTGTGCCTAGCGCCGGATGTCATGGCTAGAGGAATCGGCTCCATGCATGCATCATGGAGAAAGGAGCGTAATGAATAGCGAGAACCCTACAGCCTGTCGACGTGTTTCCATAGGCAGCAGGCTATGCCGAAGACTCCCGGAGTTCCCACGTCCTGAGCATCGCATCGAAATGCCGCGTAGACCGAAATGCTTGCAAAGTCCTCCACAGCCAATATTTCGTAACAGAAGATTTGGCGATCAAGTAGTATCGTAGGTCCAAATCAAGATCGTGAGCGGCATTCGAAGTAGGCATTACTCGTAACAAGGAGTTTGATGGTGACCAATGTGGACCTGAACATGCCCGTGAAACCAAGGCATGAGGAAGAAAGATTTCAAGCATCGTACAAGGGATGTTATCCGTAATTGAAATAAAAGGCGGCGATGAGCGAGGGTACCATAAGCTTGAAGCTGTCAGTGAAATTCAGATCAGCAGACGTGGGTGCAGGTGGATGGGTCCCAAGAGACTGGTCTACCAGATGCCGGGACATCGGATGTCGTCCGTGAGGCTCGAGGTATGATATTCAACGGAGAGGTTTCCGGACGGCTAATTATAGTAAGCTGCTCTGGCTCGACCAAGCACTAAATGGACCAAGTGGAATTCGCAAAGCTTTCGGTCCGGTACTCATGAAGTTCGAAAACGTCTTATTTGTCCTTATTCAGCTGTATGTCTGTTTTCCGGAATAGGGGAGCATATTCCCACGACAAGATCGACGCAATCGGACGACTGATTGGCTATGTTCGGACCTATCGTTCTCGGCCAAATTCGAATGTGACGAGTATAATTGACAGATTGACCTTCAGGGCCCTGGCTTAGCAATATGCCCAGCTGCGGCTGGCGCCGTTATTCGCTAACTGACCACTCAGCCACCGCCCCATCGTCGCTATTGGCCGCCGCGTCGGCGTCCTCGTTATCCTCTTCATCTTATGATACTGGCTGTGGCTGCGAAGCCGCCTCTGGCTTTTTCGTTAAACGCTTGAGTTCGACCTTTGAGAGATACTTCCGAATTTGGGGTGAATCGATGAAGTTTGGAAATGCCGGTATAAGGAGACATAGCTGGAAATGACCAATAGATGTCCTTGACCCACTGCGTTAGCAGAGGGTTAAACTGCCCTGCCGTTTTAGGCTTGACGAGTAGACGGGTCCGAGGTGAGAGCTCACGCTGTATTATCGTCACTGGAGTGAAGAGTCCATCGTCGTAGTTGATTTCGACATCCAAGTCAATCTGCTCGGATCTCGCAGAATCTGGATATTTCTTGGCGAAGGTGTCAAGCTATACCTAAATATTTGTAATGAAAGCTGAATTTCGACGGGTTGCAACTTCCCATCATTGGTGTGGTGTCGTGCTCATCAAGCCAAACATGGCTGAGTGCGGAACCTTCCCGCTGTGGCTGAAAACTTTCCGAAGCTCCAAGTCCAACCGTCGCTATTGGTCCCCGGCGCGTCTTTCAGAATTAATTCAACCGCCTCTCACCCGCAGACAATTCAGACAAGATGAACAACTTCGGCGTAATAGAAGTAGCCAGTACGCGCACCACCAACGCGCCCGGCTGGGCTTACGTGCCCGACAACGGCCCGCAGCATTCCTCCCTCCAACAACCCACGAACCGCAAGCGCGCCCGCAACCAAGCGGCCAACCCTAGCCACGTCGACGTCAACGCGCGCCAGGAGGCCCGCATCCGCAAGGAGCTCGACGTGCTCGATCGCGACGGGCCCCGCGACGTTCATATCCCCATCCCGCCCAAGCCCAAATCCAAGGACGGCGGCGGAAGCAGTAGAGCAGGGCAGAATACCAGCAAGTCGACGCCCAACGTACGCAAGATCCTCCAGAGCCAGAAGACGTTCGCGAATCACCTTGATGATTACCTCGCCCTTTCGGAAACGAATGCAGCTGCTGCTAGTAGTGCGGCCCGGGCGGCTGCCGCGGCGGCGAGTGCGGCGTTGAGTAGTTCCAAACGGGCTGCTGCGGCACAAAAGAAACCGGAGACGTCATTAAGGCCAGCGTCCAAGTCAACGGGTGCCAAGCAGGAGGACACGTCGATGGCTGATGTACCGGCGGAAGGAGTAGCTGCGACGGAGGACACGCTCTTACCCGTGTCCGATAGGCCGCGGCCGGCAGCGCATCCGCTGGACAACGATCCGCTGTTGGTTTCCCGCGTGCCGCCGATGCCGTCAGATGAGGAACTACGAGCGCTCATGTCTGCGCCACCACTCACTTATCTTGAAGCGAGGGCAGGCTGGAAGGAGGAGGACCAGAAATATCCCGTGCGAGTGTTCTGCGAGGTGTGTGGGTACTGGGGACGGGTGAAGTGTATCAAGTGTGGCACGAGGGTGTGCGCACTGGAGTGTTTGGATACGCATAAGGAGGAGTGCGTTACTAGGTATGGTCTCTGAAGGAATTTCATTGATGAGTTTGAGGTGCATTTTCGGAGTTTGGCGACCAAGTCATGTTTTCGGCGGTTACGGATAGAAGGCAGGCATGGAAATGATACCCCTTGGAATGGCATGGGAGCTCGGTCGAAGACAGGTAGTTCCAAACATATAAAATTGAATGTGCAAATAATTGTGTAAGCAGACAGTTGTATCTCCATACCCATAGCGTGATTATGTACAGCCGACCAACACGCACCCTCACCTCCATGGTATCATCAAACGCCAGGCTTCTGAGGTCATGTTTCCGTACTGATTAGTTGCACAACGATCCCAACATCAAATCTTCTCAGTTCAGTCAATTCACACTACCCTCGTCCTGTATTATCTAATTATGGGTTGTCCAGAGTAAAGTCAACATCCCCCTCCGAAGCGCCACCAGCACAAGTTCCGCTCATCGACCCAGTCGGGCACACAGCTCTCGCAGCTCGAATACACTGTTCCCAGCGTCCCTTGGAGATGTTGATAGTAGCCCCACTAGTCGCAGCGTTGAGCTTAAACTCTGCAGTCCCTGAAGTTCCGGTGGTGCTTTCGGGCGCTCCTCCACACTTCTGAATGGTTCCTGCAATGCCTCCGCAAATACCCAGCTCGGCCACGTTTTGGTCGTGGAAGTCGATATCGCTATGACAGGTCAGTTGTGCTCCTTCCTATACTCAGGGCATGAGGGCTGGGGTGGGATTTTGACACTTACACGCTGGGGTCGATGCACTTGGTGTTGGACACCGAGTCCGGGTTCACCGAAGTCGAGGCGCGCATCTTGAGGACCTCAATGTGCTCCGGTGCCCCGATGGAGCGGGCCCAGACCGGGTTGCCGAGCGCGAGATTAGCTCCTGCGACAAGCAGGAGGCTCTGGAGGAGAGTTGTGGAGAGCATGATGGCAGATGTTGAAAGGGTGATGGTACCAAGTGAGAACGGATATTACAGTAGAAGAGTCGAAGTGAATGAAAATACTCGACGTCAAGTCCGTTATAGAGAAAGGAATGAATGCCCAGCAAACAATTAGAGAAGAGAGCGAAACAAAAATCGACCGGATGAAGATCAGCTTGGCAAAAGAATAATGAGAGAAGAATGATACAACACGATGCCAACAGGAACCAGTGTTCTTAAAGAACTACTTCAGAAACGAGCTGGAACTGTGAAACATGGGATCACGGTAGAGTCGTAAAAGGGACCGTATCCTCAGGTCTCAAACTGCTTGATATTTCCCACAGCCTTGTATGTACATGCATTACGACTCTTGCTCACATTCCAATAAGACCAGTACCATGGATGTTCTGATCTTTTGGCCGCCATCCCGTCCCGTTTCGGATGATGTGCCGCGTCAAAATTGTTGGGATGATAGACGAACAGGGACAATAGGATATGCACCTGAGCCAAGCACAGACGGGAACATCACCATACGCTGGCGATTAGGTTGCTCATACCTGGTTCACCCAGTGTCGTTCTGAAAATGGGACGAAATTTCAATGATGTAGGGAAACTGCCATGGACAATGTAGGTGGATAGGGAGGTGATAGGATGAAACGGGGTTTGACAGAACTCAAAACTAGCCTGGGGACAGGGGGTTGTTACAGAAGGAAAGGGTCATGCATACTCCACTTGAGGACTTCTTCCGAATTGGGAAGTGGTATCAACCTTAATGTGTGCTGAGTAGTGTAACGTGAAACTTGCCCTTCAAAGCTAACCTAGTCTCTTGCCATTGCCGCCGCATCCATCGCTTACAGGGACTAGGATATAGTCGCTAAGTCTCCTTAATTTCCGGGAACTGCCTTGCTAAGACCACTATACTATATACTCACGAACAACACCGAATAGCTCACTCCTTGACACGACTTTAGATGAACGGACGGCAATTAAATGATAGAGTTGGAGTATACTGAAGATCTTTATTAGCCACGGTTGACTAACTTCTGTCCCGTGCGTGGGTGCCATGCGAGGCTCACAAGTCACAAACCTTCCAATCAGACTTGACACGATGCTCATACCAACTAACAGAGGGAGTCCCTGTTCCGAGATGAGTGACGTCTTTCAGGATCCTCCGCTCTTTCGCGCACCGCATACTCCACATAACCCCGTGTCTCCGGCATTGAGGTATAAACTGCCCTGACACGCAGCACTTTTGCATCGCCATGAGTTTAGAACCTTTCGTGAGTCCAAGACATGAGAACATATGACGCATGTCATAGGATCGGGGCCGTTGTCGAACGAGCAGAGAGGGCATACTCCAGTAGTCGCAAGCTGCTCGCGAACAGGTGCGATTTGGCCTTGTGCTTGTGCTTTGCTTTTCTCGTCTAAGCCTGCCTGGGCAGATTTCTTTGTGTCTTGTCGACTCGTCTCTTGCTTTTTGCTTGAGGTGGTTGAGGGTGGTTGTGATAAAAGCTCTGCCTTCTCTGGCTTTTGAGTAGCTGCAGGAGTTTTTGACGACAACAAAGCCGAACCTAGTCCAGGTACCTTACGTGGAGTCATTGAAGACTGCAACTCCCGCAGCTCACTTTGGGCATCAAGGTCCTCCGCGTTTTCGACCTCGCAAACTTTGACCATGCGACGTCCTTTGTCGTCCAATAGCCGCTTGCCATTCATATCGACGGCGAACACATCCTCTTTTTCGCTCCCGCTTGCCGTCTCCGACTCTTCTTCGCTAGTGGTCTCGTCATCATCAAAAGGCGTCGATTTCTTTTCATCGTATGGCGTCTTCCGTTGGTCGAATCTTGCCAGCGCTGCGGCTGCCCGAAGCTCGCGTCCTCGCTTACTTCCTGCAACTCGGGGCTTGGCCTGGGTTCTTCTCCCCTTTTCCAGTTCCGCCTTGACATCTTCATCCTCTCCAAGAGCGACCCCATTCGCTCCAAACTTCTTCAAGATGCGACGTTGCTTTCTCTCTTTGTAGCTGAGCTGATCCTTTGCCTTGCGCTTTCGTCTCGAGCGGTATGTGCCACCACATAGGTGATCGGGAAGAACCTCACCTGGCTCGACGGTGTTCGCTTCAAATGCACCAGTTGCTAAGTTGGCTCCTCTACCCCAAATACCTTCGCCGGTGTAGCCTCGCGTCCAAAGCGTCCTCATCTGTTCTGCATAGTTGTTTCTCTCGGCCCAGAATGCCTTCGAGTGATTCATCTGTTTGCAATGCGCGAGTCTGAACATCATGTTAGTATCGTAGATTTTGGCGGGCTATGTAGATGATTAGTACTCATGCATCATGACCATCTGCACATAATTGAAAGGAAGCCACCGCCCCGTTGCAGGCGACTTTAGCACTAGCTGTATCACCTCCCCAGCATTGAAGTTGCGGCCGACGAACTCGCGATTTGGCTCATACTCCTCGAGGGTCATGACCGACAGACGATGCTCTCTCATGATGGGCACTGTTTTCTCTTATTAGATGTTGGTCTTAGCGGCTCGGCCTAGGGTTCATGGCATGGGCTCACAGCATTGTGCGGCTATTCTCTCCAGGAAGTCCTGGGCAATGGCTTCATCGGGGCCTTTCAGCGGCTTGATGAAGATTATAAGAGAGTTTGGTTGCGACTTCTTCGCGTTGATCCGCTGGATGCCGACGGGCATCTTGAGATGCGTTTGCCTGGTCGCGGCGATGAAGGCGATGAATGCGATTGATCAATCGTCACCGTAACTTGGTAGAGAATCCGTAGCAATGAGCTCAAGTAAATCACCTTTTACCCCAATAAGGTTCCTAGGATTTTGAGACTAGTGGTCTATTGTTCAGAGATCTAGTTGTTGAAGTTGAGGACGGTGGCGGCTTCTGCCTCAATGGCAACGGCGCTCGGGGTTTAAGGTGACCGAAACTATCGGCACCTCCCTTGTCTTAGTAGAACAGCGAAGGAGTTTGTTGAAACAAAATATACCAAAGCACTATATAATCGAGATATCAGTTTCGTACTTATTCATCAATTGTATTAATGGTCTTGGGTTATTTCAAATTTTTCATACGATCAAGGATAAAGCCTAGCAATGAACTATGAGAATGGCGACTGTACACGATAACCCAAGGTGTAAGAAACCAAACCAAGGTCAAAATAATGCTTTGTAGTTTCCAGCAACGACTCAATACTGCCTAAACTAAATTGGCTGTAGATATTTGTTCACTATGCCGCATCCACATGGGCCGGCATCTTATGTTAGCTATATTACGTATTCTCGAAATTCAGAAGCATTACTCACATACCTAAGTAAAGGCACTCAAGTGTGGTCACTAGAGGTAGCGATCTCATTTTCATGCGTATACCTCTGTCTTATTATCAAGGCAATCATGGTTTCCTATTCTTCTTGAGATACTAGTTCAACATCTTATCGTCTCCTACCCGCAGCACCAGCTCCCCCTTCACCTCTCTGCTCCAGAGACACAATCTCACCAATGCCAGCAGCTTCCTGCTCGTCCTCCAAAGCAGTGATCTCCTCTCTGCAGTCCCACCATTTCTCCTCACTCATCTCAAAGGCCTTCGTCTTGATCTCCTTGACGGTAAGAGTTTCCGGCTGAATACCCTTCCACCTCAAACTGGTCATGAGAACCTCTTGCCACTCGTTGGATGTTCGGTTAAAGAACTCCCGCCTGGATTCGAAGGGCTGGGTCGCGTTAGCCGAGATTTCAGTCATAAATAAGGTAAACTTACTCGAGGGTGTGGCAGCCCATCACCAACAGAAGTTGTAGTAGTATCAGTCTCAGTATCGGTTTCGGTCGAGCCTGCTGTCGATGTGGAGTCGGCAACGGATCCTTCATCCACTTGCTGCTTCTTCTTGCGCTTGCTCTCTGTGAGAAGCTGTTCATCGCGCATGTCAACGTCACCGTCTTCATACTCTTCGTCTTCATCATCATCATCCCAATCGTCGTCCTCATCGTCTTCATCCTCTTCGTCCTCGGAGCCCTAATCGAGATAAGTAAACATAAATTCGACGGATATGTGAAATATCCCAGGAAACTTACGACCCAGTTCTCCACCTCGCGGTTGAAGACTTCCTTGCAGCCATCCATCTTTCCAAGATCAATCGCATATAGGTCATCGAAGGTATACTCACGATCCCCCTTTTCGAAAGTTCCGCCGTAGATGTAGAGAATATCATCCTGCACTGCCATTGCCGCATTGAATCTGGGATGTGGAAACTCCATTGACACAGGCATCTCTCTGGCCGGCTTGTCGGATTCCTCCGGCTCGTCACCAGTGAGGTCGATGTCCATGGCATCAGCGTCCTCCACAGATGAACCAGCCTGCAGTGCAGCAAGCTGCTTCAAGAGCTCCTCTTCATTCGCTTGCGCCCGGCCACGTCGTCCACCTCGCTGCTCCGATGACCCGCCTTTCTTCTGATTTCTCGGCTTACGAAGGGCAAGGGGAAAGAAGCGGTTACGCTCGATGTTCCATGCAAACATCTGGTTGAAGAATTCACTATCCATACCTTCTTCAGATTGTTCTTCATCGTGAACACCACCAAACATAATACCGCGCCCTTTATGGTATGTCATGGTTGTTCCAGCGCGTGCTGGGTTTGGCGTGTTCGCTGGCTTCTTGCGTCTCTCCCACCGGACGTTGGGGAGGGTATTCGGGGGCGAATCCGCTGGAGGTTGAGTGATACGAAGGTAGAAGCAGTCCTGGTGTATCAAAGGTTTCAAGATGTTTCTCTGTCCTTGTGCTGCCCCTTTAGCTGACTTGTTGGCTGAAACGGTAGTTTTCACTCTCGAGTAGCCGCCATACAACACAGCACCCTGCTCGTGGGGCAGGAAGGTAAATGACGATCTGGCATCTGGCTTCAATTGGGCTGGAGGTAGTTTCGGCTCATGCCATGTGAAGTTCTGGATGATGGAATAAGAGTCTATTCCAGTGTAGACTTGTAACACTAACTCACCTGGGTATCGTAGATCCAAAGATCACCAAGATATTTTGTCTGGTTGGAAGTGTCTTGGAAACCTGTTGCCCAGAGTGAGATACATACGACGCAAAATCAGAATCGTACGCACCTCCGAAAAGTATGATATAATTCTTGAAGTATGTCATGCGGTGACCACTTCTAGCTGGCGGCGACTTGCCCTTGGTCTCTAGGCGAGCCCATTCTCGAGTGCTGGGTTCTAATCGCCAGAAATCATTGTAATGATAGAAAGTCCCCTGTTTCGGACTATGGAGGGAGTTCTTAGTAAGTTTTAAAGGTTGAGAAAGTTTGCAAATATGCTTCGAGGGGGCCGGGGCGTTATCGTCTAAGCTTCTTCTTTAATTGGACATCTGGGCTTCCAACCGCCTGTACGACAATGCCCCAGCACCATGGTCACATTGCCTCTGTATTGATGGTGGCATGGGAACAAACCTGCTGAATTCACCACCAAAAAGGAACACTGAATTGCTCTGGTTGCCGCCACGACACCACGCATGCCCTGATCGTGGTAGAGGAGCGTTGGGGGACGTCACACAATGCCACTCATCTCGGTCCACATAGTAGATGTGAAGGTCATTGTAGAATGTAGCAATAGCTCCGTTGTAGTTTTCACCGCCAAACAACAACAGCTGGTTGCTGTTGGACGGCGACGCTAAGAAGGTAGAAGACGAGCGAGGTTTGGGAGGGGCCTGCGACACAGTCTCCGTGACTTTTAGAAACTGTTCCTGCTGTTTTCTATACTCCTCGAGCACCTGGTCGAGGTCTACATCCTCAGCATCGCTGCCTTCTACCTTTGAGGACTTGACTTTGGCCTTCTTCTCGGCCTTCTTCTCCTGCTTCTGCTTCTTCTCGGCAAGCTTGGCCTGCTTGCTGTCCGTTTTGGAACTTTTCTTGTCTTTCTTGGCCATGCTGGATGACTGGGGACGGGGAAATGGGTGATGTCAGATCGCCACTCGGTAGCCGCTGGAGGAGACTCTTTCAGTCTCAGTTGATCATATTGGTATGGAATAGATGAGCAAACTTCTCCGAGTGGAACCCCTCTCTTGACCAGGCCCTGCGGCTTATCAGATCGTGCTAGCCATCATGGGTGGGTTGATAATTCGGACTAAAATGAAGCTGTTACCAACTTGTGGGCTCGAAATTTCTCAGGATTCAATTTCGACGGACAGCCCCTCCATTTGGACCCCTCCCCCGCATTAACGCGTGCTGCCATAGGGTAATGACGCCGAGCCGGCGACATCGCTCCATAATCGCCCTGGAAAAGCTGTGAGAAAACCTTTCTCTGACCCATCCCTACGCGATGTAATGTGGAATTTCTCGGAGCCGCGGCACCACGACAACTGAGAAAATGTCAATGTCGCTCTGCGAAAATTAGGCAGATTCACCTACTCGCGAGGATATTCGTCGTTTCTATCCTCCAAGTCATCCGAAATGTACCCACTACGCGGCCTTTTCATTCACCAGCATCTGCCTTCCCGGGACAAGCGGTAACAATTGGTTTGAAGCTGTTGGTGCTAGATTTTGGGGGCCCATCACATCACACTGCCACACAAACACCAACCTGCCGCTGCCAGATTCCCGATTGCGCGCAAAGCCAAAACTAACCTATAATTGGCGTCGCATTCTCGGACATGTCTTCTGCTTGATACCCGTACCCAGCCATGCTTGCTCGCCTCTGTCCGTGTCGTCTTCTCGAGTCTTCATCACCAGCACCGAACACGAGTTGACTAGATCTCTTCGTTCTATCTCGCAGCCCACCTGAGCCGCGAGGCATTCAAGCTCACAACATCGACGAATTTCTGACTCCAACACAGCATGGCAATGAAAGTGGCGGACATCGCGCCAGGTACTTTCGCCGAAATTAGTTCCGCAAAGCTGGCGCGCGAGAAAACGGCAGTAATGGAGTCTCTCGAAGATATTCTATACGGATCGGTATGTCACGTCCTGGCTCAGATTTAAAATTCTCTTGCTAACAGGAACAGGTCGCCGGTGTCACTGGCAAGTATATCGAATACCCTTTCGATACCGTCAAGGTCCGGCTTCAATCCCAACCCGACCATCTACCCCTCCGCTACAAGGGTCCATTGGACTGCTTTCGGCAGTCGATCAAAGCCGACGGCGTCCTGGGCTTATACCGTGGCATCAGTGCGCCCTTATTTGGTGCTGCTGCCGAGACGAGCAGTCTCTTCTTCTTCGAGCGAATTGGGAGGGAAACAATATATACCTGGGGGTTATGCGCCCGAGACCAGATCCTCCCTCTGCCAGCACTATGGTTTACTGGCGCATTCGCGGGCGCCTTCACCTCCTACGTCCTGACGCCCATTGAGCTCGTCAAATGCAAGATCCAGGTTCCAGCCTCGTCCAGTGTGGATGGGGTGGTAAACAACAAAGCCCCTGGGGTCTTCTCGATCATCCGGGATGTGTATAGGCACGAGGGTCTCAAGGGCTTCTGGCGCGGCCAAACCGGTACTTTGATTCGAGAAACAGGTGGTTGCGCTGCGTGGTTTGGATTCAAGGAGACCACAACGAAGCTCTTTTATGCGCTCAACGAGCGGGGATTAAAGAATAAGTCAGAGAGAGATGCTCTGAGGACAGAGGCTCTGCCGCTATGGCAGCAGGCTGTCGCCGGTGCCAATGCTGGCGTGTCCTACAATTTCCTATTCTTCCCCGCCGACACGATCAAGTCACGCATGCAGACTACTGCCATCGGGCTCAGGGGCGCGCAAACTACATTCTTACAAGAAGGCAAAGCCTTATGGCGACAATATGGCTTGCGCGGGCTCTACCGCGGATGCGGTATAACGTGCATACGATCTGCCCCGAGCTCAGCCTTCATATTTATGGTCTATGATGGTCTCAAGAGGCATGTGCCTCTGTGAGCCACGTACGATAGATAGACAATACGTCGAAAAGATAGCGAAATGGATATGGTAGCATGAATAGGCGTTATGGCGTGCGGATGCGTATGCTTGGTATCAACTCGGATGGGATGTACACACTTAGACAGGCTACAAGGGTTTCAGTTCAGTTAGGCTAGCTTAAGAACGAATATATCATTGGTTGCACAAGACACTGCGTTTCTCAGTTATGTTCATTTCTTGTCACATGTAACTAGAGATGCGGAAGTATCCGTCGGAGCCCGTGTAAAGCCCGTGTAAAGCCCGTGTATACATCAAGTGTTCCAGCGAGTTCCAGCATCTTCCAACTTCATTCTCACATTAATTCTTCTTCTTACGCAGATCCTCATCAGAGATTTTCCAGTCATTCAAGTGGCCTAAGGCCGCGTTAAGGTACGTCGCGAAGCCCAACCAGCCCATGTAGGGCGCCATACACCAACCTGCCACGTTGTCGAGCTGGAAGAACAGGTAAGTCAGGTAGCCATTGACGCCAACGAGGGCCGCGATATCTGCCAGCGCGAGTACAGGCTTGCGCACGCCGAAGAACAATGGCATCCAGATCAGATTTAGCCCTAACTGAACCGAGTACAGCGTCGCGGCGTGCTTGGCGTCCCGTACGCCCCCCACGGACGAGGTCAAGGGGTTCATGCCTGCGGTGATGGCGCGGTGGGCTGCATAGCCCATGAGACCATAGAGGAGTGTCCACACGGGGCCGAAAACGTAGGGTGGTGGGCGGAGTGGCGGTTGCTTCATCAGCATGTAGCTATTTTGGGTGTCTTTGGCTGTGGCGGGTGGGAATTAGTTTCGCTCTTAACTCGGAGACTTATGGCGTGGGAGGACTGGCGATTCGAAGGATAACGTACGTCGTGTGCTGAATCCAACTCCTGTGCCTAGGGCAATGGGTAGTAGCACGGATGCTGCTGGATTTGCGAAGACCGCATGGGGTATCGTGATTTGGGGGATGTAGGTCGTCATTTTGGCCAAGGTTGGAAGGAAGAAAAGCAGGAACTGAAGCTGGCGTAGAGCTGGCGCTGGCGGTAGGAGAAGACCTTTATGTATCCTAACCTTGAGTTTCAAATTTCCACTAGGAAGGAGACGAAGAAGAGGTTGAGATAAGCCTGCAGCTCATCGAAGCTTGACGATGGTCCCGATCTGGGAAGTAATGACGTATGCTAAAACAGGGTCGTTCCTGCATGTGATGCGTTAGCGTCCTCATTGAGTGGATGTTCAATGCATTTATTGGCTTGATGGGCATGGATTTCTTCGGGGTTCGGGTCACTTGTTACTGCGAAATTGTGAGATATGTTTTCTCGTCGTACGAGCTCCTTTCTGGGGTCAAGGCTGGGCCATGCTACCGAGGTTGAACCTGAATTACACTACCCGTTTAAGTAGAAGGCTACCACTGGAAGATATAGGTAGGCATTGTGTAAGGTCGGTTTGTACGGAAATTTGAAGTCAGATGCAACAGACAATGGCATTCAGAGCAAGTAAGTAGGCCCAATTTCGCAATCTAGTATATTGCTTAAATATTGGAGGTTTATGACATGAGGGCTGAGGGGAGCTCTCATGATAGTTCAGTTCTCTACAATTATAGAGGCACAGGATATATCAGGTGCGTGCATATGATCATGTTGCTTGCCTATTGTGCACTGGGTCAATTCCGTATTTTATATTATGTACTTGTGCAGTATCTGCGCAGTGTCATAGTAGTTGAGTGAATCAAACAGCCGTCGTAGTTGTTCATGTGGTACCACATGCCAGGGAGTTACCATACATCATTTGGCTCAATATGGGATTACAGCTACCCGTAGAGTATTTCAAATGAGGGCATGGTCATATGAGAGTGACCTACCTCTTGGAACACTGTACTTGCCAATTCGAAGTCCTCAGTTGTTGTTGCCGTTATTATTGCCAAATTCTATCAATCCCCCATCCAATAGCGAGTGTACTGTGCCACGGAATGTATCTCCCGTGCCACGAGACGCACGGACCCACTGCGCCCCATTTTTGTCATGCTCGCGGGCCTAGTCGTCAATGGCCGCGGTGCAACTGTCTTCGGTGTCTATGTCCACCTTTGTTCTACAACTGAACGAGAAGCTGACTTTGTTATCTCGACGAAGCAGCAGAACACCTCCATTTTCGGGACTTGGCGCCCTTGAAGGAGAGATCGTGCCTCAGTTGTTCATTTTACAGTTCGTCTATCCTTTTCTCACCTATTCTCTCTTCCTCGGTGCCCCCGGGTCACTTCATCCCTGTTACCTCCTACCCCTTTGCCTGAGTCTTGAATGCATGACGGGACCTATATCACCACCAAAACCCACGTCTACCTTACTGCAAACGCTTCTTCTACACGCGCACTAGCTTCTTCTCTTCCTATACCTCGTTTGCTTGCCCTGAGAGCTTGCGCTTCTGCCTCTGCTCGTCTTCTTGTGGCTTGCCACCAGCCCATCTTCATCATTTTGTCTCCCTACTTCTTCACACAAGCCATCTTGTTGTTGTTGCTCTTTCCTCCAAACACGTTCAGGATGATTTCTCTAACGGCAATTGCCTCGCCAAACAGCAGGCTCCAGGCAATCTTACAAGCGGCGATTGGCATTACCTGACGAGTGACAAACCGCGTTCAGGTCCCCTACGCCCTACCTGATTTATAGCGCCCTCTGCCCGTCACATCACGCAGAGACCTAAGATCGCCGAATTGCTTCGACAACTTATTTCTGATCAGGAAACATCATGGACTCCTATTCGTCATCGTATCGCGACCGCGAGCGCGACGGCTCTGCTCGCTCACCCGTCGACCGCGATTGGGGCAGTCGCGACGATCGTAAGAGTGATCGAGCTGACACCTTCTTTCGTGGACGTTCACCTGGTGCGTTGCGACAGAATCTTGACCATGGTGTTCTTTCATCATCACACGCATTACTGCTGTGCTGTTTTGGACAACGACTATTGTTTTTCGCGTGTGTTTGAAGGACTCGAAGCTGACTCCAGTAGGCCATGATCGCACCCGCCGCAACCGATCCCGCTCCCCACTGCCTGTAGACCGTTATGAACCCAGAGTAAGAGGCCGCGATGAATACGCAGGGCCTCGTGACCGCGATGATCGAACTCGCCGTATCACATCCCCGCCTGCCAATATCGATCGATACGTGCCGGGACAGGGTAGCCAGGAGCCACCTGCGCCTGTCATCAACCCATTGACAGACCCTGTCAAGTTGCCTTTCCAGGTTGGCTTCTCGTATTTTGGCGAGTGGTGGAGAGCAAATGAGAAGATCAAGGAGGAAAAAGAGCGCGCCCGTACCGGTCGTCGTCGTGAGCCTGAGCGCGCACGTGGTCCAGAAGAACGAGACAAGGAGAAGGCTAAGATCCAGGCTGCTTATGATTCTTATAGAGAGGACCTACAAGCAAAGATGGCTCGAACCTTCGTCGCAGAACACAAGAAGGAGCAGTGGTTTCGAGAGCGTTACGTGCCCGAAGTGCGGGATTCTCTTCGCGCACAGGTCAACGAGTTCCGGCGTGGCGCGTACAGCCAATGGGAACAGGACTTGGAATCCGGTACTTTTGACGACTTTTCTCTCGAGGGGATCCCCAAAAGTGAAAGCAATGGGGCTGGAGGTGTAGTTGAGAAAGAAGAGGGCGAGGCTACCGCCGCCAACGAGGTTCTCGGGGTCGGCGATCTGGTGCCCCTGAATGGCAACGATACTCGTGATGAGAATCTGTTCCAGCCAACTCTCCTTATCAAGACGATCGCGCCACATGTCAGCCGGCAAAACCTCGAATCCTTCTGCAGAGAACACCTCGGCGAAGAGGAAGGTGGATTCAAGTGGTTGTCGCTAAGTGACCCGAACCCAAGTAAGAGATACCACCGGATGGGCTGGGTCATGCTCCACCCAGCTTCCGAAATCGCGCCGCCAGTTGATCGTAGCGACCCGAAGGATGACGATGGCGATGTGGATATCAAATCGCCCGTAGCTGTATCAACCGCTGAAAAGGCCTTGGAAGCTGTGAATGGAAAGACAGTAAAAGACGAGGTGCGAGGAGACTTTGTTTGCCACGTTGGAGTGCACAACCCGCCAAGTAACCCTCGCAAGAAGGCGTTGTGGGACCTGTTCTCTGCCCCGGAGAGAATCGAAAAGGATTTAAGCCTCGTGCAACGACTTATCAATAAGTTTGAGGAGGACTTTGGGTCCGAGTTTAACGCCCGGCTCAAGATTGAGGATCGCGCCGAGGATCTCAAGAACGCCGGCCGTCTCCAGACTGCGGGTCCTGTTTCTATGGCGAAGAAAGTTAAGAAAGAGTCTAGTATGGATCTGGACGTGGATGAAGGCGAGGAAGGTGAAATGGACGATGATGAAGACGAGGGTGCCGTCGACGATGAGGTTGATGACGAGGATCTTCTACTAAAGAAGAAACAACTTGATCTTATGATTGAGTACCTTCGTCGCGTCTTCAATTTCTGCTTCTTCTGCGTTTTCGAGAGCGACTCAATTCACGAGTTGACCAGAAAATGCCCTGGCGGTCACCTTCGACGACCTAGAACGACACTATCATCATCTGCCAAGAATGTCGCTAGAGCTAGTGCCAACGGAGATCCGTTCCCGTCCAAGAAACGCGAAGTGAAGGACGACGAGGAAGGCGAGGCTCCCGATGACAACCGGAAGTTCCGTGTCTCCAAGACTGAGCAGCAGCTGGAGCGAGCCTATAAGTGGGTCAAGACATTCGAGGACAAGATCATGCAAATTCTTGAGCCCGAGTCTGTTGATATTCGCAAGCTCGGTGGCAGGCCTACTGAAGATGCACTCAACGACGAATTGGTCAAATTCGTTAAACAGGAAGATGAGCACAAGTGGAGGTGCAAGGTGCCCGAGTGTACCAAGTTGTTCAAAGAGGACCATTTTTGGAAGAAGCACGTCGAGAAGCGTCATACAGAGTGGCTTGAGCAGATCAAGCAGGAGGTAAGCGACCAACCGGTGCGACATGTCCATAAGCGGAACTGACCTTCTATCCAGTTTGATCTAATTAATGCCTATGTTCTTGATCCGGCACATATTGCACCTTCGCGGACCGACGCGAATTCCAACGGGCACTTCCCTCCCTCGAATGGTCAGACACAACAGGGCACGCCAAGAGGCTTCAATCTCCAGAACTTCGCCATGAATAATATGATGCCCCCCTTCCCAGGCTTCCCCGGTCTTCCAGGCATGCCTCCATTATTCAATACGGGTCACCCCGTTCAGGCGGCCGGTTGGAATGCTGGAGGTGACGAGCGTAGCGGAGGGCCTGTTCGCCGTGGTGGCGGTCCAGGTGGTGGCCGATTCAACAACCGCAGCGGGCCGTATGACAGACGCCAGCAGCCAGGACGCTGGGGACAGGATGGTCAAGGTGCGGGTCGTGGCCGTGGTGGTGCAGGCAGATGGGGTGATGGGGCAGCCGGCGGAGCTGCTGTTGGACCTCGTGAAGCCGTTCAGGGACGCAGTCTTAAGAGCTATGAAGACCTGGACCATGTGGCGGGCGGAGGTGGCGGCGAGTTGAACTACTAGAAACGTTCATCCGCCCAATCTCGAAAGTCGCTCAAGTTTTTGGGTGGTTCTCGGGAGTCACGCGGTCCTGACGAGCCTCGTGGTTCAACCTGGCCGCATATAGGGTTTGAAGACCCATTGCACCAAGCTCTATGCGAAGTTGATATCAACAACTTTTGGTTTGGAGCTTCTGGAGGAGAAGACATCGTGAAGCTTGAGAACGGCGCTTGATTTTTCTTGTGCGCCGATCTGGGATGGCGTCAATTTCTTTTCTTGTCTTTTTTTCTTCCTACGCTGCATTCCCGCGCTGCTAAAGAGCATTCATCTACGTCCCTTTGACAATGGAGAGACACGCCTAAACTAATATTACTGGCGAAGGACAAACCAAGATCGGACGGAGCCTCTGTGGAAAAGGGGGGGAGGGTATTTGTGAGATGTGTACCATAGACTGAAATAAGTGCGCGAGGCTTGGAGAACGGGTCAACTTTAGCTAGTTGGTGTCAATTGCGATTGCTTTCAAAGACATTGATAACTCTCCTGTGTATGTCCGTTATTGGTTTGGCGATCGGCATTCATGAGCCAATTAAGTATATTTTGGCACCCTTTTCGGGGGGTTAAGATCATTGATGCCTTCATAACGCTCAGGGGGCTTCACCTGAGAAGCATATGTGGAGCTAGCTCCGTGTATGCCTATGATGCTTGGGCGCAACAAGTATGTGTCGCTGCCAACTCGTGATGAGTCAGGAAACGAATCGCTGATGTCAATTGAGCTGTGGTAAGGATGGGTCGCATGTCACACTGATATGACGGTGATCAGATGATAGCCTCTAAGGAGAATCGTGGAAAAGCTCCAATACTTCTTCCAATGTGCTTTTTTCCTCTAGCTGTGGTACCCATGCGTCATCCCCTGGAGAAAGGTGATGAAAGGTGTACAGACCAAGATGGAACACCTTCAGTCACCGCCATTGGTATTTGCCACAGCTGACAAAGGCCTGGTAACAGATTGAATGTGAGGCATGTCATCTTGTTTGATCCCGTTCTTCGAGCATGCTCTAAGCTTGAGGAAAATGTAATGTGCCCTCGTCGCGACTCCGTCATGTCGCGCATCCTAGTTGGTAGATCTCTGCGACAGTGGTGTCCCGAGGTCAGCGCCGTGCTCTTATTAGTCATATCGCGTTGCTCAGACATCGGGCCTAGTTCCCGTGGAATCTCGTCGACAGCTGTAACAAGGTGGTAATCCCGCGACTATCGACTGCGCCCAGGTCATGAAACCCAAGCCCAAGAAGCGTATCGAGCAGCCGAACCGGCTTCTTCTCCCACATGAGGCGGCATACAGAATAGACCTGTGAATTGGATCATCCTCTCTAAGCCGGTCAGGGGCCATAATGTACAAATGAGAACCCCCCCCCGGTCTTGGGTTTCTTGACGACGTGGAAGGCATTTGCGTCCAGCACAGTGTCATTATAGAGTCCCAGCAGCTTTGCCTCGGTCTCTGGTAAACATTCCAAAGCAGATGACTTGAGTCTCCCGTCGATCTTGCAAATTAGTGGGGAGATTGAGTGCTAATATCGTGAGGATAAATACCCAGTTGCGGTGTAACGCCTGTATCTTCTGTGGTACTTCCGGGGCCAAGTTCGTCAGACAACGTTCTCAGATTGCTGAGTCATGATAAAAGTTGGTTCAAGGCTTCATTTGACCAAGACCGAGTATGTTGATATCTTTAGTCACTAGTTGTTTCAAGGAGACCTCGAATATCATTACGGGTTGGGATTTTTGTAAGTTGCTCAATGATCTGGTTCAATTACCTGCCTTGTGAGACCGTCAATATGTCGACGGACTCCTGTGTGAAGGACGTGCCCCTCCTCACTTCAGTTGTAAGTGGACTTGTGCCGACTGTGACCAAGGGTCTGATTGTTTCCACGGTTTGCTGCAAGTCAGGAATCCTCGAGTTGATGGTCTGGACTGAGTCGTTGAGAGCTATAGTTTGGCTCGAAAAGGATTCTGTTCTCTCGGCGACCAGGGGCGCAACTCCGGTCACGGTTTGCTATAACCCGGGAAGACTAGAGCGGACACTTTGTAAGGGGCCGTAGAGACTGGCAACTTCGGATTGTAAGGATAGTACAATGGTTGATGTCGTTTCAGAAGTTGTCCAAATAGTCGAAACATTTTCCTTAATAGATGTTGAGACGGCCCTGTAGGAATCCCTTAGTACTTCACGGCACAATTCCATTCGACAATTACTTACAAGCCTGACACTTGCAGAGCTATCTGCAATGTCTCGCTGACCTTGATGCATCGAGCCTCGAGAGGTTCTAGGCTTGGTCGGTTGAACTGGTATGTCAGCCTTTTCATTTTCTCTTTGCACCTCTCTCTCACCTTGGCCGTAGGTGATGTTACTGTTGGTGTAAATTACAGTTCTACCACAAGCCTCTCTAGAGCCTGTGTATCGGTATTGCAAGATGTGAGACAGCGTGATAGGGGCGATTAGGTCGTTGCATGATTTGTTCTCAGCTTGGGTACCTTTATATCTCTAATAACAGTCAAGAAAACTGTCATCTGCGGAGATTCGCCATTTGCCCAGACTTTAGCGACTGTGTCGTCCGAACTGCCCAAAGTAGTAGGCATCTCGCGGTCGTCCACGCGCGGAACATATTCGTGTTGCTCCTGGGAAAGGAGAAGACATCCCCACGTATTCGTCACAGATCTGGGACGAAAAGTTGAAACTGGAAAAAAAAGCCATAAAACTCTCAGATGTTGATACGGAAACAATGATCATCTCCTAGCCATCTATAAATATAGCTCGAAAACGAATATACCTATGAAGCTGCTGATGTGATTTATCCTCTCATAAACGCCTGTGATGCTCTTCCTACCTTCCAGACCTGTACCATTTTTGGGGGGTAATTGTGCGTCCCATAACCATAACATGCCTTTCACGCCGGTGTAAATGCAATGCCACCACTATCTCTCAACTCACTCGTCTCCAGCCTCATCATCTGTTGCTGTGTCTTCTTCAATGTCATCATCTGCGCCATCGGGCTCGCCGTCGTCACTGTCATCAACCTCGTCGTCACGGCTGATAGACTTCCATTGCAAGTAATCATCGTCGATCCAGCGTTTACTCATTGGAAGCTGGTATGGGTCGAAAGGGAAGAAAGAGTCCAGCTGTTGCGAACCCTCGTCGCTCAAGTCGAGACCAGATTCGCGCAACGCGCCGCCGTTAGCGTATGCCGAAGAGACGAATTGAGAAAGGCGAATTCGCTTGTTCGCCTCGATTTTCGGGTATAAGTACATAAATTGGAAGCGGTGCGCCAGCGTGGCGAATTGGTCTACAATGGCGGGCGAGCAGACTTTGAGGGGGTTGAGCTTGGAGTCGATGTTGCGCCTGAGGATGTCCTTAATATCCGACTCCCATTCGATGTCTTGACCCAAATATGACGACGGATCGTCTTGGTCAACATCCTCTGGCACCGATCTGATCAAGTCCCGCCATCGGAAGCAGAAGACATACATCAGTGCCTGCATCAATGCATAAAAAGGTGCATAGCGACGGACATCGGGGCCACGGCATGTGGTTTCATACAGCGTACGCATCTGGTCGAGATGGTACCCAAGGACCTCGAAGATGGTGCGGACAATGTGTCCAGGAACCATGGCCCCTCGTGCCACGAAGCTAGCAAGATATGCGGTTGCAGCTTGTCGCAAGACGAGGGGGCGTTGGGACTCGAAGGCGATGTTGATGCATGTGCCACAGAAAGCGTCTATAAGCCGCTCAGACTGTTGGCCAAAGTGGAAGATGAGGAATTGGGTATGTCGAGACTTGTACGTAGGGAGTATGATGTGTGAGAACTCGGCCAGCATGTCTTCGAATGTCTTGGTGGCCTCGTCTGATTCGGGATTAACGAAATGCGGAGTATAGAGCTGGAAGAGGGTGTCCATGATAGAGTCCATCTTCTCAATGCTCTCCGTCACTTTCCTCACTCGTGATGCCTCGTTCGCGTCGTCGTCCTCCTCATCACTAAAGACCGATTCGGCATCGCTGTCGTCTCCGTCATCCTCATCTTGATTCTCGGCGGCGGCTTGCGATTCCTTGAGGGCCGCGGCGACAAGGAATGCGAGTCTGTCATCTAAATCGTCCAGATCCATCTGCATCTGTACGTCTATTTGAACCAGGCGATTGACAATCAGGTCCGTGATTTCGGTCTTCAATTGCGGGGTATATTGTCTCAACTTGAGGAGATTGTCAACGTAGGCAAGGTACATGCGTTTGGGCTCGTCATGGTATGGGAATTTGCTGGTCATCAACTGCGAAATGACTGACTTCGCGGCGGGGAAAACCTGAAGAAGATATTGTAGTCCACGATGCAGTCGCTCTTGCATTGCTTCTCGGCTGACTTGGGGGTATCCAGCAACCACCCAGGCCGACGATTGTGAGTCGACAAATTTATCAATAACCATTGCAACGACTTGTGTCAGATAAGATCCCTGAGCACTCACAAGCGCTGCCAGGAATTGGGTATAGATCTTGGCGAACTGCTCGTCGCGTCCTAGCCACTGACATTGCAGGACACTCTTGACGAGTCCATGCGCAGACCTTCCCAACTGCGGCACAAAGCTTGCAAGAGCAACCATACAGACCTTAAGTTCCTGGCGTCTCTTCTCGGGCAGCGACGGGTCGGCATCTTCATCATCATCGTCGTCATTGTACCGATGTTTGCCAGAGACGGTCTCCTTCAGTATGTCGTATTCCTCGTCATCTCCTCGAGCGTGCGCGTCCAAAGCCTTGCGTATCTCCTGCTTGACCTCCTCCACCGATCTCGTGCCAACCTCGTGTATCTCAAGGTTCATATCGAACTCGACCTTCTGGCGTTTGCGTTGGGGGCTTTGCGATCCGTCCATGGTGCCGTCACTGGAGGGAATGACATCGTCCGAATGCTTTCGCTTGCCTAGTAGTGCTGATGAAGACTTTAGGATCGGCTTGAGCGGAATGACGCCCTTTGTAGCCGGTCGCTTCAACGGGTCGGCCGTTGAACTGGTGGGCGGCATCTGTACCGGCATCTAAACACTGTCACGTTACCGCGTGACTGAAGGAAGCTGGCCTTTTTCAGGTATTCGGTTCAGAGCGCATGGAACGGTGTAAAGAATAATCAGACATAATGGTGTGTGCCTATTCCTGTGAGATGGACGTAACTCACAGAGACTTGAAGCCGTGAAAATGGTGTCCGATGATACACTAGAAAAATAAATTCGTTTCAACGAAGTGGCGGGCAATTGCGGGGAGGCACACGGACTTCACGGCGTCCGTGCGTATGCTTGAGCTGGCCAGATGAGAAGTTTGGACCAACAGGCTTCAGCGTCTTAACTTCAACAACGGTAGCTGTTGTACGACCTACGCTAACCAAGTAAATAAGTTGCACCGGCACGTCAGCAAACAACAGCGATTACATGTGATGGTTATTGGGAAACGCGGAAATACAAGTTGAAGCACCGTCATGATATTTTGGAAATTTCCAAAGCATGGCTGACAAAACTGTCCGAGCATGGAGGCAGTGGTGTCTAAGAGGGAGTGACTGGTAACACCTGTACTTGAAGATATGTCCAAGGGTGTTTCCAAAGAATATAATGAAATTCAGAGCTATATCGATTGTCGGGACTTCGGGCCATATCTGTGATGCTGTACCTAGAAGCCATTGTTGCTGTTGAACTGAAGTCGGCACCCGAGTCTCAACATCTGTTCCTCGAGCCAAGCAGCCAAAACCAAAAAGGGGAAACGCCTCATGGGGAATCTATCAATGGTCAAAACGACCACAGAGTAATCTTACTTTTGCGCAACCATCTCCCATCGCCGTTCCCACCATGCCAATGTTCCATCATATACAAGTGTCGCATCCATCCTCGGCTCAGGCCTCTGGAGCTATTCCATGTCCCATACTTATACACACTGTCGAAGGTAGTATAGACCGTCTGCAAGACCGCATCTCAGAAAATGGTACAGCGTGTGGACCTGCTAGCCACCTCGTATGGTGCGGGAATGACCGGACGCTGAGCGCAAGACTTAGTAGGTCTCGCCGGCTGCGCCGTTATGACCGCTTTGACCATACATATAGCCACCTTCGGCCCCTTCGCCCATACCGCCGGATTCACCGCCTTGGAAGCCCGAGGACCCTGCAGCATTCGAGCCGCCGGATGCGCTTGCTCCATAGCCTTGACTATTGGGCCTGTTCTGCTGGTTCTCGCCTCTGTTGGACTGAGACTGCTGATAATTCGTCAGTGGTTGATGAGAAGCAAGGACTAGCCGGCCAGCTCCGAGACTGCGGCTGCAAGGGGCGGTGGGGGGAGAAACATTACTTCTCGGTATTTGGAGAGGTATATCTTGAGGGCCTCGGCGTAGTTTTCGAACCCAAGAGACGTCATGGCAAACAAGATGTCTTCTCCATTAACGGTCTTTCTTTTCTCCTGGTGACATTTCTCGGATGCTACGTCGAGTTAGTCTTCCGGCACTGGGACACCACACCACAACCCCCTCCTAACCAAGCCCATCAACGTCAACTTACCTTCACTTGTGATGAAGCTTATGAATTCGCTAACACATTCCTGCATGCACTCCTTGGCCTCCTTTGCGATCTTGGCGTTTTCGGGAAGGGCCAGCTTCATGATGCGAGCGACTGGGGCGAAGTTGCGAATGTTAGCATCGTATCCATCATACTTGTCAGTTTTGGAAGCGCGAGGCGCTTCTGGCGACTTGGAGGACGAATCGTGAGACATGGAACGAGTTGCCTAGCCGCGGCTGTCTCGAGCCTGTTGACCAATTGCGCAAGATGCTCAGAAGCGATTCCACTCAACGCTCGCTCACAGCTCACCCACAGATCCAGAGCACGACTCGACTCTACTGGACTCGAATCCAAAAGCTTGCATCAGGACGGGACCCCGTTGACGCGCACACAAATCAGAAACAGGTCAGGAGGAGGGTCTCACTTACCATTGGCTATGGGCAACCATCTGTCCTGCTCTTTTACCTCGAACTCATAGGCGAGCCCGCTGCCGTGTGGGTCCTGAGGATCGTTCATTTGTGCTTCATCGCCGTCGGGTGATTGTACACCTGGCTCGATGTCCTTTGGAGGGGATTGGGGGGAATCCGACATATTTGGCTACCTGCAGCGGGTGGTAGCTTTCTTGTAAAACTTCTTGGACTGCCAGCTCGCACAGCTGGTTACTAGGTTTGAACTAGTTGAGGTGATGTGTCCCTGCAAGTTCCTCTGACACGTATCAGATGGTAGGGCTTGCAACTTCGCGCGGCTTAGCTGCAGAGTGGAAGACTTTGCGTCAAGGGTTTTCTGCCAGATGCGGATCCCGAATTACTACTATTACCGAGTTTAGAGGTAGTCTGTCGGTCGTGACCTCACTCTTCGTGGCAGCCCTGTCGCAACTTCAGGCTATGATGATGTGATGTGTGTGTTAATCTGCACAGGCCTGGTTCTTGTCTGTCTGGTCTTTTAGTCGAGCGGTATGCCTCTGATGGATGCAAACGGGACGAGAACGTGGAAGCGGGGTGGTGCGTATTCGACGACGCCGAGGGTTGCTTTACTGCGGGTCTCGACGCTGTTCCCCTTGGGTGCCTAGTGCCAGTCCGCAGCACGATCGCCTTGCTGCAGATGGGGATGTAGTAGGTGATGTACGGCATGTATAGTACGTACTGTATGAATGTATATATGAATGTACCGGAGAGCAAGGGGGGAATTGTCGAGTCCCGTCGGCTGTGTGTGCGTTGTCCCGTACAGGAGCAAGCCGGAGGTTACACCGGTCTTCGGAGTGATTCAATCGCTGTGTGCGCGCGCAAATGGTAGCAGGCAATCTTGGGTATCTGGAAATAGAGCCACCGGGGGAGCGACGGCCGCACAAGGTCCAAGGTCGGCTGCAAAGTCGTGTCAGAATCGGCGTCGTTTCCGCCAGACTGCCAGTGTCTAGGCTTCGTCTCGTCTGAGGCGGAGGCTACTTTGGCTTACTCTGTTGGGTTTGGGCTGCTCTCTTTTTGGAGGGTCTGAGTTGTTCGTTCAGGTCACGTCGTCTAAAATGCACGTCGTCTCAGATGCAGGGCCGCGCAGCTTTCTTCAGATTGGGTCAGGTCGCAAGAAATAGCCCTGGCGCGGGTTGCATAAGTGGTTGACGATGCAAGTACGTTACGTGGGGTAGGTGCAGGATGGTCGAGAGGATCTGGCAGAAGTGACTGCAAGTGGGAAAGCTTCTAAAGTTCAGATGGAAGTGGGAACCCTCGAGGCTCGGTATCAATAATGATTGATGAGATTTTGCCTTCGGCGACGATCTGGAGTGGATAAGTGATGAGTGCAGGTCAAATCATAAATTTAAATGTATGTATGGCATGGCATGGTCTCAATCTATCAATGGATGTGTGATAATTGGCTTGGGGTGGTAATAACAATGACAGACCGAGCCTAGGGATGGACAGGCACAACAACGCCCAACAATTCGCAGAAAATCTCCTTGCGAAGTTGCGAAGGTGGGATTTTATCGATAACATTGCATCGACGGGTTCCCCATTCAGCTCCATGGAGCCCGTGCCGTGCGGATGATGAGCCAGACGAACGCACCTCGAAACGCCCATGTAATGCACCATGCGTCCCTGTTTAGCGCCGAGTTGACGAATGAATAAGAAGCTGCGACCAGTCCCAGATGCAGCTTCCATGAACTCCGGGACAAATGAGTGATTGAACGAGAGTGGGCTGCACTGTCGCTGGTCTTTACAATCCATCCACCTCCATGATTCAATTTCGAATTTGGACGATTGAGATCTGGCGCGCCCAAAGCTCGAATCGCTTGGCCAACTCCAGGATGCATCACAAACTACTTTCTTGGACGGTCTAGCCCAATTGCTGATCGCAATTGCGTTTCTTGCCAGCATTCTACATGGGTTTGCCTTCCCGAATCCTCTGCGTCGCGTTAGTGTGCATCTGCCCACCCCAACCTGTGTTGACACGGACGGACGGGGTCGGTTTCGAGAAAACCCAAGGCGGTCGACATTTTACATGGCGGTGAAGACCACGAAGTACCTTGGGGGCTCAAGTCAAGTAGCTGGACCAAGACCGCTACGTGCAATTTTCGACTGCTCTCATTATCGTTTATCTTTTCTTGAACGTTCGTTACCTTGGCATGCCAATTTCTCTGGGTGTATGGAACCCGGTCTGGAGAGATGGGACGGGCGTGATGGATGAAGTTACTGGCTGACTTGGCAATCCAAGCCATTGTACAACAAATGCAGACATCCGACAAGAATAGGAAGCCTGGTGGCAGCTTGATGGGGGCTAGCGGGCTCTATTTGGCTCAAGTTCAATGGTGTTTTGAACTTCTGGACGTTGGGGAGAGCAAGCGACTGGCTGAGAATTGACTGGAGTCGAATTAAGCATGCTCAAATGCTCAGTCGTAAGGCTGGCGAAACGACACGCAAAACAGACGGTTGTGATCGTTGCCAGCCAATGGAAAAAAAACAAACCACCACGCATTTCCGTTTTTGATTGGCAGCGAAATCTGAATTTTGCTCTGAAGTCGTTTCCCGGTCCCTGGCAAAATGCGGAGAAAACTAAAAGGCTGACTCCAATAGGGTACGAGGCATTCATGCCAACCCCTGGGGTTATGTGATTCAAGAGCAACCCGACTTTCTCTCGGCGGGTCACTCGTACCTTGCCATCATGTGCGAGTACCGGTGTGCTTAACACGAGAAATACCATGCACCCGTCTATTCCCCATCTCGAAGCCAAGCACGCTTAATGCAGGTGTATGCGGCCGAACTGTGTCCCATAAACTACCCTCGCTCCTGGTGCCCAATCGTCAGGAGCATTGAAACACTGGCCAAAACTGCTGCATGAAATTTTCAGATCAAAGCTTCGATTGATCGGTTTTCACTGAGCCGCAAGAGGGAGATGACGGCATGGTCATTGGTGGTCATTGGGCACTGGTGCATACGGATAGGGAGTCGCAGCCTGCCGAAGTACTCACGTACTCGCGCACAGGTAGGTACGTCTCTGAAAGCTGGGGCCGTTGGAACAAGCTCACCAGGAACTTCGGAAATCTTTACACCAGGATTCCATGCGATAGCTAAACTACCCGCCAAACCCACCGAAGAAAAGAAGTCGGGAGGCTTGAGTACGAGAATCCCGCGAAGAATCGCAAAGCCTTGTCTTCACACCCTCCATGATATCATTGCCTATGCAAGTCTTCGCTGTAATCACCTACCTCACAGCGTTTTGTTTCAGACAGATCATGGTTTCGCGGACAGCTGTCAGCCCACACCATCTTCTTTGGTCGTACCAAGTTGCGCTGTACAGACAGGCCTTATGTGCTAGTGACGAGTTCAACCATGACCCCGGAGACTCCGCCCTCGGGAACATTTGCCGGAGACGAGGCAACTGCTTGTTTGGGATGCTTTAACCTCAACAGCTGCACTTGTGTTGGGTTGATGTGAGCAACACGTACGGCATTTGTATTGACTCCATATGCACTGTCAGCAAAGTCGCCTTGCTCAATCGGATAAACTGTAGCCACTCAAATCAGCCACGGCTGTACGCGGCCAACGCTCCAATCAGTATTCCACTGCGCTGAACAGGCCAGACAGCCTTGGAAGAAACCTGTTGTTGGGCACCGAGACGCCTTTGACGCTAGATATGAATGGCACATCTGCAAATACTAGTTGTACAACACATCAACATCAATATTACCTCGTACGCTGCCATGGCCTAACCGATGGCTGAAGTCATGGATTCTACGGTATCATCATGCCCCCTTCGCTGATGCAGTGTGACACCGCAGTGACATCTCTCAAAGCTACCTTCCGGAGATCTTTCACGCGGACGCATGCCGAAGGGTATCGGCATCGTGTGAGCAGAAGCCTCAAGATCTAGACTTGACCTCATGGTTGCCACGTTTGAAGCATGACGCCACTCCAGCCTGCCAGGTCATTACAATGCCTACAAGCCACTTGGGCGGCAACCCTTCTCATGACTGCACAATCTGTACATTGTTCTTCTTCTGCAGATATCAAGATATTAGTCAAACAATCTTTCGATCAAATAGAACCATCGGTCATGCAGGCAAACCCCCTTTGCCAGTGATGGCGGCAGTCTTGGGGAGGCGAAAAGATCATGCGTCATACCTTCCACTTCTCCAAATCATCCTGCTTCGTCTTGTACTGTTTGACGAGCTCCTCGAGTACTTGCTTCAAACCCTCGGCGTTGGTCTTGAGAGCGGGAACAACATCCTCAACCGTACGCTCCACCAAGACGCCATTGATCATCCGGAAGCACTTGCGGTCCCCTGGCAGGGGGTCAAGCGTGTCGAGAACAAGCCTGAGCAAACGTAAGAGATATTGGTCATGAAAGCATGAGCGGTGAAGACAAAATAATGAGATAAAGAGATCAAAAAGGGGTTCCCCAAAGAGGCACGAGAAGTGACAAGCGGTGAATTCCCAAGCAGGAAACTAGACTTGAGCCCTGGTCGACCCTCAAGTAGGAGGATCATGGGAACGAAGACGCTTCCTCTTTGCGGAAAGGCCTGGCGGCGACCTTGGTGGCCAAGTGGTAGAAATGAGGCAGTGAACTCGAAAGGGGGAGGACGAACTTGTGCTCCTCAGCCTCTTGCTCGACATCGCCAATTTTCTGCGCCAGTTGTTGCAGCGCGTTCTTATAGTTTGAGTATTGCGCCTGAAGCTCTAGTTCCCCATCAGTCAGTGTGCGCTCATGCCATGGTGCAGAAGAGGGGCTTGAACTCACGCTGCTGCTGCTTCGCCGACGGGCCGGCTTTTGACGCCATGTTTGGTCAAATTCCTCGGTCAATCCGTAAAGCGCTGTGTTGCATGAATTTAAGTCTGTAATTTCTTGAGATGAGTTGATATCCCGGCAGGCCTGTGAAATTCCAAGCTGCTGTGATCGGTCTTGGTTGGAGGGGATTGTGGAGAGGCAAAATGTGGCCCATGCTTATCGAATTGCAAACTACCCAGCAGCCGTTGGCCGCCCTTCAAATCTATTGCCCATCACGATTCCGAACTGACGATTTGCGCCGCTCTTTACTGAAACAAACTCACGTACTTAAACAGTTTGCAAATCGCCCAAAATGCATCCGCATTTGCACACTAAGGACAATATCGGTAGTTACCACCCAAACCACCCCCTCCATCCCCCCCATGCATCTACTCCGGACTAACAAGGCCGACCCACCAGCTTGCGAGGAAGTGATGAACGCCCTCGAGGAATGCCACGCAAGGGGATTCGTTTGGAAGTCCCTAGGAATGTGTAACGATGCGAAAGAAAAGGTCAACTTGTGTCTGCGAGCCGAACGGTTAAAGCGCACCGCCGTGAATCGAGAGATCGCCAAGGCGAAGCGCGAGAAGCTCAAGAAGGCGTGGTCCGAGATCGACGAGAACACGTAGAATGCTTGAGGTTGAGCTGGCAGCTTTGGAGGCGCACATGTACGATTCACGTGTAATACGGCACATTATGGAGTTTCAGGGGGCATTGCTAGGAGTTTGCAGACTGTTTCGGGGCCAAGCAAATGTGTAGACGTCTGAAAAGCTGGATATACAGGCGAACACGGCAATGGGCAGTCGAGTAGGATTCGGACTGGTTTGGGGCTGTACAAAATATGTGCGCGATCCAAAACACAATCACTGCGAACGAATTCTTTGACCCTTCTCACTGCGTCTTCCTCCAAGCGTTTCCGAACACAACCAGGCCGAAAAGGGAGACCAGGCTTAAAACAGTCGGGACGGGTTTTCCACCGCGGATCGCCCGGGGTATAGAAGAACCCCCAAGAACAAGCGAGGCGAGAAGAGCGAGCTCAGTGCCGTAAGCCTCGCCACTTTGCATGCGGTAGCCACCGAGGCCATCTGGGATCATTAGCGAATTGCTCCTTGAGTAAAGCCCGAGGCTGTAGAGTGAGGATGGGGCAACATACACAGCAGACCAACTGTCCAACCGGCTGCGACTGAGGGCAACGAGCCAGTCTTGACGAAACCCATTGTACCTCCACCTGCGGTGAGGGCACCGAGTACGTATGCGATGGTTTCGAGACCCTTTGCCATCTGTTAGCTCTGAATTGTGGACAGCTTCAATTGAACCCACCATTGTGTAGATACTATTTGAAAGAACGTTTATATGGAGATTGACTCAAGATGGGCTGTCTGCCTCTGCCTTGTAAAAGGTACTATGAGCTCAGTTATCATAGCAAGAAGGCAGTTCTCGGACTTTTCGGGCTGCTGAACCATCCAACATGTCATTACCTCATCCGTACCAGTAAGGTCCTTCTTCCTATGGCTGAAGCTCCATACCCCACACTAGCAAGCCACAGCGGTACAAGTTCCACACAGCTCATTGGTCGGTCGAACCCCAGCTCCGACATTGAAGCTTCGTGTCCCTTCACTCACGCATTAACACCACCAAGACCTGGCCAATTCGCATCATCGGTCGTCGATCGCGAGCTCCCACGGCGCTCAATTGAGAATCATCCGACAACGATGGCAGCCAAGAAGACCACCACTGCACCTGCACCGGGCGCGACAGGAACGACCACGAGCAACATCGTCACATCCGCCTCCTCAGCGCCCACCTCGTCTAAGAAGACGGGCAGCTCGCAGCCATGGAATACCGTTTTGCTGAATGTCGTCGATTATTACGAGGATAACACGCCCCAGCGGACAAAGCTCATTGATGTTTTCATGGCATTCCTGGTGGTTGTTGGTGGATTGCAATTCTTGTACTGCGTTCTAGCGGGTAACTACGTGCGTGCAGTCTAAATGAGAACTACTGAAGATTAGGGGATCTTAGCTAATATCTTATTGGCAGCCTTTCAATGCTTTCCTGTCTGGATTTTCCGCCACCGTTGGCCAATTTGTCCTCACTGGTATGCATTCATTCTTTCGATTACTTTGGATATTCAGAGGGAAGGCGACTAACTGAGGAAACTACAGCATCGCTGCGCATCCAGACCACCGAGTCCAACAAGTCCGATTTCCCATCCGTCTCGCCCGAGAGAGCATTTGCCGATTATGTGGTGGGAAGCCTGATTTTACACTTCTTCTGCATCAACTTCATAAACTGAGCGACAGACCACAATGGCATCAAGGGTTTATCAAAAGGTGGCATTTGGTTCAAGCCTTGCACTGAGATATTACGCTGAGATTAGCCCGTGATGTTCAGGGGCTAGTGGCATGGCAAGTACAGTAGAGCATGTACAATGTACATTAGGGAAACTGGTCATGACAGTGGAAAGCGAGCAGGTAGAGCCGAGGAACTGCGTTTTGTGAATCAACTGGGATTGACGAGTGGGAATCAAAAGACATCGCTTCTATAGCGTTTTCCTCGGGTGCCCAGCCAAAGACAGACCTCTCGGGTGTCCATCTAATCCTGTCTAGTGCATAATAGTGACTTTCGCTTGATGGGGCCTACTCCTCAACATCTCACTCTCATTTCCACCCTCTCCATCTGACTGCTCTGCTTTGACGATTTCCCCATCGTCATGTTCAACATTTCCCTCCAACACCAATCACTCCACGTATTCCTAGTCGACGTCGTCGTCTTCCGGTTTCGGTGAAGCTCTCGGAGGTCCTCCTCTCGGCGGAGGCGCCCCAGCTCCGGCCTTTGGTGGCGGCGGAGGTGGTGTGTCTCTCGCCCTGGTGGGGTTCCCATCTAACTCTCTGCTCTTCTTCTCTTCTTCAGCAAAATAGTCATCCATCAACCGATTCGGATTAGGTCCATGTCTATCCTTTTTCTTGCTCCGTACCGATACGTTCGCGCTTGTCGTTGATGGTGGAGGCGAGCTCACAAGCTGTGCCGGCACCAGAAAATCTGTAGGGGGGGGCCCTTGTGGTGTGCCCTCTGGCGGTGCGAGTGTCGTGGATTGGATCTCCCCCGGCGCTCCTCCGTCCATGTCGAACATCGTCTCGCCGGGTCCCTCGACTGGCTCGCTGAGCGGTGCTGGCAACCGATGCAAATGGCCGAAGCCCAGCACGCAACCTAGGGCGCCTTCGCCGCCCCATTCACGGCTTGGTTGGATCTCAACCTCTCTTGTGACGTTGTACTCGTGGTTGTATACCCATAGCTTCAGTGGTCGCCCAATGTAGTCCTCCACCATCTCTCCTAAACCGCTTTCTCCATGCAAAATTCCATCTGGGGTTCCTAGGATATAATCGCTGTACGGAAGAAGACCCGCAAGATCAGCTGGTGAATTCGGCGCAACGTCCAACACATGCCAGATATTAGAGACCGTATCGAGCGACTCCCACTGCAACGATATCCCCAGACTCGGGTTCTCCAGGGGCACGGGAACATGGATGAGCTTTGTGCGCGCTCCCTTAGCCGACCAGAGACCCAGCGCCACGCTACCTCCGGCGCAGTTGCGCACTTCTTGCGCGAAGAGTATGGGGTCGGGGTTGTCGATTACACGTCCGTTGATGCCGACGATAAAGTCAAACCAGGGCTCGATGCCGAGCTCGAGGTTGGTGTTTCGAAGGACCTGGAAGCCGAAGCCGCCCGACTGATCGCCCCGGCGTGGCTGGGCGTCGCCGTCGAGGCGGGATATGAATCGGTTGAGGGCGTTGAACATGGTGGGCAGATGGAGGAGCTGCTGCGAGCTCGTATAAGTGCGCGGGATGTGGCTGGTGGTTCGCTTGGTCGTGTTGCTGCCTCGAGATCGTTATACTGCCGGTGTAAGGTAATTTTTGTACACTAAATCAAGTTGGTCCTGCGAGATGTTTGAAACCCCGGATTTGAAAGTCGAGGTCGTAAGCTGTCATCTCGCTAATCAAGCCTCGACGTTGTGGGGCCCAAGCTTCTAGATGTGGCAACTGTGTATACACAAGCCAAGTGCAAGTAGGACTTCAGCACTTTGATCTGCTGTCAAACGCCTGAACGGAATTGAATGATGGAGAGAATTTTCTGTTTGTCAGCTCAATTTGATGACTGCAATCCGACGAAACATTCCGTCATATGTTGAAGCTGTCCGTAATTCAACCTTAGGACCCGTTATCGGGTAGCTTGGCCCGCCTTCGGGGAGTGGGTTCTGCGGGGGGCGCAACTTCGTGGAAGAAATCAGCCTTTGTTCATCCCAAACTCATCTCACTTCAATATCGAGCGATTGTTCAAGAAGACACACTATTAATATGATAGAATCGAAATATTGACTCTCATAAAAATAGCTTGATGGGGAATTGACTTATGAGACGTCCAAGACTTCATCATTCCTGGCAATCCAGAATCCTATGAACTCGAGATGAAGCAAGTCCAGGAGCTTCCACTGACGGAAAACTGTCACCACTGGAGAAAAATCAGCGAGGTGCCATGGGACTTACAAAAGTGAGTCTCTCATTCGAACCCAAAAGCAGAAAACTGACATGATGTCAGGTACTGGCAACAACGGCATACGATTTTCTCTTATTACAATGAAGGCATCTACATGACCCATGATGCATGGTACGGCGTGACGCCCGAGCCTGTTGCAAACCAGATAGCGCACGACCTATCTCTCATAATATCAGAAGATAAGACAACAATCATCGATGTCTTTGCCGGCGTAGGAGCCAATTCCATTGCATTCGCTCTCTCAGGCCGCTGGGAGCGCGTCATCGCCGTCGAGAAGGACGCCGCCACTTTGGCCTGCGCGCAGCACAACGCCTCGATATATGGTGTGGCAAACTCTATCAGCTGGATCCTGGGCGACAACTTCGAATACCTCGATGCGCTGAACTCTTCAGATTCAAGTTCCTTGGAGCCAGATCTGCAAGTCAATATTAAATCAACCGTGGTCTTCGGCTCCCCACCATGGGGTGGACCCGGTTACAGAACCGATGAAGTCTTCGACCTCAGCACGATGGAACCATACAATCTGACGAAGATGCATGAATCGTATCGGATGATGGACCACGCGCTCTATCTGCCGCGGACAAGTGACTTGAGGCAGATCGCGCATTTGGCCCCCGAAGGAAGCAAAATCGAAGTGGTGCAATACTGCGTGGAAGGGGCAAGTAAGGCTATGGTTGCCTATCTCTTGGCCGAGAAAGGGGCGGAAGTTGAGGAAGAGAAGAACAGCAATGCTTAATGCCTGTTGCCCCTACCAACCTGGTGACACGTTTTATTGCCGATGTGAAACGTCTCCCATGCTACAAGGCACATTGGGGGAGGGGGCCACGCCGGCCATACAGGGTTGAGGTTCAGATCAATTCAGCCTCGGCATCATCTCGAATATTCGGTCGGCTAGGAAGGCTAAGAACAGAGCTCATGAACAGCGTGTATGGCCCGAATGATATGAGCCTCTCACACCGACTACCCACGAACGACAGTCCAATATTACGGTCACTTTATCTCCTACAGGGGTAGTCAGATGACAGTCCCCTAAGGCTTGAAGTCTGCCGAAACTAGTAACACAGACAGTCTATGACGAGCCGAAGCATATCATAAGCCCCGAGTTCGTACAGAAGCAGTAAGCAGTAGTCAAGAACCGAATTTGGGCCATGTCGGGGTCTCGATTTGTCCATGGTATCTGAATTGTCGTACGCGACAGTTCTCGAGTAGGCATGGCCTACAAATCCTGTGTCTTCGACTTGTGGTTCACGCCGCAACTGACGGAACATCCCCTGTGGATAAGGCTTGAAAACGGAGATCTGGCGTGTCTGTGTGGCCATCGTCAAGGAGTATAAGCCCAACATGGTGACTCGGGTTTTAACACGTGTGACCATTTTACCACTTCATTAAGGCTAAAGGATCCAGCTTAAAGAATCCAACTTGAAGGATCCAACTCCAACGGGGGGCGAGGGGTCACATGCCATGAGAGCGTCCCCATCTGAACCGTGTTCAGTGCCACATGGTCGGACTGTTTCCCGACATCCAGGTTTACAGGTCGGAAGTTCAAATTTGACGATGTCATCAAGTCTCAGTCGTGGGAAGGGAACCCATGTTAAACCTGCACTACTGCAAGTCAAGATGCTGATCTTGCTGACGGTTACATTTTTACATTTTCTAAATATGGCCTCTAGGTAATAAGACAGGGCTAAATACACACAGCCAAGGCAGCCCCAATCTACTTACCCCGTCAGCCAACGGCGCAGCAGCAGCTCAATCTTTCGTCGTTCACACTAACAGGGGCCAACGTGCCCCACAGGCTGGGCATGGACACCAAAGTCAATCTTGATAGGCTGATCTGCATCGGCCGATGCCGGGAATAGTTTAAGCTGCCGGGGCTACGATGGCACGTCAAGCGGTCCACTCGGAGGCTACAGCACTTCCATGGCCAACGTTGCGCTCAGATCGACTCATTACTACACCTGGAAACTGCACCGCCGCAAAAGCCGGCTGCTGGATTTTGGCCGTGTAGTTCAGCCTGCCGTGGAGCTGCATAAGACAGGCTGTAAATATGACGGCGCTGAAATTAATAGAGGAAACGGCCTTCGAAAGCTGAGCCTGCGCCGCATCGCCACCATGTCGCCATCCTAGCCGCAAGGAGCTTTATGGCGTGCGTGGTACAAACAAAGAAGGTGGACTCGAGCCACGCTTTAAGCTCGTCTCGTCCCAGCTCATCTTCAATTGTGAAGTGCGGCGTTTCCCCGCGAGGCATTCACGAGAGCGAAGCCAACTGATCTTGGAGATTTTCGACCCGGCAGTACTTTCCTTTTGTTTATTCCTTTTTGTCTCTTTCTTACATACAAGTGAAACGTCTCACACTGCCAGGCACCATGCCGACACTGGAGGACTGCACATTTCACACGTGCTACGTATCGTCATCACCTTATGGCTACCGCCCCAGTATGGCCGCAAACATCGCCTTCTTAATTATTTATACCGCTTGTTTGGCGGGCTGCGCTCTCGTGACTTTGGCGACGCGGCGATGGATTATTTTCAGCATACCGCTCGCGGGGGCCTGCGTGTTGGAAATCGTGGGTTATAGCGTTCGCATGGGTAGCTGGGCCGAGCCGTGGAGGGCGTCGTTATACGCGGTCACGAATATTTTCTTGATGATCGCGCCGTCGCTCATTTCTACCGCGTAAGTATCGCCGCCTTTTGTGCTTGTGGATAGATGGACAGGCTAACAGGGACGCAGGATGTACACAACAGTGCCAAAAGTAGTACAAATAATCGGAAAGGAGCACTCGCTCATCCGCCCCGATATTTACGGCTATCTCGTGGCCATCGACCTGGTAGCGATTCTCGTGCAGCTCGTGGGATTCATCGTCACGTTTTCGGACTTGACGGCCGTTGACGGTCTCGGCCCCAGCGCTGAGAAAGGCGCCAGCGTTATCGCGGCCGGTGCTGGTGTCCAATTCTTGGCGCTGGCATCTTTTTCGGTGCTATTCACCATAGTCATCTTCAAGGCTTCCATGGCCTACCACGAATTTGGCTATACGACGTTCCACAAGGACCGCGGGTACGTCTTGCTCGGCGGCAAATTCAAGGCCCGCGTCGGGATGATGATGGCCGCCACCATGTGTCTCCTGACGAGAGGAGTCTTCAGAATAATGGCCCTGGCGGACGGGCTTGATGGGTCCATCTCGAGGAACGAGGCGTTGTTCGTCGTGTTTGATGGCTTGTTGGTCGCGGCAGCGATATTGTGCCTTCTGGGGCTGCATCCGGCGTATGTTTTGAGTGGGGAGGAGCATAAAACGAGTGAAAGCAAAACGAATAGAGAGTCGAGAAATGAGGACAGGAGAGAGGAGCTAAGTCAGATTGCTCCTTGAAACATGTTTTGGGACCTTATGTTTTCTTTCGGTCGCACTAGAGATACCCGTTGGCTTTAGCCTGAGATACCCCGTTTGCTTGCTTTAAGGGAAAAGGAGAGGCAAAATAGAATTCATGACCATTCAAGAAGTTGATGAATTGTTTCCATGCTAAGAAGTTGAACGCAGGTGAAGTCCTATACTTTTCAGCTTAGCAACCAACTTCAAGAAAAATTTCCTTCGCCCTGCCTGGAGAGCAAAGGAGGATCACCATTTGGAGGCTTGCTTTTGAGTTACCCACACGACCGATCAACACTCCAGCAAGATATGAACCATCCAGAGTATGTTTATGTCGCCCATTTACTCTAGAGCAGATGGAGTGCCCTTCTTCTGCTGCCACTATCCGTCTCCACGATGGCTAGACATACACAACTCCCCAGCCTTTGAGGTCGAGGAGTATGTTACTCCAAGTTTCTATCCTAATAGCAGACACAATAAGCACAGTGCGAAATTTTTAGAATCTGATGAAGACTGAAATGTATGCTCTTGGACATTAGCATTGTGCTTGTGCCTGGTATATATAGGGGCTCCTGGTAACAGGGGGTCAGCCAAATCATGTCTCGGAATTTCCTTGAAAGGTATACCAGCCCGAGGTACCCTCAGTGATGCCTCTCACATCGCTATTGACTCCTTGATCCTAGAAAATAACTACTGTTGACATACATACTACACCAAAACTCGAAAATATCTGCCAGTGGCACCTATCAAATCCCGTCCTAAGCAGGCGAATCGGCTAGGTATTTAATTCGAAACTTTGAAAAGTAACAGCATTGAACTCTTTGCCATAATAATATTAAATACGCCGTAGGTGTTAACCCTCGGTACCTCTACAAGTACTCCCTTAAGGGGCTATAGATGATATAGCGGGCCCTTAAGCCGCGTCGGGCGGTTATACAGGTAAACTTGTAGCCAAACGACTACTAAACCTCCTGTCCCTCCCTAAGTCTGTGCTACAACCCCTGCCTGAACTACCGATAAGTGTGGTAATGTGGCACTTAAATTCGTCCTCAGGGGTGGGATGCTGCTGATGTGCAGAAGATGCTCGACTATTTTTTGTCGCGACAAGTCGTAGTATCTGCTAATTGGGGTTCTCGTCGAGCGTATACATCTCAACCATACGCTCAAGTGGATAGACCGTAACGTGGTCTAGACGCTCGCAAGAATCGCGGCGAGAGGGGGTCCGATAAGGGGTCGGATTAACGATTCGAATTCTGGACCGGCTGTCGAGTTATATTCCGCCGACGTAGTGCTTGACAGTCGACTGGCTAGGATGCTCGTAATCCTAAACTGCACCAATCTCCCTATTATCGCTAGGTAGGTCTCTTTGCCATTAAATTTTCCAAGACAGAAAGATCGCGCAACTCGAATAGCACTAACCTACAGATGAACTCGGCTACTAGCCAGGAGATGTCACAGCCCGTCAGCATCAACGGCAAAAACGTGGATTTTTTTTCGCGGCGCCTCCCCTGGTAGATCCAGAAGAAGACCAACTCATCGGCGGCCTAGTAAACAAAACAAATACCAAGGGACTTACAGTCGAGCCCGATGTATTTCCCCTCCTTCCCGTCAGGGGCCTGGAATTACGCCCATCTTTCCCTTGTCCCTGACACAGACTTGCCCGTTGTCAAGAAGCTATAAAAGTGGAACTTCCCCCGGGTTGAGAATGTCTGACATGGGTCCAAAATCGAGTACGCAGAGATGTGTATAAGATCGTTACCAACACGGACGAGGACTACCGGGCTTACACAGACCGGTTACACTTTGTGTCGCACCCGAATCTCAACGGGAAGGCTCTGATGAAAGTTGCGCAGTTCGGGACAGAGCAACACGTCAAGGAAATAGAAAAGGAAACCACCGCGGATCAGTGGCTCAACGGCAGAGGTTTGACACCCAAGCTTCTCAGGCCTGTCATGGAGGACGAACGGGTGGTCGGATTCCTTGTTGAGGGGCTCGAAAGCGTCAAGGGCTCCCGACAGCTGGACGGGGAGATGTGCGAGGCCGCGCTTGGCCAGCTGTTCAGTCTGGTGATGGTTCATGGTGGTTCTCATGAAAATGATATGTGTAGTATCCAAGTATGGATAGAAAACGGATTGTAAATCCTGATGGGGTGCGTGTATGCTCCTGTATACAAATTACTTCTCACTACCCTGTGCATTATTAGAACATTGTATGGATAACTTTCAAACACAATACTACGGCAACTGCTGTGGCAACGTTATTGTTACTTGAAATAGAGGTGTGCCAGCGCGATTTGCTTCATCAAGAAAATATTTCAAGGCTGTTGATGTTCCCATGTTTATTCATGAATTGACTGTGCTCTCTTTGTTCATGTCTGTCAACGATATTGCTATCAGTCCTCATCCAGCTTCTCCGCAGCAGTAAGCCAGTCCTCCTCAACCGGTTCTTCCTCAGCTTTCTTTTTAGGCTCCTTCCGCAATGCCATGAACCTGCTCCGAACGGGCAAATTCTCTGAACTGGAACCTGTGGTGCCAGCCTTCGCCTGTCGCGCCGTTGAGCGACCAACGACAGAGCTCCAACCACCGGTATTGACAGTAGCGCCAGCTTCTCTACGCAATACATTGAGTGAAGAGTCAACATGACAGAGAGCCACTGATTTTGCCAAGCCGTGTCGCTTCACGCTTTGTGATATTGCCGGCTTGAGGCTTGACAGCGACGATTCGAGTGCCTGAGGTGTCCACGAGCCAGATCCCTTGATGACAACGTCGTCGGAAGGGAGGAAGCTCGTCGCGAAGGACAAGTTAGGCTGTGACGCGAATCCGTGAGCCAGGGCAGACTCAAGCTCCTCAATGGTCAACCCGAATTTGGGTGATGAAAGTAGCAGCGCATTGAAAGGCTCTGGCGGCATCACTATATTGCTTTGCGAGGGCTGTGCTTGTGACACGTCTGTTGCTTTGATTTTGACGCATTGTGCCAGCGTTTTCGCTGGTGCTGAAACAAACCGTGGTGTCTTGAATATAGAGACGTGACGGTGGGGCTCTGGATCTTGGGACTCGCTGTCCAACCCGAAGTCTTCAGCTAGTGCGTGTAAAAATGCACGGTGATGAGGCTTCATGGGTTTGAACCGGAGCCGTTTCTCTTGCGTGTCTGCGGAAAACACGCGGAACTCTCGCTCGTACGTCTGCGCCCATTTAGGTGCACTTTGGTAAAGTTCCAACGTTTTATCGGAATAGGGAACGTGGTCGTCTGTATGGGTTGCTGGCTCTACGTTGAGAGCCGAAGCAAGTCTTGCGTTTCTCTGCAGCCGAAGGCATTCGTCATCGCACTTCAATGGCGGGCGCTCTGGCGAAGGGTTGGTTTTGGTTGCGAGACATCTGACTTCCTGCTTTCTGCGTTGACATTCGCAGGTGACGAAAGTCTTCGCTTGACATGGCTTATCTTCTTTGCACGCGTATGGACAGTGACATGTCTCGGTGCAGACATGATCACACGACTTCCTTACTTTGAGGCAAGGCTGGGAACAATGTGATCCTGAGATACCTGCATCTTCGCAATCACCCGGGCCGTGGCATGTCTTGGTGCAGGAATGGTGACCGCATTTCAGCTTTCTGTTGCAAACCAAGCCGCATCGAGGCTGCTTAGAGGCACACGGTTGGTTCTTCAACGTTGACTTGCCGCATATACATCGTTTCTCGACCAAGAAAGGACACGGCGAGCAAGACTTGTCGTCTCCGTGGCAAGTATGGGATACTCGTGGATGGTCCTGACATGGATTTGGACGAGCACACTCGAATCGACATTCGGGAGGGCGGGTACCGCATGGCTGTGGGGGTTGAAGAACAGTTCGGCCGCAGTGGCAGCTGATTTCCTCGAAGATCGCCTCGGGGCATGTCGAACAAGGGCCAGGATGGCAAAGCTGGGCACACTGATGTTTGTCGCATTTCAGTAAGCGGCCACAGACCCTGACGCATATGTGCTCTGCCTCGATCTCGCGGCTAGTGGTAGTCAAGTTCTTTCTTTTTCGCTTTCGCTCCATAGCTTTCTTTTCGCTGGGGCAGCAATGCTCATCATGCAAATGACGACCGCAATTTAGCTGGGCGCGACAGACTCTCATGCATTCTGGCGTGTCAGTTTCTCCTTGGTGGCATATGGAGGTTGACTTCGTTCGACCGCATCTGCATTCGATTTCCACCTTCTGCATGCAGGGCGGGCAAGACGAGGCATGACATCCCGATCTGCAACGGTGTCCACAAGGAAGAAGCTTGTCGCAGGTCTTGTTACAACTCGGAATCGCATCTTGGCAATTCTGTCTAGGCTGTTCCAAGATCTCATCCAGAGGGGTTTTGGTACAAGGACAGTGCGTTACCACATCGGGAGAAAATGGACAGTGGGCTTCCTTTTCATCCTGAGCATGGCACGCACGTGTACATCTGTGATGACCGCAATCGAATGTCCGTTCACAAGAGCTGTCACAGCTGAAAGTAGCCCCAAACCAGGGCTCTTCGAGACCATCTCGTCCAACTTGGCCCGCTGATTGCTGCTGGACCTGGCCATGGTCGAATGAAGCGACTTTTTGCTCTCGCTGTTCGCATGGAATTTCTTTGTATACCCGGCCACAATAACAGAGAGAGGGGATTGGGATCTCGCAGCTCCCGCAGAGGCCAGAATGACAAGGTTGCTGACACTCATGCTCTGAACAAGGAAGTAGATCCCCGCAAATCTCTTGACAGCTCCACCCGTGAGTATAATCCGTCTCTCTGCATCGTTTTGTCACAACGTGCTTGCCACAATAACAAGGGAGCGCTGGGCCCATTGCATCGCAAGGCGGACATGGCCCAGCGTGACACACCAACATGCACGGATGTGGACATGCTCCTCTTGGTTTCCCACAGGTCTGGCTGCAAGAGTGGGGTGGCTGACCAGCCAGTGACCTAGGGCTGATTTCTTTACCACACCAACAATGATATGACGTAGGCTCCTCTGTCGTGCCCGAGTTACAGCCAGGGCAACGCCAATCACTCGACACTTGACCTATATTTTGGTCGCGTTGTTTTATTTGATTTGTGTGCCATTTCCGCACGCAAGTTAGATGAGTGACGGTCCAGCAGATGGAACAGGACCATACACGCGAGTTTCGAAGCACCTCGTTGGTGCAGATCACGCATTCGTAATTACCATTGCTGATGTCATCATGAATACGGGTTGGTAGATCAGGAGCATTCGACTTAGGCTCATTGTGTGTTATTGACTTCTTGGCTCCTGTTAGTGGTGGTGGTTGACCGTTCCTGTTATACGTTAGTTATTGTGACCATTGAAGAACGGCAAAACATGTGAATGACAGCGTCTCAACCTCACCGCCATGTCAAGAGATGACACCAAAGACAATAGGCAACTCAAGACAGATGGATCCACTTCGAATCAACGCGCCACTTTGCGAGATATTGCGTTGAATGATATCGGAGAAGATAAAGGATATCCCTTTTCACCTCCCTTGTATTGCGAAATAGCTCGCAAAATGAGTCAAGCTACTCAATTTGATCCACCACATTTCACCGGGGTAATATGGCGAGTGCTTAAGAGTTTTCATAGCACCCATAAAATATGAAATACCAACTGACCTTGGTGCAAGCGGTTGCCCGGGCACGAATTCGGGGGCGTCAGCACTCAGACCGGCCGCAATGTCTGCTGCCGACTGAGCCTCCGTAGTGAGATGGCCCCCGAAGGCTCTCTGGGTACCGAAAGTCGTTCGTGGGGTGGTGGGTTCAGCACCTCCGCGTCTCGACTTTCTCGGTCCTCTTCGTCCACGTCCTCGAGCGTTCAAAATGGTGCTTTCGCCTGCTGGAGCCGAAGTCTGCCCAGTTAATATCGGCTCCGCATCTGACGTAGGTTGGCCATGGTTCCTTTCGCGATTTTGGTTTCCTCCACGGTGACGTCCGCCACGGCCCCTGCCAGCCCGTCCACGATTTGGCCGCTGCGTGCTTCCTCCAGTGTCTGCAGCCGCATTTGCTGCTGTAAGTGGCACATCGGCCATATTGGGTTCAGGAAGTTCCCGTATGTCCTGGTGAGCAGCAAGTAGAATTGTGAAGAGAGGGTGGTGGATGTTGTGAGCTGGAAGAGAAGGTATCCTGCTTCGTTCGCAGACAGGGACTAATGTAGCCGTTTGCGCTTTTTGAAATACAGCGTCTTGGGAAAATGAAAAGAAATGCACAGATAACAAGAAAAAGGGGAACGCAAAAGCAAGTTCTTTAAAGGAACTGTCAATGCCAGTATCAGGACCTTATACTAGCTTGTTGTCAACCTCAAAGCTGTGGCAATTACGAATGTAAGCCTGTGGTTGACTCGAAAAAATGATTCATTATGAGCGCGGGTGTCGTTCCAGGCCCCTTGCAGGTCGTTAGGTTTTAGTGGCTTGCCGGTAACCCCATGTTGGAACTTTACAAATAAATGGTGGGTGATCTGCGGTAAGTGCGATTCTGAGGACACAAGCTGAGTCAGGTGACTCGGCCAAGCACGTGACGGATGGAAGCCGAGTCCTGTCGACTTGCGACTTCCAGGTGATTGTTGCGATCTCCAAACCACCTTGCCTTGTCAAATGCAAATGCAATTGCATCCGGCAAAACAAGTTCTTGCAGAAATTTCGGAAGAACGCCGTTATGATACTGCATACACGACAGTTGTCGTCATGAAGCCATCCAGATAAGATAAAAGGGCAATCATCACCCACAACTACGACTTCGACACGCTTCTGTCTTGGACTCGGTTACGGAAGCCGTTGCTCCTATCTTATCAGTCGAACACGACAATGATCCAGTTGATGAAGACAAGTTGTTGGTCACAACTCATCCTCAATTAAGTCTAACGAGCTTACCAAAACGAAGCTCCTTGACGGCTATCCAAGCTTAAAGTCTGCACATACTGGCTTCTTCCACCCGACGCCATTGATAAGCGATCACAGTGTCACATTTCAACTTTGATGCGCGACTCGATCTTGTAACTGTCAAGAGCATTGTGTCAAGCAGATGCGGAACTCGACAGTCCCGGTCTAAAGACATATGTCGATGAGGCATTGCTTCTTCACGGCCCTATTGCAAGCCAACTCATCTCGATGAATCGCCATGTTGCTGTGTCTTCGGCGCTAAAGCCTTGTCGATACATAGGTTTACTCTCCTACGCCGGGAAGACTTTTACGCGACTCATGGGTCTAGTGAGGCTCAGAATGAATTGCTTCGTTGCTCTCCCACAACTCGATTTCCCACAGTGAAGCCTGAAGCACAGGCCTTGCAAGGAGACACATAATTATTCATCAGCATTTGGAGAAAAGCGAGCCTTTACTCCGCGGCCAAGTGGTTTCAAAGAGGGCATCGCAACCGCTGTGGTTTGCATCGAGACCCATGGCGCACATAGATGTAGAAATTAGCGACTGGGCTTCTCGATCTTCTGCCTTCGTTTGTCACCCTCTTGACCGCTCTTTCGAAATCGAAAGATCCAACGCTGCATCGAGACCTACAACACTTGGGGGGGGCGGGGGGGAGATTATGGGCAACGTCGATGATACAGCTGATTTGCACATTGCAGGCCCTCAGTCAGCTTATTGCTTATACGACCCCGTAAACGGAGATGCTGCATTTTCCGGGATACAGCTGTAGAGTTTGTGGCTGGATCGCGGCAACATGGAGACCACCGAATACGTGAGTATCGTCATAATAATCAACAGCTGGGCCTAGGTCTTCAATTTCGGGTACCAATTTGGGAGTTGCCAAATTCCATGGCAAACTGAGCTGATGGTCTGTCGAGGATCAATATTTAAAAGCCTGCACAGTGCTTGCATGCCGCTTCGACAATTCAAACATTCTGGATGCCGGCATATTGGTGTCATACTCTCCGGGCAACCATGCTGATTTGTGCTAGTCAAGTCAGCCTCAGTGCCGTACTGGGCCAGAGAGGCCAGGGATGTCCCCTTGTGGGAACGCAGAAAAGCCGCTGATGAGGGTGTTGTTCACATCAGCTGAGATAGCTGAAATGTTTCCATGGCGAGAAACTACGCAAGTCGGCGACTCTCTTGCAACTACTCTTTTCATTGATGCTCCATACATCGCCATGATTCCACCGAATCGGACCCAAATGGCGGATGCTTGCATGCGGTGGCTTCTGAGCTGTTACTCAAGAACGGTCAGTTGACTCAGGTTCATGACGACAATTCGTTCTACTTCAGCGCCCGGCCGAGGTATCAATATCGATCCTGCTGCAGCTGTGTCCAGCTTGGCAAAAGCGACCCGGGCATCCAATAGACCATCGAATCATTCATACAGCTAATCAACACAGCCTACTATAATCCATCGGTCAAGCGCTAGATTCCTAAGTGCCTAGCTAAGCTTTATTAGCGCATGCCGCTGGGTGAAATGCAGCACACGCGTTCCTGACTCCTGTCTACTGTTGTGATCTATCTCAAATAGGAAACAGTGGCAAAAGCTCTGCCGGCTAGCTTCAGTCTGAAGATCTGCGTTGATGGCTGACCCAACACGAAAATCCGGGGTCAACCACTGTGGAGAACAGCGGGAAACACGCCGATAGCCGCCGACTACTCGGGAAGTCTACCCGTGTTCTGAGACACGAACAATAACCCCCGAACGAGAGGCAATAACGGGAGTGTTACAGTCTCTCACTTATACCTTGCCAACCGGGTTGAATTGACTTAGACAGACGTTGCCGTAGCGTTAGACGAATGCTAAGTGATTCCTAGTAATGGCCCGAGGCAGTGGAACATGGCAGGGTTGTCTCCACCCTGCACCAAGACGTCCTTGTCCTGTTAGCTAACCAATCATGAGTCGGTTCTAAGCCCATCTTGGAAGTTGGTGGGGATCCACAACCTAGTCAGAAGCCAGCACCCAAGTCCCATGGAAATCGAACGGTTCGTGTTTTGTCATGCTACACAATCGACACACAAGGCTTTGCCCTGCGGACGCCTCTGGGAAGACAAAGTTGGCGCAAGGCTTTCAGGCAACATGCTCACAACAAGGGAGCGGTACGCAGGAGCATAGGGCATAATCCGATGCATATTAGCAGCAGATTGTGCTACACGACGCGCCGACAAACCCAGGGCGCGACTTGTATTCGAGAGCTCCTCCAAGCTGAAAACTCGATCTTTCCATTTAAGGCAAGTAGCGCGTTGGATCGAGTGGGTGGTGACCCTCCCCTGATTTCTAGACGTTTTGCGTTGAACAATTTTAGTAACCGCGGAAGGCCCACCGCGAGGGCTGAAAGGTATCTGGCTAGCCATCTAATGCGGCCTTTAGTTGCTAGATAATATCCCCAAGAGCCACCCCCCTAAATGGAGTAGGATGACTTGCTGTATGCAGCAAGCATGGGCGATGAAGTCGCATCATGCGATGCGACCAGTATGGGTGCAGCCACACCCTCATATGCTTGCATCCAACGTTGGCTGATCGCAGCTTCTTCCTGGACGTCTCTGAACCTGTCCCTCCGCATCGAACAATCATTATTCTTCCTTTTCCAAGATTGTCATACGCGGGATCGGCTATCCTAGGATCCTACTCCAATCTGAGCGTTGCGCAATGCTTACTCCTGGGGAACCACAAACTACCCCTCTCATCATTTATCGGCACGCCTTATTGCTCTCGTGAGATTCCTCGGTCTCCAATCGCATAGCCGATCACCCAAAACGTGCCTATTTGGATTCATTGAAGATTGTGGCAAAACAACTACTTCCAGAGCCTCATGGGTCTGAACTGCATTGGGAATTAAGCTAGCAGTTGGTCGCGTCTGCAGGAAACAATAGTCGACTCTGGCACATCGACAATGACTTGGGCAGCGTGGTGTAAATCGAATGAAGTTGTATTTGGTGAGCAATGCGGGGTCGCCCTCGTGCACCTCAACGCCACCTCAACTTCAACTGCATACTCAAGTCATCCAAAGGTTTGCGCGTCAGACTCTAAAACTGACTGAAGGATGTCAACAATCGTTTTGTTTCGATTGACTTACACTTGTAATCTGTAGATGCCTTCGTCTTGGAATTCGAACTTTCCACACGCACAGGACCGACTGGCCTCGGCCGATGCAGAACCGCGATACATGTTCCTCGTCACTTCAATTGGTTAATTTCCAGATTTATGTGTGTAGGGCGCCGATCAACGTCGTCAGAACTCAGCACCATGCCTTTGGGAGCTTAGTAGGGAACTTGATGCGCTACACCTAGCGTAAACTCCCATTAGACTCGTATCGACGCCCCAACGTCCATGCACTCCATCTCAAGGCCATCTTCATGTTCCAGCTGCAATTTCCACCATCATCATGCCCGGTGCCTTCTGCTGTCGCGTTTTACACCCTACACTATTGGTTTGGGCTGGCTGAATTGAGGCGGAGAGAGGGGGAGGGAAAAGACAATATTGCTCGCAGCAGTGCTGTCGTGCCTGACGGTTCGCACAGTCCACCCTTGGTGCGCTGCCTTCCCTTATCTTAGTAGGTGCCCACCCACCCTTCAACAGCGGCTGGACTGAGGCGTTCATATAGACAAGAAAAATGAGAGAAACAAAGGGTGGTGATGAGTAGTGGCCTTGACGATCCGGCTCCATGCGTGGCGAATGTCTGTTCGACAGGGCCAGGTATGTCCGAGCTCACCCAGTGAAGTACCATCGCGAGGTAGTTCGATATGAGTTCAACATCGTTGCCCAGAAATTACTATAAAGACGGGGCCCGGCATCCGTGTCCTTGGCCCTCATATCCAACACTCCGGGCGACTCCATGCTTCCTTTATAGAACCCACACTTTCCCTTCGTTGCTTTAACACCATTCCGCTCGTTTGTGTCTCACCCCTTACTTTCGTTCCATCTTATCAAGTTTTTGTGCTGCGTTGAGCCTCTACGGGAGCCAAAGGTGTTCATTCCTTCACCATGAGGGCCACGCAGGCTAACACCGTTCTTGTTTCCTTGGCTTTGGTGTCTTCGGTGAGTACTAGGAAACCGAGTCAACACAGTTTGTAGAGGCTGATACTTGGTCTTTTCTTACAGGTCTCGGCTTTGGTGACTCCTGATATCCTGCCTACCGGATGGAGCTACTCAGGATGCTACACCGATGTTGGTCGGACGATCAGCTCGGCCCATACCGCCGACGGAACTATGACGGCTGAGAAGTGCATCGCTTTCTGCGACAACAAGGGGTTCGCCTTTGCGGGGACTGAGTGGTATACTGAATGCTGTCCGTTGCCCTCCATTCCTCTCGCCTGACTCTACCAACACTTCACTAATATTTGATAGTCTGCGGTAGCACCCTCGCACCAGCAGCAGCCCAAGTTGCCGACACAAACTGCAATACTGCCTGCGGCGGAAACACAACGCAAGCATGCGGCGGCGGAAACCGACTGACGCTATTCAACAAACCCAGCAACCAGGGACCGCAGCCAAACAACGGCATTGCGGACTGGCCTCACATTGGCTGCTACAAGGAGGGAACTACTGGACGGACCCTGACGTACGCCCCTGGCGTCCCAGGCGCCCAAAATAGTGGCAGGACTTGCACAGCTGCTTGTGAGGCAGCTGGCTATATCCTTGCAGGAACAGAATATTCCGGAGAATGCTGTAAGTTAGGCCTCGGATGGTGATACAAAATAGTCGGGTTGCTAATATACCCCAGTCTGTGGAAACACGATCGCCAACGGTGGCGTCCTGGCCACTGCAAGTGACTGCAACATGTTGTGTAACGGAAACTCGAGCGAAGTCTGCGGCGTATGTTATTTCCATATTCCCGTGTTATTTGTTCTACTCTGTTAAACTCTGCATTGGGGCTTTCTGGCACTTGCGGGTTGACATGGGACCCTTGAAGCATTGTTTACCCTTTCCAAAATGGCAATTGCTAACCCTCGAGCTCATAGGGACCGGGCCGTCTAAACGTCTATGACTACAAGATGATGTTCCCCGTCACTCTCAGCAGTAGCAGTGCAGGGGTCTCTTCGACAGCTTCTGCTGTTTCTTCCGCAGTGTCTTCCGCAGTGTCTTCACCCACAGTTGCCAATCCGGGTGTCTCAAGCACCGTTACTTCGGCTGCAGCATCTGTCACGCCGACGGCTCCTTCTCAACCGGCCTCAATTGCCAATTTTGTCTTCTATGGTTGCCAGCAAGAGTCCACCGGTGGTCGAGCCCTCGCCTTGTATACTTACGCCGATGACACGATGACGCTCGACACTTGCCAGGCTTTCTGTGCGACTAAAGGGACGATCTACTTCGGGACAGAGTATGGACGGGAATGCTACTGTGGCAACTCATTATCAGCTCTCTCTATGGCCGCCCCTGCGAGTGATTGCAGTATGATCTGTGCTGGTAACCAGTGGCAGTTCTGTGGCAATGGCAATCGTCTGTCGGTCTACGCCAGGAACGGAACAGCAGTTCCCAGCAGCTCGAGCACATCCGCCAACTCACAAACGTCGACATCGTCTTCCGTCGCTGTCGGCACCGGGTTACCTACTGGCTGGACTAGCCAAGGATGTTGGCTGGATGGGCCTAACGGTCGCATCATGCCCACCTACCAAAGTCCTGATAGCCAAACCCTGACCCAGCAGTCGTGCGCCGCGCTATGCGACAGTAGGGGCTACAGTATTTCGGGAACCGAGTACTTCACCCAGTGCTTTTGCAGTAATGCCATCTATAACGGAGGTTACAGGGTGACGGATCAGACAAAGTGCGACACGCCTTGTTCTGGCGATAATACGCAAATGTGTGGTGGTCCTGGCTACATGAACATCGTATCCAGGGGTACGCCGCAAATTTACCAGCAGCCCACCACTCAGTTGGCCGGTCTCAATGGCACGTGGACCTATCAGGGCTGCTACGAGGATAACCTGAACAATAAGCGCACTCTCCCCTGGGCTCTGCATTTCCCTGGTACCATGACGCCGACTCAGTGTCTAGCCAAATGCGGTCAGTTCCGCTACGCTGCCGCTGGTCTTGAGTATGGCGAGGAATGCTATTGTGGTGATCCTCGCGACATCGCCATAGCTGGTGCCACCATGAAAGCCGACACGGAGTGTAATGTGGTTTGCGCCGGGAACGCCTCAGCCATCTGTGGAGGTGGCTCGAGGTTGTCTACATACTTCTGGACCGGCTCGACGCCCCTGTACACTTGGAGCTATCCTCAGACCCAGGAGCTGGCGGGCACATACTCCAATCTGGTTGGCGGAGTTGTCACGCCCCTCATGACAATGCAGTCCATCACTGGCAAGGTCACCTTCTTAGAGAAATGGGGAACTGGTGCTGAGAACAGCACGGGAGCCTACGAGCTTGATCTCTCGCAGACAGGCAACTTTGAGAGGGCCTGGAGAACCATGCATCTTAGGACGGATGTCTTCTGCTCCGCCGGTATAATTCTCCCCGATAAGGCTGGTCGACAGCTTACCATCGGTGGTTGGTCACTCGACTCCACCTACGGTGTCCGTCTGTACTGGCCTGACGGTTCTGACGGTGTTCCGGGGACCAACGATTGGGAGGAGAACGACAACGTGCTCAAGCTTCAGAAGGGACGCTGGTACCCCTCGGCCATGATTATGACAAACGGCTCAATCTTGGTTGTCGGCGGCGAAGAAGGCTCTAATGCTGCGGCAGTTCCTAGTCTCGAGATCCTGCCTTACACGGGAACGGCACCTCTTTACATGGAATGGCTCGAGCGCACCGATCCCAACAACTTGTACCCCTTCCTCTGCGTTCTCCCCAGCGGCGGTATCTTTGTCAGCTACTACAATGAAGCCCGAATCCTCGACGAGCGCACCTTCGCCACTATCAAGACCCTCCCCAATATGCCCACAGCCGTCAACGATGACCTGGGTGGCCGTACTTATCCGCTGGAAGGAACGGCAGTTCTCCTTCCCCAGTATGCCCCTTATACCGACCCTCTCGGCGTGCTCATGTGCGGTGGCTCGACCCTCGGCCACGAAGCCCTCGACAACTGCGCTTTCACCTACCCGGACGCCGCCAACCCGACCTGGACCCTCGAGCGCATGCCATCCAAGCGCGTCATGAGCTGTATGGCACCCCTGCCCGACGGCACTTATCTTATCGCCAATGGCGCCAAAGAGGGCGTCGCCGGCTTCGGCCTCGCCGACGATGAAAATTTGAACGCAGTGCTCTACGACCCTAGCAAGCCGGTACACTCTCGCATGAGCGTCATGGCCAACACCACCGTCGCCCGCCTATACCACAGCGAGGCCATTACCCTGCTCGACGGCCGGGTTTTGATTACGGGATCTGATCCTCAAGATGGGAAGCACCCCGAGGAGATCCGGGTCGAGGTCTTCACTCCACCATACCTTTACAGCACACTGCCGCGCCCGACTTTCACCATCACGAACAAGGACTGGGAATATGGAGCGAATGTGCAGTTCACGCTAGGGGCCGCAGCCAGGAATGGAGGGATCAAAGTCTCCCTTCTTGGCTCGGTATCGAGCACTCATGGTAACTCGATGGGTGCCCGGACACTCTTCCCGGCTGTCACTTGTACGGGTGCAACTTGTACCGTTACGGCGCCGCCGAGTGTGTATATTGCGCCGCCGGGGTGGTATCAGATGTTCGTTCTGGTGAGTTACTTAAATCCACTAGCCCCTTTTCCACAGACTTCGAGCTAACTCTAATACTTTTAGGATGGTGATATCCCCGCTATCGGAGTCTACGTCAGAATTGGCGGTGATCCCGCCATGCTGGGCAACTGGCCGCCTTCAAACGACTTCAGAAAGCCGGGCATATAGACTAATGGATTTTTTTTGTCTGAGCAGGGTTGGAGTTCTACTTTTTTTCTTTTTTTCTTTCATGTCTATAATTCGAAGGCTTCATGTATACATAACATCTATTGGCTACTGTCTTCTATCGGGAAAGGTAAAGGTTGCTGGCATTTGTTGTGACTATGCCTATTGTAAGGAGTTGATGGGGTTTGGGCGGCTATCAGGATAACAAAGTAAGGGACATAAGAGTTTGAATCGTGATTTGGGTCGGGTTGATATTGTAATAACGTCTCGCATGAGACAAGTCACAGAAGGGTACAGCTGAGGTAATATCTCGTAATGGCAGAGAGCCGAGCATTTGTGGCAAGTAGATCGAATTCAACTGTCTAACTACATAATGTTTCGTTCGGTGATATCTCTTCGTCAACGCCTTTCATATGTGCTGACCAGCCATCCAGAAGATGATACGTGAGTAGCAAGTACAAAACAATCCTAATGCGGAGCATTCCTATATCTGCATGCTATTTCAACAACACATATTGTAGTAGTGCTTTAACGGTGTTTGTTCTGCGGGCAGGCCCTATGTCGCCTATCAGTAATAGTAAGATGGAAATAACCTCTTGTTTCTTCGCAAATATTTATTTACATTCCACATACCTCAATCCCTCTCGAATAGTTGACGGACATTTCAACCAACCAGCACCTTTTGAAACATCCCAGCTAGTCTATCATCCAATCTGACCTGACGTTCTGTCCGGTCTACTCAGATCACATACTTCAGACGAAATGCGCCCGACTCCTCGGACTGTTGTTATTCGGGAGGCGCATTTCGAAAGTACAGTAGTCTAGCGATTGAGGTTCATCCCGTCGCCGCCCGACCGTTGCGGGGGCCGCGCCGTTGAGAAAGCTAGAATCCAGACCGAGCTTGGCCATGTTTTCTTTCCTCCAGGCATTATTCGTTTGTTGACGTCTGCTTAATTCGTACCCATGGCCTGTCCCGTATATCCCCTGAGCATCTATATCTCCCTTCAAACCACCACATCGAGACTACGCCGAATTGCAACTTTCTTCCGGAGACCAGCGCATACAGGTGCTCGCATGGATCCCAGTTTCGCCACAGATTGAAGCTCTTGTACGTATAACGTGATAGAGCGCATGTGCCTGTTGTAGTGAAACTGGACTCTAGTTTTGGCAGCGACTATCTTGTTGTTTCTGCAAGTGCACGGGGTCGATCTCATTTATTGGCAGTCCTCGTGTAGGGAGAATAGTCGGCGTATAAAGCCGAGTCCATCTATTTCTGTTTCTCACAGCACACATATTAATATCCTAGATATTCTATTGCTTTGTCCTCTTGAATCCTGTTCTCCTTGCAAAATCGTAAACTCCTCGTCAAGAGTCGAAAGCCCATAAAGTCCTCATACACGAGCTGGCGTCCCCCAGGGGTCACCGCTATCCCCGATACTGTTTATATTATACATTTCAACGCTGTACGAGGAGCTAGCGGAGCAGCACCCACTACTTTTAGTAGTCGGGTTCGCGGACGACACGAACCTGCTAAGCGTCGGCACCGATCCAGACACGACCTGCCGCCGGTTGGAGAGCGCATGGGATACGTGTCAGCGGTGGGCAGTGAGGCACGGGATGGAGTTCGCTCCTGACAAGAGTGAGCTAATGCACTTTACTAGGGCCCGAGAGCCCTTGCCGCAAAGTATTCGCCTTGGGGACGCCACAGTGTCGCCGGTAGTCTCAGCGAGGTTCCTAGGAGTCTGGTTCGACCACAAACTGACGTGGCACGCCCATGTTGAGCGTGTTAAAACAAAAATGGCAACTCAAAAGCTAGCCCTGACAAAGCTAGTCAATATGTCGTGGGGCTGCGATCTTATACGGGCGAGGCTGTTATATACGGTGGTTATCCGTAGCGCGATCGCCTTCGGGGCGACTGCGTGGCATACTATAAGTGAGGAACCGGCAGGGCCAGCTAAGAGCCTGATGGGGATACAGAACGAGTGCCTCCGGGTAGTCTGTGGCGCCCACAAAGCGACGCCGGTTCGCCACCTGGAAGCAGAAGCAGCAATCCCGCCACTAGACCTCTATCTTAGTGCCCGGGCTGCTAAGTTTGAAGAACAGCTACGGCTTAGCGGGAAGAGAAATCTGCTTCGCAGCGCGAGCGCTAAAGCGTCACATATACTCCGGCAGGGTAGGCCGGCGAAGAGGAAGCAGGCGTCGCAGCTACTCCGACCGGCAGGGTACACTATGGAGAAGGAGGCCCGGGGCTCCGAGTGGATGAGTGAGGAAAAGGAGGTCCCGGCTGCCCTCCTCGGCCACTGGAGGAAGAGATGGCTCACCGGAGCAGAGCATCACGATCGCCAGCGACGCGCTATCGCTGAGGAACCGGAGGGCCCTTCGATGCAGATACCGAAAGGGGGCAGGTATTTCGGCCTGAACCGACTGGAGGCGTCTACGCTGTGCCAGATCAGGACGGAAAAAATAGGACTAGCAGCCTTCTTATTCAAGACAGGGGCTTTTGGCGTGTACTCGCCGCTATGCCGCTGTGGCGACGCCCCTGAGACGGCAGAGCACGTAATCCTCTTTTGCGGGCTGTTGGAAGGACCGAGGGAACGATTACGGGCCGCCATCGCACCACGGCCACTATACTCTCGCAGAGACCTCGCAACGGCAACAGGAGAACCAGTAGTTAGTGGGACTATTGTAAGGTGGCTGCTAGGGACGGGTCGGACAGCTTCAAGGCCCAGATAGCATCGATCTTCTCAGGGGGGACTTTGTTGGTAGGTTGAGAACCAACGTAGTATGGTAGTGGACGTAACGCAGTCGCCAATAGGGCGAACCGACGACGCAGCGTATGTATTTAGTCCAGCCATTAGGGCACGGTTTGACATACGGGAGTACTAGTAGAGGTACCGGGGGCTTCGAGCCTACGGCGTATTTAATAATAATAATAATATTAATATCCGTTATTTGCAGGCCCGCTTTCATAACCTATGCGCTAAGAATACCCCAACCGCCCCTAAAAACACGCTCGGAGAGGATTCTATACCATTCCCTTACGGTAGTGGCAAAGTGGTATATTCAAGCCCGCCTCTATGTAAGCATAGAACTGGGTATGTATTTCTTTCATGACTTGTTAGATCGTTCGTGAAGCGTGTTACGGGAAAACACCTGGAGGACACTGAGACTCTTCCCTGCTAGACAAAGTCCCATAAGCCGAGTCCTCGTCAACATATCCATCTCCATGCGACTGTGGAATGCCAAACAACAGCCCATCGAAACCATCGAGCCCGACATCAGAATTCCAGTCAAAGTATGGCTCCGGACGAACAGCCTGTAGTTTCTCATCTAGGCTCCAGCTTGCCGCCTGGCCCACCACGTTGTGCACCGTCGCAGCATTCACTTGGGGCGGTGCTCCTGCTCCCGCGACACTGCTCTCCGGAACTCTGCTCCGAGATGATCTGTACATGTCGAATAGCTCAAGTTGCGTATCGCGGAAGATGTCAACGATCTGATCCCGCAGCGTCTCCTCAACCGGGCTCAGTGCCTCCGCGATGCGAATTTCGAGTTGTTGGCGCACTCGTGCTGGTAGTTGACTGCGCAGAAACTGTTCGTAGCGCTCAAACTCACTGGTCGGGGAGGCGCAGTGCTCCGAATAGTCGTGGTCTGTGCGAAGAATGAGTGTATATTCCCAGCATCGAATTTCGTTTACCCTTAACCTACAAGGACTTGGTATGTTGGTCGGATCCGTGTCCGTAAACAGGATCATGTAGACTTCTCGCCACTTATCACCCTCGCTCATCTTCTTTTGCTCAGGACGCCGACGTCTCAGGAGCTCTTTTTGCGTCGCATCGAAGCCCTCTGTTTGGAGTGGCGACCGCACCTCGCATCGTTCGTAGGACCGGACGTGGGCATCTCGATGCCTTTCTGACTCGAAAGTGGTGTGGCACCGGGGGCAGCTGATGGGCAGAGCGTGGTTTCGATATAGATGTTCCCTGGGGCCGTTAGCTTCCGGTTGACAGACACATCTATTGTAATAACATCAACTGTGGGATCATCCGGAATGTACCCCAAAATTGGGGGCAGTCCTGGTGATCCCTCAATGGAAAACAGCGAGGTTAATGTGGCTTACTTGACACGATGGTTTGTTTCCCAACCAGGACCTGGGCAAGACCTCCAGGCATGGTAGCGTTGCGGGTTGTTCTTAAAATAAGGACATGCGAGTCTCTTGCAGGCCCCGCCATCCTCTCTCGTCAGGCGGGCCTTCTTAGGATTGCGGTCAGCATCTTCATTTTCTTCAGACTCATCTGGCAATCTTTTTCGAGATTGGTTGTTGTGATTCCCGGTATTTATCGCACTTCCAGTCGAGTTCTGGCCAGAAAGCAAATTCTCACAATTTTGGTCTCCGGAACCCCCTGAGCTCCCGGCACTGGTGTGAGCAGCTCGGCGAATGGGACTGGGAGACTCACAAGTGGACCATATGGTGAAGAAGTAGCGCATGAGTCGATCGAGGAGAATCCTCTCCTGTTCCACGCGAGACAAGAGATTGGTGCTCCCATCAGAGGCATCGCAGTCGCTTTCGCTCAAGGCTGATGTTGATATAGTGCCAGGCGACCTAGACTCCAGCTGTGCGCCGAGCGAGCTACTGTCCTTTTGCGCAGTTTCTGAAACCTTTTCGAGTTCTGTCAGGTTGCTTTCAAGCTCCTCGAGGGTCTGTTTTGTACGCCCTTCAAAAGCCCGCCGGGCAAGATGATTCTGAGCCCGTGTGTACTCTTTACTGTGCGCAGAAACAGAGTGAACTTCGGTCTCAGAATTTGATGGATTGCCAGACTTGGGCTGGACCGCCGAATCATTTGCTGGCAAATCTGCTTCTTTGCCAGTATTATCAGCCATTGTTTGATCCGGAACTCGGTCGGGCAACTTGTCGCCGCAGTTTGGCTCCTGCTTTAATGTCACAGAACTCTGTGTGGCACTGGGCGAGAGCTTTGCATTAGAAACCATGGCATCGTGTGCTGATCGGGAGTTGTCATAATTGTAGACTCCTTGGGCATCACGACAGAGTCTCGTGGTTTTGGACGGAGAAGGCATGCTTTGTAGTGGGCTCCCTGGTGGCGTTGTTTCTGGAGTTGCAGGCATGGAGCGCGCATTACCAAGACCTGGGTCTATTGTCGTTAGGTTCGGTTGTTGAGGCCACTGCTGAAAGTTCCCAGACGTACCCATGCCACTCATGACGCTCGAAGCGCTTGTAGGCGGTGTTGGAAACATGTGGGCGCGGTCAAGAGATGGTCGTCCTCCTGATGACTGTGGCTCAGACGTTCCCATATGCCGGTACTGCAGGATGGCTGAAACACCAGGATATGGACTGCCAACTTGGATCTGATCCTTTTTCCGGTGCTCCGCTGCCGCCATGATCTGCTGCGTTCGGGCCTGGTTTGTGGGATGATAGAGTAGCGCACCGATGTCATTTACGAACAATGGATACAGCATCTCCGTGATATTTTCTTTGTTGGCAAAATCCAATGCTCTTTCAAACGGTATCCATACGCCTTTCAGATGCATAGGTCCGACTTTGACCACATGCCGGACTCTTTCGGCTTTCAGGATGCCATCTCTTCGGCCTCGGGTCATGCCAACAACATTGAGCAGCTTGGTGCCGTTGACCATATGGTTATCCTCTCGCCGCGCCACACAAATGCCTCGAGCCTCAACTTGAAAGCAGAAAGACCCTTCGTCCTCCCACAGCGTTGCCGTAACCCGTGGTTTGAACCCAGGGGGGGCTACCTGTCCAGTGGTGTCTATGTTTCTTTCACCCTGAGGCTGATGTTCATTCGCCGGTTGATATAGCGAAGGCAATGGTCCTCCAAGTTCAACCCTTGGGACGTATGAACCAGCAGGCGGCGAGGTCATCGATTGAGCCGACGGTGCAGGAGCCCTCGGTTCTGCAAGTGTTTGATTCATTGCGACGCTTTGAATAGTATCCCCTGAGGCACGCGCGCCGGCTGAGCCTCGTCTCTCTTGCCTGGTCTCTGTTGCAGACTTCCTATTCGATGACGCAACTTGTTTACTGGAGTTTTCCGGACCAGCTGAGCGATGACTTGGTGCTAATGGAGCTTCATTATGGGAATTTGAAGCAGCAGCCGAGACTGTGCGAGACTCGGCGAGAATGGGCGATTTAGAAGAACTACGCGGCAGAATACTCTCCCTGATTCTATAGAGATGCTGTCCGAATCCGCAGCTGAGTGGTGAAAGGGAGTGAGGGGGCTCAAGTGGACTGCCCGGAACGACGCCAGGAATGCTAATGACCGGTGATGGTGCTCGTAACATGCTGATATGGTATCTGCAGGTGCTGCCTAAGCTGGATACTGACTAACAAGAAACAAGGCGCCAGTTGGTTCTGCAATGGGAGCGTGGGCCGGCGAATGCATGTCTTTTCAACTACTTTCTGCGCGACATCTGCGCAACTGCGCAACTGCGCAACTTCTGTAGGCCGCGACCACGGAGATGATTAGCGCAAGGCATTTTCAGGCGGCCACGACTGGGGGCTGTGCCGTGCTGCCTCAAATGGAGACAGTATATTGACCAAGTATACCAAGGCAATGTGAACTACTTATTCAATCAGTGAAGTCACGCAATTAACCGTTCTCATAAGCAGTAGCCATTTTCATATTGATCTCACATTGCGTCCAGGGAATACGTAAGGCGCAGAAGGTGCTTGGCTTGTCGAGTTGTAAACCCCAGCTGAGGCGAGGCGAGAACAATTTCCCCTGTCCTATGCTATCCTATGGTATCCTATCGGAATACCCAGGTTCCCAACTTTACGTAAAGAGCTATAGGAATGAACAAGCTTTCGGGAGCAATTCAGTCATTCTACGCGGGATAGTTTTGATCAGGGAACTCACTATTTGGCTATATTTGACTGGTTTCACATCCAAAGACAAAGGATATTCGGAACCATGATATATACTATTTACCTTTAATACGACTAGCCTGATTGTCTTTTAGTTATTTCACCCTGTTCGTACTCTGAAATACAGGTTTCAGCCCAAGGTATACCACCATTTCGTAGATTCTGTTAGTCTAAAAGATACCACGATAGTGCTTCACTGGAAGCATCACCTTGTATTTTGATCAGGGCTAGCTCCAGTTGGAGCGCTGCCCAGAATCTCAATTTCAAAATAACGGGAACTGCCCCTAAGTAAAACATTGGGGGGTTCACTCCTGATATCAACGCTCATTAGACCGGATGAAAAAAAACCTCTGCCACTTTGTTACCGCTGCTTCAAGAATACCGACCAGGATCATCATATGCTTCAGCAGTCTGTGCATCCATTGATTCCCATTTGATGTTTGTCAGACCAGCCGCCCGTATACAAATTGCGCTACTTCACATCCCGGATTTCTATGGAGCAGAATATGTACAATTCATCCACCACAGCGTCGAGATCATCGTACAAGCCCAGAAATGAACAATGCAATAATGGCCGAAACACATGCATTCGTCTAATCATACAATTTATGTTATACAACTAGCTAGCCTCAATTGTACCATCTATCTTGGCGTCCTGAAAGGGCAGGGTATCAATAATCAGAGAGCAAGGGGGGGTTCATGAGAGCATGATAGTCCTCCTCTTTAGCTAGGCAAACTGGGCGCCCCTCTTTTTTAAATTATTGGTAGTGGTCGCCAAAATTTTGCATTTTGGGCTCTCTCTCGCGCTTACGTTTCACATTACATCACCGGCTCAGTATCTCTCCTCTCACCGTACTGACCCGGTGACCTCATGTCATAACTTTTCGCGCTTCTCGTCTGCAGCGTTATTGGAGACAAAATCTAAGATGGCTTCGAAGTAGCCCTCTTCCAGTACGCTCGAGTTGTGATCGCCGCCGGGAAGCGGCTTCCAGATCTTGGTCGGGGTTGTGGCTAGTTCGTATAACTTGCGCATGTGAGCAGGCCTATAAGAGGGGGTGGCACATGATGTCAGTCATCAGTCTCATCCATCAGTGGGAGAAGCCAAGGGTTGAAGATGATGTGAGGCAGGGATATAGTCAGCAACAAAGGGTTTAATCCTTGTCCGCAAGCGGACTCAGGTTTTGTGGATGGTTGTTTGAAGTCATCATTCTGTATGCAAGGCCATTTTGGAAGAGGTGGGACGGGACGTGACGTACGGGACTATCTCATCTTGGAGTCCGCTGAGGAACAGGATGGGCACCTCGGTGATGGAGAGAATCAGCGTCTCACTAGGCCAGACCTGGTGACATAAATATGTCAAGTACTTGGCTGGCGGTATTACCGAAGGGATCAAGGATCGCATCGAGAGAAACGTGTTCTCCAAGATCAGACCAACGATATCTCCGGCGTGTTGATTCTTGGCCACCAGCTTGATACTGACGGCCCCGCCAAGACTCTGTCCGTACACCATCAGCTTGTGAGCACTTGTCTCAGCTCGGTTGCGGAGGTAGTCGAGGGCCGTCTGCGCATCAATCATGATACCCTTCTCATCCGGTTCGCCCGTTGATAGACCGTAACCCCGGTACTCGAGCATGAACACATTGCAGCCGATGTAATTGACCAGCATGCGCGCGATAGGTAGACGGTGGCCGATATTGCCGGCGTTCCCATGGAACATTATTACGGTGCATTTCGAATTGCGGCCGCCGCTCGGGCCGCGGATGTAGAAGGCCGACAGCTTCTCGCCGTCGCTGGTAGGTATTACGAGCTCCTCGAAATCCTTGATGCCGAATTGTGAAGGTCTCGGGACATCAGTGCGAGCGTTCGAGGGGATGTGGGAAGGGTAAATCAAAGCCCTAATTTGTGGGGAGGACAGCTGTTAGCTTCGCGACCTTCTTGGTATCCAGGTGTGGAGCGAACATGAAGCTGTCGACGTACTTTTGCTTGAAGTAGAGGAGGGAGGTCAAGACAGCGGCAACGCCCTGGACGACATGTATTAGCTCGGTTGCAGCGCGGCACCGGTGGGATATGGCGTTTTGGGTTCGGCGGTAGCCTCGGATAAAAGAAGACGAGGCAACGGAAGAGGTCAACGAGATGGGCGACGAGGGCGACCTGGAATGCATACCGTGGAAGCCAGGGCTGGTAAGCGCATATATGTAGCCACGGTGCTCAGGAGCGAGGCAGTCGACTCGAGATAGCTGCCGCTGGAATTTGACGATGAGTACGTCGGGGGTGACATGACTTGGGCGATCGGCTGGCTACGAGATGGCTTGAGGGGATCTCCTTATTTAGACGGTAGAGCACTGCAGAGTGCTGTGGAGCTTGAAGCTAGGGCAATGCGTGAAACGGGGACAGGAGGTCTGGTCGCAGTTGCTATGCACGACGACCAGGCTTGCTGGGCAGCCGGATACGATAGTGGCAAGTCCTTTATCGTGGGTGCATTGCTAGACCGCCAGTAAACCAGTAAATCGGGAAGATGCGAAGATGCGGTAAAGGTAGGACACTAAGAATAATTGGACCAGCACAAAGTCACAATAGATCAGGACGGATGACTACATGAAGGGTAGCTTATTTGGTGATTTCCAGGTTGGCCAAGACCAAAGGGTCAGGCATGAAACGATCAAGGGGAAAAGGGTTGCTTGTGACTTGGAGTTGTTGAGATACATCGTTCAGAGGAATCGAGCCGCCAAAATGCGGGCCATTGCAAACGGCCAAGGTACCACTTTTTGCTCAATGCGACCAAACCCGACAATTGTGAAAGACCAACAAGTGGGAATCCAGATAGCAGCAAAGCTGTTGAAGAGAAGTGAAGCTGTCGTTTCTTTGAACTGCTTGCGACGATAAAGGGATAACATGAAACTGGGAACGCCTTGAACCTGTTGGTGTTGTGTCATGTGCATTTGCAGATTCCCTGGAATCAATTGATTGGAGTACTCAGGAGTTCAATGTTATCCTCCAATAGTGACAACAACGAGCACACAGCCCATCATGCCCTAGGGCAGCTAGTAGTGTGGATATTGAATAACTATGATATGAACAATTTTGGGAGCTGCCTCAACCGTCTGGAGAGGAAAAACTATTGGCTTGTAATTGATCATCGTGAAAGTATCTAGAACAGTAGGCATTTGTGGGGTACCAAAAGTCGCAGTCGCACCTGCGCCACTTTAGATGCATGGGTCGTATTGACGTTCGGATTCCATCTACAGCAGGCTCCATCTACAGACCTCGGGAAGTCTTGCGATCTTGGCGCTATCTAGCGACACGACAGTTTGATGAGTTATGCTACATGATAAAACATTCGCGACAGATCTATCAAACTATGAAAGCACATCTCAAAGTGCGAGAAGGCGTTTCATTCACACCTGAAAGTGAGTCGGAGATCCGGGGACTTCAGATTGTCAATCAACATGAAGAACACTAAAGAATGCATCAACTGCTCTAGAACTTGTTGACGACGATGGAAAGACAACCCCTTACTAGTTTCGAACCGCACCCACAGGCTGGCGGGAAACTGCCCGGGTGTGGGGAGGTCAACGTCCACATCCCATTTGTAATTACAGCCCGAACACCACATAATCATTGGTTAGTACGTGAAGAAGTACCTCCACATACAAGTAAGTATATAGCGGTACTTGATGATATTTCTTCCTAATGCCATCGCGAATTCTAGGCTGCATATAACATTATTAGTAACTGTGGGATTGGTGGCCTACGGTCACGTGGGATACCGGCAAGATACTTAAGTGCCTTTGTGCGGCTTGGACCCCCCCACTGTACTTCCCTTCTTTACCTTCGTATGTAGCCGGAATGCCAGTACCAGTGCGATCCCACAGTAACTTGGCAAATCAAACTCTCACAGTATGAAAACCTGTAATTTAGTGATACAATAAATACTTTAAGGTACTTTTTGTACAATAAGTTGGTATTTACTAGCATACATGTTTAGCGGGGGGGACTTTGTTGGTAGGTTGAGAACCAACGTAGTATGGTAGTGAACGCAACGCAGTCGCCAATAGGGCGAACCGACGACGCAGCGTATGTATTTAGTCCAGCCATTAGGGCACGGTTTGACATACGGGAGTACTAGTAGAGGTACCGGGGGCTTCGAGCCTACGGCGTATTTAATAATAATAATAATAAAATGTTTAGCGGGTTATAAACATTCAAAATTATCTACAAAAGTTTATATGCATAGTCACCTGCCAAAAATATATGGAGTAAACAGGGATAATGTACTGCACTAACCTCAAATGCTGGAGGAGGTAGTAAGCATTGAGCCCAGAATATGACGGTGTACTTCAGGTATGTAAAAATCTTCGGGGACTCACCTCATAACTACCGTTTTCTAGAAGATTGAAACATCACAATTTCAAATAGGGAATACTACAACAATACAATATATCAAGAATATCTCAAGCCTCAGGGTCTCCCATCGGCCCCCGAACCCGCGGATTAGCCTAACAACACAACTAACCACTAACCTTCCGCCATCTACGGAGACATCTGCAACTTCAAATGGTACGTGCGAGTTCCGGAAGCGGTTTAGATATCGTCAGAATCATGAAGTCTACCATTACATTCCAGCCTTCAGCCCCCGTTCGGGGTCAAGTTGTGGCAGACCGGCCGACCTGCCAGTCAGGATAGAGGAAATAGACGCGCGCGGTATGAGACGACGCGGCCGACAAATTAGCCATGTTGGTTGGCGTTTCATACCGTTCATGCTACAGATGTCCTTTTGATAGATGTTCAGGGGTCTTGCTTATGTTGAAGTGGCCCAATCAAGCATCAGAGCTTCATCAAAGGTGGTAAGTTGAGAGCTGAGTTGCTGAATTGAGTTGTTGGCTGCGTGGCAGCTTGGGCTGTCAACTTGCAGCTCGGTTGCGCCAATAGCTTGCAGATCAAGAAGGCCCAGACAAGGAAAAAAGTAATATGATCCTCCACCTGTTCAATATCGTGGACCCCAGAATGGATCCGGTTGGAGATGGGTCGTCGATCTACGGCCACAGCGTCGGCCACATAGTGTCTGTGTGTGCATATTCTTGACCATTGTTGGTCAATGTCGCCGCGGGCGTTGTGGTTTGCAAACACGGATTTCGCCATTGGAACTTCGGTTTCGCGCGCTACAGATGAATTGGGGCCTCGTGGAACGAAGTGTGGAAATAGACGGGGCCCTGTTCCTGGCCCGCCGACAGCTGCTGCATCTGGCGCAATGCAAGCCGCTTGCTGCATTTACGCCCAGTGTCACCAGCATGTCAAGCCCATCAGCAATTTATGTGAAGATCTGTCAAACCGAATGCATCCAGTTCCAATCAATGCAATGCCTCACTCAAGTTTCCAGCAATGCATGACTGTTTGGTTGCACTAGAGAGACCCGCGGGAGTCGCTGCATTGCCCGTCGCAAAAGCAGCAACACAGGTGGGGCACCTTTGCTTTGCTTGACGTTTTGCGCCCGCGCATTGCGCATCGGCGCCTGACACCAAAACGTCCACACCCAATTTACCAAACTCAAAATAACCATTCTTGCAAAATCATCGCGAAACGAACATCTGATTTGAAAGGCATTTCACTCCTGTGACCTGCGCCTCCCCCAAGGTCGAGCTCAGCCCGACATCCCCTGCCTCCTGGACCCTAGAACCACTGATCCTACTCCGTAACCCCGCCACATTCTAAAAACAACTCGGGAGGAGCATCACGCTTGTCGACCAACCAACTCGCCGTCACCGCCAACGTTCGTTCGAACGTTTCTTCTAGTCCTCGGGGCTTAACGTTCTAACACCAAGCAGCGCACTACCAGGTCCACTCAAGCTTCTCACATCCAACTGTCTAGTCGCAACTCTCGAGAATCCACCTTGACAATCAGCAACAGCCAAATCAGAACTCGGCGTCCACTACAGCCTTCGCCCGCCTTGGTCCATCTAATCCATCAAATCCACACACTATCAGATACACTCTGCCGTACACCACGTCCAAGAGTTAGCCGTATCTTCGGCCTGACTATCTGGGTTCTGGATCTCCTGCCGGGTCTACACTTTGGATGCAATCTGACCGTTTTCTTGTTTCGCCCGGTCAAGCAGCAGTCCTGTCGGCTTTCAGATTTTTTTCATCCACTCGGACACTGCCGTCTGCAAACATACCAAAACAAAGTCAACAGAAAACCCGTTGTCCAGTTACAAGTAGGAGCGCGAAAGCAATTCTGCAGCTGCGCGCCAATCAACATCTCGCTCATCCGACAGCGCATCATCTTTAGACCACTCAGAATCATGGTCTCATTCTCGTGTGAGGTAATCTCCCCCGTCTCCTCCATTATCATAATTTAAGCCCGAAAGCCTGACATCACGGACTTGACCCAACACCCACATCCCCCCTTTGACCAACACGCGTTACGCCACCCCTCCAAGAACAATCCTCTGGTGACCTCCCTGGGCATTGATCGCCCAGTTATCATGTCACCATCCTTTCCCCACGATATCCCGTCCAGTTCCCTATTAAGCTCAGTTCATACTGAGTCGCGCGCTTTGTCTCCTGACCAGTTTCACCCCCCTCTACCCCTCCAACCAGATGACACACACACCCCCCGACACCCAATCCCATCCCCAACTCCATTTGTTTTCGTCTTTACAGCTGCCACTTCCTTTGCCTATCATCAACATCGTTACTCTATTACGTGTCCAATTAGACAAAACGCTTACACGAATATCCACAGAATTGTGGTGACGTTTTAACCAAGAAGAAACTCGATCCACACCGGAACCGTTGTCGAGGCGCGACCTTCACATGTATCGATTGCATGGTCTATTTCCCTGGCACTGAATACCGCACGCATACTGTATGTTCTTTGTTCTCCATCCATTGGACTTTATAGACTGGCATGCTGAACCCCCCCTCAGAGTTGTATGACAGAAGACCAGAAGTATCAAGGCGCATTGTATAAGCCAAAGAAACAAAAGTCGAATCACACGGAATTGCAAGCTTCGGCACCGGAACCTGAACCGAACATGATGCAACACGCCTATGTCGAGGATGTCACCGAGGGTTACGAGGCATATCGCGAGTATGAGATCCACTCCGACGATGACGATAATAAGTCCACAGGCGACATGCCGCCTGAAGCGCCAACTCCCCCACCAGCAGTCGACAATGTAAACGTATTCGACTTCTACATTGGCGAAGCCACTCCGAACGCATCCAACTTTAATCTCCAGTCTCGAAGCAACTCGGTACAGATGAGCGAGAGCACGCAGATTGTCCGATACGACGAAGACGCCAATGGGTACGTCGACCAGTCGGGCTATATGGTGGATGATGAGGACTTGGTTCACTATGGTACCGGCCCAGTTCCTCAAGCCATCCACTTCGAGACACCTGCGCCAAAAGAGCGAAGCCGGACCAAGAGTGGTGAGGTTAAGCAAAAGGATAAGAAGAGGAAGCTATTGCACGTTGAGACGAACAGCGCTTCATCGATTGACCATGGGCTAGGCGACGAAATCATGACTGATGCGCCCCCTGAACTACATTCGGGTCTCACTGGCGGACTCAACCGCATGATGAGACCATCACAGTTTCCTCCCTCACCCGATTATTCTGGAGATGCCGGTGACAACTCCCCAGTAAGCCCCATCAAGAAGTCCAAGCATGCAAAGCCATCCAAGCCCAGTCGGAAAGAGTCGTTTGGAAACAACCTGAAGGCTCTCATATCAGGGTCGTCAAAGACGTCAACGAAAGTCTCAAAAAAGAGAAAACACTCGACAGAAAGAAAGGAGACGAAGCGCCGACACCACAAGTCCGACGCCGAAAAGGAACCAAAACTCATCGAATTTCGCCCCCAGTCGGCTGATAAGGATGCTGAAGGTCAGATGATCCTCTTCAAGCCCAGGTCGGAGCTATTCCTCAGCATGTGTACAAAAGGCCCGGAGAGTGAGCGAGGATACAGCATGAACAAGGCACTGAAGCGATTCCACCGAGAGCGAACGTCGACCGGTAATAGCCTCGGCAAGGGCACGGAAGAGAAAGAGCTTTGGCGATCTCTACGTATGCGGCGCAATGATCGTGGTGAGATTGTCTTGTTCTCCATCTGAACCCCTTCTGGCGCGATGGGATCTATACAACAGAGAAGTGGCGTTTACAGTGGCTTGTTTTTCATTTTTTTTATTGTTGAAATCATGATACCACTGGGTGGGTGCTGGCAATGATGTACGATTGCGAGCATGGGGCCGGGGGTGGCAGTCGTCTTAAACATAGTCATCTTGGAACTTTTGCTCTCTAGCTGGACTTGGAGCCTCGTAGAGCAAATGGCATGAATATTGGTTCGTATCTGGGCGGAACGGATTGATCTACTGTACGGAATAAGGCAACGGCCTGAACGGCCTGAACGGATGGACGGATGGAGGATGGATAGATGGATAGATGGATGGATATCTGTATCTGTACATCCCTGTATTGACAGTTATGGTTGGTTGCATTTAGTTGCTGGCGCATTTGGCCATCAATGAATGTGCTTCTCGACACTTAGGGTAATTGGTCACATCGAGTAAAGAGCCAGTTTGGCGTCTGCTCAACTCCACTCTGTTGAATCTCTGGTTGGCGGTGATACTCACTATGTTCAATTACATTTGTTTTTCGCGCATTGTGCACCATACCTTCAATTTGTATATAGTTTGGCTGACTCAAGGTAGCGAGATACTTCACACCTCCTCCCTGTCTCCCGAGACGCAGGTTATATAGTTTAAGCTCATGTTCTTTGTGGCAAGGGTGCATTACTAAATTCCATGCTAGAAAAGTTGGACCATACCGCTGCTTTGACTACACTTGATTTGTAACACCTGTTCGTTCCAGTATCACAAGAAAAAGCACTTCTGCTTGCGCCCTTAGCTCGTAATCGTGTAGAACATTAAGCAGTCCGTTCTGTTATCTAACTCGTCGACAATGAGGCCACCAGAATCGCAATTCCTAAGGCTAAATTATCCTAAGACACGGGTCGAATCAAGGAACTCGAGCGGCCACGCAAGAGGCAGGTAATCACATAAGATCGTAACGACAGATTGATCTTAATAGAGGAATTAATGAACTATCAAGTCAAGTCCTAGAGACGGCCGTAGCAAGAAATCGGCAGATGCCAAAGTGCAGAAGGGCGTAGGGCCTGAACATCGGGAAGATGAGATCGGAAAGGTGAGAGCGAGGACAGAAGCAGTAGCACCTCCGAAGATTCTGGGTTTGAAGAATCGGTTGTTGATGGTTAGCGGGTTGGGGGTGGTAGAGGAGGCAATGGTTGAAGAGAGTTCGGGTTCTAAGTCGGCCTTGGAAGAGCCCCCGCAGCGCTCAACTCGCAGTAGAGTTGTGAAGCAGCCGGCTCGTTGCACTTGAGAGTCACGACAAACTGTAGGCCTTCAAAGAGCTTCTAAGCAAGATACTTTTGTATAATTGCCGACGTCATCTATAAAGTTGTGTGTAATTGAAGTAGTCGTGTTATGGTGAGGAAAATGTGGTGAAAAGCGTTATAGGCACTCATTGGAAAAGAGTGCTGCCGGCGTGGCTCAATTAGTCACTAGCGCGACAAGTAGAGAAGGCTATAATTATATGTAATGAACGCTGTCTTCAGGGGTGCAGAGATGGTAGAGATAGGAGAGCTTGGGCTATTTGCCTCTTCACTGGCGGATTTATGACCAACCGACAAGCTGGGCCGACGAGCAGATGCAAGATCGTACCCAGCAAGGCTGCTTGGATGAGAAGTTAGCTGCCAACGATCTCCTAGACACCTTTGATTCGATACTGTGGCACCATACCGTCGAACTTGTCTTGATGTGGAGCGGATCAGTGATTCATACATACTCGCAATGTAGTCGATACTTGTAAAAAAGCATGCTTAGACACCGCGAGCCCACGAATTAAACCAAAAATATTCCACATGCCAATCCTAATCGCCCGCCATGTAATTGCCTAAAAACGCCTGCAATGCAGTCATGCCCCTCATACTCAATCGACCCAGCCAGCGGATGTGGTATGACTCTAGCCATTTCCAAGAACCAGAATCCTAGTCATCTTCCTCGTCTCTATAGTAATCACCCAGAAGTATATCATCCACGCCAAGCCCCATGTTCTGATTCCTAATCCACTCGGTCTCGATTCGGAAGAAGATCCAGACCCACCGCCTGAACACCTCCAAGAACTCAATGACGAAAATGGAGCTTTCAAAGTCGGTCAAGTGATCCAGATGCGGGCTCAACTTCAAACTCCACGTAAACCTGAGCAGCAGGTCCAACATAATGACACCGTAGTATATAGCCGGTGGGCCTATGTACAATATCCGCCTGAGGCCAAAGGGGTGGTCGTGCGCATTGCGCTCTCGCGAAGAGCTGAACAATGTCAAATCCCAATCCTTGGTCACATCCCAGTAAAAGCTGTAGAAGCTATTCACCATACAGGCGACAACCCAGGCTCTGTACATCCCTGCGGAAGGTGACCAGTTTCTCTGCAAGGTGCTGAAGATGATAACGGGAAAAGCAGTCGAATACTTGAGCGCGTTGGCCAGGTGCTGTCCACCCCAACCAGATTCCTTGGACGGCGCGCGCCGCACGCGGCCGTACTCGATCAGGCACTGGCGCAGCCGGATGAGCGAGGGTGTCGCCATGATGAGTGGCACGATGACGGTGCCGCCGCAATTACGGTCAGGCCTGGCGGTCGCGGAACCATTGGTACTGCAAAACATGCACAGCGCGACATACAAGTCACCAAATACTTTGGCATAGCTCGTCAACACATCAGCCAGCAGGATATCGCCAAACTTCCCATCCTTGGCTTCTGCTATCCCGCCAATGGATACCCGCTTCAATGTGTGCAAGAATCGAGAGCGCCCGGTCGTTGACAAGTTCTTGAAGGGAAAGAGGAACAGGGCGAGCAGGGCGACGAGGTAGGTCAATGGCAGCCAGTCCCAGGCCAGCACCAACGCTGGGTTTCGGTGGGTGAAGATCCAGAAGATCACGAGGGAGAAGGCGTAGACAGTGGAAAGGACGGTTGCTAGTCGATAAGTCGAGAGATGATGCGGCGGCTGATGAGGCGAGGTGCGCCCTGGATATCGAATCAACGTCGGCACATCTATCTTGAGAGAGTAAAGGTAGTGCAAGTTGGCACCCCATCCCCAGGCAGCTGCGCAGATTGTTAGTGGAAGGGCCGCGACAAAGCAAGGTCGCATGCGACATCACATACCGAGAACGACGATGAAGGCGACACGATACGGTAAGGGAAAGTTCAAGCTGAAGGAGTCGAGCTCAGACTCGACTGCTGGATCACCGTCCATGGCTGAGTGGGATTCGGAGACGCATCGAGTGAGGCGTGCAGGACTTGGCTCGTCGTTCGTCTCAAGTCGCGATAGCCGTCAAATGATGTGTTGCGTGTTCAAACTAGCTCGGAGGCAGATAATTTTAGGGGCTCAACGGCTGCGACGTCGTCACACTGGTACATGCCACAACCCTGTCGCGTCTAAAAGATATGCCGCTAGTGATCCCTGCCATGCTGCCGGGTACGGGCAAGCCACAGGCAGCTTGCCGATCAACTTGCGCCGAGGTCCAACAACAGCAATTTGAAGACTGCTTCACCAAGTTCATATTTTCCTTTGACTTAAGTGTCTCAACAGCGTGTTCTTTCTCTTCCATAACAGCCCTTGGCGAGACATGGGAAATGCAATACTCAGCTCCATCTTCTCTCTAGCAAACACAACAAACATGGAGACAGCACCAACTCCCGACGCATTTGCTCCCACCTCCGCACCACCTCTTGCTTCAGTGAGCCCCTCCTCCCAATCCTCACCCTACCCATTCGCCCTCGCCCCCGACATCATCCGCGCCCACCAAAAAGACGCCTACTTTCAAGGCGTCCTCACGAACCAACTAACCGATCTACACCGCCGTCTCCTCGGCGCCCGCTCCGCGCACACCTGGACCACCGAATCCCGCACCATCGCCGACCTACTCTATCTCTGCCTCACCACCCTCCTTGGCAACCGCACTCTCGGCGAGGAATACTGCGACCTCGTGCAGGTCGAATCGGAAACTGGCGGGGCGCTGCCTGCCCTCCCGAGACGGGCGACGTACATTGCTGGGAGCATATTGTTGCCATATGCCCTGGCGAAAGTGTTGCCTGGGTTGAGGGCAAGGATGAGGGTAAGGTTGGAAAGGAGTCTTGCGCGGATGAAGGCGCAGGATCCGAGGAAGTGCGGCTCGTGGGCGTACAGGGTGCGGGCTTATGTGTTGGCGCATCTGTCTTCTATCACGAGTCCGGCGCCAGTTCATGCGCTCAATCTGGCGCTGTTTTACTTCAGCGGGTCGTACTATGAGCTTGCGAAACGGGTTACGGGGCTGCGATATGTGTTTACGCGGAAGGTAGGGGAGGACTCTGATAGAGCAGGATACGAGGTGTTGGGTGTGTTGCTCGTGGTGCAGATGGCTGTGCAGACGTACCTGCATATACGTTCAACACTCTCCAACGTGGAGAGTCGAGAGTCACGGGAGCGGATGTCTTATGAAAGTTTCAACACATCTTTGGATGCGAACGCTTACAGCACTAATAATGCCCTGCTTTCGTCCATGGGCACCCCCGGTGGGCTGCAGACGCACATAGACCTGGGAGCGGCGACTCACACACCTGTGCTGGCTGAGCCGCGGTACGATTTGGCGAATGAGAAAACCTTGGGTTGGATCAAAGGATCGCAGCAACGGAAATGCACATTGTGCCTGGAAGAGTTGAAGGACCCCGCGGCGACGCAGTGTGGTCATGTATTTTGTTGGGCGTGTATAGGAGACTGGGTTAGGGAAAAGCCTGAATGTCCGCTGTGTAGGCGGGCGTGTATGGGGCAGCATATATTGCCACTGAGGGCCGTTTGAGTGTACGACTGCAGAGCTGAGTGTGCTCAGGGGGCATGTACTTTTCAAGTGTACAACGGATTTTGACTGAATTGGACATGACGCAAGCCAGGGTAAATACCCAGGCATGTAAATAACAGGTACGTATTGATGTTGCACATCCGTAATGGTGCCTCGTAGTTATTGCTCAATAGTGGAAGAGCGACGATGTCATGGAGCATTTTCTAGGCATACAATTGCCACATAATTGCAGATTCCCTAAGTTTTTATATACTCCCAGCGACCTCGAAACTACCCTTGCAACCGCGTATCCACACGCATCTCAAAACATGTAGAGAAATACCAAACGCCCTTCGTGGTTCTTAGGTTCCTTTCGTCTCCCCTTCATCCTGTTGCGTAAGCGGTATGTCAGTAAGGATATGTTCGAGACTATCCTTTCCCTAGTTGAGAATTACCCACATACGGTTTCCCAGTCCATTAAAAGCGGGCCAGGGAAATCGGTTGAAGTCTAACATCGTGTATATTTATGCCTTTTTTAATACGAACTGGTCTATGCGAATACGGTGGTGAACATGAGGAAAGAACCTGGATATACCAGAGGCATATGTATAGACAAATGTAAAGTTGAAAACGCTATCATCGCCTTTGCCAGACGCGGCGAGCCGGCGGACTTCCCCATGGTTCTATAGACGGGTACAAGCATCAGTTCTGTCCCTCATGGCGCAATGCTTCCATGCCTGTCCAGACAAATAACCCATCAGGACAGTTTCGTAGCGTAGGTGGAGGAACCATCAGGGGCTTCACAGGTATTAAGGTATTAAGGCACGCACGATTTTGACCGATTCGCCAGGACAGAAAATGTCATGCGAATAAGTTCATAGCCTCGTGCTCAAATAATGAAGCAACAATTCGCAACCGTTACCAAACTGACGTGGCGTACCCGCTAGCTCTCTTACGCATTCTTCGGTACCACAGTCCTACCAGAATCAATTTTTACCAGTCCTCATGATCCAAGAAAAGACCCAGCTTAAATTGAAGGTTGGTATATCATTCAAGTACTTCATTAGGGGTATTCAACACAATGGCACCAGCAAACAACAGGGGTAATTTATACATACAAAGTTTAGTCCCACACGCTCCTTACCGTTCTAACAACAATTCCACGAGTACCCGCCATGCCGAGAACGAGGATACCGAACAAACACGGGAAGCTAGTGATTTTATCCTACATGAACCAAGTCAGCCATGGCCGCTTCGGGCTATTCGGCTGCTTGAGCTTGTTCAGGCAGTATCCGGGGTGGTTCCGCGTCTTGCGCCCATCACACTCGCACCGGCAGCCGATTCCGCCTTCTATCTCGGGCGCCCACGTCCCATCACCCAGTGCCTTTGACCCGAGGAGTTGCCCCCCTGGTGCGTTGGCGGGGCATTGGTATAGCTGATCGTGCCGGTACCCAAGGTCTTCAAAATGATGCACTTTGCGCGGATCCACAAGCATTGCTACAGCAAGAGCATGTACAGCAGCGTCACCCCACTATAACTGATCAGTAAATGGAAGGTCCGGAGTATGCGAAGCTTCTCATGGTTGTAAGACACCTACACGTTCAAAATAGAACCCGCCTTTCCGGTCAAGGTACTCGAACAAGTCCATATACTCCCGGGTGCGGAAGAAGTTCATATCGGCGATTTCAAAGTTACTCCAGTAGTGACACATACTCCACTCATCGCCGTGCCGGTCCCGGTGCGCCATGAAACTAAGAAACTTTCGGAACGGGTACGGTACCCAAGAGGCCTGAACCATAGCCTTCCACAAATTATTTTGCGTGATGCGGTGTACCTCCATCCAGTCGGCCATGTCGCGGAACAAAGTAGGGCAGGTTGTACCAATCTCCCACAGCGCAATGGTGAACCCATAAACTTTGTTGTGCTTAGCCATTTGGACGAAAGGATCGTAGGTTATGGCGCAGGAAAAGTCGACGTCGGGTTCGAGTCGCCAGTACCACCGGTATTTCTTGAGGGCTTCGAGCTGGTAGAATTGACTGCATGGCATGTTAGTAACACGGGCGACAACATCATGGGACCGAGGCGAAGAAGGGTTCCAATCCGCATGGAGAATAGCACGTACCCTGAATAAAAGCGACACATGTGGTGGTAGCCTTCGCTGTCAGCATGCGGAATGCCGCGCCGGCCTTGGTCCTTGATGCTCTGCTTGGCCGCCTTGTCGTCCATCCACTCAGGGAAGGTCCATTGCGGCTGGGGGATGACCTCGAACGTCGCCTTACCGCCACTGGTCTGATTCAGGACCTTGATAAACTTAGGATCCCAGGCCTCGTCGTTCATGAAGACAATGGGGTATTTGAACCAGCGGTTGAATGCCTTCTCAATGCTCGTGATGGTCTTGTTTGCCTTTTCAAGTTCCGAGTTGCGCGCCATCATGACCAGCACGGCGTTCTCGCGCGGGGCGCCGACGTCGGGCTCCTGGCATGATGTGAAGAAGGGCGGGTCGAGGTCGTGATCCGGCGCGGGCACTTGGTAGTGATAGCGGTGTATGAGGACCTCGAGCAACAATGCTGCGGCGATGGGCAAGACAATCCAGAGGGGCAGGCGACGTGCGGGTCGGAGCACCCGTCGTAGCATGTTGGTGGGAGCGGCGGGAGAAATGGGGATTTTCTACTTTCTTGTCAAGGCCACATCCCAAGACAATGGATGCTACTTTCTCGGTGCTTGTGTGTCTGGTCTGATCACTTCGGGGTCATTGAAACGTAAGCAATTAAGCTATACGTAATCGTAGTACAAGGCAATAAGGCGTGTATGCGGCAAGCTGTGTTGCGAGTTGAAATCCGGCAGCAAACAGGTCGGGCCACAATAACCTTTTGAATTGAAGAGTACGACGGGCTGGCTGGCTATGCTGCTCTCCTCTCTTGTCGATCTCCAAACTCCATGGCATCCGCACCTGAAGAAAAATTGAGATGGGCCGTGGAGTTTCATGACTGCCTGGTGACAGACAGGATTCGATGGCGCCTGGTCACAAAGGCTTAGGGTAGCGCTTGTGCTACTCGCCGTACTCTACTGGACTGTGCCGCCTTCCTTTTACCACAGGTGGAGATGAACCTTGGAAATAGGGGACGTTCGGGTCTTGGCAGTCTTTCAGACGTAAAATGCCATCATTCCAGAAGAAGTCTAACTTTATTGAGGTTCAGGGTCTCGCCAAGCATTGACCAACCGCTCTCCAATCCGTGACTTCCGATTAGGTGACCCCACGTCTCCGGCTTCACTGGCAGTCCGTCAGCCTCCAAGATTCACATCGAAATAACGAAGAATACCTCAACACCTGTAACAAGAAGCAATCGCAACACAGTACTAGATATGGAGTACGTCAACCAGCGCATGGCTCAAGAAGCCCACCGAAACCCCGATGATGTCTAGTAAGTCCCCTTCTTCCTCCCCAGGAAGCATTCAGCCACAAGGGTATCCGGCTGACCCGTCATCAGCACCGGCCTCATCACGCCCCTCAACCTGATCCTGGTGGCCATAACCCTTTACACAACGTATCTCCTCTCTAAACCGTCTCCTCCCGCGACACTGCCCCGCGAGCCGCCCGCCACCGTCTTCAAGACCTTCACACCGCGCGAACTGCTCCCCTACAACGGCCTTAACGGTATGCCCGTCTACCTGGCTGTGCGGGGGCGCATTTTCGACGTCACCAACGGGCGCAACTTCTACGGTCCCGGCGGGCCGTACGAGAACTTCGCCGGCCGCGATGCGAGCAGGGGGTTGGCGTGCCATAGCTTTGACGAGGAGATGTTGACTAAGGACTTGGACGGCCCCCTTGATAAGCTGGATGGTTTGGGCGAGGAGGAGTTTGAAAGTCTTAGGGGGTGGGAGGAGAGGTTTGATAGCAAGTATCTGGTCGTCGGCCGGCTGGTTGCTGCTGGGGAGAAGTGAATGATGTCATTGGATTACTGGTTTGTGCGGTCGGTGCCCAATTTCTGTGTTGGGATCCGGGGATCAAATCGTTTCATGAGGAAATTCGAAACACATTGAAGGAAATCGAGGAGGCGCTTTCTCCATTGATTCACCTGGAAAATTGCGGCATATGGATCGTTGTCAAACCGGAGATACGTCGCTGGAATTCAGCTCCATTGTGATCCCTTGTTTGAGCCTTTCACTCCTTTACGACTCAATGACGGTGGATCGACTCTTCCGGCCCACAGGCATCTGCAGTATATCTCACAGCGAGGATGTTATTCCAACTTTGATCTCCTGAAGATGGCGTCTGCCAACGATCCATTGGACTCATCATTGCGATGTCCACGCCGTTGGGCATATTACTGTCACCCCAGTCTTTTTCGATAAAATACCAGTCTTCATCCGTTGACAGGTCTTGGTCCATTGTTTGAGAGGTATGTTCGTGATGTCTTTGCGTTTGTGATCTTATTTGAGATATGTCGTGGGCTGAAGGGCTGGCAGATAAGTGATGTTGATGCTAGGTAGCTGGAAGATGTGGAGGAACTCGTTGTACGCTCCTTAGAGGCTTTGCCCGAGTCGGAAGTCATGGTTAAATATTGATAAGAGAGGATGTAACGGTACGTTGTGGTCTGCGATGCGATATGCTGGCCGCCAGGCTGAACGTACTAGCTTACCGTACGATCTCGATTCTTTATGTCAACGACTTGAATCCATTGCTCCATGTGCTCTGGTCGGTGCATTCCATTTATACTCAATCAACCCCAAATGGCCTCATGTACATGAATTTTCATCTCATCCATCGTGTCATCTTCACATGGTTACACTATATGTGAGGCGTTCTGCTAGAATTGCGACTGAGACGTACTGCCCGGAATGGCCTCTTCAACGATCAAGTACTAGTAGTGCATCGAAAACAAAACAGTATATCCGGATGTAGCCTCATGCGGCGCGAGGGACTCTGCCAATGAATCCAGGAACAGTGTTGCAACCTCACTATTGGCCTCAAGTCGTTGCATTGTGTGTGGTATTGAATTTTGGCCTCATGAGCTCATCGAGAAATCTAGGTCTACAGCAATGATGGCCCTAATGTTGGCATAATACGTAGAGTGAAAATGCTCAAAGACCAACTCATAATGAAATCAAATCTGATGTTATCATAACTGCCCATTTCCTGCACATTTATTCTCACAGAGCTCAAGCGTACTCTTACCTAGAAGTAGGAGTTGTTAAAGTTGAAGTCCTGGAGTTGTTCCTTTTTTTGGGTGACAGTTTAAATCGGGCCCGCACATGCCTAAGTTTACCTCGAGCTAAAAAGGTCTGACGCGGTGCACTTGCAAAGGCAAAGACCTCTACAACGAGGTCCGCAAATCTGATGGATCTCAATCTCCATGCTTGACTATTTCCCACTTTAGGATGGATGCCTCGACAGAAATCCCACCGTTTCCACTATTTCATTTGCCCACAGAGATTGTGCTTGAGATTGTAGAGAAGCTGGCACCACCGCCTCCGTCACTGACCGACCGAGACGCAATCTTTGGGAGACCTGGAGAATGTTCATTGGCGAACCCAATATGGTTCCAATACGACGCCTGGCCTAGCAGCCACGCGATATCAGAATCTGGCGTTCTTTTCAGCACTCTCAGTGCCCTATGTCGGACGTGCCACCATCTGAACGATGTGGCCAGGCCGTTCCTCTATCGCTCCATCATTTTCGGGCGGGGCAAACGTATGGTGCTTCTGTTCAGAACCTTGATCGAAAACCCGGACTTGGCCCTACTCATTTCGAAGTTGTTTTTCGTGAGTACGATGGCCGATCAAAAGACGGTGGCCAACATCAGGCAGTATTGGCGCAGGTACATCGAGAGCGAATACGATCAAGATGAGAGGATGGGTCGAACGTCGAGGGTCAATGTCCAGCGGCTGTCACCAACGTCAATGTCAACGCTGTTGTGGGCTGACTTTATTTTCTGGTCGGCTGAGAACAAACCGCGGATTTGCCTTCCCTTTGACATGACTCGGATCTCCAGCGTTATACTGTCGCTGACGAAGCGCGCCGACACTGTTCTAGCGAGACTCCCGCTTCGCAGCGATGGGCAATGGAGTCGAGTCAAGGCGCCTGTACATGGTCTTTGGTATTTCAACGACCAGGCTCGGTCCGACTGGCGACCAGACCTTTCCTCTGTTGTCACTTTGCAGTTGAAATCCGATTGCGATCTCGGGGAGTGGTACGACCAACAACTATACATATCTCTTGCCTCGTTTCCGAATCTGAAAACGCTCGAGCTGTGTCTCGACCGATCCAATCTACTGTTCGAAGAGCATAGCGACTTCTCCAGGATTGAAAATCTGAGGCTCATTCACGCTGTTGTTTCGTCTGGGTTCATGGCCAACTTGGTGCAAAGATGCAGCGGCTTGCAGACCTTGTACATCAATTGCGTGCCATCGTACACTGATCAAATTCTCGAGTCCACCTCAAATGAGAGCGACCTTAGTCAGGCTTTACACTACACGCCAGAGCTGAGAAGCCTGCACATACAATACACCCAAGATTGGCGACTTGGCACATACGGTCGGGAAAAGCTGGGTGACAGATTCGAGAATGATGTTAGAGCCGGGTCGTTCTCACACCTCACGAAGTTGGAATATCTAACAGTCGAGACGATGGCCTTATGGGGATCACATCCATCGTTTTGCCGGACACACTCTCAACGCCGTCTTGCCAACTTCCTACCAAAATCCTTGGTGCGGTTGGAGCTTCTCGAGGTGTGGTATGACCCTACGGAGGCAGAGCTGGATAGTTTCACTGTTGCAGACCGTTGTCGTTCCTTCACAGACATGCTCCAAGATCTGGCAAACGACCATACTAGGCTTCCCAATTTGCGGGAGGTTGTGGTCCAAACTAATTGGTCCGATTGTGATTCACTAGTTGAGGAATCCAGCTACTTTGATGGGTTTGTGAGAGATTCTCAACAAATACTTCAAGCCGTGGGCATCGATTTCAATGCCAAGAGTCGATCCGAGGATGTGTTACTGCCTAGGAGAGCTTCAAAACGCAGATCGTAAATCATTTGATGTCAATGATATGCTCTGCAGAAACTTGTGTGTGGCGGAAGCCTACTGAACGTGTCAAGGAAAGGCTGCTGACGATCTACGCGGATATTCTACAGTTAGCTCAAAGCTGTATACTCCATTATCCAATGTATGACACCCATCTCTAACAGACATACTTTCTCCTGAGTGAGAGGACCATTGCGATGACCCAAGTTGAATTCGGAGGAGGTCGTTTTCAGGGCTGCCTTCAAGTCGAAGGCGTTCAGGGAAAGTCATGTAGCCGTATCACCTCTCTTCGGCATCTCATCTTGACATGCTACAAAGGTGCTCTTTATGTCCAGGACGTCATTCTTGTCCATATTCATATTGGCCAAGGCTCGACCCATATTCAGACCATTCTGCATGGCGTAACATCCCTGGAGCTATGGAGGGGTTGTCAACACAAAATACTCCATCGGTGGAAAGCAAGTTTCTGCACTTACAACGAATAATACAATATGCTACATCCCCCAGCAGAGTGACTCTGTGCACCGGCATGGATGGCATGATCAGAGCGTGCAAGCGAACCGGTGGCTGCTTGATGTCTTCGACGAACATTTTATCGATGCTGGGCCAGAACTCGCGGGCATGTCGCGAGCCTTTGAAAGGGCTTATTGGAGCAGCTCTGCCTTCGACGGGACCGGGTTCAACAACCCTGCTCCGCAGCCTGTTCATCTTACCATGTCATGTGGAAGTATAATTTCACCGACTTCCCGTCCGGACTGACATGATTCACTCGTGCAAACAGTGTCATAGAGTCGTTGTTGTCACTCGAGCCGTTCCTCGAGATCGCCACCGCTTAGCTCCAGGCTTCCATTCATTACACCAATTGGCTCCGGCCTCAGGAAGTCGTGGCCATTCAAGATGTGCCTTCGTCGAAGTAAACCTTCACCACATGCTCGCCATTTTCGATACGGACCCTCGCTTTTGTGCTTGATCGTAATCTGGGTGGATAACCATGCATGAAGTCAAGGGCGGCTCACGCGGACGATTGGACCAGTTCCGACGACTAGAAGCGCTACTTTATCTGAACCGTCTGACTGATATGGGGCAAACTCCGCGACGAAGTCCAACGGGGGGATGTTGCTGGTTGATTGGATTGGTGGGATGTCATCGAAAATAGAGGCCTGGAGGCCATCTAGCATACTGTGTAAGCCGATGGCCTACCCTCGAAAGCGGTCGTGGTCGTTCGTGTCTCGTTCGAAGATGTACGGGGTGCCGTTCTTTCGCAGGGGTTGGGCTAGTGTCAAGCCTCCTAGGCTTGCGTGTAGGATCACAGGGTGGGAGAATGAGGAGACATTTATGATTTTTTTAGTAGGTACTTTAGTTCGCAATGATGATTCACAGTGTTGCTGCCAGTGATGAGGATGATATGTGTTGTTACTGTCATGATCGTCTAACTAATCGGTCGGACAACCAACCTCTTTTATAAGTACCAAAAGTACTAGTCTACATGTCAAAGAAACATCGAGCCCGCCATTAGACTCCAAAATGGGATGAGATACGCGACGACGAGGTGACAATGGTCGAGCCTTCTATCCGGCGGAGTTAACCGGGCTTCGCGAAAAGGGGACCGGGCTCCACTAGCTCCGACTGAACCGCCCCGGCGCTGCGATTGAACCGGCATGATCAACACATTGGTCCTCGGCGTCGGATTCATAGCAATTGTGTCCGAACAGGGTAACCGAAAGATGGCCTCGTGCTACCGGTAGTTGTGTCCGAGGCGGACATTCGGTTCCGTTTCAATGAGGCCCTAACTGCCGACTGGACTACCAAATGCATGTCATATATACAGTCGACCACATCATATCCATGTACTAAGAGTCAAAAAAGAAAAACAATTTGTCGGGCTTGGCCTAATGGAGGCTTTCTTGGTCGATTGGGAGGAGGGGCCGGAATGTGCGATTTGGATATAACACCGAGAAAAGAGTTTATGTTGGCAATGCGTTTCCATGAACGCTATGCTAGTGATGGAAAAGCCGTTATATGCGGATATAGATGGATTCGCGGCATTGCTCACATTGCATTTGTCACATTCAAGACCGATTCGTCTCACATCGTCGGGCTTCTCCGGTTTAGACGTGGTTTATCATAGAATTCAGTACTCTAGGTATGAATGTTTTGGCTCCAATCCTCGTTCTGTCTCAGCGAATATGCCAAGACGACAGCACCGATTCTCTGTGTGATGTGTGTTATCCATGTAGTTGGATGGAGCCTTCTCGTATAACCCTTCTCCTTTTTGAGTTGCTTCTTCTTGTATCGGCCCTTTCCACAGAATAAACTTGTAAGTAAATCTCCAATAATCCTTTTATTCATGCTGTGTCGCAGGTGGCATCGTGTAACCGTCAGCATCCCTTGTTGACCCAATCCTGAACCCACGTCGAAAGAACTCCAGGCACTTTTTGACCGCCAATGCTATTACCTCCGTAGGCAAACCACCCTAACTCCAAAAGATCACCCAACAGCCACATTTTTGTCATTGCCATCATCCTCATCGTACCGTCAGCCAAAGTCCAACCGCTCCTCCCCAGGCCATAAACCGCCAGTTGATCCTCCAGATTCCCGTCCCCGATCCCGTGGTCGTGCCGAGAGCGGCAGCTGAAGAAGCTGTACTGGTAGACGACCCACTACTCCCGCCATCGTCATCATCATCCTGGACCTGAAGATTGGTGGTCAACCCGCTGGGTGTGCAGTGGGTCCCCTCAGCGCATGGCATCTCCTCGCTCCACTGTCCGGCGCCACATCGTTGCCAGCTGTTGGCCATGCAGTTCCACTGGCCTTCCTCCGAGCATGCGCCAGAATAAGAATCTCTCTTGACTTTGGCGAGGGTTGGTGGTTCGGAACCGGGTAGCAGCGCTATGTCTGCTGGGGCGAGTGTCGCAAAGGAGGTTGAGAGCAGGAGGATGGGGAGAAGAGGGGGCGCTCGTGTGCTGGCGTGTGACCGGCGCACCATCCTCATCTTTGTTTAATATTTTCTCCTTCTCAGTTTTGATTCGTCTGGTATAACTTGCGCGAGCTGGAGCGTTTCTCTTTCTGAAATGCTGGTATAAGTGGAGGAGGGTCTCAGACCACTCAGTAGGAAAGACTGAAATTTCCCGACTTTAAAGATGTACGATATTGCCATTCACTGCAACCCAAACAAAACTTACGATAATTGTCACGAACCATAATAGCCTTGTCATGGGTATATATCAATCCGATTTTCTGATTCACCGTCGTTTCGCCACTTCAATCCACGCCGCCTTGGGCATTGCGGCCCGAGCACCTTGCAGTCTAGTGGAGTGTATAACTGGGTTCCAATCCGACGTGGGCGCCTCTTATTGGCACAATACCAAACCCATATCACCCAACTACACTGGGAAAAAAATTGAGATGGCGTCCCGAGTCCCCAAGCTAACATACCGCCTCAATTTCTTCTGTACGTCCAGCTCATCATCTACCCGCATCACGGCATATGCCCCGGATACTTTGGCGGGAGGGCATCGGCTTGGGCAGCCCGGGCCAGGGAGGTGGCCTGGGCTACGTCCATGGAATATGATGTGGGACAGACGTAGATGTCGTGATTGTTCGTCGTCGCCACGTCCATGCGCTTTCTCTTCGCAAGGCGTAGTCGGACGTAGATGAATGAGCCGATCGCAGCCAGGAACGCAACAACGGAGAGGACGATGAAGACGGTGGCCAGTCTCGCCTCTGATTCCAAGCGGTTTTCGAGGTCGTGATGCTCCTTCATTAGACCTTGGTGGATCTCCATAGGTATACATGAGGCCCGGTGGGTCTGTTCGGGCAGTGTGGGAAGCGTGTCCAGGTTTGTGACTGTTTCGGTGGCTGTCACGCTCACCTTGGAAGTGGTTGGTTTGGCGGATGGAGACGACACTATTGCAGATGTTGCAGTCATTGCCTGGCCATTAGGACGGCTTTTGGGGGCAACGATGCCGGGACGCTTTTTCATTGAGGCGTTCTCCACATCCCTGGCCGAATCTCGAAGCCCGGCAGCCGTTGTAGCGACTTCGTAGATGTCCGATGCTTGAGCCATTCTTTGGTGAATTGATAGGGCGATGTTGATCTTGAAGATACTGATATAATTTGGGGCTCGTTAGACAGAGGCGGCATGCCATGTCCTAAAATACCTACGAGGGCGTAGTGTTTGCATCGGAGCTTTGTTGCCGTGGTGCTTTCATCGAGGAGTGGGATCCCGGTAGTATAGTCGAGCCAGGGATTCCAGTAAAGCAAAAGTTCGTTCTTTGATGGGCGCTAATAATTGAGCTGATACTATTGTTACATATTTTTAGTCTTTAGAGAGTGCCATTCAAGACATAGCAAACATATTTATTCGTCGAATGCGTCATATCCAAGCCTCTCTTCTGAAACAAATTGTATTATGCGAGGTCCTGGGTTTAGGGTCACCACAGAGCGAGCAAGCTACTGTTCTGTATCTGCTACTGCCGGTGGGCCTTGGTCACGCTGTGTGACAGTTTGCGCATTTTCTATCGGCAACATGGTGGTAGCCGCTGTCTCGAATGCCAGCTATTCACTTAGATGGCTAGAATCACTCAGCTTCGGCCACCTAGACAGTCTTAATGTTGGTAATACTATGAGCCCCTTTGGCAAACTGTGTCTAGGTGATTTTAGAAGAGTATGGTACTGATGGGGCATTTTCAGTGTGAGGTTTGATCCAGAGTCTTGGAAAGGCAGTGGTTTTAGTGTTGAAGGTGACACGGATTGTGGCCCAAGAAATCTGCTAGAATCGAACGGTTGCAAAATCACGATACTTGTCTGGGCACTTTTCTCTTGGTTTACTCAAAGTTATTTCTGGGTCCAGATTCCATGGCGTTATTAGTTTGAAGCTTGAAACTGTTTTCTCTCTGCCAGACTTGCGTTCCTGTCCATAGGGAGATCCTCATCGCCATTCCCTCTTCAGTTAACACCAGATGTATTTCGAGTCGAAAAAAGGGCGTTTTCGAGCGTAGCCATTTTTGACTACCACCTCTGAGTTCTGCGGCATATTGATGTGGCCAAGAAAATTTTGTCGGTTTCTAGGGTGGCGGCTTTTGTGGCTATTAGTGCTGAGGACACTAAAGAGTAACTTTTCCCCAATTTGATCATTCCGAATGGGTGACTTTGCGGCTATGAAGGGGTATTAATTATAGTAATACATCTACCCCGATAACCGAACACATTACGACGCTAGAAAGTCTAAGTCATGAGGTATTCTAAGTCGGCAACTTCTTTGTGGGGTCTTCTATTTCCTAGGTCTAGCTGCTTGAATAGTTTTCACTCCACCTCGGGTCACGCGGTACATCAACTTCGAAATGTAATGAAATAATCCCTACGATGGATCGTCCAACTAGTAATGGATGTAATTTCTTCCTCCCAATCCAAGCTATAGGCAAGGATTCCCCGCAATGCCGTCCTCTTGGGTTGCATACGTCTGGCTCACCTTCGCGGGGATCTTGGAGAGGGTAGCATTAAAGCCGGCTTGGCGAGTATGTCGACCAGCCTCAGTGACATCAGGATCTGAAAGGTGAGGGGTTGCCGAAAGATTGCGCTGTATAAGACGAGAAGCTGATGTGAGATAGGCGATATTAATGTAAAGGATCGATACGTGCCGATTTTATCCCAGCGGCGAGCCAGAGTAAAGAAAGAATTGCAGTTTGGCATAGTCTTGGTTGAATCGGCGGTTGATGAGCAACTCTCCACCTAAGCATCTCTCTCGCCCATATCATGTTGTTTATCCCTATTCTAGGGTTGTTGCTGGCCACTATAACATCGGCATTTCCAGAAGGTGGCTCCAAAGACTCACAGTAATTCAACCTTGTACCTTGCCAATTCTCGCAACGACTGACTTGAAAATCAGACATGCGCTCTTCTACAAGGGCCACGACTTGAGCTCACTCAAATTACTGGAAGACGCCGGCACATTCTCCTACGTTGATACAGCCAAGAATAATGCAACCCGTCCAGCCTATGACATTCTGGAAGACGGCGGGATGAACAGTGTCCGGCTTCGCATTTGGGTCAACCCACCAGACGGGGTGTATGGACTTCAGTACACGTTGGAGCTGGCGAAACGTTTCCAAAAGAAGGGATATCACATCTACCTCGACTTCCACTTTGCCGATGGCTGGGCTGACCCTCAGAAACAACCGATACCTGCAGCGTGGCCAACTGACCTCAAACCACTCTCGGCAACTTTACGCAAATACGTCAAGAACACCCTGCTGGCTTTCCAACGAGCACATGTCAAACTCGACATCGTCTCGCTTGGAAATGAGATTCGACATGGCATGCTCTGGCCCACGGCATATGTCGATGTTGACGTCCAGCCATATCCAGCTTTGGTCAAGAATTTCACGAACCTCGCGACTCTGTACAAGGCAGCTCGGTCTGGGGTAGATGATGCCATTAAAGCCGGTGCACATAAACCCCAGGTCATGATCCACCTGGACAACGGCTGGAACACGACTTTTCAGACCCGGTGGTACTCGGCATTAATCGACAACGGGGTTAAAAAGTCAGCTTTCGATGTCGTTGGAGTCAGCTTTTATCCGTTTTACGGTACTTCAGCCACGTTTGAGAATCTGCGTAGCAGTCTCAACACGCTGGTCAAGAAGTACGGAAAGCCGGTCCAAGTCGTGGAGACGGACTACCCGGCAATCTGCGACGGTCAGTGGAATCCGATTCCCGAGTCATCAGAGCCAGAGATCCAATTCAACGTGAAAGGGCAGATTGAGTGGATGGGCAAGGTCATCGACATTGTGAAGAATGTCCCGCGTGGACTTGGCCAAGGAGTCTTTTATTGGGAGCCAGCTTGGTTAAATAATACCTCGCTCGGAAGTAACTGTACGGATGCGTTACTGTTCGAGCCGGATTTCAGCAACTGGCCTGAGACGGTTGGGTATTCTAGGGAGTCTGTAAACTTCTTCAAATAAAGCAAGAAGCCTTTGTGGCGTTGCTTGAATCTCCCCCAAGCGATCCGGTCAACCAAAAACCTCCATTCGCGGAGACGCCGAACAACTGCTCGACTCGCAAATGAGTTGCTTAGAGATAGACAAATGAACCTCATTTTGTCGTGCACCTCGGTCCTGTTGACGGGATTGCATGATTATCAAATGCAATTTCGCTGAGCTGAGCGTGTCCCTCGGATATGGATCCGGCTGTGGGGATAGTTCGCCGACTCCGAATGCAGGCTGCGGGAGAAACCGTTGGCGATCTGGTTCGGAGAGAACCCCGGAGAGGGGACGGCTCCATCCTCTCCACATGCGGCACGAGTGGGTGAGTGTGCGGAGAAGCGGCTGTACAGATACTCCAACAAAACGACAAAACATTCTCATTTTGTAGAAACATGGGAGAAGGAATCCTTTCCACTTTGACCAGTTATTTTCAAACTTACTCGAACTCACACACTGGCTATACGCGCACGAACTTGATCATGGGAGCCAAGATATCAGAAGCCAAGGCCAAGCCATTGCCTCCAGGCGTCTACACCCCTGTCATCACACTTTACGATGGCACCCCATCCCAGCCCGTCAACCACGGGGCCATGTACAAGCACTGCCAACACCTCGTCAACAGCGGCATGCATGGTCTCGTATATCTGGGTACCAACGGCGAGTTGGCACTCCTCAACCGCGAAGAGCGATCGGCCATTGTTCGAAACGCGAAAAAGGCAGTAACCGACCTAGGAAAACCCGACTATCCCATTGTGGCCGGTATCTCGGCCCAAAGCACAGTAGAAACGATTCAGTGTGCAAAAGAAGCCGCCGAAGCCGGTGCCCTTTGGGGCCTCCTCCTACCCCCGAGTTACTGGGCAAAGTCATTGAGCTCAGATGCAATTCTTGCCTATTACCGTGACGTGGCGGACAGCAGTCCTATTCCCATCATCGCTTATAACGTAATGATACCGCTGATACTTCTACTTCACCAGCTCACTCATGCGAAGACTAACACTTGACCACAGTTCCCCGGCGTATGCGCAGGAGTCGACCTCGACTCAGACCAACTCGCCTCCCTGGCCTCGCACCCCAATATCGTGGCCACCAAGCTCACCTGCGGCAACGTCGGCAAGCTCACCCGTCTAACCTCCAAATTCGAGCCCCTTCATTTCGGCGTCTACGGCGGTAGCAGCGACTACCTGCTTCCCACCCTGCACGCAGGCGGCAACGGGTGCGTGACGGGGCTGGGCAACGTGTTCCCCAAGTCGACGGCGAAAATATACGATTATTTTGCGGCGGGGAGACTGGACGAGGCGCGGGAGTTGCAGGATCTGGTCGCGAATGCCGAGTGGGCGTGCAAGAAGAGCATTTCGTGCACTAAGTACGGGGCGTGGTGGTTTGTGGGGAGGCAATTGGGGTTGAAGGAGGAGTTGTTTTTGATGAGGAAGCCGTATACGGAGCTGAAGGGGGACTTGAAGAGTTGGAGTGTGGAGACTATGAAGGTTTTGGAGGAGATGGAGAAAGCCTTGCCGGGGCGGGAGGGAACGGTTAATGGGGGAAAATGAGTGAATGGGTCCTCAGTGACGGATGATATATATAGAACAACATACATAATTGAATGAAAAGATGGCTTGGAATCATTGGAGTCCTCTGCTCGACGAATGGAGTAATGCTCACAAGTATTCACGATCAACCTGCCTCCGGGATTTTGTTGAGGCCGCTGGATTTCAGGTTCAAGAGACTTGCCATCTCCCGGAGAACCATGTTGAGGTGCTATTTTCAGCTGACTACTCAACAAGCTGCCGAAACTGAAAGTGTATTGCCACAGCTCAATTTCAACTTGTATTAAATTAGATAACGCAAGCCCTTGGACCAGCTTCAAAGTTGGGCGTAAAGCAGTGTCACATAACCCTTATCGCCCATGTAACAGCCGTCGGTGGGTTGTACAACGCCTGGTAGAGCGTGAATGATGCAAGTGCCCGGTCAAACGTGCGATACATGACACCACAGTCGTCGTCTCCTGTCACTCCAACTCAAACTCCCTCCTGCACCAGTCATATTCAGAACTCATGGTAACCCCCATTCCGAAACTTGAGATATATTCCTTACTGGGCAGACTTGTAACAGAAATCGTCCCTCTCTCAAACCGTTGTCAACCCGCATTATCTCGCCCAGCCAACCCATCAATCGATGCATCGCCATGAGCTTAGATGACTCAGACAATAACAGCACCGCCGACTATCCCAGCTCGTCAGAAGGCGAAAATCTATTCGACGACTTAGAAAGCTTCACAGAAGTAAGTGCTAGCAATTTGCTATCATTATCGAACATGACGGAACATTTTAAGGGGATATTGCTAACACACCTCTAATAAGTTTGCCAGCCGTGAGCGACGAGAGTACCCATACGGCACATTCAACGGCACTAATACCGATTTACCGTGGCGAAATAACCTCGACTGGTCACAATCCAACGTGTGTGACTGGGCTCATATTGCGGTCGTAACTATATTCCTCGCTGGGTTCCTGGCGTTGTGGTTTTGGAGTATCTATTTGGGCGAGGGGGGTATTTGTCGGTAACAGCATATGGTGGCGAAGAAGGATCGGGGGCTAGTTGAGAGGTGCTTTGAACTCTGGGGTACTTACCTAGTTTCTTGAAGTGTATTTGATAGCTGGGATCTCACCCGCGGGTTTGCATGTGTTGACTTTATGGGGTTGGGTAGGTAGGGTTCGTATCGGCAGCTGCGGGCTCGACAAATGAAACAGGCATTACGAGGGGAATCAATCCAATCCTAGAATATAAGAGGAGTTTTTCCAATCCAAGCAATAACGTGGAATTCTTGATATTTTTGATCTGATATTTCATGTGTATTCGACCTTTTAAAACCGAAAGAGCAACAATCTGGTGCTATAGTGACACTCAAAAAGTCTCCGTCCCCCGCCTGTAACCCCCCCCCCCCACCTACTGTCAAGAGGTTCTTATTAATTATACATCATTCTTAATAATACCGAATAATACTATTCATGATTTTTCAAATATATTGTTCTAACATATAAACTAGTTCAGTTATTTTATATTTTTATGTGTCGGCTGGTGTAGTTGGTCACTTCGCTGGTAGATAAGTCCCGATTTGAGCCTCGCCCACTTGGGTTGGTGACGAGTCGCGGGTTCGAATCCCGCAGCTGACACACAAGGGGGTTTAGTCAACCCTTACGGCGCGCTGCCCACCTTGTTGACTTCGCCTACCTAGCGATAATAGGGAGATTGGTGCAGTTTAGGATTACGAGCATCCTAGCCAGTCGACCGTCAAGCACTACGTCGGCGGAATATAACTCGACAGCCGGTCCAGAATTCGAATCGTTAATCCGGCCCCTTATCGGACCTCGCCTATCCGATAACGCTCGTCGGCGAACCCGTCCCCTCACGATAGAAGGCGCGCAGCACGCCCTCTCGCCGCGATTCTTGCGAGCGTCTAGACCACGTTACGGTCTATCCACTTGAGCGTATGGTTGAGATGTATACGCTCGACGAGAACCCCAATTAGCAGATACTACGACTTGTCGCGACAAAAAATAGTCGAGCATCTTCTGCACATCAGCAGCATCCCACCCCTGAGGACGAATTTAAGTGCCACATTACCACACTTATCGGTAGTTCAGGCAGGGGTTGTAGCACAGACTTAGGGAGGGACAGGAGGTTTAGTAGTCGTTTGGCTACAAGTTTACCTGTATAACCGCCCGACGCGGCTTAAGGGCCCGCTATATCATCTATAGCCCCTTAAGGGAGTACTTGTAGAGGTACCGAGGGTTAACACCTACGGCGTATTTAATATTATTTTATATTTTTATCTCTTTCATTTAGGATAGAGTTAACTCTAGTACTCTAAGAACACTTTTAGAGGCTATGTTACCTACAACTCGAAAGTAATATAAGTTCCAAGTATTAGTGAAATATGATTATAATCTTATAGAATAACTAAATTTATATATACAAGTTCTTTATATAATTATACGATTTTATTTCGAATTATAGCGTATTCGTAAATAGATCGAGTTTTGGTGGGAATTGGGGGCGTTTGTAGGCTTATTGGAGATCACTGTGCCTAAGCCCCCTCGCCGTTTACATACTCCTCAACGTCGCTAATATGTATATACTTGATGTTTTGCCTGAAAAAGGTGTAGGCCACATGTATACTCCTCTGGTTCTCAGCCCCTGTCTCCACGAAGATACTCGGGTAGCTCAGCTCCCTGTTTGACCTCCCCTTGGAGTCATTGGTCATGCAGAAACCATCGCCGTCTTCCAGCACCCGGTACTTCCATGTCTTGCCATCATCTTTCGAGAGACCAATGGACAAGGCTTTCCGTGGAGTTCCCCACACAGCAGACTTCCCACCCACTCCCGGCTGGTTCACCCTCTTGTCATCAGCCGGCGCGATATCATCATAAAGCCCCTCTCTCCGCGCCAGCCCCTCCTCGGCCTTGGAGTCATTGAACACCATGACAATCTCCCCACCCGACAGCGCCGCTGCGCAAATCCCCGAATTAGGATTCGGCAGAGCTATATTCGCCGGCGCCTCCCAGTTGATGCCATCCTTCGACGTGGACCGGTAAATGCAATCGGCCCACCTACTGCGGAAGAACGCCACATACTCCCTCTTGGACGGCAGCTTGACAATATTCATATGCACCGCACCCCTCGAATTTGGAACCAACTTTTCATCCCACATCTTCCCGCCGTCCCTGGAATGCATCACCGCTGAGACATCATCACTCCCAATCCACCTGAAGCCCGGCGGTGTGCGACAATAAAAGAAGGGCAGGACCCAGGTCCCATCCTCGAGCACCACGAGCGGTTGCCGTACAAACGCCCCCTTATGCCCCGGTAATAACTCATAAGGCGCAGACCAAGTGACGGCGTTGTCGGTGGACGTCCGCGCAATAACGACGGCTTCGTCTTGGTTTCCGGCTGGCTGCGCCGTGTGGAAGAGCCAGATGGTTCCCGTGGCGGGGTCGCGGAATAGGATTGGATTCTGCTCGCTGCGGGTTGGATCTGAGGACACCTTGACGGGGGTAGACCAGGATGAGGAGGGGCCGGGGGCGAGCCGGGAGAGATAGATGGAGATGTCCGGGATGCCCTCTTGGGTGCCGCCGAACCAGGTGCAGAGGAGGGTTTTGTCGGGGAGTTGGAGAAGATTGGACGCATGGCATTGCACCGTGGAGGCGGGTATGTTGTCGACTCTGGTGATGGAGGAGATTGCTGTTGTTGGGTATGCCAAGGCCCGGGTCGCGGTGGATGACATTTTAGTGATGTTAAGGTATTATGAGATAGGGTGCGTGGCTTTGAGATCACATCTGTATCGGACTTTCAACTATACTCGGAACTGAGTCGTTATTTTTTAAATTGCCAATACCTTCGTTTTTGATTTGAATCCTGTCTCCTCTACGGTTGATTACATACCTGGCGCTCCAGGGTCTCAGCCCTGAAGACTGTAGGTCCTGATGTTGATACCAACTTGACGCGGAGACAACCCCAAATTGCACCAACTGCCGCATCGAGGCTTTACGGACTTCTTTCCGCGTCGAACTCGGTCCGTACACAGACGCCGAGTAGGAATCAAGTAAACATAAAAAATAAAGCACAATTGGATCCTTGGGATCCACCTCCACATGCCACGCGTCCATTCCCAAAGTTGTTGCATCTGGGGTAGAAATCTGGGGAATAAATCTGGGGATGTGAGGATGAGGTAGTACACTATCGTCCCATGTCTTCATATCACGGTCCAATCATTGATTGCGCATTTCACAAGCGACATACAGGGTCCAACAGACTCTCTATAAGTGCGAAGTCAACGAGTCCCTTGGCAGATACGGGCCGTGGTCTTCGTCTCTGATTTGTCCTCCTTCATCATACTCCGGATTGTTGATGCCTTTCTTGTGTCTCCCGTGTTACCAAAACATAACCCCAAGCTTTCCAGCCTTGCATAGATTCTTAGCCGCCAAGATGGGTGGTGGTACTTCGATCTGGGCGTCTCCAGAATGGAGGACAGACCCCCGGGAGATCTTCAATGGGCGGCTTTGGTACCTGACGGTGGCGGTCGCCATGGCTGGCTGTTCCTACGGTTTCGATCAAGGCAATATAGGCGGAGTCCTCACTCTGCCTAGTTTCAAGCGCGCTTTTGGGTTGGATGTGCTGAGCGAAGAGGAGGCGGATGCGCGAGCTGGCAACATCGCAGCCATGTGTAGGTGCAATTCCAATGCTCAGCTTACTTTGGACGAGAAATTTCTGACAATGCTAATGCAGTGGCTGCCGGTGGTTCAGGAGGCGCGCTCCTCGCTGCTCCCTGCGCCGATTTCCTCGGACGGAGAAACTCCATGATCATCTTCGGCTTCCTGTTCCTGGTTGGTGCCGCAATGCAAGAGGTAGCGCATCTGGGCGTGTTCTACGCCGGCCGATTGATCGCGGGGCTGGGAGTTGGCGCTACGAGTATGTTGGCGCCGCAGTATCTGGGAGAGAACTCGCCCAAGTCTGTTCGTGGGTCCTTGACGACTACTTACAACTTGTGTATTATCTTGGCATTGAGGCAAGTCTCGACGATGTCTTCCCCAGTTTCTGTTCTGTTGTTCAGTTGTTGTTTTCTAATTTGACTTGTATAGTTTGGCGTTTTGGACCAACTACGAAGTCTCGCTTTGGTCGACGTCGAGCAACGTGCAGTGGAAGCTAGCATTGGCCATACAGCTCATCCCCGGAGGCTTTCTTTTACTCATGATGTTTTGCAAGTACTTGTAAGCTGGGAAGAGTCCCAGGCAAGTCCGTGCTAATACCCAATAGTCGTTATCGACACCCCACGAGCTCTCATTTCCAAAGGGCAGAGGGAAAAAGGTCTTACGAATCTCTGTACGCTGCGACAACTTCCAGCCGACCATCCATACGTCATCCAAGAATTCTCTGAGGTGTGTGCCCAAGTGGATGCTGAGCAAGAGGTTACAAAAGGTATTGTCGTACTTCCAAACCATACCACCTATCAATAACTGGAATCCCGCTGACAAATAATTTCGAATTACAGGATCCAACTACTGGGTTGTCATGAAAGACATCGCCACAATCCCCAGCAACCGACGGCGCCTTTTCCTCGCCACCACCCTCTTCCTCTTCCACAAGTTCACCGGCACCGACTCCCTGAACTACTTCGCCCCCGAGATCTTCGAGATGATCGGCGTCAAGTCGGGCTCATTGACATTACTGACAACCGGAGTGTACGGCCTGGTTAAGCTCGCTACTACGATCCTCTACGTCGCCTTCATCGTCGACCGCGTCGGCCGACGTCGCCCCCTTATGGTCGGTGCCGCTCTCCAGGCAACTGCTATGCTGTATATCGCCCTCTATGTGCGGTTTGCGAAGCCCGAATCGACGGGTGGGACGCCGGCGGGCGGCATTGTGGGGATCGTCTGGATCTACATTTACGCTTTTGGATGGTAAGCTCTCCCCTTCCGCATATTATCAGTGAGCAAGGACGAATAACTTGATACTAGGTCCTTCGGATGGTCCGTTGCACCCTACGTGGTAGCAGCCGAGATTTTTCCCGCGCGCATACGGTCCTTCTCCATGTCCATCTGCTTCTTTATCAATTGGATCGTCGACTATGGCATTACGAAAGCGACGCCAAGCATGATGACCCATCTTGGCTGGGGCACTTTCTTGCTATACGCCATGCTGACATATATCGGCGCTATTTTCGTGTACTTCTGCATGCCTGAGTCCAAGGGAAGAAGTATAGAATCGATGGATGATCTATTCCAGAATTCCATCTGGACCATGTTCCGTCATGCGTACCCGACCGAGGAGGATAAGATTCGTCATGATGTGCAGGATAAGTTTGTGCAGAAATTGGCTGGTGAGGAACATGGTGCGAAAGAGCCCGAGTCGGTGACAGTTCATGCTGAGAACAGAGCGTGAGCGATTGGTGTGTATTTATAGGGGGAGGAGGAAACGCTGCTGGTGGCTCGGTGCTTTATAGCAAGGTATCTAGGTAATTACAGTCTATTATATCAACTTGGAATCGTAATCAGAGAATCGACATGAAGACATCAATGATCTCAAGTTCCATGCTACAAGAGAGAGGCAACGACAAAACTAGCTCGAGGATAGTGAAGAATCATTCTGGTGTTATCAACCTATTTCACACTCGCGTGATCAACGGTGATTGGTACAGTTTGAACCAGGAATTACAAGTAGATTACAAGTACAGTTGCATGTTTCTCCTTTTTGCCCCCTCGAATATCTTTGCTCCAGTTGCGTATAATGCCAACTCCTCGAGCTGTCAACTCACGGGCGGCGACCCAAACAAGAAATAGGGAGTGGATACGCCTTAAACTTGGACAACGATCCCCCGCGATCTAGTGCATCCCCATTTTCAACTTTGCGGGTTAGTCCGCATTGTTCCAACCGCCCTGACCATGAAAGTCCCAACAAACAGGCCCATCCAGCGTATCCCATCCCACGAGAAGAGGTCGGGAATTGTCATCAGCCCCACAGACTACCGAGTGCCTAGATGCGGAGGCGGCAGCGACCCCATTGTTTTTGGGCCACAGAACCAGCTGGGACGGATGGATTCTCAATCCGTGTGTTGCCAAACTTCCCCTCATCTCTTGTCATCAAAGTTGAACGGGGTCTAGTATCTTGAATCTGCATACCAAAACAAGGATTGTTTTTGTTGTCGCGAATGGAATCACCGAGACGACAGAATGGCGAAACGCTCGTGGGAAGAAGCAAACCCAGGTGAGGCCTCGATGCCCATGGGTTTACACTATTCCGCCGCTGCGAACACGTCCTTGTCTCCCGAGGCGCAGTCAGTCAGACATCGCAATAATAGCACATCGGCGACGGGGCATGTGCCCATGATATCGCGGAAGGTGAAGGCGTGCGCGGCGTGTCGGAAACACAAGATCAAGTGTATAATGGAGGATTCGGGTCCTCCGTGCAAGAGATGCGTTGAGAAGGATTTGGGCTGTGTTCTTAACAAGAGTCTCCAAACCTTGATTAGCGAAAGGTCGCAGTGAGTTTTTTATGCGCCATACCTCGGCGACATGGCCACTACATGGTTTCTTGGTCTGGTTTTGCGACAATCACTGACATGGCCTCCATCGTACAGATCCACTGAGTTCATGGTGCAGGATCTGGAGATGATGCATTCTGGCTTACAAAAGGTTATGAGGTCACTGAATCTCCCCCCGATAGGACGACTTCACAGCTCGAGGCAGATGCTCAATACGCCTACGTCCGAGGAGCCTACGGGGCTACATCAGGATGATGAGATTGGGCCGTCCTGCGATAACTCGCCCAAGATATCCCCAGAGGACGACCAGGACCTGCCCAAAGTACCCATTCATTCCGTCTACCATCTCACAAAACTGAGCGCCCTTCGTTCTCCCGACTCATCAGAAGGGGAACATGCGGCGCCCAAACGACTCAGCAACTCCGTTGACGACTTCATTTCCAAAGGCATGCTATCCTTGGAAGATGCGGAACGACTGTTCCGGCTCTATATGGATCACCTCGATCATTTCATGTACGGCATCGGCGGTCGCCACAAGACACTCGATGCGCTCCGGCGAAGCAGCCGTATCCTCTCGGTCTGCATCTTTACCGTGGCCGCGCTTCACGACCCCCGGAGCAATGCCATATACAGCGTGTGCAGCAAGGAGTTTCGCCGTCTGATGGCTGCTTCTGTCTTCAGCAGAAGTATCGACCGAGACTATTTACGCGCACTTTGCATCGCGAGTTATTGGCTTTCCGATATCAGCTGGATCGTTTCAGGATACGCAATACGTCGTGCCGCCGAGTTCAACCTGACCAGCCACTATCGCCGTGCCATCACCGAAGGAAACGAGGAGGCGGCCGACTATGTACGTTTGTGGTACATTCTCTTCGTTTGTGACCAGCATTTGTCCATCCTCTATCAAAGAAACCCAACGATCCGTGACGACTTCGTTGTACAGGGCTGGGAGTCCTTCATCCAGTCGCCTGTGACCAACGACGAAGATAAACGCCTCGTATCGCAAGTGGCGCTATTGAATATTGTTCACAAAATTCGCGAGCTATTCGGTCCAGATACTGGCGAACCCGTTCCTCAGGTTTACTTGGGTCAGATTGCGAGCTTTGCGAGCCAACTAGATCGCTGGCTCGGAACTTGGTCTACAGCCCTGAAAGGTAGGATGACTCTAGGTTCCCCATCGAGGCTATGAAACTGACCTACCAACAGAACATCACAACCAAATCGGCAGTTTTCCTCGAAAAGGCGTGCTTCTCCACTACCAGTTCGCGCTTCTGTACTTATACTCTCACGTGTTTCGGGGACTACGCAAAACATCCATTCCTGCGTACTTTCTCGACTCAGCAGCCTCAGCTGTTAATGCCGCAACCGCCATTGTCAGCATGCTGACTGCAGACGCCGATATCCATTCCGCACTGGCCGGCATGCCTTCCTACCTCAACTCCATGACGGCATTTTCTTGCATGTTCCTAGTCAAACTAGCCATGATCCACACCGAGTTGGTAGATCGGAGCATGGTCATAGACCTGACGATACGACTCATCGATCTCTATCGATCGACTGCCGTGGGGAAGTGGCATCTGGTCCACCTCATGGCCGACGGGCTCGAGAAGGTTATTCTAACGTTACGGAAATCCAATATACCGTCTGCACAGCATTTCGGGCATGACGCGATGCCGGCCATGGGAATAGAACCTCACGACAACTTCGGCGACTTTGGAGAGTCCATGTTCCCTGAGGACAGCTCGCTGGTCTTCGACAGCAATTTCCTCATGGACTACAACGTCACATTGGGCGCGTCGCAGCTCATGTACATGAGTAATGGCCCTACCGCATTTGAAACATCGGACTTGAGCCCAAGCCTTTTGTAGCGACGGCGAAATTGAACCTTATTGCAAGCATTATCAAGTAAAGTGGTATTAAATCTAGCTCCCATTGCTTCAAGCTCTCGGCAACCGCCGTGACCGTCTCCTCCAACATCCCATACCCCTCCATGCCCAACTCCTTCGCCCTCGCAATGTCGAATCGCGCCGGCCAACTCCCCACAATTGCCTCAACTTTCGAGTTTCTGGCCTCCTCAATCAACCACACCGCCTCCTTCCCACCAACCGTCTCGAGCGCATCTAGAATCTGGCGCACCGATGCCGTAATCCCGGGTAGTTTACGCTCAACCCAAACTTCTCCTTAGGTACATCTTTCACGTAAACCCAAGTTCTCCACCACCATCATGGGGCTGCACACCCACATCTCCAGGTCCCGCGTCATGGGAAAAACGCTATTCTCGCCCCGGAGTGGGGAGTGGCTCGCGATGACGGCTGGAAACCGGAGGAGGTCGCGCCGGGAGAAGTCGTTGAGGTAGGTTTCGACTATATGAGTTTTTGGGCGCCTTGCTCGATTGTGGAAGGGCCGTGGTGAATTCGCTTGTCACGGCGCGGGAGCTAGGGCAGATGGTGGTCGTTCCGGGGGCAGATTTGCGGAGGTGGTCTAGCATGTTTTTGTGTGTAGAACTCAGTGTAGTAACTGTTTGTTGTATTGAAATTTGAGAGAAGGTAGGGATGGAGTGACTTGTTTATGACTATCCCAGCGCACTTTCCAGCCCAGCTTGAGGTTGGCTTCGGCGCCGCCTGACATGAGGCCATGCAGCAGGTAGGCGGCTGTGAAGGCACTCGAGAGAAGTGATGTGACCTACGCTGGTGATGCAGCTTGCGTGCTATAATGCCACCGGCGGAACTGGAGGCTCGATGACGACGGTCAGGGTCAAGATCAGATTTGGCGACGACTTGACCAGGGCGATTGTCAAGGCCTTGCTTATGAAACCCGCCGCGCCTGTAATGAGGATATTTCCTTGTTTGGAGACGGTCATCAAGGGAAATAAAATAATGTGTATATATACATACATATAACTATATGAGCAAGTGATGATTCGACGAGCAACGAACTGAAGCGGAAGCGTGTCTTCTCTCTATATGACTCTCTATCTTCACACATGATAAGCGGTGGTTGTGAATTCAAAACAGACAAATTTCGATCCGAATTGATCCAATGCAAAGTAACGCGCTTGGTCACAATTCTGAGCGCGGCGTCGATGAATATCCGACGACTTCTCCGCGATTGTATTCCTCGCCAACCCCACGTCGATGGGGCGATGACCGGGAGAGGGGGCGACATACACACTTGCCCGAATTGGATAACGTACCCCACAAGCAAGTTGGCCACTTTTTCTTGGCACCGTATGAATAACTTCAATAACTTAACTAAACTAAAAAATAATAATTCAAACTAATCGGAATCCTCTTCCTCGTACGTATCTTTATCATTCTCGCAAGTACGAGCATTATGTCCGGGCTCTCCGCAGATCCTACAGCGCCGTCGGCGTGGTTCGGCCGGTCTCGTACGACGACGACTTACACGTATATCATCCTGTAGCTGCTGTTCAATATCCCGTTGAGACTGTAAGTCCTGAGCGTCTCGTAAACTAAGAGATCCTCTATCTTGTAGCTGTCGATTTTTAGTCCTTCGACGACGGCTTAGCTCTTGATTGACCTTCCGAAGTGTAGTAACCTCATCCTCAAGTAAAACTAACCGATGTATAACAGCCGTCGCACCACGTGAAAATTGGTCAATAGCCGTAAGTATTGTCGTCGGGGAGCCATTCTGATGCTGTACGATTCTGTTTTTAACGTATTCAGACTGGGATTGCGCCTCGGTTGGGTTATTTGGAGTCTTCGATTCCCAGATTAAGGGGGCGCCAGACGAGCTCCCAGGAGGTGTAGGCGTATGTAGCTTAATATCCAGCTGTGAAATCACATATTCCGGGTCGTATCCTGTCCCCCTGAAACCGAGGGACATTGTAGAGTTGGGCAGCGCGTCGGATGCTTAATTCGGGTTTCGATTGAAGCGCCTGACACGCTAGAATCATGTCGCTTTCTTTCCAATTCGATCCTATCTTGGTATGTGTAAAGATGTTAATTACAAGGTTGTTCGTACGGTGCCAAGAAAAAGTGGCCAACTTGCTTGTGTGGCCAACTTGCTTGTGGTGTACGTTATGGGATTACGGCTTGAGCCAATCATAAAACGGACCGGGCGTCTCGGAAAGAAGTCCGACTCGGCTTTGTCCAGCATCATGCGTCTTCAACTTGCATGGGTCTATTGAAAGGGAGCTTCTCCACGAAACCCCACTCGATAGTCGGGGGATTACATCGCATGGTGGGGTTCTAAGCTGTTGCACACTTTCGGATCTATTTATTTTTCGTCGTGGATGAGCGAGGTCCCGGCTGCCCTCCTCGGCCACTGGAGGAAGAGATGGCTCACCGGAGCAGAGCATCACGATCGCCAGCGACGCGCCATCGCTGAGGAACCGGAGGGCCCTTCGATGCAGATACCGAAAGGGGGCAAATATTTCGGCCTGAACCGACTGGAGGCGTCTACGCTGTGGCAGATCAGGACGGAAAAAATAGGACTAGCAGCTTTCTTATTCAAGACAGGGGCTTTTGGCGTGTACTCGCCGCTATGCCGCTGTGGCGACGCCCCTGAGACGGCAGAGCACGTAATCCTCTTTTGCGGGCTGTTGGAAGGACCGAGGGAACGATTACGGGCCGCTATCGCACCACGGCCACTATACTCTCGCAGAGACCTCGCAACGGCAACAGGAGAACCAGTAGTTAGTGGGACTATTGTAAGGTGGCTGCTAGGGACGGGTCGGACAGCTTCAAGGCCCAGATAGCATCGATCTTCTCAGGGGGGACTTTGTTGGTAGGTTGAGAACCAACGTAGTATGGTAGTGAACGCAACGCAGTCGCCAATAGGGCGAACCGACGACGCAGCGTATGTATTTAGTCCAGCCATTAGGGCACGGTTTGACATACGGGAGTACTAGCAGAGGTACCGGGGGCTTCGAGCCTACGGCGTATTTAATAATAATAATAATATTTTTCGTCCCGGTGAAGTATGTTGATTTACATTGCCATGGCCGAGAACTGCTTACTGTGAGCAACAGACTGACTTGTCGAGATATCAGCACCATTTCTGCAACTGCAAGTCGCCAAAAGTTCCCCACCTAGAGAATGGAGTATACTCGGTATGTGCCCTTAGCGAGAGCGAGGTTGCCCCCCAGCTCGCCTTCCAGGGACTATGATGATCCAATGCTGACACGACGACTTACAGCTTGGGAAGCAGCGGCCTCAAGGTCTCAAAAGTCATCCTCGGCTGCATGACCTTTGGCACAAGTCAATGGGAAGGCGCGCCGTGGATTCTCGACGAGGAGGAGAGTCTCAATGTCATCAAGTCGGCGTATGACCATGGCATCAACACTTGAGTAAGCCGAGTCCCTCAGCAGCGGTGCTCAGCTGCGTTCTTCCCCACCCAGGGGACAGAGTAACGAGATGTTGAAACCAGGATACTGCGGATACCTACTCCAACGGAAAGTCGGAAGTCATTGTCGGCAAGGCACTGAAGAAATTCAACATACCGCGCAGCAAAGTAGTTATCATGACCAAGATATTCAACCCCGTCATGGACGACAGCTCGCGACCCGCCTCTGTCCATGACGGGCCTCTGGTCAACCAGATGGGTCTCAGCCGGAAACACATCTTCGAAGCCGTGGACCGGTGTTTGGAGCGTCTAGGAATGGACTACATCGGTAAGCCACTTGCGGGGCACCCTGATTTCACCAATCGTTTGCAAGTTAAACTAACGCTCGACCCCCTCGGAAAGACGTCCTCCAACTACACCGCCTCGACCGCGAGACCACCCCAGAAGAAATCATGCGCGCCCTGCACGAAGTCGTCCAGTCTGGCAAAGTCCGCTACCTGGGCGCCTCCACCACGTACACGTGGGAATTCGCGCGGCTGCAATACACGGCCAAGCTCAACGGCTGGACCGGATTCGTCTCGATGCAGCCGTTCTACAACCTCCTGTACCGCGAGGAGGAGCGCGAAATGCCGCCCTTTTGTCGCGCCACGGGCGTGGGGGTTATCCCCTGGAGTCCGTTGGCCAGGGGGATGTTGGCCAGGCCCACTGCTGCTTCTTCTGCGAATGGTGGGGGTGATGGGGAGAAGACGCTGAGAAGCGAGTCGGATGGTAAGACGAAGAAATGGTTTGCCGATGCTAATTTGGAGATTGTAGACGCGGTGGAGAAGGTTGCGCGGGATAAGGGGGTGAGTATGTCGTTGGTGGCTACGGCGTGGGTGCTGAGGCAGGGGTGTTGGCCTATTGTGGGTTTAAATAGTGAGAAGAGGATCAAGGAGATCGTGGGAGCTTTGAAGTTGCAGTTGACGGATGAGGAGTGTAGGTTTCTGGAGGACGGCTATCGGCCGAGGAGTGTGGAGGGGTTGTGAAGTGGTGCGGGTGCGGGTGAGGCGTTAATTTGAGGAGGGAGGTCGTAATAGGCCTTCTCACTTCCACATGTGAGGAAGAAAACGATAATAGGTTTGATATTTCAAACTCGCGATTGGGCTTCGCCCATATTATTTAGTTCGCTTGTGGCTGTTGATACTGCCGCATGCTTTTCCTATAACATCAAGTTCCACTAGAACCAACGGTAGAGCCTGTTGCTAAGAATTGTCTATTTGATAAGGACAATCACGCCGAGTATGAATTTGATTCTCCCGACCTTCTTTTCCCGCTTTTTTCATTCTGGGTAGCGGAGGAATTTAGAATTTTGTGAATTACGAGCTCTTTGCATTGAGCAAAGATATTCGCGGAGAGAGAATGATATCCCTATTCGACCTAAGGGGGCACAGAACATCGTGGTTGCTTTGAAAATCTATTGTGAGTCTAGTTAACATACAAAGTGAATATATGTAATAACGCGACTGGATGAATATAGGGTAGGCATGATAGCCTGCAAATATGCAGACTCTATGTACAAGCTACGAAATGAATATATGTTTGCGGCAGAGTGATGATCTATTATGTGACGCCGTGTACAGAGTTTATAGCTTTGCTCGCCCTCTAGTATTGGCAATATCAGGGAACTTATTTGACGACCGCACCAAGTAGTCGATATCTGAAGTATTTATGAGATCGGGGCTGATCTGATCCAGGCTTGTCAGTCCGCACAGTCTCATCGAAACTTCGATCTCGTCTTTCAAAACTGTCAACAGTTAGCTCCCAGTTTCTAGTGCCATTTCTGAGTTGTGGACGACTTACTCTGAGTCAAGTGCTGAGTTCCCTCTTGTCCGTACACCAGGGAATACAGGTACGGCCTTCCAACGCCAACGGCGGTTGCGCCTAGGGCAAGCGCCTTCAATATGTCTGTTCCTCGCTCAAAGCCACCGTCAACATAGACCTCGAGTTTGGCGAAGATTTCTGGACACTTCATTCGCAGCTCGAGAAGGTTCAGTATAGCTGGTTGCGAACTAGATTCGACGAGTTAGTATCGTGTCCCCCAATGCAGCATTCGCGTGAACGACTTACGTATCCAAGGACCTTCCGCCATGATTACTCAACAAAATACCATCAACCCCGTATTCCACCGCCAGTTTCGCATCCTCAACGCTCTGAACGCCCTTCAAGACAACCGGAAGACCTGAGGTTTCCTTGATCCACGCCAGATCGGACCACTGGAGTGCCTTGTCGATGTACTGCGCCATAAGCCGCCCAAGACCTCCTCCTTTCTTGTCGTTGGACGCCGTTGCCCCACTAATAGCAGACTGGATGGCAACAGCCGCTATCCGTTCGTCCGCCTCGCGCTTCCCGGGCACGGGCGCATCGACGGTCACGAATATGGCCTTGATGCCTAGATCTCTTGCTTTCAGAAGCAGTTCGGTTGTCTTTTGGCGCTCGATGTTGACGTAGAGCTGGAAGAAGAAGGTTTGTTGCGGGTCCGTGGATTGGGTTATGCTGCCCAAGGGGTATGATGCGTTGTTTGATATCTGATACGGAGTCAGAAAATGATGGACAGACATGGGGCTTTTGAAACTAGATTTACACATTGAATTATTCCTTCCGCGGCTGCTGCTTTGGCTAATGCCAGCTCGCCGTCTGGGTGAACGAGCCGAGCCATGGCGGCAGGGCTGATGAAGAACGGGGCTGCGGTCTTGTTGCCCAGAATCGTTCTTGAGAAATCAGCCTTTCTTACATCCCTCAATACTCGCGGCTGGATCATTATCCGCCGCAAGAAAGCCTTGTTCTGGTGGTGTGTGATGAGATCGGTAGCGGCAGACGAGTAGAAAGCCCACGTCTTGGGGGTTAATGCGGTGCGGGCGATTTTCTCGAAGTCCGCAGCACTAATGAGGGTATGCAACTCCGGGTTGCGTAGAGGATTTTCCTCGTTTTGTGTGGCTTCATTTTTCTGCCGAGCTTCTGTGACAGTCCCCTTCGGAGGAATATCACTGATGGCCTCTTCGAGAATTCCCTTGAACCTATCGCTTGGTAGGTTCTCCTCCAAGATAGCAGGAGCGTGTACTTGATCGTAGTCATTCGTTGCATTCTTTCCAGCACATCGCAAGAGAACTGTGTTTCGATTTAGCACATGACTTTGTTCGACTTGAAATTCCGGGAACTTACTGCCGGCGCCTCCAGGATGCTCGTCGATAAACTCGGTCAGATCCCAGACTTTGGAATGAATTGCGATCCAGCAGTCATGTTTCGTGTTATGTCTGCTGAGTTCCGCAACAGACACTTGGACACGTTGTGTGTCGGCCATGTCGCTATCGAATTAGCCTAGTATGGTTTACCGAAGGGAAACAACCATAGTATCACTCAGCCGGACTCAAGGTATTGTACAAAGGCACAACGCAAACGACTGCCAAATCCCGGTCGCTCCCCCCCAATTATGTCACCCGTATTGTTTGTCTCCAAATTGGACCTACTTGTCGACTGAGTTGTCGTTGAGATCTCCCGGCCAGGCCCAGCTGCCCCCTTCGGACTTCTCGCCGGTACCCACATTATACCACTATAATCATTCCCTACTCCACACTTCCCCAATGATCCCCTCCAGCGTGGGTCGGGGAACTCGGTCGACTCGGGGCATGGCTGGCCTTCGACCCGTTAACATCATCGCGAGACGTCACCAGGGTCAGCCAGGAGCAGCTCATATTCAGGGATACCGCGACTAGCTCCTAGGAAAGACACGCAGGGACTTGTCCAAAGTTTCATCCGATTGCACCATATACTTACACAACTATGCCCAAACCCATCGTGCTCCATATCGGCGAGCCGATAAAATACAATCAAGATTTTTACGAGAACGAGTTCTGCAAAAGGTTCCAAGTGGTGCAAAACGACTGCCCAGACCGCGCCACTTTCGTCCAAGCCCTGAAAGACGAGAAGTATGGCAATTTCTCGGCAATCTACCGGCCTCATTTCCAGACAGGCGGTGAGATGGGCGACTGGGATGACGAGCTGATCTCGCTTCTGCCCCGGTCCGTTCGAATATTCGCTTCCGCGGGCGCGGGCTACAACTGGGCGGATGTGGAAGCCCTTGGCCGCAGGAAGATCTGGTATGCCAATGGCGCTGGCGCTAGTGACGAGGCTGTCTCAGACACGGCGTTGTACATGGTTCTGTCGGTATTTCGAAACTTCACTCGGGCACAGCTAGCAGCCCGAACGTGCGACCCTGAAAAGTTTACGGCCTGTCACAAGCTGTGTGCGACAATATCTGCGAACCCACGGGGTCATGTCCTTGGGATCGTTGGTTTGGGCAACATCAGCAAGAAGTTGGCGTACAAGGCAAAGATGGCACTTGGAATGGATATTCACTATTACGACGTTGTTCGCGCCCCTGAAAATGTTGAGAAGGAGCTCGGAGCAACCTTTCACCCGAGCCTTCACAGTCTGCTGGGAGTTTCCGACTGTATCAGTTTACACACGCCCTTGAACAAGCACACGCAGGATCTCATCAACACCGAAGCCTTCGCAGCCATGAAACCAGGAGCGCGGCTGGTCAATACGGCACGAGGGCAAGTTGTAAACGAGGAAGCATTAGTCGAGGCGCTGAATAGCGGAAAGATTTCAGCGGCTGGCCTTGATGTGCATTATCATGAGCCTCAGGTTTCGAAAGAACTGGCTGCCATGGAGAATGTAACCCTCACTACTCATATTTCAGGCGGTGCATTAAACACGAGGATCAATTTCGAGCTCAACGCAATGAGGAACATCTTAGCTGTTGTTGGGGAGGATGGGGGCTTCATTGGGGAGCCTTTCACACCTGTAAATAAGAAGGCATTCGAGGAAGCATCTAGTTAGACGGCTCCAGGGCCATAACCCTACATAGAGGATGCGAAACTTATACTAAATTTCGTGTTCTTATTATCAATACTGTCATGAACACCATAAAGTGTACCACGGAGGTTCTGAAGCTGTGGACAAAGATTCAAACCTCAAAGCTTGAGCAAGATTTTTCTCCAGAAGCTGTGATGATATCTGTTAAGATCTAGAATAGACCTCGGATTTGTTCAGCCTATCAGGGGCAATTATCAGCTTCAAAATCATCAATTATCTAAGTGGTCGACAGCCTATCCTAACCCTGTATGAACGAACCACTTCAGACCCCAGGCCGATACGCTAGCCCCAACCCCATGGGAAATGCACTTCCCCGCATCTTTCAAGTCCTCGGTTACTGTTCATACTGCGGGGTGTTATGGGGTGCGATACAGGGGTTTCCATTGCTGTTCTTGCCGTCTTATCTGGGCAAGCTCTTGTTGAACCAGTTGGAAGGAAGCTTGTTCCTACGCTGAGCGCTATGTTGAGCTTATGGTTGGAAGCGTGAATATCAATCGCGACCCGTAGATATATCGATTCTCGTTGTCAGGCAGCCGTTCGAGTAAATACAATCTCTAATTAGAGTATACCGCACTAAAACGGCCTATTATGTCGGACCTTATTGATCACCAGTACAAGCGTAACTCGGAACATTTGGACAAGCCCAGGAACTTACTACCCGATGAGCTCCCAGTGCCAGAGGAGATCTCCCACTTGACCCAAGATGAGCAAAGACTCCTGGAACGACGGCTTACTCAGAGGCTAGACATGACTCTGATGCCTGTTGTGTTCATTCTGTTTCTTCTCAATATCTTGTGAGCAAGCAACCCCTCAGATAAGTCTTGGAAGCCACTGATCAGACGAACAGAGATCGTAATAACATTGCGAGTGCCAAAATCGTCGGTCTGCCGCAGACACTGGGTCTCACAAACTCGGAATACAATACCTGCCTGTTGATGTTCTACATTGGATGTAAATGAATATTGCCCCTGAAGTCTCAATGGCATGTTGCTGAGGAATAAAAGACTGCATCACTCAAGTACCTTCGAATATGATTATCGGAAAAGTGCGACCGTCATACTACATCTGCTTGATCACATCCCTCTGGGGCATTTTATCAATGAGCCAGGGTTTCACCAAGAACTTTGCCCAACTTGCCACCATCAGATTCGTCCTTGGACTTGTGGAAGGTCCGTCAAATGCCAACTCCTATTTTCTTATATACGAGTATTAATAGTGGATGCAGCTCCCTTCTTGCCCGCAGTGTTTGTTCTCATGAGCTGCTGGTACTCACGCCGAGAACTACCCCCTCGAATCGCGATCTTGTATGGTGGTAATATGCTTGCAACGGCTTTTAGTGGTTTAATAGCTGCCGCCATCACTTCTAACATGGAAGGTGCCGCTGGAAGACCGGTGTGTGAAATTCGTAGTCCTTCTTTCCCTTGCTTGTTATTACTTGAGGGTGTGAAATCATTGGGGGCAGTCTCCTATCCCAAGACATAACCGATATGTTCTAAAGCGGTATCATCAACACACATACTAACGTCGAGAGTTTAAAATAGGCATGGGAGTGGCTCTTCATCATAGAAGGAGCTATGACTGTTGTGATTGCAATCATCTTCTTACCGGTTTTGATAGACTACCCGCTTCAGAGCAAGCACATCTTCATATCCCGAGACTTGCAACTATATGCAGTACGTATTCCCTCATCACCTCTCTTAATTTCTTCCTCTCCTATAACCAAAGCCAACTAACCCATATTTCCGCATAGGAATGGCGCATCCGTAAAGAAAACGCCGGCATCGTCGACGAAGACCCAGAGTCCATCTGGTGGGGCTTAAAGCAAGCCCTCATCGACCCCAAGCTGTACCAGTTCGTCGTGCTGCAGATGGCGCTTATCACCTCGCAATCTTTCAATAACTTCTTTCCCTCTATCGTAGGCACGCTAGGCTTCGACTCCACCACGACGCTGCTCCTTACCTCCCCACCCTACTTCTTCGCCTTCATCGTTTCACTCCTCACCTCGTTCCATGCTTCGCACAAGCAGGAGCGAGGGTACCATATCGTATTGCCGATGATGTTCGCTTTGCTGGGGAATATTCTTGTAAGCGCCGAGAATGACTGAAGTAATTGTGTTTGATGGTGATGCTAAGATATCGAATAGGCAATGTTTGTGCCCACAACCGGCGGTCGGTACTTCTCGATGTTCCTCATGACGTCCGGCTCTTACTCCCCCTACAATCTCTGCGTGAGCTGGGTCAGCTCATCATTGCCCCGTCCCCGTGCAAAGCGTGCCGCGGCGCTGGCTATTGTCAATTTCATGGCGGCTGGCGCGGCGCATTTCTATACAAGCTACATGTTCCCGGATGAACAGAAACCACGATACTATGCTGGTGGAGGTGTTATGAGTGGGGCATGTCTGGTTGTTGCTGGCACGGCGCTGGGTATTAAGCACTACCTCAGGAAGCAGAACCGAAAGTTTGAGGCCGAGGAGGAGAATGGGGTGGTTAGTCATGCCCAGATCAAGGGTTCTAAGACGGGACATGGAGGTGATGCTATTGTGGCATTCAGATATGTGCACTAAATACTCGGTTTCATAGAGTATGGCGACATAGAAGGAACTGATTTATCAATCGGCTGTCATACAGTGAGAGAATATTGCGTATACGTGATTCGGATAAGGCAGGAATTCCAAGAAATGTTGTAGCAGAACCCCGCCGTGATGATATTTATGAATTTCCGTTTTCAATCCCGACACGCTATTGCAGCGCAGAGCATGACCCATGGCAAGGCGATGATGGTCGCAGGCAACAGTTCAGGCCAGGTCCAGGGACTTGGTAACTGTGCAGAGGATTAATGCAGTCGCAAAGGTCTACATTTGCGCTTATTTAAGGACGGTCCTGGCCAAACCAGGCCAATGGTCAACCAGAATTCTGAGGGGATGGTTCAGTGACGAGATGCACACGCAGTGTAGATTAAGCCATATAAGTAGCCATAACAACCAATATAGTATATGATGTGTTGCTGGCAGAAGCAGACATACTGATGACTTAAATTACTAGTTCTAAGAAGATTGAACGACTTACCAATGCTTCTATAATGCTTTCTACTTACCAAGAGTCCCACACAATGTCATTGATCTTCCCACTCTATATGTACTGTACTCTATGCCTTAACACCTCTGACATTGGCTTCCCATGCCATTATGATGATAATCAAACGCCTTCGCCATACCAACCAAATGCGAAGCAGCAGCAAACAAAATGAGGATGTGGAAGAGCTGGTGAGAGCTACCCCAGATGTCAAAGGTTTCCGGAAAGCTTCGTTCCGGCCACCGAACCTAGATAACTCAGTTAACCTTATGGCAATTCCATTATAAGGAGAGATTCTTACGGCGTAAATGACAGCCCCTAATATGTAGAGAAATCCTTGAAGCAGGACCCAGTTCAATCCCATGCGTTCATCGAGGTCCTGGTAACCGTAGATGGTCAGCGCGTGGCACACTGGGATTATACCTGATACGCCGAGTCCGACGAACATCATGGCGCGGTAAGGTCTCCATTCTGGTGTACGGAACCGCTCGACCCAGCTGACTACTCCGCATCCAGCACCAAGGAGCATGATCTGGGATCGATATTAGATGCCGCGCCGTGGATGGCAAAACTTCGCATATGAATGGATCTCACTCACCATGTATAAGTACACGGTCATTAGCGTCTCGTGACAAAACAGCCCATAGTACATAGCCGGCACGAAACTCCCCTCGATGAGAAACACAATGCCAGAGTAATCCAGCTTGTTCCCCCACTTGGCCACCTCAGGGCTATGGTTCATGATAGTATGGTACATACCGCTCATGCCCAGACACAAGACAGCGCCGCCGAAGAAGCACCCGAACACGAGCACATCCGAACTGTTAGCCGAGCCATATCGGGGCGCAACGATGTTGTACAGCCAGACACCGACAATGGGGAAGGCGAGGGCGCCCAGCAGATGCGACCAGATGTTGACAGATTCATTGTGAATGTAGAAGAGCGAGACGAAGGATTTCCAGTAGCTGTTGCTGTCCACCCTGTACCCGCGCTTGATGAAGTGGTTGTCGCGCCGCCAAGTGGGCAAATCGTCCCAGAGCACGATGAGTGCCTGTTCGACCTTGGCTTCGACTTGTTTGGCTGTTGTCAGGATAGTTTCCGACACCGAAGGGCGGCGTTGCCGGAGGCCTGCTGCGGTTGCATCCGAGTCCGGCCGGCCATCGTGGTTGGCGGTCATGGTTTGGAGTTGGCTTTTGGGGTGAGTTGGGGAAATTTCAAAGTTGAGTTGCAGGGCTCGTCCGCAGTAGAAGGTTGGACAGATTGGCTGGCCACTCGAGATGGAAATATTCGGACTTTCAAAGCTGGAATTCTAGTTTTATAACTTCATGGTTTGCTTTTTCATCTTATTTACTTTGTAGTGGTGAATGAATCTGGGATTGCGAGTTTGTTGGGACCTCGGGACCTCTTCCGCAACTTGTTGAAGGTTGCACATGTCACTTCCGATTTTTGAATCTCCACCCACTTGGCTGCTCGTTCGATCATGTCAAGCAGGCTCGCATATCGGGCAGCTGCCAGGCAGCTGTCCGCGAAGGTGGCCTCGATCTGACTGCAGGGTCGATATTGAGTCGAAAGGGAGAAGCATGCAACTCAAATGTGAAAACGAAGTAGACGCGGCATACAGTCTGTAATCGTGTCGCATTTAAGCAATATGGTATCCCGTAAATCAAACCTACGACATCAAGGCCATGTCCTTTGGGCCGTCGCTATGCCTTCCCGTGACATACTTACTCTAAAGAGTTTGTAAGTCGGCTCTCGCCATATCAAGCGATGGTGCTGTCTATTTCTTGCCACTCTTTTTGATGCCTTGTGCGCCGGTGTTCAGGGGGCCCTTCTTGCCTCCCGCTATTGCTGCCATGTCAGCTCGTGCCTTTGCCTCTGGTAAACTGTCAGCAACTCGTCGTTTCTCCTCGAGACCGTATATTTCGTACCGGCCTTCTTCTTCTCGAGGAAAGCTTTGTCGTCTTCGTCGAGCTCCTTCTGAACCTTTTTAGGCGCCTTCAGCGGCTTCGCCTTGCCACCTACGTGAAATTCCCCAATTAGCATGCATGTTCGCTCTTTCCTGATGCTCTGCTGGTGTAATGGCGGGGCAGATTTCCGACGTACCATCTCTGCCTTGGCCACCCATAGTGAGATGTTTTGTAAATTTTCTTTAAGTATGGATCGCGAGGCAGTTTGGGTGACAGGAAAAGTGGTTGAATGATAAAACGGAGCGCTGCGGTTCTGGTCTTTAAATGCGAGAACCACGGGGTCTCGAAGGGTCGGTTGGCGGTCAAAAGAAGTAAAATCGGCGACCGCGGGGCACAAAGCAGTTTGGCGGGGGTAAGCCAGGAGTGGGCCAATTGTGGGATCTCGGATATTAGTAGTTCCGTTATGCAGCCTGGCGGCAGCTTCCGGCAAGGTTCCAGGGATCAATCAAGCAGTCCCGAGGTGAATCGAGACTGGCGTCTCAGTTATCCACCCGATGATCCGAATTAATTGACGACATCTCAAACCTAGCCGAGTCAAGTACCACATCACGTTTCTTGCTGGTACAATATTTAGACTTCGATTCCGACATCGCGTCGGAAATCCCCTCGCGCCTGTTCTTTTCCCGCATGCTCCCGCGACGCGTCTTGGCCTGCATTACGTTGTGATGAGAAGAGGCTGAAGAAAGCTCCCGGTTCGACTCATTCTCTGCGACTCAACTCTTAGCCGGTTCTGATTGCTGACACTGCGTCCACTGTCTCAAGAGTAGGGACTCAATTGGATCCATCGTTCTCTCTTAGCATTTTGATCGAATTGAGAGGGAGCTCAAAGATGGCGTCCCCATCCAGCTCTGACGAAGGCGAGATTGTGGAGACAAACGGCGTTGGCGTTGGTGATTCCAAGGCAACTTCACTGCCACAGATTGATCGAACTGGTGTTGACCGTCCGGACAGAAATCGAGCTAGACACTCGAGATCAAGAACACCCGAATATGGCAACGACACGAAATTCGACCACAATGCTCGCTCGCCCAGAGGCTTCAAACGATCTCGCAATGACGACGACTTCCGTCACAACGGGCGACTGAACCCCGATCCTCGACGCTTTCGTGTACACTACGAGGACGCCCGCGACGAACCCTCCCGCTCTCGCTTCTCGTACGATGACGAAGTCAAGGCGTCTTCACGATCTTCAACCTCTGGTCTTCGCTATGATGACCGGGACAGAGACAGAGCTAGGAACCGCGATCCACAGCGTGATCACAGCCGAGACCGTGACCACTATCCCGAAAAGCGCCCTCGAAAGCGCTCCAGATCTCCCTATAGACCTCCACGTGGTGGTAGTAACCGAGGTGATCGATCTCGTCGGGATGACGACCGCCACAGGCGACCCCTAGACAGAGATGTTGGCAGAGGTATCAAGTACGGTCATCAAGATAGCCCACAACATTCACAGGATCATGCAGTCTCCAAGCGGGCGACTTCGGTCGATACTTCTAGTACTTCTAAACATGATGCTAAATTTGGTAAAGGGCACTCGGATGAAGACAAGCCTGCCAAGGCACCTGCACAGGGACCTGAACAAGAACGCAGGGAGGAACCCCTCGACGTTGAGGCAGAGATTGAACGTCGGCGTCGCCGCCGCGAGGAACTCCTCGCCAAGTCTCGTGGACCAACTCCAATGCTTGTCCAAGCCTTGCATGCCTGCGAAAGAACAGCTCCATCATCGCCTGCGCATACGCAAGCTAGCACGCCTGGTGCAACCGATGACAATACTCCGCGTTCTGGTAAGTCGACTGCAAAACGCCAAGCCCGAACGATTACTTACTTGCACACAGCCATATCATCTCCTTCCTCGCCAGCTCCCGGTTTGCAGGAGGGCATGTCCCCTGCTGTACTTGACATATCTAGTGATCAAGAACTCATCAACACACATGGAAAGTCTGGAGCTACTGACGAAGACGGCCCCTCGGCAGCCGACTATGACCCAACAGCGGACATGAGGGAGGACGAGATGAGAGACGAGCGTCGCCACGGCCTCATTGGTCCGCACGGGGAAGTGCTTCCTCTCGAGCAGAAAGCCGAGATCGCCCTGAAAGAGGAGCCTCAACCTACAAAGAATGCAAATGACGAAGATGATGATTTTGATATGTTTGCGGACGACTTCGACGAGGAAAAGTTCGCTGCCCCCAAGTCTGTTGCTCAAGTTGACAATACTTCGGATGACAGAAAGCTCCCTGCCACCCTGGCTCAACCGAACGGGGGTGGTATTCTCGAGGGCGACGACAAGGAAGGGTACTACAAGATTCGAATCGGTGAGATCATGAACGGTCGCTACCAGGTTCAGTCGACCTTGGGTAAGGGCATGTTCTCCGGCGTCGCTCGTGCTGTGGATATAACGAGCAAGAAGCTGGTGGCCATCAAGATGATGCGTAACAATGACGCTCTCAGAAAAGGGGGTTTACCGAAATTGCTATTCTTCAGAAACTGAACGATTCAGACCCCGAAAATCGCAAACATATCGTCAAGTTCGAGCGTCACTTTGAGCACAAGGGGCATTTGTGTCTTGCATTCGAAAATCTGAGTTTGAACCTGCGAGAAGTCCTGAGAAAATTTGGAAACAACGTTGGCATCAACCTCAGCGCAACTCGAGCATACGCCCACCAGATGTTTGTTGCTCTGGCTCACATGCGTAAATGCACCATCATCCACGCAGATATCAAGCCCGACAACATACTGGTCAATGAGACCCGCAACATACTAAAGATTTGCGACTTGGGCACAGCTATTGATAGATCGGATGCTGCAACTGCCCATACCGAAATCACCCCATATTTAGTCAGTCGGTTTTACCGAGCCCCTGAGATCATTCTCGGGATGCCGTATGACTACGCCGTGGACATGTGGTCCATTGGCTGTACGTTGTATGAGCTGTACACCGGCAAGATTCTATTCACGGGCGACAGCAACAACCAGATGCTCAAGGCGATTATGGAGATTCGTGGCAAGTTTAGTACCAAGCTGTACAAGCGTGGTCAATTGTCACATATGCATTTCGATGACATGGGGAACTTCATCAGCGTCGAGCGGGATAAGGCGCTTGGGAAGGTATGTTACTATTTCTTCTTAGTCTCTTTTGTTTGATTCTATAGCGACCCGCAATCATGGTATTTTGGTCATAATCGCCGACCTATCACCTGTTTTATTCGTTCTATTTTTGTAAGGCGCTCTAGTGGCTGCTCTCTGCAGATCCACTACACACAGCTGTAAGCGCCGCGGCGCGGTTGTCTCATCCAAGTGGCCGATGACACGACTCGTCGTATCGGGGGAGATGAGTGTGCCGTTGTTGCATCCCTGGAGACAGCTGGATCTTGGGTCAATCCTACAAACATCTTGCATAGTCGCCCGTTTCAGGTTATGGTTCGGTCTCCCGGGCCCCGGGACCTAACATCCTCAAGCCCACTCTCTTGACCAGTGGCCCAAGGATTGGCCGACTCCTCAACAGCTAATCCCTTCCTTCACCATACCCCAGTTTTAAATATAAGGCTGTGTTTGCTAACGAGGTACTTGCAGACGAATATCAGAGCCCTTGCCGTTGTAAAGCCGACGCGGGATCTGCGCACTCGCCTCACAGCCGCATCTGGAGGCATGAACGAAAGTGAATCCAGGGATCTCAATCATTTTATCGACTTGCTGGAGCGATGTTTGGCTCTTAACCCGGACAAGAGGATGACTCCATCCGAGGCGCTCAAGCATCCCTTCTTTATGAGCAGGGTAGGCGCACCCGCAAGATAGTCCATTGGGGGCGGGGGTGGACGGAGTGCCGAGTTTGGCCATGCCTTGCTTGCGTACTGCAGCTGACAAGTGACGGCTTAGGAATGCGCAGCACCGTTAGGCGGTTGAATTGGATTAGCCTAGTCGCATTGAGTACGTAACAGGAATGGAAGAGGTCGGCGACATGGCGTCAATTGCGTGGCATCGCTGGCTTTGCTTGATCTGAGCTCTAAAATAGCCTATCAGTCATCTGGCTGATGATGGAATGGTCGCCGTTGCTTATCTTTGCAGAATGGAACTTTGCAAATTATGGTGCAACCAAGGATAGATGTCAATCAGATCATCATCGTGCCTCGCATGAAGATATTTGAAAATAAGTAAGAACTGTCTCGGTGTGCTTCTTTACGTCGTGGCTGGGTCACTTCTCCATCCTTTGCCGAGGCCCTATTCACCAGAGCCAGCCTAATATCCCGAGCATTATAGTCGGACCTTCCGAATAGGAAACATATTTGTGTCGAAACATGAAACTGAGCGCCACCGAGTCATTTCAACCCCGCAACCACTCGAGGATGGATCCAGTTACTGACATGAGCTGTGTCTAAACGGCGCCAGTTTGTGCCAACGATAGCTACCGTCATCACCATTACGCTTATCAAGAATTAAGGAGACAATCGCGCGTGACAAAAATCGTGCTATGCATACATGCACACCGATTCCCTTTTGTCGGTTGCGGCATGGTCATGCAGTGGCGTAGTCAACTAGGGAGAGTATAGTAGAATCTAGGATATGCAACATCCACAATCCTTCTTCTGCTGTGTCCCCTTCCCCCACTCGAAGATCAAGTTACAATAACCTTTTTCGTGACGCGATCTGTGTGTATGGGATCAAGTTACTTCGGAAGGCCCGTTACGATCACACAGAAATTAGCAAGCCTACCGCCACTCAGGCGAGATTTTCTTTCCCTTGCTATCACGGTATCACGGTATCACGGTATCACGATGGAGGTTTCTCGGCACATTTCACGCTGGGCTAAACTTTTTACCACCCTGGCTGGCTGGCGGTCAGTCGGTCAATCTTAATATTCATGGGCAGGTAGCATAGGCAAGTAACTGGAAAGAGCTCACGGCTTTGGGAGAAGCAGCACGAGGTATGCCGCTGCCCACTTGCTTTTGAAGCCGCTTGTTACAGATCTGCCGCCGAAGGAAAAGGGAAAGGGTAGGGCGGAGTTGCTGGTGTCACCTAGTTTCATTGGCCTTGGAATGCAGACTTGGTTCTGGGATCTACTGGCCCATCCCTGGACCCGATCTATAGTAAAGGGAGTCCAGAATGAAGTCTGGAGCGCCCGCTGGCTGCCTGGATGTGTGTAGATGGATGCGTTTGCATGTATAGAAAATGCACGATAATCCGGGTTCTTTTGTCTCCTGCGCGGCATTTCACAGGTATGCATTCAGGCATAGAAGGGAGATGTATCCCGGGTTGAGGCTGAGTTTCAGCTGGTTGACTGATTTACTACAAGCAAGCGAGCAAGCATGTAAGGCGCATCTGCTCCGCTTGACAGATGAGTGGATATGGTATTTCATGGAAAACCGCGCATAATCAAGCTAGAAAAGGCGCAGAACCAGAACGACTCTCTGATTTTATGATAAGTCATCGCGAAACATACATGCAGAGACCCGACCACGGCGGCTTGCATGGGCCGTCAGCTATGACCATGGCTTCGGTATGCCGGCGGCCGAGACGAGAGAGGATGCTGTGCTACGAGGGCATGGCTGCAGGCGGTGGGCGCTGCTGTTCATGGGAGGAGACAGCGAGGGAGCTGTGGTCGTGTGAGAGGCGAGATCGTGAATTGGGTTGAGTGCATTTGAAGATATTGATATTGGTTTTATTGTCAGATGTGATGTGTATATTGCATTTGAAGCTGAACTTTGCAATCCAGTTTCCTTCGCATTCGTACTAGATGTTCATGTATGGATATCAGACGGAGATAGAGATACAGTAGGCCACTATAGTGTCATGTTGCTTGCTGCTAGTGCTCACAGAGACAAAAGCTCTGCGGCCACAGCAGCATGCACGACGATATCGAGCAGTCCAAACACAGCAGTACGTCAGATTCCCCTCGTCCTACGTTTCCCAGTTGCGTGCCTTTGCTTTCCCGAACCCCAGCCCCAGTAACGGCGTACAGCATGTATGTACTCGTTTCAACGTGACTGACTGACTTGTCTCTGCGGCGGGTCTTTGAATATTTACCGACGTGATCTGAGTCTGGCCCGACCTCATATAACGTGGGTGGTACGGGCAGGCACAGGAAGTTCTTCACTAAGAAACATTGCCTTGTCTCGAGGGGTGGAGGCTGAGGGTTGGATAGGCTGTCGAGGGAATAAGGAGGGCCATTGGATATCCCGAGGCCGCAAGGCGACTATCCGTCCAACCTCGCCCCCATCCCTTGATCGAGAAACGGTGCGGCGGATTCCATGCGGGCAAACCGAAGTCTGTCCAAGGCCCCCATCCAGCGCACTTGTGGCGGCTCATTGGGATCGGGCGACCACCTGGTTGACCTAGCCTAGAGCACAGACACGGTACGAGTAGAAAGAATAGAGTGCCCTCACGCAAGCTTCGTGAGAACGTCAGGGATGGAATATTAGAAACACACCTGTCTGGATACATTCTGCCTTCTCAGATGTGTGGTACATACATGTCGTGCAAGGCTCAGGAATGCAGATGATGTATGCGCTCGGGAGGTGTACAAACTCAACAACGATGATTGACTGACCTTGGTCCGACGAAAAGGGTCTGAGCAACAGGCTCACTGGACCCTGAAAATCTCTCGACGTGCCATACCCCCCAAGGGATGGAATGCTCGAGCAACCTACGACACCACCGACACACGAAGTCGCAGGATTCGAGCCGTCTTTTGTGGAGCTTCAACTCTTCTCCGTCGTCGCTGGTTATCCAATCGGAAAGTGCTGATCTCACTACTCCATCTGTTAAGCTTTCGTGCGAGGCCACGGCCACATCGTGATCCTGACACATTCAATGAAGTTGCTGTGTACTACACAGCCGCCGTCTCGTTCGCGGACCCTGCATCGAGATGTTGGCATTCATGGAACGAAGTGCTACTAGATTCCGCTGTGCTGATTGATTCCTACATACGATGCTCATCAGCATCTTGTAAACGCTATGTCTGCTATCTGCGGCGCCAAACGAACGGGAAACGAGCGGCACGGCCCCTACGTTGACCCAGCACTATAAAAAGATGGATTTAATATGTATAGATTGACCTAGTGGAGTGTGTATTGCGACCTACATGGAAATGGGCTCCTTGAGGAGCAGCTCAAGCGCCATACCCGTCACCACTGTGCGTTGTGGACCAGTCGTTGGCCCAATATGCCAGCGGCCCAGCGGATAATTCCTGTGCATTGACGGAGCTTCTGTAGCGCTGTTCATCAGCTGCCTCAGTGAAGCGAAGGAGTTCTTTGACATCATCCCTCGCGGCCGTGCTTCAGATTGATGATGTTGTGCCCAGTCTGTCGTTCCTTTGGTGGGGGTGTTCTGGCCTCTCGTCGCGCCTTGATCAGCTGTGACGTCTGAGGGCTTGCATCATCACGGCTGTTCTCTCTTATCTCGACTGGCGAGCAGTCAATCAATCCCTTGTAAATAGGGGTCGATAGAGTTACTAACGGGCGACGGTCTCAGAAAGGTGAAGGGCTAGACGTTGCGCCCCCTCGTGCACTTGCATCTATCATGCCGCACTGCATTGCCGCTACTAGGTGACGGGCAGTGCGTTATTGCGTGTGCTGTCCACGCTCAGATCGGCAACCTTCTCAGCCATTGAGTCAGCGACGTGGTGTAGATGAACACGACAAACGCGTCTGGCACAATACGCGTCACTTTTGGTTAGGACTGAGTGAACCGGAGGAGTCGACAGAGTTCTGTCGTTCAAACGCTTGGTGTGTTTCCGACAGAATGGCCCCAGCTTACGAACTTTGACGCTAGGATCCGACCAACAGGCACCAGGCAAAACTACGCCGCGCTAGACTTAGCCAACTTGACAAGACATGAGGTCGTTCATGTTCAAGGGGGGTTATTACCACGAAGCACAGAATCACGATAAGAAGATAGTCAGCCTAAATTTCCCAAGATTGCTCACGAACCGGACACTGAGAGGGTCAACCACACCTCGGCTACACCATAGGCGCTGGCAATTCTGACCTGTCTCTTCGGTTCAACAAAGGGTGATGCTTGAGTATCCGTACGAAGTAGAAGCATCTCGCTACTACACACACACAAGGCTCCTGGTCTGTGCTGGTTTGTATTCGATTGATTGAGATCTACCCTCGCCTAGTCACGAGGCACAAGGATCCAGTGAGAAGCTCGATTCAAAACTCTACGATATCAGAATTGCCAAGGTGACCTTCTCACCCGAACTGTGTCGTAATTCATCAATCAATCAATCAATCAATCAATCCACGCGATACAAACTAAGGTAACCGACAAATCCTCCTGTGGTCGGTTGTTGGGCCCCTGCGTCGCCTGATATTTGCTCTAATTGCAATGTGACTTGCAGCGGACATTTTAACCGGAAAGCACATCTGGGCGTTACGCCGGCCCCGACAGGAGGCGTCGATATCGTGACTTTTTTTATTTTCCGGCCGGGGGGTTTGCTTGGCCCTTCGACAAGTCGAGATTGGCTTTGTTTGAAAGCAAGGGTCTCGAGAAAGCTTGGTTTTGTGTGAATCGAGGTAGCCCCCCGATTGCGATGACAAGCGCAAGGATGTTGAGCAAACTAGCAGGCCCAGTAAGAGCCAATGGTCCAAGCGGTTTGGGAAGTGTCAGGGAATATGGCTTGCCCATCACCGTCTCTCGCGTGGCGGTCAACATGCATAGGAGCCCATCGCTGTTGTGGAGTAGGAAGCAAGGGACTGTTCCCAAGCGATGCCAATCCAATGTTTCGGGAACTCCATGCAAGCCGCAAGCCGCACCTGCCTGATACCAACATCGTGGGGTTGGCAGGTTGAGTTTTGTGGAAACGAACGTTCGTGGTGACTGACTTGTCACGAGTATGGCAGGCCCTGTGGGTATTTGTCTTTTGCCTTGCGCTTCATCACACCCAGATTCTAGAACACCAGCTCTTGTCTCATAGTACAGACCACATGATCTTGGTTCGGACGGCTAGAGACTCGGAAGGATTGACATGACCGGCAGTTGGCCAATCCCCCGGGAACAGACCCCAAATTGTTGTGTGTGATGTAACACTTACTGTCCTTGCGGTGTGGATATTTACGAACAGAGCGCCCAATATTACAATTCCATAATTATACCACACCACCACTAAGATAGATAGACGAGATCTGGCTGATATGGGATTGCTGGCAACGACGAGGGATCGGCATCCTTGAACTCGGCATAACTCTGTGGCTGACATGTGCCGGACGACGTGTTGTAAAGTATGAAGCACTTGACTGGCGGTGAGTTGGAACTGGCGCTGTCGACATGCTGAAATAAAAAGAACACAGATAGATACGTAGGAATGTTGACCCATCCACGTACATACGTGTAGCAAAATAAAATTTGATTCCTCGATTCCTTCAAGTCAAGTCATCAATAGTAGGACGCGCAATCTTTAAGAATAGATATTCACGTAGTGCTTGCCCTGTGCAAGTAAAGGCTACTTCTGCTCTCGTATAACAACACAGGCTCTTCATCATTCTCAGGACTCCAATCGCCACGACCAAAATAGACAAGATCACTTATTGCACTGATTGACAGGTGGTCAATTCGATGACTACCGTATATTCAGACCCACTGGGTACACAAGTTCGGTGATCCACAGGCCAAAGTCTAGATTATTGGGTGGGATAACAATTCGTTATCGTCGCAACAGGTAAATTATGATGTGTGATATCGCCGAGAACAAAATGCGAGTCCAACGGGCGCAAGTGGCAGCATGACCACAGACGGGCGACGTAGCCCATTGGGCTGTAGGATCAGCCTTTTTTCCCCTGCACGGGCAATTTCCTGATCATGATGACTGGAGGATGAGGACAAATTACAGATTGACAGCCTCACTTTCGGCAAGTCGCGGCTGGGTCGAACCCACCTTTTACTCTGTACTATGTACGAGGCTGCTGCTGCTGCTGCGTGCAAGACCCCGGGCGAGCGACTGCTCTGGAGCCCAGGCCATGATTTACAGTGTGGGTGGCAGCCTCCGGAGATAATCCCTCAAAAAAGACATGCTCTATTGACGAATGAAATTGGAATCCTGAAGCTGCAGCACGGACATGGGGGAGGCCATGCAGCAGCCTCGATGCTGAAGATCTGCTGCGCCCAGCGAATCACAGAGCTAAATGACCCTGAACGTTCCAAGCAAGACGTCAGGAAGCAACGACCTGAGCGGTATTAGCCAGCCACAATGCCACACACCCGCAGCTGCACTGCACTGGCCATGTACGTCTTTTCAGTGGGATCAGCGCACCTCGGCCAGTCCAGTCATCAGTCAGAGTCACCCCAAACCTTGCAAGGCAAAGCAGAGTTATCCGCAGACAAGCCTGAGAGGGCGACTATTGTTGGGAGAGGAACCTCCCATGAGAGGTTGGCGGGCAAGCGGGGCGCTCAACGGCCCTACCGTGGGAGAGAAGCTCATGGAGGGACGGGCGAAACGCTCGAGAGACTTGGAAGCAGCAAGGCCACTCTGCCCACACTGCCCACGGTGGCTGCTGAGATTGGAGAACCAACCTCCACCACTCATTGCTTGACGCTTCCCAAGCTCGCCGTGAGTTTGGTCAGCCCAGTCATGCCGGCCCACGCGGCCAACTTTCTGCAGCTCTACTGCAGTAATGAGGGCAAACGACTCACCTGTGGCGGTAATTGTTGTGGATTGCTATTTCTGTTTCTCTTAATGCACGGTAACCTAATGGTGTTTGAAGATGAGAAACATCAGCGCCCAAATGCATAATGAACGAGCCAAGCTGTCAGGTTCGCACAATCCCGACCCGTGGCGCGTGGAGGAATTCCTGCGAAAAGCGCCAGGCCGCTCGTCGATTGGTCGGTGCTTCTGCTAAACAACAAACAGACTCCATGCCAATCTCGGTGGCCCAACCATCATAGATGAAGCGGGAATTGTTAGGTCGCCACCAGCCCTCATGCATCCAAGTACTGTGCCACCGTCAGGTCAAAGATGTCCGCTGCGTACCACCAAAGGCACCTTGACACCCGTTCGTCATTTCGTCAACGCAAGCGCTCCCTGGCATGCAAATAGAGCGATCTACAGAGTACACAGCGAGGTGAACCCAAGGAATTGCCTTCAGACGAGACAAGCTAGCGTCGCTCCACGGGCACATTGGCCGCCTGGTCCAATCATGTGCGAGTGCGACGCAACGGAGACAGCGATCTTGCACCACAGACGGCATCAGTTTCGACGACGCCGTCATCTAAACTCCTTTGCATTAATCCAACAGGGCACGACGCAACTTCTGCAACAGAAGGCTGGCCGATGTTACCGACGGACAATGCTGGAAGTCTCAAAGAAGCTTCGCCCTACCAGAGGCGAATTATGCGTCCGGTTTGTGGAAACTTGTGTGGAAACTTGTGTGCAAACAACGCCAGGCATCCCGTCCTGTCAATAGATAGTCTGCCCACGGATCATACGGTGGTCCCGCCCGCCGCCTTCTTGGCTGGGGGTGCTCCCAGCTCTCTGGGTTTTTTGTTCACCTTGAGAGAAACTGCCGCAAACTGCGCGATAAAGAGTTTTGCCAAGGGCAGTTTCACAGGCGACTCTCTGCCTTGCTCAAACGCCGAGTGTTCAACGGCAAGTCTCACCCAGCTGATGTCTTATTGTTTGCCTACATCTACCGCCTCGATAGTGATAACTAAAGGCTCTTGATTGCCCTTGTCCACCTGCCCACCTGCTGTTTAATCCAAACGGTGGTGCTGGCTTGGTAGGCTTGGGGAGGATGATAAGGACGACCTCCTGCCAACCGCCCGCCACCGTCCGCCGCCCACACCAACCAAAAGAGGGCAAAGAAGCAAAAGCATGCGAGTCACGGGCCCGTCGAGAATGACCATTTGCCCCGGCCTATGGGCGAACCAACAAAATGAAAGAAGTGGGGCCATCAGCAGCCACACCACCAGTACCCCATGGCAGCATCACACGCGTCCCCCTTCCTTTCCGTAGTAGTTCCCCTTCCAGCGTCGAGGGTACAAAGATACAGGGTGTGGTCTTAAGTATAGGACAAGGCTCTGCTGCTGGGCCGGCGTGGCACACCCTGGGATGAGTGGTGGTCCACTTATTTTGGTGTGTCAGATAATCCTTGCTCTCGTATATTGCTGAGCGTCACAAAATCTCGCTCCCTGCTCTCATGCTGTCCATCTCTACCGCTAGTGGACGGTGACGGGACGCCCAGGAGCACCGGGCCCATTCCTTGCCCACCCCCTGACTTCCACCCATCGAGAAATAGAAGAGCCACGCCCTCAACACTAGCGGCATCGAATTTAGAATAGCGCATACGTGTGAAGTGGGACGAAGTAGCGGGGACTAGGGTGAGCTGGCTATTATTCAAAGTGGCCTGTAGACCCAAGCCAAGGCGGCCGGGGTCTGATTACCGGGGTCTGATTGAGTGAGCCACCCGAACCACGCAAGACAAGGGCCCTGGACATGAGACTCAAGCGGTCTTCATTCGTAGATACATCAACTGGCCCATCCTGCATCATCTTCATCGAAGTTCGTAACGCTTGATCTTAATCATTATAGACATTTGCTTCAACAATCTCACTACAGTCTTTGGGAGTTGTACTTCCTCGTCGCCTCTGTCGCCATCTCCTCCGTCGACCACAAGCAAACATCAACAACATCCACCCATCCCCCCTCCCCTGTCGGCGACAGCTTCTTGGCCCTGTTTGACCCGTTGACTCGACGTCATTATATCACGAACCAGGACAATTTCCCGCGACCCAAGGAAAATACTCGTGGCTTTAATCCATCCAGGCTTTGCGATTTTGGTTGAGGATTCCCGTCCAGGAGAAAGGCCATTTCCTCTTATTTCTTCCTAAATCTATCTACTCTCCTTTGAGATTCAAAGCCTAGGATTTTTTTTGCCCAGTTCAGGACCACAGGACCGTGGTCCAGCGCATATCATGCATAATGTCCAAGCATATGGGTACCCTACGCCTCCGGCCTCGCCATCGTACGACGACCAAAAGTGCGTTTTCCAGCAGCCGTTTGTCGTGCCGCCAGTTTGCCAAAGTCGGTACACTCCTCCTGCGCCGGAAGAGCGGTTGGGGAAGTTCCTCGGGGAGAGCCTGCAGCTGATCGAAATCCTGGGTACCGGCGCATATGGCGTCGTCTACTTGGCCGTCGACGTGAAGAGCGGAATACGGTACGCCGTGAAGACGCTCAGCAAATTCAACATGGACGGGTCGCCTCTGGACCGACGACAAGTTGCTTTCCAGCACCAGGAACTACGACTCCACCACGTCGCCTCAGCCCACCCAAACGTGGTGTCCATGCTTAAGATTGTGGATGATCCAGACTGCACATATGTTGTTCTTGAATACTGCCCGGAGGGAGACCTCTTCTTCAACATTACCGAGTGCGGACAATACGTGGGTAAGGATGACTTGACCCGGAGTGTCTTCCTGCAAATTTTGGATGCCGTTGAGTACTGCCATGCCCTTGGCATTTACCACCGGGATCTGAAACCGGAGAACATACTGGTCTCTAACCACGGAGAGACGGTCAAGCTTGCCGACTTCGGTTTGGCCACATCAGCCGACCGATCCGAGGATTACGGATGCGGATCAACCTTTTACATGTCACCAGGTAGGATTTCTATCCACTCGCCCAGTTCACCCCCAACCCCCACCACCAACGCCGGAACGTTACTAACATAGTTCTCTTTTCTTCTCAGAATGTTTGGATCCTTCATCCCAGAGGCCATTCTACTTTTGTGCCCCCAATGACGTATGGAGCCTCGGAGTTATTCTGGTGAATCTTACCTGCGGACGCAACCCATGGAAGCAGGCATCTTTTGAGGATTCCACGTACCATGCCTTCACCCGGAATCCGGATTTTCTTAAGACTATACTACCATTGTCGGATGAACTGAACGACATACTGGGACGGATCTTCACTCGCAATCCAGACCAAAGAATTACGTTACCGGAACTCAAGAGCAGTATCCTTGCTTGTTCCCGATTCACCATCCTAGCCACGGGCGCTGCCCAGCAGCTACCACTGTCTCCGCCAGCATCACCGGAGCCTATTGAATACGTTGACTGTGAGGACGCCGTCATTGACGACTTCACATACGATACACCACTCTCACCAGCCTCCGACTCGGATGGTGAATCGACCTGCTCATCTGACGAAGGATCTTTAACCTCCAGTTGTTCGACTCTTGATGATTTGGACGACGAGGACTTTATTCCAGAGGATGAGTTGCCTCCCCAACAGGAACTCCACATGTTTGATCTGGAAGAACAACAAAAGGCGTTGTTTCCACAGGAATTCGTGCCTCAGTTTCCTGGAACCATGGCAGAGCCCTGCCAACGTGGACAACCCTGTCATCCGTGTCAAGTTTCGGTTCCCATTCAAGTCAATTGTGGACCCAAATTCCCTAACTTCCCTTTGTTCTGGGAAATGGTGAACCGATACACGCAACAGGTGCCGATGCATCACCCGGCTCCTTGCCATCATCCAGCCCCCCTCTTTGGCAACCTGCGAGGCTGCTACTAGCTTCTCTTCATGTATTTTTTTTACTACTCAGGGAGAGGCATTGGAGAGTCATTGCACCTGTCCACCGGGACAAGATGGATCCGAGGAGCCACATCATTGCCGGACCCAGTTCGACCAGGGGACTCTCCCTAAACTTGACTTCTATCAACATATTATGTCGACACTGACAAACCGTCGCATTCAACGATGAACACATAGTCCACAGTGGACAAAGCCACATTGGTTCATACGTTTTGTCATCTACCTGTCCCGGATGCTACAAGGATTGGGAGCCAGTGAAATAAGAGCGTAAAATTCTGTACGCTATTGGGAAGAAAAGTCTGCGACTTATTATCCTTCAAAACTGTACCATTTCGAAATCATGTATTTTCTTTGTTCGAATTTTCAGCGCGGAGTTGGGAGGGCGGTTTGAGAAGACATCCAAAAACCTCTGGACATCCAGGATATTGATCCCCCCACTCATCGGATAATGGAATGGACCAAACAAGGCATATTACTCGGCGCGGGGGCACAAATACAACCTTGGAGGGGGGGGCATTAGTCAGGGAAAGGGCTTCCGCTTGAGTTTTTGATGCGCAGTGTGTGGGCACAGGGTGGCACAGCGAGGAAGATGGTCAACACTTTCGCTTGGACGATACCACAATTCTTCTTCCTCGGATACACTATTTGCTCGGGGAGGTTGGAGCACTTTTGAACGAACAGTGTTTCGAGAAGCGTTTGGAGATGGCTCCGGTTTATGGGACACGAAAACTAGAAGAGACAGGGTCCATAGCCCGCACTCAAAGCCAGGTCAAACTGGATAAACACTATACGTTTCTATCGTGGTGGACACTAGCTCATCATTTGGCGGTGATCCCCTTGGGTCTGGGGGAAGTTATCATATTCACGAATAGACAGCTTCACCACTCAAATACAATGTCCGAGCGAGTAAATCGCTCATAATTTACAACAACAAACCGAAGGCTTCGGGCCACTTGCAAGTGAATCGTGTGTGGACTTGGGTGCGTCTCGACGGCAATATTTGTTTGGACCGACCTGAGAGCCATCGAAGCTATGTACGGTGCGCCAACGTTATGTTGGAGACGTGTTCACAGAGCTGATTGGTCAACTGCAGACGACGCCACTCGCCTTACTTTTCTGCAGTCTACCAACTTCAGGGCTGGCGAGCTCCCCCATCCATCATCTGTGCACCCTATACCCTTGTTTTTCCCTCTTTATTTTTCTTCCTGACCTATCGCCAGCGACGAGAGGCCCGGCCGTCGTTGCAACGCAACCTCGCATTAGCTCTCTGCAACTCCAAATTCATCGAACATGGCCCAAGATGTGTACAAGGTGTCTGTCGCATTTAGGTTATTTCATTTATTACCTCGTCTAGTCATTTCAAATCCTTCGGGGATGGACTGGGCGCACTCGTTCAATATGCGCGAACACAGGAGATCTCATCACCCCAAGTAATGGATTTATTGGCTTGGACAGGTGACGGCGCACCAATCCTAGCGAGCGCATCTACTTACTTTAGCCTCGAATGTCGATGTCGCTGGGGCATGCCTACCTGCCAACTAACTTTCCTCTGTATCTATCTATCTCCATGGAAAGAGCTTGCAGTAGCTTGGCACGGCCGGCGCCACTCGTTGCGCATGAAAAAATGTGTCTAGTCAACTGTCAGCCAGCCAGCCAAGGCCCGACGACGCCGTTCTCGAGTCTCTTCCCTCCTGGGTATAGCAGTGTCTGAATGTTGGTGCAGTGCATGGGTGGGTGGGCCCATGCTACATTAATTGGGCAGAGGCAGGGCACTATGCAAGTACCATCATTTCCAGTATTATTCTTTGTTTTCTTGCTTTTCCCTCTCGCACGAAGACTCGGGCGAATCACGTCTCGGTGTGCACCACCACTTGCTGCTCGTCGCCCGAGTGTGGTGCCCTGGCTCGGTTTTCCGGGCGCTGATTGGGTCGATAGACCATGCAACGCACATGGCGGTGAAAGTCAATACTTTTATGGCATCGCGGTGGTGGAGGGGGATGGGCTTGCTGAGGAGCGCCAGCACCCTCGTTCTCCGCAGAACAACATGGCAGAGGGTGGGGGCTGCTTATTGACGTTCGGGTAGACTTGTCGTGTTGGACCACTGGCTCGCTCTATCTCCAAGTGGACGGCCGGTCTATCTCGGTGAACAGCCTAGAACGAAAAAGAGGGGACCGGCCCCGTCGTGATGCTATTTTCTCACAATGTTGCTGTTCCCAGCCGAGGAGATCAGCATCTCCTGTCCGATTTTTCAAGGTCGAAGGCAACCCATTCGCTACGTTTGGGCCCGCCGTCGCAAGAGGGGTGTGATGACACGGGGATGACGAGACACTGACCAGAGGCAATCAGCCATTCAGCAGTTCCTCTCCAAGATCCAGTTGATGAGCTTGAAGGTGGTTGCGTCGTGTCGCGAGGGAACGTAGGCCAGCTAGACGCAATCCTCTCCATATTCCATCCCTCGCTTGGAGGCGCAACGCAGAGGTGGGTACATCGACAGCGTGCCAGGCAGCCTAGTGGCATGCTGTCGATATCTATCCGTCTCCATGTCATGTCGACGTTAACGCACTGGTATAGTCGCCTTGCTCGTTTGCATAGTGCCCCCTTTGGGATCCCCATTCCCATAGACACTTTCCACCACGGACGGAACGAGCCTTTCTCGTATTGGTGCTGTGGCCTGAAACTCTAATCTTAGTCGCAAGTGGGTTGTTTTTGCGTTGCGGCACTAAGTGAGCTAGTTGACGTATACCTATGTACGCTTGTGGCCGATAGGCTTCCCCCAACCCATTCTAACAACGGACGCCGAGAGGCTGTATTGTGACGGAGACAAACTAATTGCCAACGCGTCCGTCCACAGGGGCCTCCCCCCACAGCTAGCCACTGCTGTGACTTGTAACCATGGGACTCTTGGGTCTAGATCGTGGGCTGACGGCACCCAAGGAGTATCTGCAGCTTTTCTAGGGACGGCTGTCCGGAACTTGCTGCGCGGATTTGGGCGCATGCAGACTATGCACTTTGCTGCAGCGTGCGCAGGACCCTCGGGGTAGATTCACGGGTCCCGATACGTGTGTTGGACCGGTGGTCACTGGGCGTGTCTTCGGCACTGCGGTAGGCCTCCTGCCAGTATCTGTCTGCCCGGCCGAAGCTCACATAGTTACCAAAATGCCCTTGACAGCCTTGACAGGGTCTTGCTTACATGCATGTACTATGTTAAGACAAACCGCGAGGTCCACCCCGTCCGGAACAAGGAGGGAAGGCCTCCTGGACTGTGATCTGCTGACCATATAGTGGTTTACCGCGAAATTATCCGAGCCGTCCAACCAGAAGCTTGCATGCCGTGCGTGACACACCAAGGCTGGACACCTCACTCACAGCCTCGCCACCATGCGGTGATAGCCTCGACGGCGGGTGCCTGCCTGGCACCATCCGTGCATTATCGTCCGCAGGCTATTACCGGCCGGGTGGGTTTTAGGCCAACTAATTGGGTTGCCACTAGTACGACCATCACGGTGTCCCGGCGCTCCTGCTAGTCTCCCCGTGGTTGACCTTACCCGATCTCTAAGTTTCGACGGCATTGATGGCCGATGGCAATAGACCCAAGTCAAACTTCTGCCTCTGCAACAGCTGTCACCCATCATCACGGAACCCGGCCCTCCAGGTTGGGTTGTTATCTATCGACCTCCTGACTCTGAGTAGTGGAAGTCCGAGCGGCTTTCACGCTTGTTAACACGCCAAGCCCACGATTCCCCCTCGATCTGATGTTCTCCAGGCTACAGGCGTATCGGGTGCCCAGTGCTTTTCTGGGGGGTTGGTTGGGAAGGGGTTTTAATGGAGTTGCCCAGTCTAACGCATCAACGATGCTCCCTGGGCCATCATCTTCGTGACTCGTGTGAAATTTCTCCGTATTTTAAACTCTCGGGGAAATGCGTAATCAGGCGGGAGATTTGACTAAGCCACATCCATATTTACACGACAAGCGAAAACTCAATTCCTCTTCCACCATGATAATCTGATGTTGAGCATACTTCAGTGCAGGACGAGTCTCGCATGCAATATCTGACTCATGCCTCCTTCGTCAAAACAGGGTGTCGATAAGGGGGACTGCGAGAGAACTCTGACGATAACAACTCTAAGCTCGAGCCTCCCCGTGACCCGCAGACTCGTCGGCAATAAAAGTTCTATAGGGAGGAGATCGAGCTGAGACCTACGAGTATGGTTTTACCCGTATAGAGTTTCGGTTTGTTTCCGGGCCGCATGCGAGTCCTGCTTTGGTCGAAGTCGTCCCATCTTCTCCCGTAGCATACATTGTACATGTTGGAGCGCGGGGAAGAGCATCCACTACTGGAGTTTCAACTAAGCGTCACGCCAGCAGAGAAGTCTGTCTGGATAAACGTCCTCCGTTGCACAGCCGGAAGTGGAGACTTTCGTGGCAATGGCTCTTTGTGACAACGGGAGTCGCTGTTTATGCCCGTTGCGCGAATCATCTTTGCGTCGGAATCATGTTCCTTGATCTGGCGATAAGGAACAAGATGTATATCAGTACGAGCAAACTTAACAGTAGTAAATCCTTCGGTCTACAACGCCAAAGAGGAAAGGAATGACATGCACGCCAAGGGGCATGCGTCGAGGGAATCGAACCTTGGTCCGTCCTTGGAAAAGAACGGCAGCGCGCTACGACTCTGCTCCTCTCCGGATGCCCCGGATGCCGTGGCGATTGTACCCTCGGGAAATCGGATTCCTGCATCGACTTGGCCCTAAGGCTCGGCATCGCGGAGCGGGTCACGGCCTGTAGGGAGTGATTTAAATCCAATGCTGATGACTCGGGTGCCAAGATCTATGCTATTGGACTGGCTGGCTGGGTAGGCTTGGAACATTGTAACACATCCTGGGTAGAGTTGCCTTGACTATGTTTCGCCGACTGATATATGAGGACTGGCGTGTGTTACTATTCAGCGTGATCTGCACTCTTCATGAAGAAATGCGACAAATGGAAACTTTGGCAATTCCTTCATCGTCAAGGAGGCTCCATAGAGGCATTAAGGGGAGTGTGTCGGTCGGAACAGGTTACTAAGTTAGGTGGTTGCAAGCTTGGCGGATTGGCGAGTAAGGCATCGTCAAAATGCGAACCAGTGCTCTGAATTGCAGTTGGTACGTTGGATGTCAAGGAGTAATTGTAACATAGCCCCTTTCCGATTACCGTGGCGTCAACGTGGCACTTACGGTTGCGGCTGAGATGTGCGCCGACTGGTGCCAAATTTCGATCAAGATAGATAGATGTTTTGCTTTGCGTTAGTTACATGGCTTCTGTAGTATATACGTCCTGTGGAATTGGTAGTCAAGCAGATGTTCGCTCCATTGTAGCAGGATACTGTGCGTTGGGGACGCAGTTGGTGAATATATAGATAGGGGCCATTCGTGCTTCATTGTTCGAGATGAACGACTACCGTAATCATATGAAGACCCGATTGTTGTACGGCGAGGCTTTGAGTATCTGCCCGCCTCCTGATTACGAACGACGTGATATAGCGTGAGCTCAATGCTTACGGCGAAACGTGTCAGTCAGCCATGCCTCCCCTGGAAAACATCACGATTTAACTACCACGCGTGGTTTCTGAGTATCATAACCCCTGGCAATATGTGCCGTAACACCTGCACGACGCGAACCTGTATGCAAACATGCGCTGGATGTGCCGCAAGGAAACACTGCCATCGCCTCAGCACGACGGCATCAGATTCATCTGTAAATTCCATTCCTCAACTCGCCATTCGCCCACAAGATGGATGCCCTTCTCTGCACGGTTCAGTCGTCATCGGTTCCGCCAGTGAACATGCCTTCCTCCTCGCTAGTCTCGTTGTCGGTCTCCGCCTCGACTTCCTCGCTCGAACTGGCGTTGTCTCTCGAAGGCCTGCCGCGCCTCTTGGGCTCGGTCCTCTCTCCGTGGGCCAAGTCAATGTCCACACCGAGATCCATGATCCTGAGTAGACCGGATCCCATCGCTGCCGCTGCCCATGTGCTGAACTGGATGTTTGGGTTCCATGCAACCGCCGTGATACGCGTCCAAGGGTCGTAAACGGTTACATCGCCGCCCACATCGTCGTCATCCCCAGAATCGGCAGGCTTGGTCTTATCGTCTGTAGCCTGCTTCTGAGACGTCTTGCCTTTGCCCTTCTTGCCAGCCTTTCCAGACTTGCCGGGATTCTTCTTTTCCCGTTCCTCCATCTTCTTCTTCGCGATCCTGGTGGCTTTCGGGTGAGAGTTTGGCTCTGGGAGGAAGCCCTGCAAGATGCGAGAGACCCCACGAGGGCCTTCCTGTTCATCCTCGTCGGCTTTAGCCTCTGAGGACGACAAGCTGCGGTACTCGTGCTGAAAGAGCTTGATCTTGTTGACCTTCTTCCGGTAGTAAGTTGTTTTACGGAAATGATTGACAATCCACAACGACCCATCGGTACTGCCAACCAAGGTGAATGGATTGCACGCAGCCACAGCGAGACACGTGGGCTGGCCTTCAACACAGACAAGCAAGCGTGCCTGCGGGAAGACGCGGACCGCCATAAAAGCAATGAGGTTATTGCCTGGATGGGACGAGGGCATTATAGTGACGTAGCCTCGGAGGTGCTCGCACCAGCCCATCAGATTGGATTGGAACGTGATGCCGAGGTTGGGACAATAGGTGAGCTCCATATTGGGCCGGTTGAGGTCGGTCACGGTAGCGACGCCTCCCGTGGGAATGGTTGCGACAATGAAGGGATGGGACGGGTAGCCAGAGGCGATGTCGATGATATAAGTCGAATGCACGGGATGACGTTGAAGTATGCGACATGGGAATATCGACCAAACTGCCACCGAACCATCAGAGTGACCCACTGCGATGCGGTTTGTATTGACCCAGGCAAAGCAGGTTGCCTCGACGCTGTACTCATCCTTTATTTCGAGTGTTGCGAGTGGCGCCTGTATTTCCTCTGCATACCTGTCAGCACTGTTTCGTTATGGCACAGGATCAGTGGCTTTACCGAACACGCCCTTATCGCCCTTCATCGGTGGTTGTTTCACCTCTATTACTCTGATCTTACCGTCACTGCCGAGCACAGCTAACAGACCAACGCGGTCTTCGACTGTGAGTGGAACGGGGCACCACAGCATCCTAAGTGGTCTACCCCATTCAAAGCAGAGAGCTGACACCAGTGTGGGCTCAGACTTGGCGAGACACATGAGGCCCTGGGCATCTGTGTCGGCTGGTATTCTCCAGATCTGTACACTCCCCTGTTTCTTACTCGTCTCGGTTGGTGCCTCCTCTGGAGTTTCGTAGTACGCCTGGTCTGAGAATGGGACTACCGCCATGGCCAGGAGTTGATGCATGTTATTTGTCGTGGGTGCCCACCCCATCGACAAGACGATTCCTCCAACGTCCAAGAGCCACCCGGTGCGCTGGCCGTCGGTATTGTCGTTTTCTTCGACGGGGAGAGCGTTCTCTCCGAGTGGAATGTTCTTTCCCTGTGAAAGAGTGTACTCCTTCTGATTGTTGTACGGCCCGAGGAGTACAGTGAGATCCGACTCACTCTGGGGCAGATACCACCGTAACGCCGTCATCTTCGGCACGGTGGCTGAGACTTGGGGCCTGACACAGTTTGCAACATACTTCTCGTAACATTGCTTGAACTTGATCTCCTGTTCGACTGGAAATCCTGGATGCATCCACGGATTCTGTGCCCTGTCTTTTTGCTCAGGGGCTACGAGCTTAGGCGGCAGAAGCTCGTGGTTTTCCCAAATGGAAATAAGGTAATAGATGATGTCGTCATGGTCCTCCCGATCACCGAACCAGTACTGACTCAAATCGTGGAGACGCGTCCATCTGTGAACCGGGCCAATGTAGGTTCGAGTCCATTTTGCTGCGGGATCCGTTGGGTATGGCTGGACAGTTCCGGCAGGTGCTTCTGGTCGCGGGTCGCGGAACCTGCGCTTCGTCTGGTAAACCGATTCTCCTGGTGTTTGAGTCGGCTTGCCTCGTCCCAATGAGACCTCGATATCAGATGCCGACTTGATCTCAGCATCCTCATCTTGCTCGACTTCGGCGTCCGCGTCTGCTGGATCGGCTACGAATCCTTCGTCCGAGGAATCATCGGGGTTTTCGGCTGACCCAGCAGATGCATAGTCATCATCGTCAGAATCGATCTTCGGAATGATATCTGACGGTCGGAAACGTTTCCCCTTATTTGATCTCCGAGTCCTCATCTTGAAGATGAAAACAATATTCGGGTTCCACGTGACAAAGGTGTATGTCAACTGCTGCAAGCGGCGACAGGTGTGAGCCCCGGGAACGTCATGACCGGACTTCTAAAGTTGGAGCTCCAGGGCCTGCTTTCCACGAACTAACGTCAAACCTGTCAACTGAATGCTGTACCTCGCAAGCACGCGAGGTGATTCAGAGGCAGGTATGATTTTCCGATTGGATGCAGGAAACGCGTGTGTGCTTCTTCAGCAAGGCTTCTTCAGCAAGCCGGCGCGCAATTCAACTTCTAAGCGGGTACAAGTGTGGGCCCCCCGGCAGCTTCACCCGCTTCTAAAATTTCTCGCTACGGAGAGCTAGCTGCCCTGTACCACGGCGCTTTTTGTTCATCCAGGTGATCTCTACTACAACGTAAATATCCCATGAAGCACCCCAATGCTATTGGACAGATAGCCTGACCTCCTTCAAACCACGATCCCTCCAGCTCTGAGTACATTTTTGCCTGTGGAAGGTTGGTTCAGCTGTAGCCTTGGGTTCTCTCTTTAATGTCCCATTTATCCAAAGCGATGCCGGATTGCTTGAGTGCAATGGAGCATTAGACTCAATATCGTCATCCCATCGTTTGCTTGCATGAGGTAGCAAATAAAGGTTTGTTGTTATGGAACAAGCAATCAGCTAAGAATGGCCATTTCTTCTGCCAGGCTGCTCCATCACTGTAACACGGCGTGAACAGGTTAGGCCATGCACGTCGAAGGTCGCAGATGCACATCATAAAGATACTTCAGTCGTCGTAAGCTGGCCTCGTAGTTACGACTGAACCATGTTGATGATTGCAGGCAGAGTAACTTACTTATAGTGCTTTTTATATCTTTTCCTGCAGTGGATTGATCCACTATTCTACTTTCGAGGATCATTTCGTATTATTCGCTGAACATTCCAAAAGGATAAACATCAAAGCAGACCTGCCACAACAAAATGAAGCTACTCAGGACATTGTATCAAGTTTTACACTGTTATAGGCTCGGGATGCTCATTCCTGAGCACGTAAAGCAGGACTAGTGGATAGATGGAAAGTTGTCCGCAATTATAGAGTAAACACGCGGTAGTTGCACAATAGTCTCAACCGAAAGACAAGAGGGCTCCGATGTAGTCACACGATGCTCGTAGAGAAGCCATGTATGTAAGGGGGTATAACTCAATCAAGCCTTGATTTTGGAAGCGCACCTAGGAACTAAGTAGTTTTCAAGGAAAAGAAAAAGGTTGATGGCCTACGGAAAGACCAAGCGGTGAGAGATGACGAAACGAAGCGTTCGGAAACAGGTCTCTGCCACTAACTCACTCATCCACGGAAACACCTCAACTCCTCGCTCCGGTCGCAATCCTCTCATGTAAGTGACCCATTGCCAGCCTGCCCACCTCCTCTCCCTTACATCCACCCAACCACTCACTCAGTCTGAGGGTTCAATAGTAGTCGACCCCCCAAGATTAGGCCACTCCGGCACCACAACCCCGTCCGCCTGCAAGATCGTCGCAATGTTCTGCATAACGATAAACACGGGCTCCGGGATCTTGCCCGACCCATAAGTCCCATACTGCGCCTCGAGCTCGGTAAGCGCGTCCAGCAGCCCAGCGTCGCTCTCGTCACGCTTCCTGTCACTGGGATGAATGGCGCCCCCTGGCACAGTCGGGTCAGGGATTATAGCGCCGCCGGGGTAATAGGGGTCGGGCGTGATCTTACCGCCGGGGATGGTCGGGTCGGGTGTGATTCCGCCGCCAGGGATATACGGCCCCGGAATCAGAACTCCGCCTGGGACGGTGGGATCAGGCGAAATCCAGCCGGGGACAGAAATGCCCTGCGCGTACAGGATAGTGGCGATGCTTTGCTCAATGAGGAAGATATCACGGGGTGGAGCGAGGCCGTAGGTAGCCTCGAGCATGGCGAGGAGGGCCTGCAGGGCGACCGTGTTGACGCTGTCGCCGAGCTGGATGGTACCTCTGCGCTGCTTCGTTCTGGGGCCGACGACGGTGGTAGTGCCGGGGAGGATGAGGAAGTCATAGGATTCGAGCACGGCGGCGATGTCTTGGAGGACGAGCCAGTCCGCCATGGGCGGAATGGCACCGTCGTAGGCTTGTACTTGGATTTCCAGGATGCTGGCCAAGGCTTCGATGTCATAGGTGGCGGCCGCGCGCTTGGTTGAGGGGTAGATGGTGGTGGTGGTGCCGTCCGGGGCTTTGATAATGATAATTCCGTACGCGAGTAAAATGTGCTTGATCTTTTCTTCCACAATGAAGACGTCGTGGGGAGGGTTGGAGCCGTATTGTTGCATCAGCGACTCCAGGGTTTTCTCCAGACCGGCCAAGTCGAAGCCAGCCTCCCCGTAGTTCCCAGCACCCAGTGGCGAGGCCTCCTCCCTCTTTACTTTACCAGGGGTGAAGGTCGTGGTGGTGCCATCTGGGGACCGGATGATCTTGATGCCGTACTTGAGGAGTTCCGCCTCGATAGCCTTGAGCTGCTTCTCCACCGGTTCTGGCGGATGCGCGCCGAACGCGTGGATCAATGCCTCGTACTGCAATTCGAGGGCAGTAATCTTGGCCTTCAGCGTACTATCACCTCCACCGATGGTGATGCCGTCCTGTCTCCTCTCCCTTGGCGGATTCAGACCACCGACAACAACCGGAGGGCCAACAGAGATCGAGTTATCTTGTCTCCTCCCCTTCGGAGGTTTCATTCCACCCGTAAGAGGAGGGCCAATGATAATAACATTGCCCTGTCTCTTCTCCTTCGGGGGGTTCATTCCACCAGCGGTGGGAGAAGGCGGGGGTGGCCAGAAGCCTGACCACGGATCTCCTATCGTCCACTGTCTTTCCTCCAAGGTGTTGCCGTCTTCAGAGACTGGAGTCGGAGCTCCCCGGACAAGAGCCACAAGGGCTAGGGCTGTAATAGCCCTGATCATGGTGTTGGTTTGACTGTCGACTTGGTGCTGAACAGACGGGACAGTGATTGAGGCGGGTGCTCAAAAGTGGAACTGATGAGCGGATATAACAGTAAGTTTCCACTTGACGTATGCCGTTGTGGATTTTGATATGGTCGATGTCTCCATCCCAAATAAGCTTGATCGTCGTGCTTCATCGGTATATTTATAGCACAAGAGTCTCGGCTCTGCGGCATTGTGATAGATAACGAAGTACAGACCCGCCTTGAGTGTTGTGATTCCAGACTGATTTTCATTTAAGCTTAATATGAGAATAGATGAGGCCCGGCAAGACTCGACGACACCAGCCAAATATCCGGCCTCATTTATCCGGGGCGAGCCTTTGGGCGACCCATTGGTGTGGTTTGCCTCCCATGTGGTTTGCAATCGTGGACATGAGCTTCGGCCGTATTCAATCAAATAGTAGAGATAAGGTTGCATCCTTCGCTCATGGCTATATAGCAACATACGAGAACGGACATTGCGGGGCTGCGAAATGCGTAGTCCCGCAGCAAACCGAAGCTCACGATGAAGTTCAAGGGCTTCTCGATGTCTATTTTTGGACTGACCAGATGACGAAATTTGGTCATATGGGGCATTGCACTCGCTTCCGCAGAAGCAGGTATTGTTTAATATTAAAGAACGTCTGAGGCCCTGCGAACTGCCATCTTGCCCCAATATGAACGGTATGGCCGCTGTGACGGTGGCTTGCTCGCGAGGTCAAGCGGAGCTGAGAAAGAATTCACGAAAACAAGCATGTGTTACCCTCTTCGAAAAGAACTGGAAAATATACGTGGTGAGACAGGTCTCGCCTAACGCTCTTCGGTGTCCACCGCTGAACAGTCCTCCCTCAAGGGGCCGTTGATGCCGCGCAGGCCATAAACCAGCTGATCATTATGGAAACCGTGGACTCACCAGCGAGTCGCCTCAATAAGCTGTTCATCACCATACGTGAGATGGCGCCATCCATCACAGAGGATGAGACAGCTGGTGTGAGTGAGATTAGCCAGACATAGGCGGCTTCACCCGTCCGCAAGATGAACAGAAGCCTGTGTCTTGCAATGCCGCTGAGGTTCGTCACACGACTCGGAATTTGGATTGTGTCATATGACGGCTCGGTATGCCACTGCTCAAGTGCCTTTCAGCCAAAGACCTACACTTTCCAGTCGCCGAGCCCGACGGGCAGCTAGGCTATTCAAGTACCTTTTGAGGGGTGGGCGTGGGGGACTTGACGCGTTGAAAGGTGCGGCCTACTCAATAAAGTGGTGTGATGTTTGTGCAGAACAAACGAGAAATTTCCATCCATCATGGAGACGAGAACCCAGCTCGCCCAAGCCGTGTTGAGACTTTCGGTCTGGCGATGCTTCCGGTGTGACGCCTGGAAGTGCTTAGACAGTATCCACCCATTTCCGGGTATATTGGCGAACTCCTCGCATCAGTCAGCAACCGAAATAATTATGTATCTAGGCGCAGATGTAAACATGGACATCTTCAGTGTCACATTCGCCTGGTGCTTCTGTGTCGAGACGGCTCGTTAAGACACACACTCCCCATGTCTGGTAAAGCCAATCGGTCGAAATACCTTTGATACCCGCCCAAGCTTCCTCAAGGTACGGCCCACGGTCCAAGGTCCAAATCGAAAGTAACGTCAAGGGTCTCGACCTCGATAGATCTGAAGAGTAGCCAAAAGAGCTCGGGAAGTACAAGATTTGAAAGACATGAAGGCGAGAAAAGGTCCCGATTGATGCTTGTACGTAGTGAAGAAGTCGTGTGGTCCGTGCATAACGCCTCCAGCTCCCAAAAATAGAAGGCGCTGATCCCTAGCCTAGAGCTTTGATAGACCCGCAATCAGGGACCTCGGAACGAAAGCTATCGCGGGGTTCAAATCGTCGCAAATCTGGGGTTGGTTCATCAACTTCACGACTTAGCATTGCTACATTCATTCACCCTTCATGGCGGCCAAGTCGAGTTCTGTCCTCCGACGCGCCCTTCTCTACGGCAAGTGCGCCAATTCAGTGTTCCGCTTGGTGCCCTATTCGCATTGCGTTCTCATGCCTGAAGCTCCCGAAGCTCAAGCTCACGCTCATAGAGCTTCCCACACCAGATCCCCAGACTCTAGCTTTAGAATCACGAATTACACTTTTAACTGACCGAACAACCACAGTCCCTGCCTCTTCCCCTCGAATGTTGACCAAATCGCTCAGCCTCACCACCGACAACCTAACCTACGACCTCGAAGACTCTGTCACCCCCAGCTCCAAACCCTCGGCCCGCACCGCCCTTCAAACCCACATCTCCTCGCTCTCTTCCCGGCCTGCTTCCATCTCGGAGCTCGCTGTCCGCCTGAACGCCATATCTACCCCCTACGCCCTTGACGACCTGACCTCTCTCGCGCCCCTGCCCCAACTCGACGCCATCGTGATCCCCAAGGTCAACTCCGCCTCAGACCTGACCTTCGCCACCGATGCTTTACGCCATCTCGCTCCATCTCGCCACTCGGCCACGGGCAACAAAGATGGGTCAAAAGGAGGGAATCCCATTAAGATAATCGCCCTCATCGAATCCGCCAAAGCCGTAATGGACCTCCGCTCCATCTGTGCCGCCTCCCCCTACCTAACCGGGCTCATCTTCGCCGCCGAGGACTTCGCCCTCGACCTCTCGCTAACCCGCACCCCGTCTCTCCACGAATTCCTGTATGCGCGGTCGGCCATCGCCACAGCGGCTAGGGCAGCGGGCCTGCCAAGCACGATTGATCTAGTCTGCACTTCGTACAAAGGGGAGGAAGGTATGCGGAGGCTCGAGGAGGAGTGTCTTGGGGGTAAGGCAATGGGATTCAACGGGAAGCAGTGTATACACCCTTCGCAGGTCGACACGGTACAGAGGCTGTTTGCGCCTGCGGAGCAGGAGGTCGAGTGGGCAATGCGGATCGTAGTGGCGGACGAGAAGGCGACGGATGCGGGACGGGGGGCGTGGACATTGGATGGTGCCATGATAGACGCGCCTGTAGTTGGCAAGGCGAATGCCATTGTGACGAAAGCAGAGAGGTGCGGCTTTGACGTTAAGGCCTTACGAGACAAGTGGAAAGATCAGGAGCCGGAATAAAATGGACATGAGGTCTGAATAGCCCCTGTACGTTCAAAGACTTCTCGACATTTTCGCCTAATGGCTCGCTATGAGAGTAATCTATAGGTAAGCTCAGAATCGTGCGAAATAATTAGGCCGCCAAAAGCTCGACATTTCTGAGATCTCTTCCGGGTCATTTTCTACTATTCCATCGTCAGTTGGATTCAAGGTCCGCGCATCATTATGTACGTTGCGTGATTGGTGTGCTCCTTTCAACTGTGCCTGTATCCCATCGTTATGTACCCATGCATGGAACCGGTCTTCGAAATGGTTCGGATTTGACCCTATTTCACCATCATTGTATTCTGTCTGGCGCGACCATGCCGGTTGGTGCAGGTTGGGCGCCATTTGATATCCGTGCGACCATTCTACTTCCCGTTCAGCTTCAGCTGCGATCAACTCGGGCCTTGCATAATTTGGGTCAAGAGAGCTCTTGTTCGTCCTGATACGAGACACTTCAGCAACTCTTTCGTCTCCTCGCTCGTCAATCGTGGAACCATACTTGATCTGTTGGTTATTCGTCTCATCATTCACATCTGGCGGAGATGCTGCGGCTTCACTTTCTATTCGTGCGATGAAATCGGCCATGCTTTCACCGCCAGGGCCATCGTCCAGTAGATCAGGTATACTACTCGCTTCATCGACAGGTAGAATACTTAACTGACTTACGTAAAGGGGTGATTTGGAGTTGATTCCCGACGTGGCAGCGCTGCGTGTCAGTGCAGGAGTCGGCATCCGAGTCGCATCGATCCAAGAAACAGATTGAAGTGACGGCAGATTATTACTGTTTTCCGTTGCTATTCCTTGGGGAGATTGGAATTTATTATGACCCGGGTAAAATTCCTTCTCTGCATATTGTTCATCATTTGCTGGTGTTATCATTTTAAGGGCTTCCGCTATTTCGTCATGACTGGGTTGGTTTTTCGTTCTCTCTAGAACATCTAGCTGTGTCAGCGGTGCATTACCGCTTGAGTCTTGCCGGTCCAAGGGGATTGGAGGAGGCGGCATCGCTCCTCTAGATGTAAGAGATGCCTTTTCGTTTGGACTAGATAGCTGTAGGTGTGGGGCTTCTGAATTCTTTGACCATCGGCCATCATGTTGTGGGTTTGGCTTGAGTGTTAAGCTGTTCTCTCCAGACCGAGGGGATCTTTGTTTTTTGCCCTGTATATTAACGAGTGCCTCATCGGCGATCTTGTTCCTGTCTACAGTGTCATGCTGGCTGGCTGTTCGTGTTGATCGTTCACTCGCACAGCAACGGCTTGTTGCCTGGGCCTGTGCTTGATCCTTGAGCGCTTCAGCGTTGTCCAAAGAACGCTTTGCGTGCTCTCTTCGCCAGCCTAGTGGCAGGATATTTTCCCATCGATCTAAAATAGATTGGTCCGGACGATGGGTGACTGCATCCTGGTTTTCGGGCCTGGCATTTGCGGCAGGACTCATAGTTCGCTCCCGACCACCGGCCTGACTGCAGACTTGTGCGCCCTTACTGCGCAGCGTTGACGCGTTCTGAATGTCACTATCACGTTGAAATCCACGCCTCGAACCGTCATACGGATTAATTCCAGTGCCTCGATAGATGCCGGTCTTTACCAAAGCCTCTCTTATGAGATCAGGTGTTGTACTCCGCTGAGACTCTGGCCTTACTGAGCTCACCGAGGCAGATCTCCTTTGAGCAATGGGTGATCGAGGTGGACTGCTTGACCATGTAAAGTAAGTGGTGGCCTTGCTTTCTCGAGTTGACACCGGTCGTGAATTCGCCATTACAGCGGGGAGAGAGCTCATAGTTTGATTGGTTGGTCTGCACGATGGAAGTGACGTACGGCGCCCGTTGGAAGCCCGTTGGCCAGTGGACGACGCGAGAGAGCAGTCCTGGCCGCGTATCGATACAGGCTCTTCACTTGCTCGGGCTTGACGGCCCCTGACATTGTCTCGACTTCTCGGTGCAATGATACCCGTGCCTTGTTGGTTGCCATCTGTTTTTTGCGGCAAGAAGAACGACGAGACCTGTTCAATCTCTTCGTTTTGTCTCTCAAGCACCCTTAACCGGTGTCGGGAGAGCGGCTTCGATTCTTGGGCTAGCTTTCGATCCTGAAGGAAATGCATATTTGAGAATGCAAGATCAGGAACTACAAAAGTCATTATCAAGGAAACAAGGGCATCTTGAGCGTACCTACCTGATCGTGCTCCCGCCTCGCGACCATTCTTGAAGATTCCAGGCTTTAGTGATGGTTTTACCTGTATTGGTGATCAGCAACAGGAACGAGCGCCAATACAGCTGCAAGTCGTACCGTGATGCGATCATTCATGACAGCATCTGAGTTGAAGTTGCTTATAACGTTCTTGCTAGACGTCAAAGCTCTTCTCTTCTCATACTTTCCGTTCCTCTTCTTTCGATGGTGCCGTCCCCGGTCCTTAGACCTTTCGCGCTTATGCTTTTTTTGTATCTTGTCATACTTGTCCTCCCTGGTCTTGTGCCTCGGCCTCTTCTCGAAGCGGTATGCACCCGAGGACGACAATTCTATCGACAAGTCATCCAAATGATTCGCCTCAAACTTTCTCTGCTGCTCCGGTGATGGGGTGTCGTCATCTGGAAACTCCCGCCGTGGAGGTGGAGATAGATTCTGTACAATAGCCTTGTCATTCTCGAAACCGCTGAGCAAGGAGCTGTTATGAGACGCAAGCCCCCTCCTGGCGCGACGCCTAATCCTGCTGGGGCCAAGGGAGAGTAGTGGAGAGACCTCGTAGCGCTGCAACCTCGGCCGGCTACGACCGATTGTGGGGGGTTGCTCCTGTTCCTTTAACCTGGATAGAGGCTTTCTTCGGCCTGGATCCCCTGTCTGTTCAAGCCAGCTTTCCACGAGATCGTTGCCAGTACGCTGATCTATTGCCCGGTTCAAGTTACCCTGCGCTATGTCGTTCTCATGGTGGGATCTACGGCGACGTTTCGGATGGGGACCATCACTAGGTTCAGCGAAGTACTCGTCCCTGGCGTGATGATGCCCCTGGCTGTGTTGATGTCCATGCCTAAAATGTTGATGTCGGTGCTGACGTTGAGAGGAGTGAGACGGATCCTTGATGTCCATTGAAGTATGGGTTGAAACCGATTGGCCTTGAAATGAAGCAAAGACTGCGCATTTGAAACGGCGTGGGACAGACATCCACCGCGCATCGGGTTAGATGCTCCGCAGTACGGGATGTCGTGCGTTGGCCGGAGTCTATCAAGGAAATATTTTCGTCAAGTTTACGCGAGATCAACCTTGAAAATGGATGTGCCGAGTGGCATGCGGCTCAAATGCCGCCCAAGAACCCCTGTCCAGGGCATGTTGCTTGAATCAAATTAAGGAAGGTGCAGACGGGGGCCAGTCAGCGGTTGCTGCCGTCGCGGTGAAACCAGAAGCGGTTGGTTTTAAAGTGGTTCAGATAGCCTCCGGGTTGGGCAACGTCTGATGCAAGATCGTATACTTCGGCAAACGTGTTCATAGGAGAAGATCCTGACCATCTGGTCTTGGCAAGCTCTATACACATGCACGTATCTGCCACCAAGAACTATCATCGTGAACCGCTGAATGCAGGAGGTCAGTGGGAGTAGGAATGGTTCCTAGAAAACCACATACAATGGGATCTGACATGTCGCAGTGCCTCTCAGTTCCTGCGAACCCATACAAGATTTTGACTTTTGGGAGCCAGGTCCAAGTCTCACGTCTGCAACTCAGTCGGGAGAACTGCCATAACGGCCTCCCGCCTTCGGGGGCATTTCCTCTTTCCGCATGTTGAACCTTAGAAAGTAAAATTCTCCAGTCTGTCCTGTCACTTCTGATGCTCACTGATGCTCAGTGTGCCACTAATCGTCAAGTACAGTTGTCCCCCTATACACCTTTGATACAACAAGCGCCCCTGGCTCTATTAATAGAAGAGTTGGACTGCAGTGAATAGAGTTCCTGGTCCCTGTATCACATTACATTGTCCAGCTGCGGCCCTATGCACGTCCTTATTACCGGCCGTGTAGCCTCATATGTCGTCGATCCTTGGGCCATTTGCTGACGCTGCTCTTATTGGTGTGTTGGGCAGAGATGGCATCTTGCGCTCGCACTTGGAACTGCCTGAAGGTGGTTGCTTTCGTCGAATTTTGCTATCCTCAATCCAAGACGTTGGAGAGCCTGCCAAGAACTGTCTGGGCGGCTTGCGATATCCCCTGTAAGCGGTTGGTCATAGCTCCTCGTAGCTTTTCCAGAACTCTTCTACCAGGGTCAACGTCAACGCGGGGTAGCTTGAATGTATCTGTTGTTTCTCCAAGTGCTTGAACTGTCATGAAGCGGCTTTCCATTGATGTATTTGTCACCTTTCACCTTTCTCAGTGAACCTCGGCTGAGGGTGGCTTCCTGACGATCCAATGCTCATTAGCTTCTGATGTGGCCCGGGTACAGAAATTCATCCGACTTTCCCACCTCAAAGCATCTCAATAATCCTAGGGTTGCAGATCAGGCAACGCGGGTACCATCCGCACAACCGCAAGCCCCAGGCCCGCCGGAGTGGCTGAGTTGTTGACTTGGCTCGTATCAGTGCTCCAGTAGCGTCACATTGTTCCTGCTGAGGTGAGTGTTATCCAAACAGACGCAGGCGATTTTGTAGTGATCGACCATACAGCCAGGCCGGCATGCAGGCCCGCACAGTGGTCGCACATTGTCATCTTTGCCCCAAGAACAGGGAATACTCAGCCTTTGTGGAACACCCCGTGTGTCGGATTATAGCCCACCTTCTCATGTAAGTCTGACTATTTGGTGGCAGCCCGGACGGACCCCAGGACCTGTTTAAGAAAACCCATGCTGGTAGATCACCACCATCCCGGGGTATAAGTCCTACTCTGGACACGTCCATAGTTATTCACCGCAGGTCTTTACGGCCAATTGGCTGCTTCCATCAAGCAATTTGGACAAGATCGCATCTAAATGTGCTCTCTCTCGCGAGCTAACCGAGTGGGATAGTCAGCACTACTAACTACCTTGCTACCCTTTCAAGGTCCCAGACTGGCACTAAGATCGAGCGTCGGAAAATTTTAGTACCTGCTCCACTCGCCGGTGGTCTATATGGTAGCATCGTAGGAGAGTCAAGGCACGTGGCGCGAGTTCCCCGCGCCTTTCCCGCCTTAACACATTTGTCCATGCAAAGAATATAGGGCAAGTGATCCTGAAGATCCTGCAAGCGTTTCAGTTCTGCTGAAGATATTTAAGTGATATCACAGGAGAGAGTTTCTTGCCTGTTTCGCATGATGCCAGGATGTCTTCTATCACCTGACTTCTCGGCCAAGTTATCTCTGCTGATCACAGACGTGACAAAAGGCAACGGTGGAAAAAGCGCCTTTGGCGAGGGGCAATGGAGGGGTTGCCGTTTTCGCAGTGCTCGGTGAGACCCCGGACGCTCTCAAATCCTTAGGAACCCACAAGATGTTCCCCTGTTCCTGAAGAGACATATGTGGGCGCGGTCTGGTTGGCCACTTCTGGGGATCTCGCTTTTTCGGGTTGCTGCCGCGCTGTGCAACGAGGCAGAGATGATGCGAATTGGATACGCAGTGGCACAAGCTTGCGTGCAAAGCCGTCGTAATATTGACGGGTTGGTCTTCTTATCGCCTATCGATATAGACTGAAAACGGGTTTGGCTGCAGAAATTGGTTTCAGGGTAGGCTGCAAGACCCTATGTCGTTGAAAGGAAGGTCCCAAAACGGTCGCAACTGCATTAATGGGCTGCATTTTTGCCAACGCCGGTAAAACTACACGCAACGCCTTTGAACCCAATCGCAGAATATTGTGGCCGGTACGTACGTTGAAGACGAGTTTAAGCGGGATCTGTCGAAAACCTGGCTGGCTGGCTTGGCTTTATCAGCTCGCCTTCCTAGATTGCCCTAGCAGTTCGACTTAGGCCTCTACTTGTAATTGACCGGCAGGGGTCTCGAAACTCTGAAAATCTGAAGTCGCAATCCCCGAAGCAAGCAGAACAAGAACATTGGAGGGGTGAGGTCTCTGGAGCTTTGAACCTGGCAGGCATGTCCAGTAGGCGGCTGTGGACTTGGTGGGGTATGACAATGTTTGAGTGGTTTTCGGCAAACTGCAAATCTCCCCACGACTCAGGGCCACAGCGCCGTCCATTTTGACGATTCCACTTTTGGACCCGACTGGAACCGTATCAACGTTTTTCTCTTGCGCCCACTGGTGGAGTCTCACTCCGATGCTGAGCCCCCGGGAGACAAGATATGCCTCGTCTGCTTGATGCTTGTTTTGGGAGCAGCAGCCCTGCTGGCACGCTCATGCTGGTCAAAACGCCGACTGGCTATCATCGAGGATGCGATGAGCCAGATGCACTGGGATGGATGGAGAATTAGTGTGCCTCCTCCCTAGCCCTCATGCTGGGTCATGAAATATAAATCAGACGGGGTCGAAGCCATGGGTCCCTCGTCAGGTAGCGTAGCTTGTGTCTCTACTAGTCAGCTATCTAACAAGTATCAAAAATCCTGGAAAGCGCCACCAACCAAGGACCCCGAACCCTGACAAGCACCTCCTCACTAGCCACTTAGCATAACGGCACTATCAACCCCGCTACCTGCCTTTACTAGTACAAGGCTTTCCCCTTTTGAAATTTGCTTCAAAGTCTTCCCTATATCCGACTCTTCTTCCAAACATATACTCGTTCGGTTTTCCTCCATCCGCGAAACGGCCTTGATGATTGCGCATCTTTTACGACTTGACATTCGCAGATAACGAGAAACGGCCGTATCATCCCTCAGTTGCGACTAGTTATTATCAGAATGTTTGTGTGCCTCCTTTCATATTCCTCGCCACTGCGCAAGATGTGCCATTACTCGTTCGAAGCGGACGCTCCGAACGGGTTTGCGCCATCAAAGTATTCCTCCGCCAATGCATCAACCAGATTCGGTTGCAGCTTGTTTGACCTTGACGAAAGCCAACAAACCACGCCACCTGATACTTCATTCTGTCTTCGTCTTCGTGGGTGATTATTAAGCTTCTACAAGACAGATTCAATCGCGACTTTTAGTTTGCCCAATTCCGCATCATGTCGAAACTTTTCATCGGGTAAGAATCTATCTACTCTCCAAAGCTTTGCTTACCGTCCAATCGCTGACTCGTATTCTTTCGACTTGCAGAGGCCTTGCGTGGCACACTGAGGAGCAGACTTTGAGACAGAAGTTCGAGGAGTTTGGTCCCGTTGAGGAAGCAGTATGTTCTCCAAGTAGTTTCCTCCCGTACGGCACATAGTCTGTTGTGGACTCGACGAGGTTTTGTCCGGAATTTTGAAACCGTCTGAACTGACTTCTTTCCCCTGCCGTAGGTTGTGGTCAAGGACCGCGACACTGGACGCAGCAGGGGCTTCGGCTTCGTTCGATACGCTCAGGAGGGAGATGCGCAGAACGCCATTGCTTCCATGAACAATGTCGAGTAGGCAATTCTTCTATGAAGCAGAAGTGAGACCTCGTGCTAACAATGGTCAGATTTGACGGCCGGACCATCCGAGTCGATAAGGCAAGCGACACGGGCCCGCGAGGTGGAGGTGGCGGCTTTGGTGGTGGCCGTGGTGGAGGTTACGGCGGCCGCGGAGGTAGCTATGGAGGCGCACCTCAGTACGGTGGTCAGCAGGGTGGTGGATACGGACAGGGAGCGTACCCGCCAGCACAGGGCTACGGCGGCGGACGAGGAGGAGGCGGCTATGGCCAACAGGCACAGTACGGCACGCCCCCGCCTCCTCAGCAAGGTATGACCCAATTTTCCTCCCTGTTCAACTGGCTAGATTCTAAGTCTTCCTTCCAGGATACGCGCCTCAGTACGGTTACGACCAGCAGCAGGCCCCGCAAGGGCAGCCTCCCCAGGGACCCCCACGATACTGATGAACTCGGATTGCATTGTTGTCAGCCCTTCCAGTCCTGGGAGAGCTTGAGCTTTTCGAGCGCCAGGCCGGAATCGAGATGGAAGGATTTGCCGCAAAGGCGAACCGCACCGTGTGTTTAGTACTACCAACCGCCTCCCAAAACTATTTCTGACTGCTTGCACCAATACCCGACGTTGCATCATGAAGGCTCAACAATGTTTTCTTTTCCTTTCTTTTCTTATGCAACTCGTCACCTCATGCCAGAATATCCTCTCGACGAAAGCAGATGGGGGAAAAGCGAGGGGACGATACTTACATTCTTATTTTCGCCAACCCGCCATACCTTTTCCACTTCGCTTACTCGGCTGATGTATCATGACTACGATAACGAAGATCATTGCTTTCCGACGCTGGGGAAGAGACGTGATGGAACGGGGGTTATGCCGGGTCCGTTACCAGGCCGTCGGTGGAGAGAGATGGGGGGAGAGACGCATTCGTTTCTTGTTGCTTTTATTTTATGCGTACGTGTTGTGATATAGATTTCCGCAAGGGTTCACTGTACGGGCTGTACGAGGGGAACGCGGCAAACCAAAAAATAGGAGTGGGAGCAGCAAATCTATCTTATTTACTCGGAAACCGCCCTCGCATCCTTCCCCCTACTCTATCTTGTTGAGTTTTACCACGTAAACAACTCTCATACTTTCTCCGTCTCCTCCTGCGTGTCCACTATGGTAGCCATGTGGAAATCATGCGACCCGGGCGACGATTCAGCAACCCTGCTGACTTTGGGACCTCCATCCTCCGTCCCCTTGCTACCTCGGGCGGCTGCCTCGATCGCCCTGACGCGATCCGACAAATCCGTGACATGCGCATCACCGCTCTCGGGGCTCAGTTCGTTCAGCGCCTTCTCCAATCCCAAGAGATAGTCCCGGTTCAGCCCGCTCGGCCCCTCGCTCCGAGCGATGTGCTCCGCCAGTGCCTGCGGCTCCTGCGGGCCCGTGAACTGTTCATTGTCCGGCGTGCCGATATAGACGAGGGTTTGGATCGGGACGGATCCGTCGGCCGGCTGGAATGGCGTGTAGTGGATAGTGTACCCGTTGATCTCCCGGATGTCGAGGTAGTCCTTCACCTCGGCGACTTTGGATGCTTTGATCCGGTAGGCTACACCCCAGACTTTGTCGGGGGCCGAGGCGTGGGAGTCGACGAGGCTGGACCAGAAGGAGCGCTCGATTAGGGTTACGACTCTTCCAGGGGCTTCTGGGGTGCCGCGGTGGTCTTGGCTGTGGTGTTGGAGCTTAGCTACCGTGCTGCACAACAAGAAGCCTCAGCTTGAAGAGTTTAGGGGAACTGCGCTTAGTACCTTGCCTATGTGATGCATTAGTAGACATTATAACCTAGGTGAGTCATCGGTTGCAGATATGGAAGAACGTTACCTGCCAGAATCGCCGAACATATCCTGTAACCCAGCCGGGGATTCTGCGGTCTGTAATCAAGGGATGAGCGTCAATCTATATGTAACACATGGATGGAAACCAGTGGGCAGGCTAGCCGGGTATTGTCCATACCAACGTGTGGCGGAGGCTTCCAAATCAAGCTCCTGGAGAGCAAATATCCTGTCAGCCGAGATCTTTCAGGGGCATGTCTGGTTCAAAACAAGCCAGCATTACGTGGTCGATCGAGCAATGCTAAAATCAGGATGATCAGGCAATAATGACAAGAAGAGAGAAGAGAGACGGCAAGAAAAGCGTATGAGACAAACCCGTAACCAAATAACCAGAACTCATCGTCTGAGCATGCCGAGTTGGACGTCGTCTGCTGCCCGTTGACTGCCATTGTCTGCCGATGTTCAAGCTTTCCTAGCAGTTGGCTACTTACTCTTTGGCCTTACTTCATGAATGGCGTAAGCGGCGGACGCGGGTCAAAAGTCGCTATAAGTAGCCAGAAGGGTATATTCAAGGATTTATAGTTAGTTGCCAAGACTGCACCGTTGCGGCTGTCACGGTTGAGAAAAGAGACGGGTTACCTATTTGGCGCGGTTGAGCGTTAAAGTTGAGGTAAAAGGTGGACTAGTCAGCTTGCACGTCGGTACGCAGATGTCAGGCTCCGGATGCCGAGTGGGTTCTTTTGGTGATTGGATTTAACTGTCTACAATTGTATTCGAAGGGGAATTGTGAAAGTTCTGCTCACAAAGCATAGAGAGTAGGTCTATCTGCTCCATTTCGTACTTTAGAATGTCCGTTTGTTTGTAATTCTTAAATCTAGATACTAAAGTAAAGAGGCAGACTCATGCTTTCATAAAAGCTAGCTACTGTTATCAAATTTGGGTTGATCAAGGAGGAACATCAGCTTGATTCGACAGTTTTCCTCGCAACTTCTTCATGAGACAGCTTGTAGACCAGAGGCAGTGAATCATCCGTTATTACCTCTGTTTGTGGCAGTTCGGTTACCGGAATCTCGGAATCGGAGCACCACCTTGCTAAGCACTCCAAGGCTGTGAATAGCCCAACACATAATGCGCATGCCTATTATCTGCAACGCCTACGCTACCCACGTCCAAACCGCTTTTCCACTTGCAACCAACAGATCTTCTTTCTGACGCGGATGCATTCAACCTAGCTTGGTGGCCATTTACGGCCCCTTATATAAGCCTGCACAGGTTGAAGCCTTGTAAATCCATGCCTTCCGAGCCGATCCCGCGCTGGTCAATCCAAGATCTGTCGATCGAGTCAACCCGACTGGGGGGAGTGCCAGCCATGGGTTCGGTCTCTCCTCTAGGTTGCGACCAAGTGAGGAAGTGACAACTGTCCTTGAGGCTCTGCGCGGTGCAACTCGAATAGTGATCTTGCAGGTTCTCAAACTGGCTGGCGGCTTGGGTTTCATTTTAGCTCCATGCATTACATAGCATGCTGGCTCGTAGTGAATAAATGGTGGCGGGCCATCAGCTGGTTTCGGGGGAAAGACGCCCAAGCGCCTCGAATATTGCTGTCCTGACCTGTCTCTCCTGCAGGTGCTCTGCCTCTGCTCGGTCAAGAGTCAAGAATACCGAGTCACACGCTCAACAGCAGTCACTGATTAGCACAACGCAGCCAAATTGACGTCATCTCCGGGCAAGCAATAACAATCGTTGTCCTAAATACACCACGCCCAAACTCCATACAGGTTGACAAGGAGTCGGGTCGCGGCATCGCAGAGTAATAGACGGTTGACAGCTCTATCTGCTTGTCTAGTGCTGCGCGACACCAAGCCAAATTGTCAAACCTCCACATCCACCTAGGGCTGTATGCGGCCATTGTTTTCCGCAATTCTGCAAACGAAATACGAACTGCTGGTAAATCACCAGCCAGAATCCTGTCTTGTAAAAAAGTGCAGCCTGTCAGAAGCAAACAAATCTTGCGCCCGCCCCAAACCTCAACCACTTTAGATAGCGGGCACATGCTGCGGCCTATTAGCGGCTGAAAACCCGGACCCCCCAGCCTTCTATCCAACGTCGCCGCTTCTTTGTCGGGATTCACAGCCTCTTGATCAGCAACCATCGTTTGGGCCACTCCTAAGACTGCGTCACGCGCCTCCGGGCTTCTACATCATTTAATTGACTGTGCCAGGCCACGTCTTTCGCTCAAGATCATTTTTCTCACATTTCACCAAAACCAGTCTTAACATGGCCTACAATCGACCATACAATCCGGATGAGCTGCCCAGGTAAGTTCCCTGCAATTGCTACCCCGCCACGAGAAGAAATCGCGAGGTCGCGCGCAACCGCAATATCATACTGGCGCCCGACTCCTCGCGAGCGCATGTTATTCTTGTTCGCACTAACAGCATGCCCACAGGTTCGCAGAGCCCGAGCCCGTACGTCTTATCATCTCGTAGGCCTCCTTCATCAGCTCGGAAAGTACTGACCATCCCCACAGAAGCCCGGCGCACCCCAGCCCTCGTCCAGATACGACAGCAAGCCGCCTCCGCCCATTCCTCACCCCCAGCAGAACTCTGGACGTCCTCACCAAAACTCAGACCCGCGTCATGCCGATATAAGGCGTTTATCGCCGTCCCAGCCCCAGTTTGGCGGCGGCCACCAATCTCCCATGTCACCGCCCCCGATGGCATCGGGACCCCGACCGGCTGCTCAGAACCGCCCACCTCCTCAGAGCAGACCGCCACCTTCTCCGGCGCCGCAGGAGGGCGGGTCTGATCCGACGTTGTTACCTCTTTTCAGAGCTGTGGATAAAGATGGTGGGTTCTGTCTGGCTTCCCTGGCCGCTTTGCAGACTCGGAACGAGACACGGACTCGGCTTGATCTCGGATACGGGCTGCGATGAGCTGACGGCAAGTCCAACGAGTCGAGCCGAGTCTATGTTTTGGGAGCGAGCAGCTCAGTGTCCCAGATTTCAGCCCATGAGTCTAAACTAACGCCCCTCTCCCCAGGTACCGGCCAGCTCTCGGAGAGAGAACTCAGCGCCGCCCTAGTCAACGGCGACTGGACGGCCTTCGACCTGCACACGGTGCGCATGATGATACGCATGTTCGACAGCGACCGGTCGGGTACCATCGGCTTCGCCGAGTTCTGCGGCCTGTGGTCTTTTCTGGCGTCGTGGCGCACCCTGTTCGACCGCTTCGACGCTGACCGCAGCGGCAACATCAGCCTAGAGGAATTCAACAACGCTCTTGTCGCCTTCCGGTATCGCCTCAGCCCCGGGTTCGTCGATCTGCTCTTCCAGACGTACGACAAGCGCAACGAGGGCGTCATGAGCTTCGACCTCTTCGTCCAGGCCTGCATCAGCCTCAAGCGCATGACGGATGTGTTCAAGAAGTATGATGATGATCGGGATGGATATATCACATTAAGCTTTGAGGATTTCTTGACCGAGATCTTAAAGCAGCTGAAGTGAGAGGGAAAGGGTGACTGGGAATGACTTTCTGGCTCTTGCATCTTGATGTCGGATGGGAACGATGCGGAGATATTTTGTAATATTTCGCGTACACCGATTAATGAGAGCTGGATACGCATGAAAGAATGACTGTGCTCATGAATTCGCCAATACATTCTACACAGCTTGTTTTTTTTTTTGCAGACTTGGCGACATCACAAAAGATAGATACCCCAGGTCACAGAGGCAGAATACCTGACCTGGTCATGAGCTGACATTGCAAACTTCCTAGTGTACCTCAATGCCTTTTTGAATGAATGACAGACTCTGCCGGAACCGTGCAATATCCCTTGATGATTTTGGCAGTTTTTGACAATTGGCATTAAATGCGGTAGTAACCAACGTCATTTTCAAGAATCCTCTCATTCCATCATTCGTCGTAAGGAGTCCCGTCTACTATCGTGGCATCGTGTTCGTCGCCCTTCCCGTGCCCCTCAGCCCGTTGAATATAACGTCCAGCCAGATCCAAGTATCCCATCCTATCCTGGCCCAAGATCTAAAGCTAATGCCCCTGAACACTAGCTTGCTGTGAAAACAACTCTCCAACTACCCATCTCGCCGCTCATTTCGGAACGTCAATCTTGATACTAGGCGGCAGCATGTCCCCCAGCGGTTTTGATGAGATGATCTCCTTTCGCAAGACAAACTCCCCATCACTTGCTTTCCCCTGCTTCTCGTTCTCATTTCCATTCTCGTGCCCCCTTTTTCCCTCGAGCACCTGCCCCTCCGTCCCCATCCACATCATCCCATCCCCACAAACCACCACCTCTTCCCCACTCCCCAACCTCAGAATCTCCGTTATCAATCCAATTCCATTGCCGGGACCAGTCCTCCTCTTCGTCTCAATTTTCCCCCCAGCCCGCTTCTTACCACCACTACTAGTACTACTAGTACTTAACCTACCCTTCCCCGAAGTCCCTACACTCTCCACCACCTCCTCCCTCCCATATCTCCGCGTCCGCAACATCCCCGTCGCTAACCCCCTAACTTCCTTCTCCCCATCATGCGCCGAAACCCACACCCTAGCCCCCAAGCGCGTGGCAATGTCGGCGCCCATGGGCGCGCCGGCGCATATGTTACCGCCCAACCACCAGGGGTTCGTCACGCTGTCGAAGCAGTGCAGTAGCGCGGTGAGCGGGAGGGCTGCTTCGGAGACGAGGTGCGATGTTGCGTAGGCGGAGAGGTGGGGGTAGGATATCCCGTGCGGGGAGAAGATGAGGGAGAGGGGGCGGCTGCAGTGGGATGAGGACGGAGAGGGGGATTGCAGCAAGTTATTGCCTGCTTGGGAAGTTGATGAAAAGGGACGGCGGTTGGTGATAAAGGTTGGCGAGGGGAGGAGCGTCGAGGCGGATTGGACGGAGCGGAGGGAGTGTGGTGAGACGGGCGGACTAGGCGGGAGGAGGACGGTATCTGCCGCTGATATGGTCGTCGTGGTGACGGGCGATGTGGCGGACAACGGCGTAACTGGTGGCGTCAATGGTGACGAGATAATGGGAGGCTTCGGAGTTGCCAAATTGTACGACGGTGGCGGCCGGTACGTGATGCCGATGGCGCCATGAAGGCCGGCTAGATCTCGTTTCTGAGGTATCCACGACACTGTCACCTCGCCTGTCTGCCCGCCGAGTACCACGGCCGGTACCGGGATGCGAACGACGGTCGTCTTGCCCGTTAGCCGGGGGTCTTCCCATTTCTCCATAACCCTAATTTTGTTCCGGTCGAAGTATTTCCAGCTCTTTATCAGGCGGGCCGACGCTGGCTCGGCTACTATCAAGGTTTTGGTCCCCGACGCCGGAAGCTGGCGAAGTGTCGTCTCATTGCAATGGTCGCTCTTATGCTGGCTGACGATGACGAGATCCGGTTCCGGCAGTTCGGACAAGGATTCTATGCAAGCTGGGTGCTTGTGTGTCGAGATGGAGATCCTGGAATGGAATATCTTTGATGGGCCTGAGATCCACGGATCGAGGAGGATGGTGAATGGGCGAGGTGCCACAACAGAGCCGTCACACGGCAAGATGGGCTCAAAGGACAAGAGGAAGGAAGCATCCAAGTTCAGATGCGTGATCCTCAATGCCATGATCGCAGCTGGCATTTCCTCCTGTGACGTGGAGATATTGAAAAATGGTCTGCATCTAAAGAGAGAAGTGGGACGCAGATCTGAGCACGGTTTAACATAGACAAGGCATACTCAGTAATATATAGATTATTTGTCTTGGCCTATCCTTACTGAACGTGGAAGAATAAATGCTTGGGAAACACAACAGGGGACATAGTCTACGAAGAAAGGAACGTTCGAAGAGATGAGAGGTCGAGAGAGATTGGTTGTTACCTCTAGAGGATCGGCTTTCTTCCTACGGCCGTGACACAACAGCCGGTGACCGACAGTAGCCATAATGAAATTATTAATAGTAGCAACATTGATATGGAGAACACGCCTACTTGCCAGTTGCTCAATCAGCAAATCTTTCATCTGAATTCGTAGCCGCACTGGTAAAAGAATGGAAATAGAAAGTTTGAATGTTTCACAACCAGGAAAGTGGACGCGAGGCTGCCAAGTGGACATGGCGCCGGCTTTCCGCAATGCCGGCTCGACTAGGCTGATCGAAACTCGAGGCTGCTGGATTTGCGTTGAACCTGGCATTGGTGGACGTGGTGGCTTGAAACGAAAGTTCTAGTGCCTCGCAGCCTGTCACTTTTGGTGGTGAGACCCCGGATTTCTTATCGCAACTTCAGCTGAAAGAGGTCCTCGTCTAGGTTACTGATGCATATTTGAAAGGTCGGACGGCAGTTTGATCGAATGAGAAGCGGAAATTCGTGCCACCATGGCGTGCTCACTATGTATTCTGTAATGACGTCTTCGTGTCATGTCTCTGCGTCGTGTTGACTATTTTTGATACAATTGAAGGCATACCTCGTGGTCGGAGAGGGTGGTTAGGAACCTTCATGGTGCTCCATGCTCATATAACATCCGGCCTGGATTGTTGTGTATGGGCCTTCGCAGCTTTGCAATCCTGGCGCATGGGGCTGGTTATACATGGGGAAGCGTCTGTTTTGGTAGAGGCCTCGTTGACAAGCGTGGTTCATGCTCACTGCTTGTGTCAACATAAAAGAGCCACGGTTGATAAGTAGACAGAAAAACAAGGTTAGCTCAAGCAAGGGCCGACTGTGGCCAGTAGCATGTCATTGTCGGGCATGGGCTGCCATGGCGCAAGCCGAATCGCATTGGTTTGTCACGGCGAATAACTCGAGTTGAGTGAGATGCATCGCGGGCTGTCGCCAGTTACCAAGGGTAAATATGTCAACTTCCTCCTTCCACCTCTAGACAGCCAGTGATTTCATGTCCCGTAATACCTTATTCTGCATGTCGAGCAGGCCGCACCTTAGCAACCACTGAGATGGGCCAAGAAGTTTCGACGCCAAGAGCCGGAACGCAACTCAATAATCGGCGCCGGCATGCCAAGAACCGGGACCACGTCCTTCAGTTAGGCTCTCGTGATCATCATACAAGGCCCCGTGCCTCATAGAGGAAGTCAAGACGACAAAAAAGGACCGCTTTACACGCGAACTCCTAAGTATCTATCCTCAAGCATACGCCGATACGCATTCCAAACGACGAAGAATCCGTCTGGAGACGATACCGACGGTGCTGGACGCTTACACGGCAACCACAGTTGCGTCGGGGATGTGCTTCGTGCCGGAGCTGATGCGATTGAATCCCGACACGAAGGTTATCTACACAGCAAGAAATTCAGACGGGTGGGCTAAGTCGATCGGCGCGGCATCCCAGCGGAGCTTAAAGTGGTACTTACGTGCCGTCTTGCTTCCGCTGTTGAAGACGAGAAACTTTCCTCACTATCTCGACCTTCTCGTCCGAACTTCAAGGCAAGCCGCACACACCTAGCAAGGTTGTTTGGGAGAAGCATACGACGTAGTAGGAGAAGATCGTTCTGGCTGAGAAAGTGTTCTTCTATGACGTGCGAGATGGATCCGCACCCCTTTGGGAGATTCTGGATTACGAGGTACTAAAGGATACGCCATTCCCTCGAACACATGACGGGGATGCGATTTATAGTTTGGTCAAGGGGTAACTTGTCGAAGGCCTCGTCTGATGGTCATGCATCATAGGGGTCGCGGCTGTCTCATTTGGTAGCTGGGTCAATTTCGGTTAGTGGTCAAGAGTGAGAGCCAGTCGGAATCCGTGGTCGCCATGTTAGCCTAATCGATCCGTTCTGAAGTAGGGTAGAAGCTTGTGAATAATTCATCTGACGCGGCAGTCTGTTTGACGAGGACGGAGCAAGTTGTAGCAGTCCTCGTGACATTCATGTGGACCAACAAGTATCGATAAACGATCCGACGATCTCTGGAGAGCTCGGAAGCCCGAGCAGGAGCTATTGGTGGGGGGTTCTCTCATAGGACAGGTGGAAGACACAAAACGATTCGTCAATTCGTCAGCCAGCAATGATTTTTCCAGCTCAGAAGCTGGAGGTTGACGAAACACCACCAATGATATCTGCACGACTAAGAGTAGAGTGTCCCTGGCACGTTGTTAGCTCTGCACGAAGGCTACTTTCGAGCAGAGGACACCGCCCTGCAGTTCCGGCCCCACCCCTCGGATCGAAGTCGTGATCCACAATCGTCTTGGACCCTGCCCGACTCCCGATAGCATTGCCTGCGATATGGACGAGTTTGACAAAGATAACCAATGCCGCATGCGTCGCATTGCAGAAAGTCAACAAGCTGAGAGGGATATAACTAATTGAGAGTAAACATTACTGACCCTCGAACGACTCGAACAAATTTCTTGTCACATTTCAGTGCAGAAAACCTTGAAGCTGGAGCCGCCTGGAAAGCAGATATCCCTGGAAGTAGTCAGCTGCCGTGGCCCACATGCGCCGAATTCTACTATGTACACTCTCTTGACGGGGCAGAACAGGGGAGTCACAGCCCTAACAGTCAAGCTGCTCAAGCGCCTAGCTCATCAGACAAACATAAAGTTAGCGCGCCACGACACTCTTTCTCCTGACTACATTATCAACTGGCAGCTGGAGAACCGTATTGCTGAAAAAAGGAGCTGAGCGCACCGTACGTGTAATGTTCTGGCCATTACTTATTTCGAACATTGAGGCACTCTCCAGCTTTCATAGCTTCGAATAAGTGACAGGGCAGCTCGCAGCCCAGCATGCCATTGGACAGAAGAAACAGGGCACGTGAAGATGGAAGCAGGGCTTGACGAGCTTATGCCCCGCCATTTCGCAAGCCTCCATTACGGGCCCAAACCACGCGTGGTCCAACCAATGCGGCGAGTCTGAAGTACGGTGACAGCGGTCGGTCGTGAAGAGAATTGCCCAACCCACATGCATTCATGCGGGAGCAGACGTGATCCTGCTCTGCTGCCGGGTGCCATCATAGCAGCTTTTTTATCAGCAGCCATGGACCCAAAGTGCGGGGTTATCAATTCTACCTGCATTATCCGACAGCACCGCGGTGCGTGCTGATACGCACGGGAATAACCATGGGAAATGGACGGATGGCTTTCACATATACTTGTGATTTGGACGAGCTCGTAGGTAGAGGTAGCGGAGGGGAGTACAGAAGCTTCAGCTTCAGCTTCATGCTCATGGGAGGATGGACAGAACCTCGAGCTTTGAACTGGCCTCAGGATGATGAAGTATCCCATGAGTCGCTGGGCTGCTTCTCTCGGTCATACCTTCCAATGCTCGGCCTTTGTGACCTCGTTTAACGCTTCAGAAGCAGCTCCAAGTGTGCGTTTTCCTCCACTCACAGGCAATCCACCTCTGAACCAGCCGTCAACCCCCCAGCTAGAGCCGATCCTCGATCGAGTCAGAAAGGAAGCTGGTGCAATCAAGGGAACAGGGCCAATAGAAGGCGCCTCAATGGCCGCTCTTGTCTAACTTTGCCGCGGATGTCTACTATTTACGCAGCCGTGTGCCGGTAATCAATTATCTTCCCATTTGGAGCTCCCCTGAACTCTCCATTCATTCAACCCGCTGCGCTTTGGTTACCTTGAACCGGCCGCTCACCCGTCCAGTAACCTGCCTTTGTTAGCAGATACTTAAAAAACCCCCGCCTTATTACTGGCCATCCCGACTGACGAGGTGACCTGTGGAGTTTTCCGTGAGCCCATTTGTAGTAGTAGTCTTTGTCGCTGCTGCTAGAAATTTACCTGACTCTGCGGCGCCCCAATTCCAGTCCACTACTCGCACTGCTTTCATTAACTCGTCGCCCTCCCTCCCAACTTTTGCAAGGTCGTCCAGCTCCCCCAGCACTCTTTCCCCTCCATTACCACAACCAGACCACAACCAGGCCACACACACACCCACGACTGTGCCCTTCGAAACATCTCATGTAACACGTTGTCGGCAGGAGCTTTGGGAGCTACGTCGACAGCAGAACACCGCCTATTCAGCTTCAAGCTTCGTAGCCAAATGTCAAATGCGAAAGCTTCATGAACTCGGGCCAACATCAATTGAGCGCTATCAGTGTTACGCTTATCGCCCATCAGGATAACCATCACAACCTCACGAACCACCCCCCCCCCCCGCCTTGCCTCGGTTTTGACCAGCCTATGGTGGGGTTGACCTGGACAAGATGCCGCCTCGATCTTCCCTCGCGTCGTCTTTCTCCATCACCGACTCCAACAATGAAGTCGTTTGCCCACTGCGGAACCAGGATGGTTCAAGTTGTCGCAAGCGATGCATCGGCGTAAGTGCCCCTCGTTCCTTTGTGCCTGGACTGGTGGGAAGTAGCTGTCAAGCATGGTCGTCAAAGCTGCTATAAATGCGATTATTCGTGGGAAGCTGCTAACATGAGCTTTGCCATTCATAGGAGAAGAGATACCGATCCATGCAGGAGCACATTCGGCGGGCGCATCCTGAGCATTACATCTCCAAGCTCCCTGCGACCGAAGAGAGCTTCATGCTCATGATCAGTACCCCGCCTTCCGAGCGAGCTCCCCCCGTCCAGCAGAATTCCGTAGGACCGCCGCGGCCGCCGCCGCAGCAGCAGGCGCATGCGAATGTGAATAGAGGCGGACCACCGATTGACCCAGCTTTAGGAGGATACCCGCTCGACCGTCATGCATATCTCCGAGACGACCTGAGTGCACCCGGCACACCTGGAAATTTCGATGAGTTCACCGGCGGTCCGCTGTTGCCAGCCGCAAGCGCAGCGGCAGCCCTTGCACAGCTCGGCCAGGGACAGAAGACAGAGCCGGAATGGGACTCCGGCGAGGTACTGATTGTAACAAACCCCCCACACGCAACCACGACGGCGCTAACTACCAAATCACAGGAGTGGCCTTCGGACCCGGAAGGCCAGAGAATACCCAGGACGACAATAGAATTGCCACCAATTCACATTGAGCCTACCAGTGAACCGTACCCACCGCTGAACTCGGCTCGCCAAAGAGACCTACTACCATCGATCCTGTCCAACTCCCCGCCTGGTCGGTCTTCCACCCTTCCGCCACTGCAACGGCCGCTCGGCCCCAATCGACCCCGGAAGCAGTCTGTTACCAAGCGTGGCCACAAGAAGCAGAAATCGCGAGGCACGGCGGCAGAATGGCTACGAAGGATCCAAAACGATGACCGTCTCAAACCAGGCGGCATTGATCGCAAAGCCCACTCTGTCGAGCCTATGGCAGATTATGGCAAGCGATGGGAGGACCTTATCGACGCTGCCGCATCGGCTACCGAAGACATAGAGGATGACAGGACTCCTGTAAGTCGCATCCCATACCTTCACGCGCAAGACCCTAGCTGACAAGTCAGGTTCCCCAATCCCCTATCTCCATGCATCGAGCTTCCCTGCCTCCGTTCAACAATCATTACCAGAGCTTCCAGGGTTATCAAGCGTCGCCTCTGCAGCAAGCTCTCACCCCACCTTCCTTTGCTCAGGAGATGCCGGACCCGTTCCCTTCTGTTGAGAGTGGTGAGAGTGGCGACAACTTCCACATTGGGACACATGGCTTGACGGATTCCTCCCCAAGCTACTCATCCCTAGACGTGCACATCTACTGCGCCGCATGTCAGAGGACCTCCAAGCTTAGAGAGTCGTATGCATGCACCGAATGCATTTGTGGCCTCTGTCGGGAATGCGTCAGCGTGTTGGTGGAAGAACAAGGCGCGAGACGGAAATGCCCGCGTTGCGCTACCATCGGCGGCAGATTCAAGCCTTTCCAGCTGGACATTCGATGAATGCGCCAGCGGCATGTTGTTCGGCGAACCGAATAACAATTCAATCCAGTCCACCACCAAGTGGACTTCTCCGGCCCACGAATACCCAACAAAGCGGACAACCACTCGCAAACCCCACATCACTTTCGCTGCGCCAGGCACCATATCAGTTTGACCATAGCTGTTGATGGTTCAAGGCTAGCAAACATGTCAGGATACATAGATGAGAAGGTGCATCACGCTACAGATCTTTTTCAAGTTCGCACTGCGGAGTGCACGATCACCTTGACAGGTACTGGCCCCAGTCACTGTTTGGGCAAGTTGAGAATCGTTACAGAGCATTTACATGGTGGGACAGCTCGATGTGAACGCTTCGGCACGATATTGTTACCAGTATTCCCGCATCCCTCTACTCAAGACGTCGTCCTCGCCACCGTTCGGTACCGCGCTTACTGGTATCAATTCGAGACAGAATCCTTGCGAGAATCGATTACAGGGGCGTTTAAAAGGGATGGTATACTAATCGTTTTGCGTTTTTCATATGATTTTGTTTCCTTTGCTTTACCACCTTTAGAAGAGGCCTGATGATATTGCACGGTGGGAAATTGCGCTGCTGAGAATCATGAGGCGATTTTGATTCTTAAATTTCTCGAGGTAGGGCTGCTTTTGCATGAAATTCTTCCGTCACGACTTTCGGAATGCGGGCAGGAATTGCACTGCCACTACTACTGCTCTACACTTGAGAGTACTTAGCCGTTTTGGGACGCACAATAGGGTATTGGGTTATGATACAGGACCATGGCGGGATGATATATAGCAACGCGGAAATGAATATGATGTGACATAAAAGAATTACTTGGCTCAGGACCGAGGGGTGAATCAAAGCTTATGGAAGGACGCCTTGCTAGATTGTGCTGAATCTTCCGTCCAGAAAACCGGCAGGCTGAGGCTACTGAAGGTAGTATACATTCTGAACATGCAATCTATCGGCCTTGCATTGTAGTATGACACTTATGCTTGGAGGCTCAACTGTGCTTACATACATAACCCTCAGATGCACTCGCTTGGTGCGCGAAGCAGTTGTCATCTCACGTAAGCAATAACCCCTTTTCGGCCAGGCTGTCGAACGTGCTGAGTCACTAGATGTGATTGTCTAGTAAAAGGTTCGAGTTTGTGAGCATGTTTCAAAAAGATCGGATAATTATCGAATGACGTATCGCACATCGTGGTTTGGGGAGTATCTCCTTGTTTATTATCATACTCGAGAGGTCACCGAGAGCACCGAGAGCACCGAGAGGAGTATGTTCTCTATCCTAGTTGAGCTTATGATACCAGTCCTGTGATAATTCCATTGACTCCACTGGGATTCTTTACATAGTTTATATGAGTCCCTGGTGATAGAAAACGCCCCTCGACCTGAAGTGATGTCATATCAGTACTCAAGTCTTGGAGCAATAATCTGTTACACATTTTTGCTATAATTAACCCGCTCTTAAGTTGCAGTTCAGGATATTGTTTGAGCAATTTCCATTTTTGGAAATTTAACTGCAATTTTAACCTAACCTCCGCCTTTCGCCTAGCCCCAGCTTTACTACAAAATTAATCTTCACGAACACTCTATTTCAACACGGCATAGGTGAATGCTATTTACAACCCCTAGCTTCATCTTGCAAGATTATGCGGCATTTACTTGAATATATACGAAGGGTTGCGTTTCCACCCCCGGCTTTGCTTGAAGCAGGCCTATCCATGGGCCACCAAAGAGGAACCGGTAGCTGGTGGAGCTATGTGCACCTCTTGGTCCCCCGTTGTCCCCTCGTGACCTGAGCTAGGTAACATTTGTACCACCTCGTTGCTCATACAAACAAACGATGTTTTCTTGTGTTTATGGTAATAGAAACACACGTCTGAACAACCACCGCTCCAGGCTGAGCGCTTGGTTGCTTTCGAGAGGGCTCCCAAGCTTGAACAGCCCTGGGGCTGAACACCAGGTTTTAGGCGAATATACCCTATTCTTTCGATACTTCCCGACTCCCTTGTCACTATAGGATTCTAGGCATTAGGCTAGTAGGTCTATAGTGTCTTCGCATGAGTGGTGTTGCAGTCGAATTAGCACGAGGCTGGCTATTGGTACTAGCTTACGGCCAGTTGGAAGTACTGGTTTTCTGTTGAAGACTGATCCAAACTTCAGTGGTTGGTTGGTTGGGTATCCCTATGCAGACTCTTATGAACAGACACCACCGTCTTCATCGTTGCAGGACGTGAAGACTCACCGCTTTCCCTCCCTCTCCTTCTTCAGCAACATGTCCCGCATCGCGGCACGCGCATTCCGGCTACCGCCCAGCTTGGGTCCCTTGAGCACTTCTTCTTCCTTCTTCGCTCCTGGTTTCGCTGGCGGAGCAACCGGTTTCTTCTTCTGCTGCCTTTGAGCCATGGCATCCAGGAACTCTCTACGGAACTCTTCGGCGATTCGATCGTCCGCGGCGCCATCATCGTCATTAATCGCTGACGCGTTGGCGGCTGCTGGTGCATCATAGACATCCACTGTGTACTTGTTAGCGTTGCGCAGCAGGGGGTACCGTCGTGTCGAGCACTCACGTCTGCTTTCTCTCAGAATCTCTTCGACAAGCTGGTCGCGTTTGATAGCATCGCTGTTCCTCCTGTTGCGTGACCGCCAGGGTTTGCCATCGCGGCCGAGCCTAACCTTCTTGGGCCGGGCCGCCTGTTCCTCGTCCTCGACTGATTCGCCCTGGAGCTTCCGCCGCGCGCGTTCCGTCATGGTCTCGTTGCGGCTCCGGGCTTCTTCGCCGAGGTCGATCTCCATCAATTTGCCCTGCATGATGGGATGTCCTTCTGTATTGTTCTTGAGTTCATGTTCGTTGACTTGTGCGGTGGTCTTGGCCCCATTGGATGATGCATCTGGGCCAGGCGCGTCGCCCGGGGCAGATGAGTGTCGTTTCGCTAATTGGGCCTCTATGTATTCCGTCCTGCACCATCAGTCGCTGCTGGGTAGAAGCCACGGGTTATAGTGAGAACACTTACATATGCTTGCTGACCAGCTCACCGACAAGCCCAGTCTGCGCAGCAAAGCGCTTGGTCATGCCCCCTTGGGTTCCTACGTCCAGTACTTTCTCTTGCTCTTCCCGGATCATCAAGCTCAACTCGTCTTCTGCGTTGCTTTTTTTTTCGTTCCCAAAGCCAACTCCCCGTAGTCGTGCCTTGCGCGCATTGCGCCTTCGCAAAACCTCGGCCACTGCGATGCCTTCCTCATCTGTATCTTCTGAAGGCGTAGCGACGGCTGGTCTGGTTGCACTGGCCTCGGTGGTTTCTGTGGTGTTTGTGTCCTGATCCCCGTTTTCTACATCTTCAACCTCTCGTTTCCTGTAGAACTTTCTTTTCTTCCCACGAAATACCACCTGGGGTTCTGCTCTCGGCGGGTCTGCTGTTGTCGCATCGGATTGCGCTCGAGAGTCCATCGTGACAAGGGTCGGTCGAAATCGCAATCAATCGCGCAGTTCCTAGGATAGGCTTAATGAGAATTAGGAATGGTACACGTTGCATGTACATGTAAAGTGAATTCAAATAGACGTGCGGGAAGTTTGACGTCTCATCACGTCGAGGGAGGCGTGAGAGGGCAGCCAACTGATTGCCGGCAAAGCAACTGGGTCACTGCAGCCGATATTTTGCCGCTTATCTGGCATGCAAGCAAGACGACGTCACAATACTCGGATTTAACGATAAAGCCCCCAAGTCATCGACAAATATCCAGAAATTCGCGATATCATCAGAGCACAGGATGCCCCAAAGAGTGAGTACTCATGTGTTCTCCATTGAAAACACAAACCTAATGCTTGCAGATCTATTTTAAAGTCCACGGAAAAGTTCAGGGTCGGCGCTCATGATGTTCTACCGTCTTGGAGTTCTGGACAACACCCGCTAATGACCTCATTAGGTGTGTTCTTCCGCGCCTTCACCCAGAAGAAGGCGACGGCGGCTGCCATTACGGGATGGTGCCAAAATACTGAGAGTGGCAAGGTATCTTCATCTCATTTCATTCCTTTCTACAGTTCTCATTGGTAACCTTGAGGGACTACCTCTGCTTGTTTAACCCAATGGCTTACACGCAATCTAGGTGGAAGGAGAGGCCCAGGGTACTGAAGATGCCATCAAGCAATTCTTAAAGGACATCAACAATGGGCCGCCTCATGCCAAGGTTGTCAAACTGGAACAGGAGGACCGCGACGTGCAGAATGACGAGAGCCAATTTGAGATTCGCTAGAGCATAGTTAGTTCATGATACCACGTTGCCGAGTCATTCATTGCAAGCCAGCCAAAGCTTCAGAGCTGTCGATCACCCCATACGAGTTTCAAGCCGCATTAGAGACGTGGAAACAACGCTCCTGTACTTTATTACACATCCGCTCGGTTAGCGCGTAGAACATGCTGTATATCTCGGTTATCCGTACATGGTAAGGCGAGCACGGCTCAGATCTCTCCTAATAGGGGGCTAGCATCCGCCAACTTCGAAAAGGGGTCGTGCCACTTCCTAGGGTCACCTCGCGCATCGACTGAATTGATTGGAGCAATATTCGCGTTCGTTCCCGATATGGATTTGACGTGCCATCGGCCCGCAATTCGTTAGCGGTTCAACCCAAAAGAAAAACGGAACAATTTTGATAGAGTTGGCTTGGCTATAAACATGATCCGAATGCGCGGGCCCAGCTGTCTCGTACAAATTGCGTTCCTGGCCGGTTCTAGGGCCGAGATTCCCACTTCGCTTCGAAAGGGGACGGCATTTCATCCTCCATTTGTTACGATTGGGCAATCGGAGAAAGCTTGGCGCACGGAGCCCACGTTCGAATACTAAGGACGGGAGCAACCAAATTGGGGAAGTTGGAGATGCGAGGCCGCGAGCATATAAAATTCATGTCACTGACTCGGATTCCAATGGGTATGAGTATATATATCTAGAGCTGGCTACGGCCCTGATGAGATGGTCGAGCATCTATCACTCTCTAAGTTACTGACCCCAAAGTCACTCATTGGACCGCAATCATGGCTCGAAATTTCCCCCTTCTCAGTTTCGCCCTCGCGGGCTTCGTCATGGGCCAGAAGCCGAACGGCCAGGAGGTGCACCCTGAGCTGACTACTTATCGGTGTACGGTAGCTGGGGGTTGTACCGCGGCCACCAACTACATTGTCCTCGACGCGCTGGCCCATACCGTCCATCAGGTCGACAACAGCTACGGCTGCGGCGAGTGGGGCAACACTCCCAATGCCACCGTTTGCCCAACTGAGGAGGCCTGCGCCCAGAACTGTATTCAGGAGGGTATCTCTGACTACAGCACCATCGGCGTCACGACTGATGGCGCCGCCTTGCGGGTGCAGATGATCGTCAATGATACCACGGTTTCACCTCGTATCTACCTTCTCGACGAAACAGAGCAGAATTACGAGATGGTTAAGTTGACCGGTGCCGAATTCACTTTTGATGTCGACGTCACCAAGCTGCCCTGTGGTATGAACTCAGCGTTGTACCTCTCGGAGATGCTGGTGGACGGCGGGAAATCTGACCTCAACACTGGCGGGGCTTACTGGGGCTCTGGGTACTGTGACGCTCAGTGCTATGTTACCCCTTTCGTTAACGGTGTTGTAAGTCTGGGCCTTGCCTTCGATCTACTTGCGAGGTTGAGTTCCATATACTGACAGCTATCCGGCGGTTAGGGCAACATTGATGGCGCCGGCGCTTGCTGCAGCGAAATGGACATCTGGGAAGCCAACAAGCGAAGCCAACAGCTCGCTCCCCACCCATGTAACCAGACGGGTCTCTACCTATGCCAAGGGGACGAGTGCGCTTCTGACGGCGTCTGCGATAAAAATGGCTGTAGCTGGAACCCGTACAAGATCGGCCAACCCGACTACTACGGCACCGGCGAGTCCTTCACCGTTGACACCAATAAGCCTTTTACCGTCGTCACGCAGTTCCCCGCCGACGACGCCGGAAACCTTGTCGGCATTGACCGGATTTATGTGCAGGACGGTACCGTGTTTTATGCTGAACAAGTCCAGAAGGAGGGTCTGCCTGCTGTCACCGGCATCACGGACGAGTACTGCACTGCTGCGGGAGCAGAGCGCTTCATGGACTTGGGCGCCAACGCTGGAATGGTGAGTAACCATTGGACACCTACCGTTCTCAGAAACAAAAAGTATACTGACTTTCACCAGGGCGATGCTCTGACTCGCGGCATGGTCCTCGCTATTTCCCTGTGGTGGGACACAGCTACTTTTATGCAGTGGCTTGACAGCGAGGCCCAAGGTGCCGGACCCTGCAATGCCACTGAGGGTGATCCTACCGTCATCGTCCAAGTCGAGCCGTTTCCCGAGGTCACCTTCTCCAACCTGAAGTGGGGAGAGCTGGGTAGCACGTTTGTAACGAACGGGACGGCTACGAATGGCACTTCGGCCCGAGCTGTTCGCCGGTTCGCAAGCCCCAAGTTGCGGAGCATGGTTTGAAAATGAGGATAGACCATATAAAGAACGACACGACTTTTCTGTATATAGATGAGGGAGATCACGTTTTAGTTCTTTGTATATACTTGTCACTACTTCAATCAAGAAAGTGTTCATATTGAAAGCTGTCACTGCGGATTCCATTAAGGGGGGAGACATGAGGGATTACAGCCAAAGCCTGGCCCTTGCCCAAGTATCATGGCACCTGGGGCTAGACAGCAATCTAGTCTTATCATAATCACAGGCTGAAATGCAGAAAACGCAAAGTAAAAGAGAGGGCATGTTATGCTATGTGATTTGACGCCCCAAGCTGGCTAGAAGCCCATTTGATGACTTGCTTTCAGGGACCAAGTTCCATTTATGTATTCACACGGGTACGGCGGGGAGAAGCGAACCCAGCCAAGGATTAATAATACTTTCACGATGAAGTTGATCGACAAGAATTGGAAAATGTACGATTTCTTCGTACATGCCCGGTGTGTTTACGACTTATTTGATAGGGCTTCAGGAGTGTCCTCGAGCTACCTATTTGCATCTTCCTTCCTCTTGTGTGGTCGTGTGTTACGCAAAACGTTCTACGGGTAGCATAAACAGTTCTCTTTACCAAAGTTCCAGATGATATATGCTCTGCAGCATTCTAGAAACGGTTCGTTTCCTAGCTGTAATATTCTTCAACCCCGCAACAGAAGGAAAAGACTTGGCTAGGGATCTCATTTTGCATTGATAATTATGATGTCTACTCGACGTAGACGCACCTGAGTCCGAAGAGGTTCAAAGCCCCGTAGCGGTTGAAATCGGCCTAAAAAGGAAACGTGAGGTGGCGGTAGTCAAAGTGAGCCGAAAATGCGGCCTCTGTTTCGTTTGCAACTGAAATTGCAGGTTTTGACGAGGAGGGCAGAGCCTGCTCAAACGCCAATTATGTCGAGACACCGAGCTGTAGCAGTACACCACCTTTTGCGGAATGTCTCCCATGGCTGACAGTATGTACTTACTTGAATAAGAGGCGCATATCGTGAGCATCATCGTGTAGTTCGTAGATCTGTGTTACAATGGCCGCCTTGGGCATGCGTATGCGGTAGTTGGTCTACTATGGGAGACAGCCCTGAATATCATGTTGCGAGAAACGCTGAAAAATACAGGTCCGGATGTTATTTGTTATTTGCGGTATATGATATACGTGAGATAGACACATGCGTGGATATTTCATTAGTGAATAGTGAATGCATGGCTTCCATGTCTCAGTACAAGGAACCACAAGGAACCATCAGGAGATTGAGAAGGTGGGTGGGTGTCCCGAAGCTTACCAAAATCGAAACCAGCTGAGTTGAGAACCCAGACGACATCGAAACGTTGTTGTATATTGTCCCGAAGCTCGCCGCCGCCCTGGCTGTTGTTCTTGAACGAGTCAAATATAACACAGCTGGTTGACGGCGGGGCTGCGAGTATGGTTCTTCGGCGCATGGCATGATAGGTCTTTTACGCCAACTGAGTCCTGTGTGATTAAATGGTTGATAAATATGTATTGATAGGCTAGTGCATGAGTTATGCGCGCATTGTGGATGTTTTTGCACAAGCTCATGGTACTCTACCGATGAAGCTATATATAACGAGTCGTCAATCTACAAGTCCTGCGAGCCGCAGGCAAGTTTAAAATCGGTTGCGAGTTCGTGATGTTTATGAAGCCCATGTCTTGTGGGGGAAGGGTGGATGAATGTTCCCCCATTTTGCGTAGAGGATAAGTAAAGCAAGAACCCAGACAATATGGCAGTAGTTATTTCACCAGAAGTTTGTGGGTTGCTATACAAAGTGATATTATCCACACCAGATCTCCTTTCTAGAACCCCCGCCCCTTACGCTTGACGACTGGCTTTTTCACAGCCCCCGAGGTCACAATCTTCTTAACATTTGTCTTGTCAGCCGGCTTCTTCTGAGCCGTCTCTTCTTCCATCTGGGCCCTCTCTTCTGCTTTCCGCTTGTCCTCGGCCATTTGGGTTTCGATTTCCATTTTCCGGTTGAACTCTGTCTCCGTAATCCGTTTCTCCCTTGCGGAGTACCCCTTTTCCTTGACTGAGTAGAAGACACCACCCAACTCAGCCAGCCAGTGGGGATCAACGGATGTCACGATTGACATGTACTCTTTGGACGTAAGAATAAGCTCATGGTAGACCACGTAATCGGGAAGGAAGCCAAGTCCGTAGAGGGCACTGGTGGGGTGTAACTGCATTGTAACTGATGTTCGGAGGTTGACGTATTCGCCGATACCCTTGACTTTGGCCGCTTGGTAGTAGTATCCAGAGCAGATACACTTCCGAATAACGTCCCAGTCGGTCCCGCAACTAACCATCTCCATCTTTTGCATCTTCATGATGTCAAGGAGTTGATCCCGGATTTCCTTGGCCCTGCGAAGCGACTTGGGGTGCAGGAAGTGGCGAGTACACCAGCCGTCCGAGTGGCCGTTGGACTTCCATTGCGAATAGACGTGGAGAAACGTCAAATGATCGGATTCCGGAACGAAGAACTTCTCGCGAGCAGTGTCTGCTTCTTCTTGCCGCTCCTTGGGCCGGTAGAAGACGCCAGGGACTTGGAGCATCGACACGATTATAACCATTTCTTCACTGCATCCGTACTCCTCAGACATAATCAAGAGCTTTGCCAACGGTGGATCCATGGGGAAAGCGTTCATCTTGGACCCTAGGTCCGTCAGCTCGCCCATATTGTCCAACGCCCCCAGAGCCCAAAGGTCGAAGAGCGACGTGCTGATGACGTCTTGTGGAGGCGGATCCATGAAGTCGAAATCCAGCAAATCTTTGACATTCAAGGACTTGAGAAGCAATACAGTGTTGCTCAGATTTGTCCTCTGGATTTCCGGAATGGTAGCGATGTAGAGTTCGTCTTTGTACGCCTTCTCCGTGAACAATCGGAATGCTTTGCCGGGACCCGTTCTGCCTGCTCGACCCGCTCGCTGGCCAGCGTTTGCTTGAGAGATAGGCGTGATCTGCAAGGTGTCCATTCCCATCTTTGGGTTGTACACCTTGAGTTTGGAATAACCTGCATCGACGACGTACATAATACCGTCCACCGTCAGACTGGTCTCGGCAATGTTCGTCGCCACAATGCATTTTCGAACACCTGGTGGCGCTTGATCGAAGATCTTGGACTGTAGATCCGCTGGCATCTGACTGTAAATGGGCAGTATGCTCAATTTTGGAGGGTCGTTCAGCGCATCCAGCCGTTCTCTCACGAGCTCACAGGTGCACTCGATGTCTTCCTGACCTGTCATGAAGACCAAAATGTCACCAGCACCCATGGAGACATGTATTGCAAGGATCTGCTGAACCGCTTGGTCGACATAATCCTCGACTGGTGACCGATGAAACATGATGTCAACTGGAAATGTTCGTCCTGGAATCGTGAAATCGGGAGCACCGCCAAAGAAGTCCGAAAATCGTTTCGCATTCATCGTGGCCGAAGTGACGATGAGTTTAAGATCCCGGCGCCTCTGCATGATCTTCTTGAATAGGCCCATGAGCACATCCGTGTTGAGAGCTCTTTCGTGTGCCTCATCCATGATAATGCAAGAGTATCGATCAAGATCGGGCTCATTGAGTGATTCTCGTAGCAAAACACCATCCGTCATATACTTGATCACGGTGTCTTTGCTTGTGCAGTCTTCGAACCGGATGGCGTAACCTACAGTGCTGCCCAATTTCACCTCCATCTCTTCAGAAACCCGCTTAGCTACACTCATGGCTGCAACTCTCCTGGGTTGTGTGCATCCTATCATGCCCCGGTTCCCATACCCATCCTCGTAGAGGAACTGCGTTAGTTGTGTCGTTTTGCCGGAGCCTGTCTCGCCCACGACGATGACAACCTGATTCTCCCTGATAATCTTGAGGAGATTTTCCCTCACGGCGAAGGCCGGGAGGAATTCGCGCTGTTCCTTAAGCGATTTGGTCTTGCTGAAGTCACTCGCTGCCTCATTCTTCTTCATATGCTCAGAGAACTTGTTGCCCGAAATCTTGACTTCCTCCTGTTCTGCGGCAATGGGCAAAGCACTGTCTCTATCATCTTCTTTCACACCCATCAGGTTGCCCAAGTTTGTGCCCGCCAGATTCGTCGCTTCCTGCGCTGCGCGTTGTCGTTCCCGCTGTTGTCTCCGTTCCCTCACAACGCGGCTCCCTTTGCGACTGAACACTGCCATGTCGCTCTGGTAGTCTTTCACTGCAGGAACGGGTTCCAACTGCTTCGTAAAAACGGTGCGCCCATCCAGAAATGGCGGCTTCAAGTCGTGCACCAGTAGATGGACACGTGTGCCCTCGTCGTCATCATCGAAATCGTCACCAAAACGTCGTTGGGCCACACCGGACGTCAACATGCGATTCGTCTCCCAAGCATCGTTGTCCTTCTGCCTTTGCATCTGGCGCGCGTTCATGCTGCGGTTCGTCTTTTTCTCCACCACGGCCTGCTCGCGCTGCCTCTGCTCGACCCAAGTCGTGTCGTACGAGCCGAACGGGTTATGCGACTCATCACCAAATATATGCCCGTTTTCGTCACCGAGGTACCAGTCGCGATCGAGGGCATTCTCATCTTCTTGGTTGACTAAGAGCTCCTTCTCTTCATCAAATCGACGCGGTGTGGGGGCATAGCTGGACTTTGCTCGGGGCGTTTGGTTGCCATTGGCAAAACGGCTGGGGGCGCGACTGCCTGAGCGACTCGGTAGGGAGGAATAACGATCATCTGATCGAAGAGGGTTGAAGTCAATCTTGCGTCGCTTGGGACTGAAGCTCCCTGAGTCGCGGTCCATCGTGTCTATCGGGCTGCTCTACAACGAGAGCTGGCCAAGTTGATGTTGGAGATGTTGCGTGACGAACTAGGTGCTCCTCCAATTGTAACAATGGACCCCCAGACAGTGGCGCAGCTAGAACCGGGGTAACAATGAGTTACCGTCACCACAGATATCAACCCCTGGAAACATCCACTCAAATGGTGCTTAGACTGTTCATGCTGCCTTGAAGACCACTTGTTTAGCTGAACATGATAATTGATATCTGTTGTCACGGCTGTTTAGCAATTTCTGTGCTTGGTACTTGGTATGATATTCAAATCAGTTGAATGGGATCGAACATCTGATACATTGAATCTGGGGCAGATTTAATGACTCGTCCGGGAACTCAGGTAGTCTTCTTAGAGACTCCCCCTTTGCATAAAGAGAAGGGCATATGAAGGCTAAAAAGACCAAGCTACATATGTCCGTTCCTCTTAAAAATGCATCATGTGTAACCATCAGGTCAGATTTTAACAGTGCTATGTCGAGGTGCTCAGCAGCCACATCGACGATAAGATAAGCCCCGCTAAAATTTCGAAATTTCAATTTTTTGAAGGTTGGGTTAATCGCGGGGAGTTCATCTTGCAGGAGTGATTGGGAATTCTGCACACCTTTCAAGCTTGCGACATCACAAAATGTCGTCAATGATAACTACAGCTACTTGGGTGCCGCGGGGATTTGCGGCACCGTTTCCCACCAAATACAACTTTGATGAGGCCGAGTTTGAGCGCATTGCAGAGCTTGCCAAGCTCCAGCTTGATGATGCGAACGAGGACTTGGAAGAGGCTCAGGAGCAAGAAGGCGGTGCCCAACTGACGGGAGATGCGCCAGAGGGGACGAATGCAAAGTCTTCATCGAGAGAAGAGGACCCCAACCCGTAGGCCATACGGCGCATTGCTTGGAACTTCAATATGCTAAAATGCTGAACAGCATCGACATTGACGATGACGACCTGAAAGAATACGACCTTGAGCACTACGACGACGACGACGATCAACCAGAAGGCCAGCGCATGGATATGTTCGGAAACATCAAATCGCTTGCCTACTACGAGTCCAACAAAGATGACCCTTACATCACGCTGCCCGAGGGCCAAGACGAGGACGATGACCGAGAAGAGCTCCAGATTTTGGCAACAGACAATCTGCTTCTGGCTGCCAAGGTGGAGGACGAACTGGCACATCTCGAGGTGTACGTGTACGAAGACGGAGCGGACAACCTATACGTCCACCACGACATCATGCTTCCTGCGATACCCCTCTGCGTTGAATGGCTGGATCTGCCTGTTTCGAAACCCAATGTCGAGAAGGACTCTACGGCCAACTTCGTCGCGATAGGCACGATGGACCCCGATATCGAAATTTGGGATTTGGATACGATAGATTGCATGTATCCCAATACGATTCTGGGTCAAGGCGGGAACCCGGAGGGCGAAATGAAGAAGAAAAAGAAAAAGAAGGCCAAGAAGGCCAACGACGAGTATCACGTGGATGCTATCCTCTCGCTCGCTGCCAACAGGAAACACCGCAACCTCTTGGCATCTGCATCGGCCGACAAGACGGTGAAGCTGTGGGATCTGAACACTGCGAAGTGTGCCAAGTCGTACTCGTATCACACAGACAAGGTCTGCTCATTAGCCTGGCACGCGGTTGAATCAACGGTGCTCTTGAGCGGCAGCTACGACCGAACAGTAGTGGCCGCAGATATGCGAGCGCCCGATGCCAAGGTCCCGAGATGGGGCGTTGAGAGTGACGTCGAAAACGTCAGGTGGGATCCGCATGACCCCAACTTCTTCTTCGTGTCGACTGAGAACGGCATCATCCACTATCATGACGTCCGCAATGCGCCTTCGACCCCAGAGGCGAGCAAGCCTCTCTGGACCCTCCAGGCCCACGATGAGTCGTTGTCGGCATTTGATATCAACACCAACATTCCCGGCTATATGGCAACAGGTTCAACAGACAAGACTGTCAAGCTCTGGAACATCACACCAGCCGGACCGGCTTTGGTGGTGTCCCGCAATTTGGACGTCGGAAAGGTTTTCTCCACCACTTTCGCCCCTGATCCCGAGGTGGGTTTCCGACTGGCAGTGGCTGGCAGCAAAGGCACCATGCACATCTGGGACACTAGTACCAACGCCTCGGTCCGCCTTGCGTTTGCCCACAAAATGGCAAACACTCCTGAAGCAGACGTAGAGGATAAGCTTATAGGTGTGGCGGACGACGACGTGGACGAGGGCGACGAGAATGGGATCGGAGCAGGAGAAGATGAGGCCGAGTCCATGGACGAAGACTAGCTGAAAACTATTTTAAGGGAGTTTTGACTTTGATATCATACCCACCGTTGATATACTAAACGGATTTTGACTGTTTGGCTTCAGCCTTAGTGCCTCAAGCTAGTTTTAATGAGCGACCGTAACGGGAGCCAAGAGGGCTAGTGCCGGGAAAGGGATTAGAGATGAACCCGTCGCCAACATGAGACAAGGCCAGTTGAGCCTTCTGCACACATGATGCACGGGAGACTGGTGGTGCATTTTGCAGAGGTCTGAAAACGGGTGGGGAGATCTGTCGACATGGTTTGATCGTCTAGCAAATGCCAACAACCTGGATGATCTACGGTGGTTACGCTATCATCGAACTGAATAGGTACTGTTCCGAGACGCCGCTCAGATATTGGGTTGAAGTGGCATAGTCGTCGAAGCCGAGAAGCCTTGCGAGTGGGTGACAAAGTAAACGGCGCAACCAAGTGGGGAATGATGTGGATTAGCCCGATAACCGATGCAGTGGACTCACTCGCCTATGTGTCTCGGCGTTTTCGGCTCCTGCCAATTCGTACCTGGCCGGGTCGGTAAAGTTGTCAGGGTTTGCCGGTTTTCTTCTTTGCTTGCTGCTTGATTAAGGGGATTTTACGCGAAACGTTGGTCCCTACGGGATTCCTTTGCTAGAGCATCCTCCCTGTTCGTTCTGGACGGACGTACCATCGCGATCACTATCCAAGTCGTTCATGTCGACTGGCATTTTCTTGAAGCGAATACTGATTCAACTCTTCCTTTGCGCGTAATTAAGACGGCAGGGTGGACAGAGTGGACAGATCGAGTGGATCCGGTTGTGATGGTACTCTTCCAAAAGCCGGGTTCTGGACGAGAAGGCACGAATCATGAAACAATGGAGAAGCTAGGCTATTGGCTAGCCAAGAAATGCCGTGAACAAACTGCCAATCATTTGCCTGCGCCACGCATCCCGTTTCAATACTGCAGTATCGCTGGTGCACTCTGCAGAGGAAAGTACCACGATTCGCTGGCCAAGGAGGGCAAGAGCAAGCAGTTGCAGTGATCACCGAGCAGTTCCAGTGGGGAATGGTGGCAATTTAGCAATCACCACCCCAAACCCAGGTTGCCCTATCTCACAGGGCCACCCAAAGTGGAGTATTTTGGGCCCAACCCGAGCAGGCGCATTGATGATGGGAAATTTGCCCAGCAGTGGAATGTTCATCCCGTGGTGATTTCCCCAGAATGTCAGCATTATGTGTTCGAAACCGCAATTCTATTTTCAGGACTTCGAGTTTGGACCTGCACGTGTTTACGAAATAAGAGGAACACGTAATGCCGACATGCAGCGACAGCTCAGAATCAAATTCTGTCAGCCAATATGGAAACCAACAAAATCTCTACCCTCACTGAGTGGAATGCTAAATCCCAATCCTCGCCTGTACCTGCATATAGTGGCTTACTTCTCTGAACGGGTCCTGACTCTGTAGGGATTGAGAAAGCAATCAAGAACGAAGGGATGGCGGGTTTACGGCCTTGATTGGACGCCGGGGAAGCAGTTGCCAAGAGGGTAAATGCTGATTCGACAGAACACCGCTCCTGCCGCTTGATCTCAGAAAAGCAACCAATTGCCCGACTCTGCCGATGCGCTGGACTGGCCCACGGATTACACGGAGAACTCGCTCCCTCTAGCCTAAACGGTCCAGGCGTGAAATTTACACCAGACGAACAAGGGCATCTCCATGCAAGCAATGCGCTGATCGGCCGTGCTTCCCCTGGTCTGCCCTGGCCTGGTGCTAAAATGGTGAGATGACGGGCGCACATCGTGGGTTTACTCCACGAGATGCCCCTGATATGAATCTGGCTCGAGCCAACCGTAAGGGTCTGCTGGTCACACATACATTATCGCGGCTAGGATTTATAGTGTAGCTGGCGGAAATTGATGGCGTGGATGGAGTACTGGAAACATGCATCTACCGATGCCACCAATGCTTGCATTGATGTACCTGGGTTGTTGGTCCATTTTGGTCCGTGAAAGCTTTGCTCACCTTCCCAGTTGCGGTCACCAGGCGGTAGTAGTCACCCACACAGTCGGTACCCATGCCTGCTCTCTGATCTCTTATTATGGCGTTTCCCCCATCTCGACGCGCTCTCACCTTCACTTACCACATCTGCCAGTCCAGATTGTACTCTTGGGATAATATCTCCCCTCCCTTACCATTCTAATTCACATTCACTCCCTGTTGATCTCTCTGCTTTCCCTATCTCAATACTCGTCGTGGGCTGGAAACTTGAGTCCCTTGCCGTACATCAGACACAGTCCTTCCTTTCGCTCTCCAGTAAACGACACTCTTCGAAACGATAGTTCAGGAACCTGGTTGTTTCCAGCAATCGATTTGCCGAACACAGAAGTGCGCATCAATTTGTAGACTGATCTTCATTGATGCTGTCCCACATTTCGCTCATTCAACACCAAAAGCCGCGATTCGCCGACGATACAAGGCACTCGAGATTCTGTGCATCACCAGCCTTTGAGAGGACTGGGTAACTCAAGCATCCACTTTATTTCCAGACTCTACCTTGACTTGGATCGACAGTCCAATAAACAGCTTCACTTCGTTTCAGCGACAACTTTTTGATCGCTGTTATTACCCGTTTGGAATTTCGGAATAAGCCTCAAAGCACCGTCCACGCGGACCGTTGAGCATTTACACTTTGCACCATACACTCGGCGTGTGTATTGCACCCACTCAAACGCACTACAGGAAAAGCCGCATCACGACGGATCCAACGCCGACGCACAAGACGTCTTTAGGCGAACCAGCGACTGCGGCGCCCGATTGTCAGGATCTGATAGGTTGTCTTGGCTCCGCCATCTGACCAACCCACCCAGTCACCCAGGTGACATCGTAGTGCAGATTTGCAGCATAGCGGCAGCATTTTGAGTGACACAGCGGTACACGAGTACAGTTTACTGCAGTCATTCTCACCACCTGGGCCATTTTGGACCAACTCAGATCATCACATACCCCGTCACAGAATCCTGGGTGTCTCGCTGCGATCCTTCTTGTCCTCCCAGTACAGCCTCAGAGTTTTACAGATCCCGGTATACAGCCTGGGGGTGGTGTAAGAGCACTTCACGAGTACTGAATCAGTTGTCAACCCTGTCGTCCAATTCCCCAGATTTATCATTCACGGGTTCTACCTATTTATTTTTAACCTTTCCTGGTTTTTTCATATTGTTTTCAAGCTTTCGAGGTTTTTTTCAGACTTGGCCAAACCAGCAAACAATAAGCCAAGATGTCTCTAGCACGTGCCTTCACCACGCGGCGGGCGAAGCATACCATTGATGTCAAGGAAGCCAATAGTGGCATTATCCCGCAACGCAGCAACACCACAGCAAAAGGCCATGGACGCGGACTATCTATTCGTAACATGATTTCCGGGCCCATGGAGCTCACCCACACCACGAATATGCTTGCATACAACGCGCCAGACTTACACCCGAAATCAGCGTCTTCAACCACATCATTCAAGGTCTCCGATGATGAATCTGACAGCGCGCACACCAACGCATCGTCTCCGCCAACCAGTCCAGATGTCGCATCAGCAGATGAACGCTCCATCTCGCCGGAACCTAACCACCTGTCCTGTTATTTCATGGCTCCTGGTCAAAAGTTGCCAAACGGGGAGACTCCTAAGATCCCGTCAAGGGCCCCGTCACACACCAAAAAGGCATCGTACGAACACTTGGCACAGAAGCAACAAACCCAACAAGTGACTCACATGTCGTATTCGTCCGGCAAATCGGTCTCGACCAAGGCTAGCTTCTCTAGCTTCCGTATTTCTTCAGCATCAACCGCGGCGTCTTCTGTCCACTCGGGTATCTACACTCACAGCAGCAAACCCCCGTCTGTACCTGCACTTCCTTCGCAACCAACTGCCCCTTCTGTGTCCGCACGGCAAATGTCTACTCGGAGGCACGAGGGACCATCGACTCACCACCCATTTGGCCAGGAACTGGCGCAAGTGTCCGAAATTGCGGAAGAGTTTGGGGTGAAGGAGAAAGTGAAGGTGGCGGACGACGAAGAGCAGTGGCTCATCTCCAAAGGTCTCAGCATATTCAAAGCAGACGACTACCTATCGGAGGTCCAGGTCTTGTTCTCTACCTTCTTTAAGCAAGAGGCGAGAGCAGCCCACCAGGTGCTACAGCCTGTGTGGATTTAAGACGACAACGACGGGACCAGGATCTCAAGAAGGATAAGCATACCAAATTTTTGGGACATCATCTCTTACGGCATTTCACTGTACATATTTGGAGCGAATGCGGTCACATTCGCAACTACCACAATCAAAAGTCGATTTTGGCAAATTTTGGCACGCGGAACGATTATCAAAGATGCTACGGATACAGGATGGGAGGGAGTTATTTTGCGACTGCATGTATCAGGCATAGGATCCAGCAGACGGGTATACTGGCGTTTGTGAGGGTTCACTCCGAGGACCATTGGACGTTTGTTTGGAGGCACTCATCCCACTTCCCCCCTTCCTTTTTTTTCTTCTTTTTTGGTTGGTCTTGATGAGTTCCCCGGACACACATCATTATCCCCAATGTTTCCCCTTCAACTTTCCGAGAAAGCTTTTCACTGCACAGATGCAGTCAGAGAGTCACGGCGCAAGCCTGTGCGCAGCAGATACGTAGCATCCGAATCAAAATAATCTAAATGCACCACAATTCATGATTGGCTTTTCCCGTAAACCAGCCCGAACCCACCTTGCATAAGCATGACGGTATGCCATGGTAAAAGGCAGAGGGAGCCTCCACTTCAGCCTGATGTGCACATGCGTAATTCTGCGGTCTAGAGCTTCATCTGGCCTCAAAAACTAACGTGTCTTTTCGTTTTCCCAGCGCGCAAACTGAATCAACGGGGATTCAGAACCATCCCGTGTCAACCAGAACCAATCAATCGGCTGTCTATGTCTCACACATGCCAAACACATCAATGTCTCTAGCTCGAACCTTCCAAGTCATCAGATATCGCAGTCTGAAGAAGCTTGTCTCATATTATCATATATCATCCCCTTACTTGAGTACGTATCCTGGACATCTGCATAGTCGTGAATCCTGGGGCAGATCGTGACTATCTACTCCACATTGGTATGTGCCACACGAACAAGGGGATCTTCCATATCTGACACTCGCTGTGTGATGCACAACTGGGAAGGGGAATGAATTACGGGGAGTAGGGTGCGCATCCCCATGCCCTTGATGCTCGATAGTAAAAATGCCGGCTTGCGAAACAAGGCCAATCTTGTGTTGTTTAGCTGAGGCAGTGCGATACACCTTGTCATGCTGATTTTTGATGAGCAAGTGCGAAGCATACGGGTTAGAGCACTGTGTTTCGACTTTTCAAATGACGAAAGTTGTTATTAGTTCTGGCCGACCTATGATCAGACGTGCTACATGCATTTTGAAGAGCTGTTTGGACTATCACCACGAGAGTGCGACTCAAAAGTTGAACGCAGGTTTGCGCAAACAAAAACTAGCGACTCCAAGTGTTAGTAACTGCCCTGCATGAACGAGGCCAAACCTTTTGGAAAAAGTAACTTTTTCAGAATCTTTCGGCCAGGCACGGTGCCGGTGATCGTGGCCGAAAAGTCAATCGTGATGCTCAACTATGGCAAGGGTCTCTCGTTGGGTTGTTCTGGCTAGCTTCACTTCGTCATAATAAACCACGGCGAACTCCTCTGCGATTTGAGCCTGAATTCGAACAAAGTCGCGACTATGGGGTGCATACCATGTACAAATTTGTCGCACGGGGCACATCGGGCAGTTAACGATTGCGAAGTGATGGGATATGTCGTGTCCCAAATTTGCCGGCCTAGCGACATGAATGGATTGAGACGTGTTGCTGACATCGTGCAACCTGAATACACTCGTAGAACGGCGATGACGCACATAGAATCTTGGGATCAGCCGAGTGATAAGAATTCCAGTCTGCGGACCTACGTCTCGCTGTCCCACTATCACGGCCATGCGTGCAGCGTTCACGGGCATACGAGACATGCATCGGGCGTTCGACGAGATGCAGTATGGATACGGGATTACAGGTTGAGTAGGTGTTTTGAGAGTGATCACTCGTCTCAACTCAACTTTGTCGCGTCTGATCTGATCTCCGGGACTGGATTTGGAGAGATGAGAGCCAATAGAGCCTTTCCTCTCGGTCTGGTCTGCTGTAACCCCTCCACAGCTGACGAATTAGCAGCGCTTCACGAGCATCGACGCTGATGCGAAATGTTGACACCAAGATGTTTGACGCGGAGCCGAGCAAAGCTTAAACGTCGGCACCGTTGGCTGCATGGAGTACTTCAACGAGGACAAGAGACTTCCCGAGCAGCTAGGCAGCTAGTCACCCGAGGGTGAGTAATCCTAGCTGTGCTTTTCGACATTGGATTTGGATTGTCAGTCCCACTGGCCGGGGGACAACTCGAAGGCAGGGTATGTTGCGCAACGCCAATCAATTTGAAGATTAAGCATCTGCTAGTGGCAGGCTAGCAGAATAATTACCGAGATCAGCACTTAGCACAAGCTAACCCCCTGAGGCTCCCTGAATCGCTTTCAGCCTCGTCTGATCGAGACAGCTTTTGCAATTGTCCAATTTGGACCTTCACACACTTGGTACCACGAGCCATTCGCATTTTCCGTCTGAGTTCGGAGCTATTTTAGTGTTTGCTTGATTCGGATGTAGCGATCCCCCCCTCCGGTGCCAAATGGTGCGCCTGCCCGCACTCGTCCGGTTCCCGTCCAAGCTCCGGCGGCGAGCGCGACGCCGCAGAATGATGACGCTCCTGACACTGCTCGCCATCGTGCTCCTCATCGTGATCCCCTTCTATATCATCTACAAGCCGCCGCGGCTGCTGATCCGCTACTTCCGCCACCGGTGGCCCGACGTGCTGTGGGAGGTGGACACGCGCCAGAAGATTGTGGGCTTGACCATCGACGACGCGCCCTCGGAGAACACGGAGCAGATCCTCGGCGTGCTCAAGGCTTACGACGCGACGGCGACGTTCTTTGTCATCGGTGGCCAGGTTTCGGGTAGAGAGGAGATACTGGCCGATATTGTGCGCAGCGGCAATGAGCTTGGCAACCATGCCATGCACGATGAGCCGAGCCGCGCGCTGAGCGACGATGAATTGACGGCGCAGATGGAGAATGTGCGAGACAAGATCCGCGTCGCGTACCACACGGCCGAGCGTGAGTTACCGGCGCAGTACTTTCGTCCCGGCTCGGGCTTCTTCAGCGACCGAATGAGGAGGTTGATTGATAAATTGGGATACCGGATGGTGCTGGGCAGTATATACCCGCACGATCCCCAGATACCCTACGCCTGGCTGAATGCGAGGCACATCCTGAGCATGGTGCGTCCGGGGGGCATCATCATATGTCACGATCGGCGGAGCTGGACGGCGCCTATGCTGAGGAAGGTGTTGAAGGAACTGAAAAACCGGGGGTACAAGGTGGTCAGTGTGTCGGAGTTGCTCGAGGCAACCACTGGTTGATGGAGCCATCAATGAGGAGGGTGCAGGCTTTACGAAGTACGGATACCGGGGAGTTAAGGCTAACGTTGGCCAATTTCGGAGCCGCTGGGAGGATATGTTGCACCGAGCCATGGCAGCGGTGCTACATGGCGCCTGGTTTGGTGCTCTCCCTCAGCAATTGAAGGTGAAGGTGAAACAATTAGAGGGTTCTAATCAGAAATCGGTGACATCGATACTGGAGGTCTTCTACTGAAGATGTGTCTGGGATGGACACCAGTTCAGAGTACACATTGAGCCTCACGGTGCGGGTAGATATAGAAGACCGAATGTCATTTCAATTCGCCAAGATCACCCTAGGGGCTTCGACAGGTCGTCTTCTAAGCCGATTCAAGCTGCCTTTTTCTCCTTAGCCAACGCATCGAAGGCCTGAACCAAATCATCCCGCAGGTCCTCCCAACCTTCCAGACCGACACTAACTCTGAGCAACCGCTTATCACACTCGACGTCCGACATGGACCTCCACTCGATCAAGCTCTCAACACCACCCAAGCTCGTGGCGTGATGGAACAGCTGCAGTTTACTCGGCAGCCTCTTCGCATCCGCCTCATCCTTCATAAAAAAGCAAAACACGGGGCCAAACCCATTGGGCATCTGCCTCTTCAACCAACTCCCCTCCTCCTCCGCTTCCTTCTGCAAACTCGCGTGCCGAACCTCCCGAACCATCTCCTTCACAATCCCCCCTTCTCTCGCCATCTCCCCCGTCAACCACTTTACCAACTTCTCCCCATCCTGACTCTGCTTCCTAACTCTCACCTCCAGCGTCCGCAAACTCCTCAACCCCAACCAACCCTCCAAACTCCCCAGCGTAGACCCCAACACCAACCGCTCCTCCCGCATGAGTTGGATCCATTTACCGGCGTGCCGCGGCGCCACCGCCAACACCCCACACAGCATATCGCTGTGCCCTCCGAAGTACTTGGTCCCGGAATGCATCACCACATCGGCGCCCCATTGGAGTGGGTCCAGCAGCGGCGGCGGCGCAAAAGTGGCATCTACTGTAAGGTACGCGCCCGTCCGCCTTGCTTTCTCGGCATAAAACTGCAGATCCCGTGCTTCGCCAGTTGGGTTCAAAGGCGTCTCAACGTGCAAAACGTCGCCCGGTTGGAGATCGGCGTCGGGGCAGTCGAGGTCCAGCATTTGGAGACCTGTGAGTTTGGACATGAGCTTGATGACGCCGTGGCAGCCGTGGTAGCCGCCGCCGATGGCGATGCGGCGCGGGTTGAGGAAGGTCAGGAGCGCATGGAAGGCGGCGAGGCCCGAGGAGTAGGAGAGCGTGGGCCCGTGCAGGATCGAGGTTAGGATGGCTTCGAGGCGGGTGGCGTTGGGGGCGCTGTCGCGGGAGTATATGTGCGAGTCGTGGGGGTTGAGGGGCTGGGTAGGATGTTAGTATTTCACCATGCTGGCTTGCTGATTGCTAGTGGCAAAGGCAAGACTCACGTTCTTGTTGGCCCAGGGGTACAGCTCGTCCGGATTGTCATTGTACCGGAACGTGGTCGAGACGTGCATTGGCGGCGCAATGGACGGGTGGGAGTTGAGGTAGTCGTCTGCATGGATCGTCTGCGCTGCGAGGGATAGGTGTTGCAGTCGAGTGGCGAGAGCTTGCGACTCGGAACTGTTGGGCGCGCCATCAGACGGGATCTCGTGAGCTAGGCCTTGCACGAGTTCTGGCTCTGTTGCCGTGGTTGCTGGTGTGATGTTGGTGTCCCCCATATTGCTCGCTGAGTAGTTGCAGCTTATAGACTATCAGATTAGATTTGGCCAAGACAAATTCGAGCCCTGAAGCAAATGAGGTGAAGAGCTTCAGCTACATCAACCCTATTAAAAACCTTACCAGGTACGGAGACGATTGTACGGAAGGGACTTTATCTAGTCATTCATAAGGCGCTAATCCCCCACTTCACTCGGAGATAGACTCAAATAGCGTGACGTCGGTGGGGTAGCTTTCTAGGACATCAGCCCATTGCTCGACGTACAACTGGGCGTAACAACGATGCGATCGAGCGATGTGGAGTAGTTGGAAATAGTGCCATGCTGCCTGCCGACGCAAGACCCGATAACGGAACAGGTCTCGGCCGGTGTGGGTGGGCCAGGCGGTTTCTGGAATGCTGGGATGAGCAACTTGCATATTGGTGGTGATCCTATAAAGTGCGGGCCTTTCTGTGGAAGCATGTAAGTCGTTGGATTTGGTTGGTTAGACTGTGTTGATCATGTTTGCCTCGAGTGCAATTGAATATGTGAATTGAGACCTGCTGTTGGGCCATGGTCCTCTGTGTAGACAGCCGCTTCAATCTGCTATATCATGACATGGAGCGGACTGCGTGTCAGTTGGCCAGAGTATAGGGCAGTTTCAATTGTTAATAGACGGATCCAACTTAGGCTTTTAAGATGGTTAAGCTCTAAAGTGACCCATAGTCGTTCAGAACCTTGAAGAAAACATACTTGAACAGGACCGGGGAATCACCACAGTGCTTGGAACATTTGTAAGTCGAGGAGTTGTTTCTTTTTTCCCCTTCGAGATTGGGAGATGCGACGACAGTTCACATCGATAACTCGGAAGACACCACTTGGGAGACACGAGTTGCGAAATGGCGTTGATACCTATTGAACCTGGAAACATTTCAGTGTCTACCCAGAGGATGTAAACGCACTGCTCCAGTGTTCTTCTCCGTTGAACCAACCTCTCGAGATAGTGTTTTATACTGGAAGCGCCGCACTTGTCACAAATTTCGAAGCCAGTGCATCTCAGGAAATGCTGTACATGGAACTAGAAATGCTCATGGTGGCCGTTTTGAGAAACCTCTAAGACCTAGACATGTCCAAAGCCAGAAACTTATGTTCCAACTCTCAGAGCTCTTGTATCCAGCTATTTTCACTTTAATCAGCCTTGTTGGGTGCAAACCCTCCTGGCGGCCTCTCCGTTCTTGTTGTTGAGACACGAGAAAAGGCCGGCTTAGCAGTCCTCAGCCAGCAGCAGCAGCACCACCATAATTGGTGACTAATATGGACATGGCGGTGCCTCGTCCGCGAACCCGGGACATGACGTTGATCCTTCAGTTGTAACCACCGCAGATGCCCTCTATCATGGAACAGAACAAGCTCGGGGCGTTTCGGTCAACAACATGACAAGGCGAACCACAGGCGCCTCAGCTGATCTACGGCTTGCGGCGAAAGCGACAAGAGCTAGTTGTGATCTCTGACGATCATGACTGGCCACTTACAGACACTAATAGACTGGTCAGGCAGACACGCACCCACGCGTGCAGTAATGGGTGTATTGGGAGCTGCGCAATACGGGAGAGGACGCTTTGGGTGTGATTGGTGAAGTGTGATGGACGATGGGAGGGTACAAGACAGGGTTCACTGATGACTCATGAACGACTGTGGGTTGGACGTTGGGCATATTGAGAGAGATGATGGACCGTTTTTGCCTTTTCCTTTTGGGGGATAGGTACTAGGGATTGAGAAGAGATCTCTCGCTCGACTTCGGCCCCTTGGTGCCGCGTGGTAATAGTACCAGAGTAGACACAACGCATGATTGCAGTCCCTCATTGACGACAGAAATTGTGAATGCTATGGCTCTTTCACAGACATTGGGAATGTTGAATGTGTGTGATGCTGCAATCTTCGATGCTTTGAGACTGGATACGAACGTAATGCAAAGTAGACCTATATGCCGGTTTTCATCGTCTCGACATAATACTGGATCTGAATTAGGAGAACTTATCCTAAGCCACCAGATACTGCTTCACTGGTCTAATTTACCCTTACTACTGCTGGCTAATCCATCTAACTATATCTCAACCCTAACTTGTCAATCCATCCATCCACCCGAGGCCTGGTTTTTCTCGCAACACCCATCTGACATCTGACATCTGACATCTGCCCTAAAACCCAACAGACCCCCGCCGAAAATACAACATGCCGTCCATACCCTCCCCTACCTTGAATAATAATAATAAAGAACACGAAAAGCATTGCCGCTATGCACGCCTTTGCGCCCACCCGCAAGTTTTGTACGCCGTCGCTGGTCAATTAAAAACCGCCCCTCGCCGCCCCAGCAAATTCAGACAAGATGATGATTATAAACAAGCAAAAATAATTAAGAGAAAGACCTCCCGACTCGGCTGATCGATCAAGTTTGTTCGTTCCATAAAAGCGCCGGCCGTTGTGCCAATTCCCGTTGGAATATCCCTTTTCCCCCAGGTTGAGTGCTCAAGTGACCATGCCGCAGTGCCGTGGTGGCTCTATACATCGTGTACAACGAGAAGACAAGGAAATTCGTTACGGTGAGTTACGTCGTCGGTGGTGATTACAAGATATGAGGTTGTCGACGTCATGAACGTCCAGACACGGAAGAACTGGGACTGGCTCTCCTTGAGTTGTCCACCACTTCTGCCGCGCTGCCGAGTAGGTCGTGGTCCGACGCCGGGTCGATCCTACTGATATTATGTTGGTGTACGTAGCCGTAGCTCGTCGGCCGGTCCTCGCCACTATCTGTACTAAAGCCGGTCGAGGGCATCTGGCTGACGTCGTCGGCGAGGCCCAGTGAAGAGCCCGAATGTCGTTTCTGGGAGTTAGATCGGTCGAAGGGAAGCCTGGCCTTCGAAGCGCCTGGGGTTTGTGACAAATCTATTATGTCCCCAAAATAGGTCTGCGACGTCGAGGCTTCCGAGGGCGGTACGACGTTGAACGATGGGTTACATATTGGATCGACAACGGAATTCCGTTTCGAGCTCTTCCGAGGCACGTGGGGTACCGGTCCGATCAAGACTCCCCGGGTCTTCTTCTGTGAGGCCTGTCTGCTGGTCTTTGACGAGTTCAGCCGACTGGGTACTTTGAAGCTCTCCCCGGCATCAAGATCTGGTAACAGAGGCGGATCTTGTGTAACACGTGGAGACTCTTCGCCTCCGTCATCGTCGACTCGAGGCTCGCCACTATCGTCTAACAAGTCCTCCCCCACGCTCTCGCTCGTAGCGCGTCTAGCCTTCGACTTTGGCGTAGTCTCCTCATCGTCACTTTCTATGGGACCGTTCCGTAATACGCCCATTGCGACAGGAATCCCTTCTGGCGGGGTATCGTCGCTGAATTCGCCTCCACGAGCTTTCATAGCGGGCGGCATCCTAGCACTTCTTACGACCTCGAAGCCCTTGCCCTTATCTTTGGTCTTGCCGCCGAACAACGCCTTCAACCACCCTGTTGCAGCAGATACCGGACTTGTGGGGTCTGCAGGCCCGGTGCCCAACCTTCGTGATGGTGCATCCGAGTTCAAAGCTGGGCCCCGAACCCCGTAGTAAAAGTCAACCTCGCGTGTGGAATAGTCCGCTCTAGGGGCGAAAACTGGGGCGTAGAGCGCTGGCGCAATGAAGGGTGCCGGCGTTGCCCTCCCTGACGGCGCCCCGTCGAGATCCGAATCTATGACTGGTCCTCCAGCCTGGCTCAATCTTCGGTTGGACAGGTCGATACTTCCCATAGACGCACGTTTAAACTCCGTTGTAGACGGGCGAGCACTTTCGTTGGTTCGTCGGCGCGCGCGAGGGGGGCGGTAGTAAGGGTCTGCAGCTGTCGTAGGAACGGCAGGCCCAGGCCGGGTAGCTTGCCCAGGAGGGGGCAGGGAAGACAAGGTGCTGTTTTCCCCAGGCGTCGTCGGCGTGAAGTTACTACCTCCGGCCGGAACCGAGTAGGCGTCTATGCTACGAGCATCCAAGGCGCTCGAGCTTCGCTGGCCCGGGTTGTGCATGAGGATCCCCATACTTCCGGCCGATTCACTCCTAACACGGCCGTATTGTCCCTTGTTTCCCTGTTCCGCATCGAGCATCCTCGTCGTACTAAGCTGGCTTTGGCGTGATGGACCTCGCGGACCGCGCGGACCGCGCCTCGACATGCGCCTCTGAAGTTGGCGAGCGCCAAAAATCTTTGATAGACCGCCCCTGGTCTGTCCTCGGATATCGTCACCCCCTGCCCCGCACAGCCTTGCGATGACTTCGATAATAGTTTGCAGTGCATTGAGAAAGAAGCCCAGTACTAGAACGGCACCGTGAATGAGCAATATGACGTAACCAACCCATCCCTTGGACCCTTCCTTGACTCCCATCGATGGAGCAAAAGCCACCATGAGGAGGACCGTGACAAATCGAAGTGCTGAAAACCCCGCGTGGTACGCATTCATCGATGTCGGGGAGTGGAACGGGCGGAATGCGTGCAGGGTCAGCATCTGAACCACCTCGCACACGGCCAAGATGACAATTTGGGCGATACCGGAGGGCTGAACAGCGCCGAGCGCAATGCCTCGCATGATGGTCAATATTATCGGGATCAGGGCAAAAGCGGCCGCTTCGTCGGAATAAGTGTTGTACAGCGGTCCGTACAGCAGCACCGTCGGGAGATCGTCGAACAAATGTGCCCGTGGCCGGGTCGTGGCGATGAGGTACATGAGCCATCCGGCAAACCCCACGATAAGGGCCAACATCACCACAGCCATGACCACCAGGACAACGTCAGATTCACCGGCGACTACTAGCTGAAAGGCGGACAAGGTGACAATCGGGAGGAGGAAGTAGCTGAAGACAAGACGAATTACATTGCCAATGGAAAAGGGGAGATTCTTGGCGCGTAGGTCCTCCTCAGGGGTGTGTTTGATATACCGTAGCAGCCAGCGGAAGAAGAAGCCCACCTGGATGGCGAAGAGGACAACACCGATAATGACCAGTAGCCAAATCATCATGCCAGCCCATATGTCCTCGACCTCGCGCATGCCGACAAGTTGGGCAAGGCTCTGCAGCCCGTAGGTTCCGTTGGTGAAATAGATGCCGTCAATCACTACTTCCCACGGCTCGGCCTTGGCCACAAAACTCTCATTGAATATCAGCGCAGACCAGGCGCCATTGCTTGTCACCGGCTGGTAGAACCCGGGATAATCTAACGAAAGCCCACCCGTCAAGACAATAAACTGAATGTACTGAAGACAGTCGCCGAATCCGGGAGTGACGAGACGAAGCAGATCGGGATCTCTGCCGTAATTCGACGTCCAGTGGAAGACGTCGCTGGTGCCCCAGGGGCTGAAGACACCCGCGAACACAGTGGCAACACCTACCAGAAGCAGGACGAATAGGGGCAAAAACCTGAGAGACCATGCAATCCCCCCCAGATCCGGGGTCACCACTGTCGACACACAACCAATCGTAGTGACGGCCGTGTCGCCGTACCAGATGATGAAGGTGGGCGAAAACGAAGTGAACGCGTACGTAGAGTAAAAGTTGTTGGAAAGGTTGAAAGCGTACAAGCCATCTGGGAGATCACTACGTGTATAAATTAGACACTGAACCAAACCAAAGCAGCCAGGGGCGGGCCGTGCGGCATGAAGCCGCAGGTCTGAGCCGTGACTTACATAGCCGTCTCGTTGAAGATAGGGGCTAACGGACACGCCCCGTTGGTCGTATTGATGTTCTCGCAAAAGTTGGAGTTTTGCATGTAAGGCTCGTAACTGAGAACATCGACCTTGCTGTGTAAAGTGGTAGCCTTGCCGGAGCCGTTGGGGATGCCTGCCTCGGGTTCGTCTTGTATTTTGCCATTCAGCGCCTGGGTTGAGTTGCCCCAAGCCGTCGTGTTGTCCCAAGCCGGCAACTCATCGGACCCCACTCTACCCGTCACATTCCCCCATACAGTCACTTTCAGGTTGTGATTGTCGTTGACCAGATCGAAGACAGCATCGGCGTATAACGGCACCCATTGCAACTGCACGGCGTCGGGCTCTTGGTTCGACCATATATAGCTGTCGTCGAGGCAGTTATCGAAAGGGAGGAAGACGGCGGCGGCGGGTTGTATGCTTAGAAAGGCAATTGAAACGAATGCGAGGTTGGAGAGGAGCCGGGGGCGTGAAAGCAGGAGGCGTGTATCGGTTCTGCCATTGCTGCGGCTATGCCTCCTTGGTTTGGACACGACTTGTGCGCGCTGCTGGCTATAGTTCATGGCGAAAGACAACAAAGAAGTGGACTCGTTTCCATCACCATCATCGTCATCACAGTGCTCTGTTGGGTTGGCATGCCTGGAGTCGGAAATTCGCATTGTCGCCGTCGCGGATACTAGGGACGGCCTTCGTCCAAGACAGTCAACGAGATAAGGCGGCAGCGACTAGACCCGCATCATGGTGGGATGATCGACGACACTCAAACGAATGGCTGGCTAACGTCGAGTTGCAGGTTTAATTAGGGAATTACGACGAATAAGTAACGCGAAGTAAAGAGTCGAGACGAGACGTGAAGTGAGGCACAGTCAACAATTGTTCCCTGGGGTCCAAGGGGAAGGGGATGCTTTCATTCCGCCCGTAAAATTGGCCTGAACAGCAGGCGGTGCGCTGCGGCGGTGCGGGTGCCCAGGTGTGTTCGGACCAGGACCCTCGTCCCTCGTCCAATGCTGTCCCAATTGAGGCAGATCGAGCTGAGCTTATTACATCCGCAATCCGCCCATGTACGGGTATGACGTGTGGCACAGCGAGTGGGTAGAACTGGTAAAGCGTCTGGGTACAATGGCTTCGATGAAATTGAATCAATTCATGCAGCGAGTGTTCTTTTTTCCTCTTTTTTTTCTGTGTTTTAACAATGTCAGGGTAAAACGAGAGCGGGAAGTGAATAGACGCTGGGAGATGATGAGTGGTGAACTCGAGATAGCGACGTGATAGCAACCGACACGATTGAAGTGGGAGAATAGGAAGAGGAAAGAGATGGTGGTTGGATCTGGGGAAGGACTGGGGATTATTTGATGCGGGTTTGGAGTGATAACCCGAGCCTTGCGAGGGTAACCTACGCCAAAGCGCAGAGAAGGACTTCAATCATCCGAGCGTCATGAGTGGCGACAGCCTGCTGAGCCTGCTGGAATACTTTCACTGCCACTGTCACTATCGCCGTCACTTTGAGTCTCGAGTTGTTGTCGGTTTTTCGCAATTCGTTAAATCCCTGCTGGCATTTTGCTGGTTCTTGGATCGTGACACGCAGCGGTCTCCGGCCACAATGCTTGAACGGTACCCAGTTGTCATTCCAGGCATGCGGATTGTTAGCGTATTACGACCCCACAATACTTGATCTTCCACTCGTTTTCAGTGCTTGAAGGGTCATGATGGCCTTGTCCAAGTAAACTGGTACTTGGCCTCACACCATTTGCCTGCGTAGACCAGTCACTTGTAAATGGGGAATTTCATCCGTCAACAGTCTGCATGCCTGGAGAGATGTATCTGGACAGCGGTGACGACCATATCCCGCCATGCCACCAGAGCATTGCCAACCTCATCCAAGATATAATTGGCATATTATAGGACTCTTATTGGAGGAAACCTTCCGATTTCCGACCTGGCAGGCTGCAGGCTGATTATTTTAGAGTTCACACCTTGAGGGCAAGGATATGTTGTCCAGGATTTGCATTGTCCACTGACTGGTCGTTCTAGGTGGAAATCCTCCAGACCTACCTTGTTGCGTAACGAACTGGCCGGCGGCCAACTGCAATGTGACGGGGGCAGATGCTGATCGGTGCTGGGTAGCTCACGCGTCCTGTAGATATCCAAAATGCCTTTGTCGCACAACAGCTTGTGCCTGTCCAATACTGCGGGAACGACACTGAAGCAAACATTCGGCCTCATCTGATATCTTGGACTTCAGCCGGCACGGCGCCCGTAGAGCTGTCTTGAACTATGGAGAAAAATGCATTCCTGGTGAGCGCTCGAGTGCAAATGTCAAAGTGCAGCTGCGTATTCTATTTTCAGTGTTTGTCTTAGCATATAGGTGGGGCACAGCGAATTGAGGCCGCTCGGGGTTCGTGAACAGCTGTAATTCGAATGGTGGCGCTCGTAACGACAACTCGTTTTGTATTCTCTCGTCTTGGGCCATCATGGGCCTGCCGCAACATCATTGGCATTCCCACGTACAGGAAGATGACAGTCTGGCTCCTTGTGGATTTGACAGCTAGTCTGGGCCACAAAGTACTTCGTACTCGCTCGTCAAATTGCAGAAAGCTCTGGTAGCATCGATCCTCGAGCTGCTGCGCCTCCAACGGCGCGTAATTAACGTAAGGACGTCATGCGATGCTGACTATGGTACATTTTGAAACAACGCAGATCCCTCGGGCTTTTCTTTTGACTGCAGTTCCTTTAGATCCATCATGACATTGTTCCAGTAAATCGTCTCAAGCAAATACGAGGAAATGCACTGTGATGCATCGAGATCGACAGCCGGGCTGGAACGTCGCACATGTCGAAAGCAGGTTGTTTAACCCAGATTTTAACATTTCTGATTACCAGACTTCATTGTCCTTAATCCCTGTGGTACACTGTATCGGGAAGGTTGACCGAGGGGTTTTGCCTCCAAGGACAGATTCGCGAATTAGGCCCCCGTGACTTAACGGCCAGATGGACGGAGCATTGGACAGTCTCCCTAATAGTTGCCAAACAGACTTGATCTGCATGGGACACGTATATCTGACCTTCCTCTTGGGACGGTGCGACTTTCTCTGCGGTCTTGCGGGCCAGTCGTCCGACTTGGCAAAGCACCAGTTTGGGCTTTCCACATTGCACCGCATCACCTCACAAGACAAGAGCAGCACTAGACGTCATTCCCAGACACTACTAAGGAAGAAAAATGGGCCCGCGGAGTTACAATAAACCGTCAACAAGACGTACGATGCCTTTCACGTTTTTTAAGTATTGTTGCGGATTGTTGTGCTATACGGTCGTGTCTTCGAGGAAGATCTGCGAATATATCCTAGGGTTAACACATCAAGAGCTCCAAATATGTGGTGGCATTGCTTCATTATTATTGGGTACACGAGTTGCGATGCTGTCAACCTACTTAATTACCTTCCACGTACGGCCATGCTGCTTGGATCGTGAAGCCGATCTCATCTTGCACAGCAGTGGACAACATCTCTTTTCACGACACACCATGCGAACATGGAAATGAACCTAGACTTCCGCGAATTGTTGTCACTACAACTTCTCAGTAAAACCACGGTATCACCTCGTATGTTGTAATTCGTTTTACTGGTAGTTGTTCCAGGTCTCCCTACAACTGTTGCGCTTGCCATGCCGTTACCTTCGTGGGAGGGCAGCTGTAAGACAGTTACGGAACACACCACAATTGTGCTCAACACAACAAATACAGTTTGCCACTCTGGTAGAGCCTTTCGTGAGGAATTAATCCTCGTACTGTTACGAGATATCGCAAACCCTGCTCTCGGGATGCCGTGATGAAGGAGGATTGCTTCCGATTTAGACAGCTCTCAGTGTTTCCTAAGTTCATGTCCATAGGGTTTCATGTGTCCTTGATTTCTACGAGTGATTAACAGGTCGAAGTCCATCTTTTCTTAGTAGGCTTGGGTTATGCATCATCACACATGATGTTCTACCTTTGTAGTATGTCTACAGCCTTTTTTTGTTTTTGTTTTTTGCGTTACAGTCCACCACGTAGAATGACATTACTAGATATGAAATCTACATGCTCTGAGTGCTGAGCACCTGTTCTTTATGATACGGCTATGGGCAATGGGAAGTCAGAGGGCCCTGGGAATCCCAGATACAAGTCAACAGATTGTTTCCTTTGAGAGGCCCAATAGTATCCCGTTCCTATCAGAGATAATTCTCTGATTCACTTAGTTCAATGTTTTCAAGCCAAAAACTTGGCGTCCGCAGTTCAAGAACTTAATCATCCTTTTCTATGACATCCCAACTCCTCGAAAATTCAATAGTATTCCAAAGAACACCACCCCCATCGATTTGGTCGTTGAATGCGTTACGATAGATACTTGGACTAGTCCTAGTGTCGACGGAGTAGGCCCATTGTGTGTATGCAACGGTCAACGTTAACTCTCTTGTCACAAGCTCGCTCTCTCATCGCCACCGGAGTCTTACATCAAACCCCAGCCCACGCCTCCACAAGCTGAGGCTTCTCTTTGCGCCCCAAAGCCCGCACCAACCATCATGACTGACAACAGCATGGTCTTCAGCCAGGCCAATATCACCACGCTCGCTCTCTTTGCAGATCGTAGAGTCTATTCGCAAGAATATTGGCAAGTTCACAACCCAAGGCTGCTGTAGACGAGGCTTTCCAACCTCATCACTAAGCCAGACGCAGCGTCTACGAAGTCAGGCACTGGACGCATCGATTAAATCTCAACACAAACTCAATACATTGGTAGATAAGATGAGCAGAAATGGAGTGTGCTAATCTTGGACGCCATCACCATGATCATGATTGCAAAAACTGAAAAAATAGGAGAATATGAAAATTAGCAATGAAAATCAGCCCGGACACTTAGCGAGAATTGAACAAGTTTTTCTCAGACCCAAACTTACTTCCTTCTCAGGGGCATCAACCACAGTTCTAATGACCAAACCAATTATCCGATTTATGGGGTTCTCATGCAATATTGAATTACGTATCTCGATAGCAAACAACATCCTACAATCCTCCTAATGAATCAGCAAATATGCAAAGAATCTAGCCCAGCCCATTTCCCGGATATAGTCCTTCAAGCGCCCAATCTGTGACAATAGGAAGGGCAAATGTTCTTTTACGTCAGTCAGAACCCCGAGATCCTCCACCCTATCCCACACCGCCAATCTTTGTGTTTGGAAGGAATCTTGATCCGAAGTTCAGCAAGCTATTTTGCCTAGTGTAGTAGCCTTGTGGGACACAGTCTTGTCATACTTTGTACCTCTTCAACTCGTATCCCTGCACCCTTGCCTTTCAGTAGAGTACCTAGGCCACATTGTACGTCGACCTTCTCACCCGTCAACTCCTGATTCCAGCAGGTCAGAAGCTCGTTCAAACGACATTCAATCCTGCGACCCTCGCCCAGGTCCATGTCGAGTCCTTCGTCAATATCACCCTCAACCACATACTTGTCAAAGTTAGCAATTTGTTTGAATGCTTCTTCAAGTTGTTCTATGGTTAGATTGGTAGGGAGAAGGACAGAATACACTTCATCCCCGGGAGGAGTGTTTTCAAGCGGTATAAGATTACCCTTTAATCGTCTGAAAGTTTTCACCTTTCCCGAGCTCTCTTCGGCGGCCAAGGATTTTTGTCTTCGTAAGAGGTAAGCCCGAGGATCGCCTTTGGGTAGAGAGGTTTTGATAGGTTCTTTGTCTTTTGCTGTCTGATCGTCGGGTTGGACGTGAGTAGAACGCAAACTAGCAAAATGGTCGGCTTGGGTTTTATTATATTGCCAATTTCTAGTGCTGTGAGCCACAGGATATGTCCCAGCGTCCTCTTGTGCATGTGAATTCTGCAGCTGATGGGCGAGATTATCTCTGGCTGACGAAAACATGTTCTGGATATTATGCCGGACAGGGTTGCCTCCCTGAGAAACTTGACCACTCGGTCGCTCTTGGGCTTCCTCATAGCGATCCTGAGCTTGGCAGCTGCTGCGCATCCTCTTGGGTCTGCTGAATGAAATCGTTGTCTGCTTCAAACCATCTGGAACCGTTCTTCGCCTCGAGTCGTACAAATTGTCCCACTCCCCTCTGTCTCGTCCAATTGATGAAGGCGGAGTCCACGGCGGCTGTGCACGACGTTGAGAAGACACCTGGGATTGCCTGTGATTGCCTCGGGCAGTTATCTGGCGTGATGGACCCATGGGACTGGACGCCGGACTTCGATAAACACCCCCTGGTTTGCTTTGCGACATCTGGTTTCCAGACCCACGTATGTCTGGGTAACGCTGACTTGGTGGGACATATAAATTCCTAAATGATGCACCACGATGATGCAAAACATTGTGTTCTGACTGTGGTGTTATTGAAATCCCGAGTAATGCGCCTTGCCCACCAAGCTGTTCCGATCGTAGCACAGCGCCATCAGTGTGAGATTGTGTGGGGTGAATAGTCATTTGGGCTATCGTCCAAAGATTCAGGTCCCGTGGTGCTGACTCGCCGGAATCATCGCCAATGCTCCCTCGTTGCATTGGGGACTGAGAAGATTTCGCTCGCTTGTTAGGTCGTTGAGGCTCTTTGTTATGCTCGGTTCGATCAGTCGACATATCATTTCTTAGCTCGGACTGACTCATCAAAACTTCATTAAGTTGCGAGCTTTTGATTTCCGCAAGAGGATTCCTATGCAGGTTCTGAGCTGGCCTTGAATTGACGGAAGTGCAGGTTCTCAGAGCAGGTGTCGACAGTTTGCGCTGAAACGGCCTAGTTTGAGTAGTACCAGCCTGGCTATGCCGAACGCCTTCTTCGTCGTCAACAGATTGATCTGTTCTGCTCGGTTGATCCTCGAGCGAGCTTGAGAGAGGACTCAGCGTCCCGGGTATTTCGATATGTTGGTCCGATTCAATATTAGAAACCGCGCACTGTGGTGAAGAACCTGTTGTATAGAGGATTGCACCGCCTGCTTCTCGAGCATCCTGAACGGTATCTAGGGCTAGTGTTTGGTTGCATAAACCTTTCGGGGAATTCTTCAGTGGACCGTACACTTCCTTGCAGAGCCTTTCAAAGCAGTCGAGGAGCTGATCTTCCTCGGAGAAGAGAAGGTCGTTCTTAGATGGTTCGATATTTGCGTCGTAACTTCCCGGAGGGGCTTTGATGTTGAGAACCATGAAAACATCGCTAGATGCAATTTCTGCACCCGTGTCTAGTGCATTGCCCAAGTATTTGGAACAGATGGACACGAGCTTCTTCGTCGTGCCTCTAGATGCTGATATTGGTCGACCATCAATTGAGAAGTGGCGTTGTCTTGGAAGCTTGCAATTTGCATCTGGCTTTGCCATGATTGACTCGAAGGCGTAAAAGTTGTCTCCGGGTCCTTCTTGGTCATTTAAGCCATCATTCATACTTGGACTGCTGAAGCTGGCGTTGTGCTCGATGCAACGATTAGTTGTCTCAGTTCCGTAGATTTGGAGTACTGCTTCTCTGATACCAGCATCACGCTTCGGAGAGTATGACCAGTTGCGCTTTGGGGTCTTGAGGACTTTGAAGGTGAGTTTTACTTGTGGCCTAGCCATAGCATATGAATGCAAAAGATCCTTGATTCTGCACAATGCCGTGGGTGATTCCTCTAGTATTTGTTTCTTGCGGACTGGGAACTGACTGTAAAGGCCAGTGACACTCACAGTAGTGCCTACGGGGGCGGGGGCGGACTTGATTTGTTCAACACCAGTCTTCGGGGCTATCTGGAGAGTTGCTGCTACAGAGTCCGAAGATGTCTTCGTAGTGACAACAACTTGGGCAAGTGAATTCAAACTTGCCAATGCCTGTCCACGGAAGCCCAAAGTAGTGGATCCAACGAGTTTTAGGTCGTCGAAGCTCTTCAGCTTACTGGTGTGGCCATGCTTTGCTAAAGAGCTGTAGTCGTCAGGGTGGATACCGTTTCCATTATCCCGAACTTCGATTTTGTCCAGGGTATTTGGTGAAACAAGGATATCAACAGCGGTAGCGCTGGCATCTAGGGCATTGTCCAGAAGCTCTTTAATCACTGTGACTGGAGTTGATATGGCCAACGTCGAGCCCAGAAGTTGGCGGGTCGACACAGGTAGAGCGGTGATAGGCATACCGATAGTTGAAGACAAGAGCTTTGTTACAAATATCATGTATGAAGGAGATATACAACACCTTCAGGTAGACTGGGCAACAAACTGCCCTGATAATTGATGCAGACAAATAGCTGAAGTCCGAACTCTCTCTCGTCCAGTTACGGCATATTAGGTAGAAGTACAAATGAAAAGGGACTGACTTCAAGTGTTAGGATATCAACGGTCTAGAGCTGGATGCTCAACAGGATGACCTGTATAATCGAAGGTTTGGATGGATGAGTTCAAAGTCCCGAACCTGCAGGAAGTCGGGCAGTCTTCCAGGCACGCACACCCCACGTGGGTCCAGGCCCTGGTCTTTCCATGCGAAGCTTACCGGCGACAGGGAAGGCACATCTTGAACCCCTGCCCCACCCGCTTTCGTCATCCCAATTGGCAATGGGAAGCTGCCTCTCCCCATGCCACTCAGTGCCCCGCATCCAACGACCAACTGGACTTCGCAGACATCCACGTGTGCATCCCCAAGCACGTAGGCTCCAAACTCCTCCTCCCATAGCCCCTTCCTAGCCAGACTGACAGTATACCATTGCCACCCACAATCCCCGATTTCCACAATGGCTTCCATTAAGGGACCTACTCCCCAGGAGCACGACGGTAGCGCTTTGCGCATCGGCATCGTGCACGCGCGCTGGAACACCACCATCATCGAGCCGTTGCTGAAGGGGACCAAGGACAAGCTGCTAGCCTGCGGCGTGAAGGAGAGCAACATCGTGGTCCAATCTGTGCCCGGCTCGTGGGAGCTGCCTATTGCCGTGAAGTCGTAAGTGTCCAGTCCATCCATCATGTGAGACCAATACTCCGCACCTCCAGCAAGTGCTCGTAGTTGACCGGCGACTACGACGGAAAGAATGGGAAAACCTGGCGCAGTAACATATGAAACCCAACGCTGACACCCTATTCCTCACAACAGCCTCTTCTCCGCCTCGCAAGTGCAAGCAACCTCCTCGGGCGGCACCTCCGCCGGCGACCTCCTCGGCTCCTCGACCACGGACCTGGCCTCTCTGTCGACGAACCCCTCGACGCCCTTCGACGCCATCATTGCGATCGGAGTGCTGATCAAGGGCGAGACGATGCACTTCGAGTACATCTCGGACGCGGTGTCGCAAGGGCTCATGCGCACGCAGCTCGACCTGGGCATCCCCGTAATCTTCGGCGTGCTGACGGTGCTCAGCGACGAGCAGGCCAAGGCGCGCGCCGGCGTGCTGCCCGGTAGCCACAACCACGGCGAGGACTGGGGCTTAGCGGCCGTGGAACTGGGTGTGAAGCGGGGGGCTTGGTCGAAGGGGCAGATGGACTAAGATGGTTGACAGGTTGTCAAGTCTAGCAGCTGTCAGACTTTCACGAGGACGGCCAATGTGGGAAGGAAAGCGAAACATGGCAAAAGTAAGTAAAGAAAGAAAGGGTGGGAATCCTACGTTTGATCGAAGCCAGTTGACGCCTGAATGGACCGTGTGGTCTGGTCTGCAACTTGTTGCTGTCTAGGATAGATCATCCCTACTGAAATAAATCAACGACATAGCATGCCATTCTTTGTGGCGTGCAATTTATTATACCTACGGTAGGGATTGTGTGATGAGCTCCGGTCTTGCGACTGGCGTGATATAGGCTGCATGTTGACCCTGTTCGTTTGTCCCAGTTCGTTTGTACACCCTGAAAAGCCTGTCGTTGCAATTTATAATAGAGGTATACGAAACGATCATGGTTGCCTACCACAGGGTAAGCCGAGACATGCTCTGTACGCTCATAAATCCTATTATTCGTAACACATGGAGGGTCGGAGTAGACTTATTATACCATCACCACCACCTAGATCATCCGGAAAGGTCCATTGATCACCCTTGAGGAATACGTTAAATTAGATTACTGTATGTAAGGCTGATCTGTCTATCATGAATCATCTTCCTCCACGATACATCTATCATCCAGCAGCAACTTTTCATACACAAAAGATTTCCCACCTCTTTCTGTACTTCTCCAGTCTCTCTAAACACGCTTTCCTGAGCTCTCCCCATCTTATGTCCCAGTGACGCCGTCCACCCGTGAACTCGTTCGTTCCCAAGCGACGCTAATATACTTGAAATGTACACACATACGTACGCGGTGGTGAATGCCTCCAAAAACAATGTTGGTTTCGCCTCGAGATTCTTCGCTCAGATGCCCGAGTCACCAAAGATGTGACGTCTGTTATTTGTCCCTGAATGGATGGGCGTCCTAAATATTCCCATTGTAAACCTTTGCTGTGACCCACGTCGGCCGTGAAAAATGCTCAATGACGATGTTATGCAGCCGGATAAGAGATAGTTTTGTTGGACCGTTGATATGCAAGACTGAGCAAAATTCTTAGTTGATGAGCGCCCCAATATCAGATCCGAAGTTTTTCTTGGAACGCCAAATGCTCTTCTTCTTTTCTCTCTTTGCCTTCATTGCCTCCCAGCCCTCCTCATCATCGTCCTCGTCATCGTTCGCCGGAGAGGCAGTCTTCGTTTCGATGTGGAGTTTGGAAATATTTGGCAAGGCGCCAGACATGGTCACTGTCCTGGATGCTGGGTCCGCCATGCTTGAGACTGGTCGGTAGCGTCCGGGAAGACCAACGTTGCTGCGCTCGGATGGAGCTATTGAAGGTGCATAGCCGTTGCCCTGGATACATATCGACGGTGCAAGGCCGGAAGGAGGCTGGATCCACGATGCTGAGCTTGGCTGAACCATGCTCATAGTCCGCATCTGCGCATCTCCCCTCGGAAGCTCCAAACTCATTCCGTTGCTCACACCCAAACCCATAGGATCCCCTAAGAAGTTGCGTGGCATGTCGTGCACTGATCCCAATGACTGACCAGGTAGATGTCCCTGGGGACGAACTAGTCCTTGGGTCTGCATTTGTTGTTGTTGCATCGGCTGTTGCATCATCTGCGGTTGCATTTGTCCTTGCCCCTGCTGAGAGGCCATCATTTGCATGAATTGCATCTGCATCTGCATGAATTGCTGCATTTGTTGCGTCATTTGGATTTGAGCTTGGTCGCCAGGCGTCAGCATCGGCATCTGCGGCATCTGCGGCATGCCCATGGGGTACATCATCTGGGGTGGTATGCCGGCAATGGGATCGAACCCGCCGTTCATTGGCAGCTGCATCTGTTGACCCACGCCGCCGTTGTTCGCATTGTCGACTGCCGGGCTGCCTCGTCTCGCGGCTCTTTGGCGTTCCTCACTTGCAATCACGCCGACTAAGCCTCCAGGCGGTGCAGATCGATTGGGCAAAGCAGCCGGGGAACCTCCCGGCAAGGCGAAGGATTCGCGGGGAGGCCCATTCACCAACCCCGCCCCAAGGAATGGATCTTGAGGCAACTTCCGCGCGAATGCTGGGAGATTACCTCGAGGGGCGGCGCCTTGGTTCTCTCCTGTAACAGACCCCGCAGCCGAGGCCCTCAGGTTCGGGTTGGACGACATGTTGGTTAATCGAGTCGGCGGTCGCGTCTTGTTGGGGAAACCGTGAGCCTGCAAGATGGCTAGAGGCACTTCGTCGTCATCGTCGGATGCCTCCGAGGGAGGAGAATTTGAGCCACTCGCTTGTTTGCCGTTCAGTGTGAGATTCGGAGTGCTCATAGACATGGACATGGACATGGTCGGCCGAGAAGGGCCCATTCCCGATTGTTCCCCAGTGACCTTCATCATCTGTTGTCGGTAGACTGTCATGTGAGCTTCTTGCTTGCGCCTCTGCTTAGCCAACTCTTGCTTCCTTGCCATCTCGTCTTCATCGTCCTCGTAGTTGACCTCGTCTTCGTCGTCCGAATCATCCTTCTCGGCACTGTCTTGATGGCGTTGTCTCACCTTGTCCTGGCGATACCTTTCAAACTCTTCCGGGGTCATGACTTTATTGCCGGGTTTTTGGTTGTGGCGGCTTGCAGCGCGTTGCATGCCCTTGGCCGGTCGGTTGTACGACGTGTCGAACATGTTGTCTTCATCGGTCTTTGCATCGAACCGCGAAAGCTTTGCGTACGTGTCGGGCAGACTGGAGATGCTATCCTCGTTTCTCCGATAGCCACCGGAACTAGCTGCACCGCCGGACAAGTAAGTAGCAGCAGCGAGCGAGTCTTTGAGAAGTCTTGAATCCTCATCGGCCTCATCCGACATCCGACGTCCGGTTGGGGGGCTCATGGTGTGCCTCGGCACAGGCGGAGGCACATTTTGGTTGCTAGGGGAGGCGTAGATCCTTCCAGACCCGAGAAGTCCGTCATGTGAACCTTGGCTATTCCACGAGTGCGGAGGTGGCTCAACGGGTGCCATGTGATCAAGATGAAGAGGAGATGGATGGCTAATTCGATTTCCCGTCAAATTTCGTGAGGCCAACGCGGGCCGGCCAGATTCGTTCTTCGCCGCGGCGAGACTAGCTCTCTTATTGAAAGATGAAAGCATGTTGCTCAGATCACCGCCCAAGTCGAGCATGAAATCCCGGTCCTCCACTTTGGGTGGTGTTGCGGTACTAGTTGTGGAGGCGGTCTGTGCCCTAGTTCGTCGCCCGCCAGGAGTCTGAGGGTCAATTGACGGAGCCGTCTCTTCCGTCCCAGCTGGTATTGTTGGCAAACTGTGCTTTTTTGTGCTGCTGAAAGAAAACGTCTTTCCGGCGTGCTTCAGAAACCCGCTTGTAGAAGATTTCGGTGCTGGTGGGTGTGTGGGGTCGTAGGTGGATTTTCTCGCCGTTCCTCTCCACTCATCGGACACTGTGAAGTCGGTTGATGAAGGAGCAGTCGATACATTGCTGTGGCGCGACGAGTTGTCAGAAGCCGTCTTAGTTGTGTTGGAGCTTCCACTGCCACTAGTAGTGTTCATCAGCCAATTGAACGGCGCCCACTGAAGCCTGACTCTGGCATGTGAGATATTGGATGCTGAAATAAAAAGTTCGTGTTGCCTCTTACACGATAACACCCAACCACAGTCAAGCTCCCAGACCGCCGCTTGGCATCAGGGAGAAACAAAGAGAGGGTGAGAACGTACCGATTTGTTTTCCCGTCAACAAACAGGTTGTCTTCGATAGCAATTTCGGATAGCGTCGTCTTGTGTACTCCTCCGCTGGCCTTCATCCTCGGACCACTATCGAACGATTTATTACTTCCAACTGACGTCCGGTCGAGGACCCGGAATGACGGCTCTACCGGCCCATTGTCGTCGATCACGGTCGATTTCCGCCGGAAGTTGACTGGAAACCTAGGCATATAGAATGACTTGTGGGGGACGTCAATGGGATCACTGCACGCCCATACAACCGGCCCGTTGGCGAATGTGATTCCACTGGTTCGGGAAGGACTGGAACCCAAGGTGCTCGTATGATGACACAAAAATGGCTGTGTCGCTGACAGCAGATTTTAGCAGCTGACGCTTTTGGAACGTGCTGCCTCAAATCCTTCTAGTATGACAAGAGACGGCGGACAACTGCATTATGCGAAAAGCCTTAAGTTAGCAGAATTCCGAGCAATGAATAGAGGCAACCCCGCGAACAACAGGCCAGGTTCTGAAATCAAAACAACATGTCAAGACGACAGAGAGTCCCAATTCCTTAATGGCACCCAAAGCCATGAGATAATGCACTGGGCTGATCGGTCTCGAGGCATCGACGCGCTTCTAGGAAGGGTAAACAGAAGAAAAGCCCCCCTAAACTTTAATTTCGTCATACGGCCGTCACACCTGGACCAATGCATCTGGAATCATGCCTCATACCGTAATCCATGGTTGAACCCGGCAAGGGAAGAGGGTTTCCACTTACACACAATGTAAAAGGCACAAGAATGCGATGGCGACTCGAAGAGATGACGTACGATGAGAAAGGAAAAGGTCGTCTTGTATTAATATAGGTTCTAATTGCGATAAATTTCTGAACAATTGTTGTCAGATGCAAAAATGAAGGTTTCGGATTCGGAAGGCGAAATGCTCGAGGTACGGAACTGAGACGGGATGGGAGACAAACATGCACAATATGGGGGTTGTGGCCGGTAAACAAGACCCAATGCAACGGAAAATGAAAGGGAACGAGTATTCAAAAACTCAATGACAACGTCCCGACGGTGCAAACTGGCAGGCCAAGGACAAACGGCGACAACAGTTCTTGGACCAAGAAGTTGTATTATGGAAGAGCAAAAAGAGTGGAAAGGAAACAGAAAGGGAGTCTCTATGACGGCGATTTGAGGCACAGCTTGCACATTATTTTCCTCGTTTTCACATCCCGGACTACAGCCCAAGGATAGTCTGCCTCGACCACTCTATTTTTATTGAGTGGAGTGGCCTAGCACACCAAACGCCTAGCGTACTAGTACCTGTTCATCCGGGTGTGGATTCGCGGGCTGTTGTTAGTCACTGAGCGCCTGGTTGCCAGGCCTGCTTGAACCCTTGGTTGGAGCCACTTCTTTTTCTTTCGCGGACGGACTAGACCATGATGGGATGTCGCTGCAATGCGATGTTGCAGCATTCATGCCCGTAGCGGGCTGGGAGAAACAGTTCTGGAGGGCACGATAATGGCCACTGCTGCAGCTTGACAAGAGCTGGCGTGGCGGGTTGCTCAAATCCCATCGGCCAGTGAGACTTTGGCGGCGTCAAATTGTCGTGAATGGGGTGTTGTCCAGCCAGGACGGGGATTGTAGGCTGCAGGCTGCTTAGCGCACCACCATGTACAATTGTACACTACAGCCCGCCCGTCCAGGGGGAAGGTGCAATTGGAGTGACAATAGCATCGCTGTGGCGGCGGCACAAAACTGGGCCGCCGAGGGCAACTGCAACCCCCGTATTATGTTGGTACACAGTACGCAAAACCTTGACTTGCCAACCACTCATCCATAGAATAGAGTGCGCACCGCCGCTAGAGACATCATGCCATCTGAGGTCCACAGTACTTGGCGACTACCTAGTCGCGCTTACATCGCCAGAACACGATAACACCACCAGACAGCTTAATACGGCAGCTATCGTCGACGATTTAACGGTTGTCCAAGTCCCGTGAAGCTGAAGCTGTATCACTGGGGTGGGCAATCAAAGATCTACAAAAGTATAAACCCGCCGAGTCATGCGTTTTCCACTGTCAATATGAGCAATGCTTAACCTCGTCTTATGGGATAGAAAAAAAGAGGAGCTGGGCTTGAGGCAGTCCCGATTTTCTGATCGCCAACAGCAGCATGAACCTGGCAGCTTGCTTCCAGTAGTCAAACGACTCCAGCAGTGGCCAAGGACCACCCATTCGAGTATGCAGGGCCGAACTTGGGCGCCCCCCAACCATCGAATACTCGGAGCCGCTTTGGAGGACGCGTTGCCGTTGGTTGACGGCTATAGCAACTACTGCAAGATAATATCGACAAAACCTGTGTCATGTACAGCAGGTGAAGTCATCTCGTCTCTCGATACATACGTCTGTACATGGATCAGCTCCTTTTGAAGCGCTGGACCTTGTCGTGAGCAGGTAATGGTAACACAGAACGGACGGATAATACCGAGTATATTGCACATTGCACATTGCACCACCGAGCCTTCGTCACATTCGCATATCGTCCGGGAATTTTTTAAACCTTCGGACAATAACGCGGTGCTCGCTGTAAGGGTAACCTGACCACAAGTTCTTGAAGACCACTCTGCAGCAGATCAACACCGTCAAAGTCGGTCAAGGTCAGCACGAAATAACCAGGTCCCAAGTGGGTTGGCCGACTCACCAAGGAAGCACAACAGGTTGATGGTTACAGATTTGTGTGTCAGTCGTTCATGTCGGCAGCTATTTGCTTTGCTTAGATGCTGGGAGTTGCTTTTGTCGTGATCGAGGCTGCAACGGCTGCATTGCCTTCCGGGGTGGACGTCTGTTCCAATGAGGTTTCAATCCGGTCTGTTGGCAACGGCAAGCCCCGGGTTACACTACCTCGCCATAAAAAGTCTCAAAGTCGTCGAACATACTGCAAGTGCTTTCACAACTTTTCCACCGCTGTTTTACGATTACGCGAATAAGCTTTGTAACCATGGTGCGCACCTCGATGTACGTTGGAAAGTTTCCTGTTACCCTAGGTGTCAGAGAATCGAGATTTCTAGTCGTACTTGATTTGCCAGAGCCAACAGTAAACAACTGAGATCGACTGGTAAAGCCGCCATAAATCGGCATCCCAAGTTGCAAATCATGTCGGATCTATTAAGTCCAAACATCAATAACGTGATAAAAAAAGGGTCCCAAACGAACCTGAGTACCATTTCAAGTGATGGTCACACGTGCATCTCTTATCATTAGGGGGGCATGGATCCTCTAGAGTGGAGTGAGGCAGGTCAGCTCCCCTGTCGCGCGTCCATAATGGTGCTTTGCTGGAAACGTCATCTCGTATTTTGTTCAGGGCCGGCTCCAGTTGGAGCGTAGCCTACCTCAAATGTCAATTTTCATGCCAGATGCGCGATGATTTAATGCTCTGCTGTTATTACAAGACACTCGACACGTGCGTGAAGCATAAGATCGTCCCTACTCCATAAGCTATGCTGTGATGGTTGTGACGAAGCTCAACCCTTCCAAGCCATTGAGCACCAACGTCCACGACGGACGGAAACACGCAATGGAGGCTCCGGTCCGAACGAGAAGGTCGCCCAGGAATTCCACAATCGTCATTCCTGTTTAATTAACCGCTGAATCGCTTCACTCCTTTTGCTCCTTCTTTCAGGGGTAAAGGCCCTAAAAGGATACCATGCCGGGATATGCTTCCCGTGTAGTCAATAAATACAAGCATTGACGGTAGCCACCTCCAGCATTTCGAACCCCCATCAAGCCCATATCCGAGCGTCAGCCAAGCGGCTAGAGATCACATCTGACGCCCGACGCCTTGGCTATTATTCTCATTTGCGAACCGTAATTTATGATTGCAATTCAACTTTCCCAAATTTCTAGTTCATTCTGGGGTTTCCAGAGCAAAACGACAGCGCACGACTCCGTGTAGCCCGTGTCACCGTGCAGGGCTACATCGCGCAAGAACATTCGCGTCCCTTTTCCAGTTTTCCCAATCGCCCGAAATGATCGTTGCCGGCCGGCTTCCCCTCTTTTTGCGGACACGGGCAGAACGGGTCAACGGGGTGTTGGGAATATTATATGGCTGGTATATGACACAAAAACTTGGTCACGGAGCTATAGGCCCCATTATACCGTTAGATTTTGCAAATAACGGGCCCTTCAAGCGCTTCAAGCGTACGCAGCAGCGTTGCAGCCAAATGTGGGGTGGTATGGCCAGCAAGATGCTCGGGTTGTCTCTATTTCCTTGGCCTCGTGCCTCTGTTCATGATGCACGAATCCGCGTTGACAGTTTCCAGCTCCGGAAGTTACAGTTTGCAGACTGACAGTGGCTCGTGGCAGCTACCTACCTAAGTACCTAGTCACTCCAGAGGCACTTCTGTGTATCCTAAGCAGCCAGGTCTTCTGCTAACGGGTCAAAGGAAACCGTTTAGAAAATAAGGCCAATTTCATTTACGTCTTGGGAACATGCGTATCACTCAAGTGAGAGGGCATTTTGAGTTATCAAAGTTATCTGCAAAATGATCAATTGAGCTTTCCGCGATGGTACCCGTCCCTGGTCCCACTCAACTCGGAAAGTCGCCCCGATCAGGGAATTCCGCATGTCTCGAAAATTTTCCCATTCGGCAAGGCTGAATTACATAGTAGGGGCACAGCCTGCACCTGCCCACCATTATCCACGCCCTTGAATACTACCCCGCATCCGTGATAATTACACGACTTCTAGCGTGTGAGCTCCCGTTTACGACCGCGACTGCGAATGCGACATCGATACCATGGGCCAACCCACGAAGCCGAGAATTTCGGTGCTGTGCAGTGGCAGTGGCACCAACTTGCAGGCCTTGATAGATGCCTGTCAAGATGGACGCATTCCGGGCGAGATCGTCAAGGTCAGTGTTAATAAGGCTGGGGTCAAATCTCTGGAAAGGGCTGCAAAAGCCGGCATTCCCACCGATTACTTCAATATGATCAAGCATGGCTTTCGGGCCGCGGGCGAGAAAGACGAGCAGAAGAAGACCGAGGGGCGCCTGAAGTACGATGCGGCTCTCGCCCAGAGAATATTGGCGGATCGACCCGACCTGGTCGTGCTCGCAGGATTCATGCATATATTGTCGACAGCCTTCCTCGATCCGATGGAACAGGCAGGTGTACCCATCATCAATCTACACCCCGCTCTTCCAGGCAAGTATTTTGCCACCTATTATTCCTCGAGTGCATCTAATCATAGTTTTGATCAGGCAAGTACGACGGAGCTGGGGCGATTGAACGAGCGTACGCCGACTTCGAAGCAGGCAAGCTGGAAAACAACACGACTGGTTGCATGGTCCACTATGTCATTGCAGAGGTCGACAGAGGCGCGCCCATCGTGATACAAGAGATCGTTCTCCAAGAAAATGAACGTCTCGAATCGCTGATCGAACGAACGCACGATGCCGAGCATGGATTGATCGTGAAGGCAGCTGCGAAATTGTGCGCTGAAATCGCAGAGAAACGGGCAACGCATAAATAAGAGCATGGAACGAACGAAAAAGATGCCCCGAGTTCATTTGAGTTAGAGGGCTCTAGAGTTATGACTGACCCGCCTTGAATATCATGCGGTGGCTCGAATACCTGTTACGAGATCTAAAGCTTACAGCGTGGATTTCTGCTGGCATGATGCCTATATAATCCCCCTTCAGCGGCAGTCGAAGTCGGTGGATGCCAATGGGCTTGTGCAATACACATCAGACGAGCCTCTTCCGTAACAAGCTGTATAGCTTAGGCTCTTTGCAACAGGTATTAAGAAGATGGATACCTTGAAGAGTTACGCATGGTACAACCGGTGCTTGCATTTTGCTCCCAACCAAGCCAACTGACACAGCTACGAGTAATGACAACTCTAACCTGTGCCTTGACATATTGGCAACAGTTGATTAAGGCACAGCTTGGCTTTACAACTGCTTCCTACAACGGCGCGCTTCGACATTTTTCCAAGTCTTGGCATCATAACTCAAACCGAAATCCAGGATTTGACGCGCCACCCTCGCGTTTTCTCAGGGTTGTTCGTTCTCAAGTGACAACAATGCTACTGACGCTACTCTGCATTTACGATTTGTTTGACAAAATCACGAGTAAAATTTCCTCTTAGACCATAGACCGGCTACTCAAGACATGAACGACGTTGGGAACCCAACCTCTATTGCCCACTTCAGTGGACCAGGCGGACAAGCATGTGGGCTCGATCTACTAAAATAAGATGCGTCGCGTAGCGAAAGACAATCTGCGACTTGGAGCTTCCCTGGACCCTGACGCTAAGCTGCAGCTTGCTCAGATTTTAAGCTCAATGCCGTCGCATGGAGTTTTCCCCAAGCACCTGAGGTTGTTGGATGGGGACAATTCGACAGTCTGCAAGAGTGGTTTTTTCTTAACACGATCCAAGGCACAAAAAGACTCCAACGGTGTCGATGCGAGGCTTTAGAGTAAAGTTTGACCCCTCTCGCATTTCAAAAGAAGGATTTCCCGGGCGTTCCCAACGTGGCGCACAACCTAGTTGATACCTCAGTTATTTCTCCTTGATATCGCTATCCAAGCTCCAGCTAAGGACGTCATAACTTGATCGGGGATCCCCCCTTCCTCCCCGAATTCCTCCCCGAGGCATTGGCATACCTGGCGTGGTAGAACGGCCTCTAGGAGGCTCTCAACACTTGAGTCGGCTGCTTAATTCATCCACAGCTACCGCTGACGAGCTTCTGCGCCGTGGAGTAGTCACTGCGTCTCCACAAGCCATCATCCGCATCTGGGTATAAGTTGGAGACGGGACTGCATTACGCATTGAGGTGGGATAAACTGCGACGACAGCGATATCGTGTCGTGAGCCAGCGCCAGCGCCAGCTTGATTACCGTCAATTGCATCGAGTACCCACCCGTTCATCAGTATCTTCGAATTTACCGGTACAATGTCCTTCGACGAACGCTCCTCGTTGCTTTCTGGCTCTCCCCAATACCGCAAAAACTCATTCCTCCTTCTTGTCGACGACCCCCCACCACTCACTCCTCGCGGACAAGGAGCACTGGCAAATCTAATCCGTAACCGCTCCCATGGATCACTGCACCACTATGGTAGCACGTGGCGCACATCGAGCGCCTTCGACGCTGCGGATATCGAGGCTGGCTCTGTCATAGGGGCGCATCACCATCACCACGATGGCTCTGACAGCGAAGAGTCGCGACGCCATCATCTCGATGAACGACGTCTGTCTGCTATACTCATGGGACCGCATATGCGGTCGATGCGTCTGATTGGCAATTCAAACCCGAGGTACAAGTGGTCGCGATATTGGAAGACGGAAGAACAACTCTCAACGATGAGCAAGCCGCTGCGAAAATATTACGAGCGAACCAACTATCTCGTGCAACAGTATCTGTACATCGACCGCCTGCTGGACTCGAGCCTCCCACACGACCTTTTAAACGAGTACAACAACATGCCTGCGAGCAACTTTAGGGGCGTCGAGGTGCCAGACACCATCAGTGAGGAGCCGACGAGTTCGCTCAGTAGGAGTGCTAAGGGGAGCCTGACAGAGCTGAGCAGCAAGGGCCAGAGCCGGTCTAGCTCGCCACCGCAGACGCCCCATGAATCTAATGCAGGATCGGGACAGAGTGTCGAGAATGGAGATGCGGTCCGATCCGGCAGCGTTAGTAAAAAAGTAAAACGCACGCCCAAGGACATTTACCGGGCTTCGGAGACGACGCCGATTTTCTATAACGATGCCGAAGAGGAGGATGCCTGGGACGGCGAAGGGCCCAAACCTGAAATCCCGTGGCTAGAAGACGACGACGATCTGGACAGTGGTGACAGCATCGTCACGGTGGCCATATATATCAACTTCGCAGCCAACGCAATACTTCTAGCGGGGAAAATCGCCGTCATGGTATCCGTGTCGTCCATGTCGGTCTTGGCGAGTTTGGTGGACGCCATCTTGGACTTTCTGTCCACCGTGATCGTTTGGACGACGACGTGGCTCATCTCGAGGCAAGATCAGTACCAATACCCCGTCGGTCGGCGCCGATTGGAACCTCTCGGTGTTCTCGTTTTCTCGGTTATTATGATTACGTCCTTTGTACAAGTTGCTCTCGAGTCGACCCAGCGGCTCGGATCGCCTGATCACGAAATCATCGAATTAGGCCTACCCGCAATCGCTATTATGATCAGTACCATACTCATCAAAGGTCTCTGCTGGCTGTGGTGCCGGCTCGTCAAGAACTCAAGCGTCCAGGCGCTTGCCGACGACGCCATGACAGATGTGATTTTCAATACGGGATCCATTTTGTTCCCCATCGTCGGGCATTACGCCAATATCTGGTGGCTTGATGCCCTTGGCGGCTTGCTTCTCTCGTGCGTGGTTATCTTCAACTGGTCTCAGACTTCCCTGCAACATATCAAGAATTTGTCAGGTTTCTCCGCCACTGGTACGTCTTTCTTTCATCTCCTATCTTCTCTCTCTCCTGTCCGGCAAAATTGACTTACATCTCATAGCCGACCAGCGCAATATCCTACTGTACCTGACCATGCGATTTGCTAAAACCATCCGACAGATCCAGGGTTTGCAGGCCTACCACGCAGGCGATAAGCTGAACGTCGAGGTCGACATTGTGTTGGATGCTAGCACGACCCTGCGGGATAGTCACGATTTAAGCGAGAGCTTGGGCTACGTTTTGGAGAGTGTACCCATCGTTGATCGGGCGTTTGTGCATTGCGACTACGCGACTTACAATCTGCCGACGCATATGCAGCAGCAGAGCCGCTAGCTAGTGAGTGTTATCAGTTGCAAAAAAAAGTTCAAATGCATGTGTAGTGTGTAAGAGGTATAAAGGTGCCCATGGACTGGAGGAAGGGGGGAGGACTTGTGACAATTGCGATTATACCTGCAAGATTGCGATGTATTAATAATAAACAGCGATCGTGACAACCCCTTAATAGATCTGCTTCTACATTTAGACGTAGCATAAATAGTGTCATTGGTGACGAATTAAATATCTCACTTAATAGACATGTATCATGACCTTGAGTGATTGCGTAAAGGGTATGTGAGACGGTCGAGCGCCAACATTATATCTATAAACTCCACGAAGTATTGTATGTAAATATTGATCTTCTCATTTTCACTATCAGCCCCCCTTACACAAATCAATCTCCGAAACCTCCATCGACCCCCCTTCTCAGTAAGGGATGCCATTTGTCATCAACTGGAACTGATCATACACCCCGGTACTATAACTTCCCGCGCTCTTTTTCACTAAATGCCTCACAAACTCAGCAGCTTCCCTCTCATTCTTCTCGAGCACAAACCGTTCCTTGAAATGCTCGACACTCTGGGGCGTGAAGCACGGCAATCCGCTGTCCATCATCAACAACACGATCTGGCTCAGCTTCTCGGCGTACGGGCGGGCCGCTAGGAAGGCCTTGATACAGAGCTCCTCGAACCACCTAAAGGCCTGGTGATCGGTGCCGCCCATGACAGCCAGCATCTCCTGCGTCAGCTTGAAGGGGGCGCGCTCGAAGCGAATGCCGCCAGGGGCGATGTCGAAGCAGAAGCCAAAGTCGATATGTAGGATATGGCCGGCGTCGTCGACCATAATGTTTCCGTTGTGGCGATCCTTGAACTGCAGTAGGAACGAGATGATACTGTAGGCAGCCATGCTCTTGACGAAGTTGTTGCGCGCTGCCTGGAAGCGTAGACTGTCCTCGTTGCCATATTTGCTCACGAAGTAGTCGTAAAGTCCGTTGACGGCCTCGCGACCTAACATATCACGCGAAATGGAGTTAGGCAACACATCGATGACACCGCATCCTGGAGCGGTGGCAGTTACACGATAGGGGAAGACGAAGACATCAAGCCCCACGTTGTGGAAAATGCCGCGGAAAGCGGCAATCATCTGCAGGGCCAACACGTCTTGTCGACAGTCATCGCCCACTTTGAAGATGGCCGACTGCCATTTTTCGACGGTATTCTCCGCAGTAGGTATTCGATCAGTATTACTGGCTTCTTGAATGACATCCTCGGTCTCTTCGACAAAGCCAGTCTTGGGTTTCTTAATACGGAACGTAGCCATAAATGGGGCTTTGGCGTGCGATTGGAGCGGCTTTCCGGATTTGCGGTCAATACCAATCACCACCCCGTCGGGATTACTGGGCAGGTACACGCCAACTTCCACTTTGATCTTGCGCAGCTCTTCTTCGATCTTTTGTTTCTTCTCGGGCTTGGGCCGCCGGATGAGCGGTTTCAATTTCCCAGAGATGTCTGTGACCTCATCGAAGAAAGTGAATTCTTTCTCGTAGAAGGCCTTATCCTCGGGAGAGAAGCTGTCGATCATCTTGGCCATTACCTTATCTAGAGCAGGCTTGATCTCATCGGGCTACACATTGTCAGTGAAAATTCATAGGCCTATACGGGCATTACGCACTATCTGAGCATCATCATCCTTGTATGAATTGGCTTTCATGTTCCAAATGATCTGGTGAGCAAACAGCTGCGAAAATTGTGCAGTCTCAATAATGTAGCGCTCCACGTATCCGAGAGCATCATGTCGGAGAGCTTGCACAATTTGAGGAACATAGAAAAAAGTCACATCGACCGAGTGGCTCTCCAATGCCCTCATGGCATACTGAATCAAAAATGGATGGTTGCGGTATGCAGGCAAGAAAAAAGTGACGGCAGTGACAGGGTTGACTGGCTGCCAGTATAGGAGATACTGTACTAGTTAGCTGGCTGACACTCACAACCAAGGAGAACACGCACCTTAAGCTGGCCCCGAACGTCATTTGGCAAATCGCCTTCGAGCAAAATTGGAAGAGTATCTGGCTCATCAATCGCCTTGGCCGTGAAGTTCAACAACAGCCAGCGGACTTCACTGAACACGCTTTGGAAAGAAAATCTGCTGACCAATTCAATCGCAAGCGATGGGCTTTCGGCCCAAGCAGTCCGCACGAGGGGCTGAAGCTGAATCTGCCAAAAGTCAGGATTAAACCCCGTTCAAGAAGGTGCTTAGAGTTACATACCTCGAGAGCCTTCTGTCCCTGGTGCGTCATGATGTCTGCTCTTTGATACCCAGTCTCGCCCAAGGGGTGAACCCAAACTTGCAGCCTGGCTTGTTCACTCTCAAGCAATAAGAAGAGCAGTTGCTCCTTCTGTTGCAGGTTCTTGAGTGAGTCAGGAGCCCGTGCCGCGATTGAGCTAGCAGCCTTTAGAGATGTCATCACGTCTGAAAGCAGCCGCACTTCTGTTTTCAACTGGAGAATGTTACTCCCGAAGGACCACTTGGGTGAGAACTTGAACCAGCTCAATCCAGCGGATAGAATCTTGTCTTTCAGACGCCATTGGGCGAGCGCACTGATGCCTGTGCTTGCTCTGAGCACCTTGAAGCTGAACAGAATAACACGCAGACGAAGTTCTCTTGCGATGGGATGGGAGATCGATGCCTTCATTGCATCGAGGGTAAGATCCAACAAACGGAGGAATATCATCTGGGTATCAGGGCTGCCCAACCGGGTAGCGGTGAAGTGACTACTGAAGAACTGCATCAAACGAGTATGGGGGGCCAGAAGGTTATGTACAACCTGCCGACGTTTCGTCATGGCTTCGTTGTCACTGGGCGCAAATTCTTTCTTGAGATAGAAGGGGTCCGGATGCCTAGAAAAGTTAGTATTGCACATTGGTTGGGAATCTGGCTGACAAACATCAATAGAGGATTGAAGAGTCCAAGTCGCTTTTGTATCGTAAACTCCCATTGTTGAGCGATCTCGGTCAGGATTCGAGATTCCATTCTGGGATTCTCATTCATCACGCCCAACCAAAGCGACACTCCAAGCTTGATGGATTCCTTGGTGAACATAGTAAATGGGATGCTGACGAGGTAATGGGTGACGGCCGTTTCATCCTTCTGCGTACGGCACAGTAAGGCGGCGGCTCGTCGTAGAATCTCTCGAACGTCCTTTAGGGAGGTAGCCTTCTTCCCTGCAAGTCGCGTCTGAACATGCGCCAGAGCTGTCACCGCATTGGCGGTTTCGTTTACTGGCGTGGACTTGATGAAGGAGGCTCTTCTATTAAGTGGCAACACATTGATCAAGTCCATACCATTATCCGGTAAAGCCTCCCCATACCTGTACTCCTGACGAGTGGTATACTGAGCGATGAAGTCCGACGTCGTGTTGATTGTTGTTTCACCAACGGAATCAAGTGATGTCAGTCTTTGGTCTGTCGATGGAATAGATGACCCGACTTCCATCGCAAAGGATCGGCCGAGGGACATATGTCCGTAGGCACCTTCATCATCGAACTCGGATAGGTAAGTCTGCAAAAGACCCTTGACATCTGCTGGCGCAAGGTTGATGACCAACGGAACCCAGGACTTGGCCTTCTTGTATAGCTTGTTGAGGGTATACTTCCGAAAAGCGTAATCATCGGACAACTCCACAGTGACATTGCCTCGATTCGATGTGAAGGTGGATCGTGGATCATACAATTCAGTCTCAGCCTCTAAACAACTTGTCCACATGAGTGACAACAGTTCCAAAAGTGCGAAGAGCGATGATCGCTGGCACAAGGCAGACGGCACCTCCTGAATCATCCGGTCGGCACATTGGAATGCCGCTTGTTGTACTCGCTGGATACGATGACAGCAATTGCAGAAGAGGGTTGCAAGCTCGGAAGCAGCGTACTGCGCCGAGAAAGTGGGCAGCTTACCCCCCAGAGTCTTGGTGAGATACTGTTTCATCACTTGTTCCGTAATGCCCTCCATAACGCTGCTAACCTCGACGCGGTGCATACTAGGTTCCAGGAAGTAGGAGAGCGCCTTGGTGCAGTCTCCAGATTCGGCCCGCAGGATCTCCACGAGGTAAGCAGCCTGCAGGAAGATGACTTTTCTATAGCTCAAACCCCTGATTTCGGATGCTTTGGTCGGGATCCGCTCTGCCAGCTGTTTCTTCTGCCTGGCTTCCCTTTCAGACGTGTTGGCTCTTCGAAGAACGGTGTTCAATTCGATATCACTCTCATTCTGTTCACCTCTCTGCTCTGCCACCAAAGGAGGCGAGTGGATCGCCATGAGCCGTAGTTCGTTGATGTACTTCATCCCGCGGTCAGTTGATGGGTTGAACCCGTGAACAACTATGTTGAACCATGCATCTCGCACGAGAGAATGGCTATCATCGTCAGTTCGTGAGGTGGCAGCAAAATCGTGCGTAGACATCAGGACCGAAAGGGGCTGAAGAAGCTGCGCTATTTCGCGCGCGGCGAATTCGAAGTCAGTCTGCTTCGCGTGATTCGACTGATGGACATCCCCTTTGGAGACCGTCTCCTCGAGCATGTATTCCCAATAGATATCAAACAAAGGCGAGCCACGTTCGATGTTTGCCGATATGTAGTTACGGGCTTTCATAACCTGACTGGGGTAAGCAACTGCAAAAGCATGAGATAATCGGGCAACTTACTGCGAATAAGGCAGTGCTGTTGTCTTCGACCAAGGCCTGGTGACAAACTCGGGAATACAGTCGCAAAAGCGACCGGAATTCGAGTTGCCCACCACTCAACGACAAAACAGCGGCCCCTGTGATGATCTCTACATCAACGGCGGGGTTGACTTTGCTCAATTTCTGAAGTAGCATAGCTTGAGCGAGGGCTGTGATCTTCTCCTGTTGGCACACTTCTGCAATTCCGCAGATCGCTTGGACAACGTTAGAGTATATCAACGAAGTATCTTCGTCGCCGGCGAGCGCCAAGGAAATCGAACTGCCCGTCGACCGTCTCCCCTGATATATCGGGTTGGGGACTGCGCCATCGCCGCCGAAGTCGCTGTTGGATCCGTTCGTGAGACCTTGGTCTGTCCCAGGACTCAACACATTTCCCAGGGTGTAGAGAGTGGTTATGACAGCGTCATGCGATAGCATTTGCAGGACAAAGGCCAAGCACTTAGATGCGACGGCCACAGTTTCGCTCGGGGGAACTGTCTGCACAATGAAACGCGGGAGAAGTCGACTGACTTTGGGAGCGTAAGATGGCGAAACTCTGCAGATGATGGCCATTGATCGTAGCACAGTCGATGCCAATGTCTCGTCCAGCATCTGCTCTGGGTCGAATAGAGATTCCTCAAGCCATCCCAGAAGTATCTCCGGGTCGGCAGCATCTTCATTCAGCATGGTACAGTTCAGGAAGCTGGTCATTGTGGAGGCCTTGACAGCGAAGGCCAGGTTTCGTTGGGATGCGGAACCTATTTGGATGAAATCGGCGCCATCCTCCAACCTATCCATCTCATCGCGTGCAATACTTGCATAGGTCTCGATTGTTCGAAAATCAACATCTGGGCTGGATGAAGACCCGGGTCTAAGCATGCCATTCTTAGTCATGAGAAGATCAAGGATATGGCTTCCTCGGAGAGTTTTTGCGTCTGCAACGAGGAGAGAAGTGGCAGATACTAGAAGCCACAGAAAGCTGCGCTGAAGCAAATTGGCACTCAGGGGTCGCCCCTGGAGTGCGTAATGCTTCAGGTGCCTCTTCCATTCTTTAGCATGACGGTCAGAAGCGTCGGCATTCCGTATACTAGAAAAAGCGCCTTCTACTGCCGTCAAGAACTGATCTGATAATAGGTTGCCAACTCGTTGAATCAAAGCGAGCCTCCCACCCGTCCTCCAGAAGTCGGTCTGCGCTGCGGCGGCGTCCAAGAACCCGAGGAGGGCGACGGCAATTGTAGCTGTTCTGATGGCATCGTCCAGACTTTGGTCTCCAAGGTTATCTGCCTCTTGTGGAACAACACTCTGGATGGCTGTTTTCATCGAGGCAAGGAATGTCCATATGTTATCCGACACCTTCTCGTGTAATGTATCGTGTTCGTTTCCTAGTGATAACAACGCGGCGGTCAAGTTAAGCGTCAGGGCCTCGATCGGTGACGGCTCGACTTTGCGGAAGAAGGGCGATGGCACGAAAGTCTGCGCATGAGCTTCGAGTATGTATGGTATCAACTGGTGGGCAAGCTTCTGGGCGCTCTGACTGCTCTGCACCATGGGGGCGGCTTTGCATAGAGCCATAAGCACTTCGAATTCACGTATTGTCATTGGAACCCGAGCCAATGATTGGCCCCTCCCTGAGCCATTGGTGGTCTCCTTCCCCCGTCCATGTCCAGTCGCTCGACATAGGCGGTCGAGATCGGAGCGGTCGAACGAAGTGGCGGAGCTTGAAGCTGAGAGGGTTGCAATCTTCTGCAGTGCCTGTTGGCGAATGTTGCGCGCCATCTTGTGCAGAAGTACTTCTTAGAAAACGATGGATTTCGAAGGCGACTTGACCATAACGTCAGCCCAAGCACGTTGACCGTCAATGGAGATATCGTACTTAAGGAGTGAACTTTAGAATTGATTCAGTACGAACAAGCCATACTCCCCCTGCAGCTGCCAGGCCAATTGCCTTTAATACTACATTAGTTCGGCTGATCCCTGTCTTACCCGACGAAAACTGGTCAAAGCTCTTCATTACCCCAGCAGCTGCCCAGTCAGCTGTAACTGGCAGAGACAAGGCTGCAAGCTGGACGCGTGTGAGGTTGGCAAGCTTGACTTCAAGCCATCACAACTTCATCACCCAGCGATTCTCTCACCACAACGTCCACAATATCCGACTTGCACCCCATCGGAAACTCACCTCTCACACCTTCCGACATATCTTCATACCATTTAAAATGGCCATGTTCAGCCAAAATCCCGTCCTGAACGGGCCGAACTACTCGTTCGCAGAGGTGCCTCGAGACCGAGTCGATGGCCTGCGAGAACACCGCTTCAACCCGTACGCATCTCCCTTCTCCTTATCGTCATCTTCTGCAATCCCCATAAGCCTTCGCTAACGTATTCCATAGCTACACCGACAACGGTGGTTCGACCCTCGCCATTACCGGCGCCGACTTCGCCATTGTGGCTGGTGACACCCGTCTGACCTCCGGCTACAGCATCAACACTCGCTACGCACCCAAAGTTTTCAAGATCGGCGGCACCAACTCGAACCAATCCGATGCCACGCTTCTTCTTTCGGTGGTCGGCTACGCCGCCGATGGCGAGGCCCTGAAGGAGCGCCTCGACGCCGTCTGCAAGATGTACCGCTACCGTCACAACAAACCCATGTCGGTCAACGCATGCGCGAAGCGCCTTTCCACCATTCTTTATCAGAAGCGCTTCTTCCCCTACTACGTGCACGCCATCCTGGCGGGGCTGGATGAGGAGGGCAAGGGCGCCGTCTACAGTTACGATCCCGTGGGCAGCTACGAGCGCGAGCAGTGCAGGGCAGCCGGCGCGGCGGCCAGTCTGATCATGCCGTTTTTAGACAACCAAGTCAACTTCAAGAATCAGTACCAACCGGGAAGCGGAGAGGGTCATGCGCTGGCGGAGCGGGAGAAGGCACCGTTGCCGAGGGAGGAGGTCGAGATTCTGGTCAAAGATGCGTTTGACTCGGCGGTGGAGCGGCATATTGAGGTTGGTGATGGCTTGCAGATGATGATCATTACGTCATCCGGGATTGAGGAGAAGCTTCTACCACTGAAGAAAGATTAAAGTCGTTAGCGGTGAGGGAGGGGGGTGAGCTTGTATCTGTACAATACGATAGATGAGGTGTTGGGCCCGCTGGCTCTTCAGAATTCATTGCATTTGGGCAGATGAGACATGCTACACAGCACAAGGTGCATGGGTGGTTTTTGGGCTGACCTTGGAGAGATTGGCTCATACCCAGTACATGCCATGAGCACTTCTGTTGCTGATTGACCTAATTTGGGGCTAGATGGAGTAATCATAGTTCCTAATTGGGCTGATTCGCCCCATCAGATAGGGGGCCAAGTGGGTGCGCAGTCCTTGTCTGATGCTGTATCGCTTTCTGCGGTATGGGTCTCACGCTCGCGCTTGCTTATAGCAATTGTCTACTTACATCTCCCTGACTCCCTGCCTTTTCTCGGCTACTGGATCGGGTATCGAGTAGCGCCTTCAATATTACTCGCAAATGCTCACAATGAATACCTCGTTGCTCCCTCGAGTAGGAGGCCAAGAGCCCCGAGTATCCCGATATGAAGATTGCTTTCTCACTGGTACATACGGCTGTAAATTGGGCAAGTACGATGCTGAGAAACAGTCGAGGGAATTGAGACACCATAGCAAACTCTTCCGCATCTAGACCTTGTCTACTTTAAGTCGAACAAGGCTATGCGTGACATTTACTCTCCCCCAGTGGTCGATCGCTGATGGAAGCCTCGCTACAATGCTAGCTTGAGTTCCAATGGAAGAGAGAGATCATTACTGTTAGAAATACAACCCTGATACCAGTTCCGTTTGAGTGGCCAAAGTAGCGCTACCAAATATCCCCTTGAAGTAGTAATTCCTCCTATCAAATGATGTTGAAAGAATCTTGGTTATTTCCCTTCCTAGGTATGTTGGATTACAGGGCGTCCGACACTCAGCTTCCGGTCTGCCTGTAATAATTCCATACTCCGCCGATTTCAGCTTGTCGGAGACAAGAAAAAACTTATATAATATGTCATCAACGAACCTGGATCCGACACAAGATTCTCTGAAACAGAAACAGCGATGATCCACCTAATGTAGTATATCTTCCGTCTTCATGTATGTGCACCTAGGCAATCACCCCGTGCCAAAATACGTTGCCACTCTGACTTGGGTTGGCTGGCTGATCTGCTGTGCTGTCCACGAAGGACGTGTCAACACCTTATCGCCGCCACCTTGCCTCCTATGGCGCCCTTGAAGTTGATATGAACTGATACGTTCGATCTTGTACTGGATTGGTGTGGCCATGAATCTCCTCAGTCTTCTCTGATGAAACGTCATAATTGTTGTGGAATCACGGTGGACAGTTGTAACAAAACGGCGGCTCGTGTGCCTCGACTCCTGACCACTACGATCTAACTTGTTCTATCGAAGCTACCACTGGGAGTTCTGAAGCCAGAACTGCAAAATTTGAAAGTTTCGTCATATGTTGTCTCTTTTCCCTTATCGTCCGTTGGTCAAAATGGCTCGCCGCGCCTGAGGAACATGTTGGTGTAGCTCTCCCCGGCGTTTCTCTAGATACTCGTGCATCACTAAGCTAAAGATTCGAATCCCAAGGAGTGCAGGTACATGCGAGGATAACTCTCCTGGTCCATGCACTGAAGATGTAGACAATGCTACTCACCGCTGTTACCACCTGATCCACCCTACTGTTTGCCCTCCAACCTTGGTTATGTGGCGCCGCTTTATCCCATTTTGCATTAGTACGTGGTTGTAGTCATTGACATTAGAAATTCCTCGTCCCGTTTGTTCTAGAGCGTAAGCTACACGTGGTACTGCCGGAGCAAGCCATCCGGGCTCTTATCTTTCAATGTACTGCTTCTTGCCGGTGGGCTCCCGCATTCCGGTGGCGGTGGAGTGGCAAGAACTTGGTTGGAATTCACTGAAGATGAAAGGCGGTAATTCAAAGCATGTTATCAACTGGAAGAGATGACAAGCTTCTCTCTTGTGGTGAAGTGACATGATTCAACCCTGCTAATAGATATCGATTTATCGATCCACTAGGTCTGGAGAAGGACAGGACATGAAAATACCTTCCCCTGCACACAGGTCAAATTTTCTCCATTCCTGGAAAATTGTTCTATCCAGAGATGATTCTCGTTCGGTTTCGTTGTGCATAGGAGACGGTATGGCAATGTCATGTCCGACTAATAGGGCATCGATTCAGGGGCGATGCAGAAACCACGAAACTTGGAAAACCATGTGGCTTGGTAACATGAGAACACGACTGTTACCATTGGCTATAATTTAGCCACAGCACACAATTTTCCGATCTTAGAATCCGTACGATGTTGCGGGCCTGGCTTCTTGCATCCAGTTTCCGTTCCTGGTCATGCCAGGGAATTTGGGACGACGACGGCTCACGACCAAGAACGCAGTTGCTAGTTTGCCCATTAGGAAATATCTCATGAAATTGCATCGCAACGCGCCATTAGTATCATGGAACCTGCCTCACTGGTTTCTAATTTCCCCAAAAGAATTCGATACCACAACTGTTCATGTCGTAGCCGTGGAGGGACGCCGGTGTCCTACTTCAAAGTAGCACGCTGAGCTTCACATGGGGCCAGCTCAACTGTTAAAAGTTTTGTATTATATTTGATCCTATAGTATGTTCTTCCTCTTTTAACCAGATGATGCCGCAAATCAAGTCGTTTGTTGAGACATTCCATCAAAAGTAACGCCTTGAAGGTATAATATTGGGACATTTCCAGTTTCTCGACTCCAATAAAAATCATGGAGGCGTCCAGCCGGATATGTTTAACCCAAACAAGTTGAACTTACCTACGTACTTAAGATGGCTCATGTCTGGTTTTGGAGATAATATATGACACACAAGACACTGGTTAGGCTCAACGGTGGTTTCCAAATTCCTGATATAATGTCGACGGAAGCGTGGGCAGGATATATGTATATCTTTGTCAACTATGTATGAACGGTAGAATTCGAGGACGTAATGACTTTCCACTTAGGCTCAAGGTCTCGGTGTTGCTTCAAACTCGACGTTCATGAGATAGACCCCGTGAGCATCGCGTGTTTTGAGTTGCCAAAAAGAAGTACGCGAACATCGATATCCCCTGCGTTTGAAAAGGGGTCAGAGTTTGATTACTATGTAGTCAGCCAGTTCGGGTTCGCAGGGAGGACGTGCGGTGCAGCCTATAGAGTTTCATACAGCACCCGACGGCCATGACTTGGTAGCCCGCATCTATAATAGACTTGTGTCAGTTGAAGTTCAACCACCGCCAACTTGCTGAGAGACTAACGGGAGTAACCGAGAAGCCCAACTGCCTCAAGTTCCGTCAGTTGCGCATCGGATGCGATTAGCCATCATGGAAGTGCAGAGGCAGACTAGAGTGTGTTCGAGGCGCAGATCGTGTGCGCCTCCGCTTGAGGCTCCTTTTGGGGGAGAGTTTTTTTTTGGCGTGTCGAAGGTCATTGATTACTGATCTCAAAACGCGCTAGACCTTCAGGAGAATCGCGGCCGGAAACTTGAACGAGAAAGCATGTTGTTAGCGGGGCTTGATGACACGGACGACTCTTTCGAGGAGCGGCAAGTTACGCATACGGTGAGGAGAGTTGTAGACGCCTTGTGTCAGTCCTAAGGCTATGGCGGAAATGTCACCGGAAATCGGATAAAGCTACTTTAAGCACATCGTAAGTTGAGCTTCGAACAACAGCAGGACAGTTGAATTCGAGTCTGTGGGCCCCAACTGTTGGGACACATTGGTTTACGTATCGACACAGCGATCGAGGGTCCCTCGAGCGAAGACATCCGGAACCGAGGCTGCTCGTGTAGCTTGTCTTGGAAATCGAGTCTCTTCGTCTGGCGTTTTAGAGCATGGTGCAATGCGAGTAGGTGGAAATGAAATTGGCTTGGCCCATGATGGAGGATCCGACGATGTCGCTTACTCGTCCCATCATCTACTCGTTTCTTTTGCCCCCGGAGCGATGGGATTAGAGTTGACGGCGTCTGTAGCTACTACGATACGTTTTCGGTACCTCATCCCAACTCAAGGGGTGCGATGTCTGCTTGACAACGGGTTGGTGGGTATACATATGGAATGACAAGGTCCTTGCTGGCGGCCTACACGACGGCAGTCACTCTGACAAACCTATCATAATGACCGACGAGGACGCGAAGATGGCAGACGCAGTTGGCAAGTTTGGCAAGTGGGTGGCGGAAGGAGGGGTGGGGGACTACAGGACTAGCTCTACCTCCCGATATCTAATGATACGATAGAACGGAAACATTCGAGAACTCGAGCACTTGACGCGCCACTAGTTCTCGGAGACATGGTTAAAGTTATTAGTCGGTAGATCTTTGTTTAACCGAAGTTCTAGATTAGCGATATTCGATTCCTCAGCCACTCATGATGGTTGGTCGTGATTCGCCGACACCCCTGTGATAGCAGTATCACGAAATTGGGTGGTTTCGCTCGCGATGCTTCATGATGGGGGTTTCAGCCCATAAGTCATCTGCTGCAGCGAGCCACAATACTCCTGACTGCCTTGTAAGCTGTTATTGGTGATGTGTTGCACTGTTAGACAAAAGACTCTTTTCGGCTTGGTACAAGTACGCCCGCAGTGAATTCTGTGCTAGTTATGCATGGATACTATTAGCTGATAACTGCGCGATGCATGACCGTCCTGGACGTTGCTTGAGTGCCTTCTTTAGGACTCAGAAGACGGGAGGAAGGAAAGCGAAATCATGGTTCTATTAGTAAGAAATTTGTACCGAAAACCCAAGCTCTCGTGAATGCCGATGAGGAGATTGCCGCAAGTGGATCTGGAAACGTATGGATCTGTCGCCTGAAGATGGAACAGAGTGGCGAGATAGCTAATGACCGAGTGCCTGATTCCGCGGAGCAGGCTCCAAGCTAGGTACTAGCCCATCGACATGACTGCGCATGTTTGTTGATACCAAGTGGCATGGCGGAAGTGCGGTCCTAAATCACACCATGCCACACACGCCCAGGTACCCTTCGGACGGCCTCGGCAAGAGACGAAGGACCATCGCGGCGTCTAGCCGTTCACGTGAGAACAAGTCCCTATGCAGAGTGCGATCGCCTGCAGTCCTCGTATTCTGCTTTGCTTTCGGGGAGAGCGAGTGCCGTGGGTTTCCATAGACAACTCAAAACGTCAGATTCAGAGATCGACGCTGCAGGTAGCTGGTCGTTTCTCGACCAGAGATAATGGAGTGGCAAATGCAGCTTCAAGAAACATTGATACGTAAAGACGAAACTGAGGCTGAGTTGCTGGGGTCCTTTGGGGATCAGCATCCAGCGACAGAATGGGTGAAATCGATCCCGGCTGATGCACTTCGCATGAGATGAGGACTGCATACCCATTGGACAATTTGGGCGGAAGGTAGCCCTCCCTCAATTACCGGTCCACTTGCAGTGAAGGTCGTTTCCACTGTTTCGTATCTTCAGGTGGATGGGACTGTAGCCGAGGCACGTGTGCGGGAGCTAGTGTACTTCGTAGAGGCTTCGATGTTCAGCGAGGCTTTTCTTTTCTCTTGTCCTAGGCGACTTGTTGCCAATTGGTCAAACCTTGAATTGCCAACCGCATCGAGCAGCCCCGGATAGAACTCTCCGGTAAACTTCGGGGGCTAGTTAGACCCATTTTGTTTAGCATTCTTCTAAGAAGTTCGCCTGAAAACTGCTCGCATGAAGCCTAGTGCTACCGTGAGTAAATCAAGACCGAATTCCCTTGTAGGCGGGAGAGTCATTTGCGCCTAACTGTTACGATGTGTCTAAGGGGGTCGGGTCCAATACTAATTGTGCATGCAAGCAAAAACTCGGCAACAGAACTCGGCATAATTAAAGTGCAGATAGCCAAAAGTACCTAAGACGAAATGATGAAAGAGTACGTGATGGATACATGTAATGCAGCCCGGATGCCTGTCCAAACTGCAATGTGCATAGAGTGAAGCACAAGAAGTCGAGGTGGCAAATGGGATATCGCGACGTTGATTGGGGGTGATCTGCGGAACGAGTGGCTTGGATGGTAGACCCTTGCTTTTGAAACTGTGGCTGCTTTCCGTCTTTACTATGTAGCTACTATGTAGACTTTCGCGATTGTCTTGGTTGGATGCCGATTTCAAGACGAAGAAGAACCTTGCAACTGCATGGAACCGACTTTACGAAAGTACCGTCTCATGAATTTAGTGCTCCACGCCCAATAAGACACTCTCCCCAGCGTAATCCCAGCCCTATGAATCACGCTTTAAAGCGCCATACGAGTATGCCGTCACCCTTACGATGGTTTTTGCGCATATTGCGTACGGGATGGAGTTCGTGGAGCGCAAGAGTACCGTTATTGTGCTAGGAAGGATCCCAAAGGTCCTGGGGAACCGCACATTAATGCCTTGGATGGGGGGCCTGGCAACGTTGGGTTAAATCAGACATCCAGGATGATTGTTGATCTTGTCCAATGTGCGATGACTGTTCTTCGTTTCTCGAGTCAAAACACCGAGTTGCAAAGGCCCAATGATGACATTGTGGGACTTCGCGCCATCGCTTGTGTCTTGGCCCCTCTGTTAAACGCCGCCACCTAGAGGTTTTAGGGCCACGTCGAACCACCATCGACATCATCAACTGCCCGCCACAACAGCAGCGATCCACTGCAACTTCAGGGATCAGGCACCTTGTATCTCCTTTCGTGGAAATGGCAAAGAGCCATCTTTCCTATTCCAAAATCGCCGACAACATCAAAATGCCATTGCGGCTCTGTCCGACCATATTTCATCATCATCCATCATCGGCAACAACGGTCTCTATGTCGATCAGATTGACACATCACTGTTTACACGACGAAAAATATGTACGACCTGACGACTTGCAAGTTGCAAGGTCACGACTGTCCACTACGCCATTCTTTTTCTCGATTTTGCTTCTCTTAGTGACCCTGATATTAATGATAACACAACTTGGGTAACTTCCCGGGCGAGCGTGACCCCATCCAGGGTCCGTGGAGTGCGTGGACACGTATCCCGGTGTTACCACTCACTAGTTTACTGGACAGTGGACACATGGATGGAATGGCAGTAAAAAGAAGCCCGTACTGTCGCAACCCCATCACAACTTGTACGGCTGAGCTAGCTGCACAGCTGATTCAGAGCCGCAGAACGCTCTCGTGGAGCAGCGTCGATATCCGGCGGCGTCAGACCATAAATGCAGTCCCAAGCCGTGGCAGCTGTTTCGAGATCTTTAGTTACAGAGCCATCTAAGTATAATAGCCATGTGATAAAAAGTTGGGCCGCAGAGGCAAGCCAGGTTCAACGGCGCTTAGACTTGAATCTTGGTCGCGGTCTTCGCTGCACGGTTACTAGTGTACGCGGGCACAAATTCTGCGTCCCGAAGTCAGAGAGAACACAAAAGCCATCCCCTGCAATTGGGCGGCCAGCCTAGAACGTTTGTGGCTGTGTGTGTGTCGTCCCCGGCGTCCTGTCAAAGGTGCTCCTGGACAAGGGCACTTGGCCAGCTCGTTGGGACCCCTTGACCCCATCCCATCTAGAGCGAGCACCCAAGGATCTGGTGGCAAAAAAAAAACGGCGCCAGCGACACAGCACGGGTCGAATGCAAATTCCCATCTCTCGATCTCCAATTTTTCGTTCCAGTTTATGGGACTTGACCATGCCAATCAATCGACTTGGCTTATCCACCTCGGCCTGCCGGATACCTCCCAAGGTGTTGTAAGAGCTCGGTGCTTCTCCATCGTGACAACTTTGAACCCGTCCACCCCGGTTATTGCGGCCACAAATCCAGGGTCTTCCCGCATGCCCTCTACGTCTCGCCTGGCCGTCGGACCCCAGAATCTGTAAAGTGCTAGTCACACTTAACGTATTATGCCCGAGCGAGCCCTACTTGCATACAACTACTTGGCTTTTAGCCACCCGGAACACCGCGGGTCGTCATCTTCCTTGTCCAGCTTGTATATTTCATTCGTCGTCCTCGTCTATTGTTAGGTGTTGCTGCCGTCTCATACACACATTGACCCTATACGAAAGAGGAAACGTCCTCGTCACGATCCCTCCACAGCTGCGTGGAAATCCCTGCTCACTTTGTCTTACTGCGGGCATGTCCCACATGGGCACCCTGAACGAGCCACACTTCTCATCCCCATTGTGATATTCAGTCCAGCCGTACAATATTCGCCCCAGTTCACCTCACGCTCTAGACCTGCCCGTCTACTTTGTTCGCATTTGAGCCAGTCTCCTTCGGCTGCCTCGCGTTCCTGCAGCTCTTAGGTTAATTACACCAAGCTTCAGACGACAATCTTGTTCCACTTCTAGCTCACCCACGGTCTCTGTCAAGTCTCACAAGCTACGTCTTTCAGCTTTTGACCAATTCAGATGCTATCGTGTCCGATACTCTCCTGATTACCCAGCTCATTGACCCGGAAGTTTGCCATCACCCCTGCGACTCATCCCTCTGCGCCTTCACATTGGATACTGATAGAGGCAGATCAACCCCTCGACTACCATCGAGTGCAGAAGTGAGGTACCGTTGGAAAGGTACGCCAAACTAGGCTTGTCGGCAGTAGAGACTGCCGTTCGCTTCCCTGCAAGAAGCCTTCCACTCCTCGTTCAGACTTGGACCGACCATTGCTCAGCCTTCTCTACTTTGCGCCACATCGCCGAGAATAGCAACCTACTACACATCAGGGACCAGAAACGTTGGGGTTTATCAAGGTTGCTTTCAGGACCACTACCCACAACTTACTACCCCAGCCAGAGTCATAAATATTGTCCGCATACCTCGACCCGACGGCCATCAGCCACATCTCTGGGAAATCACCCTCTCTAAAAGAGAATCATCACCAAATGGGAGATGTACCGCCCACTTCGAGTTCACCAGGCGACTACCCAAGCCAGGAGAATCTGATTAACTCATTTCACGGACCCCCTCCCGGCGACGACACCGTGTCCTTCACCCACCCGGCGAACAACCTGGTCTTTCAGCCTCAGTATCAGCAACGGCAGTTTGATTCAGTGCACAATGCTGTGTACCCGGCACAATACGATATGAATCAAGCTCAAGGCACTGGCCGCGCTGGGCCCTACAACATGACCGCCATGGCAAATGCGCTTCCCCAACCCGGTTTTCGACCTCCCTTCAACCTTCCGGGGCAACAACAGCGTTATGTCGGGGACCCTCAGCAAATGTCGTCAGTGGCCCCGTACACTGGACACAACAATATGAACACAATGGCAGCACAGCAATACTACATCCCTCAGCATCCCACAATGTTGCAATATTACAACAATCAGGTTCCACACTCCCACCAGCAAGCGAATCTATCTCCGACACACAACATGCAGTTTTACCCGAATCAAGTCATGATGAACCAGGCTCAACAGCAGCAGCATCTCAGCGGTTATTATTACCCTCAACCCAACCAGTATCCTGGTCAGGGCGCCGCCGTGCAGCGGCAGATGATGCCCAATCAGTTTGGCTCTGCTGATCTTCGTGGGTCGTCGCCAGCAGCGGCCAACGAGCAATATGGAGGAGCCAGCTCGCATGGGCAGTCGGAAGGTCAGCGACAAATACTCAGGGGTAACCCCTGAAGTTGTTGACGAAGCTAACCGCGTCATAGAATCCCTGGTTAATCAATCTAACATTGTTCGCGGTCCCCCGCGGAAGCCTCGCCAAAGCGGTAAGTGCGCCTCTGCGATTCCGTTGGGGATATTCAAAGCTGACACATTGGGAAGGTCATGCTATCTGGATCGGCAACCTGCCCCCGCAAACCAATTTGATGAACTTGGTTCATCACGTCTGCAAAGAAGCGCCCGGACTTGAGTCGTTGTTTCTCATATCAAAGAGCAATTGTGCTTTTGCAAACTTCAAGGACGAGGAAGCCTGCCAAACCGCCCAACAGAAACTGCACGACTCCAAGTTCCAGTCGGTACGACTAGTAAGCCGACTACGCAAAAACACTGTTGAGGGTGTTGCGGGACAAACGGCGCCCACCGGTCCAGCTGCCATTTCTCCAAGTGTTCAACAAGCACCACCCGACGTCGTTGCTAGTCCGGTGGCGGCTACACCACCACAGCTACTCTCGCCATCATCCGTAGAAAATCCGACAGAAACTAAAAATGCGCCAGTTGCAGATGGGACAGCGCAGAAGGACAAGTTCTTCATATTGAAGAGTTTAACTGTCGAGGATCTGGACTTGAGTGTACGCAGTGGGGTATGGGCCACGCAGTCTCACAATGAGGAATCACTCAACAACGCTTTTAAGGTAAGAGCCATCGAAATTCAGAGCTACCGGAATGTATGCTAACATCACCTGCAACAGAGCGCCGACAATGTATATCTAGTCTTTTCTGCTAACAAATCGGGGGAGTATTTTGGCTATGCACGCATGACGTCACCTATAAACAACGATCCGGCAGCGGCCATTGAATTTGCGCCCAAAGCACAGACTACAAGTGACCTGGACCTGCCCAAAGCGATCCCCACCGAAGCTACCGAGCATTGCCCGCGCGGCAACGTAATTGACGATTCAGCACGGGGCACCATCTTCTGGGAGATCGAGCGGGAGGAGGGAGACGTGGTAGAAGAAGAATCAGATGATTCTGGCAGTGCTCAAAGTGGTCAAGATGGCGAGGCCGGCTCAAAAGCATGGGGAAAACCATTTAAACTGGAATGGCTGTCAACTACCCGACTTCCGTTCTACCGGACCCGAGGGCTACGAAACCCGTGGAATTCCAACAGAGAGGTCAAAATCGCTCGAGACGGTACTCAATTAGAGCCATCTGTTGGCAGGAGACTGGTTGGATTGTTTAATCGAGTCCAGAGTCCGGCACCGATGGTGGCCGGGTACGCATCCGGACCCCCGATGCGGCCGGTCTATCCCCAGTAAAATATGCTGCCGAAGGCCGAGCTTTCAATGATCCATTCAGAAGTTGGAACGGGAGCGAGCTACGAAATGTATCAAATTGTTTGTATACTTGGGCCGGAGCAAGTCTCGGCTGCTGCTATGCTGGACATAGCCACTTGGCACACGAAGCACAAAACCATGGCCGATGCTGGTTCGGCCAATCAATCAATCAATTAACGGTGCGACGGTGGTGTATCTTGGCGCGGCACCCGAGACGGTAGAATAATGCATGTAATGAGATAGCAGCGTCCCCTCCAATCATGACGACATCCTTAAAATTCATTTGAAGCAGAGGCAAAACAGACAATGTGGTAACATGCCATATGATGCCATTCCCAGTAGCCAAAGCCGCAATTGTATACACTGTACGGGGGGGTTCGTCAAATTCTTGGAAAACGTACATGCCGACCTCCACCGACGGTTGTCCCTAGACGCCACCACTCCGTCATCTACTCACGTAGGTAGCCTTCACATTGCTTGTGTCGTGTTTTAGAAGATTCAAGAAACTTCCCCTGTGCGATGAGGACATCACCTCCGTCAAGACCCACGGCATGGATTAGATGTGATGGGAACAAGCACCACATGTCGTCCACATCTTGAGTGGGGTTGAAAAGCAATATTGACAAAAAGTCCACGCTTGGCTACGGTTCAACTCCATGGATAGAATCCCGGGGATTTGACGTCATGGGTTGCGGCATGGATGCAAGCCAAGATATGCCAAGGCGGACCTTCGCCGGTCAACGCAGATGTTCAGTATACACCGCCACCGCCACAGGTGTATCTATCAGCTGTATCGAATTTGAACAATCCCATCCAGAACACCATGGGTTCGAGCACTAGACGGACTTCTGCTGATCGTTGCAAACCTTCAAGCAAATGGGATGACCCAACAAAACTGGCAACATCAGCGCTTCAATTTACTATGTTGGGATCAATCAATGTAAACTTTCGATTTTGGTGCTAAAAAAAGAATGATGCGATAATATCGGAAGTGTGGCATATTGTTCCCAAGCTTAGGCCGCTGCTTACTGCTTGGTACCCAGAGAGTGCTGGAAGCTTCTGGTGGATTCACGGCGATTCGCGTACTATCATGAGTAATCCAGTCGCAACCGAATAGAGCCACACAGCATAGCAGTTGCCTGCAGAAACATCTTGATTATTCTAGTGTCATGTAGGAGACTCGGTTGACAATGAAGGCTTACAATAATGAATTTATCAGCTATTCTGGAAGCTGTGTGAATTTACGCGTCTGTGAATGCACAAGGTACTTAAGGTCTCGTTGCGTTCGTTTGGAATTCGTGCTTTCCCTCTTCAGCAGGAAACCACGATACAAACGCAGCTGATCTACAATAATCTCTCTGATACAAAGCAAACAAAAGCTACTCTAACCTCGCTGACTTTACCCATTTCATAAAATTGTCAAGAAGTCAAGCAACACAATTACTTCACCAACCTCGCCGAGCCATCAAAACCATCACATCAATCACCCCAATCACATCAAGCACTGCAAGCAAAATGTCTCTTCTCACTCCACGCTTCCACCGCCAGAATGAGCCCAACTATTCGGGTCTCTTCCGTCTGATCGACGACTTCGACCGACACGCCCAGGTCAGCAATCCCGCTGGGGCGCGTCGTAGTCCCTCCACCACTCCGACCTTCAACCCCAAGTTCGACCTTAAGGAGTTCGATGATGCCTACGAACTCCAGGGCGAGGTTGCTGGAATTGCAAAGGAGGACATTCACATTGAGTTCACGGACCCTCAGACTATCGTCATCAGTGGCAAGATCGAGCGGACCCATACTACCACGAAGCCGGATGTCTTTGTGCCTGATAACAAGCATGAGGACGAGATGAGCGGTGCTCTTGTTGACAAGACCAATGCTGCTGCTGATACCAAGTCCACTGAAGCCGATGAGCCTGTCATGGTCGATCATTGCGAGGATGAGAAGGTGCCTACCCCTACCTCTTTCAAAGCCACTGTCGAGGATGAGGAGGATGAGGATGGAAGCACGACCACGTTCACCACTCAAACCCCCACGCCTGCAACCACTGTCGCCGAGCGTGCCAAGGCTGAGGTGCCTGTTCAGAAGAAACCCGTCAGCGGTACTCTCATTCGAGAGTGGATCACGGAGCGTAACGTCGGCCGATTCACGCGCAGCTTCACATTCCCCTCTCGTATCGAGTGTGAGGGCACCAAGGCTGACCTTATCGATGGTGTGGTCTACATCGTTGTCCCCAAGGCTAGAAAGTACGAGCCTCGCCGCATTGCCATCTTCTAGATGAGTGTTATCTGGTTGAACAATGAACGAGGAGAACGAGGTTGGTTCACGCCATCTTCACTCTCGCCTTTACACACACCCCTCTTGATTCACTACGCGTTCACGCATATATGCACACACGCATACATGTATGGCATGGAGTTTAGGTTTTCGCATTTGCGATGGAAACTGGCAGGAATGGATTGATAAGGATGGACATGGACATGGAACTGGTTGCACGATGTGGCGTTTAACGTCTGATGTTCTTGATAATCTGGTTGCGTTTGATTTGGAAGCATTGGCTTCTTGCATGCTGCATATAGAGCACTTTGTCTGTATAAATGGACAACCTTGACATAAAATACTACTTGCCTACTTTGTGAGTCTTCAGTGAATGAATGTGATTCCCTTTTTTCTTTTTTTGACCTGGTTTCACTATCGAGTTTCCATCATGGTAAACTGACGATATCAACTTGCGGAAGAGGCTTTCCTTAATCCACCTTTCCACGTGTCTCCCTGCATTGGACTTGACCCCGTTATTGTATGGCCTCATGACTTTTGTCCTCTTTGCACTTTCCAGCCCAATAATTCGTTCATAGCACTTTGAACCTAATCATCCACGCACGAATCCACCGATAAAGCCTGAAAAATTGTAGACCCAGAAGATGAGGACAGAAGAGTTACGATGACAGATACCTACCATAGCGGTCCAGAGCTCATTAGAAGCCAAAGATGTTAGATGGCGCAATGTTGGCATTGTACCATATAGATGGTTTACTAAATAGACTACCAGTTGGGATGACAGTTGAGGGGACAGGTGGAATGGCAGATTGGACAGCAGGCGCGCTAGCCTATGGGCTGGTAGGAACGATGATGGGTAGCATCAGTTCACCCCCAAAGTGCTCGGCAGCAACAGTTTGTTGCATATTGCCTTTTCATCTCTGATTTCCTTGTCGAATCTAGTTCTGCCCACCGCCCAATCTTGATCTAGAAATCCAGACCCGTGAATTTTGGCATCTTGGCCATGCCTGTAGCGACGGCTTGGACCAACTTTCCATTTGATAGAAGGCTCTTCTAGTCTGCCAAACGTCGCCGGTATTCTTAGGGTCCTCTTCGAAGTAGTGCGTAGCTGTTTTTCCTTGTCATCATTGGATGACATGAAGTTTAGGCATTTGCGGTATGAGTAATGGAATTTCCGTGCTTTCTGGAAGACCTGAATGGGAGGATACGTTGGTAGTGTCCCATAGAGATGCACGGAATCTTTCGGGCTGATGCTTCGAGTTTGACAAAGAGATCACCTCTTTCCCTGTCGTTGAAAAGCGATCACAAATGACCCCGCCTCGCTCTTCTGCAGCGAGAGTCGTGCAATGTCTCTGCTTTGTATGGGTAGCCCATTCATCTGTAATTTTGAGCTCCTAGAGTAACCGATAGAGAGACTATTCAAGTCAGACGAACCGCTTATACATTCCTGCTTCATCTTTGCGGCTTTCGAGTCATAGTGCTGCGGAGATGGTCTAAAATAAACTAGGACCGTACTTGGGGAGATCCATGAAAGATCATATGCAACAAATCACGTAGAGCGATCACCCTTTTCTGTGCTGTGATATGGGAAGTGGCGGTTGGGTGATGCAAGTACAAGTAGAAAGGCTTCCGAGCTCGTTTTGCCGGACGATAGAAATGGCATGAAAAGGAGCAACGGAGAGAAACTCATCCGATGATGCTGGGGATGCATATCGTTGGTTGTCCATCGATGCCGATGGGTCAAGATTTACTGGGTTGAGAGCCAGCGGATTGTTGATAAGCGGGCCGAGAGTCCCTGGGTTCGTAGCCAACGGCTTGACGAAAGGAGTTACAGCATGACCGTTGGAAGACGTTACCCTTCCTGGGTCCATGCTGCCGCCCCAGACCTCTCTAAGTCTGGACTATCATTCGGATTTGGCGTCTTACCAGTGTCGACCTTCTGAACTGTCAGAGGCCCGTTCAGCTCGCTGAGGTGTAGCAGCTTCTTTTTCTTCTTAGTTTGGATCGCAAGTGCAAGACTGCAACTTACGCCAAATTTCTCAGTGACAAGTATTACCAGTTCCTCCTTATCCTCACTCATTCGTTCGGAAGGCGGGGTTTCTCAGAGCTTGTCATTGGCGATGCCAGACCATCGACATGGGTAGCCTGCTCGCTCGATCTACGTCGAGATTCCAGCAACAGAGGCGAAGGCGGAGAAGGACTTTTCTCGACCTTCCGTCTCCAGCTCTCGCCACCGTTCAAAAGCAGGTGCTATATATATCCTCCTTGACTCCGGCCCTGAGCCAAGAGGCTGCCTTCACGGACACTACACAGTTCTCGTTGCGCCGAGTTCCAATAAACTTCGAAAGAAGGGGCGCAACAGCCCAAGCAAGTTGTCCGAGCCTGTTGACGATGTTTTCAGGGATTGACGCATCGCCATCACGGCCGATCGCCATCTCGAACTCATACACCGGCGTAATGGTTACTCAGAACTCTGAAAATCGAGCTCACTACATGCTCCAACTCCAAGAAGTCGTCAGCCTTGTCCACGAACACCAGCCCACCGGCTCGCGGGATCCAGGCCAGCCATATCAAGCGTGTCAACCCCTTCAACCTCCTAGAGCGTGTAATCCCGGTCGTCGCCTTGCTCCGCGGCGCTTATGTGGCTCCAGAAGAAATCCCAAACATAAAAAATCTATATGAGTCAGGTGTGCTACTATCTGAAAAGAGTCGAGAACCGGCAGTTGAGGGATTCCTTGGGGGGCGAGGCGAATTGGTGGTACAGGGTTGTTGGGCTACAGATCAGGGGTCGACTTGTGAAGAGTCGCCACGAAATTGATATGAATAAATCAAAAAGAGGCGGTGCCAAGTACTGCAAATTGCCTTCAATTTCCTGGTAACAAGTGTCTTGCTGTTATGAGTGCCAAGTCAGTGCCTGAGCTGTACAAAGTCGTATCTCAATGTCTAACCAGACTATACGTTGATGTCAAACACAGGCTGCACGACGGATGTTGCCAGACAACCCCATTCCCAGAGGCATGTACTTATGCAAGTACATGAACCTGGCATCTAATCACATCGTCCCAAAGAAACACCCAGAGCAATGCCTTGTTCCAATTAGTCTTTGCGTGGGGATCAAAGTAATGTCACGAACGACGGTTGTGTAAAAAAAAAAAAAAACTGTCAAAGAGAGGTGAAACAGGCCTCGTAGGACACAATTCTATTATCCTCAGTAGCATGTATTTTCCTTGAGCTAAACAATGCGGCCGAAACACCGGGCTGATCTCCACCACCTTATGCCAAATCATCCATACTTCGTCTCGTGTGAATTAGGGGGTTGGCCATCGGGGGATGACTTTACTGGGCAACGAGAAACACTATTCCTGTCGGTGCCAAAAAAGAGTACAAGAAATAGAAAAATAGTCTGGGCCCCGTCGCACAACTCGGTTGCGCTCGGGCTTGGCTACTAATGAACAGCGCAGGCGAGCCTTCCACTCATACGATATGCCAACTTAGAGCATGTAGGCGAATAAACCAAACGCAACGGCAGCCGCACCGTGTCCGAGGTGCTGAATGTTGGGCATAGCACCGGCCGTTGAGGTCGCAGAGGCAGTAGCGGAGGTCGCGCTCGTGGCGGCACCACCAGTAGCAGTCGCACTAGAAGATGCAGACGAAGTGGTACTCGCAGTCGTGGCGTCGGAGGCGTTCTTGGTGCCGCAATTGTCTTGAATGGTCGTGGTGCAGTTCTCCAAGCCCTCGAGGTTGCCGGCGTTCTCGTTAACGCAGTCGGTTTGGGCTTGTTGGCAAATGTACTACACGGGTAATTCATCGTCAGTTCAGAGGTCACGAGTAACTCGGTGTTACGACGTAAGACTCACGAAAGGCAGCGACAATCTGTATTCGGAAACATCGGGCGTCGTTCCATCCGTACAAGTACAGTCGTACGTCAACAGCTCCTGTTTGTAGTTAGTAATCCGGACTGAAAATTTTCAAGGACAGAGCGTCACGGCAACTTACAGGGTCGCAGGCGTTGGTGCTGGCGGCATCTGAACAGACTTGGTTACAAACGTTGATCTCCGATTGACACCACGCGGCTAAAGACTCGAATGTTAGTTCTCCAATGGTGCGACTTCGGGGGCGATTGTGTTGGTTCCAATTGAAGCATACCTCTCGTGCTAAGGGCAACCTCAGTGGGGTCAATGGTGAAGTTGGTCGTGGCAGAGACTGTCAACGCTGAGAGCGTGATGACGGTGATGGTGCGACCGATCATCCTGATTGTCGGGTTGGTTGTGTGAGACGGGGGAGCGTGGAAATGATGTTTGGTGGGTTAAGAAGTGGGACTTGTGCACTCGTAGAAGCCCAAAGCTGAAGATGCTTGTGTGATTATTGTGGGTTGCAGAAGAAGATGATGATGATTACAAAGACGAAGGTCTATCTGTCGATGAGAGCCAGCGACGAAGTTTGAAGAAGCGGCCCGTAGCAGAAGAGGGAAGTTGCAGAAAGTGATAATCAATCGGAAAGAACTTCTCTGGCCTCACAATGCGGGAAAATATGGGAGATATTAGGAAGGCGCGCGACAAGCTCTTTCACGATCTTTTGACCGGGGTCCGACGCATTGGCTGCAGAGAGTCCCCACTTGCCCAAAACCCATGCATCAATAACAAGTCGATCCACTTTGATAGTGGCTGGAGATCAGAAACGCCAAGAATCAACGAGGAGGCCAGGAGGGACATCAACCAATGGTATGAGGCAATTATGGCAAGTCCGACTCAGCGAGGCCAAAAAGAGCGCTAGCTTGAGATGGATCTGTCAATGCTTGCTCCAAGACGGTTGTGGCGTTCACGATGGGACGAGAGACGCAAGCAGTGTGTCACGCCGAGATCCCCGTCTCTGCATCGACAGAGGCACGAGAGGGGACCAAGCTATCTATTTGTGATGAGGCAAGCTTGACTTCTTTCGGTACAAGTCAGCGGACCCAGCTTGCGCAAGGGTTCGCTTTCCCACCCTTCCCATGCATGTCCGCGACGTCGCTCAGGTGGTTCAATTGACTATGGATAGCCGGAAGCTTCGTATCACAGTTTGTCAAATTGACTCTGAGAGGCCCGGAAGCGTCGTATTCATGCGGGGCTAAATATCAGACGACAGGAGCGTAACAACACCTGAAGTTTGGGGTTTCGAGCTGCTGCTGCTCGGTTGCCGTGTTGATGAGAATGGGTAGGTGCCCTCGAGTTGTGCCTGTTGGGTCTCGACAGCGTCTCCCGGCGTGCCCAACATTGGCCGATATCTTCGCTTCCTCCAGTCAATCTCAAGACCCTGCTATCGTGACCTCACCAGCCACAGCTAAAATTTCGTCGACGGCTTTTAATCACCGAGGTCTTGGAACTTGCCGCTCGGAGACCGCGATGCCACATTGTCACGCTCTTTATCTCATAAGTTTGCGACCTGTTCTCACACACATGAAACAATTTGGTCCCCTTCGCCTTTTCCCCGTCGCAGGCCTAGTTTCTGCCTCAAATTCTGCTGGCAGCCAGCAAGTCGCGGCCTTTAGATTAACTCGTAATCCCAGAGTGATCCGGCGATCATTGGCAAGTCAAATTTCCATGGCAGGGACTTTGTTTGGTCTCGCCCGTCTCTGGGGGACTGGCCAAGCTTATATTCAATGAGATCGTCCATTTGTGGTCTATCATATCCACCATCGCCTATACCGCGAACGGGCACCGTCTGGAAGCTAATCAATGCAGCGCCCACAGCGGTCGTTCCATTTTCTCACGACTCCCACCGAGATCTGCGACCAGCTTCCACGCCAATCAGCGGTGTCAATTGACAGCTCCGCATCGTTGCGCTTGTGGCTGGCCAAATGCAGCGGCTGATCCCGTCGTCGTGGATGTGCAGCGGTGGCACTGAGAAGGATCCCCACGGGCTGGTGCTGTTGGCTGCGGTTGCGTCCTGCGAGCTGCGTGACCTGAAATGCTGCAAAAGTTTGTGCATTGTCAGCTATTTGAAGTGTACAAGACGTCCCTTCATTGAGTTTCCTCTGATCTGGCTCGGTTTGTGAAACACTCTGATCGTGGATGCTGAGCTGGTTTGGAGCACGGCTTGTAGCCTCTGAAGCGCGAGAACGTTCTCAACTGTCCAGCCGAAGAAGATGGAGTCGCTGGCTTCTTTTTTCTCTTTTGTAGGAAGTGCGATGCCACTTGCTGACACGGTATTGCTATTTGCAACTTTTGGGTGAGTAGGACTTGTCATGAATCGCTTTCTACTTTTGCAATTTCCAGTTTATTCATACACCACAGCCGTTTGGTGGGACCGTCGATGGGCAAGTCGCATGAAGTCCAATCACCCCGACTCGTCTGCCTCACAGAACTTTCGTATGATCAAGCTTATTGTCACAATGTTGTCACTCCGTGCTCATAACTTCCAACAGCGCTGCTCACGTTCAATACACATGTTACCGAGGTATTTTGTAAACCACAGCATATAGAACGGGACTCTGAAGGTTGCCAGCATTGCGTCCCCCAAGTGCACCACCACATTGGCAAGCTGTCGGGCGCCTTTGACTAAATCGGAATCACGCAGAATCAGGGTTCCTCATGCATGGATAGGTTCCCTAGATTCGCATTCCCTACCTGCCTACTCCCACGAAATTTCGGGATATGTCCATTCGATGGCCCACCAACAGATGAACGAAAAGTCAGCCAAGGGATCAATCCATTTCAGGGTTTGGTCTATCGGCTTTGGGAACCTGCGCGACCGTCAGTCTGACAACAATGATTTGGCGAGCCGGCGTCGTCGAAAAGGAGAATTGGGGGAGACGTTGCTAAAACGAGTGGCTTGGCAACGGTGAGCTAGGTGGGCCCACCTTTAGTCACGGGAAATATAGAAAGGCCTCCAATGGTATGCTACGGAACCTAGCAGGACCCATGAGAGTTGCCTCATGGAGAGTGTTCGTCCCACTCTCGAGCAGACATGGACCATAACGGAGCAAAACCGACCGGGGTAGCCTTTCGATTCAAGCGATTTCTCGTACACAGTTCACCAACACTATCCACTCTCGCATGGCCGTTGAATTTGAGGGATGGTGGTCCTGCTCCGAGGGCGTCCATGATTGGAAGAACAGGCATTTGTGGACTATAACTGACGCCTCTGCATATTGAGTACGTGAATCACTTTTTTTGTTCAGGCTATTTAGTCAAACCTGCCAGCATGGCATTAACGGTTGAGTCTTCACCTTGCGTCAATCATTCACAGAAGTCTTGAGACAATGCTATCCACTCGCTTCTTGGTTCTTTTGAGCGCCGCTGTTGCCGAAGCTGCCCTCACTTACAAGGGCGTCGACTGGTCGTCCGTTAAGGTGGAGGAAGATTCTGGCATCACCTACAAGACGAGCAGCGGCTCGACCGAGGCCTTGGAAACCATCTTGGCTAACAATGGCGTCAATACGGTTCGGCAACGAGTTTGGGTGAACCCCTCCGATGGCATCTATGACCTCGACTATAACCTTGCCCTGGCGAAGAGGGCCGACGCTGCTGGCCTCGATGTTTATCTCGATCTGCATTTCAGCGACACGTGGGCCGATCCGTCCCACCAGGCAATCCCGTCAGGCTGGCCTACGGATATTAGCAGCCTCGCGTGGGAACTGTACAACTACACCAAGGACGTGTCGGATCAGTTTGCCGCCGCAGGCATCTCGCCCTCGATTATCTCCATCGGTAACGAGATCACCTCAGGCCTTCTGCTCCCGACCGGGAGCACGGACAGCATGAATAATGTGGCCACACTGCTGCATTCGGCGGCTTACGGTATCAAGGACAGCTCCCTCGCCACGCAGCCAAAGATCATGATTCACCTCGACAATGGGTGGGAGTGGTCAACACAAGAATGGTGGTACCAAGCCGTCCTGGAAGCAGGCCCGTTGTCAACTTCGGATTTCGACATGATGGGAGTTTCTTACTACCCGTTCTAGTAAGTCAGACATTTCAGGCAAAGGTTTGATTGTATGTTCGCAACACTGATATTCCTCGCAGCAACTCGGCCGCCACACTGGCTAGCCTCAAGACGAGTCTCACAAACATGGCCAGCACCTGGGGAAAGGAGATCGTCGTCGCCGAAACGGACTGGCCTACGTCGTGCCCGTCTCCGGCATATGCCTTCCCCAGCGACCTCAAGACTATACCGTTCTCGGCTGCCGGCCAGACAACTTTCGTCCAGAGTGTCGCCGACATCGTTGCAGGCGTTAGCGGCGGAGTTGGTTTGTTTTACTGGGAACCTGCTTGGGTGGACAATGCCGCCCTTGGTTCCTCATGCTCGTCAAACACCATGTTCCAGTACCCTGGGACGGCGCTGTCAAGTTTGTCTGTCTTCAAGAATATCTGAATGGGCCCTCTGAGACCCGCCCGACAGAACGTGCCTTGTTGGCATTATCGATTGTCAGCATCGCAGACGGCAAGTCCATGGATCAATCATGCCTGGACCAGCGGGATACTCTTAATGTATATATTTTTCTGTTCAGATACCGAGGTGTCTCAAATGTGAATAAGGAGATGAACAACATCAATGAAAGTCGCCCTTTCGCGGCTGGAATGCCGGCCGTCAACTTTGCCGCTTTTCGAGACAATGAATCTTTTCTTCTAAAAAGGGAATTTGAGCTGTCGATCTTGCCGCTGGCTCTCGTTTCAATATGTGCCTATCCATGTTTTCCTTAGGTATACCATTCTCTCGGACATGATTGGTGGAGACTCGAATACAGCAAACGGCGGAGACTGGCGGTTCCGGGGCAGGGACGGGTCTTGTCACGATGTCGCCGTTGCCAACGCAATCGCCGACGTGTAGGGGCCCTAGATCCATTGACAGCGTCACATGGGGAACAGACACTGGCGGGCACACTTCTGGGAGCGAAAGCGAGTAGCTGGCCCTTGAATCCAGTGGCTCCTTGTCGTAATGTGCGCACTGATAGTTACTTGCCCGGGTGCCTACTATAGCACGACGGCGGGGGAATATATAAAGGGTGCTGCACTGTCAGGCCAGCCGAACGCAGCGCTAATATTTGGACGGCCTGCGTGGACAGCGCCAGTGCCCAGCAGGCGAGACGTGACGGGAACACGGGGATGCCGGTAAGTTGGCCAGCAGCCTCGTCATTTATGACGTATGACTCCACCACAGACGACACTCCTGGCCTCACGTTCACGAACGTAGGCTGCAGTACCATGGCGGGGTTCGGCGGGATGCGCCCTTTGCCACCCGAGCTCATGCCGACCACGTAAGTCTGACAGCAACCATTCGGTGGTGGCCACCGTGGACCCGACTGACAACTCAACCACCGGGGACGACACGTCCAATTCAAAGCCCACCTCGGCAGGTGCCATCATAGTCGCCGCCCTCTTCCTGTTCCGCAGGCGGCGTCAACGCGAAGCTGCCAAAGCCGCCATGGCCGACTCCAATCCGCACCCCAACGACCGACTGTAGCCCATGCCGGAACTCGCAGAAGCCACCCGCCAACGCCTGTCCACCATCCACGAGTAGTCTAGTCCCCTTTCACCGCCGGGCTCCCCGGGCTCCCCGGGCGTTAATAGGTACAAGTCCACTCAATATAGGCGACCCGCTCGACACCAACCCACCCGATCTGGAGAAGCGGCTTAGTATTTCTAAATCAGGGGTTTCAGTGCCAATAGTGCTAGCCGTGCCGCAGCTCCAGCTTTCTCCCGCAAGCGCAGCGATGAATCCAGCGTGAAGAACACGGCGGCGAAGTAGACAAGCGGGTTAGTATGTTGTCGATGCCAAGTGACCATTGGAACGATGCGACGCCGGTAGGTGTCGTGGTTGTTAGTGCGGTCTCGCTGAAAACGCCGAGGAAGCTGAGGACGCTGAGGACGCCGAGGTCGGTGATTCTGATGGAGAGTCGGAGGTGGAGTGTGGAATAACGAATGAGGGAGTGGGATTGTTCCCATTCAGGGAAAGACACAGTTAGGAGAGATTGGTATTCTGTATAATACCAACTTGGGAAAGGAGGAAGGGGGTTTGCTTTTCATTGTGGTAAATCCATGGTGACTCCTCGTGGATTTCTGTTCCCGATGGCGCAGATGCATGGATGGAGGTGTAGGATGATACCCTTTGTTCGAGTAGACAGGACACGTACGTGGAATAAGTCACCGTTGTGCTTCTAGATGCCACACTGTTGGTATTATATAAGTAGGTGCCTATTACCATATATATCTACTACCCCTATTTCGGTGTTATGGTACAACTCGACATCCTATATTGACTCGAAGTATACTGGCATATTTTGTTGGTACAATCAACAGCAAACATTTCTCGGCGTCTTTCGTTCTTCGTTACTCAAGCCTTTACAACTGCCGGTATAGTTCCCACACTCTTTACTACTTTCACACACGTCTCCAGCCCTTCCGTCTTCCCATTCTGTGCCGCACCACTGCCCTGGTGATCTCGATTCCACTCTGCAACCTGTTGACAGATGCCTTCCAGCGTGGTGCACACCCCCTTGTACCCCAAACCGCCGTCCTCAACCGACTTCTGCGCCGCTGCATCCGAAGCCGGGACGTGCGTAGACGAGCTGAAAACAGGCGGCTGGAGCAGCGCCAGTTGACCAGTCGGCTTCAACCATCCCAGCCCCGGAATCAACCCCGAGATCGTGTCCGCTATCTCCACAACATATGAGATCAACAGCATCGGCACGGGCTGCAGATATACGACTTTGACATACGTCTCAGCCGTCTGCTCTACCAGTTTGTAGAAATCTAAGAACAGAGTCGGCGGGCATGGATCTGTGATATTGAACGGCTTCCCCGCACACGGGGGGAGTTTCTCCGTATTGTTTACCAGCGCCGCCTCAAACAGCAAATGCCCCAACGAAACATGTCCCGCGTGCACGAAATTCTGCACGACATTGGTCATCCAAGTCGGGAACGTCCCCAAGCGCAGACACATTCCCACAAGCTGGTCAGCCTTGCTGCTCCCATAAACCCCATTCGCCGGCCTGATGACTCCTGTGCGAAACCCAACCGAGTTGCTTCTGCAGACCATCCGCTCCGACACGGCTTTCGAGTATGCGTAATTGCCCCAGAAATCTTCTCTGGGACGCAGAGGGGCGTAGAAATCTGCCTCGTCGATAGGCTGCGTGTAGTTTCTCGGCCAGCTCCGTCGGAATAGGGGGAAGAAATCCAGATCGAAGTAGCGCACCGGCTTGACGGCCACGAAACTGGAAGAGGTGGACACGAAGACATCCGCACCCGCGGCTTTGGAGGCGGAGAGCACGTTAGTGCACCCGGCGATGTTGGCGCGTTCCACGCGCTCGTAGGTAGCTGCCCGCCGCTCATGGAACGAGATGACAGCAGCGGTGTGGAAGACGGTCAGAGGCAGGTTTGTGACCTCCACCGGCCAGGGTTTATCGAAAGCAGCGTTTGTTGAAGAAGCGGAGGAGAGATCCGCCTGCGCGAAGTCGACTTCCGCCGCGGCACCCGAGAGTAGGTCTTCTCGGTCTGGGAACCGTAAGTCGACGTTGCGGATGGCGGAAGGGGATTCACCGCGCGCGAGGAGGTGCAGGATGATTTCGCCGCCGACGCCGCCTGAGCCGCCGGTGATGATGTATCGCCGGTTTAGTTTGGGTGGCAGATGTTTGGACCAGTCGACGGGGTTTGCTTTGACGCGCTGGTACGTCTGACTGATTTCTTCAGTGGTCCAGCGACGTGGTGTCAGGGCTAGCATCTCCGGGGGCGTGGTGGTGAGTGCATTGTTGAGTCTCCAGAGGTATGCGACGCTGAACACCAGCAGCACCGACGCAATGGATAGACATGGATGGTCCCGCAGGATATCCATTGGACTGGACTAGATTGGGTTGGGTAAGGCAATATCCGAGAGCCTGTTAGAAGCATGGAATCTGGGGGGGAGGAAAGAGATGTGACTCGTTGGGAAGGGACCGGGGACAAGTCTTTTGTGTACTGTTTTATCGGCTCGATGCCGCTTTGGACTGCGAACACGAATACGACAACCCTAACGCCCGGTACTCTTTCGGACGGGATTGCCGGATTTTCCTGACCGAAAACTGGGGCCCGCGGGTAGAGCTTGAGACCGCGATTGACTTTGCTAGTTTCGGAATATCACTACAGCAGCAGTTCCTCAACAGATCTTGAACGGTGAGCTTTTATTAGGCTAGCTTGACGAACCGAGGTTAAAAGAAAAACTATACTGGGGCAAATAGGCATAGTAAGATAATCCCTTGCTAAAGCTTAAGTAGGTTGGATATAGCGTATACCCCCGTATAGCTCAAACGAAAAAAGTAAAGACAGAGCAGTCTGGTGCCTTCTGTAGGCAATCCTGACTTGTTGTTTATTCGTTTTAGATCTCGACGGATAATCCATGTAGTAGTGCAGTAAGCTTATTCACAACAACAAAACCTAAAGAGGTGAGACATCCTACTCACGGTAGGAAAGCTGAGTCAAATAATTGCGGGCTATCCTAAGAAGGTAGAGAGCCGTGAGAATATTTGTTCACACTGTTGACGATCGCAGGCAGCTTGACGTGCGACATCGCCGAAGAACCCTGATTCTTTAGGAGCCGGCCTGGAGATTGTAGACAGGAGGGACTGTTTTATGTAAACGATGTTCGGGCGGAGATTATATATCCAAAAACCTCGAGCCGCTAAAACAATTACAGGGATTCTTCGATTCTTTGTTCGTTAGCCAAGAAAGGAGGAGTTCTTCGCTTTTATCTATTCTGCGATTGCATTGCGTTACACGGCCAAGCCCCCGCAATCTCCCTTGCGCCACCTCTCTAGATAATAAACGAATGCTTACTTAATTTGATAGATCCCGCCTGTATGTCCAGGACGGTTTTATGGATGAGTTAACTTCAGTAGCGGGGATATGATAATGTAAACTATTTGTATTTCCCCGTAAGCCAAGTCAAACATTACAAATCCGTTTGCATTTTTTCATGTCTTCTTAGTCTATCTACATATTCAGGAGTCCAGGGAAGCTGCTTTCTGATCCTGCTTACCCTGACGCTCCCTCTCATACATCTCCTCAATCAGCCTATGCCTGCGCACCGCAGCGTCCCAATCCGGGTGGTCCTCCTTCCTCCCATCGGCAAACGCCTCATACAGCCTAGCCACGTTCTGCGCCGGCATAGGCAGATCATCCCATTCATCCCTCAGCACCTGAACTTCCTCGATGCCACCCGTCCTGTTATCAAACAACCGAATCTTCACATCCGGATACCCAATCTGCAACATGGTGCCCGAAGCAGTGACACTCAGCTCCCCCCTGTCCCCCAAAATCCTCCAATGTAGCCCCTCACCGGGCGCAATCGCTTTCCCACCATGCAAGTGATATGATAGCAAAGCCCCCGACTCAAAATGTCCCTGTAGCATCACCTGATCATGCGTCTCCCTCTCTACGGTACGAACCACCTTGCGTTCCGGATCCGAAGGCGACTTGTCAACTAAGTCCACTGTTGGAACCCTTATGTCCAAAATGGAGCTAAACGATTTCAACTGCCCCAGCGTCGCGAAGACAGTCTCGATCGAGTGGCCGAAAAAGATCGTCACCAGATTTCCCCCTACATCTTTCTTAATAAAGTACTCTGTCTGGACCGGTTCCTCAGGGCCAACGTACCCCGCCGGGCCAACAAAAGTACAACTCAACACATTCCCAATCTTCCCTCGGGAAATGACCTCCCTCAGCTTTGCGACAACGGGGGACTTCTGGCTCTGCAATCCTACAAGAGTCCTCACCCCCTTCTCCTTAGCGAGCTGATTCAGTTCGAGTGCCTCTTGGAGGTTCCGGCCGAGCGGCCACTCGCAGTAGACGTCCTTCCCCGCCCGGAGGGACGGGAGGAGGGTCTGACGGTGCTGAGCTACGTTGACGGCACAAAGGACAAGGTCGACGTCTTTGTCTTGGGCCAGGTCCTCGGGCGAGCCGTAGGCTTTGGTCGTGGAGGCGAGCTTGTGGGCTTTGATGGCGGCTTGAGAGCTGGCGACGGAGGAGTTACAGATGGCGGTGACGGTGTATTTGGAGCTTTGGAGAAGGTAGGGGAGGTGGGCGGCGACAGACCAGCTGCCTTTGGCGCTTAAGCCGATGATGCCGACGCGGGTGGGGTTGGACATGGTTGGAGTTGTAGTGCTTGGCTTCGAGATAGATGCACTTCTTCGAACCTACTTCCTAGGATCTTCGAGAATTCAGACTGTGTGTTAGCGTGACTGCGACTGGAGTGGACCCTTCGGGTAGCTCCCGGTCCAGTGCATAGGCGCCCCCTGAGAGCGGGGAATGTCTGCGAACCTCTTTGATTACAAAATGCACATTCAAGTTGCAGCTTAGGAGAGAGGCCATAAATACTCTTCGCAGATTGTGATGAGCACCCATTGGCGCGTTAGTACCTCGCAAATACCGCAGTCACAATACTCAGGGGCAGTATTGCAGCAGCTCTCATCTGATGTTCATAGTCAACAATATCGAAATTCTACCACAGACCAAAAAAAAAGGAGAAAAGAGTAATATTGCTAGTTTAGATGGGTGGTTTATCATGTATCAATGAGTATTCCAACACGAGCATTTATAACAGCGCCATGACGGCGGCCAGAGCCGTCAGCAACGTCGCCATACCCGTCCTCCTCGAAACCTGCAAATTACTCGTCGCTGCACCACTCAGACTTATCTTGTCCGCATCCATGACCATCATTTTCTGGAACAGCGGATCAATTGCAGCCGTCGTCTCATTAATCGCCAACTGGCTCCCCTCGACGCATAATCCAGCTGGGTCCTTCCACGTGACGTCTACAGCTCTCTGCCATACCATTTCGGGCTTCGTAATCATCTGCGCCGTGTAGAAGAATCTGCAATTTGCCGGTTGCATCGAGAACTGTAGTGGCGTCTGGGAATCGGACGGCGCGAAGGCGTTCTTCCCGTTCACTGCACCTGCTTGCATGGGGACCGTGGCTCGCTTGAGGATATACCCTTCAGCCAACACGCCCAGCTGGCCCTTCTTAAGCTGCTCTCGCATTTCTTCGGGGGCGAGCGTGATAGTAGCTGCTGCCGTCCGTGACATATCCCCATATCGAAGACTTGAGCGCCTTCCACTCCAGCAATAGATTGCATGGCCCCCAAGTTGGGCCTGCCTCCCACGACAGCGGTTTTGATGTTGCGCTGTTGTATCATCAGGTAACTAAAAATAGTACAAGTGGATCCGCAGGTGCCGTCAGTGAGAAGGACGACATTTTCAGGCGTGAAGACGGAAGGGGGCGGGTTGGCTTTGGTGCCGACCCCCGTAAGGTTGAACTGGGGGTCGGTATTGTTCAGCGGGGTGGACTGGAAGGCGGTAAAGGTGTCGCCGTTGAGGCTAATGGGGCCCAAAATTGATTCGACATTGGTCAAGTTGTTGCCCGCGGGGCTGAAGACGCTTCCCGGGACGAGATTGCCGACGATGGCGCTGTCTTGCAGCGATTTGAGCGCTCGGGATTGCTCGGTGTTGTTGGGTCGGAAATCCTTGGGAATGGCGCCGATAATGTGGGAGATTTGGCCAACGCTTTCAGCCAGACGGATGTTGTCGGCTTGGAACTTATTGGCGTCGGGGAAGAGCTGTCATGGTTTAGTGGGTGCCTGAGGTCAGCGGTTCAGGGGCTAGGTTAGACAAACCTGGCTAAAAAGTTCAAACCCAGCAATAACGAGACCGCCTCCGTTGCTGGTGAGGTCGACGACAAGTTTCTTCTTCCCAGCTGTCTTGGACTTGGTGAGGAAGTCTCCCACGGTACTCTGGAAGTTCGTGAGATATTCAACCGGGTCATACGTGGCCGGAGGAGCAAAAGAAGACACCGTCAACACTGCCACATCGTCGTACCCCGTCCCGTTGAGAAAATAACCTGATGTCGTGTTGGCGCCACTGTCTCGAGTGACTGGAAAGGGAAATCCCTGGATAGTTGGCTGCGGTGGAGGCAGTTTCGCCGGTGTGGTGCCATTGGTTGCGTTTAGCTGAACCGCATCCGGATTGCAAAATCGGCTGTAGAAATCCTCTCCATTATTGACGCCCGTGAAGTTAGCTCCAGCTCTCAAGTTTGCGAAACTGTTTTCTGTCTTCGTCGTGCCGTTATCATACGTCAGAGTCACGCTTTCACCTTGGAAAGCCAATGAGGCGGCGACAACCAGGCGATTTTCGGGAGAGGCAACTGTTCGAAAGTTGGCGTTCCACTGCGAATCGGGGTCTTGGAAGACGCTGAAGGCAAGGTTTGTTTCTTCTATAATCTTGGAGGCGTCTTCACCGTTGATCTTTGTTATTGCAGCCGGCATTGCCGTCGAATTTGCCGTCGAATTTAGCGCCGTGTTGTTGAGGTCGCCTTCTGGGGTCAGTTGATGATCACAAAGTGGTGTGTGTTGGACCATGGCACTCACGCAGATGGTACAGTTTGGGCACTGACTTTCCATCCACAGAGACAGAGACGATATCTGCCGCCAGGTTGTTTCTAAACCCGAACCTGTACCACTGCCATCAGTATCGGCTCTTTACAAATGCCAAGAGTTACGTTTCAAACACTACTCACGCTGAGATAATAGTTAGCGTGCAGATCCCATGCGAAGCTGGTCTTAGCGTGTACTGTGTACTAACCTTTGAACATATCAGGTCGGTACACAAAATGGCCATCATGCGCGGACAGGAAAGTCTTGACGACCTCGAGTTGGAAGTCATATTCGCTCGCAAATCCTCCAGCTAACGCCTTCGTCTTCGCGTTGTTCAACCTTCCTACAATGTCCGTAGCTGGCAGCTATCGTACATACCAGATTTAGCAACTCCGTTTTATTGTATGTCAGAGGGCGGGAAACGGACCATGTATGAAGACGGCGGCGTATTCAGATAAACCAGTGTGCTCTGCCATTGTACGAAAGCTTGCAAGCTATCAATCATTTTCCCCGCTGGTTCGGGCTTGTTGGGCACGGATTGGAGACACTCATGCGCGAGCGCAGCAGGAACTCTTGGAGTAGCTATGAAGACATGATCAGTTGGTATGAATCCAGCAGTTTGTCATGAACAATCAGCACACCATTTGGACTTGCTTCGAGAAACCCGGCCGTCATGGGGGCTATCTGCGCGCAGGCATTGGAAGTGGGTGTCGGATTCGAGTTCTGCCGTGGATTCAAGGGGGTTTTCTGAGGCGCCGGCGCACCAGATACGAGGGAAGCGAAGACAAGGAGCCACAAGCTCATTATTGACCGAAGTATGCCAGCCATCCTGTTAGCTTTGTTCCCTCGGTGTGACTTGATTAATCGATGTTGGAGCAGAACGGGCACGAACGACATCAACATAACCAGCAATAAAATAGACACATAGAGAACACCTGAATATTCGTAGTGTGAAGTTCAGGATAACTACATGGTCTTAAAGGGTCCAGGCACCCATCTTGCCTGGGTGAATCGTTGCAGATTGACCGCCAAGCTTCTGTTAACCCATCACGAAACACCAAAATCCTCAAACCTCAAGCTCGAGCTCAAGCCTCAATAGCCTCTCGGCTGCAACAGGGCAAGCCAGAACCCGTGTCTTCCTTTATCAAGGCGCTGTCAGTACCGTCGAACCAAGTTTTACTACCGACTTTCTGATTGGGTTGCAACATGGCATAAGCTTTGTAGAAATGTTCGACATCACGAGACCGACCTCCTTCGCTTACATAGTACGTGAAGGATCGTGTTTTCTCTGTGTTCTGTGTCGATCCCCGGAGCTCGAGTATCCGCCAAGGGTTTGTCTCGCTGGCATACCCCAGACTTAACCCAAAGTCTAATGCTTACTTTAGTGGCGCGATGTGCAGCTCGTCAAAGCTCCCACCTCCCTACGACGATTGACATCATCCAAACTCCTGGTCCTAGCCCCCAAACTGCCTCGGTCTGATTCTCTAAAACAAGTTAAAATCAAATAAACGTGTTTGATGATCCCGGATCCAATCCTGGATTCTATTTGTCATCCGTCAGCCTTAAGCTCCCAGGAGGCTCTTGATTGAAGGTCCTGATATTGGAATTGAACATGGTGAAACCAATCATGAGATACCATATTCACAAAATTGACCAAGCTGTAGCAGTCGATTGGGATAGAGACACAACATACATCAGGAGGAGGCTGAGAGAAAGACATGAATATGATATATCTAGTGAGGATGAGAAATGTAAGTATAAATAGGGAGGCAAGTGTTTGGGTGGATCGTCAACCGAGTCATGCAGGGTCGAATGGCTGTAGACACTAGTTTTTAACCGGTATCTTGATGAACCTTATTAACTTCATGCGATCTGCAGACCCTCCCATGCGGTGTTAGTGTCCAAGTCGACGTAATTGCAAATTCATTCTGAAAACGGTAAAGCTATCGTAGATAGCCCGAATCTTTGTGAGTCTAGTAGCTAATAGAGTGTTGGCTTCTATCACAATCTAACTAATGCTCCTGCACTATACTCCTCAAGCTATTTCACGTCGGCCAGAGTATAACCTGAAAGTCGCCGCCACGCGATATGCGGCTAATTCAAACCTAACCCCGTGGCGCTACATTATATGTGTATCCCACCCGAGACCTTGCTAGGCACTAGAATATCTGAATCACCTTACTCACGGCTTGTGCACTATTCACTCGATTGTAGATTGCGCAGCCCGGATAATGAGTTTATTAATCGGCAAACTGACGCGGTTTTACTTCGCTGTGCTAGATTCATATAATTCCAAACGAAATTGCGCTCATCCACCGTCACACCAAGCTCGAGGCCGTATATGTTTGTTCACGGATGGCCTTTCATGGCTATTCGAGAAGGGAGATTTCTGACTTTCATCGATAACTTCTTCGAACAGCGTCAAATCATCAAACCGATTGCGGCATTTGATTCCTAACGACCGTTTACGTCGGACAGTGACCTCGCATCGCACGCGAAGCGAGGACGCAAGCGATGGCGGCGCCGATGGTGATCGACGGGGGACGAGCGGGACTCGAACAGAGTTTTCACCACCCCCACGCCAACGAAAGTGCCCACGCACCGAACGTGGAGCGCACCAGCAGAAAGAACGCAGAGAGGGAAGGGATCGGAAGAGAACTACAAAAGGTAGAACAAGAGATTGCCGACTTGGTCCCACGTGAGAAGATTGAGGTCATGGGGGGTTTGATGGAGCGTTGGCTGGGGTTGAAACTAGCCGGCAGGACGCTGGAGGAGGGGGGCGACAGACCCGCCACACATGCCGACGTACTGGCAGTGACTCTGGCCCTTGCCGAAATTCCTGCGGCGATCCAGACGATGGTTGAGAAGACCATGCAGGATACGGTGAAGAACGTGGCCTTGCCTACAACTCGATCCTGGGCCTCAATCGCCTCAGGATCGGCCCAGGGACGGGGACCCGGTGAAGCCGCAGTGTGGCAGCAGCGGGTTGTAGTGCCCCAGCGAAGGGAGAGAGAGGTAGTGATCCGGGGGACAGAGGACCCTAATATGAAGAACAGATCGGCGGCTGAGGTCGTAAAAGCGGTGAACAGTGCACGCGGCAGCACCGATGCAGTGGCGGCCCGCAGGCTGCGCAGTGGCGATACCGTAGTGACGTTTAAGCAGTCGGCCTCAGCGGCGACCACGGACAGCAGGTGGGTGCGTAGTGCCTTCGGCGATAAGGCACTTCTCAACCGCAGAGAAGTTGCAGTGATCGCGAAGGGGCTGCCTGCGAAACGGCTGCGAGAGGTCCACGACGAGAGCCAGCTACTTAAAGACCTGAAGCGGGACAATACAATGCACCTCTCTAAGGCTAAAAGAAACCTCCCCCGGGCGCCGCAAGCACCGTATGCGGCCCTGATACTACACGTGGATAGCGTGGAGGCGGCGATGGAACTATGCTCCGAAGGGCTTATTTGGGAGGCCCAGATATTCGATTGCGAGCCGTACGACGGCAATCTTCGGGTTCGGCAGTGCTACCAGTGCTACGAATACGGCCATATCGCGAAACACTGCAAGAAGACGGCGCGTTGCGGCGTCTGCGCTGCAACGGCACACCCAGGGGGTGAAAAAGACTGCCCCGAGAAGGCACCTAGCGGCAAAAAACGTTGTGTGAACTGCAAAGGGAAGCACACGGCGTGGGACAGGGACTGCCCTACGGCAGAACAGCAGCGGCTACGCGTACGCGAGGCGTACGCTCACCGCCCCCGACAATTTGAGGTCCGCAGCTACTCGGACGGGTTATCTAGTGAGGGCAGGCTCACACCACCTAGCTCATTGACCAGCGACGGGTTTACAGTTGTACGACCCCGGGGCCGCCCCCTGGGCGGATCGCGAGTGGAGCAGGAGCGAACCGAACGGTCTGCGTCAGCAATGCGTAGCTTCCTCACTAAGGGACGTACGAACGAAGATATACCATCGACAGCTTAATGGTAGTCTCTATTCTCTACTGGAATATCGCAGATTCAAAGGCGAACGCAACGCTAGCGCTGGATAAGGGGGGTGACTATGATATAATAGCGGTTCAAGAGCCATGGATCAACCGGCGGACGAAGGCGATTTATTGCCCGAAGTCGTCCAGGTACGAAGTAGTGTACAGCAGCGGCAGAGCTGCGCTATACGTCCATAAACGATACGACGTGGCTACGTTGCGACCCCGTACCGGGATGGACTGGAGCAGTATTACGTTCGGGCAGGCCCGGACGCCCTTACAATCTGGTCTATCTATTCACCAAACCAGACCGGGAGCCGCTGGGTAGCCCGCTCCAAGACCTCCCTAATGGGGCGCCGGAGGGGACACAGGTCCTCGTAGGGGACTTCAATACACATCACCCGCTGTGGGACGTCCACGGACGGTCGTCACGGGGCAACGACAACGTAGTGGAGTTTGCGCGACGCTGGCGATTAGAGCTCGTTACGCCGTTCGGGGAAATCACACGGCAAAGGCACAAACAACGAGACTCAACTATCGACCTAGCCTGGGTGATGAAAGGGGCTAGGATTGATTACGATGGGGACCCGGGCCTAGAGGGCTCAGACCACAGAGCGCAAGTGATTAGGGTAATATCCAACGGGGAAGCAGTCAAGGAGGGCCGCCGCAGTGTCGAAGGGTGGAACTGGGCGATGGCGGATAAGTGGCTCATCGTAGCCGAATCAAGCCAGAGATTTATGAATTATTTGCCGGTTGAGACGCTAACGGAGTTGGACCAGGCTGTTGACTGGGTTATCCGGAACCTCCAAGAGATCGCCGACGTGGCGGTCCCGAGACGCACCGTTGGCCGAGGCGCTGGGGTCCCGTGGTGGCCCGCAGATTAGCAAGGCTTGCGCTGAGACGAAGAGACGACGGCGGGACTACCTCCAGGCAAGGTCGCAGAACAACTGGGACGAATATACAAGAGCCGGCCAAAAACAACGGCTCGAAATCAGCGAAGCGCAGACGCGTAGCTGGCACGAGAAGCTCGAGGGGACGGCGAAGGATCACAAAAGCCTGTGGGCACTGCAGAGGTGGGCTAGGCTACGGAGCTGGGCCCCCCCTGAGGCCCACGGCTTGCCAGATCTCCGGAGGGACGCCGGCGACACGCTTACAGCACGTACACATGATGAGAAGGCAAAATTACTAGCTGAGAGGTTCTTCCCAGACCCGTGTATAGATCTATCGGACCTCGATCGCGGCCTATTACAGACGAGACCAGAGCTGAACGTCCCTAGGGAGGTGACCACAATGGATATCGAGTCTATCATCAAAGGAACGGCTGCTCGGAAGGCTCCCGGCGACGACCTGATCCCCACTGGCCTGCTAAAGGCCTGCGGTGAACCCCTATGGGAGATCCTAGCGGATCTGGCAACAGCTAGCTTTAGGCTGGGGTACTACCCGGAGCGCTTCCGCTCAGCGAGGGTGGTTGTTATCCCTAAGCCTAATAAAACGACAGCTCAGAAGCAGACCCCTGGCGGCTGGCGCCCCATTGCCCTGCTTAGCACGGTAGGGAAGGTAATAGAGACGGCGATGAGCCAGCGTATCACCAAAGTAGCTGAGGCGGCCGGCCTACTACCAAACGGCCAAATGGGTAACCGCGCTGGGAGGTCCACCGAACTGGCAATACGTATAGTTGAGGACGTGATCTATACGGCGCGGAGACGCGGGGGCATCGCCTCGCTGCTACAGCTAGACATCAAGGGGGCATTCGATACGGTCAATTACAGACGGCTGATTTCCATATTAGCCCGGAAAGGCTACCCGGAGTGGGTTCAGGAGTGGGTACGCAGCTTCGTGGAGGATAGGACGGTACGCCTCCGGTTCGATGGCAAGGAGTCAGAGCCAATCCCCCTACGAGCTGGCGTCCCCCAGGGGTCACCGCTATCCCCGATACTGTTTATATTATACATTTCAACGCTGTACGAGGAGCTAGCGGAGCAGCACCCACTACTTTTAGTAGTCGGGTTCGCGGACGACACGAACCTGCTAAGCGTCGGCACCGATCCAGACACGACCTGCCGCCGGTTGGAGAGCGCATGGGCTACGTGTCAGCGGTGGGCAGTGAGGCACGGGATGGAGTTCGCTCCTGACAAGAGTGAGCTAATGCACTTTACTATGGCCCGAGAGCCCTTGCCGCAAAGTATTCGCCTTGGGGACGCCACAGTGTCGCCGGTAGTCTCAGCGAGATGCCTAGGAGTCTGGTTCGACCGCAAACTGACGTGGCACGCCCATGTTGAGCGTGTTAAAACAAAAATGGCAACTCAAAAGCTAGCCCTGACAAAGCTAGTCAATATGTCGTGGGGCTGCGATCTTATACGGGCGAGGCTGTTATATACGGTGGTTATCCGTAGCGCGATCGCCTTCGGGGCGATTGCGTGGCATACTATAAGTGAGGAACCGGCAGGGCCAGCTAAGAGCCCGATGGGGATACAGAACGAGTGCCTCCGGGTAGTCTGTGGCGCCCACAAAGCGACGCCGATTCGCCACCTGGAAGCAGAAGCAGCAATCCCGCCACTAGACCTCTATCTTAGTGCCCGGGCTGCTAAGTTTGAAGAACGGCTACGGCTTAGCGGGAAGAGAAATCTGCTTCGCAGCGCGAGCGCTAAAGCGTCACATATACTCCGGCAGGATAGGCCGGCGAAGAGGAAGCAAGCGTCGCAGCTACTCCGACCGGCAGGGTACACTATGGAGAAGGAGGCCCGGGGCTCCGAGTGGATGAGTGAGGAAAAGGAGGTCCCGGCTGCCCTCCTCGGCCACTGGAGGAAGAGATGGCTCACCGGAGCACAACATCACGATCGCCAGCGACGCGCTATCGCTGAGGAACCGGAGGGCCCTTCGATGCAGATACCGAAAGGGGGCAGGTATTTCGGCCTGAACCGACTGGAGGCGTCTACGCTGTGCCAGATCAGGACGGAAAAAATAGGACTAGCAGCCTTCTTATTCAAGACAGGGGCTTTTGGCGTGTACTCGCCGCTATGCCGCTGTGGCGACGCCCCTGAGACGGCAGAGCACGTAATCCTCTTTTGCGGGCTGTTGGAAGGACCGAGGGAACGATTACGGGCCGCCATCGCACCACGGCCACTATACTCTCGCAGAGACCTCGCAACGGCAACAGGAGAACCAGTAGTTAGTGGGACTATTGTAAGGTGGCTGCTAGGGACGGGTCGGACAGCTTCAAGGCCCAGATAGCATCGATCTTCTCAGGGGGGACTTTGTTGGTAGGTTGAGAACCAACGTAGTATGGTAGTGGACGCAACGCAGTCGCCAATAGGGCGAACCGACGACGCAGCGTATGTATTTAGTCCAGCCATTAGGGCACGGTTTGACATACGGGAGTACTAGCAGAGGTACCGGGGGCTTCGAGCCTACGGCGTATTTAATAATAATAATAATAATGTTTGTTCACGTGATATGAAGAATATAAAGAGGTGTGCCATACAGGGGCTCGTCCGTTGCGACGGGCTTGCTCCCGGCCTTCCTCCGCAGCCCGAACACTATCGACGATGCAACATAACTTCCCCCAACTATCCGCCCCTGCTTCGAGCCACTCATAGTGCTGTTATATCGTAGTACCTTGTAGAATTTCGGTAGATCCAGGAGAGAGACCATATTCTACGAATGCGTCTGTAAACTTGTTTGGGTGACTGACGCCCCGGAGACACTACCTCATGGCCCAGGTAAGTATTTCCAGAGCAGTCGCATCGGGAACAGTTCGCCCTGGCAGTAGCGATCAGCGCTGGATATAATATATGGAACTATCGTAACTTCTCATGTTTGTATCTTATTTGTCCGTAGTTTTTCAGACCATATTTTGGTATGCAATTAAAACTGCGCTAGATTGGCTATGCACATGAAAACCCCATATATAGAGGCCTTTTTAACTCCGAACGCCTCCCGTCCAGATGCATTTACTAGCACATGCCAATCAAGCCCCTCCACCTTGTTCCAACTGAGGGGCTCACTATACATTCCTGTAAGAAAATACACTGATGCGCTGGTCCGGCGGGAAGGAGTTATCTAGGAAACCATCAATGCTATCATAGCCATTCGCAGCGGCTTCGCCAATCATAGGATCTGGTACAAGTCCCATGTTGGAAATTTGTGTACCTGGCGCCAAATGATTCGGCAGTACAACCTGACTCGGAGTCGGCGTCGAGGGATTCGTAAAGGACGGCTGACCCTGGAAGGCGAGCGGCAAAGGAGGGAACGCCATCGATATGCTATCAGGCGACGCGTCCTGGGTTTCTGGCGGCGTCGATATACTCATGTACTGTGTCCCAGTGGCATTATGCCCAAAGTTTGGCAGTGCATCGAGGCTATTCTCTGGGGTATTTTCAAGGTATTGATCATCACTGTACACCGGCTTTCTGATGTCGAGGATGTTTCGGCCTTGCTGGCGGGCTTCCACCAGGCGACTTGCGAATTTCGAGGCCAGGTTTGGTGTCTCGTTACTGATGTCGGACAGGCCATTCCATCGGCGAGATGTTTCGAGCAACGAGTTAACTAGTGAGTCAAAGGCAGAGGCCAGGGGCTCTCCTTTGTAGCTGCTGTACGCTAGCAGCATTCTGCCTGCAATGAATAGGCAGAAGGAGAACTGAGGGTTGGTTAAGGAGGAAGACCTCTGAAGGAATGCGTCCGCGATGATGGCGACCTCCGTTGCTGCCGCTAGGCATGTTTCAGAACTCGAGGACGAAGGCAAGCGGATTCGGGCATCCCGCCATTCGGGTAATGGGAAAGCGATGACTTGGTGAAGCAGTATAACTGCCGTATTATCTGCAATAATGAGAGTTATTATTTACCAACTACGGATATCCACGCGATGACTCGGGAACGCTAAGTCACGACTCCAGAGTGGAAACGCCTCAGCCAGATTTTAGAGGTAACCTTTTCTCCAGAGGTAGACCAGAAAGGAGAAGGAATGACTCTCAAAGTTACGTACGGGTCATGTGTGCCAGTGTCAAGTTGGGGTCCATGTTGCCATCTGAGTTCAACACGCACGCTTCCCGCCATCGTTCTAGGGTATTAAACTTAGTCTTCGTCTTCATAAGCCATTGATTGGCAGTGAGAGGACACAATTGACCAGGACTCACCAGGCAAGAATATTTTCCACTGGATCAGACGCAGGTCGAGTTGTTTGAAGCGCATCAACCACACCTGAACCTGCCGCGGATCGGACGGGATATCTTGTTGTAGGAAGAAGGAAGTAACCAAACTCAAGCTTTCTGTTGCTTCGATGCTGAAAGCGAAGCCGCCCAGGCTCTGATCGTCGACCTCGGGCCGTATTGTTGGAACCGTGGGGTTTGCACGAGACGACTCATCAGCGACTCCGAAAAAGGGGGTCGGCATCTCGAGCGGCTGGCCGGTTTCCCACAGTGCTCCCTCGCAAGGGAGCCTTCTTTTCACATCTGCGCTAGTTAAGGAGAAGTTCCAGCCGGTGGCAATGCTGCAGAACCGGTCCATGATGAAGATATTCCAGAAGACTCGTCTTCGTTCCTCCGTCTCGGACCAGTTCCTGCATTTCGGCAGGAAGGCCATCCGTTTTATCAGTGTCTTGGCTGGCCCCTGCACTTGGTCGTCGTCTTCAACACTCAGTTGCAGTTGTACCACTGTTCGAGTCATGCTGCCAACTATCGACCACGCCGATGGACCTCTTCCGCCGCCTATTAGGTCGAAGGCGCAGATGGTAAGAGCTTGGAGGTTTTCGACCGAGAATGACTCCATGCTTCGCAAAATAACCAGTTGGCGACTTCTCTTGGCATACCTGGTCTTTTGATCGGCATCTCCCAACCTCTGATCATCAGAGAATCTCACGCATAGCGAGATGATGGCGTAGAATATGGTGGAAAGTGTTTGTCGCTCCGTTGGATTTGCCATACGCTCGCGGAACTGTCGTACGTGAAGCATGGGGATCCATGGATGCACGTTTGCGAAGTAGATGTCGACCAGAGCATCGACGAGGTCATCTGGAGGCAATACGGTCTCGTCAAGGGCCGATATGTTGAAAGCTTGGTCGCGGGTCTCTCGCGACCTCGGCGGATCCCTTCCGTGTCGTCGGTTGTCTGATTCAAATGATGGGCCGGATTCTCGGTTGGACGTTGCGGCAAGCGACCCTCTGAGTCGCGCAATCGAGCCTTGAAGTTCGTCGTTAATGGTCGTTACAGGGTTTGGCTCCTCCGTCCGTCCATTCGTTGCCGCCGCTTGTTGGGTTTGCCACATTTGCTGCCATAGAAGTCCTTGTCCCAAGAACATCTGCTCAAGCGCCACTGATATCAATTAGCATACACTCGACACCCACCATGTATATACACCAGGAGGCGTATCAAGTTCAAAGAATCGTGGCGATTTGTCTAGGGTCACTTACCCACTCTTTGGCTGAGTGACTCGATCGCGCCCGTGCGAAGACCCGGCTTCATTCTCCTATCATCGTACACACAATCGACATCTGCGGGACGTCAACCACTTGCAATTCTCTACGACTTGTCCAGGCCACGCCACTCACGGTATCTCGTACAAGCCGAGCAAGGTTGCGTCCTAGAACAAGCCGACTTTTTCCTGCGACAGTTTTGACATCTACGAGGAGTGTCAACAATCAAAAAGAATCAAAGTGTTAGTGGCACACTGACGCCGGTCCCTCGTTTTCTTGTTGGTCTTCTTTCGACAACCTCCTCCTCTTGGAACGCGACGTTTCATCGGGACCCGAATTAGAAGACGCGTTCCTGTCATCCGTGTCGGGCTTGCCGCCTCCTTGGCAGGCGACATCCTGATGATGCATCAGGGGAGGAAAGGGTAGGAAAGGCGCAGAGGCTCAGACTAGAAACATATGTAGCATGAATTGTAGATACTGATGGATGCGGGGAGAGGAACAAGAATCTATGTCCCTGATCTGCCAGTGTTGTTGAAGACTCATTGGCTGCTTAGGGCTTAGTCCCTAACAGGAACCATCCCCACACCCTGTCGATCAACGAAGTATGGGGTATGAGGGGAGCCTGTCTAATCCGAACGGCTGCAAATTAAAATATAACCTGGTCAAGAATTTGTCAGAAATCAATAATTAAGTGGTTGAAAAGGAACCCAGCCTTGTAGGAAGCTCATCGTCACCCTGAATGACTGATTAATCGATAAGCAGTGTTGCGCATCTGGTTCTTTGCAGTTATTGTGGTAGCACCCTTTTCACGAGATGTGTCGAAGTCGGGCCTTTCTGGTTTGGGCTAGTGTATACCCCAATATATGTCAGGGGAACCTAAAGGGTTGCCAGCTTCTATGAAAATCCACATATAGTTTAGTCTAACCACCCCTCTACGGGTACACCCCTTTACGAACTACATCTTTTTGAGACGCGACTACACTAACTACTTTGAATACAAATCTTATTTTACAGTATTTGTAACCAAACGATTGACTTCCCGCTATATTTTAAATTTTTAGTTTGACAATACATCGTTTCGAACTTCACCACATCATCTATTAATAATTAACTATATTATAACGAGCTAATAGTTGTATAAGAAACTAATAGTGATCTTTTAATGATTATACATACGGCAGTCAGAATAAAAGTTCCTACGTTATTTCTAAGATTACGAAACTAGTTTAATAGAGTAACACTCACATTATATTAGCTCAAGTCCGCACTACTAGTAGTTAGATAAAACATGAATTGGGAATTCTAAGGTTAATACAATAAAACCACTGCTATTATAGTAATTTTAATTGCGTAGTGGGGTATATTAAGGCATTGGGTAAGTATTCCACTAGTAACCAGTTTAATATCAACGTGTAAATGTGTCAGTAACTAAGATAATTTATTCTATTAAACTCTCGATGTCATATTAGCCTGTTGAGGGGTTATCCCGTCAAGGGCTAGTTAGATTTACCATTTATTAAGTATGCGGAACTAGAGTTCCATAACCTGAGAAAACTGGGCAATTTGAGCCATGCGTAAGTACTCGAAAACAACCTATTCGATCTGATTTGTGTTTCTGGTTGTTGATTCAGGTGCTCGCGGACACTTACCAGTTTGGGGTAGAAATTCGGCACCGTAGTATCGTTGGCCGCTGTCAACTCCTAGACTTACTCCGTACGCCGAGGCTCCACCAACTAATCTGAGGAAGGCAGTCAGTCATCGAATACAACATAATGTCGCATGATCCGCGCGAGGGAATGTCGTCCAGTAAGATTTCGAAATTACCGGCACTATGGGTAACATGTGTCCGGAAAGTCGGCATTCCATTCTCTGCCCTCGCTGACAATATGAGAGAGGCGAGGTGGAACGTTTTTGGGCGATGATTCAGGCATTGCTGCATGAAGCACCACGACCGGCTACTTTGCCAATTTAGTCTTCATCATTAGGGCTGCAGAGCTACCAGATATGGGCTTGCAGTTCAACATGTATTGTGTATGCACCGAACCGAGCCCCATGGATAAAGGTATCCAAGTAAAGTTGACGCAACAGGGGTCACCGCCCCCGACCAACTTCCCTTTTAGTAAATGTACCATTCCCAGGCTTCCCAGTCGCAAAGAGCAGATCACCCCAGCTCGGCATGTCGTTCCAAGTGACGCGCACCTCGCCCCCCGCAGCATCAAAAGCCGCTTTTGCCTTCGCCGTCCAAGGAGTCTGCAATCCCCGCGCCGTTGCCCCGTAATATAACAGATCCCAGATAGGTTGCGTCAATGTTCCATAAACCCCGATACCCCTATTCTGGATCGAAATCTCCTTCCACGGCCCAGCAACTAAAACGGCTTCACACCTCCGAAAGTCCGGATCGTAAGGGACAGTTTCGTTGAGGTTGTACTTAGCCGTGTACTCCGCCCCTTTCAGCAACAAATTGTCACCGTACGAAAACAAATCAAATCCCTGATTCCCCACCGTCCGACTCGCCAGCCCCAACGCGCCCAACGACAACGCCGCATGGGCCTGGTCGCGTCCGGACTCCCCATTTTGCCCAGTCTTGGTCGAGATAGTGGACTCGATCCCGGCGCAGGGATCATTCTTGTACGCCCACAGCGCGTAGTTGTAGAGCGCCACGTCCTCTAGGTAGACGGCCATCTCGAGTAGCGCCTTGATGGAGATGATGCCGTAGTTGGCTTGACCGATGATGATGCTCTGGCGTGCGAACAGCCAGTAAAGCTGCACACTGAAGCCGACGCCGCCTTGCCATTTGGACTGCGCCTCGACCCAGCCGCCTTCCCAGCGCATGATCTCGGCGGCGTTGACGAAGAGGCCGCCATCTAGTCCGATCATGAGGGAGCGGTCAGTGCCGACGATGTTGGTCAGGGTTGTACCCCAGGCGTCGAGGATGCTCGTGCTCTTGTCGTAATGAGCGTCGTCTTTGGTGATGTACCCTGGAGTTTGGTCAGCTCAAGTAGAATTGGGATTCGATATACAACGTACACATGATGGCGTTTTGGTAGGCAGCACGTGCGTCAGATGCGAAAGACGTGTAGTTGCTGACTTGTCCACGGGAAATGATGGGGAAGGGCCCTTTCATGGTGTAAGACGACAATGAGTAGCTATCGTTTGCAAATATGTCGTGGGCAGATTTCCACGGATTGATTCCATTAAGGACGCCATCTCGCATTGTCTCGAGGTCCTTGTGGGAGTGCCAGAGGCCTGGATGAACGAAGTCTGACGGGGTCCTTTTTGCGCCTTCGGTGGAAGGCACATACGGAACCGGTCCTATTGAAAGTGAGACGCCTTGCTCCTGGTCAAATGGGAAGATCCTAACCGTTCAGTGCTGGAACATCTTGGACCAAAGCTGTCGCAAGTTGGGCTGCCAAACCCATGAAGAAAACCTGCCATTATTAGCAATCTCATCCACAACCGTTTTCTCCAGTGACTTGCCTGGAACAGCATCATCTCTGATAAGTGATAGAGGTGCTTAGAGAGTGCAGATGCTGTGGCAGCACTAGCACAAAATCCGTGCAGGCATGTTAGTGAGAAGAGTGGATGCGATAATATAGTTAGTATGGTCTCCGGCCATCCCTTGTTGACTTGCTACTCGGCGTATCCTCCGGGCCTGTTGTTACGCTACTGGTAGCGACGCATGGCGTTGGTTGGATAAATTGCTGCGGGGTTGCGGGGGAAGAGCAACGATCTCTCCCGCATGCATAGCGTATGGTTGCCCGGTTATCGAAATGTGATCGTGGAGAGTCCGCGAGGATGGTCCTGTCCAGACCATGGCTGAGGTTCCGACTTAGGTTGTCCTGCAGCTGACCTGCATGGCATGTCTGGTCGCGTCATGCCCCAGACCTGAAGGCAGCTAGCTTGCAGCATATACTTCCGCATCTTGGAATGAGACCTCAGACAGGCCATGGCCTATTTGCGGCAAGCGTGGAGACGGTAATGATGGGCGTCGTGAGAGGGCATGCTTTACCGTAGCGTCGAAACTATCCGCAGGCAGAAGCCACTCGAAGGCAGCTTCTCGCTAGAAGCGGTCATCCTAGTAATATGTGGTTCCGTAGGAAGGTGGCATTGTGAAGTGTGAGGGTCGTTGTGGTGGCCAAGAGTGATTATAATGCTTGAAACCCCTGCTTTGGACTTGTGGTATAGCATAGTTGTTTAAGGGAATGAAGTATGCAAAACTTTATTTGCTTATCACTGGCTGGACACCCGAGTGTAGGTACGTGGAATTTTACAACCAATCAAACCAACGATTTGGCTGCGTAGAGATGATTACATACAAGCACCTTGGCTTCTTTCATCTTTCTTTAACCCAGTCTGAACTACAACAAATTTTTAATCTAATGGTACATACCCTACATGATTCCAATCTGTGCCATTGAACCACACCTCCTTTAACCTTCTAGTGCCTTTCTCCTGAAAGAAACATTGATTCATGTCCTGTTCCTTCGAGACCGTGACCCTACGCGCGTCCCAAGCTGCCTGCGTTAGGCAAGTGATGTCCGTTCCTTTCTCAGCATTAGAGATTGCATCATAAGTCTCCGGCCCTTTCCACCCCGAGTCGTCGTCCTGCCAGACAACTTGCACTGTCCCCAAGGCGTCCTGATACAGGATGTATGTATTAACCTGGTCATCGCTATTGTACGGCCGGCCCACTGTAAAAGCGGCAATGGGCGAGTCTTCTGGGATGTCTGTGGAAAGCGATCCCTTGGTCCACGCAGCGTCAGCATTGACGTCCATATCGCTGTCCCGGATCTTGCTCGCAAGCTTCCCATTGGTAGTTCGGTAGATTATACCGCCAGAATGTAAGTATTGTTGACGCACCGGCAACAGGGTCATACCAGTGCCTGTAGAGCCGACAGCATTGAGGTCGGTGTCGTTTACCCACCACGGAGCAGACAAATGGCTCCCGTTTTGGCCCAGCATCGTTGTCCATCGAAGCTGGTCGTCCGCATCTTGGGACAAGACGTAAGGGAAGTAGCTCGCGATGTTGGTGTCATTGGGGACCACCAGGGGGTAGTCGTTCATGCTACCTCGGGCACCTTTCAGGGGGACCTCTTGGTAATTAGGGTCGAAGAGTTGAGAGCGGATCGTTGATGACTTGTCGACGTAGAAGAACTCGATTTTGTATTGCTCTCGTCAGAACTCGATTGATAATGCAGAGGAATTCATCGTGAAAAGCAACTCACAGGCTGGAAGGCGAGGTATGCCCCAGCAGTGATCGACCCGTTCGCCATCGGCCCATAATCCAACGAATCTAAGATGACGGGACTTGACCAATTGGAGCTTGTGCTTATCTTGTCAATAAATCGTAACTGGTTGTCAGGACCTTGGAAGAATACCCTAAAGGTATAATTCCCGGTGTTACCCCGAAAACCCGTGACGGCCAGCCGGGAGTTGGATCTGATTGACTTTAATTGGGTATCGTAGAGTTGTCGTTTGTTGATGTCGGTTGTGGAACTTGTGGCTCAGATTCGCTGTTCTTCTTGGCCATTTTAGTTCCCAGCAGAACACCCACAACGATGCAGACGACGAGTTGGACAATATGGGCCCTGTGGGCCATGTGGGTCCTATACTTGCCACTATCGCCACCTAGAACGGCGACCATCCCCACATACCTCTATTACGAGAAATGTGGCGAGGATAGAACATTCCCTACTTATCTATATGCTTCTACAACTTGTCTGAATTAATCAGCAAGTCTACCATTCATTGACTATATAAGAACCCTTTTGTTTCCATACATAGACCCTCGAAGAGAGGACCAGAGTTAGCTACAATACATACAGGTTAGGCATATGTGCCCTCCTTTTGCTCCTTCAACGGGAACATCAAATCCAAGTCGACGACTGCCACTATTCCAGCGATGATCCACCACTTCCGCTTCCTTTGGCGAGCTTTCATCTCACTTTTTGCTGAAACATTTTCGTTCTTCACGAAAGGTACGTCCACGCTTTCCACAGTCGAAGAGCCGTTCATCTGGGACGCGGTAGCCCATGTGATCGGTTGCAGGGCTTGCATAGAACGTATGTCAGAATGTGAAACGACTTCAGGCAACAAGTTTCCCTGAAATTGCGCGTTGTAAGGTGCTCCATGATACGGATATGGTTGAGAACACTGTGCCTGCTCTGCCCGCTGCCTTGTCCACTGGCTATATTGTTCGTAAGCCGGCTGTCCCAAGTGGTCATGCTCTCCCTGGACTGGTTGTTCCCAATGATTTTGGTCTTGCTGGTCCTGCAAGTGGTCTGGCTGCAGATGCTGTTGTGGGCGACCACCATATAGTCCTTGAATTTCCGTACGCGAATATTTTGGTTCATGAGGCACGGGTTGTAAGCCAGGGGTTCCTTGCTCGTCTCGCGGTCCAGGTACCTCTAACCATGGCTGTGGATGCGGCTCCTGAATCGAATTAGGTGGGAAGGAATACTTATTGACATCACACGCGTCATCTTGAATGTTTGCCGCCATCTGGTGCAAGTGCGATGTCTATGATGACAAAAGGCTGTCTTACAAACTTGTGATCAAAAATTGAGGACGCCAAATCTTCTGTCAAGATAGCGCTCGAGGAGCGACAGTCTTGAATGAACAGCGAGACAGATCGACATTACGGCACAGTAGTTCCGCCCTCCCTGATCATGCAGTACCCAATTTCCCGACATATTCTAGGGCGCAGAATTGACGCTCAGCCTTTATGCCGCCGAGAAAGCTGATATATTTAAACTATTTAGTCCAGCCATTAGGGCACGGTTTGACATACGGGAGTACTAGCAGAGGTACCGGGGGCTTCGAGCCTACGGCGTATTTAATAATAATAATAATAATATTTAAACTAAGATGTCATTGGTTCGATGGCGAGTCCAACTACATATTTTGTCTAGAATCCCACTAGGATCCTCTTGGCCCCACGCGAGACAGCCTTATAACTAAACCATTGGTGTAGGTTATCTGGGCAATAATCCAAAGTTAGACTCCGCTGCCGCGCTTACATCTTCCGTAATATGCAGTTTTGATCAATATGTTAGGCGGGGGCCTTGCGCTGCTCTGCTGTCGATTCATTAACGCGGATGTTTTCCAGCTGTGAGACAAGTGTCTTCAATAAAAGAAACCTTGCGCTATGGGCTGTCACAAATAGTAATAAGTACTTTTCTCAATTTGCTAAGCTATATCCCTACTAACTAAAATATTAATATGTATACCATTTTCGTCGGTAAGGCTTGTAAATAGAGGCGGCTTTAGCTAATACTTGGCGAGGATCCTCGACGGATCCTCGACGGATCTAGTAGGGATAAGCTAGCCCCTCTCTAAGCGCCTAGGATATTACGGTAGATAGTAGATCTAGCTTGTTACTAAGACAATAAAAACTACTAGTTATCGACTCGTACAGCACTAAAGATAGGCCGTGTAGTGATTAAGGACTTGTACGCCTTTAATAGACGGCCTTTAAAGAGGACCGAAGTTATCATTATAAGGAGTTGAAGCTCGTAGGTAGAATATACGGGTAAATAGAGAGGAATAATCTGATTTACCTCGTATTGTTCGATACTGAAACGGGGTCAGGCGGTCAGTTGTCAGGGTACGGCTAGGCCGAAGGCAATAGTACAGAGTGATGGGGAGTAACGGGCGTCCCTCCTACGTAGCACCGGGTGGTCACTGGCGGTCTCAGGTAGGGGTGCCCACGGTGATGCATTGATCTCTGCCCTCTCTATCTTCCTCCGTCTCGACTCCTTACTTATAGCCAGCCGAGGTTCTCTCTTGGATTCTGGATGTTTGCTTCCGTATGTCTGTGTTCCTCCGACTTCGGCCAATATCTTGGACAGCGGCTCCTTATCTGCAACCAAGCGATTCCCTATCCGTTGCAAACGGCTTCAACGGCTCTCATTCGCCACAAGCGGCTCTCTAGCCGCCACAAACGGCTTCCTACCTGGTGGAAGCCGGCCCGCCTCGGATGACACTTGTGGCTCTGACAACTCCTTCCCTATCCTACTTCGAGATGGTCCTTATATAGATAGCTAGGCCGCCGCTTGGACCCGGCATAACAGCAGGGTCGGCGATGCCAAGGATCTTGACTCTCGTCATCCCAAAGCTTCACATAGATTGTAATCATGACTCGGGAGTCTTTTGTCCGAAACACCCCTCCGGCGGCCCACCGGTGTCCTGCGTTCAGTGTCCTGACACCCACTGGTGCCTATGGCATTCTGTTCTCTGACATCAGTAGGATATACCTACCACCTAACACACTGAACAGACGGCTCCAGTACCGTCAGATCCTATCTGTTGGTCTTATCAGACGAAGATCGTGGTACTGGTTGCAAGAGCTTTGCTCTTGCAAGTCTAGTGCGTAAGTTGGTCGGATGTGCCTCTGCGACTAGCGACGGGACAATTCACAGAATAGGACGTCTGGCTCTGGGAAACAAATTGAAGTTCTCACTGGCACTGGATTAGTCTGATCAGGACAGGTTGACAGCTCCTGTGATTGTCAAGGCTGAGATTCTAGCTGAATAATAGGGTCTCGAGAGTAGTGTCTGAATGCACATAGAGATGAACCGAATAATTGAAGAACTAACTGACTAAAATAGAAAACCAAAGTGAAGATAATAATTGAATGAGATGATAAGTAGTTAGATAGATAACAAAGGTGAAGGAATGGTGTCCTACTCTGCCTCTGTGCTTCTTAAAGAAGAGAAAAATAAACTTCCTCCCCGCTCCGTAACCTATTTCCCTGATGTCCGGTCTGGCCCCACTACAATACACTTAAGGAATATGTAGCTCATGAAACTATCCAGATTAATAAGGCGGTATTGACCATTTTGCTACTAATGTGTATAAATATTAAAATAAGCGTAGTTAGGTCAAGGTAATATGTCGATCCATCTAGCTACTTAGGTGAACCTGGATAATAGTCCTAAAGTTAATTCTCTCGTCTATCTAAGACGTAGAATCCTCTTGTCCTCGAATATGACGAAAGACGGTAGGGAGTGACCGTTAATTTGTAAGAAAGAGCCGTCATAGCGGGTCGGTATCAGCTAGTAAGCTGTGTCGGGGGAGGGATGGCGGGGTTTTACCCCCGATCCGATAGAACTCTGGGTACGCCCTAGCTAAAGAGGAGATCTCGGACGCTCTCAGCTAATTTAGATTCCTGAAGAATCAGTCTTATAATATACACACCCGTTTTATTAGCACACCATTAGTAGCTCTTTGCACTATCTGCTATTATCCTTGAGACGGGTAGTATCCCTGTTACATAATTTCTAGGCTAAATAGTAAAGGACCAACTATCCTCTAGAGAGCTAATAAGTTTAGTGTTATTACCGATCCCTTTACTAATTTCCTTCGTATCTATATTATAGGTATTTTCGTCCGTGACAGCGTATTGTTCTAAGGACCCTAAAAAGCTCGGCTACTATACGTATCCTAGGGGCTTTCCTAGCGCGAATAGACTTGATCGCTTTCTTGATCTAGTCTTCCTAATCCATTCAACAAAAGACAAAACATCTGACGATGAAATTAACGTAGAAATTGATAATGTTGTTGTTAAGTTGAACGAGTTCAACATACCGAAATTGCATGGCTCCCTAAGGGGTCAAGCCAACTTTAGAAGCCTATATGTTTAGGCGATGAATACTCCAATGCAGCGGAAGTAGTATAGTGTATAACGTCAACTCTATCCTGAGGGTCTATATTCATTCTACCTACACATTCCTCTTATGCCAAGCAAATCTCTACACGAACTTTTGTGATGCAACACATCCATTGTCGATAGAATTCACGCTGGATATCTAAACTTCGTACTTCAGGACACATTTATGCAGTCGCGAAGGTCGTCCGGTAGTCAAGACTGGTCAAGATTGATCGGCTTAAGTGTCCGACGATAAAGTCAACGAATAACTAATGGAATTTGCGGGAATGCTTACCTAACCCTCCGTATGACCAAATCAAACCATCACCGGTTGCCACCGTGGTGTATTTCTGCCTTGACTAGGGCTCGTACATTGACAAGTGTAAGATGCATCACAAACACGCCATTTGAGCTGCGGTGGTTCTAATCTTGTCGCTGCTCAATCGATCTCGTGGAGACAACTTGGCATTAGAGCTGTATTCAATTAGATAGCGCTGTATACTGTTTTTAAGTCCATCGAACGTACGAAAGCATAAAAAAACCTAGACTTCGAGACTAAACAAACGAATTGCTCGTATCGCATTATTATCGCCGTCGGCTGGTGTAGTTGGTCACTTCGCTGGTAGATAAGTCCCGATTTGAGCCTCGCCCACTTGGGTCGGTGACGAGTCGCGGGTTCGAATCCCGCAGCTGACACACAAGGGGGTTTAGTCAACCCTTACGGCGCGCTGCCCACCTTGTTGACTTCGCCTACCTAGCGATAATAGGGAGATTGGTGCAGTTTAGGATTACGAGCATCCTAGCCAGTCGACCGTCAAGCACTACGTCGGCGGAATATAACTCGACAGCCGGTCCAGAATTCGAATCGTTAATCCGACCCCTTATCGGACCTCGCCTTTCCGATAACGCTCGTCGGCGAACCCGTCCCCTCACGATAGAAGGCGCGCAGCACGCCCTCTCGCCGCGATTCTTGCGAGCGTCTAGACCACGTTACGGTCTATCCACTTGAGCGTATGGTTGAGATGTATACGCTCGACGAGAACCCCAATTAGCAGATACTACGACTTGTCGCGACAAAAAAAATAGTCGAGCATCTTCTGCACATCAGCAGCATCCCACCCCTGAGGACGAATTTAAGTGCCACATTACCACACTTATCGGTAGTTCAGGCAGGGGTTGTAGCACATCCTTAGGGAGGGACAGGAGGTTTAGTAGTCATTTGGCTACAAGTTTACCTGTATAACCGCCCGACGCGGCTTAAGGGCCCGCTATATCATCTATAGCCCCTTAAGGGAGTACTTGTAGAGGTACCGAGGGTTAACACCTACGGCGTATTTAATATTATTTATTATCGCTACATTGCCGAGATCCCTTATTAAACCGAGATCTTTGCACGATCTGCACGATCTACAGAACAAGGAAGCAGCTGTTGGTATGCAAATTAGACACTGGCGGTTTAGAGTTATGTTATGCCTCCCAGGCAGATGTAACCAAAGCAAAATAACCGTTGGTCCCACAGGGAATGGATCGATAACTCTACTTAGTAGTGTGTATGAGCCAGTGTGGCCTCAAGTCTGGTGGGGAGCAAGATTGACAGACACGGGATATGTATTTAGGGACCCGCCGGGACCGCTTGACGTATTACTCGAAGCAACTTTATAATCGCCATACAGCCATCCCCATTCCAGAAAGTGCGCTCAATATTATACTACATAGCCCTGATAGGCAGGAAACTTGGTGACAATCATACGTCCCCAACTGGACACTGGGTTCAGGCCGCGAACGTTGGCTTGAGTGAGCAGACTCAAGGAATAGTACACAGGCCCTACATACAGACAATCAAGACAGACAATCAAGACAGACAATCACGCGCCTTAGAGCGTGGCATTTTTAAAGATATTCAAGCCTTGAGTTCTTGCTTTACGGGGGCCCTACACAACCACTGCCTATGGAAACTTCCCTTCCTCCAGCTTCAATACCGCACTCCCATTCATGGGCCGACTGACAACAATAGCCGCTTCCATATCGGCCTCACTCAGTTTCCGCTTCGAATAGTACTTTTCCACCAGTGCCTTCTTGACGGCATCCGCCTTGTCCGCCGGGACGAGATGTACGCTGCAGCCACCCCAGCCAGCACCGGTGAGGCGACTGCCATAAGCTCCAGCTTCTCGCGCAATCGTACATATCTCATCGATCTCCGGACAGCTGCACTCGTAGAGGTCCCGGCATGAATCTTGGGTGGCGTTCATCAGGTCGCCGAGTTTCTTGTTGTAGTCGGTGGTGTCCTCGGACGCGGAGTGACGCGACTTGTCCTCGAGCAGCGTCAAGAAATCAAGGACGCGAAGGGCCTCGGTAAAGACATGCAAGGCTCTTTGCTGTAGCATGAATCTCTCGCCGCGTACAGGAAAGCTGGACATGAACCTTGCCTTGATGTCGTCCACTGAAGTTCCAGCGGCTGAGGCTACCTCCTCCAAGGTGTAGCCTTCTTCTTGGGCAAGGGTAGACTTCGTCAGCACGATCAGCTCTGTCAGCTGCTCTGGCATTGACTTTTTCGAGTCCTTAAGGTAGTTAGTATGGAAACCGTGTAGCGAAACCCCCAATGGACCGGAGTCCTTGGGAAGTTCAGTGCCTTGGCAGAGCTTGGCATTAAGGGCGGCAGCTGCCATGCTGCACTCGACGACACGCAAGTTGTAATGGATCGGTCCAGTAACCTGTTTGTTGGAAGTGACGAAAGATTGTGCAACCACAAAGATGAGTTCGGGATTCGTCTTGGGGAAGAAGACTGGACGGGCCGAAAGTGTTGGTGCGAAAGAGACGAACAAAGCCGAGCCTCGTTCGGAGAAAACCGAGGCGGACTGATCCATGCTAGACGGAGTGAGCATGTAATTTGGTACAAGGGACCTGGGGTAGCTTACCCTCCCGAGTTGACACCAACAGCTCGTTCACTGACAATTGCGACCTCGGTCAGGTCTTTCTTGTCCACATCCTTCTCGCCATTTGCGATCATCACGGAAAGTGCGCCCGCGCTTACAAAGGCAGCACTGGAGCTGAGACCGCCACCAGCGGGCACCGTTCCGTCCAAGAGCACTTGCATGCTCTTGGGTTTGAAACCCGCGCCGTATTTCCTCTCCAGCAACTGCAGAGCTCCCCTCAAGCCAGCCTTGAAGTAGTTGGTCCACTCATGCTGTGTCGCATCAATGTTGACTTCCCCGTAAGCGATATCCAACTCGCGGGTGGGGAACCGCTCCTCGTCCACGTTTGCGAGCTTTAACTTGTACGTGCCTTCCTTGGAGGACTCAAGATTGGTCGAAACTGCGATAATGACATCGGGGGTTATGCCCATCGGCAGCACCGAGTACAGAGAGTAATCAATATGCTCGCCGATGATGTTCACGCGACCAGGAGACCGCGAAACGAACTGCGCGGGGCCGCCGTAGATGCTCTGGAACTTCTCCAACAGCTTGTTCCATCGCGCGCCTTGCTCGAGCAGCGAGTGCTCTGTGTAGATGTCCCCCAACGCGGTGACTTGCGGCACTGGTCCTGACATCGTGAATCGGTAGTTTTGAAAGTTGTGGAGGAAAGCAAGAAGACAGATGGTCGCAGCTGGTGTGAAAGTTGAAGGCCAGGCTATTTACCAATTCCCCGCTCCGAGTCTCGTGGCCCCGCTCGTACGACGCTCGATCAATGAAGTGGTGAGACCGATGGGTGTCCGCCGATAATTAATGGGTCAATCTGTTAAGAAGGAACAACAGCTGATGTTCATGGTTTACTTGACGATTTTGGTTAGGGAACTTTGTTGTGCAGACAGGCGTGAGAAGTTGTCGTCTTGGTCGAGTGAGTCTTGGGATGCCGTCATGCCTCCGCGCAACATTCCCCAAGTCGTTCCCCAAACCGTTCCCCAAAAGTCCGAAGCAAGGCCGCATCCAGTGCAAGAGGCATTAAAATCGCCAAAACGGATACTGAGTTGTGTGGAAGCAAAGAAAAATAGAGCAAGGTAGGTTGCACTGCATTAGCAAGGTTGACTGACCCAGGGTATCCAACCCCTCCACGACAAGTCTGCGTGCTAGTAAGCTCAAAGATTCCAAGGCTCTCGGCCGAGACTTCCCAGGAATGCGGAGTCAGCAAGGGCTACTCCTCAAGCCTCAAAACGGCGGTTGGTCACGAGTATATGCAGCAATAGCAGAATCCGCACAATGGGACTTCTTGTCGGCGGCTGGACTGTACTCCAGAGAGTTGTTGAGCAAACAGCAATATTACGTCATGCCTCGCAACCTTCTATATATACTCGTAAGCCGTCGAGGCTATTGCTGCAAGTGCGTTATTCCAAACTTGAATGTGTCCGTTTTTGAGCATTTGCTGGCATGGCATGCAAACGGTTAATGGGGCTTTTCTGATCCGCTGTATTGATTTTGATGGCAGCGTAGCCTGCCTTTCTGCCTCCACCTAAGCTGTGGATGACCTCTGGATCAATATTTCAACATGGAGAAAGCCTTAACAATGAAGGTCGTAACATTGCAAAACAACAGTGACGTGCTTATTTTATTTATAGGCTACCCTAGTCGTAACGCGGTTAAAGGCTTGTACAAGATCTGCTGTGAGCACAGAACCTCAGTTCAAAGCACAATTCAGCTGGATGACCACTGGGGCCTCTCAAACAAGGCCATGTATAGGACTGATAATCAGAAAGTAAATGTATGACCTTGACGCGTTGAAGGCTCGATGCTCACTATCACACGTGTCTATGACTTGAACACCTGGAAAGTTTTGACCATTCTTCCCCGTCAGGTGTATATGGAAACATTTCACTTGTCTAGAACATTTAATGTGGTGATTATGTTGAAAATGGAGCTCTTGCAGCGACCATAACTGGTCCCGCTGAGATGTGACACGGGGAGTCTTTTCCTTGTCTCGACTGGAGGATGAAAAGATTGCAATGTCAAATACATCATCTTCCAGCGGCACTTAAACCGCCAACTCGAGGGTTCCCGCAGCTACCTAGGTATCCTGCAGGACCATTTGCACAGTGACGCGCGGACAATGACAGTTGGAACGAAAATTCCGAAAATTCTCTCTTCGGACGAATGAGAAGCCAGAACTTTGGGTTCGTGATCACTCACCAAGGCGATATCGCTCGCTTCAAGCTTTTCGAGCTTCCAGCAGAGAACTCACAGGTCATTGCGTGCAAATTCCCAACTTCGCGCGTAGATCTTGATATCGAGCGTTGCAGGGACCGACCCTTCCGGGAAGCCTTGGTCAAATTTTTTGTCCAGTTGGAAAATGAGACACATTCGAGTTGTAGACCGAAATCCAAGAAGGAGGCAAAGAGCAGGACGAGGAAAATGGCACTGTCGAACGACGACTTGCCGTGCAGGTCACCATCTCTGTCCCTAGGTTAGGCCAACGAGGCGATGACTCTCGAGGCCAGAAAAATAGCCATGATGAGGTCATTTGGCATGATGCCAAGCTCCCTTGGCACAGGTCTGCTGGTCGGCTCTTCCTCAGTATCGCGTTCAACTCATCCTCGATCGAGATCGCGAAGGCCAAAGTCCGGGTTTCAAAGAGATCGTGGCATTCCTCATGAGCCCAATGCTCGAAAAACCCAGGCTATTGGATCTTACTCACGGTCTACTATATTGCATGCTACCAAAAGTCAATCGAAGATAGTGCAAACTCAGCGATACTTTTAGCACCAACTTCAAGTCGCTCCCATATATCGTGGAAGCCACTATAAGAATCACTCGATCTCGACAAGACTTCGAATCTCTCCAAAGAAAATAGTCAGGGAGTATCAAGCTTCAACATATGGGGAAAAAAAAAGAAAAAAAAAGTCTTCACTGCCATACGAATACCTCCCTAGTGACGAACAACCTGAAAACTCCCCTAGCGTGGATGTCCCAACGAGACATAGAAACGCGACAAACAAAAGCTGTAAGGGAAATTAGCCTCGGATTTCCTAGAAAAGCTCCTTGAAACCTGCCTAAAAACAGCTTCCCGTCCCAATTTCATCTTATTGAGTTTGAGCATAGGGTCGATTAAGAACTTGACCATTAATCCCAAAGCAACAACAACAACCGCACTTGCGAACAATTCTCCACTCCAATCGATAGCTACCAAATTTTGGCTAGTAAAATTTACGAGAAGAACCTGGTTAATCTATTCATAATGCGGCTGACTATCATGGATCTCTGCATTGCATGTGACAACTCGGTCACGAGGCTCTATCGCCTCCTGGCAGACCATTCAACTTGTTTCCCACAGGGCATACTTAACTATTTCACCCTAAAGACCCTGCCACAGATTATGCGGCTACGGAATATTGAGAACTGCCCCTGCACGAGAGAGCAAGTAGCTGTTAAGGAATGAAGGAATGAATAACTGCTTGCTGTATTGCTTATATGGAAGGGAGAAAAGTTGAAGCTTATATCGACGGTCAGAAGGATCTTGAGGTCCGACTGTTGATACTTTTTATGTATCAACCACTGTTAGATATTCAAGAATGAAGACTCTAGTGTGTAGGTAACCCTGATATGGCAGCCTCCAATTCAGAGCGTAGGTTTGGTCCTATAACTATAACCTTGGCAGATGGCAATGTGGAGTACTCCTCGGCATTCATTGGCTTTGCTTCGAGAAATCCTTGACCAACCGTTTCTGTAATATCTCAGAGCACCACGACGCTCTTCATCGTCGAATTATCATGGAGGTTGCGCAAAGTCGTGCGGAGAGATGCCATGAGCTAGCTGCAAAAGGCAGCAGTATCAATATCTGAAGCATCATTGGAACGGCACAACCAACCAACAGCCTATCGTTGAGGTTAAGAAGCGCTGGGTGCAGAAATGTGCTGAGAATTACCATAAGCGCTCACTCGGAGGAACAATGGATAGTTAGTCTCAAGATTGATATTCACGAGTGGCCACCTCCCGACTTGGGGGTTAAAAGCAACGGCAGTTATCTTACTGTTGTTTCCTGGCGCTACAGTAATTTAAAGCTCCTCGGCGACTTGCTGGCGGCTCAGCACATCTCCAACAGCACAGTGATCCGCCTCTACTATGCAAAGAAGTACACGGGTCCAAGAACCGTTGCAGTCATAGTATGTAACGTTTGTATTAAAATTATTTTCAGGCTATATTCAATAATTTGTAAGGCTAATGTAGTCTGCATTAAAGTCAGACAGCCAGTCCTGACTAAGAAAAACGGCGCCTAGGTTAGGTTACGATACCTTTGTTCATCAGACAGACAGGTCTACCATCGTGAGGATTTCAGATCCTCACGGGTGCAGTCAATTGTAGAAAACATGATCAATACCTCGTCATATGAAAGGATAATTGAAAATAGTAAAGGGTTCTAGGCCTTCCCAGTTGGCATCTCTATACAAGCACTGTTTCTTCATCTTTCGACTGTTCTACGGCTTCGACGACTTCAAGCGCCGGTTTAAGACGGCCTCTACCGGGTTGGTGAATCACAGACAACCAAGATTCCCCTAATACTGAACACCGTGTTATGTTCTCGATATAATCATGTTGCCATCTTCAACCCCAAAATGCCACTTCTTCGTGCGGATTCCAGATTCACATCATGGCAAACTATATTCTGTTGGGACAATTTACAATTATTCGTCCCCTTTCTGAATGGCTGAAACATAACGAGCCTGTCTGATTGTCGCGGCAACCTTGCCCAGTCAATCTTGTCTTGCCCGTTTCAGCTTGTCAGTTTTACGTTGGGCTTGGGCCTTGGCCATGACATGACCTTTCCTTATAGTACACACGCAAGTAAATAGAGTTTGTATCAGATGACTCTATTCGATTAGTGAGCTACCCATTTGAACAATTACCTTATACATGTATTAAGGAGTTTCAATACAAACTACAATCTTATCTTGGCGCCAACGTAACATGAGTCGACGAGCATTTCCTGCCTGTGTCAGAGAACAGAATGCCATAGGCACCAGTGGGTGTCAGGACACTGAACGCAGGACACCGGCGGGCCGCCGGAGCGGTGTTTCGGACAAAAGACTCCCGAATCATGATTACAATCTATGTGAAGCTTTGGGATGACGAGAGTCAAGATCCTTGGCATCGCCGACCCTGCTGTTATGCCGGGTCCAAGCGGCGGCCTAGCTATCTATATAAGGACCATCTCGAAGTAGGATAGGGAAGGAGTAGAGATCAATGCATCATCGTGGGCACCCCTACCTGAGACCGCCAGTGACCACCCGGTGCTACGTAGGAGGGACGCCCGTTACTCCCCATCACTCTGTACTATTGCCTTCGGCCTAGCCGTACCCTGACAACGGGGCAGAAAATTCCAACCTCTGAAATAAGCAGACCCACTTATTTCTAACCCTTACCTGAAATTCCTAACCCCTGACTGTTGTTGGACCAAATTGACCGTCAAAAGACGAGGGACCCACTCGTTAGAATGAGGTATTTTTGGTAGTTATAAGGTCTGACAATCCACCTAACTGAGTCCGTCAACACCACGCAGAGCTGGCATTGGCCACACCATCTCTTCTTGCATCTATCGGTCGACCAACTGAAATGAGTGGAAAAAAAAACACAGCACCGGAACGCCGAGAGACCCGAGAGTCTCATTGTAGAGGGCCATTGGATATCGAACCCATCTACCCATTACTCCTCATGTACGTATTGAATCCCTAAAATCACATAGCGTGCGAAGAGTTGAATTCCCGAGGTATTATCGACTGAAGTGGGCAGCCGACGACTCGATGTATGTCTCGATTGGGGGGAAACCACAGGTACCATGTTTAAGAACTTCGTGCTTGAGTTGCAAGACTTCGTATCGAAGGGCGGCGGCCGAGTTGGAAAGCATGACGTTCTGGGCCTCTAAGAACCTCCTCTTCTCCTCCAGTTTGCGCTCCTCCTTCTTCTTCTTCTGACGACACTTGGTGGCTGCGATGCGGTTCTTTTCTCGAGACGTGCTCCCAGGCGCAGCTGGCGGCGGTGGATCTATGGGGCTTGCCCAGCTGGTCCGCCTCTTCTTGGAAGTCACTGCCAGTGCCCGGGTATGAATGTTGGGAGATTCTGTAAATCTATCGGGACTCGAGTTCCCGTCGGATGGTGGTGTCTGTTTAGTGTGTTAATCGATTGGCCGATTTCGGGCGTCTCGTGCCACTTACGATATACGGTGGGATATCCTCGGACGGTTGGGTCATGTCCTCTGGCTTCACCGTCGCATCCATGTCCGGGAGCAACGATGCTGGTGAAGGGCACTGAAAGAGAGTATTTTGGGCGAAAGCGATATCCATTTTCATTGTCATGGGGACTGAATGGGCATTGAAGTTCTGGGTGACAAGACCGGGTTGTTGTGGAGCGGTATAATAGTTATTGTAGAAGTCGCCGGTGGCGGAGATAGGTCCGGACATGATAGACAATGTTGTCGGACCAGATAATACAAGCTGCCCTTAGGATGTTACCAATGTGTTACAGTGAGTGAGGGTCGATCGAGAGCTGGCAAAGAAAAAATCGACCAATATTGTCCAGACCAAAAATGCATGATGTAATGGGGGGCAGGAATACAACCGTAGGTGTGGACGAGATAGGCATGATATGCGCTTGCGTATAAAACCTGCATATGAAGTTTGAACGCCGACAAACCTGCGAACCGCGAAACGGACGGACAATCATAGCGCGTGGGTGCGTGGATGCGTGGGTAGTTGTGGGGCCGCTGTCCCGTTTGAAAAAAGGATTTGCGACTTGAAAACAAGCTTGGGAAAACGTGCTTGAATGGCTCAGACCGAAATCAGTAGCGGCTGCTCGTCAGGCAAGCTGGCAAGCGGGAGGCTCAAAGATCTTTTTTTTTAAACCGTGGGGTCTTGCCGAAAAAAACGCCTAACAGTCCGGATATGGTGCCGGAAGTTCTGGACGGCTTGCTTGGCATATAGCTACATACATCACCTACAAGGTGGCAGCTTGCAGGCTGACCGTGCGGGCAGATTCTGTCTCTACCTTCATCGAAGATGTACATGAGAGAGGACGAGAGCATGCTAGAGCATCCGGATGAGGTCCAGAATGTTCCGTTCTTACGAGTAGTTCCCGGATCCCCGGTCTCGGGTTGGCTTGCTTGATCGTGTTGTTCAGTACGTTTGCCCCAAGTTTCAAGTAGGTTATTTACCCGAAGGCTGCTGGGCGATGTCGCGCAATGCTTATTTACACGCATCTTCGATCGAAAACGTGCAAGCACATCAGACTTTCCAGGCATTTCATCAAGAAACAGTAGCGAATATCTTTGATGTTTTTCTTCTGCGGTGAATCGACTACTGCAGATAATGAGCATCACGTGCTGCAACAATGAACCAAGGTCTTCACACATTTCGGCGTATCCGATTGGCTGCTGAGACATGGTTGCTACTCCTTGCAGTGCAACTGTGAACTCGTTGGATAGTATTTTCACCCAATGGACAAGAACGGGTGGCGGAGGGCCTTCCGGTCATGATAATTGGCTAACAAGCAGCCGAGTACTGCTACTCCTCCTGTCACCTGTAACAGTTGCCATCTAACGTATGACCCCACCTTTCTGGCCACCTAATCTGCCAACTACAACAACCTTCGGCACAACAGATTATCGTCGGTATTGGCTATTATTATGCAATGCCTCGATATTCGGAAAATTCGATTCAAGGCGCTCTCAACGATATCAATCAAGGGATATCCCAGCGCCAGGCTTCCCTCCGATGGGGCGTTCCACGCTCTACCCTATAACTTCGTTACGCCCCAAACCACGTAAGAAGGTACGATTAGGGCCTCATGAACGATTTGGTAACATTGTACAGATTAAGGAAGCGATGGATCAAGCCCTTGAAGTAGAACGGCAACGAGACCAGGTACAACGTCGGAATCAGGTAATACTGGACCCAGCTAAGGCGTCAGAATCTATCAGATCTATACCTCAGGAAGCCCTGGAGCACAGCTTTATATTAGAGCTGGTTGTATCTGAATAGCTATAATAGTACGTTGAATACACTGTTTCGAATACCTTCAATTGGATTGTAATATGTGGCCAGAACGGTGGGTGGCCAGGAAGATGGGGTCGTACGTTATCTGACCTATTAAAGTGCGTCGACCCACCACTTAGCAGGACTCACCACTTGGCGGGGTAGTCAATTAAGTTTATTTATGTGGGATCGCACTAGTACTGGCATTCCGGCTACATACGAAGGTGAAGAAGGACAGTACAGGCGGGGGGTCCCAAGCCGCACAAAGGCACTTAAGTATCTTGCCCGTATCCCACGTGACCGTAGGCCACCAATTCCACAGTTTACACGTAAAACATATCTTCACTTATACTTATTTCAACACCTTTGTGAGGCAGGGACATCCTGGGATAGGCTGTCCCAGATCCGAATCACATTTATGCGCCGTTCCCCTTGTAACAGAGGAACGGGAACTGTACATATAACTCTTTCTCTCTCTTCAGTTTAGTATTCAATAATAGAGATAGGCTGATATCGTGACTTTCATTTGTACTCGGGGTACCCTAAGCGCCGACAGAATACAATGAAGGATCCGTAGGATAAATTAGATAGTGATGCGTGCTGCTAGGGGGAGGGTACTATAATGCAGTAGTGCGCAACGTTATAGTACCTAATTGAATGGGATTCACCTAACCAGTGGGTCCCCTACCTTTTCGTATCAGATAGAGGCGTTAAGATATTATACCTTATTACTACTAGGTTTTATTGATATTTAGATTAATTATTAGAGTAGAACCTATCTAGTGTAAGGAAAGAGCCGTTGTGGCGGGCCGGTCTCAGCTGACAAGCTGAGTCGGGAGGGATTCGCCCCGATCCGGTAAAACCCCGGAACCGTCCAGCTTAAGAGGAGAACTCGAGACGCTCGCACCTAGTTTAGATTCTTCAAGAATCAGTCTTGCAATATACGCACCCATACACTGGCCTACTTCTAGCTACCCTTTGCACTACCTGACTATTATATTGTGAGACGTGTGGTATCCTCGTTACATCTAGAATCTTGTTCCTTATGGATATATTCTCTCCTTTACTAGTCTACTCTCAGCGATTCCTGTAAGTGATATATCCTGCTAAGTGTTGGGCTAACGTATGCGGAATATCGAGCTTTTCGATAGGTATGGATGGAAAACTATAAAACTGCTATATGCGATATCCCGATCTCGACTGCTGAGAAACTATCTTGAGTGAATAGTCAGTTGCCCAGACTGGTGCTCAAAAATATCACGTAGAGCCGCATATTTATTAAACTTATAAATGGGCCACATCCCTCCCCGGCGTTAACAGCTTTGTTACACGCAAAGGTGGTCAAAGATTTGTGAGGTTGTAAAAGCATGACATTCTATCTAGTCCTATGGAGCACGAAGGTTGGACTTAGTCCCAAAGGGCTAAGTCACGTGGTAACCTTGGTGGTCTTAGCAAAGCCCACCAAGGTTGCCTAACAAGCTTTCGCTTCCCTTATGCTCCAATCCCGCAAACTTATTGCAGTGAACCAGGTGGCGGTTCCTCATTCCCAAATCTTTCTAATCACAGCCTGGCTAAGTTATCCTTTGCATCGCATTTGATGGACCATCGGTGCCTTAAACACCCGTGATAGTGTCTTTGTGTCTAATTGTGTGCTATCCATACCACCATACGTACCAATATTCTTCATATAATCATGCACAAATTGGGTTCTCATTCTAAGATATTCTTACACTAGCAGTAAATCCAAAGAGCTTGTTTGGTACATGATACATCATATAGATATTGTCTTCTCTCGGTTACTGTGTCCCACACCACCCCGGTTAATCTAGACTACGACGCGCCCGTCAGGTCATGATGTTGGGCCAGTCCCCGTATTGTATTCTTTAACAGGGAAATGACGACAATTCCGAGGCAAAGGTTCATTCCTAGCTTGTTAACATTATGCTCTAGAAGTGACAGTTCTAACTTGGACGCGATGTTTGGCATTCGAAGTCACTAATAGGGGCTAAGACTGGGCTACACATAATACACATCGCTGTTAGAAGACACGTGTCCCGGGAACAACTGATTCAATGCGCAATACATACTATTAATTTCTGATTGCAGGTATCATGATAGAGTTTGCCATACCCATACCGTAGTTTATACACCGACCGATGAAGATCCAAATATTTTAAGAGTGGATATAAATCCCGTTGAAGGAATGGTCATTATTTAGGTATACGTTCGGTAAAGGCTAGTCCCCTCATCGAGCGTCGCGCTTCATCTCTATAGAGTTACTGAAACCTTTTAAGTTATACAATGTTTTGGGAGACGACTCAAACAGAGCGCACGATAGAACCACTAGGAATGGAGTTACACTGTGACGGGCTCACTGCGAAACTATACAGCTCAACATGGCCAAATACTGTTAATTATCTAACTGAGGAGGAAAGTAAAATAAGCGAGTTTTCCGAGAACACAAACTATGTTTTTATATGCCCTCGATGGTTCCTTTGTTGGATCCGGACGCAAGGTTTTTGCAGCTCCGGATACCATTTCAGGCACAGCCTGTCACATACACTATCTGTTATCCATAATAAGTTGTGTTCAAATCCAACTTAGTATATTGTGGCGAAATACAAAATAAAGTAAGCGATACTCTACGTAGTAAGATATTCATAATTGTGAAAACACAAGAAAATGATATGAAATTAATCAGCCTAGGGGTTCTCTTAAGCCTAATCTTGTTTCTATTCGCGCCGTCTCCTCAGAATCATGGAAGCAATCAAAAAGCTACCAGTGTATCCCTATTAAAGCCACTCCATCGTCGAGTACGCAATCCTCGATAGCGTGCACTACATAACATTGAGGTGGGGTTTTCAAACGTTTGGCGCCCTTCACAGCTAGTACAGAATGTTATGTATATATGATGGCCCTGATTAGGTGACAGCGCCAAGTAACGCCATCTGGTTCTGTATATGTTTGCGCTTTAGTTGAGGTGCTAATATAGGGTTCGATATACTACCAGAAAAATCCCACTAAACGTAAGTCCAAGACCTAATAGACTTGGTTATTTGAATGGTGAGTTCGCTGTCTGCGACAGACCTTCAGCTTGGCGAATTTGTGTCTTTGTGTTCCCATTTTATCATGTTATCTTATCCATACTAGTTAAAATAAACCTTGAAATGGGTAGATACTAGCAGAGTTGCATATTTTCAAAATTATGATCAGGACGTATTGGGCAGAGGTAGCTTTATGAAGATCCAAAATTCAACACAAATATAATGATTTTATTACACACCCATTGTGTAAGAATCCACTACAAATGAGCACACACTTTCTAATATTATAAACCATCCGATGTCCCAAATCAATATAGTCTACTAAAAGTCATTACATAAAAGTACGGAGAATGCTAAGATGATGATTTCTGAATTTGTGCACTTTCACGTAGAGCCTGTTGGTTATAGCAATAGGTTTATCTTCCTATAATCTAAATATCATTAAGAACTCACTGGCGTGATGAGGGAAACTAGGTATTATGCACGTCTAGGGGCAAAGAGACATTAATGAATCCATGAAGAGCCATGCATTTCTAGGTAGAGACTAGCACATTCTCGGGTTGCTACGCTCAAAGGCAGATTGGATAAGCCACAGCAAGATACTTGTGAAACTGCTCACTGGGCATACAATTGAAACTATCAAGATGCGTAGTGCGCATACGTAAGCAACCTCCTGCACAGGTGGCTTTGCAAATCCATGCCTGCAACTGTGCCTTTGACAACTCAGCTGGACCTGGCTGTGTTGTCGCGTAGGCAGTCGGAATGAATGCTCCGGGAAAAGGCCTTATTGTGATTAAGGGGAAGCTGATACCCAAACCCGATAGTTTGGCGCTAGCCATGCCTTGAAATATGCAAGGTACAATATTGAAAATTTCCGACCTTATACGTCCGCCATTGGGATTTTGACGAATACAAACAAGGCCGGTAAACAAAGCATAGGCCGATCTGTTGGTTGAGATAGTCTAATGATAATCAACGGCGAGGCCCACGCTGCGTTGCCAATCCACCGCAGGCGCAAAGCGGTCCTTGACATCCTCGCTTCCCTGACTGCTCGATCCCATAACCTTGGCGCTAATGTACATCCGTCACTGCGCAAGAAAACCAGACGGTCGGACACATCCCAACGATGGTATCAATGAGTCACAACCAACGTCATTACCGACGGCGGGAACAAGAGCTTCATCGAGCGACTCCGGACATAGGTAGCTGCTAAGAAGGCGCTGCGTCCCAGGAACAAAGATTCGACACAGCGGATTTCAAATTCTGGGAGAAGACTCGGGTCAGCCAGATTCCCTCATTTTTGACCTTTGCTCCATGTATAGTCACAATAAACGTGGGTAATTATCGAACAGTTTCCCAATGGACGAATGCGCCTGGCGCTTTCTCCCATATTTCTGTCGACCTCGGGGCTTGGACGAATATCGAATGGCGACAGGATGACTGTTCCTCAATAGCTACTACAAGTTATTCGAGAGGTCCGCCCCCCAGGAGGACCTTTACAGTCGCGACTTCCTCTATTCTCTGCAAGTATCGAACGCTTGTCTTCGCTTCGGGCTTGACTAATCAGTTACTCCTAGTGGCTTTAAGGCTCGAGTGGCCACAACAATCATCAGCGATACCCTGGTCAGAAACAAGTGATATAGAAGGACGCCGACAGGATTCGCATGCTGCTCAGATGCTCACCGACCTCGATACTCGATACCCTGATACGTACGAAGAATGGTCGACAGCACGTGGCAAGGAGATATGCTCACCTAAGGTGAAAAACGGTATCAAAGGGCTTTGAAGCCATTGCGAAATGTAACGTCTGGCGTTCGCTGGACCAGGCTTTGGTCTCTATTCGCGGTTGTATCTATCCTCTTCCTATTCTCTTCCCTGTACTCGGTCAAAAGCAAAGAGGCTCTTGTGTCACAATTAGCAAATGCGAGGCTCGGTCTTCCAGGGACTTAATGATCTGCGTTTTCCCCCTGATAACTGGTGATCCGTGCTAACTGGACCTAGGAAAGCTGAATCATGCTTCAAGAATGGGATCACAACTCATGGGACTAATACAAACCTAGGCCAACTTGGCTTCTCGAACGCATGCGGAAATATTCGACTTGCTGGCTCATAATCTATGCATCATCGAAGATAATGCAATACCAGCCGAATGCAGCCACAAAATAGCCTGACAGCAAGCTCTTGAATGGTAATTCTAGTCCCCCGCTCTAGTCACCCGGGAGCGACCAACAATCGCCGACGTCACGAACCCGAGTCCACAGAAACGTTACTCCGTCTCCACGGCATGCCAAAGGAAGAACTAGATGCGGTAATCGGCATTGCTAGCCTCGCCTCTCCCCGAAGCAAAACTCTCTATGTTATCATCCAAGCGCTGATGCCAGCATTCATCGCCCCAAAAGCCGAAGTGCATTGGCCCCCGTCCCGTTATTCTCATCACGTATTTTATCTACGTTCTGGGCACCCTCAGTCTGGTAATTAACGACATGATCAGTAATTAATACGCGGTGCTGTTTCTTCCACGTGCCATCCACGCGCTCGGTGTAAGTACATGTGCGAGTATGCCATGGTGAGTGATGTGCATAACCCCGCTGAGCGAGGGACAATGGCAGGAGCTGCCATCAACAGGGCGAAGGTGTGTATGTGTTAGGGCATGTCCTGAGAGGTGTGGTATTCTCGAAAATGAGACGAATGACTTGGATTTTTTGGACGCTTACACTATTCGGTTTGGGGACTATTCTTCTGATGATAGTGTGCTTGTCGGAGACGGCACGGTTAGTTGTTGGAACGTTGGTGGCGAGGAGAAGAGCATGCGTAAGACTGTGCCTAAGAAGAATACCCTGAGCTCCTTATCCAGTTTGACGATCATGCTCGACAAAGATACCTCCCTCCTCCTCTTCCTCCCAAGTTGCAGCGACGCCGCCTGGTATTGCCTCCTCGCGTCCCTCCCACAAATATACTCCACCCTCTACTCCTGGCGCCCCTGAATAACCGGCCTCGCCCACCTTCCAAGCGCCCTGATCATCATCCTCGCTGGGCTCGTCACGGGGCCCTGGATGAACGCGCGCTATCGCCTCAACGCCCGCGAAACCAACACACCCGCCAATAGCCACAACGTTGACGACTCCCCTATGGAGCGGATGCGTGTGGGGTAGCACTGGCCCATATTCACGGGCACACATATCCATATTTCTAGGTTTGGCTGGGCGTTGCAGCATCGGGCGCATCCGACGGTGCTGTTGGTGGTACAGGTAATTAGCGGGTTTTTGTAGACGTGCCTGTCCTTTGCTTTTAAGAAGTTTTTGGTTGGTATGAACCCCACACGGTCGGCACGGCATCGGTCGGTGTGTCTTGTGACGAATGGGCTGAGTGGAGTTGGATTGAAGATCCTGCAGCCGCTTGTTGATTCAATAGCATGGGAACAATACTTCACGCTGATGGCTGTAGTCATTGGGACATTTGTGGGTGATAATCCTGCAAGCATGGGGTAGAAGCTGGAGGGACAGCAGATGGGAGAAGGAAATGACGAGGCAGGCTTGATTAGACCCCAATCGGCTGGCGAGTTCATAGTTAAGGGACTATTGTCTTTAAAACCGACGACAGAAACGTATTTTCAAGTTCTGTTTTCTCCCATTGTGCTCAAAGGCTTTACGTAGAAAAACTATGACCATTGCACATACCGAACAGGAAGAGCATATGATGAAACCCCCAAGATCTTACCGTACCTAGGCATCACTCAGCGTAGCCGGCGGGTTACTTAAAGCGGCGAAGAGCTCCCTCAAGATTAGGTCATGATTAGACCTAGCTAGGACAGAGCCTTATTGTAGTTGGTTTCTGTGAATTCTTGCTTTCACCTCCTTCCTTGGTGTCAAGAAAATGGTTTCCAATGGATCGTCCTGTAAGGATATATTCATTCTCGGCGAAAATGAATGGTGCGAAAGCTTATAAACGGTGATCGGAAGGCTGTATATCATCCGATGGTCTTCACCCAGTATAACACTGATCTTCGTCCCCCTTCCTTCGCTATGGACTCATCTCGAAATAATGGTTGCTCTTCTCTGTTGTCAGCGTCATTCAGAGCGAAAGACTCTATTTTCTTAGAAGGTAGAAGAATAACGAGCCCCAAGTTTGAAGTCCAGAAATATTACCAGCCGTAGTAGCGTGATGAATCTTTCTCCCTCTTCTTCTGGGATGTGATCCACCATCCTGCGTCTCGGTGAACCCATTCCTGTTGTTCTATCGGGGTAGTAGTGTAGGGGAAGTTTTCAGGTAGTTCGGATCGCTTAGAAGTGTACGAATCAACCGAATTGTTGCGTTTCCGAGCCGCGCCACATGGGCGGGTACTAGTCGAGGGGCCGGCACTTGCATCCGGCATCTTTGGGTACTGAGAAGAGTTTTTCGCCTTCAGCGGAATAGAACAATCCAACTGGAAGTTCGGAACTTGGGGAGGGGGGCCTCTCTTCTCTTGGTCAGCCTTGTCGTACGCCACGCTGTTCTTACTGAAGTCTGCCCATAACTTTGAACCCTCGGTTTTCTTTTTCGAATTCTTGTTAGAGGTAATATACCCACTAGGGATGTAGTTACCCCCAGAATTAGCGGAGTTCATGGGCTTTGTTATCTGTTCGACCTCGTCTGGCCAAGACTCGTACTGCCACTCAAAATCTTCATAAGCTTGAGTCAAGTCGTCGAGGATCTCGTCCTGTGCGTTATCATCGCCAGACTTTATTGCACCGGGCCCAGTTGGACTGTTTCCAGGTAATCTGTGTTGAGGATGGGCCTGATCACCAGTAGCGATAGGTTTCTTGATACCCTTGCCGCGCGGTCCGAGACCTTGTCCCTGCTTCCATCCTTGCTTCATCATGATGCTCGCCCCTACTGGATAGTTATTCCCGGCTTCTTGGTAGGTGAACACGGTGGACATATTATCTGACTGGTCGTCATTGATGCTGGCTTGCTTTGTGATATACGTACTGGCGTATGACTCTTTTGTTCGAACAAAGCCTACTGAGGTGTCGCTACTGCGACTCATGCTCAAATGGCCCATATTGTTAGTCACTTCTTTGACAGTGGGCTGGACCTTCGTCGCATTTCTGGAGTCGTCATTTTGTTTGCTGTCAGCAACACCAGTGCTCATGCTGACTTGTGGAGTTGGGTGAAAGACTCTGGCATTGTCAAGCGCCTTACTGTTGTCTAGCCCCTCGGTAGTGTGTTCTGCCTCGGGAGTGTCGTGCGCCTCATCAGTGTATCGCGCCTGAGTAGTGTCGTGCACCCTGGATGTCTCGACCGGCTTCACTTTGGTGGATGGCTCCCTAATTTTTCGCTCTGTTTGATATCCATCGACGAAGCTGGAAGACGCGGGATTTGTTGTAGAGCGCGCATTTATGGATGCAGAGGAGGTATCTTCCACCTGAGTCGGTGAAATCCCAACATGCGTCGCAATCCGACCGAGTAATTTCTTGACCACCGAAGACTCCATGCCTGACAGCATGCCATTGGCCTTACAGTAGTTCAAGGCCTAAATGACGGTATGTATTAGACCTGGGATCGCCTAGGGTGTGTAGAAGTTGATAACCTACTGAGGAGAGCATTCTATAGGTGAGTGCCTCATGGTCTGAATCAGCGATCGAGTCATTGAGCGCATCACGCACAATGTCTTTCTCCGGTTCGTCCATGTCCGCTACTTGCAGCAGATGCTCGAGGAACTCGGAATGGAGTGGCATCTTGACCGCAAGATCGCCAGAAATTGTCTGGTTCGCCATTTTTCTTGCTTTATATGTCAGTATAGTATTCCTTGGTGATACCAACGACTGATCCGTCTTGATGGGTTCTTGGGGGTTAAGGGCAAGAAGAAAACCTCCGATACCCAGACATTTACTTCGAAACAATATAGCCGAGAACAAACAGTGGGCATGGAAGTGGACAGTCAGGGCCTTTAGATGCAGCAAAATATTGGTTGTAGCTGCTCAGAATGACTTGGTGTTCATTTTAATGGAACCGTAAAGTCAACTGCAAATGGCTCGAGGTGTTGCCAAAGAAGGAGGGTGAAGGAGGGTGAGACGAACGAGCTACCGCTGCTTCCGAGAACATTGATTGATCGCAAGTGAAACGTTAGGAACCAAACCCAAACTACCTCGTAAGGTACGTCTGAAGCATGTGTTAGGACTTGGGCTTAGGATGCACAACTCAAAACACCTACACTGTAGAATTCCGAATGCGTACTTCGAATCACGTTCAAAAATGCGAAGTTCGGCATAGGAGGTCGAGGTGTGCGAGCGAACAGCGCCCAACGGTTGAACTGAACAAGCAAAAAGTATTGATGGGTTGGCGACGACGGGCTGTTTGAGGTAAAAGCAATGGAAAATGTCTGCCGGCAACCCAGTCTTCCCCGTGCAGCACCTCATTGGAGTGGCATTGTGCCTTTGAAGCTACATAAGGAGAACGGGTAACGTCCCACACCTACATCCGGGACACCCCCACATGTGGGACGCCCTAAAAATGATGCTGTATATTATAACCATTGACTTCAACCTTTTTTTACACTTACAATACAGCTTTCACCGTCACTAGGGTTTTCAGACTCGCTAGACTCATCTGTACTATCCTCAATTTCACCAGCCTCGATTTGAGCCTTCCGAATAGCCTTAATATTAGTAAACTTCGAATTTGGGCTCATCTCGACCTTCCTCCGCTTCCTAGCCCTACTAGCCTCAAGCTCTGCCTCTATTGCCTCAATCTTTCGCTGTGCGACAGCTAACTGGTAGTCCTTCTCATCAAAGCCCTTTTGAACTTTCCGAAAGAGTAGCCGCTGGGTATTTGGATCACTATCAAGCTTGCTGAATAAGCTGAGTTGATCTTGGAGCTCATCTCTCCTCTTAGGCGTTGACCAGGCTACTGCTGATGTCTCTAATGCCCAGTCCTGACTACTAGAGTGCCCTTTGCAAGTCTGACTAGGCTGTTTGATTGGTGCTGACGTATTCTCAAGGAGCAGGGGGCTCATAAGGGGTCTAGCTATGCTAGAAGGCCAGAGACCAGTATATTTCCATCCACTGATAATGTTCTTAACGGTCAATGCTGCTAGACGTGCCTTTCTGTAGCAGAGGAGAAAGTTTCTCTTCCCTACGACAGTAGTAGTATCCCATCGGTCAAGGTAACCAAGCTCCTTCTTATAGGCTGCCTTGAGGGGTCCAAAGACTGACTGATCGAGAGGCTAGAGAACGTGGGATGTGTGTGGCGGCAAGAAAAGCAAGTGTATCTTGTTTATGAAGCAGAAGTACATAAACTCTATCGTTTCGTAGCTACTATGCCCATCTAGGATAAGTAACCTAGTCTCTTCAGGGTCCTCTGGTTAAGTCAAAGGAATAAAGATCTTTTGTAGCCACTCAATAGCCGTAGAGTCTGACGTCCACCCATTCTCTGTTGCTGTAAACCTCCAGGCTTCGTATGGAGTCAAGTCCAGAGGCAACCACTGCTGCTGGACAGACTTCCCCTTGTATATCACAAGTGGGGGTACTGCAGTACCAGTCGCAGAGATACACTCTATAAGAGATGTCCAAGCTCGAGATCCAGGCTGTTTCTTCCGTATGGAACGAGTCTCAGATGATCCTAGAACAAGACCATTTGATCCTCTACCTTCTAGACTACCTGTCTCATCCATATTGTATCGATTCGAGGCCTTAATAGCTTTGGTCTCAGGGATAGCGAGGTATTTGAACCATTGCCTGATCACATTAGCTGAGGCTCCATTAATACGCTGGGAATCGATAGCTCTGCTTCTCTGGACCTTGACTGAAGGGTTCCTCTTGATAAAAGCCTGGACCCAGTTCTTTCCAAGTGGTTCGGTGTCTCCGTGGATCTGTAGGATACGCTCGGTGAAGTCTTTGAGCTGTTGATGGGTTGGTGGGAGGCCTAGGGCAGCCTGGATTCGAACCCATTCAGCCAGATGAGGTTCCTGGGCTGGAGAGAGCCTCTGGTAGTCAGCGAAGGCTATATCTCTTGACTGGGCTCCCTGAATCCGTCGTGAAAGAGTAGACCTTGGGACACCATGCTCATATGCTGCTTTTCGGAGGCTTTGACCGGTAGCTATTGCTTGAAGAGCTCGATAAATGTCATCTTCGGTATATTGACTCATATTAGTGTAAAGAAGACGTACGTACAATTCCGTAACGATTGAATCGATATTGGTAAAGAAAAAAGAGGTTGAAGTTAGAGGCTAGCGGTGTTGAGACATTTTTGGGTGTCCCACATGTGGGGGTGTCCCGGATATGGGTGTGGGACGTTACCTGCTGCTTGAAGACGGGAATAGTGTCGGTGCCTTAAATTTAACAATGGAAGCATGATTCTGCGTACCTTGAATTTAAGATTTTCCCTAAGTATTCGGTAAAAGTAGGGATATCTATCTTCTACAAGTACTTATGTCTTGAAGGTAACCGCGGCCTGATAAGCGTCATTAACTGAAGAATCATCCACAAAATCTGACCTTGTGCCTGAAGTGTATTGACATCCATCGTCTTAGGCCGATGCAGTTGCTTCCACATCAATCTACATGTGAAATACAGATCCTCAGAGTGATGATCCGACTGTGATTGATGCTGTTAGTTATTTCGCGCTAAGCTGTCCCAATTAAGCTGCTCACCAGAGCCTCACGAACGTTAAGGCGTGTCGAACAACTGAGTCATTGCCCAGTACACAGTTACCAGTAGCTGTTTCATCCAAATCTGTGAAGTAGTAATAAGTCATCAGGTAGGGAAAGCTGCTGTACCACTGTGTCTCTCTGATACAGCTTCTCGGTCACAATATTGACATAGGGTGCTGTAATATCATGTGAGCCCCATCCCCAAATCGGATTTGCACCTGACAAAAGATAAAGCTAAGTACAAGGGAACTTACATGGGATATGTGATATTGACATGTAAGCTGCGAAGGCGGTGCCAGCAGGACATATTTTAGCATTGGTCAATGAGCAGGAAGGGCAGCAATGTAGATGACCAAAGGTTGGCAGTGGAAAACCGAGCACAGCAGATTTGAGAATAAAAAGTATCAAGATGTCGCATCAAGGACGAAAGGCTGGATCTGGCTTACTACAGTCCCGTCGCCGTGTAGTTAAGGCTTTACGCAATATATCTTGGAAGTTAGAACGGGGATTTGGTTCCGTGGTACCTGCAATTGCCATTTATGTTACTACACGGGAGAATTCGAGCCATGGAAGTCCCAAGGAACCATAGGGTTTATTTGGACCATGTTGGCCTTCAATTTTCCAGAATTCAGTTACAGGGAACATGAAGGATGTAGGGATGTAGTTGCCTGCAGTTGATGCTGCGCAAAAGAACAAAACACGGCTTGCACCACTTCCTTCCAAGTTCTTGAGATCAGTGAAACCGTTTGAGAAGGTGATGCTCTTTTATTCCAGAGTATTCAATGATCTTGGGATGTTCTTGGGAAACAGGGCGGATACTCATTTACAGCTGCTCAAGTAGAGCAGCCCAGTAAGCATTGTCAACCTTTATAGTCCCCGAAACTATTTTCCATTATCCATCCTAACCCCCTCCCCTCTTTCACCAGTGTCTTCCTGGTACATGCCCATCCTTCGGCTCTATGATCCTATTCCAGGCGTTCATTGTCGTACGGATGCGAGGTCCAAGACCAGTCAGGCCGTGGGGGAAATGGCAGCAAGAGCACAAGCTGCCTGGCAGGTACCGTAGGAAGTGTTACAGGCGAGAATGACAGCTGGGGCTGTAGGAGCAGCAACGGTGCCGAAAGTGAAGCCCGCCGCGCTGTAACAGGCGACAACAACTGAAGAGCAGCCAGCTTGGCAAATGCCGTAGGCAACAGGGCCCGCTGCGGCAGCTGTGACTCCGCAGAGAAGGACAGCAAAAGTCTTCGGGGGCTGCATTTTTGCGGCTGTGGCGAGAGTGATTGTTGGTTTGGTGACGATCTGCTAGTTCGGACTTCAGTTTATGTGAAATAAGTTTGTGTTTGTTTAAATGAGTTGGCGGGACGGTCGGTTTGTATAGTTCTTGTGTGAAAGGATTTATCAATTAAAGTTATAGATAAAAGCTCTGAGTGAATGTACACACATCGGCGCCTTCCTAACTACTCAAGACGACCAGCACGTGGGCAACTTGATCATCTCAGAATTCCGTACACCAAGCGCTAGAATCATCAATCATCTAGAGCCTCGCAGTCATGAAGTTCAACGAGGAGGGATTTATGCTCTACTAACAAGTTTGCTGTGATTCCAAGGCTACCGTAAAGCATATGCTCAATAAATACCCGGAAATCTCATGTTGGGCAGAAGACGTAATGATTGATCACACCTCTTTCGCCACAAAGATGGTATGCAACGATACAGGGTCGTCTCGTTGCCTTTGGATTGAATTGTATTGTTCTGGTCCAAATGACGAATCGACTTTGAGTCTACCAAAATCCTGGCCAAGCAGGAACTGTTCTACGTATTTCACATACTTAGGTCTCCACGCATGTGGATTTATCTTCGACTTAAATTCCATCATCTAAAATCCCAATTTCGAAGAATGCATCTCCAAAAACACCTTCCAGTGCCATATTGTTTCCTCGAAAGCACCTTGATAGCAACCTTGGACGAGTTCTTCCTCAGCAGTCATCCAACCCCAAGAGCCAAGCCACACACGCAAACATGTCTTCCATGAAGCAAATACTCTTGAGTATGAATCCAACCAAAATCTTCAGTACGCTTCGGTCTATGTCTGCGGCTCGAACTCCAACACCGACGACAAAACAACCCCCAATCATCCTTTGGTCTTCGATTGACAACCATTGGATGCCACGAGGGAGAGCACAACCGCATCCGCCAGAACAGACACCACCACGAACTCTGGAGACGCACCCATTAATCGATCCCGATGAACACCTAACCCTCGGCTTCCGATTCCAGGACCAGAAGCAACGCGAGTACGCCCGCGTCCTCGAGACAAGACTCCAGGGTCTTAAATGGGGCGCGCGCCTGCCCTTCCTGTACTGGCGACATAAGGTCATGGCAAAGCAACTCGAGGACATCACGGCCCAGCAAAAGCGTTATGCTCCGTTTGATGAGCACCTACAAGTTGCCAAGACGCGCACCGAATGGCGACGAGAGGTGCTGGAGGCTAGGATCTTCAAGGAAGTGTCGCCACAAGGCAAGGTCGGTGCAGAAATCGAGAGACAACGCGCGATGAAGGAAGCGGAGTTGGATCGGGTGCTTTGCATTCTCGCTCAGAGGTCGGATCGGGAGGCGCCAATTGCGGCCAAGCCCTTCGAGGAGATTAGGGAGGAAGAGCGCAGAGGTATCTTCACGAAGCCGTGGAAATGGAGCGGATACATGCCATAGGTTGAGGCGCTTGTAAGAATGTCGTATGGTTGCTTTCTTGTCGGATACTCATCTATTTTCTTCAATATGCATTTCTTGGCATGTTGCTAACACACAGTCCAATGTCAAGTTGGCCAATAGAGCCACCAAGAACTCCATAACACCGACGCCAAATTCAATGATATCTGTCCGACTTTTAAAATGCGATTCGTCGTTTTCGTCCTGTATACTTCGAGGTCGCCTTGACCACCTTCCCCTTGCGTTCCATCTGCTCTTTTTTCTTGACAATCCACGCCTTACTCCCCTTCTTGATATCGCCCTTGCCAGCTTCCCGTTTCCTCCGCGGATCCAACACGTCCACACCGTCCATACCCTTGACCACTCCGGTGATATCGCTGGTGCTGCCTGCGCCGGCCGTAAGCACCAGATAGACCTTGACATTTTTCGTCTCGGGGTCGTCCTCCAGCAGACCGGCGCCGAACCCTGCCTTGACCGCAGCACCAGTGATCATCTTTTTCTGCTCGTCATTCTTGGGGTAAAACTGGCATACGGCGCGGCCACCCCTCTTCAGGCTTGCGTACAGTCCGTTGAAGAATCGAGACAGTCGTCCTGCAGGTGATATCTCGCTACTCTCGGCGTTGCACAGCCATTGAATCGCACTGATACTGACGGCGGCATCAAAAGTTCCTGCTCGGAAAGGCACACCCTGCCCTATATCTGCGAGCATGAGGTCTCCCTCCACGTCTCTTTGGAGCGCAATGTCCAGCATGGACGCAGATACGTCCATGCCGATCCACACGTGGGGTCCGCCTTCTTCTGGGGGTATCGAGGATAAGATCTCGCCGGACAGACCACTTCCGCAGCCGACATCGAGGATGAGTGATGGTGAGGAGAGGTCGAGGAGTTCTAGGGCACGGTGGGTCATGGAGGCCTGGATATTTTGTATCCTCGAGGACGTAGTGTACTTGCGCGCCTCTGTGTCATTGTAGTGGATGTCCGCGGACCTGTAATCAGTCAGTTGATGAACAGTGGGAAACGCCGGTATTATTCTTACAGTGTGTCCTCTGGCCGCGACATTTTGGGTGGGTTAATCGCAATAATCTCTCGTTGATTTCACCGCTTGAAAGTCGCGTCCCGAACTCAAACCTGGACTTTCCAGTTTGAGACCCCGCCAACTTTTCCTGTGGGTCTATTGTAACCTTATCGTTATCAGCGATCGATAGGCGGCATCGCAAATTTCATTTCCGTAATTGGAGGAAAGGCCACGGGTTAGGTCGTGTTGGTTTGGGCCAGTCCTATTTTTGTCAATCTTCGCGACCAGCATCGGAGGAAGTTGGAACCAAAAGCCTTTCGTTAGGTTCTGGTATCCTTCCCCTTTACTTCACCACTACCATGAACACTTCACATTCATAAGATAACCTTCAACATGTGGATTCTTCCTCTCGTTGGGTATCTTGGCTCCATTGTGGGCTTCTGTTTCCTGACACTGGCCATAGGTACGTTCATTTAGCATCATTCTTCTCCAAGACGATGGTTGCATGACCGAGAAACGTGGCTGTTAACACGGATGGACTGCCAGCATCGGGTCTGTACTACCTCTCCGAACTCGTCGAAGAGCACACAGTCATCGCGAAACGACTTTTGACGCGTCTCATCTACGGCATCGTCGGCCTGCAGCTGATTCTCTGCATTTTCGATGGATTCCCGATTACGTTGACCCTGATGGGTGTTGTGTCCCACATTGTCTATCTAGGCAACATGCGCCGGTTCCCATTCGTCAGGCTCACAGATCCTCTGTTCGTTGCTTCTTGCAGTATGTTCCACTACCATGGAAGAGGAGTTTGATATGTGCATCGAACAGAAACTAACGCTGGCGCAGTACTCGTGCTTGTCAACCATTACTTCTGGTTCCGTTACTTTTCTGCGGCTCAGTCGCGCTCTTACTCGCGCATGTCCAACTTTTACGATCAACCGAATGTTCCTACATTCACCGAGATCGCTTCCTTCTTTGGCCTTTGCGTCTGGTTGATTCCATTTGCCCTGTTCGTCAGCCTCTCTGCGAGCGACAACGTCCTGCCTACCATCGGGACCGAACAGCCCGCGCATGACGCCGATGGCAAGAACAAGCGCCAGAGCATTGTCAAGGTGGGAGTGGATCACATTCTGTCCGGAATAGGGGAAGTAAGTCGGCTCGCCGGGTGGAAGAAACCCGAGGATCGCTTTTGAATGGAGGTCGGTAGTAGGACTTCGTGTACAGAACTCGGGGTATGGATATGGGTCTCTTACAAAACAGGTTACTCCCTTGATTGATGCCGAAAGAGCTTCGGTATTCTGGGAATACACTCGATCAACCGCTCCGTACGTATGTCTGTGAAAATGACCGCCTTGAGTCCGTTGCGGCTCGTGTCCTTCAGTAGCTTAAGGATGAGTGACAGCTGTAAGTACTACAAAGTTTCTTTTCATATCTCAGATCCTTCGAATGATGATTCAACCAATATTATGCTAGATTGTATTTGAGTTGCCCAATGGGCGATGTTGATGCAAAAGATTGGGTTTACCCTGATAACTGGATTCAAACCCTACACATTGTCACCTGGATTACATAAAGGTCTTGCGCTAATCAAGTAATCAGATTATAGGGTCCGGCGCATGCCAACCCGCCTTCAACACACTCCGTCTTATCGGAACCGGTTTGGTCATGAAATCTGTTTTCTTACATCGACCCCGTTGCATGCGGTTCCAAGCCGAAATCTAGGGTCAGAATCTGCTGCAGTACATGCCATATTCGTCCGATGGAGACTTGCTACTGGTGGAGCGGCTTCAAGACGTTTTATCAACCTCTTAGCGTCACTCCCGATCCGACCAATGACTTTGTTGCTCTGATGCCTAGGTAACTGCTTCGTACGCAACCTCCAGTCGTTTATACGCTGGCGGGATACAGGGACCTCTACTTCGACATATAATGGCGGCGAGTGCACTAGAATCTCAGGGTCATTAATTCCACAATAGTTCCGAGGTTGACCAGCGTCTCCCGTGGTTGCGCTTATATGCTTTAGTTTTGCCGTCCAATTCTGCGGAGGTGAGTGTGGTGTCCGTCATACTGATTACCTTGGTCGATTGAAAAATCCACGGCCCATAAAGATGACATCCATATGGAATAACTAAGTTGAGTTAATTTACTGCGACGTTTATTTTGTTATCTCCTTACCATATGGGCCAGGAGTCTGGAGTTGCTACTGCCAGAAGTCAGCAACCATCTCAACTGCATGACTGTCCAATTTCAATTTCGGCCACCTCTAGTGGACTGGGATGATGCCTGAGGAGCAGTATTCACCATGGGATCCCTTTTTAGGATGACATACCCAGCGTACCGATCTTCAATCGCTCTATCCCTAATTCTTTCAATTGGCTTCAATTCAGGGCTCAGCGGGTCACATCATTGATTCAGTGCAAGCCACCGCCTGTATCTGTTTCGCAGGATCGGGCAGTGCCAATTCCCCACCTTGCAAGCAATTCATAGGGTCAAGATCGGCAAACAACAACACTCCAGCAGTCCATACGAAATGTTTTGGCATATTTGGAATAGTACATATAGCCGTTGCCCGGAAAAGGTGCAAGTGCGTCCCATTTAGTTTGATGATCTACAATAGGCCTGCTTCGTGGCATGGCAAAGATTTTATCCACCGGAATTGGAGGGTGAAGGATTCAATTACTAGGATCAAGCACAATTCGGTTGCCTGGCATCCTAATATCTACTTACTCGCATTGGCACTCGTATGTACCCTTTGAGACTAGGGAGGCTCGCAATGTGATGCACTACAGGCGCGGGCGGGTATGGTTTTGTGATACTGTGGGTCGTTACGAGGTGAAATCAGGCACCAGCTTAATGTTTTGTAGCCGAGGGAATCCTCTGACATTTGGACTATTGGGCCAGATATCTCGCAGTTTGTGGACAAGTCATGTTCTCCCTTCGAAAGGAGGCAGTGAGCTGTGTGAAGCTTGGCAGGGGTTTCCAACATTACTTAAGTATCAAGTACCTTGAGTATATGGCAAAGTCCCTACGCTGCCACAATGGGCTATAACCACGCAACCCCCGTCTGAGTATCTGAATCGATATTGAACAACACGACTCAAAATTACAGAGGAGTTCGAGATGAGCTTCGAATTGTTCTTGCGCCAGACGTGGGCGCTGACCAAGAAGAACCTCATCATTATCGTGGTTCGTTGTTGGCTGTCGACGTCGATACGCGCCCTCATTCTGCCGATTCTTGTTCTCACATTACTCCTCGAGATCCCGAACTTGTCCAAAGACCCCAACAGATATGGAGTCGGTACGCCTGCTCCGGTTCAAAGCCTCGCAAGTTCTATGCATGGCTCCAAGAAGCTTGCCATTGTCGAATCGCCTGGACTGGGGCCCGACTTCCCTGAGGTGCTCAAGAGAATCACAGGTCCTCTTGATAGCAGCAAGGTGACACACCTTGATACCGAGGATCAGGTCCATGGCGGTTGTGTCGTGGACTTCTATGGTAACTCGCAATGCTACGCCGTTCTCATCTTCAACGACACGCCTCTCAGCGGCCGCATCAACGCTACCTGGAACTACACCATCAAGGCGGATCCGAGCCGCAGTAACGCGCCCTTCAATGTCTTCGACCGCAACAGCAATGTGCAGGGGTTCTATCTGCCCCTTCAGCTTGCCGTTGACAATGCCATCATCAACTCGACCGTCATCCCTGAAACCTATTCCTTCGCCTACGGAGACCAGGCAGAACACGACAGACAACAGAAGCGATCCTTCCAAGGCACCGCCATCTCTATATTTTCGTTTGTCTTCTTCGCCACCATGGCTCCAGTGGCCCATCATGTTGCCTGTGTAATGTCTTTGGAGCGGGAATCCGGCATAACCCAGCTCACGCATGCTATGTCAGGTGGTATATGTCAGACCTTATAACTACCAAAAATACTTCATTCTACAGCGAGTGGGGTCCCTCATCTTTTGACGGTCAATTTGGTCCAACAGTACATCCTGGGCACGTATTGCCAGTTATGTCATCACTTTTGACATCCTCTATCTGCCTCTGTGGATCATCCTGGGATCCGTCTTTTGGGCTCTACTTCTCACAACATCGTCGCCAGCAATCGCCATCTTCTGGCAAATCTTGACGGGTTGGGCTATCACCAGCGCCAGTGTGTTTTCTTCAGCATTTTTTAAGCGTTCCAACGCCGCTTCAATTGTGTTAACTGGCGTCTCTTTTCTCCTGGCCTGCCTCACTGCCTATCTGGAGAATGCGAAAGTCCAGCCTACTGTGGGCCAAGTTGCTAGTCTGGGTCTTCTCTTTCCCAGCATGAACTACGTATTCTTCTTCGACTTCATGGTCAAATCTGAACTGACTGAACGTCCTGCTAACTTAGCGAGTCCAATTCCGCCAACCGTTCTAAAGAAAGCGCTTGGCAGGAACCAGGGAACCAGCTGGGCCGGTGTATCAGGACCTTACTTCCTGTGGATTCTATTGGCATTTCAAATTGTGGGATATCCATTGCTCACTTTTCTGGTCGACAAATACCTCTACAGCAATAACCGGCGTCGAATAGTCTTCAACACCAGTTCCGAGGCTCAGAAGTCTCACGTGGCTATCAAGACCACAGAGCTTCGGAAAGACTACCTACCCTCGGCCTGGAAGCGGATCTTCTGTTGTGCGCGTAAGCCAGTGGTCAAAGCTGTCGATGGGCTCAGCCTGGTCAGTCAAAAGCGGCAGATCTTATGTCTCCTCGGCCCGAACGGTGCAGGCAAATCGACGTCGCTAGACATGGTAGCTGGCTTTCGGCCTGCCACCGGAGGCATGATAAATATCAACGCGTCTCCATCTGAGATGGGTGTCTGTCTGTCCCCAGAAGAATGTGCTGTGGGACAATTTGACGGTCTATGAGCACATTATCACTTGGAACCAGATCAAGGGCGGCGGTGACGATGCGGCGGCAGTAGAGAACCTGATCGAGAGATGCGATCTGACCTTGAAACGGAATAGTCTCGCCGGCACATTGAGCGGCGGGATGAAACGCAAAATACAGATGGCCTGTATGTTAGTGGGAGGCAGCACTGTTTGCCTCATGGACGAGGTGACTTCGGGGCTCGATCCTATATCTCGCCGAGTCATTTGGAACGTCATTCTGGGCGAAAGATCTCGGCGCACGATGGTTTTGACCACGCATTTCCTGGACGAGTGCGAGGTTCTTTCCGATCACATCATTATCATCTCACTTGGCAAGATGAAGTGTCAGGGTACTCCGGCCGAATTGAAGCAGAATTATGGCGGCAGCTACAGGGTTCACATACCCAAGTCGCATGATATGACTGGTGTCGATTACCCTGTCACAGACCACGGCGACAGCTTTACTGCTATTACCCCTGACTCCTCTTCCGCCGCGAAACTTCTTTCCTCGCTCGAAGACTCGAAAGACTCGGACATTTTTATCCCTGGGCCCACGGTCGAGGATGTTTTCTTGAAAGTTGTAAAGGAACCACATGCTCTCGACGACGACATGTCCGATTTGGACACGGTCCAAGGCCCCCCAAGCAAAGCCAGTACTACTAGCCCTAACGTTGCACCTACTCAGAGGGCCATCTTCTTCCGACAGGTAAAGGCATTGTTCATCAAGCGACTTCTTATCCTTAGAACGCAATGGTGGGTGTATCTCTTTGCTTTGGTTCTGCCCGTCGCCTTCTCTGGTGTCATTGGCGGTTTTCTTGACGACTATAAGCCTCTAGACTGCAAGGGAATTGTTGGCGAGCCAGACTACGTCACCTCTGTCTACATGTATAAAACCAAAGGCCTCGTTGCCGGGCCGCCCTCTGCAAATGACACGATCGTCAATACGGCGTTCGCTGCCTTGCCCGCCAGGTCCAGCCAGTACTTCAACTCCTACGGCAATACCACTCCGATTTTACAAGATAGTCACGAAAGCTTCTTGCAATATGTCAAAGATAATGTGCGGAATCTCACTTCTGGCGGCCTCTTCGTGGATAACGTGACGACGCCGCTCGTTGCCACTTACGAGGGCTATGGTGATGCGACCAACGGAATGGCACTGATGAATCTTGTCAACGTGGCACGGAGTGATGTCCCAATCCATCTCTCGTACGGCTTTATACGTTATTTGGCTTCTTACCAGTCTGGAAGCTCTTTATCATGGGTCATAGTAAGTGGGAACTGTTTTCCGCCTTGATGTCAAACATTAACCACCCTTCAGATCTTCTGTCTCCCTGCAGTCCTTGTACCCAGCATTCTTTGCGCTATATCCCACTTACGAGCGGCGGTCTCAGGTACGGGCACTTCAGTATTCCAATGGCGTTCGAGCGTTGCCGCTATGGTTTTCGCACCTACTATTCGACTCCATGTTCGTTTTAGTCATCAGCGTGCTCTGCACTGTCATGATTGCGCCAACAGGTCCATTCTGGGGCCTAGGGCATATGTGGCTAGTGTTCTTTCTGTACGGCATCGCTGCCACTCTGTTGGCTTACATCGTGTCTACGTTTTCGCGATCGCAATCAGCCGCTTTTATGTTTGCGATGCTCATCATGGGGGTCATGTACGTCGTGATACTTATGATCAGTATTATGGCGTCGATCCAAGGTGACCAGGTCGCGCAAGACGGAACGATTTTCGGTCTCGGTCTGATATTTCCCATTCAGAACGTGATGCGCGCTGCATCCCTGAATCTGAACCTGAACATTGTTCGGTGTCGAGAGGCGGAGGCGACCAACAATCCCGGTTCAATCTACACTTACGGCGGACCAATCCTGATTCTCATCATCCAGATAGTTGGCTTCTTCGGGCTAATCGTTTGGCTTGATAGCACGGCATTCGGTTTGTCCATGCCTAAAGCCTTTCAGCAGGACGAGGAGAAGAGCGCGAAGTCTGGCAGACCTGATGTCGACGCCGAAGCAACCCGTGTCGAGGCATCGAAAGACGACCTTTTGCGTGTCGTGCATGTGTCTAAAAGCTTTGGCCAGAGCACTGCAGTGAATGATGTTTCTCTCGGATTGTGATAAGGCGAGATCCTTGCCCTGCTGGGTCCCAATGGAGCCGGTACGTCCTCAGCCAAACTGACAACCCTCCGGGGATACGTACTTCGCTGACAAGGTTTGACAGGCAAAACCACCATCAACATGATCCGCGGCGAAATGCAGTCCAGCCGGGGCAGTATCTACCTGGAGGGCGTCGATGTCCAACAGAATCCTCGCCTCGCTCAGCGGCACCTGGGTGTCTGCCCACAATTCGATGCCCTAGATCTACTAACTGTTCGCGAGCATCTCACAATATACGCCCGCTGCAAGGGAATCTCGGACATAAAAGCGGACGTCGACTACATCATGTCCAAAGTCGGCATCTCAGCCCATCACAAGAAGCTCGCCGCCAAGCTCTCCGGCGGCAACAAGCGGAAGCTCTCCCTGGCCATCGCTCTGCTCGGAAACCCGCCCGTCTTGGTTCTCGACGAACCCAGCTCGGCGATGGACGCTGCATCTAAGCGGGTGCTGTGGAAGACACTCGAGGCTATTGCACCAGGTCGTAGCGTGCTCATCACTACGCATTCTATGGAAGAGGCAGATGCGCTCGCCACTAGGGCCGCTATCATCTCCAAGCGGCTCCTGGCTATCGGCACCACGCAGGAGCTGCGCAAGAGGCACAGTAATGAGTATCATGTCCATCTGATCCTCAAGTCTGCCCCGCTCTCCACTGCGGAAGAAATGCAGATGGTGGCATCCTGGGTCAGTAGCACGTTCCCCAACGTTCAATTTGAGGGCGAGAACCTTGGCGGTCAGGTCAGGTTTATCGTACAGGCTGACAGTCAAATTCCGTCCGAGTCCTCGGCACCAGAGGTCCGTGACGACGTGTCGCTCGTCTCACCTGTTTCTCCCGCTAGTGAAACGGGGGACGCGATCATGGCGGCAAGGCGGAGCAAGAGTTTCATCCGGTATCTGATTGAGACGTTGGAGGATCGGAAGGTCCATCTGCGGCTAGAGTGCTACTCTATTGGGGCCGCGACAATGGAGCGTGTGTTCCTCAGTGTCATCAAGGAGTGTGATGAGATTGAGGATGAGGATGAGAAGAAGTCGTGGTGGAGGTTTTGAAGGTGCGGCTTACGTAAGTGGGTGTAGACTGGTGTCTCATATTCTCGTGGCGTCGGATGTGTTCTTGATGGTTCATTAAAGATACCCTCTTAGTTAGTCGACTATAATACAATGAAGGACTGTTCGTGCGACTCGTTTACGCCATACGTTCGTAATGATATGTTAACATTTTACCGACAGCACACTCTTCTCCAGGGCAACCGCAGGAGATGCAACCGGATGCATATGTCATTATGTGATACGGGATCAGTAACGCAAAGCTGGTTATATTGCATTCAGACACACCATGCTCGCATCTTGGTTTGGTGTTAGTGAACTGTCAACGTGTACAAGGATGATCCTGGTGAGTCTGGTTGGCTCGGGAGGACAGGCGACATTACTGGATGACCTTCGCTGCGAAACTCCAAGTTCTATTCGCTAACTTTCTATCATAGATACCCAAACCCGTAAAAGAATAAAATAGACATAAAAGAGAAAAATAAAACGTAAAAATAACGTGTCTCGAGTTCCAATTCAATAATTGAATGATAGAGACAGGTCCGCACGGGGATCGAACCCGCAATCTCCTGATTCGTAGTCAGACGCCTTGCTAGAAAAGCTATTAGTAGGTTTTCAATGGAAGAAGGAAGTAGATTTGTGCGTACCCATTGGGCCAACGGACCGGTTTCCGTGAGAGATGTGACGGTAAAGTTATTATTTGATGCTTGGGATGGTCTAATGTGGGTTGCGGTGGGCCGGCCAGTCGTCCCCAGGCCTACTACGTGACTGAATTTGACTTCGTAAAGACACCGATAGATCTTGACGTGTGAATCTTGTGGCTGATTCTTCACTTAAAGCGTTGGAAATGGGTCAATGACGAACATGTTTAGGTGAGTCTGAGTAAAGTGATTTGCCACCAAGGGCCATGACCCCAATCCAACCCTATTGTCAACTGATCACATCTGGCCAATTATTATCAGGAATGGCACGGAGGGGATGCATGGCGGCATAGGGTTTATAGCATCCTCGCCAGGACCAAGTGATCAAGCAACGGAACGAACCAACTTCGGTAGCTGGGCTCACCCGCTGGAGTAGAAGGAAACCTCTTGGTTCTATGCAAAGACGTGCCATACTACCTAAGGCCGAGCCCTACCGAATCCATGCTTACTTCATTAAATCCACCGAAGCTCATTTGTCTAGACACTTACATCATGGACATTGACTAACACCAACCATTCATCGCTCGTTCTAAACTGACCGCTTAAGCGTATCTCTGCGTCCATTCCAGATTACAGGAAGCAATCCAGGATGCTTTAGAGTCACGAAACAATGCAAGCCCGGGGCCAGCAACAGGCATCTCTGAAACTGCTGGCATAGCGCTTGATGGTTATCTATTCCGACAGTCAAATACGTTACAATTTCTGACTGACGTAGATGATACTAATGCAATCCTGATGTTTCTTTCTGAACACTGTGGCACGTTCATGTTGTCATAGTGAAAAGGTGAGTAAATAGGCTTTCTCATGCGATCCTTACAAGATGATAATTCAGAGGTTTATGGAGGTGCTATGAGAAAGTGTTCAGACCATATGCATCAAGCTCGAGAGCTTTGATGCCAAGGGATATGACTCTCAGGGGCTACCTGACCTCTCTCATTGGATCTTGACATGTTGGTCGTTCTTCACATCAATGTGGTCAGCATTCCAGACGGCCTGGTTGTCTGAGTTCCTTTAGGCTTCTGCGCCAGGGGTAGTCAATGGAATCGTAACCCAACGTTGCCTACCATCCGAGTTGGGGTCCCCTGCCATCATCATCTCCAACCCAATGACGTTACCTTTGAGTCCTCTAGACCGGCAGTCTTTCGTCGAACTTGAAATCTTCCTCCAACTCAGTTCACCTTGCGTGCAGGACCTAAGTAAACGCTATAGGTGCGGTAACCACGAACCGCAGTTACTCGAAACCAAAGTGCAGTGTCAGGTTGAAATAGCTGATCACAGTCGTCTATGAAGTTGCGCTTTACTCCGTTTGAGGGTTGGATTGTGTTCAAATATCAGATCGATATTAGTCAAGTGATGCGAACCATTCTTAGTGAAACTATTCGGTTTCTCATCGTTTGCTATCAGTGCCGGAAATAAGGTAGAATTTCTAAAAGTCATGCTGGCTTCGCAGCTCACGTGTATGACGAGATCAAAGAAACCAGCCCCTGCACTGTCGTCAGCCAACAACACACAGCAAAGGAACCCCCGGCTCTTCAAGTCCCAACAGTCAACATCTTCTCCAGTGGGATTTGCGGCAGGAAAAGTCTCCGCAAGCTCTTCGGCAAATGCGAGACACTGGATGAATGGCGACACAGGCTTCTTATGCAGTTCACTTAACGCAGTTCTCGGCCTCGCGCGATGAATGAGGTTAATCCGGTGGCATTTCTTCATGGTGTATTGCTTTTTACCACATGCTGTACTAAAAAATGGACCATATGTGTTATCGGAGTGACGGCTCCGACAAGATGTAATTGAAACGGCCCAGGAGAACTGGGCATAGAAAGATGGCGTGCGGCCTAGAACAAAAAACACTGATATTTTCATTTGCACCCCAACAGAAACGTAGCCAACTGCCGTAGACAAGTGTCGTTTCTCAGATGGATGACTTCGTTATCGACCTAGGGTATTGTTCACACCCACCGCCTTCTCCACACCGTCAACCCGGATGTACACAGCTTTCTGCTCCAGCCAGTCATCCATGCTGTCAAGAAAACTCTCACGGCCGATACCACTCCCCTTATATCCACCAAAGGGCATATCCCACGCTCCCGTAGGGGAAGTGCAATTGACCCCCACCATCCCCGATTCTAAGCCCTTCGCAACCCTCAACGCCCGATTAATATCTGTCGTATAAACCGCAGCATACAGCCCAAACTCGGAATCATTCGCACATTTCAGGGCCTCCTGCTCCGTCTCGAAAGTGTTGATACATACCACGGGCCCAAAGATCTCCTCTTTCATGACCTTGGCGTCCTCGGGCTGCTGCAAGAATACCACGGGCCCCACGAATAAATCCCCATTCTCTTTTGGCATCGCCGCCCCTGTCGCCATCATCTGGCCCGTCTTCTTCCCCTCCTCCACATATCGCATAACCGTCTCGAACTGCGTTCTGTCAACCTGAGGCCCCGACATGGTCTCCATCAGCGCCGGGTCCCCCAACTTCCGCGCAGCCGCGAATCCGTTAAACGTCTGGATAAATTTCTCCGCGATCCCTTTCTGCACGTAGATGCGCGAGTTGGCCATGCAAGTCTGCCCGCTGTGCCACATAATGCTGTTCTGCGTCTCCTGGGCAGCACGCTCAAGATCCGCGTCGTCAAAGATGATGGCGGGCGACTTGCCGCCCAGCTCAAAGATCAGGTGCTTGAAATTTGAATCGGCCACCGCCTTCTGGATCGCACGCCCTGTCCGCACCGAGCCCGTGAAAGAGAGAGCGCGGATCTCCATGTGACTGCTTATGGCGGCGCCCGCGACATGGCCGTGGCCGTGGAGTACATTCACTACACCCGGGGGAAACCCGGCCTCGTTAAGCATCTTGGCGACCCGATCCGAGGTCAGCGGCGCCTTCTCGCTCGTCTTGATGAGCACGGTATTCCCCGCGGCGAGGGCGGGGGCCAGCTTCTTGCCGAAGAAGACGAGGGGTGCGTTCCAGGGGATGATAGCAGCGCATACCCCGTAGGGTTGACGCAACGACACGTTCATGAAGCCCGGGGTGTTGAGGCTTGATGTACCGACGGGATAGGCGGCCTCGGAGAAGTACCGAAATTGGCCGGCGGCGTAGTAGCCGTCGAAGTAGCTGCTGATCGGCCGGCCCAGAGATAAAGCGTCTAACTGGGCCAGCTCTGCGTCTGCGTCGGTAATCATCTGGGCAAGCTTGGCGAGGGATTTACCGCGCTGTTGGGGCGACATCGTGGACCAGGCTGGGAAGGCCGCTTTTGCGGCGGCGACGGCCTGGTCGACATCATCGACGGTTGCTTCAGAGACTGAAGACTCACCGTGTTAATAGGTCCGAGTACCCTGGTTGGGCCCTGGGAGGGAGGGCTTACCTTTGGCAACACATTCTCCCGAATAGGGAGAGAAGAGATCAAAGGTCTCGTCGTCACGCGAAGGCACGAACTAAGCAAACAAATGAGCGGGGGTTTCGGTCCGTCAGGTAGCATCCATTCAACATGGGTAACTCACCTTGCCGTTGATGAACTGCCTGACGTCAATAGGAGCCATGGCGACAGAGACCTCTTACCTTCTAGGGTCGTATATAGGACTAGGGTGAATTCGCAGAACGCGCTGTGTTGGTCAGCTTTGCAACTCTCCACTTAAGCTCGACTGAGGCCCAGCTCTCATTGCAACGGCATACCTTCAGACTGTAATAGGTCTTATGAAATGTGCTAAAGTTTCCTTGGTATAGTATCGAGTATCCCAAAGGTCAATTACTTGAGCCTCCACGAACTCAGCAGGGTCCCTCGTGTATGGTCCAATTTTCCGATGAAGCCACGAAATGTCTAGCGTCCAGATAGGAACAATTGGCTGCCCCGCCTTCACGGCGCTAAGTGATAGTCATATTTGTAGCAGTAGTGCTTCTACCACGCACGCCCGGTGACACGGGCATTTCTGGGACTGAAGGGGGGGGGGAGGGGGGGGGGTTTAGTTAGCTAGATAAGCAGAATAGCTCAATATCTTTCTGATTGCGGGGTGTCAAAACGTGAAGTTACGCTTGCAGGATCAGGAGACAAGCGAGCCGCCAACCAATTAAGAATCTCCGGCACGCATGATATGGTGTCATTTGACACGTTCTGAACCTAGCAACCACGAGATCCCGGGAGGATTGCGGCGCCGAAAACCGTGGTACTGGAAATTGAAATCAAATGAAAGCTGTTCCTCAGTTTCCAGCGCCCTGGTACTGGGAGAATTCAAATCCTGGTAGTGTACCGATTTACCCAAGGGGTCGGAATCCAATGAGACTTGCATACACGCGACAAGGAATTCTTCACCAACTTTGGTCTAGGCCTGTCATTTCGCCATTTTGGCCATTTACTAGTGGATTTATGTAGAAATCCGTTTATTGTCATTCCTTCGACTAGCGCATGTCCAGAATTCAGACACTGGCCTCTGCCTCGGCACGATCCAAACCGTGCTCTGCGACAAGCTTCTCTGCGGCGAGTTCCCCGACTACGTATGCCGTCGACTGGGGGTGATTGCTGCGATTTGTCAATCAGTATGGAACCAAAAGTCACTGCTCGAAACAAGTCTCAAAAACATACTTCAGTATGAAAGGGCAGACACTCATATCAGCAACCCGCAATTGTTTCAGCCCCATGACCTTGAACGAGGCATCGACACAAGCGTCCTCTGCGTCTTGACCCATTCGGACGGTCCCGCACATATGCCATGAACTGTATAGGTTGGATAAGAAGTATTCCTGTCATCGTCAGCTGTCGTCTTGTGAAATCCAATGCTCGACCTTACATACCCATATTGCTTTTCCGAATCATCGCGCGGCCGCCCCAAATTGCGCACAGTCTTCTGCTTCCAGACCGGGGCCTGCAAGTATCTCAACAACTCCCGCATGCTCTCGATTGCCGTCCGTCGGTCGAACGGATGGGTCAGCAACTTGGGGTCTATGATGGGTGCAGCTGCTGGGTCGGAGGACTTCAATGTGACTGTCCCCCTTGATTGCGGGTTCATCGCTATGCAAATGGCCGAGAAGATCTCCTCGTCGGTCTCTACTGGGGTGCCGTCGAAGAAGGGAGTATGCGTCGCCATCTCCCAATTCGGAATGTTTGGCTTTCGAAGATAGTTCTGCGTCGCGACCGGGAGCGCCTCGAATTCCTCCGATCCTAGGACCGCCGGGATCTGAAACCATCCCATCGGAGTTGGACTTTGTTTGAATGTCTTATCGTGCGTTTTCTTGATGACGATCCCGGCCGTCGAGAAACAGTGGTCCCGAAGGTTCTTACCAACTTGGGGCATATTATGCGCAGTGGTGATGCCGTGCTTTGACAGCTCATCTGAAGGCCCAATCCCGGAAAGGAGCAATATCTGCGGCGTATTGATGGCGCCGCCGGACAGAATGATTTCCTTTCTTGCGTTGAATTGACGACCGTCAGTCGTCTGCACACCAATGGCCGTCTGGCCTTCGATGATGACTTTGGCAACTTGAGCATGGGCTACAACGGTCAAGTTGGCGGGAGGGTTGGCGAGGTAAGCACTCGACGAAGAGACGCGAACGCCTTTGTAGAGGCTAACGGGCCCGATGCCTATACCGATAGGGCTGCCGTTGTTGACATCTTCATTGATCTTGTAACCGACTTCCTGAGCAGCCGCAAAGACGTCGTGTGTGGTTGGGAGCCAATCCTCCTGGTACGAGAGATCAACCGCCCCGCCGCCTGTTCCATGTTCTGTGCTCGAGTTAGCGGGCTGCCGTAAGTCGTCCCCAAATCCCTACAACCTTGATCTTTTGGTTTGATATACTGTTGAAACCCAGCTGGTACATCATTATGGAAGTTCTCGATTCTGCGAATGCATTGTTTGGCGTGATCCCAACCAAAGGTGTCATCGGCAACCATTCTGGCCCACTCATCGTAGTCTTCATCAGGGCCGACCGCCCACCCGCAAAAGTTAATGGCCGTGCTGCCGCCCAGCCCCTTTCCTCTGGAGTAGTCAAGTTCTCGGCCATGGCATTGCGGTTGCGTCTTGTATCCCCAGTTCAGAGGGGAGTCTTTCTGGAAGGCGAGCTCGAAGCGCGAAGCGCCCGTCACAGGCGCCGCGTCTTCGTTCAGTCCTCCAGCTTCGATCAGAACCACTGATGGCTTTGTCGAGGCTTCGGCCAGTCTTGATGCCACGACGCAGCCAGAGGCACCACCTTTCGTCGGGACTGGTTAGATGGCCCGAGTTCGGATATGGCGATGCAGAGGATTACGCACCTCCAACGACGATGAAATCATACTCATTTGCCATTCTAGGTCTCAGCAATCGACACTTGCGATTATTTACAGTGAAGATGGTCAAGGGCCGCTATGTATTGATGAGAATGCAATCGCAGACTCGAAGCCACAATACCATATAGCGGGTTGGCTTGCTAATAACCCCAATTAGAGCATATCACGTCAAGGGACTTTCGCCATTGGATTTGGCGTCGCCGAAGCGGGCGGGCACAAACCATCCTTGCACTATCTCACACCCCCAACTGTTAGCAAAGGCGCATCCCTTCTAGAAGCTCTTTGGTTGCAATGGTGGTGATGCACAGCTAGCGCATCGGGAGGGCCGTCCCGACGACTGCAAGCCATGGTGGCCGATCGCTTACAAGGGCTATCCCGGCTGCTGAAGAATGCCGGCAGCGGCCCAATGACAGGGATTATTACCTGTAGCTCGATTCTCTCAACCAGACTGGCTCTCCTGGACTGCACCTGAGAGGCACAACAGCTCGGAAAAGAGGAATGGTGGGGTTTCATCGGCGCTGTCGCGGCTGTACTTTCTTTTGAAACAGCTCTGCAATCAGGACAGATCATTTCGGCCGGGCCCGCTACCCATGCGTCGATTGTCCGCTCCTTACAGAAGCTAATGCATGTTGATTCCAGGGGCGAAGGAAGCTCTGACGGCAGCCACCGCTTATCATGAACTCGATGTTGTGCAGAAACCGAGGCCATTCATGAGCCAGGGCACAGCGCTATCGAAGACTTGCCCCGCCAGTCTCAAAACCATGGCTAGCACGTCCTGCAGCTATCCTGCAGATACACCATGCCATCCCGGCGTTATAATAATGTCCGGTCAGATGTTCATCGTACTGCTTGCACTTCACTACAGGCACGGTCATATCTCCAACTGAGCACTCAGTGATCCGTGATGAAGTGGCTAGATGGCGCAAGTTTTCATCTCACGGAGGAGAACGGGTTTCCTGGCTCGTCGTCGCGTTCATCTTCCCCTCCCTTGTAGCGTCCAGCGGTAGTTGTTCATCATGGGACTTTCGAGGCTCGTCAAGAAGCTCGAGGTCAAACCTACCGATGACGAGTACGAGTCCATCGAAACCAGTCGATGGGGTAACAAAGATGTCTACCCCATACCCCACGACAAGCGAACCTACGGCTGGTTGTCCTTCTATGCGTACTGGGGAACATGTGGTATTTCCCTGTCGTCTTGGACGATTGGAAGCAGTTTGATAGGCATTGGACTTACAGCAGGTCAGGCCTGTGGGGTTGTCGTATGTCCGCAACATTTTCATTGTGATTAGGGGCGTATTCCTCTTTCGCGGAACTGACGTTTAGACATCTAGGTAATCGGTTGCGTGCTTGCATCTATCAGCGCCTATCTGAATGGGGCACCCGGCGCACTGCATCATCTTGGATATGGTAGTCTCGCTAGAGCGGCCTTCGGTCTCTGGGGTTCGTGCTTTGTCGTCATGTTGAACGTCTTTCAAAGCTTCATCTTCTACGGTACCCAGATGTATTTCGGCGGCATGGCGTTCGTCCTGATCCTCAACTCCATCTTTCCGTCATTCCTGGCCATGGCAAACACGCTCCCCGAAAGCGCCGGCATCACCACCCCGCAGCTGATTGGGTTCGTGCTCTTCATCATTCTGTACTTCCCCATCATCTACTTCGTCCCGCCGCACCAAGTGCAGAAGTTCCTGGTCGCGAACCTGGTGGTGTCTAGTGCCACGTTGCTGGGAATCATGGGCTGGGCGGTCCACGCCAATGGAGGGGCAGGCGATCTGGTGTCACCCGCCGTCGAAGTTCCTCGTTCACAGGTCGGGTTCCTGATGGTCCAGGGCATTACCTCGATAGCAGGGACCTATACAGGCGGCTCAGACCGTGTTTCGGACTGGACGCGATACGCCAAACACCGACACGCGCCTACGCTAGCACAGCTCACGGCGCTCCCTCTCACCGTGACCCTGGTCGCGCTCATCGGCATCATCACCACCTCGGCGACGGCCCAGATGTTTGGCGAAGTCCAATGGAACCCGATGATCATGCTGCAGATTGTGCAAGCGCGGTACTACACGGCCGCTTGCCGCGCAGGGACGTGCCTTGCCGGCCTAGGACTTTTGTCCGTCACGGTCTTCATCAACTACACCCAGAATTGTGTAAGCTCGGGCATGGACGTGGCAATGCTCATTCCGCGGTTCGTCTCACGGAGAAGGGGATCCATCATATTCTCCATTCTGGGCGTGCTGGCCAACCCCTGGCGATTCCTTACCCAGGCCACTACCTTCATCACTGTGCTTAGCTCCTTTGGCGTATTTATGTCGCCTGCGGCATCGATTCTCCTCGTGGACTTTTGGTTGGTGCGCAAGACGAAATGGAACATTCCCGATCTGTATAGTCCGGATGGGATTTACTGGTTCTGGAACGGTCTCAACTGGCGGGCGTTCATTGCATATTTCCTCGGCATGGCTTGGGCACTCCCGGGATTTATTATGGCTGTGGGAGGACCGACTGTGGGCGACGGGTGGCACCACTTGTACCAGGTCTCCTTCTTCTTTGGGTATGCTGTGTCAGGAGGGTTGTTCTATCTACTCAACTTGTTCTTTCCACCCCCTAGGCTTGGTGAGCAGGTTGATTTTAAGCTGGTAGATGGGCTGGTTGTCATCGACCATGAGCGTGTCGCAGTTCTAGCGAGCCCGCATAGCTCTGACGACCCGAGGGTTGAGAAGCGGGCCGAGTCGGCGGATCAGGCGGTCTATATCAAAGGGTTGCGGTGTCTTTGACTCACATTGATGCCAACGTCCCAGTTTCGGGGTTCTTCATTCATTGACCATGAACTTGGCATCGGATGAACTCGTAATCCCGTACAGCTATCAAATAAACAAAATTTGGCAGTAAATAGGTATGGTCGAATGACGAGAAACTCGAACTCGGAAGATCGTGAGTGAGCTCTATCAGTTGTTACACGGTGTGTAACCTCAAGTATCCGCCCCACTGTAGTCACATTCTACAACATGACGACTGTTCACGGGGTATTAGTGAATACATGTTTCGAAGTACTCAAATTGGAACCTAATATACATAGACATGCTAAAGTGGTGTAAATGCGCTTCCTCTAAAGCCCAATGTGGCTGTAGGGCTGACTCGTGTTTGGCTATCTGTCCATGACGTCCTCGACTCCCTGGCCGCATCACCAAGCGCTGCGCAACAAAGCGCTATGGACTTGACATCACCACTATAACAACAACGTACATAATATATGGAAGACAATGCTCGCAAAATACTCCAATCCTTTTAACAACTTCGCAACTTCCATGGTATCTCAATCAGTATAATTCAATTTAAATCCTACGAAACATTGCTAGATCGCACTCATCATAATGGGCATCTCTCTCTCCACCGCGCGCTACCTAGCGCCACTCTCCTTCGCCGTCGACTTCGCCGCGCAGCAATATGGCATACTGAGTACCCCAAGCATGAAGGACGTCCACGACGCGAACCTTTCGTACTTCTCGCCGCAGCCCTACTTCATCGCCGGGTTTTTCTTCCCCCAGCAGATCTTCCAAGTCGTCTGGCTCTGGCGGCTGTGGAAGGCTAAGCCCGAAGACCTGAGGACCGATCGGTCGGTCGCGGAGATGGTGGATTTTGCGCCTTACTACGCCGTGGGGAATTTCTGCATTGCTAGTAAGAATTGAATTGATTATTAATTGTTCATGTGTTGATTGATTTGGGGGAAGAAGCAAGGAGCGCAAATGAGAGCGATCGAGTATGAGTGAGTGGCTGTGCTAATACTAGTGACAGCGTGGATGATATTCTGGAATCAGTCCGATCTGAAGACATCCAACATCTTCGTCGTCATCAACTCGTTGGCGCAGCTGTACTACATTTTTGGACGGCTGCAGCCCATGAATACAAAGTCATGGAACTCTATTCTGACGAACATTGTGTCCAAAACATTCGCCGGCATTGGGGTGTTAGATCTCTTGCATAACGGCTCTGTGGCGTATGCTGTTGGCCAACCGCCAAGCACAATGGTCAAAGTCCTCACTGGCCTGGGGTTCGGCGCGCTGGCCTCGGCAAGCGATTGGATTTTTGGCGGCTGTTTGGTTTACGATCTAGTCGCCTTGATGGTTGGGCAGCGGGCGTATGGAAACACCAGCTGGAGCAATCTTCTTGGTGCCTATGCTGCAGGTGCGGCTGCTATTGTCACCGCGAAGAACCTGGCCAGGTAGGAGATCTATTTCAACTTCTATCCATTGGCGATGCTGATCCAGTTTAGGTCGCCATATGTGAAGGATACCGAATATCAACCGCTGTGAAACATGAAACAATATATATTGGACCCCGTGATTTATATAGATGACTCCTGAATTTTTTTTTAAAAAAAGTAGCCAATCAAATCAACCTCGTTTTAAACATCCTTTATGCGCCTTTGACTCGGTACAACCTGCGCATTACAACTCGGGCCCGTATGCAACAACGCACTTCGGCCGTCTAGGAAGTTCCCAGGAAGAAATAGAACGTCCGTCCGTATGATTTCACCCTCGTAGCCCATTGACATGGAGAAGTCCCCTTTTCCATAAATTCATTATCCTTCTTGGGAAGTGCTTCAGGAAATATTCATCATGTGAGTGCATGACAAGAACATGTTCATGTGCATCTACCTGTTGGAATTTCTTAATCGACCCGATTATCAACGAAATATTGTGGTGAACCTGTGGAGCATTCGCTGGCTTTTCAGGCAGGTAAAATGGCTGTTGTCTGCCATTCCTAATATTATGCTCGACGTATCTCTTCGACCGACCGATTTTAGCACCGTTGTGGTAAAGGGATGAGGTGTGCTTGTGTCGGGCAACGGGTGCCAAGTGTGAGGCCGTAGCTCACCACCACGGTATACAGCATCACTGCCCATATGTATAAAATTGTCCGGGCTGCTAGTGACACGGGCGAAACCACATCTATGACCGATGGCATGGCCTGGCGCATCTAGGAAATAGAACGAGTCATTGCCAAAGTAGTCGGTGGCATTAAACATGGGGCAAAAGATTTAAATACCCTGCACAAACCATGTAAAGATCTATTTACCCTGCAATTTTTCTGCCGCTTTTCTCTCCACATTTCCGCCATGCTTTCTGACTTCATGCCTCTGGAATTAGCATACGACTACTATTCCTCAGCTCAACATGACGTCGCTACCCCTATTATCTATTCCTATTGATGGACAAGAGTTCCTTGACCTTGATACTCTATCGCTTGCCCTCGACAACTGGGCTGTAAAGGAGAAATTCTCTTATCGGGTTGAGCGGCGAGATAAGACCCGTGGCTCCTGGGTGTGTGCCTCTGCGTTAAGCGGCTGTTTATGGCGCTGCCGAGCAACCTATTCTTCCCCTAGTGAGGATATCTGGCAGATTCATATTCTAGCTACAGGGGCGTGGTGCTGTCATCATATTAAGGAGAATTTCACGGGAAAGTTTGGGAGAGGGCTTGCCTCTTTATTTTGGACTATCGCCCGAGCACCAACTCTAGCCCAATACGAGGCAGCTTTAGAGAAGCTTCGACAACAAAAGCCCGAAGCTGCGGCATATCTAGAGGCGGCAAACCCTTCGCTTTGGGCCGAGGCGCTATTCTCTGGGCGTCGATATGGCCACGACACAAGTAATATCGTCGAGTCGCAAAACGGAGTATTAAAGCTTGATCGGGAACTTCCAATTATTGCTCTCCTCGACTCAATATGGCACCGGGTTATGGAGAAGAGGGCAGCTCGGCTTCAATCTGCTTTACGGTTGATAGAGGCAGGGAAGACAGCTACCCCATTCGTTGAAGGGAAATTACGAGAAGGGAGGCAATGGGCGTCTAGTAATCGTGCTCAGTTTTCGTCACCAACGGAAGCAAGAGTAGTACAGCCCGACGGCCTTATTTGCATTGTAAATTTGACAGCAGGGACATGTTCATGCCGTCGGTATCAAAGGAATGGAATCCCTTGCGGGCGTGCCATTACCATAGTACTAGCAGGAGGGGACGGTATAACCCCTTATCTACCAGAATCTCTCTCTCCGACAGTTTGGGCTGCCACGTATAGTAGCCCGATGCCAGCTATCAACGTCTCTGAGCTCAAGCTCAAGCCAGAGGACCCTTGTAACCCTCCAATTACTAGAGTACCTCGAGGACGCCCTGTCAAAGAGAGGATTCGAAAGGGGGATTCTCGCCGCCCTCCACAGAGCTCACAATCGCGATGCTCTAGTTGTGGTGAGACTGGACATAATATGAGAAGGTGCCGACGCCCCCATGGATAGCTTGATAGGCCTGATCGGTGGGTCTGGTGGATTGGGAAGGCGGTGGGAGGTCTGGGAAATTGCAGGGTAAATAGATCTTTACAGGGCTTGTGCAGGGTATTTAAATCTTTTGCCCTTAAACCTGTCGATCTTCAACCCAGTCTCCGTAAAGTCCAATTCTCTCACTTCCCTGGCTCAAAAACCAGACTTGAGAAACGTTGCATGTGGGACTGACGAATATCCCCGGGAACATGGAGGTTTTGGTCCCCGGCCCCACGATTAAAGCCCGTACTCGGCGCGAACGTCAACGGATCCCCAATATGATCAAAGTGCCAATGTGACCAGACCACCGCCTCGATCAACTTGGTTTCTGCGCGGCCCTCGCAACAAATCTCTCTCACTTATTTTGGGACCTTTATCGAGTAGCCCCTGCGCTCGAAGCGTGGTGTGTGTGTGTGTGTGTGTGAGGAAAGTTGCACCATTCCTTCTGTGATTCCCAGGTCAAACACCAGCGAACGATCGAGCTTGTGGTGTTCAATTTGGGAAGAGCCGACATTTTCAGGACTATGAAGTCAATGGGTTTTGTATGATACGTCTAGAGTTGTTGCCTTTGTTGAAAACCTGTGTGCAACGCTTGGTCGTAAAGCAGTCGCGGAATGGGCATTGCCAACCATTCGATACCGACGCCCATCATGTTACATTACATTATTGCTATCCGTCAACAGTCGTTGTCCCAATCAGTGGATCTTCCGGCGAATACGAGTGTCTACTTCTGTTGGCGGACGACTCCAGATAAGGCGCACCCCTAGTGGATTCCCCCATCTCAACTTCCATCCTGGTGTTGTGCTGGTTGGTGCCTTGTGACTCTGCACAGTGTCGAGCATGTACATGGCGTGCTTCTTTACGAAGCGCCGCGATTTCGATGGAGATTCCCGTGTTATACCAGGGCTTACTTAATGTGGGAACTTCTTTGGTCGACTCGGGAAATGCATACATAGCGCGCATATGTCGGATGCACAGCTCCGAAATAGGCAGACGGCCTGCAGGCGACATGTGATGAAATCTGCCTGAAGCATCCGCGTTGAAAGTGCGATTTTCTTCGCAAGCATGAAGCAACCAATACTTCCGACGACGATTGCTCGGTTTGTATGAACTTGGGCAAGGTAAGGAAAAAGCCATCTATGTAACTTCCAGACCATACTCACTCGGCTTAATGTTTCATGGTGTCGCAAACGGTCACACATCTTCGACTGGCGGAAGACGAAAGGCGGAGGCTGATATTTTGATCGCGCAGACATCGACGTATCTCTCGTTCTACGAGACACGTGGCGTTGGTTTCATTCGCAAGCGTGTTCCGCAGAAATGACCGAAGGAAATGGTATCAGATTCCTGCTAGCAGGTAGTGACTCAGCTATAGTGGAGGTGAATATCTCTGGAACAAAATGCAATATTCCCCGAATAGATCCTTGGGAAATCGTTAATCATTGGTAAGCCCCACTCATGGAATCCATTCCATCGGGAACTTGTGGCATTCCTGGCCACAACTGATACTGACCCATGTCCGCCGCCTGTTGTATGTTCGTCCCCATGATAGATGGCGCCGTGGGATCCATTACGAGGTCGAATGGTGGGGTCGATGCTACATTGCCGGTCATTTGCCCCAACATGTAGGAAAAGTCCGCGCCCATCCCTTGACCCCAGTGTCCCGACAGATTTGCGAAGCTTTCTTGAACAGGAGGCTCCAGGCTTACGGGGTTTCGGGGTTCGTGTTTCCCTTGGGCAATAAGATCAAGGATGGTTCTTTTGATGCGTTCAAATACATCTCGGTACTTGCGCGCCGATGGGTAGCGCTCAGTAACGATATACAACAACAGTTGACAGTCTGTGAGTGAATTTTCGACACTCAGGTAGTGGGGGGGCGCTAGCCACGCGCAGTATATCAAGGTCAAGCCTGTGTGGCACATCAGCGGTTGATTCACGTTCACGGAGAGAGGTCAGAACGGTCAAGTCTTACCAGCCAGGAAAACCGACTGAATACTCAATGCTGAAAACCCAACAGGGAAGACTTGATGCAGACTTCGGTAGTCAGTGATGATGCCGGAACAGGCATCGGCACAGAGCCTCAAGTATTGCATGTTAATAGGGTTTTCGTCAAGTTGCGGATAAAGGAGGAACCGAACACAGCGGTGGTAGTGAATGGTGTAAAATTCGAGACCATCGTATGCCGTGTTCGGTTTGTGAACAAAGTTGCGGGCTTCGAGAGGTATGGCATTTTTCCAGTTGTCGAGTCGATCCAGGAATGCGTTCACGATAACATCAGGAATTTTGCTCGGTTGATCCACTCGATAAACCACATGCTGGATTTCGGACTCGATCCTCTTAAGTCTCAGTCGATGAATGAACGAGGTCAATGAGTTTGACGGGGTCGTTGGAATGTTCATTACGTGTGATGATGCTTGGCGGACATATTCGTCGCTATTCGTATCCTCACTGATGTCCAACGGCAAGTCTGTGTCGATGTCGTGATCAGAAATACCTGGCGGTCTCCCAATAGCGATGGATATGTCACGATCCAAAAAGTACGCTGTCCAAAAACGCCGCTTGCTCATTTCGCCTTGAACACTCGGCATTTGTCGTCTCGTTCGGCGGTGTAGGCCCAATTCTATGCACAAACGCATGGCGGATCCGACATATGTCCAGGCACCTGGATCGCGAGGAGCTCTCGTGCAATACAGAGCCATCAGTAAAAGATAGTCGACCGTCCGCGAATCCCGCAGCGGAAGTATATCATCCATGAATTGAAACGCAACATCGTAATGCTGGTCACTAAAGAAGTGTCCCATTTCACCAGCAGATTCGAGCCATCGGCCAGCGACAGCGTAGACCAGATGGAGAATGCCTTGATCATAGGGATCTGTTAGATTATCACGGTTATTATGAAGCTCGAGCACATGGGCGGAGTGCAAAACGGGATAACGCGTTGCGATATGTCTGAACCAACCCTCGAGGAGTCTGTTGGCGACACTTGGGGTCATGAAGGGTGCGCCGAGCACTTCGCCCATTCCAGTCGAGTATACCGATTTGGGAGCTGGATCATCCTCGTCGCGTGTGGGGTCGTCGCTCGTGATGAGGCGCCGGCCCCTTTGGCTATGAACCATGGAGCTCAGGACTCGCCCGATGGTGATATTCGATGAAGCACCGACGTAGTGGCCAGAAGCAGAAAGGGAGAGGTCTCGAACGGCAAGAAGGATGTCATTGCCGTCATCTTCAGCGTCTTGGCAAGCTTGAAGGGAACTTAGACTAGGCGGAGTGGTGGAGATGGTCTGCTGTGAGGATGATGAGGATAAAGCGGCTATGCTACCTCTCAGATGATCATTGCCAGAGCCCAGGTGACCCAGAGAGGCGAGCACCGACTCGAGCTCGGCAACTCGTTGCTCGAGAGCCTTGATGTATAACTTCTTTTCGCCCGCAGCGGGTACGAGAGGGACGATATATACTTTTATCAACGGTGTTAGGTGGCTAGGGGCAAGAGGGGACAGGGTGAGGTGCCTACTCACCACATTTCAGGGACAGTCTAGCACAAGACTGACAGCTCGGACGCTGACCATCGCACTATTTCTTGCGTCAGCGAGATGGAGCAGCATTGAGATCCCAAGGCGTCGGCAAGGTCTACTTTGGCCTAGGGATGGTCATACCTTCTGCTTCCTCGTCTTGCATCTCTGACAAGCTAGTGCAACACGATCACGTTTCCCGGCTTTGCGCTGCGCCGTCGTCGGCTGTTCCGGGACGGGCTGGTTCGGCAATATGGCTGGTCCCGCGACGTCAATCGTCTCCGGTGAAGACCCGATGCCTTCCATGTTGCGAGTCATGAAGAACGGGGGTTTGACGGAGCGGCTGCGCCGAGTGGCAGGGATGATATACGGTTCTGCTTGCCGACTTTGATGTGGTCGATGCTGTGAAACCAGACGTTCGGATCGGGTACGACCCCGCGGATCCGCGCCGATAGCTAATGAGGTTAGAACAATCACACCGGCCTGAGTCTGATTGCAGCAGAATTCGATAAGCCTCGTGTTAGGACCACGGCTCACAGGTCACACGATGATTCGATTATCCCATCAGGTCTGGCTATAGCCGGTGCGGGTCTGCCGAAGCTGCCAAAGTCGTGATCCTCGTGGACGAGCCGTCGCTAGGCGGCATGGAACAGTCTGGAGGGATCGGATTTGCCGCGCCGCTTTCGCTCCACCAAGCGCGTATGATTACCTACAAGTTTTCTTTGCCGCTCTTTTTCGCACGGCGGGACCATCTAATAATGGTTCGCCAGCCAGCGTGGGAAGGGTGTATTACGCCCTTCGATTGGTTCTTGGGGCAAATGCCGCCGGAGCTCGTAGAAATTCCGTTCAGATTTCAAGTCGGTATCCGGAAATAAGAATGTGCCAACAAATGCCGGCAAATGGACAATTGACCCTGCACGCGTTTGCTTCTCCTGGTATTGTGAAAAATATCGTCGTCCAAGATTGGAAGCATGCGATTTGATAGACATGAGCGAGAGGAGACGTGAGCAAAAAGGTGACCTGGCAGTGCCAAGCCCGTTTGAGACTGGCATACGAGGTTCTCTGCCTCCAATTGGGTCGTGAGCGTCGCACTTCCTAGACCGACCGATCTCCTCACCTTACACGGAACACCTAGGGGCCGTTGTAGCAATTTGAACACCACCATAATATCAACATCATTCTTGGTTGCAAGAATGCATCAAGCAGATACGGTATGAAAGGCTTGCATTCGCTCCATACCACCACATCAGTACGGGGTAGTTGACTGACTTGACGGGACTTAAAGATGCTGTGCAACTGCAATTTGTCGATCTAAATAAAATCCGACGCCGACATTGTGGTCAATCAATCAAAGCACTACCCGTGCCACATCCCGCTTATTTCGGACTCGCTTGAGCTCATCAACATAAGTGGTGCTTACCACCAAATGGGCCAATTTTTTGATGGATTTCAACCATCAATTAGAACCTACGTAATCACCGCTAACCAAGGCCTATCTCGAAGACATCGGTAAGCTTTAATCGGCCTACTAATCGACGTCTTCTAGCTTCTTTCGCGGTATTAAAACAGGACTTTTTAGCTGCTCTGCATAGTCCTTTGTAATGTTTATTAAGAACTCTCTAACCAGCACCACGACCTTCGTCTAATCAGACCAGCAGGTGGGATCTGTTGGGGCTGGAGCCATCTTTTCAGTGTGTTATGTGGTGGGTATATCATACTTGTAAGGGTCAAGGGTAATGTCGATGCAATTAGCCTAGCCTACTCTACGAGTACTATCCATCTATGAAGAGAAAAACATTAGACACATTCAGTGTGGTGAACCCTTCTCCCTTTTATCCTTCTGTCCTCCCGTCTCGTCGTTTCAGGAATCTTCGAGGAGTGAAACTTACTCAGAGATTTCCGTGGGTCCAAGTGCTGTAGGAGTGAAGCTTATTCAGAGCTTTCCGTGGGTCCAAGTGCTGTCGGAGTGAAGCTTATTCAGATATTTCCGTTGGTCTTTCTGGCCGAAGGCGTCGCAGAGGCCACATACCGGTCATAGACCGTGACAAACTGACCGCCTGAACCCGTTTCAATATCTTCGATAATGATGAGGAACTCTAGCTTAGATATATTAGTACATCTATCCCGTAATAACTGATCGAGATTCTTCGTATACTAGTACTTATATAGCTGAAAAACAACCATACCCAGTAGCTGTAAGATATAAGTAAGGTAGGGGTTAAGCCGAAGGGTAGAATGTCGTGATATTACAGTACTAGATAAACTGCTTCGCATAGTAGCTACTGTAGCCGTCCAATCTTAATAGTCGCTTTCGACCTTTCTACGTTTTCTGTAACGGGTATATCACACGTCTTACAATAATAGTCAGATAGTGCAAAGAGCGTCTATGATGCGCCAACGTTATGGGTGCGTACAGTGCAAGACTAATTCTTGAGGAATCTAGGTTAGGTGGGAGCGTCTCGGGTGGTTCCAGAGTTCAGCCGGATCGGAGGCGAAACCGTGCCGACTTAGCTTGTCAGCTGAGACCAGCCCGCCATGCCAGTCTTGCAATATACGCACCCATAACACTGGCGTATTACAGAGGCTCTTTGCACAACCTGACTATTATCGTGAGACGTGTGGTGTCCCCGTTGCAATTCCCTTTTCCCGGAGGACTCTCTTGTTACGAACCGTTGGCCCTGAACCAACATTACAGGCCCGTCGGCAGGCCAGGTGGATACAGACGCTAGGATTACGGGACCCCGCATCGGAGGAAGGAAAGGACCGATAGGTCACGTGACCTACAGGGGTGGATATGTTGGTTGTCCAACATATCCAAGTGGGGATCAGTGAAGGAGAGATGGGTATATTGTCAGGGTACGGCTAGGCCGAAGGCAATAGTACAGAGTGATGGGGAGTAACGGGCGTCCCTCCTACGTAGCACCGGGTGGTCACTGGCGGTCTCAGGTAGGGGTGCCCACGGTGATGCATTGATCTCTGCTCCTTCCCTATCCTACTTCGAGATGGTCCTTATATAGATAGCTAGGCCGCCGCTTGGACCCGGCATAACAGCAGGGTCGGCGATGCCAAGGATCTTGACTCTCGTCATCCCAAAGCTTCACATAGATTGTAATCATGACTCGGGAGTCTTTTGTCCGAAACACCCCTCCGGCGCCCCACCGGTGTCTTGCGTTCAGTGTCCTGACACCCACTGGTGTCAGATAGGGCACCTGGTTCCTAGGTTCAGAAATAATATGGCACTAGAGAAGACTATTGTCACTTGAAGTTCAGAAGGCGAAAGGAACCCCTCTTCTCAAAAGTAACACCAAAGTTACCGACATGTTCTAAAGCATCTATAAAAGGCAGAGCAACGAGAGTTCGCGAGAACAGAAGTGTCAGAGCCACAAGTGTCATCCGAGGCGGGCCGGCTTCCACCAGGAAGGAAGTCGTTTGTGGCGAATGAGGAGCCGGGAGGCCGTTTGTGGCGGCTAGAGAGCCGCTTGTGGCGAATGAGAGCTGTTGAAGCCGTTTGCAGCGGATAGGGAATCGCTTGGTTGCAGATAAAGAGCCGCTATCCAAGATGTTGGCCGAAGTCGAAGGAACACAGACATGCGGAAGCAAACATCCAGAATCCAACAGAGAACCTCGGCTGGCTATAAGTAAGGAGTCGAGACGGAGGAAGATAGAGAGGGGAGAGATGAATGAACTACTGTGGACACCCCTACCTGCCATCACCAAGTGACCACCAGTGAACACCAGGTGACCACCAGGGGGACACGCCTATTTCTCCCCTTCACTCTGTACTATCGCCTTCGGTCCAGGCCGTACCCTGACAAGAAGACAGACAGACAAGAACACACCTCATTTATATACAATCTTACGCACTGCTGACTACTCGATTGGACACACGTGATATTCGACAACTGGTGCCTATGGCATTCTGTTCTCTGACATATATAAGGGACAGGACTCCCAGGCATTTCATAGATAGACAGTCTCTACTTCAGTGATCAATCTAAGCATCAATCTAACCCATTGGTGAGGCAAACTGCCTTAACGACTCTACTCCCGATTACCCTACTTGAATACTTCAGTTACCCAAAGCACTCTACTCCATACGTCAAACCCCGATGTTATTGCTTGAGGACTCCGCAGTAGGACTTACTTACTAGCACAAACCCTTACAGACTCTTTAGTGGTTTACGTAGCTAGACTATTAGAGGTTTCGTTACATCTCTTAAGCCGCGTAAAATTCTCTCACATAGTATCGAGGTTTTCAACAGTCTAGCGGTCTAAATAGAGCTTCCGCTAGGAAGCGTGTAGTCAGTCTAGTTTATTCCGACTATTAGTAGTAGCTAATCTAGTAGAACCCTTACCGTCTCACGTAATATCGTATTTACAGCGTTAGTAACAAAATCTACGCGAATCGTAGGATTAATCCTTTTAAGGCGGTCGATGTGAAGGTCAACCCTCGCAGACTCACTACAACCAGGTGACTTACAGCTGGAACACCTGCCATGGCAGTGCTAGATGGGAAGCCAATCATAACCCCTGCAGGAGCCCCGCCAAGCGTGAACGACTTAGTCGCGCTCCCTCAAACCTAAGTTTGTGATCTTCTTTCCTTCGCTCCTTAGAGTAGAATCTTCGTCGATAGCACCTAATCGAGGTCTCTACCAATGCGATGCAACCCAGGTCGTGACAGTCAATATAATTATAGAGGGCCTTTTCTTCGGCTTCAGATAGCAGTTTATGAAGTCCTCCTTAATTTTTAGTCTTTCCGACTTACTTAACGCGGTATCAGAGGGTCTCGCGTTTTACGCCGCTTTCTCGCGTAATCTTAGTGATACGTGACACCATGGTGGGTTACCCGGTAGCTATAGATAAAATAGATAAGATAAGAGCTATAAAAGAGCTCTGCCAGGCCAGAATAGCTGACCTGGCCATCCTTTTCAATACAACAATTCACACCCCATATGCACTCGCATCACTTAGCAATTTTTGCTTAAGGATGCTCTTATATATAGAGGACGGCTTTCTGTAAGTATGAGTCCATTGCGATTAGAAAAAGCTAATGAATTGATAAAGATAGGATAGGTTAAAGTTGAAAGTAGTGAAAAACTGGCCAAGTTGTTGATCTCACCAATTTGGTGGTAAGCACTAACTTATGTTGGTGAGCTCAAGCGAGTGCGAAATAAGTGGGGTGTTGCACTGGTAAGTCTTTCCATCCCGTACCCGTTGCCGAATGCATGTACTACGAACGGGTGTACTTAATACGATAACCCCACTATGGGTTGTGGGACCTTCAAGTTAATATGTATAGTACTTCGGAATCGCACTTTTACAGTTAGACTTCATCCTCATTCCAACCTACATTCTGACCCCTACATCTACATGACAATTGCAGTTCGGTCCAGGTGATTGGACGTCAGGAAAATGAAGAACCAAGGAGATTTTCCCTACCATAGCTGCAAATCTTTGACACATCTGCATACTATTCAACAAACTTCCTCGGGTCATCATCCCTCCAAACAAAATAGTCCTTATTTAACTGTCGTCTATCCAATGCTTGGCCGAGGTTGAGAAGTTCGCTTTGCTATTTCTTCCATACCTTATTCAATTGTGAACCTCGGCACTCATCAAACGTTGTCCGTGTGACATTCGTCCAGATGCGTCCTAGCGTCTGGTCCCTCTCATCGGCACCACGTTCCCGTTAGTGTCCTATTACAACTTGTGCGCGAAGCGGAACTACTATGCAAACGGTCTCGCCGCTCGGCTGGCCTGTCCTATGCAGATGCCATTACTGACAGTCCCATGACGAATCATTGTTCCGTTAGGAGCAGCGGCCAGAGGCCAAATCCGGCAGAACGACCGCATCTGGCTTCTCGATTTCCGTGCTTTAAAACGTTCACCCTATCAAATACCCACACACTGGCGCAGGACGCAGAGAATCCACTGCGGCATCCATGTCTCATTGTATCTGCTTCAAATACCGAGGTTTTGTGTTTTTGCAATTGCTGTTGTCGATCCACGACACACGAGACTGGTGAAATCCATCTGGCGGGTTCTATAACAGATCCGCCGGCGGTTCTAGTCAGATCTTTCGTTCTCATATACTTCAGGACAAGCCCATTCCTTTGTCAGCTCAAGTCATTCTTCAGTCAACCCTCCTAGCCATATCAATCGGTAATGCGTATCCAGCTAAAAAGATGGATACTTTCGACAAGCCTCCCGCTATCGCTATACTCGGTGCTGGCATTGCAGGTCTGGGTCTTGCCATCGGCCTAATCAAGCGCGGAGTGCCGGTGGTGATATACGAGGCAGCCCCTGCCTTCTCTGTGCTTGGTGCTGGAATTGGCTTTGGACCCAACACCTTGAACGCCATAGACCTCATCGACCCGCGATTCCGCGAGGAGTACAACAGGGCCAAAACCTCAAATGAGAAAGCAGAATTCGAGCACAGTGTCTTTGATGCCCTCTATGCGGAGGAGGGGTTCGGTGAGAAAAGAGGGTGGACCCGTGGTCTCATTGGCGCACCTTACTTCACAAGAAGCAGTGCCCACCGGAAGGATCTCCTCGACATTATGAAGAGCTTCATACCCAAGGGCACCGTCAAATTCGGCAAACGTGCGGAGTCGATTGAGCAGGTTGGGAGGAAAGCTGTCGTCACCTTTCGAGACGGGGAAGTGCTGGAAGTTGACGCCGTCATTGGCTGCGACGGAGTTAAGGGCATTACAAGACGAGTCGTATTGCGAGACATCGCGCCCGAAGAAATCCCACCGACATATTCAGGCATGTACACCTACCGTGGCGTAATCCCAATGGAAAAAACGAAAGAAATCCTCGGAAAGCACGCAGGAGACGCCAAATGGTTTATGATGAAGGAAAAGGGCATTGCCATATATCCCATCTCCAAGGGCAAAGAGGAGAATTTTGTTTTCTTCGTGGCAGATCACGACAAGTGGACCCATGGAGACTGCCCTGTGCCTTGCACGAAAGAGGAGATGCTCGAAGACCTGGACAACTTCGACCCCCGGTTGCTGAAACTACTCGACTGGGCGAAGCCCCTCAAATGGCCGACTTGGCATCACCCAAAGACCTCTACATACTACAAGGGGCAAATATGTATGCTAGGAGACGTTGCCCACGCCTCCAGCCCACACCAAGCTGCGGGGGCTGGCCAGGGACTGGAAGATGTTGCAGTACTTGCCCACCTGCTGCCCTTGGTCAAATCCCCAGATCAATTCGAGCTGGCGTTCCAAGTGTACGACTCAATCCGGCGACCAAGGGCCCAAAAGGTGGTAACGACGAGTTACGAAGCTGGTATCATGTACACTTGGCGTAATCCCGAGATCGGTGACGACATGAACAAGATCGTCGAGAATGCGAACCAGAGGCTACACTGGATCTGGCAACACGATATCAGGACCGACCTCACGAAGGCCGAGGACGGCTTTTCTCGGTTAGTGGCGGCCAGGCAGAACGGGGGACTTCCGATTAATAACGACATGAAGACTATGTCGGTAGTGGAAACCAAGGAGTTGGCAACTTCGATTGCCTGACTGGAGTAAAATGAGCACTACGAAGATATGACCCCATTGACATTATTGCATATGCTCTGTTTCTGTACCAAGAGATTCCAAGCAGCTCATGTGGAAGGTTTATGCGATGAATATGACATGATGAACATTTCGCGAGGCGAATTCATGCCGTACAAAGGCACTTGGATGACACAGGGCATAACTACGTACCTTACGTTAGTTTAGTACACAGGAATATCGGCTATCCCACATTATTCTCCTCTTCCGTGGCTAGTGTAATTTTGTGTGCACTTGATAGGAGTTATAAAGAACACATGGGCTTACTATTTTGGCATCCAGTCCACAAATTATTGACGACAACGGTATTTTAAGCCAACGCAGTGGTAAACCCATACCGATTCTTTATATACTAATGTTCTTCCAATAGTGAGCCAAAACCCTGAACCTTGTCTAAAATACCATTAGCACGATATGCATGCCAAACAGTGGCCGTATTGATGGCGATGACGGGCTTCCCGAGCTCCTTTTCCATCTCAGCGGCTGCCCTCGCGGCAGGCAGATTCGTGCCAGCTTGCATCAGTGCGTCCACATCAGGAGCGTTCACTTTTCTGAACGCCTCTTTGATTATCTCCGGATCGACCTCAGCAATGGACGTCGCTGTCTCGCAGCGCAAACCGTAGATCATGTGGACTTCGTACCCGATTTGAGTAAAGAAGTCGACAACCTGGGAGACACAGATCAGTCATGCGCCACGACAGTATGAGAGAAAGCAAGCCCGCGCGCCTCACCTGTTGGTCGCCAACGGCCTGATACGGGGTTATGATGCCAATCTTCTTGGCGTTATAACAGTCCAGGGCAGCCTTTGCAGCTTGGGCTCCAGTTGTTACCCCCAAACTGCCTGATTTCTCCATCATGAAGTCTTCGAACTGTTTTGCGCCATCTTTACCACCCCAGAACGTCTCGGCACTCATTCCCATTACAATGTACGTAGGTAAACACATGCGCACACGATTGACAGCACCTCCAATAGTGTCCCGCAATTGCTTGAGGAACGCTATCATGGTGGCATCGTTCTTCAGCGACGGATTCGAAATCTCGATGCGTCCGGTATGCCATGAAACGCCAGGGACTAGCATCCAACCAAACTCGGCTTCAACAACTGTGTTCGTCGCTGGCCTGAAACAACATATCAGTGCCGATGGAGTGATATTCGCTGCAACGCCGTGAGCTGACTTACACGATGAGTCCGAACCGAGCACGTGGGGAAACATAGCTGACTGGGGCTTGGGTTGCGATCGCCATCTTGGCGCCTGACGGGCACAATCTGGATTTACAAGTTCAATTTCCTGACGACCATCGAAAATAATGTCCACGTCTTTAATGTTCGGACAACTCTGCCTACCTTGTGTTTCAAACTGAACTCCAGCGTATCGCATCTATGGGCTTGTGTAAGGAGCTGTTTCTGCGGCGGAAGCCTGATCACAGAAAACGACCCCGCATGCTAGTTTGGATTGTTTCTAGAACACCCAGCACTAGGGTGTGCACCACGGGCTTGGGGAGCTTCTAGTAGCATGCGCAGCAGCCAGTGCTGCATTGCAACCACACCTGCATGCCCGCCAGCCAATTACAATGGTGCATACATACGTCCCTGAGTTTCGCATTGAGGTGCTGACATGCATCCCACGTGCGGGAACACGTGTTCGAGGCAACGATCCTACCATACCAAACTTTGTGTTACCATCCATGGTGCATGGATGGCTGCCATGTGGTCGAAAAATGCGGAATAGTGTGCGGACTTCTATGTGGATGCACGGCGCATTCCCGCATCCTAACTTCTGTAGCGGGGATAGTCAGACAGGGCAAAGAGTCAGTGATGATGTGCCAATAATACGGGTGCGTATACTGCAAGACGGTTTCTTGAGGAATCTCGAATGGAGGCGACGGAGCTCCTCTACTCATGTCGAGGCGCTATTTGGGGGCGGAAACAACCCGCCCCCCGGCCCGACATAGTTTGACCCGCTGTAACGGCTCTACTTCAGAACAACTGCGCAGTCACCACGACACTTTAAATAGGACTATCTTAGCCAATTCACGCTCCCAGGGATAAGTATAATTAACCTTTTATTTAGGAATAGTTACACCAGCCTTGCGCATTTTTAACCGCCGAGCCGCGTTTCATAGGTTATAGTAATAAACCTCGAGTCGCTTACGAGCGTCGTCTAATGAGAACAATCCACTCTGTACACCGCGGTTTTTTTTCATCCGAGGCATTATAAAATCCTCTTAACTTTCATACTGTTAATCGGAAGCTTTATTTTCCGAGCGAGCTCTTCGGTATTTTCGAGCTGGAAAAAATAGAAGGCGTTTATTGTCAGATAGGGCACCTGGTTCCTAGGTTCAGAAATAATATGGCACTAGAGAAGACTATTGTCACTTGAAGTTCAGAAGGCGAAAGGAACCCCTCTTCTCAAAAGTAACACCAAAGTTACCGACATGTTCTAAAGCATCTATAAAAGGCAGAGCAACGAGAGTTCGCGAGAACAGAAGTGTCAGAGCCACAAGTGTCATCCGAGGCGGGCCGGCTTCCACCAGGAAGGAAGTCGTTTGTGGCGAATGAGGAGCCGGGAGGCCGTTTGTGGCGGCTAGAGAGCCGCTTGTGGCGAATGAGAGCTGTTGAAGCCGTTTGCAGCGGATAGGGAATCGCTTGGTTGCAGATAAAGAGCCGCTATCCAAGATGTTGGCCGAAGTCGAAGGAACACAGACATGCGGAAGCAAACATCCAGAATCCAACAGAGAACCTCGGCTGGCTATAAGTAAGGAGTCGAGACGGAGGAAGATAGAGAGGGGAGAGATGAATGAACTACTGTGGACACCCCTACCTGCCATCACCAAGTGACCACCAGTGAACACCAGGTGACCACCAGGGGGACACGCCTATTTCTCCCCTTCACTCTGTACTATCGCCTTCGGTCCAGGCCGTACCCTGACAAGAAGACAGACAGACAAGAACACACCTCATTTATATACAATCTTACGCACTGCTGACTACTCGATTGGACACACGTGATATTCGACATTTATCTCTAGGGCTCGTCTTGAATTTTTCTCTACTCCGATGTAACGTTTTGGTTATTATGGTTATTCGGCGCGCTTTATAGATTTGGTAACGTAGTCCACAAGCGAACGGCTCACCCAACCGAACGGGTCACGCCCATAGCAAAAAATAGAACTAAACTTCCTAACTTTACCACGCAACTAATTCTCGATGGATTCTGCTCAAAAAGAATCTCAATTACTCCTTGCAACTCAGGCTATCAGAAATGACTTAACACTTAGTATCCGACGTGCTGCAACAATCTACAAAGTCTCGAATACTACTCTCCAGGCGCGTCTTCAAAAACGTCAATCACGTCGCAATATCGAAGCTAACGGTCGGAATTTAACAAAACTAGAAGAAAATACGATTATTCAAAGGATAATTGAGCTAGATTCGCAAGCATTTCCTCCCCGGCTAAGTGCTGTTGAAGATATGGCAAACCGACTGCTACGCGACCGCGACGCGTTACGCGTCGGCAAGAACTGGGCCTCCAACTTCGTTAAGCGACAACCACAGCTCAAGACGGTATTTAGCCGTAAATATGACTATTCTCGGGCCTTATGCGAAGATCCAGAGCTTATTCAAGGCTGGTTTGACCTTGTGCGCAATACAATTGCGAAATATGGGATCGCCGATACCGACATCTACAATTTCGACGAGACCGGCTTTATGATAGGTCAGATTACCGCATCGATGGTTGTTACGAGCTCTGAAAGGAAAGGTAAGCCTAAGCTAGCCCAGCCTAGCAATCGGGAATAGGCTACGATGATCCAGGGCGTCAATTCCCAAGGCTGGACGGTCCCGCCATACATCATTGTCAAGGGCCAATACCACCTCTCTTCCTGGTACGAAAACGACGCGTTGCCGAAGGACTGGAGGATCGCCGTGAGCCCAAATGGTTGGACTACGAACGAATTGACCGCAGATTAGCTAAAACACTTTGACAAATACACCAAAGGCCGGAAATCGGGTGTATATCGCCTTCTTATCCTGGACGGCCACGAAAGCCACCATTCCGACGCCTTTTAGCAATATTGCAAAGAGAACAAGATCATTACACTTTATATGCCTGCCCACTCTTCTCATATCCTCCAGCCACTAGATGTGGCATGTTTTGCGCCGTTAAAAAAAGCCTACGGCTCGCAAATTGAGAAGCTCGTCCGAGCCCGGATTTCGCATATCACCAAGGAGGACTTTCTTCCGGCATTTTGCGACGCGTTCAAGAAGAGCCTGACCGAAAGCAATATTAGTGCAGGCTTTCAAGGGGCTGGGCTTGTGCCTTTAAGCCCAGATATTGTTATTGAGAAGCTGGATGTGAAATTACAGACTCCAACGTCCTCCCGGCCCCCTACGCGGGAAACCCTTCCTTAGGCTTCTCGGACGCCAAACAACCCAACCGAGGCTACTTTGCAATCCGAATTTATTAAATCTCGAATTGATAGGCATCAAAATAGCTCCCCGACGTCAATTTACGATGCTATCGATCAGTTTTCGAAAGGAGCGCGGAGTATTATGCATAAGATGGCTTTACTCCAAGCTGAGGTCCCCGAACTTCGAGAGGCAAATGCTCTAATTAGCAAGCGGCGCAGGGCCAAAAGAACACGAGTACGGCTTGGAGGATCACTTAATTCACAAGACGTACAAGATCTTCAAGATCAAAAGGACGTTGCGCAGCAAGTACAGCAGGAAATGTGTGGAAATAGTGCTGGATCAAATCGTGGCCAGCCACGGCAATGGCGCTGTGGCGTATGCGGGAAGACCGGGCATAATGCGCGAACCTGTCAGGTAGAGATAGAATCATCTGGGCAAGAGTATTCTGAGTAGTTTTAATTGATTTACGGCGTTGTGGTTGCGAAATCGTGTTGAATTCCATGTTTTGCTAGTTGGCGTGACCCGTTCGCTTGTGGACTACTTTAATATTTTGGCGAGTTTTCGCGCTAAAATCTTCCCGTAAGTAACGCGTGCATTTGTCTGTACGTAGCTCAAGCAATTATGGCTGCACGTGCTTCAGAAGTGAATCCCCAATTGAGTTAACGATTTCCGCTTAGTTCGGTACCGAATTCACGTAATTTGCCCATGACTTCATGGAGTGGTGGGCAAGTGAACTTGAGACGCGTTTTCGCAAGTGTTGATGTGGTATGGTGAGGTTCGTTGGTGAAGTTGGCATCCACATAAAATGACACTAATTGAAGCATCAGAGAACGGGCGAATGAGTGTCGAGGTGTACGTACGTATTCTGTTGATGCTTCGCAGGGTTTGCCCTCTCTCGTAACGGTCTGTGGACTTACAACAAGAAAGCAGTGAAGTTCTCGAGGTCTTAGAATTAAATAATAATAATATTAAATACGCCGTAGGTGTTAACCCTCGGTACCTCTACAAGTACTCCCTTAAGGGGCTATAGATGATATAGCGGGCCCTTAAGCCGCGTCGGGCGGTTATACAGGTAAACTTGTAGCCAAACGACTACTAAACCTCCTGTCCCTCCCTAAGTCTGTGCTACAACCCCTGCCTGAACTACCGATAAGCGTGGTAATGTGGCACTTAAATTCGTCCTCAGGGGTGGGATGCTGCTGATGTGCAGAAGATGCTCGACTATTTTTTTGTCGCGACAAGTCGTAGTATCTGCTAATTGGGGTTCTCGTCGAGCGTATACATCTCAACCATACGCTCAAGTGGATAGACCGTAACGTGGTCTAGACGCTCGCAAGAATCGCGGCGAGGGGGCGTGCTGCGCGCCTTCTATCGTGAGGAGACGGGTTCGCCGACGAGCGTTATCGGATAGGCGAGGTCCGATAAGGGGTCGGATTAACGATTCGAATTCTGGACCGGCTGTCGAGTTATATTCCGCCGACGTAGTGCTTGACGGTCGACTGGCTAGGATGCTCGTAATCCTAAACTGCACCAATCTCCCTATTATCGCTAGGTAGGCGAAGTCAACAAGGTGGGCAGCGCGCCGTAAGGGTTGACTAAACCCCCTTGTGTGTCAGCTGCGGGATTCGAACCCGCGACTCGTCACCAACCCAAGTGGGCGAGGCTCAAATCGGGACTTATCTACCAGCGAAGTGACCAACTACACCAGCCGACTGATTGATTGGATTCTTAGAATTATAAGATGCGCTTAATGCAACACAAGGGCAGGAGATGACTCGTCGCAGAAACTTTCGCTAAATTCTGTGCCAATACACAATTTCCTCTTTATGGGTAGGAGATGGCTTGTCCTAGCAAACTTTCGCCAACTTCTGCGCCAATAAACAATTTCCTCTTTACGGGTAGGCATCAGACTGACAGGCATCGGGTCAAGCACCCTACAACGGCCAACTTAAAACTGCCGAAACCTTTGAGTGATCAGTGCCATCCTTCTTGATAATTGCGACAAATGACAATCCATCTTGTACTGGGCCAGCTCTTGGCAGACAAGCGGCGGAGCCACGAGAAACAATTATTAATACAATCGGCCTTTCTCAGTATCGAGTCATCCGTTCTTTTGATGCACAATCGGAAAATCTGTTCCCACGGCATCGGGTTCTTGTCAAACTCTCTGGCCTCAATCATTTCCAAACCTTCCTACCAGCACGTGCTTGCTAATGCTTGTTCCGTAAACTACTTTCTTGGGGTCAACGTCTATTTATTCTAACTATTACTACTATTTCTGCATTATCCGTGCGCCTGGCGCGGGCCGGATCGCAAAATGGCTGAAATCCTTAGGCCGGTCCCACAGGTAGACCTCAAGATGGCGGAACAGAGCGACGGTTCCATGAACAGCTCGAGTGTCGGTGACACGCTGAAGGACGATTTGGCTCTTGACCGGAGACTTCTTTGGAGGCGGGATTTGGTACTTGTCCCCATTATGGGGATTCTGTATACGCTCCTTTTCTTGGACAGAACCAACATCGCCAATGCTCGTGCTTTGGGAATTGGTTCCCCGACTGGTCTCGAAGGGGCACTCCACATGCCACCCAATGGATTTAATAGTGAGTAACTTTCGGAGGCTGCTGTTTCTTGTCTTGTTTTATTGTGTCCCAAGTGTGAACTCCCTGTCTGTAAATATCAGCAACCTCTTCTCCTGAGATGTGATTGGACTGGAATTACAATGAGTGCTTACTGACACCGCCGCGGACTAGTCGCCCTCGTAATTTTTTATATCCCGTTCGTTCTCGCCGAAATCCCAGCAAATTTAGTCCTCAACTTGAATAAGATCAAGCCTAGGTATTTTCTTGGTGGCCAAATGTGTCTGTTAGGTGGGTTGAGTGATATAGCTGCAATGGCGTGTCAACTTCGTGCTAACGACTTTTAGGGATCCTGGGCATGTGTCAGGGGCTTGTCCAAAATTACGGAGGCCTTCTCGCCGTCCGGTTTCTCATGGGCGCATTCGAAGCCTCTCTTCCCGCTGGAGCAACCTACATGATATCAACGTATTACACCAAGCGAGACGCGGCCTTGCGATTTGCCTGGTTTTTTAATTTCGCCCTAGCTGGACCGTTCTTCTCTGGTCTGCTTGCATACGCCATTCAACGCCTCGAGGGAACCGGGGGCTACCAAGGCTGGCGATGGTTGTTCATCATCGAAGGCTTGATGACGGTGTTTATCTCTGTGTTCATTGTACTCTTTTGTCCAAATTTCCCCCATGAGGCCCAGAGCTGGTTCCTGAAACCTCATGAGCGCGATCGCATCGTCAGCCAATTAGAAGCCTCCCGTGGAGCCGAGACCAAGGGCTCCGCCGTTGACGATGTGCCTATCTGGAAGGTCTTGGTGGACTGGCGCATCCACTTGTTTACCATGTGTTTCTTCTGTTGCGATGTGACTGCGGCATCCGTCTCCGCCTTCTCTCCTACGATCCTCACGGAATTGGGCTGGACTTCCACTGTCGCCCAGCTCATGACGATGCCTATCTGGGCTTCTGGCATCATCGCCTCGTTTGTCGTCACGTATATCTCGAGCCGCGTCAACCTCCGCACCCCCTTCATTCTCGGCGCCATCTGCTTCCAGCTGATCGGCTGGATTATAATGCGAGTCTACGTCCCGCACGCTGGCGTGCGATACATGGCCTTGTTCTTCATGTCCGTCGGGACTTTTCCCCAGATGCCCATTCTGATGGGCTGGCTCTCGGCCAACTTGAGAGGCCGCAAGTATCTCGCTGTCGGCATGGCGTGGATGATTGGGTTCGGTAACTGTGCCAACTTCATCTCGTCGAATGTATTCATCAGGGCCGAGGCACCGCGGTACCAGACGGGGTTTACTACGGGTTTGGTATTCACGGTCGTTGGGTTTTTTCTTGTCAGCTCTGGCTGCGCGTTGCTCGTCGTGAAGAATCAGAAGAGAGAGACTGCTCGAGCGAGTATGTCGGATGCGGAGCGCGAGAGGCATGACGAGTTGTATTTCAAATTTGTGTTGTAGACGAAGCGAAGCTAATGTTTCTAATACCCTCCTGGCTAGGTCGGCAAGCGGGCCAGTTCGAAGGAGGTTGGCCATGTTTTGGTGAACTGTAGAGCGATGCTTTCTCTAAGATACCTTGGTTAGCAAAATATATCCTTGCTTTTCGTTGCTGAATATGAATAGTTTGGGCCTCGATGGATTGTGCGTCAACCACGAAGTTGGAGACAACATTACTGCCTCATGACATATCATCCTCAGCACCTAAACCCCCAGGTCATCCAGCGGTTTGCTGACAATGCGAGCTCGACCATTGATAGCTATTCCAATACCCAACTCGAGCCTTAGGGTACTTTGGCGATCTACAAACGCTTCTCTACCTATATACTCAGGTTTCCTACACTTTTAGCGGAATAGCATTTTCATAATAGAAGCGATCTCAGCAGTAGAGTCCTTTAAGCGAGTTTGTGTCTTCTCCATGACTCATTCTGGACAGTTCGTAAACAGCGTCTGCGCGCTTACTAGCCTTGATATGAAATTGACTTCTCCGCTTCTAATGACTTTTTAACTGCTCTATTTCTGGTACAGGCTTTCTTTACTCATCTGCCCATCACTTCGCAATCTCGATATTCCAAGGCTTACTTGAGCCAATGTGTGAAGTTGCACAACGATAGGGCAATACCTTGCCGAAACAGTTGCGAAGCCGTTTCTTTTTGCTTTTCCCTTTCCCATTGTTTGAAGAGTTTTCGAGGATCTATGAAAGGGTTTGACGCCTAGCTCTGCTGATTCAGTGAGAAATGTGATAGTTGTGCTGTACTTTTGCAATGGTCGTGGGCTAAAGTCCTGTAAAGAAGTTATGGAATAGCATAACGGCACCTTCCCGAGACAATTGCTAAGTCGTTTCTTCCGAATTTTTTGACATTTTAGGCGTTTCTCAAGTATCGTGGGAAAGTTTAATAACAGGTTATATGCCGTTTCATGATAAACAGATGGACAGCTACACGCTAGAACGGCCGTAGGCCAAATCTAGCCTTACAGCTCAACAGTTTCATACATCGCATAAGCGAGTCTTTCAAAACAAGGTCAGTTAGTACGATTCTACAGATTTTTGATACACGTAATCGATATCAAATATGCGGTTGCTCAAGTTTGGTCACACTACATAGCTTGCGCATCCGTCTTGTTGAGGCAAAATCACACCGAAACATCGTGATATCTCGAACTCCAGTATCATACTGTGTACAGATCATTTCCAGGAACTTCAAATACATCATTCTACCCACGCTAAACAAAGGACAACATCTCCCTTGGACCAATTCTCTGGTCTGGAGGAGGTGAGTGAACTCGGCCGAGGGCCAATTTACGTACCCCTCCCCGTCATAACTAGACCAAGCATCATAACAAGTTCAAGACTGTCGGCCTGGACCAATATCCGCAAGGGTTGCGAGTACTTTTCTCATTACTGATATTTCTACAAAGACAAGCACTTCGTATGGCAAGTCCAGAGCCACCGTATTTCCAAAGTGAACGCTGCCAGACTAGATTTGAAGCCAACTTCCAAATCACCTAATCCATTGCAAAATTTCTCCGTGCTAAGATTTCAACCTGGATTCTTCATTGAAGCTAAGTAAATATCACTGGAAGCATCACACAGAAGTGACTGGCGTCTCTAATCTACATAAGTACTAAATCACGTGTAACAGGCAATAAAATCCTGAAGGCCTCTTTCCTGGCAACTACAATCCAGAGACCGCTCTGTAACTGCAACTGCCAACTACATTTATTCTCCACTTTTGTAGAACTCCTGCTTATGGTCCTTCTTTCCTTCTCCCGAACGATTCTACTTCACCCATCAACCCCACTGACCACAGCCGTCTTTACCAATCTCCACAGGCACCCCGGCAAAGGTCGTTTCCAATCCAAGTCACGCCTTCACGTCTTTACTTGACTTGCGGAACCTTGATACGCTCTTTACAACCATCATACTTCAGTCTGTCGATACCCAGACAGCCAGCAGACCTCGGTTCACAGCGGAGACAGCACCTCTCCAGCTGCATTGCAAGCTCGTCAAGGGTGCATGACTTCACTGACTACTATCCGAGCCAATTGCTGGACACCGCCAAAGGTGCGTTAGACTTAGCACTGCAATTCCAGATTCCAATCAATCTGCTCCTTCCCATGCGAACTCTGCCGCACCCATCCCAACAGACAGTTCGCCTGGTGCATCTCGTCAGGACATACTCTTCATCCAGTCGTTCCTCGCGCGCATCTTTGTGGGAGCAGCAACATCACCGCCAAAGGAAGATGAATGATCTTCTCGCCTGACTACTATACTTGGAAATAGAAAGCTTCCGCCCAGTTTTCTTGACTGCCTACATTCTACAATCCTGGGCTGCGCATCGACAAGCGGCTCCCGAATCAGCACTTTCCCATCCAAGCTTCACGCAATGGCACCCACGAGAATCCATCAGCCTTCTAGTCACTCACGATCTCTTCGCAGAAGCTGAAATTCAAGACGACCACTAACTCCATTTCTAGGTCTGACGACGATACGAATAAGTGACCAAACCACCAGTACTCGAGCTACTACAGTGTCGCCTCTCCTCGAGAAGATTCCTTCGACTCTCTATTCGACATTTGGGCAATCAAACTCTAGTCCCGGCCGACCCCGACCACCATGTGAGTATATTTATGCTTTTCCTCTGGTCCCTGGCGCTTGAGCCAAACCTGTCTGGAGATTGGTTGCGGCACATCGGGCTGCAAACTTTTCCAACAGTGCCGCCAACTACCGCATCCTCTCGATCTCCTATCTTCTTCTAAAATCTCTCTACACACCCTGTGGTATTGAGTCACTTTACCCAAGAAGCAATGCAGGCGCAGTTCAGTTGAAATTCCACAGATGTAGCTAACTCATTCAATTCTAGTATCCTTGTTCTTCAATACCAAGGAACCTCAATCTTTTCCCTGTCCAAGACTTTCTTGCAGACCTGAGTCTTGAGAAGATCCTTCCAGGAATCCAATCACGTACCTACGAAAGCACCCTGTTTGAGTTAGTGCGCGCTTTGGATCGTTAAATTGCGACGCTCCTTCCCGATTTCGACCCGCGGTTCTCAAGAACGCTCCCCGTTCAAATTCATGCGATTTTCAATTATTTGATTGTGTAGCTCCTCCCTGACTTCAACTCAGGATATCCACGAACGCACCCCGTTCGAGCGAGTAAGGCTTAGGACGATTGAAGTACAATTTCAGTTCCTTCCCGACTTGAAACTACATCCCAAACGGATCGCATTTCAAGTTGGTAAGTCTTTCACAACTGACTTCCACATGCCAACTTCAAGTCTTGTCCATACAAAGTTTCATTCCCCCGGTCTTCCATTGGATGTGAGCAATAGTGAGGCTTCCAAGAAACCCCTGATAACTTGCCCCATCTAAGCAATCATTATGTTTCTGTCCCATAGCCATTATTGATATCCTTTCGTTATGTGGGAATCTTTCGACCCATCTGCCTCTGTTTCTTTCTTCCCATTCCTATTACTTTGTTTTCGTTCAACCTCTGCCGATGATCTTATCCAGATCTTCTATCAATGTTTTCGTCTCATCCCCGTCCTTCACCCCTTACCTTCTCACTGTAAACGGTCTTTCACATTACTATTTTTGCCTTTCAAGGTGGCTGACAGCATGCGCTAGATCTTTCCTCAGGGAACGCATCACTCTTTTTATTTGGGATACCAAGTACAACCCAACCTGTGACTGGTGTCACTGGTTCTTTCCCCGAAGGTGAGTGACGGAACCTATGAACGCATCCCTTACAACGTCATGATCAGTTACTCCTTTCGTATTCAACCCATCGCCTTGACTATTAAGCCCATCGCTCCTTTTTTTTGAAGGTGAGCACGCCCGAAACACAGCCTCCAGACCTGCAGTTGTGGCCACTTAGGCAGTCGCTTCTTTGCCTAACCGCGCCTTTCTGTTTGGTTCTACAACCCTTCCCTCCACGTCCGAAAATGGATAGCTACGAACATACCTCATACCATGTCTCTATATCAGCCCCGAGAGCTGATGATAAAAACTCACAGGTACTTTTATCGGTCCGCTCCACCATTGATGTACCGCCTTGAAGAGTCTGAGCTTCCATCTAAGAGGAAGTAAGTAATCCAGGAGCTGCAAGAGAACAAGGTGAGTTTCCCATCAATGTATCCATCTTTTTACACCTTGTCTGATAGAATCTACAGGCTTGCACTTCCCCTTTTGTCTTTTTCGAAGACAAGACATACACCTTAGACACAGCTGGTAAGGTACATTTTCATTCTTTCAAATTGTGTTATGTGTTACGTTCTACATTTTGCTTGCTCCCCGCCACTCCTACTATATGGTGAAATTATCTCTCATTTGGTACCCTAACCTCGAGGTTGCTGCCACAATTGACCATCACTGGGCCATAATTTTATGACAGTCCGATCGGAAATCAGAAGCTCTAGGGCCATTCAAGACTGCAAGATACTGCAACAGATGGATAGGATGCTTATTAATGGGGTCCAGCCTGGCAGCAGGCTGTGTGTTGCCCTCTTGTTTTGACAGTATGCGGGATTAGACATGCTTGACTAGCCCTGGTCGGATTCACGATGGCAGGTTTTTGCCCTGATGTTGGCTTGTCGATCCGGGTGTGCTGTCTCCCTGCAGTGAATACTCCCACATGCGCACACTGTCCATTGTCACACTCTTTTTCATGTTTAGCTTTTTTCAGTTGTTGCTTTGGCTGCACTGATGGGTTGCCTTACAAATAATGAGTGTCAGGTGCTAACCTGTTCTCAAAAGGAACCGAACGTTGTGACAAAATGGATTCTTCAGTGCCCGATGCTGGTGCACATCAGCGCATGAACAAGAATGGCACCAAGAAGATTACCAGACCAACTATCCAAATCGGATCAGGAGCACCATCTATCCCTTTGGTCTGCTACCTCTGCCCGAAGAACTCCAGGTTCTCCGACCTATCACACCTCCTCACGCACATGGCTTCCAAGGGCCACCTACAAAATAAGTTCAACCTGGAACTGCTGCAAGACTCTGATGATAAAGCCCAGAAGGCCTTGAAGGACTTTATTTCATGGTGGGGTAAGTTTGGCATTGCAGATTTGCTGAAAAATCGCAATGTAGCAAGGGGCAACAAATCGAAGCCAACTGCTGGACGTGGGCACTCTGGAAATGGTAGAGGCGGAAGTATGGTGAGTGGCAAGAAGACGGGAACCTCCAGTGGGAACACTGTGAGTCTTTCTGTCTGGACAAAGCGTGGCTTCTTGGAGCTCATTCAGTGCAACAGAAATCTCACAACACACATTTGAATGCTACAAATGATGCTGTCAAGCACGAAGCTGAAGACGACCTGTCCTCTGTGACAGGATACACTCCCTCCGACCAGAACGCCAACCTGTTCGGTTGGCACACAGCTGCTCACACAAATCAGGTAATAAGCTACCCACACTACCCGATAGCCTTGAACCGCAAGGTACCTTTATCACAACATTTTCACTGACTTTGATCAGGGAATTGCAAACGGTCCTTTCCATCAAATGATAATTAACCACCAATCAACCGGAATCCCGAACTCATCTGCCTTCCCAAATCTAATTAGCTTTGGGACCCAAGCAGCGTCACTTCACGATTCTGCGACCACACTCTCCACACCAGCCTCAGCATTCAATCAATATCCAGGCTCTGCAGGTGACGATAGCGATAACGGAGCATCATCAAAATATCAATTTTCGGAGGACGAAGACGAGGAGGCTTCATCCCGCTCAGAGCGCACTGACGATACGGTCGACACCGCGACGGCTGCCGCTATGGACGTCCCGGACGAGGAAGTCCATAACGCCAAGTTCCGCAAGGATGACTGGCTGGCTGGTCAGAACGTGTTTGATTCCGCATCCCAAGATGAACGCAGAAGGCGCAACCAGCGAAAAGACCCAGCCGTCCTTGAGCGCATCAAGCGGGCTTCTGAGGCCATCACGCAAGATGAGCTGGTCCTCGACCTTCAACTGGTCTACCAAAGATCTCGGAATGTCTACGACAACCCTTCAATTGATGGGAGCAATGTTGGTCTTTAGTAGCTGAAAGAATTCAGAGATAGTAATTGCTGATTTGATGATCTTTAGGACGAGGACGACGCGCACGATTCGCGTCCCCAGCGAACGCGACGCGCGACTGCTAACAGAGCAAAACGCAGAAAGACCATTGCTAATCCCAAGGACGGAGCTGAAGAGGAGTCCGGAAATGGGTTCGGAATGACTGGAAGTCGTAACAGTTCCCGTGCGACAAGTGTCACCGCCATGGTCAATTCCACCCGAGTCACTCGTGCGTCAGTTCGAGGCAGTAGAGGTTCTGATAGAGCCTCTCATATGCCCATACAAGCTGCTGGACGATCTACACGATCGCTTCGTGGTACCCGACAGCATCAACCTCAACCCGAGTTGCCTACCCATAGCCATGGTGACAACAGTGGAGGAGAATATGATGTCTCTGAAGACTCCGAGACTTCTGACTCAGGTGAGGGCTGGGTCACCATGGAAGTGATGATCCGGCAACTTCTCGGTTTCTAATGCCCTCTTCCGCAGGTCGGATCCAGAGTCCCAGTGGCAAGCGACGGTATGTTGAGATTCTGAGCAGTATCGTAGACAGCTAGCGCTGACGTTTCAAACAGACAGACCATGCTTCCCGGACTTGCACTACGTCCTGGCAACCCGAATCTTTCCCTCATCTCCCCCACTCCCGTTTTCAAGCGCCAGCCGTCTCGACTCTTTGGCGGAAAAGAGAACATGCATCTTGCTTTTCACCCTCAATCTTCATCCACCTCAAACCCTTACCTGTCCTCGCACAACCCCATGGCAGACAGCTCTTACAATCCTCTTTGCATCCGGCGACGAGAAGATATTGGCTACCGGATGTACTCATCTTTGGACGATGATGCAAAACAGCCTTCAACCACAGGATTTCAGCCCATCAACGGCCCCAAGGACTACAATAGCTTGCATATGGGTGACGGGTACCGACCTGGCCAACATCCCAATGCAGGATACGATATCTGAATCCTCCGGTCCCCCACGAAGCCGTCTACCAGATAACGAAATTGATTGAGTTAAACATCACAAGGCCCATGATTATCTTGAAGGCATTTTCTTGTAAGTCAGCCCCATTGCCCGTCCCCTTGGATTAGTGGTACTGACTCTTTCTAGCTACCCATGGATATCGATTTCCCAGCACATATTTCCCCCTTTGCGGCATACCTTCGGCTTTCTTTCGCCATTGCACGTGTCAATCCTGGTTTCATGATTTCGTCTTCTCATAATAAAACGACACAGCATGAATTGTTCTTTCTTTTCAAATTGCCCTTTGGTCCACATATGGAACAGCACGACAACCCGATATTGGAGCAGCGCGGCAAAATAAACAGCGGGACGTTCGTCGATGGTAAGACCACATGCCGCGATGAGACCAAGCACGTGTACGAAGAACCAAGTCAATTCAGCCTCCGAAATGCTGCAGAGGCCAAAGTTTCGGAGATATCAGCCTGGAATTTGGATCTTCTGTCCGAATCGAGCAATTTGACAAAGCTCTGCAATTGTTTCCAGCTTCAGGGGTACCGTGCGCAGTTGAGCATGGTTATAAGGTCCGACAGCATGGACCGTAGGGCAGAGCATATTTGGCCTCTTAATTGTTCGATGGGCCGTTCTCAGGGCATTTCGTATAGGGGCTTTCAGATGTATATTAGTTCTCAGAAGCTGCGATGAATTTGCGAATGAATTTTACATAGACCAAACCTCTCGTCTCTGAGCTCTGTGGCACTGCAAACAAGTATAATGCTAAAGCTGTTCAATACTTGATATCAAATGGTCCAGCTGATCGTGTCCGTTTCGCAAGACGTCGCCCAACAACGCCGCGGCCCCATTCAGCCTGCGCATCTTAACTTCGTCCTCCAGCTCACGCGATTTCTTGGCCGCCACATCGAGGACCTTCCGCGGAATTCGCGCCAGACGCGCGACGTTCAACCCATATGAGCGATGTGCAACGCCCTCACCTACTTCGTACAGGAATGTGATCTCCTCGTCCCCTTCCTGGCCACCCTCCTCTTCCGGATTTCTGTCTCTCTGCCCGTTTCCATCACTATCATCTCCAACAATCTGCCCCCTCTTGGTAGCGGTAAACCGCATATGTACATTCCTCACTTTACCACCCAGTCCCTCGGCCACGCGCGCCAGACTCTGGTAATGCGTAATAAAGAGGGTCAAACATTTGGTCTCCTCGACGACGTGGGCGAGGACAGCCTGGGCGATGGCGGCGCCGTCGTGGGTGGAGGTGCCGCGGCCGAGCTCGTCAAGGATGACGAGGCTGCGCGGGGTGGCGGCGCGCAGGATGGCGGCAGTCTCTGAGACCTCGACCATGAAGGTACTCTCACCCTGGAAGAGGTTGTCGCGGGCACCCATGCGCGTGTAGATGGCGTCGGTCGGGGTGAGGGAGAATGCGGTCGCGGGGACAAAGGAGCCAATTTGGGCGAGGAGGACGAGCAGGGCGACGGCACGGACGTGAGAGGACTTGCCGCCCATGTTGGGGCCCGTAATGAGGTGGGCGAGCGGGGAGGGCGAGGAGAGCGAAGTGGTGAAGGGGATGTAGGATGTGGTGAGGGTTTGCTCCGCGATGGGGTGCCGGCCGGACTCGATGGATATTGTCGGTGGGGACGAGGACGGCAAGAAGGTGGGCTTAGTGTAGCCAGGCAGTGCGGCGACTTTGGAGAGGGAGAGGAGGCAATCAAGATTTGCGAGGGATGATACGGCGTCGCGGAGGGGCTGATAGTTAGCTGCTATGTCCTGTAGGAGAGATTTGAAGGCGGTATCGCACGCTGCAGCTAGGGCTTCTTTGTGCTGGTCGCGTTCGGAGATCAAGCGAACAACATCGGGCGTGTGGAAACGCGACAGCTTCTTGGTACCGCTAATCTTGGCCCAACTGGCTGGAACTTGTTTCAGCTCCGTGTTGGACACTTCAATCAGGTACTCGATGCCGGCAACAGTGACATACGTCACGGGGGCTTTCTTCTTTAATTTCTCTGCAGCGACCTTTCGGTGCGCATCGAGCTCCTGCTCTACCGACGCAATGCCCAGCTTGTGGTCTGTGATATCATCCGTCTCTTCCGTCTCCCGGAAGAAGTTATACTTGTCATCTTTGCGCGCTGCGTCGGCGTTGATGCGTTTCAAGTACGAGAGTACTGTGGGTAGAATCTGGGGCAATGCTATGATGGCGACGTTGATGGCGGTTGACCTAAAACCAGTATCCGCTGGAGACTTGACGTGTGAAAACTCTGTTGATATCTTCTGTAATGTTTGTAGAACCGCGACGAGCTCAGGACGTGTGCACTTCCCGTAATAGATACGGATGAGACTGCGTTCTAGATCAGTCCTGGTGTGTATTAGGAGGTGCTGAAGTTGATCGACTCTTGGCGTCGACGCGCCATCAAGGAGTTCTTCGACAGCAGCGACACGCTCCTCCAGCTTCTCTTGGTCCAGGAGTGGCCGTCCAATCCATTTGCGAAATTGTCGCTGGCCGAATCGGGTCAAGGTCTTGTCGAGTGCCCAGAAGAGGCTGCCCTTTTCAGCGTGATCTGTCTGATTGCGATAAACTTCGAGGCTTTCCAGGGTGGTTCCATTGATGAGCATGTGGGAGCGAGTACTGAACGACTGGAAATACTTGGTCAAGTCGAAGATATGCTCGAGTCCGTACTCGGTCAAATGGTTAATCATGGACGACAGACATATGGTGACTGATTCGGGCAGCTTCAGCACCTTGTCGAGTAACGCGCTGGCCTGCTCATTGCCTTCGGCATCAGATTCCTTTAGCTTACCAGCGTAGAACTGCGTAACGTGCGAATACACTTCTGCGGCCATCGTCTTGGACTTGGGTACTCTTTCTACTCTGCTTCTGTCCCCAAAGACGTTTGTGCTGCTCCCAGACAAATGTTGGATCAGCTTGTCAGTAGCTTTGGTGAGCTCACCGACAATAAGGAATTCGCACGGCGAGATGTGGAGAAGCCGCGTCTCGATATCGCTCCGCATAAAGCCATCTTCGAAGCTGTCATAGATGATATTTCCAGTAGCTGGCTGCACGGCAATGATACCAACGTCGACTTTCTCATCTGTGCCCCATCCCTTGGCTTTTGTCTCGGTAATACAAAGAAGATAACCCCCTGACGGGGTACCCGAGCTGTCTCCCTGCTGGTCGAGTTCGCCAATCTCGTCAATGTATGTGCCCTTCGTATACACGTTGGTGAGCTTCCTAACGAAGGGAGTGTTCCTGTTGTCGCCCACTTTCTTGAGCGCTGCCGTCTCGATCTGTCGCACAACGCCAACCTTATGGCCAGCTGCCACCAAGCGCTTTGCATGTACTGGTAACCTGTGGACGGGGATACTGGCCGAAGCAAAGCGGTCCAGGTGTGCTTCTGACGGATGCTCATCGTAGCGGAACTTTCCCGGTATGCATACTATACTTAGCTCCTTGGCAGCTGTACGTGCATCCTCGCCAAAGAACTTGAACTTGTACCCGACCTCGACAATCAGGATGGTGTCCATGTGTTTCCTCTTGATGTCGAGGAACTGGATCTCCATGGGAGTCAACTTGCCAGTCTTGGCTCCTTTCTTCTTGCCCTTGGTAGGTGGGGATGTTTCCTCCTCCTCAGCCTCTTCGCCATCCTCAGCGTCAAGTGCTTTTGTCTCGTTATCGTTCTGCCAGCTCCGCCGTTTGATCTGGGCCATGCTGTCGGGCTTTCCCAACTTTTTGACAAATTTCTTGTGCAGCTCTGCCTTCCTGCGCTTCTCCGCATCGTCATCTTCCTCTTCGTGCTCTGCCTCTACCGCCATATCTTGGGAACTGGACCCATTGTAGATGTATCGTTCCGTCCGGTTACCCGGCTTCGAGGGTCCAGGCTTCGGATTGGGGGGCTTGGACGAGACGAGGCTTCTCTGGTCGTGGTCGGCATTTCCCTTGGCGCGCTTCGGACTTGGAGGTGGTGCTTCGCCCCCATTGTCGGTATCCTGCTCGAGTGGCCGCTTCTTGGAGCTCTCGGGGGCGTCGTCACTTGCTTGAATTTGGGACTTGCGAAGGGTCGCATTGAGACCGTTGACACTCTTTGGTGTGAAGAAGCTGGTGAGAGACTGCTGTTTCTTGGCTCCGCCTGCCATAGTGGGCATTTCAAGACACTCTCGACTTCTTGGAGGTGTTCATTCGTATTGCTGAGCAGTCCATCATCTGAGGAAACTTGACACCAAGTTCCCGGGAGACGCGTTTCGAAGGCGCGTTAATTGTTGGCCTGTGCTGGCTGCATCCGGGGTACCGCTTACCCCTGTCAAGTACCTACCTTTCCTTTCTCCTCTTACGTATAACTTCAACACTAAGGCATCGATCAATTCCTCTTTAAATAACTTACAGTGTCGATGGGAACTACTGTATGACGCGCCTGACTTAAGATGTTCAAACATGATCCAATTAAAGAATGCACGCATCGTTACATCCAACTGCGACGTTTGCTTTCATTTCAACGCGATTCTTGCCCCAATTCGAACCCTTGCTTGCTTGCCCCCCCTATTTCATACGACCCCATCCACCACCCGAGACATGGAAATATGCACTAACCAGCACAAACAAGATGCTAAACCTCGACCTTCAAGAAAAGAAAAGAAACAGTCTATAGCACACTCGACGTATTCATATGCTTTATCCTACATATGTGTTGGCCTGTGAGCACAACCTTGCCTCGGAACTGCCTTGGAGGCCTTCAGAAAGCGGCGCCCGATTGATCAAGGCATAACGGCTCCGTTGAAAGCAATCTTATTAGGGCTGCCATCTCCGGCATTCTTGATCAAGCCAGGCGTTGCCAGCTGAGCAAGGCGGGACTGAACTGCCTGAGGACCAAAAACTCCTTCGCGAGACATCAAGTAGGTCGACAGCCCAGCAACGTGCGGTGATGCTATGCAAAAACTTGATCAGTCCGAGGTCATGCAACCATAATTACGAACAAGACTCACCCATACTAGTCCCACTAACCACCGCATATGCTGAATCCGAGTCCTTCCACGCACTGACAATATCCTGACCAGGCGCAAAGATATCTACGCATGTGCCATAGTTCGACCATCCGGGCCGTGTATCGGTCCTGTCGATGGCGCCCACGGTAATGGCATTGGGCGAGCGGGCGGGCGAGTACTTGCAAGCGTCGTCGCCATAGTTGCAGGCTGCGACTACCACTACCATGCGCTGATCGATGGCTTTTTGCACGATGTCATCGAGGGCTTGGTATGTGGGGCCGCCGATGGACATGTTGATGACGGAGCGGCCCAGGGCATTGCGTGATTTGGCGTCGCCTACGGCTGATGACGCCGAGTGATGGTCAGTACAGTTGTGTATGTATCAATGGAATGGGAGTGAGGGGGCTATTGAGAGAAGGGAGAAAGGGATGAGAAAGAGTGAGGTGCTTACCCCAGTCAATGGCGGCCATGAGACCGGACCAGCTGCCGCTGTTGTTCTTATCGAGACACTTGACGGCGACGGGGATGGTGGTATTGTCAACACCGACCGTGTTGCCAGCAGCTGTGGCGGCGGTATGCGTACCATGGCCGTTCTCATCGTCGTTCTAATGATGCGACTAAGTATCGTCTCTGCAGCTTTGGCGGGCGTTTGAACTTACAGGAGAACCTTGGATAAAGTTGGTCCCCCACACAGCGCGTCCTCCGAATTCCTGTAGAAGTTAGTTTTGTTTTCACCCATAGCAAAAGTTCGGTAGGCGTGCCTTGTGGGTAATGCGAATACCAGTGTCGAGCATATACAGACGATTCGGCGGTACTTGTATATCGGCATAGGCGACGATCCCGGGGTCCCGGTGGGAAATCCGTCCCAGTCCCCATGCTGGCCCGGGTGCTTGCCGCTTCATTGAACGCGGGACTGTAGCTTCTCCTTTGACAATACCGTCCTTAGCGACATAGGCGACCTTTGGCAATCATTAATCCCAAAGTCGTCCAAAGCCAAATAGGGGTGCATTCTCACAGAAGGGTTTTGGCGGATGCTATCTAGCATCTTCTCATCGCACTCGACATGGAACCCGTTGATGCCGTCGACATTCTCATATGTCTTGATTAGACCTTTTAGGCCTTTCCTGAGCGCAAGAGAGTTGGTCTTCACGAGCCCGAAGAAGCCTTTCACCTTCTCCTGCGAGATGTTGGCCTTCATCATCACGATGTAGTTGTTGGGGATGGCATCGGGTAAGTCGCGGTGCATGAGCGAGGCTTTGGCAAAAGCCAAGGGCAACAGGGTTGCGAGGTAGAGGCTGGCGAATTTCATGGTGCTCGGTGGACTTGGATAGCTTGCGGCTTTTCAGCTGTCTGATAATGCAAGGACTTGGAACAGTGTTTTGGTGGAATAATTTTAACTGAGATTGAGCGCGCGTTCTCAGGGCGTTTTCGATCAAATGAGATGAGAGGAGGTAACCTAGGGAGGTTCTCGAAAGGGAGGATTGGGCTAGTTGATTTCTCGAAGATGGCAATGAGAATGGGAACTGGCTTTCTCAAGTAATGCTCTTTAATGTCTTGAGTTGACTGCAAGATATTCTCTGCTTGCATGATATTTATATCAACTATTCCTCCCTTTGGAGACGCGTGCCAGGCAGAGGAGCTTGAGAATCGTACCACCATCACCATCATCAACGCTTTCGGCCCATCTTCTGATGCGATATTCCTTCACCATACTATTGCGTGGCAAAACTCGGCTTCTGTCCTCATATCGACATTCAACTGTTAGAAAAAAAATAGCTCAGGCATGCAATAGTGCACATTCTCGTGATACATCATATGCTTGCACTGTCATCCGGAAGGAGGTTTCCCGGCAACAAGATGCCAAGAAGGCTTTGAGCCGAAATCTGGTTGGACAGTTGCTGGCCCAGAGGGCTGGATATGGGTGGGATCAGTAGGGTTCGGAGTATTGAGACATGTTTCGAGCGCGCTTCGGCTCGGGTTTATAAGCACATGAGGTTACAGTCGTACATACATGGGCCGTGGTTGTATCATCTGCAGGGCTACCTACCTTTTCACGAGTTCTGTGGTACGCATCTGCATGTTCATATGAGCACGCTGTCTGTGAAGCGTGCTGGGAATCCCTACTATATCCATGCCATGACCCTGTCCGAAATCGTCACGCCGTAGGTAGGCAATTCGAAAATATGACGGAATTTGAAATATTGCATTCAAATAATTTTTTCACCCGGAAACAATAGTCATATTTTGATCTGACACATGCTACGCGACGGTGGCTATTTATCCCACAAGCTCCATGGAATATGGCAGTTGCGTGTATGGCTCAAACCATTGACAATTATTCATCATCCGCTGTATCAACACTCAGAAAGCCAATACTAATAAGATTGACCCCAGGAAAGCCCAGGCCGTAAGCAGGAAAACAAGTCACTAGATGGGCCGCCATCCCGAGCCTCGGTCGACTCCAACGCTGAGAGTCAATACACTCTAGCCTGAAAGTATGTCACTTGATGAGAATTTTCTGCACACATGTTGCGCCACGGTCTAACCTATGCATAGAATCTTCGGCCCTTTAAACAGAATTTTCATAATTGCCTCAGCTGGCTGGCTGACGGTTAGTCGTCGTTAAGTGGTGTCAAGAACGCCATGTCTTCGAACAACGCATGAAGAGCCAATGGCGTCGGCTCTGCTACTATAGTCCAATTTGTAAAATCGTGTTTCTCAGCGTTCTAGGCTTGGAGTGGCTTGATGCCTGACCAGTTTTGTGAAACATGGTTCGAATTGGAAACGACACACTCAAGTCGATAGCGGCATTTTGAATAGGAGGCGACAGTGAGCTTCCTCTTTGGGGTGGTTTGGTTAAGCAAACAAACAACCAGTGCTCTTGTGCGTATTTAGCTCAGCAAGGGTCGTCGCTCATCCATATCGGAAAATTTACCCACTTTCTAGAAGGTGCATAACTCATCCCTTTGGCGGGAATGCGAAGTATGTATCACGTCCCACGAAAGTATCCGGACTATATGATGCCAAAATAGGGAGTTGGTATCACCATAGCCTTTGGGGGCTGAGTCTCAGATTTGGATTTCGTATCACACAACTTGAATGTGGAACAGGGACCAGCTTTTACTGGACGGACACAGCATGGATAGTTCAAGGCAAACATAGCATTTATTTTTACGTAAGTATCGCGAAAAGAGTAGAGAAATCATTGCATCTATATTGGGTATCTCCTGTTGGTATCAAACGCAATCGCAATCTCTCACAATACGAGCCAGAAACCAATTATGTACCTCAGATGCAGCACCGGAGACCCACGAGGAAACTTGCTTGTTGATATAGTCTAGAAGAGTTCTAGCGATGGTCTATTCCTTCGAGAGGAAGTTAGCCATGTTCTCCAAGCGCTGATAATCCCCGAGGCTCACTTGGCCTAGTCTGGCCACAACGGGCCAGTTTCCAAACTTGGTTTTGATGCGATCAGGGAAATCGGCGGGGTTAGCTATCTTGGTGATGGGAAGTAGCCATGACATCCATTTCTTCTCCGTCGGCTGCTTGAACCAATGCGCAAACTCGAAAGTTCTGCATGTAATCGCGTCGAGGCAATTCATCTCGGTTCCGAGAAACGCCTCGATACCAGTTCTTGCGGGGGCCGGCGAAGCTGGCAGCAGTCTGAAACACTCCAGTGAAAAGTCCACCAGCTAGGTCAAGAAGAACACCGGCGTGATTGATAAAGTCCTGGCTTATAGGGATCAGTACCTCCCTTTCGGCTAGAGTGTCCGGGAGTGATTAGCTGCGTTCTTGGAAGATGCGCAAGCTGAAAATGACGGTGTGGCCACCTCGGGTTACGGGTGAATCACCAGTGATCTCTTGGGAAATTTCGATGCAAACTCGCCCGACGAGGATCCACGCCGTCTATGGTTACGGCAGTCTTGGAGACTGACGTAAAACCAATGGTATCATCTGGTATAACGGTCGAGGTTGCTGATGGTCCAGCAGGTGGGGGTTGTCCACCTCCCAAGCTTAAGAAGCTATGAAGAAGCAGAGGAAGTTGTCCTTGTTCTGAGCTCGAGTAAGTAGTTCCAGTGGTAGGAAAACAAGGCATAACGGCCGAGCTGCTGTTGGTTGGCCAAGCCGGCACTGATATGGCGTTCGAGCTACCCGAAGAGCAAGTAATCGTCGTAGCCATCGGTAGTCGATAAATGACACTAGTCCCAAAACCAGGAATAGCAACAGTCGTTGGTAAGCGTAGCAAACAAACTGATAAATTGACAGACCAGACAGGCAATGTGAGAGTTGCTGCTGCGGTGATTACAGCGGCAGGCGCCACTGCTGAGGTTAATGTTTGCGTGGTCCAACTTCCACGCGAGAGGGTAAAAGAAGTAATTTATTTAATCACAGCAGTGAAAACTTTGGGTGGTGGAGGAAGAAGCTGCGGAGTGGTTCAAGCAGTAAAGTCGATTCTATGTTAGAAGCTGTAAATGAGTGTGAAAGTGGTATGGGGTCCAGATGATGCACTTGTACCATCGATATGCAGAGCTATAGTGCATAGAAAGACTACAAATCATTCCTGGGCCCTGTAAAAATCCTGGACCGAATGCACAACTTGGTCGCTTCCGATTACCAATACAGTGACATTCTAGCATGATATATCAATGTCTGAAAGAGGCGTCACCGCGTACTAGTTGGTGGACATTTCGAACAATTTGCCATGGGTCTTCCCTTAATTATTCAGATTGATCTTCCAATAAGTATTCATATAAGTCCGGTCACTGAGTAGTATTGTACACTTAATTACCCATGTATGTTAAATTTGGAGAAATGGATTCTTCGGACAACAAGAGAAGACCGCAAATAATCATACCAAAAACGGACTAGCTGAGAGGAACAAGCATATATCCATATTGTTGTTCCTGACCAGGGTTTGGCGCGCAGGCAGTATGCATATAATTGGACTATGCGCATGGGTATGGCACTAGCTGCAGAGGTTTGCCATAATACCAATTATACACACATACTTGAGTAACGGTTTGTGTGTACGTGTGTTGGTACAATAAAAGCAGAAGCGCCATTGCCCCTTACCTCCTTCTGATAAGCATGTCAAAGAAAATGAGGAGCGAATAGCCGTATATGTATGGCTTAGGTCCTACAAGCACTTGGTGGTTGCATACATCCATCTGACAGAGCCAACATGCGGTACCTGGGAAGAAATTTAAGGAGCCAAACAACAATCCCGTCTTCCGCGTCACCCTTGATGTGGTACCAACAAGAAAATTATGATGAGTGAGATCACATCTATACTCTGAAATCGAAGGAAATACTGATATTTGCGCAGGATATACCGAGTACTATTGGCGATCTCAAACGAAGCACATGATGCGTAAGAATACAGGGGTTCACTAAGGATCAGTTTTATTGGTTATAGTGGGAATGCATTCGAAGACTGCACGAATAGCGCTGCTCGAGACCCAAGGCTCATATAATTCATACGTAAAGCCACTGACCGCGGGTAGTTGGCATTGATAATGCCTACCCGGGAGAACGATAGGTCGCTGAAGAAACCAACAGAAGGCTTGGCATGCTGACGATTATTTCTCGTGGCCATGGGATAAGGTAGACAATCAATTTTGAACATCAATAGTAAAGTTTGTTGAACTTTCCAGTGCTATGCAAGTTCGAACTCGGACGCCATGCGAACTCCAACATGGCTGCCTCTTGCATGAACCATGACCTCTCCAAGTGGGGCAGCTGCAGCCGTTGCAATTGCATGCTGTGGCGTAAGTATACGTCACAGTATTACAGCGCCACAACCTTAGCTTCGTCAAGCTTTAATTTATGCTGATCATCCGTCTCTGGCGGTCAGAAAAAAAGTTAAGAAAGTGACCTTTCAAATCCTCGTCAGGCTACGAGAGATTAATCTCTAACCTGCGTCCAGCACCGCCGATCGACAACATGGATGTTCTGGTCGAGGGTAAAAAATGTGACCCGCACTCGGATAAGCTGCTTGTTCCTGGGTCCAAAGATGTTTACGTTCAGCTCGTCATTTCCCTGGTTCTCGGCGTCTCTGCTTTCATCGCCTTCTGTGTATGTTTACCCTACGCAAGCAACCGCCATGAGCTGTGCGCTGACACACCGTGCATGTAGATCCTGAGACCACGATGGCCAAGCCTTTATGCTGCTCGGAAGCGACACCACTCCCCCCTCATCGCCCTTCCCACCCTCCCCGACAGCTTCTTTGGGTGGATTCCAGCGCTGTATAAGATAACAGAAGAACAAGTGCTTGCTTCTGCCGGCCTTGATGCCTATGTCTTCCTATCTTTTTTCAAGATGGCTATACGCTTGTTTACTGCCATGTTCTTTTTCGCAGCCGTTGTCCTCTGGCCCATCAACCACCGATTTGTCGGTGACCTCGTCCTCCGACCCAGCGACCCGGATAGCAACTCGTCCTTCTACTCGGCATACACACCGTATGATTTAAACCTTCATGCATTCGTTGATGAGGGAAAAGAATCAGGGGGGTCGGAGGGAACGGACTTGAGATATCTGTGGTCGTACCTCGTCTTCACCTGGTTCTTTTCTTTCCTTACGATATACTACATGAACTCGGAAACCTTCAAAATCATCAAGGTCAGGCAGGACTACCTTGGAACCCAGTCCACCATCACCGATCGTACCTTCAGATTGACAGGCATCCCTAAAGACTTGAGGTCCGAGGAGAAGATCAAGGAATTCGTCGAGAATCTGGAAATTGGCAATGTCACTTCTGTGACACTTTGTCGAGATTGGGCCGAGATCGATGCGTTGATGGTAGAACGTGATGCTGTTCTCCGGAAACTCGAAGAAGCGTGGAGCGTTTATCTGGCGCAGAAACCAAACAGTCTCGCAGCTACTCATGCCTCGCCTAACGTGGATGACGATGGAACGGCCGCCGACGATGGCCATGAGAACGATGCCGAAAACGGTCGCCTGCTTGCGGGGGACAGCCTTCGGAACCTCATGGTCGAGAGGCCGAGACCAACCACGCGGATTCGCTTCGGCTTTTTAAAGTTGCGAAGTCGTCAAACCGACGCAATCGACCATTATGAGGAGAAACTGCGCCGTATCGACCAGAGGATCCAGTCGGCGAGGAAGAAAGAATATCTGGCAAGCGCGACAGCCTTCGTAACCATGGACTCGATTGCTGCATGTCAAATGGCGATACAGGCTGTCGTGGATCCACGTCCTGGGCAGCTCTTGTCCAAGCCAGCCCCAGCACCCTCTGATGTAGTTTGGAAAAACACGTACGCGTCGCCGTACAAGCGCAGATTACAGTCGTGGCTCATCACCATCTTCATCACCATTCTTACTATCATCTGGCTTGCACCGGTCGGTTCCCTAGCTGCATTCACGAGCATATGCACCATTGAGGAGGTGTCACCCTCGCTCGCGGCGACTCTTCTACGGCACGAAATCACAAAGGCCCTCGTACAGACTGCACTTCCTGTGGCGGTCATTTCGCTCCTTAACGTCGCTGTTCCGTATCTCTACGATTACTTGGCGAACCAGCAAGGAATGATATCCCAAGGCGACGTCGAACTCTCCGTCATATCGAAGAATTTCTTTTTCACTTTCTTCAACGTCTTCCTTGTCTTCGCTGCGTTCGGGTCGGTGACTAACATGGTGCCCATTTTACGGGAATCCTTCCATGATGCGAGGTTGCTCATGCGATCACTCGCGACGTCCATCAAAGCAACGAGCAACTTCTATCTTAACTTCATACTGCTCCAAGGTCTGGGTCTGTTCCCATTCAGACTCCTGCAAGTCGGCGGCGTCGCCCTTTATCCGATTTACCGCATGGGTGCCAAAACACCACGGGATTTCGCTGAGATGGTCCAACCAACTCTCTTCAACTATGGTTTCTACCTGCCGACCGCCTTATTGGTTTATATCCTATGCCTCGTTTACAGCATCATTCCAGGATCTCACATTGTCCTGTTGGTGGGTCTGGTATACTTCTCGCTTGGATATTTCGTACATAAGTACCAGTTGTTATACTCGATGGACCAACCGCAACATGCCACTGGCGGCGCATGGCGTATCATATGCTTCCGCATCCTCTTCGGCCTGGCTGTTTTTCAGGTCGTTATGGCTGGTATCCTGAGTCTGCAACTCGCTTTTACGGCATCGGCTCTTGTGGCGCCGCTGCTCATCATAACAATTTGGTACAGCTACTATTTCAACCGACGATTCACGCCGCTCACTCGTTTCATTGCCCTTCGAAGCATCAAGCGGGCGACAGACTCGGGTGTCGAGGATAATCCTGGGGAGTACGCAGAGCAAAGCACGCGCCAAACCAGGCTCACCAGGCGCATGAGCACGATTGACGAGGATAAAGAGAAGGGGATGAGTTTTGAGAACCCCAGCCTTGTGCTGCCTCTGCAACAGCCATGGATATACAAGAACGCACCAGCGCCGCTTTCCCCGGAGGAGTCGGCGAATGCGACCACAGAAAGCAACATGGAAAGAGACGGCGATGTACCGACTCCGGGGACGGAGAATGGGGCGGTACATCTGGGCTTGGGCAGTGGTTCGAGCTCTTTCAGCCTGGGAGATACTCATGTTTGGCGAGAGAGCGGGGGAAACAATATGTAACGTGTGATTACTTGTTGGGCATGGGCCGACAGATTGATACCACTGTATTATTCCATCATGAATCATTTGCAAAGCTCCGTCGACTCGCTTACATGGCTGCGTCCCCTGATATCAGTCAAGAGTCAAGCATCACACTCGCCTGTCACGAAGTCTGCACCGTGGCTTTTCGAGCGCACAGTAAGAACATAGCAGCACTTGCAGCAATGGTTGCTTCTTTACGACGTCAAAATGTCGGATCGATCCGTGTCTCACCGCGGCGGTTGCGGCTCCACGACGTCCCGAGGACGCGGCACCGGTTACACGCTATGCCGATAGAACGGGCCAATCTGGGAAAATCCACGCTTATCTCGTACATTTGACTTGGATACGCAGATGCATCAGAAAGGGCCTTGCGAGGAACGAGCACAGTCTTTGCTTGTATTTATCCACATATGCATTAGTCTCCTGTAGCTAGTCTAAAGTCTGTACATGCAAGTTCCAACTGGCTGGTAAAGGCGTCTCAATGGCTTGACTGCCGGTGACCCCGAATGACTTTTGTTAGGCGCTATGGTCCTTCTTGATGAACCCCGCGGCGGAGTAATAAATTGGTAAGCAATCGAGAATATGTCCCTCCTCGGTTGCTTACCTCGTTGTTATAGGATACACAGCAATCGCATTATTTTCCTGCCGTTGGACAAAATGGCATGGCTCGACCAATAAGAGTATCAGAGCTGTTCAACTCAACGTCACCACCGCTTCAGGGAGAACCTTCCATGGCTACAGATCAGGGAAGTACTTCTTGCCGAATGATGGAGCGAGTTCTATTTCGCCCGGGGTCAGTACCTCCACTTTGTCGGATGCTGGTACCATGTCTATGACCTTGGCAAGTTACTGCGGCCGCCAAGCTTGAGCACATTGTTGGTAGCAACCTTACACGACAGGAGCCTACAGAGGTATTTACTTCATTAGGCTGTAATAAAGCAAGCATATTTGCAGACTTGGAATTATGCTTTTGACATCTGAGAAAGCTATTGTGATATTACACCACTTCACACACCAAAAATCTGTGACAAAGGCTTATATAGTCCATGTTAGCAATTATTTGGGTTTGTTAGGTATTGCATTTGCTGCTGTTGGTATCCTGGCCTTATTCTGGCCCCAATAGGCCATGAGAACGGGGAACAAACTCTATACCAAGTTCTCATTTTCCTTTGTATGTTCATAGTACAAACAATAGCTTTCATAGATAAAGCCTCTCAAATACACCGTACACACTATTCTAGTGATTGTAATCCCACAGTCCATTCGAACCTAAGCTTTCCAGATATTTCCTTTCTTAGAATTTCACACCGAATAACCTTGAACTTCAAGTTCCTCTCCTTGTAATGTATCTTTGACAACCCTATTCCGGCGGGAACTATCCATACACGAGGTTGGGCACACAAAGCAAGAAAACAGCAACATTATGTTACATTTATCGGAGAGGTGACTTCTACAGTACAGCACAGACATGTGACAAAGCTTAGCAACCTGGTCTACACCAACCCCCAATCTCCGTTTGTCTTCAGATCTTGCATGAAGACACCACTTTTCTCTTTCTCCAATTCCTCTTCCATGGTCCAATCCTCGAACACATGACCTGCTGGCAAATTAGTGTTTTCAAAGGGCGCCCCTTTGTCAATATGCGCCCGAGCAGCTTCGAACTTCTCCGCAGCGTACCTCTCGGGGTTGTGCGTCCATATCCATTTGCCGAAATGAAGAGGACGGCTACCGCCCTTGACCACCTCGGACGTATCCCGATGAATCTCACGTCGGTTGACGAAGCCCATGTGCTGGATTAAGGAAGTTCGTTGATACCTGAAAGGTGGGTGGTTAGTTGGACGTACGTCAACGCTGCACAGTATCGCCTTTTATTGCAGTTCGAGGAGTCACTTGATAAGGGAAAAGGCGTACCTCAATAATTCATGCACCTTCGTCGCTGAAGCTACATCAGCTTTTCCACCCAGTCTGAGACACTCGGCAAGGGAGGTGGCGTCTTCTAGTGCCATAGCCGCACCGTTACCAGACGTGGGAAGTAAGCTATGAGCCGCATCTCCGATCTGCACAACCTGTCCGTTGTCTGAAGTCCATTTGGGTTGAGGGTTGCGCCAGCACAGTTTCCACCGCACTATACCGCCCGAGGGTGTATTTCGGACAGCTTCGATCACCTTTGGGTCCCATTTGTCTTGGTCTGGTAGTGCTGATGCTACCTGTTCCGGAGTGACATTCTCTGCCCATGACTCGGAGGCGGTGCCGTCGTCCTGTATAAGGTCAGTAACGCGACGTAAAATATCTCACCAATTATCAGATTGACCTTATGCGTTATCAGAACGCAGACGCGATCCTGGGTAACCAAGAACACGGCGTGTATCTTAGTTCTAGAGGGATTAGCCTCGATTTTATCAGCTGAACATAGACGACTTACCCGGTAAATAGACGCAACTGCGGCCTTTTCAAAGTAGCCAACATTTCTTTCAATGCCGGGGCATCCTTCAGATGCTTCGTGGAATAACATATTCGATCAGCACAGTACCCGGTATCAGTTGCCCGAACAGGCTTCCCCATGGTGATCCCGTGGGACTTAGTCCCTATACCATCTGCCGCGACCACGACATCGCCCGTGAACAGTCGGCCATCATCAGCATGCGCAGTAGCAATGCCTCTTTCGGGATCCTCGGAGTACTTGATGATGTTGACGCCATATGTAATGGGAATGCCCAGTCTCTCACACTGAGAAAGGTACATAAGTGCAATGTCTCGCCGAAACCCGACCGGCTTGACTCTCAGGGGCCAGGCGGCGTGCTTGGCGACTCCCTCGAGCTCGTGCTCCCAACTGTACTTAGACGTTGCGAGGCTGCCGTCTTGAAAGCACACGCCAATTTCGGGGTCGTAGGTGATTTTGTTCCATTCTTGGAACATGGTTGGGTATTCCCGGATCGTCACATAGACGTTGGGTCCCAAGCCGATAAAATCGCCTTGATGCATATATTAGCCTTCGTTCAGAGTTTGGGTTTTAGTTTGTACTGAATGTCGGAAGGGTGGAATAACACGGATGGTGCATCATACCAGCTTCTGAGATGCATCCTCCTTTCTCGAGGATTTGGACCGTGTGTCCCTTTCTCCAGCACTCCAAGGCCGTCAACAAACCTCCCAAGCCTGCGCCGACGACGAGGACTTTGATTCCCGTTGGGGGATATCGCAGAACACCATCCACAATGACATTATCTTGAAGAATTGTGGTATCAACGGAACCCATGTTTACTGGCCTTTCAAACTGGGATGTGACGTCCACTGCGCAAGTATTCCTACAAGAGATGAGGTTTTGCTTTTCTTTATACTCCCGTCTTCATTTTCTGAACAATACTTACATTTCTGCCATAGTAGATTGGGTACTGGCGCCAATGTTGTGTAGGAAAGCCGGGTTACGTGGTCATTTCGAATTGCTCGGGAGTTCGACTCTGATCCGGTGAACTGCCTCCACTGTTCCAGATCATACGGGGGACCCAAGGCTACTTGATGAAGCTCGGGTTTGTTTCAGAGCCCGGCGTTGGCCCCACTGAATTGCACCAAGGCTGCTGTGACTGGTACCGTTGTCTTTAGTGCGTTATTTAGGATTCGTCGGGTACGAATGTCACCGCTTAGTCAGCGGTATTCCATTTTCTATTCAAAATCTGATCATTCGTCACTTCGGACTAATGATTACTCTATGAATTTGATGCCATGCCAAGTATGAATGAAGCAAGACTCATGTCAGTCATTTATTACTAGGTAAATGCCTTATCTCATTCGGATACGCTCTACAGTCTGACGACGGCTCTTCTGTGGAGAAGTAGCTAGTTGCCTTGTTCGTTCTAACTCTGCCTTGGAAGAATCGGTTATTTTTAGGTCGCCTATGCTGCTTTGTTGATGGTTAGATCCTGATGATCACTATGTGCTTATTACCGAGCCGATGGAAACAATGTGTAAAACCGCAAAATGTCCCAAACAGGGGTTACAAGTGAAAGTGAGTACTAATACACTCACAGCTAATCCGACAGGACCAAACTTGAACGACTCAGCTCATTCTTTTTATAGTTCCTTTTGTAAGCTCTTGGAAAAGCTGGAAATCAACCGATACCTGAGAGCTGCTTGTTGTGGGTGCCCCCAAACGAAAATGGGGCGGTGTATGAGCTAACTAAATGCAAGCTACCCTGAAGCTGATCCTTCCACTAGCCGATGTATCTTCTGCCAAAAATCTGTTCATTGTCCCTATTGCTCGAGCGATCTAGAGGGGTCAAGTCTCGGGAAGGACTATTCCCTACTAAGCTCCCGCCCGTGTCTACGGCGCGCAACACGGTCTCCGTGGAAGAACTCAGGTTCGCCGTGTGCTCATTTCCCAACTGTGGACAACGCTTTTGCAGTGGAATGTTATAGATTGCGTATTTAATGTGCTCCATGTCCCGAATAATAGTCCATGCCTCATATTGCTATATTGCCTCGTCGAGGCATGAAGGGGCATGTTCACGCAACAGGCGCTTCTGTATCAACACCGACAGCTTTAACATTAACATTGACAGGAAATACTTAATGTTCAACGTTCTAGGGCTGAACGACAGCGCAATGAAACAGGTCGACTCTCGAAAACGTATTTGAGTTTTGTTGGTAACCATTATACTTCAATGTCAGCCCTAATTTCACTGATCAGATCAGAGTTATTTGTTTACCTATCTTAATGCATATATAGGGGTAAAGGTTCAATATAGATCTATACTGGATGCCATTGCGTAACCCCTATTTACGTTTGACAGCACCAGCATCCGAGCTCCAACGACTGTCTTACACCCAGTTCTTGATGACGGACGAACTATGCGCACTACACCCTTGGTGCATGGCCAACTGTTAGAACTTCAGAAACGAAAACTCTGGTGTATCAGCCAGAAGGCATATTTTCTATATTCAAGGCCCTTATAGCCTCCTTCGCTCCTTTAGACTGGGGGAGATCGGAGACATACTCAACTCTATGCTTTGTTATAGCTTGGAATAAGTCCGATGACTTTATATCTTGACACTCTTCCAGAGCCAGGATATAGGAGCCGGCCCTCCTGTCAGACCTTATAACTACCAAAATACCTCATTCTACAACGAGTGGGTCCCTCGTCTTTTGACGGTCAATTTGGTCCAACAGTTATGAGCCCGGGTTTGCGTCTTAAGACTGCAAGATTTTCTCCGGTATTATCAGTCCTCCAATTCCGCATAAGATCATCGGCAATGGTTCGAGACGTAGCCAAACCGCGTCAAAAAATAAGAGTTTTATTACAGAATTCATACTCAAGGTAGAGGGGCGGACAATAAAAAGATGTTCAAGACCCTGCAGACACCGTAGATGAAAAGATGTACGACGGCCAACGAGGCCAACCAACGACATAAGTCAGATGCTACTACAACTTGACGATATCTCTCCAAGCTGAGGGGGTGTGTCAGACCTTATAACTACCAAAAATACCTCATTCTACAGCGAGTGGGTCCCTCGTCTTTTGACGGTCAATTTGGTCCAACACCTCCGAAGATTAATACCACCATCAAAGGTCATCCAGAGTATCCAAGGCTTAAGTAGCAATAGTGATAGCAGTCATTGGATATAGCCGACAGCGCTGACAGTCTGCAAAACCAGCATCTCAAATATTATAGCCACGGAATGAATCCGGCGGAGGTGCTCAGACATTGCTTAAGGACAAGGCCTTTCGTAGTCCTCTCATTATGTCATTAGCTTTTGAGTGTTGTGAAAATAGGCACTGTCATGAATTATTGAGTTTATTTTGTGACCTAGGTAGTAGTATTCAGTCTCGAGTCTTAGAATGTATGGTCTCCTTTCTGCTTGATGTATACCGAACTGTTTGATACAATCCCCGCTAAGCGAAACACAAAATTTCTTCGATGCGGATCCAATGGCGATGACTTCTTCAAAAGTTCTCCTGGAAAGCCGTCTTCTCATTTTCGCATTGAATACATACTCACCTTGAGAACCCAATATGAGTCGCCGAGATGAAGGTATCGTCGGACTCCTGATGGCCTTGAAGTAGTCGTTCTATCTCTAGGAAGAAGCTGAGTTAGTAAAGTCCACATGTTCCTTTGACAGGCGCAAGTAGCCATGAGAAATTTCCTCGGTGGGCCCCGGTCTTGCTATCTAGGTGCTCCAGTGGACGCGGCACGAGCTATAGAGCGGAGCCCCACCGCTGCCGATCTCACTCCGCTTATCAATGCCGCAATTGGTGGTCTCTTCCTGTAAGAGTACAATACCGATGCCGGCGCTGGTTGCAGCTGAATGAGCCATGAAGAGACGGTACACGTCCTGTTATAAAAGAAATACTTGAACAACGAAGAAACTTGCAATGTTAATTTGGTCTTGAAATAATAACTACATTTTCTCCGCGGCCACGACTTTCTACACCACCCCCCGAACATAACAGTCACATCATGGATTCCCAAAAACCAACTATTGGCTTTGTAAGGTATTTCGTGGCCTTCATCTGAACATGGTGCTGACATAATTACATAGTATGGCCTCGGGTCCATGGGCATCGGCATGGCAAAGAACCTCGCTAGTCACCTGAAAACGACCGGCGGGCAGCCCCTGAAATACTCCAACAGAACTGTATCCAAGGGCGACCAACTGAAGGATTTCGGCGCCGTTCCAGAGGCAGGCTTTACATCTCTTGTTAAGTCGTGCGACATTATTTTCACCATGGTGAGAACTACGCCCCTCTTTTACAGGATAGAAGCTAACAGGGTCCTCAGATTTCAAATGACGAGGTACTTAATGGACTAGTGCAGGAGGCACTGACTTGCGATGTTAAGGGCAAGATCATTGTCGATTGCTCGACCGTGCATCCTGACACATCGGCTGCAGCTTCGGACAAGCTCGTGGCGGCTGGAGCTCAGTTTCTTGCTTCTCCGGTCTTTGGAGCCAGTGCAATGGCAGCCCAGGGTAAACTCATCTTTGCAGTCGCTGGGCCAGAAGATGCTTCTAAAGCGATCGAGCCGCTGGTGGTGGGCGTTATGGGAAAGAGTATTTTGCAGCTTGGCACTGATGTCAAGAGGTCAAGCTTATTGAAGATTACAGGGTATGATCCGCCCCTATCCACGACCACTCTGATAGTTGACTAATCACTTTCTTCAGCAACTGCATGGTCATTGGCATGCAAGAACTCATCTCCGAGTGTCACACCTTTGCAGAATGCTCCGGTCTGGGCACGGAAATCTTCCATCAGTTTGTCACCGACATGTATGGTCCGACAGCCTCGGGCTACTCGGCACGATGCACTACGGGCTCCTTTGCACCTCCTCTGGACGGACCGCCTCCTGGTTTCGCCATTGATCTGTCAATCAAGGATGCGAAGCATGCTTTGAACATTGCTCAGAAGTCAGGGGCATTCTTACCCACAATGCAAGCTGCGCTACAGAACATGCTGAGTGCAAAGGCGTTTGCTGGGCCTTGGTTAGATAGCAGCGCCCTCTACGGTACATTGCGGCAGTGGGCTGGGCTACCCTTTGGAAATGCCGCGAGCAGGGCGGTTTGATTGGTGGAGATGGCTGATTATATAATTAGAGTCTATACACAATACCCATAGAAAGCCTAGACGGGGAGATACTAATCGAATGGTCTGCAAGTCACATAAATGTTTCGTGGACTCGTCTAAGTTGGAATCAGATGGGATAGTCAAAGTAAGATGAGATACAGGCATCCATAGACATTGTACCAACCACTGGATAGATATGTCTTGTGGAACTTTACACTTTTCTTTCGTATGGTTGCTCTGATACTGAACAGCTAATTCAAGGCCACATTCCATCAAACATGAACAGCCAGTCCTCCCAGTACTTTTCATATCTGCCCACCAACCAGCTCCGTCCATCTCCGGGACCACCGACTTTCCACGGCCTTGTGTATACTCCATCCCCCTTCAGATGTCTCTTCATTGCTACGTTGATACTGAAACTGCTAGGACTCACCCCAACGAAATAGTCCGATTCAAGCAAAACCGCGAAATCCACTAAGGCCTGTTGATCCCAGCTTAGAGACTTCAGCCTCTCCAGATCAGAACCTTGCAGGACGTCATGCTTGGAATAGACGTGCAAACCGACATCCTTTAAAGCATCCTTGGCGAATCTTTGGGCCTCGGTCTCGTTGCCTGACGCCAAATACGCCACTCCGCCTCGGAACCCTTGATTCTCCGCCTGTCTTATATAACCAGCGATTTGATTGCCATAAGAGGGCCATTGCTCCAAAGCGTCTCTTTCTGTCCTCAGATGAACCCCCAAGAATCCTCTACCAGCCCCTAATTCGTTAGCATTACTCGAACCAACTAAGCTTCGCATAGCGGCACTAATGCTACCCCCAAGATCCAGAATATCATCTCTGATTCTTAGCAGGCCTCCATATGTCGCCACAAAGTCTTGTCCATCCCGGTAAATTGGCCAATCCCAGATTACTCCCCATCTAAGCCGAATAAGTCTCGGTTTATCCCGAGTAACCGCGTCCAAACCCCGTTCACTTGCTGATTCATTCATCCATTTTCTGAATGACTGCCCGAATCGATCCGTGTGCCTATTAGGGTCCCTTCGATCACAGCCCCCTCGATTCCCGTAGTCTTTCGGGGCAATCATCTCGACCATCTTTTCCAACAGTAATTTCTCCTTTTCCATCTTGGCAATCACTCCCGGTACACTCTCCAGCTCTGCATATATCTTGATTTGCGGACAAGCGGCGCCCATACCGGCTCGGAAATGGACCTCGTCGAACATGTAGCCGAACGGCTCATAGTCGCGGAAGATATTCGAGAGATTATCTTCTGAGCGAGTGCGGATTCGGGGTAAGATGAGAGCCGTGGCGCCCGCCTCGATGGCATAGCGGACACAGGTCAGGATGAAGTTGCGGATATTACCTGGGCCGCCGCTGTTGTTGTCGCAGATGAAGACTAAGCCGGGCACAAACGTTGCTTCTGCGCAGACGCGCTTCAAGGGCCATGCAATGAAGGGAGAGCGTGGCGACGAGAGGTCAACATCTGACTTCTGTCTTGGCGGCTCGTGGACGATGAGCTTGGGCTGGGGCCGACTATACAGATTGGTGCCAAGGCGGTAGTTCCACAGAACCAGGGAGATACCGAGACAGGCAAGCAGCAGTAGCATGGGCCGCTGCCGCGTGGGACCCAATTGTATTCGGGTTTGCGCCATTCGTAGATTGCTCTCGCTACTCGATTCTGACGTTTGGATCTACTGTAACTTCGAAGCGGATATCGCAGGGATGCATCTGAAGAGGCGAGTCTGCACTTGGCAGCAGGAAATGGGTTGTCGGACGGATTCGACCTTTGTGAAGGAAATTGATATTCTACAAAAACTTTGCATCTTCATGTGCGAAATCACCGGCGACCATCATCCGGGAATGTCCAATTTTGGGATGCGGAACGTGGCATCCGAGGATGGTCCAAATGGTTGAGCCTCTATGGAGCTGAATAAAATGTTGGATCACCATATGGCCATGATAAGACGATGCCAACTACGTAGAGTCATGCATACTTTTGACTATTCGGTATCACATATATAGCACAGATAATCAATATATTTTAAAAATAGAGATGTCCAAGGGGAGATCTTCGACCAAGTTGGTGTTGTAGTTCGTCACGGGTATTTCAAGTACAGAGTGAAGGACGAGAGTGCTAGAGAGAAGTTGGTTGCCAGTCACCAGGTGGGCACCAGCAGTGTAGTTTAGGGGAGGGCACTCAATAACGACAAGTTGCTCACTGCCCCTCCTCAAGAGAGGGGGCCACAGCAGCAGCCTATTTAGACATTGCCGACCAAGGCTAGGGCCCGGCAAGCCACTGTGGCTTATCTGCACCTGATATAGTATTCCGTTTCACTAATGTCTCTCCTCGTAATCAGAGCAAATACTATGGATCTAGCTGATTAATCTAGAACAGGATTATGTAAGATTTTCTATGGAATTTGTGTTGATATTTGGACAAATGAGAGCGACACTCGCAACGGGCCAAGTCGTGCGTATTTCTTGTTCAACATCAACTCGAGGGATGATCTAACATCTAAACGTCGGTATTGACTCCTTAAGTTTCTAACAAGTTGTCCTACTGTGTCTTACCAAATCTGTTATCTGCAAACACTTTCAATTTTCCATAGTCACACCACTGCCTTCAAAGCTAACGTAGCCTCATCCCTTGGACATTTCACTAACAAAACAACACGTTGGTTGTATATATAGCTCTAGGCCTTGACCCTGCTAGAGATGACCAGTTGCAGTTTGATCCTTGGTGTGTTCGTCAACTTTGTAAAGTACTATCCAAAGCGGTTGGTCCAACAAGACAACATCTATGTGCATGGATGTCTTATCGTTACGCTTGCAGTCGTCAACAGATATGTGGCAATTACTAATTGGATGTATACCTTCGCTACACCAAGCTGCGGCCCCTAAACATGCTCCGAAAGACGATCCTCATCACTGGCTGCAGTGACTGCGGCATTGGCGCCGCCGTCGCTGAAAGGGCATCGAGACTATTGCGCTAGAGTAAAAATTCGAAGAACCCATCTTGGCCATCGTGTCTCAAGCCCAAAAGGCCACGAGCAGATCTCTGGACTACCTGCTGAACAACGTCGACACGACGTAGATCATGCCCTTTGCCGACTTCAAATTCGAGGATTTGCGGCGTGTTATTGAGACGAACATCGAGGATGTGTTTGTCATGACCCACGCATTTCTGCCCTTGTTGATCAAGGCAAAAGGGTTTGTTCCCACGGCGGGAAGCGTCATCTAAGTGACAATCCACCACACCAAGCTGTGTATGACGCATGCAAAGCGGCGGTCCTTGCTATTGGTTCTAGGCTGCAGCCGTTTGAAATGAGATTCGTGACGCTGATGACTAGAGGGGTGCGGTCCAAGTTGTTTGATAATGCACCGACTAAGCTTCCCTGGGGAGGCTGTATGTACCGGCTGTAGAGCAGATTCAGGAGCGGTAGTTTCTGAAGGGAACGCCAGGGGTGGAGGCGGTTGTGTATGCGAAGACGGCTTTTGGGAATTTGCGGGAATTTGCTGAAGCCTAACCCGAGGTCGACGATTTGGAGGGGTGGGATGGCAACTACTGCCTGGGTTTAGGGTTGGATTGGGTGGGATGGCATGATACGTGAGTCCAAACTACTCCGCAGTGGTAATCAGGTGATACAACACTGACTTTATCCTAGACCATACCATGCTCAAAAGCAACGAGTTGCATGAAATTCCACGTTGAAATGTGAAATTACAGGATTGGGGTTGCCCATGCCTAGTTCCCTGGCAATGAATATTCACTTGATGATTCGGGCAAGCGGCTACCAGTAAATCCCAGGCTAGATTTCAGCGAGTTGTAGGACGCTGAATCATACAATAGAGGAAATGATCGAGCTACATGATGGAACTACGACGATTCATAGTACTTAAGCTGCGCGTGAAATAACCGCGAGACACTTAGAGACTTGTTGTCCCAGGACGAACAGTTGAATACTTAATGCTCGATTTATAGGTAATGGAGCCTAACTGTGCCGCAATTATGATGTGGTTCATAGTTTTGAATTTATAGTTACGTGACATTTCTGTGGCTCCGATATACAGAGCCATAAGTAAATTGCATGTGATAATACGTATCTACAGGGTCAGCTCCAACGCCCCTAGCTCCTGTTTACTTTGAGCCCCCGGCTTGAGATTCTTGAAACTCTTCGTAATGTTCGTGATGGCCTCCTCAACCGGCAACCGCTCCATCGAGCTGGCGCCATAAAACCCATGCACCCCCTTCGTCCTGCTTAATACATACTCGGCATCCGCAGGCGCAGCAATAGGTCCACCATGACACAATACAATAATTTCAGAATTGATCTGCACTGCAACATCCTGAATCTCCTGAATCAACGTCACACATTCATCCAACCCCTTACCCGTCGAAGCCCCAATAGACCCACTAGCCGTGAGTCCCATATGAGCAACCAAAACGTCTGCCCCAGCCGCCGCCATCTTCTTCGCCTCGGCAGCATTGAAAACATAGGGGGTAGTGAACAGGCCCATCTCGTGCGCGAGCCGAATCATGTCCACCTCGGCGTCATACGACATTCCCGTCTCCTCCAAACTCGTGCGGAACGAGCCGTCGATGAGCCCAACGGTCGGAAAGTTCTGCACACCTGCGAAACCGAGGTCCTGTAGCTGATTGAGGAATTGCGGCATGCTGCGGAAGGGATCGGTAGCGCAGACGCCGGCCAGGACGGGTGTGTGTTTTACTATCGGGAGGACTTCTTTCGCCTAAGGCTATGTGAATCACTTGGAGAATAATTGGGTAGTTGTTCAAGTGAAGAGAAGTGTACTTACCATATCCACCACTACATCGTTTGCATTTCCGTACGGCATCAATCCGGCTAAGGATCCGCGCCCAGCCATACGAAAACGGCCGCTGTTATAGATGATGATCAGGTCACCGCCGCCGGCTTCGATGAACTTGGCCGAGAGGCCGATCCCGGCACCGGCTCCAACAATTGGTTGGCCGTCTTTGATCTGCCGCCAAAGTTTCTTGAGGATCTGGTTTCGGTCTGTGAGGGGCGCCATCTTCCGCGATGATTAGATCGGGGTATTATCTCAACTAAATCAATTTGACAAATCGGCAAATTAAAGACGACTTTCTACGGATGAAATAGTGTACGACTCCTACAGATGACTTACACTTTGTTGACGTCACATCTCCAGTGATAATCGTAATGTCTCCGCACAACTTGCACGACGTCATTCATGTGTTGACGAAATAAATCCGTCTTAGACACTCTTACGATATCCGGAAAAAATATGAGAATCAGTCTAACAGTGACTAATAAATATTAATATCTGCCAAAATGGCGACTGTTGCATTACTCGGAACCTGCGACACTAAGCTCGATGAGCTCCTCTTCCTCCGTGATCAGATAAAGCAAAATGGGGATGTGGACATTCTCATGATCGACGTCGGAAGATCAAATGTGCAACACGATGCGATCAACATCACCCAGGAGCAGCTCGTGTGCGATAACGGCCGCCGGAACCACGGCGATAGCCAGGTGCCGATGCCGCGCGGCGAAACTATCCGGCTCATGAGCGACTGCGCGTCAGTACTGGTCAAAAGTCTATATGAAAAGGGGGAGATACAGGGCATCATCGCGGCGGGAGGCTCAGGGGGGACCGCACTCGCGGCTCCTGTTATGCGAAACGCCTTGCCCATTGGCTTCCCCAAGATGATCGTCTCAACCATCGCCAGTGGGGATACGGGCCCAATTGTGGGCGAGACGGATATCACGATGATGCACTCGGTGGTTGATGTCGCAGGACTAAACCATGTTCTGAGGGATGTTTTGGGCAATGCTGGGGCGGCCATCGCGGGTGCGGCGCTGGCGTATGCGAGTCGACATAGACAAAATATGTTTGAGGCCAGTAGCCGGATGTTTACCACCAAGAAGCGCGTCGCTATCACCATGTTTGGCGTCACCACACCGGGGGTTGACGCGGTACGCCATCATCTCGAGAGCAACTACGATATAGAGACGTACATATTCCACGCGACTGGACATGGGGGTAAAGCAATGGAGCGCCTGATTCGCGATGAGATTATCGATGCCGTGCTCGATCTGACAACGACAGAGATCTGCGATTTCATCACAGGCGGTACTATGCCTGCCAACTCGAATCGTCTCGTGGCGGCGGTCGACGCTGAAATCCCCAATATCATCTCGCTGGGCGCTACCGACATGTCCAATTTTGGTCCCATGGATACGGTGCCGGCGACATACAAGAACCGAAAGCTCTACGAACACAATCCTGTGATTACACTCATGCGCTCTTCCGAGGACGAATGCAGACAGATCGGGGAGTTCATTTGTGCCAGGCTACGGAACGCGACAGCTCCTGAGATGGTGGAAGTGTGGATACCGATGGGCGGCGTGAGCATGATTTCTACGTCCGGTGGGCCGTTTGAGGATGATAAAGCCGACGCGGTGCTCTTCGAGACGATCCGCGAAGGCCTGCGGGGGACTGGTATCAAGGTCGTTGATGATAATAGAGATGTAAACAACCAGGGGTTTGCTCGCGATATTGCTGAGGCTTTGGTGAAAAAAATGGGGATGAGAACGGAAGGATAAGTGTGGAACTTTACACGATGTCAAATATATATTTTACATGAACATAAACATGGATTATACTCAATACTTGAAAGGACTGTCGTCTTTATGGTCGAAACGGAGAAAGGGGGAAAGGAGTACCTTCAAAATACGTTTAGAGTAATGTGAGATTTAGCGTGAGATTGCGGATACTGCATCAGTTGTCAATCCTATGAATATGCACCGGCGTTACTTGAAGTCGATTTGTGCTGTTCAGCAGCAGACTTCTCATAGCCAACATGCAGATATCGACTACCCGCTCATAGACGATTCCGGGACCATCGCTATACTACCACTGCCAGCCTTCGTTTTCTGCCTGCTTCCTTCTCTCATCCGTCGAAGATATGAACACCTCCACAGGGTTGCATTGGCCTAAAATTCTTCGGGGTAGACGCCCACCCCATTCTCATTAACCAAGGATCCACATCCTGGCAAGATGCGATGGAAGCATGCTCAACGTGGGCCCTTCGTCGCGGTTCACAATGACACGGTTGCTGCTCTGTGTCCACTGCAGACCCAAGCCCTCAGCGGTATGTGGGTTGGCACTACTACCGTCTTCATGCAGTCCAATATAGGTCTAGAACTTAGAGTCGAGCAGTCCAGCAACACAACAATGGTCTATCAGGCCACAAGATGTGGCGGTGCAAGCCACTCCCGCCGTTATCAAAGCGAGAATGAATGTTTGTTGCCGATTGCGGCCATTCGGATCACTGAGCCAAGGTCAAGCCCCGTGGCTTCTGAAACTGGCCAATCAACTACTATACGAGGCCGGAAGGAGGAGGTCCCCAGCCGCCAAGAACGGCTCTTGCGCCCACGGGGACCAGTCAAAGGCGAGCACGAGGATACCGATATTTGTCACATAGTTGAGAACGGTACTGTCACGGGATTTCAAGTGCAAAGTGAAGGACGAGAGTGCTCAAGCGAAACAAGCTGCCAGTCACCAGGTAGGTACCAATAGCGTAGTATAGGGGACTCAATAACGACAAGTTAATCGCTGCCCTCTCTAAAAGAAGAGGGGTCACAGCAGCCTAGTTATACATTTCCGACCCCTGTCCAGGCCAAGCCACTGTGGCTTGTTTGCATCTGACAGGTACTACCGCCATTGCCACAATTACCGCAGCCCGCTACCATCGATCATGGTAACGACCCATCGTATGGTTGTAAGCACGCTCCAAGTGTCGGTGCCCCAAGTATGTGCATTACCATGTGGAAGAACATAATCTGCCTTCACATCTTGGGCAAAGTTCAAGTTCAGCGTCCGTGAACCGGCCCAGACCGGGTGTAGAAACGATGTCAGAGAGCACTGCGGGTTGTCTGGTAGGGACCAAGGTATATTAATCTTATCTGCTCTTAATTTTGGCTGTCTTATTATTTGCACACTTTCTTATGACAAACAAATACAAATAAAAGAAGAACATACGAGCTTTTTGCCAGAAAAGAATTACCGTGAAGTATTTGAAAGGAGTAGCTGTGGTTCCAACGCCCGGTCTATACATTATGTGTGTACTGTTCTCCTCGTCTTTGGCACTCAAAGCTTCACCCGCTTTTTGGAAACTTGGCGATGTTGCCTCTAATATGCTGTGTTTGCCACTGTCTCCTGGAAAAATAAATATCCCCAAACGACAGACGAGTCCTAGGTGTCCCTCGCTGCTATCACACGCAAGTAGCTTTGTTCGTCCCTACGGCTCGCTCCCACCCTCGCCCTCGCTCTTGCTCTTGTCCTTAATAGCCGTTTTTGTTTTCGTATCATGCTTTATGCCTTTGCCCTTCGATCTATCTTCGGTCTGCATATCGCGTGCTACCTTCCGGCAAATTTCTGCTGCTATCAGGCCGAAAAAACTGAATTTCCTGATACTGCATTCATGTCAGATTGGCATGAAATTCCCTGAAAGTGCTACTTCAAAGAGTCCAGAGGCGAAAAGACCTACCGGCACTCACAATTCTTCCTCTTGCTTCGGACGTCTATTCATCTTGGTGTGGCTTGGTTATTTCAACCTCGAGGTTTGAGTCTCAGTTCGTCTACGGCATATACTAGCCAAGACACTAGAACGTGACCGAAGTCAAAATTCTTTGCGGATTTATGGTTTTGGCTGTTGCTTGGTACTGATGGTGAATCCTTTGCCGCGAGCTTGTGTGACGAGTGTGCTATTCTAGTTGCCGGTGATAAATCGTTGATACTCTCTTATATTCACCCTTTTCCGGCGAAAGTTTAGTAACGGCCAGGGCCACTTCAGTTACAGTGCCTTATAAATATAGTATAAGCAACATGCTTCTGCGTCTAAATACCCTAAATATCCTAAATATAGCTGGCACGCAACTGCTGGCTGCTGGACTGTATATTACCCAATATGACCACAATTGTCTGAGCGGCGTCTCATTCAACTTTGGGTGTCTTAAGGGTCCGACACTCTGAGAACCGTCACGTACGTATGAGGTATATCATATTCTAAGTTTAGCATGTGACTAGCGCTCCTGTTCTAAAGTTCCAATCCCGGATTGCTTCAAATTTGTGGGATCTGCAGCCCGAGCCATGTCCTTCATCTGCTCCTCAGCCCCATCATCAAAGATGCCAAGCCTCGAGACAGCCTGCAGATTGAATCGCTAGTTGCTCAAACACATCAGTCGGTAATTGTCTAGTCCGTGGCACGCTCTTCGGCAGCACCACCGTCCGACGTCCAATACCCGATGAGTACAGCAATAAGACAAAATCGAAGCCAGTCTGCTTGCTAAGTGGCGCAGCCTGCAGAACTCGAACAGGCCTTTCCGCTGCAGAGTTCTGAGTCGATGGGGAATTATGTATCACTTGGGTTGAATGCTCTGGTAGCAGATCATCAGAAGAGGGCTCAAATGCTTGGGAAATTTTGGGGCTTACACGGGCCAGTGGATCAGAAAGAATCAACGTACTCGGTTCCGAGATGCTTCAACGTCTTGTACAAACCAACCCCAACATCTTCAGGCTTGTGTTTGGCATTCCATTGGTAAGTAATATTCCCAAGCGTGGCACCACTGTTTCGAATGCCCTCGCCAACTTCGGCTTCGTTGCGGTAGATTGCTGCACAGTCCAGATGGCGATAGCCAGCTTTCAGAGTTTGCTCCAGGGCGACTTTTACTTAGCTAGGTGGTGCCTGTCATGTGCCGAAGCCGACAGCCGTCACTTTTGTGCCTGGGTTGAGCTTAAACCTTGGCAATGTTGTTTCTGGTCAAAGTAAGTTGGGTTAGCTGTATTCAAGTAATTATCTACTTGTTTGCCGTAAGGCGTGGCTCAGTTTGAGCCTGTTGGATAAATATTGATGGCAACCAGTCATCCTTCCAGGATGGTCATTCCCTTTATGTGGAAGTGGAGTGGGCGCGGAATACTCACATAGCGACGTCGGTTTAATTCCCGATTCACTGGGTAAGAACAGTGCCCGTGGAAGTGAGGTCTTCTCGCTTTCCGTCTTGTGCTTTCCCGCAGCCCAAGTAGACAGGCGTGCATATTTCCGTCTCCGCATGTGGTCGCCACTTCGCAATTTGCCGGGGACGTGTTGCTTTTCCATTGTCATCTCCCTAGCCGACTTATATACACTCCGCACCAACAATGAGGGGTCCGCATAGCCGACAGCAGGGATTCCGCATATTGTCTATCCGCTCGGAAAAGGTGCCAACCACGTTCATGGCGACACCGTCCTTTATAACTACCGCGCATTACTCGCGTGTGCCTTTGAATTGCCATAGAGTTCTGCAAATAACTATCAGACCATTCGGCAAAATGTTGGCCTCAGTTGGAATATCCAGCGCTTCGGGCGCTGTTCCCAGCGACACTCCAGTCGCTCCGTTGCAACCACAAAAAGACGTCGCCACAGAATCAGACGATGATTCGAATCTGCAGACTGTGGACGACTTGGTTCGAAAGCGAGCTCGAACCAACTCTCACGATATCATTGTCTCCTATCCTTCTTCTGGCATTGAATATGTCGACTATACCATGCAGCAACTGGACGTCTTTGCGTACAGAGCTGCCATACACTACCAACAATTCATACCAACTCGGTCATCTTCGGAAGAAAAACCAACTGTTGTGGCTCTCTTGGGGCCGTCCAACTTCGAGTACTTGGTCACAATGCTGGCCTTGACAAAACTCGGACACACCATTTTATTCTTGTCAACACGACTCTCTCAGGCGGCAATCGAATCGCTGATGTCCGTGACTGGAACTAAATATCTCCTGGCCGATTCCAGGTATCTTGAAGTTGCCAGTGAGAGTACACAGGGAGATCTGTCTCACATCCAGATCCATCGCATTGCATCCAAGGGAGTCTTTGACTTCCCGGTCGAAGTCCATGCCGACACAAGACTGGACTCCGCTCTTGACCACAATGTGGAAGCAAACAACTACATTTACATAATCCACTCAAGTGGTAAGTCTTTGACCTGCTGCTATTCCACTGTTCGCTCAAACACGACTAATTTGGTACCCAGGATCAACGGGTCTGCCCAAGCCCATCTATCAGCAACAAAAGGCAGCACTGTCCAACTACGCCGTCAGCATGGAGATGAAGGCATTCATTACCTTGCCCCTTTACCACAATCACGGTATCTGCAACTTGTACAGAGCCATCTACGCAAAGAAGGCCATTCACATGTACAGCGCAGACCTTCCCCTGACCCAACAGCATCTGACTGCCGTGATGCAACAACATAAATTCGAGATCTTCTACGGTGTGCCATACGCCCTGAAGCTCCTCTCCGAGACAGAGAGGGGCATTGAGCTTCTGAGGCAGCTAAAGGTCGTCATGTACGGTGGCTCCCCATGCCCTGACGAGCTCGGCGACCTCTTGGTAGGGAAAGGGATCAATCTTATTGGCCATTATGGAGCGTAAGTTCCATTCACTTCCATCGATTTTATCGAAGCTCGGCTAGCTCATATTGCGGCAGGACTGAGGTGGGACAACTCATGACTTCGTTCCGGCCACCAGGGGATATGGCGTGGAACTACGTCCGAGAAAACGATAGAGTTTCCCCGTTTCTGAAATGGGTTCCCCGGGGTCCGAAATTGTTCGAATGCTGCGTCGTCGATGGATGGCCGTCCAAGGTTGCCTCCAACCAGCCCGACGGCTCGTACTCGACCAAGGATCTCTTTGAGCCCCATCCCAAGATTCCTCGCGCCTGGAAGTACATCGCCAGAATGGACGACACCATCGTCCTGGTAAATGGCGAAAAGACTAACCCGGTTCAAATGGAAGGGCGGATACGCTCCAACAACGCCGTTGCCGAAGCCGTCATTTTTGGAACCGGACGTCCCTATCTCGGTGTCCTTATCATCCCCTCTGAGTCCACTGCCGGAAAGTCCAACGAGGAAATTGTGGAATTGCTATGGCCTACGATAGATTCTTCTGGTCCCGCTGAAGCATACGCTCGCATCTCCAAGAACATGATCCGAATCCTCCCGCGGAACGTCGACTACCCAAGAACCGACAAGGGCAGCTTCATTCGGCAGGCGTTCTACAAGCAATTCGCATCCGATATTGAGGCAGCGTATGATGCCGCAGACACATGCCAAGGTGGATCGCTTAAGGCGTTGACCGTCCAAGAGATTCGTCAATACCTCCGCGAAACTCTGCTCAAGTCGCTTGTCCGGGCATCGAATGTCGCTGATGACGCAGACTTCTTCTCTCTAGGATTAGACTCGCTTCAGGCTATTCAGCTGCGAAGCGAGATCTTGAAGACGGTGGATACGAGGGGCCAGAAGCTCGGGCAGAACGTGGTCTTCGACTACCCTTCCATCGCCAAGCTGAGCAATTACCTGTTCAAGCTCGCCACCGGAAGTGAGGACGTAAAGACCAGATGCGTCGAGGACGAGATGACTGAGATGATCGCCAAATACGGGGAATTTTCCCCAAGGCCATCACGCTTGCCGTCGTCGGTGGTACGTCTCTTGAAACCTCACCCCTCCTTAACCAAAAGTCAAAACGACTAACCCCTAACCCCTCAGGTCGTCACCGGAACCACCGGCTCCTTGGGTGCCCACGTCGCCGCTCGCGTAGCCTCCGACCCGACCGTATCCCGCGTCTACTGCCTCGTCCGCGCCAAAGACCAAACTGACGCCCTCCGCCGCGTTCACGACTCCCTACAAAATCGCCGTGTCTACGAGACTCTGCCCCCCGGCGCACAGCACAAGATCATCCCCCTTATCTCCGACTTCTCCAACGCCCACCTTGGCCTTTCACAATCCGTCTACAGCGAAGTGACTTCAAGCCTCCGCAGCGTTATCCACTGCGCCTGGGCCGTAAACTTCAACCTGACCGTGTCAAGCTTCGAGCGCGACTGCATCGCGGGCGTCAAGAACCTGCTGGACCTCTGCCTTGCGGCCGAAGGCCCAGTCCCGGCCAGTTTCGACTACTGCTCCTCCGTCAGCTCTGTGGCACGGGCGCCAAGCCCCGTCCCTGAAAGGATTCCAGACCTCGAGTGGGCCCAGGGCATGGGCTACGCGCAGTCCAAGTCCGTGTCAGAGTACCTGTGCCACCTGGCTGCCAAAAAGACGGGGATGCGTGTCCGCGTGCTGAGGGTCGGACAGATTGTCGCTGATACTCGGACGGGCATCTGGAATCCCACCGAGGCCATCACGATGATGATGCAGAGCGCGCTCACCATTGGGGCTTTGCCGAAGCTGCAGGAGACGCCCTCGTGGCTGCCCGTCGACACCGTCGCCCAGGCCATCAAGGAGATTGCGCTTTCTGATACAGGTTCGATCTTCGCCAATGTGACGAACCACCGCCTGTTCCGTTGGACTGAAGACTTACTGCCCATGCTCCGGAACGCGGGCTTGGAGTTCGATGAGGTTGAGCCCAAGGAGTGGGTGCATCGACTGCGCGGGTCGGAGCCGGATCCCGAAAAGAACCCGCCTATTAAGTTGGTTGACTTCTTTGCTTCGAAGTACGACAAGGATCAGATCAACCCTTCGAGAACTTATGTCACCGAGACGGCGCGCTCGCTGTCTCCGGCGCTGGAAAATGCGCCTGTATTGAATCAGGAGCTAGTTGACAAGTTTGTGCAGCATTTCTTAGCCACTGCTTGGAAGAGAGATAACTGAAGACAATAGCGAGCATTGCGTAAACATGCATGTTTCTCGGTAGAGTAGAGTAGAGTATGATTTGTAGCTTAATTAGCATGAGCCAACTGGACACAGCAAACTAGCATGATCGTGGATGTTGTATGTAGATAGTCGAAAGTCATTTTGCAACCAAAAGCTCGTAATATACCCTTAATGTGATCTTCCCCGAATATGGCGAGCGGTTCACGACTCCAGCAACGATGCAGTTCCCACAGTCTCAACACTCCCCTCCCTCTCCCTAACACTCTCTACCCTCCCCCCCTTTTCAATATCGTCCATTCTCGCTACAAACTCCGCTTGAAGTCTCCTTAAGTAGCTTCCTAGCGCTGCATCATCCATATCTGAATCCCGCAATTGATTTAGAGTTTCGTGCAGGCTCAGCATGAGCTTTCGCCTGGCTCGTAGCTTTGCGGATTGCGAGCTTTGCTTCCTGTGCTCAATCTGCTGTTTCAGCGTCTTCGACACCGCCTCCGCTAGTTGCATGAAGGAGGCAGGAAATCCGATGACGCGAGCGAGATTTAGACCGTAGTACTCCTCTTCGATCGGTCCCGAGTTGATCTTGTAAAGCATCGTCATCTTCGGGGTTTCTCCATCTTGTGGTTCCGTAATATTTGTGGCCAAATGGAGGTTCAGAACTCCAGGGCGGCTCCCAAGGACTTTGGCTATGGTACGGGTCAGTGCAGCTCCATAAAAAATTGGTCTCGGTATAAACTAACCCAGTTGGTTGAAGTGTGTTACAAACCAAACCAAAGAATTGCTCTGAATGAGTGCCTCGGACATGGCAAGAGCGATGGCAAGACCGTCCCTGGTGCTGGTAGCACGGCCTAGTTCATCAACAATGACGAGACTTTTCGCATTGATATTTCGCAAGATAAATGCCATCTCTCGCATCTCCACCGAGAAGGTTGACATGTTCGCTTCGATATTGTCATCTGTAGACAAGCGGATGAAAAGCTGCTCAATGATTGGGAAAGCGGCATACTCGGCCGGTACGAAGCACCCAATCTGTGCCATGACTTGCAAAAGAGCAATCATCCTGATGTATGTACTCTTACCGCTCATATTACAGCCCGTGATAATCTGGAATCGATGCTGTTCACTGGCATATACGTCGTTGGATATGAACCGATCGGGCATCATCTAGAATACGTCAGCTCCAATCGAAATTTACTCAAGGTTCAGACCTCACCGCTTCACAGATTGGATGACGGGCTGATTTTAGTGCCAAAGTGTCCCCGAGTTCAGGTCGAACGTAGTCTTTGGCTGTCGTAGAATGGCCAAAAGCAGCAATCATATCCAGCAGGGCAAGACCTTCACAGACTCGGAAAAGAGTTACAATATGACCTCGGATAGCATTCAAAAGTTCCTGTACAACCTTGTCACTCAGCATCACCGCCTCGTTGTGGGAATCAGTGATGCGATTGTTAAGCTGCACAAGGACCAGAGTCTGACACTCGAAATGTTCGCCGTTGCGAACTTGATTGATAAGTACGTCTGGGATGCCCCGGCCCTTAAATTCAGAGGTTCTGGTTCGCAGCCAGTATTGACGGTTTCGATCGTATCTGATGTCGAACACCATGTCGTACTCTTCTATAATTCCGTTAGGTCACGAAACGCTTTGATATATGAACACACGTACCATTTATATCATTCACATGTTGATGTACGTCGTCTGTGCCTTCTTTGTATGTCTGTCGAGCGACATCCAGCATTCCATGGACTCCAGACTGTAGGTTTGTCAGGGGTCATCCATATTGGAGTTGCTGACTCACCTTTACAGCGTATGTCCTCTGATTTCGCAGATCTAGCGGCCTGTTGACATAGGTAACATCCTCATTGATCGTACCAGCAATCAGATCTGAAATTGGTTGAACGAGCTCAGGGCGACATATTTGACGGATTCTCTGGAGAAGATCTGTCCGGGCGGCACCAAGCGCTTCATACAAAGCGGGGACGGCCGAAATGAAAGCTTTGATTTCGAGAACGTGGTTGATTGCCTGCTCTGACTCGTATATTGACGCTTGGTCAGGTACGATCACAAGCTTCATAATATTAGCGAGGACTAGTAAACACAGTTCCCAGGCTCATACTTGTGTCAGCAGTTTTTCAGCATCGGTAAATCCTTTCAGAGCTGTAGAGAGTTAGGACACAATAAGATTTGATATGTACTGGCTGCCTGACCTTTTCTGATCTCGAAGAACATGTCCTCTTTCGTGGTCAACTCGTCCAGAGCATCAAACCGAGGATTCAGGGTATGATCAATCTGTGTTGAAGGCTGAAGAATGTTGCTTCGCAGCATTCGCGACCCCATGGGGGTCAGCGTCTCGTTAAGAAGTCCGAAGAGGCAGTTCCTAGACTTCGCATTGTGCAAGTTCTGGATGAGTTCCAACGAGTGAATGGTTGAAATATCGATTAGCATAGAGTTCTCGGAGGGCTGATACTTTATACGAAGCGAATGGGAGATGACTGTCAGATGGCATGCGAGTTCCATGTATTTGATTGCCTGATACAGTGAGATGCATCCCGTAGAGTAAGAGAACTATACCTACCGCAGCAAAGGAACAAGTTGCGTAGAAATTGCCCTGGATTGCAACCTTGATGGCATCGAGGTCCTCCCTGAAAGCGAGGGTCTGCATAAAATCCAACCCAGCCATCTCAGACCAATACTTACGGTCAAGTGCCTCAATAGGGGTACCGTGGAGTTCCTCTTCAAGGATAGACAGGAGGGTCGACTTGGGGTTCGGTGGGAAAGTAGTGTTGACCATAAGAATAACCGAAGGATCGTAGACCTGAATCTTGTGCACCGTTTTGACGTAAAATTGAGAATCACAAATCTGGCTGAGTACTGCTTCGTTTGTAGTTGCATTCACAAAGGCTAGCCCGACTGACGGTGAGACCCCTCGAGCCTCACTGATAGCGCATATGATCTGGTGTCCATCCGAGCCCCAGAGGGAAGACGCCGCACGCGATTTGATTCCAGACGCGCTGCTCGTATTTCGGCATAGACTTGATGGATAGGAGGAGCTTGTAGCCGAGCGACTCCTAGAATAGGAGTAAGAAGTGGACTGGCTTGCAGATGATTGCGGTCTACGTTGTCTAAGGGATGGATGAGGTGTAGATGTCGACGTCCGAGCTAATGAATTTGGCGGCCTTCGAGCACCATCTAAGGAACGAGAAGACGTCAGGTTCTTCTTTTCTGCAGGCCTCGGTGGCAGTGGCATAGCTCGTGATGCTGACAATCTACTGGATGCTCTTGAAGGTCTCGGTGGTGGAGGCATGGAATAAGATGCGCCAGGCGGCGGTGACATAGACGACATATTGAAGAATATAAGTTCGACGCCTCAACAGTTTTGCAATGAAAGCAAGTAAAATGAGTTGAACCGAATGATAACAGGGGTGAGTGAGAGAGGATCGGGAAAGAATGACATTGAAGAAGACAGTCGGGCATTCGACAGTAAAAAATCAGTAGTGCCGGCGAGAATGTGATTTTTAAAGAGTGTATGGAACAGCTTAGATGGACCAGAATGAAGCTGATATAAATGAGTCTCGAAAATTGATTTCACCTTTTAGGCAGTCACAACTTATAAGTCTCTTGCTTGGCCGCCCATTGGTGCCTTGATTTGTGGAGTAAGTACCCTGTAAAAGTACGGGCTGCCAAGGATTAGTTACCCGTCCCTCCCACCGATAAGATAAGCAGTTGGGAGATTTTTCTGAAGAACGTCTTCGCGATGTTCCCCGCCAAGGTAGAGAAGAAAGCATCCGGTGGACATTGATCTGTTGGGCTGACACTTTGTTCCGTAACTGAACTTCGCCCATACTTTTGGTGAGCTGAGATTCCAGCCAGAATTCACGATGGCGACAGTAATACCTCCACCCAACAAGCGACAAAAGCGCGAGCAACTAGAACGTACTCAAGTCCATCAAGATGTCCATGCCACGGCGCTCGAAGCTGGATCATTCCGAGTCCGATTTATCGACAACGAACAAAACCAATTGGCTGAAGTTGTCGAAATTCCGCTAGGCGATGCAAGCGAAAAGAATGTCAGCCTGTTACTCAACACACTCCTGGGCCGTGACCGCGAAGATTTCACTCCTTACCGCTTCCGAATCCACGTTCCCTCCTCGGACACGATAATAGACACGTACCCGACTCCCGCAGAGTTTATGTCTATCCTTCGAAAGCATGGCGTCAACAATCCGTTCGAAACCACCCTTACCCTTTCGGCAGAGCCCCAGGCGGTCTTCAAAGTCCAAGCAGTAACACGGATGTCGCATAAGATACCCGGGCATGGCGAAGCTATACTTGCGGCGCAATTTTCTCCGAGGTCGAGCAGTCGCCTTGCCACAGGGTCGGGTGATAATACGGCGAGAATCTGGGACACGGATACTGGAACCCCGAAGTATACCCTAGCAGGTCACACTGGCTGGGTGCTGGCCGTAGCATATAGCGGAGATGGCAATAGACTGGCGACTGGCAGCATGGACAAGACCGTGCGCATGTGGGACGCAGATACCGGCAAGGCGGTTGGTCGCCCATTCACAGGTCACTCCAAGTGGGTAACAAGTATAGCTTGGCAGCCCTTCCACCTCTGGGAAGATGAGACACCAAGGCTGGCGAGCGCAAGCAAAGATGGTACGGTCAGGATATGGATCGTCAACACCGGACGGATAGAGCACGTCTTATCAGGACACAAGGGAAATGTTTCTTGCGTGAAATGGGGCGGAACGGGACTCATATACACCGGAAGTCATGACAAAACCGTGAAAGTGTGGAATGCAGTGGATGGTACCCTGGCTCGAACCTTGTCCGCACACGCTCATTGGATCAACCATCTTGCGCTCTCTACAGATTTTGTTCTTAGAACGGCTTATCATGATCACACGAGGAACGTGCCTCACACAATCGAAGCTCAGCGGGCAAAGGCGAAAGAGCGATTTGAGAAGGCTGCTACGAGGCAAGGTAAAGTTGTGGAACGTCTCGTCACTGCTAGTGATGATTTTACTATGCATCTATGGGACCCAGAGCAGACAAAGCCTCTAGCGAGAATGCTAGGGCATCAGAAACAGGTGAAGCAAATGTTCCGCATCTCATGCTATAGCTGTTGCTAACGTGTTGTTAATACAGGTCAACCATGTCACATTCAGTCCAGACGGCACTCTCATCGCCAGTGCCTCATGGGACAATTCAACGAAGCTGTGGAGTTCTCGAGATGGGAAGTTCATTAATACCCTTCGGGGTCATGTTGGCCCTGTTTATATCTCAGCATTTTCTGCGGACTCTCGATTGTTGGTAAGTTGGCGACGGTCTTCTGTCGCGAAACTAGGCCCTGATATATTAGTTTAGGTCACCGCATCCAAGGACACAACCCTCAAAGTGTGGAGTATGGCGACGTGCAAACTAGCGAAAGATCTTCCTGGACATGATGACGAGGTATACGCTGTAGACTGGAGCCCGGACGGTAAAAAGGTAGGCTCTGGCGGAAAGGACAAGGCTGTTCGTTTGTGGATGAATTGAGATGGTTCGAGCGTATTTCTGCGGTAGACCTCGCAGATTTGTTTAGGGCACATCTACTTCTCTAACTGGGTAATTGGTCACGCTTTGAACTGGAGACTATCGCCCCTGAGATTCTGTTTGGTCTGCTCACGACGGATTGGCTGGTTGCATGGTATGGGGTTGCATTATTATGATGCCATGCAGCGTGAGATTTCTTGGGATACTATGAACACTCAGAGAAGGTCGAATGTCTGAAGACATTACGGCATGGCACTGTGGGATACAAGTCCAAAAGGAAGATATGTTGTAACACGAAGGCAGCTCGTCAGAGTGTAGATGGCTCTCAAGACAGGCATCAGTGATCGCGGGGAGATAATGCATGCCCTAGACTCGAAGCTATAGCAATACACGAGAATGCCAATGGTGACGGATAGAAGAAGTTGCCCAACATTTCAGGCCTTGTCTCAAACCGTAATATGCCAAATCACTCATGCCCTTGTATGCACACCAATAATACCCGCAATTGAGGTTGGCTCATTGTTTGATATGAGTGAATCGTGAGGCGAACAGACAAGTTATCGGTAGGAATCATCGCTTCATCGAGCAGCTAGTCTATCGGAGCAACCTTGCCGTACAAGACGGACGAATTGGCAGTTATCAAACAGCCTGTATACGAGCCCTTCCTTGTGTTTTCATATACAGCTAAAAATGGAAATTTACCCCGTTCCCCCTCCTGATACACAGTTGCTAGGGTCGAAAAACCTTATTCATTAGTCGGTCCATCATGGTTCAGACTTGCAGTCGACACGTTTGCCAATGATGTTATATTATTGTGTAGTATTGCTGGAGCTTTGACTCCAGACGACCCCGCCGAGCATCCATCCATCGGACGTTTTGCAGACATTACGATGTACTTGTCCTTGCGCCAAGTAAAACACATTAAATATCCTCGGGACTAGTGATGACTATTTCATAAGTTGGTCAAGCCGCGGGCCGGCTCTCGCGATGCCGAATTACCCTTTGCGCCGCCGAGTTTGTGCAAACTAGAAACGCCCCTGTTATCGAATCAACATCAGTTAAGTTCTGATATGATACAACTTAACGGAAGTTCTCGGGTGGTCTGAGCTTGGCATAGTTGTCTGTTTCAGCGCAATCTTGGTTTATCAGCAACAAGATCCTAGTGAACAATCGGCTACACGTTCATATTGTCGATGTATCCTCTTATCATTAACTGTCCAATTGTAATGGTCATACATGACGGATCAAGGAACTCAAATCAGACCGCACACAAAGCTGCGCTGGGCGGCCAAGCAAGCTGGGGGTTCATTTCATCCGAGTTGGGGTGGTCTAGAGTGGTCTTCTTCAAAATGCATCAACTACCCGTACGTAAGTACAACTCTAAACTCATACACTTCTGTGTACGGAGTACATCCATTGATTGGCGCATTATACTTCCCGTAACCAAACGGGCGGTCGCACAATAGGGCATCTCAACTTGCATGCATCTTTAGGTGTTGCTCCTCCAGGCTTGGATTATCTCGATTAGTAGTGTCCAGAGGATTTGATGCTTCCCCTCCCCCGCTGTCTCCACCTGCAAGGAAAGCTCTAGACATTGATCTGGAGTTGACAATGCAGTCTTCGCAACGCATCTAGGTTGGAAGCTTACTTTCGGCTAAAGCCTACTATGCAATCCCGAGGTTGCCATAGATGTGATGAAAAATGGGAGCGGCTTGCGCAATAAGCTCCAGAGTAAATTAGAGAAGCAGCATGCCGTCTGTATAGAACCTATAAAGTTAAGAGTGGAAGGAAGTGGTTGATTGAGAAGGGTATTAACTAGTATGAGCTCGTTGGCCTTCGTGAGATTTGCAATACTACGTAGTGGACAGATTCTGGTTTACCAGATGCCAAGTAGCTGTACTTTTATACCTCAGGTAGCGAACCATTTAGGATGAACATAGTTCACACAATCTGAGACACAAGTTGAGCAGTTAATCGAATGACTGTGAGAGAAGAAGGGCTGAAAGCGATGCCGACTGTACAAATGGGTGGGGATACTGGAAAGTTACGTTCTCAAGGTCGCTATTATTAGTGGGAATTCAATAGAGCACAGGCTGAAGCTCACATTGGACGAGCTTCCAGAGCTCAGGTTTCTACTGTCTAGCGTATTCTAGAAACGTAACCACGTTTATTGGTGGATGGATCCCATTGCGCGCAGGAAAGGGAAGATCCCTGTATCCATGTCGTTCTCTGATGGTCGACCGGCACGCCACAAAATCCCTGTTGGCCACGCCTTGCCAGCCGGGAGCCCGTGTTGGTGTTCCCCTGTCAATCTCGGATCTCTGTCTGATGATTTGACCAGAAATACCAGGGTCTCGGCCGCGCTTTGTCTCGAAGGATCGCGAAAATGACGAAAGTTATTCGGTAGGCTTCTTTTTTCCACTCATGGCTAACACGGCGTAATTTCCCATTGCCTAGGTTATCACAAAGTCTTGTCTGCCAGGCTTTTGCAGGTTCGCCATATCTCCCTTCCTATTGCAACGCAACGTCCTTGACTGCTTGGGGCCAGGTAACATTAACAAGCGCCCAAGTTGCAACTGGGAACGAAAGCACAGCATGTCGGATCGAAGCCTCCGGACGATAACCCTAAGAGTCCATCTCCATATTCCCAGCTTATAGTGGCTGGGCCACTGATGTCAACGTCGATCATTCAGTGCAAGCCGCAACCGACGCTCGCAAAAGTTTGAGAATCAACCCAACTATATAAATTGCAACAGAAACAGCTGAGAACTGTCTGTTACACGGCGGAAACAACCAAAATTACTGCTACTTGTTGTAAGTCGCTGGTTTCACCTAAATCCCAGAACGTGCATGTGGCTGTGATCGACGCTCCCAACTTCCCCTTCCCCTTCCTTAGCGTGGTTCAGCGCAGGACAAACGTCAAAGTACAGGTACAGTCCCACATGCAAGTGCGACACGACAGGGTTACGTCACAAACCCGATGTGCTGGGGCGCTGCTGCATCCATCTGTATTTGCGATGGATTTTTCCTCGACTTTAAGCTTCAACGCTCAAGCTTCCCGACTTCCAGCTGATTTAGCAGTTCTACGTTACTTCATCTCTTTGAATGTGGTTTTACACTATTTTCGCTCAGTGTCAGCCCTCGCCTTGCATGCAACCTGCCGCCCCTCCACCCAGTCGGCCGTTTCATTTCTGCTTGGAAAAAATCCCGTGTTGAACACCCGGCAGCGTCCTCGGCAATTCACGGAAGAAAACGACTACACTTGTCGCGTCCTCCATTGAAGTATTGCACACCATTTGCTACAATCATACAAACTGATTCCGAATACTTCCACTGTGAATCGGCTGGCGCGCTCACCAGTGTCGTCGCGAACTCTGGAGTCATTCTAACATCGAACCGAGTTCCTGCCCCACTGCCCAACATGACCATATTTATAGCTTCACTGTAAGTCCAGCTGCACGACTTGGAATCTAAACCCCGTTTTGTGTCCGTTGCCGTTTCTCACCTTTGTTAGCTTTCTCCCTAAAACAGTATACTTCAAGCTGCCAGACGCTCCACCGAAGGGAGGACGTCTGAACCGTGAGACAACGGGGGCGGGGCCAGTCGCAAAGACGAGACCTTCTCTCGCGGTACGCCCGAGTCTATTTGCGCCTGGTCCGGTCGTGACACCACCCGACACTCCTACCGAAGAAAACAATGTGGTTGTCATCGACGATGGTCCGTTCGCGAATGAGGATGGGGCGCGAATTCAGCTTCCAGGCGACTACAGCAGTAGCGACAGCATTAGTAGCAGCGACAGCAGCATCGACTTTGGTCCTGCAGACAAAGAGTCTCCGAAATGGGGCTCTCGGTCCAATCAGCCCAAATCCAGAGCCAATTCTCCTCCGCCCTCTTCGCTGCTCGAACGCACTAGGATCGTGCAAAAGGCGAAGGAGATGGGCCGTCAGGGTGTGACTCAACCTCGAACCAACAGAAGCGACAGCCATGATAGAGTCTTCGCAAGTGCCAACTGGCGCATTGTGAATGCCGACCAAGGCAATGGTGGTTTGCGTAACGCCGCAGATGCGGCAGCACGTGACGGGTATGAGGAAGAGCACACTTGGATTGGAACCTTGGGCATGCCGACGGACGCCTTGGAGGGCACCCAGCAAAAGGAAGATATACACGACAAACTGTGGACCGAGCACAACATGCTGGCCGTATTCTGCTCCGACAAGGACTTCGATGGCCATTACTCGCACTTCTGCAAGCAGATCCTGTGGCCCGTCTTCCACTACCAGATGCCTGATAACCCCAAAAGCAAGGCTTACGAAGATCACTCATGGCAATTCTACGTCAACGTGAACCAGGCATTCGCAGATAGGATTGTGCAGAACTGGAAACGAGGCGATACTGTGTGGGTCCACGACTACCACCTGCTACTAGTCCCTGGTATGGTTCGAAAGAAGTTACCAGATGCCAAGATTGGACTGTTCCTCCATGTTGCCTTCCCTTCCTCGGAGCTTTTCAGATGTCTAGCTGTCCGAAAGCAGCTCTTGGAGGGCATGCTTGGTGCTAACTTGATTGGGTTCCAAATCCACGAGTACACTCGACACTTTCTCCAGACGTGTAGCCGACTTCTGAGTGTCGAGGCTACCCCAGACGGTATTCAACTGGATGAACGGTTTGTCAATGTCATGAACCACGCTATTGGCATCGATCCTCTCAATCTGAATACCCATCGCGAAGATCAGGAAGTCCGCAAATGGATTAACATCATGAAAGAACGGTATCAAGACAAGAAGATTATCGTCGCCCGCGACAAGCTTGACCACGTCCGTGGCGTGCGGGAAAAGCTGCTCTCCTATGAACTGTTTCTTAACAAGAACCCTGAATGGAGAGACAAGATCGTTCTTATTCAAGTTGCGCTTTCGACAAGCGAGAAAACCGACCTTGATGCGGCCGTCGGTGATATCGTAACAAGAGTCAATTCGTCATGGGCCAGTCTAGCATACCAGCCCCTGGTGTATCTCAAACAGGACATCCCTTACTCACAGTACCTGGCTCTGTTGACCATTGCGGATGCTCTGATGATAACTAGCCAACGCGAGGGTATGAATCTGACATCTCATGAGTTTCTCGTATGCCAAGACGGAAAACATGATGAGAAGAAGCATGGATCACTCATTCTCTCCGAGTTTACCGGTACCTCATCTCTCTTTGGTGGCAATGAACTGTCTATCAATCCTTGGAGTCACAGACAATGCTCTGAAGCCATCAAAAAAGCGATAGAGATGTCGGATGAGGAGAAGGAGTTGCGCTGGGAGAAGCTTCACGGTGCGGTCAAGCATCACACCGGCGGACACTGGTTCGCTGAATTCATGGCACAATTGAATCGAGCCTACGATGAGCAACATCGTCATGATCAGACCTCAGTCCCGCGGTTGAATATGCCAGCCCTCAGCTCTAGATACAGCAAGAGTCAACGACGACTATTCTTCTTGGACCTGGAGGGCACCTTGATCCCCTACAACCCGATGAGTTCGATGATACCTATGAACCCTCAACGAACGCTTGCTGTCCTCAATGACCTGGTTGCCGATGGCCGCAATTCCGTTTACGTCATGTCTGGGCGGCGGCCCGCTGAGTTGGATCGGCTTTTCCGCCTGGTTCCTAATTTGGGCCTCATCGCCGAGAATGGGTGTTTTGTCAAAAATTCGGAGAGTAGTCGATGGACGGAGATTGCTGACCACGAACTGGTGACAGCGTGGAAGGAATCCGTGAAGAACATCTTGCAATACTACCTTGAGAGAACGCCAGGTGCCGAGATCGAGGATCGGCAGTGCTCCCTGGTATTCCACTACAAGAACGCCGAGGACTATGCGAATGCTGAGCGACAGGCCACTGACTGGATTGGCCACATCAATGAGTCTTGCGAGAAGCAACGGGTCCACGCCATGCAGCTGGAGGACTGTGTCGTCGTAGAGCCCATCGACTGGACCAAGGAGACTGCGGCGGTGAAAGTCTACAATGATCTCACGAAAAGTACGACCGCTGCGGACAAAATCGACCCTGTTGATTTTGTGATGGTCATGGGCGATGGACGAGAGGATGAGAAGGTCTTTAAATGGGCGAATGGCCTGGCCGACAAGGCTGAGGTGGTCACAGTCAGCCTTGGCAACCGCAATACCGAAGCATCGGCAACTTTGACCCAAGGAGTCAGCGGTAAGTTGTTCAGACATTCCCCAGGTATATGTCGCGTATTAACTTTGATGCAGGTGTTCTTGTCGCTCTACAGAAACTTGCGAGTCTGTCGTAACGGGCGAGTAAACTGACAATGCCCACGGCGCGTCCCCAGTGTCGATTAACCTCCCAAAATCTCATCTCTTATTCCTCGACGGCATTTCGAATTGAAAATATTCGGCCAACATGCTCCAACAACACTATGGGGTATAGATCGATATGGTACCGACCTCTCACAGCGAACAACAGCCCCCGCTCTTCTTCCTTTTTTCGACGCAGGCGCGTTTTGTTATTATGTACACTTACAAGTACCCCCTCCACGAGAAGCATGCACGGCGTTGGATTGACAACAGCGGGTGTAAGCCTGCATATATATATATTTTTCTGATACCGCGTGTCACTCGCGTTGGTTGTTTCACGAGTCATGAATAGAAGTAGTCAATGTTAGCATTTTCATACCTACGTTTCGACTGTTGAGGCTGAGGTGCTCACGCTTCCTCGGATGGCTATACTGCCAGTACTGTGCTCATTCGGCCAAAGACCATAATGGTGTTGGACTCTAATTCTTACAATATTTGGAGCATTGCTCTATCGCTCGCCTGTTGATACTGGTGTCGGTTAGATATGCAAATGAATGTGTATTGTTGGGCCAAGATCACCATGTTTCTTCGTGTTAGACAGGCCAACTCTGTCCACAAAGTAAGGTTGTGGGAGCAACTGGTCACGGACATCCGCTATGACTTCGGTACAGGGTGTTCGGGGAGCTGATGGAGGCGCACTTGGAAAATAACTGTACCGTCCCTTATCTCGAAGTATGCATGGTTCTGCGTTCTGCGCTGCTATGCGGTCATTCCTCTCTGTCAAACCTTTTACTGATCATCCTATACATGAGGAGCGAGTTTACCCCAAATTTTGGCCCGCAGTCCGGATCAAGCTGTACTTCTCGGCCAACGAAGATTGCAGCACCCAGATAGCGACTGCTGTCCCGAGGAGGGAGAGAACTATAAGTTCTATTTCAGCTTTACGGTCACCAGAGTGAGCGTGATCGATTGAGCCACTCTGTGATTATCGTTTTGGCAGTTCCGCTTACAACTTGCAGCTTAGTACTACAATTACTTGTTACTAATTGTCGTGATACCAATTCTACATATTAATCAATGCCACAGGGAGACGCGAATACCTCGACGGCTGCCCCGGCCAGCAGCGCAAGCTCGACTTCGAATCCTACTCATCCGGTTGATTCCACCTGGTTTTGGAGTTGGGTCATGAACAATTAACTTCTCGGTCAAGATGCGTCTCCACACGCTACACGAGCTCGACAAGAGCGAGGGAACCGTGCAACTACACGAAATCAGCCACGCGGAATCAGACACCATCGTCCTGGTACCGCGTCCCTCGGAGACAGACCCCAACGACCCCTTCCGTTGGCCAGCCTGGAAGAAGAATGTTGCCTTCAGCTCGGTTTGCGCCTTCACCTTTCTCACGAATTATGCCATCGGTGGTTTGGCCCCGGCATTCTACGTGCTCTCCCTCGAGTTCAACCAAACCATGGCCCAGACGAGCGACTTGCTCATCTGGCCGATCCTCGTGCTTGGCGTGTTTAACTTCTTCTGGGTGCCTGTGGCTAACTATTGCGGGAAAAGACCGGTGTTCGTGTTTGCCAGTCTGCTGCTGACTGTGAGCTACATCTGGGGTGGCACCGCCAAGAGTTTCAACAGCTTGCTCTGGAGCAATATCATTGCGGCGTTTGCGGGTTCCTCCACCGAAGCGTTGGGGGCCAGCATTGTGAACGATCTTTTCTTCCTCCATGAACGCGGTGCAAAGATGGGGATTTATATGAATGCCATCAGCGGAGGGAATACGATTGGCCCCCTTTTCTGTGGATTCACCATTCAGCGGCTTAGCTGGCGCTGGCATAAGTGGATTGCTGTCATTCTGACGGGTATCAACTTCCTTTCAGTGTTGTTCTTCGTACCCGAGACGAGATATCAGAGGAACGAGGGTCTCAATGTCGCAGTTCCCACTGCCCAACCTGGTGATTCAGCAGAAATTCCCACGTTAGTAGCCAGAGCATCTGAAAAAGGAGAGACTCCAAAGGTCGACCCCAAGTCCAGCCAAGACTCATCGCCCGAGCGTGGCACGACCAACGAAGCGTTGAAGAAAACCTACCTTCAGGAGCTCTCCCTCTGGAGCAGCGCCCCGCCAAACACAAACCTGCTCAAGATGTTTCTGCGCCCCCTCCCCATGATATTCTATCCCTGCATCATCTACGCTTTCCTTGGCTACGCCATCTCCCTCGTCCTCACCGTCGCTATCAACATTCTAAACCCCTTCGTGCTGCAAGCTCCACCTTACAGTTGGTCTCCCATGATCAACAGCCTGATCAACATCGCCGGCTTCATCGGTAATCTCTCCGGTGCGTATGCCGGGGGCTGGCTGGTGGATGTGTACACCGATTGGCGCGCGAGGAGGAATCAGGGTGTATTTGAGCCGGAGAGCAGATTGTGGTTGCTCGTCTTGCCGACTCTGATCACAGGGGCTGGGTGTCTGGTATTTGGGTATGGTGTCCAGCGGACACTTCACTGGTCAAGTTTGTTCTTTGGGTACGGGATGGTTAGTTTTGCGTTGACGGCTGTTCCGACTATCACTATGACTTATGTCAGTGATTGTCTGTTGCCGGTCAATGCTGATGCGTTGATGTTGGTCAATGGTGAGTTTTCCGAATTGAGCCTGCCAACAGAGTTTATCGAGACTGGGAGGGCTAATAAGAGACACAGGCTTAAAGAATATAGTGGCATTCGGGTTCCTTTACGGCATCATTCCGTGGGTGGATACGACTGGCTATATCATCTGCTTCGGTACTCAGGCTGGCATATTCGTGGGGATCGTTGCCATCGGGGCGGTGTGGTTGATCATGTTTGGAACCAGAATGAGGCATGTTCAGGCTACTTGGCGGATCATACTCTGAGTGACGGAATAAGGATTTGGGTTCTTTGAGAAATTGTTTGAAGACCTGTACAATCTCATGTTCGTTAGAAATTCAACCGTCTACAACACGACATACCCACCTAGTACCGGTCGGCGTGGCGAATCGAAGCGCTTAGTTCAATTTGAGAAAAGTCAAATATGATGCCCTTGAAGACTAACCTTGCCTTGTTATGTTGCGAATTGCCTCAAGTCAGGTAGGTGTAAGAAAGTGTATTTGAGTCGTACTTACCCTCGCTAACGTGAATGTACACCGAGCTGGCCACCCTTACATAACCTCGCATAGAAATTTTACGATAGTAAAACCACAACGCCGTAAATCAATTGAAACTACTCTGAATCTTCCTCTCCAGAAGATGGCAATGCGATCTTACAAGTTCGCGCATTATGCCCAGTCCCGTTGCAAATACCACAGCGCCTCGGGCGCGTTTTTACGCGTTTGGAGGGAGCTTCGGGGGACTTGGTACGTTTTTGCCGCTTGTCGGAGACTAAGTTTTTGGTCATTTTTGAGAGCTTGAAGGGCTAGCATTAAGTCTGCTTCGTTGTATGACTTTGCCATAATTGGTTGTTGAGAAAATCAAACATTAAGTTGGCCGGTCGCGTTGGCGCATGAAAGTGGCCAGCTCGGTGTACATTCACGTTACTATGAATCATTAATACACATTTATTCAGTCATGGTTGTGTTTCGGATTCGGGGAGTAGTGTGGTCAATTGCAAGTCTTCTCGTCGGTTCCCTCAGTCTGAGGTACAGATAGGGATGAGGAAATGCAAATGTCTTGTCTCAACTATTCGGGACAAGACAAGTTTGTAGGTACTCGCGCCACTCTAATCATACCGTAGAACAGCATGAGTGCCTTAAAGGTATCCCTCGAGTAGGCCATAGATTGAATACCGCTGAGTAATATGGAGGAAGGCACCCCACCCCACTATTCCGCAAATCGGCGCCCTATTAGAAAAATTCCCAAGGACCACGATAGCACGTTTAGAATCATTCAATTGCCAGTGCTCCACTTGTCATTGACGATCTCCTCGAAACTGATAACGGACTGGAAGCATCTATCACGGGCTTCTAAACCTAATTGGCATATCTCCAGCAACATAGACTTCGAGCCGACCTACAACTTCCCAACCACAAATATCATATCGCCCTTCCCTCCACCACCAGTCAACACAATCGACTGGTCCAACGTGGGTTTCCGCGTTCGTGAAGGTATGAAAGAGCATACTATAAAACTCTCTTCAGTATTCTTATCAGTCGAATGCACATCACTAATCAGTTGTTCTCAGTCAATGGCCATATCGAGTCGCACTACACTACTCCGTCCACACCAAAAAATGGACGCCGCCTCAGTTTGTCGCTGATCCTTACATCCGAATCCACGGCATGGCCCCGGCCCTCAACTATGGCCAGCAAGCCTACGAGGGACGAAAGCCTTCCGCACGCCGTCGGGCGACATCCAAATCTTCCGTCCTGACCGCAATGCCGTCCGAATGCAGCACTCAGCTGAATACATCTCCTGCCCACCCGTACCGGTCGAGCACTTTGTCAATGCTGTCAAAGCCACCGTATCGCTCAATGCCGAATACGTCCCACCCCATGAGACTGGTGCTGCTAGGTACATCCGCCCACAGATTTACGGTTCCAGCGGCCAGTTGGGACTGAGCCCGCCAGAGGAGTATATGTTCTGCGTCTACGTCCTGCCCACGGGAGTCTACCACGGCACGCATCCTGTCGATGCGCTCATTCTGGACGACTTTGATCGGGCGGCGCCAAATGGCACTGGAAGCGCCAAGGTCGGTGGTAACTATGCGCCTGTGCTGCGATGGAGTGACAAGGCGAGGACTGAGGGTTATGGAATCACACTGCATTTGAATAGTGCGACGCATTCTGAGGTTGACGAGTTCAGCACCAGTGGATTCATTGGCGCATTGGTCGATGGCGATAATGTTACTTTAGTGGTTCCGGATTCAAAAAATGTCATCAAGAGTGTGACGGCCGACAGCATCACCGATATCGGCAAGAGCTTCGGGTGGAACCTGGAAAGGCGATCGGTAAGTCGGCGAAAGCTGCGAGACATTTGACGCGACGCGCTGATGCAAGACAGATCAAATACACCGAACTCCCCAACTTCTCCGAGGTTATGGCTGCTGGGACTACCGCCGCGCTTGTTCCTATCCGGACCATTTCTCGTTGCATCGACCCGTCATCACCGGACTCGATCAGTGCAGCCGTGAAGCAACACCCGCGATTGTCCTCCGATAAGCAAGCCGAGAAGGTGAATTACATCGAAGAGAGCCAGGAGGATGCGGGTCCGGTTTGCTTGAAGCTTCTGACCCAGCTCAAGGCTATCCAGCTCGGAAAGGCCAAAGATGAATTCGGCTGGTGTGCTCCAGTCACTGCAGAGGATGGCGCCAAAATCACTGGCGTACCCAAGGCAACTAAAGGTGACGGCCAAACGGTCGACCAGTTGGATTAAGGCGAAAAATAGAACAGGTAGGGAATCGAGTCATCTTTTTTCGGATAAATAAAAGTTTTCGGCCTGAAGATTTTAAATTATTGCAAAATACCATCGAGATCCTCATATTGCAATTGCCAGCCCTATTCCTGGCAGGTCCAGCGTGTTGACTTAGCTTTCAGTATTGCTGACGGGTCCGCGTCTCTGAAGAATAAATGCCTCAGCAGCTTGTCCCATGCGCGAACTGCAAATATGGATACATAATGGCTCCATGCTTGGCCAGACCAACCCATCCGGAACCACTCTTTCACAATATTCGGGACAGATATTTTCGCGCGATTTTGGCTGTGGTTTGATTCGACGCCACCCACTCCAGCGGATGAGTGCTGTTACACCCCGCCGATATGCTCACTGCAACTAAGGAATCTCACTCAAGCCACAAAGATAAGGGTAATGGGAATTATCCGCCGCTGTAGGTCGACCACTCATCTGGGACTTGAGTTTCGCCTGGCACACTCTTGGCTTGTCTGCTTCAGGATGTATGCAGCTGTGGGACATCACAGCCAACATCAAGCTGCAACGAACTCATGGCTGCGTGGATGGGGGCACCCAACATATGCTTCTATTGCAGCTCTGAAGCTTATATGCACTGCCCCCTTAAGAGCTATAATACCTTTTCTAGAATTCTTGGCCAATGAGCGATTTATATGCTAGCTAATCTCATATCTGCTAGCTGTCACGCAGGGGGTAGCTTGGGTGGCTTTCCGGCCAGTGCGGGGAGCTGAGTTTTGGCTACAGTCTGGTATTTCTCACTGTCTCCACGGTTTGGTGATGAGGGATGTTTCAATCTGACTCGCATTCATTGGGTCCCATCCTGCGCTGACAGACTGGAAACCCTTCGGCATACTGTTTTCGAACAGTATGGTTGTCATAGGTCCAGAGGTGCGGAAATTCAAGCACGTCGCCGATCCGCACCCAGGAAAATGACCCATAGCGTTGGCTCCCTCCTTTATCTACTCTCGCATTGCCATGCTGTGGGAAACTTTTACGTATTTTTTCCGATGAGACTCACCTCTGTTGATGAAAAATTTACGTACCTAACCGCCTGTGCCTCCTTCAGCTAGCATTCGTTTCAGCAGCTGTGCTGCACTTCCATGCCATGGCGACGCCGGCAGTTATCATTGCGGATGAAATACAGCCAGTCAAACGCGAGAGGTTGGCTGGGGCTGGTGGTGTCTACAATGCGCGCAGCTTGTCGCGAAGCCGTGTGCCTGGCGATGGCCGGAGTGCCTCCCGCAGCTCCAATGAGCGTAGCGAGCAAACTGGCGACTTCGAGGATGGGGACGGTTGGCAGCGTGATGACGGGCGGAAGAAGCAGGTGTTCAAGGGAACTACGTTGCTTTGGTAGCGTTACTCCCGTTTTGGTTTCGTGAGCTTCTGTGTCATGACTATTGCTGATTCTATCGGTTTGAAGGCTGGCGTATCAGTCGACTGGTGTCATCTACGGTGACATCGGGACAAGGTCAGTAACCAACTATGCTTCGTGAATGAACAATATGACTGACCCTTCTTGTTCTGCACAGCCCCCTTTACGTGTACTCATCCACGTTCACGGAAGAACCCAACTATAACGATGTCCTTCAAGTGCTCTCGCTCATCATTTGGTCGCTGACCATCATGGTGACGCTGAAATATGTGGGCATTGTTCTAAGAGCTGACAATGAGGGCGAGGGCGGCACGTTCAGCTGTTACTCTTTGCTCACTCGATATGTGAGTTTATGACCACTGCCCATCCTAATTAGGGGTCGTTCAGTTGAACGTAACTAACAACTGAAGGCCAATATCACTGAGCGCGATCCTCGCGAGGCACAATTGATCAAGATGGAACGCCATAAGACCCAGGACCTACACCGCCCCAACCAAACGATTCGCTCCAGGATCGAGAAGAGTAAATTTACACGTGGTCTGCTTAAAGTTGTCGGTGTCCTCGCAGTGTCCATGGTCATGGCCGATGGTGTCCTCACACCAGCCCAGTCTGTCCTCGGAGCTGTTCAGGGTCTCATCGTCGTCAAGCCAGACATCTCTAGCCAGACAGTTGTTGGTGCGACATGCGGCATCCTGGTGGCCCTCTTCCTCATCCAACCCCTGGGGACAACCAAGCTCGCCAACACGTTCGCTCCCATCGTCATCTTATGGCTCGCGTTCAACGCAGCCTTCGGCATCTACAACCTGGCCAACTTTGACCACTCGGTGCTGAAGGCGTTTTCGCCATACTACGCCATCCACTTCTTCATGGAGAAGAAAACTCATGGGTGGCGGATGCTAGGCGGTGTGCTGTTGGCGTTCACCGGAGTCGAGGCGCTCTTTGCGGATCTCGGCGCATTCAGCATGAGGGCCATTCAAATTAGCTGGATGTGTTACTGTTACCCTTGCCTGTTGCTTGCGTACATTGGTCAGGCGGCGTACATCAGCGCTCATCCAGACGCGTATTCCAACCCGTTTTTTAACTCTGTTCCGCCAGGCATGCTTTACCCGAGTCTGATCGTGGCTGTTCTTGCCGCCATTGTCGCTTCGCAGGCTATCATCACGGCTACTTTCCAGGTAATGATTTAACCTCCTGTTCTGGGCGTTGAACCAGATATACTGACTCGCACCACAGCTCATTAGTCAGATCATGAAGCTCTCGTACTGCCCGCAGGTCAAGATTGTGCATACATCAAAGACATTTCATGGTCAACTTTACGTTCCGTTCTTGAACTGGTTGCTCATGCTGGGAACTATCCTGGTGACTTGTGTCTATTCCAACACGACACGACTCGGTAACGCATATGGGGTCTGCGTCATGTGAGTCACTATCGACTACTTTCCCAGAACTATACTGACATGTATTCAGGTTCGTGACCTTCTTCGACACCTGCATGGTAACTCTAGTATCCCTCCTAGTCTGGCGCCTCTCGCCCTTCCTCGTCTTCATCCCCTGGCTCTTCTTCGCCACCGTTGACGGCTTGTACCTCTCCTCCTCACTAGTCAAAGTCCCCGACGGCGCGTGGTTCACCCTCACCATCTCCGGTATCCTTGCCTGCGTCTTCCTGCTCTGGCGCTTCGGCAAGGAGAACCAGTGGCGCGCCGAGGCTGAGGATCGTTTCCGCCCTTCATCTCTCATCACCAAGGATCCTGACGGCAAGGCATGCCTCACAGAGCGCTGGGGCGGTGGGGCTCTTAGTAGTATCAGGGGCCTGGGCATCTACTTTGACAAGACGGGCGTCTTGACCCCGACTGTTTTCACACAATTTGTTAGTAAGTTTGGGGCCATTCCCGAAGTCATGGTGTTCTTCCACCTGCACCCCGTCGAGGCGCCCAGCGTCGCCGGCGATGAGCGGTATGTGATTTCGAGGCTTGGCGCCATTCCGGGGTGTTACCGTCTAACCGTCCGCCACGGCTTCATGGACGAGGTCATCTCACCTGACCTTGCGGCGCTGATATACGCGCAAGTGCGCAAGTTCATCATTCGCCAGGCGGGTGGACACCCTCTGCCCGAGGACGTCGACGTCGACGAAAATAACAACGTGTCGCTATCCACGAGCTTCGACCGCGCCCTAAAGGACCGCATCACGTTGACTGCCAGCGCCAAGTTCAGCGGGGATGTCGACTACACCGGTTATGAAACCGGCCATAGTGACGCGGAAAAGGGAAATGATCACGGGCCACCAGAGCTGCGCGACAAGGTCGTTCGCGCCGAACTGGCAAGGTTGGACCGCTCGTATGCGAGCAAAGTTATGTATGTCATCGGCAAGGAGCAGATGAAGATTAAGCCAGGGACGCACATCTTCCGGCGCATTGTGCTGACGACTTTCTTGTGGATTCGGGAGAATACGAGGGCGAAGATTGCGAACTTGAGATTGGCTATGGATAGGGTGGTTGAGGTCGGGTTCGTGAAGGATATATGACAGCGGCTGGGCGGGTGCCGTACGGTAATTTGGCGGGGAGTGGATAGGGTGTACACAAATGGGGGCTAAATGGTTAAGGCTCAAATAAGATTGCTTTAAGAGCTGATCACTCCTTCAACATCTACGAGATGTGATTTAATCTCCATTACTTTGTGATAGTATTTTTCTAATTTCCCGTACTGAATGAGCTTATCACACTAGCGGCAGAAATCGTACTTGACGTTACCATAAGTGACGGATCGTCTCAGAGGTCATGGTAAGCGGTTAGACTCATAAGTACCCCACGTCAGCAAATGCGAGATTATTGAAGAAGTGGAAAAGTGACACTTTCCTAATGGAGTCCTATTGGAATGGAAAATGTTTTTTGATTGGCTTACATGGCAAGTGTCAAGGCATGCATATTTCGCCTCTGGAGAAGTAAGACCGTACCAACCTTCGTGTTTTACGTCACGGTTGCAACGAAAAGTGCCAAAAGTTCCGAGCCAGACTCAGCTCAATGATTTCAAAGTTTAACTTTACACGTTATATCAACTGTTAGCTCATCGTAATTTGTACACAACAGACGCTGGCATGGCTTGTGTGGCCACGTTACATGCCAGTCGCCCCATTTGACAACGAAATCCTCCCAGCCACCATTCTCGAGGTCTCTATCCATATTCTAAAAGCCGTTATAAGTGAATGGCTAGCTAATCCAGTCATCAAAGTTCAATGTCACCCCTATAGTAACCCCGGTCTGTTCGCCTTAGTCAACTTGGTCCACAGCGGCGGAAACTCGAAGCCAATAAAAGAATACAAATGCTCAAAGTCATTCTCCGGACTCCACTTCTTATTCCCCTCGTCCTCGAGATCGACATCCAGATCAAAGTGCCAGAGGATATGCGCAATAGCCAACCGCAGCTCAATACCCGCCAGGTTCTTCCCAATACAGTCCCGGGGCCCATACGCGAATGGCTTCGACATGCTTAGATTATCCTTACAATCCGGGTCCATCCACCTCTCAGGACGGAAGGACCACGGGTCTTTGAAGTTCATCTCGGAGTGCGCCGCAGCGTATTCCGCCACGGCAACAGTAGTACCCCCTGGAATCCAATGCCCGTCGATGGACTTTCCACCCTCGGGCACGACGCGGATGCGCTGGATGGAAGTCCCTAAGAGACGCATGCTCTCGCGTATCACAGCGCTGAGATACTTGATGTCCTTGAGCGCGGTCCAGTTGATGTCCTCAGACCTGGCGAACTTCTCTCGGATTAAATCCCGGAGTTTGTAATAGACATTTCGATGGGTGCCCATCCAATATGACCAGATAGCCAGGTTCCAACCCACTGTCTCGCTGCCTGCTATGATGAAGGTCACCAGGTTCTTCTGGATCTCACCATCCGAGAGCAGGCGCCGATGGTCGTTTGCTTTGAGGATGTGGTACACAAAATCTTTATGATCACGGTCCGTGTCGGCTAAACTATTCTGGATCGCCTTGAGGCTCTTCTCTGAATGATATGTGCGAGCGTTGTAGTACTTCGCCGGGGCTAGGAGCTTCACCAGGGGAGGCTGGAGTGGGGAGTCGAAACCCACGAGGCGGACGGAGGCTTGTTCGTATGCGCCCATCATGATGGATAGCCCAATGTTGCGCGACCATTTGATGTTGGCCTCGCTTTTCAGGCAGCCGAAGGGGGCCCCAAAAGCCAGGAGGCCGATGACGTCGAATGAGTAGAACTTGCCCCAACCAAGCATGTCAACGACTGCCGCTCCACCGTTCTCGTCGACCTTTCTGTAAAAGGCGGTAATCAGCTCGTCTACTTGTCCCTGGATGATCTTTTCTTCGTTCAGGAGGGCTGAGTTCGTGAAAACGCTGGCAAATGCACGGCGTTGTCTGGCATGGATATCCCGTGGCGCGGAGGTCATGGGATACGGCGGCCTGGGTAGGATGGCACCAATCCATTTTCGATCCTTCTGTGTGGGATTCTGAAGATTTTGATATAAGCATTGCGAAACAGCTTGCTATAGACATGGAATCAAGCGTACGCGCAGCCCGTATATGTCCTCCATCGCCGTGCCGGTCAAGAAGCTGAGTTCGTTCGGAGCCACTCGTACAACGGGCCCTGGAATTATGTTAACCGATGAAGCATATATGTGCGAAGGAGAGCTACCATATTTTTCATGTAGCCTTTTATAGCATGCATACTGCTTCCCTCCGATTAGGTTGCAGACCAGTGGTACCTCCGAGATGCTGCGATACCATGGACCTGGATATTTCGAAAGTGGGTGGAAGAATAATCTCCGTAGCACAAAAGCTAAAATTACAGCCACAGACTGCACGGGTAGTAAGCTATTATTTTCGGAAAGAGCAAGGTACAGAACTACAGATCCAGAGAAAGAGTAGACGTACCAGGAGTAGCAAGACCGGGACCGTAGTCCAGGTTATCACGAGCCGAGTTAGCTCCATCACTCATCAAGCAAGGCTATTGATGAAGAAAATTATAAAGGAGCCGTAGAAGAGGAGGTTTGTCTTCATCCCGAGATTGTTTGAAATAGACTTTGCTGTGCGGGGACATAGGGTAGTATGCATTTCTGCTTGCATGCATCCGACCCTCTAACGTGCTTTCTTGCATGATGCAGGCTTGAAATCATGATTTACTTCAGAAAAACTCACGTGAGTAACCCCTCTTGCCCATTTACGCAGTAGTCCTTCTCGTAATAACCCTCCTCGTAGATACTATGTAAGTTTGGACTGGGCCCAATCACTTCCATCAGCAACTGCTCTCCCTGCGCTTTGTTGACCGCTATGAGACTAGTCTTCTCAAGGTTTTTTAGTTCGAAAGTGTCGTATCTTGTCCCACAAGGTGTATAAATGGGAATCTCTTCATTACCGCTGAGATATAGCCCATCACTATGGTTGGCTTCATCTTCTGCTGTGAGATGGAACCTCCAGTGGAATCCTCCATGAGAACCATGAATAGGCTGCCGAAGTACGTTAGAGGGGACCACCATGGTATGCTTCCAACCTCGTTCTGAGCGATTCGACGTATCCGTTCGGATTGGCCCGAGATCGAGCAGGTCCGAACAGCCTTGACGTTAACATTGGTGCAGGCAAACCCGAGCGCGATATGGTGGATTTTACTCAGTGTGCTTTCAACATGCTGATAAAAGGGGTCATAATTTATGCCATGATGGTCGATGGCATCGAGCGGAACATCTTCTTTGGCAGAGCCTTGAGAATCGACAGGCTGGTTGTCTTGGTGTCATAGTGCCATTGTAGCGCATTGTATTGCTGGACAGACTCATGGCTCTTGGCTCCATTACTTCAGGTGAGATCATGTACTATTTTCCCTGCTGTGGTTCGGAAGAGAGGCGGTGCATCTGCGATTGTGATCTTGCGGCTCTTTCCCTTTGCATCCCCAGATATCATCTCAGCCAGGATCGTGTCCCTCTTAGTGCTGGATCAACCAGCTTTCAATAAGCTTCAAGGTTCAACAGGAGGCGCGCAGCTCATTATTGCACTCACGTAGGATATTCTAGGCTGCGAATGGAAGCTATGGTCAAAGTCCTCCTCTATCATGTTATGATCTACCTTGTGGCCCCTATCCCTCTTAGCTTGAAGAACCCTCGTGCAATGAATCAAATGATCTAGTGGGCTCGGTAAATCTTCCGGATATATCAGCGGCAGCGATATGTTGATACTGCCAGCTAGACGGTGGTTTTCGGAGATAACGTGACTTTAGTAGGATAAATATTCATCTCCGCTATCCCACATCCGTGACTGTCACTTGTCTCGCCATAACCTTCACGATGAGGACCACATTTTCAATATGGATCATTGAGCAGAAGATTCATCGGGCCTTGGTCCTAGTTAACTTGGATATGGCTAGACGGGTGCGTACCGGTTTAGTTGAGTCTCGGGGGTAACGTGCTGTGCAGTTCAAAGGTGTTTTGGAGCTGTCAGATATCAGCAACAGAAAATCCTTGGAGGTTTCAGTCTTTCGTATTGGAAAGTGACAAGGATTGTGCCACATGTTATTCGCAGCAATTTAGAGAGTATCTATTTACAAAAGTGATTCAGACTTGCTGCACGATAATGGAATTCTTCACTAGTTTCAATGCCACTGTTTTGCGAGAATATCTCCTACTGGTCATACGAAACACTTATTAGACACTTTGTCCTACAAGCGGTAAATATGAAGCATAAAATAGTCAGCGTAGGTCTCTAGATACAAAGATCCTTGCATTAGATTAAGCAAGACCTCTGGATGTATGAAGACAATATTTGTTTTTGATTTGTATTCCAGTTACCTCTACAGGTGTATTCATTAGCATCCACGCCCTCAGTAACGACGGTATGATTTATATCAATGTACAGGATCCTTAAGTTACGGCGACCATATCCGTGATGGTAATAAATCTTGATATGCATCGTTCTTGTCGTGGTTGGCTACGGAGCACTTCGTGTTACACAGAGCGTGGAGCTCTGATAAATCGACGCGTGTGCGCGTGATTGTGTTGATGGGCTTTCCGGGATAGTCGCTTTTGTTAAGTGGCACGTACGCTGAGAAAATGGGTATGGGGACTGATGCGAAGATGCTTTCTTGTGTATCTCGAGACAAGTTAAACTTGTGGTACAGAAGCCGCGGCGCCGCCGAAGCAGCAGAGGATCCTAAAAATGTAAAAAGACGAATATCATGCGGCAATTAAGTAATTCAATCGTACTAAATTGCGAGAGTTATCGCCGCTTTTACGGCTGGTAGGTACAGATGTCAGAATTGCAACATCCATGGATTTTATTTTTGAATGACTCGACCCTCATCTTTAGAGTTACGGTCAATAGAGTCACGGTCCATAGTAGTAGTAGCGAGGGGAGGTTTTTGAGATTCATCGATAACTTCATCGAACAGCGTTAAATCATCAAACAGATTACGGCAATCGATTCTTCATAGGCGCTTACATCGGACAGTGGCCTCGCATCGCTTGCGAATCGAGGGCGCAAAGCCATGGAGACGCCGATGGTAATTGACGGGGGACGGGCGGGACTTCAACAAAGTTTTCACCACCCCCAAGCGAACGAAAGCGCCCACACGCCGAGCGTGAAGCGTAGTGGCGGCGAAACCGCAACAAAGAAGCAAATCGACAGCGAACGGGCGAGCGTCGAACAGAAGATTACCGACTTAGTACCTCCCGAGAAGATCGAGGTTATGGGAGGCTTAATGGAACGCTGGCATGAGCTAAAGCTAGCCGGCAAGGCGCTGGAACAGGGCGAAGACCGATCCGCTACACCAGCCGACGTACTAGCAGCGATCCGAGCACTTACCGAGGGGATTACGACTACAGTACAAAAGACGATACAAGACACCGTGAAAAGCGTAGCTATGCCTACGACCAGGTCCTGGGCCTCAGTCGCCTCGGGAACGGCCCAAGGGAGGGAACCCGTCGGAGCTCCGGTGTGGTAGCAACGGGTCGTTGTACCCCAGCGAAGGGAAAGAGAAATAGTGATCCGAGGGACGGAAGACCCCAGTATGAAGAACAGGACGGCGGCTGAAGTCGTCAAAGCAGTGAATAAGGCACGCGGTAGCACCGACGCCGTAGCGGCCCGCAGGCTACGTAGTGGCGATACCGTGGTAACGTTTAAGCAATCGGCTTCGGCGGCGACCACGGATAGCCGGTGGGTACGCAGCGCCTTCGGCGATAAGGCACTTCTCAACCGCAGGGAGGTTGCAGTTATCGCAAAAGGGCTACTTGCGAAACGTTTACGAGAGGTCCATGACGAGAACCAACTACTCAAGGACCTAAAGCGAGATAATACGAAGCACCTCTCTAGGTGTTAGGCAACCTTGGTGGGCTTTGCTAAGACCACCAAGGTTACCACGTGACTTAGCCCGTTGGGACTAAGTCCAACCTTCGTGCTCCATAGGACTAGATAGAATGTGATGCTTTTACAACCTCACAAATCTTTGACCACCTTTGCGTGTAACAATGGTAGCATCTCTTCTTCGACAAGAAAAAGGAAAAGACCAAAAAAAATTTCCCTGACGATCGTTGCGGTTGTCCAACGATCCAAAGGTGACGACAAAAGCAACCTACCCTACCAAAGCTTCACGGACAACGACAAAGACGTCATCGCGAGCAAATTAATCAGCATTTAGACTTCATCCTCGCAAACTTTCACCCCACGGCCTTTGGAACCTTGACTTGGTTCAACCACAAATTATCATACAAATTTTCAATCCATTTGCCTTACATCGTATGATGGGCGATTTCTACCATCAGTAAGTATTGTCAATGCCGGCATTCCCCATCGAGAACATCGAAGACTGCATACAAGTATTGGAATACATCGAAAACCATCCGACAAACATCTCGGTGATACTATTTATCCTATATATCTCGACGCTATATGAGGAACTAGCGGAGAAACACCCCCTACTCTTAGTCGTGGGGTTCGCGGACGATACGAACCTACTTAGCGTTAGCACAGACACGGGCACGACCTGCCGCCGACTAGAGGACGCTTGGGCTACGTGCCAACGGTGGGCCGCCAGGCACGGGATGGAGTTCGCTCCGGATAAGTGTGAGCTGATGCACTTCACTAGAACCCGAGACCCCTCCCCGCAGAGTATCCGTCTTGGAAACGCTACAGTAACGCCGACGGTCTCGGCAAGGTTCCTAGGGGTCTGGTTTGACCGCAAATTAACGTGGCACGCCCATACCGAGCGGGTTAAATCAAAAATGGCGACTCAGAAGCTAGCCCTAACAAAGCTAGTGAACATGGCGTGGGGCTGCGATCTTATACGGGCGAGACTACTATACATGTCGGTTATTCGCAGCGCGATTGCCTTCGGGGCGGCTGCGTGGCACACTATAAGCGAGGAACCAGCGGGACCAGCTAAGAGCCTAGTCGGGATACAGAATGAGTGCCTCCGAATAGTCTGCGTGTGATGGTTGTCACGTGATTGACCTACACTGGTTTGAACAGATTGATAAGTGGTTGCAGATACCAAAGTCAGGGACTTTGGTATTGGTCTCTTTTGGTGAAGACATCTGGTACGGTGGCGTAGTGGCAAGGATTGCAACCCCTAGCACGGCGTGACACTGCGGCGCCTACAAAGCGACACCGGTCCGCCACCTGGAAATAAAGGCAGCGATCCCGCCACTAGACCTCTATCTCAATGCCCGGGCGGCGAAATTTGAAGAACAGCTACGGAATAACGGCAAAAGGAGCCTGCTTCGGAACGGGAGCGCGAGAGCTTCACACATACTCCGACAGGATACGCCGGCGGGACGGAAGCGGGCGTCACAATCGCTCAGACCAGCGGGGTACACGATGGAGAAGGAGGCTAAGGGTTCCGAGTGGATGGGCAAGGAGAAGGAAGCCCCGGCCGCCGTCCTAGACCACTGGGAAAAGAGATGGCTCTCTAGGGCAGCACAACACGACCGCCAGCGACGCGCTATCGCCGAGGAGCCGGAGGGTCCCTCGATGCGAATGCCGAAACAGGGCAAGTACTCAGGCCTAAACCGAC